TTGGTGGAACGTCGACGTGGCTTCTCTTTCTTTGCCCGTCGTCGTTCCCCTTCTCTTGCCCTATTGCTATCAAGCTTAGGTGCCTGCGTGTGTGTGTCAGTTCTCTTTTTATTGTATACTAGAGTGCATAGCTAAATCCTGGGCAGTTGTTATAGCTAGGACTAACTCCTGCCCAGGTACGTATATACCTGTTGTCGTTCCCCTTCTCTTGCCCTATTGCTATCAAGCTTAGGTGCCTGCGTGTGTGTTTGTTATAGCTAGGACTAACTGCTAAGAACTCAAAGCCTTACATCTGGTTTGCTCTTACCGAGGAGCAGTGGAAGATGCTTGACTCCATTCGCTCAGTGCTCGAGGTAAGCAGCACAGCACTATCCTTTGATGTATCAGACAAGAACCGACCACTGTTATCAGCCAGCCATCACGATACAGGCTCTGTTTGGCGCCGAAATTGATCCGACTCTGTGGATGGTCCTACCCAGACTTGTGGAGCTCCATCAGCGATGGAAAGGACTGCTAGCAGACTCAGAAATCCCTGCCATGCTGCACGGACCAATCCGTCAGGGTCTGACATCAATCGAGAAGTATTATAGGAAAGCTATCGAAGCCAAAACACCGGTGATTGCAGTGTGTGAGTATATTGCTGAACATCTCAACATGTACTCATTGCATCTCCTCTAGACTTGAACCCACTCATGAAGCATTGGTGGTTTGAACTGAATCTAGGAACCAGGCTAGCTGCTGAAGCCAATGATATCTTTCGTGAGATAGTAACTCATATTCCCCTTTTGTAACCTTCATCAAACCGTTGCTGATGTTGCACAACAGTATGACGAATTTGCTATCGCGAAGCGCTCGTCCAATACATCTGACAATCATGTATCATGTCCTCAAGCACCCCTGACAGAGATGCAACGCAAGATCAAAGATCTGCAAAAGGCGTCTTTGGCCTTCAGGGGTAGCGGGAATCTTTCGGATGAGTTTGACCGCTATATCAGCTTTTTCGAAGAGGATGATTCCCTTTCCCTTCTAGCAGCTACGCCAGCAAAGATCGAGCCCGACTTTGTCCTTCAATGGTGGAATGTAAGTCATACGCTTGGCCATGAATGTTGCTACAAGACTGATAACTGTCACAGCGCAATGAGTTCGCATTTCCCATCATATCAGGGATTGCGAGGGACTTTCTAGCTATACCAGCCTCATCTGTTCCGTGTGAACGTCTCTTTTCATATGCCAAACTGGCAGACACTGAGAAGCGTCGTTGCATGTCAGAGGGGACATTCAGCGACTTGCAGACCCTTGGTGCTGCTTATCGAGAGGAAAGGAGAGTGCAGGATGAGGGCAAAAGGAAAGGTTCGACCTTCATTGACGATAGAGATGTCCAGAAGAAGAGTAAGAATAAAGAGAGCATATAGAAAAGACTTGAATTCTGAATTTCTAGATTAAATTGAAGATGAACTTCGTGGGACCGTCCCAGACCGAGGACGGACCGTCCGGACGGCCTCCGTCCGGTCCCGCGTCCCAAAAATCTGGGATGAAACCCATCGGTCCCGTCTTGGGTCCTGAAAATTTGGGCAAAGACCGGACGGGACCGGACGTCGGCAACTCTAGCTGGGACTGGTTTGAAGCCTGATGGGAGAGGGTTCTTGGCTGGGTTGCAGCTTGCCATGTCAAAGTGTTCAAGCAAGATCCTGAGGTAGACATATAAATAGGTCCATAGAGACATAGTCTGCCAACCATGCAACTTAGGCATTCTTGGCCACCCAACACAGCTTGCTCGAGCTTCAACTCGACACAACCTTCTGACACGGGGGACGGGTAGGGAATGAAGTAGGCCAGCGGGTTTGGTTGTTGAAGATTTGGCGATTTGGCAGGGGTGACAAGATCGAACATACTCCCTTCATTTGTGGCCAAAAGTACTTCTCCATAATCGTCTCCGTTGTTTTCTCCATGCCAAAATGTCCCACCGCATCATGACACTCCTTCAAACATTCCTCTCGCAATCCCTCTCTCTCTGGAACAGATATTCTTTCTTCCCACTTCATCAACTCCACCGTCTTCCCTTTCTTTCCAACCACCATAACCATCTCAACCCCTGGTGGACGCTCCTCTTCATTCAACGATTGTTCCATTATGCCATCTCCTTTATATCCACTTGCCATACACTCTAAAAAAGTCTTGATTGACTGTGGTAGTGATGAGAGAGAGCGTGTTGAGGGATGCTTCTGAATGTAGATGGGAGAGAGCATCTGCAATGACGTTGGAGGCACCAGGAATGTGGGAGATACGGGGATCGTAATCGGCAAAGACGAGCAGCCACCGCTTCTGCCTCTCGGACAAGTTGGGCTGCTCAAAGAACCACTGAAGAGTAGCATGATCAATAAGGACTTGAATGGGAAGCCCTAGGAGGAGAGGACGCCATTGTTTGAGAGCATGAACAATAGCGAGTAGCTCCTTCTCATGAAGCGGGTAAATTTGCGGAGGTATTGGAGTAACCCAAGGAAACTGCGAAGGTCTTTGACGGTATGGGGATTTGGCCACGAGTGTAGAGTAGACACCTTCTTAGGATCAGGACCAATAGAGTTGTTGGGAATGACGTGGCCAAGAAACGTGACCGAATTGGCAAAGAAGACTGATTTCTCCTGTGAAAAACGCAACCCACTCTTCCGAAACGCCTCCAGAACCTCTCTAATTCTTCTTTCCAACTCTTCATCATCATCCGCCCACACTATCACATCGTCCACATACGCTTCACAGGTTTCGCCAATCAATCCTTGCAACGCTTCATTAACTCAGTGTTGTTGGCTCGCAGGGAAGTTACAAGCACCTTGAGGCATGACCACCCATTTGTACTCATGGTGGGCGAGCAGAGCGCCGTGAAGAGCAATACGGAGGGCGTCGAGGGAGGAGAAAGGTTGTTGACGGGATCGCTGGCATCGATTGTCAGTTCGGTGTTATTATGGACACCACTGTTAAAAGAACACAGCGCACCTGCTCATTCTCTGGCAACAGTGCTGCAGCCTCTGCACGTTTAAGACTCATTTGCTGGGCAGCGCGAGAGCGACACGTTGCACATGTAGCGTGGGTTTCCTCGGAAGGGAGGGGGTCGCGGCACCGAGAGCACTGGCGGGACATGATAAGATGGTGCCGAAGTATGAGTGTGAAGAAGGACAAGATTCAGATATGAAAGTGAAAGAGAATCATGGCGCAATGTTGTTTGGTGTTTGTTTGGCGCTTTCAGGGTCCGGACGTGTTTGGCTCGCGCGGGGCGGCTCCCAGGGGTGTCCGTCAAAGAATTCTCATGTCCGCGGAGTCCGCCACGGGACCAAAATGTAACAAAAAACACAGTAGACGACCGTATATAGTTGGAAAGTGTCTTTATCTAGAATCGCCGGTTCCCCAAAACAGCGGCGTGTCTGGGTGAAGAATTGTTTTGGACACGGCCCAAGTGGAATTCTGGGCCGCAATTTGGACTTAGAGATAATTCATCGCACTCAGGCCGGCAACCTGCTGGTTATCGATGCATTCAATGCTTGTTTTCTCGTATTGATTGGTGTCATTGAGTAGCCATGGTTGATGTCTGTTATCCTCCCATGGTTCACATGTCTTATGCATGTGTAAAACAATGTATGCCACAGCACTACTTGTACATATCACTCGCCTACTCCCAGTCTCTCCAGTCGGTGTCGTCCCTGGGCACCTCCGGCTCCTCACCAACCGCCCTCCCAAAGTACTTGCATTTCTTCGACCTCGCTTTGTGACGCGCCCCCCCTCACACAACCCACACTGGTAACGGCGCTTACCAGCAGGCAGCAATTCATCCTCCCCTAACGGCGCCAACGTCCCGTCCGGCTGCTTTCGTTTCTTGCTTGTCTTCGGCCTCCCCCTCTTCTTCACCACACCCGGTTGGCTCATCCCCCCCTCCACTTTCAGCTGAGAGTTTTGGGTGGGGGCGACTCCGCTTTGCCCCCTCTTCTTGGATCGGCGACCCAGTCCCGCTATCTCGTCGGGAAGATTGAACTGGGTCTCCTCGAAGTTGTCGTACCGTCGCCTTGGAACTCTCGGAAGTCGGCAGGGGAAGGTGTCACCTCGTCCTCGTCATCCTCGTCCTCGTCCTCCTCCACTACCGGCTGGATCGGGGAGCTACGCATGAGAGTATCCTGCAGCTGTTCATCTTCCTCCGCCCACGCCGCGAGAGCGCGTACCAGCGAGGCTGGGCCATCTAGCGATGGGTCGTCCATGTTGGGAGGGGGTGTTCGGTGTAGGTGGAGAAGAGATGTAGAAGTGGTCGATGGCATTGGTAGCGAGTGGTGGATGGGCGGTGAGGGTGAGAGTAGATGTTACGGAGAGATGCAAAGCGCAGGGCCAACATGACCAGCAGTGAGTGTGTCGCCCCAGCCAGAGCGCGCCGAGGCCCCTGGATGACCCTGCTGACGCACACCTAACAGCGGCTGGGAGCAGTTAGGCGCGCTCAAACAGCCAAAATTCGGCAACGTCGAATAGTTGGAATCACCGGTTGGCTGAGGGGCATTATTTAGAATCGCCGGTTGCCATACAGTGGCTCAGGAGGGGCAACTTCACAAGAACGGAGGCCAAAATCAGGAGACCTTCCCTTGATGTTTTTGTGGGTCTGGGAGACCCATTTGCCAGCCTCACAGAGCCGCTACCGTCTTCAGAGCTGGCTGTCCTTTAAGATATATACGTGAATTTGATTTTCAGGCACATTGATTTTTCTTCTTTGTTGAACAATTGTTTCTCCTTATATGCATTGTCCTGTTGTTGGCTCACCATCAGATTGGGTGCCACAAATGACATGCACCTGTTCTTCAAGCATCGTTCAAACTGCATGTGGGATGAGTTGACCCCCTTTGTCAGATGTGCTGACAGTCTGCTGCTGTGAATAGGTAGACTTGAGGAGAATCACTGGTGAAGACAGCTGAGACATTCAGTGATAGACAAGGTCAGTCACTTCTTTTTTTGTGAAGAGCTGTTGCTAATGTCTTTTCTACCTAGAAGTGCGTCACTTCAGCAGCATATACGATATTACAACAAGTCTCTGGTGTTCACCTCTGAGGAGTGAAGAGTACTGTGGTCTGACAGCCGGTGCCAATGCTCTTTTGATTGAGGGGAAGCTCAGTCATCAACGGGGAGGAACCCAAATTCTTTTAAGTAAGTCTCTCTGCACCCAAAACAATCTTTTCTAGCATATCATTAGGTCTATATCTCACTTGGTGTTGCTTCAACTCACACAACAATGACACTTCAAGCCAGCTACCCCTGAAACCTCAATAACGCCGTTCTCAACTCTCCAAACACCATTATTGTTCACACCTGCCTCCTTACGCCCTTCTACCCCTATGCTCTTCCATCCCCTTTCATTCTTCCATCCCCTCATATCCTTCAACATCCAGTGCACACTTCTTTGGCACAATGAGTATGATCTCCTGTCGAAGACTGGTATACAGTCTTTAGCGCTTCACACCTGGTAAGATGAATGCATTACGTACCTGGTATACAGTCTTTAGCGCTTCACACCTGGTAAGATAACTACCAACTTGTCCACTGAAGCCGGCCTTGACCTACACCACTTCACCTCTGATCCCCCATGCAAGATGAGGCTATCGGCGATTGACGTACTTTGGCTCATGATGGAGATCATTCTGGCAGGCTGAGAATCTTTGTGTCAACCACTGAGAAATACCCCTGGGTGGATAGCGGCAATGATGAGTGTTTTCAAATTTGTATCTGGACACAATGCTGACTGTCCTTACAGCTCGAGAGTGTACTGTCCCCTGCTTCTCCTGTGCTCTCCATTGGTATCAAGGTCTTGAAACTAAGGAGGTCAACCGCCTTTCTGTTGTTTTGGGTCCAGTATGGGGTGTAAGTCATCTGCTATTTCCTTGCTTCCTTTATCTGACACGTTCTAGCCCGGTGGCAACCAGACTGCCAAGCTCGGTGGCATCCACCTATCATCCACTGCCCATCTCACCAAAGTCCCTCCCTCCCAAAAGTGGCAGTGCATCCTTGTAAGGGATGAGCTTACCCAAAGGATGTCCCAGTCTTGATTGTTTGCTGTCAACATCTACAACATCCACCTTCCACTCTTCAGCTCCCACTCCACTTAGACTCTGACTGCCTTGCCTCCCCCCACAAGGGTTGAAAGAATGTCAGTGAAATGCAAGAGAAGAGCTGCAGTGGTAAGTGGTTCCTCAGGAGCAGGTTTGTTGAGACATGAGCAAGAGAGGTGGATGGTGTTGTCAGAGACGAAAACGGGGTGAGGAGTGGGGAGCAATGAGTGCTGGAGGGCGTGGTTATAATGTTGAAAAAGTGGATGTAGGATTGAGATTGTCTTGAAGACGCTGTGCCACAGTTGAGGGATAGGAGAAGCACGTAGAGACTAAGGTGTAAAATGGTGATAAGAGGTCCAAGAACGGCTCGAAGCCAAAAGAAAAGTCAATCAAGAACCCTATACTTCTACTTTTACATACTCTCTTCTATGAACTGTCTGTTTTCTAAAAAACAACCAGCCAGATTCTCGTCTCAGCCCAGTCTATCTAAGTACTCCTCCTGATACGCTCTGACACTTCCATACTTGTATGCTGACGAAGCTCTTGCAGCGCCATCTCTCAACACCGTTATTATTATGTGAGTCAGGAACATACTCTTTTCAAGCAAGCATTGCTGATGCCACTCAGTCAGCTCATATCAACAGCTCTTTCATTGTGTGAGTGACAATGCATCGCTGCTTTGACTTGACTTGAGTAGTGTGTGAGGAGGTGCTTTGGCAGCTTTACTCCCTCCTTGTAGGTCTTGATGTCTTGTGGGTCAAGGCATCAGGTTTTCCCATCTTTGTGCCAGGTCAGTAGTATATCTTGAAATCAAGATTTGCTAAGAGTTCAGCCCATCAGGCTTGACAACAATTGATCATCTTCAAAGTAGTGAAGCACTCAGGATTCTTGTGATTGATGCATATTGTGATTTCTTCTTGAGATCCTTCTGGATATGACTGCCAATCCTTGAAAGCTTTGACTATAGCAAGCATCTCTTTGTTGTAGATCTTGTAGTTGAGCTTGGATGGTATAAGTTTCTTGGAATAGAAGGCAACTGGATGTAATTGATTGCTGATGACATGATGAGATAGAATACCGGCAGTTGCAAAATTGGATGCATGTGTCAGTGTCTACAACAATCTTGAAATTTGGCTGGAAGTGTTGCAAGATAGGAGCGCTAGTGAAAGCCTCCTTGAGTGATGAGAATGTTGTTGATTGTATTTCTGACCTCTCAAACTTTGACATTCTTGCAAAGTAGTTTTGTGAGTGGTGCTGTTACTTTTGAGTAGTTCTTGATGAATCACCAATAGAAATTGGTGAAACCAAGGAATACTTGGATGACATGGACAGAATAAATTGGCACTGGCCAATCAGTGATTACGGCAGCTACATGTTCAATATATTTTTCTGAACTTTTTGCACAAGCAGTTTTCTGACTTTTGTGCATGATTTTTTCTGATTTTGCCATATCTGCGCCAGCCACATTTCCTGAGCGCTGTGTGTGTACAGCCTTCACCAGCCGCGACAACACCCTCTCATTGACCTACCTCAACCATGCACCACTCAACCTTCTGCAGCTAGTGAATACATACACTTACAGAGTCACGCTCTAGGACATGGTGTGCCACCAGATGTATGCACTTCTTACGTCCTTCAGACAAGTTTCCACTGATTGACCATCATGAGCTCTTGAGTCTCGTCATTGCAAGGACTATATCTGTGTAGCCAGGACTGAGATGTAGAAAGACTGGCAGATGTATTGGAATAGTAAGCAAGTCAAAGCATGTGACAGGTGATTATAAAGGTCAAACTCCACACAGTGGTGACGTGATGCTTGATGGACAAAGAGATTCTATAAGGCAAAGGCCCCTAGCGGATGGACAATGTTGATAAGTTAAGAGAGACTATATGTGTTACACTAGACCACTGTACCGAACAAGGCTTAGGACTTGTGAGGTTCTAAGCTGGGGTTTTATGAAATAACATTGATAAGGATCTAATTCTGTGTCTACCATAATCCCTTATATACCTTTCTGCCTCATCAATGATTTCCAACGCTGCACTCTGTCTTTTGCAGTTTGCCACCAGCTTATTCAGCGTATGTGATATGGCTAAATGAGCCTCCACCTTCTGTATCACATTCTGCACTCTACCGGCCTTTGCAAGGCATGCTAACAACTTCAAAATCACTCTGTGCAAGTGGTTCTATGACGGATGGTTGCTTGTGTGCAAGTGGTCTAATGAAGTGGAGGTTGGTGGAGATTGGCAGAGGTCTCGGCTGCGGCAAGCGCCAAGCTCAAGATGGGTTGTAATGGGCTATATAGGTAGACAAAGCTTTCAACAAGCAAGATTTAGCAGAGGAAATGTTTTTGATTGACCAGCCAAAAGTGTGAAGATCAACCTTAATCGTCCCAGCTAGACTCCTCAGTCTGTTTCTGATCTGCTGAAGATGAGAGAATATGTGGATGATATGGATGATATATTTGATCAGGTCTCAGGCATTGCTGTGATTCTTTGATCTTTTCCATATCCATGTATACAACCAATTTAAAATCTTAACCATAGGATGCGATCGGATAGTGGTTATTCCGCCACATTGCTATCTTTGTGTTACGTAATAATGTGGTGCCATTTGGCTCGTGAGTTCGAATCTCACTCGCGTCATTTCTTTTTGAACGAGGTCCATGTCTTTTTGATGACTTATTCTTTGTCTTTGCCTTTCTTTTGTTGAAAGTCATCCAATAAGAGATTGTCTGGGAATGGCGGATTCAAGGGGAGATCTGTTTTGGAGGCATTTGAAGTGTTTATCGGGGACTCGCTCTCTTTCAACAGCCTGCATAATGAACAAGCTGAACAGTGTACCACTCTCCCTGGCTGTGTCGAGCCAGCCACTCTTCGGTTGTTATTCTGCTCAGTGCATGTAATTGTGCCTGGAGATAAGGAACAAAACGATCACTGATCAGACATAGCCAAACGGCAAACCCCCAAAATCTGTTATGGGTGCTGTGTCATGTGCGGCTTGCGTCCACGTCCCAACCTTTCTTCTCGCAATGCTCAGCGTACAGTAGTACATACTCGCTAGGATGTGACTACATATAGCTGCTATAAGTGTGCCTAAATTGTACCAATTCAGGCCAGTCACTTGATGGCGCGATGTGCGTGTATTCGGGGTGTGTGCGTCGTTCAGCTCTCGCTCCTTTAAAGCTCCGCTGATGGATGAAGGGTGCCCCTACTACGTTTTCTCTCTTTCAGCGAAGCATCCCAAGTATTTTAATACTTTCTGTATTTCGTTTGCCACTCGAACTTGCTCTGTCACCCCACTGCGACGTAGAGCAATGCCCCCCACACACTATGACCTGCTCGAGATCCAACAAGATGCGTCTTCTTCAGAAAGTGAGTTGGCGTTGAACGCCTCCAGCACTCTGGGCTGGTTGCGGCTTGCGGAAACCCCAAGTATTGACAAGTCTAGTACGGAAAGCCTATCTCAAAGCCGTCCTTTGCTCGCATCCGGATAAATGCCCAGAGGAGGGGAGAGAAGCAGCAACAGACTTGTTTCGTAAAGTGCAGGGTACGACCGCTTCCATTCTGCGCCTTTCCACTGACATCTTTTTAGAGGCGTATGAAACGCTGTTGGATCCAGAAGCTAGGTCTGAATACAACAACAGCCTAGTAATCAACCATGGGCCACCTTCGGACCCATTGACGGAGCCTCGAGGACCTCCTGGCACCTACACCACCCAGTCCCTGTTCTCCGAGCGGCCTGTCTACCCCCCTCATCACATGTACACGTCGGCCTCGTTTACTACGCCTGGGCCGCGCATTCCAGTCTACACCTGGCATGTTTACTCTCGTCGTCCGCCTTGGCTACCAGTGAGTTCATGGTCGGTGGAATAAAAGCTAATGACATCACAGCAAAAGGTATTCACATGTCCACCGTTTCCCCATTTCCCAACGTCTCCAGGCTACAACTTGCCGCTGCGTCCACCGCGTCCACCTATTCATCCTACGATACTGCCCGAGGAATATGCCAAGAGATTAGCTGCGCAGCAGCAGCAGCAGCAGCATCAAATTCACATGGCAAGGGCAAGATGGATAATGGAGATGAATGCGAGGAAGGGATCTACACTTGCTCCCTGAGAGCTGCCTCAGTTGTGTCGATGACCTAGGTATATCTTTAGCACAGAACACTCGAGCAAATGAACACGCACCTGTTGTATATCGGGTCTCTGCTCGGGGTCAACGACAAGCATGCTGTCGATGAGAGCGACGAATTTTTGAGAGTAGCCGGGTGGTTGTTTGTATCGACCGCTGCCAACCGCCATGGCAATAGACTGTCCGTCGACTTCGAAGGGTGAATGTCCGTAGGCGATTGCGTACAATGTACAGCCTAGAGACTGTGTTCATTAGCATACGTTTTGTCGAACGTAAACTCACCCATATATCACACTTTTCGTTCAATATTTTGCCAGTTTTGACGTCAAAGAGTTCTGGTGCTCTATAGGGCATGGAAGAGTGTTCGCTGGCAATGTCCTACATGTACGTCAGCAAATTCCCGAAGTGGATGGACGCACCTGTTCCAGCAACGCTTCTTGTCGTGTATTGACCATGATGCGAGCCCTAAATGTCAGCAACGTCTTGTTGTCTGCTAGCTCACTTGATGGTAGATCCAAAGTCCATGAGTACAGGGGCTCCATCATCACCTATCATGATATTGCTAAAGACTATGAGTTGTTGGCCACAGACCCGACATTGGACTCACGCCGGTTTGATGTCCCGGTGGGCATATGGGACCAGGTCGCCCTGGACTGCGGTGTCGAGTTCTTCGTCATGGTCAAACACAGTGTCACCAACTAGCGGCTGGTCTTCACGGGAAGCCGCAGGGGGGTAGGTGGTGGGGATGCTTGGTAGGTGGAATTCGTGCATAGCACGAACCCTGCTAGCGATAAGCTAATGAGATGAGACTTTGGCACAACTTACGCTAAGCATGTTCCATGGAATAACGTCAACAAGTTTTGTTCAGGCATGCGGTTTCCAGTCACAGTCGCGGTATTCATGGCGTCTTGAAGATTGCCGCGAGAGAAGTACGGCAAAAACCTGCGACAGATGAGCAACGCTTCCAACAACAAACGGCGACTCACAGATATATTATTTTACCTTCTCCGCTCTCCTCTTGGACCACAGCCGAGTCCAAGATACGAATGATATTCGGGTGTCTGAATCTTCGATACGCTTCTACTTCTCGCATAGCCTCCTTCACCCCGTCTTGCCCCGATGTCACCAGGATCTTTTTCAAGGCGTACAGCCTGTCCGACGACAAGTCGCGTATGAGATAGACGAATGAGAAACCGCCTTCGCCAAGCAGCTTCTCTATTTTGTATGATCGGCCATTGATTTTGAGTGTCGCATCACTGCCCCGTCAGTGCTGTCACTAGGAGGGAGACTTACGGCTGGCAGATGCACTGCGCGGGGGTCAGCGGGTAAGCGTGGAGGAGGGGAGGACTTGCCTGTGAGAGGGTGAAAATGGCGTCTCTGGCATAGAACTTTGCCCTGTCGAGTGCGATGGCCAGGGTGTCGCTGTTCATTGTGCTGAGGCTCGTCGTGCACAGAAACCTGTTGTTGTTGCGTTGGCATGGAGCAGTACGCATCCAGGAGATCGCCGCCAGTCCGCGCCCGGCCGCCGAATCATGAGCAACTTGAGTTCTCCGCAGGTTCTCCGTCTCTTGTCATCAGCTTGTCATACGGTCATACCATGTCCATCATGGCCATCCCAAAGCCCCCCTTTCCTGCAGCCTGGCGGTCCATCCCCGTCAGCCCCAAGAACCTCACCCTTGCCAATACTCTCCCCGTCGGGCAAAGCTTTCTATGGCACAGGCTGCCCCAGACTGCAGAACAGGACGAGGAGTATTCCCGAGCAATCGACAATCCTCCCCGAGTTGTATGCCTTCGCCAGTCCCCTACCCACATCCACTACACTGCCGTATACCCCAATGCGGCTGCGGCGGAGAGAGACGAGCACATGTCGGCCACAAAAGTGTGGCTTGAAGACTATTTCCAGCTGGCCACCTATCCGGATCTTGACGTCCTGTATGCCGAATGGAGAAACCGAGATTCAATGCTATTTGCACCAGCAGAGCTCAATCCTAGAGCGATAGGTGTGCGAGTTCTCAGGCAGGATCCATGGGAATGCCTCGTTGCGTAAGGACTTGATTTGCCAGCTAGTTGTGGCTGACCATGCGCAGGTTCATCACATCGACCAACAATCACATCTCCCGAATAACCTCGCTACTGCACAAACTCTCCAAAACTTTCACGGATCCTGTGTTGACACTCGATCACTCTCCTCATTCTCCTTCAATCACATATCATCTTTTTCCCGCCCCACATCTACTACCGGTGGCCCTTGATACCACATTGCGAGACCTGGGTTTTGGGTATAGAGCGCCTTTCATAGAGTCGTCACTGGCAACTTTGCGCCACAAGTTTGGAAGCCAAAAAGGAAACATCGAGGCAGAGCTTGCTCTTTGGAGACACCGTGACACGGAGACCGTCAGAGACGAGTTGGTCGCGCTCAAGGGTGTAGGTAGGAAAGTTGCTGATTGCGTCATGTTGATGTGTCTGGACAAGGTGCGCTCCAGCCTTCCTAGTAACTTTCACTAATCTGTCTCAGCCTTCTCTCGTCCCGATTGACACACATGTGGCAAACATCGCTGCTCGACATCCCTCCTTCCCGTCGCGCTTACGCGGCAAACCCATGTCAAAGCAGGTGTACGACGAGACCCAAGAGTTCCTCCTCGACAAGTGGGGGCCACTAGCAGGTCTATGCCAGGCTGTCATGTTTGCTGCCGATCTGGCCCCTGCGCCAATGGTCAAGAAGGAAGTGGTGTCTGTTACCAAGCAAACGACAAAGACTAGAAGAATAGAGGTCGTTGAAGACTCTGGAGAGCAACCTCCATGGAAGCGGACCAGGAGTGCTACGCGACAAGCGATCAAAGTAGAGGTCTCCACCACCAAGCAAGAATTACCATAGGGGGGGGGCTGCATGCAATGGTCGCAGATGGCAGCAGATGACCTAGCAGACTCTGCTCTCAGGTGACATGGGGTTTTCCGAGTTGAAGGAACTAGACTTCTTTGTGCATTTGCGCAAAAGGCAAAAAGTGGCGATGTATATGTGGCGATTTGGCATGGATCAAGAATGTTGTTGTGGGTTTTGGAGACACTAGAAAAAAGTGATAACTTTGAGCGGTTGGGTACCAACCGGCTAGATTCTGCTGAACGCCACAAACGAAGAAGCAGCCTTCAGATCTGCTATGGATACGATCGCCGCTTCCGAGGTACGATAGAAGCCGACTTGCATCCGAGTGTGACCCTGCATACGAGTGTAGAAAGATTGAGGCTGGACGTGGGGTAAACTTGCCGGCGCGTTCGTGCAGCATGTATCAATATCCATGCGCAGTACTACCAGCTCGCCTTGTGAACCCCAGGAAGATCGCCTCGCAGAGCCTTTGTTCTGAATTGAAACTATGTGAATCATTAGCATTGAAGCCGGGCGAAAACAGGACGTACTCGACAAAGGCCAAACTTGGATATGACACCTGTGATTCAAGTCAGCGCCAGCCGCCATCAACGACGCATGACCTACCTCGTCCCCTGCCTGTCTCTGTACACCTATTGCTCACAGCTCCCATGCGTCCTTCGCCCCCATTGAGAGAGTTGAGACCCAGCTGGGCTTTGTGTCGGACGGTAGCGGGGAGAGTGGTATTTCTGGCGACAAAAAGATAGGCTCGTCGTTGAACCTCCATATTTTCTGCCGACAGTCTCTTGCGAACATCCCGCAGGAATTGGGCTTTGGCTCCCATTGCACACTCTGATTTGTTTCGGGTTCTTGTTCGAATGCCTGATTGTTATTGCACGCATCAAAGAGTGGATGAAATTGCCCGCGTGCCTAAAGGCGGCCATCGCCACCGAGGCGTGGATATGTACATCATTGCGTTATTTGGCTCCAGACTTGCTCCAGACTCGCGCCAAGCTTACAAGATTGCCAGTTTACTACGGTCAATTTGGATCTCATGTTGCTTACGATTCGATGTGAAGATCGTGTTCGATCATCTGGCCACCTTTCAGACAGACGTTTTATGCGCAGAGCATGGTAGATAAACACCACTCCTTCCTGTGTTGTGCAATAAATATCTCAGAGATCATCTCTGCATCAAGTCATGGATGTACAGTGCGAATGTTCTACCGCTTTCTTTTCTCCCCCGGCTCTGCCTTCTTGGTCTTTTTGCTTATCACCCTCGGAGGAGCAAGTTTTTCCCATTCCACTCTTTGTTGGCCCTCCCACTGACTTTTGAGCCACTCCTCGGCCTGGTCTCTCGTGGCCTCTGGGTAATCCAGTTGCCACAGATTGAGGGATTGCCGGATGACGGTAATAAGGGGCCCAGGGGAAATAGAAAGTAGACTTTGAACATCGTTTCCCTGACAATGTCAGTGTGCACAATCATTTTTTGGACTCACGTTCAAAAGCAAAGGCTTGTCAATCGCCGCTGGCAATCCGAGAGACTCAATCCTAGCCTCGAAATCTTCATACTTTTGATATACAGCTTCGGCAGCTTCATCCCAGCCACCCCTCCACTGCGGCAACACCTCCATCACAACCGCCCAGATCAGACTTCGCCTCCATGGCCTAACGGACGGGAGTTGGAGGACAGCGCCAATGTCAGACCGCCGAGTGGCTCCTGGATCGATGACCTTTACAGCGTCAAAGAGATTGGAGACCGACGACTTGATCTCTGTGGAAAGCTTTCGGGTGTCAGCCCAGTCCAACCTCTCGTCAGAGAGCTCACCTTCAGACCTTCTCCAATCACGATAGCTGTCGCAGGCACGCTCTTTCCTTTTCTTTTCACGTCGAGATGCCTGAAAGGTGTAGCAGCTGTTGCCAGCCAGAGCATCTCGTCGAGCTGTTTTCTATCCGACAGGGCGTTGAGGATTTGCGCTGCGGCGAAGGCTTCGTGACGGGGAGGGTTCACATCGCAGTGAAAGACATAGGGATGAAGACCTAGCTGATGGATGAGCTCGAGCGCTCGGTAAGGATTCTTGTGGATCATCTTGGTCAACTCTATACCGATGCGTTCTTTGGAGACTTTGTCGATGATGCCCAGCTGCACTGGGTATAAGCAGTGTATCTGACAGCCTAAGCAATCACACACCTTGACATCATCCTCTTTGATGCACTCAAAGGCGTCCTCGGCAATGTGAAGATTGAATCGACTAGCAAAGCGGACACAACGGACGATTCGGAGTGGATCATCTTGGAAGGTCTGGCGGGGAGCAAGAGGTGTCCTAGCGATCTGGTTTTCAAGGTCGACGAGGCCTTTCTCAGTCCAGTCCTCAATCTGCCGAGTGTGGACATTGTAGAACAAGGCATTGATGGTAAGATCTCTGCGTGACGCATCTTCGTATGGCGTACCAGGTTCCTGTCTGTCAGACTTGTAGGCTGTAGACATGGACTCACAACCTGGGGTATCCGGCTATCGGTGTACTTTTCGCTGCGGAGGCCGACAAAGTCGCACTCGAGACCCATGATGCGAGTACAGCCAGTCTCTAGGTGCTTGCTCTGCTCGGGATTGGCGACGACCTTGCCCACTGACCCGGTGGACACGCCTTTGGTATGAAGAAAGTCGACAAAGCTGGCCGCGAATGCATAGCCGGAGGATATGGACAGGGCGATGTCGAGGTCTGCGGACGGCAGCGCGAGGATCTGGGGGTCAGCACTGGCTGGAGGGAGTGGTGCCCACCTTGTCTCGGACCCAGCCTCCAGCGATGCGGCACTCTACGGGGGGGTTCTGTGCGGTGGCGAAGGCGTCGAGGAGCTGGACGAAGGCTGTCTCCTGAGGGCCGAGGGCGATGGAGCGGGTGGCCATGGTGCGGAGGCGGGGCGGGGGCGGCAGGGGGAGGCGGGGGCGGCGTCTGAGGCGGAGCATGCAGCACTCAACAGCACTTACAGCAGACTCGCTGGCAGAAAAGAAGAAACGCGAAATGCCCGGCGCGTCACTCTGCTCTCCCATCCCGTCCGCCGCCAACGCCATGCTCTCCCGCAGGTCCTCCAACAGGGCACCCCCAGAGACACCCCCCGCCACCCTCTCCCGCAACAGCTCCCTCAGGGCCCACTCCCACGACAGCCCAGTCGCAGAGAACGCCGCCGCCAACGTGTGCGTCCCACCGCCTATCCCACGCCGCCAGCCGCTGACTAGACCTCTGCAGCATAGAGACGGGCGCAGTCCGCGTCAAGCGGGACCAGGAGTCCGGCAAGTGGATGATCAATCAATATAGGGTGCGTTCCATCCAGCAAGGCATGGCTGACGCCCGCAGGTTCTGTCAGAGATTGGGTCCGGTACTCATGGCCGTGTTCGCCTCGGGCAAGATATGTCGGCAGAGATTCCTACGGCAGACGACGATGGCGAGTTGGAAGCTGGGGCTTCACCAGAAGACTCGTTCTGGGTATGTCTGCATTGCATTCCAGCGGCCTTGGCTCACTTGCTACAGGCTATCAAAATCGTTGATAGAAATCCCAAACGGAAGCGTCTAGCTGGTCTAGGAAAGCACAAGGGGTCTTCTGGGGGTGCCAAAATGATGAATGAGAGCGAGTGAGTCAGGCTCAAACCGACCTATCGCTGACAATTAGAATTCGCAAGGAGATTGCAATCTTCAAAAAGGTCAATCACCCCAATGTTGTGCGGATGAAGGAAATCATCGATGATCCAGAATCAAGCAAAATATACATGGTTCTAGAATGGTGTAGGAGCGGCGAAATCATCTGGAAAGACGGTGAGGGTCAGCCGGCTTTGACTGTGGGAGAAACTCGCAAGATCTTCCGGGATACCTTGTTGGGGCTCGAATACCGTGCGTCCAGTTAGCCCACATGGCGACAGAGATCACTGACCTTGTCTACTAGTCCATCATCAAGGCATCATACACCGAGACATAAAACCGAGCAATCTGTTGCGAGCGGCAGACGGCACTGTCAAGATCTCTGATTTTGGCTGCTCCCACTTTTCCGAAGCACTTCAAGCTGCTGTTGCCCAACCTGGTCATGAGGGGGATGCGTACGTGGACGATATTGAGCTGGCCAAGACTGCGGGTTCTCCAGCGTTCTTTGCCCCCGAGATGTGTTACTCGGGGCTTGAGGCAGAGCTCTCGCCAAAGAGCACAACCAGCCACGGCACACCCAGCTCGGAACTACCATCATTTACCCTTCGCCCCCCTTCATGCGCCGACTCTTACCCCGAGGCGACGCTGTCCGTCAAGTCTGCGACTTCGCGCACGTTTCCCCTCAAGCCTACCGACAGTAATGATTCTCAAGGGTCACGGCGACCTTCATCCTATCGCTCCCAGTCCTCCTCTGCCACGGCCCAACGTCGCGGACAACGACTGCCAATCACGAATGCTATTGACGCGTGGGCTTTGGGCGTCACCCTCTACTGTCTTCTCTTTGGCAAGACGCCATTCGACGCTCCAAACGAATACCTCTTGATGCAAGTCATCGCCTCGGACCCCTACATAGTGCCTCCTTTCATGGGAAAAGACCGGTTACCGACCGGAAACGGTGGCCTTCCTCCGGCTGATGAAGCTGTGGAGGCGTTGAACGTATTGGCAAAGCTGTTGGAGAAGGATGCGTCGCATCGCATCAGCCTTGAACAAGCAAAGGTGAGTCGCTCCCGAGTCGTTACCTCATCCATGCTAACAACACTAAAGAAACATCCTTTTACTCTACGGGGCCTGCATGACCCAGCAGCTTGGCTGGCCCAAACCGATCCCCATACCCAGACATTTGTCACAGTGTCTAGCGACGAGGTGGCCGCTGCCGTCACCAAATCGACTCGGTTTCGTGACCGTTTCAAGCGAGGGATCAAATCCCTGTCGGTTAAACTTTTCAGTGCGACTGGGAGAGCGCGTGGTCACAGTGTCAGCAGCACAGATACCCCACTGGGCTTGGAAAGTCCCTCTGGGACCCCGTCGAGCGGCCAGGCAATGTCAATGTCGGCCTGGACATCTCAACAGACAACTCCCCGGGGCACAAAGTTGGCAGCTTTGAACGCTGTGGCTACACCAAGCCAGGACGCCTCTCCCATAAACAGCCCTCTCCCGCAGCCCAGTCTGGTTAGGCGTATCTCGCAACTCAATGGCACATCGTCGGAACATTCACACCCTCTTCCAGTGCACTCTGCGAGCGGACAAGACGGATCCTCTGATCGTCCAATCCATGCTTCTCCAGAGTCTATGAGAGACCCGGCAGTAAAGCTGCCCCCGAGCTACATTGCGGCCAGGCGGCTTTCCTCCCATCTGGCTCATCATGCCAAACCAGTCATCGTCCCTCTCATGGATGATACGACGCATCCGCCTCATTCTGTCGCGTCATCAAGCTCCCTAGACCGCTTCAGAAGCACCTCCGATCAGCCCTACGTCGCAAGTCTGAGACATCGCGAATCAAGCGAAGCAGACATGTATGGACGACAAAGATCTCATAGTAATGCGTCCAGTATCAGTAGTAAGCTTGCTAGGCTGTGGCGTACAACCAGCCAACGATCAAAATCTCTGGCGCCCGAGAGAGAACCCCATCATGACTCTGATATAGATGACTTGGCCGTCACGGATCGATCAGTCAGGTCAGAGTCCCCCGGAAATCAATTTGGCCGGATGAGCCTGGAGGACTCCTTTCCTCGAGAAAGTCTGGAGTATTTGGATTCAAGTTCGCCGTCGTCGCCTATGCCGAGCCCGGAGCGATCTCTGCCGGCAGGCTGGGACACTCGCATGCGCACAAATATATCGCGAAGAGGGTCGAGCCTGAGTGAGGAGTTTACGGGAAAAGACGTTCCTGAAGAGGAGATCGATTGGGAAGGGTCGATATCCGACGAGGACGATTACGTCCAAGGTGGTAGCGCGGGCAAGGTCGGAGCACCTTCACGATGGAACAAGCCCGACGACAATGGTATCGGGCTCGGTATCCAACAATCGGCTGCTATGTCGGTCTCTACTGCCCCAAGTCTTGAACCAATACCAGATGGTTCACCGATCGCGCCCATGACCTTTCCCGTTGTCCGCTCGCCATCACGCCCCACTCCTGTGAATATACGCCCAACCACGCCCGATTCTGTACACAGAGTTCCCCCGCGAACAAGCCCGCGGATCTCCCACTCTCCCTTACGTACTGGCTTTGGTAGCGAGAGAACAAAAAGTCCCCTAGGTGGGAAGTTCCGTGAGGACTCGAGACGGACCGTGTTGGCCGACCAGGCAAACTCTTCTTCCGTCCTGCTAGACGACGATGAGGAAGAAGAGGAAGAAGGACTGGCCATCTCCATTAGTAACAGACGCCGCAGGGGTTCAGCTATGACGCAGCTGTCAGTGGTTACCGGAGATAGATGAACGCATGCAAACTCTAGATCTCTGGGGCACTGGAAACCTCACGTGCATGTACCAGACTTGACGTTTCTGCATGTTTCCCATATGTATTCATGAACGACTACTTGACAAGAATACTAGATAATTCTACATAATCTTGGCCTCCTAGCCTACAAGAAGTGAACCCTATCTGGAAAGCTGATCGTTATATACGTGGACTAATCGATGTTCTGGTATGAAGGAGAGGTCGGGACGGTTATAAAAAATATATACAATGACTACGCTAACAATCAGAATTGCAACGGTAGCCACATATACGTATAAAAGACAGACAATACTGGCTCAATGAACATATCCCAGCCCGCTATACTCGACCAAAAGTTGAGGCACTGAAAATGAAAACTCACTTACCGATATTACAGAAGATTCGAAGCGTATTGAGAGATGAAGCTGCGATGCAAGTCAGCAATCGAGCAAACAAGTCAAATGATACTCACGTGAGAGACGCTCCCAATCCAACACTGAAGACCAGAGCGCCCCACCCAAACTTGCGTCCCACTTGGGCAACGGCGTTTTGAGGGATCCTCTTGTTGGTGCGGACAACTCTATTGTCCCCAGAGGCGCCACCGGAAAGAGTGACGCCTTCGTCTTGTCCCTTCCCTCGCTTGGTCCCTCGGACGTCCTCGGCAACGTCCACGCCTTGATCCTCCAGGTTGTTGCCTGCTTCATTGCGAAGCTTGATTTCGTCACGAAGGTCCTTGACGAGCTGCTTTGCCTGCTCAATCTCGGCATTCATGTCAACGGCTTCGCCAGCAGGAGCGGTGATGGTAGTAGTTGCCTCCACGCTGATATGCTGGACATCCTCAGCCTCGGTCGTGGTAGTAGAGGGCTCGGCCGTGGCGGAGGGCTGATGAGCGGATGCGCTACTGGAAGCTTGCTGGGGAGCGGTACCTTGATCTCTGCGGCGACGTTTGGCTGCGGGAGACGCATTGTCGCCAGCAGAAAGAGAGGGCACTGAGGCAGGTGCGGGAGCCGGAGCTGGAGCCGGAGCGGGGGGATCAAAGATCCCATCTTCACCCCCACCGGTTTGACGGGCAATCTCGTCAGAGGCAGCTTGGGATCGTTGAGACTTGCGGTAAGCGACGTTGGGATCGGGGACAGCTCGTGCCAATGCCTTGAAATAGGTAAGTCAGAACAAAGAGACCTTGTACCGATAGCTTACATTGATCAAGGTATCCATCTTGTACGCGGGTGCGAGGTGAATGGCAAGGCTTCGAGAGACCCATTGACCAGCAAGTCTGACCGCCGCATTGTCCCTTCCACCGTTGGTTCCTCGAGTGTCAAAAGAAGACTTGACCTGCACTGGGTGAGCGGGGCAGGTCGCTGAGGTGTGGATGACAAACCCAATCCATTTCCCGCTTCTCGTCCTCGTCGGTAGCAGTAGGGAAAGCGACCTTGTACATTGTCGTGAGAGAGATCGCATTGGTGTCGTATCGTCGAAGGATGAAAGCGTGACGGGCGCCGGCCGCAGTCGCCTGGGTCTGGTATCAGCAATTGACCTGTACCAACAGTGTAAACGCACAGGAGTAGGCACCTTGATTCTGCCGACAACAATCTCCCTTCCTTCGCGCACGATAGTTTGGAATTTGACTATCCTTGCTTCGTCGGGCACTAGACAGATGGATCAGTGGCTGTCCTGTAACTATGGTCGCTAGACGCACGAGCGGCAAGGTGGATGTTTCTCTTGAGTTCGGGAAGGGCAGGGCGATTCTGTTCCTGCGGGAGGGGGGCGAGGTTGTAGGGGTCGCCGTGGGCGTTGTAGGGCGGGGGTGCGTCGTGGGCGGGCATGGCGGAGATGAAGAATGAAAGAGGGAAACAAATAACAATAGCAATAGGATCAAGTTGGTTCACTGGATGCCACGTGGCGGATAACGCCGGGGGCTCGGAGTGTGGCAGCGTGCCTGCCTCCACCGCAGACCAAGTTCTTCCACCAATTTTCGGCGCTCTCCTCAGCCAACAACAACAATTCCAGCATGCCCAAGTCCAAGCGATCCAAGGTCACCACCCTCTCCAAGACCCCCGGCAGGTCCACAAAGGCCTCCAAGCAGGCCCTCGCCAACGAGATCAGGGAAAACATCGACAAGTATGAGCACTGCTGGATCTTCAGCGTCGGCGACATGAGGAACGAGGGGCTCAAGGAAGTGCGAGCGCAGTGGAGAGGGACTGGCCGTTTCTTCTTTGGCAAGGGAAAGGTCATGGCCAAGGCTTTGGGCGAGACCCCCGAAACAGAGTACCAAGACGGTCTGGCTCAAATTGCCCGTGTATGTCGAAAAGCGTCTCCATCGCACATGGTCACTGACTAGTATGTAGCGGTTGAAGGGCCAGCTCGGTCTCTTCATGACTTCCCACCCTGTGAAGGAGACCGTTGAATGGTTTGAGTCATGGCACAAGCCCGAGTATGCGAGGATGAACATGAGGTCCACCATGGACGTCTCCCTGCCGGAAGGTGAGTATCTCCACTCTTCTGTCAGACTTGTCTCTGATGATTGCTATAGGTCCCATTCTTACACCATTCGCCGACCCTCCTTCTGGTGACCCTTTCCCTCACTCCATGGAACCCCAGCTCCGTGCTCTTGGTTTGACCACCACCCTCATCCGTGGCGTGCCTTCCCTCAACAACCCCCACGTGTTGTGCACAAAGGGCGAAAAGCTCACCAGTGAAAAGTGTCGTATCCTGAAGCTGCTGGCCATCCAGATGGCGGTGAGTATTTGCAATGTGTGCCTTGATAGAGTACTAATAATGCGGCAGGACTTCCGGATACATCTGGGCTCCAGGTGGTCGAAGGAGGCCGGTTTCGTGGCTGGTGCGGAGCTTGAAGAGGGATCCGAGGACGAGGCTGGGATGGATGAGGACTAGTTGGTGCTCGAGGCATTCGTCTGCACTTTTTTGTTCTGTTTGATCATGTTTATTGTACGACTTCGCATGTAGTACATACATACACTCTATATGCGCTATGAACCTGGTATACCCCTGTACAAGTAGCAAAAGACGGACACAAAAGTACAGATAGAGAAAGATCCCAGAAATGAAACAAGATGAATTGCGAGCAAGAGAACACAGTCCGGATGACACCCCACCTGCCTTCTAAACTTCCACCTCTCCACCCTTCTCTCCCAATAAAGCCGCCAGATTCTGGGGTGGTATGGTACCATGGCTAGAATTGATTGATCGTGTCAGGTGATACTTTAGCCCATTGGCTTGTTTGTATACCTTGCCACACCCTTCGATGGGACATGGGAACCTCTTCTCTCCTGCAGTTGCCGTGCCTTCGGTTTCGCTGGCAGAACCCTCGTCTCCTCGGGCGGCTGCTCTCTCCGCCCTCTTTTTGTTCGCCTTCCTCTCTGCCCTGGCAGCCTGCTGTTCAGGCGTCATGGGGACAGGGCTGGGAGCGGCCGAGGGGACAGGCATAGCGGATGCGCCAGGCGTCAACCCCGGTGTGCTTGGGGGCGCATATGACAGTAGACTAGGCGGGACACACTGCGGCTGCGAGGACAACACCTGCGGCCGGAATGCAGCCGCCCATGGGTTTGTATTTTGCCCTCCCAACCCAGGTGACCGCACCCCAAACTGGTTCTGTTGCGCCTGTATCTGTGCCAGATCGAGAGCCTGCGGTTGTTGATATGGCGCAGGTTCTTCCATTTCTATGTCCATCATCCCTGGAGGCTGAGGGGCATCGCTGTGGCTCTGATGCGTAACTAGTGGAGGAGGGTGGGATGGTGGGACGGAGGGGGCAGAGGAAAAGGGATTGGAGACAGCCCTGGGGGAGCTTGTGGAGCCGCCTTGAGCAGCGTTGATGGCGGCTACGCGAACATCGGGGGCCAGACCGGCATGTTCTTCTTCATAGCTGTAGAAGTCAGCTTTGAAATTGACTGGCTGACGAGATTTGACGAAACTCACTGTTCCAGAAGCTCATGCAGACCATTCAGCTTTTTGCCGCAGCAATCAAAGTCTTTGACATATCTGGCTTCCAATTCTCTCTCCCGCCCTTCTCGTTCTCGGTTGAAACTTGTGCTCAGGACAGGATTTCCCAGACTACCTACAAAACTGCCGGATCCCAATGACCCCCAATGCGGTGGCGATATGCTCATGCCCAAAGTACTTGAGCCGAGGTATGAGCCTCCGCCTGCACCTTGAGCCGACGACCCTAGAGCAAAGGCCGTGAAGGCAATATTGGGGCCGTACGACGAGGGATGGAATCCCGCATGCGGGTTGGATGACAATGATCCCCCGCCTGGCGGTGAAGAGTTCATCCTGTATATTGTCAGCTTCTATGGATATACGTTAACGTGCGACTGACTCCATCTCGCTCCCTCTCGATCTCATCAGATTGCTCAGTCCGCTGGTCCTCTGGCTTGCGTGTGCCATCCCGCTCCCACTCGCGCCAGACGCTTGGCCCGTTGGGTCCCATCGGCCGCCCATGTGGGCTTGCGGTTGCTCTTGGATAGCAAAGTTGCCTTGTCTAGGAAACGAGTTGCCGCTGGGGTTGAATCCAAAGGCTTGATGGCTGGTGGAAGAACCCGGGATGGAGAGCGGCTGCTGCCCGATGGGCGCTGAAGGGGGGAAGGGCATGCTGTGGCGGGATCGTCTGTGGGCAGGTGCGGGAGCCACAAACGACGGGGTGGGGCGCCTGGGCAGAGGGCAGCGTGGAGATCGGGGGCAGGGCAGGGACGGTGCTGGAGGGGCAGCGGGCTGTGTGTGGCGGCGGGGTCTGTGCGGAATGTTCCCGTCGATGGATGAACCCGAAGTCGGCAACGATTAACGAACATCAACAAATGAATATTTGGTCAACACAACAACCTTCCCAATCAGGAAATTTTTCATCACGCAATGCCCCCGGCCGCCGGCCTTTGTATCGCGCGCGAATGGAACAATCTTGTTTGTTTGTCTGTCCTGTATCTGTCCATCTGCAGCTGTCCTGGGCGCCTCCCGTACCACGCTCCGTCCCCCCACTGCTCCCAGTGGGCGGCACAATGACATACCCTCCACCAAGTAGACATCGTCTCCGTGAGTGGCTGACGGCCCGCGGAGGCTACATGTCTCCAGGGATAGCCATCGCAGATATGGAAGAGGGGTCTGGCTGGAAGATAGTGGCAGGACGAGACATGCTCCCAGAGGAACTCTGTAAGTATCTGTGACTTTCCAATCCCCCAGCTGACCTTGGAACAGTGCTTTCAGTCCCGAAAACGAGTATACTCTCCGTTAAAACCACATCCTTGTCTGTGCAAGCGATGCAATTGATTGAAGCCGCCACACCTCATCCAATTCTGGTTTTGTCTTTTTGTCTTCTCCACGAATTAAGAATGGGAGCGCAGTCTGAATTCTATGGCTATCTGCAGAGTCTTCCCCGGGATATGGCTTCTGCGCTGCCTGTCTTTTGGTCTCTCGACGGCCCAAATTCAGACGGCCAGCGAGCACTGCCATGGCTCCAGGGAACAGAGGCTGCGCGGGAGATGGTTACCAAGGGCCAGTCTGGTCTGGGCATGGTCAGTACAGCACGGCATTATTTTGCATAAGGACTTACACCTAGCTCAGGCGGATATGGAATCGCTATATGCTTCTTTGGCCCACCACATCCCCCCGACGCCAAACCACCCCAATGCCTCTCCGTTCACCTCTTTCGCACACGCCTACTCGCTTGCCTCTTCCCGAGCCTTCCTCGTGGATGACTATCACCGAGTCGCAATGTGTCCCATGGCAGACGTCCTCAACCACTCTTCCGACCCCCACACATGTCTAGCGTCAGATGACTTTGTATGCCCCTCTTGTGGCTCACTCAAACCATGCTCGCATGACGCCCCTTCTCAGAAAGCGGGTGTACCCGGCAGGTTGGCGCACCTTGCTTTGAGGGAAAGAACCCAGTTAGAAGACGAGGTCGATTGCGTCGAGATGAGATTGGAGAAGCATCTGGATGAGGGGGAGGAAGTGTTCAACACGTATGGGGCCGCGGGGGACGGAAAGCTTCTTGTAGAGTGGGGGTTTGTGGCGGGAGAGTTTGCAGACCCGGGATTGACTTGGACTTTTGAGGAGCTCGCGGAATTGTCCGCAACAGGTATGGGTGACTACCTCGAGATGTGCGCAGAGATCTCTCGACTTGATTCTCGCTTTCCGGACCTCGACGACGAGGACAGGTTGCTATGCTCGCAAGTGTCCAGGAGACCCGACATGTGCAATCTAGACCAGTCAGGCCGCTTGTCCATCAACATCTTTGGCATCCTGTGGCTGCAACAATCACGTATTGAAGGATCACCAATCTCCTCTCAAATCAAGGACACGTTTGTAGCAGATATTACGATTCTTGAGCGCTCGTGGTCGGCATTGGCACAAGTCACTCCACTTAAAAAAATACCCGCAAAGGTTGTTTCGGTAGCCAACGCAGTGTACCAACTCTTGACCAAGAGGCTGTCGGGTATGCATTGCCCTGATGCATCCTTGGAGGAGCTTTTCGATCTTCGGGATGTGAGTGAACAGCGGAAAGCTGAAAAGCGCTGACATGTGCTCGGAATAGAATCTCGACAAGGAAAATGATCGACGCCAGATACTCGCCATAACCCTTGCAGCAAATGAGAAGAGTTTGCTCTTGATGACGATTGGAAGATGGCGCGAGTGGATCAACGCATACACTTCTGACGTTATATAGATGGTACCAAATGAACCTGCCAAGACAACATAATGTCGGCTTCCATACTTTAGTCATCATCGTATCGATGTCCTCGGCCGTGGTAATATGTGCTACAGCCAACGATCAGCGTTTCACAAGCTGGACGAAAGCAAATAGCCGACCTTGTGTCCCTTCGTGGACTGATGCCCGCAGCGTGCGCCATATTCATACTGAACACACGTCAGCCCTTCACATGCACCACGCCATGTCTACAACTCACTATCCCATGGAACTGTAGGAGACTCCGGTCTTGGATGCGCCTTTGCCCTTGCCCTGACTTGCTCCGGCACTGCCGGCCCACGGCGAGCGACACCACACGCAAGTCACATCCTTGTGTTGTTTTTTCTAGTCATTACTGTCAGCTTACTTATCGAAATTGATTCATCGAGACGCACGGCTGTGGCTGCCCACATCCTGAAACACTGATCATGAAGAGCTAGGTGATGATTTTAGCTGGAACGCCACTGTTGAACAAAAGCGCCAAAGACTCACGACGTCCGCATCCTCCCAACGACTCGTCATACACCAACTTTTTCATATCCTCGTCCTTCTGCGTCATCTCATCATAGCACCTGGTACCTATCAGCCTTCCCCCCTTTAGAACATTGCGGAGACCTACACAGGACAGTCTTCACCGATAGCTGCGATCCGTTTGCCTCCGCTACCGCCTTGGGCTGGTTCGGCGGGGGGCTCTTTGCCCGTCGCTTTAAAGTACGTGTCGCGAACTCTACTGTTGACTGATACAGAGGCCGAAGGTTCTGCTGGAGCACCCGCATAAACGCTGTTCAACTCTGCTGGCTGGGAGAGATTCAGCGACCACTAAACAAGGGAATTGCGTGATGGGCACCCACAGTGATACCCTTTTGATACCAGATCGGGCTCCCAATTGAGACTTTGAGGACCTTCAAGCTATTTTGCTCAGCACGTACGATCTCCGTTACGCAAGTCAACCTACAAGACAAAGATGATGTGTTTGCACGGCGAGTTGCCCTTCTCGCAGTCGGGACAATCACAATCGGGTGTAGAGCCGATGGTCACGGTCTACATTCTATGAGCTGATGCACAATTTTCCGCTGAGTATTCACTCACGTAGACATTGCCGGTTGATCCGAGCTAGTCGACAGAGGTGAGCCTCGTACCAAAAGCCTGAATACTCACAACTTTGAATTGGTCCGCGCGATGAGGTTCTGGCTGGTATGCGATTCGTTCAATCATAAACATCCGTTGAGACATCGCTCTTGCCTCTGCATACGATCAGCTTGATAACGATGCCATCTCTGATAATAAACTTGCGCCTTTCTATGATTGTCTTTGGACATGATTTTCTGTGTCTGTAGTAGGATGAGTATGTTATGTGGCCAAGTTCAGACACCGCACTCACCTTGCAGGTCTTATATTCATCGGATCAGTCGGCTCTTTCTTGGCCTTTCCTCGAGAGGGTAATGGCTGAGAGATGAATGGCTTCACATCGTCCATGCGGCCGTGGGTATGGGCGGGCTGGGAAGGTCCACCAGCCTCGTACTTGGGGATTGATTTCACTGCTTGTCTCCTAGCTCTTATCGACACCTCCACGCGAGGGAGTTGCTGCATTTGCCTTGCTATTTCAGCTTCTCTTGCTGTTGCTGCCGCTGCTGCTGTACCGGGTCGGCCTGATTCAACACGCTGTCGGGCGCGAAGAGCGGCAACAAGTTCGCTGTCACCGCGGAGATCATGGGCTTGTCTGACGGCCGAATTACTAGAACGAGGTTTGGAAGCGCCTGGTACTGATCCGCCTAGGTCACTACGACCTTTTGGAGGTCGCCCTGGCTTCCTTTTGGCTGGGGGCGCGACGATGGGAACAGGCGGCTGCTGAGGTGCGGGAGGAGGCGGCCGAGGCGCGGAGGGAGTTGCGGAGGGAGCTGGGGGCCCGGTCCATGCGTCGCCAAAGACCAGGGAGGGGTGGGGGAGCATTGCACGGTGGGATGCGAGAGGTTGTCAAGAGGTCGTCAAGAGGTCGTAGTGGCTGAGAGTATCTTTTGATTGATGTTGGATTGATGTTGTCAAGATGCGTTACTGAGCCTCCACCGGCGGTGTCCCCCGCCCCGGCGGCCATAGACATCTCTGATTTCCTTCTCTCTCGTGCACATCACCACTTCTGCTGTGATGCCCCCAGGATGTCTAGCGACACAGCCTCGACCACCGCCGCCCTCTCCTCCGCACTCCTCGACATCATCGCCTCCGCATCCACCACCGCCAGCCTCGCCTCCGCCTCCGCTTCTCTCGGTGATGTCGCAACCGCCACAACTTCCGTCTCAGACGGCACAGTGGGCAATGGCACGACCGTCTTTGACGGCGGCATGGCGGATCCTAATGTCGATCTGGGGAGTGACGAAGGAAGCTATATTCTGGTGCGTGATACTCAAGCAAAAGCTCCACGCAATCTGCTCACTAGTCACCCCAGAATACCTTCATAGGGCTCCTTATAGTGCTCGTGTCTTCAGTCTTCAACGCATTGGGACTGAATCTTACAAAGCTCGATCACATCAAGCAACAAGAAATACCGAGGAGACAACGAAAGAAGGAGTATCTCAGAGTGCTTTGGTTGTCAGGGATGGGCATGTACATGTGAGCAAGGCCCATGCAATTGCTAGCTGTCGCTAACGAACTCACGCAGTGCATCGCAAGTCTGTAGGTATACACAAGTAAACAGTACGCGCGATCCTACTGACATGACTACAGTCGGATCCCCTCTAGCCCTGCGGTACCTCCGCCCAGATTGGGTCGCCCCTCTAGGGAGTAGCTCACTTGTTCTCAACTTTTTGTTTGCCTATTGGCTCGTAGGAACTCGTATATTGCACCAAGTCATATCGTGACGCGGACTGACACGTCTGCAGCGGTAACGGCAACAGACATTCGAGGGACGGCGGTGATCATCATAGGCGTCATTCTCATCATTGTGTTTTCCAGCATAAACCATGGCCTGATACAAAGCCTGCCCATTGAACGGTAAGCGTGTGTCCCATACTTGATGAGGCTGCTGACAAACCACAGCTTGAATTCTCTCTGGTCTCGAGGGGCATGGATCGCCTACTTTATATTCAACATTCTCTTTACAGCTTCCACCTATATCGTCTCCTCCCTCTTCAAGACCCTCCTCCGCTCCCGCGCCTCATTTTCGCCTCTTCCTTCACCCTCCCTCGAGCTTCCTACATCTCGATCTCCCTCCAGCCCGAATTTTATTGTCAAATTCTACCAAACGATCAAAGGCACATGGGAAAGGTTTGAGAGAATGGCAGTTCGCAGGTTGGAAATCCTTTTCCAGCGGACAGGGGATGAACGAGTGGTGTGGCTACAGGGAATCGGATGGGGCGTGGCCGGAGGTAGTCTTGCGGGGCTGTGTTTGGTGTTTACCAAAGCGGCAGTCAAGATGATGGGTTTGCCTGGGCATCCTGTATGTACCACTGACAAGATGAGACCCAAACTGACTGTGCTCAGTTCCTCCACCCCTCGTCACTCATTTCCCTTATATGCGTCATTGTCACTGCCATCCTTCAGATTGTCTGTCTCAACCGGGCTCTTGAATGCGCCGATACGGTCGTAGTTGTACCACTGTTCTACGCTGGCTACACCGTCTTTGGATTCATCAACTCGCTCATCTTTTACGATGAGGCTGGGCAATACGCCACTTGGGTCCTTGTCGCCGTCTTTATGAGCATTGGTGTCTTGATCCTCGGAGTCGTGCTTCTCTCTCTCAAATCGTCTGCCAAGGCGGAATCGGATCCATACACCGTCGGTGAAACGGTCCAAGCAGGCGGGTCTATGCGTCTGAGACCAAGAGCCCCCAAGAGGAGCACGGAGGATGGGCACGATGAAGATCACGAGGATGGGCACGAATCGAGAGCGGAAAACGTGCTGTGGGAAGTCGGAAGCGCAAGTGACCAATCGGATGATGAAAACGAAGAGAATGCGCAAAAGAACAGGGGCGTGGGCGGTGTCAAGGGAGGGACCGGCGAGAGACGAGGGCTTTTGGGGGAAGAAGAGGAGGGTAGACATGAGGGCGACGAAGAAGGTGACAAGAGCAATCCTTTTGAAGAAGGTGATGATGGATTTGGAGAGTATGCCGGGGTGGGGGCGGACGATGAGAGAGAAGACAAGGGGAAATAATAATTTATAATAGAGTGTCTATTAGGCCAAGTGATAATGCATATCTATGCCTTCAAAGCTTCTTCCCTGGCACTGTCCACCGCTTCCACGCCCTCCTCGACCTCAAATTCCCCTGGCTGCTCGAAATCCTCCAAGCTTAAAGGCCCAGCGTCATCCCCGAAATAATCCACGGCACCACCCTCGAGCACCAGCCATCTGCTCTTGAGGATATCATACACTGTCGCCTCGTCGGCGGCCATGACCTGGACGCCTGGAATGTTTCGGGTAGCCCGGAAGAAACTTTCGAGTTCAGACTCGAGTTTCCAAGGGGTGTAGAGGAAGAGGATGGACAGGTCATCTGAAGCGCCAAAGCGGGGGGTATAGATGGGTCCTGATGGTTCTACTGCTGTTTCGACAGCATCCTTGACGTCCTCCTTGACCTGCTCCTCGATGGCCTTTTCTTGCACATGCTCTTGCAACCCTAATTCCTCGGCGGCTGTCGCTTCCGGCATTTGTTCAAGGCCAGATTGAGATCGAGGCCACTCGACACCATTCGCCAATGCCTTTCTAGCCTCCCGTGTCCCTGACCATTCTCCCTCTCCCAAATCTCGTACTACTCTGAGCAGCCCGCTCTGCAGTTTCGAAGACAAGGCGATTTTGAGACCGAGCTCGTTGACCTTGCGCGGAAGCGACTGGGCCCAGTTCTTAGGGGCAATAGGGTGGATCGGCGCACCACCTCGTCTTGTGCCCGATGAAGCATCTCCCGCACGAGCTCTACCCGTTCCCTTTTGGGGGATCAGTTTGCGGCCAGAGTAGTTGACGGTGGATCGTGATTTTGTTTGTTTGTTGCCCTGGCGGAGTTGTGATAGATGCCATACGACACAGCGGTGGAGGATATCCCGGCGGATGGGCTGGGCAAAGATGTCTGGGGGAAGGGCAATGACGACGTCCTGCGTGGTGTGAGCGGGTGAGCAATAACGAGGGCTGCACATACGTCGCCTGAGGGCTGAGTGGGGGTTGGTGAAGCGAGAGAAGAGACGGGCAGCAGGATGGGCTCGTGCTTGCCAGAGTTGGAGGGGAACCATGTGGCTAGTTGGACTGCGGCGGTGAGCGAGGCCGTGGCGACGACAGGCTCACCTTGTCTCTCTGCGAGGGCCTGTTCGATCTCGAGGCCGGCCTGCTGGGACAGGTCCTCGAAGGCGGCATTGGGGGGCGGGGTGGAGGTGGAGGCGTCGGTGGAGGCTGGGCGGGCGAGGGGGCGGAGGAGGGCGCGGGGGCGGGCGAGCAGGAGGCGGGCGGCTTTCATCGGGGCGGCGGTGCAAGAGGTATATACTTTACCCTTCCTATTCCTATCAATCGGAAATTAATTCACCAGCGAGGCGTATCCGGGGGGGAGAAAGAAGAGCGGGTCACGGGATCTGTTCCCGCTGGTGCGCGCATCTGTCGGGGATAAATCGTTCCAGGCACAGATCCGCGGTGCCACGCTCGGAGTATGGGGCGGTGGACTGGAGCTGTTTTCAACTTGGAACTGTGAACCGTCTATTCAACCAGCAACGTGAGTCACAAAGTCACAGCCCAGCCGCCAACCACCGCTGACCATAGCCCCCCGCCCTCCCCCGCCGTCCCAACCCATCTCTCCACATCCCCCCGAATATCCATCAAACAGAAAATGTCCTCCGTGCAGACATTCGGCAAAAAGAAGGTGAGGGAGGAAGCCTAGATTCGACCGGGGACGAGTGTTGACAATGCATTCGCAGACTGCCACGGCTGTGGCTCACGTCACTCCTGGCCGAGGCCTCATCCGACTTAACGGTTCTCCCATCTCCCTCGTCGAGCCGTAAGTCGAATCCCTCAAGAATACGGGCAGGAGAATGTGTGGCACGAAGGGAACAGCATGGACGATGTGGATGGAAGGAAATGGACGGATTCGATTCGGGCGATGGGGTGGAAGCAGCAGGATGAGAAACTAACGTCAAATCAGCGTCGTTCTTCGATACAAGGTCTACGAGCCCGTCCTCGTTGTCGGCCCCGAGAGGCTCGCCAACCTCGACATCCGTCTCCGTGTCAAGGGTGGTGGTCACGTCTCCCAGCTTTACGCTCTCCGACAGGCCATTGCCAAGGGTATCGTCGCGTGAGTGCACCACCGTCCCAGCCTGGGACATGGCTGATGATGAGCAGTTTCTACGCCAAGAACGAGGACGCCGCCTCTGCTATCGAGTTGAAGAAGACCCTCGTCGCTTACGACCGATCTCTCCTTGTCGCCGACCCCAGGCGGATGGAGCCCAAGAAGTTCGGAGGTCGTGGTGCCCGTGCCAGGAGGCAGAAAGTGAGCAGGCATATCCACCTCTCTATGGCTGTGCTGACGCTGTTTGCAGTCTTACCGTTAATCTACTCGCCGACGTATGGGTTGCAATTTTGTGGTCATGGGTGTCCTGTTTGGAAGGAGGCTTTTGGCTGTAGGATGCTACGTTGGTGGATGGGTTGGAGGGAGATGTATATCATGACAAAATCACGGTGGTGTGGCCTGGACACAGTCTTTTCATTTACAGGTATCTTTTTGTTTGCACATCTCGCCAGCTGAGGATTCATTGATTCGCGTATTCTCGTCATATCTCGACCTGTCCAGTCCAAATGAATGATGTACTCGTAAACGTTGCATGTTGACAAAACTTGCAATGGTGCCGGTGGGCGCCGCGAGAATTGATCCCGTTCTCGCGATTGCTTTGTGTATGGTGTTTGGCTTCACGCCGAAATCGTGTCCTCCATCGCTCCCCCGTCCCAGATGCCCCCCCGCAAGGCAGCCCCCCCGCCATCGCCCGCCCGCAGCGCCAGGAGTGCGCGCAGCAACACCCACGACAGGACCAACGACGACGAATGGGACCGTGAAAGCATCACCAGGTAACATCAACAACTCACACGTCGTATCTGCCGCTGACATTCCACCAGTGGAGCATTCAAAGTACCCTCATCCCGGGGAAAGACATCAAATGGAGGAGGCTTCAAAGACACCAGCGTCAAGTAAGCCCCCACCGATTCATGACCGCCAGCATCTCACATTCATCCTAGCATCGCAACGGCCTTCCATGCGGCCCAAACAGGTCATCTGCCCCCTCCATCCAAATCCAACCTCTCCCTCACATCGAATGGGTCTTCCTCCCGCTCTCTTCAGGTCCCTCGCGCCATCTCACCAGCGGAATCACTCGCCCAGTCCGCCCGGGCACTCTCCCCCGTCCGCTTCTTCCTCCGCCCTACCGACGAAGACGGCGAAGAGTTTAGCAGCTTTTCCTCCGCTGACAATACTTCAGCAAACAAGAGCATCAACACAAGCGGCGAGGGAGAGAGCTATGACTATTATCAGGAGGAAGAATTCGTGAGGCGTGCCCAGCAACAACAGAAAGCGGCCAGAGGCAAGACTGGGCCGGCCGATAGGAAGCGACGTGGCAAGGCTGCTGCCGAGGATATGCCTTACCGCCCCGCCGAAGAAGACGCCGTATCACTCGCTTCAGACGATTCTGGCGGGGCAGGTGAGGGCATCGTCCGTTCGGGAGCTCTTGACGGACGAGCCGGCACACGCGGCAAACGCGCAGAGAGGGGGGAGGGGTACCTCGGCATGGGTCTCGGCTTACAACCAAAAAGGCGAGGAAAGGGTAGACGAAGTGGGGGAGCCGAGGGAGAGACGGATGATGATGGTACGCCAGGACCAACTGCGAGAGGATGGACGCCTGCGCTAGAGCTCGAAGTCCCCCGGAGATCACCTACACCAGCACAATTGCTGAGAGCGCTCAGCCCCCGGCTAGACCGCCGTTCGCCAGGTCCATCGATGGGCTACCAGCCCAGAAGGCAGCCCTCTGACCTGAGAACCATATTGACCAATCTCCTACACGGGGTCGCTCTCGGATTGCAATTTGTTGTCGAAATTGTTTCCACCATTCTCGACCGGATCATGCTGCGCCCCATCAGTGCTGTCTTTGGCACCAGCCGGGACTTTACCCGTCTAGCCAGGGACAATTGGTGGAAATGGGCGGGTTTATTGCTTGGTCTGTCCCTTGCCATCCGGCTGTTTGATGGTGCATGGCGCTCTAGAGGCATCTACACTGCTCCGGATGCGCCGCCGTCAAACATTGACGAAATGTCCAATCGTCTCACTTCGTTGGAGCAAGCGACTGCTGTCCTTTCAGACATGCTTCGAGCAATTAGCGAAGGCGACCAAGACCTCCAGCAGTCTGCTGTTGCTATCAAGAGCAGAGTCACGGATGTCGAGGACAGCATTGTCGCCGAACGGAAGCGGATCGAAGGCGTCAAGGGTGATTTAAAACATCAAAAGACGGCCATCACGTCCGAGATTGACAAACTGCGAACCGAGATTCACACCATCACGACGCAGTCTGCCAAGCACGAAAAGCTACTGAGCGCGTCCGACAAGTCTGCAAAGACGATCGAATCGCTCGAGCGAGAGATTGCTCAGCTCAAGACTCGCGTGGGCACAGTCGAGCAGAGCGTTCACGTGGCCTTGGAAGACGGCAGACTGGTCGCTGCGATCGAAAAGGTACTTCCTCACTGGATGCCAGTGTGGACAGATGCCAAGGGCCAGGTCCAGGTCGAGCCTGCCTTTTGGGCAGAGATGAAAAAGGTCATGGTGGGCAAAGGCGAGGTCGAGACCATTGCTCGAAAGCTCATCACCGATTCCATTGCTTCGGACGGTGGCGTGCCAGAGATGCCGGCTTTCGACCAGAGAAAGGTGGAGGAATGGATGGACAAGGCTTTCGATCGACGGTCAGCAGACTCGTTCATGGATCGTCAGACGTTTACGCAGATGCTGGACGAAAAGCTCCGCGAGCTTGCGCGACATGTTCCTGCTTCTCCGTCCAAACAATCAGTACCTTCGAGTACAGTCACCATCAAGTCATCCAAGGGCGAAGACCTCACCTCTCTATTCACCTCACTCATCGACACTGCGCTACTCAGATACTCGAAAGACACTTTGGCGCGAACGGACTATGCTCTTTTCACGGCCGGTGCTAGGGTGATTCCTCACCTCACATCCGATACCCTTACTCTCCGCACAGCTTCCGGGCTGGGGAAATGGGCTTTGGGACGGAAAGACGTCCAGGGGAGACCGCCTGCGACAGCATTGCACCCCGACATCTCAGTCGGTAGCTGTTGGCCTTTCCAGGGCGAAGCGGGCAGTCTTGGGGTGATGCTGGTAGACCGGGTGGTTGTGGGGGATGTGACGATAGAGCACGCACCCAAGGAGCTTGCTATTGATGTGGCCACTGCCCCCAAGAGCGTCAAAGTTGTGAGTGGTGACTTGTCAATGAGATTCCCAGTGCTGATATCAACAGATGGGACTCGTTGATACCGAAGAAAATAGGGAAAAGCTGGCCTCCTACTGGGCTGAGAATCCGTAGGTTTATGACTAGTCAAGCGAGCAACTGACTGACCACTTTTGCAGAACCAAAGACCCCACCGACGTCGACTATCTCCCACTCGGCACGTTTACGTATGACCCGTCCGCCTACTCGCATATACAAACATTCCCTGTTCCACCCGATGTTGTCAATTTGGGTATCCCTGTAGGAGTAGTGATTTTCAAGGTGGAAAGTAACTGGGGAGGTGATTTGACTTGCTTGTATCGGGTGAGTGCTGCTCGGATGATTCTTGAATGGGGCTGACTTTTGTGCAGGTGCGCGTGCATGCTGCCAAGGACGACTTTGCCTGATGGACTTTCTTGGACCTTAATGTGTATAATGCTTTTCATGATGAACGTCTGGATATGATCAACACGCGCTCTAGTCGCAAGCTCTCATATTGGTGGTTGAAAAACAGCCAGCTGGACCCTCACATAATGATAGTACACAGGCAATTGCTGCCTTACTGATCAATCTGAGTACAAAGCGCAAAAGCGTGCATGACAGCGGGAAAGGGTAACAAGTATGTCGTGCAAAGGAATAAGCAAACAAGTGTCCATGCTTTTTCGTTGTATCGAGTGTGTAGTCTGGTAACATTCAAGAATGACATCGAGTCATTTCGCAGTGGTGCCGAGCTCTAAGCGAGAGCAGCAAAGGTAACAGCAGCCAAGCCAGCGAACGAAGCAGCGAAAGAAGTCGTCTTGGTAAGGAAGGCGCTGGAAGATGAAGATGAATAGGTGGAGGAAGAGGCCGACGCAGAGGTAGAGGAGTCGGATGAGCCAGCGCTAGTTGACCCAGAGGAGGCGGCGGTGGAAGAAGAGCCTGAGCCGGTCGTCGAAGCAGCAGCGGTAGAAGAGCTTCCGTCAGAGGTGCCGCTAGGATAAAAAGTCAGTTGGAAGATTTTACGCCGATGAAACTACTCACCTGCTGGAGGTCGAGACACCAGATATGCTGGAAGTGAGACAGGAAGAGGAAGAACCAGACTGGATCACGACAGGAGAACTGTAGGCGATGGTTCCGTCAGAGTCGGTAACCCTAATGGTACTGCAATGCATTGTCAGCGATTTGATGCAGAGGGGGGCTGAAAGACGTACACGTTGGTGCCGGAAGCCAGGTTGACGGTCCAGGTGTAGGGAGAAGAGTCAACAGCGTCGAATGACTCGTACTAGCAAAAGAAGGACATATAGTGTCAGCCAAGTCTGGTTGTATGTGGCGGGACGTTGGTACACACAGCACTGGAAGACACTTCACCACTGTAGTCCGTTAAGCATCATGAAGACTCTAGGAATCAGGGAGACGAACCCATGGATGATAGCAAGGTAGTAAGGGGAGGTACCGTCAGACCAAGAGAGGGAGGTCGGCTGACACTCGATCAAAGAGGCCTGCAATGACTGGTCAGCCCTTGGATCGCCGATGCAATGTTCTGCTTACAGGACTGTTGATAGTAAGAGCGGTAGCAACACCGGTGACACTGGCAAGGAGGGCGAGCTTGGTGTACATTGTGGCTGAATTGAAGAAAAGTAGAGGAGAGCAAGAGCGATATTTGTGATGGTGAGTTGAAAGAAGAAAGGAAAATGATCCTTTTATTATATAGAATTGGCAAAGGCCGGTCTGACGGGAGCGAGAGATATTCGCCTCACTGCAGTCAGGTCTCAGCACTGGGACCGCAGACGTCGCAGGTGATGAGCTCGCAGAGCGCGATAGGGTCACCACGAGGATTAAACGGGATCGCTAATCAGAGCCCCGTCTATTGGGTTCAGCCATCGGCCAAATCACGTGTATTGTACATTGTGCATTGTGCATGGGATATGTATGCTGACGAAACAAGCAGCTGTGATTGCCGCAGCGAAGACTGTGGAACAGGGGGCGTTGACTCATGAGGGTAACACGCGATCCGCGACACGATGGCCGTGCTTCAAGATACAGTGTAGAATATACCTGGACTCAGTCTGACACGAACAAGATCACTCGAGAAATGAGCTGTGCATCATTATGCAAGAACATGTGCGCAACGTAGAGCACGAGCGCGGAGAGCGGAGGGCTGAACAGGGAAGATAAGGGCAAAGGAAGTAGAGAAACCCACCGCGGGGTTGCTAACGCTGCATTCGCTGCGAACTCTGTTTTCCGCAATGCGGTGCAGCAAAAGGGCTGGCTTCGCCTGGCGGCCCTGGCGGGCAGTCTGCATGCACATGGCCTGCATATGCATGGGAGCTGAGCCTGCATGCACAAGACACAGCCTCCTCCGGCATCTCTTGGCCTCTTGGATCGCGGGCTGGACCGAGTCAAGTACATCGACGACAGGCCAAGAATTTGAAAGCGATTGCAGTCTGTTTGGTTCCACTTACATCCCGGATATCTGCATCGCTGCCATGGCCGTCTCCCAGCCACCAGCATGGATGGCCACACGGCAAGAGGTTTAGAGGCCCAAGAGGCCAGGCAGTCAGGCACGCATCAACAAGCTGCAAGTCTTGTGCAAGTCTGCAAGCTGCAAACCATTCTCCTGCGAGTCGAGTCAGCATGTCCAACTCCAGCATCTCCAGTCCAGTGTCCCGTCCCGGATATGCTGCCTCCTGCCCAGCACCAGACGCTGCAGCCATGCACTGTAGCTGCCCCTGTGCACGGCCGGCAGCACTGGCCTCGTGCAGACTGTATATCCCATACACTCGCATCACATCAAGGCCCGCTCACGATGTAAGCAACTCAATGTCGCAACCATCTCTCATCCCTCCCTCATCCCCCGCCCCTCAACATGCCCTCAAGACCGCCCAACAGCAAGCCCCCACCTCCTCTCATCGTCGACGTCCTCAATGGCGACTCATCCCCTCCTCGCGCGCACCTCCTCGACTCCAAAGACATCGACGACATCTCAATGCACCGGGTGTCGAGGGCGTCTATTGACCAAGACAGGCCAAAAGTGGATCCCAGAATCGAGGGAATACCTCAGGGATGGGAGGACGACTTCTCCATAGGCCCTGCAGGCCCCAAGACGCTTCAAAAGACTACGGTTCGTGGTAGCGGCGTTCAGAGAGAGTCATCTATACTCGGCGGTGCTTTCCGAGACACACGGACCAAGATCTCTTCTTTCAGCGGCCTCGTCAAAGACGGCCTTCGGGACAGGGATGGCCAGATGCGAAGCTCGGCGGCCCAGAACCGCCAAAGAGTAGAAAGTACTCGAGTTCAATCACGCACAGAGCATACCCGCTCCCATAACCCATCAAAGTCTATCCACTCCCAGGCGTCCTCCTTCTCACACCCGACAAAGGCTCCACCATCCATTCCACCCTCGTACTCTCTCACAGAATACACCGACGACTCTGCCGAGTTGACCAATCTCTTTACGCCTCCTACCAGTGCGAGGGAACCAGCCTACAATCCGTCCATCGCTGGCAGCACCCACTCCAGTGCTCCTTCTCGCGAGCAAGCGATAGCACCTGATAAAGAGGCGCTGTATGGACTTGCTGCTCCTCGGAGCAGAGACCATCTGTCACCAAATGCCCCAGAAGTGCTGCCTTTTGCTGCCGATAGTCCATTTTCGGCGTGGCCAGGGCCAATCCAGGACAGGACAGTCGTCGCTGGACCAACAGCCACCAGTGACATGCAGGATGTTCACGCAGGGGAAGCATCCCCAGCGCTCAACCGCGTTGACTCGGCCACTTCGGGCAAGAGGGTATGGGTGAACGAGAAGGGTAAAGATGTTGCGCAAGTGTACAAGGTGGGATGGGAAAGAGACGTTCTGGATATGTAATCCCATTTACCCTAGAGCGAGTGCACATATGGCTAATCGTTCAATCACAGTGAAGGACGACTACACGAAACACTCTATGAACTTATGGGTGGACGGCACACCTTTGCCGAGGTTGAAGAGGAACCAAAAGCCGTTCTAGATGTAAGTGACTTTTACTGTTCGTGTCTTTAGCGCTGACAAGCACAGATCGGCACCGGGGTAGGATTGTGGCCTATATCGCAAGCACGTGTCTGGCCTGGTTCGACCATCGTAGGTCTGGATATAGTGCCATGCCAGACAAATTTGTCTCTCCTGGCTCAAGCCGAGAAGAATGCTCGTTCAACGTCGGATGGTTCTGCCGCAGGGGAAGGCATGTGGGAGAGTATCCAAAGGCGAGTCAAGTGGGAACAAGTGGACTTGTAAGCAACACGACTCAGCAGGAGTGCATACACCTGACTATTCATTAGCCTTAACGATCTACCTTACGACACTGGCGTTTTCGACTTTGTCCATATCCGCTTCGTTGCTCTTGGTATTCCAGAAAGCCGATGGGGTGATGTGCTTGAAGAGGCTGCCCGCGTCCTCAAGCCCAATGGCAAGCTGGAGATTGTTGAAATGACCTACAACCTTCCTTCCTCCGCGCCTCCCACTATCAAGAATCCATTTGACGGCATCATGGCTTCGCAAGCCATAAGTCAAGTCCCCATCTTCCCCATCCAATTCTCTTTGCCGGCAATCGATATTTTATCTGCCAAGGGCCTCGCCGATCCTGCATTCTCAAAGACGTGGAAGGGCAGTGAATCACCCGAAACGTTGACGGACGCTGTCCTCACTTGGGCAGAGGGCGCTCTTGGGTCAGAAACGGCCAATCGTACCAAAAAAGCGAGAGCGGCGTTGAAGAAGAGTATCCTTCTGGACCATCTGATGAAAGAACTGGGGTGGTATAGCAAGGGACGATGGAGATTCGATGTAAAGAATGGACAGGAAAAGTGCGGCATGCACGAGGCAGGTGAGGAGGCATTAGAGATATCAGTATGGGCATGGGTTTGCACCCGGCGATAGAGCCCTTAGGATTACTACAAGACTGTGCAGGGAGCATGAATGTCTATAAGAGGGCTTCTTGTTATCTAGGGCTTATATATACGGCAAGCAATAGCATTAGGTACAGTTACAACTAGCTGGTACAAATCGGAGGCCTTGACTTTTCGTCGAAAGGTCATCTGCTATAATTGACGCTGTTAACGATGGGATTGAAGCGGACTCCTTTGGCCTGACTGGCGCGAGTGTCTGTGGCATCACTCGGGACTGACACGTCATCCTCTGTAGATTCGACGGTTTTCCTTGAAGGCTGGGGACCGCCTGATGCTGAGTTTGGTTTGCTACCATCACTGGCCAGCTCTCGGTGAAAGCCCCGTGAGCCAAAAGAGGAAGGCAACGAATCCTGGGGCAGCGATGAGCTCCTCCAAGACGGTCGTGAGTCTGTGGCTGCCGAGCTTTGAGCACTAGCATGTCGGCCGTACAATATCGCCTTTCTTTCTCCCGGGGACATGGACATTAGCGCATTCTTGGCTTTGAAGAGGTTGAAATCGGCATCGTGCAAAAACTCTGGGGTGACTTCTCTTTCGCCGGAGAGCAACATCTGGTCTACCATGTAGGTACTGATTCTTGTTGAAAAGTAGGTCGTCAGATCAGGATCCAAGTCGTCTGAGAAACACATTAGTCATATTCAGCTTGAAAGAATATAGACTCACGTCGGCGACTCATCTGGTCGCCGAGAGACCTGACATCTGCCAACATTTCTTCTCCGGCAGACAACACATAACCGTCTGTTGCTCTCCAGTCGCCCGAGTGCTCGTGCTTGACCCGTTCTGTGAGCCATTCGTCCAAAGAATTCCCTTCCCAGTCGCTGACGTCAATCCGACTGGCAGCTTCTTCGTTGGTAGGGATGTCAAAAGCGTGAACTTGTACCTGTTCTTGAGAAGAGGAAAACTCTTCTTTTGTGGGAAGTACATCATTGATGACCATATCGTCCAGGCCAAGAGCAACGAAATCGCGACCTTCTTTTGTACCATCGTTTCTCTTGTCTTGCAATATAAATGGGGCAAGTTGATTCGCGTCATCTCGGTCGAGGACACGCGACCCATCTGTCCGTCTGTCTGTAACCAGGTCAGAAAGCCACATATGTCATGCAAATGAGACCTACACCTGTCTTGGATAAATGAGGCAACGTTGTTGAAGGCAGTCAGAGGCTTGTCGAGGCCAGATAAACCGTTTGTGCTTGTGCACCAATCGTGGATGGACATATCTGGCGCAACTCGCTTGCCGTCATCTCCAGGAGTAATTCGACCTCCAGAGACCTTCAAGGGACCATTGTAGAACACAGAAGATCTTGAGCTCAAGTCCAGTAAACTTTGGAGGCTCTTGTCAATCACACGACCAGTTCTAGAAGATGTCACTCACCTTGGTTCGCGAAAGACGCTGACTGGTGCCGCTGATCCCGCTGAACTCGACTGGGCCTCGCTTCCCCTGAGAAGTATATCCTCGTCATCGTCTGATTGAGACTCGGGTGCTGTTGTATCAGCGCTAGCATCAAGACCCGGTGGCCTTTTGAGAATCCCTTGCGGCTTGGAGCGTATGCTACTCGGTGCGACCTTCTTGTTTATGTCAAAGCATAGGATGCCATCTAAAACAACCATCAGCATTGCAATATCATCACCTCGGGAACCTTACCTGGGTCCTCGCTAATAGTTAAAGAGGCGCTGGGGCCTGTTTCGCCTTTGCTGAGAAAGCAGACAGGTCTGGTGATATGAGTGCCGCTTTGCAACAGATCGGTCGCGTCGACCTCGAACAGGCAATGCCCGTCTGGGGTTCTCAGATGTCTAATTTTCTTGCCGGCACCACTTTCGGCTGGAAATGATGGGATTGAAGATATCCACGAGCTTGCGGCGGTACCAGGTGTAGACGTTACAGTGGGCGTGGGGAGAGGTCCTCTCATAGAGACGGACCGTGGATTCTGATGACCGGTGGATGATATCAATGGAGAAGACTGACCTGTAGAGCCACCCATATGAGTGGGCGGCGTGGCATTTGCCCCCCACGGGTAAATTGGTTCTGGGACTTATGAACATTGTTCAGCCCGGCGGTGAAGATGACGGTGGAGATGAACAGGCATCAACTCACTGATGGAATCCGCTGCGCTTGCCAGTTTTCCCCCGATCCAGTTTCTTGTTCCATTGTACGCACAATCTCGAGCATTTTTGAACCTCTTTGACAATATCGAGGAGATTGAAGGGGTCGAGGCCTGTGGAGGCTGCGAGAATGAGACATAATTGGAGGGAAGAAAGTCGGACGGCCCGTTGACCAGTCCTGCCATATTGACCTTACTATATATAACACTGTTTTCACGGGTTTGGGGGGTTGGTATACGAGTGGCGGTGAGTGTGGATAAGAGGTGTGTGTGTATAGAAGAGGTCGCTGGAGTGAGGGGGTGAGGCTGGTCGGTTGTTGATTGATTGTTGCCACTGACATATTCTTTTCGACAAGTGACACCCTTTGGCGGGGTCCAAGAGTAATGAAAGGATGCCATAACCTCCTCAAGGGATGTCAACGAGGTCGTTTCTGCGTCTGTAAGGAGAACAGTGTGGCGGAATACCAGGATTCCATGCTTATTCGTCTCTCACAACATATCGTAATGTAGGGTCTATAGGATACACATATCTTGACCAATATCCGCCAGCCAGCCGCACATTCATCATGGCCTGGTGCCTTTCTCTATTTGGCAGGACCGGAAAACTCCAATTTCAGTTCTGCGATAGCTTGCTCGAGCGAGGGAGGTTGGTTGTGCGTGTCGTTCTTGGGCTGTCCACCATGGCCAGAGGCTGCAGCGGCTTTGTCGTGGATATCTCTTTCGTTACGACGCTTTGCGGCCAAGTCAAAGTCCGGGGCAGGCAGATTGAAGAACTCCCAAGTCTGCATTTGCGTATGAGCACACATCAACGAACGGCATTGCCAGTACTCACAGGAACAACGTTGGCAATGGCTCGGCGCATACCAGTTGACAAGCACTGGAGACCAACTTGGTAAGCAGCGTTCATCCACCCGAAGCCTTCTCTGGGCACAAAGTGGAAGTCGGTGCCTTGGTTACCGCTACAATTTATGAGCTTTGTCAGTCTTGATTACGGCAAGGCTTACTATTCAGCGTCTACCAAGTGGCTCAGCTCGACAACGTCAAACTTTTCGGGGACGATGCCATTGTAGTCCATGAAAGAGAGTGTCATCCTACAGCGGATCAGTCAAGCCTTATACACGATGGACGCACTCACATATAGATCCACCTGTAAGCCAGTCGAGAAGCATCATCGATGTAACCATATCGCTCCAACCCTACCCAGGCCATGATCTGATGGGGAGGCCAGCCGTAGGGGTAGTCTATAGCAGTCAGTATAGCCCACATAAGTTACACATTGCTTACCCCATTGTCTGTTAGGACGATCGAGAGAAATGATGCCTCGAGACTCTTCGGTACCGGACACAAGACCACCGGCTACCTCAAACTTGGGAAGAGCATTGTGCCTGTTGTCGCTTAGCGGACTTTGTTTTGGGAAACCAAAGCTACTCACACCAACATCGAAGCCTGTTCCTCAGACGCCATACCAGCCCACATTGGCCACAGAGTAGTCACAGACTCGTAACGGGTCTGCTTGCGGGCTTTGGTATCATAGTCAAAGTACATTCCCAGACGATCGTTCCAGCAGAGCTTGTCCATGGTTTCTTTTCGCTTCGCCGCTCGTTCGAACCAGTGCTTGCTTGTCTGGACAACATTGGTGGAAAGTTCTCGGGGTGCGCCTTCCTCGAAAGCCTCAGGGGTAATGGGCCAAGGAGACAACTCAAACTCTTCGTTCATCTCCAGATGATCGTCAAAGATCACTTGGATAGCAGAGGCGATATCGAATTCGTACTAAAAGCCGGGTAAGCACCCGCATCGGTGAGACATCGTAATCATACCTTGTACAAAAGAGAGTTGAGATCCACTGTTCCCAAATCCGCACACTTCTTGTCAAGTCGATAGGAGGTATCGTGGCCAGACTCTCGCACACCACGGTCGTGCATAAAGTAGTCGTCCAGCTCCGGCTCGAGGATGGTGCCGTCATCATAGCCATCAAGATACTCCAGGACCGAAATGCCAAGCTTCTGGGCGTAAGGCTGGACAATGTGGGTGAAGTGGGTAGACTCTGTCTCGGGAGGGATACCCAGACCTGAAGGGCGATAACGAGAGAGCCCGCTGACGATGTCAAGCGAAGGCTCCTGCATCCAGTAGCGATGGTACTCTTTGATGGCGGCCTGGATGGTACGTTTCAACCAAGCCTTGTTCTCCTCGGGCTTGCTTCGGTCCAATTGGTTGTAGATCTGAAGAGCATAGTCGGTCAAGAAGGGTGGTTGAGATCGGCACAAGTACTAAAGTTTGTCAGCTACGTTTGCCATGTTGGACGAATGGGAAACTCACATAGGTCCTGTTGCCGTTGAGAACCTTGTTGTAGTACTTGATCTCGAAGATACAGTGCTCTACGATGCCCTTTGCAAGATCCAATCGCCCGTCTACGAGAAGCCCCAAAGCCATAAAGTACTGCGTTCGTGTCAGTTGAGGGAAAAATGTAGCTCAAGACCGACGTACACTGTCCCATCCGTATTTCTCATTGAACCTGGCTCCTGGAACGACAAAGGGGAAGGCATCCAGAGTGACCTTGCCGTCCGCATCCACCTTCCTGTCCATAGCAAGGGCCAAGATACCAGGCTTGTCGTTGAGAGTCTTGACATAGGCAGGGTCGTCACAGTGAACAGGCAGGATGTTGACCTCCAGTTTGAGGTTGGGGTTGTCTCGACCGCTGCTCCCAGTCAGCGATTGCTTTACAGAAGCCGATGTGACTCACATTTGGCGATAGTGCTCGGCCATCTCGTCCTCTCCGTGAGGAATGTAGATTCTTGCCCCGGCGCTCTGGTCCTTGTTCTTGGGGTCGGCACACGCAATCTCAAGACCCTGTGCGTCGATTCGACGAGTGAGAGCATTCCAGAACGAATTCTTGATCATGCGGGAAAGACGGTCAACAGGGTTCTCGGCCAATCGAGCTTCGTCGAGGACAATGCGCTTGCGACCAAAGTCTTTGGCTAGAGCGAGCTCTTGAAGCAAGTTTGAAAGCATATACGTCCCCTGCTGTGCGTCAGCCAACGAACCACTTTGCAGATGAGGACGTACGCGAATATCGAATGTTTTGTGGGCGTTGGAACTGGCTGTTCCGAGTGAGAGCAGCTTGGGTCCAGAGTCGTAGACAGAAATTTGGAAGCTGCAAAGATTGAGCTAGGAGGGCGCAAACGAGTAACAGTACATACTTGTTGTCTGTGTCTTCTTGTTCAAGCACGAGCCTCATGGTCTCTTCCACATCGATCAAGTATCGCCTGGGAGCAGAGGGAGTGACTTCATCGTGAGACAGCCGACGGTTCCTGCCGATCTTTTCTCCGCCCATTTGCAGGGGCCTGCGTTTGTAGTCACCAGCGCCGCCAGCCTGCGGTCAAAGTAAGCAGCTGGTGAATCGAGAATGAAATGGCTCACATTACTGAAAGTTCTCGCTCGGCTCCAGACCTGTGCACCACCGTAGTACTCTGAAGGCTCGGCGTTGATGTCTGGCAGCTTTCTCTCCTCTCGCCCCATCTTGCCCACTCTCGAGACTCCATTCGGCGGCAATCCGGCCTCCTGGCCAGGGGCTTGACTTTTTTCAAGCGCTTTGGTCAGATAATCTGCGCGGTCGGCGGTAGAGGTGAAGGGATCGGCCTGTTGCTCGGTGGGGGTTGTGACAGCAGAGGCGGCATTGGAAGGCGGGACCTCATTGTCGATGAAAAGGACGTTATTGGGAGTAGTCAACTATAGCACTGTAAGCCCAAGCATCCTGCCACGGCGACGCAGCCCACCTTGGCTTTCCCGATCTGTTTGAAAGACATGTTGTGGCGTGGTTCTAGGGGTAAACGGATACGTTGCTACGTAGTTGACACTGTGATGGGGATAAGCGCGAGCGAGAGATGAGCAATATCTGCGAGCTGCGAGCAAAGCGCCTGGCGAGAATCTCCAGTGTGGGCAATAATAGCACACAGACTGTCTTCGCAGGACCATAGAAGCCTCGAGACAAGTGGTTGCGGGTCGCAGAAGAGTGACGCGCGTCATGCGCTGCAAGGGAAGGGACAATGGAGGAGGGCGCTGTTGCTGAGAAGACGCAGAAACGAAGACACTCACGGGAATGGTATGGGAAGGGGTATGGTGCAGGGGGAAAGTGGGCTCGCTGTGGTGTGCACGCTGTTTTGGAGCGAGTACTTATACTTAAAAGTTACAGCTATGATGCAATCCTCGCGTCCTCTCTTTATCCGAACGTCCTCTCTATGCCTCGTCCGTCCATCACGCTCTTTTCCCTTCCCCATCTCTCCAGACTCCCCATTCCGTTTGCCTGGGCCAGCGCACAAGTCGCCGACAGCAATGCATGCATGCTGCGTCCTACAATGCGACCAAAGGATCTCCTTCTTGAGCGCAGGGCCTCGAGTCATTCCTCGGCGGGAGACGCATGGATTCTTTGTCTATGTATGGCATGTGCACCACCATCAATGACTCGGAATCAACCATGCAGTTGATATACACCCTGCGTCAGACTGGAGCTATCTGGCGCCCTGCATGCACAGTTGGCGGGACGCTTTTCGGGCCCAGGGCTCGCCTACCTCGTGTCTACCACGTTGAGGGAACAGCTGCAAGCAGCTAGCTTGTTTCTCGCCACCAGATAACACATGTATCATTGCCCTGTATGTACATGAATGCTGACGTCCCATCACATCACAATCCTAATACTTTTCGGGAGAAAAGAGGTCTGCCGAATGGGTTGACATGATGAAACGACCGAAAAAAGCGGACTCATCGCAATAGACTGACGTATGAGACGTTGAAGAGTTCTTATATTGACGAGACAGCACGAAGACAGACCAAGTCACGGCAAGAGAGAGATTGTTGCCAGATGTTGAACGACCAGAGTTGGTTACAGCCTTTGATTTGTCTTAGCCCAGATACTTACGCGCATTATTAATAGGGTGGGTCGGTCTCTGCCGGCGTACCGAAAGATGATGGACATGAGTTTGCATCGACAGTCTTGCACCTCTGCACTCCCTGGGATCTGTGGCCATCAGCGAACCCAATCACACCCGCTAGACAACATGCCCTTCCATAATCCCATTTGGTGAGCAACCGCTATGCCCGAAGGCGAAAGCTGATCCCCGCAGGGAGGTCCTCGAGCCTCATCTAGTGCGGATGGGTCTGTACAAGGTCCAAGACCCCAGTGAGCCATGCTCTTCAGTATACACGTGTATGACACTACTCACCCCACTCAGCCTACGGCCGCTACCTCCTCCCCAACCATCCGCCGCATCTCGCACTTGTGGAGGATCCAACAGTCTCGCACAACTATCGCCGGGTGTTTCTTCCGCCGACGCCCTCTTTCAAGTCCTACCACGAGGCTTGGGATACCACCCAGATTATCCATGCGGAGAACGTTAATCTGGTGAAAGATGAATTGGCGTCTGGTGTCAAATGGGGAGGAAGATGGGTGACATACAGTACGTGGGAGATGACCTCGCCACCAGAGGGTGGGTGGGAAGGTGCCGGCCGGGGTGTTGGCAAGGATCTCGTCTTGGTTCATGGTGAGTGGGCAGACCTATAGACCATACTGATAAAGTAGGACTGGGAGACTATGGGCTGAGGTATGCGCCTCATATCAAGTTCTTCCTCAAGTCTGGGTTTCGAGTTATTGTTCTTGACCTACCTTCTGTAAGTGGAAGCTCCGTAGAAGCCGACTGACATGTACAAGTATGGGAGATCTACCGGCATCAACTCTTACCTCCCGTCGCTTCTCTTATTGCCCTCCGCCGTACATGTTGTCTTGACCGACCTGGCGCAGAACGATATTGCGAACGGACGTAAGCAGAAAAAGGTCTTTTTGAGCGGCGCTTCGATGGGAGGATGGACAATGTGAGTACAATGTATACGCGACGTCCCTGACCCATGGCAGTCTCTACTATCTGCTAAAGTATCCCCCGACAAACAACACAGAAGCGGTCGTCACTCAAGGTTCGACTGCCGACGTGACCCTTCCCGAAGGCGGAAAGGGATACGACGACCTCGAGAGGCCACGGGCGGATGAAAAGGTCAGGCCGCAAGTGGCCGGTGCATTTGTTCTCTGTCCCATGGTTGAAGGTACGCCCTACAATCTTTTGCTATGGCTGATGTTGTCAGTGTCCAAAGAGTCTCGACCAAACATAATCCTCGAGTACATCGGACGTGCTATCGTATTCTTTGGCGGCAGCTTGCCCCTTGCCAAGTCTGTACGAGGCAACGTGTCTGACGATCCTCGAGTAGAGGAGGACTTTTTTGCAGATCGCAAGTATCACTTGAGACCAAGTATCACGCTCACATCATTGCAGCTCTATGTTATCACGGGATGCTCAGGGTCGGTACCGGTCTCGCATGCCTCGAGGGCATGACAGAGCTTGAGAAACGCGCGCACGAAATTGACGTGCCCATCCGACTCGTGCATGGAAACAAGGATCGTGCAACGTCGCACGAGGGCACTCTGAGACTGTTTGACAGATTGCTCAATGATGACAAGGAGCTGGAGATCTATGACGGCTACGAACATGGTGAGTCGTGGCTCGTCCGATTATTATATCTCATAATGTGTCTAGTGATGCTTCGACTGGGATCAAACGAGGAGGATGACAAGCAGCGACAGAAGGTACTTGATGATATGCGTTCGTGGTTGCTGCAGCGATGTTAGACAAACAATGAATGCCTGTCTCAACAATTCAAGTATTACCGATAAAACACCACTCCTTTTGCCCCTTCGACTTTATGCCCTCGATATCATATCCTTCAATCTCCTGCTCTAGTTCATCGTCGCTCGTGCGCGTAGACAAGTGATTGTTCTCCAGCGGTTTGACGGCGATGTATTCACGGTGAATGCGAGGTAGCGGGTGATACCGGCAAGGGTTCCACCAGTACCGGTGGAGCAGATGAAGGTGTCAAGCTTACCGCCGGTTTGTTCCCAGATTTCGCGGCCGGTGGTGACGATATGGGCGTTACAGGCGGGAGTCGATCCGAATGGGACCACCAGACAAAAGACCATAGCGCGTTCGAAACGCCGTTTTCTACTCATCGCCCTCGTTCACCCTAGAAAGATTATATGGGCCCCGAAGATCCAGGGTGGTAAACAGCTGGGCGGAGGCAAGGCGTTCGAGAGTTCCACTGATGAGGGTAAGCGGTCTGATGTGGGTAGTGTTGCGGGGAAAGGAGGTCCGGTCTGGGAAATGTCACCAACGAAGACCCCCTTCACCATCTCCACCTTTGGCTTAAGAAGCTTGACAGCGGGTATACCATCCACGACGAGCTCATTTCATCACTTTCAAGTCCTCACTCACTTCCATAATGTCAACCTCGCTGCCACAGCTCCGGATCTGGGATCATATCCCCAACCCTTTCAACTCGTCACCCTCCTCGCCTTTCTCCGATGCAGAAGACGACGGCCAGGACAGTATCTCCAAGATTAAACTCCTGGACCTGAACGATGGGTCGATGCACCACCCATTCGAGGGCGATATCATGGCTGCAACAAGGGAGGAGGAATCTCTTTTCGCAAGCAGGATGGCAAACGAGACGGCGAGGAGCGATGACGCCCCAATGGGCGTGTTGGATTGGCTCGATATTGAGGCGGGGGAGGAAGCACAGGATGAGGTTGTCACGGGGGGGTGGTCTTGGGCGATGCCGAGACCGATGCGGCCAACCGGTGAGTGTTGTGTCAAAAACGTCACCATATACACTGCTTTTGTCAGTCCCTCCTATCTAGTATTCGGGCTCGGGAGTTTCTTATGGAAACAGCCTCCAGGTTCTTCGTGCAGCTGCCCTACCATTTGAGGTTACGCCACACCAAGGATTTCGATCATACAATGGCTGTCCCCCCACCCCGCCAAGTGGCCATCGTGCCAGGCCGGAACGTCTGGCTGCCACTCGTTGACTCTTCCTCTGGGTGATTTGTCTGCCATCTCGCGACAGACACTGCTGAGCATGATTAGCTTTCCCGTCGACCTCATCTTCAGATGGGATCATGGTCTTCCCCCAAGTGAGCAGACTCTGCCCGAGGGCATTTGTGAGCAATATCGCCATTGTTCCTGTTCGCACATTGATGTTCACAGATGCTGTTGCCGCCTCGCTCGTCGTTCGTCTCTTTTTGCCTCGCGTTTCTCGGTTCTCCCTTTCTCTTCCTTTTTCCGCTTTTCTATTCAGATTCATTTGGTGTATTTCAATCAGGCAGGGATTCTCGGTTCTTCTGCTGTATCGACTCTGAGGCTGAAACTAGAAATTATATGCATGGTTCAAATTCAAGTAGCAGTACAATTGTTAGCACACAATACTTGTCTCGGACGATCCCATTCCTCATGGGTGCTTGCCTTTGGGGCCGCAATTGTACAATGCCACCATCAGTGCCTGCCGATATGATCGAGAGAGAGGCTACGCCAGTGAGGACCGGAGCAGCCGTGGTCGATAGACGGGTGCTGGCGATGGGTCAAGGACCGAGGATGAGTAATAGAAAAGATCAGCCATTCAGATCCCCGCCCGAGCCACCGCCCAATCAATGCAATCAGAGGTGCCCGCTGTATGGGGTGGGCTTGTGTCGAGCCAGCAGGCGCCACTTCCAACGAAGGACAGGCGCCACTAAAGAGAACGCCGCAAAATCCCGAAGCGCGCACAAGTCGCGTCCGAAGCCAGTGCGCGTGTTTAGCCCACTTGTTATTCTCCCTCTCCATCTCCCCGCCAACGACAGCAGTCTCTCGACCAATTCTACACCCTCTCGAACAGTCTCTGATCTGGACTGCAAGCAAACACCGAAGTCCCCCATATACACTAAACCATCACCATGAGAGAAGTCATCAGTGTGAGTCGTCGCATGCATCCCTATCCAGAGGGGTGACGGGATTCACACAAGGAGTCTGCTCATGCCTCAATAGTTGCACGTCGGCCAGGCGGGTGTACAGATAGGTATGTTGTCCTTTTTACACTTCTAGTGCGCCGCGCGCCTTCTGCCACCGCGAGGGATCTGGCAAGGCGCGCAGGGGCCGACCACTTCCCAGATTATTTGGTTCGCGCGCTGATTACGTGAAGGAAACGCATGTTGGGAGCTGTATTTATTAGAACACTCGCTGACTGTGCGTATCTTTCTTGACTTTACGAGGGCGTGGGGGGTCTAAGTGTACGAGGGAGAGAAGAAACGGACGAGAGTGTCGAAATCGCGCGTGTCAGATTCTCGTGTTAGATTCACGCGTGTCAGATACTCGCGTTCCAGATTCGCGCGTGTCAGATTCGAGAGGTAACTAACTTCGGATAGCCTGACGGTCGTCTGATGGAAGGCTCTCCGTCTGCCAACGATGACGGTTTCTCCACCTTCTTTTCCGAGACCGGTTCCGGCAAGCACGTTCCCCGATCCCTCTACGTGAGTACCTACCTCGTCAAGCAACGCGTCCTAATTCCGTCCAGGTCGACCTTGAGCCCAATGTCGTGGACGAGGTTCGAACCGGTGCTTACCGAAGCCTTTTCCACCCCGAGACCATGATCACTGGCAAGGAAGACGCTGCCAACAACTGTGAGTGTCACGATCATCTGAAGGCGCCGCTGACCAGGATCAGACGCTCGTGGTCACTACACTGTCGGCAAGGACCTCGTCGACAGCGTTCTCGAGCAAGTCCGACGTCTCGCCGACAACTGTTCCGGTCTTCAGGGATTCTTTGTCTTCCACTCCTTTGGTGGTGGTACCGGTTCTGGTTTCGGTGCCCTCCTCATGGAGAGGTTGTCGATGGACTACGGCAAAAAGTCCAAGCTCGAATTCTCCGTCTACCCCGCTCCCAAGATGTCTACCTCCGTGGTCGAGCCTTACAACTCTGTGCTCACTACGCACACTACTCTTGAGCACTCTGACTGTTCCTTCATGGTTGACAACGAAGCGTGAGTCTACGATGTCAATGCGTATGTGTGCTGACGGTTTGCAGCATCTACGACATTTGCCGACGAAACTTGGGAATCACCTCTCCTTCTTTCACCAACTTGAACCGTTTGATCGCCCAGGTTGTTTCCTCCGTTACTGCTTCTCTTCGATTCGACGGTGACCTCAATGTCGACCTCAACGAGTTCCAGACCAACTTGGTTCCGTGAGTACACCGTGAAAAGCGCCAGCTTTGTTCTGACAGAGTACAGCTACCCCCGTATCCACTTCCCTCTCGCCACTTACGCCCCCGTCATCTCTGCTGACAAGGCTTTCCACGAGTCCAACTCTGTCTACGAGATGACCACCGCCTGTTTCGAGTCCAACAACCAGATGGTCAAGTGCGACCCTCGACAGGGCAAGTACATGGCTTGTTGCATGCTCTACCGAGGAGACGTCGTCCCCAAGGACGTCCAGGCCGCTGTCGCCAACATCCGAACCAAGAGGACTATCCAGTTCGTCGACTGGTGCCCTACTGGTTTCAAGATTGGTATCTGCAACGAGCCTCCCGCGCTTGTCCCCGGTGGTGACCTCGCCAAGGTCTCTCGATCTCTTTGCATGCTTTCCAACACTACTTCTATTGCTACTGCCTGGGCCCGACTTGACAACAAGTTCGACTTGCTCTACTCTAAGCGAGCCTTTGTGCACTGGGTGAGTGGATTCCATGCTATCTCTTTCTACTGTTTTGCTAACCGGACTCAGTACGTTGGAGAGGGTATGGAGGAGGGAGAGTTCTCTGAGGCCCGAGAGGACCTTGCGGCTCTGGAAAAGGATTACGAGGAGGTGGGAATCGACAGCGAGATGGACAACTTCGAGGAGGAAGAGTACTAAGTGGGATAATTGGGTTTTTCAAGCTTTTAAAATTACCTGAAAAGTCATAGCACTCGCCGACAGCCCTATCTTAATCTCTTATTTCTGTCTTTGATTATGGAAAAGTACGCCTGGACTGTCTACAGAGTCGTAGCCGATGATGTATAGACTTGGATCGATGTGGTGACAACCAGCGAGATTACTGAGCAAACAGAAGCAAACTAAGATGTTGTGTCCACCCCTACGGCATATAGCAATGGATCTGCGAGAGCCAGGAAGGCTGTATGTTTACATGATCCGCTGGATTCACCTAGTACAATACGAAAGATGTGTCTTTTGGGACCCAAAAAGAAGCAATACAAGTACAGAGCTACGGGCATCTATACAGCCCGGAAACCTCGTTTCGCCCACTGCTTTCGTTGCCACCCTCCTGCAATTCTTTCTACCACCATACGTTGGTTGGCAATGTACTACTGCCGCTAGCTTGCTGTTCGGCATTGTAGCCTGGGTCCACCAAACGATTGTCGACATCTTGAGGCATGAAGAATTGCTCCAAGCCCACGTATGGGGCAGTATCAGTAGGGCCCGCCGATCCACCCAGAGATTGACCGTCAAGAAATCTATGATTCATCAGCGTCCTGAAAAACAGGAGATATTAGATGGAGCATACAGTGGAAGTTGGTCATTCTCGCCAAGCGGTATTCCTGCCTTTTCCATCGTCTCGTGAGCAAAGATCGAATCAAACTCGAACAATTCCGCAGAAGACGGTGAATCATTGATTATTTGATTCGTCGCGTTCAGTAGCATTGAAGGGTTGGGAGATATTGAAGCTGCCCCCGCCGTGTTGCCAGGGATATGGGGGGCCGCTGGACTGGCGCCGTAGAATGCCGGATTGACCAGCTGGGAGGGGGAGAACGCAGTGGCGATGGCAGCGGGTGTCGCGCCTGGGAGCGGAACGTTGAGCCTGTTGGGCGAAGAGAGGACACTGGGGGCAGGTATAATTTTCTGTCGGCGGGCTTTCCGAAGGATTAATCTCAAAGAACGCGCATATCTTCCAGCCGGGACTATGAAAGGTGTAAGTTATTTCCGTCATTCGGGGGCATTTGCTACGTACTGTCGGCCAGAATACTGGCAAGCTCTTCGATATCCTTGGCTGTCTTTTTGAGGTTTAGCTCGTACGGGAAAAGACGAGCAATGCGGATCAGAAAGGAGGCAGCAAAAGCTGCACACACGTCTGCATCACAGTCAGTTTAGCTGCGAGCGTATCGAGCAGAGTCGCTTACGAGTGTAATGAACGGCGTATCGAAGCCCGTTACGGTACTTGATCAGAAAGATCAGCTTGGGCAGATACCGATGGGAAAGGACGCACGTTTTCGCCATGTAGACAGATATCCAAGCACTTCTGCGCGTTTCTCATTGCCCTGATTGCCAGCGCTCTCTTTTCTTCCGGCATGCCCACCACATCCGAGGGCTCCTTGACGCCGCGCAAGAGTTGGGAGTTCACAAACAGTCTAGAATCAGGTCAGCAGCGCCTTGACATGGTGGTACCAGACTTGCTCAGCATACTGCCTCTGAATCACCAACGATTCTCTGAAGAAATCGCCCTTGCACTTTTTGAAACGGTCGGCTTTGAATGTTTATCAGCACCGCTCACACGTTCGGTGAGGCAAGCTTACTCAAGATCCTATCCCAGTATCGCTCCCACGCATCAAAGTCTTGATTGGCTTGCTTCAGCCTCCGCAAAGTGCTCTCAGCGATAGGGAAATCCGGCGCTGCGGTGAGCTCAATATGCAGTGGAGCTTTGCGATCGTCAGTCGGATTCATTCTTTGAGGACGATGGCTTACATCTCAAAGCTGTCAGCTCCACCGTTGAAACCAGACGGGCATCCGATGCGATTGACAATGGGTGATCTAGTAATCTTCGGCACTGGTGGATAGTCTCGTCTTCTCGAATAATAGCCGGTCGTCCAGTACCGTACGCCATCCTAGTATATGTCAGTCTCAGTCATGGAGTACAGAATTTGACATACTGATGTTCCATCAAATATAGCTGGAAGGATTCACATCAGCTGGCCCGTAAGATATCCACTATACATTGCACTTACCCCGAACCACACTCTTGAATGCACCACCAGGCTCCTCTCCTGCTCCAGCTCTTGGGCCGACTTGCCTTTACCCATGCCGGACCTTAACAGATGAATAAACGACCTATTGATGCCCATATCGATTGCCATCCTGACCGCATGTCCTCCAGGAAGCCAGCCATTATCCTGGAACGCCGACAGAAGAAGCATGCCCTGGACAGCTTCGATGCGGTGTACAGGGTTAAAGAGGGTGCCCTTTGCTATACGCTCTGCGTGAAGACGGCAGACTTTTTGAGTCTCGCTGTGAGGGCCGCCGCCGTCCCGCACTCGAGCGCCTGCCCAAATGATGGCGGTGATTGAAAAGGGCGAGCGTTGACGGAGACTGAAAGTTGTCAGCTAGACGGCGAGCTGGATTGTCACACTTACGAGTCCCAAGTGTCGACAGACGGATCGTAACATGGGATAAAGTTGGAAGATCCAGAGTAGAACCTGTCCGTTTACATCAGTAGTGGTCTGACAGTTGAGATTCTCAACATACACTTGCATCATTGCCTTGCCTTCCTCCTCATCCACATATCCGGCACTGACAACATCAGGGTATGCGTGTTGATGTGTGGTTTGGGATATTGCGGGCATGCCGGGGATGATAGCTCGCGGAGGCAAGTTTTGAGTCTCAATGATGGTACTCCCTATAGGTGTCGAAGGGCTGGGGGAATCCTGCCTGTACTTTTTTGGGACTTGAGTATCTTCAGACGGCCCACTTTCGATCTCCTCTGCATTTCTCTTGACATGGCTGCTATCATCGGAGGACTTGTGCTTTCCAGCTACTTTTGCTGCCTCCTCCTGCCGAGCTCGTTCTACGGCGGCTTCCACCAGGCCTGCCATATTAGACATTTCTCCTAGTGGGTTGATGATTTCTTCGGCCCCAAATATATCTGGCGGCCCAACAGACCCGGCTCTGGACGGCGGCAGAGACATGTGCTTTGTTGGGTGCTGTGGCCCGTCGTCTCTTTTATGAGGCCCGTTCTGCCATGCGGCAAAGCTCTGCCGCCTTGAGGCGTCGTCCAGTAACCCAGGGCGTCGAGGGGCGTGCGTCTGGTCGCTATTCTGATTCTGCGAGTAGCCCAAGGGCTGAACACGTGTATTTGACGTGAAAGGCCGGAATGGGTCGCTGCCATGTTGGTGCATAAAGTTGGTGGACGGTGGCGGCATGAAACCGTTCAAGCCCGCATTGGAGGCAGTTTGCCTGAAATGTGAACCCGGATCCAGAGTACCTGTTGGCACAGGCGGAGATGCAGACTTGGGACCGAGTGCTAGATTGCTAAGGCCAGAGCCAAAGTGGTGGCCCGAAGGACCATAGTCTGGCGTCGTGCTGGTGATGTTGACGGGGGTATGTCCCGAGCCGTTGGACGCTGATGAAGACATTCCAGCTCGTAGAGTGGATACGAGATCTGATAGTGTATTTTGCATTGAGGACACTTGCGTTTCCAGTGTGCGAATGCGGCTGCTAAAGTCCATCAGCGCGTTGTCCGGTGTCGGCCACCTATGCGACATACTCTTCGCCTGCACCTGCCCCGTCACCACTGCTCGTGGATTTGCCGGGCTTCTCCATGATACAGTCCAGCCCACTGTTGCGACAACGTTTGCAGGGTGGATCTTCAGCGCCCACGCAGCGCATCTTCATACGGCGGCAGTTATTCTTGGTTCGTGTCAGCATGCCGCCACAAATGGTCATTGCGCCGCTCTTTCCACGCCACGGGCAAGACGTCTACCGTGCGAGACACGGACTTACACAGGCTCCTGCTCGGGGTCAGCACATGCATGGATGGGATGAGGAACGACTGACTGTTCACGCGGTTGATGGTGCCCTTCTTGTCGGCCTTTGGATCGTCCTTGTCCTTCTTTGTGCCCTTGAGGGACTTGTGGTCGTGGTCGCTCTCGTCGTGGTCATCGCCGTGGTCGTTGCCGTGGTCGTCGTCGTGGCCAGTGTCGTGGCTGCTCTTCATGGCGGCGATGGAGGACTGATGCTGTTGTCTCTGCACTTTTGCTGCACTTTGTCCCCTTCGGGTGCATCCGGCCCATCTCCCGAAGGGGCCCCCTCATTAGGCGCGCAGGATTCCCCGGCGGTAGGCGCTGTGTTCCTGGCTCGCGTTCAAAGTTGGTTCAAAGTCGCGTCAACTGGATGACATTACTCCCACGCGTCCTCTACTTCTCATCTTCTCATCTTCTCATCTTCTCATCTTCTCATCTTCTCATCTTCTCATCTTCTCATCCTCTCATCCTCTCATCCACCATGCCCCTCCTCCGCCTCGAGCTGTACAACTTCAAGTCGTACAGGGGAAAGCAGGTACGCACACCCCCCCTCTCGCCCCGTCGCTCACCTTGCCACCACAGGTCATCTCATTGGGCGACTCGCCCTTTGTATCAATCATCGGCCCCAATGGTGCCGGCAAATCCAACCTCATGGATGCCATCTCCTTCGTGCTTGGAGTCAAATCAGCCCAGCTGCGCTCAACCCAGCTCAAGGATCTCATCTATCGAGGACGAAGGGCCGCTCAAAACGACGACGAACCGGTGGATGAGGAGACACAGACACAAACCGACCCAGAGCTCGGGAATGACGCCAAGAGCGCATGGGTGTCTGCTATCTATCACGACGAAAAGGCCGACAAGGAGTGGATGTTCCGCAGGAGGTATGTCGCGTCAATGGGACACAACCTTGGCTGACGCTCTCGTAGCATCTCCATGTCCGGCGCGTCCTCTTACTTTTTAAACAACAAGTCTGTCGCCTGGAGAGACTACAACGCTAGACTGGCAGCATTCAACATTCTTGTCAAGGCCAAAAACTTTTTGGTCTTTCAGGGTGATGTCGAAGGAGTGGCCAGTCAGGATAGCAAAGCCCTTGCCAGACTCATTGACCGTATCAGCGGGTGCGTCATTGCTTCTGACAATAGCTACTGTACTAATCAGTGTTCAGTTCCCTTGATCTTGCTCCTGCGTACGAAGCTGCCAAGTCTGCGCAAGAGAAGGCTACCGAAGCATCGACCTCTAATTATTCCAAGAAACGAAGCATGCTCACCGAAGTCAAGCATTTCCGCGAGCAACAGGAGGAGGTCCGTCAGTGGGACAAGCTCAACGATAGCAAGGTGGGTATTGTAAGATCATGTTGGTCGCAGGCTCACATCGTTCTAGGATGCTTTGATTCAACGTCATGCTCTTTGGCGGCTGTATCACCTCACCACCACTATTGAAAAGTTGGCGGAGAGTGTGGAAAAGGAGAATGCCAATCTGGATGAGTGTAGAGATGCCGCTGTAAGTCTGCCTGCTTCCGGGATCGGGTGTCGGCTGACGCCATTCATAGGTCGCGGCTCAGAAAGAACTGTCGGATATCAAGAAGGAGCAGACTAAAGCTCAGCTGGACGTCAAGAAGCGGGAGAGCAGAGTCAAACAGGCGGAGAGGGCGTACGAGGACAAGGTATGCTTGCATTGCATAAACGGAGCGAGGTACTGATTGTAGAGCAGAAACCTGAATTGGTAGCTCTCGAGACACAAATCGCTCACTCTGACAAGAAAGCGACCAATGCCACCAACCTTCAAGAGAGAGTCAAGAAGGACGAGGAGAGGCAAGCGGACAGTCTTAAGACTTTGGAGAAGGGGTTGGAGCAGATCACCAAAAGGATGGAGGAAGCTGGCGGTAAGGGTATTCGATGCCAGATGAGGCTTGGCTGATGTGAGGCAGAGCAGCAAAGGCAAAGGAGTCAAGCTGCGGGTATCACCCTGTCTGGAGATGACCTCGACCAATATCGACGATTGTAAGTTTATAAATACGATTTAGCATGTCAACTGACTGGCTCCAGACGTTCTTCTGCAAACTCGCAAGCAGTGCAAGAGAGACAGCAACTTGAAACCCTTCGCCGAGAGCAAAAGACCCTTCGCGACTCCCTGGCCTCGGTAGAAGACAAGATGCAGCAAGCGCGAAGGCAGACGGAAAAGCTGACCGAGGAGACCAACGCTCTCGAGGAGCGTGAAGAGATTGTAAGTGGTGCCATTTGGGCGGGAATAATACTGATTCGACTAGGCGTCCACGAAAATACGCGAGATGGAAGCCGAACAAGAGACCATCTCTGGCCAGCTGAGTCACGCCCAGTCTGAAAGGGAAAGGATCAAGTGAGTGGATGGGGAGCGATACACGACAGCCTATTGACATGGGTGTAGCAAACGCGAGACCGAAATCAACGAACGTCTGCAAAATATCTACCACGAGCTTTTGCAAGCAGGCGTGGACAAGCGCGAAAGCGAGAGAGAGGCCAAACTCAACGAAACGCTTGCCAGCTTGAAACGCGTGTTTCCAGGCGTTCATGGTCGTGTCTCCAAGCTGTGCCGCCCTGTCGCCACCAAGTACGAGACAGCAGTCATGACTGTCCTCGGACGAAACGTTGACGCTGTGGTCGTTGACAATGAAAAGGTCGCTATCGACTGCATCGAGGTGAGTCAAGACATTAGCTATAATGCCTTTTGCTTACCCAGACTGCAGTATATGCGAAATCAGCGAGCCGGTCAAGCTACCTTTATCCCCCTCGACACCATTCAGGTCAAACCCATTCCTGAAAAGTTGCGAAACTTTGCTCGAGGTGCCCGTCTTGCCATCGATTGCATCGAATATGATCCCGTTGTCGAACGCGCTATGCAGCACGCCTGCAGCAGTTCTCTCATCTGTGATACCATGGAGATTGCCAGATATGTGTGCTATGAAAAGGGCCAGGAGGTCAAGGGTGAGTCCTCATTCTTTCGCGTGCTCGTCTAACCCGATTATATAGCCGTCACTCTGGAGGGCACCGTCATCCACAAGAGTGGTCTGATCACTGGTGGGCGAGGGTCGAGAACCGGCGCCAAGTTTGACTCTGTCGATGTGGACAAGCTCAAGGCCAACAAGGAAAAGGAGATGAACAATCTCAAAGAGCTTCATGCGTCCAAGCCCAATGACAAGGGTGATGAAATCCTCTTGGAAAGCCTCTCCCGTCTCAATGCGGAAATTTCCATCGCCAAGGATGAACTAGTAAGTTGTTGGGTCCTCGTGTTGCACCTGCTCACCAGGTGTATAGGCCTCCATCGAAGTCCGCTTGCGAGGTTCTAGAGAGGAATTGAAACACGCACTGTCCTCTATCAAGAAGCTCGATCCTGAACTTAAAACCAAGACTCGAGCCGTCACTTCCATCGAGCAGCGCTCTAGTGCATTGACTGATCGAATCAAGGAAGCGGATAATGTCGTATTCGGGGCGTTCTGCGATAAGATTGGGGTGACAGATATCAACGAGTATGAGGATGTGCAGTTGAGAATCGCAAACGAGGCGAACGAGGCCATGGAAGAGTTTGCGGCTCAGCAGGCCAGAGTGAAGCACCAGTACGTCTGACGATACGCAAGCATCGACCAAGCTAAAGCTGTGACAGGATCGACTTTGAAGTTTCGCAGCTCAAGAGCACCCGCGAGCGTCTTGTAAACCTCCAAAAGGTGGTTGACAAGGAAAACACACACGCGAAAGAACTTGAAAGCAAACGAGATGGTCTTGAAGCTGAATTAGAATCCTTGCAAGAGGCGATCGCCAAACAGCAGACCAAGCTCGACGCGTCCAACCAAGCATACCGAAAGGTCGTCGCAGCGGTGGAAGCCACGAGAGATAGAGCAAGAAGTGCACAGAAGGATCTTGACAAGAGGCTCAAGAAGATTGCTGGCTGGAACGATGAAGCTACAAAGTGTGCATCTGATCGACATGCTGTCTACCGAAGGTGTAGACTGGAAGAGATTGATCTGCCATTAGTGAGCGGAAGGCTGGACAAGGTGCCGATCGAAGAGGTGAGTGTGACCAATCGAGCTTGGGCATGGACTGATAAGTCTTAGCCACCGAAGGACGAGGATGAAGATATGGAAGACGAAGAAGCGACACAGAGACCAGTCCAGGTCGAAGACTATGGTATTGAGCCAGATTTCGATATGCTGGAAGATGATGACAAGGAGGTCAGTCCATCTCACTAATTACCACAAGTCGGTGTCTTACATTTTTGCAGGACGAGGCGGACGAAGTTGGCCGCGAAATGGAGGCCCAGGTCGCCAAAATGAAGGCCGATCTCGAGCGACTGGCACCCAACATGAAAGCTGTGGAGAGGTTGGATGAGGTGGAAAAGGAACTCGACGAGACCGAGCGAGAGGCTGAGGAAACAAGAAAGGAGAGTAAACGAGCCAAAGACGAGTTCCAAGAACTCAAGAAGAAGCGGTGTGATCTCTTCAACAAAGCATACAATCACATGTCGTCCGTCATCGACAAGATTTATAAGGATCTCACCAAAAGTCAGCATCAAGTTGGTGGTACAGCTTGGTTTACTCTAGAGGAAGTCGAAGTGAGTGTGTCTGCTATCTCTGGGCCACGTCACTGACGCTTCCACAGGAACCTTACCTGAGCGGTGTCAACTACAACACAATGCCTCCTGGTAAACGTTTTGCCGAGATGGAGCAGCTGTCCGGTGGCGAAAAGACGATGGCCGCCCTTGCGCTCTTGTTCTCGATCCACAGGTGTGTCTGACGATAGCGATAAATACGCAGTGCTGATCGGAGAAAACAGTTATCATCCTGCGCCCTTCTTTGTCCTGGACGAAGTTGATGCTGCTTTGGATGCCACCAACGTCATGAAGCTGGCTCGATATGTTCGCAGCCAAGCCGACAAGCATGTGCAGTTCCTGATCATCTCATTGAAGAGCACACTGTGAGTTCACGACTCTCTATACATCATATCTAATGCCATTTATAGGTACGAGAAGGCGGACGGCCTTGTGGGCGTCTACAGGGAGCAAGAAGAAAACAGTTCGAGAACACTGACTTTGGATTTGCGGCAAGTGAGTAGGGACCTTTTGTGTTTGGACGTGTGCTGATGTGCGGCGATCAGTATGCCAACTAGATCTGAGAGCGGGATTGGAACTGGTGAAGCTGGTTGAAGTGGGGATGGGGTATTTTTGCAATATACAAGTACTGTATGTATTGGGTATCGCGGGATGCTTGGACGGGGTGGGCGGTGGTAAGTGGGGGGCTTTGCGGAAAGACTCGCATGGGGCCATGTGGTGAACGTCATCCCGCCCCTGGTCTGCCCTGACTCGTTCTCCATTCGCTTTCTTTCTTCTTTCTTGTTTCTTTCTTGTTTCTTTCTTGTTTCTTTCCGCTGCATTCCACCAAGTCCCTGCCCACGCCCTGCCCTCCCCTGCTGCCCCTGCCCCCCACAGCCTCCTCCACTCCACCGCTCTTCCTCTGTCGATACCCATTCCCGGGAACAAGCCTCGGTTGCATCTGCGCACAAAAGTTGCCTACCTCCGCCTAATCCAACCAATATCTAGTATCTATCCAAACTACCTACTCCACACCAGCACACTTCACAGTGCCTCAACCGCCAAACATGTCTACTCCAGCCTTTGCCGATATCGCCAAGCAGGTCGAGCCCTACTTTCACCTGACAGAGGACCGCCTCAGAACGATCCTCAAGTTCTTCATCATGGAGATGGAGGAGGGCCTTGCCAACTACGGGAAGGACGTGGCCATGATTCCCGCCTTCGTGACCGGCGTTCCGGACGGTACCGAACAGGGGTGAGTCTCCTTATCACTTTTGACACGACATGATGCAGCGGGTTACGTGGTGCTGCCAGCACAGGGGCTGACATTGTGCATAGTGCCTTCTTGGCTCTTGACCTCGGCGGAACGAACTTGTGAGTATTTCTGCGCCCTCCTGGCATTCCGCCGTATCTCGCTTGCCGGCAGATTTCGGTAGAATTCTCGTGATGGCCGCGTCAGATCATCGAGTGTGCACGTCGCTAACCTTGCCCAGGCGCGTCTGTCTCATCCTTTTGCAAGGCAAGAACAGCTTCAAGATCAAGCAACAGAAGTACAAGGTGTCCGACGAGCTCAAGACGGGCCAAGCTCGCATCCTTTTCGGTGAGATCCGACCCCTTCAGACTATCCTGCTTACTGACCGCTTCCAGACTACATTGCCGAGTCTGTCGACGCCTTCCTCACCGATATCGATTCAAACCATGGTGACATCAACATTCCGGCCAATGAGCCTATGCATCTTGGTTTCACTTTCAGGTGAGAGACTGTGGCTAGAGGTTGTACACGTTGCTGATACGGTCATCAGTTTCCCCGTTGAGCAGACTGCCATTGACGCTGGAAAGCTCCTTACATGGACCAAGGGCTTCGAAACCAAGAATGCCGTTGGTCACGATGTTGTGCGTCTCTTGCAAGACGCCTTCGACCGGAAGCACATTCACGTCAACTGCAGTGCCCTTGTCAACGACGTGAGTCCCTTGCAACTCATTGCGACAGTCTGACTTATCCTCCGTCACAGACTGTCGGTACCCTTCTGTCTCGCTCATATCAGAGTGGCCCAGCTCTTATCGGTGCCATTTTCGGAACCGGTACCAACGGTGCCTACATTCACAAGACGAGAGATATCTCAAAATTGGGCGAAGAGAAGATTGCGGAATCTGAAAAGGGCGGAGAGCATGCTGGAGAGTACATGGTCGTCAATACAGAGTGGGGAGCGTTTGACAACAAGGTATGTTGTATAGTGTCTGCGACGGACAATCGCTAAAGCTTGCTACAGAGACGGTGCCTCCCAGTGTCCATCTATGACAACAAGTTGGACCGACAAAGTATCAACCCGTGAGTCCAAACACCACAAACAATCCGAATGAGTATTGATGGGGCTATAGTCGAAAGCAAGCGTTCGAAAAGATGATCTCCGGGATGTGTGAGCACCAAGGCAGGCGGCTTCCAGGCGCACACGTGCTGACAGATCATCAGACCTCGGCGAGATCACCCGAAACATCCTCCTCCACATGATTGACTTGTCCCTTCTGTTCGGGGGCAACTCCACTAAAATCCTCAATAAACACAACGGCTTCGACGCTGCCTTTGTCTCTGGCATTGAAGCTGCCAAGTCAGATGAGGACGTCAAGAAGGTCATCCACTCCATCCTCGAAGTACCCACCAAATCAATCACATCTGAAGACATTACTATCGTCAAGTGGGCTGTCAAGCTTGTCGCAGACCGAGCCTGTCAGCTCTCTGCCGTTGCCCTCGCTGCTGTCATCCAGCACACTGGCAACGACAAGACTGTGGAGGGCGAGGAGAACAAGAAGATTGACATTGGTGTGGACGGCAGTGTGGCCGAATTTGTTCCCAGGTTCAACGAGCGACTGCTGGAGACCATCACCCTTCTTCTCGGCAAGGAGACTGCCGAGCGAGTGAGCATCGGTTTGGCAAAGGACGGCAGTGGTGTTGGTGGTGAGTAAAGCTCCGTGTATTCCATGGGACATGTGCTTACAGGCCTTTCAGCTGCTCTTACCGCTCTCCAAGCCAGAAAGGCTATCGAGAAGCGATCAGACAGATCGAGTCACTATCTCCCCGGCTCTCGAGGCCCCCGTTAGAAGTGGAGGAGCGAGGATGAGCGAGTGAGAGTACTGGGGCGCGCCGCCGTCATCTGTCATCATATCTGTCAATAGCTTGTACTTTAGAACAGCAACGCGATTGATGTCTTGTCATGCTTGAAAAAAGAAACATGTTATTGCTATACCTTGGATGCAACTCTCACTGCAATGCGAAGGCTGTTGACTGCACTGTACTGTCTTGATTACTCATTTTTGAATGCGCGTGTGCATGCATCACAATTATTGGCCACAATTACTTTATATTAAAGAAGACTACACGCCAATATATACGGTCGACCATCCTAGATCAAACTTCAAGATATGACAAAACAAAGACTTAGCTGTGAGCGGGGTTCTTGAGAGCCAGAAGCTTGACCTCTCTCTCACGATCGTCGGCGGCCTTTTGGCCTCGGAGCAAGTCGAGGTCGGAGGTCTACGTCAAAAATCAGCTTCATGTCGCTGGGATCGATCTTGTTTCTCACCTTTTCAGCCACCTGTGCGGTCAACCCAGCGGCGTGATCCCTCCTCTCCTCATAGTCGTTCTCCGCATTCCTCAATTCACCTTCCAGCTTCTCATACCTCTCCTTTTCCTTCAAAAACCTCAGTCTCGCCTTGTGTTCCCTGGCGGTCCACTTGGATAGGCTGAGCTGAGACTTGCGCTCTGCAGAGGCAGCCTCTTTCTGGAGCTTGACCATGCGTTCGAGCTCCTTGATGGAGGCTTGGACAGACTTGGCTTCTTCTTTGGCTTCCTTCTTAATGACCTTGGCCAGGCGCTTGGCGTCTTTCTTTTCTGCAAGGAAATCAGCCAGCTGTAGATATAGATGCGAGTAACGTACCCATGGTAGACAACCTTCGGAGAGTGGCTTCGTCCAAGACCCGTTCAGAGAGCTCGGCCCGGGTGTGAATATCGCTATCAAGGTATTAGTTCGACTTGATTCATGAGAACACAAAAGACTCACTCTCGAGCCAGCACCTCCTCCGGCTGAGTCCCAATGCTCGTCCCAGTACCTTTTCCGAACGCGCCTCTTCGACTTCCGACAGTCCCGCTTCTGGTCAAAGTACCATTCCTTTCCTCCAGAGTACCGGCTCTGCTCAACACAGTGCCGCTCCTACCAAGGTGACCTTCAGCTCTAGACTCCCTGCCATTCGCATAGCCGTCGTTTTGGCCCTCGTTGATTGCGCCGAGCCCGCGGTTGCCATAGGCAGAATGGGGACGGGGAGTTGGAGAAAGGGCGCGACCGGGCAAGGGCTGCTGCTGATAATACTGTTGTTGCGGCTCTTGGAAAGTGGTCCTGTTCTGGTGTCCGCCGTCCTGGTATTGACGGGGACCGCCATTGGCGCCTTGCAACTGTTGCTGCTTTTCCTGAGACACGTACTCTCCGACATAGAGACCCCCAGCGGTAGCCCCTACACCTGCCGCTCCAGCTTCAGGGCCGAAATTGTTGCGGCGGTTGGATCGGGTAGAGGCGGCTCGGGAGAGGGGACGAGAAATGTTTTGTGCCGCATGGGGCTCTTCGTAGCCGCCGCCGTTGGAGTGATGGTCGACGGCGGCAAAATTGTTGACGCCGTTATTGTTGAACCCGCCCTTGCTGGATCTCACAGAACCGGCTCTGGACGCACGCTTTGACTGGGATTTGACAGGAGAGGTACCGTCAATGGATCCGGCTCGCGAAGAAGCGCGTTTTACGCTGGGGGCCTTGGTGGACCCGGCCACTGAGCGCCTGTTTCCCGCCAAGGCGGCCGGGAGCTGTGGCTCATAGTTGGTGACAATAGGGACAGCGTTGACATACGACCTAGAGGGAGTTTGGTTGAAACTGGCGGCAAGTCAGCCACTGAACGTCCATATAAGCATGTACTTACGCGGGTCGTTGCTGTTTCTCTTCTTCATAACCCTCCTCTCTAAACTCGGAAGGGTCGGCAGCAAGAGCCGAACCCAAGGCGACCTGGTTGTCACCACCGTAACCATTCTGCAATTCCCTTTCACCGTATTGACTCCCGGCGAATTGCGGGCCAGTCCTTTGAGCCTGCAAAGGCTCTTGTTCAGACTGAGCAGACCACGGTCCGTAGCCAGGGCCGCCGTGGTAGGTCTTGGGTGCTGTGCGCTGAGTGGCACGACTAACGGGACGGTCATTGAGATCCAAGCCGGAAGCTTGGTTGGCGAGAGCGCTGTCATGGTCCAGCTGGGGCTGGGGGGCGACTACGGCCATGTTTGTGTGTGTGGCTTGTTCGGTTGGTTGCTCAATAGCCGGACTTTCCACAGGTTCGTCTTTGGAGACTGGGGCCTGAATTGGACTGGGCTGCTCGGGGGCGGGGGCCAACGGCTCAATGTCTTGCCGGAGAGTGGGCTCTGGGAAATCGAGGGGGGCCTGTTCGCGTGCTCTGGGCGGCTCAATCGCTGGGTGCAGGACAGGGGGGCCGGCAGCGGTGGGAGAGTGGGTGTAGGAGGGAGAAGTCGCCCCGGTAGACACTGGGGAGGCAGGGGTGTGGGACGAGATGGGGTTCTCGGAGGGAAAGACTGCTTTGAGGACGGGCCGTGTGAGGAGGCCTACGAGGCCGAGTTGTACTGCTTCGGACGCCGTGGTGGGCAAATGGGGGTGGGGTACAGAGATGAGATGAGCCGAGATGGAGATGGAAATGAGAGATGGATTGGCTTATAACGTTGAAGAAATCATGGGTAGACGTCCAAATGCGGAAGTGATGACGACCACGCTCATTTAGTGACGTCACCCACCGGATAACGTAAGCACTCATTCCCGGTCCTTGCCTCTTGTGGCACTTGGCATCTCATCCACCATACGCATCGATCAACATGGATATCCTGCCCCCCTCCCTCCAGAAGGCCCTCGAGGGCCGCATCGTAAGCTGTAGCCCCTTTCCCACATGCAGCACTGACCAAGCTCGTGCAGGACCATCCCTCCCAGGAGATGATTGCATCCCATGCCCAGACATATCTCGCCGTGCTCACCGTAAGCTACAGAGTCCATATTGTACGATTAGCTTATCGATGTCTGGTATGGCAGCTGCTGTCGTTTGCCCTTTCCTTCACTTGGAGCTCCGTGATGATGGGCCTCCAGGCCTTTGGTTATGGGTTCGGGCTTTTGTTTGTCGTGAGCGACCTTTCGTACGCGTCCACGAGACCTGTGCTGACTCTTACACTCTTCCAGGCCACAGTTATCCCATGGCCGTATCTCCAAAGACACCCTGTCAAGTTTCTCCCCGTCCGCAAATCGCATGACCTGTGACATCGTTCCAGTACGACCTCCTACGCCATTTTTCTGTTGTATATGCACACTTTGGGTCTTTTGCTTTACAGATTGCTCTGTCATCTGCTGCATGGCACCTCGGTATCTAGGATCTAATTAGACTGGGCATACACCTTCCGCTGTAATATCCAACATACGCGGGCGCGGTGGTCTTCTTCGGAGAAAGAGACATGACAACTCTGCATACAGAGGCTCAAATTGAGCAAGAGTGTGGAGCATCCGACATAACTTGGTTCTGGCTCCAGCCTTTGTTGCTTCCCGAGTCTCGACTAGTTGGCACAACAACTTCTGAACCCAGCCTGAGCCTCACTCAACGCTGCCAACACCTCCCGTTTTAGTTGTCTCCCCATTTAATTTAGACTTTATAGAATCCGCTTCGAATTCAGATCCGCTTACATTTCATTCACATTCTGTTCCATTTCCCAGCCAGCTATCACGCACCCATCGACCCTCTCTTCTACTCACAAGGCCCCGCCATACCCCACACACCCGCAACTCTCGCACCTCCCAGACACACACCGACCCGCCGCTATGGACATTGACGTTGACCGATGGTCCGAAGACGAACGCATGGAAGAAGAAGCCCCCTCTGGCGAATGGACCGGAGAACCCCAAGAAGGGAATGACGGTGATGAAACGATGGGTGAAGACGGCGCTGTTGTTGTGGAAGAAGAGGTGTTTGAAGAAGAGATCGACATGGACGTTCCCACACCGAAACCCGACGCCTTCCAAGCCAGACCCGGCGAAATGGACGTCGTTGCTCCTGCTCCAGATGGTGAAGTGGTGCATGGCCATTCTCATACACCCGAGCTTGAAATGCGTCCTGCATCGCCGGCCCCTGCGGCCGAGGGATCGCTCCCGCCCCCGCTCACACACGAGCTAGAGATGCGGGCAGCTTCACCAGCGCCTGATGCTTCTGTCGTTGTTCCTACTGCCGAGTCATATGAAAATGCGGGTGTCGATCCCGTGATTGAGACTGAAGCGCAAGATGAAGGGGACGATTCTTTGAGTGGTGGCCTTCCAGAGGGAGAGGGTGATGACAGAGTTGTCGACGCACAGCCGCCACTCGAATCCGAATCAACCGCACTTGACGCTGGCATGCCGCCATCAATCGAGGAGACTGTCCCTGCCTCTGATGCCCCTGGGCACACTGAAGAGAGACATCTCAATGTTGGTAGCCATGGTGATGAAGAAGAAGAATACGACGAAGGGGATGAAGAAGAGCCTATCACAGCGGACAACCTCCCATCCATCCTGTTACACCTCCCTCCCCTTGCTTCCTCCCCCACAGGCCCAGCTGTCCGAGCATTGTTTAGCCCTATCGAGAGTGACCCCGGACAACTCGCCGTCTGGCTGAAAGATCGGCAGCTGGAGTTGGCCGAGGCGAGCTTGTATGACGTCTGGGCTGCTATTCGAGCGGAATGTGCGAAAGAGGGTCTCATACAAGGGGCAGGCGATGGGATGATCATCACCGAGAAAGCCATGGATCTCAAGATGGCCGAGGTGAGTCTTCTACGGCCGTGGTATTCGTGTAGCTGACGGTGTCCAGGATGATGTCAACATTCAATCCATCACTTTTCTGGAATTCGTCATTCTCTACCATGGCTGTGAATTGGCTGAACCCGTCCAGTTGTACCTGACTTGGGAACCGTCCAGATTCATAACGCGATTCAACGCTATTCAGTCCGAGCTCGAGATGATGCGCAGCAAGAGCGATTCTTCGGATATTGGCAATGGGGACGAGTATGAAGAGGATCAAGAAGTCTATGAAGAGGGTGCGGAGTATGAGGAAAACCCAGAGTATGACCATGAAGAGACGGAACCGCAGGAAGGAGAGGAAGGCCAAGAAGCCAGCCCGGCCAAACCCAAAGCAGATGGTGAGTCTTTTGACATTTGGTGCATACGCGTGCTGACCCGTATTCAGACAAGGCTCAGTATGCAGACTCCACCCCTGGCGACGATTCGAAAGCTCTTGAACGTGCACACCCCAATTGGGCTGATGCTAGGGCCCAGCGTGAGTCATTCTAGGTCCAGCTCCCATTTGACTGACGTCTGGTCATAGCTACTGAAGAACTGTATTACCAAGGGACTACTGACCATGAACGACAAGTGGTGTATCCTGCGCCTGAAAGGGTCGCCGAGCGTTCTACCAGCCCAAAGCCTCCCCCCAAAGGTGCGCCAGACATTCCGAGTTGAAAGGTCATGTTGCTGACTCCTTTGAAGAAATTGCTGAAGCTGGTGCTGACGATGAACACTATGACGAAGCACCAGCGGAGAATGAAGAGTATGACGAAGACGCTGCGGGGGAGGCTGGTGAAGAGTGGGCCGAAGAAGGTGAGTCTTTCGGGCATATAAAGTATGATGCTGACTTGAAGCAGAAGAAACTGATCATCAAGAACCCGCCGCAAGAATGGAACCATCAACGACTGTAGAAAGCTCTGAACAGACTCTTTTGACGGCAGAGGATCCGTCTGTGCCGACTCGCGAAGACACTGTCCCCAAGGACGAGATTGCGCTTTTGAGGCCAGAGCACGATCGTATTATGAGACAAGAGACCCCTCTCGTATCTGGTATTTCCACCCCGCTCGTGTCTCTACCTCCTTCGACACCGGATGCGACCGTGCCGCTCCCGAGTGGCATCAACACGCCGGCTGAGGCTAGCTCTCTAACGCCGTCGGAAGTGGATCAGGCCAAGACGAAGGCGCGCGATATTTTGGCTCCTGCGAAGGCTAGTGCGATTCCAGAAGAGAGTGAAGTGGGGTCGGATGAAGCGGAAAAGTTGGTGAATGAGGAGATCAAGTCTACGGAGCCTTTACCTGATGGGGAGAGTGGGTTTGTCCCGCCCGAGGTGTCCACTGACGATGTGATCGACCTCACCGCAGATGGTCAGTCGTCTCTAGATGTTGGGGTTAGGTGCTGACGACCATATAGACGACTACGAGGACGAAGAATACAACGAGGACGATGTGTATGAAGAAGAAACGGAGGAAGGGTATGAGCAGGGTGAAGAGGGCGAATATGTTGAAGAGGAAGGTTACGCCACGAACGAAGAGACTCTGGACGATGATGAAGAACGGACGGCGCCTGAAGAAGATACCAGGGCTGCTGCTGGGGATGAGGCCACGACGCTGTTAAAGAGATCACATCATGATGATGAGGATGGTGAGAGTAAGCGGACGAAGCGGGAGTGATCTTTGGTGAGTTGAACGGTGTGTCGATTGACTCTTGCTGATGACGTTCCAGCCCCTTCCGTGCCAGTCCCTTTGTGCTTCTGGCACCTTGTTTTCTCATGTGTGTGGCTGCATGATCTGTGGCTCCTTCGGGAGACAAGCTGTCGACGTCGACATCTTTGGCTGTGTCTCACACACTGACAAGTATCTGTTCTCGAGCCGGCATGTGCATCTATGATCTGCTGGCGGCACCAACGTAAGTGAAGTGTATAATGAGCTGACGGTCGTGGTATCTCTATTCTGTGTTGATATGCGGGTGGGGGTGTATGTAGGGTGACTGTAGATGGTAGATGTATGCACGAGATTTGTTCCCGTTGAGAAATTATGTAATCAGTGGCCGGATCATCTCCAAGTTCAACAGCCATACGTCATTTTCACCTACTCAGGGTACTCTACTGCTATATCTCCAAGTTCAACAGATGACGGGAGCTATCCGAGCTAAGGGTGGAGGTGCCACGTAGACGGCCCCGCCCCCATATAGAGTGGTAGATGGGCATCTCGTCATCCATCGCCCATCGCCCATCCAGCCATGTCCTTCAGAGCCTCCCTCCTGCGCGCCCGTGTCCCCGCCGCCCCCCTCGCCCGCGCACCCCTCTCCACCTTCGCCCGCCTCCCAGCGCCCTCCCTCAAAGCCGCCCCCGCCCTCTCCCGCTCGTTCGCGACCTCCCCTGTCAGCCGCCTCCAAGTCTCCCAGCCCCTGCGCAATGGAGGCACCGAGGAGGCGCCGCACAGTGGCATCAATGCCAACCGCAGCGTGAGGATGGACACGTGAGTCTGCTGTACCACGAGCGAATGCATGCTGACGGTCTCTTCTCTCTGCTCCCTCTTCTCTCTGCTCCGTCCGGCCACGACTCGCCCTCCCTCCCTCTGTGCGCCGCTCTGTCGATCCTCCTTTGGATCCGTAACCTTGCCCTACCCCTGACACCAACAATTTTCACCTCGTGACTCGCCGTCGTGCTATAAAACATCCCTTTGTCCACTTTTCTATCTCCTCTTCACTTCACTTTCCTCCCCACAATGCACCCCAACCTCCGCACCCTCGCCGGCCCCTGCCTCCCTCCCCTCATCCGCCTCGGCCCCCACTCAATACGCAACCTCTCCACCACCGCCCGTCCAACCCTCACCCAACCACGACACCTCTCCACCTCCACCCCCCTCCTCCCCCGCCATGCCTCACCCACCACCCCCCTCCTCGCCCCGCCCCAATCCCGTGGTATCGCTGTCACCGCTATGGCCCCCGACGGTGCAATGTTCAGCTACCCTCCCCCTTCGCCTGGCGAGGACTTCAACGTCGTCATGGTTGGTGCCGGTGTGAGTATTGCCCCTATCGCGTGTCTATTACTGCTGACGTTGGTGTCAGAACATCATGTTTGGTTCAGACGAGGGTCCTTGGAAGTGAGTCCGCGTCTCGCTTGGCACTCGACACGTTGACTGACACTGCACCCCAGCCACTCTTTCCGATTCGAGCACAAGCTTGGTCCACGACTCAAGGTCACTGCACTCATCGACCCTTCTATCGGTCGATCCGAAGCGGTCCTTGACGGCAAGCGTCAATCCTTTGTCGAGTCGGCCTACAAGGACACCAAGGTGTTCAGGACTATCGAGGACTACCACGCAGACCTCCGCGCCCAGAACCAGTACGACCCTCAGTGAGTACTTTCATACATTGCACGTACATGCCTAACAGGTGTACAGCGCCATTGTCGTCGGCTGTCCCCCTGCCTACCGAGGTGGTACCACCAAGGGCACCGATCTTGAGATCCAGCTCATCAAGCTCTTCCCCAAGACGGCCTTCTTCATTGAAAAGGTGTGTCACTCGTTTCATTTTCTCCACTCAACTAAAACCCCTTCAGCCCGTCGGTACCGGAACCGTAGAAGCCGCCAAGGCCGTCACCCAAAAGCTCATTGACAATGGCAACATTGTTTCCGTCGGCTACATGCTCCGATACCTCCGTTGCGTGCAAAAGATGAAGCAGATCATCCACGACAACAATCTCACCGTCATGGCAACCAACGCCCGATACTCGTGTGCCTACGAGGCTATCGCCAAGCCTGCTTGGTGGAACAAAGCTATCGACATGGGACCCGTCATCGAACAGGGCACCCACTTCTGTGACTTGTCCAGGTACTTTGGTGGTGACGTCGACATTGACACTGTTGTGTGAGTCTCCTTCTTCATTCTTTTCCAGAAGCGCTGACATGCCACAGCGCCCGTTCCGTCGAGTGGTACGAGGATCCCGGAAAGCTCTCCAAGATTCCCATCGACGAGAGCAAGATTGACGAAGAGCTCCGTATTCCCCGTTTGACCAGCGCCATCTGGAAGTACGACAATGGTGCTTGTGGTTCCTTCCAGCACGCCGTCGCTCTCCAGGGCCACGACTACTCTTGCGAGCTTGAAGTCTGGGCTGATGGTGAGTACTTTTCCATATTTATAGCATGCGCTTATAGAATATACAGGCTTCCACATGAGGCTTGTCGACCCTTACAACTCTCCCGCCCTCTACGTCCGACGACCCGGAGACGACCATGAGGAGCGACACCACTTTACCGACGACGACCCCTTCTTTTCTGAGGTCTCTTCGTTCATTGACGCTGTCGAGGGTGGACCCGACCCTCACATCCTTTCATCTTTCGAGGATGCCACCAAGTCTTACGAGTGAGTATCGCTATCTCCCGCCAGGAATATATGCTGATAGTGATAGGCTTACCTGGGCTATCCGTCTCGCTGCCGAGGCCTCCAAAAAGATCAAAGCCTGAACCTAATGTCTTCTTTCTTCTGCCCAGAACATTGCCTGCGTTTATTCATAAAGGGTTTCATGCCTCATTGAGTCACTTATACAAATAAATAAATGCAAATTCTTTCAATGACCATACTAAGTGCATGATCCGGGTGTCTGGCACAACTGTCGCAGATCATTTCTACACACACAAAGACCTGGCAGATCTACGTCGGCTGACATCAGACCATTCTAGGTTCAAGCTCGAGGCATGTCGGAAGCTGGTATCTGATGGGGCCTTGATTCCCGGAAACACAGGCCTGCAGCGCCACAGAAGAGATCCCGTCCCTTGTCCGACTCTTGTGGCTGATCATGACCCCTTCCGTAGATTCGTGGTTCAGCTGTCTGATGAGTTGTCTTGTGACTTGACTCCGGGCAACACATAGCTGGGCTAGCATGCTCGTCAGAAGCATACCACTGCATTTACTCCTGCTGGAGCCTCTTTTTCTCTTCCTCCGCCCTCCTGTTCTCTTCGATATACATGGATACCAACTCCATCTCTGTCTCTGCCCTCTTTTGGAACTCTTCTATTGAAGAGCACCGCTCATCACCCAAGACTTTTGCACGATCAAAGTCTATCGGGTGTATGTCCCCCGAAGGCGTCTGATACCAATGCCCCATCTCGACATCTCGGTGTAACTCGCGGGCTTTGAGCAGAGCGTGATAAAAAAAGTACGAAACGCGCCCAAAAAAGATGTGGACGATCGGGCAGCACTAGACGTTGAGCAAATTGTGAGTATTTGGGTATTCTTCTGTGGGCATGATCATGAGCCCTGCATGAGTTGAGATCTGTGGCGACGAGGAGGCTTGATGCTTCGATGCAACCCTCGCAAGAGCAACTAAGTACGAGTACCCTACAGACTCGAAAGCCTCTGCGCTATCTGCGCTATGGGCTTTGTGTCAATGGCTAGATGTAGGGATGCTTGCTTGTGGTGTCGTGGAGGAAGTGAATTGCGCGTACATACGAAGAAAAATGACACAACAACACTTCCTGCCACGTGCCCTACTAGTGCTCATATGTAGTACGCACAGACATTAGAAGATCGGCCAACTTTCAAACAAAAGCAATCACAATAGACATCACTGTGAACCGGATAACCTTGGAATACATGACAAGAAAAGATTCTACATGATTATACTACCTGTATAAAATGAGCCCCAGACACAATCCCTTATACGACGTGGGCAGGGGCGGGAGCCTTCTCGTGCTGCTCTACGCTGCCAGTCTTCTCCAAACCGCCGTGCTCGTGGGCACCGAGGATCTCGGCAGCAAAGGTGGTGTGGGGCTTCCATCCAGGCGATCGTCGGGGTGTACCGCACTCCTCCATCATCCTGTCGACCTGTTCCAGGGTAAGACCCTTGGTCTCCCAAACGAAGAAGTAGGCATAGACGAAGCAGATGACACAAGTGGAACCCCAGATGAAGAAGACCTTGGAACCGAGATTACCTTGGTCGGTGCTGACCATGTAGGGGGTGATGACGGCGATGATGCAGCTGATATATCGTCAGTCGAGCTCAAAGCAAGAGAAGAATAAGGACTCACTTCCAGAACCAGTTGGAGGCGGTGGAGAGACCGACACCTCGAGATCGGATGGGGATGGGGAAGATCTCACCGATGCAGACCCAAGCACCAGGACCCCAGGTGGAGGCAAACAAGGAGATGTAGATGCAGATGAAGGAGATCTGGGCCTTGACGACAGTAGAGTCTCCGGGCTTGGCGACACCGATGATACCGACGATGAACTCGCAGATCAACATACCGAGGGCACCCCAGATGAGGAGAGGTCGTCGACCAAATCGCTCAATGGTGTAGAATGAGATGGGGGTAGAGCAGACGTTGACGAGGGTGGTGATGAGGGAGATCAAGAAGGGGTTGGAGATGGTGCCGAGGTCGGTGAAGAAGGTGGTACCAAAGTAGAAGATGAAGTTGACACCAGTCCATTGCTGCATCATCTGGAGAGTGATACCGAGGATAGTTCGACGGAGGTTGGACTGAGGGTTTCGAATACCACCAGAGAAGCAAGCAGCCCAAGAACCCAAGTAGGTCTGGTTGGGGATGAGCTCGGTCTCGTACTCGTGGTTGGCGACAATCTCGGTGATTTCATCCCTGATGTAGTCGGACTCAACCGGCTGGCCTCGGACTCGTGAAAGCGCCTTGGTGGCCTCCTCAACCCTACCCTTCCTGACATACCATCGAGGGGACTCGGGCAAGAGCATGAGACCAGTACCCAAGATGAGACTGTGGATGAGTTAGATAGAGTCAAGATCGAGAGTAGGAGACTCACGCCCAGGCAAACTGGATGGCGATGGGAATTCGGTAAGAGCCACTGTCGGTTCGGTTCTGGGTGGCGTAACACACGCAACTGGCGAGGAGGAGACCGATGGTGATGCAGAATTGGTAGCCAGAGACGATGGCACCTCGGACCTTTCGGGGGGCAATCTCGGACATGTAGAGAATGATGATGGCAGAGATGAATCCGACACCGAAACCAGAGATGAGACGACCGGCGACGAGCTGAGATAGGGTTAGCATAAGCAAGCGGAAAGACAAGAGGGGACGTACGAGACCGAGGGAAGTACTGGCGGTCTGGAGCACACAGCCGACAATGAAGACACCACAACCGGCGACGATAGTTATACGACGACCAAAGAACTCGGCCAAGTCACCAGCGATGATGGCGCCAAAGAAGGTACTGTGGAAACTGTTAATGGTATTCACGTTGAGATGTGGAGACGTACCCGGCAGAAAGGATGGAAGTGATCAAAGACTTCTTCCAGGCAGGAAGGGTAAAAGCAGCGACCTCGGAGGCGCTAGCGTCGGGGCCAGGAATGGGAAGACCAGTCATCATGTTGATAAAGTAGTCCATGCCGAGGACACCGTTCATGTAACCCGAGTCGAAACCCTGGGTCGCGTCAGCCAGCTGTCAGAGAAGAGAAGCCGGCGGACGTACAAAGAAGATACCACCAAAGGAGGCAAAGACACAGAGAAGGTAGGCCTTCAATGTGACGGGGGCCTCGACCCGCTCGGAGGAGGTGTTGTTTGTCAGGATGTCGGAACGTCCGCGGAGAGAGGATGGCTTGGCCACTGAGGGATGTCAGCGGGGTCAGTGCGGGAGGGGGTGCTTACTTGTGAGTGTGTGTTGGGATAGATAGAATAGATTGGATTAGAATAGATTAGAATAGACTAGAATAGAATAGAATAGAGAGGCGGGGATGGAGATGGGAACGCAGAGGCCTTATATATCCAGCCAGCCAGCCGCATACAGAAAAAACAAGCAGCGGAAAGATCCGTGCCTGTGCCTGCATGGGGCACAGCGGGGCACGCGGGGCACAACGGATGCCCTGGATTTCCTCGCGCGATCACCAATTATTCCAGTTATCCGACTCTTCCCCCGTCCCATTGGCTGATGCGTCCCCAGTCACCTGACCTCTTTCCGAATATTTGGTTTTCTCGCCCAATTTCCGGCTACGTGCGCTGCCCAGCCGGGGGGTATTTGGTCCTCTCCTTGAGTCCCCAGCTGGGCCCCTGCTTTTCTGCAGTGTGCCCCGGGTGCCCCATGCAATTGCTTCCGGCATCTCACCACATCCAAGAGATCCCGATCTCCCTGCCGCCGGTCGACATCCCTGACCACTTTTTTCTTCTTTCCCTCCCGGCCTCTGCTCGAGGGACCAGGCTCGAGCTCGCCCTGGGCGTCTGAGAAGAGAACGCACAGCTCGCTGACTTTGGACGCCGCCAGAGTCCTCTTCGGGCATCGCAATTCGCAGGAGTTCCATGAGGTGTGTGTGGCAAAGCATTATGAAGGTCCACCTGCTCCGCGCGCGCCGGATCTCTGATTACCATGTGTAGCCAGCTCGCGATTGCCGTCTTCGATCTGCCCAAGCGCGCCCAGAAATAAAGCAGGATTCATGTTCTCACGAAAAGCTGACGAGAGTACGCGACGTGCCGTCGCGAATTGAGATTGAGAATCGGCTCTTTGCCTATTTTTGGTTTTCGGCTGGTGGCCCTGGAGGATTTTCTCACATCTGAATTCTGATAGTCTTTGTTGCTTACTTTGAAGAGCAGGATGGCGGGGGTTGGAGTCTTCAGTTGCCACGGGCCACTGGCTCGCGGCTCGCGGGCTTCTATTCTTGCAATCTTTCTTCCCTCTCTCAAGCCACGACGTGTTTCCAGAAGCATCGCGTCCCGTCACTTTGCATGGTTCCCAGATGCCTGGGCCGATGTTCCCGGATCATGCCAGTCTCGGTGCCGGCCAGGGTCGCGTCGTATCGCTCAGAAGGGTCGGCCCGCCCCTCCGCCGCTTTCCACCTGTCACGGTGCCACCTGCAACCTGCCTTCTTCACCTTCTTGCTCCCTTGCCGCCGTCTTCGATGGGGCTTGAACTTTGCTCGCCTCTTTCCGCCGTCCTCGTGCGCGTAGAAGTTTTCGAATATCGCGAATAAGCATGCATCCGTAATTGCTAAGCATGCTCGGTGGGTCGAGAAGCACGTGGTTTTGCTGAATCGTATCTACATAGGTCTACCACCATCTCTCGTCAGCGGGCCGCATTGATGATCATAGATACGTGGCATACGTGCCGGTCTGGGTATCTGCCGATGGTTGCTGATCATTGGTGATTGGGGAGGATTGATTCACACTCACAAAGTTGACCCAGTGACCAAGTGACTGTCGACAGATGCCGCACATAACGCATTCCCACAAAACGAGAGAATCCTGATACGATAGCCAGCGGATAACCTTATTGCAAACCCTCGCCGGTGCCGCAATTGATGCAGTACCAGGCCAGAGGGGTGAGGCTGGGCGGGTGACTCCACTTTACCACGCATTCTCAGCTGTCTTGGGCCTTGGCTGGTCAGGCGGAGACATGCCATCATTCTTCTTCTCCTTTCGCTCAACTACCCTTGTCTTGCTCCTTCCCACGTCTCCATTCCCTCCATTCCCTCTCTCCCGCGGAAACAGGACAGACCACGCACTCAGCCGCAAACGATCTTACGCCGCACTCGGTATATCAATCATCTGACCATCAGACCCACCTCCACCTCCGATGTCCGAGCAAGAAATACTTATCTTCAGGAACTGTGTGGCGTTATGGCAACATCTAGCTCATCTCGAAGGGGAATCCAGAGTTCAAGACGCGTCAGCAGATGCTTGTCGACGCGAGCCACGCTTCTAGATTTTATAAATAGAGTTGTCACCTCACATTTCCACAAATCCCAGGCTGAAGCGTATCCACCAAGGCAGCAACATCGCGTGTTGTATTGTCGGCGCCTATATCAAAGCCCCAAGAGCGGGATGAACATCTGACCATGTGGTTCTGGGGGCTGTACTCGAGTACAGGGTTGCAGACGTACAGTAAGAGTAAATGTTCCACCCAGGCCAGCCAGGAGTCAAGAACGGCCTGGATCCACGCAGCGGCGACCCAATACCGAACAGAAGTGGATGATATAGTCAGCAGAATAAGTGGTCTTTACCAATCAGCTCAGTGACAAGTTGCATCACTGGGGGCAAGTCTGATGCGACAACGAGAAAACTGCTCGGTGAACGGTCAAGCTGTAGGCTAATAGAGCGTTATAAACCCTACATGAGTCATATTGTGGCTAATGCTGATACAGGCTTCTTCGATGTCTACTATGCACCACAGCTAGCTCTGCGCTGATGCAGGAGAGAATGTTGTTGAATGTAGGCTGAGACTGCAAGGACTTCCATTAGAGACGAGATGTTACGTCATGCACGGGATCAAATATTTTGATGCGTGTGATTCGTTGGTCTTCTTGCTTTCAGCCATTTCGCCTCTCATCCATCCGTCTTCTATCCACCCTGTTCACCGCTCGCTCATTTCTCGCACGCCTCTTCCCCGCCATGTCGGACCCTCAGCCGTCCACCTCCAACCCTGCAGAGATCGTACACCAGTTGCACAACATCGACGCCATCCAGCAAGACCTCGCAGACACCGCTGCAGCCGTCGAGAACACGGGTGCGCAGGGCCATCCAGAGGGCGCCTCAGACGAGTCTTCACAAGCTGTACTGCTAGACAATGCAGAGGCAATGGAATCAGCCTTAGAGTCTGCCATACCAGCTGCACCTGCTTCTGCCTCCGAGTCTGCTGCATCAGAAGCTATGGGGGAGACACGGGGAGACACATCGCCGCATGTCGCTGTGACTATTCCAGAGGAATCAGTGCCGGCCACGGCAGGCATCGTCGATGAGTCTGTACAATCAGAGCCTGCGCAACCAGAGCCCATAGTGGCCGAAGCCGAACCTACCCCATTATCGACACTTGCTCCAGGGGTTAGCGGTGAGCCCGTCACCGTGGTCGTGGATGATCTTGCTCCATCCAACCCCGCGGGGGCTACTTCAAGCACTGCAAATACCCATGTGCCGGAGGCGACGCCCTCTCAACTCGTCCCCGAAACGCCTCTCGTATCCCAATCTACCCCTACTGTCTCTACGCCCGTTGAAGCCCCGCCCATCGTAGCCCCAGAACAAAGCCAACCGGCCTCTTGGACGGCCTACGAGGACCCCGTCACAAACACCCCGTTGCCCGAAGGCCTGACAGAGTCATCTCCTAGCGTGCGACAGAATGCAGAGCTGGTGTACTCGTGGCGAACCGGTTAGTCTTCTGCACCGATGCTGCAATGCCATTTGTTGACTTCCACATAGACTCACAGCAATCTGATACGGTACTTGCTCTGTTCAACTGGTCTATTCAGCGAACCGAGGTTGAAGATGCTCGAGCTTGGTACAAAGTACTCGCTGTAGATAATCCCACTGCTGTTGGTTACATCCCTTCCGAATATATGTCACTCTTTCTTACTCCGAATACAGTCACAACCCTTGCTTGCGTTGATCAACTTGGAGTTAGCCTTGTCCAACTTTCCTCAAGTGGAAGAGATATTCGCGTCTACCCTCAAAGGCGACGCGGGCATCAACGCGCCGATCGATGTCGGTATTTGGGCTGCCTATCTTCACTACATTCGCCGTCAAAACCCCATTCTGGATGGCGCACCCAACAACGAGCAAGTACGAGACACGATAGCCAAAGCTTACGACTTTGCGCTGCGCGAATGTGGAAATGACCGAGAAAGCGGAGAGATCTGGGATGAATATATCAAATTTGTTGCGAGTGGACCGGTACGTCGCAATCAAGTTGCACTACTCAAGCTAATGTTTCTTTAGTCCTCCAATCAATGGGATACCCAAGCCAAAACTGATAATCTTCGGAGAATCTACCAGACTGCCGTTCGCATACCACTCAACAACATTGAGGCGCTTTGGAAGGGCTACGACGCGTTTGAAACGGCTCAAAACAAACTCACCGCCAAAAAGTTTTTGGCTGAGAGGTCTCCAGCCTACATGACGGCGCGTACCGCCCTCCGAGAGCTGCGTACACTCACAGATCGGATCCCGAAACCAGTCATCCCCGCTCGCCTGTCATTCACGGAGCAAGACAGACAGGCGATCAATGCGTGGAAGGCGTACTTGAAATGGGAGGAGAGTAACCCGTTGGTCATTGAGGACCAGGAGATTTTGCAGTCCAGAATCGAGTATGCGTTGAACAAGAGTCTGGGAGAGATGCGCCACTTTTCTGAAATTTGGTGAGTACAATTTGGACACAAAGAGACGCCGCTGATTTAGTCCCAGGCAATACGCCACAGCTTATTACCTGAAGCAGAACGAGAAGGATAAGGCAATCGAGCTCGTCAAAGCTGGTGTTGAAGCTTGTCCGAAAAGGTGAGCATCGAATGTGATGTGATTGAATGTTGTGCTAATAGACAATTAGTTTCCTTTTGACTTTTGCCTATGCCGAGTTGGAAGAGGAACGTAAAGAATACGCAACCTGCCATGCCCTCTACAGCAACCTCATCTCAAAACTCAACCCCGAAGTTGATCAGCTTCGTAAAGAGATTGTCAAAGAGGTTGAAATTGCCCGCGGACCTCCTATTCCCAATGCTGAAAAAGCCCAGTCTGCTGCTGCTGCCGGCGATGTGGACATGGATGGAAACGATTTGCAGGAAATTCAGAAATTGGTCGACGAGCGAGAGAACCGAGGTCGACTAGTCGCAGAGAGAAGGGGTCGAGATGTGGATGAACTCATGATTGGAATCAGCGTGGTGTGGAACATGTACATGCGATTCGCTCGACGGGCCGAAGTAGGTTGCTTATCAAGTGTCAAGCATCATACTGACTTGCTTCTTAGGGTATCAAATCTGCACGAGCTGTCTTTGGCAAAGCTAGAAAGTCCCCTCACCTGACATGGCATGTCTTTGAGGCATCTGCAATGGTGGAGTATCATTCCAACAAGGACTCTGCTGTAGCCATCAGGATTTTCGAGCTTGGTCTCAAGCTTTTTGCCGAGGATGTCGATTATGTCGTCCAATATCTCAAATACCTCATCTCCATCAATGATGAAAGCAGTGCGTTTGTCAAGGACATTTGCATGAGCATGGCTGACATACAATCGCAGATGCTCGGGCACTCTTTGGAAGATCAATCACCAAGATTGCCGCCGACAAGGCGCGACCCCTGTACGATGCCTGGGCACAGTACGAGTACATGTACGGTGATCTTCCTGCGGCAAAGAAGCTCGAGGAGAGTCTCCAAGAAGTCTACCCCAACGATGCTCCACTCAAGCGCTTTGCGCAAAGGTGGTGCTACAATGGCATTGACGAGATCGCCATACGGGATCTGGGCTTCAGCCAGAATCGCACATCGAGAGCATCCACTCAACCCCGACCTGCCCCTCACATTGCTCCGGCTGTCGATCTGGCGCCTGCCCCCCCTGCTCCCATTCTTGCCCCTGCCCTCCAAGAAAGTTACAAACGGCCTGCGCCAGAAGATCTCGCTCGCCACGACTCGGGAGACTATGCCAGCCGCTCTCCAAAGCGACACAGAGGGCAGTCTCCCCGCCGCGAGCCCCCGATTGACCGGGATGACCGAGGGCCACTTGGCCGGTACTCGCGCGAGCCTTCGGTGTCCTCCAAGCTTCCACCAGCAGGCCCTCTGAACGGCCTTGGATCTGTGGCACCTGCCTACGGCTCCCCAGTCGTGCCAAGCGTCGCTAGCGATAAGGATAGGAGCGGTCTTGGTAAACCGTTAGCGTGGTTTTTGGCGCAATTGCCTACTGCTCGCGCGTTTGATGGCAAGTATTCATCTCGACATCTGATGACCCATGCTTACATTCTTCTCAGGTCCTGTGTTCCGCCCTGATGATATGGTCAAGGTGTTTAACAGCGTAACATTCCCGGGCGCGTCTGCTGCACCTCAAGCGGCTCCCATTCCCCGAGGACCACCGCCGCCTGTCACTGGCCGAGGGTACTATGACGATAGAGATAGGAGGTACGGTGGACCACCAAGAGGCAGGTATTGAGGCATAGATTAGAAAGAAGACTGCATGTTGGAACATTTAAATAGCAGATGCATACATAGGAAACACATTATCATTTCCAGCACTCCATTCTCCTTCGCAACAAAGCTTGTAGCTCTGTTCTATCAGTCTGCACGCCCACCCTCTGTCCGAACGCTTGCGCACTCGCATCATTTGCCCAAGCCGCCGCCATCGCCTGCGGAAAGGTCGGCACGTCTCCCTCCGTTGACGATGAAGTAGGCAAAGAGAGGATCACGGCTACCTGTTCCAGTTTCACCCACGGCAGCTGGAAAGGTATGTCCACCCCGCCCTTGCCCTCTCTTTCGTATCTACTGAACGCCTCTGCCGTAGCTTCCTGCCATTCCTTGACCTCGCTCTGGAAATCTCGCCCTCCCTGCTCGCTGAATTTGCTCCAGCCAGAATAGACACCGCGCTGAAGGATGTGTCGAGAGAGATCATGCACTATCCGACGGTAGACTCTGGATGAGGCGATGGGCGGAAGCAGGGGAAGAAGCGCGGAGAGGTGCGAAGTATAGGTTGTCAGGGCAGCAATGAGGTGCGGAGAAGGTTCAGAGGTCTCAGTGGAAGGTGGGTTATCCCAAGTCCTGATTTCAATCAGCACCATACATCTCATGCATCATCAAACACGTACCGGGTAAGATGTTGTTTGAGATCATTCTCAACCTCCACTGTGACAAGTTTCACGATCATGTCCTCTGCCCGAGATGACAGCTGACTGTACCGATCGATGAAAACCTCGAATATTGACCCAGATACGTGGTCGTCGGAAGCTGGAATGGCGGGTGTCTTGAGCGCTTGGGGGATGAGAGGATCGGATTGGACCTTCCACTTCAGCGCTGTGGACTTTTGCAGGTCAGAAGATAGTTCTATGAAGAACTGTACGTATGCGTCAGCAGGCGGACAATGTGTGGTGGCTCAACTTACCACACTATCACTCCACTGACGCAAAGCCTCGCTGATCCACTCTGCACTCAGGTAGGCTTTACAGAGCCTTTCCGCACCCGCCTTTCCGCTCGTCAACGCCTTTTGGTCAATATTGAGACCACTTCTGGTGTTTCCTGCCAAAGCACCCGGGACAGCCCTGACGAACGCTGATGAAATCGTTTCAAAGGCATCCAAGGATGATGATACGCGCGCATGGTACGTAATGAGAAGTGGCATCTGGACGGTCATGAAAAATGGAAGACGATAAGTGAGGTCGGGCAAGGGAGTAAAGCGGTCAATGATCTGGGCGATAAGTGATTTGGTCTGTCGGGCGCTAACAGTGGGATGCAGAGATGACTGGGCGTCTTCTTCGTCAGAAGTTTCGTCGCTGATGACCCAGGCGCCGGGGGAAGATATAATCTCTTGTAATCGATTATAGGCGACTGTGCAGCTGTGAGCATGGTTTTGACATGAAAAGCAGCACGTACAGTTCTTCTCGCCTATCAGCCATCTTTCAAACCAATCAGACTCTCTTAGGATGACACCAGTCAGACCCTCCCACTGCGGCCCCTCCTTGCCTTCGTAGATGCTTGTATCTTCGAGCGCAAATCCTCCGTCTTTCACCGCCTCGTCAAAAACGACTGTCTGGTAAACCGTGTGAGCGAGAAGGGCTGGATGATCGAGTATATGTGGTATTCTCGCTTTCAAGAGCGACAAGACCAACGGTAAGAGGAGTAGGGTGAACTCGGAGGACACTGAGACCTCATATCCAGCTTGAGCAGTCAGTGGCTGTAGATAAGTGGCGACGAATGCCTGATGGGTGAATATTTGGTCCAGGATGTTGGCAAATGCCCATTCAGGCTTGTCGACTCGGTTGGTACCTTTGCTGCCCATGAAGTGGTACTTGAAACGCTGCTCAATGGGCAATATCAATGCCTGAAGTGGGTAGAGACCATCTCCGGAGGACCAGTGTGGGGGGCGGCCAGTAGTGTCTGCGTCCAAGTCCTCCTTTCTATATCCCGGTCAGCTTGTGCTCCTGTGAGTCTGTGGACAACCGTACTCTGCTTGTAGATATAAAAGGTCCTGGTATGCGCTCTCAAAGCTACGCCGCTTATCGGCAGGGACGTCTTCGTATATCACCTTTCTGGGCCACCCAATTGCTGCCGAGGCAGCAATAAGATTTCTGATGAAAGAGTCAGCGGGACGACTCTCTATAGCCTGGTCGGACTGACTGGGACATGATCTCCTTCAAGCCATCCCAAGTTTGATCACGGACTTGGATAACTGTGGCTACAAGGCCCATCTCACTCGGCAGGCTGGACTGCATGTTGTACGCGAGTTCGTCGAGTTCGCGGTAAAACGAGACCGCCGCTAAGGGAGATGGCTTGTGATTTGAGCTATCCAGGACGCTCTCACTGATTTCTTTAGTCAGAAGGACAATATTGAGGGGCTCAATGTACACACCTCAGTTTGACAGCTCTTTCCAACAATCTAACCCAGGTCAACCCAGCCTCAAGACTACTCAGTTCCAGTTGCAGCGCTTCGAGCTGACCAAGGACGGTTTGCCTGTCCTCTCCCGTCTGTTCCACATCGGAAATCGATGCCACAAGTCCAGAGAGCTTGTCTGATAGATTATATCTTTGCAAGGATAGCTCCTGGGCTGACTGCAAGAGGCGCTGCAGGCTCTCTTGGGTGCTTTCCAGAAGAGAAGGTAATGATGTCGTCGTTTCGTCCAGCTAGTCAATAGTCAGGAGAATTCAAGCTCAATGATATGCCCACCTGAGTCTGTGATCTAGACTGTTTATTCTCCCAGTGCTGTATCTCATCTGCGATGGCTCTCTTTCTGCGTTTGTGGGCTGGAGGACGGGGTGCGAGGGAGGCGATGTCGGGGAAGTGTGTGTCGATGTGGGCTGTGACCTGGGCTATGGGCGGGGGTGCTGGGTGGAGGGCGAGGGCCCGTATCTGGTGTGGGAGGGCGTGTGCCATGGGGGCGAGGAGTATAACAATGAGTATAACAAGAAGTATAACAAGAAGTATAACAATAATGCCGTCATCCGTCCATTGTTGCATCTCGTCGTGCCCGGTGGAGGCGTGTCACTGTCAGCGGCCACTGCCGCTCCCAACCACACCACCACCACTCGAAACTTTCGCTTTTCTCTTTTGCCTTTGTACCATCCCCAAAATCGTAAGTCGTCTTCTCCGCTCCAGCCTCCAGTCTCCTCCCCATCCACCAGCCTCTCGGCGGCATCAGTGATGAACTTATCCTGAGTACAATATATAGGAAGTGCCATCTGCATCAGCGAGCCCTCGGGCTAGCTATGCTGTTTCCAGGTTAAAACTGAAACACACTCTTCTTCTCCCAATTGCATACTCTGTCTTGAGAATGTAGCTGACGATTGCTATTAGGTGTGCCAACGAGAGTGTGCGCGCAAAGGCGGTTGCGGTAGAGGGAGGTGGTGCGGTGCAGAGTAGTGTAATTAGTAGCTCCATGTATCCCAGGTCATCACGAATGTTTAGTTTCCCTGTTGCCTGCGTCTCTTCATGCTCCTTACACGTTCCCTGGTCCATTTTGCTCGGTTGTAGCCTGCAGGCAGCCTCTCTGCATCTCTAGAGGTCGTACTTTACACCCGCTGTTTGGATCCAGCTGGACCCCCGCGAACCTCCACCGCTGATCGAATTTTGGCCTCTCAAGCGTCTACTCTGCGCCATCTTCCTCCATCTCTTTCCATATTTGCATTCTCTACCTCCCCTTTCCTTGCCCATACATCCACAATGGTCCAAGAATCCGGCAAGAACCTCTGGGTCGCAGCTTCAGATGGCGATCTCGAAAGAGTCCAGGTGCGCTGCTTGTTCCCCTTGGCCATGCACGTTCAACTTACTTACAAATTCTCAGTACCTGATAGAGAACGAAGGCTGTACTCCCAATGACAAGGACTCCAACTCGTACACCCCCATGTGAGCTTCTCCCCTCCTTGCATATCCGCCGCCATGCTGATCTACCAAGGCATGCCGCCGCATCCTACGCCCACATCCCCCTCCTCACCTACCTCCTCACTTCTGGTGGCAACCCCAACATCACAGACGACGACAACGAGACTCCCCTTTTCGTTGTTGAATCCCTCGAAGTTGCTCAATTCCTCGTGGGCAATGGAGCCGATCCGGCGTGGAAGAACAGCGAGGGGGTGACCGCTGGGGAGCAGCTGGAGGAGGAAGCTCCGGAGGTTGCTGCTTATCTCAATGGCCTGACGGGTCTGGGCGGACAGATCGATGAGGCGGCCGAGGTGGGCGACACTTCGGGCGACATATCACAGCTTGCGCTGGACAACTTTACTGCCACCCAAACGTCGGCCTTGATGGAGGAAGCGCAGAGAATAATGGAGCAGTGTGCTGCAGAGGGTGTCGAGCCTGATGAGAGACTGAGAGAAGTAGTAGAGCGTGCGGTCCGGGATGGCATGGCGTTCGGTCAAGCGACTGGGGAAGGAGAAGAAGTCGAGGCTGCTAGCCAGGGGGACTCTTCCAGCAAGAGGGCTAGGGAGGAATGATGGTCTGCTTGATGGTCTGCTTGATGGTCTGCTTGATGGTCTGCTTGATGGTCTGCTTGATGTGATCATGTAACTGTATAACGACCTTATGACTTATGACGCAGCAACGCTTCAAAGAGTATAGAAAGAGTACATGCTAATGTGGTAAACTGGTTGGAACCTTATTATCTATACACATCTACCATTTGAATCTCTCTTCTATACAGAAGAGATACCAATGACATTCTCATCCAAAATAGTCTCCAAAGCCTCGACGACCTCTTCGGGGCAAGTGACATGCCAGTTGGCAAGAGTCTTCTTGGCAGGTGGACCCACGGCGATAGCAAACACCTCGTTGGGACGGATGCTGAGCTCGACATCGGGAAGCTCAGCAACATCTTCGGGTTCCAAAGTGGAAGTCACGGCCACAGGAGGCTTCATGACGACCTTGTTGTCGACAATGCCACCGGGAGGGAAGATGGTTCGGAGGGCTCGGAACATGTCCTCGTCAGTCTGCAGAATTGTCAGCAATGCACATATACTCATCAAGTAAACTCACCTTGTCGTCACCAGCACAGAAGATCAAGTCTGCGTCCGGGTTTTCGTACATCAACCTCCTGACGATTTCACCCTTGTTGACCGCCAGGGGTCGGACCTCGAGATTTTTCTTGCCAACCAAGACTTTATGGTTCGATTAGTGCCACCCTCCTCATATGTCAAAGACGACTCACCCTCAATTGGCCTTCTAGGAGCAAGAGAGCTTTCCAAAAGATCAAGACATTGCTTGCACTGGAAGTCTCCGAAATCAGGGTCAGAGTTTCTGTAATGCCAGGTGATGGACGCCTTCTTGACTTCAATAGTACTGCCGGTGGTTCTCTGCGAATTCTGTTAGTCAAGCTTCGAGACGATGCCAGCAAACTTGCCTCGGTGTAGTACTTGAAGATTTCTTCCACTTCGCTCATCCAGCTCATATCGAGCGACTCGGTCATGTTGATAAATCCATCCTCTCCAGGCTGCTTGACAAAGCTTCCGTGTTCGGCAGACATACCCAACCGCTCGAGGTGGCCCCAATGCTCCTCAAGGAAATCACCATCGCGACCAGAGATCAAGTAGACAACATTCTTGGGGTCTTCGGCAAGAGCGGCGATGGCATTTCGGGTCTGTTCGGTAGGCACAGCGTGTGCAGGGACCTTGACGATAGGGGTAAGAGTACCGTCATAGTCGAAGAGCAACAGACGCTTCTTGGCCTTCTTGTACCCGTCCACAAACTTGGCGAGGTCCAAAGCAGGGGTTTGGTGAGCAGTGTGCTCCCCGCCAACATTTTCGAGGAGTTGCTTGAGGATGGTAGCAGCCCAAGTGTGGGAAGTGTGCCCGAGGACACCTTCCAACAAGTTGGCGTGCCTCTCAACCTTCTCCTGCTCACCCATACCCAAGCCCTTGTTGATGGCGTGCGCAACGCCCAAGAGGTCGTGAGGGTTGATTTGGAGCGCAGAAGCAAAGGACGGGGCGGTACCCATAAACTCGGACAGAACGAGGGGAGACTTGGCGGTCTTGTCTTGACAGAGGATGAATTCCATGGAGGTAGTGTTCATACCGTCTCGGAGAGAGGTGATGAGAGCCAAGTCGGCGACAGAGAGGAGGCCAAAGTATTCGTCCTTCTCGAGCGCTTGGTGACTACGTTTTGTCAGCTGTGAAGCATGTATTCGAGAAACGACTGACTAGTGATGCACGGGAGTGAAATCCAAGCTACCATAAGTACCATTGATCTGGCTGACCAACTCGGCAGTCATTCGCTCGAGCTTGGGGCTCTCGGACAAGGCCGGCGTGGTAACTTGGATCAGAACCACCTTGTTTCTCCATTCGGGATAGACCTGCAAGAACTTTTCGAACGCTTGGAGTTTGTTATAAACACCCTTGGCAACGTCAAGCTTCTCGCGACCGACAATGATCTTCTTGTCCTTGTACAAGGCCCGGAGGGCTTGCATCTTGGGAATGACACCGGCCTGGTCGCGATCGTGAATGACACGCTTGATGTCGATACCGATAGGACAGTAGCCAACAGCAGTAACCTGGCCGTTGGCGTCGACACCACCGGGTGTGGATTCGTAACCACAGACACGGATACAGGTGGAGACAAAGTGTCGAGAGTAAGAGTAGGTTTGGAACGAGACCAGGTTGGCACCGAGCATACCGTCCAGGATTTCCTTTCTCTCTGAATCACAGTTAGCAAAAATAACTTTTAGTAAAGAATTGTCTCACTTGGCAAACACCTAAAGATTTCCGAACTTGGCCAGGGGGTGTGCATAAACATGCCGATCATGATTTCGGTCGGCTGACCGTGGAAGTGCTCCAGCGCTCCGAGATGCTGACCCAAAGCAGTACCGACGTTGTTCAAGAATCCTCCTATCTTTTCAGACTTGGACTTGTCTGCAAGGGGAGTCTCCTCGTTCTTGTCCCATTCAAACTTCTTGTTGGCTTGGAGGTGGGAGGGCGAAGGGTGGGCGGTACCCCATCCGACGCTGGGGTGGAAGACCTGGCCAAGAGCCTCCCGAATCATCTTGGGGGCGAGAAGAAGGTGGTAGTCGTGACAGATGATGAGATCTCCAGGCCTGTAGACCTCGGCGACAGCATGGGCGAATGTTTGGTTCGTCTTCTCGTAGGCGAGCCATGAGGGGTCGGGCGATGGGACGGTGGCAGTAGAGTCGAGCCAAAGGAGGTAGTGGAATAAAGGCCAGAGCGCTGAGGCGAGTCAGTGCTGTACAAGACAAGATATAATGTACTCACTCTTCTTGCAGAAGCCCTCGTAATGTCCCTTACTGACATCTGGGGGAAGGAAAACAGGAATGTACTGCAGTTTCTCGGACGTGTCCTTTCCGCTCTCCGCCTGAGAGAACCGGTCGAGCTCCGACTTGAGCTCCTTCCTATCGGTGTCGTTGAACTCTCCACCAAAGACCATCAGGGGGCCATCCTGCGGAGGTGGGGGGGCTTCAGTGGCTCCCGAGAAGGGTGCCGCAAGGGTATCGGCAATGGAAGGGAAGGTCCCCTTGTTGGAAGGAGCCTGCGAGCTGGCCGTGCTGTCGGGTTGTATCAGGACCTCTCCCGTCCAAGCAACGAGCACCTGGTCGTGGGTGTCTGAAAGGCTCTTGATACCAGAGACCAGCGCGGGGTGCGCAGTCCTAGCATGGATACGCCACTTGGCGCTTTCTACGGTTGTCTCGGCGTCTTCAGGCTTGAACTCGGGAGTCATGGGCGGGGAAAGGACACCGCTGCCTGCAGCCTCAAGCGCATCGGCAGGAACGACACGGACAATCTCGACTGGGAGATGGTGCATGACGTGGATGATGCGCCCAGAGAGAGGCAGGCCCTTCTCCTTGTGAGAGGCCTCGAGACGGGCTACCTGGGTCTTGAGGTCTGGAAGGGAAGGGGGGATACCGGGGGTGGGGTCGGGGTGCATAGAGTCCATGTTGGATTGAGTGTTGTGCAGGGTAGAGCGATTGACGAGTGCTTTATAGGAGGTTTGGGACGGCGAGAAGAGTTTTTTGGGGAGAGGACACTAGAAGTGGAGGATCGCCCACTGATCAGCTTCCCAGAACGTTTGTGACACGGCGGTATGATCCGGCCACAGCGGACACGGGTGGGAACGTGAGGGGAGGCACGGAGGATAGACAGGGGCAGAAGCGAGAGGGGAGGGGGACTCACCGTGGCGCGCTACAAGGAGGTGGAGAGAAAGGAGAGAGATGGAATACCCTACGGCTTTTGGCTTTTCCCATTCAGTTCAGGAAATAATCGGCCCTGCTATGACGTCGCACTCAACGCGTTCGATCTCCTCTTCTCGCCGCGTCCAGCACATTCCCTCGCTTCCCTCAACATACTTCTCACACGTACATGCGACAGTCTATGACAATTCTACAGTTATATATGCAAGGTCCAACCAAACACTGTTGTACAAGTCTCCACTTCCTTCCGGCTCATTATTCCCTTGGTGGCTCTCGCGGCTGGCCCTCCTGCTCCTTCTCGACGTCTGTGTCTACCACCATTCCATGGCCGACCAGAGTTGGTTCCGTCGAATTGGCAGAGGTTGATCCCCATCCAGCCTCGGGGTCCCCAACTCTTTCACCCTCGGTTCCTTCCGCTCGGCGCCGACGTCGAGCAATGGGGTTGAGGATGAAATAGAGGAGGACGACGATACCGTCCAGGATGACCACTAGGACATATGACACCTGAGACGCGTAAGTATCGTGCAGACTCGATTTTCCTGGACTCACAAAAGCGGCCACATCCAGATCTGTACGGAAGAACAAACTAGCAAACGAGAAGATGCCTCCGAGGATATCGACAGCCATAAACATGAGCGATATGCCGATAACCTCTCGGAACCTATAGATCTCCCAGTACTGTGGCCTTATATTCAATGAGCTTTGGACTGTACACAGAGGGGCCACTTACAGCAACGCTACAGCGAGGAGAACGGCAGTGATGTAGCCATACATCGTGATGGGCCACTCTGTGCCGTTACGCAATCCTGCCTATAACACTGTCAGCAGATGGTCAAAGTGGCAGTGATAGATTGAACTCACTCGCAGAGCAAAGACGCTACCAGCCTCGAATCCGGCAAAGATGCAGCAAAATACAATGAAGATGGCCCAGACACTCTTCTTGGAGTAGCCGCGCTCATAGTGCAGACATTGGCACCATGAGATGGCGGCTAGGACACCAAAGGCTTGTGGTTGAACTTGTAATGGGATAGAGAGTTCCTGCACTACATTGTAGGAGCCCAGGAATAGGGAAGCCAGTCCCCAGATACTACCAGATGTAAGTACAGAACGATGCCTTCTTTCGAGATCCACTTACAACATCAAGGATGCCGAGAGTCCCTTCGTCGTCTTTTCCCTGTGCGACTTGACGATCTGGGGTGCAATCTGCACCATCCAGAATACGGCTCCTATGGTGCCGAGAGCATTTTCGGCGGCCTTGTTCTCTTTCATGGGTTGAGGTTGCGGTCGACCGAGTGATGTAACGATTTAGATTATGCGTTGCCGGTTATGCCAAGGGACTGAGTGTATAAATACAGTAAATATAAGGCAAGAAACTCTTAGGTAGGCTTGGGTTTCCAAACTATTATATATATGTTACGAGTATTGAAGGCGGAGGAAGACCATGTCACTCCAACGGACACGGAGAGCGATTTTCACTGTGGCGAGATTCTGCCTGAATTTTGGCGTCTCTTAGCTCGCAGACCTCGCCTGACCGTCTCGCTCCGCCTATCTGCTCGCTCTCGCCTCTCTTTTCTCGCCAAGACATATCGTACCCGGGCCACGGAAGACTGAAGCAGTCAGCGCTGCGAGCTCCGAGACTACATAGGACGCTCGTGGTTCCATAGGGAAAAAAATGAAATAGACTTCTTGTAGGCTTCGGTCTATGTAATATATACTTACGCCGCTACTGCTTCTTCGCGCAGGTGCTATCTTATAGACGTCCCAAACGCTCATGATGGTAGAGTACTCCCATATAGTGCCATGTGAGCATCCTGATGGTCGTATCTTCCCGGTGAACAGATCAGCAAGGGGTATCGTAAGTAGCGATTCAGTATCACCATCTCCTTTGTGATGATCACTCAACATCGCCACGTCGATTGTTTTGCGCCTCTATACATTCATGTGGGGAGATCATGACAATCTCCTGCAGTACCCCCACAAGTGTTACTCTGTATATATATCTTTTGCTGGCGCCCCCACTTGAACGCAGCCAAAGCTACACCATCACTGACTCCTCATGTTGTTACAACGCCGTTCTCGGTCAATACGAACGCTAAGGGGACCATGATTACACACACCCATAAGATCGCCATGGGGTTTCAATCTATCAGAGAATTATCGTAGGGCCCTTCTCGCGATAACTGTAGACTGTACTGGTACATAATGATGGCACTTGTACTCTATAGCTGTACACGGGGATACCCCTTGTGTCAGTCATCGTAAAACGTACATCATGAAATACCGAAAGCGCAAGCATTAATCGTTACTCGTTATGACCACAATCCTAGTCCATCAAAATGAAACACGTCCTTGACACCATATTGTCGCTTATGAGTTGTAAAATTCTAGTGTTCCGAGTCAGCACATGTAGCCTTAGACGGGAGACGAGACACAGAGCTCACTCTTGTTGACTTGGTGTATCAGCATGTTCAAGCTGAACGCTGCTTGTCCATCAAACATGTCTAGTCTCTCCTTATTCTCATACTGAGCCCCCAAAAGATCTTCCATCCTGATCTGGTCTTCTCCGAGTAATCCACCAGGCGCGGTGGGCGAGGACGGGTACAAAAGTTGACAATCAAAGACGCCCACCTCGTTGGAGGAGATCACAATGAAGAGCTTGTCAAATTGACGAGGGGAGATCTGGTTGACGGAAAGGAGAATGCCTGCGGAGATCAATCGTCAGTTTTGGTCCTCGGGTGAAGAGCGAATGCGTACGCTTCTCATACAGATCAGAAGCAGTGTATTTGTAGGACCCAAACTTGGCTTGCTTGCCTTGCCTTCGTTGAGACATTTGATGTCTGTACTGCTTGCTCATGAATGTGGGCTTCTTTTTCCTGCCATACGCATTAGAACTGTCATATTGTAGATTACGGGTGACTCACCCCTTGGCTTGCAGCTCTGCCATGGCTCCGTCAATATAATCATGGTACGCCTTCACCTGAGACTCAAATTCCGCCTTCTTTTTAGACATGTCTTCGTGAGCTTTGACCATGCCCGCCAAGTTGTCTTTGCGGATTCTTCGTAGATGGTGCTTTTGTCGAATATCAGAAGCGATGGACACGAGCAGACCTTGGAGATTGTCCTCTCTCGATAGTCGTCCAGACCGCTCCAACTTCATGCAGAATTCGATGGCACGAGATTTGACCTCATGGAACGGCATTCTATATTGTTCATCAGGGCCTGCTAAGTAAATGTCAGGAAGAGACTTACGATCGAATACTTTCAATTTGGTACTCTGCTTCAACGGGCGTTGGTGGCAATCCGTGCTTTGCTTTTCGAGCAGTCTCCAGCGCGATGTCCCGGTGCACCTCTTTAATCCACATCTGCTCATGGACTTCTTCAGGGCTACTGACCAGGACATCAAAGAGTGTCTTGCCAGATTGAACACGAAGGACAGCAAGAACGTGTCGTTTGGCTTGTATCCAATCAGCTTTTGCGGCAGCATCGGGATCCCCGGCTAATATATGTCAACCGCATGCACATAACAGAACAAATGAAGTACTCACGCTGAGGTCCCGCCAAGCGATTGGTGAGGCGCAGGTTGACCGTATTCTTGCCTCGGTCATATTCTATAGGAGGGCCTTCTAGCTCTTCCAATATAGATATGATAGGGTCTTTCTTGTTGCCCAATGTCTGTTTTGGAACAGTAAGTGACCACAGAATGGCAGGTATTGCGATGGACGTACAATGTAATCCTGGTTGTGAACGAGAATACTGAGCGTGCCATAGATGTCGGACCGAGTGATCTTGATGGGTTTGGCCTCCACCGTCGACTCAAAGAGCTCGTGAGCATGGAAATGACCCTCAGCGTGTTCGACATCGGCGACTGGTCGTCACGTTAGTACACACATGCGTTGGCTCCCCTTGACACTCACCGTCAAGAACCCATTCTCGGAAGGGCATTGCCATGGCAGTGATGAATGCTTCGAGAGGTGTCCTAAGCAATCTCTGGTCCGGTGTATTGGTGTACTGTTGGCCGGCGACATGAGTCAATAGGTTTGCTAGCTCTGAGAGATTACGTCGTTCCACCGCCCCGACACCCTCGGGCGCCATGCCGAATTGCTCTGGCGCACTATCCTCGTGTCAGGTCGTTGCTCATACAGCACTGCAAACCAGCACTCACATGATAGCAGGAAGCAAGAAAGGAAGAATTACGGTCTTGGCGACTACCGGGACAAGATCATCGTCGCTAGCGTCCGGGAATTTGGTCTTGAGCAGTGTCAGCAGTGAATCACAGCAAGACATATAGACATACCTGTAGTGCGAGCAAAGCCTCACGAGCGAGTAAGCGGATGGTGTACGGCAGCTTGGCGTGCGCCTGGAGAATGTCCCCCAGCAAGAGATCAGTCAAGTTCCTCAATTCTTGGAGGTCTAAGCATCTCAAGGTCAGTTTAGTACCCTGCAGAGATTTGGGGGACAACGTACTTCTTATAAAGAGTGCCCGGGTCATAGCATGCTCTTGCAGGATCTGATCGGCATTTCTGTCCCTCGGGAGAGCCGATGGTACTCCGTTCTGGGTCTCCTCTGCATTGATAATGTCCATGTAGATCTGTCGAACATCAGCAAGAATTCCAGAGAATACGGCTACTGACCTTGACTGGATCAGAACACAAATCTAATTCGGGCGCGCTGACAATCCTCATGATATGAGGTGCGACGACGTCGTGGATGAAAGGTGTGAGTGAAGTTTTCGTGTACTGGGTGGTGATAGGCAAGATGGGGAATCGAGAGTTCACGAGGTCGTGTAATGTGTGGGCGCGAAGGATCTCTTCGTGGACGGCGAGCTGAAACCAATGTTAATTCACCAACGTATTCGCGGACGCCCAGATGCTTACTTGGAGAAGTTTATGGAACAGATACTCTTCCCGCCTCTCATGGCCAAACGCAAACAGAATCATTGTTACACCTTCCAGTAGCCTCATCTCTTTCTCAGAGCTTCCATCGCCCTTCGCGAGGACTCTCAAAAGCCTAGAAATATACTCCGGCTTGGTCTGAAGCATGAAGAACAATTGTTCGTATAGTTCCAGCTTGCGTTGATTTGTGCGATCGAGATGCACGCCGCCAGAGAAGGGATCATTGTTTGGCGCATGGTATGTTGCTTGTTCTGTTCGACGTTTAGCGCGGGCAAGTTCCTGGAAGGTCATCTGATTGTTGATGATCAGAGCAATCTTCGTATCCAGGTCCTTGACTTCCGTCTCCAAATTTTGATTCTCCCTGATCAAATCGACCACTTGGCCTCGAAGAGCTTCAATGCGCACCTGATCCGCAAAGTCGGACTCGGTGTCGTCGAGAAGGTGCATATAGCTCTGGATGGTCGGAACATCAACATCGACACCAGTGATCATTCTTTCGTACGAGAGTCGCTGCTGGCGACCTCGCCAGAGTGCTTGTACCTTGACGATTTTGTCGACATTTTGGTGGACGTAGCTAGTACGGATGTATAGCCTTCGACGAGCATTGAAGCCGCGAATGAGAGACTGAAGGAAGATCAAGGCGCCAATCGTCCGGCCGTCATGGAGGTATTCCCTCCAAAACTGGTAGTCTTCTCGAGCGAGATAACCTCGAGCGATCGCTTGGAAACCAATGACGTCCGGTTGGACAAACTCGAGCTTCTTCTTCTGCTCGGTGGTCTGTTTCTTGGCCAATCTCGTTCTCAAAAAGGCTTGGAGGCCACCGACCGACCCCGCAACTTCGACTTTCGCCAAAGCCTTTTGCATGCTCTTGTGGGTTTGTTTGGCGAGACGAGCGCGTGCCATAGTCTGGAAGGAGATTGTCGAAGGCGCAGATTGTTGAAGGACTTGAGTAAACGCGCGTTTCTTCCATCGGGCAAGAACCCCGCGAGACACTGCTTGGATAGCCACCACGTAGGTAGAAGCATCGTCCATCTTCTGCTCTTGAGCACGAATCTTGCGGCGCACGAGTGCTCCTCGAAGCTGGCTCTGCAGAGAGGTAAATGTGGGAACCTGGGAATAGATGACGCGCTGTTGCCGGGCAGCATTCTGCCTGTGAAGGCGGCCTCGCAACAAAGCTTGGAGCGACTCGATAGATTCGACAACATGAGGCAGGGCTACAGTAGCCTGGTGAAGCTTCCGGTCCCATCTGGTCATGCAGCCTCGACAATGAGCTTGTAAGCCTACGACCGCACGACCTGTTTGCCGCAAACGCTTTGCCTCTCCACGCTTCCGAGATCTGACCAGTACACCCCTCAGCTGCGCTTGTACAGCGAGTATGTTTCTCTCCACACTCCTGACCTCGCCGAGCCGAGCCTGCCACTTCTTCTTGACCATTTTCCCTCTAGCAGCAGCTTGAATGGAACCGGTCATCTCTTGAAGAGGTTTGCGCTCGTCCAGCTGAGCGAGCAGAGCACGGCGGCAAAGCGTGCCTCGTGCGCGAGCTTGTAGTCTTCGAGTGATGGGATCGGCAAGCTCGAGCTGCGCTTGAACTCGAGAAGCACGCTTGCGAGCAAGATGGCCGCGCAAATAGCTTTGAAGGCTCACGATACTGTCTTCGCATTCGAGAAGAAGACGATCCCGGACTGCAAGCGTGTTAATCATGTCTGCGACCGTCTATGTCTGACTCACTCTCTTCCTCCGTCTCTTCCGGCTCCTCTGGGACCCAGCTTGCTTCTTTCGCAAGTGTATTTCGGACGTCTCCGAAATTGGGCATAGCCACGCCTTTCAGTCCTTTTTGTGTGGCTTCGATTTGTTCATCTAAGTTGATGTTAGCTTGCTCCTTGTTCGCACGTGCCATACGTACTAGTGAATTCAAACTGGCCGACCAAGTCTCCAATGCGTTCGGCACGACCAAGACGTGCGAGTAAGTGACTGCGTGGTCTGAGCAGTGCCATTTCAAAGTCGACTGGAACTTACCTCAGAATATGGATGCAAAAAATGACTTTGGGAATGTTCTTCTTGTCGTAAAGGTCTGTAAGTTCAAAAATAAAAGTCTGAGGCGAGTCAGCATTATTCTGTACGAAGCCTTGAACATACCTCTGGCATCCCGACATTTCTAACAAAGTTGAGGAAATAATTGATGTTGTCTGATTGCTTGTATCTATGTTTCGATTCCTGTATCGCCATCAGCATCCAGACACTTTAGGGAAAGAGTAAACTGACCATCCAAATCTTTTTCACCACCCCTTCACCCTCATACACCCTTGCGAGCTTTGCGAGCACCACTCCATCTCTCAAACCGTCTTCCAACTCGGTCACGCCAAACTGCAGCTCTTCATCCAAACAGCCTTCGATCCATTGCTGCGCCTCTCCTACGTGACACAAATACTCGTAAGAACCCAGCGCAAATCGATTACGGTCCATCCAATTGGTCTGCATTAGACGTTTGGAAGGAAGCGGTGCCGGAGCGACAGATGCTGATGAGGCAGAAGGCGGAAGGCGAGACTTTGTGAGACGGAGACGATTGGACATGCCAGTCACACCGTCTTCTTCGTCTTTTGCATCACCTCTAGCTGGCAAGCTGCCGACAGCGCTCATGAGTCCCTTCATATCAGCCCCGCTCAGCTCGACTCGAGGAGATTTGGGGCCACTAAAGTCGGGAATGGTAGACTTTGGAGTGTAGGGCATGAACTGAGAGCGTCTCTTTGTTGGAGTGGCGGTCGGGCGAGTCTCGGAAGAGCGGTTCTCAACTTCAGACGACCCGAGGATGTCAATGTCGGGAGGACGAGTGGCTCGGGAGATGGAAGTCTTCGGGGAGGGGGCAACCGACGATGCTTCTGGTTTCTTGTCTGCTTTCGTGACAGGAGGTTTATTCTCTTCCTCGCTATCCGCAGTGACAGATTTTCTGCCCAAAGTCGATGGTACCCTTCTCCCCTCGGACGGTCCCTTTGCATGTTTGGAGGCCTGATCATCCTCCCACCCCTTTTCGCCAGATGCAATTCTCGGCAGATGGCGCCCCAGTCGTCGGTTATCACTCTTGCTGATTGAACCGTATTTGCCTCCAGAATTCTTCGGCTGTTCAAAAGACGATGGAGGGGCCGAAGCCACCGAAAGACCGGAAGGAACATAACGGTTGGTAGAAGGGGCAGTGGCGATGGAACGTAGCGAGGACTGGGGGTTGGAAGAGGTGGAGGATGTCGGAGTCTCTGATTGTGTTGCGGGACGTGAGGGCGGGGTGAAAAGTTGAGCAAAGGGAGAAGAAGCGATCTTTGAAGCCAAAGGCGTTGATGGGCTTGGTTTAGCGGCCTGCTTTACGTCACGCTCCTCTTTTTTGGCGTCCGTTTCAGTAGCTTTGGATAGCCTCGACGTTTCATGCCCATCACCCAAATCCTTGGGTCTCGTTTCAGTGACACTTTGCACATCGGCCCCAGAAGCAATTGTTTCAGATTGCTTGGTTTCCGGGGTCTTTGCTGCCGGTTGAGCGACGTCAAGAGAGGCAACGGATTGAGCACTTCCAGCCTTTGCCTGTTCTCGCGCTTGTCGCCTCTTCAAAGCGTTCGCTTTGGCAATTGCCAGTCGTTCTTCAACTGATTGCCCTTTGGCTGATGGGGCCAAGCTGTCACCCGTGGCATTGGGGGTAAGAAGCGAGGTCGATGAAGTGATGGAGGGTGATGCGGGACGATCACTGGTGGATGCAGAGGCAGTTGAAGCTGCTGACGGTATACGTGTGGGATCAAATGCACTGACACCGTCTACGGTGGCCCTCTTGGCCGCGCGACGAGCCATGTAGGTGCTCCCAAATCTGCTCGATCCGCCTTCGACATTTGGTACAGGCGGAGGGGGCATTGTCGACTTTTCATCTACCGGACTTTCGGTCGTCGTCAATACGGGTGCAGGGGCAGCGGGGACGAGAGTTCCCCCGAGACGGCTGGACCTCGATGGAGGACGAGAAGGCTCAGGGACGCCTGCTATTTTGGCTTCCCATTGCCCTCTTACCAAGTCGACAGACTTTGCACTGCGAGCATGACCGACTGATGGACGTGGAGTTTTCGCTGGCGGTGTAGAGTCAGAGTCTATGACCATCTTGGCCACCGCTCGTCGGATAGGTGTGGAAGGCGGTGAAGCCTTGTCCCTGCCTGCGATGGAAGCGAGTGACGTGTAGGCAGGAGAGTTGGCTATCGATGTAGCCGGTGGGGGCGTCTGTCTTCCATTTGCGGTCTGTCCCAGGAGGCGTGTCTGGTATGAGAATATACTAGGGGAGCGTCCCAGGCCGGAAGCACCCCTGGGCGGGGTGGTCTGTTGGTTGTCGGGTTGGTCTGCAGGCATGGCGGGGCATACCAGGGGTTGTCGCCAGGGAGGATGTGGTGCCGGTTGTGGTTGTAAAAGCAAAAGAATGCCACACGGTCTGTGCGTGGAAAGGGTCAAGAAGCTAGCACTGGATATTTGCCGCCGTGTTTGTCTCGAACGCGTCCACGCGACGCAGCCTTACGTAAAGCATGGTGGATGCCTCCACCGCCGTGCCTTGTTCACATTTTTGCTGCAGTGGCTCGTTGCGAACTGGTTTTGGACTGTTCAGTCGATCTCCCAGACACACCCTGGCGCCATGGGTAAACACGACAAGAAGACCGGTAAAGGTCGTCTCGATAAGTACTATCGACTCGCCAAGGAGCAGGGCTACCGAGCTCGTTCTGCCTTGTAAGTCACTCTTGCCCGTCTCGTGCACTTTCGCGGCTGACCATTGCCAAAGCAAGCTTGTCCATTTGAACCGAAAATACGACCTTTTGTCCAAGGCGAAATGTTGCATTGATTTGTGTGCTGCTCCAGGTAAGTCCGATGGTATCTACTTGGAGACACGGGGCTGGGACAGTGCTGCTCTGTACCAGTGTCCTACACCCCGCCACCTTCTGCTCGTGTCACAATCAGGGCTAACAATCATCAGGTGGTTGGCTGCAAGTCGCCGAGAGGTACATGCCCAAGGGCTCTCTCATCCTTGGTGTCGACCTCAACGCCATCAAGCCATTGCCTCATGTCACGACATTCGTTTCCGACATTACCACCCCTCACTGCCGACAGACCCTTCGTCAACACATGCACGACTGGAAGGCGGACCTTGTGCTGCATGATGGTGCTCCCAACGTCGGTTCCGCCTGGGTGCAAGATGCTTTCACGCAAAACGAGTTGGTGTTGCAGAGTTTAAAGCTGGCGACAGAGTTCTTGGCCAAGGGCGGTACTTTTGTGACAAAGGTCTTCCGAAGTCAAGATTACAACAGTTTGATGTGGGTCTTTGGACAATTATTTAAGACTGTCGAAGCGACCAAACCTCCCTCTTCCCGGTGAGTCACAGTGATACTAGGTGTTGGCGATTTTCTGACATTGGAATAGTAACGTTTCTGCGGAAATCTTTGTTGTTTGCCGAGACTTTATTTCCCCCAAGCACATCGACCCCAAATTCCTCGACCCCAAGCATGTCTTCAAGGACTACACTTCCCTCCCCACCTCCATCATCGAGCCGGCCGCTGCGTCTTCCGGTCCTTCTGTGGCTGCTACTTCGTCCAGCACTGTTTCTGCTGCCGCCGCCGCTGCTCGACTTGCCGCCAACAACCACGCCCACTCCAACGTCTATGCCCCAGAGAAGAAGAGGAGGCACAGAGAGGGTTATGCGGAGGGTGATTACACTCTGCACCATACCGCCAGTGCTGCCGACTTTGTAAAGGGCCAAGATCCCGTGTTGTTGCTGGGTGGCATGAACAAGGTGGAGTTTTTGACTGATGAGGAAAAGGGGTAAGTTGCGTCATATCAGTGTGTGGTGCATGCTTATTGGTTGCAGCTGGCTCAAATCTCGTCACACGACACCCGACATCCTGGCCAATTGCTCAGATCTTAAAGTGCTTGGTAAGGGTGACTTTAAGGCCCTTATGAAGTGGCGATTGGCGCTTCGATTGGAGATTGGGCTGGATGTCAAGGCGGACAAGACTGCGGATGCGACTGAAGAGGTGGTGGTTGAGCCTATGGATGAAGAGGAGCAGATCTCTGAAGAGGTGAGTGTTTCGGGTGCTTTATGATACCTCACTAACTTTGAATAGCTTCAACGACTCCGAGACGCCAAATCTGCCAAAACCAAGCGTGAAAAGAAGAGGGCCAACGAGAAGAAGGCCAAGGACCTGCTCAAGCTTCAGCTCAACATGACCGCTCCCGAAGACCTCGATACCCACGATCTCGCTCTTCAGGGAGAGGAAGAAATCTTTGACCTCGAAGAGAATGAGAACGAGGCTCGAAGGCAGGGCAAGAAGGCTGGTTTGGCTAGCTTGGCCGAAAACGCCGGTATGGACATGCAGTCTGAATCCGAGTCTGAGCAGGAAGAGGAAGAGGAGGAGGAACTGCTTGATTCCGACGAAGAACGCGAGCGCAAGACTGCCGCTCTCGAGGGCCAGCTCGATGGCCTCTACGAGACATACGTCGAGCAAAAGCAGGAGCGTGACGCCAAGTGGAAGGTCAAGCAGGACCGTGCCAAGGACAAGAACTATGATGCCTGGCACGGTATCCAGGAGAAGAGTGACGAGGAAGGAAGTGAGGCCGAGCATGAGGAGGATGAAGAGGGTGGTTGGGATATCGTCCGCAACAAGAGGGCCAAGTATGGCGAGGGCGACTCTTCTGATTCAGACTCTGACGAGGAGGCTGTCCCAGCCAAGAAGGCGAGGAAGAGCGTGCAATTCGAGCAGCCTTCCAGGCCTGCTGGGTCCGGTGGTCTTATGACCAACTTGCAAGAGGCCGAGCTGAGGTCTCAGAGAAGTAGGCAAGCGCAAGTGTGGTTTGATCAGCCCATGTTCAAGGACGTTGGTGATCTTGCCGCCTTGGACGCCGAAGAGGATGATGAGTCTGAAGAGTATGGCGAAGAAGAGGACGAGGACGAGAGCGACGATGAGGATGTCGAGATGGAGGACGACGCTTCCACTCTTGAGGGTGACGACTTTGAAATTGTGCCACAAGAGGCGGAGGATCTGGAGCCCGAATGGGATGTGGATGATGAAGATCAGGACGAGGTGAAGAAGAAGATCATCCAAGGTATGTCGCTTATGATATATGGCTTGGCAGAGCTGACTGGTTCACAGACAAGGGTCTTCTTACCGCCGAGGCTGTGACTTTGGCCACTCAGCTGGTCAACCGACAAACCACCGCCGACAAGCTTATGGACCAAGGTTTCAACCGTCTCTCTACCCAGCACAAGGACGGGCTTCCTGTCTGGTTCCTTGATGACGAAGGCAAGCACTACAAACCCAACATTCCTATCACCAAGGAGGCTGCCGACGCCTTGAAGGCCAGGCAGAGGGCACTCGATGCCAGACCGATCAAAAAGGTGGCGGAGGCAAAGGGCAGAAAGAAGATGAAGACGGCCGCGCGATTGGACAAGGCCAGGAAGAAGGCGGATGGTGTCATGGAGTCTGAAGAGATTGGTGATGGTGAGAAGGCCAGGCAGGTCAGGCGTATGTTGGCCAAGGCCGCAAAGGGCAAGGAGAAGGCCAAGGACCGAAAGCTTGTCGTCGCCAAGGGTCTGAACAAGGGAGTCAAGGGTAGACCAAAGGGTGTTAAGGGCAAGTACAAGATTGTCGACGCGAGGATGAGGAAGGAGATGAGGGCGGACAAGAGGATCAAGAAGGCCAACAAGAAGAGATAGAGCACTCTAGTTGGCCTCTGATCGGGTTGTGTTTACAATTTTGGATATTTCATCTGTATACCATGTAATCATATCGAATTCAGTCGAGGTCCTGTGCATACAGGTCTCGCTCTGGGGCAGATTTGTTTTGTGAGAATGGACAAATTGCGAGGACGAAAAAGACATGGGCGTATGGCGTTATATCAACTCAAACATCTCGCTTAGCATCGCGAGGCCTAATAGTGTAATCGTCGCACGCGTCCTTCGGGATTGATTGATTTTTCCGGTCACGTGACTTTAAGTGGACGTAGTCTGGGTTCAATTCCCAGTTAGGCCCATGTTTTTGCTTTTTGTTTTGTTGTCTTATATGCTGGCTTGACCGGCACTATCGTCGCTCTCGCACTGTTCACCGCTTCGGAGGGCAGGATTGGAAAATGCTGCTTTGCGTTTGTCATGCCGGCTTTCATGATCGGCAGCTTCTCCAACTCCTGTGCCGTGACCTCTGTAAAGTGAGTTGGGATTTCAGTCATAAGGATGCCCTGCTGATTCCTTGTCCAAGTCTACTGGTTATCATGAGCGTGCCTCATCAGATGGCTGGTACGGCTTCGGCCATTGTTCAAGTAGCATTACAGGTATACCACTGAATACCCACACGAGCTAACCAGCAATGCGTAGATCGGTTGTGCGATAGCCATTGCCATACAAGCCTCATTCCTCACCATTATTCATCCAGGCGGTTTGAGAAATCTCCAAATATCGTACTACTTCCAAATGGGCTGAATTGTTCTCTGCATCGCCATGCTCGTTGTAATGTATCGCAGACCCAAGCCGTCTGCAGCTGTAGGGTCTGTGTTATAGCGGAAGTTTATAACGTCATGTCACGCGTAGGGGACGACGCGGTGAAACGTTCTGCTGGGCAGGGCTTGCTCTGTCAGTCCGTGAATCTCCCATAGACATCTCTCTACTTTCAATGTTATATTTTACGGATGGTCGTAATGCAGGTTATCATGGTATCTTATGGGCGCTGATATTAGTAGACATGACCGAGATACATGTTTGTTATTCCCTGCAAAAATACCAGACGGCCGAGATTATTCAAACTTGTTGATACTATACAACGATATACGGCGCCCGACTCTGCTTTTGCAAAGAGGCACTTTCTGGCTCTGTGAGCTCTTCGATGGGTGCCACGGAAGCAGCATAGGCTACGACGGATAGGAGTCAGCAGATGTCACGCTCTACTTATCGCGCTACTCACTAGAAGCCTTTCCTCGAGATTTGCTAGACGGGACAGGGTACATCCTTGGGTCAGTGGAAGCGCCTTTTCCGACATTGCTTCCATTTCCCCTGTGACTCTGTCCGCCGTTGGAAGGAGACGGTTTGCGTCGAGCTTGCCGAGAAGATGCACGAGACGTCTTTGCAAAATCGGGCTCCGGCTCATCCTGGTGACTACGTCAGTCGAAAAACGATAGGAGGTTGATGAGCAACTCACAGAGACGGTGGTCCTGGTATCATACGCGGTGCCCTTACCACTTGGCAGAGGCAGTCGCATCGCAAAGTCGACCGTCTTTACATCTGCCGAGTCGGGAGGGGTATCATCTGGTGTAAGACTATACGCTGTCGGCGCCAAACTTCGCGACCCGGGCAAAGGGACCTCGTGAGGCTGGAGGTGCTGGTGGGGCGTCTGAGGCTGGGAGCGCGAAGGAGCATGAGAACGGCTACTGGGAGCGCGAGAGTAGGCAGTGGGGGCGGCGCTCCTGGAAGGAGGTAGAGGATAGTCGTGAGGCTGACGAGCGTCGGCAGAGTGGTGACTGAATGGGACACGGGAAGGAGATTGGGCGAATTCAATCACGTTGTCGTGGTGTTCACCAGGAGGGGTGTCGAGTCTGATAGGGCCAGGGTGGGTATTGACAGGAGGCTGTTGGGCTTCGGGTGACGGAGGGTATACTGTTGAAACAGGATTGTTGGAGCGAGAGCGAGAAGACTGATGGTACAGAAGAGAAGGCGTATAGACAAGTTCATGAGGGTATCTTGATTAGCTTGGGTTCTTGATTTTGAATCAATGCTGAAGGATATCCCTGAACTTTGCACGTACTGGGGGTTGCACAGTGATCTGTAGATGATGTGGTGATAGTCGGATGAGAAGCAGGGCTTGGTAAGCCACTATGAATACCATGACGTCCGCTTGGCACCTACAGTTGGGGCCCTCATACGGCTTGAATCGTCAGCCGAACCGGCTCTCTCACTAGCCCCACCTCCCAGACTCAACCCAAGCGCACTTGTCCTTGGCCCTTGCACATCCTCGACTCCACCGCTCACGGCACGAGGCGCGAGCTGGGGTGGGACAAACATGTCGTGCGAGCGAGGAGGGTGGTATTGCGAGTCTGGGGGAGGCATGCGGTCGTTGGCGCGGGCAGCGGGGTCGATATCTCGGTCGTGGTAGAGCGCAGCAATAGACTTGGGCTGCTCTCCCGGACCAAAGTCGGATCTTGCCCGAGGCTGGTGACTGCTCAGAGGCTGGGGCATGACAGTCTAGGTGATGTCAGCTTAGAAGGCAAGTGTGTCTGGTCTATTCACAGTGATGCGGTGCCTCATGTTGGGCATAGAAGGAGGCGGTCTAGGAGGGCCCGACTGAGAACGCTGGTGGCCGGAGGGAGGGGGTCTCATTCCGCCATTCTGCATCTGCATAGGGGGAGGAATCTGATCAGTATGAGCTTGTGCGCTGAGCAAAATTGAAAGCCGACTCACCTGTCCTTGATGATTGTACTGCCTCTCGTCTACCTCTGGGATCCCCTGCTCAATCTCCATATCACCTCGTAGAGCATCAGCCATACGGCTACGCGTAGACACCGAAGGGCCACGGTTGAGGCGGTCAGTGTTGTTCGACTGGTAATCGGACGCGTCTCGAGACCTATACATTCATCAGCACCTGAAACTAGGAAGCAGAGCGACACGTACGCTGTCTGACCATATCCCTTTTGTCCACCTTGAATGTTTTGCCCGGGGAGAGGGAAGACAGGGTACCTGTCCCCATCGGGGATCTGAGACATTGGTCGTTGATGATGATGTTCGTAGTTTTGACCACCATCCGACAAGCTCATCCTCCTATTGGGGCGCCTGCTACCCACCGTACTCGGTCCCCTTGCCGGACCCCTTGTACTCTGTGCACGCGAGACTTTCGAGTTGGCCATTGAGACAGGCGGGAGCGGTTTATCGAGGTTGGACATGCTATCATCAAAGTGCGAGCGAGAGGCGGAAGGCGGCTGAAGGCCATATCGCCCATCAGTCGACGGTACAGCCGAGGTATGCACAGTCTTGCTCCTCGCGCCAGACATCATCCTCTTCAGCTCGGGATCATGCTCGACCTTGTCCAGGTAGCTATCTGCCACGTGGGGGTTGACAGAGTACTCTGGCATGGGAACGTGGACGGCGGTGGAGATGGCTGTGGGCGCGTTGTTACGCGGGAGCTGCTGAGCGGCAGATCGGGTTGAGTTTAGCTGGGGATGCTGCTGGGTGGGAAGACGCAGGTGGGCGGGAGGTTGGCCCATTGGAGTCTGATGCTGACCCTGGATGTTACCCTGTAGCTGACCCGGAGGGAAGCCTTGCTGATGCAATACTTGAGCCTGAGGCGGGGTAGGCGTCTTTCCCATGAACTGGGCAGCAGCTCCTTGGCCCTGGCCCTGGTGCTGCTGAGGATAAGACTGCATACCCTGCTGAGACGCGTATTGCTGAGTACCGTTTTGGGGAGCTTGAGAAGCATATTGCTGTGGTGCACCCTGCTGAGAAGCATTGTGCTGGATACCGTTCAGAACCTGCTGGGGAGATGTAGGTTGGTTCGGGTAGCTCCCACTGCCATTGCTAAACTGTTGGAATTGGGGAAAAGCAGATGGGTTTCGAGCAAAGTACTCCATGACCTGAGCAATGTTCTCCATGGGAGGAGCGGGAGGCTGGGCGGCCTGCTGCTGTTGCTGCTGGGGTGGGAATTGTTTTTGCTGCTGGCCATGCTGTTGACTGCCTCGAAAGTTGTTGGCGGTGGGAGATTTGAGTGCCGGCGATAACAAATTGGCCAGATCGGCCATCGGCGTCTGATGAAGTACAGCGCCGGGCACAGAAGCGATCGGATCGATACCAGGGATAGGCGGTGCGCCACCCATCCATCGCTCAGCCTCTTGCCAGGCCTCAGTGCGACCTTCTTCTTTGCCTTGGGCTCTGGCTTCGCGGACACGGAGGGCTTCGTGGTACTTCCACAATCTAAACGTTGTCAGTGAATGTATTGGGAACAGGGTGCTAAGCTCACTTGTCCCTCGCCTCTTCGAAACAGCGCTGAACACGCTTCTTCTCTTCATCCGTCTTTCGGCCCTCTTCCCTGGCACGCTTCAATGCACGCACGGCGCTCGCCCACTCGTTCTGATAGTTCTTGACCTCGTCGCTCCTGAGACCCGCCTCATGCTCAATCTGCGTCCTCGCCACCTGCTCGGCGATGAGCTTGGCTTGAAGCTCCCTCAACTGCTTTTCTGCAGCTTCAAGACGGGCGCTGGCAGTGGCAAGAGCTTCTGCCTCAGAGATCTGGCGGCGGATGGTCGTCATGGCTGCTTGGTCGCGGTGAGCTTCGGCGTCGAGGAGGCGGTTGCGCATCTCGTACATGTCACGGCCACTTTATGAAACAGTCAGTACAGGGAGGCATGTTGAGGGCGCCGCTTACAGATCGCCGCGGGTTCGAATACTGGTCGGGCCGATTGTCATCTCTTCCTCAAATCTCCTCACGGTATGGGGAGACCCTTGAGTAATGTTGTCATTGGACCACTGGGACTGGGACCACCTATCGGCTGCGCGTTCATAGCCTCCCGTCTCTCGGTAATACTCTTCTTGGCCATCTATATTGGTACCTCCCCTTCGAAGGGTGGGGCCAGACGTAGTCGAAGGCTCGTCGGCCGAACGATACATGCTGACAGAGTCGAACGGAGCAAGTTCAGTGACAGAAGGGTAGGTTGGGTATACCTGGTCGGGATCGGGATCGTTGGGATCGAGGAAGGAGGTAGAGACGTTGGTTCTTTGGGCAGCAGAGTAGGCCTGGGGCTCTGCTTCGGTGTGTGGGGGCTTGGCGGGGAGGTTGTGAGAGGGCCGGGTCTTGTGGGGAGGAATATGGTCTGTTCCCGGCGGAACAAATGGGACCTGGGGGTTGGCTTGCTGATAATGAGAGTAGCTCTGTGGTTGTAACGCGTCGAGACGATCGTTAAGGCTCTCGAGACGATTGGTGAGTGCGTCGAGGCTAGAGTGTGTCAGTGATAGATGCAAAAGAGAGATGCAATTGATGCCACCAGGCCAAGTACAGAGGGGACAATGAGAGTAGAAAGTGATGCGCGCACACAAGTGAGGACGGGAGGCACAAGGCTGCCCCCATTGTCTCTGACACGGCGCGTGGGGAGAACAATGGCGAAACGAACTCACTCTAGCGGCGCTGCATACTTGTCTCCCCCTGGGCGTCCTCCCTCCGACATGCTTTTCCGGTTCCCCTGGCCCTGGGGCACCTGATACATGTACTCGTTGGTGGGGTCTGGGTTGTCCATGTGTGGCCTGGCGAAGGGGTTGATGCCGGAAGACAATGCGAGCCGGGCGAGGGTTTCAAGGTGCTTGGGCTCGATGGTAAAGTGGCCATTGTTCGGGGCGGGGTGGGGGTTTTGAGGGGGCAGCTGGGAGGACTCCATTGTCTCTGAGACAATGGAGAAGGAAGGCTGGCTGGTGGGCGATGAATTACTTGGCCACGCAGCGGGGACTTTATGGCTGGTGCTATAGTATAATGAGTATGGGTGAGTAGAGGGACGTGGAGACCAGGATGCAGATGAGTGTAGAGCAGAGCAGAGGAGATGCACGGATCGCTGCCCGCCATGGCTCATCCTCATCGCTCCAAGAGGAAGTTTTCGACATGCTGGATATCCTCGAGGAGGGTCCTTTGGGCAGTTTCCCGCCGGATCGGGCAGCTTACCGTCACCCTTCAGCGGTTGTCGCCGCTGTCCCTTGTAGAGCCCACGACGGAAGCAAATTGCCCGGGAGGCTTTCTTGGATGCAGCAGTACTGCCAAAACATCTCTCTACCAGCATGCCCATCGCCCAACGCCCACCCACAGACACCCCCCACACACCCCCTCGCCGCGTCCCTCGCCCCCTCGCCCCTCCCGGCCAGCCTCCCTCGCCGGACCACCCTAGGGGCCAGGTGCCCCCACCTGCACCCTGCAGTCCGTACGGGCGAACGCTGGCAGAAGCCTATGCAGACGCTCACTCACATCCACACCCATCCACCAGCCGTACACCTTCCCATGGCGCTTGGCGGCCCGACGGGCACGCGCGGGAGAAAAAGCCGATATTTGATTGGATCACTCGAAAGCTCACAACGGCGAGGAGGACTACAGTATCCTCCCACAGTACGCAGGATGCGGCGGGCGAGCGCAGAGAGAAACGGAGTCGCCTCGCGAGCATGCCGAGAGCGCGAGGACTGGGGCTGAGCAATACCCCGAGCCATGATTCACAGCGGAAGAGGGAGATCAGCATGCCCGCCATGACACGCGCTGACACACTTCCCTCCGTGTCCTTCTCTCTCGACAGCGCTGCCAACACTGTCGAGCATGACCGCCGACGCGAAGCAAACAATCCATACCCATCGCTACCACTCTCTCTCGCTGCCGGCCACAACCGGCACAATAGACATCTGGATGCAGGTGCAGAGGATACGACAGGCATGAGCATGTTTAGCGGTACAGTAAGCCTCAGCGGAGAAGGAAGTATGCGAGAGACGGAGGAGGAAGGCGGCAACTATAGCAGGCGGTCTAGCAGGAGTGCGCCTTTTGAGCGCGATACTCATTACTCCACCGTCTCCGGGCATGGGGGTAGTGACTGGCCAGCAGATGACGATGCTTCACTCCGCCCTTTCCCACCCTCTGCCCGTGGATCACCCACCCAATCTTCCTTCCGCTCGCCCTCGACTTCGGTACTCTATCACAAACGTCTACGAGCCAGTACCCTGTACAGTGCTTCATCTGATGGAGCCGATTTGGAAGGAGGGAGGGACAATGAAGATGGCGATGCCGAGGATGGTGACGAGAGCAGCGGAAGAGGGGTAGGGCGGAGAAGGATCAGTCGGGACGGTTCTACCAGCACAAAGCCCACTACCTGTATCAGCTATGACTCGGGTCTAGGAGTGGCCCATATTGCCCACGCCTCAACTCCTCCAGCTGCCCCGAGCACGGCCTCGCACAGTAAGCCGATTGAGAAGCATGATTGGTATCGTCTGACTCAGTACAGCGACGCCTGTATTCCCGATCATATCACCCCCCGTCTCGCCTCAGCCGCCCCCAATCCCCAACGACCCTCTGGTCCACGCCCCCACCCACACTCCCCATCACCCTAGCTACAATCCTCACCCGTCATCGTCTCCAGATCCGAACGCGTCTACCCTGACCCTGGCGTCTTCCTCATTTGCTCTCCCCGCCCCACCCGGTCAAAGAAGAAGCGATAGGCCTTCGAGCTTGGTGACTTCCCCCAGTATAATAACCTGGGCCGAACCGACCTCTGCCCCTCTGTCTCCGCCTTATCCTGCCACTGGTGACCGGCCATTATCAGTCCGGACATCTAATTCCTACGCTCAGTCCCTGGGCACTGGCGGCGGCCACCTGTCACTCCATGCCCCTAGCATCAGCATGTCTCTAAGAGGGCTGAGGGGTATCGGAGGCGCAGGGCCGAGTGGAGGGTTCGATGGAAGGGCGGATGGCGATGCAAGCGTGCGTGCTGTGAGGCGCAAGGGGAGCTGGGAGAGCAATGAGAGTGGCTGGAGCTGGAGGGGGGCTGCCGCTGCCGCCGTAGCCCAAGGGCAAGGACCGGCGAGTGTGACTGAACGCGACGGCACAGAGTTGGAGAGAGTGCTGGAAAGCCCAAGGGTGATAGATGTGAAATAACGATTGTATAGTATAACGAGAAACGACGCGTCATGTCCATAACTTGTAATGCATTGTAGCGCTTGTATCATACATTTCCTTGCAGTGTTACAACAGCCCGTCGCCCACCACCTAAACCTAAACATACCACCAGAGGCTCGCGACACCCTTGGCGTACCCTACAATCTCATTTCCACTCAGCTTGCTCTCACCGTAGATCCTGTCGACAAATGTGATGGGCACTTCGCCAACGGTATAGCCCAGGGCACGGGCGCGGACGATAATTTCCATCTGGAAGACGTAGCCTTTAGAGGTACATCGGGAGATGATATCCTTGATGACATGTACGCGGTACAGTCTGCAAGAATTAGCCAGCGTAATTGCCTTTATGATAACTCACCTGAAAGACCCAGTCAAGTCACTGACACCAGGCGTCAAGACGGTGTCTGCCAGATAGTTGGCACCTCTCGACACCAGTTTCCTCTTCAAGTCCCATCCGTGCACACCACCGGGGCCAAGACCTATAGAAGGAGACTGGGCAGTGGGTTTGGGAGAGGCATGGTCAGAGTACCGGGTGCCGGTGACAATGTCGAGGTTATGGAGTTTTTGGAGTCTACACTTGGATTAGCGGTGTACAAGTTGGCATTCGTGTGACTTGCTTGATAAACTCGACGATGAATTTGGGCTGCGAGATTCATTAGCTTGAGGTATGCAGAGATCTATCAGGCGTACATGGTGAGAAAAGTCGGCGTCCATGATGATGACAAAGTTGCCAGTACAAAAGTTGAGACCATGGACATACGCCGTTCTGTCGACTGGGGTCAGCAACGACGGCGGGAATGTATAAAGAAACTTGCCCGAGACCCAGCTTTCCCGCTCGAGGTTTCAAGACAACCTTGTCCTCTCCATATATCCCGGCGAGCTGCCTGGCTACTTCTTGAGTGCCATCCGGCGAGGCATCATCAACGACAATGACTTCCCAATTGATCGAGCTATAAACAGGGTGCGATATGTTTCAGTCAAGACTTCAATGCAAAGTTTCTGAGAGAGACTCACGCAGACTCAAAGGTACGCGCCAAAAGCCAAACGATGACCGGCAAGTTCTTGCGTTCGTTATAAGTTGGGAGGATGACGGAGTACTTGTCGGTAGCTGTATCGTTGTTCATGGCAGATGATGGGTGGGGGATAGTGGAAGAAGACATTCGATACGAGATGGAATTGTAGGGAAAGGCACATTAGAGATGAGCATAATCCGAACGATACAAGAGAAAGGAAGACAGCGGTACGTACGGGAGGGGGCGGTTGCGGCAGCGATTGAGGGCATGTCGATGGAGTAAGACGCAGACATTCGTGACAAGAGGCGGCGGCGTGGGCACAGGGAGAGGATGAAGAGGACTCGGGTTCTGTGAATATATATGTTCGCCAAAAGTACAGTCGACGCGACGCAGCGGTACCACGTGGCTGTTACATAACATACATGGGATCTTTGTTGTTGCACTGTTGAGTGACTCTGTACGCACAGGGGCTCTGCCTGCCAGCCCAGAGCATCATGTGGCGTCATTTGGGGCATGACAGGATCACTAAAGCCCATATGATACACATACATGACATCTATCTGATCATGTCAAGCCCTGGCCCTCAATCTTCAGCTTCCGCAGCGACGTCCCCTTGGTAATGTCTGCCTAATACCCTCTTTGTGAACGCCCCGAACGTCTCTCCATCTTCTCCTATGACATCGTCTACGTCAGGCTGTAAAAAAAATGCAAACGTTTCGCGTGACACGGGAGTAGTCGAGGCAGTACTACCGGAAACAAAATGGGGTGTCGCTGCTAAACGCTGGGATGTGAGCAGAGACAGCGCCTCACCCGTTTGGAATGCTAGCACGCCTGGTGAGCGAAGGCACCAAGTGACCAATCTTGTATAGCTCACCGAGACATTGTTCTGGGATGGAGACCTTGACTGCAGTATCGCTTTCACGTGGATATATCCAAAGACCAGTCGTGTCAGATGGGCTGGGCACCACCTTTGATGGATCTGCAGCGTCTAGATACATTGCAGAGCCTGTATGGAATCAGCGTATGATTTGGCTGCTAGGCAGCACTTACATAAACCCGTAAGGAGGGAATGATCCAGATGTGTACCGCAGAGCGCATCGTTGCCCAAAGTCGATTCGCAATCGGACGACCCGGCTTCTTGATCTTGAGGATAGTAATGCAAGAGCCGCGCTTTGTTTGATTTGGAATGTTGTATCAAAGATGATATTGTTCCGTGTCTATCCGATGGCTCGACTACTTTGATATTAGATCGCGCTTGTGAAGAGACAGAAAACTCACCAAACTTGTCACATGCCTTTGCGAGCAGGAGGCCAGCTTCAAAGATTATGCGACCGAGACTGTCGCCGTTGAGCTTACTTGGCAGTCGTGTAACCCTAGACCGACCTTTTGAACGTTTTCTCAAACTCTTCCAGTCGCTGTATACCGTTGGGCCAGACATTCCCAGCATAGTACTCGGGGTGGTCTTGTCGCAACCGTTCTGAGACGTCCGGTTGATCCAGTAGGGGGTTGGCGTAGTAGGAGCCTTTTTGGGTATCTGGACGCTGTTCTGGTGATTAGTGCTTCGCACGAGGATGAAATCAAAACATCTTACGCCATTCATTACTTCCTTCCCATGGGACCATCCGAACATGTAGGACGTATCTGGTCTTTCCAACTTTTGCTTTTCATGGACTGGTAGCGTCGCGAGTTCTTGGGCTAGTCGAAAGAGCTTTTCACGTAGTGCTGGGAAGTCTCCAGGTAATTCTGATGGATTTGGTACTCATTGTAAGCACTGTGGAATCCAGATAGTAGACCCTGATGAACATACCTGATATGACAACGATCCCTAAAGCACCTCTGTGCGATCCGAGGGCTTGTCGGAGGCGCTCGCGAAGGGATGGATCATGGGGATGCGCCAGATCAGGATACGGAATGACCACTGGGACTAGGTTACTGCTCATGGTTGGTGCGGGGCTAATGATGCTGTTCAGGATGTATGCGACAGCCTAACACCAAGATGACTAGCGAATCAACAACATGCCATACATATGTACATCGCCGTCGGCTTCGTCCGCCGCCTCCACTTCATCGATGTCACTTACCCGATGACATGGAGCTTTCATTCTTCTCTATCATTCATACATCATCCACCATGGCTATGGTACCGCACTCCCAAACAGACCTCGTCTATCTCCCGGACCACGGATTCGTAGGCGAAGAAGGCGGTATGTGTCTCCTCTGCCCATCTTCAGCCCCCAGCTCACTCGATCCAGCCCTCCGGATCCTGCCCCAGATCACCCGCCAGATACACCGCATAAACGTCTCCCGTAACCCCCTCGGGCTCGCCGGCATAACCATCCTGTTCAAAGGCCTCACCACTCTGCGCGCGCGCCACTCCTCCCCAGAGCTCGGGCTCGGCATTTGGGGGCTGAAAGATATCAACTTTGCCACTACGGACGCAGAGGATGAAGCGTTAGACTGTGTGCTGAGCTATGCGAAGAAAGATGGGTTCCTGCGGGCTGTGTATATGCAAGGGAACGAGATCAGGTTGGAGAAGGCAGTGGAGAGTATAGCGCTGTCTATCAACATGTCCAGGTTGGATATGCTGAGCCTGACAAACAATACCAATATCAGCACCGAGGGATTGACAAAGCTGCTTAGGCTGCTGGACTCGCCCCATCTGCGCGAGCTCCATCTGGCAGCTTGTCGCCTTCCTCCATCCATGGCCCCCATACTGGCCGACTTTATCCGCTCGCCTCGTTCTCGGAATATCACCCACTTGCTGCTACATGGCAACCAACTCGGCGGCGCGGGTGTCACCCAGATAATCGATGCTATAGAGGAATCCAACTTTTCTCTTATCGAAGCTGGCTTGCTCGCCAATGCCTCACCACCCTCCGACGCGCCAGATCAGGCGGTCAAGACAAAAGACGAGGCCAGCCTGCTGGAGCACCAAGTGCATGTCCGCCTGGTAGAGATCCTGAAGCGCAATCGGCTTTTGACAAAGAGGGTACGGAGGGCGGCTTCTCGTATGATTGCTCCGGCTAGAATCATCCTGAATGCTCGCCCGCTCTCCGACGCCGAAACAGCGCGAAACGTCGTCTCTGCATTCTCAGCGTCGAATCCCGAAGCTTATAACGCTTTCCGCCTTCTCGACCTGCCAGAAGATGTCATACAAGATGTCGTCCGGCATACGTCTGGTGACCCGGGGGCATTGAGTCAAGGGCAATATACGCGGCTGAGGCTAGAGGCGAGTGATAAGAAGGCGCTCAAGACTGCGACCGAGGCGAGAAACAGGATGCTGAGGGGGAAGAGTGTATATGACGAGAAGGGCGCGCTGGAGCAAGAGCAAGTGAGGGCCGAGTGGCTCAAGAAAGGTAAATGGGACAAGTGGGAGCGAGATTGAGCATAGGTGGTTGTATCTACTGTGTCATATGCAGCTATTGTATCTATAGTATCATTTTGAGCCATACAATTGATCGATATTGTGCTATGCATCTTGGAGCTTCATACAACCTTTACACCACTTCTTGTGCTACCACATCAAATCTCGTGATAGTCATTGTCTTTGCTCCCACGTTCATCCGACTGTTGGCCATACACGTTTTGGTTCCTACACACCCATTAGCTCGTGAACCAATGGTAGCGATATACCTACCGAGCCCGGAGCTGCTCCTCATCTTCGTCTTCCCTCCTGTAGCCAGGGGTACTGTACCCCGTCTTGCTGCCTTCATTGTCGTCCGATACACCTCCTGGGTTGTAGTTGTTGTGGTTGTCCGCGCCAAGCTGATTTTGCCTGGAGAAGGCGCCGCCCTGGGCGTTCTGACCGTAGCCACCACTGGAGGTACCTACACAAGGCAATATCAACAACCTGCATCTACATGTGTATTACAACCTCCTTCCATCTTTCATATACAACAGCCTCCCCGCCGTCTTTCGCACTTCGGTCTTGAGCCGGTAGAGAACCCGGGTAATATCGGGATACTCTACTTACTGTCGTCATTGTGGATACCCTCGTAAGGACTGTCCCTCTGGCCCTGGTTGGTGTGCTCGCCCTGAGCATTCTTGGCGAGCCCACCGCCAAAGCCGCCGCCGGTGACAGCACCAAACTGGCCCTGCTGGCCGAACTGGCCTTCAGCGCCCTTGTTGCCTTGGGCATCGTAAGAGGCGTTTTGGTTGTTGCCGCTGGACCCGCCTGTATATCTCTAGTCAGCTGACGGTCGGATTGGGCTGCGGGACGGTGCGACATACCAAAGAGCTGCTCCTTGACACCCTTGCCCTCGTCGCTGTTGAGGAACTTCTTAGCGTTGTCGATTTGCTACTCCCTGTCAGCACTGCGCCATCTAGTACTGGGATGGACCCACTCCTTCCATGTTGGTGATTGTACAAGTACGGATGAGAAAGAGGGATGCGATTGAGGTTGATCACGACGAGAGACCACCTGACGTCAGTGCCGCCAGGCAATTGCTCCCGCGGTTACTCACCAGCCGGACATGCCCGCCTTCTTGAGTCTTATCAACGCTGTATCAACGCAATATCAACGTGCTTTTCTGATGTATGCACCCATGAGCACCATGTCTCCATTGTCTCCTGCTCTGCCCATCATAGACCCAGCCCCTTATCTCTCAACCTCTTCCGGCCCCGCTCAAGTCTCGGCCAAAGCTGCAACAGCCAAGGCTATCCATGAAGCATGTCGCGATATAGGCTTCTTCTACATTCGTGTCCCAGACGACTTTCTCTCGGATCACGAAACGAAGGAGGTATTGGAGCTGGGGCGCGAATTCTTCCATAGGCCGGAAGAGGAGAAGATGCGGATAAGGCTGGAAGAGAGTGATAATGTGCGGGGTGAGTTTCGAGGAGTGTAATGGGATGGCGTTGATCTGGCGGACAGGGTATCAAAAGCTCCATCAAAACGTGACACAGGGGAAGGCAGACCACCATGAGGGTCTAGACCTTTACGCTCCGAGCCCTTATCCCGCAACTTCATCCAACAATGGCTTGGCCCTCCGCCCCCTCGAAGGCCCGAACCAATGGCCCACCAATCCACCATCCTTCAAGCCCAGAATGGAGGAGTGGATCGACAAGATGAAAGTCCTTGGACTGGCCGTCATGCACGCGATGGCTGACGGGCTGGATATGGATGAGGCCGAGTGGAAAGAGCTGGAGGGGTGTGTGGATGATAGCTTTTGGGTGATGAGAGTCATCGGTGAGCTGCTTGAAGGGTCCAAGGAAATATACTTACAATATGAGTGCAGGATACCCTCCACTTCCCCAGGGTATGGATGGAATATCGTGCGGCGAGCATAAAGATTACGGCTGCCTCACGTACGACCCCTCCCACATCTCAAACCCCACTGACCCGACCACAGACTCCTCCACGCCGACCCCATCCCTGACTCGCTCCAAGTTCTTTCCAAATCTGGAGAATGGATCTCTGCCAATCCTCTCCCGGGCTGCTTGGTAGTTAACATCGGAGAAATGTGGCAGATCTGGACAGGTGGCCTTTATCCTGCTACGCTGCATCGGGTCGTCCACAAGTCCCCGACTTATCGGGTGTCAGTGCCATTCTTCTTTGAGCCCAACTTTGATTGCAGAGTCAAATTCCTGGAGGCCGCAAAGATAAAGATTGCAAAGGAAGGACGAGAGGCAGAGCCGGTGGAAGAAGTGGTGTATGGGGACTTTTTGTTGGGCAAGGTCAGCGGCAACTTCAAGTATTGAGCTTCCCCTTGTGTAGACAGGCACATGTGTTTATTGTTATGCTGTAAATGCATTCGATGCCAATGAAGTAGTATGTCCCAACAGATATTTCCAACAAGATAAAGGTCTCTCACTCTATCACTCCCGCTTCTCCACGACCAGAGCTTCCTCCAGCTGTGACTTTTCCGCGCTCTCTTCTTGCTCGGGGATCGCCTCCGAGTTTTTCTCCACCAAAAGCTGAGCAGCCATGAGAGTCCTGAACCGACTCCCTTCCTTCCTCGACTATATCGACATCAGCACCGAACGATGCGCGCACATGTAACTCACCAGAACATCATATCGCCCAGTTTCAGAAACGACACCATTCTCGAGCACCACAATCTTCTCTGCCCGGGCGATACTAGACAATCGATGGGCAGCGAGAATGACGGTGATGTTTCGGTGGCGAATGATGTCGTCGATGGCAGCGTTGACTGCGTTTTCAGAGGCACTGTCGAGCGCGGAGGTAGCTGCGTAGCTGTCAGTACGAAGCCGAGGACGTATAAGGGAGACGAACCTTCGTCGAGAAGCAATATTGAGGGGTTCCTCACGAGCGCTCGGGCGATACTGATCCTCTGTCTCTGTCCACCACTCAAGCTACCTTTTCCAACTGAAAGCATATCAGCACCTATCTTCCAATCGTGCTTGGTTGAACTCACTCATAGTGTCGAAACCATCAGGAAGGCTCCAGATGAAATCACAATTGGCCGCTCGAGCGGCTTCCTCTACATCTTCTCTGCTGATATCGGGCGAACCATAGGCAATGTTTTCGTGTACCGTGCCAGCAAAGAGGATAGGGTCTTGGAAGACGACACCAATTCTCGACCGCCATGACTCGGGAGTGAATTCTTTGATATCTACCTCCTCATCAGTGATGTCCCCCTAACAAAGACTTTTGCTTACCAGTCCCATCAAAGGTGATACGTCCCTCTTCAGGATCATAGAATCGACTGATCAACGCCTGGACGGAACTCTTTCCACTACCACTGGACCCCACCAGCGCCACACTCGTCCCCGGCTCGACAGTCATATCGATGCCCTTCAAGACCTGCACTTCCTTCCTGGAGGGGTAACGGAACTTGACGTTCTCGAAAACGATTGGTCCATTACGGGTGAGAGGGAGACGGGTACCGACGTCGAGGGGAATGCGGGATTGGCGGTCGAGAAGCCAGAACACACGGCCGCCTGCACCGACACCGCGCATGAGGCCTGTGAAGAATCCGGTGAGGCCAGAGACGGAGCCACCGACGTAGGCACTGTACATCAAGAGGGATGTCAAGTCTCCGACAGTGATTTCGGCGATGGATACCAAGTGACCGCCTACATACTATGAGCGGGGTCCACTGTGTACGATACAAAGACTCACCGTAACCCAAGAGGCACAGCATGGCCAGATTACCCGTCAATCCCGTCAGACCCCAGAAGATACCCGTCATGTATGCCTCCTTCTTTGCCAACTGAAAAATGCTATCGACTTTGCCCGCAAACAGATTCGCCTCCAGAGATTGCGAATTATAAGCGGCCACAGTCTTGAACGCGTTGAGCTTTTCCTCGGCAATCTTTGACATGTCACCGACAGCCTCCTGAGTCTTGTTGGAAAGCTTGCGAAGGTATCGGCCGTAGAAGACTGCTCCGAGCGAGACGGGGGGTACCACGCAAAGCATGACAAAAGTCAGTTTGGCGGAGATCCAGAACATGGCGGCAACACCGGCAGTGGCAGAGACGAGGGCACGGAGACCATCAGAGAGGTTGCTCGTGACAGAGTCTCCGAGGATATTGGTGTCGACGCTGAGACGCGAGACAATGTCACCGGCAGAGCGGTCAGCGAATTCGGGTTCTTGGCGAAGGGTCGCAAAGTAGGCCTGATTTCTAAGAGCACGATGAGCACATACATTTGAAGTACAGACACAAACTCACCTGATACGAGCGATAATGCGTTGACCACTTGTCCTCATGATGATAGCTCGCCCGGCATTGGCAGCAGCGCCGACACAGAACGTGACCGCGAGTATGCCAGCTGCGACGGGAAAGGACAATCCGAGGAATGTAGACTGTTCAGATCAGTCAGAGGCAAATGAGGTCTCGATGGATTGACGTACAGCGTGGGTAGAGAAAAAGTCGATCAATTTACCGATAGTCAGAGGGACCAGCATGGATACAGCACTAGAGACAAGAAGCTACAAAGCTTAGTCAGCACTGGCTCGACGACAATCAGCCATGATGGACATACCAGACCAATAGCTATAGTCAAGTCTTTCTGCTCGGGCTTTGCCAGTGACATGAGCTTCCTGATATTGCTGTTTCCAGTGTCTTTCCCACTCTCTCCCTCCTCCGGAGTCAAAGACACATTGGACGTTAACCGGGCGAGTATTGATGGACGTGGGGGTTTGACTTCTGATGCAGTAGTCTCCGGAGTTTGTGAGGGAGATACCTTGGTTGTTGATGATGAAGGTGTGGGGGATGCTGGGGGTTGAGAGGAGTCACCTGTCAAGTATCGGAAGCCTTGACTCCGTAGTGTAGGCCGTGGTAATCTCGGTGGTGCTGCCGTATGCAGGCATCGGGGAGCTATACCGCTGTCCGTTAGCAGTCGGAAGTGACAGAAGCACCCGTATCCATGCCACTTGCACATACCTATTCTACACTGCAAGGGCCCCAGTGGCAGACTGGGCACCCGAACACCACCCTGGACGACCGGCCGTAATCGGCTCTTGAACAGTTGCTGGCGGAGGTGCGCATGGAGGCCCATTGGCGCGAGCATTGCAGCTGTTGGGGGAGGGCCGGGGCGAGTGGGGCGTTGTGGCGAGGCGTTTGCAAGAAAAGTGAGTCGATGAAAGAGGACTCCAAAGTGTTCGCGTCATCTCGATGCAAAGAAGTCCGAAACGAGGTGGGGCTTAATTACAACAATACTTACTCAATCTACGCGTCGCACCAAATAATATGAATTCACGCGTCTTTTGTTTTCACTTGGACTTTATCTGTTTCTCTATCCACCATGTCCACGAAATTCATCCTCACGGCGCAAAAGGACACGCTCCCCCCAGCCCCCGCCCTCTCTCTCCTCCCATTCTCTCTCGGTCCCACCAACGCCCCCTATAAAGCCACCGACGCGAACATCAGTGGCTACTTTTGCCCCCGCCCTATTGCTGCCCCGGTCGGTAACCAGAGCGAAGGCCAAGACGCGCACGCTGCTCAGAACCTACAAGCGACGTTCCGTGGGCGTCAACTTGTAGGCCAAGAGCTCGCGCTGCCCCCGTCGTACCGTGGTGTCATTCTTTCTACCACGCTTCCACCCAACAAGGGCGGCACCGAAGACCACTCGGCTTCTCATCATACACCTCTTACCCCAGCCGCTTCTACTGCTTCTGTAGCACCAACAGAGGTGTCTGCAGAAGGGGAAGAAAAGCCCGTTACTGGTGAGAGTAGCAGCCGACACCAAAGAAAGAGCGTGTTAGCCAAAATTAAAGGTGCCGGCCAGATTGCCCTTTCGCGTCCTCGTATCACGAGGTCCAAACGACCCGAACCCAAGAAGCGTGTCAGACTAGACTCTGACGACGAAGACGAGCTCGAGGTCCCAGTAGAGGAACCGAAAGAAGCAAAGAGGCCGCGCATAAGTCCTTCGACGCCAGGCAAACCGCTCGACGTCCCAGAAATCACCATCGAAGAGCCTACTCCGCTCAAGGCGAGTACATCTACGACTCCCTCATCTTTGCGCCAGCTAAGAAGCGGTACTCCCACTGCTTCACCTCGTCCATCTTCGGTGATCGAGGGGGAACTGCCGAGCTTGACCGAAGAAGGCGAGGAAGGCGATGAAGGAGCAGGCGACGGAGCCGACGCCGTCAGTGTCGAGGTGCAAGAAGTGGAAGATCAGAAAGAGGACATGGAAGAGCAGGTCATTCCTTCTCCCGCTACAGAAGATGCCCTCCCAACAACGCCCACCTTCAACGTCCCCCCGCCTCCCATAGAGTCTCCTGACAAGGAGGCCGCCCGACTTGCTACCGCTACAGAAGAGGCGGTCAAGGAGGAGCACGAGGACGTGGAGATGAAGGAGGAAGCGGATGCTGAGGAAGCGTATGGGGGTCCTGTGAGGCTCCTTCGTCCTACTGCGACTTTTGACAGATTTGTCCTGTATACTGGGGACGCGCCGCTGGCTGGTTTCAGAGCAGACGAACTGGAAGCATCATCTGCCCCCACTGAGCCGCCAGCCGAGTCACCCGAGTCATCAGCACCTGCCCCTGCAGGTGAATCAACGATCGATGGTGGCATCCAAGTGAGGCCGTCTTGGTGGCGTCTTGGTGGATCTGGTGAAGGTGGTGATGAGTTTGTTCGAGGTATGGGAGAGTGGTTAGGACTTGTTGAAAGTGTACGTCAAGCGACCAGGGACCTGATTCAAAGCTGATGAACATTTACAGATGAACAAGCCTGTCTATTTGGATGGTATTGAGGATGATGACGATGAGTAGTTGGGATGTACGGTTTGCGTCTCTTGTTTCGCCATGTACCATACCGCATTCCCAGCCGGACAGCATGGATAGATCTGCCTCAAGATTAGACTATTTAATGCATGTATATATATGATACACCAGAAATATACCTTGAGGAAGATGAAGACACTACAGTTTACAATATCACGTCCCTCCCCGCTCAACGAGGAAACCCTATGGATCGGCAAAATACCCCTCAAACATACTCTCCCCTCCTAGCCCACTATCCCGAATCGCCCCGTACACGTGCATGACCAGTCTTGGATAGCGGCTGGTAAAGTAGAGCAAGAAGCCAGACGGGAGGCTACCCATGTGCGCTTGGGTGTGGGCGTCAAGATCTTGATAATGGTGTTTCTATTCCATAGTCAGATCACGCACAATGCCAAACACATGGAACTCACTTTGTTTCTCAAAGCCCTCAACAAATCGCGCACACTGCCTCCCTTGTACTTTCTATACTTTCCAAGACTACTCGTAAACACTTTATCCAGTCGCGAATACCAATCCTTCCCCACGACCTGCTGAGCCGTATCTTCCAGCAGATGCAGGGCACACTCTGGGTGTGAAGGGTCGGTGGGGTCCAAGCTGAGGGAGGCAATGTCGGGCAACGAAGAAGTCGAAGACGAGGGATTGGACATGATTTCAAATCGGTCCGAGGCGTCACACAAGAACGCCAAGCGCTTGCCAGCAGCCCAGAAGAGAGGATGTGTGAGGCACTCGGCCGTCTCTGGTCTCTCCCCTGGTTCCATACTCAACATCCTTCCTATCAGATCCTTTGCCTCTTCTCTCTCTTCGCCAAGAATGTCCAGCATGTCGATATTCACCGCTTCGCCCTTGACAATGTTGCTCTCCCTGTTGTATGTCTCGCCGAAGGGATGTTCCCCAGAGAGCAATATCCAGAAATAGAGACAACCCAGGGCAAAGAGGTCAACAGCCTTGGTAAGCCTGCTTCTTGAGCTCGAGCAGGCCTCTCCTTCGGCAGTGACTGTGCCTCCGCTCGATGTGCCAGAGGCAGTTTGGTCGAATCCCTCGTTGAGCCGGACCACCCCACGAATGCACTCTGGTGCACGCCATCCTAGACTACCAGCCAGATTGTTTGCAGTAGGGGCAAACGATGACTGATCTTGATCTAACCGTCGAGCGAGACCAAAGTCCGAAACGAGGATCCGGAGCCCCGAGGGTGTCTGAGAAACCAACACATTTCTGGAATCGTCAGCAACGCCTCGCACAAAAGAGACTGGACTCACTGAGGCTTGATATCACGATGTATAATCTTCATCCCATGCAGATGCTTGACGCCCCTTGTCACTTCCATCAAAGCCTTTTTCCTATCCAACTGCGCCGCCAACTCTTTGTGCTTCTCTGGCGACTCGATCAAGTCTGCGAGAGACGCCTGACACAAGTCGAGAGCAATGTAAAGGAAGTTATCGCGCTTTTCTTGGCAATAGTCTGAAGCTATATCAGCAGATTCTCAGATAGGAGAGACAATACGCACATCGAATGACGTTGGGATGGTCGTCTGAGGCTTGGAGAAGCTTGACTTCTTGACTAGCCAGCCGGGTGAAATCACTCAAAAGCCTCTTGACAGCTACTGGCCTTCCGCCCCAGGTCCCCTTCAGCACCACTGTACCATGCGATCCGAATCCTATACTCTGTCAGCAGACCGTCTTCAAAGACCAGAAACGACTCACCGATGATCTGATCACTGATGGCCAATCTCTCCTTATCTTGATAATCCAGCAGATCCGTCGACGAGAGCTCTCTCGGCAGATCCGGCAGAGGTTTACCGCCCGTCTTTGATGACCGCCCGGACTCCCTTCCATCCCCATCCTCATCAAATTCTCCTTCTTCACCTTCCTCCAGTATGGGATTCGAATCTCTACGCTTCTTCTTGCCCCTCACTCGGCGTCTTGTAGACTTCTTTCCAGCTTTTTGAGGTGGTGCCAAGGGCTGGGTGTCGGTAGGCGGAAGAGCTGCTGGAGGGACGGCAGGAGACGGTGTCGACTCTTGAATTGTGATGCTAGGGATCACTTCCTCCGTCTTTGATTTGTCCTCGTTGACCACCAACAGCGGTGTCTTTTCATCCACCTCGCCTACCCCGACACGTCCTCCTCTGTACCTCGCAAAGTTTACAATCCCAGCGCCCAGTATGGTCACCGCCATACCGAACAACAACACCCACTTCCACCATGCCCTCTCCACCTTTTGCCTGATTCCGCCAGCTTCAAGCGTCCTGACATCGGCAGGTCCGTCAATGAGCCCGTGTTCCTTGGGGGCGTCGATCAGGAACGGGAGCATGCTCTTGTGCGCTTCGGCGCTGGAATCACCATCTTCAGCGAGGAAGAAGAGGCCATCCGAGAGATGTCCAGGACGAGCAGGGCGGGCAAAGTTGATGAGCGGGTAACTGCTGGACGAGAGAGCAAAATGAAGCGCATCCCCAACCGACTTGCCGTCTGAAGCAGTCAGATTGGTTTGAGGGGTCGGTAAAGCGAGATGCTCGGGCAGAGTCGCAATGTAGGTAGAAGGAGGTGCGCGGTGAATGTTGAATGCCCGAGCATCACCATGCTCTGGGAAGAGCGCGGGAAGATGGGCAGGCGGCTGGGGCACCAGCACTGGCGCACCATGCGGGCTGTCTCTGGGGAGGAGAATCTCATAGACTCCAATGCCAACGTTTCCGAGCTCCTTGTTCCAGATGATCCCTGCGCCCGGCTTGACACCCAACGCCTTTCCATCAAATCCCAGCTCTACTCGGGTCCTCGGTTCCTCGCGGTCAGGACCCCATGACTGATGGTCGACAGAAGCCTTGAGCCATGTATCTGCCAGCGGACGATTGTACGAGTTGGGAGTGTAGGTGGAGTATCTGATTTCCTGCACACCGGGTCCGCCCTTCTTTTCGGAAGAGCTGTAGACTGTCGAGGTATAAGTCGAGAGTCCTTGAGCGGAGGGAGAAGGGGAATGGATGGTCAGGCGATAATCAGTCCTTCCGACAAACAAGGTGTCTCGGACCGGAAGCGCGTTCGCGCGCTCCAAATCATCCAGCTCGTCGTTTTCGCAGACGGCAGCGCTGTGATGAGACAGGTTCAGGGCCGCAGATGGAAAGCAGTCGACTTGCTCGCCCGTGAGAAGGTTGATGCTCATGAGGGAAGTCTGCTTGGAGCCGGTGAAAATCTGGGTGGGGGCGTCGGGGAATGCAAAAGGGGAGAGTGCGATTCTGCTCACATCAGCCCTGCACAGCACTGGTTTATTTCCATCACACAACTCACAGTTGCTCCACTCCCAAAGGTAATTGTCGCATTTTGACCTCTCCTTCAATCTCCTCGTGCACGTACAAGCTTCCGCTGAGCGGCTCCACAATGTACTTTTCGTCATCTCTGCCCCTCATTTTGCCCCCCACCAGCGGATCACCTTCGTCCAAAACCCATTTTTCAGTCCCCGTCTGGCGGTCTATCGCATGCAAGGCACCGTCGACGGTAGAGACGAGCACAAGGGGGTGGACATCGTGGTTGATGACGACTTGCGGCGCCTGAGTCGGAGAGGGTTGTGCTGGGCGGTGGGTGTATTGAGGGAATGGGATGAGAGCGGCTGGTTCCGGGGAGGCGACTACGCTGAGGAGAAAGGCGAGGAAGGCGAGGAGGGAGAAGAGGAGGGGCGTGGGCAGCATATTAGATGTAGGGCATGCGCGCGTTGGGTGGCGATGAGTCCTCCTCTCGCTGCAGTGTGGCGTACTTTTGGTGTCAGTCAAGGTAGATTTCAGATTTCAAGGAAGGACAAAGACATGCGGAGAGCGGGGAAGTCCGCCCGCAACAGGAGTATGTTACGTAAATTGCCCCTCCCGCCGTCGGCGGCCATTATCGCCGAGATCGCCCAAAACCCAGAATTCAAAGATGAGGTATCATATAGCCCAGTATCAATTGCTAGCCATTAGCCAGGGGACATGGCATAGACGGGGTGAAGGGGGGAGAAGGGGAGAAGGGGAGCGAGGGAGGCCAGGCAGCCTGCATGCATTGACAATGCGGCGAGACGAGGTGTACCACAGTATGCGCCTTTATACCCATCTGGGTGGCGAATGTGGGGTAGCGGTACCTTGATCGACTTACGCGTCGTCCGGAAGCCCGCCGATAATAACCCAAAGTTATCGACCAGTAATAACTAGAAGGGAGTCTAGACTAATCGTGGAGTTGACTCATCTTCCCTTTCCATCTCCATCTACCATGCCCATCTACCCCCACGACGACATCTCCACCTACCCCCCGCTCAACGGCGTCGTCCTCATAGACACCTCAGAGCCAGAGCCCCCGCCCGCACAGAATCCCGCAGATGTGGCCAACGTGCTCAGGCGAAACCAGGCCTGTCGACAGTGTCGGAGGAGAAAACTCGTACGTGACTATCCCACCTGAGGCGTATGGAGCTGCACTGACACGAGCACAGAAATGCGACGCTGTGAGGACAATTTGCTTCCGGGCAACAGGTAAAGACATGGCTGACAGGACTCTTAGGCTCGGCCGCATTGTGCGACGTGCATAAGATCGTATCGCCACCTCCTCAAGACCTCTCCAAGGAGCAATCCTATACTGTGTTGCGACTATGATGACGGTGCTCCTGCTCAGTCAGCCGAGGATGAGACAAATAAAAGCCTGAATCAGAGCACAGGCCAGGCTGCCCCCACGACATCCTTTGACAACAACGCAGATGACGAGGGGACGCAGGGCAATGGTGGCTCCAAGAAAAAGAGAAAAGCGTCTGGGGAAGGAAAGAGGAAAAAAAGAGAAGACGAATTTCAGGAAGAAAAGGACAGGTTGAACAAGAAGATTCGTGAGTGGCATCTTGGGAAATGGTATGTGGTGCTCATTTTTTTTTTTTTCGACAGAGGAGCTGCAGTCTCAGTTGTCCAAAAAGTCGAATGGCACACAGCAGCCTCCGAGCCTGCCGACCTCGAGGGGATGGTCGGGCAGCTCCTCGCTGTTTGCAAACCAGGACCAATCTGCACCTTCACCCAACACTTTTCTGGACATGTTTACCACGGGCCCCGCTGCCCAGCCTGCTGCAGGTTCTCAGACAACCTCGAATACCATGTGGAGCAACCCTACCTCTTTAGATTCTGGCAGTCTCGCCCAAACTGCTGCTGGACTCGTCAACCTTGGCCAATCCCTGGATTTCTCCTTAGGCCCTTCCCCGCCCAACCAAATGGGATCTCATCGGTCAAGTGGCCAGAACGATACACCTGATTTGACTGAATCCTCTTCTGGCCAGAACACTCTTTCCCCCGGTGACTTGTTTAATTTCCCTTCGCCTGATACCACCTCGGCAGCCCGGACCCATGCTCCTGGGGAAGTCCCGTATCCATTCATGGACCCTGTGGCCTTAGACCCCGATGTTCACGTCGTTTCCCAAGGGCCCAAGAGTTTGTGGCAGGGCGCACCGTCTGGTCCGGGCGACTCGGCTTCGTTTACAGCAAGCTCCAATACCAACAACGGCTCCACGGCCGCGGCAGATGTGTCGATGGGCGGCGAAATCAACATGGATGGGCTGCAAGCTAGCTTGGATGCGGCCATGCAACAGCAGCTCTTGATGGACATGTTTTGGCCCGGATGGCCCGCCAAGTTGCCGGAACCAAACATTGTCAACGAATTGTGAGTAGATGTCAGGTTGAATGCCTGTAGCTGATAGAAGTCAGGGTGGATGCCTTTGATACTGTGCCCAACCTTCCCCGTATGATGCACCGAGCACGATTCCTCTCCCGCCTCGCTCTCCCGCCCACCCACGCCAACTTTCCACACCCTTCCCTCATACATGCCATCTGCGCCAGTGCCGCAGCCTGGTGTGATCCTAACGTTTATGAAAAGTCCACCCGGGACAAGCAGTGGGCCAACTATGGGATGGATGGGTCAGGACTGTGGGGACCGGAAGGGCAGCCGACGAAGAAGGCTTTGTCGTTTGCGGCAAGGCAGACTCTGTTTGCAAAGGAGGCGGTGCAGGAAGGGTTGAATACGGGCAACAGATTGTTCGATGTGGTTAGAGCAATGGTGAGTCAGCGTGCTCCTCCGACTCGTGCTGATATTTTCTAGATCATTCTTTGTCGAGTATTCATCGACGATACAAGAATGCTGGAATGCTGGGCCTACGGTGGTCTTGTCGCGCGCATGATTCTTCCCCTGGGCCTCAACGTCCGCAGTGCCGAATTGTCTCTCAAGTCGGTCATGCTCCCCCCAGCACAAGACGCTCTCGAGCGCGAAGAGCGCCGTGCAGCAATGTGGATGGCATTCTACCACGACACCATTGCCTCCGCCGCGAGTGGATGGGGTACGAGTATATCCCTTGAAGAGCTCACAGTCCCCTTGCCCGTGTCGAAAAAGGACTTTGACACGGGCAACGAGTACATGAAGCCCAACCCGCAGGATGTCGAGTCGCCAGATCTGTTCTTGACGCATCCCGTGCCGGACTCTTATGTGATGATGACAAAAGCTTCGATCCTGATGAACCGTACCAATCGTTTCGTGCGCAGGTGGAAGAACAGGCATCTGAAGCCCAATGATGATTTGGAGGGAATGGAGAGGCCAGAGTTCAAAGAGCTGGCAAACTCTATCGCGTGTTTCCAGTGAGTTGTAACGCTGCTTGCTTTGTTCATATGCTGATGGGTGCAGAATGTCTTTCCCGCCGTCTCTTCGCAACTTTAGCAAGGTTGGCCCCAAGAAGCATCTTGATATCGACTTGGTTGCCGCGCACATGTTACCCTTTGCCGCCACCATGTGTCTTTACGAGCCATTCGCAGACCTTGACGACCCTTCAGACCAACCCACGAGACGGCTGGTGGTAGCCACCCAGGGTATCGTCGGGATTGTGCAACAGCTGGCGAGCGCAGCTGGAGGAGAAGGCGACAAGTTTGCGAGCATCATGCACTCGAGTGCTAGCGTGTATGTCTTGATTACTGCTTTGAGAGTCTGGCTGACGATGATATAGATGTTTTGTGACGACTGCGCGAACATCGCTCCTCCTCATGCGCCATGCCATGAACAACAATGACGCCGTCTCTGCCGAGTCGCATAGGATGGACTGCGAGATGGTTCGACTTGCCCTGGCCCAATTTGGCACGAGGTTCAAGATAGGACAGCACCACGCGCAGTTGATTGAATACTTTTTGGACAGGGCTTGCAACCCCACATTCGAAAAGCTGTCGGCGCATTACCCTGATCATCCTCGTCCTGGAGCGTGAGTCTATTACTTTGACACCGATTCATTGGCTAATGTGGCTCAGGCCTGAGCTGACAAGAGAGTCGGATTTCGGATGGTGCATCTCGAACGCGCTCAACGTCAAACGAGGTTTCTGGCGCGCCGTCAACCCTTCCACATCCACATCTCCACCCGACTCCAACTCCTCATCCGACCTACACAGCTCTGCCAATCACTCCTACCCAAACTTTTCTCAGACCCAGACGTACATCACCGTAGAGCAGATGGAGAAGGAGATGCTTGTACAGCAAGGACAGCATCAGGTACGGACGGTCTCGGGCGACTCTCAAGGGGCGACTTTGAAAGACATTTCGATGGAGTCTTCGCCGGGAGAGTCTTCGACATCTGGGTCAGGAGGACAGGGTGGGGACGAAAAGCAAGAGTACGTGCTACACAAAGGTCTCGGTCACATCTCTTCAGTTGGCGACTTTTGCTCCATGACAGCGGATGGTGCCCCCTTGCCTGACATTCTCCCCCGGCGCCCATCGGAGGAGGTATTGGCAGCGGTGATCGAGTCGCAACAGACGCAGGGGCTGGGAGATAAGGTCCCTTCGGCGAATAGGGCGTTTGGTGGCGGCTTTTGGATTGAGCCCAAGACTTCTTCATAAAGATAGAGTTATCATTACAACTCTCCGCTCGTTGTAATCGTACGGTCAGGTTTCTTCTCATACACTCTTGGTTAAATACCAGCGATGCGAGATAATGCATGTGCCAAGTCGAGCGAGAGGGCTATGATACAATCAAGGGCGACAACCAAAAAGTGGCGTCTAATTTCACAACCAAAAAACAAACTCTCAAAGAGAGTCTATACACAACAATGACAAGGGAGAAGAGTAGATAATACTGGGCTACAAAGTACGACCAAGCGTACCGGAATGAGAAAGAGAAAATATAGAACGTGATGATTCAACGCTAGCCTAGATGAGCCCAAGCAAGCGGGGGTCCCTTGAAGGATCAAAATGCCTCCTGCCCGAATCGCTCGCCCTTCTGCCACCTGTCGTCGCCGGCGGCCCCTGCCCCGCGACATTCGCCTGGACGCCAAGCCCCTCCTCGGCAGCAGCGGTATCAAACCCCTGTTTGTTACGGGGCAGGTGCGGCGTCGATTTGGGCCTGGTAATGCCTGCCCCGGAATTAGGGCCCGGCGTGGGCGGAGCTGTAGCAGCCAGTGCTTGTGCTTGGGGCTGTGCGGCAGGGAGATCGGGATGAGCCGCCGTAGGAGGGAGGTGGGGCACATCCCGCCCGGAGGGAAGTGCTCGATCGAGCATACTCAGACTCCGCTTTTTCGCGTGCCCGCGCGCGTCCTCGTGGTCGTCGACGACAGCGCTCGCGTTGGAGGCAGGGGTCATGCCGAATCCGAGGCCATGGTTGAACGATTCACGTCGGGAGTGGGTAGTCGATGTGGAGGCGGGGGTGCTCGGGATCGAGTTGGAGGGGGAGAAGGAGAAGGGGAGGCTGGCGAGGGAGGAGAGGAAGGAGGGGCGGCGAGAGGGCGGGGGGGTGGGCAGGGCTGGGCTGGGCCGGTGAGCCCCGTGCGGCGGGATGGTCTCATACTCACAGTCGTGGAAAGTCTCTCTGTCTGCGCGATCGATGGTGTGTGTGCCGGGGGGTGTGCCGGTGGGGGTGATGGGGCGGGGGGGAGCGGAGGGGAGCGGGTTGGCCATCGCGAATAGGAGAGTAGAGTAGTAAAGAGTAGAGATATGTAACACAATACTAACTATTACAAACTCGGATTAATCGGTCACCGCCCCGACTACCCTCCACTCTAATCCCTGACGTCATCCTCTCCACCTATATAACCACAAACCTACTCCCTCTCATTCGCCCATTACTCTTCTCTTGCACCCACAACCCACTGCACAGCAATGTCTGCCCTCCGACTTCCATCCCTCCACGCCCTCAGAGCCCACCGCCCACTGCCCGTGTCCAGGTCCGTGGCGCTCAGGTCGATGGCTTCCAGACACGGCAACGACCCGGAAGTGCGTCTCGCTGTTTGTACGCCGGTATATGGAGTGCTGACAGGGAGCAACAGGTTCTGCAGAAAGAAAAGGCCCGGAACCTGAGGGGCCAGCAAGAATCTTCAGCGCCGCACAAGGAGCATGCGCCCGGATGGAACGAGCACCTTGCTGTAAGTCTTGCTCGTCTCAGCTATCACAGTTCACCAGCTCATGTCCTCGTGGTAGTCTGATGCCGAGGCCAATGTAAAGGTGAGTTATCGGTCTGTTGAGGTACGAGATAAAAGCTGACGTGATTTAGGCGGACCAAGCTGGACCTTCAGGCAAGCCCGGTAAAGAGCTCCAAGATGCCACCGTCGGTCGTGAGTCGCCATTCAACAAGATGGCATCTCAGAATCCTGACGTTTCCCCGCCAGACATTGACAAGCACCACCACAAGGAGGACGGCAAGGCCGGGCACCGAACCCACGATGCCCCCGGGCCCAGTCCGACCGATAGCGAGGCAACCGTACGTCTCAACTTTTACGAACGTTCACGCAGAACACTGACTCGGTTCATGGCTACAGGTAAAGGCTGACCGAGGGGAAGCGTAAGCTTGGGAAACTCCAGGCCCATCCCTGGAGCGATTCGTATACTTATTGGTGCCACTTAGGTCATTTTATGGGAACACTCCTTGAAATGGTGGTCCACCAACCAAATCGTATCAATAGTCCATGTAGCATCTGAACAGCAAACCACACAACATGTCAAAAGTCACTCTGAACATGGCGAAGAAGGAGCAAGGGAGAAACGAGACGCGGTCGATGGAAACTCACTTGTAGAATCAAGGATTTGGCGCACAAGCTGTATGTATATCGCAGTGCAATGTGTGTGTCCTCGTGGGTGCGCCGTCTCCCGAGTGTGGCATGATAAAACCAGGAAAGCACCCGTCAATGTCGGAGGCAGGAGTAAAACACGAGCACGACGCCGGCTATGGGGTTGCCGGTGGTCGACGAATCATCGCTGCTGCATTTCCGCACGAGTTATAACCCTTATAACCCGCGATTCGATCCCCTATTATTATTCATCCCCCAGCATCCTGCAGCCATGGGCGTACAGCCAGAACAGTTCGCCCAGCTCAAGGACATCCCCGCCGAAGAGGTCGCCACCGTACGTGCCCATCGCATCTCATCCCCTCGCCGCCGCAGAAAGAGCGTAATGCTGACAATGCCATTGCCTAGCACAACAAGCAGGGCGATATCTGGATCATCATCGATGCCGTCGTATACGACCTTTCCAAATTCGCTAATCTGCACCCCGGTGGACTGGGTGTGCTCCTAGATGGAGACGTTGGTAAGTCATATCTTTCCGCGAGATCAAGATATGCCTCGGCGGCTTGTTGGGTTCCGGGTCCTGTCTTGACAGAAGGGCACGACTGACTCTCCGAGTAGCTGGTAAAGATGCGACCACCGTCTTCTTCAGTCTGTAAGCTTTTACATCACATCTCATGAGGACAGAGTGCTAAAGTGACACACCAAGCCATCGCCAAGAAGTCCTCCTCAAACCTCAATACCAACGCCTCATCATCGGCCGCGTCGCTGGCAGCACCCAGTCCGTCTCTCCACCCGCCATTGGCGCCATCTCCACCGTACCCTACGGCGAGCCCACCTGGCTCACCCCGCAGTTCAAGTCGCCATACTATAATGACAGCCACCGCAAGTTCCAAATGGTCGTCAGAAAGTTTGTGGAGGAGGAGATCAAGGCGGATGCGCAGGCTTGTGAGGAGAGTGGGAAGAGGGCTAGTAAGGAGGTTTTGGCTGCCATGGCGTGAGTCTCGTTCCTGTGAAATGGAGTCAGCAGCTGAAGCGATCTGTAGAAGAGTCAACTTGAATGCGATGCGTCTCGGGCCGGGAAAGCACCTCCACGGACGGTCCCTCTTTGACGGCGCCTTCAAAGGCGAAGAATTCGACTATTTTCAGTAAACCACTCGATCCCGCATCGACGATTTTTAGCACTGACATGACCACAGCGAACTCATCATTACCCAAGAATTAGCCCGCACCGGCGCACGAGGCTACGCCGACGGCCTCAACGCCGGTATGGTCATCGGTCTGCCCCCAGTCCTCAACTTTGGCCAAGAGCCCCTCCGGTCCAAGGTCGTCGAGGAAGTGTTTAAAGGTGAAAAAGTCATCAGTCTGGCCATTTCAGAGGCTTTCGCGGGGAGTGATGTGGCGGGGTTGAGGACGACTGCTACCAAGCAAGGGGATGGGTGGGTGATCAATGGCACGAAAAAGTGGATCTCGGGTGGTGTCCATTCCGATTATTTTGTGAGTCCTATCTCTCTAATGGCATTGTTGCTGAGTACGTTTGCAGACGGTCGGGTGCCGCACCGAAGGTGGTCTTACCGTCTTCCTCGTTCCCAGGACTGAGAATGTCACTACCAAGCAGATCAAGACTTCGTACTCTACCGCAGCCGGTACAGCGTACATTACGTTTGACAACGTCTACGTGCCCAACGAGAACATGCTCGGTCCGGAGAATGGAGGTCTACTCGTCATCTTGAGCAACTTTAACGTACGTAAAAAGTCAAAACATGGACTGGGCTGATCTTGCGGAAACAGCACGAGCGATGGGTCATGTGCTGTGGCAGCGCCCGAATCTCTAGAATCATCGTGGAGGAATGTCTCAAGTGGGCTTCCCAGCGGCGAGTGTTTGGTAAGCCTCTCATTTCCCAGCCAGTCATCCGAGCCAAGTAAGTCTTGCCTTTCGTACCACTAGCCAGGGCTAATGTGACTAGGCTCGCGTCGATGATTGCCAAGGTCGAAGCTACCCAGGCGTGGTTGGAAGCCGTCACTTTCCAGATGTGCAACATGGTAAGCTCCCACACTCCGGACAAGCTCTGTCGCTCACCTCGTATATCAAGAACTACAAACAACAATCCAAAAACCTCGCCGGTCAAATCGCCTTTCTCAAAATGCAATCCACCCGCTTTGCAGGTGAGATTGCCGACGACGCCGTCAACATCTTTGGCGGGCGCGGTCTCACCAAGACGGGCATGGGCAGGTTGGTCGAGCAGTTCCAGAGGACGCAAAAGTTTGATGCGATCCTGGGTGGGGCGGAGGAGGTGTTGGGTGATTTGGGAGTCAGGCAGGCTATGAGGCAGATGCCTAAGGATGTCAGGCTCTAGAGCACGGGAAAGGAATATGAAGTCTTGTATGATGGATAAAGGAAAGGGTCTGCTCTGCTCGGTTGTATTTCCTCTGACTGTGTATTGACGAATGGCATGTATCTTTCGAGATGGAATGATTGGTCAAAATAACTTTTCCCTTGTGTATTCCTCCAGTTGCCTCTCGTCAACCTGGGGGTGGGAAACTTTGACTAAAGAGAGGCAGACCAACGATGCAGTGCATACTGTAGGGCAGACTATCATTATAAATCGATCAAACAAGTCCTGACCGAAGGAAACATGGCCATCTCCAGTGCTTCTCAGAGCCTTGCGGACATCTAGAAGTGTTGCTTGAGACCCCCACCCTTGAACTTGTAGAAATGAGGTCTAAGACAGATCAGCACATACTTGGCAAGTATCACAGTCACGACTTACGCCAATTCTACCAGCCAATCTTCATCGATCACAGTCAGATCCCTCATAAAGCTCTTTGTCGTCTCCAGGACTTCATGGTAGATGACCCATCCAGTCGAGGGCTGCCTTGTGAACAGTACTGAGGATGGATGCACATGCAGGATGGCGTTGGAGCGAGCTGCGCGGAATGTGCCGTCCGGTGACATCCTTGCTGCGTTCTGCATCCCGTATGAGCGAATGGACGATCGACATCATGTAGGACTTACCTTGAAATATCCAGAGACCAAACACTTTCTCAATCTCACCGCATCGCCTTCACAGCTTTGCACCTTGATCCCAAAGCGGTCCAGATACTTTTTGAGCTGTTTTCTGATGGACATGGCTCGAGACAGAGCTTTGTGGTTCAGGCGATGGTTGCCACACCATGATTTGTTATTTTGCCCATAGCGGGTGAACGCATTGTACGCTAGGTAATGGGTGAGTAGGATGAAGTTAGCGAGATTGCAGATGACCTACCATTCAAGAGTGTCAGGTGGTCGCCTTCTTCCGCTGTAAACTTTCGACGTTCGAGCTCTGCCATTGTCGCCTTGGTGCCGCCCTCAGCCGTGATAAAGACATTCTGCGTCACAACGTCAGCATGTAATCATCCAGTCCGTTGTTGTACTTGCCTGGACCGAGGTCATAGCTGCGATACTCAGGATTTCTTCACCACACTGGAACTCTTGAGAATTCAACAGCTGCACACATCATGTTAGCAGACAGCCTCGACAAAGCTCCGTGGACTTACAATAGCAGCCATCATGGGGTCCAGCGGCACTTCCGCCATCCTCTCTCCGATAGGCCTCGCCAATCGTCCCTCATCGTCAATCGCCTTCAGACAAAACAAGAATTCTAACGCCCGGATCATCATTTCACTGGGTGGTGGGCTCATAAAGTCGAATTTTGCGAGATTGTCGATACCTAGGGCTTTGAGCTGCAAGAGGTAGAGGGATATATCGGAGCGGACCAGCTCGGGTGGCGTGGTGACTGGCATGGGGGAGGAGGGGTTGTTGGTTGGGAGTAAAGTAGATGGGTAGAGACGGAAACATTTGCCGGGAGAAGTACGGCCTGCTCGACCGGCCCGTTGATTGGCAGATGCAAGAGAACAGGGCGTTGTGGTGAGGACATCCATACATGTTCTGGGATTGTACGTCTTCAGCTGCAAGAATTGATTAGTGGGAATATCAGGATCATCCAAAGCGTAGGGCGTACCTTGACGAACCCAGAATCGACGACATATTTGATGCCATCTATAGTCACACTCGCTTCTGCAATATTGGTAGAAAAGATTACTTTTCGAGTATCTCTGGGTGGTGGGTCGAATATCAGAGATTGCTCCTCTGGCGGTAGAGTAGCGTAGAGGGGGAGAGCTAGTAATTTGGGTGCTGCTTTCGGGAGTGACTGTAATCTGTCCGCCACTTCCTGCAAGACCTGGTCTATCTCTTCTCTACCGGTCAAAAAGACAAGGATGTCTCCAGCAGGTTCCTGCAATATGTTAGTGGGGGTGATCATGAAAGTATGAGCTGCGTGCCTTCATATGTATATCAAAGACCGTTTGGACGGCGGCCTCGGTATAGTCGGAGCAGGGCTCCTTCAGGTAGCACACCTCCACGGGGAACATTCGGCCTTCCAGACTGACGACTGTCATATTTATAAGCTGGATACCGTCATATATATACAATGTCATACCTATAGCGTCGTCTTGTGACCGATCAGCGCCATCGGCGTTGGAATTGAAATATTCTAAAAAGTCCTCGCTGCAGAGAGAGTCAGCTGCAGACACTTTGTCCAAATTGTAGTACCGTACGCATCAATAGTAGCTGATGATATGATGACTCGTAGCTCTGGTCGCTTCTTCATGACCCTGTCAAAGAGTCAGTTTTAGACATCTACACTTGAGACGGGACTTACTTCTTGAGCAGCCCCAGTAGCAAATCAGTGTACGCTCCTCTCTCGTGCGCCTCGTCTACCTAAAATACGCATAAGCCAAGTACACGTTAAGTAGTGTACCGCTTACCATTATGACGCTGTACTTGCTCAAAAGAGGGTCCATCATTGTCTCCCGGAACAGCATACCGTCCGTCATGTATTTGATCTTGGTTCTCGCCGGATTCGTCAAGTCTTCAAAACGGATGGTATATCCCACCTACCACGGATTAGCTAGCTGATCTGCCGATCATTCGAATACGCACCTCATCGCCAAGTACACTCCCGACCTCTTCTGCTACTCGAGTTGCTACACTAGTCGCGGCCACTCTCCGTGGTTGCGTACAGGCGACAACGTAGTTTTGATTTGTCCATCCAGCTTCGCGGAGGTATTGTGGTATCTCTAGAAGACCCAATGAGCTACAATTTCCAGCTTTCAAGACAATAGTACTCACGTGTAGACTTTCCACAGCCCGTCTGACCAACAACAATAACCACTCGATACTTTTCAACACACCATAACAGCTTCTCTTTGTGTTTGAAGATTGGAAGCCGTTTCCTTTGCGAGTCTATGCTGAGGCCCACATTCTGAGATACGTTTATCGGCAGTAAAGAGCCATCTCCTTCGGCTTCTCTATCTAGAGAGCTTCCTACAAGAGCTTTAGCATATAGCTTCAGAAGCTGCAAACCACGCACCAGGAGCTGCCGTTCCTGGCTTCCAGAATTGTAGAGGGGGCATTCTTTACTGTGGGTACTTTACAAGGGGTGAGCTCAGCTACAGAGACCGCTGAATGTCAACAACAGAGCGTAAACAGACTTTCTGAGTGCGACGATGGAAATAGAGCGCATCTCCACTCGGCGGTGTCCGACCCGTTTACACCAGCGCTTAAGCAGCACGGTTACGGGTTTGTAATAGTTAATAGTGCGGCCAGGCACGATCAGAAGATAAGAAGAGCCAATGGGGGCACCCTTGTGAATGAAAGTTTCTCGGGACCACAAGTCCACTTACATCGGAAATCATCATCAGTCGCACTTTTGACATCTACATCTCTTCCTGCCAGACAGAAAAGACTGCCCACCATGCTCTCGGCTGTCACGAAACGCTGGACACAGGCGCGCGAACAGCCCCGATGGCGGTTGACCTTGCTGGGACGAGCAGTCGCCCTGATATCCGGAGAGCTACTCTTCAATGCGGCCTGCTGGGTCGCTGCTGGCATATGCTTCAAGGGAAGCGGTGTGTTGGGGCTCGCGTTACTGGCATGGGTGAGCACTTTCGGGCCGTTTTGAAGAATCTATACTGAACTCTTTCACAGACTATCGGGCTGCGGCATGGTGAGTACCGGACTGGTCGACAGCTAGCATGAAAGGCTAACTCTTGGGCCAGGCCTTGATGCCGACCATATCAGTGCCATCGATAATGCTACCCGACAGCTTGTCAGCCAGGGCCAACTGCCCATCACTTGTGGTATGTGATAATCACCTTACTTTACGTGATCGACAGAGTTCTTGTTGTTGCTAACGTGATCTGCACCGTATAGGACTCTTCTTCTCACTCGGACATTCTACCATTGTCATAGCAGTCAACATTGCTATTGCTATCAGGCGAGCAGACTGCCCAGTTTGGTATATTAAAAGCTGACACGAATGTAGTGTGGATGTGTATGACAAGCTCGACAAAGTCGGTTCCGTAGGCGGAATCGTCGGCGCATCCGTTTCCGCCTCATTCCTCTTCCTCGTCGCATGCTTGAACATCTTCTTTCTAATCGGCGCTGTCAAACAACGGCGAGCCATCAAGCGGCGGCAAGCTTTGGGTTTGCCCCCAGATGAAGAGGATATGGATCCCACCAAGATCCATGGTGGGGGCTGTTTGGTTCGGATCATCTCGCCGATTTTGAGGGCGGTAGACAAGCCATGGAAGATGTACCCGGTTGGCATCTTGTTTGGTTTTGGTGAGCTCTATTTTCTTAATTCAGGGGCCGCTTGCTCACATACCCGTTTAAGGATTCGATACGGCTTCGTCGATTGCTCTTCTCGCCATCTCCGCTGTCGCCCAAAGGGATAACAATGGACAATCTATCAACCATGGCAAGATTGTTATCCTTCCATTCCTGGTACGTCTAGATTTCCGAACCCAGCTCTTGAAACCAAAGCTTACACTGTCCAGTTTACCGCAGGCATGTCCCTGGTCGATTCCCTCGACTCTATCCTCATGCTCTACGCCTACGCCTCCCCCTCCCGCTCCACCCCCGAAGGCAAAATTGCTCTTCTCCAAGACCCTTTCGACTCGAAAGAGACTATCAACGAGACTAACATCGAGACGCTGCCGGTGGAGACTTCCGACGAGCGCGAGAGGGCAGAAAGTGAAGAGCTGCGCGCGAGCCCTAGAGGAGAGATTGAGAGGCTGGAAGAAGAGCAGGAAACCAGATATATGGGCGCGAGGGACGGTGGTGTGGAGGAGGAGGGCATCGGCGGCCCTTCCAACTTTGCGGAAGGTGCTGAGAACGAGCGGGTGATACAGGCCAAGGCCAACACGATGTCTTCGCTCTCCATCATCCTCACCCTCCTGTCCATCTTGGTCGCTCTCAGGTAAGCAAACCACAACGCTATAAGGTCCAAACTAAACCAGACTCAGCATCTCTCTGATCGAAATCATGGGTCTCATCGGTGACAACTGTACGCAATGCCAGGAAGCAGCTGATGACCCCGACGGGGGTGGTCTCGCAGGGAGCTGGTGGCGTGCATGGGCTAGAGCCAACGACCAGTCTGGCTATATCGGTGCTGCTATCGTGGGGTGCTTTGTGGCCATCTTGGTTGGGTTCTATGGGGCAAAGTGGGGTGCAAAGAAGTGGAAGGTCAGGCAGGAGGGCAAGCGGGCGGTCATGCTTCCGTCAACGAACGAGGAGGAGGCGCATCAATGATGGGGTTCCATGATGGACTCTTCTGCAGATCAGATACCATACTTCTATACGAAAGTCTTTACCATGCCGCACATGTAAGGTATAATAGGCATTGGCTTTTCGCCCTGATGTAATTCATGATGCAGAAGGGTCGCCGAACACAACGAGGCTGAGATTGCTATTGAACGTGACATACAGCTCCGCCCATTGCCATATACGTCTGTGCTGAAGCTGCATGCATGCAATGCATGCCACCATTCACAATAGTCTGATGATATACAATGCATATCATTAGAGCTATCTGATCTATTTGCCCAACGCTTCCTCCCTGTCCATCACCTTTTGGTCTAGCTTGATGAGGATGACTGTGCGTTGAGGAAACTGGTCTGTCGGTACCGTATGAGCTGTTACGCGAGCCGGCTAGATACTTTTATCAGCGAAATACACCAGCTATATTTGACTCAACGTACCACTTCCAGACCGTCGAGCACGCCTTCGACGATGCCGGCGGTGAACGCCTCGCAGCTGAGCTGTGACATGTCTTTCGGCACAGATATGAATTGAGTTAATGGTGGCTGGTTTAACGTGATCATGTCTATATAGCACATGCATCCGCAAAAGAAATGGATCTCCCGTGTCAGCTTACCTATCATGCCGGAAGAGATAAAAAAATAAGAGTAGAGGGGATGACGCACACTCGTTCTCTTCCTCTACGCTGCGTTCCAGACCGTCTGCGGGCTTGCCAAAGCAATAGCGGTACACCTGCGTATGGATGAATTGGAGTATGGGGATGAGGCGGTGCTCCCTTTTGGGCTCCTGCGGACGCGACGCGTCAGTGGGGCGCGTTCTAGAATCGCAAAACCGAGACCGACCTTGATGCCTGACGACTGGGTGTTGCGTAAGAGCAGGAGCGGGAGTATCCTCTGTCCTGCATCGTAGCCTAATGACGACAATCTGTAGTGCATTCCTTCAATTAGCACCGGCCGCAGACACCCCAGCCAGACCCCAGGCTCCATCATGTACAGCAATAGGAGCAAGACACACCTCGCTTCCAGATCAGACACGCTATCCACTCTGCTCTGGCTGTATGCCACGACCTCGGCGAATAGGAATGACCATGCACCGAGGCCTACTTCTGCAAGCTTTGACTTGCCCAGGGGACGATCTTGGATATTTTGGGGGCCCAGTGGGGCCGGAGTGCTGCTCCCGAAGAGCTGCTGCTGGAGCGAGGAGGGCTGGGATGCTCTGGCGGACTCGCGGCGGTTCTGGTTTGCGGCGGCGAGGGTGGAGGCGGAGGGGGAGTGGGAGTGGGAGTAGAGGGAGGGGCTGGGGGAGGGGAGGGAGGAGAGGGAGAAGCGGGAGCTGGCTGACATGGTGATGGAGGGAGTTGTATGGAGTTGTATGGAGTTGTATGGAGTTGTATGAGTTGTAATGGACTGATTAGACGACTAGAAATGGATTAGAACTGGATTAGAAATGGATTAGAAATGGATAAGCTTTGTGGTCCAGGCCCTGTGGTGTTATTACGCGTGCGACCTTGTTCTCTCTCATCTCTCAAACACCATGGGGCAGGCAAACTCGTCCACCAAGAAGCTCGGCCGCACCAGCTCCAAGCAGCTCTCCCCCAACGACCTCGCAGACTCCCTCTCCCGCACCGCCATCGCCGACACCGACACCCGTAACATCCCAAAGCGCTCAAAGGCCCCAGGCCATGAGCCCCGCCAGTCCTCCAGCTCCAGCTATGGCTCAAACCGCCCCGCCCTCAACACCCAAGGCTCCTATGACAACACCCCCTCCATTCGCTCAACAACCTCCGCGGGCCCGTCCTCGCCGTCCTCCCCCAGCAACATCCCTACCACAAAGACCATCGTTGCTGCCCCCGAGAAGGCCGGCAGAAAGTCCTCTCTCATCCCAGGGGGTGGCTCCCCACCGCCGCCATCCGCCATGTCCATCTCCCCATCATCCGGCCGGTCGGCCTCCCCGCCACCCCTCGGTAGCTCCCCTGCTACCCCGGGGGGTAGTCATATCTCCCGCGATAGCGCCAACTCTCTGCTTACTCCCAATGGAGCAGCATTGACTCAGAGCATCTCGCGCTCGTCTGTTGGGCCTGGCGGCGGAGTTCAGGTGCTGGACGTGGACAACATGATTCAGCGGTTGCTTGAAGCCGGTTATAGTGGCAAGGTGACAAAGAGCCCGCCCTTGAAGAATGCGGAGATCATGAGTGTATGTGCAGCAGCGAGAGAAGTCTTTCTGAGCCAGCCGACCCTCATTGAGCTGAGTCCGCCGGTCAAGATTGTTGGTGATGTCCATGGTCAGGTGAGTACGACTCGTACGACGTCGTCTTTATCTCTGCGACCGTCCCTTGTTCCTTATCAAGTCTATCTCTGACTCTCTATCTACAGTATGCCGACCTGCTTCGTATGTTTGAAATGTGTGGCTTCCCCCCGGCGGCCAACTATCTCTTCCTGGGCGATTACGTCGATCGAGGCAAGCAGTCTCTCGAGACAATCCTCCTGTTGCTGTGCTACAAGATCAAGTACCCGGAGAACTTCTTCTTGCTGAGAGGCAACCACGAGTGCGCAAACGTCACCAGAGGTCAGTCCTCGCTCCATTTGAGATCTTCGCCCGGCCATGCGATTTCGGCCCCACACCCGAACTTCCTTCTCATTGGTCCATTTGCTGATGTGAACGTAGTCTATGGATTCTACGACGAGTGCAAGCGCCGGACAAATATCAAGATCTGGAAGACCTTTATCGACGTCTTCAACACCCTCCCCATCGCTTCTATTGTTGCTTCCAAGATCTTTTGTGTGCACGGCGGGCTAAGTCCAAGTTTGAAGAGTATGGACGATATTAGACGGATTCAGAGGCCGACTGGTCAGTGTTCCTTCGTGTCGTCACTGACAGGTACTGACGAGTCTACAGATGTACCGGACTATGGACTGTTGAATGATTTGGTGTGGTCGGATCCGTCAGACACTGCTTTCGATTGGGAAGATAATGAGCGGGGCGTGTCATTCTGTTACGGCAAGAGTGTCATCAACGCGTTCCTTGCCACTCACGTGAGTATTCGCATTACGTTGAAGGAAGTTGCTGACAGTGTGCAAGGATATGGATCTCATCTGCCGGGCACACATGGTCGTCGAAGATGGCTACGAGTTCTACAATGACCGGACTCTTGTCACCGTCTTTTCCGCTCCCAAGTGCGCCCCCATCATCTCTCATGTCGCACCAAGCTGATATTCTATCGCAGCTATTGTGGAGAATTCGACAACTTTGGAGCCGTCATGTCTGTATCGGAAGACTTGCTCTGTTCGTTTGAGCTGCTCAAACCGTTGGACGGGGCTGCGTTGAAGAAGGAGATGACGAGGTCGAAACGAAAGTCGTGCGTACATCTCTTCCTCGGCTGCATCTCTATATTGACGCGCGTATAGTCTACAAAACCACCAATCTCCGCCTAACAATCCAATGGCACAAAGCTTCTAGTCCCCTCGTCTCAAACTCTCGGGAAAGCACATGTTTGTACGAATATCACCACTTTACCCAGCCCTCCTCGACCCTCTATTCCTTACTGCCTGCAACCATCACCAACATTATACCTATTATAGTCGCAGGGGGAAGGGACGCAAGATGAACAAAGAACGATCACGACGTGCCAAGAAACAACAGAAATAAATCGAGATGATGAAAGAACGAGAGGTGGTTGGGTGATAGGGCACGAGTCGAGATGGTTTCGTTGTGGAAATTCGGGATATGGTTGTACTCGTACTCTTTTCTTCGCCTTCTTCCTGACCGCTTTGCTTTCAATTGTGTACATTATACTAAGCGCTGCTTTTTCGTCAGATGATTGATAGTTTCTTCTTTCTCCTGCGTATCATTCTTCTTCTCCATTTCTGTTTTTCCACAAATATATATATATCAGGGCGAAATCATGAGGGCGGGATGCCTGGTTACCTTTCACTTCTTTCCCCCTACATATTACGTTTCCGCACATGAACTGGGTCTCTGGGAAGTGCACAGGGAGGTTGTATCATCTCTTTGCTCGATCCGGACAAGCAGAATGATAAGGCTGCATTGGCATTGATGAAACAGCAACTTCTTTTGATCAAGCTTCGAGCTCAAGTATGCCCGTTTTTGGTCCATAGGTGATTAGACTGAACCGAAAAGCCAAAAGGGGCTAGATTATTGCGATCGACGTTAGTTGATTGAAATACATAGGAAATGCTGAGCTCGCGACCCGCCAATCGTCTGAAACTGGAACAGATTACTCGCCGCTCTGAGCACGCATATGGCACTTGGGAGTCTAATAAGAGAAGATGACATTCCGTAGATGATAATCGCACTCTTTGCTGGATGGTGCCCAAACGGACCGACTGCGCGCGTGCCCTGGCTCGACACAAGCCCTTCCCAGCGCGCGTGCCGGTTGTCACGCCCACAACGGCTTTACAGCTCTCCGCCCGACCTTCCTCTCTGCCTCTGCATCATACCTGTTGGAGGTGAAGTGTTCAGGCAGTGCAGGCAGCATGCATGTGCGCAGTTGCAGCAGTATAGCTAGAATGACGCGCAATGTTACGTAAGGTGACGGAACTATTCTCAGGGAGATAGAAGCGCTAAGGACTGAGGAGGACTGTATACCAGTGAGCCTTCGACACAACTTCGACAATACCCCCGCCACATCCGCCACATCCAGCTCATCCAGCTCAACATGTACATCCCGAAACACATCCGCATGAAGAAAGCGCTCAAATCGACATGGCCCGACTACGCCGTAACCGGTCGGAAACCCGAGCTCCCACTCCCCGCCTTTCCCATCACCTCTCTCCTCGCTCTCAAACCCGTGCACACCACCATCCTCGACGCCCTCCTCTTCCTCTCTCCAAGAACATATATGCTATTATCAAAAGAGCACTATGCAAGGACGATACCTCTGTCTTGGCGGCATGTTGTCCTCAATATGGAGCTGATCGACGCTTTTGCCAGGGAAGAATCGAGGGAGCGAGATAACCTGCAGTATACAGTGTCTATCCGCATAGCCAAAGTCTCACAAATAGCAGCTTTGGAGTCGATTCCTTCTCATTCGTCGAAGCGGAGGATATTCGAACGAGTCAGGCAGGTGGAGTTGACGACGACGGCGTTCAAGGCCTTGTGGGATAGAGGCGAGCAGAATCAGCTCGATCTCGGGAGTATCGAGGAATGCTTGGGGAATGATCTGGAGGAGCTTCTCCTATGGATCAACCGTGTGCCCAAAAAGACGTTTGCCTTGCCCCAGAAGGCGTTCGACCAGCTCCTGGGCACCGTCCCCACTGTCGTCACGTTCGTCCTCGCCATCCCCAACTCTCATGCGCCGTCCTGGCCGGATATGCTAGAGCGGTTTCCTGCCCTGCTTCGACACTGGTACCCATCCCAGCGCTTGCGTATCGTATTCAAAATCCCAAGTCAGATGGTTTCCTTGGTCAGAGATGAGCTGGAGAATGCCATCATCACGCATATCGCATTCCGGGCGCGCGACAAGGCGGAATGGTCTGCTGGAGTGTCCGGGTGCAGGGTGGAATATCAACTGGATGGTGTCGACCGGCTGCGGGCCAAGATGAGAGCGGTCTTTGGGATGAGCGACTCGGCCAGCACTGGGATGATTGAGGACTTTGTGGGGGAGCAGTGTGAGCTAGTGGAACTGGCGCCGCATGCGTTTCCTTTCAGGAGGAGTGGGATGGAGTAAGTAACGTCTGTCAAACGAGGTTTTCTGCTCATGACACCTAGATGATAGTGTGAGAAGATTATACATAACGTCTGTACAGTACTTATATGTTTCCCATATCGCCCATGTATGTCACCTGAATATCCAACAGCTTTGCACAAGAGCATGGGGCAGGAAGAGGGGGCAGAATTTTGAAACCGCCGGGGCCCCCCTCAAGCAGACCAGCTGGTACGGTAAAAGTCGGCATGCTCGAAGCGCTCTCTGATCTGCTCGAGCCCAGGGTGGAGTAAGTGATGTAATTTCTTGTTGAGCCACCTTTGTTCTGTCCCGAGCGAATCTGTCTTACAATCTTAGTCTTCCCATCCCTAATATGCCAGACAAGAGCTCCCGAATCCCCTAGTCCAGAGAAGGCCCGGGCAAACCTGACACCAGAGTCGTAGATGCCCAATTCAATGGACTCGGTGCCGGCTCCGTTTTTGAGGCCGGTGGTAGTGCCGTCTTTACCAACAGTAAAGCAGCGTTTGCCCTGCTTGTCATCATCGGTAGCCTAGGGTTGACAAGCTCCTCCATTGTAGCGCAACCCTCGGTTCGTAGCTTCCCATCCGACAGGGGAGATTCACGCATTGAGCGACCAGTGTCTTCAGGCCAGAGCAAAGACGCAATTTCTAACAATGAGGACATGGATCCTCAAGAGAAGTATTGACATCTTAAAGTGTGAGTTGGAGTATGGGGGAACACATCTAGATCCACAACATTGCCCTCAAATTGGTTCCCGAATTTTGCCTCACTGACCTGAAATGCAGCCCAATCAAGGGTGAAACAGGGCCCATCTTGGTCGACCTTGACTGCTTTGGCGTGCTGAATGCATCCAATGGTGCGATCGGCGTGTTTTATATCTGACCAATCGCTTTTTATCTCATGGTAGAGAGCCTCAAGACCGGTCAAAGCTTCGTGCTCATTCCCCAACCGGAAGAGACACCAACGCAAGCTACGAGCCCCCTCTTCATCCAGCCCCTCTTTCCCCTGCAATGCCGCAACTTGTAGGGCCAAGGAACGGGCAGAGAAGCTGTGTTCAGTAATCTTGTCCGTGATCTCATAGAGGCCATGTCGGAACCTGCGCAAGCTGCACATCCTGACATACTCCTTGGGTGCAAAGATACCTCTTTGTTCGTAGTCATTGTGGGTATCTTTGCGGAGGACATGACAACTGCTGACGCCAAAGACCCGGTTGCTTGGATTCCCGTCTTTGTCTTTGTTCTCATGAAAATGGAGTGTCAGAGTGCCCTGTGTGTCCCCTTCTTTCATGTCACCGGTCGCCAGAGGGACACCGAGAAGAGCGGTCAAGAAGCGACGGGCGTATTGGGCGGGTTCAAGTAAACAATCAGGGTGGTGCATGACAGGGGGGCCAGCCATTTGTTGTGGGACCGCGGGCCGCCTCTCGCCATTCGACCACTACGTCATCAACTTTGTGCCGAAGCAGTATTTTCAGAATCTCTTGCGAGATCTCGTAGGCAGTAGAGGAGGAAGTAGAGCCGGGCCACATACCTATCCAAATGACGGGGGGTCCCAGGCTATGGTCGTTGTATCCTTCCGGGTCGAGAGTCAGGAAACGAGCAGCGTGCGAAGACAAGTGAGGGATTATCTTGAAGATCCATCTTGGAGTTGGGACAAAGTGTGGGAATGATATGCAGAGTGGGAATCGCAAGTTATCCAGCCGGGACCGACAACTATCACCTGGCTCGACACAAGCCCTTCCTTCCCGCCAGGCTGAATTGGACAACGACACATTCAAACAAGCTCTGGAGATACATCCAATGTGCATGGAACCCACTGTAGAGATGCATAGGGCCGGAGTGACACGGGAGATTTCTTCTCGACGACGCACATCGATTCATGGTGATTTTGCGACGCGGATGATTTGTCTGCGACGTGTTGTTTATCCTCCCCCCTGGCGGCGGTTGCCGACGGACGCAGGAGGCCCAGGACATCAAAAACATTCTATCTCTCGCCAAACCATCCATCCCGCCGCCATGCCCGTCGCAAAGAAGCAGGGCGCCGTCTTTGGCATCTACGCAGACTCCCCGGCCAGAGACCCCCTCCCACAGCCCACCCGCTCCTCTCCCAGGCGGCCTTCCAACACGGCTCGCAGAGCCCTCGCTTCCAAGCCTGTCGCGCCAACAGCAGCCGCGTCTTCCAAATCACTTGCTTCTGCCACCTCCCTCAAGGAAAAATCCCTGCTCGACACTTCTTCCTCCAAACCCAAGTCGACAAAGTCCTCTCTCCAGATCTTTTCTGATCCGGAGCCATCAAAACCGAAAAGTGCTAGTGGTGTGACCGGCGTGACCAAACGCCGCAATGCCCCAACGCCGTCGGCGCCCACACAATCTCTGCCGCTGCCCCTAGGCGGATCGAAGGCCACCAAACGTACTCGAGACCTGCTGTCGCCGCTGCCCATCTTTGACGATAACAGCAATACTCAAAGAGAAGCTGCGCGGCGGCCAGCGCTCCGTTCAAAGGATACGGGCCTCTCACCGGCCAAGCGGGGCCGAACAGCTCTCTCTGCTGCCGAGTCGTCTCCGGCTATACTCTCTTCATCCAGAGCCCCATCCGCGTCCCTCGCGCCCAGTTCTTCGCGCCGCAAGACACCGCTCATCTCGGACCAAGAGAACGCTCCTCCCCCTCGCGTGTTTGGCGAGCTTGAAGGCTCTCCTGCGACCCGTACGCGCTCAAAGACTCGAGGGTTCGACTTTTCCATCACGCTGTCTCCCCTCACTTTCAGGGACAGTCCTCAGCACCGAAGGCGCTCCGAGGTTGAGCGTTTGATGGGGGATATGCCAGGGCTGCGTGGGGCGGTAGATCCGGGGCTGAGAGATGTCAGTGAGGTGACTGAGCACGGCAGTCCGAAGAGCGGGAAAACTGGAGCGACAAAGACGCCAAGGGCTTTGGGGGAACCCGTGGACGCGGATGGAGCGTTGGCAGATGTGAGCGAGGCGTATGGGGCTAGCGGAAGCGCGCCAATGGGGTTCTCGAGTCAGGGCGTGAGTCAACACCTCGCCCATATGGCAATGTTTCGCAACTGACACTTTTGCTCATAGGACGAATAATTCTTGCACATTCTTCCTACAACGACGGACAATCACTATATATCTTTACGTTTAATGAGACGATTTACAATAACGACACGAAAACAGTACTAGTCACGTTCTATACCCTGACCATATCACCAGACCTGTCAACATATACTCCCCTTCGTGTTTTCTAGATTGGCATTCATTTTCCATTGTTTTCTCGATTGGGGTGACTTTCTATCCTTATGATATACGACTTTCATGAAGATAACGGGGTAAAAGCCATTTGGTGACTAGGTATTGCTGCGCCTTGGATATCATCATGCACAACATGCTCATCGTTGTTCATAATGTCAGAGGATCAAGTATTGTCATATCCTCATCTTGATGGGTAACTTTGGCATGTTTCGTTGTAGATAACGTACAAGTCTCTACATGCTGAACAGGTACAACTTCCTGGCGGACATATAGCTTCCCTGAGGCACCCAGCCTCTACAGTGTGACAGTCTACAGATGAGTGAGCGGATGCTCTCCAACGACCCAAACAGGAACACTCACCTCTACAACCTGCACAAGACCAGTCGCAGTCCACCCACACATTGTCTGGCCTTCTCTCGTGCTCTTCATCAATCTGAGCCCTCTTTCTTCAATGATCTCACACATCCTACCGCTCACGACATCTCTCACTTCGGCGCGACCTCCAAACTCGCCGAAAAGAAGGAGATAGGGAGATTGGAAGACGGCCTGCGATGGTAGGCCATTCCAACGTAGATAAGTACCAGATCGTGATATCTCGCCAACTACGCTCATCCAGTCAGCACAGGCCATAAACCCCAATGAGGGGGACCCACATTTAGTCACATAGCAAGCTCCCCAGTCATAGACCAAGATGAATTCGTTATCTCCCGTTTGCCACATACCCAGGGGTCTACCCCCACCTCTCCGCAAGCCTCCACTGAGGATTTTGAGCAACGGCGCTCCTTCTTCCAGCGTACCGAGGCCTTGAGTCGTTGGCAGCGTGTTCAAGTTTGGGTTGCCGATTTCTGTGATGGTGATCTCCTTCTCGGTAATGACTGCCAGTGTCGCACGGAAGAAGGTGAGGGAAGAGGCGTACCCCGGCACGGTCAATGTAGATAAGAGTCGAAATGGAGGTTGGCTTGGAAATCTGGTGGAAGCAGTGCCGAGATGAGGGTGAGGTTGAAAAGGTTCAACAAACGCGAATACGGTATTGTGCGAAGTGTTTGCATAGACGGCGTATGCAACTGTGACCCATATGATCAGCAATAAGACCTGATAAGCCACATTTAGGACATACCCAAGGTCCGCCCTTTTGATTTACCAACGCTCATCCACGCCACATGCTGACCCGGGCGACTCAAAAGGACTCCATCTATCCTCCGCTGCCTGACCCACGTCTGAGGATCAACAGTTGTCATCATGTCCCTCAAATTGAACGCCACAATGGTCCCGCCGTTCATTGTCAAGAGCCAGGGGAATTCGGGGATAGTGGTGATGGACGTAACCTGGCCAGTGTCAAACCTGATTGCCTCTTGGAAAGCTGGTAGTCCATTGAGCATGGGCAGTGGACTCTAGCAGTGAACTTACTGTCTGCTTCTCCAAGCCAGCCGATCCATACTGAGCGTCCAGCCGCCACGGCAAGCGCTTTGTTGCCATGCCAGACGAATGTGTCCGCGCAGGTGACTGGATCTTTGAGTCCTCGAGGCGGGGATATCGTGTTGATTACGGATAGCTGCGTCCGCTGATCAGGCTTTGTTTAGGATGTAAAAAGGGGACATACCCTGTTACTCTCGACATCGTAGTCTCGAAGTACCTTCGCACCCTCTATCTTTTCTATCCATTTGCGGCTATAGCCAGTCAGCCACGGGTTCTATGATGTCCACCAAGCGCATACCGTTCTTCGGGTTTCTCTGTGCAGATCGTGTATGTTCGCCCTGGCGAGTCTCCATCTGATATTGTGAAAGGGTACATCATATCTGTTCCGCGTACAGTATCCAAGCTAACATTGATCAGCAGCTGAGTTACGACATGGAAGACCGACGTACAAGCCTCCTGTAGGGCCACGAGCTGGATTGGACTTGTTGAAGCTTCTCTCGGGTACCGCATCAGCGACAAGTACCCGCATAAAGTCCAGATGTATAGGCTACAGCATCTTGCAATCAGCCTTGAGCTCACATATGATTACGTTGGACGTACACGAGACACGACAGCAAACCTTCCTTCATTGTCTTCTCTGGTTAGAAGCAAGTAGTTGTCTAGGAGTATCGCGTGTATCTTTTGCCTACGAGTATGGATGATCGCGTGAGCTTCAAGTTGTACAGCTGTTTTTTCAACGACTCACCATCCGTGCCAATCCTTCTCTATCCGGACTCTCTTTCTCACGTCTCCCCTATGCACCAACGCCCGCTTCGGATTCAGTAGATCCAGCTCCTGTACCAGAGTGAGACACGTAAAGTCTACGATGGGAATGAGCCTACCACTATTTCGCCTTTCTTGAACATCAACCTCTCTGCCACGTCCCACAGCCCAATCTTCTCCTCCGCACTCGAGATCCCTGGCTCACTACTCTTCACAACTCTATGCAGAATATCAATCAAAGTAGGAATATCTTCTTGATCTTGATGATCCAATGGCGTTCGGTGAAGCAACGCCCTGAGTATGAGGATGACTCTTGGTAGGCGCGTTGCAGGGCGCATGAGGAATGTGTTGATGCCTTTGCGAGGTATGGAGGGGGATGTGAGAAAGAGTGCGAATTTGGGGTTGCGGGCAGCCTCTCGTTCAGCACGGGCTTTGGCGTAGGGATAGTTTTTCATATACTGGTGCTTGCTGTCAATATCGAGCAAGAGTCATGAGCCATCTAGCTCACAGCATCGTAGAGATCCAGAAGCTCTAGAAAGTTTTCCAGGTATATGTCTGTGAGAGACATCATCTGTCCATTCATCAACTTTTCACTTTCTTGATAGGCAATCAACGCACCAACGGCCACTGTTCTCGTTGCCTCTCCAGCACTCTCGATAGGATCTTGAGATGTGACTGGTATAGCAGAACGGACGTGCTGAATACCTCGTTGATGAACGGCTCTAGTCTGGAGTGCTCAATGATGGGCGGGTCTGCAGTACGAAGGCCGTGTATGAGCACCTGCTCACTGTCAGCATACGGGTCCAGCTGAAAGAAGCAGCGTACATCACAGATGACCCCCAAATCCTCCACATACATCTTTTCACTCCTGACCATCTCCCACCACGACTCTTGCCTGTTCTGCTCTTTGCTATCTAGAGAATCATGAAAAGTCTTGTCGACCACCTCGTACCAAAACTCTGGGTCAAAGTGCGGAGCATGCCCCAGCTGTTGTTGCAGTCCCGGGCTGAGACTTGCAAAGGGCGAGTAAGACGAAAAGAGGCGGAAGGCAGGTGAAGTGGACTGGTAAAGGAGGAGTAGGTTGTAAGAGTCTTCGGGGGAGAGGTGGCGAGATGGTCCTGGTTGTCGCGAGGCTTCTTCATTCGGGGGAGAAGGCAGGTTTTTGCTTGGGACCTGTGTAGAGACTTGGTCATTCTAAAGTCAGCCCGGGAGAAAAGTGACTTGCCAGTGTATCTGACGATGCAGCAAAGCCTCTCGGCGTCAATCCTCGAGGAGCAGCTCCCGGCAGAGGCTACAGGTTCACTATCAGTCTGTGATCTTTTCCTAACTCGCCGGCTCACTGTGGTCCTCAAGCGATCACTCCCGACCTCACTAGGGTCTATCCAGCTATACTCGTCCACCGTATCATCCACATACATCTCGTCATCTCCACCGCTCTGTCTCCGTTCCCTCCACTGCAGCTGGCTGGCCACCGAGATCACGCTGGGCGGCGAGACCGCATGCTGGTAGGGGCTGGATTCTGGTTGCTGGCTGTATGGCACGCCGCCGATGCCGTCGTGGCTCCTTGTCTCTACTGCAGCCTCATGGTCGCGGGGACTTGCGCGTCCTGACCAGGAGAGACGGGGTCTATGGCGTCTCCAGGAGGGAAGCCTTGGGGACAGGTGGCGCTCCATTCTGCTGTGGCGAAGAGATCCTCAGCTCGTGGTTCTCTGGTTATATAGAGGGCCAGCGAGACGTCATCGGGTGTACTGATAGGAACACCCGCAAAGGGCAGCGGCCATACAAATGCTGTTGCAGCAAACACAGCTTCGTGGTCGGATCTCCGAACACGGCGGCGCACCCCGCTGCTGAATGCGTGATCGTGACTTGCATCTAACAGCTAGAGACTACAGAGACATCCTATGTATTCACAAATCCCACAAGAAGAACCGCCTAGACAGAATCTATACGGGAGACACCAACAAGATCAACTCGAAGCAAAGCACCTCTACAACATACACTTGGCTTTCAGATCAGCCCCCTGACCCCCTCTCCCTCTTCATTCTCCATCACTATCCAGTTGAGCATATCCCACTCCACCGCTCTCAGTCTCGGGCTCTGTGATTTCACTGATGTTCGAGTGTGCCCTTTGCATCTGCTGCTTGGGCCTTGATCCACTCGAAGACGAGGTCGACCCCATAGCAGACCCGAGCGCGTCCTGCAACCCTGCCGCACTACTCCCAGAAGCTGAGACCGCTTTCGCCTGACCAGGACCAGTAGTATCCGGCGTAAGCGCAGGCATGTCCACACTCAACCTCGGCAAACCGCCCGGCGTGGACGCCCCGCTCAACGGGGCGCTTCCGCTATCCTCATCCATCAAATCTCCACTTTGATGTCCACCTGGCGCAGCACTAGGACTAGCCAGCGTCGTCACCGGACTGACTGCAGCAGGCGCGGGAGACGTAGGGTTCAGACCGCTTTTGGGCGGTACAGGGGGACCTGCGGCGTGGGTGGAATCAATGGGACTCTGGGTGGAAGGGATGGGGCTGGGAGCAGCAGAAGAGCTGGTAGAGTTGGAGGACGTCGAGGTGGATGGCGCAAGAGGCGGGGGTACGGTAAGGTTTGATTGACTCGCACTGTTGCCTCTAGCCCTGTTGGCACTGAAGCTGCTTCCCAAAGCCTTGCCGGATGCAGCCGAGTTTGCTCGAGCGCGGACATTGTTGAATTTCGAGAGCAACTTGGACGGGCCAGACTGTTTGTCCTTGGTCGTTTCAGTGGGAGCAGATGATCGAGGACCGGTAGTCTGGGTGGGCGAAGATGGGGCGGGTGTTGTAGCCAGTGCGGCACTCGTGCTGGGGCCAGGAGGAGGACCAGGGCTCGATGTGCTCGGCGCAGGGCCAGAATCGGTTGTCGAACCATTTCTCAGTTCACCCGCCTGCTTGCGCTGATGCTCCTCGTGGTCTACCATAGAAAGACGTATCGCTTCCATGATCATCAACTAGATATCGTCAGCACGATACACATGGATAAAGAATGTACTCACCTCCTCCAGCTCTCGTTCTCTGTTGGACTCTCTCCTGCGAGGTCTCCTGCCAGGAATCGATGACGAACCTTCGCTATCTGCGCCCACCGACATGCTAAAGTCGGCCGTGCCGGTCGCCCTAGAAGACGTATACCCTATAGGCACCAAACGGTCACCCACTTGACGCATGACAATCCTCCTCGAGGCCTTGCGCGCCGCCGCCGCCTTGACAGCATTCAGCTTGGCCTCCCAGTCCGGTCGGATCTCATCAATCGTTACCACTTCCTTTGCCTTTGAGCTGACGCTCTTTCTGCGTAGAGTCTCCTTTTGCAAAGGGTTCATCCCCGGACCGACTGTCAGCTCTGCATCCGATCCCACACCCAAGGAGGAGAATCCCGAAGCAAGGGCAGAGTCGCCAGGAGAGGTGGCAAGTGCAGTGTCGGACAGACTAGACAAGGGTGTTGTAGGGCGTTCGTAGATGACGCCGAAATCCGTCTCGACGCAGAAAGGACAGCACGCCGGCTCTGATTCAAGATGCGTAATGGTAGCTTCGGATCGCTTGATCTGAACAAAGCATTCGGTACAGAGGGGCTGTTGGCAGCAGCGGGAAGTGTTGATGTTTGGGGGGTAATTCTGTATAAGAGTCAGCGCAGAAGAGCAGCACTTGGACGCTCGGACGTACCAGAAAGCAGATGGGGCACTCGATGGCATTCCTGTATACCCTCTTCTCCCTCTTCTCTCGTTCTTCCTTTTCCCCTTCCCTCCTCGTCTCTCTACCTTTGTTGATACCAATCTTTTTGGTCACCTGGCCCATTCCGCCCGACCCTTCTCTTTCCTCCCGCAGCCGTTCGGTAAAGCTGTTGGCCACGCCTTCTTCATAATCCTTCTCCCGTTGCTCGTTCAGTTCCCGGATGATATCGTCCTCTGTCCAGTCCTCTTCATAGTCTTCCAGTCCGCGGTAAAAGGGCGCAAGCTTGCCATCAAGAATCTGACGGGTGACGACCGACTTGGAATAGTCGTGCGCCTGGGGAAGGGAGAGGCAGTGTGGGTTCTGGGGAGAAAGGTGGCCAGCGTACGGAAGGAGGGTCGGGGTCGAGGGGGCTGGTGGGGAGGGAGGGGATGTGGGCGGTGTGATGCCCGAGTGGAACGTGGACGAGCCGCGATGGGAGGATGAGCCGGGGGCGCCGGCGGCGGCTATGGGCTGGGCAGAGACCGAGCTGGAGGATGGGCGGTGGTGGGCTGTGGGCTGCGAGGCGGGGGACTGAGGGGAGGAGGGTGCGTTGCCCATGGCGGGGAGGACAGTCAGAGAAGAAGAGGGATGTACAAGTATAAATGCGGAAGAGACTGAGGATAGGCCAGGCGCGCTAGTAGTCGTAGCCATTCGGTGACGTCGGCCTCTCCCGCCCGGTCCACTGCAGCCTCCTTGGTATCCGCAATCCTTTCAGCTGCATCTCAACCGTATATCTGCGCCCCCAATGGATATCCCCTCCCTCAACCCTCTCCCCACTCCCCACCATGACAGGCCACACCATCGTCGTCGGCACCTCTCTCTCCAAGCTCACCCCCCAAGGCACCGTCGGCGACGGCTTTGACGTCCATGTCGCGATCGGCATCACCAAGAGCGGTGCACAACCGTCTGACAAGGCCAAACCCCAGCACGCCGTCAGCGAGTTGACCGCAAGGACAGTTTGTCATACCGTACTGATGGCGATTTCGCTGGTTTCTGCCTGTCACGAACTGACTATTGCAAACATGGACGAGAAGACAAAAGCCGGTACGGACCTCGCTCAACTCGAACGACAGTGGCAGATGCTGGTCTACGAAATGGCCTGGAAGACATGCACCAAAGACGGTCGAATGAAGATGGGCCACAACGTCGAATTCTCAAAGCTGACTACTTGCCGGGCGTTTGATAAAGCTGTCGGGCTGCAATCAGCCCATCCCAAGGCCTTTCTCAGCTTCCTGCGCCTTCGCTACAAGGTCCGTCCGAATCCTCTGCTGAGCCCAAAGGTCTTGACCGATGTGCGTGCATGGGGCACCAACTCGGCCAAGAGGATCAAACAGTGGGTCGCTGAAGAGCCAGAAAAGAGAGATGTGGTCGAGTATATTGAGCAAGTGAATGATCCATACGTGACATTCTTTCTGGCTCGCGGTGCCATTAAGGAGGCATTAAAGAGTCAAAAGGATTGATACTTGAATATAGCATGGATCTCCGTTCGTTATGCAGACATTTATTGCACAGTGAGAAGCGGCGTGTCGGTCTCGGAGGTCCGGCAGCGGCGCCGAAGAGGTGTCTTCACGAGGAAGAGGCGTTTCCACAACGCTTCACACCAGCAGCGTGCATGTTCTGGACCTTTTACGGACTCCAGCCTTGTAGTCTCGCGATAGTCCATGCGCTTGCATTGCGTCTTCCTCGCCGGAACCTCACATCATCGTTTCACCTGGAACCCACTGTCTTTTCCTATCACCCCCTGTATTTGATCATCGCTAGCACCACGAATCTCCTTGATGAGTTCTACCCCGTGCACCGCTGCAGAAGGGGGCCCTTTCTCCAGATATCTTCGGCTTCACAGGGTTAGCCACAGGCACGTCCACATTGACAGTGGACGTACAACTCCTCAATCTTTTGCGACGGGCCTACAGCAGCTCCCTGCACACTCTGATCCTCGTGATTATAACAGTGACCTCTCAGACCGAGTTTCTGGGCCCTATGAGACATGATCGTCAGGCCGGGGCGCATCTAGTTGAGTGATGGCCACTTACTCTTTTTGAGTATGAGATCTGAAATTGACTCCCTGTGGTATGAGCAGTCAGTTAGGGCTTCCAGTATACCCAGATTCGTGAGCATACTTGGACGACTCCGGTCCTGCATGACGCGATCAGTGACCCGGACTCAATACCCGCACGTCGAATGACTGACGCAGGTGGACGCTGCGCCACCCAAACCACACTCACACTTTGAACTGAATAAGGTCTTGGCTCATCCTGGCAAACGATCTTATCATTGAACACTGGGGGGCACAACACGACTGGCTGCAAGATTGCTGCAAGAACGTCTTGCAACAGGTGGAGAGCCAAATGGTGACATCAGAACGGTGACTGCCTCGACGGGATCAAATACCGCCACAGTGTGCCGGGTGCTAACTCCGGCCTCCACTCTGAGCAGTCACTCCACGCTCGATTTCCTCTCTGTCTTTCCATGTACAGACCCCTCCTCACCACTTCCCGCACCGCCCTCCGCAACTCTTCCCGTACTTTTACCTCAACCGCTGTCAAAATGGGTGTCACCGTTCAAGTCAGTCTGCTTTCCGTCGTTCTACATCGGACCGATCACCCGCTTCTTTCCTTGGCGACAGATGCTGACTTGTCATGCTCGTAGTCTATCACTGCCGGTGACGGCAAGTCTTTCCCCAAGGCCGGTGACAGGGTCGCCATCCACTGTATGTTCCCTTGCTTTGAGTGGCCTGGAGTACATTCACTGACATTGATTTCAGACGTTGGTACCCTCCTCGACGGTTCCAAGTTTGACTCTTCCCGTGACCGTGGATCTCCCTTCCAGTGTGTCATTGGCAAGGGGTAAGTGTACAAACAGGTATTCCGATGGATGGCATACTCATGTCTTGCAGCCAAGTCATCCGAGGTTGGGACGAGGGTGTTCCTCAGCTCTCCGTCGGCCAGAAGGCCAACCTCATCTGCACCCCTGACTACGGTAAGTCATTGACATCTCCATTGTGACCACACTCTTACCGTAAAAATTAGCCTACGGTGCCCGAGGTTTCCCTCCCGTCATCCCCCCCAACTCTACCCTCAAGTTCGAGGTCGAGCTCATCAAGATCAACTAGACGTTTCGTCGAATTATTATCTTGTTGAAATCTTGTAGTAGCGGAAATAGTGAAATGCAGAAAGCAGTGAAGTTTTGATGTCTAACAGATTGGCATTTATATGACCAGATTTGGGCCTGCATCTACTCGACTGTTATACTACTGATGGAGATTTCCTCGTACGGTCTGTCGTCCTTATCCGTCCTCGAGTTTTCAATCCCATCGACGGTATCCAGTCCACCCACAGCTCGGCCAAACACCCTACACATGGTATATGAGCTCGGATCTGTCGACTAGAGCGCGTAGACTTACGTATGTTTGCCGTCTAGCCATTGGCAAGGAGCAGTAGTGATAAAGAACTGCGATCCGTTTGTACCAGGTCCTGCTCGAGAGTCAGCCAAGCTACATCGACCACCCAGCTCGAATAACCCACCAGCATTGGCCATAGAAAGAGTAAAGGGCCGGTCGTGTCTCAGTTTGGGCGAAATTTCATCATCGAATGTACCACCCCAGATACTTTCACCACCAGTCCCGTCACCGAAAGGGTCGCCACCTTGGATCATCTGCAGCATGATCAGCTATGACACGAAGCATGTACGAGACAACGTACGAATTTCTTGATGACACGATGGAAGATCGTCCCATTATAGTACCCTACGACACGTTAGCAACCATCTTTACACATCCTTGATAGACGCACCATTCTTGGCATGGGTGACAAAGTTCTCGATCGTCTTAGGCACTTCCTCAGGGAATAGTTGCACAGAGATATCGCCCATGGTGGTATGGATCGTACAGCGCGTGGCAGAGGGGCGTTGTTTCTCTTCCACTGGTACGGCAATAGTCTGCTCCTCTCGGGTAGGTCGCTCGTTAAAGACATCTCGGTCGCCCTTGGTCTCCCTGCAGTATTGTCAGTTCTGTGCTCGAATATGAAAGAGGTCGGACTTACTCTTTGTCTTCTCGAGCGAACAGGTAAAACCTCTGCTTTTGATAAGCAGTAGTAAAGACATGAGGGTCTCGTGAAGCTTTGTCCTGTAAGAGAGGGTTCGCAGAAGCTGCCATTTGAATCGTTGTTACACCCTTCTTTGCCGGGGCGCCTTGGTAGAGAGATATATTGAGGAAACGTAGAGTTTCGTCTTTGCCCAAGACTCGAGACACTTTGTTTGTGACAGTGTTTACAACTAAACCTCAAAGTCAGCATGGTATCAAGATACAAGACTTATGTACCTTTGATACCCAGCATGGTAGGATACAGCACGAAATTCCCGCTCTCATCCCAAACAGCGTTCGCACTCCTCAGCATCCCACCCGGCCCACTCTCACTTCGGTCAAGCTCTCTCTCCAACGCCAACCTCCTTCCAAAATCCATATCGTCCAGCTTGAACACCGCCGTGTCTGCTTGTTGCATCTCCATAACAGCTGTTAGGGATTCATCATAGGTCCTGGTGAGTTTGCCAGTGAGAAAGTTGAAGACGTGGACGGAACGGGAGGGGAGAGCCATGGTGACGAAATGTGAAGAGTTGGGGGAAAAGCTGATCGAGGTTGGGAGTGTTTTCGTCTACCTTGAGTCAGCGCTATCCACCGGTCATATTTCATTCTTGACTGACCTTTTTGAAATGGAAGAGGTCGGTGGAAGACTTATATTGCCAGAGCCCAGGGACGGACGGAAGACCCCAAGGCTCGCTTGGCTGCCAGTACTCTACAAATCCAGATTCATCGGCAGAGACCACACAGTCGTAGTGAGCAGAGTACTGTCCATGAGTGAGCTTTCATCCAAAATTGAACTAGCCGTTACTCACCACCATCAAGTGCACGGGCGCTCGGTGCACCTTCGCAAGCTCATATAACGGCTGCCCGTCACCTCTCCCATCGTAGATCCGGATAGTCGGGCTGGCAACATCAGAGACTGCAAGCAAGGACTGGCCGGCTCCAGGTTCGTGGATCCAACAGCACGCTTTGGGCGTATAGGGGAATTTCAAGATATTGATCATGTCAAAGTTGACCACATCAAACACTCGCCCCTCACCGCCTTCGGACACTGTTGCAAACAGCTTTCCATCCTCACTGGCGCTGGTCCCAACAATGGCCTTCAGAGACGCCCTGTAGTGCTTGACGAATTCTATGCCTTGCTCTTGCTTCTTCCACAGTTTCAGGTGGCCGTCTATCGATGTTGTCACCACAAAGTTCGTCCTGTATGCATGTCAGCCATCGTTGCCAGAAGTAGATGCAAACTTACTTTGTGATAGTCACAGAGTTCAAAGGTTCCCTGTGCATGAATGACTTGTAGTAGCGATCCGTATCAGGAAGAGATGCGAGATAGAGCTTTTCATGGGGTAGCACTGCATATTGATGTCAGCTTGTACTTGGTTGATATCTGGAATGCTCACCAGCCCTCTTCTTCTTGGGACGCGACTCGGATGCTTCTAAATCACCTCCTGGCATTGGCCCAATCTCCTCGTCGGAAGAATCGTCGACATCAGCAGCAAGCATATCGGGAGCCTCTGCTCCATTTTTGTTGTTTTGCTGGGGACTCGCGTCGCGATTCCTCTTTCCAAGGGCGATGGACGATTTAGCGTCTTCAGACATCTTTTGGGTATCTTGCAGGAGATATATCTATAGGGCCCAATGTTGTGACGGCACCCTTGTCTACGTTCAGCAACTGGCGAACGGAACCAAATCGAGAGCCTGGTAAATGGGGGTGAGGAGGCACATCTTTGAGGGCATCGGCTGCCGGTTGTTGACGGACCGACGGGCTCTTCGGGTGCGATCAACGTTGGGCTGCTGACGTTGAGCGGGACCGCACGCACTCGCTCGCTCCGGGGGTCAGGCCGAGATGATGAGTACATGTGCGGGATACAGCAGTATATTCTATACAAGGTTCAACGCCTCGCATAGGCCACACATGCTGAACATAAGAACGCGACCCGTCAAGTCACGTCGACCGTGGCGCGTTAGGTCTACCGGGAGGGAACTGGCTTTCCTAAAGTGTATACATTCAAAATCTCTAGCGGTATACTACTGTGTAGTGCGACTGATGGCGCTACGGGCGGAAGATCGGAATCGGAGAACTATGCCACGATCACATTTCTCAAGCAATTCTCACCTTATGCGGGTATGCTAACTGTAGGGCGTCAACGGCAGGAGTTCCAGAGTCCACAAGTACAAGGTAGAGATCCATCTAAGATCTTTAATGATGAGATTCAGGAAGTCGCACTCCCCGCCCAAACGAAACTCGTTGAACGGTCTACAGCACTTGTTCCAAGTTGCAGCAGGTGTCTACTGCAGTGTGACTTCCGCGTTTACGTTGTTTCTTCCCTGTCGCCTTCCCCACTTTGACAATTGCATGTTCGTTTCCGGGATGTGCCTCGTTCAATTCTCAACCCGGTATCAAATGCATACAATTCGGCCATATTTGACGGGCAGAATGAAGAATGCCAGCATGCACATTCCCACTGACATAATCATCGAACTGCAAACGCCCTCCTCGCTTTACCCCAACTGCCCCCCAAATGCTAGCATCACTAATCAGCGCTACATTGTATGTTATGTCTTGGATCGTAATGCCCGGTGGGCAGCCCGCCGTGCCGTATTATGACTTTTCAATAGGCCTGTTGGATAGCTTGCCTGTCCCGGTGCTCCTCCTTGAGCAGGTATGCGGTATAAGAAGAGAGAGGGGCACAGAATACATCGACAGCCCTCACCTGTACTTCATTCTGCCAAAAAATTGCGTCCAAGTCTTCAAAGACCATGTTTGCTCAACACAAATACACGCTCCTCCCAACATACTCTCCTCCCAGCAGTCCCGTCCATTCAGCGGTAGATTCTCCTCGGAGACGGCGTTTTCGTCATCTATATATGCTCCTCGTCCTCACAGTATTCACCCTGATAGCCGGTATCATCGACTCTGCGATTGGCTCAGACGACGTCATGGAAAGATTCAACTCTTGGAGTACCGACAAGCTGGACTATCTGACCTTGTTTGGCGGAGGGGAAGTCCGAGCATGCCGAGGTTGGGACCCTGCAGCCCCCGAGTGGAGTGACCCTGCAGGGTGTCTCAAGGCAAAACAATATCGACAAGCCTTCAAGGTGCTGGAAAGAGAGCGTTCACGCAAGCAGTAAGTTGAGGGATATCCAGCTCGAGTCTTCTCTGACAAGCTCCATAGCAACCACTATCACTTTGCCATTGACCACAACATCGCAACTTTGGAAGTCATGCTCAGATGCTTTCTTCCAACGTCCGACGCCGAGTATACTCCCTGTCACGAGAAGCCTCTGATTATCAGTGGTTGGTGGTACACGGCTGCAGTCCTGACCGACTCCACTACGGGTGAAGTCGTCTGGCAGCGTTTCATCGTAAGCCCTTCGGTCACCTATGTCGAGTTGAGCTCACCTGGGTTTCAGACACAGCAACTGGAAAAACTTGGCTACTTTTGGATCGCTGTTGGTCCATACACCAACTGGATCGAAGTGGCGGAGATCATGCCTGACGTCTACAACACCCTCTGGAACAACGACGTGGAGACATTGTCTTGTATCACTGATCCCCGGTGTATCGCAAAAGAGGACTATGTCCCAACTGAGGGCGGAGAGGACTTGTCCGTTGGTGTGTCAGATGAGGAACGAGGTGTCATTCCCCTATGGGCCCTCAATGTTGTCGACTATGTGAGCTTTCCGCCAGGGTATCCAAATAGGACAGCTAACCGAGCGTCAGTGGGGAGCACGGCCCAAGGAGATCTTACACAACACCCACTGGTGGGGCCTCAAGGAGTAGGGGGATTGGACGTATCAACCACTGGGACAAGAATGGATCGCAACGTAAGGACAACGCAATCTCGCAGTTACACCCGCTGATACATTTCAGCCCTTGGCCTCTTCCAGCGGGTCATCATCATCTCCCGTATTCGATGGAAGAAGAGTGTCTTGCTCGTCCCACGACACCCTTAGAGGAGCGCAAGGATGCTGGGCTGATCCTCGCCAAACGCTCATGTAAGCCACACCTTGCCAAAGCAAACCTTGTATCTGCTGACGCTTGCGATCAGCTTACTTCCACTACCATCACGTCTCTCCGCCCGAATTGTGGACCAACCTCACCCAGAATGACGGAGTTGAGCTCATTTCTGTGGCCAACGTTGAGGAAGGCAAGCCGATGCCGGTAGGGCTTGAGACCATCGGTAAACAGACGGTTCAGGATTACACAAAGTTGGTCGGAGATGTCAAGGCTATGGTTGGTATTGGCATACCCGTCATTAGTCCAAGTGTCTACGCTGCATGGTAAGCTTTCAAATCAAACCTCTAGCTTTCCGATTGCTCATAAGGACTGTAGGTGCCAAGCGACCCCCGTCGTCATCCCCATATTCCACGACGAGGACAACTCTTCTCCTTGGCACCCATACTCGGACTACTCACAACACGGCCCTGCTCTCAGCGTCGGCGAGCCGTACGCCTATTCATACCACGCCAAAAACTACACCCAGCTCGTCGAAGCCGTCCACAAAGCCATGTCCACGCCTATTGAGCGATTCATCCCCGACGACATGCCCCTGTCGCATACGATGAAGGCGCTGGAGGCGTATATGAACAGAGATTTGGTGAAGATGATGGAGTTGAAAGTGAAGGCCAATGGGGGCAAGATCCCGGCCCTGAAAGCGGGGTTAAGGGAGAGGTGTATTGAGCTTGACCGGTGTATGCCTGAGCTACCACCAGGCCGGGTACCGAGTGGACCATCATCGTTTTTGTTGTATTGATAGTAGTAAGGACAATGGGCTTTGGTGTCTTGGTTTCTCCATTTCTGTTGTAGGCTTGGACATATGGCGTGAGCGTATAGGATGTATCCTGTATCATAATCAGTACCTATGATGATAATTGGCTAAAGAACACATACTTGTGAAACTTTTGTGAAACTGAAACTCTTCGTTCGATATCAAGAGGCGTGGAACATCGATGTGCATCAGAACGTAAGTACAAGACATAAAAATTGAGTATCACAACTAGACTAGAACTGCAGAGCCAGTCAATATTGCTTCCCGGGGAAAATGATAGAAAATGGAAACTCACTCGGATTTGATAGCTTCCGTTGGCTTTGGTGAGGTACCTGACCCATTTGACGCTCTGGTATCCGCTCTTTTCAAACACCTTCAAGAATCGAACGAGGAGGCCAGAGGAGGTGAACATGACGACTAGTCTTCGTTAGCTTGTTGTCCCTGCCGAGCGAATGAAACAAGCTCACCAGAGAAATCTAATTGTATGGGAGGTCGGGACCAGGCTTGACGATGTGTAGTGGCAGCAAGGTCGGCCTCTGCTGTAAGGGTACACTCCTGGGCTCCTTGCAATCTCGGGATCCTGCTCGCTGGTCAACAAATATCCACAAGTTGATTTGAGCAATAGAACTCACTTCCATACAATGAAGTTCTCTCCAGGGACGTATTTGGCCTTTCCGACGCCCACCTTGTTCCTGACCCCAGTAGTGTTCAGCGGCGTTGGAATCTTCAGCACCACGTTGTTGGCATTCAGCTTGCTGTCAAACGCGGCTCTGAGGTGAATCGTATATTCCACTCTAGATTTACTGACTTCCACGACGTGTGTCTGTAGACGGAAGGGGAGGTTGATATTGGAAGTGGAGCGGTATCGCATGAGTTCAAATTCACCGTCGGGAGGAATGAAGGAGATGGAGCGGTCGGTGTCGAATTTGCCGAGACGGACACATTGGTGGAATTGGCAGTCATCAAGTTCCACGGCAGCGTCGGCTGACTTTGCTATTTGTTCACCGCCCCTGTTCCATGTCAGATCATGTCTTCCTGCCTCTCAGTTTATCCTTACCTCTTCTGAAGTACAAGTTTGTCGTTCAAACCAAACTTGCACTCCGGTGTTCCACTGAGATACGCTCTCATCAGGATCTGCCCATCCACATCCGCCCTCAACACTGTTCCCTCCTTGCTCATGAGCAGATTGACCGTCTCGATAACATCAACGAACGCCTCATTCTTTCTGTATTTGACATCTGAGCGTCGCCAGGATGTCGCACCCGTCGCCTGGATGGTGATTTTGGAAGAGTCCTCTCGGACTGCCATCTCCGACTTGATACTCTCAGTCGTGATGTACATTTTGAGTGTGTCGATCTCGGAGTTTTGAGGAAAGCCAAAGTCTATGTTTTCGTCGAGGAGCTCGTAGATGAGAACAAAGTTGTTCTTGACACTCTCTTCGTCGAGCTTGCCAAAGTAGCTTCTGGCGACGGTGATGAAGCGGTAGAGGAACTCGAAAACAAGAGCGGCGGAGGCATTGCACCTGCTATATGTCAGCGCAGACTTCATATGGAGGACTCTGAGCTTACTTTGTGACTCCTACGATGTAGACATTGTTGATGCGGACATGGAGGAATGAAGTCGAACCGAGTGTGATAATAGGCGACCGAACATCGGGATTGGAGATGACTTGAATACGAAAGACATCCGATATTGACCGTCTACGAAAAGTGTAAAGATATGTTTTCTTAGTAGTGGCGACACCTACTTGACGTCTGGCCGGAACAGTCTAGAGATGAGGACCTGCGTAGGTGTAAGCGCGACACGATGGGACGGAGGACAGGCGCCGTACCTCGCCCTTTTGGTTGAAGATGAAGAAAGCCTGCGTCGTGTTAGTTACTGCAGCTTTACACCACACCGTCTACACCCACGGATATCATCAGGGGCACTTGTGGATGATACAGTAAGGCTTCGACAACAATGGTCAAGGCGCGTCGCTCATTGCCGCTAATCAGCGTTACGTAATGGCCCCTCCCTTTGATGCCGACTTTTTCGAGTCCCCTGGGAGGGATGTATGACTCGCTTTGGCACCGACTCGACATAGAGAAGGGTGTATGCTCCGAAACATCTTGACAAGACACTCTCCACTCGCCACTCGACTCGTTCAACACAGACCCATATATCGATCAATCGCCGCCATGTCCGCCCCAGAGACGACCGTCCCTGCCCAAGAGACCCGACCCGTCCAGCAGGCCAAGCCCGCCGGCGCCGAGCCCGCTGTCGCCACCGAGGGTGTCACTGAACAATCAAAAAAGGGTGCCAAGAAGGAAGCGAAGCGACTCGAAAAGCTCGCAAAAGCTGCCACTAAAACCTCATCTGCTCAGACTCAAGCGCCCAAGAAGGAGAAAGCCGAGAAGAAGGAGAAGAAGGTCGAGGCTCCTGCTGAGGCCTGGGTCAACACTACCCCCAAGGGCGAGAAGAAGGGTGAGATATGAGATCCGGAAACGCACCTCAAGGCTGACTGTCTATAGACGTCTCTGGCAACTTCCCTGCCGGTTACGACCCTACCCAGGTCGAGGCCGCCCACTACGACTGGTGGGATGCCAAGGGCTTCTTTAAGCCCCAATACGGTGCTGACGGCAAGCCCCTCGAAAAGGGTACCTTCTCCATCACCTTCCCTCCCCCTAACGTTACCGGTAACCTGCACATTGGTCACGCTCTGACTGTCTCATTGCAAGATGCTCTCATCAGATGGCAAGTAGTCTGTTTGATCTCGGCCAGCATGCTGACAAGCGCACAGGAAGCGAATGCAGGGATACTCTGTCCTTTACCTTCCCGGCTACGACCACGCCGGTATCGCCACCCAGGCTGTTGTCGAGCAGCGTCTTCTGAAGACCGAAGGACACTCAAGACATCACTACGGAAGAGAAAAGTTCCTCGAAAAGGTCTGGGAGTGGAAGGACCAATACCAGCAGAAGATCACCCTTCAGATGACTCGACTTGGTGGTTCTTTCGACTGGGACAAGGTTGCCTTCACTTTGGACGACGTGAGTAGCGCCCGCTCGTAGTACAATAAGTACTAAACTCTCTTCAGAACCTGAGTGTTGCTGTCAGGGAAGCGTTCGTTCAGATGCACGAGAAGGGTTTGCTCTACCGAGCCAACCGATTGGTCAACTGGTGTGTTTACCTCAACACCTCCTTGTCCAACTTGGAGGTCGACCAGCTCCCCCTCACTGGCCGCAAGAAGCTCAACGTCAAGGGATACGACCCTAAAGAATTCTTCGAGTTTGGTGTCATTACCTCTTTCGCCTACCCCATTGAGGACTCGGAAGAACGTATCATCGTTGCCACCACTCGTCCCGAGACCATGCTTGGTGATACCGCCATTGCCGTCCACCCCGACGACAAGCGATACACCCACCTGCACGGCAAGTTTGCTGTCCACCCCTTCAACGGCAGAAGGATCCCTATCATTACCGATGCGATCACCGTCGACATGGAGTTCGGTACCGGTGCTGTCAAGATTACTCCTGCTCACGACCCCAACGATTTCGAGTGTGGTCTCCGTAACAAGCTCGAGTTTATCAACTTGATGAACGACGACGGTACTTACAACGAGAATGCTGGCCCTTACAAGGTGAGCCATATTCAGTTGATCCAATATGTCAACACTGACACAAGTTGCAGGGTATGAAACGTTTCCACATCCGTAATCAAATCATCATCGACCTCAAGGAGAAGGGTCTCTTTGTCGAGCAGAACGACAACGAGATGCAGATCCCCATTTGCTCTCGTTCCGGTGATGTCGTCGAGCAGATTATCAAGCCTCAGTGGTGGATCAACTGCAAGCCTCTTGCGGAGGATGCTCTCAAACGAACCCGTGCAGGCGAGCTCGAGATCAAGCCCAAGACTTCCGCCGGCGACTGGGTCAGGTGGATGGAGAACATGCAGGATTGGTGTATCTCTCGACAGCTTTGGTGGGGACACCGATGCCCTGCTTGGTTGCTCAAGTTTGACGGCGAAGCTCCCGACGTGAGTGTCTCTTGTGAAACATAATGGTCTGGCGTTAACCTTCGGACAGACCTCTGACGACAAGAACTGGATTGTTGCCAGGACCGAAGAGGAGGCACAGGAGAAGGCCGCCGCGCGCGCCAACGGCCGAAAGTTCACTATCGAGCAAGACGAGGATGTCCTCGACACCTGGTTCTCCTCTGGTCTCTGGCCCTTCTCCACTATGGGCTGGCCCAACAAGACTGCCGACATGGAGAACTTTTACCCTAACTCCCTCCTCGAGACCGGTTGGGACATTCTTCCCTTCTGGGTCGCCCGTATGGTCTTCTTCGGTAACTCTCTTACCGACGTCATGCCCTTCACGGAGGTCTACTGCCACCCCATGGTTCGAGACGCCTACGGACGAAAGATGTCCAAGTCCTTGGGCAACGTCATCGACCCTCTCGATGTCATCACTGGTCAAAACTTGGCCAAGCTCCACGGCGACCTCAGGCAGGGCAACTTGCCCGAAAAAGAGATCATCAAGGCCGAGGAGGGCCAGAAGAAGCTGTTCCCTAAGGGCATCCCCGAGTGTGGTACCGACGCTTTGAGGTTCACTCTCTGTAACTACACTTCGGGTGGTAGAGACATCAACATGGATATTGGCCGTGTTGAGGGTTACAGAAAGTTCTGTAACAAGCTCTGGAACGCCACCAAGTTCTGTCTTTTCCGAATGGATGCCGTCGACCTGGCTGGTGTCAGGCAAACAAGCTCCTTTGTCCCCAACGCCTCTCACTTGGTATGTCATCTCTTATGTATCTGAATAATTCGCTGAACAATCACTAGCCTACTGGTCAAGAGGGTCTTGTTGAAAGATGGCTCTTCCACAAGCTCAATATTGCCAGTGCTGGAATCTCTGAGGCTTTGGAGAACCGAGACTTTGCCGATGCTTCCACTATTGCCTACCAATACTTCTTGAACGACCTTTGTGACGTCTTCATTGTGAGCTACACTTGTCTATGTTTTGTTCAGATCTGACTGTCCTTGTAGGAAGCCACCAAGCCTATCTTTGAGGCCAACTCTGATGCTGCCGCCAAGCTTTCCGCCCAAAACACCCTCTACACATGTCTGGAAGCTGGTCTCAAGCTTCTCCACCCCTTCATGCCTTACGTCACTGAAGACCTGTGGCAACGTCTCCCCCGTCGCCAGGGTGATGCTTGCGAGTCTATCATGATCGCTGCCTTCCCCGAGAAGATTGCCGAGCAAAGCTTCCCCAAGGAAGCGGCCGCCTTCGATCTCGTTGTTGACTCCATCAAGTCTGCCAGGTCCATCATTGGTCTGTACAACCTTCCCACCAACGGCAAGACTGTTGAGGACAAGATCACCGTCATCATCCAGGCCAGGAACGACGAGCAGCTGCAGTTGTTCAAGTCTGTCGAGACTGTTGTCGTTGGCTTGACCAAGGGATGTGGCAAGGTCGACTTCATTCGAGAGGACAGTGAGATCCCCCGTGGAAGTGGTACCGAGGTTGTCACCACCGACATAAGTGTCCACATTCCCGTCCAGGGCAAGGTCGACGCTGCTTCCGAAATTGACAAGCTCGAGAAGAAGGCTGTCGTTGTTGAGGGTCAGAAGGCCAAGATTAACAAGGTGATGGGCATGAGCAACTACGAGACGAGTGTCAAGGAGGAGGTCAGGGCGCAGAACTCGGACAAGCTGGAGAAGATCAATGTTGAGATCGAGTCGCTGACGTTGGCCATTGAAAGGTTCAAGTTGCTTTTGTAGATAGACAATATAGCCGTATGCTTGCGAGATGTGAGACTTATAGTCTGCTTTGTTGCCCGTTTGCCTCAAAGATACATACAAATCTACAGCACCACTTGAAGACCTAGACTCTTCGCTGTCCCTACAATCCCTTTTGCGACCTTTTCCAGACCAACTGCCTTCAAATCCTCGTCCATACACTTGATCTTAGCAATCTCGTAGATGTGTTTCACTGACACTGTGCCAACGACCTTCTTCATACCCTCTCCTGAACCTTTTTCTAGACCCGTCGTCTTTTTGAGGAGGTAGCTGACTGAGGGTGTACGGGTGGCAAAGGAGAATGTGCGGTCGGGGTTGATAGTGATCATTGTGGGTATAGGAAGGGAGGTATGGAACTCTGCTGTGCGGGCATTGCTAGTGGTAACTATGTTAGGCAATGATCATCGATCTGGTGATGTGACGTACAATTCTTTGCAAAAGTCCATAGCTTTCACACCTCGAGCACCCAGAGCAGGACCGACTGGTGGTGTCGGAGCAGCCTTGCCAGCGGGTACCACAATTTTCTGTACAACAGAGTTCAGTGACTATGCTGGTGAAGTACGGAAAAGCTGAGACTTACGACTACCTGGGCAGCAATTGTTTTAGACATTTCCAATTATTTGTATTGTAGAGGTGATTGGTAGAAAAGGGTATAAGCGGGGAGCGGTGATAGATGGAAGAGTACAGACACTCGCGTTGCTCGAGAAAGTCAGAGGAGAGTAACGAAATCTAAGGTGGAGGTCCACTTAAGAAGCGGCGATGACCGCTTCTGCATCAACCAACTATGATCGTCAACAAATGACTTGCAAATGACTCGTGCTACGAGAATTCTACTGTACTCGAGTACGGTCCGCCAACCAGACATAAATCGAATCTGATCCGAGCTTTGACTAGCTCTGCATAGCCTTCAAGAACTTCACAGCTCCTCACCACTCATGTGCATCTAAGCAGCCGCCAAGAAGATAAGCCAGTGTCCCGGCCGGACGATCTCTTTAGTTCTGGCGTACCTGACAGTGGTATCCCTAGAAAGCGGTCATTGAATAGCCGTGGAACGTATGCCCTAGACCACATGTCCCCAAGTCGGGGCGCCTTGCGGTCTTACATACATACCTCTGAAGTATGTTCTGAGTCACCGGTTGCCGATACGCCCCATCTGGAAGGGACCGAACACCTGACAAATTGATGGCGGGACGGAAATAATAGTCGGACAGATCACGGATAAGGTGAACAGGGCGTGGGAGTGTGCAGCAGGTAAGAAAACAATGGAGATGGAGGCCGACAGGTCAAGGAACCAAACAAAGAGTTTCCCTCTTTGCCGTGCCTGGGCAATCATCCTTGTCGTCATCGTCGATCGTGCATCCTTTGATGTTGCATCTCATCGAGCGACAGCACAGAATGGCCTCCAAGCTTCTTCTCCCACTGATTAGCCCTGCCCTCCGCTTTCTTCCCTGGGTGCCCACCTCCCTGCTCACCCTCCCGCCCTCAATTGCGCTCCACATAGCACTCCACCCTTCTCCATCCCTCCCCAACTTTGTCGCATCTCCCGTCACCTCCCCCCTCCATCTCCCCCTTCTTTTCACCCTAGGCTCCATACCTATCTTTTACTTTCTAGGGCTGGTCACAAACAATATCAGCTGGGTCGACCGGAGCTGGCCTCTCTACCCTCCTGTCATCTCGTGCATGATCTTTGTCTGGGCTCTCATCAACCATGCTTCATTAACTTATGCCGGGAACATTCCCAGGATTACCCTCATGTTTGGCCTCCAAGTGAGTTTGATTGCATTGTACAAGACGTGCTGACTTTTCACAGCTAATCTGGTCAACTCGTCTCTTGTTTCACGCTACCAAACGCGGCTTTTACGATCTCAAAGGTCAAGACTACCGATACACTGTCGTACAAAAGATCGTCCCCCGCTGGGCTTTCGCACTTATACATCTCTTTGTTGTAGCGATCGCCCAACCGATTCTACTCTTCGCCCTCTGCCTGCCTCTTTACGCCGCTCTCGTGTCTGCGCCTCTACCGCAAGACCAGCCCTGGTCGATACCATTCAGCGCAGTGGCTGGACTCTTGCCATCGCGATTGAGAACGGCTGTGCCACTTGATACCCCCGTTCTGGCAGTATCAGATTACATCATGACTGCCATCTCCTTGTTCACTATCGTGGTGGAATGGCAAGCCGACAAGCAGATGTACGCTTTTCAGACAGGGAAGCACAATCTGATCTCAAGTCTTCCCAACGACCAACTCATCCATCCTTCTCCACCTCCATCCGAGGACCAGCCCCTCATTCAAAAAGAAGGTCTGCCCAAACCATCTCCCTACCCTGCCTCTCATCACCCGGGATACCCAACCCGAGGCATGTGGCGTCTATCGAGACATCCTAACTTTGCTGCCGAGCAGCTGTTCTGGATTAGTCAAGGACTGTTTGCTGCGTTGGCTGGTGCTGCCAGTGGTACAGCCGAACAGGGGTGGTTTATGAGGACAGCATTGGGCCCCTGCTTTGCCTTGAGCTTGCTCTTCTGTTCAAGCACCTTTCTTACCGAATGGATCAGTGGTCGCAAGGTGCGTCATGACTCGTGCCCTATTCAATAGTGCTCACTTGTAGCAGTATCCTTCTTTCAAGAGGTACAAACAACTTGTGGGGGAATTCTTGCCTCAAGAGACTGCGCTTCTTTGGCTATGGGGTGTCGTCAGGGGCACTCGGGGGCAGCTCGTGAAGGAGATATATGAGGCTCCTCGGCCCGTTGACAATGGCCAGACCGAGTGAACAGCACTACTGGGACGAGATATGATCTAGAAGACAAAAATATGCATGATCAAATGATTATAGGTAGCAAGTGCCCAGAGGTGATAATAACATATCTCGATTCTCTAAGTTCTGTCTAAGACACAAGTAGTTTTTTGTTCCTTCCAAATGCCTCTCTACTCTCCAATCTCGGAACGGTCATCCAACAGCACCTCTTCGTCATCCTCCCCAATCCCTCCCCTCTGCCGTCTACTCCTCTCGAGCTCCTTGCCACGCGGGGAAAGGATACCGAGGATGGCACATCGCCCCTCTTTCCACTTCATGTACACGAGTGTTGCCGTGATAGCCACCCAGTAAAAGATATACGTTGATCTGATCTGAATCAGTACTCATTCTCCCAGCACCAGGAGACACCAGGAGACGACTTACATTGTCCACCAACTGCCAGTATTGTTCCATCCGACCACAGCCTGCGCAACCTGGGCCCAATTGTCCCCGCTTCCGGGTTCCGGGTCCCACCAGGTCAAGTGCCAAATGTTGCCCTTGACCCTATAGCTTCCTGGTCCATTGCCGCTCTCGGCAGCAGCAGCACCAACATGGTTGATAAAGTATTGCCTCTCGAGCGCATAAGCAGATCGGGAGCAAAGACCGGCGCCAATGTAGAAGAGGAGTAGGGAAGAGAATGCGGTAAAAGTGTGCACCGAGAGGGGGGAGGTGGAAGAGAACAAGAGGTAGGCACAGAGAGCACCGACGATCAAGCCAGCGAGACCACCTCCAAACACAGAGGAAGGCTTCTCAGAGAGGCCAATACCGCCCAAGAAGACGATTCCTTCAAGACCCTCTCGCAAAACCGTGATGAACGGAAGGCCAAACAAGATGGCATTCGCCTTATTCGTTCGCTTCTTGTGGCGATGAGCATGGTGCGGGTGAAGAAGGCCGTTGCCGTAGTGAGGTGGGGGAGACGGGGCCTCTTCACCAGACTGGGTCTGGTATGCACTGAGAAGCTTGAGACGCCATTTGGTCTGCGCATGAGGGAGACGAAGGAAGGCGAGGGACATGACGAGGATGAGGAAAGCGGCAAGGAGACAGAAACCGCCCTCCCATAGGTTTTCGGCGTCTTGCCAGAGGTCTCTGGTGTATCGGTAGAACTATGGACAAGTGAGCGACGACGGTCAACTTTGATAATAGACTTACGACGTAGAGGAAGATGGCACCGATGCCGATAGCAACACTTCCACCAAGCATCGCTCCACTCCAAATTTGGACTCTCATCTTCTTCATGATCGCCAGCCTATCCACATCGCCGCCGAGGACAACCTCCTCTTCATGCACATTGTCATGCTCCTCGTCGTAGTATCTCGACGGGCTGGCATTTCGAGAAGCGCCGTACCGACTCCCGATATCACTTGTAGATGATATGAGCTGAGTGCCAGAGTTGTTGGAAAGATCAGACTCGGCAGAGTGGCGGGGCTCGGGGGTGGAAGGACGAGATGGGCGGAGGGTCTGCGATGGGCGACGTGGTGGTTTGGAGGGGATGATTTGAGTGATGAAGCCGAGAAGAACCGCGACTGAATGTATGTGTAAGTTGTGTGCCAATTTGAAGGAGCAAGCAAGCAAGCATACTGATGATTCCTGCTTCGAGACTTTCTCTGAGCAGGATGAAGAAGGCTACTGGCTGGGCAAAAAGTCAGCAGCGATTGGAGGGTTAGGGATACTCTTGCTCACAGAAAAGTAATCAGTGAGCGCCATGGTGTTGGGTGGCCTTGGGGCCGTAGAGGATCAGTCTTTGGGACGTGGACGAGAGAGTGGACATTCGCAGGTCTTGTCGTATCGGCGATCCCCGACTTTCACAACGTCGTTGTCAGGCCATAGCCATATAAACACTGCATTTGCGGCAATAACATCGACGGCCATAGCCTCCTCAAAGTACCGCGTCCCGTTTGATCCGCGAAGTCAACTAGGAGAGCGCTCGGTTAGTACCAGGGTGGGGGACCACCTGGGAATCCCGGGTGCCGTCGTTTTTGCCTTTTTGCCTTGTTGCTTGGCACTGTTGGCAGGCCAATTCAACTGCCTATAATAGTTGTGGGGAACAAGCTTGAACATGGCAAGTATTTGGAGGGCGTGATCTCATTACAATAACATCAAGAGGCGCAAGGCCTATATCTATGCGTGGTTTACAGACAGTCTATCGAGGTAACATGCCTCTTTTACAAACTTCTCCCTGGCAAGCTCGGAACCCTGCCCTTTGCTAATTCCGGCTGACACCTCTTCAGCTCATGACACCTCTCCCGCAGTCCCTTCCCCAACGCAGGCACCTGCCCTCCATTCTCCTCCACCTTGACTCGCATCATCCCCTCCAAGTCTCGGTCGAGATACTCCTGGAGTTTGCTAACGGTATAGTCCAAGCGCATGTCCTCTGGGATGAATCGCTCAATGGGCGTAGACATGGCCCGCTTGACAACCTCCACAAGCTCGGTGTAGTTTTTGGCGTTGTAAGAGTAGACGTAGGGTTCTCCGATGCGAAGAGCAGGGCCATGCTGGGAGAAACCAGAGTAATGTCGCCATTCGGATGGCTCTTGCTCGTCGTAGAAGACGGGGACGATCACTGGGGTGGCCTGACACCTACAGCAGCGTAAGCTCCACCCGAAACCGCAAAGCATTTGTACTTACAAAGAAGCATAGACACTGGGACTGATGATGGGAACTCCGACACCGATCATAGCCTTGACGCTGCCGACCAGCTCGTTATAGCCGCCAATGCTCTGCATGCCGATCGTCTCCAGTCCATCAGGCATGGGCATGCCTTCTTCGATATTAGCCGTGGAGATGAGGTCAATGCCGTCAACGCGGGTGAGGTTGGTCCAGAATTCAGGAGGAGAGACGTGGTGGTAGTGGAAGTATGCTGTGAAACGAGGTCAGCAAGTGGTATGACTGACGAATCTACGCTACTCACCAGAACGCTTCGCGAGGATCAAAGCAGAATCCCTTCGCTCTTCAAGAGGCGTGAAGGGGAGTGCCATGCACTGTTCTTCCATCGTGTAGGGCAAGTGGAAGTGTCCACCTGGAAGTGGCCAAGGTCTGACGAAGCGTCAGTAATGTCAAAGACCGACGTCGCAAGTCACTCACGTCGCAATCCATTCTTGCCCAAGCGGTTGGTAGCTCCAATCACCCTTCTCGGTAACTCCCCACCAGTATTCGTTGTGCGAAATCTGCTTAGGACGTGCTCCCCACTTGGGTCATGTCAGTATCGCCGTCTATGTGTGACTGGGACGAGCTCACGTAGTCTACAACATTCAGAGCCCAGAGCGGGATGACACCTCTCTCCTCATCAGGTATGCCGATTGAGAGATCCTCAGCGCCCTCTGGAGGGGTGTAATGCTCTTTGGCGATGCATCGAGGGTCGGTAGCGCAAGAGACAACCTCCATATCACTGCCCCAGAGTGTTTTGTAGACGTCAGGCATCATCTCGGCGGCTTGGATCCAATTTTGATAAGGTCCAATGCCAACCCAGAAGTAACCCAATTTCTCAAGCTGCTCCAGCTGAACCTTTCGTTAGCATTTGCAATGCCTCTCGAAAAACCAAGGAACTCACGACAGAACGCTGCCAAACGACTTCGCCCGTGGTCGTTTCGGTCAACACCGTCGCCGTGTACCACCACCCGGAAAGGACGAGGGGCTTTTCAGGGCATGGTGTATAGTCGGGATCTGACTCCGGCAAGAAGCACTTGCTCATTTTGGTAAGAGTATCCACATTGTGGTCCACCGCAAAGTACCAGTGTTCACTGGCAACCGTTCGTTAGATGACGGCATAGGCGGGAGGAAGAAGGGAAAGGCGGGAGGCTTACTGCTGGTGTTCGATCTCCCTTTGCAGGACGGCCTGGGTCTGCCTGTATTGCCTCGCTTTCAGACAGCCGAGTGGGTCTTCAGACTCTGGTCTTGACGGATCCCACCCTCTGCACTCTCTCGTCTCTCCGTTGCCCAGCACCGATGACGGTATCCATTCGCCGAAATTGTCGTTCCCCCAAGTAGCCATCTTGTTTAACCGTTCATCGTGTCCAGAGAACCCCACAAAGTAGGAGGCTCCTATTGTTAGAGTCACGAGAGCAATAGTGAGGTTGCGCCGAGTCGAGCGTGGTCTGCCAGACGGAGGGGTGTAGCCGAGAGGAGGTGAGGAGGTCGGTAGGAGGGTGTAGCCGTTTTGAGGCATTTTGTTATCTGAGTAACTTGTAGACTGAGAGGGGATGTGAAGAGAAAGTAGATTGATAGCATGCAAAGGCTTGCCGCCTTTTGTATTAGTCTAATTTTCCATGTGAAACTGCACTGCACATGGCATGATGCAAGTGCGAAATATGGGGCCGAACTCGTTATGTATCCTGATCTTAGGCCTCAGATCAACGTTAAAACGCCGTACTTAATAATGCCACTACCAAATTTAAGGCCCGCCGCCGCTTGCCTGGTGCCTCCTCGACGGACTTTCTCACTCTCGCTGGTGGGTCTTCTTGTTTCGCAGGCTCTGGACTATGGACTCTTCTGGACTTTATCATGCCCGGTTCGGCGGGTAGGGGCGTTGACCGGAGCTTGCACAAGTGTGACAGCTTGCTTATACATGGATGGAGGGCAATGGTAGCCACCAAAGTGCACCCAGGCAACCAAGTGCTTTCGGGTCGTCTCTTTACCCTTGCCTGCATGTCTTTGATGGCGCTGAGCGGTGGCTCGTGGATTATGCTGATCGAGATATGGATACCTCTCGGGTTGGAGCATATCGGGTATGGGCCCCTTTGTGTGTCTCTGGCGTTGGACGGTAACTGGATATAAGCCTGAATGTGGTGGCTGCGAAGCGCCATATGCGGTGTGTCACACCTCGCGTAAGCCAAAAAACCCTCCAGTGCCGCCAGGTCCCAGGCACAGAGGCAGCATCCGCAACTATATCGCTCTAATCTTCGATTCGTACCTGAGCACCTCCTTATCGCCCAATTATCGCCCGTCGCTCGACAGTCGATCGCCCACGTCCACGTGACGTCCACTGCTTTGGCTCACACTTGCATGCTTTCTGCCCCAAGTGGCAGCGCGATCCAAATGGCTCGTACATCCTAGCCCTTCCTCAGGCCCCGTCTACTCTCTCATATAACTCAAGTCATTCCCAAAGACAATCATCTTGACAGTATTCTTCACATCATCCGCCACATCCCACCCATCCACATCCCTCCACGCCCTTTTCGCACACTCTTTCGCCTCCTCCTCACTCATGTCGTAAGCCCTCTGGGCAAGGCTGCTGATCATCTGGGGTATACCATCGAAAGAAGCTGTTTGCTGCTGACTGGAGATGGCGCTTGTCTGTTGAGCAGGGTCGAGTGGAGAAGCCTCGGGGAGGAAGAGATCGTCTGGATTCTCGTACGATTGGGAGGGCTGAAAGTCACTGGCGGAGGTGCCGCCTACCACTCCAGGACGAGAGATATCTCTTTGATAAGACAGGGTGTTTGAGTCATCCGGCCCTTCACCAGCTGTCCTTCCCTCAACATGCGTTGTTTTCTCTATGACATCTGCGTCCTCTTCCTCCAGAGGTTTCTGCTCTTCCGCCGGTGATTTCTGCTCTTCCTCGAGCTTTTCGGAAGCATCCTGATCCTCAATGACAGCAGCTTCAAGTTTTGTTGGACCCTCTTCTGTCGTCTCCTTGACGGTGGTGGTGGCCGCGATGTCGGGTGTCGATGTAGAAGGTGTGCGATGGGCAGATCCCTGGTCTGATTGTTGTGCGACAGGGCTGGGCTGAGCTGGGGTAGAGGCAAGCAGTCTCGCTTTGCTCTGACGGCGAGTAACGGGGTAGGACGAAGAAGATGGTGGGTGGGTGACATTGGATTTTGGGGGAAGCGATTGGGGGGCGGGGACGGGGGCTTGCTGCTGACTGATTTCTTTTGCCGAAGCTGACCTCGTGCGTGGCATGATGAAGATGAGAGGACTTTGGCTCCGCCTCCATAGAATATATAAGTAAGGCCTTGAGATGCGCTCGAAAAGGTGCTTACAGCCTGATCTTGCACTCACGCCTGACCTTTCGCACCCAGCGCTCTCGGCAAACTCCTCCTTAGGCAGTCTATCGATATAATTATGTATGGTGGAATGTAAGGCTCCTCGATGATCACACTGGAGAATATGAGGAATAAAAGCTGAGGAAATGAAAGAGAAAGAGAAGTGGAATATGTAAAGAGAATATATACCCTTGACGCGTCATCTGCTGCCCGCACGGACCCCCTTTTCAACATGAACTCGGTAGGTCTCCCATAATGCATGTATGGCTCGTATACAGGTATGCGCCCCACATTCATTCAAATGAGAGCTCACGCCTTCTTCTGTGCGCCTGGAACAACCCTGCCGCCTTCCCCTTCACCCTTCATCTTGCCCTTCTTCCTTCTCCCGACTGCATTCTCATCGACCAACCTCAGCGCCACCCTGTCCACTTCCTTGTACTTTAACGCCAGACCCTTCTTCTCTGCCTTCAGATCGCCCCAAGGCCTGCCCTCCTCTTTCCTCCACTTGGTGATCTTGGCAATTTCAGATGCAGCCTTGTTCTGGTCGGTAGGCAAAGAGCGGGGGCGCGGTATGATGTTTTGAGGTGGAGGAGACTTGGAGCGAGGAAGAGGGGCAGTAGAGCTAGCTCCAGAACGGTAGGTGGTTGTAGTAACTGTCGCCCGTCCCTTCCCCTTCTCCTTGGCGCCGATGGAGATAACTTTACGAGAGTTCCCAAGGGGCACGTTGTTTGTCCCCGTCAGCCCCACAGGTAAAGTAGGGAAATTCCCTCCGCCACTCTCAGCCATGAGAACCTCTTGCCTCTTTCTTTCACGCTCTTCTTCCTCGCCCTTCTCCTTCAGTAATTGTTCATCAAGATCATTCTCAACCGTCAAAAGCAGTCGAGTAAGTTGAGCGGACGAGTACAGGGGCTTGGCGCAGGAAGGGCAAGGGAGTTGAGGAGCGTGGAGGGAGCAGACGATGAGGGCACAGTTGGGGCAGACGGGGGTATACTTTGAGAGAGGATGTATGCGGGCTGTTGTCGTATGAGCTTACTAGTCAATGTGAGGATGACGCGAGACAGACCTTGGCAGAAGCAATTATGCCCGTCCCCGGGCTGTGGACCATCGTCCTTGATCTTCTGAAGTGCTTGGATGATACTCTCGATCTTCTTGACCTCCCGGCTTTTGGGAAGATCCCAGATCTTCTCGGCGGCTTTGCCCTTGCCCTTTGCGCCGCCAGCTGAGCCCTTTCCCTTGTCCACGACATTGTAGTGGACTGCACCAGCTTGTCGAGGCACAGGGGTCGAAGATCCCGAGCGAGAAATCCCACCCTGTGATCCAGATCCCCCTCGGGACAGGAAGAAAGCATCATCCACATCCCTATTCTTCATATACACATTTCCTCCCGGTCCAAAGGCGTCTTGTACAGCCCTGCTGCTCCCTGCGCCCGAACTCGAGCCCGGCACTGGGGATTTGGCTTTCCCTTTGGACTTGGCAATGTCGGCGTCGGGAGCGAGCTTGGTATTGGGCAGGGCGGAGGCGGTGTTGGAGATTGATGGGAAACGGAGGGCGAGGTAGCGAGTGGTAAAGTCCCTGGCAGCTTGAGTGGGGCCGAGTAAAGACTGCATAGCGTCAGCACATGTCTTGCTATACACTTGATCAGACTCGCCTGGAGGTGAGCCCTGAGTCTGGCCTCGGAGGCTACTTCCTCGAGCTGAGGCATGATCATCTGGGCGACGGTCTCCTCGTCTTTGATACGGTCAGCGACGGCAGCTCGGGAGGGATGGAGACGCACCGAGCCCGAGGATTTTGGTGACATCGTTGACGATCCATGGGGGTCGTTGTGGTGCCATGCTGGGTGACGGTCTTGGAGTAGAACTGTTCGAAGATACTGCACTATTGGAGACGGCGCGGGATCAAATACAACCCGGACATCCCCGCCACTCTTTCACCTTGCTTTCACCAAGACTGACACCAAGATGCCCTGACTTTCTCTTCCACAACCCAACATGTCCAATCGATACGACAGGCCCTATCAAGGGTCCTCCAGTAGGCGCCAGGATGACCGCAACGGGTCTCGCTACGACGACGACTACAGCCGCAGGGACAACAGAGACAGCCGGGATAGGGGATACGACAGGGACTATGACAGGAGGAGAGACAATAGGGATTACGACAGGGACAGGTATAGAGACGAGAGGGACCGGTATAGGAACGATGATAGGGATAGGAGAAGGGGGGATGATAGGGACGATAGGAGGAGAGACGACAGAGATAGAGACAGAGGAGGCTACGAGCGGAGGAGAGACGACAGAGACAGGAAAGAACCGAGTCCCCGTCCTCCTCCTGCTTCCACTTCGTCTGCACCTCCCCCGGAGGGAGAGACGGAAGCAGAGAAGAAACAGAGACTGAAGAAGGAGAGGTTGGAGGCATGGAAGAAGGAACGCGCCTTGAAAGAAGGCAAGCCCGCTACCGCCACTCCTGAAGTCAGAAGCCCTGCACCTCCCTCGAATCTTCCATCAAAACCAGTCGGATTCTCAATGTCCCGCATCGGTCTCCCCCTCAAATCTTCTGCTCCTCTGAAGCGATCCCTGACTGCCCTCGATGATGAAGACGAGTCGGACCGCAAGCTGCAAAAACTCGACTTGCCCGATTTCGACCGACAAGTCCAGTCTGGCGAGGCTGCCAAAATGGGCGCTATTGGTGACGATTTGGCGGTTGCCGATGGGGATGAAAATGAAGACGATCAAATAGTCAAGGAAGAGTCGGACAAGATGGAAGTGGATCAGGAAGAGGAAGAAGAGGAGGACCCTCTAGATGCTTTTATGAAGCAAAACACCAAAGATGTGTCTTCGGTCAATGACAAGGACGCCAGGAGGATGGGCCTGAGGGTAGCCGAAGATGCCAGCGATGATGAAGAGGATAATACCAAGGTTGTGGAGAAGGACAAGCTTGCCGAGGCGGAGGCTCTTCTAGCGTGAGTCTTGTAATTTTTTACATTTGCCTCTTTGCTGACCCGATTACAGCCAAGCAGCTGCGAAATCACGCAAGAAGGATCTGCCACCTCCAGATCACTCCAAGATTGATTACGAACCTTTCCGCAAGGCGTTCTACGTACCCCCAGTGGAGGTCCTCGAGATGGACGAGGAGGAAGCCGAGTTGATGCGTCTGGAGATGGATGGTATCAAAATCCGAGGTACAGATGCCCCGAAGCCGGTCAAGAACTGGGGAGCCTTCGGTCTGCCTCAGGGATGGTGAGTACTTGACACTGGAGGAGATGATCTAGCTGACACGAACGACAGTCTCGATGTCATCAGACACTCTGGATGGGAGTCTCCCACATCTATCCAAGCTCAGGCCATTCCCGCCATCATGTCAGGTAGAGACGTCATCGGCATCGCCAAGACTGGTTCCGGTAAGACCGTCGCCTTTGTTCTTCCCATGATCCGTCACGTCCGCGACCAACGTCCCGTCACCGGTTCCGAAGGCCCCATTGCCATCATCATGTCCCCCACCCGAGAGCTCGCCACCCAAATCTACAAAGAGTGCCAGCCGTTCGCCAAGGTGCTCGGTCTGAGGGTCACGTGTTGTGTCGGTGGCTCGTCTATCAGTGAAGATATTGCGGCAATGAAAAAAGGCGCAGAGGTTGTCGTCTGTACACCGGGTCGTATGATTGATCTTCTTACTGCCAACAACGGTCGAGTCGTCAACGTTCGACGTACGACGTACATGGTCATGGACGAGGCCGACCGTATGTTTGACATGGGTTTCGAACCCCAGGTCATGAAGATCATCAACAACGTACGACCTGAAGCCCAAAAGGTACTCTTCTCTGCCACTTTCCCAAAGACCATGGAATCGCTGGCAAGGAAGATCCTGATCAAGCCTTTGGAAATTACCGTTGGTGGACGATCTGTCGTTGCTCCTGAAATCGACCAGCGTGTCGAAGTCCGTGAAAGCGATACCAAATTCACCAGACTGCTCGAGATCCTGGGTGAGATTGGCGAAGAACACAAAGACGACGAAGAAGACTTCCGAACCCTCGTTTTTGTTGACAGGCAAGAATCCGCGGATGATCTGTTCAGAGAGCTGTTACAGAGAGGTTATGTTTGTGCTTCTTTGCATGGTGGTAAAGAGCAGGTGGACCGAGATGAGGCGATCAAGAACTTCAAGAATGGCGATGTTCCCATCATTGTCGCGACTTCCGTCGCCGCACGAGGTTTGGATGTCAGAGAGTTGAAACTCGTTCTTGTGAGTGCCCTTCCTCGTCTACATTGTTCATAGCTGACTTCCATCACAGAACTACGACGCCCCCAACCACATGGAAGATTATGTTCACCGAGCTGGTCGAACTGGGCGTGCAGGAAACAAGGGAACGTGTATCACATTTATCACCCCTGAGCAAGAGCGGTTCTCCGTCGATATCGTGCGTGCGCTCGAGGCGAGTAAGGCATTCATCCCGGACGACTTGAAGAAGATGTCAGATGGTGAGTCTTTCTCCACTTCTGGGCGAGATATGTAGGCTGACGTGGTGTGAAGGCTTCCTTGGCAAGATCAAGAGCGGAAAAGCCAAAGCTGCCAGCACTGGGTACGCTGGAAAGGGTCTCGAACGTATCGAGCGCCGCCGAGAGGAGAAGGACAGGGCCGAAAAGACCACATACGGCGATACCTCGGAGGCTCTCTCCCTCTCTTCCCGTGAAGGCGCAGTCATTCCTTACAAAGCCAAGACGAACGAGTTCAAGCCTCCCGAGACATCTCACAAGGGCGATGCGGACTACACCTTCACAGAGATCAAGGTGGACATCATCAATGGCCCTGCCCCAGACCGTGTCACTCAGGCGCCCACGTTCGATGCCAAGAATGCCGTTTCCTCGCTTCCTGCGCAGACTGTCGCTGCTCTCAAGAAGGCCGAGAAGGAAGGGAGACACGTCGATGCTGCTCGCTTCGCCAGTGTTATCGCCAAGCTCACTCAATCTATCGAGCTCACCAAAGCCGAGAGGCTTGGTCTGGCCGATGCTCCATCTGCTCCCCGACTCGGCGTGGGTGCGCGCACAAAAGACCCGGATGCTACCGATTGGCACGCCATCTTCCCCATCAATGACTACCCTCAGAAGGCTCGTTGGAAAGCTACCAACAAGGAGCAGATGACCCTTTTGCAGGAAGTTTCAGGGGCAAGTATCACCATGCGTGGCAGGTACTATTCGCCCGGAGATGAACCTGGTCCAGGGGATGAGCCCAAGCTCAGTCTGCTCATTGAGAGTAACGATGAGATGAGGGTGAGGGCGGCTGTAGAGGAGATCAGGCGTGTATTGGTGGAAGGATCGGTACAGGCGTTGAACACCGTGGACCGCGGCGGCGCGTCAGGGAGGTACGCGGTGTAAAAAAAGACTCGAAGAATGACGGCCGAGGTGTACGTGTATCTCTGCTCACGTGTATGCATACAAGTATCGCTCTACTGACCATGCTGACTGTCTGCATCGCCGTGGGTGGCGACAGGAAATGGTGGCCAAAGTCGCGGAAGTCAAAAAGCAGTATTATCTGAGTGCTCGCACCTTGCTCTCTGCTCATCTCAAACATAGAGCCCATAACAATTCTGCGAATCGCAAGATCCTCTCCTCTCCTACTGCTCCCAAAACAATGCGGTAAGTTGTTGACTCGTGGCACGCTTTTGGTTTTCTTTTGGAGCGCAAGCGCAGCCTATGGATTATCTTCCACATGTCATGTATCACCTCACAACGGCGGATACGCACTTTCTCCTGATGATCATATTCCTGGTAGTAGCCGATAGTATAGAAGCAATTTGAGCAGCTCGACCCATCTTGCATGCGTCAGATGATACCTGAATTGTGTCATGATTGAGCGGCAGTCAGCAAGCATTGCCATACATGTCATAGGAACTACAGCCTAATATGTATCATCTCAAGCCTTGTCATCACCAATGATGACAGTGCCACCGGTCTCTCCATCAATGATCTTGATGACACCATCTTCGATAACGACTTTGGAGGGAGGCATCTTGTTGGTCGATATGTTGTTGTGTACCGTAATTAGGCGGTACTCTACTCTACTGCAAGCCAGAGCTGGTAAACATTGTTCACAGGTCTACGTCCCAGCAGTCTCACGTTAGATCAAGCGAAGTCTTCAGTTGCATCTGACGACAAAGAAGGTTGATTATTTTAGAAAGGGTTGGTGAATTCGCCTCTGTTATATGCTCTCTCAGTCAACTCGAGACTCGCTACCAGACACCTTCGTGGCAATTCCCAGCAGGGTTTGGCCGAGTCGAACTGGTCACAGCAACAACATGTCCATTGTTCACTGGGAAGGCGGGGTTTGCACGAAGAAGTTATGCGAAGCACCTAGTTGGTCGCGCTGCATCTCCTTTCGTCGTCCTTCACGAAGCAAACGTGGTGTCAATTCAGTTCGAGCTCAGCCTCCTTGTCAAAGGTCGAAACATATGAAAGGACCTTTTCCATTCTTGAGGTGTCGGACTTGTTCATGTCGACCAGACCCCATGACGTGAAAAACTGACATTGGCGTGATTTCATCTGCTTATCATCCCACCTCTTTACGCCAGTCTCACTTAATCATACCCAGCTCATACCGGTCACGTTTCAAGCCACAACCCAAATAAAAGTAATTGTCACAATGCTTCACAACGATGGCTTTGTAGAACCCACCATCCCCTCCGTCCCTCGTCCTTACCCAGTATCCCCACCGACTCATGGCGACAACATCGCTGCCCAGTGAATTGAAAACGAAAGCTGAGAGAGGAGATTGTACAATATTACATGACATGCAGTGTCTGAAACCCGGGATCTATAGATGACTATTATACCTTCTCCGACCCATTGTCCGCTTGACCACCCGTATGATTGTGCTCATTACCCTCAGCATTCAGCTTCTCCTTCCCCGTACTCCTCTTGACACCCTTGCCTATCGTCCCCATCCCCGTAAGGGAGAAGATGGCGATGCACAGAGCCGTAAAGCTCATAGCCGCACCCAGCCAGAAAGCTGCGCGAAGGCCTTGTAGCAGAGCCTGCGTTTCGCTCATGCCCTCGGCCAATGCTTTCTGCATTTGAACGTCCGAAATCACAGAGGTCACGGCAAGACCAAAGGATCCACCGAGCTGGATGAGGGTTTGGAAAAGAGCGCCGGCGACGGATTGTTCGTCTGGCAAAGAGAGAGCCGCGACGAAAATCATACCAGTTGCCATCAAGCTGCCCGTGATATATCAGTCGACAGACTTATTATAGTGGTTGGTTTTACTCACATGTCTGCGCCAACTACCGCAAGCCACATGGCGTTGAAAGGCATTCTCCAGTAAAGAGTATCCTGTTGGGAGACAGCCATCAAGACGTTTGCAACGCTGAGCATCCCATCAGCAAGAGTCCAACTCAAGAACGGTGATACTCACCCTGTAGAGATCAAGCCCACACAAACCAGCCATTGGGTCCTGACCTTGCTCACCAAAAAGGCAACGATGACATTGCACAAGACACCAGAGACAGAAGTCGGCAGGAAACGGAGCATAGCGCCCACGGCGCCAGTGTTCTGGACCTGCTGGAAGAAAAGGGTGGCGTGGTAAAACAACGATGTGAAACCCATCCAGGTAACAAAGCCGATGAAATAGACAGCAGCAAGTCGTCCCTTGGCTCTAGTCCAGAGTTGCAGACGCATGAGAGGCGGCCGAGAGGTGTTCTTGATGATATGTCTCTCCCAAACGAAAAAGCCAACGACCAAGAAGAAGCCAATGATAAGGAGTGCGATCACGTCTGTAAGGATCGTGAGTATGTCGTGTTGTTACAGTATGGAGTACCTACAGCCAGTCTTCCAGCCGTTGGGGGCACCTTCACCGTCACTGATACCGAACTGAATGAAGACCAGACCGACGGTGACCAATGCAGCACCAATCCAATCCACGCGACGGTCATTGGTATGCGGCACATCCTTGGGGATGATAAACATGGCACAGACAGCGTTGCCAAAGGCCAAGCCTGCAAGGCAGTATAGGGCACCACGCCAAGTATCCCTGATCCCGTCGTCAGCTCTTGACTAAGTCTGAAAAGCACGTGAAGACCACTCACTTGACATATGCGGTAAAGAGTCCTCCCAAAAGCAGACCCAAAGCCCCTCCCACTGGAGCACCTGCGGAAAAGGAAGCGAAAGCAGTTGACCGTGCTTTCCCCGTAAAAGTGTGGGCGATGATTCCGACCGCACTTGGCGTACTCATCGCCGCTCCGCATCCAGCGAGTGCCCTCGTGACAACCAAAGCAGCCCCGTTTTTCATGAAGCCTCCTATCAGGGTCCAAATGGCATACCATATGACCCCGATCATGAATAGCAGTTTGCGCCCTTGGACATCTGCCAGGCGACCAGAGAGAAGGAGGAAACAGCCATTCGTCAGGGAGTATGCACTGTTGACTGTGACGGAAAATTAGTCTCAAACCGCGACTTAAGCAAGTCACTTACCCCACTGCAGATCCGACTCGGTCATATCCATATCAGCTTGAATCGTGGGCAGAGCTATATTGAGCGCCTGCTGCCCGGCAGAAGACATGCACATGGTGAACGTGACGATGGCCGCAATACCAAACAATCGTGTCGAAGATAATCGCGGCGGCTGATTCTCGGGCTCGCCGAGCTGCATGTCTGCCAACGTGACTCGAGTCGCTTGTCTTGACAGTGGCTCATCCTGAGACTCTTCTGCTTGTTGCTTGGTCGAGGATTGACCATTTTGGGTATCGCTGAGCACTGAAGAGCTGGGATCTCTAGTGCCGTCTATTTCGAGCTCGTTCAAGGTGGCGTCGAGGGAATCCGAAGACATTTTGCTGTCGTCTTGGAGCTTCCCTTGGTCGGGTTGATAGCTAGCCATACCCTGCTAAAGTTCCACCAGGCTCCGAAAAGCGAGTACGAGTGCTGAGAGAGAGAAAGATAATTATACAAAAGCACCCTAGTACTGTTCGGAAACTGTTAATTGACCGCATTGGATCTCTACTCTCTACTTCCCTGCCGAAGCCTGCCGAGCCCAGGCACGCACGATTCCAACATTCAACGGCTCCATCTCGGCTCCATGTCTTATCTTTCTGAGTATGCAGTTGTGAGGTGACGAGCTGATAGAGTACTGCGGAATGTTTTCCTTGAGAGCAGCCCTATAGCAGTTTCCAGCGCATATCACCTCCTATGAGTACCATTCTCCGCAGCGCCCGGCCACATCGGAACCGCAAACCTCGCCGCGTTGTGCCCATATAGCCCAACAATTGTACAGTATATCATGACCTTCGGTTTACGCTATCCAGTATTTCAATCGGCCAGCCGTCCACTATCAAACATATATCAAACACATCATTATTCCGACCCGGGATTCCCAACGTTCCCACGAGCGTTCTCCAACTCCTCACTGCCTGCCGCCTTTACGGGGTGGAGTTGCCGAGGCTGTAGGTCAAGGGGGAAAGAAAGGTGACAGATTTCGAAGCCGGGTCAGATTGCAGGTGAAGGGAATCGAGCATGGCGAGCAGTTCAGACCATACATCAGCATGAAAATCTCCATACATATCATTCAACCAGCTTTGCAGGGAGAGAAAAGCGAGAGAGACGAGAAAAAGAATTTGAGAAGAGAAAAGGAAGAAGGAGCTGGGCCGCCACCCGTTCCAGATGCAGACTGATAAGAAGGATGGAAAGGTGGATGGAGCTCTAGGGTAATGCGTGGATACGGGAGGCGGCAAAGAATCTCTTCCCATAGATTTGGCGGCTTATTGTACACAGATGGGGAGAACGTAAAAGAACTCAAGACAGGTGTGAGCGGGGAGAGAGAAATCCACTAACGCCGGCCACCGGGGTAACCGCCGTATTTCGGCTTCTTCTCTGCGGGTTTGAGGATCTACACAATTTCAGCACGATTGCTGGAGGCAAAAGTTGATACTCACTTGGAATGAACAGAGTAAAGTGTCATCTACGCTCATCATGGCACCCGCGTTATCGAATTCACCGCAGTAATTGGGGGCAGAGAAGAGAGTGACAAGCTGTCGCTTGGCAAAGAACTCGTAACCGTCCTCGACGACCTGCCAGCGATTCAGCCTCGTCTCTGCAAAGGCCTGTATTCAACTCACCTGGTGCGCTCGACAGATCAGGTCCATATCATGCTTTTGCAAGAACCGAGAGACAACGTCCGGACCGAAAGTGAACGAGACACCTCGGTCGTTCTCGCTCCATCCAGTGATATCCTTGTCGGGATCAGACCAAAGCAAGTCACAGAGAAGACCTGGAAAGGCATCAGCTCCAGTCAAAGAGGCACCCGAGGTTACTCACCAGTGTCAGGGACATCTGTCGGTCGCATCACTCTCCTGATCTGCTCCATGCTTTGCAAGTCGGGACTCAATCCACCGTGCATCGTAAAGATCTTTTCGTCAATGATGGCGGCGATGGGAAGACAGTTGAAGCAGTCGGTAAAGGTCTTCCAAAGCTTGATGTTATAACGACGCTTGCCTGTGGAAACGTCAGTCTTGGCCGAATTGCGGTGCAGAATGTACGTACACTCATCGTAGAACCCGTAGATCCTGTTGATACTGGCGCACTCGTGGTTTCCTCTCAAGATGAAAAAGTTTTCCGGGTACTTGATCTTGTACGCCAACAACAAGCAGATGGTTTCAAGCGATTGCTTGCCTCGGTCGACGTAGTCACCGAGGAAGAGGTAGTTTGCTTCGGGGGGGAAACCTCCGTACTCGAAGAGTCGCAGAAGGTCGTAATATTGTCCGTGGATATCACCTGAGATCGATTGACGTCAGTCAGGGTCCATAGAGTCCTAGATGGACGTACCGCATATCTTGATGGGCGCTTCAAGCTCGAGGAGGATGGGTTGGCTGATGAAGATTTCACGAGCCTTGGTACAGAGATATTTGATCTCGTATTCAGCCAGTTGAACGGCTTTACCGGGTCGGTTGCCGCGCACTGATGCCAAGTCAGCATTCTGTCAACAAGTGGGAATCTGAGGGTTTGGCTGACCTTCTAACAATCGGTCAATGACGGAGTCAAGGTCGATCTCTTGCTGGTCTCCCATTGTGATAGAGTTTCAGAGAAGGAGGTGGGAAAGATGGGGAACGAAAGTGGCTAAAAGCTGTTGATGTCCGTGTCAGCCCAAATCGTCCCGCGTAGTGTTCATTTTTGAAAGCTCGATTCCACCGCGACCTTCTCCCTTGGCCTTGCATACTCGTCAGACTGCCTCGAGAGGCAAACTCGATCGTGGGACAATGATGACATGTGAAAACTGTGGCCAAGCCCGAGCTGGAATGCGGACGGCCAGCAAGTGGCACTTTGTGCCCGCTTTCAGGGGTCCTACTTCTGCCAAGCAGGCTGCCTCGTACGGGCGTCAAGCACAGAGGCACTCCACCACCCACGTCGTCGGCAGTCGCGCCCGTTCGCAAAGCAGATCGCTGGCATGACCAAAAGTCCCCTCTTCGTCCCTCAGCATGGCCTCTGCCCCCCCCCCCAGCCACCGTTCGCCAGCCCTTCCGACCATCCATCCACAGTGACACGCACTTTCCATCCGTTCATCCCCGGGCCCGACGACGCGCCGCAACATCAAGAGAGAACAACGACTCACAACTTAAGAGTCCCTTACAGCAAGTCTTTGCGGTCGGGTAGTTTTTCCTGATTGGTGTGCTTTACACGAGGAGGAGTAAGCACGATATTGGGATAGGGATGTTTGGGCAATGACGGATGTTCTCGATCAAGAGCGACACGGGGGGTGACGTCCAAGGTCGGATGGGGATGTGGAGCGGTTTGAAATGAGGTCTGGTGGGGGTGGGAGGGGGTGCAAGAGAGACGGGGGCGGCACGGTGGGGATGGGATGGGATGGGAGATGGGGTTGGGGAGAGCTGCAGTCAGCATGTGTGGGTTGGAGTGATGGAGGGGAGGGTTGGTGCATGTATGGCTGGAGTGGGACTCACGGGGGTGCGGTGGCGGTGTCCGCTGGTGGCGGGGTGCGTGCGGGAGGAGCAGGAGCAGGAGCTGAGAGTGGGAGGGAGGTGGAGGAGCAGCGATGGGGCAAGCGAACAACAAGCGAAGGACTGCAAGAGCCATAAAGCGCATTTTGCCACGTGAGTGCCACCCACAAAAAATGCCGTGTATCCCCGACCCTTATATACCCCTCGACTCGTTGGGCCGGATGGATTCTTGCATGCATCTTCACAGCGGTACAGTCACGACACATAGGGCATAGCAATTGCATACATCTTTTGGGCATAAATCCTTCTGAAAAAAGCGAAAAACGAAAGATGACAACAAACGATCGCGTCCAGAGCCCAGGACGACACTTCTAAGAAGAAAACACATGAAAAAGCGTATTACTCGTTTACTTATCCAAATCAATGTGACACATATATCTCTAGGCGGTCGAAGTATGGGGAACAGTGTTGGTAGTGGTAGAGACAACCGGTTCTGAGGCAACGGGGTCCGAGGCAACGACTGGGATAGCAGCAACTGGGATGGCAGGTGTGGCGCCAGTAGCAGGGACGCCGGCAGCGACAGCCACAGCAGCAGATCCTGATGTAGGAGCAGCATGCTGGGAAGCCAGAGAAGCGTCGGTGGGCTACGATACTCGTCAGCGATGAACCCAGGACGGAAAGATGAACATACTTCATTCAGGTAGCCCTCAACACGGTCGATACCCTTGTTGACGGCGTTGGTCACCTGGGTGATGAAACCGGGATGAGACTCGGTGGTCGTCTTCTCCTCAATGGTGTTGGTGAGCTGAGTAAAAGTGCTCTGGCAAGGCGTCAGCTTGGAGAAACATGGTCAGGAGCAGAACGCACCTGGACAGCGCTCAGTCCCTGGGCAAGGTACTGCTTGGCCTTGTCCCCAGTGTCGGCGGCAACAGCAGTAGTACTTTCAGCAGCTCCGGTAGTGGTAGCAGCGGCATTGTCAATAGACTTGTCCAAGGTACCGGCAGAAGTGGGTGTAGAAGTCGTTGATGGATCGTTACCCTGTATATCTGTATCAATATCTGTTCACGGTTCCGCTTCAGGGCAGACCTACTTCAATCTTGTCGAGAATTTTTTCAAACCTGGCCTGCGCCTTGTCGGCATAAGGCTTTGCGGTCTCCGAGACCTTGTTCACATACGGCTCCGCCTTTTCGAGGTACTGATCATACGCCTGCCTTATCAGTCACTGCTCTTTTGAGTAGATAAGAAGAGCACGTACGGGCTTGGCGGCATCACGAGCCTTGTCAAGCAGACTGGACTCGGCGATGGAGTCGAGGGCCTTGGATGGGGGCTGGCTGATCTCCTCGGCGGGGATGACAGGCTTGGGGATGTCACTGGCGATAGTGGTGGGGACAACGGACTCGGGGGCGGACATGACTGGGGGTGTTATCGGGGCTGAATTGGGTGGGTTGAAGGTGATAGATGGGAATGTTGATGCAATATTGGCTCTCGTAGAGAAAGACGCCCCTTATCGTGGAGATGACCAATGGGGAGTATGACGTCACTCTCTCTTTCCTCTGCCTTTCGGCGCATTTCTTTAGAGGTGGGCACTATTAAGGCCGGCTGCTATCCTATCTAATCAGCAATGGCTGTCGCGATTCCTGGCTCGACGTCGCGATTCATCATCCTCTTGGCTCTCCTATGAAGTTGACAACACGCCAATAATTGGCCACAGCTGCACGAGCTAGCCGTCCGTGTATATCGGCACTGAGGGACAAACGAAGCTAAGGTAGGGTGACCATATGCTGAGAAATTTCACGTCATCCAAGCTTCGTATTGTACATAAATCCATGGATGATGGGGCTGAGTGGCTTCAGCAACGCCCCCACTCTCCTATGCACTCACCAATGCACAGCTGATGGTGGCTGACGAGAGCGACCAGTGATCCCAGTGATCAGTGACATTAGCATTGTCGGCCCCGAACGCAGACCGCAATGATCCAACCATCACGGGGGTAGCAGAGCACAGGAACAAACAGGGCAGATAGAATCTCCTTGTCATGGCTGACGGGAACGGGTCAAAGCTCTCGAGCCACATTCCATAGCGCAGCTGTGCGGATTGTTCTGTGATAGGAACATGGGAACTGTGGCAGCTTGCGAGGACAACCTGACACGAAGTAATGTTGGACATGGGGAACAGAGCTGCACTGTATGTTGACCGATCGTTTGCCAAGTGTGAGCAGGATAGCTCCACTGCTGATCCTTATTAGCCCACGATAGGCATTGAGAAGACTATATAAAATCAAGCAGGCAAGTGTCGAGAGACCTCCACATGCAGATGATAGTTTGTTCTTTCTGATTCCATCCAGGGCCGGCAAGGCCGCTCTCTAATCCCACTAACGCCCCTCTAACGCCACGGTGCCGCGGGAATTTTGGTGCAGGGTAAAGAAGGGTCCGGTTGTTCCGGTGCTGGCTGCGTGGCCCATGTTTCAAACCGTTATGGGGCAGAACACCCTGAAAGAGAGCTTTTTGGTGCTGTTCCTGGGTATCTGATTCCGTTCGGTGGGTTCGGTCGCATTTGGAATTGGGAGGGCAGCCCAGAACCATCGGGTTGTTCTTCCAAGGGATGAGAATTTCATGATCGGGAGCAAGAGTAGAGAAGAGGGTGCAGCAGCTGGGCAGGGAGAGGGTGCGTGGTGAAAAGAGGGGCAGCAGGGGTGGGCGACGGAAGACGCTTGGGCTGTACGGGGCCAGGGTTTCATAGAAGATGCAGAGGCGTGTTCAATTGATGGCTGGTGAATGTGTTCGGCCGGAAGGGTGACTAGCTCACACGCCCCCGTAAGCACCGGTGATTGAATTTGGGGCTGGTTTTGCATGATTTCTCACAGTTGACCCGGCGAAAGAAGACGGTTGATCGACCTGTTCTAAAAGTTCAGACGACGCCTGCTCGCTGGAAACCGCAACAATTTTCATTCCTCAAAGCATATTTCCAGATCTCACCATCTTGATTCACTGTACATACTCCCTCTTCGACCTTTTCGTCCCCACAGCATACCTGGCCTCCACAGTCCCATCCGCCCCCACGCATACATATAGACCGACTTTCGGCTCAGCTGGCGTACGTACTTACTGTCAGCCGTCATCATCGTCTCCAGCGCGACTTTCGGCATTTGACCCAGCGCCGTCCAACGCATCGCTATCCTCGACTTGGCGCCGTCCACCGTTCTCTGCTCCCCCACCCAGAGCACGCTCCGCCGCTGCAACACAGACCGCCACGAGGCCTAAGAAGTTGCCGTCTTCGGCATAAATTTCCATTTCAAAGTCTATCGCCACTTGGCGTTAACACTTTTCACTCAGACCGGCATACTCGACCTTACATGACTACCGCCCAACGTCCTATACAGCCCCTATACGACCCGTCTCCGCACGCTTCTGCCACCGAATCATCCCCTGAGGCTTCGGCTTCGGCACCATCCGGATTTGTACCTTCAGTGTCCTACCCACCCCACCCCCAAGCGGCTCCAAAATTCTCCAGCATGGTCGACTATGATGATTTCGCGTCCGACCTTGGGGGGCTCAATACACCCCCCGCCACGGTGGATGCTGCATCGAGCCTGGTCAACGGCGATGCATCCAGAGGCGGAGATAAAGGGGAAATAAACACAGGCTCGAGCACTGCTGGGTGAGTGACCGTTTCCCTTTTTTTCCGCATCGCGTCGAGAGCCATTCAAGTTGCCGAGATCATTTCGATGGCTTCCTTTGTCGCCCAAATGTCTGCTTAAGTGCTGGATTACGGCGTGAAAGGTTGTTCTGGACGTGGGAACGCTGCGGAGTCTGTCAACGCTGCGGAGTCTGTCCATGTCTCTGGGTTCGAGCCGTCCAAGGGAGTACACGGACATGGTCTGGCAGGCTCAAAGGGGGGCAGAATGTCTCCAAACGATGCGCCGGGTACAAGCATTTCAGCGCCCAAAAAGGCGTTCGTGCTTGCTTCTGGTAGCTTAGCACGAGGGGCGCGTCTATCTCAGACGCATCCTGGATTATATTCCATTATGAGAGCTTGATGCGAGCGACTCGTGTCTTTGAAAGGTCCGGTTCTTCTCTGTGGCATTGGGTCGGTGCTGGCTCTGGGTTTGAATGCGGGGACGAGCCCCGCTCGCTATGTCTATTGCTCTGGGTGTATACGAAATTCGAGGACTAGCTGACGATGCCGTTTCAATCTACCATCCCGCATCACCGTCGTCATCCAATTCAACCTCAATACCAACTTTGATTCTACTGCTGCGCTCAACAGCCTCGACCTCGAAGGGGGAAACACTCTTGCCAGTGGTAGCCTGTTGAACCCCCATATCTCTACCGATCAGCAGTACCCTTATGCCAACCTGCTCGCTTCCGAACCGCCCAACCATGCCCCTTCGCAGTATGGTTCCTCTCTCGGTGGCACGCCCACGTACCAGTCCTATCATCAGGACAAGGACTATATTAACAACTCTTTGGTCGGGGCTTCTCATTCACTAGCCTCTCAGAACACTGCTGGGCGAGCGCAAACTGCCAGGCAGCATCATCGCGTCCACCCGTACCAGACCTCTACTGCCGACGTCTTGAGCCGCCATACTTCTGCCAAAGCCCACTGGGACGATGTCTCCTCTCCCGACCAAGATATCTCTACCCATTTCCGATCCGCCAACTCTTCAGCTGCCAACACTCCCGCTGCTGGGCCTTCCACAACTACTACTGCGGTCAATACTCCCAACAGCATGGCCAAGCCATCTGGGAGATCTGGCCAGAAACGTCGGCAAAAGTACACGCGTACACGAACGGGCTGCCTTTGTTGCCGATCCAGACGTATCAAATGTGATGAGACCAGGCCTATCTGCAAGCGATGTGTCATTGCGAAAAAGGAGTGCGTCTATCCCGAAGGCGTCCATGGAAGCGGAAACATTAGTTCTTCGAGAGAAGACAAGAAGGGGAAGGGAAGGAGTAGCGGTGAGGATAGCGAAAGCGAGGCCGATATGAGCAGGTCACGGCCTGGTACACGACCCGGAAGTCCCAGTGGAGCATTCTTCCCGCCTCAGACTGCTCTTGCTTATCCATACGGAGGCTCGAGTCGTGCAGGCGGAAGCAACGCATTTGACGGCTCCGCGCTCAATGTGGCCCCAATATCGGGCGGTCTTGTAGGGAGCTCAATGGGTGGAGGGATGGGTCTCATGGAGATGGGCCTCAACATGAACCTGGGCATGGGGCAGCAGAGCCCTTCGGATGGCTCTGCGCTGAACGTGGGCCGAGAAGGCTTTGCGGCAGATGCTTCCAAACAGGCTTGGGGCGCTGACCAAGGTGGTGCTCCCATGTTGGCCACTCCCGACTGTGGGTATATCCGGCAAGATGCAAGTAATTCTACTGATCAGGTTCAACAGTTCTACTTCCTTGGTTTCCCACCGCAGAGGAGAGGAGTTTGATCCTTCATTATTGTGCGAACGCCGCTTCACTCATGATGGCTATACCCAGCGGCCTCAACCCTTTGCTCGCCATCAATCTCCCTCTTGCTCTCGACTCTCCAAGAGGTATGTGTCTATAGCAAGATCAAATCACAAACAAGGCTGACAAACGAATCAGGGATGAATCCTTCAGCAGATGCCCTTCGTGTCGCCCTACTCGGCATCGGCGCCATCCACCAAGCTTTCCTCCTCGCCAGATCGGGCGTATCCAACTCGCAGACTGCTGCAATGTTCCAATACGCTTCCACTCTTCGAGAGACAGGCAAAGAGATGGTCCGCCGGGCTGCTAGAACGGGTGCTACCGACGCTGCCCTCGGTGCCAGTACTGCTCTTGCCACAATTGACATCTTTTTCGGTGGTGCCAACTGGCAAGACAACTTTACTCTTGCCAAGGAGATGGTCAGCACTCGAGGCGGTCCCTCGCAAATGCTCAAGGACAGTACGCCCACAGCTCTCAGCGAGGGTGTCACCGTCAGCCCTGCTCGACTCATGCTTGAGATTCTCGCCATCTACGAGACTTTTGGCTGCCTGACTTCGGGCGACGAGCCCACCATGATCCCTGAACACGGCCAGAACTGGTGGCTTGAAGCAAACAGATCGATGTACGAGGAACACTCTGTTGAGAAGCAGTTTGGCATGTCTCGTGTCATGGTCTTGCTTTTGAACAGGCTTACTCGATTGATAAACCGAGTGGCCAAAGCGGGTACCATCATCACCGAGCAGGCTCCATCCACCAATGCTGGTTCCAACTCTTTCGTCCCTACCCCTAGTTCGACCCCTGATGAAGTGCTCATCAAGGAGGCTCGTCAGTTGAACAAAGACGTCGATATTTGGATCGAGAGCTTGCAGATGAGTACCCTGGAGCACGAGAGGGTACAGGTCGGCAACAGAGCATATGCGCATGCTATGAAGGTGAGCCGAATATCCCGGTACTGTGCTTTGTGCTGACTTGACTGTAGATCCTTCTCTTGCGCCGTATCTTTAAATACCCCCAAGAAGATGCGCGCGTTCAACGTGCTGCTCAACAAGTGCTCCAGCATTGCTCTTGGTCTACCGCGGCCCTCGGCATGTCCATCGAGTAAGCAGCTTTCTTGATCTCGTCCGTTATTGTGCTGACCTGTTACAAGCCTGACTTGGCCTGCTATCATCGGAGGCTGCTGCGTCGATGGCTCTTCTCGCCAATGGGTCACCACCCTACTCGAAGGGTTCAAGTCACAATGCTGCTTTGACATTGATTCGGCTGCCCGAATCATCAGTGAGGTCTGGAGAAGAGTAGATGCTGGGGAGAGAAGGGCGGATTGGAAGGAGGTCTGCGATGACCTCGGTCTTCACGTCTTGTAAGTCCGGTCACACTGTCATTGAGGTTAGCGTGCTGACATCAAATTTAGGCTTTGTTAATACACCCGACCAGTCTGACTGAAGAGGGTTGTAGCGAATAGAAGATAGTAAAATTTTAGAGAAGGAGCAGGGCGCTCATATACAAATGTTGCAATACCCATTTCCTCATTATGCATAGATGCCATCACCTGCAAGATTCTTTTGATTGATGTAGAAAGACTAGAGAGTTCATGCGCTTGAGATAGTATGCATGTGGAGATCCAACAAAATTCACAACCTATCTTCCAGAATCTTCTTTCTCGTTGCCATGCCTGTAACAAATGATTGTCAGCGAGTGTTGCGGTCTCAGGTCAATGGTCAATCAAATTGGAGGGAAAGGGGGTTTCAGTATTGCAGAATGTGGTCGCCATGATGTCCCGAAGAAAGGGGTACGAGGATTTTGTAATGTATATGGAGTATCATCCGAAGAAGTCACAGATGGGGTGAAGCGATAGGAGGCGGACTTACCATGCTTTATGCTTGCCTTGCCTGGATAGAGGCAGTGGCATGGCACTTCTTAGGCAAAGTACTTGTCCATCACCGTCCTTCGCATCTTCCCCTCAGGCGCTCGCTTGCCCGTCCACTCTTCAAACTGCTTGAAGCCTTGCAAGCACAAGATCTCCACACCGGGAACAGCTTTCCAACCAGCATTCTTCTCCGCCGCCTGCAAGAGAGCAGTCTTGTGGGGCTTGTAGGCCAAGTCGATGGCCACACCACTCTCGCGAGAGAGCACCTCCTGCGGGAAGTGGATACCGGTCGAAGCGGGATCAAGGGTCAAAGAGTCACCAGGGATAGTGGACACAACAACGCTGGGGGCAGTGTGCAAAGCAGCCAAGGAGGTGCTGATAACGATGTTGTAAGATTCGGGGAAAGAAGCTTTCACCTTCTCAGCGTTCCCGGGTGTACGGTTGAACAGGTAAATGGTCCTGAAGCCAAGCTTGTGAACCGCGTAAATGGCGGCTCGACAAGTTCCGCCAGCGCCAATGACGAGCGCCGCAGAGGACGAATCTCTCAGCACGGAAGGCGCCAAGTTTTGGGCAGCTGCTTGACGTATGGCTTGCCAGTCGGTGTTCTCACCATGGAGCTTGCCTTCTCGAGGAATGATGGTGTTGACGGCGCCAATGACCTTGACGTCTTCAGATACAGAGTCAAGATGGGGAATGACGTCCAGTTTCAATGGAATAGTCACACTAGCTCCACCAAAGTCGGGGGATCTGATTACGTCAAGGACGCCCTGGTCAACGGCCTCCGACTGGTGAAGGGTATAGTTGTGCGGCAGGCGAAGCGAAGCGAACCCCGTGTTGTGCAGGATGGGAGAAACAGAGTGGATGATGGGGCTGCCAAAGAGGACAAACTTCTTGGGAGGCAAGAGCCCCACAAGAGAGCGGGCCTCGAATACCTCCCTTGCAGTGAGTTGCCCGGGAGCCGCACGAGAAGGCAGAGCAGCGTGGGTGATGGGGGTGAGGATGGGGTTCAAGACTCTAGAAAGCTGACCAGCCGCGCCCATGTTGATGGCCAACAAAGGCTTGGATCCGGGCTGCGTCCTGACTTCTTCGGCAAAGATGGCGAGCTTGGAGTTGTCCAAAGCCGACTTGGCTGTACCCACGATCTTTGCTACGTCGCCATACTTGATACACAGCAGATATTTTGACTTGACCAATTGTCCATCCCACTCCATCTTTCCTGTCCAGTCATGCCACGAAGCAAGAATGTGAGACTCTCGCTTAGACTCGGTGATGTCCTTCAACACCTTGGTGGGCCAAGAGACCTCGACGTCCACGTACTCGCAAGCACTCCTCAAACCCAGTCGCACCATCTTCTCGTAGGCCTCGGGCTGGTCGGAAGGAGCGAAACCGCCCTGGTCCTTTGATCTGACAGAGTAGACGATCGGCAGTGACGTGGCGCATCGGAGGCTGGCAAGCTGCTTGGCTACGTAAGACGCGGGAGGAAGAGTTGGAGTCGTGGGCGTCTGACCAGAAGGACTCAACAAGTCAACACGGAGCTCGATGGCATCAGCGCCTTCGGTGAGCTCAGCCATGTGAGCAAGGGCAGGAGTGATGTCGGGGAAAGTCAAGGACAGGAAAGAAGTGGGGTTCTCAGCACCAAGTCGGGGACGGTTAGAGTCTCGTCCAGTGATGAACTGGAAGAACCTGTGGCACTCGGCTCGCATAGCCTGATGGTGTTGCTCCTCGGTCTGTCCGCCGACAGCTTCCAGCACGTTGTAAAGTTCGTGACTTGATGACTCAACATACCACGGTTCTCTTCTCTTGAACACGTCGGCGAAGTCCTCGCCCCAGTTAGGCCTGGAGGCAGTGTTGCCGATAGAGTCGAGGTAGGACTGGATGTCTTCCAGCGCTCGTGTAACGTGTACAACGTGCCCGCCCTTGGCGACATGGGCTTGAAGAATCTGTCGAGCAACTTCAGTCTCCACGATGCCACCGCCAAGAGCGATGACATGGTTGCCCTTCTTCTCCTGGATGAACCTGCCCAAGATTTCGGTCTCGAGCTTCCTGAAAGCGTCCCAGCCATTGGCGGAGACAAAGTCTTGCACAGACAGCTTGGACTCCTCGAAGAAGGCGTCGTCGGCGTCGGTGAACTCACCACCGAGAACATCCGCGGCGAGACGACCGAGGTAAGTCTTGCCGGCGCCTCGCATACCAATGAGGAAGATGGGGCGGTCAGACTGGGAGTGGTCGAGAGTCTTGGCAGAGGTGGAGGCGTGGTTGTGGACCTCGAGCTCATGGCCTTCAACAGCAACACCGATCTACCGGACGTCAACGACTGATCGAGCTTGGGATGTATTTCACGGCTCACCTTGTTCTGAAGATCATCCCAGAAGTTGGGCCAGGTCTTTTCGACACATCGCTTCTCCTCAATGATGGTCTTGTCGATGATACAAGCCAAGACAGCGAACGCCATCGCGACTCGGTGATCATCGTAACAGTGGATGGAAGCACCCCGGAGGAGAGACGAATGGGACTTGCCGAGGACGATGATGCCGTCCTCAAACTCGTCAGTCTCGACACCAAACTTGGCTAGCAAGTTGGTCAGCTCGGTCCTCAAGGGATTCAAAGGTGAATGAGGTGCTCACCAAGCTGGTCTCGCATGGCCTTGATACGGTTGCACTCCTTCACTCTCTGGTTGGCAATTCCGTAGATCCTGGAAGCAGTCTCAGGTAGGCCCTCAACCCTTCGCTCGGGCAAACAAGGCTTGTTGGCCACGGCAGCCAAGACAGAAGCAGTCAAGAACGCATCTGTCATCGGCTCCATATCCACATTGCCCAAAGCTCTCAGCTCGCCCACGGGTGGGCCGGTGACCTTGGTGCTGGTAGCAGTTTGTACCACCACGCAGCCCATGGGCTCGAGCACTTCCTTGGCAAATCGGGCGTCTCCTTGAAGGGAGGAGGAACCGATGTTGTCGATAGTGCAGGTGGTACCGGTGATGGCGGCAATGGCCAAGGGGTAGGTGGCACTGGAAGCATCGGACTCGACGCTGTAGTGGGGAGGGTTGACATAGGCCGCCTTGGGGATGACATAAACGTCAAGCAAGTTGCCTTGAGCGTCCTTCTGTCGCTGGACATTGACGCCAAACTGGATCATCATGGCGATAGTCATGTCGATGTACGGCTGGGAGATGACTTGACCGCCGGTGAGCTCAAGAGTCACCTGCTCGGCAGCGTAGGGAGCGCAGAGAAGGATGGACGAAACGTATTGGGAGGATACGGAGGCGGCGAGCTTGATGTGGCCACCTCGGAAGCCGTCAGTGTCAATGTTAAGAGGAAGACATCCGACAGTCTCGAGATACTTGATCTGAGCGCCGTTGGCGGACAGGGCGTCGACGAGAGGGCCGATGGGTCGCTGCTTCATACGCGCGTTACCAGTGATGACGGTGGATTTTTCGCTAGAGGCGGCGCCCGAAACCATGGCGCAGACAGTGGTGAGGAATCGACTGGCGGTACCAGCGTTACCGAGGTAGAGCTCCTTGCCCTTGGCGGGGGCAGAAAGAATGCCACCACCGCCTTCGACGACGATGGTGTCGCCTCCATCTTCCCAGGAGAAGACTGCACCCTATATCATTGTCAGTCGAGTTCTGAAAGACTGTCAAGTGACCCACCTTGAGCTCGACGAGGGCGTTCATCATGACAGCAGTGTCGTCAGAGTGCAAAAGATTTCTAACTCGGCAGGTGCCCGTACCGAGAGCTGCAAGCACCAAAGCTCGGTTGGAGATACTCTTACTTCCGGGGGTGGCCATAGTGATGGGCGACCTGGTGGGGATGCCAGCCTTGACAATGGCAGCCTCACAGAGGACCTTTCGGATGACATCGTCAGCGACGACGGAAGCCTTCTCTTCATAGGTCTTTCCAATGCGAGAAAGAAGAACGATTTTCTTGGCGGCACCAGAGTTCTTCTTGTCGATCTTCATGATGTCGAGGAGACGGTCGACAGAGAGCTGACTGGACGCGGGGAGGGAGGTGATTCGCCTGTCAGATAAGGAGATGGGGAGCCCGTAGGCCTGGAGACACCTGGTCAATCGACCAACAGCAACTTGGCTGAGAACACCAAGCTGCCTAGCCACCTCTGCTTCAAGTATGATACCGACAGAGACACACTCGCCGTGGAGCATAGCGGGAGTCAAGACAGCTTCGATCGCGTGACCAATAGTGTGGCCAAAGTTGACGAGGTTTCGAAGGCCAGTCTCACGTTCGTCGATGGTGACGATGTGGGCCTTGACATAGATGGAGCCAGTCACAACACGGAGCAGAAGAGACTGGGCGTGCGAACGGTCGGCTTCAAAGCGGCCGGCAGTAGCAGGGCCAGTGGGACGGGCAGAAGCAGCCAGAGATATTTCGGCTGACCGAGACTCGAGAAGAGCAAAGTCGTCGTCTTTCCAGATGGCAGCAGTCTGAAACGAATCAGCTCATGTATGTGATGTGGAGATACAATTACTCACCTTGACGACTTCGGCCATACCGTTGGACACCTCACGAGGAGGAAGGGTGGTCAAAAAGGCCAGATCAACAAAGATGTAGCTGGGCTGCCAGAAGGCGCCGACGAGGTTCTTGCCGTGGGGAGTGTCAATGGCGGTCTTGCCACCAACGGAAGAGTCGACCATGGCCAGAAGAGTGGTAGGGATTTGGACGACCTTGACACCTCGCATGCTACAGATGGTCAGCGCGCGCGGTTATAGCGATAGATACGACTTGCAAAGTAGCAGCAACAAAGCCAGTAAGGTCACCAATAACACCGCCACCAAAAGCAAGCACGACGGTGTCCCTGGTACACTTGTTGTCGAGCATCCAGTCTTCAATGTCGCCCTTCACCTTTCGGCTCTTTGCGCCCTCTCCAGGAGCGACCTCATAGACGAGGAACCTGGCGTTGCTGCCGTTCTTGGCGGAAGCATCGGCAAAGGCTTTCTGAATGTCATTGAGGTAGATAGAAGAAAGGTTCGTGTCTGTGACCAGGACGTAAGCGGAGGAGGGGAGGGTGGTGGTGATTGTCTCGAAAATGTAGGGGAAGAGATGGAAACCAGCGTGGATGGACTCGTTTCCAAGGATGGAAATTTTGAGCACGTCGGCGGAGGAAGAGGCCATGGTGAACGTCTCTCTGCCGGCCGTTTTGGAAAAAGTGGTTGTTTTCAGGGTGGTGGAGTGTTATACGATACTTTTTTTGACTGGGATCTCGCGCGGGCCATGACTCGGTTGCGGCGGTGGCCGCCGTCCATGAAAGACAAAGTTGAAGGATGACCGCTCACAAAAGCACAAGCAGAGGCATTGCTGCAGGCATGCATGTAACATATCTGGGGGTAAGCATATCATGGTTCTTGGAGTAGGCTCTACATAAAAGCGAGTCGCCTTGCATCGCAATGATCTTCGTTTGCTCGGTCCATTACTACGGTGATCGTGATGGGGTTGGTTGCACATGCACTGGTGACGGTGACAGCTTTATCAAAGTGTGGTGACAGTTTTTTGTCTGTCTATGGATGAGTGTGCTCCAGTCGCAGTACGGGCACTGCAATCCACCATCCGACTTCATCAACTGATTTGATGACCAACGTTGACCGACTGATCTGTGTGCAGACCTCCTTTGACCGCCAAACCTTCCTCTATTTCATTGTATTTCATGTCATCAACATCCTGATCTTTCTCTCATCCTTCTCTAGGCATCCTCCAGACACCTCCCACAGCCCGACTCTCGGAACGCCTCTCCCGAGCACCTCTCCAACCCTCACACAGACGACGCCAAGCCTGATCGCAACATGCCCACCACGGGATCCTCCAGATCGGCCAGCACTCGGTTTACTCAGACGCCCTCAAATAAGCCCTCCAAGCCTCCACACAAAGATCCCAATCCACCCTCTCAGAAAAAGGCGAGCAACAGAGGCCCATACGCCGAGAAAGCTTGTTATCCGTGTCGGAAAGGGCACCGCAAGGTAAGTCTCACCGGGCCCATAACTAAGCACAAGTACCGACCTTCTCTCCATAGTGCAGGGACATCAGGACCATAACTGGAAAGCCAGTCTGTGGCCTTTGTGCGGATCAAGAGCTGGAATGCACTTGGCCAGACGACGGCCCTCCCACCGGCCATGGAAGGACTTACGACCGCTGGAACAACACCTACACCAGTAGAGATCCCCCCCATCCTAGCTGGGACTATACGAGCTCTGAATATGATGCCGAAGGTGGTGATGGCGACAGCAACTCGAATATCACCGATGAAGATGAGGAGGGCTGGAGTAGTGAGCATGCTAGCGGCGGAAACCAGGGTGTAGATGCCCACGAAACAGTGAGCACATCTGGACTACTCTGGTTGTATCACTTTGACAAGGCCATAGCACCACAATAGCATCGCCCAACAGATTGACAATCAATCCTCGCCTGCTCGCACTCATCACCATTTCCCTCACACTGTTCGCCCTCGGCCTCGCACCCAGCAAACCCCACGCGTCCCCACCACTGGCTTGCAGCTGCCGCTTTTCGGCCAACAGCAACCCCCAGTACCAGCTGCCACTGCTTCCGCTACAGACGACACTTCAGTCTCTGATAGGTACCGTCAACCCTCCAATAGTCACCAAGCTCCCCCTCCTCAACCCAGATATCCTGATCGTCTAGAGCTTTTGGCGACCGCTGCTGCCGCTGTAGAAGGAAACCGCTCGGACTTGGGTAGGAGTCTGAACAATGGAGCTTATGGGAGATTAAGGATCAAGGATGAGGACGAGGGGGATGATGATGAGGAATACGAGTATGAGCGATAAGGAGGACGTGTTTTGCAAGAGGGCTGGGACAGTTGTTAGTCCATCGTCTTATCCTTCGGCATGACTCACATGCATATTCGTCCCTTGATGATGCCTTTGTACACCTCTATCCTTCTATCGTGCGCTTTACTTTGCCGATGATGCCAGAGAAGAGATAAGTTGGGTGGGGGTAGTCGTGAACGCACAGAGATCGGAACACCCAAGTGGGGACAAAGTGTGGTCGGCCATATTTCGAGAGCGTGGGCCCTGAATTTCCGATTAGATAACAAAAACGCTCTTTTTTGTTTTCATGTCATCTCCATTTTCAGAGCCCAAGACTCTTCTTCGCATCCGACCCCTATCGATCCCCTTCAAATCGATCGATTGGACGCTCAAGTGACAAGAAACAGCAAGCAATGAAGGCTGTTCTGCAACGCGTCGTAAACGCGTCCGTCGCCGGCAAGTGCTACAATTCATGTCATTGAACAAGGAGACTGACGCATCAACCTGAATAGTCGATGGCAAGACGATATCCTCTATAGGAAAAGGACTCTTAGTACTGGTTGGCATTGATCGATGTAGGTGCTTTATCTGACTTCATTTCCCGCCAGCAGAACGCTGACACGGGGTAATTGTTTCCAGACGACGAACCTGCAGATGCTACCCTCATTATCAAGAAAATCCTCACCGCCAAGCTATGGGATGATGACAATGGCGGAGGCTGGAAGAAGAATGTGAAGGATATCGATGGAGAGGTACTTTGTGGTACGTTAGGCCTTATCGTCTTTCTCCCTGTCTTTCCGATACTCAATGCTGATGGATGGAATAGTCTCACAGTTTACGCTCCTTGCCAGTTTGAAGAAGGGTGCCAAACCTGATTTCCATGATTCCATGGCAAGTCTCCGGCGCGACAATGTCTTACACGGCACTGACAACGACACAGTCCACCATTCCCAGCAAAGCCTACTACACTTCTTTCCTGGAAGAGATCAAAGCGGCTTACGACCCCTCAAAGATACAAGGTCAGCTAGCCATGGATTTAGTCTGCCCTGTCCCAAACTAATGAGACGGTAGATGGCGAATTTGGTGCTATGATGCAGGTCTCGCTGTGCAACGACGTGGGTTGACCCTCTCTCTGTGCACCCCGCAGAAGTATTGACATACTCGCGTAGGGACCTGTCACCATCTTGCTTTCTTCTCGAGACAAACCCGCCACCAAGAGCGGAACACCCACCCCGGCTACCTCTGGCATCAATACACCCCTGCCAGAAGCCGGCCAGAAGAAGGTAAAGAAGCCAAAAGACAAAGGGACTGGACATCCTAAATTCGCGGCGGGGGCAGACAGGGAGGCGGCGAACCCGCTAGGTACTGCGGTGGACGAGGTGATAGATGAAGGCAGAAGGGAGGCTGGAGCAACAAATTCGGGTGTCAATCAAGAAGAGGCCAACAGGGAATGATCTTGTAGTATGAAGATAGGCCATCTCCTGAGGTATACATACTCTACGCGTAGTACGCCTGTGGAAGTCTCTTTTACTCGTGATGACACCCCGTCCGCCCAACTGCCGATGATGAAATAGGCTGAGGGGCATAGCTGGTGGGCACAACTGGTTTATACAGATCATAATGTATTCCAAATTATACTTGCTGATCGGCACAAAGGCTGTTTACAATTATATAGACAGTAGTGTAAAGAAAGAGAAACAAATAAATTAAGCTTTTCTATCATGACCTTGAATGAACCCCCTTGGCAGACTCCCTTACAGCCTAGCACCTTTACCGCTTTCAGCAATCCTCTTCCTAGTAGCTTCATGCGCCTCCTCGGGGGACGTCGGTTTTCTGAAAAAGACGACGAATTGTATACAAAGCACAGCCGTCCACGCGATCTGAAAGTAGAATGAACGGCGAGCGGCCATGTTCCAGTCTTGCACGCCTTGGCCTTGAAAAGATGCTTGTACGGCGAGAGTGATGGCGGCTGCTATCTGAGCCTGTGGTTTGGCATGTCAGATATGTATCCAAGAAGGGGCGAGTGCAACTCACGACGACTTGAACGAGAGCTCCTGCTACTCCAGCCATCTCGGGTGGACAGTACGTGATGAGATTAATTCTATACTCTTGTCAGCTACGTTAGAGGAGGAAAGGTGGAGGATGTGGCTTACGATGTGCAAAGGTATGTCAAGATTGCACCGGCACTGCCGAGAATGTATGCTGGGAAACAGAACCTCCAGTAGTCTTTACCATGTCCACCATTGGAGAATATCTGAAGTAGCTCGGCAGCAATAATCACTACACCGGTCGACTTCAGCAGATACTCCAAGGAGCAGCGAAGTATAGCTTACGAATACCGCCGAGGGGAAGAGTGAACTTGGGCTTGGTGATGATCTGAGGAATGTATTGAGCTGAGCCACCAATGATGAGACCCGTAATGCCTTGCGGCAGCATCGCCGCTGAGACTTTTACTATAAGAGGCAGGTATGAGCGGGAGAGCAGAAGGAAAAAATGTCAAAACTCACTCGGGGTCCAATGCAAAACTTCCTGAAAGTAGGTCGAGTACATGAGTTGCGATGTTGACCAGAAAGGAACTATCGATCCTGTAAGACGGGCCTGCGGTCATCCGAGGTGCAATGCTTACATGCTATTCCGAGAGCCAGACTCATGATGACAATGTTGGAAATCTTCCAAACAGAGCTCGGAAGCACTGCCGTCTTCTGAGGGATGTGTGACTCTTCGAACCTTATCAGCCCAGGCATGTTCCCACGACGAGCGCCCTCACCCCAAAAGAAGAACGCGATAGCAATCGGAAAGCTGAGGACGAAAGGCGCAATGAACGAAGCCGACCCCCACCCGTCAATTGGGCCTTGGGTAAGCGACAAGATGAAACAGACGAGGGCAGCGGCCAAGAGCCCGACGCCGACAAGGTCGAGTTTCTTCCATGTCGAGATGCCGTCGCTGTGATGCTTGACAGTATGGGTCATGGGCAGCAAGAGGAAACAAATGGCAGTAAAGACCAAGCCTGTTTGCGAGGGTCAGCCTGACGGGACACGGAATGGAAAATAAGGCGTACAAATGATGGCAAGCACTCGGAAGAACCATCTATAGCTGGCTAGCATACAGATACCTGCAAGGACACTGTCGGCCCAAATTAGCATCATCATGAGGGATCATTCAACACACAGGACTCACAGACCAAGCACATTGCCTATAGCCCCAGTCATGGCAAGTAAGGCGAGCTTTGCCTGTTGCTCTTTGTGGTCAGGAAACATGCGGACAGTAAGATGACTGTGAAGACGGGTGAGTATATTCTGACTCAACAACTAAACTAGGACGTACTACGCCGATGGTATGGCTGAATGAAGATCTCGTGAGCATGGTTATCAGAGTGGTGTAAGCAAGCACTTACTCATGCTCCCAGCTATACCCCCGAGACCTCGAAGGATCAGGAAGCCATATCTGGTACAAGATTTGAGTCAGAAGGTGCTGATGGAAGTGCACATGGTCTACTCACTTGTTAGACGTGACAAACGACACCACCAAACTCAAGACGCCGAGTACAAAGAATCCGCCTTCAAACACGATAGAGGCTGGGAAGAGATCACTGATGCGACCAGCAAACAGCAGGAAAGCCCCAAAGCAGATACTATAGCTTGTGATAATCCAGACAACCTGCGATGACCCGAGATGTATGTCGGATGCGATCTGTGCGACAGCTATCGCCGTTCCAGCCACGCTATATGTTGTGTGAGACATGATATCACATGAAGAGAGGGAATATAAAGACTCACTTGCAGACGTCAACAAAAGTGGCGATGGAAAAGGTGAAGAGTAGCACGTTCTTTCGAGCTTGGCTGAGGCTAGCAAGAGGGTCGCCAGAGCCTGCTTCCTTATGAGGTTCAGGTTGCTGCTGCCCATCGCTCCCATTCTCTTGGTTTTTAGTGGGGACCTGGGGCATTCCTGCGGGGGCTGTGTCTTCAGACATTGGTGCGGCTGTCGTTCGGTCTCTGAGGGGGGTAGAGTCTGGGGCAAAGAGAGGCGACGTGATGTGGTGATGGTGGTCGGTGTGGGATAATCCATCCATGCTTGAGAACTCTTCCTCTTAAGTACATCTGCCCTCCAAAAGCTCGGAGGCGATGAGGGTTCCGGTCATTCGCTTGAATAAGAACATCCTCAACGGGAAGAGCAGCAACAGCTCGGGTGCGCCTAGTAGTCATCGAGGCTCGGCAAAGGCTCGGTACCGCCGCGCTGCTCGGGCATCTCAGCAAAAGCGTTTGTTTGGTTCCATAAATCCTTTTTACGTAAACATTTCGCTTCCCACCACTTCTCTTCTTCTTAGCTTAGCATGCATTGCATATGCGCATGTTGCAATTGCATTATTGTTGCAGCCAGCAGTACATAGCACAACTACCATAAGCTTCACTTGAACAAACGCAATTGTCCGCAAGGACGCGTGGTCAATACAAGAGCAATACCAGCAGCCAGACAGCCATTCAACTCCCGCCCCCGACCTGCTAGACCCCCGACAAAGCGGATCTGTTTGCATGCACTGTAATCGTGAACGAGAGTACAACCGACGCTTGCATTGCATCCATAACGGTTCAAAGTTGAAGAACGGACGGGAACGATGCAAAGGTCAAGACAATGGTCATGCAGGCTCTCCCGTCTCCTGTCGACCTGCTGTCCTCGCGTGCAGTTTGCAGCCTACATAAAGTATGATCACACATACTCACATGCAAGCGACATGCATCATCTATCTTCCCAACGGCCCATCGTCGTCGTCTCCAATGTCAAAGATAGCACGACCGCTCGAGCTCATCTCGGCACCCGAATCACTCCCACTCTCATCGTCATCACTGGCTTCAACAGCGACGCCCTGCGCTCGTCCTCGCTGAGACCGTCGCATGCCCTTTACACCGCCAGACTTTGGCTTCCTGGTAGATGCACCAGTGATCAACGGATTAGGCGCTCCAGAACCTGGCTTGGGGGCTGAGAATCTGGTCATGGGCATGCCAGGAGCAGCTGATTCCAGAGGATGGTCGACATAAGCACTACCGGAGGCAGAGGATGATTCGGAGGAATGTAGCTGCTGGGGCTGATCTCGATACTGGTCTCTGGATTCGGGGAGCTCGGGAAGATCAGAGAGAGCGTGCGAGGGAAGAGAATCGGAAGAGAGATTGTTGGTGATGAATGTGTGAGTTGGGGGCTACCGTGAAGGAATTAGCTGGACATGTCAGATCCATATGACTGGTCTTACGCCGTCTTCCGACAATCTGATACCAGGACGCTCGCCGGATATACTGTGTGAAAGTTAGTCCAGATCGTAAGCTTGCTTCATGGATGACTCACTTCAAAGGTATTCCCGGGGCTGAAGGCCGTGTAGACCGTCTCCAGTACATGTAGCCTGCACATGCGAGGATTATAAGGAGTAGGGGAAAGAAGTACGAGGATATTGAAGAAGGCCGAGCCGCCTCCGCATCAGAGTCGGAATCTCGAAGGCGTATCAAGGGCATAGTAGGCAGTCGAAGGTGGGCGAGTTGAAGCTGGTGTTGTGATAAAGGAAGAATACTGGAAAGATGTCAAAGCGGACGCGTATGAGTTAGCACTTAGCACTGCCCAGGCGCGTGGCGCGTGCAGATGCAAGTCCGGTCACAATGGCCCGTCCGGACGCCCCCAAGGGTGATATCTTTGCGAGCGGTCCAGCTATGCGATGCTGAGCGCCCATCCACAACAGTGAAACGAAGACACCACCTGTATACAAAGAAGTGCAAGGCGTCATTGCGTGAAAATATGCACCAGCCTGCATGAGAGAAGCGACTGAGCGAGATCTATCTCAACTCTCGACATCCCGCGCTGTGCCTGGGTAGATTATTGCCGTCAGCAGACGACCCGGTCAACGGTTTTTTGTTGCTCTTCTTTCTCACGTTTCTCTCGTAACCATCTCTCATCGGCTTTCGACGGTTTCAGGCCACGCCTTTGACACTTTCCAGCACCTCGACGCGAAACAAGCGCGCACAGAGCGCGCAGCACCACGTCCTCCGACCTCTTGTCAGGACTCAATCTCTGGACGCGCGAGGCCGCGCGCCGTGGCTCACCCTACCAGTCGCTCCTCTCCCCACTCCTTGTCATTCAGCAAAAATGCTTTTCCAAAGTATAACAAGCATTGCGCTTCTTGCCATAGGCGTGCAAGCGTCAGCTGCCTTTGCCAAAACCACGCCAAAGAAGGAAAAGCCAGTAACGTCGTCACCCATCAACTCTGAATTCATCGGCTGTCTAGATGGAGGATTTAAGCCTGTGGGGGGCAAGTCAATCAAAGACATGGAAGCCAGAAAGTCGTATTATGAGTGCTCTGTAAGTGTATACTTATGCGACGCTTACTGGACGTACTGACACTGCCTTGAGAATGTTTGCCAGAGCAATGGCAACTATCCTTACGCCTACTTTACCAATATGGGCAAGGGCGTCCAGACGTGTGTCTGCTCATCGATGGGTCCCACGCCTTCAGACTACGTAACTCAGTCTTTGGGATCGTTTGGGTGCAAACTGGGTCAGACTCGGGTCAGTGTCCACCAAGGGCCATCGGATGTATTGCTGACCTTCTTCGCTAGGCTGCCATCACCAAGACTGACCACCACTTTATCGTCTGCTCCTCTGGATTCATCGGCGAATTTGAGAATGCCGGCACCTACTACTCTCCCTCGGATTGTCTGGAAGTGTGCGAGGGGCAAGGAGGTGCGCTCGTCATGCCAGTGTCCAACGGCTTCCGATGTCGATGCGGCAATGTCAGCTCGGTCAAGAGCGTCTCGGCATGTGGTGACCCGGGCGTCGAATTTTCATATGTGTACAAGCCCAAGAACAAGAAGCCCAAGGGAAAGGTCGCAACCAGCGCGCAGGGGAAGAAGAAGCTGGGTAAGGGCAAGAAGGTGTATGACAATCCTGTAAGCTTCGATCTATCAGTGTTGCGGATCTCGGGCTGATATAATGGTAGTGCGACGATCCGGACTCAATCTTGGGCTATTGTGGGTTTGGGGACGACGACACTCCGGTCTTCCATAAGCATGGCTCCTTGTAATAGTAGCGGGTGACGTTCTGCTTTCCTTTTTGGTATCTTCAGAGGTTTGGTATGTATGTATTCTTGCATTCTATAGGACTATGTATTGGGCTATGCTACAGTGTTACGACAAATACTAGAACAACGCTACGCTAGATTGTTTTACTATTTCAACATCCAGGATCCTACAAGTTCCAACGCCCTCTTGTCCCCACGGCTGACTACCTCTCCTTCATGCCCACCAATAACATCACCCACCATCTCCCACGGATCCTTCCCCCCACCCCATTTTAGCACTCTATCTGTAAGTACGTCTCCTCCATCCCTGTTCAAGATCCCTCCTGCGTCCGCGTCCCCAAAGATGCCTCTCGGGCTTGGTCCTGTAAAGAGCGTTGACCAGACTTTACCAGCAATGGCTCGGTCAAACAGGTACGAATAGTACATGGCTCCGTAGCCATAGAGATGACCGAATTGCGTCTGCCAGGCCGTACCAGGTACAGGATCTATGACGCCCACATCAGTCTGCAGCTGATGCCAGATGGCGGTAGAGTCGAGAGAGTCTTTGCCATGGTGAAAGGAGTGGTATTTTTGGTCTAGCAGCGCCATACTAATCTGACCGTGCACTTCAAGCGCCGAAAGTGACTGGTTCAGGCGGAGGTGGGACTCGATAAGGTCGATGGGAAGAGCCTCGCCCGTGATATAATGGCGACCAAAGGTGCTCAGGACTTCGGGGGAGGATACGAAATGCTCCATCAGGATGGAAGGCAGCTCGACAAAGTCGGTGGGGCATCGAGTTCCAGAAACATTATGATACTCTGTCCGACCGATCATGGCTGCAGGTGGTCAGCAAAGCGTCATACTGTTGCAGGCCAAACTGACAATGAATAGCGTGCCCCATTTCATGGAACAGCGTCTCCAGCTCGTTCCAATCGAGCAAAGCCGGGCTGCCCTCTGCGACGCTTCCAAAGTCGGTCATTAACACCACTATCGGCAGCTGAAATCGCCCTTCCTTCCCTTGAAGCACTTCACCCCGCGTTTCCAAGCCACCGCCATAGCTCTTATCCCACCCCGGGCTCATCCGGTCGCCGTCAACATCATCGTCATCAACCCGCCGGGAGCAGCGCACAGTATAGTGTGCAACCCCAGTCGGCTTGCCCGGGCGGGAGAAAAAGTCGCAGTAGATATATCCAATCACACCTTCCTTCTCGTCCAAGACATCCAACCGACGGACGGAAGAGTGCCAGGCTTCGCCTTGAGCGATCGATGACGGTCTGAAGGATATGCCATGCAGTTTGGAAAAGATGGTGGACAAACCTGCCATGACAGTGCCGATAGAAAAGTATGGTGCAATGGAAGGGAGCTCGCCAGAGGGTGATAACGACGATGTGTACTTGCGAGAGTAGTATTCTTTATCCCAGGCGTACAACGGAGCCAGGTGTCGCACCCTGGTACTTGATTCCGAGGGGCTGCCGGTCAATGCAGTCCACTTGAGCCCCTGGAGCCTCGCTACATCCGCCTGTGCTGCCAAATGGTTGTGTTGCAAAAGCGACTCGAGAAAGCCCATGACATTGTGTGGTGTCTTGGCCATCTTGTCGGCAAGTACGATATGGGCCCAGCTTTCCTTGCAGAGCACATCAGCCAACTTGGCCCGTTCGGTGAGCATCTCTTCCAGGACTCGCACTCTGTCCTTGTCTTCTCGCATACTGCCCATGTAGACAAGCCGTCTGGCCTCACCATCCCTTGCGTGGCGAGAGATCATTGACGCCTCCCAGCTTCCGGGCACCACTAGTGCGGGGCCTTGCCGGCCGTTTCGAGGGAGTTGGTGGACAAACTCGGCATCCAGATTGTCCCCGAGTAGACTCTCAGGCCTGGGGATCTCTATCGCTGGCGTGGGGCTGGGACCAGAGTGCGCGGAAGACAAAAAGGAGCGTCCAAGAGGTATGAGATTGTCCGAGTGCTTGACAAAGTTTGCGCGAGCGACCGGAGGAAGGTGTATACCTGAGCGCTCAAAGTCGGCAAGGAAAGTGTGGGCTACTTTGAGTTCGAGCGACGATAGAGGTTCAGGATGTGGATGCGTGGTGGCTTTGACCAGCGACTAGAAGAACTTCAGCGAAAAGGTCATCAATGAAAAGACTACTCACCTCCCACAATTCTCGCTTGGCGTTTAGCTCATTCATGAAACCACACAGAACAGTATACGCCTGATCGCTCTCCCTCTTCCATGACTGATCAGGATGCGCATTTCGTACGAGCTCACACATGTCTATGACCCCGCAAATAAGGTCACTTAGCCTGTCCAGGTTTTTTATGACGAGACGCAACTCCTTCCCCGTTGGATCAAACGGCGCTGATACAATGCGATCGACAATCGCTGTGGCATGCACCAGCGTCCTGTTTGTAAGTCGTTTGAGCGAGCAAGGCGACATGAGCGGCTCATGGAGAAACAGACCTCTCCGCGGTCCTGGGTCTGCATAGACGGAGGGACCGGAGATGGAGTAGGGGAGGTCGAATTGTGCCCTTAATAATGCTGCCGCATTGGGATCTGATAAAATAGGCTGTGATGTCGCGTGAGCGAAAGTGACACCAAAAGCGATAGGCGGTTGGTGGGCATCATGACTACTAGCTGCCAGATCCCCTTGGGCTCCCGGGCGCTTGGGAGCACGGGACGTTTGCAGTCCCCGACTGCGCGACGAGAGGACCGGAGATGCGCGCCGCCTGATTTCGCTATTCAAGGCGGAAAGCCGAGGGAGTCGAGATAGCGTTCTGTGGGAAAGTCGAGGGGTGGGGGTGGTTACCGAATAGCTCGCAAGCCTCGTCGAAATCATAGAAATGGTACAGGTTATCCCAGGAAAAAGTGAATAGTGATACAGAGTCAAGATCTGATTATGATGGAAGTCGTGTGCGCGCCGGCACAGATGAGATTGTAGAGATGTGCTGTTGCTCCGGCCGATATATGCAGCCTGGACACAGTGGATAAGAGCAATGGCGACAAGAAGGTATGGGACAGAAGAATGGGCAGGGGGGGGTGCGAGGAGAAAGGAAGATGGAAGAGATGAGCAGATTAGATGGGAATTAGACTGAGATCGGCTACATACCCGCGACCACCGGGAGTGGAGGTGGCCCACTTGTTCCCACAACCACATTTCGGAAACAGAATTATGCCGGTAACAAGAACGCCACAGGGCTACAGTACCCGCACTACTACATTCTCGCAGAGAGGGGTGTATACACTGGCGCACTCCAGCCCAGCCACTTTCCGAGTTCCTCTCGTAGCATTTCTCCGTAATCTCTCCGATACATGTGATCTGCCTCATCAATCTCCACCTTCTCCCAGGTCCCTATATCACTCGCTCCCTCTTTCTTCTTTATCACAGCAGGCAAGTCCTCGCCGAAAGTTTGAAAGACTTTCGCCGAGGTGAATTCATCCTTTGTGCCATAGATGAGCTTCACATGCACGCCTTCGGCCAGGAGATCTCCCAGGGACCCTCGGAAGGACCTATTGGAAAAGTAGGTGATACCACCGAATATCGTGCAGGGAGGGGATACTAGTAGAAGGCGACGAAGGAGCGTGTGAGGAGGAGCTAGCGTGACGAGGAGAGAACCCCAAGAGTAACCCTAGACAAGGAAGGTCAAGACGCTGCAGACCTGATCGAGTTACTTACGAATCTGAATATGTCCTTGATATCTCCAAGCAGATCCGCAGTAGCGCTTTCGACTTGGGCCATATCCGCTGGGTCGCTGCCTACTCCGAGCCATGGTTGCGACCCCTGAGAACATCCTATTCCTCGAACGTTGTACGTCAAAACGGCCGTCTTTGGGGGTTCACCATTCGATGATGCTGCAAGCCCTGGATCTTTCATTTCTGATGGACTAAATACGGCCGATACGAGATGTTGTAGGTTTCTGTGCTGGCCATGAGCTCTGGAGACTGGCCGATCGATAGAGACTCACGGATCGAGCATGTTACCGCCCATCCTCCCCCAGGGATGTGCAGCCACCACTAGCCTCTCCACCCCAAGACCTCTTATGCTTCCCACTGTCTCAATACTGAGTTCATCTAGGCGCACTGGATTGCTAGTGAAAGAGGAGAGCTTGTCGGTGAGTGTCAGGGGCGGCTGAGTGCGGTTGGCTGTGAGCGGGAGGTATAGCCGGGCTTCGAGCGATATTGAAGCGTCTGAAGAGGGGAGAAAGAGGTGGATGTGGGGGTGTACTGGCATAGTGAGGTGGTGCTGGTCGTAGTCTTAGGTTGTACATGCATGCAGCGTTACTCATTCACCAAAACGGCCAAAAAACGGCCACCCGAAAGACTATACGTAATGTATTTTGCTCCCGCTCAGACAGCTCAGCCAGACAAGCGCGAGCTACGTTTCCAGTTGGTTTCCAGCTATCCCTTCATCTTCTTGCATATTCAAGCCGCCAGCCTCACCCAGCATGGCTCCTCAGACCAAAGCTTCCCCTGCCCCTGCCCCAAAAAGCAAAGGTTTCACTCCAAAACCCCCTCGTCCAGTCGAAGAAAGACTGCCTCGGCTCTATCGCTCTCTTTCCGATCAAGTCGATGAAGGGTACTTTGAGAATGCTGTCAAGACTTGCAAAAAGAGTGGGTTTTAAATGTATGGCATGATTTTTCACAAATCTAACCTTGAATTACAGTCTTGAACCTCGATGCGGCCAGCGAGACTGCCTTCCAGACGCTCCTTTTCCTCTACCTCCAGATCGACGAATACCCTGCCGCCTTGAAGCTCATCGAGGACTCCAAGAAAACTCATCCATTTGAGCGAGCATACTGCCTATACAGGCTGCACCGCGAGAGCGAGGCTTTGGCAGCGTTGGAGGGCCTTGAGGAGGAAGGCAAGAAGGTGGAACACCTCCGAGCTCAGATTGTATGTGGGCCATAGTCGAGTGATCGACGGGTGCTGATACGCCGAATAGTACTATCGCATGGGAGAGTGGGAGAAGACCCAGGAGATCTACGAGAGCCTCCTCGACGAGGTCGACGCTGTGAGCATCATCGATGCCTTGCAAACATCTTCTGACTCTAGATAGCACTCTCCGGAACACCCCGACATACTCGCCAACATCGCTGCCACTTCCAAACGCCACGAATTTGACTCTCGCGACTACCGATCTCACCTCGCCAACGTCGGCTCCTCTTCCCAAGTCCAAGTGCCCGCCGCCGAGATCGAGTCCTACGTCCCTTCCTTGCCTACTGGCTGGGCAACGGCCGGTGGTCTGGCGGCGACGGTGGAGAAAAAGACGGCTGCCGTGAAGGCACCCGGTGAAAAGCTTGAAAGAAGCAAGCCCAAGCACAAGCTGCCCAAGGGAGCCGTTGCAGGCAAGCCAGTGGCCGAAGATGTAAGTGTCCTGAATTGATGGATCGGGGTAGTGCTGATGCGGTCGGTCCTCTCTGTAACGGTGTCTCGTTCTAACTGTTTCCCCATCGAACATTCTGCGCCCTCAGCCCGAACGTTGGATCCCCTTGCGACAGCGACTGTCCTACATCAACGCGCAAAGCAAGAAGAAGGGGGCCAAGGAGAGTATGGGGACGGGCTTTACGCAGGGCAGCACGGCGCAGAGCTCTGGAGGTGGAGGCGGAACAAAAAACAAGAAGGGAAAGAAGAAGTAGACGATGGTCGGCATGGGCGATTGCGATGTCTCGCCAGCGACTGATCCGCCTCCGTGAGCTAGTAACGCGTGCCTCATATACATGCATCAACCCTCCTCTTACCTCCTTTCCCATACGCCCGAAGTTGAGCATAGCCGCTGATTGCGGGCAGAATTCGTAATGTTTTTGTAATTGACCCCATGGAACAGGTGGGCCCATTAGAATACCGTGTGGCGTGGTTGCTGATGGGTGGTAACCGTTGAAGGCGACTGATTTCTTGCTCGGACCCCATTACCTCCCCAAACACGCCAAACAGCAACCATCCCCGCCGTAATTGCCCCCAAGCATACGCCAGACATCCCTAGATACCCCTGCTGCCGGCCTGCTCCGTTCTGCGCCTCCCTGGCCGCGTGCCATGGACGGGGTGCTATGGACGGGATGCCACGTCGCAGAATTCCACCCAAAGGACCCTCTGACGCTCCTCGCTCATGTCCGTTCAGCACGGCCCCTCCCATTCCACCAGGTATATAAACCTCGCCCCCCTCACATCCCATTTCCCTTCCCCGTCTCTCTCTCGTTTTCGTCTCTTCTCCCCTGCCGCTGCCACTGTCCTTCTCTCACCCCTCTAACCTCGCCCCGCGCCTTACAAAGGCTGTTCTCGCCCGTACTCTTCACCTTCAGTCGGCGAGTCCTATATAAAATACCACCCAACCCCATATCACCCCCTATAATGGCTTCTCCCGCCACCTCAACGGCTCCTCTTCCGAGGCAGCCCGGCCCTCACGCCATCCCCATCATGGATCCGGCTGATGCTCCCCAAACGTAAGCTTTTGTGCAGCCCTCCTGGACTACCTGTACCACTTTGGCTCTTCGCCGTGCTGATGACTCAACTTACAGGTCTTCGCCTACCAAAAGGGCTTACCAGGCCATGGAAACACCTACCACCGTAAGCCACTTCTTTCTCGCCACTCTTCCGACACTCATACCAGTGTCAGGGTCCCTCTTACCCTCCCATCTCAGAGACCACCTCCAAGGCCTTCTCACCCGACATCTCTAAGCTCAAAATCGAGATGACCGAGGATGACGGACCTTCCCCCTTCTGGGGTATGGTAAGCAACTACATGTCATACCTGACCCCTTTTACTAACTTTTTAACCAGGGGGGGGCATCGTTGGGCACACTGAACAAGAGGCAGGACGGTGAGCATATCACCCCAGGCTCGAGGCGGTATGCTGATCTTTCCAGCAGGATGGGCATATCAAACTCCCCGCCGCTTCAGCATTCCCCGCTCTTCTTCCCCCTCTCCAGGGCTGACCACCACCCCTTACACCCCTCAGACCCGGTACAGTGCCCGCTCTGCTGGCATCGGCACTCCAGTCACCCCCTACACTCCCGACTACCCAACCTTAGACTATCGCCGTCACTCTGAAACCAGCGACGCCATGCACCGCGCTACACAGAAGCCGTTCAACAAGCCTGTGGAGGAAGAGTACACAGCTCAGACCCTTGGAAGGTATCTACTTGTGAGTCATCTCGTTATACATTTGAAAAGTATTTGACTAGTCTGCAGATTACCAACGTGCCCATGAACGTTCGCAATGATGACTTTCGGGATATGATCCAGGTATGGCATTTCGTCAGCTGTTGAGCGGGGCGCTGACCTTCGTCCAGAATATTGCCGAATTCAAAGCTCTCATTGTGAAACACCTTCAGACCAAGGGCTGTGTAGGTCATACTTGTTCTCTCCCTCGCAGCTAGCTGACCTCTTCCCTACCAGGTCATTGTCGCTTTCCACGACCCCCGAGAGAACCTCAAGGTCTATCAGCGCCTCCAGGCCGGCCCCATCAACATCGGATCGGCTTATCCTTCTCTCAATCTTTCGTGTATGCCGGTCACCAAAGACCTCGTCGAGTCTGTGAGTACAGCGACTTTACATAACCCAGCGCTAACAGAGTCTAGGTTACCGGCCATGGTCCGGCTTGGGAAGAGGTCTGGAAGACATCTGAGGCTGTCGTCAGGATTGATATCGACGGAGGCAACCCTGTGAATCCCGATGCTATGCACGTGAGTGATGTCCTTGGCCGCCATACTTCCACTGACCCCTTCCTCCCAGAGAGTGGTGGGTGCCATCGCGCCTTACCAGAGTATCGAGCCTATTGGCTACGACTGTCGCGTAAGTGTAATTCATGACCTTTGCCACTAGCTGACGTTCATCCAGTCTTATGTTGTCGACTTTTTCGACACTCGTGATGCCGCTACTTGTATCCGCACTCTCGATGGTCACGTATCTGGGCAGGCCTACGTTAGCGCCGACTACTACGACCCTACCCCTCGGTATGCGCCAACCCGCCCCACACTCGGCAGTCGAGCTTTCTCTCTCGGGTCTGCAGCCTTCATCCCCGGATCGCTTGGCTTACCCAAGACAGACTCCTACTCGGACGTCTTCAGTCTCGGTCATTCTGCCGAAAGTACTGGTGTGCACACCCCTTCCAGCGCCACCTTCAACCGACTCCGGTCGGATGACGATATCTTTACTTCTCGTTCAGCCTCATTGAGTCCCACTAAGAGGGAAGTGTCTGCTTCGGGCCCTGCCTACAACGCTGCCTCTCCATGGGCCAGGCGAGGGTCTACCCCAGCTGTATTCTCGGGTGCCGACACCCCTCCCCGTATGCTGTCTCTCTCCAGGCGACTCTCTGAGGCCGGCACGGTGCAAGGTCTCGTCAACAAGGCCGACATCACTGCCCGAGCTCGGCAGAGGCAGGGGCTCGGTGGCCATTGGGATGCGAATGACCGAAAGAGTATTCCCGAGCAGAACAGGGTCTTCCCTGAACGAATCGTGGCTGGTGAGTCTATACACAGGATTGAGAGTGCGGCTGACCAGAAGATAGGCTTGGACCACCGAACGACCGTCATGATTAAGGATGTCCCCGTAAGTCTGTTTCTAGATCCACAAGTAGTATTCGCTGATTCGGTTCTAGAACAAGTTGTCTCGTCAAGAGCTCGTTGAAATTCTCGACGAGGTTGTTCCCAGCGAGTTTGATTTTGTCTACCTGCGCTTCGACTTCAAGAACTGCTGCAACGTGAGTCCCGGCCCTCAGGAAATGACCCGAGCTCATCACGGGCACCAGGTTGGGTACGCCTTTGTCAACTTTTGCTCCGTCTCTGCCCTCGTGCGCTTCATTCAGGCTCGAGTGGGTAAGAAATGGAACATGTTCTCTAGCGAGAAGGTATTGCAAGTATCTTATGCCGATATACAGTGAGCTCGCGTCTTTCACATGGTCCACTATGGCTGATGCGGCTTTTGCAGGGGCAAAGCAGCTTTGATCAACAAGTTCAAGTATGTCTCCTAGATGTGGGATAACTCTGACTCTGCTGATCATCTTCGCAGAAACTCGGCAGTCATGTCTGTTGTGGAATCGTGGCGGCCTCAGATCTTCTACTCGAGCGGTTCCATGAAGGGACAGCCCGAGCCTTTCCCAGTCTCCGACAATCTCTCCTTGCGGGAAAGATCTGGTGCAGGCTTTGCTGGTGAGAATTTCAAAATGTCATGGCCGGACACAGCTAACAAAATCATCCAAGCCCGTCACCCAGCCACCTTCTCTGAGAGTCACGAGCGCCCTTACGAATACGCCCAGACGTGCTTTGACCACGGCTTTTGAATCGAACCATCGACACGTTACCATTTGGGTCGCTCACTCTTGAGCCTTGTACTCTTTGTGCAAGCCCCACGATCTTTTAGGCTTTGATTATTCTTTTTCTCTTCAACTTTGCCTGTTTCAACGCTTCCTGTTCGCGACTAAAAGTCCTGTTCGCGACTAAAAGTCCACAGTGACGCCTCTTCATTCCAGCAGGTCTGTTTCTCACTTTACATTCCATCATAGCATTCATCATCCACAACAACACAGCATCTCATTTTGCGCTTCATTACATCCCAATTCTACCCGATACACGCAGGTTGTACTCTACCACCTTTTTCTCCAGCGCGCCCTTGCATTCCACATTCTTTGAACCCAATTGTATACACTTCTTTGTATGACCCCAGCCCCAAGTGGCTACGTACAAGTATTCATGAATGCATGCATCTACCATGCACATCTAGAGAAGATCTTGGAGATGCTACATTGAGATGATGTAAGCCACGAGAAGTGAAAACACCGTCAACTGTTTGAACAACGCACAGACCATCTCCCAACCACTCACCTTTTGCCACTCCGCCCTTGAGTCCTCCTTCATCTTCCACTCCACAACGCACAGCCCCTAGCGCCATGCCCAAAGCCCCCTCGTCCAAAGCACAAGCGAAGCCAGCTCTGACCCAGCGCAAGCTTCCATCCAAAGCCACAAAGAAGGGATCCGGTGATGCTTCACCCCCCGCCTCCACCCCTTCGTCGCCTTCTTCCTCTGGAGATCCCACTTCTTTCTCCCTCGACCTAGACAAGGAGCTGGTGGTGAAGATCATCCTTGCAAAGCTCGAGGCGAACACGACTTGCGATTGGTACCAGATGAGCCAGAGGCTGAAGGCGGAAGGAGAAGTGGGACTCGATCAAGAGGATCTCGGAAATGGAGTCACTGGGAAGCAAAAGGGGAAAGGGCGAGGGAGGGGAAAAGGAAAACAGAAGGGAAAAAGGGAGCTGTCGGGGACAGACTTGCACGATCTCTATCACAACGTTAGTTCAGTGGGACGGATGGGTAGGTTTCGGGATTGTGGGGCTGACAAATAATGCAGAAGATACTTCCTGCTCTCAAGAATGGTCGAGCACTCTGGGTTGAGGATGGAGAGGGATGTGATCGCCGGGCTTCAACTTCTTCAACCTCGGACTCTTCCACGGCAGGAGCGAGTAAGGCTATCTCGGGATTGGGTCTCAGGGTCAACACCAAGAACAAAACCAAGCCCAAAACAAAGCAGAGATTGAGTCGGGGGGATGAAGAGGATGAGCTGGACTCGAGCGATGACGATTGAGGGAGGGATGGTCAGGCGTCTGAGAACGAGGTGAGCCGACGGCGGGAAAGAGTACTGGAGAAAAGAGCTGACATACGTCTACTAGGTCTGGGATCTGGGCGAGTCATTTAAATTGTTTCAATCAATCATATATGCATGTGATCATATCTCCTCATCATCATCCGTGAAGAGGTCCTCCTCAGGAAAGTCGCCGACAGTGACCTTGGCCGGACGAACAAAGAGGGCGTATTTTGGTGGACAGGTGAAATACCTCTTCCCTTCGACTCTGCACCAGTGTGAGCAGATTGACCATGTGGAAGACAGTTTGACTTACTCGCCATCCCCTTTCCCGAAAGGCTCGTCCAACTGAACGCCAACCCATACACCGCCCTTGCCAAACTCTGTCTCGCCCACAAACTTGACCGTGCCCCGTTTTCCGAGTCCATCTTCCCCATGTGACACTTCGCATCTTGCCCCAGGTACAATACTCTGGTCGGCGCTGAAAGGTGGAGGCGGAGGACAGGTAAGATTGTGGGGAACATCAGCGAAGCGTCCAAGCTTGTTCGCTTTGATATGGGCAAGGACGGTGTCGGGCCGAGCGGCGTACTCTTCTGGAGTAAGCTCAAAGCGATCCAGGTTGGAATCGTCGGTGAACTCCCCAGGAAGATAGGTGGGGTCGGTGTTATCTACCTGTGTAGATTGGTCAGCCTTGATGGAAAAGAATGAGGGAGGACTCGCCTTGATGCAGTTCCATTCTTGCAGACCATAACTGGCAAGAGTCCGGTTGTCATTGTCAAGAACAGCGAGAGGAGCTCCTGACGTCTGTTCAGCCGACCTGTAGATCTTGAGTATTTGGTAGTGAGGCGATATGCCAGTGATTGGGGTGAGTTTGTCCTGCGAGACTGTGAGCGTCGCGTCCATATGACAAGACACGGGCGCACCTTGAGCTGCTGGATGGTGAGGTCGCTGTCGAGCTTCCTTTCCGAATGGGTATCTGGAGAGGTGACAAAAACGCTGATGAAGGTCATCGTGGGGGTATTGAAGTGTTACCAAGAGTTGCAAGAGTAGACACCTCGAAGCAGCCTCGAAGATTGCTCGAAGAGCCCGGCGCGAGAACATTGCGGACCCGGCCGCCGATCACTGTATGTGAAGTGAAGTCAATAATGCATGAAGATACTCTACTGTACAAGATTGTTATTAATCCCTTCTTGATAGACTCTCCCGAGAACCTTAGAAAAAAGGCCACATCAAGAAGACGCCTTCGCACCATGCCAACAAACATACAGCCTCGCGCAGCGTTGAGTGGCCGGAGAAAGCAAGTATCGTTCAATGAGTCTTTGAAGTCATATTGGATTGTTTTCCGATTCATGACCAGTTTCCATCCCATCCCAGCCCATTCAAATATGATATACGCCCGTGTCAAACATATCAAACGACGTGATGGTTGAAACACTGACCGACAGGGGCAGTGAGGTGTGAGAGCACAGCGCTCGGGACACCCATGTTACTGGTGTAACGCACCAACTGTGTCTTCATGACATCGACCGTGTGTCATCGCCTGATCACCCAACAAAACCAGTGCAGGCATGTGAGACAAGCTGTGCGAGGCTGCCGATGAGATCAGTCCCAATTGCACATGATTATCGATGCCATCCATGCTACATTCCAGGATAAGTTGCATGAAGATGCTGCATCTTTATGTTTGATGCCATAGGCCAGAGCAAGCACATTCAGAACCACATATACCTGTCTTTCAACGCCCTGATACCTGTCGCCTCCCACTCATCTCTCCTAATCCACATGTCTTGCAGACTCTCAATATGACACATCACACTCCCTCCCTTCCAGCTCACAAACTTGGGATTCAACCCTCTTGGCGGAGGGACGATCGTCACTTCGCCGGGTCCACCTTTTTGCCGGAGGAGGGACGGGAGGCGCTCGGCGATGAAGGCGGAAAGACCTTTGAGGTTGGAGGAGCCGCCGATGAGCAGGATAGATTGGGAGAGAGATTTCATCTTGTTTTCTGTACCCGCCATACCGATGGAAGCCGCAATAGCGGCATCGAGCGGGGATTGGGCAGAGAACTCGAACACTTTTCTTGCACTGAGGGTAGGCAGGGGTGCCAAGCTCGCCATGGTTGGGATAGAGCCAAGGACTGGGGTGGGGGTGGAAGAAGTGCCAGGTTTGACGTCTGGTGCTGGGGTACCGGATGTGGAAGACCTTTCAGGGCTGGGGTTCTCGGTGATGGGAGGAGGCGCTGGTGTGGATGATACAGAGATGGACTCTGTGGCAGGTGTGGGAATGGGCACGGGAGCCGGAAGGAGATGAGAAGTGCAGGCTCTCATGGTACCGGTCTGTAATGATCATTAGGATCTTGCTTCCAGGCAGACATTTGTGAGGACTCACGGGTTCCTCGTAGTTTGACGAGATCTCATCAGACACCTTGTCATCCGAGGTATTCCAAAAGCGCATTGACCCTTGCCCCTTCTTCTCTTCAAAGTCGATCTGCACACGTTCAGCTGAGCCTTCATACGTGTGGGGGCAACGTACCAATCTTGTGTCAAAGAAAACCAAAGGCGCCAAGATGTTTTCATCAAATGTCCTCAGCGCCCATTTTTGCGTCAGCCCCTCAGTCCTGGGGACGAAAAAGTCCCAAGGCGTGTTGGCTACAAGATGCTCTTCCAGAGTACAGATCTTCATTTTGAGATTGTCCATCATCAAAAAGTCTTGTGCCCGAGCGAGGTCGAGGTCGCGATATGGAAAGCTGCACTGCTCCAGCAGGTGTGCTAGTGAGGACGTAATGTCGTCTCCGCCATAGTGCAGTTTGATTCTGTGACATGGTGAGCATGGCACAGACAAGCACTGTAATTAGACTAACCTCGTTTCGGGCTGGAGGACCGCTTCATCCACACAAGTCACACTCGTTTGTTGAGCTCCGATGTCGACCACACAGGCACTGCTCATCCCAGCGCCAAAGATTGCACAATATGCTTCCTGCTGCACGGCAATGGCCTTGAAACCCAAGACTTTGAGTATGAGATGCGTCATCTCTTGGACGTAAATCCTGTCACCGTGGTCGGGGACGATGAACAGGACGCTGTATTCCGGATATTTTGATGGCGGTATTTCAAGCTCAGTGAGGAGAGCAGTGGTGAGGATGGAAGAGATGTCGTCTAGCAAGGATTGCGAGGAAGACCAATCGCGACGATTCAGCGTCCGGTGTAGTATAGGGAAACGAGTCGTGTATCCGGCGTTCTCTGGTAACCTCAGAGCCTGTATATAATCAGAAACACTCGAGAAATCCAAAAGGACTCACATCGTTTCCAATGAAGAAAGGCTTGCCTTCGGGCTCGGTCCAGTCAACTCGGTACGGATCATTATGCTCTGGCAGCAGCTCGGGCTTGGTCTTTGCGTTGGCAGCCTTGACTCGTGTGGTATCTCTCCAATCTGTCGTGAGACGCTCCTGTACAAGTCGGTTGCGCAGATAATCTCGGAGGTACCCTATAGGCTCGATCACCTTTCGACGGTCAGCATGGATCAAATTGACGCCTCAAGACATACAGGATCTACGGGAGCCTCCTCCCCGCCATTCATGGATACATCTTGCGATTGGACCTCCTCCCTCTTGCGCTTCTTATTGCCCTCACTCCTGGTCTTCTTCACTCTACTCCCCAAAGCAGGTACCGGGTTGGCACCGCTTGCGTTTACTGCAGTTGTTGGCCGGGCTATACAATTCGGAACTTCACGAGGATAGTAACTTGAGGCTAGTCCTATTCGAAGGTTTCGAGAGCCGGGATGAATAATCAGGATATGGGACAGAGGGTTCTGCGTGGATATCAGCAGCTGCTCATCGCACGGACACGAGGTATTGACCTGTTGGGCAATCCCTGCCTCTTCCCTCTGAGCCTTTTCCTCTTCCTGCTCCCTCTTTGCCCTCTCGACGCTAATTTGTCTGGCTACATCAACGTTTCTCTCCTTCTGGAGATAGTCCCCGGCAGGGATCTTGACATTGTATGTTCCAGGGACGAATGATGTGGTATAGGCCAGCAGGCCATCAATCTTCTTTTGCTGCGCAAGTCAGTAGTGTACATATACGGCTTGATAGTAGACATACTTTGGGTTTCTTTTGGTACCTCTTTGGGGCAGGTGCTGAGGTGGACGCTGCTGGGGCAGGGGCAATGGGCAGGGGCGTGGGTGCTGTTGTGGGAGGGGCGGGCGACGGGGCGAGTGGCGCTGGAGAGGGTGTCGCTGGGGGCACTCCCGGTGGTGCTGCACTGTCCATGGCCGCTCTGCACAACAAGTGAATGCAATGGTATTGTCAACAACAAGTACAGAGTATAGCCTGTCCCATTTACGTAAGCCACCGAGATGCTCTGTTTGTGCCCTCTGGATCTCACCTCATCTTTGCCTCATCTCGCTCTCTTTCGTCTCCCAGCCCCCAGCCATGTCCTTTCTCAGGAGGGCATCTCTCGCCCGCAAAAAACAGGACGACGAAGCCTCCCCCAGCCCCCAACGAGCACCCAGCATCTCGGGCGACAGCTCTCCCCAAGCTCACAACAGCAGCGAGGCAAGCAGCATCCCGGATGACTCGTCTATAACTCCCAGCAAGAACAACCATGGCAGCAAGCGCAAATCCATGTTTGGGTGGGATTACCCGTCTCTGGGATGCAGCCTGCCGTAAGCTGACGGCCACTATAGAGGCAAAGGCCGAAAGAGGCTCTCTTCTTTGTTCGCATCATCATCGACTTTGTCGTCTTACGCGAACGATCGCGAAGGAACCTCCTCTCCTCAGCCTAAATCCAGACTCAACAATTCGACCACTTCCTCCTCCTCGACTTCTGTCCGCTCGAATGTTACCGGATCTGTCCGTTCGACAACAGCCGGCGCCCCCGCTGAAGGTGGGATTGAATTTCCCCAAAGGGGCTTGAGCAACTTGAGGATCGGGACAGTCACTGGCGAAGTGACCGAGTCGCCTGAAGCCTCGCCGACAGTCGAGTCGGGTTCCGCGATCGGTGCCCGAGACGCGGCTACAAAGCGTACGAGGCGAGATAGCATGTGGTCGCAATGGGAACTTGAAGGCGTAGGCGAGGATGGTTCGTCTAGCGACGAGGATGACGGATTCCTCACTCCTTCAGAGGGCCTGAGCGAAGTTGAAGAGGAGGACGAGGACGAAGTGGAACCAGACGCCTTGATCCAATCTGCCCACCCCGCTGCTATCGCGGCGGCAACGACTATCGTCCCAACAGCGCCTCCCTCCGACTTTAAGGTTGAACCTACTAATGTCGATAAGGGCGCTGTGGTGACCGACACCAAAGACGTTAGCGGTACAGGCGCGTCTACCATTCACAGGAGTCTCCCTACTATGACAGAGACCCGGGTCAGACGACATGTGTCTCACAGACCTGATGCCTCCACGGTGGACCAATCGGCCGTGCTAGCAGAGGACATTGAGACTTGTAGGGGAGCTATAAAGCTGTTCTTGACTAGTCATATGAAGGAAGCAGAAGACTTTTGTCAGGAGAAAGCGGGAGAAGGTCATCATTTGTACCTTCAGAGTGCCATGGGGATCATTGAAGCGTTAAAGGTGAGTCTGAATCCATATCATGAGATCATTGCTAATGCCAGTATCAGGGGATGATGACTTTTGACTCTGTCGACCTCCACAACGCTCTCGACATTTGCAAATCCACATCCATCACCGCTTCTACCCTTCGTCGTGCCAACGACAGCGTGATGCACCGTCTGGGCGGTCTCGTGAAATCTGGCGGAGGTCTTGCTCGTATCAAAGCCATGACTCCATTGGAAAGACATGCTGAGCTTGTATATGCTGAGCAATCATTGTTGAAGGCCATGTTGGCTATCGTGGCCGGAGGTGATTGGATCGGTCTAGTGCGAGAAGCGTGAGTGATACCGTTTGCAATCTGCAAATCGACTGACATCATACAGTTTGAACATGCGTACAGCGCATGGAATCTATAGGAGTCTTCAGCAGTACTTGGAAGATGCAGACAAGCATGGATATGACGACGATATTGATATGGACTTCCGCTCGGTACGTCTGGTCCATCCCTCTCTTACTCGACTGACGCGTCTACAGGGTGTCCTCCTCGGTACCGGTACCTCGTCGCTCATGCTTTCACTTCTCCCCGGCAAAGTCCTCAAAATTGCGGAAGTCTTTGGTTACGCCGGTGACCGTACCGTCGCCCTCAATACATTGATGGCTGTCGGCGGGTGGACTTCTGGCGTCGCCGAGCCGAGTCTTGATGAGACGAATGAGGGATTGAGGCGACCTATTTGTGATATGATTCTCCTCGCCTATCATCTCGTCATCTCTGTGTTGATGTGAGTCAAAGACATCACAATGTGATGTTCGCTGACATATTATAGACCCATTTCGGGGATCGATGTGCCATTGGCAAGGAATGTGCTGGCTTACAACATGAAGCGATACCCTGACGGTGTATTCTTCCTCTATTTCCAAGCTCGATTACACACCACGCAATGCCAGCCTGCCGAGGCCAACCAGTCTTTGCAGAAAGCTTTGGATCTTCAGCTGGAGTATGTTCAGCTGCAACATATGTGTCTGGTGAGTTCCAGGGTTTTCATGAGAGAAATCGATGCTTAAACCCTACTAGTGGGATTACGCTTGTAACCACATGATGATGGGCAACTTTAAGGGCGCTCTTGATTGTTTCTCCATCTTGAAGGACGAGTCGAATTGGAGTCGGGCGGTCTACACCTAGTATGTGGACTCTCCCGGTCTGAAGCGTCCAGCTGATGATCGTGTCTTAGCGCTGCTGCGGCCTGTATCGTCGAGATGATCGAGGACGGCCACAAGGAGGCTAGTCTTGAGGAGGCCGACAAGTTGATGAGGCAAATTTCCAAGTTGACAAAGAAGATTGCCGGAAAGTCTTTACCCATCGAGGTGAGTGTTGCAACCTTACACCGACTTAGACTCGTCTGATTATCGCTACAGAAATTCAGTTCACGTAAAGCCCGCAAATTCGAGTCCCAAGGCGGCCGCCTCTTCCTCCCCGCTCTCGAACTCGCCTACGTCTTTGGCTCTCTCGGCAACACCCCCCGCCGCAGCCATCTCGATGTGCACATTCCTCGTCTCAACGCCATGCTCAGCAAGCTCGAAGTCGGCGAGGACGAGTACGGGAGCAAGAACGGGAAAGAATACTGGGACGATTATGTCCTGGGCCATTTCCTGCGTGGAATGTGCCATTTCATCGCTAGATGGCAACCGAAAGATGCGGTGATCCCAGAGAAGAATGTGAGACCTGAAGACCCCTCGGACGAGGAGCTTGACCAGGCGGCCGAGAAGGACTTTAAGGCGGTCATCAGGCATGGACCAGACGTACAGCTTGATCACTGGATCTTGTTCCATTGTTACTACGAGCTCGGTCGACTTTATGCTCAGAGAGGGAATGATGAATTGGCCAAGCATCAATTCGAAATTGTCATGTCTGGTAAGTATTCCCTTTTGGTTTTGCAGCATAGCTGACACGTATAGGTAAAATCCCTGACCACAATCCATACATGGCGAAGGCCGCGGGTAAATACTCGCTTGAGGGCGCCTTGTTGCTCAAGACCCATGCTGCTCTTTCTGCTGTGAAGGAGCGTGAGAAGGAAAGGAGCGGAAAGTAGAGAGGACGTAGTGTAGTGACCCACAGCCATGCCCAAAATTTCGACAAACTGTGAAAGGTGATACGAGTGTATAATGATCCTGTTTGGAATAGATTTCTATGATACCCACGATAAGCGACTCAATGCTGCATGAGACAGGTTGCAGATAGTGTCAAACGTGATTCAGTGAAAGAGGTGAATGGTGAAGATCCTTTCTATCGACGAGCGAAGTGTCCTTTCAACGCACGACCTTGTATGATAAAGACCGAATGTCGATCTACTCTCTCACACCGATTCCCATCTATCTCCCACCACCAATACTCCAAACCACAAGCCGATTATTGTACAGTCTTCCCCAGTGTTTAACAACCACTGAAGAAGAAGAAAGAAGAAAGTCAAAATGTACTCTGCCCCTGGACATCGCCCTGGCTACGGTCTTCCTCCACCCAACACGCCACCGTATGTTCCACCGCACCGGGGGCTATTTGAAGTGCGGTGCAACACCAAGGAAGAGAGAGGCTAAAGTGGGGGCATCGTTCAAGAGTGAAAATTCGAGAAGTTGAATGATGATAGTGTCTTCACGCCGGCGAGGAGCCATACGGCGCCGTATGATCATCTTGTTCATGCACAATTGACATCCTCTCGTGAGCGCAGTGTAGCACGTCCTGCATCGATGACCAGCAATCCCGGGAAGATACGGTTTCAAATGATTCATGTTGATTGATAGTTGATTGCAAAGTACTGATTCTACAGCACAGAGATGGGTAGGAATGATTATAGACACAAGATGATTTGAGACTCTGTTATAGATTGAACATGATAGTGAGTGGGTATATAGCTTTGAACCAAGCAAGGCAAAGAATATAAATCAATTATAACCCTACGGTATACACCACAAAGAGAAAAGCAAAGAGAACCATGGCGAGAAGAGCCTCCCCAAAAAAAGAAATGAAATGATGATACACTGTCCGTTCACTTTCTTGAAAACGCACATTACTCTTGGGCGCCGACGACCAAGATGCGGCCGAGGTTGACCACAGCCTGATTGAGGGTGACCAAGTTGCCGAACGCAGCCAGTTCGCTCACTGAAGATTCAAGAGGAGCGGCAGAGGCGGTAGCAGAGGCAGAGGCGGAACCAGATCGAGTGGAGTTGACGCCCGTGGAGGAGGCGACGGTAGCGTTGGTCTGAACGACGACAACGTCGGGGAAGGAGGAGGTGGAGATGATGGACGAGGCAGCAGATGAGGCCGAGGATGAAGAGGCGGCAGCGCTGGAAGAGATGGTGCTGGGAACGGCGCTGGGAGAGGTAGAGGGTTCGATAGAGCTCGAAGGCGACTGGGAGGAGGATGAAGAGGGGGCCACATATGTGGAAGTGGGGGGAGTGTAACTGGAAGTCGAGGTAGGGGGAGTGTAGGTGGAAGTGGGAGGAGTGTATGTGGAAGTGGGAGGAGTGTAGGTAGAAGTGGGAGGGGTGTAGGTGGACGTTGGAGGGGTGTAGGTAGAGGTAGGAGGGGTGTAAGTCGAGGTAGGGGCAACATAGGTCGAGGTCTTCTTGGAAGAAGTGGTGGTTTCCTCGCTAGAGTCGTCGTCGTCATACCACCAAGTCATCTGGAAGACACCCTGCAAACGTATGTCAGTCTACTGGTATATCGATTGAAGATCTGCTTACATCATTCTCCGTGGCAAAGTTCAAGAACAAAGAGGTACTCATGTCCAAAGCGCCATAGGCACATGTCTAAAGCAGCTGTCAGCTTTGATACGACTGAGCTTAATGGTATGACTTACGGGGCATTCATCTTCGATGGTGGCACCGACCTGCTTACCGCCGTATGAAATGGTAATGGCCTTGCCACAGTGGGGACCGGGGTAACCGGAGCCGTACTGGGCAGTGTTCAAAGCGACGATGTAGTCGGTAGCGACGCTGATGCGTATCAGCAAACAGGGTCCGATACATCTGGAAAACGCTACTCACTTGGTGCCACCACAAGCACCGAGGCCGACGTCATAGAAGGTAGCTTGGCCACTGTAGGTGGTTCTCCTCTTCTCGAGGGCAACAGCCTTCTCTACAGGAGCAGAGAAGGCAGGAAGAGCGAGAGCGAGGGTGAAGAGGGCGGAGAAGAGCATTTCTTAGATCTATTATGTGATGAAGGGTAATGTGTCCGAAGGATCTGATCGTCTGAAATTTCAGCCGAAGGGTGGGCGAAAAGAGTGTGTAGTTTGTGTTTGGGGTACGTCTGGGATTTGCCAGAGACGCCTTTTTGTGATAGACTGAAAGTCGAAGAGGTGCGGCACTTGTGTTGTCGAGATGTCAGTTACTGGGAAGCTGTTGAGGGAAGAAGGCGGGGGCGACGACAAAGAGGAGAGGTGAAAGGAAAAGGGTGAGGGAGCAAGGGCAATGGTCAGCGACGGTTGAAAGATGACGAGCTGGAAATGCCGACGAAAAAAAGGAGGGCACTTACAATGAGACAGCGACAAAGAACGTACTTGTGGTCGGTGAATCTAGCGAATGTCGTTGGTGTGAGCGATAAACGAGCGTGAGGTGCCGAAGCTGGCGGTGGTCGACTGGCGAGCAGTCGGCGAAAAGAAACTGTTGAAGGTAGTTGAGCAGAGAAGTTGAAGAAGAGAAAGAGAAAGATGAGGTGACTGAATTGCGAGCGCTGAGTGGACGCGAGAAAAACCTGAATAGCTCATGTTGCAAAGGGTGCCTCGCGTTGGAACTGAAGAATCCCCGCAGAAGGCCAAGCCTGGGTCGGCAAGGAGAAAATGAAAAGACAAGCCACATGCCAGGATGGACGGTCTCTCCCACGCGGCACCCACGTGGAATTCCCTGTATACCACTGTTTGGTTACCTGATCGGGACAGTCCACAGGGCAAATCAGGTACGGGGGTGCAGCGGCATTTGGGGGTCTTTGCCTTTGCGGGCCAGGCCCGGACTTCGGATCTGTCACTCTAGCGCCGTTCGGCCCAGAAAATGTGGTGAGCGGAATCCATGTCTGTCCAAACATTTCACTTATCAGCCTCATCAGCAAAGTCAGGCGCGGTATAATGCGGTCACCAACATCACCAAACGCTGGTGACGAGTAGATGATCGATTGCAATGACCTTGTCTCTGCAATGACATCAGGCTCGACGATCAGATATTATTACCGGGAGCGGAGCGATGATGAGTATGACCTGAGAGTCTATGAGACTGGTGCTGAGTGGTCCACCAGTGGCAGCAAATTGTGCTGGAGAAGGCAGACAAACACTTGATACGCGCCAACTTCCTGCACATGTAGCCGTTTTTTTGACAACATACGTATCATTGCAGCTAATACGTGTCAGTCGCTGACGAGATAGCAAATAACCACCACGAGCATGGCGCTTTATCTTTGCGGGTCACCAGGTGTACATACTCATACATGATTACAAAATAGCCAGACAACATCGACGTCCCCCAATCTATTATGCCAGCCCGCCAAGCCAGCCGCTCACCAATCTCCTCAGTCTCATGTCCTCAGACGCACCAACACATCTGCTATCAGACCGGGTACGTCGTTGTTGCCAATGGCGACGCTGACCGCCTCAGCAACATCCAAGTCGCTTCCAATCAGCTAGAGAGGTCAATATTAGCAGCGCATCAGCGCACTTGCACAAGACTTACAGTAGCATCAGACAGACGTTTTATCAGAGGGTCAAAAGCCAAGGCCAAGGTGACTGGGCCGTTAGGGACGTCGTACACGAGATGCAGCTCATTGTCGGTCGCGGCCTGGACGGACCGGATGCCAAGAAGAGAGCGGTAAAAGGACATTGATGACGATAGCCTGTGGACAGTCAGTCGATTGCCAGTGCAAGTCAGAACGCGTTCGTACCATCGACAGATATCGTCCACTTTTGTGTCACCCGCCTCTCTTCCTTCTCGGACTTCCTTCGCCTTTGCCTCTTCTCTCTCTCGATCTCTGCCGAGACGTTGAACCTGACAAGGGTTAGTGGCAGATATAACACCACGACGCCAACTTACATCCTTGGCGATCCTAGCAACTTCGCCCCTAGTCCGATCCGCTTCCACCTGTACTGCCTCCTTATCGTCCATAAGCTGTCCCAACTCGACTGTCTGAGCGTCCAGAGTATCGGTCGCTCGGCTGATGGTCATTCGCTATGGCAATGGTGTCAGCTTGGCATAGCGGCTGCAAGGTCGGACGTACGTTCTCCGGAGGGTAGGTAGCTTTGATCCTGGCAAGCTCGAGCTCCATACCTCTGATCTCCTTTTGGAGGGCTTGCGCCTCGGAGAGCTGTGAAGTCATCTCGGTGTGTTCTATCGGACAGTCAGCCTGGGCCATCGGCAGGGAGGTAGTTCGACTTGCGCTTGGCGTTCTGTTCTGCAAGTGCGACGGTCTCCTTCCTCATGTTCTCAATATTCGTCTTGACAGCTTTGAGTTCAGCCTTCTTCTGCGCGTTGGACGCCTCTAATTCTGGTGTCAGCCCTCTTCACCCAGCCAACGTCTGAGACCTACCGAGCTCTTCATTCTCCCCCGGCTCTACTCTTTGCGGCTCTTCTCCCGTGATGGAAGCGAGAAAGTGCCTCTTGGCACCTTGTTCGAGATATGTGAACTTCAATCTTCGAAAGTAGTCCTGTCAAGGTGTCAGCATTTGTCCTGCATCTTACCGACTATATTTCACCTTTTGCGCATTCATCTCATCTCTGACCAAGATGGGATTGTTTGGGTCGAGCATCAGTGCTGATTCGTTGCTTCCCATTGTGACATCTCGCAGCGCTCGTTCTTGAAAGAGGTCCCGGTTTTGGTAGACATTGTAGCCAGATTGGGCGGCGGCTGTGAGTCTTTGGGCAGGTTAGCGATGCCTCTACGAGCTATGTTTACTCACTGATCTACTGCTTGGTGCAAGGCTGGTCCACTAGAGGTGTTGGCAGCGTCAGTCATGGTGGTTATGGTTTACGAGGTGGAAAGTGGAGATGTTGTTGTTGTTTGTTTTGACCAGCATACTCACGCGCGTAATTACAAAATCAAGTCATCTTAAGCGCGACTTTCTTCGGCGTTTAAATACGGTGGCGGCTGCCTCCACTTCACACAACACAACGGACAAGTCAACAACTCGGACATCAATCCATATCCTAGTAGACGTCTAGCTAACACCATGAGCAAATCTATAGCGTGTCATGTAAGGGTCAGGCCAGGGAAGGAGGCGGATGGCAAGATGAATGAAGAGGGAATCGTCATTGAGGGGAACAAGATCTCGGCGATGAACGGACAAGGAGACAAGAGGTATCACTTTGAGTGAGTGCTATTCAGGACACTCCATAGTATGGAATTGCTGACTGGCCTCAAAGGTTTGAGAAATGTCACGCCGCGGACAGTACGCAAGATGATGTATTTGATCATGTTAAGCCTTTGTGAGTTGTATCTGTGTATGGCCCCTCAAGTACTGACTGTCTGATGCAGGCTGGACAGGGCATGGAAAGGAGTGGTATGTCGGATGCTATAGCGTATGACTTGTATCGCTCACGGTCAAACAGAACACCACCATCTTTGCGTACGGAGTCACAGGAGCGGGAAAGACGCACGTGAGCTCCTGCCATCTTTCGCACCGGCTAAACTGACAGGTGCTGCAAGACTATGCAAGGGACCAGACAAGACCCAGGTTTGATTCCAAGAGCCGTCAACGTGAATCCATCAACTGTTTCTTGACGTATGCTTACTCGACATAGGCTATACTAAACCGCCAAGCTGAACTTTCCACTTCGACTGTCCAAGTCTCCATGTCCTACGTCGTGCGTCATCAGCGCTCTTGGTGATTTGAGCTCATGAGGTGCCAGGAAATCCTCAAAGACGAAGTCTACGATCTCCTCGGCTCGGCCAACGAACCCCGAAAGCGTGACATCCGCACAAGCACTGGCGGCCAGAACGTCGTAGCAGATCTGATCTATCAGCCCATCACTTCATGGGAGCAGTTTGAAGTAGACTACGAGTGAGTGCATTCATTCCCAAAACTGAGGCCGAGTACTGATGCCTTGTAGTGTCGCTTCAAAATCCCGAAAGACGGCCTCTACCAAGCTCAACTCGAGCTCTTCCCGATCCCACGCCATTCTGACAATTTACTTGCATGTGATCGATGAGGCTGGCAAGGTCACTGACGGTAAGATCTGCGTGGGTATTGATCACAAAGAAGAGAGGGTCTGCTGACACCTTACAAGCTTACTGACTTGGCTGGGTCCGAAAACAACAACTTGACGGGCAATGACAAGGAGCGAATGAGGGAGGTGAGCCGAACGCAGTGTAGCACCTGTAGTGCTTTACTGATCATGGACAGAGCTCTGCCATCAACACTTCTCTGACGACCCTGGGAAAGGTCGTCGATGCGCTGAACGTTGTGCAACAAAAGGGCGGCGATGCTTCTGGGGTCTTTATTCCTTACCGCGAATCCAAGCTTACTCGTCTCCTACAAGGTGCGCATTACATCTGCCAGGCTTTGCTTTCAGCTGATATCAAGTAGATGCGCTCGGTGGAACGTCCCAAGGACTATTGATCTGCTGCCTTGCCCCCGGCGAGAAGTTTGCGAGGGATACGATCAACACCCTGCAGTAAGTGTACCATTGGCGAATCTGTTGATACGCTGACCCTTCACAGGTTTGGCAAAAAGTCCAAGGCAGTGGAGAACCGCCTCAACGACAACCGACGCGACTCTCGCAGACTCTCTGCCCTCCCCACCAAACCCCGAGCTTCCCTCCGAGTCCACACAGATGCGTCCACCGCCCCTACCACTGGTCGACCATCTTTGGGGCGTCCCGCTCTGGCGCCGATTGCAGCCAATACGAGGCAGGTGAAGGTCCAACCCAGAGCGAGTATGGCGAAAAGTGTTGGGAAAAAGGTGACACTTGACTTGAAGGAGAATGTGGGGCTGGGTTTGACTGAGGAGCAGCTGGAGAAACGAGTGAGTTCTCATTAGACCTTGTAGAAATTACTAACAAGGCGTTAGATCCAAAAGATTGTTACTCAAGAGATGGCTAATGCTAGGGAGAAGGAGCGTCCTGTCGAAGCACCTCTAAAACCCGTTGTTGAGCATCCATTCGGAGAAGCCGTGGGCATGAGTGACGAAGAAAAAGATACAAGGGCAAAGGTTATCGTGAAGCATGCTAGGTCCTTGCAGCAGTCGTGAGAGTTTTGACCAACTGTCAAGAATCATATTGATACCTAGTAGCGGCAACCTGGAAGGCGCTCTAGACCTCTACAAGAAAGCCTACGACTATGTCCCGGGTAACCAGAAACTCGCCACGCGTATCGCGGAAATACAGCTTTCTCTCGAAGGCATCCTCCCTCCCCCCGAACTCTCTGGCCGCTCCCGGCACCACGACAAATCCACAACCTCTTCCAAAGCGCCTCTCAAACGCAGCCGTGCCCCGGCTGGATCCACATCGCTTGCAGAGCTTTCCTATGAGGCGGAGGACGAGAGCGATGTGGTAGCGTCGGTGAAAAAGATGAAGAATAATGACGTGAGTGGGGACTTGTATGGGATTGTTCTTGGGCTGACGATGCGACAGTCTACGGCAATTTCCATGACCTCGCCTCCTTTTTGATTCATGACTATTGACAGACTTTTCATCTCTTTAGCTCGGCCTACCCTGTATCTTTTCTATACATCCATCCTGTAGTATATCACCCCTTTGTTTTTTGTTTCGCCTGAGGACGCTCGTTGACGAATTTTTATTACTCGCCTCACCTTTGTGTATGGATGGATACTTTGCTCCCTTTAAGATTGCAGTGTGACAAGAAGTCCTATGAGGCCCACAAACCTTTCATCAGTGTGTCTTCTGATATAGAGTCAACAGATGGTCGCAGACATGTTTCGTAGATGACAAGAGATCTGGTCAGACGCATGATGATGTCTCGCGACATCCCTTCTTCCAGTGAGTGAGAAAATAGCGAAAGGAGCTGACTCACCCAATCTAAATATTACTGTTTGAATATGGAAACGCAAGCGAACTTCTCCACAACCTCACTCCAGCCTCCCCACAACCCACCACAACGATAAGCACGACCATGAACGAGTCTGACTCTGACCGCTACACCATCCAGTCTATTGGCCGCTGGGATACCCCGACGAACGAACACAACCCCACTTCACTTCCTTACATTGCGCCTGGTGAGATCCCTCAAGAGCCAGAGTTGGACCCGATTGCTTCAGGGGAATCTGGTAACTGGTAGAGCGTATCTATTGTATTGATGCTAGTGTTGATGCGAGACTGCATGCCGTCCACTTGTCCTGTTGTACATGACGTCTACCGAGCAAATCTTACACGATAGCCTCCAACTGCTGCGCCAACTTTAACGCCGGCCCCACCATCGTCTCCATCGGTACACCCCTGACGACGCCAGACCCCTTCAGCTTGTCGATAGTCGAGCTCGACACGCCAGAGCTGCTCTCGGCGGCGACGAGCGCGATATCGGGCTTGGTCGAGCGGGGGAAGGTAAAGGTCTGGGTCTCGGGGGAGAGGGACCAGCCGCGGTTGGAGGCAAAGTCTGTGAGGGAGGAAGTCTCGGTGGGCTTGTAGAAGAGGAGGGTGGCGGCGTGTTGAAGGGGAAGGGAGGGGTATGAGGATTCGATGGTGGATGCGATTTGGCCGCTGCTTGGGTTAGCGAGGGTCATGTGGAGTGATCAACACTTACCGGACGGTACCCATGAGACGTTCGAGGAGGAACTCAAACTCTGGTCTGGGGACTCGGTCTTTGGCACGGTACACCTTGTTGTAGGCGCCTTCCATCAACCATCTCTCACTGCTTTCGTCAGCATTGCACGACACAGGCGTGGAATCACTCACAGGTCCACCGGTAATCTCACAAACGAGTCATTCAGCTGCTCTGGCTGCAGAGTCTCCAGAACGGTGTGGAATTCTGTCAACAGATTCTCGCTCAGCAAGCCCAAGAGATGCAGACCCAAGGTGACGGGTCGATTGGGCGACTCGGGGATGACTTGTCTGAGGTTGTCGTAGAAGGGTTGCAGGGCAAAGTTGTAGCGGGCGTAGGATTTGAGATCGCCCCCACGAAGAGATTGGAATGCACCAATCTCGAGGATGGAGCGGGCTGCGACGAGGTCCTGGGTGTTGGCGGTGGGCGGGGCAAAGTAGAGGCCAGACTGGGCAAGCTCGAGCTGGGGGGGTCAGTCGGGGCGGGGAGTGAGAGGGGTGCGCACCTTGAGGTCTGCGAGACGCTGGGGGACGTCTGGGGCGGCGCTGGTGTAGGCGGCGTGGAGGTCTGCGAGGCTCTGCTGGAGGGACATGGTGTGCAGTGGCAGTGGCAGTGGCAGTGGAGAGTCGCCCAGCGCTCAAGGACGCGTAATGGCGGGCATCGCCGCTGCAGTCGCCACGATGGATTGTTCCCGAATCGCCGTCACTCACTGCTGTTCTCTGACTTGGTTGTCTCGCTGTCTCCCCCCACGCACCATGTCCGCCCCCGCCCCCATCAAGCCCCAGGACGTCGGATGGCAGTTCGTCCCCCAGTACTAGTGCGTCCCCCACCCCGCCCAGTCCCCCACCCCGCCACAGCTCACAGCCCACAGCAACTTTGTCAACTCCCAGCCCCACCGTCTCCACTGCTTCTACAACAAGCGATCCACCTTTATCCACGGCGAGGAGGGCGAGGATGTCACTCCCGCTTACGGCCAGCAGGTCCGTCACACCCGGACACCCAGATAGTGGCTGACGGCAGCCGCAGGAAATCCACGACCGCATAACCCAGATCGGCTACAACCAATGTAAAGTCTACATTCACTCTATGGACTCCCAGTCCTCCGCCGAGGGGGGCATCGTCATCATGGTCCTCGGTGAACTCTGCAACAACAACCAGGCCTGGCGAAAGTTCTCCCAAACATTCTTCCTCGCGCCCCAGACTGGCGGTTACTTTGTGCTCAACGACATTTTCAGATATCTCAACGAGGAGGTTGACGAGCAAAAGTCAGAGGACGGTCACCAGGAGGAGGCTCAGCCCGAGCCAGAGGCCCCCAAGGCTGCCGTTGAGGAGCCCCCTGCCGCCGAGGAAAAGGTCACCCAGGAGCCTGCCGCCGAGCCTGCTCCTGAGCCGGAGCCTGTCACTGCCCCGGCTGCTGTTGTGCCCGACGCCGTGCCCGAGGAAGCCGAGGTCGCCGCTCTTCCAGACAAGGATGTCGCGCCTGCCGAGGAGCCGACTCCCGAGGAACCCGCTACTGCTGCCAACCCTGCTGTAGAGGACACTCCCGCCCCCGCCCCGGCCTCTGAGAAGGCTCCCTCTCCTGCCCCCAAGGTGCCTTCCCCTGCCCCCGCCCCCAAGAAGGAGGCTGCTACCAACGGAACCGCTGCCCCTGCCCCTGCTCCTACCGGTCATCCCAAGCCCAGGACCTGGGCTACTTTGGCCGCTTCCAACATTCCGCCTACCAGCACCTGGGGTAAGCCCAGCCCTGCCGTTTCCGCCCAGGCATCTCCTTCTGCCGCTGCCGCGCCTGTCCCTTCGGCCCCCAAGAAGGAGGAGCAGAAGGCTGCTCCCGCACCCGCTGCTACTGCCGCTCCTGCTCCCAGGCGAGGTCCCCAGGGTGGTCTTGACGTTTCCAAGATCCAAAATCAGGTCTGCTTTGTCAAGGTGCGTCGTCTGTCTCTCTGTATCTTCTTTACTGACTGGTTGTAGCTCCCCAACTGGGCTCTTGACAACCACAGCGCTTCCGAGCTCACCGAGCCTGAACTCTCCCGACTCGCTTCCAAGTTTGGCGAAGTCAAGTCTGTCGAGATTGTCGGCCAAAAGGCTTGCGCGTTCGTCGAGTTTGTCAAGGTCGAGTCTGCTCGAAAGGCCATTCAGCACTCGCTTCCCGTCGAGCAGGGCGGTGAGGGCGGTACCAAGTTCCCCAACGGGACCTTGTTCTTTGAGCCCAGGAAGGAGAAGGATGAGAGGGGCCAGAAGAAGAGGACTGGTGGTCAGCAGGGCGGTCAGCCCCAAGGCCAGGGCCAGCCGCGACAGCAGGTCAACGGCGGTGGTGCCGGCCGGGGCGGTAGACCCAACAGAGGACGAGGCGGCCAGGCCAACCAGGGCGACCGTGTTTCTCAAAAGCAATAGAAAAGTGCAGCAGAGGTTGAGCGGCGGGAGATGATCATTTCAAAAGCAAAATAAACCTTTCTGCGCATCTTTCTTATTACAAACCATCCATAATCATATCGAATCGTCATCGAGGTCATCATGTGTATCCCTTGTTTTATACCCCTTTCTTTCTCCCAGGTTCCCCTCTCTCTTCTCCTTCTTTCTCACAACGACAAGAACGACCCCTTTTCTCTATACAAAAGACGTGGTGTGGGAGTGCGTGGACCGGGCAGAGTTGGGTGGTAAAGATGAGCATACCAAAGGTTTTTGATCCTTCATGGTTTTTTGGATAACGATTCTCTTTTGCTTTTGGTACATAGTTGATGTGGGAGTGGGACGTTTTGGCGGATTGGAAAGGAGTGCACTGTAGTCGGCATGCGGATGGAAATGCATAGGTAGTTACAAGCGAACCACAAATAATTGGTTGAACGCGTCGACAACACGTCGTGGGTGGTGACGCAAGAACATGAATCGCACCAACTCTCATAGACTTGATAATCCCGCATTTTCAATACTGCGACATTCATTTAATACTGCAACATATCTACAGAACCAACATGGCTGCCAAAAAGACCGTCGTCATCACCGGTAAGGTATCCTCCCTTGCCTTCTTCACTCATCTTCTAACGTGTGGTTGCAGGTGCCAGCGGCTTGCTCGGCCGAGCTGTCGCCGACAAGTTTATCGGCCAAAAGGACGAAGTCATCTCTCTCGCCCATACCAGGGCTGACAGGGACCCGCACTATACCAAGCTTGACTTGATGGACAAGGAGGCTGTGGAAGGGTTCTTTGGAACGCACAAGGTGGACGGTGAGTTGGTCTTTGATACACTGCAGAGTTTGGGCTGATGTTGAAATAGTCGTGGTGCATTGTAAGTCTCACTGGGATATATCAGTATTCAGAGTTTGATGTGGATCTCTAGGTGCTGCTGAACGACGTCCCGACGTTGCCCAAGCCGTGAGTGTACACAAGATACGTTGGTTGACTTGACTGACGCTTCACAGGACCCCGAGAAGGCTGCCAAAGTGAGTCTGATATGCGCTGCATCGTCAAGCTGATCGTCTACAGATCAATGTCGCTGTCCCCGCGCACCTCGCCGAGCTCGCCAGGCAGAAGGGCTTCCAGCTAATTTACATCTCCACCGACTACGTGTTCAACGGCCGCAAGTAAGCGATCCAATTCATCCAACCCGTATAGCATGCTAATGGTATGACAGCGCCCCGTACCAAGTCGATGCCCAGCCCGACCCCCTCCAGTCTTACGGTCAGCAAAAGTACCAAGGCGAGCAAGCCGTCCTCGCCGTCCGTCCTTCTGGCGCCAAAATCACCGTCCTGCGGGTCCCCGTCCTCTACGGCAGGACCGAGTACAATGCTGAAAGCGCCATCAACATTTTGAGGGATGTGGTGGAGGACCAGAGTGGCAAGACGTACAAGATGGATGCGAGGCAGGTGAGGACGCCGACGAATGTCGAGGATATTGCCAGGGTATTGTATGATGCGTCTCGTGAGTTGACTCTGAAAAATGTGGACGTGGCCAGGACGTGGCTGACTTTGGGTAGACTTTGAGCAACCCCTCCCTGCCATCTTGCACTATGCTTCCCCCGCCCCCATGCTTACCAAATGGGACATGACCCGTATCATTGCCAAGCACCTCAACCTCCCCATCGACCACATCACCAAGGACACCACCGAGCCTTCTGGTGCGACCCCCCGACCCGAAAACACCCAGTTGAGCAACAAGGCGCTGGAAGAGCTTGGCATTGAGACCCGTGAGGAAGCTTCGTTCGAGGACTGGTGGGCTGCGTACCTCAAAGAGTAGTGGAGTAAAGACGACAAGTAGACAAACACTAGGATGATGATGCATATGTAGCCGATTAAAGCCCAGAAAGATGACACAAGTACAAGAATATATCCACAAGATCTCATCCTCAGGCCTTCACCTTCCTGCCCTTACCCTTGCTCTCCAGGCTCTTCTTGGGCTTGTCCTCGCTCTTCGGTGTAACCTTGATACCCTTCTTCTTCAAGGCCTTTCTCTTGCTTTCCTGGATCAACTTGGCATCCTCGGGACTGTCAAAGTTGGCAGGTTCCTCGGGCACAATCTCTCCCTCCTCGGTGATGGTCATCTGAGGTCCTTCCTCCTCTTCCTCCTTGTCCTTCTTGGACTTGGTGAGCTTCTTGCGGGGCTCGACCTTGAACTTGGCAACGTAGAAACCGTCCATGTTGTGCTTGTGAGGGTAGAACTATTTTGATTGTCAGTAAAGTAATGACGAGAGAAGAAGACACGTACCCGTCTAGTAAGCTCAACACTCGGGTGGAAGTTCTTTCCCTCAAAGCTCTTGAAACCCGGCACACCAAACTCCAAGCCAGTCTCCACCAACCGCACATTTGGCCTCTTTCTCAGCGCATAGTCGACAACGCTCTCGTCCTCGTCAACAGTCACGGAACAAGTCGAGTAGACGACGTAGCCGCCGGTAGAAGAGTTGGGGTTTACAGAGTCGATAGCACAAAGGATGAGTTGCTTTTGGAGGTGCGCGAGAAGCTGGAAGTCTCGTTCGGTCTGCAGAATGGTCAGTCAAGCGTCAAAACAATCAGTTGCAACCTACCTTGTTGACCTTGACACTAGCATCCTTGCTGATCACACCTGTACCACTACAGGGCGCATCCAACAACACCCTGTCAAATCCGCCAATGACCTTGGGGAACTCTCTAGCATCGTAATTGCAGACAATCACGTTCTTGCACCCCATCCTGTGCACGTTGGCAGTCAAACTCTTGGTCCTAGCCTTGTTGCTGTCGTTGGCGAAAACGGTACCCGTGTTCTGCAGCAAAGCAGATATGTAGGTGGTCTTTCCACCAGGAGCAGATGCCATGTCCAAGACACGCTCGTTGGGTTGAGGAGCGAGGGCGATGACGGGCAAGAAGGAGGAAGCAGCCTGGAGCATGTAGTGACCGGCCAAGTATTCCGGCGTAGCACCAACAGGTACAGGAGACTCAAAGACCTGCAATCCGACCTTGGACCACTTGCCAATAGGCTCAAGGGTGACACCTCGGTTGATGAGGGCCTGAGCGAGATCTCTCCGACGTGTACGGAGGGTGTTGGCTCGGATAGTGACGGGGCGAGGGGACTCGTTGGATTCAAAGAAGGCGAGAGCTTCGTCGGCGGGGAAAAGCTTCATGAGCTTGCCGACGAGGAAGGTGTTGTAACCAAAGTAGGTGGCAATGTCGTGCTGAAGTTGTAACAGGTGGTCGGATCGGGATCTGTAAAGGTGAGCACTGAGACGGGATATGAAGACATATTCACTCACTTTCCGGGGACACCCATGGAAACCTTCTCGTCCTTGTTGATGACGACACCGACCAACCATCTCATTCGAGTCTCGACATCTCTCAGACTGACACCGTGCTCAATGGCTTCTTCCTCGCCGCCATTGTCGACTGCGGGGAGAGTGAAAGTCTCCTCAAGGTCATCCTCCAGATTAGTCTGGATATCGTCTCCCTCCTCGCTTCCAAATACACCCTCTTCTTCGTCCATGTCCGCATCCTCGTCTCCAGAAGAGGCAAAGGCAGAATCGGCCTCGTCCTCGTCGCCCTCTGAAAGATCGTCCTCATCCATCTCAAATTCGTCGCCCATCTCCTCGTCGTCTTCGTCAGAAGGCGCAGCGTCGAGATCGAAAGCGTGCAGGCCCTTGGGAAGCTCCTCCTTGTCGTCGTTCAAGTTTTCATCGTCAGAAATCTCTTCCTCGTCGTCAGAGAAGACGAGCTCTTTGGCAGGGCCTCGCTGCACAACCTCGTCGTCGGACCTGCTACAATTTAGCTTGAACCAGAGCTATGTATAGTTGGACTCACTCTTCTGTCTTGGACTTCTGGGACTTCTTGGCTTTGGGAATCTCCTCCTCTTCCTCTTCGTCACTGGAGAACTCTCTGCAAGGTTGTGTCAGTTTTGAAGCTGCAGTGAAATCAAACATCATACCCAGTTTGCAAAGCCTCGTCCAGATCACTGTCCTCATCGACCTCATCAACCTTCTTTCCTCTACGGCCTTGGATGACATTTCCAGTCTTGCCAACCTTGACACCCTTCTTGGTGGCAGGCCCACGGTGGGCCTTTGCTTGTCTGGCGTCTCCGGCCGCAACAGACGAGGGGGCACGCTTCTTGGCCTTCTGCCTCCTCGAAGGATCGCGCTCGGGGACGGATCCGGGGAGGGGGCGGGGGTCGGATTGCTTGTTCTTGGCACGTCGTCCCATTTTGTACCGTTGTTGGAGGATAGTGGAGGTCGTTCAAGATGGTCGAGAACTATGGCGCCTCGTTCAAAATTTCAGCGGCGGAGGCCGACCCAACAACAATGGTAATGCGGACGTCACCACTTTTTTAAGTGGTTGAAGCAGAGGTTGAGTGACCTGCTCGAACCACACTTGCATGCATCAAATGATCCGGATGGTCTCCTAGTAAGCACCAATAGCGTTATGTACGCCATGTATCATCAAGATGACTTCTCTTCGATTACGGGTTTGGGTCTGATCTTTGGCTTCCTGTTGTGGAGTGGATAAGGCAACAACCATGAAATGACAGACGCCACGCAGCACGTGGCTCTGTCGCACCGTCAGATACTGTGTATTAGTCGTGTATTCCGCAGTTCTGAAGTATAGACAATGATATCTCCAGGACTATACCGCACGTCTCCAGGACAGTACTATATCTCGTTCGTTCATTGACATCATCCATGCGTGCAGTAATGCAGTCCTCGAGTCGGTAAAGGTGTTGGTCATCCTTATCATTCCTCTCGGAAACGCAATCTCGTCTCAGGAAGACCTTATCGTTGACACAGAGACCTGAGCGTTGCATGCATCTACGAGTATAGCGGCTGATACAGGATCCTGATTAATAGTCTTCATCCTCGTCATCAATCCAGATTCTCGTCTTCATATATTTCATGTCGTCTCGTAGCGTACTGAAGGTCACCTCCCCTATGAAGTAATCACCAGCCCAAACCTCCATCTTTTGGTTGTTGAAGTAGATAAAGTATGCCCATTCACAGTCGAAGCCTAGCAAGTAACCAGCTACATCATGACTCAGCACGGCTGCTTTGACAAATGCCACCATCAGCTCACTGTAGTCGACCAGGTGGCTAAGCCTCCCCTGTTGAATGAGTGAGAGCGCTTTCGCTCCCTGTACCCCCTTCAGGACATCACCCCAAGCCATCATCCAACAGTCGTCGAAGTCTTCCAGGGGATCATCGATGTCATGCCGCTTTCCGCCGATTGAAGGAGCACGTGGTGTTCCGTCCGTGCGTGTGTGCCTTTGGCCCTGATGGACTTTTCGCGTTTTCTCTTGCCTTTCAGCGTTCTACCTGTATCCTAAAGTACTCTACATCTCCTGGCCCACCCTTGTCGCTCCTTACATCCCAATCATTTCCAGGTGAGCCCTACCAAAGCCAGCACCTACGCCGTACTCATCAACCTGCTGCTCCCAGCCTACCTCCCCCGGCTCATCCTGCGCTGTACAGCCCCTCGTATCTTGCCACCAGAATGTGCTTCTCTCACCTAGACCAGCTCGCCTCTCAGAACAAGTGTGCTCCCCCCATACCACCCCCACTCATCTCCAACCCTCGCCTTCTGCGTCCTCTTCGACCCAAGCGCCTTGGCGTGCAGTATGCCCCTCGATCCCTGCTGGCGACGTACCTCCGACCCAAGCCATCCATCTATGAGCTCTGTCATTGTGGTATGAACAATGGTGGGCGGTATTCCGAGGGATCTTTCGTATCTCGCACCAAAAGCTACGGGCCTCTCAATAAGCCCGGTCATGACTTGATGCTGGCAAACGGTTCTGCGCATAAGCGCGTATCGCTCACGAGCTTCGCTAGCAATGGACACAGGGACAAGCAATACAGCTGCTTGGGTAGACCCATTACCCCCGCCGATACGTGGCCCGTGGAAGAGCTTCTTTGTGCGAGCTTGCTGGCTTCACGCGCCACCATCACACCGCCACTCGCTTGTCCTGTCTCTACTCCGCCAGTTATACGCGAGAGAGTCTTCACTCCTCCTCCGAAGATAGACCTATCATCCGAAGAGCCCCTCGAGCGTGAGATATTCATGCAAGAGATACCAGGCTTTGCGACATCCCAGCTGGAGAGGGAAATTGGGCTGGTTGCCCCAGACTGCGCATCGCCGCATATCGTGACCGACAACGAGGTCCTCGAGGTTGAAGTAGTTACGGAGCTCTCGGAAGGTCTGGATATATTCGACGAGGAGGATGTGACTGCACTATTCGAAAGCGAGAGCTGTGGATCTCATGATCTGGAGAGAAGTGGGTTGAAGAAGTCTGTTACTTTCAACGAGGAAACGGAAGTCTACTGGTTTGAGATCAGCCGCGGTACCAGCTCGGAGGTGTGTTGTTTCCCTGGGTATCTTGTCACGATCGCTAAAGTCTATTAGGCTCACCTCGACCTCTCTTTTGGCTACGAATCCGATATCGAAGACAACCTTACTCCCACCCAACTTCTTCGCAAACAGTACAGGATCGTCCCTGCAAGCCCCCCACCTGTGGAGCACCGAGAATTCTGGAATGTCGTGGCTTCTCTGGGTATCAGCAGCCCTCTCCAAGATCTGTCCGATACTAGCATCCAGTCGCCCACCCGAAACTCTCTCCCTTCGAGCTTGGAGGCCGAGCAACTCTCACCTCATCGACAATCTCTTTCGCGCGCAGAAGACGCCAGTCTCGACTCTGTCGATGAAATTGTATCCAGACCCGAAGATCAAGACATCGACCTCTCTTCTGATACCACACCTATTCCGACCCAACACATATCTCTCCATGCCTCAAGCATTCACCTCTCGGAATCCTTCGACGACACGCCCACCAAAATGGTCACTGCTCCCCGCATCCTGTCCCATACTGTCCGCCCTCCGATCATGTCACTTTGCCCCACCCATCTCCAGGGCAAGAAGAACTCTCGACACCCTAGGCGTGACCGAAAACCTACTCTGACTCCAGTATTGTACGCGAGATCGACCCGGAGAAGTTGAGTGGAGGACGATAGCGTTATATCCGGACCGCAATTGGAATTTCAAGGCAGTGTTAATTAAAAGATAGTATCATGCACATTATCTACATAGATAGACTTGGATTCAAATGGACAACTCCTCTGTTCATGATCTGTTTCATGAGAAGTGAAAAACACTCGACGATTACTCAGCGTATATATGGGAATCGGACATCTCGCGCATTTACAATCCCTCCTTGAAGGCCTGTGACCTTTCGACACCTCGTGAATGCTGACTTTGCAAGCAAATCATTCAACATTGCATCTTGATCCAGCTGTTTGCAAGCGGTGGTGCATCGGCCCAGAAAGTAATCTATAGAAGTACAGGCATGGCACATACAACATTAAATATAGGACATGTAGTGATTATATCCGACAAGAGATGAAATCGACATTTTAAGAGGTTGGAACAGCAAGGTCTTTTCTCCTATTACATGACGCCCTTATCCTTTCCACTCGCTTCGATCCTCTTCCTCGTAGCCTCATGCTCTTCCTCCGTCGTTCCAGGCGTCTTGTAAAAGATGACGAACTGAAGGGCGAGTGCAGCCGTCCAAGCGATCTGGAAGTAGAATGATCGCCTGGCAGCCTTGTTCCAGTCCATCAGGCCGTCGCCTTCGAAAGAAGCCTGGACAGCGAGGGTGATGGCGCCTGCTACTTGGGACTATCCTTCGTGTCAGCACGGTTGTCCAGGAACAGGAAATGAGGTGATGGGCTCACCATGACTTGGGTCCAACCTCCGGCCACGCCAGAGTACTCGGGCGGGCAGTATTGAATAAGGTTGATCCTGACGTTTGGGTCAGCTTTTCGCCCTGCACTTGTATTGAAAGTGTTTACTCACGCAGAGGCAAAGAATGACATGACGGCTCCGACACTGCCCAAGACGAAAGCTGGGAAGAGGTATCGCCAGTAGTCCATTCCATGTCCGCCATCAGAGAAGATGAAGAGGATCTCGGCGATAATGATCACTAGACATCAATCAGTAATGATAGAGACGCAAAAAAAGAATGAATTTACACGCCGCGCCCAAAGGCATGAAGATCCGCGCTTTGGTGATCATCTGTGGGAAGAATTGAGAGGCTGCTCCGGCCATGATGGAAGCGATGCCTTGCGGTAGGATCGCCGCAGCGACATGTACTTATGAAGAGTTAGCACGAGAATTGAGCAGAATGGAGAGCAAAAACTCACTAGGCTTCCAGCCAAAGACCTGTTGGAAGTAGGTGGCATAGAGCAACTGTGAGGTGGCCCAAAAGGGGACTACAAATGAGCGGTCAGCGACCTGAATCGTACCGAGGGGATGGTTCACCTACAAGGAATGCAGATGGCAAGACTGGAGATGACAATGTTGGTGATCTTCCAGATGGGACTGGGCAGGACGGCACTCTGAGGAGGAATTTTGGCCTCCCAGACGAAAAAGCCAATGGCCAAGGGGAAACTCAGTATGAACGGAACAATGAAGGAAGCGGCTCCCCATCCATCAATTGGTCCCTGGTCTGGATGTCAGCTTGATTGCACAACTTATCTAGGACAGAACTGACTTGAGTGAGGGCAAGAATGAAGCAAATCAAAGAACCCATGAGAAGGCCGACACCAACAATGTCAAGTCGTTGCCAACGAGGATATTTCGGGTCGGGGACGTAGGAAGATTTGGTTATCGGAAGCAATGTAACACAAGCGATGGTAAACACGATGCCTGGAATAACAGCATGAGCGTTGAAAGTATGCGCAACGTGTTGCTGCTTACAAAGGATGGCAATGACTCTGAAGAACCACTTGTAGCTAGCCAGCATACAGACACCGGCGAGGACACTGTTGCAAGTCAGACAGGAAAGCCATATTCAATTGATCAGATACTGACAGGCCAAGAACATTTCCAACCGCTCCCGACATACCAAGCAGAGCGAGTTTGGCTTGCTGTTCCGCAGGGTCCGGGAACATGTGAACGGTCAGGTGGCTGGGAAGGGTTAGTCAAGTCGTGGTACGATACTAATGTACATACTAAGATGACGGGATGGCTGAAAACGCTGCGTAAGTGACATTCTGCAGAGACTCAACGGCACTCACTCATCGCTCCGGCAATTCCTCCCAGGCCACGTAGAATAAGGAAGCCGTATCTGAGACAATGTCAGCAGCTGTGGATAAGTATTACGCAAGAGGACACTCACTTGTTAGACGTGACAAACGAAGTGACAAGACTGAGAACACCAAGAGTAAGGAAGCCTCCCTCAAATATGATCTGAGCTGGCCAAAGGTAACTCAGACGTCCGGCCAGCAGCAACACAGCGGCGAAGCACAAGCTGTAGGATGTGATGATCCAGACAATCTGAGAAGTGTCGAGTTTGATATCGTTTGCGATCTGGACGACGGCCACTCCGGCGCCAGAGACACTGCAGGCAGAAGCGGTCAGACTGTGCGTGCAACAAGGCAGGGTGGCGACTCACTTGCAGACGTCAATGAATGTGGACACAGAGAAGATCAATAGCAGGAAATTCTTTCGCACTTGGCTGAGGTCAGCGAGAGGACTCCGGTGGTAGTCAGTGGTGGTGGCTGGGATGTCTGCCGGGACCACTGCCTTCTCATGGTCTGAGGCAGTGTCCTTGGGGAGGTTGCTGTTGCCTGAGCTGGGGGAGTCGCGGAGGGTGTGAGTGGACATGGCGGTGGGGGGAGCGTGGTGGCGCTGGCTGCATTATTATACCTGCCGTATCGATTCAAGGGCATCGTCCTCATTGCTAAGATGTTTGGTGCCTCAGGGGAAAACTCGGTCATTGACCAGATATACTCCCGAGCGGACTTTCCCTCCTATCTCCGCCCCGGGCATTAGCCCGGGCAGTGGCCATGATGTCTTCTCACAATTAAGTACATTGGGATACAACAACACCACGGCACCAGAGACGCGCGTCTCTATCTAAAGCTCGGCAGCCACTCGTCAGCACTGCGTCTCCCTCTCCTGTCCAGCTCCAACACCTCTCTGACATCGTCCCCTACCCGGGCTGCCACCCGAGATCGATAATACCGCAGGAACGAAGGCGATATGTCGAGAGACTCGTTCAGTATCTCCTGGGTGAATATCAGCAGCGGATGGTGGTTTTCTGTACACCATGAATTAGTCACGTCTGCTGATGCCGATGATACCCACCGGAAGACCCGAATACACCGCTGACTTCGCTGATGAGCGCTTCCAGTCCAAGCAAGCACCACCCCGCGATAAAGGTGATAAACACCAATGGCCAGCCCTTGACCACACAGAGGAGGGAGCAGGGGATGGCGGCCAAGTAGATGGTCAGTAGATGAGAGAGATGGAGGGTGAGAGGTAGAGGGGGCGGATCTAGAGCACCGGTCAGTAGACGGAACATCACGTAGCTTGCACATACTAGATGAGAGCCTTTCGGCCTTGCCGAGGTGGTTGTTGAGCGATTTTATCAGAGCAAATCCTCTTTCACGCTTTGGCACGTTCCAACCACCTCTCTCCTCTGGAAGACCTCCAAGACCTTCCACATACGCATCCATGATCTTGAGTAGCGTAAGAGACAAGTTGGGTGGGTAGGGAGAGTGTAGATTCGACTTGGCCGGCTGCTTATCAGCCGTCAGAGTGGGAACGGTGCCGTTATCGATGGCGGGAGAAGACTCGGGGATGTTGAGCTGCTTGAGTTGCTGTTGCAGCTCCTGGCTCCTATGGCTGTCCACCTCATTCGACTGCGTGATGGCCTCTGCGAATTTCGACATGGCCTCCTCGGCATTTTCTTTGAGGTTCCCAATCTCCCAGTCATCTCCTTCCGACTCTTCTGAGCCTGGCAATCCGGTTGGTTTGCGGCGCAAGGTGCCCGATGGTCCCGCGTGAGCTTCCGCAAATCGTACTCGGGCATCCGTTCTTTTGAGAGATGAGAGGTAGGATGGCGGAAGCAGGTCACATAACGGTGCTTGAGGCAGAGGTCTTGTACCGTGCAGGTGGTGTCTGTAGTCGTATGAGTTTTGGAGAATCAATATGAGGTGGTACGTACTGGAGAGCGAACGCAAACCCGACAAATAAACCGGACAGCTCGTCTGTCCGACTGTTGACCAGAGTGCAATTATCATCATTATTCCCCGATGAAGGATCATCTCTTCTATCTTTCTCAGAGACATCCACCCCCAAGCTAACATCTTCTCCGCCCGAGATAGATAGCTGTCCTTGACGTCAGATCTCCGGATCATAGCCCGAGGATGATTGCACGTACCACTCGTATCCCATCTCTGATAGTGGTCCGGACTTCCGACCAGACCTTCTTTCCTTCGTCCCACTTTCCTATAGCCGTCGAAAATCTATACGATAATAGTAAACCCGTGACTATACTTCCTATCAGCGGGGGCACCTAGACAGCTACAAGATTACTCACCCATACTCAGCACACCGACAATACTCCCTCCTGCCTTTCCCCAGACTTCGGGTGTGATCCACTGCCGATCTGATAGCTGGAAGATGAGCCAAGCGTAGGTGAGGAGCGCGGCAAGCTTTCGGGGCGGGACGCGTGATCTATATATCAACGAGGTCAGTAGTCTGGTATCATTACTAGGGAGTATTCCGAAACTTACAGAGTGTATGTCATGAGCCCCCATCGGGTCTCCAGCAGAGGGGGCCTGCTTTCTTCGAGAGCTGAGTAGGAGACGGATACGCGTCGGCGCGGCATATCGGAGAGTCGAGGCGGGAAGTGGGAAGTGGGTGACAGCTGGTTGAGCAATTTGTGTTTGATTACAACACGATTGTAGATGTTTGACAAGATTTCCCAGCGATCGAAGTTGTGAGATTATAAAGAGTGTATTGGGATGTGGAAGCAGAGGGAAATGTCGGCAATTGGGTTTGTTGTTTTCGGCGCGTCGTGCTGGAAGTGGACAGAAGAACTGAGCCGCAAGTATATTGTTGACAAGTTGGAAGTTGGAACCGCCGAGTTGTGCAGCAGACGTCACATTGGCAAAGTCTCCAGAATAGTATATCGTGCCAGTACCGGAAGGCATGTGCTGAGCATCAAAACGTCGCCACGGCTATACCATTCCATCTCTCCACCATCGCCCTCCACCTCCCCAAGAGCTATCGAAATGTCAGACTCCAACCCTCTGCTCACGGCACGCTCCCTCATCCTCCTCCAGCTATTATCGAGGATCCTCACTTTCTCGTTGAACCAAACGCTGCTGCGTCTAGCATCTCCCGCAGTATTCGGTACGGCAGCCATCCAATTCGATCTGGTGTGCTCGAGCATCTTGTTTCTGTCGAGAGAGGGTATCCGCAATGCTCTTCTACGGCGAAATAATGAGGAGGGTGATAAACCACAAGGAAAGAACGATGAGCAGACACATGCTCTATCGATAATGCCCCTGCGTCTAGGCGCACTCTTGGCCACCGCGATATCGGGAATCTACTTGTGGTCATCTTCATCAATCACCACCTCCCAACAGGGCTTCCACCTCTCCTTGGGACTCTATGTTCTCTCAGCTCTGCTGGAGCTCTCAATAGAGCCATACTATATCTGCGTGCACACTTCGACGCCGCCTAGACTCAATGTACGGGTACAAGCAGAAGGAGGAATGGCCATCGTCAAAGCAGTCGTCACTGTCGCGAGCTTGCTTGGACTTGGAGAGAGACATGCCCTGCTGAGCTTTGCGCTGGGGCAGGTCTCAGGTGCTCTCTGGCTGGCTGTGAGATATATCCAAGAGTACAACTGGAATGTCCAAAGTCTCCTTGTTGCCAAGCGCCGCACAGTGTGAGTTCATTCCATGTTGTGGAGATCAGTATTGAAACAACATTGTAGCCGACCGAGGTCTGATCCGGGGCTGTACTCCCTTGCAATGGCCAACACAGGACAAAGCTTTATCAAGCATGTCTTGACAGAAGCAGACAGGTTCGCTGTCGCCCGTTTGAGCCCTCTGGATGATCAGGGAGGATATGCAGTCGCCATGAACTATGGTACGTGGTCGGACCGTAGCGGCGTAGCGGGCGCTGACCGTCATCAGGATCACTGGTAGCGCGCATAGTTTTCCAACCGCTGGAAGAGTCCCTCCTCCTACACTATTCCAGTTCCCTCGAATCCCCAGCAACTCTACCCCTCTTCACCGAGACTATCCGGCTGTCTCTTTATCTTGATACTCTCGTCCGCACCTTTGTCCCTCCTCTTTTCCCAGCCCTATCCCCCTTCCTCTTGCCCCGGCAATATCTAGACACCTCGGCGCCCTCCATCCTCAGGCTCTACCTGACAACATACATCCCTCTCCTGAGCTTGAATGGCGTGGCAGAGTCGTTCCACACCGCTAGCGCGGACCCTAGTGAGGTCAAACTTCAAGCAAGATGGATGGTGGCGAGCTCTGGCGTGTTTGCGGGTACTCTTGCTCTGTTAGCTTCTGTTGGAGACATATATACCACCAGCCGTGGTGCTCCTTCCGAGATCATCACCCCCAATCAAGAGCAAAGGCTTGTGCTCGCCTCTTCGGCGGCTATGCTCGTACGGATAGTATATGCCCTCCGTCATGCGAGGCGTTCCTTTTCTCTACAGAAACCTTCTTTGAGGCTACTCAACCTTCTACCGAGTCTCAAGGTGCTCAGTTGGGCTGTTGTCGCCAGATCTTTGTTGGGATTCTGGTCAGCGACCGACAGATGGCAAAGCGGGTGGAAAGGTTGGGTCGAGTTGGTCGGCGCTGGAGGGGTGCTGGGAGTGGTCTCCCTTGTGTTCATGTAAGTTGGAATCCTACCGCAATTTCACATTGCTGACAGTCGTTCTACAAAGCTACTTGGCCGAGAGAGACAGGCTTCAGGGACTGAGAATGAGAATGAAGGTCGGCAAGCAGGCATGAGTGGGGATCTATATGTGCAATTTGCATGAACAACGTTAATCTACTACCGTTTGCCCTGAGGCATCCATTATGTCACAACCTTTTGTTTATCTATCTCATCAACGCAACAACGCCTGGACCTCGGCGTCGTCCCCGTACCTCCCCTTCCTCATGAGGTCTCTACTCTCCCTTGCCGGCCTGGCAGCAGACGCGTTGTCTACGCTGATACTAGCCATCACCCTCTTCACGACGTCTTCCACACAATCCAGCTCATAGAAAGCGTCTGGGGAATCTTCCAGAATAGTCACAATCATCGCGCTCACAAGCGCCGTTGGCGGGAGGGCAGGCGTGATGAATGTTTCGATGATGGGCCGGATAGCCTCGGAATCTGTCTTGGCGAGACCAGCGACAACACGAGAGATGGCCAAATTGTAGTTGTCGTGGTGTTTGTCCTCAAAGGACTCTTCAACCAGCTCAACGATGGCTGTCTTGGCGGCATCACCGATGTTCTTGCCGGCGCTAGTGCAGACAGCAGCAAGAGCATTAGCCATTGACGGAGCAATGTCGCCGTCGCCAGATCGTACACCGCCAATAAGCTCGGTGATGAGAGGGTCAACACGAGGCTGCGAGGGGTTTTAGCTGACTGCCCCATCAAACCTTGTTCAAACGTACCTGATGCTTCATCAATTCACCAAGACCGGCAGCAGCACGGTTTCGCACGGACAGAGCAGTGGGATCTTGCGCCGACTTGACGAAGGTTCGGGTAAGCTGGGGGTGGAAGGGCTTGACCAATTGAGGAACCTCTTGGAGGAGGACGGTTAGGGTCGAAAGACTAAGGCATTGTCAGCACTGATGAATGACAACTTGCAGAGGGAACGTACATGGCGGTCTTGATCTGGGGAGCAATGGCCTGACCAGAAATGACACGAATAAGAGGTCCAGCAAGCTGGATGATGTAAGGTTTGATAGCAGCCTCGGTAGTCCGCTGCACAAGCTCGCCAATTCCCAAAGCCGCCTGCTCTCGTTGCTCTTGAGTGCCACTGAGGACACCACCCAACAAGATGGGAACAACGGATTGGGCGCCCTTGGGCCTTGAGAAACCGGGTACGGGTCGACCAGGGGCACCGACAGATTCGATGCTGCGTCGAAGAGGAACGACGAGATCCTCGAGCTCGCTCTTGTCAACAGTCTTGACAAAGTGGTCCAGGGCTTCCCAGGCGGCAGCGACGACTTCCTCCGTGGTGTCATCGAACAACGAGATGAGGACTCGAATCCAATCGACTCGGTATTCCTCAGTGTCCGCCTCGCTGACTTGACACAAAGTGCCAAAGATCTTACAAGCAGTAGCTCGCCTTGTGGGGTTGACATCCCTGGCCCAGCCAATGAGCAGCATCTCAAGAACGTGGACACCCTCGGGGTCCTCAACCGACTCCAACAAGGACGAGACGGCCTCGTTGAGTTCTGCCAACACATCCTCGTCCTTCTCCTTCTCCAAAGAGAGTACCAAGGCATTTAGGACAGTGTCCAAACGCTTGTTGAGAGCAGAGCCTGCGACCTTGACGAGCTGGCCAAGAGCTCGAGCGTTGAAGGCAGTGATAGGCTGAGCAATCAGAGTGGGAATGAGTACGGGGAAGACGCTGTTGGCTCGAACCTGTGGATATAATCAGCACATTCCTCAACTGTAATGAAATCTGACGAACACTCATGACCTCCTGCAGGGCTTGCAAAGCAGTTTCGGAAGACTCCCCAGGAGTTCGCATAGCTTCCAAGAGCGTTGGAATGGTCTGGTCGATGGCCTTGGCACCCATGTAGTGTTGAGCAGCATCGAAAGTCTTTGCAGCAGCGATTCGCACAGCATGTTCCGGGTCGACAAGCGCGGCCCGGATAGAAGCAATGATAGCATCTTCGTGCTGGGAAATGATTTCCTTGTTGGTGGATGCCATGACATCGGCAAATGCCAAACAAGCACCTTCCTTGACCCTGACGTCGGGCGACCCGACGGCCTTTTGCAGAATGGGAATGATCTCGCCAAAGATCCGCTCGCCGTTCTTTCGACAGAGTTCTCCAAGAGTACGAGAAGCAGTCTCCTGTTGTTCGACATGGGCGCTGCCCAAAAGGGACATGAGGGTCTCCATAAGGATACCCAAGATGTCTCTTGTGGTTCTGGGAGTGTTCTGCACAAGGGCCTTCCAGATGTGGATAGAAGCTTGTCTGACGACACCCACAGCATCCTGTCGGACAATGTAAAGCGTGGCCAAAACACGGTCTCTTTTTTCGGGGCCCAAAGCCTCCAAAAGCGCACGTCTGGCTTGGTCGGCGCTCTGGGTAGGAGCATCCTCCTCTTCCAACTCGACCTTGCCGCTGATACCAGTGACCTTGTAGAGCAACTCTCCAGTAAGAGAGATGGAAGATTGTCGGATACGCCATGAAGGATCGAGCATGCCCTTCTCCAACTCGGGCAAGAGCAGGTCAACAGCCTTACCAGAGTAGTTGGCGATGACCATCTTACCAGCACGCATAGACGCTTCGCGCACATACTCGGACTCGTCTGCCAAACCATTGAGCACGGGAGGGATGACTCGGGCCAGATGAGGCGCGAATCGATGACCGAAAGTGGCTGGCAAGTAGACAAGAAGGGAAATGAAACCTTCTCGGATGTACGGCCTGGGGCTGGAAGTGCTGCTAATGATGTCTGGCATCAGGCCTTCAAGCCTCTCCATACCCAGACCGGAGAGCACTTCACTGAGACCCTGAGCAGCACCTTGCCTGTCAACTCCACTGGTATCGGACTTGAGGGTGTGGAGGAGCTCATTGACAAGGTTCGGGAAGTTGGTTTCACCGAGACGCTCGACAAGGGTACCGAGAGACTTGGCGGCAGTCGCTCGAGCTTCAGGCACGGGGTCAATCAAAACGTCGTGAACCAGAGGCATGAGCTGATCAAGGTACGGGACAAGATCACGCGTCTCTGTCAGAGAGGCCATGTTGCCGACAATCTGAGCAGACTTTCGCTTCGTCTCGGAACTTCGTTGACGAAGACCACGGTCGATAATGGGCATGACAAGGGCCAGTGAGGGGGCGTCCAAGTAATGCTCGAAGGTGGTCTTGAGCAGGGAGGTGAGAGCAGTGTTGGTCTTGGCCGTGGGATCCGCAAGAGCCTTGATGAGAGTGTTTTGAAGAGATTTGATTTCAGGGTTACTCAAGACCTCACCGAATCGCTTCAAACTCGTGTTGGCGGCGGATTTGACTTGAGCATGAGAGTCATTGATGACGCCGGTAAGGTGAGGAATGATGGTGGGAAGAGACAACGAGAGTTGTCGTGGGGCACAGAACGCCATCGCACTGGTAATCGAGTCAGCATGTCACAAAAGGACGTTCTCATAAACGTACCCAAGAAGTTCGATAGCACCCTTCTTTGTCCGCCACTGTTTCTCCTCCAAGGCATCAAGCAATGTAGGCAACATCAATTTGACACAGTGACCAGATACCTTGGACATGATGACCTTGGCACAATCCTGAGTGGCCTCACGAACATCCGCATTGGTGTCACCGAACGAGGCCAAGAGATGAGGAATGATCTCGATAATGTAGGGCTCGAAGACCTTGCCAAGGGTGCTGGAGAGCGTTTCGTAGGCAAAGACGGCACCCTGACGGGGCTGGAACGCGCTCTTGTCTTCCACAGCATCTGTGAGTTTCTCCAGAAGCTCGTATTCCTTCAAGCTCGAGAGACCTCGGCCTTTGACAACACCTGCCAGTCCATAAGCAGCTCCTCGTCGAGCAGCGTACTTGGCTCCGGTAGTGAGGGTAGAGAAAAGACGGTCCACAAGATACTCGCACTCCTCGTCCATGTTTTGTACCAGAGGAGGGAGACAATCGGCAACAGCAGATTGCACCAACTCCGACGGAGTATTGAGGGCATCGACCAATCGATTGACCACTTCGGGTACGCGAGGGTCAGAGTCGTCGAGGTGTCGAGCCAGACGACCGAAAAGGATGACGACAGCCTCCTTGATGTAGTCTGCCGTCTCGCTAGAAGGCAGGTCGGCACCCAAATGGTCCTCAAAGGTCTTCATCAGACTGGTGACGGCGTCGCCGCCGTGCAGATCAATGATCTTGATGGCTGCGCTCAGCATAGCACTTCGAACAGCCTCAGATCGGTCACCAAGAGTTTCCTGCTTGATAAGGAAGTCAAATATGGGCGCGATCAAGGAAATCGAAAGTAAGGGAGCGGTCTTCTCGAGAGCGAGAGCGATGGCTACCCTGGCCTCCCAGGGATCAGGTCTGTTGACTGTCTCGGGAATGATCATACCCTACAACAGCATGAGCATCATTATTGACTGGTGCAAGATACAACTTACGAATTGGTCGTACTCTGGCACAAGAAGCTTGGCCTTTTCGACATAGAGCTCTTCCAAGCCCTGGACAGTGGGTTCAATTTGAGATGGATATTGCTCCGCACTCTCAGCTACAGCTAAGGCGGTACCGAGTCTGACAGCCGCCGAGTCGTGACCGAGATACGGCAAGAGACTGCTCAAGTAGGTCTCGGGCAAGTCGATACCGTTGTCTTCCCAAATATGAGTAGCAAGGTTGGCATTCTGCTCGTCTTCGTCGTGCATTGCGATCCAGAGTTCCTCGAGGTAGTCAAGGTCGGTGATGTCGACAGGTTGAAGAGCTTGGAGAGCGGCGTTTCGGACATATGACTCCTTGGAGAGAGTACCAGCCACGAGTGCACGGATTTCGTCGTGTGTGGCAACATCCTTGATAGCAGCACCCAAGTCAGACAAGGCCGAAGCGGCGTCCTTGGAGAGCTTGGTGTAGGTGGTAAGGATATGAAGGAGAGCTCGGATGGTGTCGTAGCGAGGGTAAGCATCGTTGGCAACTGTTTGTGATCGAGTCAGCGCGAACCATTCTCAATGACAGTGGTACTTACATTCCCCGACACACGTGCCGATGATGGCAACGACTAGAGTCAATTGCTCAAGGGCCTCGTCGCTCTGAGCCTCGACTCCGACCCCACCTTTCTCAACAACCGTTGAAAGCAACAGTGTCAAGATGGAGTAGGTCACGCTGTCCAAGGACGTTTGAGCAGAGATGAAGTGAAGCTGGTGCATGATGCGAGTGGTGACCTCTGCAAAGATGTCTGTCAGATCTTGTCTCTTTCGGCATGGAATGACTCACCACCAATCGCCTCCTCAAGATAATCGGCAGGCACCATTGGAGCTTCGGCAGCTCGGAGAATGGTGGCCATCAACATCCTACGATTCTCACCCAGCCTGTCTGATCCCAGGCTTCCGAGGTTCTGTTTCATGTCAGGTGTGTCACATGACATGGACGTGACTTACGATAAACACATCAAAGGCCCTCGAGTCGACCAAAAAGCTGCCGTGAGCGAAGACGCTGTCAAGGAGGCTCTTGGCCATAAAACCAACCCATCGGCCGACCTCGGCACTACCAGCCTTGCTCAATGCACTGACAAGCTCGACACCTCGCTTCAACTTGGCCTGAACTTCTAGAATCCGGCTCCTTGTGTGGGCCTCCTTGACCAATTGCGCGTTTACGAGGGCTTGCTCGGCCTTTGAAAGCTTGACGGTAGCAGCAGCTCGCTTTTTGGCAAGCGACTCTCGAACTTCGCGCTCCCACTGGTCATCCGCATAGCCCTTTCTGTTCTTGTTCTCGGCTCCGGTATCCTTCTTCTGCGCGAGGACATCTACGTAAGCCTGGTCAGGCGGGGTAGCCCAGATACCACGCTCCTCCAGTCCAATGAAGTAGAGAGAGGTGGGGTCAAGGTCAGACTTGAGCTGTTGTACAAACGCGTCAACGTAGATGGTCGGAGAAATAAAGGCGAGGGTGGTGACGGCACGGTAAGCTGCCTCAGCGAGTCTGAGATCGGCAGGGGGAGTAGCAGCCGCTTCCCACAGAACGTTCAAAATCCGGTCCTTTTCATCCCTCGCAACAGCAGCGGGGTCGAGACCCAGAGACTGCACGAGCCCGACCCAGCTGGTCTGAGCCTCGGAAGTGAGTTCAGGGTGATGGGCAAGCACGATAAAGTCGACTGCAAGATCCTCGAGGACTCTTTTACTGGCATCGGGGCCGGCGACAAAGATGGAGGAGAGGAGACGGCCAATCTCTCGCGACTTGCTTGAGACGGGGTCGTCATCCTCAGATGTTGGCTTGTAAGACGCACGACGCTCGTCGCGGGTCCTGAGCCAAGATTGCAGAGCCAGTCGAATGATACTGCTCAAGACCTGAGGCTGGACTTTGACGAGCTTGGTGAGAGCCTCAAGGGTACCTCGCCTGACCTCGCTGCTCTTCGCTTCGAAAGCTAGATGGATAAAGGCCAGTCCGATAGCAACCTTGGCAGCGTCGGTGTTGATCTTGGAGCCCTGAGTAGCGACGACGCCTTCCAGGGACCTCAAAAGCCACAGCTCATCTTCAGCAGCGGGGAGTCGCAAGTGAATATTGCTGTTGAGCACAAAAGACGGCTTGGGAGCAACGGCCAGAATGCCATCCATGACAGGGCTGCCGTTGAGCTTGTCGGCGGCAGGCATGCCCTTCAAGGCGCCAAGGGCGAGGGAAAGAGCGACGTAACCTTCGAGGAACCCAGCGGGGTTGGCAGGCAGACAGACAGCAGCAGCCTTGAGATTGTTTTCGAGGGCGGGGACGAGAGCACTGATGGTGTTTTCACCCTCAATAGAGAATTGCTGGCCTGTCGAGCCGACAGTCCAGATAGCTTGACCGACAGCACTCGAAAGACCTCGACGGGTGGCAATCTTGGTGGCACCGAGCTCCTTGATCAACGCCTGGCTGGAAGCAGCAGCAAGAGCCTTGTTGGAAGTGAACGTGTGTGCAAGGTGGTGGCCGAGAGCAGCACCAAGAGCTTGGAATGCAGCTTCGTTGGCTTCCTTCGCAACAAGCGTGGGAAGAAGGTCAACAACCACGGATGAAGCTGCATCAGAGACAGGAATCTCGGAAAGCATGGCAAACAAGATGGCACGATGCTCGGGGCTAGCGGTCTTGCCGGCCTTGGGCAAAGCGATGATCTCGCTGGCGACCTTGGCCTGGGCAGCTTCGTCAGAGCATCGGGCGATAACGGCCTTCAAGAGGGTGAGAGATTTGCTTCGAGTCTCGGCGTTGGATGATTTGGAAGCAGAGAGGGTCGAGTTGACCAATTTGGCCGGCACGAGGGCAGAGACGTCGTGAGAGCAGGCCAAAAGAAGGTCGGCGGTGAGTTCGAGCGCAACTTCGGGTGACCGAAGAAGCATCTTCTCAGCCTGTGGGATGAGCTTCTCAGAGAGAGTTTGATACGAGACAAACTCTCCCAAGAACTCGTTGAAAGCAGTAGAGGAGTGACGGGGGACGTGAGTCTTGGCTCCGAGTATGTTGGTAGAGTAATAGTTGACTATGGCGTCCTTTTCCTTTTCGACTATTTCCCTGCCGGAAGCGGCTCTACCCGACTCTCCATTCTTTAGAGGTTTGAGTCGCAGAGCAACCCCAATGACGTGTGTGATGAGCACCGCCAGTCGGGAGGGTTGCGGATAGGTGCGGGTGACGAGGGAGTGCAATACTTGAGACAGAGTTGGTCGCAATTGCCTCAGTACTCTCCACACTTGTATTCCAGCCTTCTTCCTGATCCGCTTGACTCTCGATTCGTGGTGAATCTCCTTTTCTCCCGACCTCATGGCGTCCAACACTAAGGCGAGGCTGAGGAACAAGTCCTGGCCTTGCTGGGACGAAACGAATTGATCTACAGGTGCGCGGGTCGATGATAATTCAGAGATGAGGGAGGTGGTGATGATGAGATAGGGGAAAAGGGTCACAGGAGAGACACTATACAGTCGTCAGCAACAGAGATCGACAATGACATGCACTTACGACTTTGAAGGGTTCGCGACCTTTTCAACTTCCATACTGGTCCACTTGACGAGCTTGTCTGCGAGCTTCTGCTTGCCTTCCTCCAGCTTCTCATCCCTATCCACGAGTTTTATCAGGGTGCTAACAATGTCCTCGGAGTGGTCGACGTCTGTTATCGAAGAGAGCGTTGAAAGCAAAGCAGTCAAGACGAGTGGGACTTGTGGCAGTGGGGGTGCTATGAGATGTCAGCAGTTGCCAGACCAGGTATGATTTGACAAACATTGCTCAGAGACATAGAGGTATTGGGAAAGGAAAGCCCTTCTTCTCTTGCTGCTTGGATCCAGAAGAGACGTCCTCAGTCTCGGGCCAAGAGCTTCCCAATCAACGTCCGTCTCCCTTCTTCCAGTGACATCTTCTGTTGGTTCTATTTCATCTGCATCATCGTTGTCATCCTCCACCTCCTTCTTGACTTGCTCTTCCGATTCAGATTCCGACTCGTACGCCTCAGACCTAGGCTCGTCGCTCTGGTCTAGCCATGAGCCGACTTTGGCTTTTGATGACATGCCTCGCTGGGCCTGGAGTTTCTGGAGGGTTTTCTTGGTGGTGGATATGTTGGGTGGTCGGCAGTGGGAGGGGCAAGGAAATAGGAAGAGGGAGGGTGCTGGAATGTTTCCTGACTTTGCTCGAATCTCTACTTGCAGCCAACAATTCATCGCAGAAAGGCTTAGCCGGATCCGTGAATTTGATCCCGCTTCTTTCTTCACCCCACCTAGCTCCCATCTACACCCCTGGTTCCGGCGAGTATTGACGAGTATGTATGCCGCTCAATACTTCAATTTAACTTGGGTTGCTTGAGTCAACCACTACTCATAGCAGGATCAAGCCTTGACGGCCGCTCATCTAGGATGATGTTCATCTGCGAAATCATGATAGACCACCTTGTCTGTCTCCTGAGCCTTTTGCTGATTTGGTGGTGTTGAAGGTGCCAACGATGGAATTGGCCCAGGAGTTGTGGGACTGTGATTCTGTTCTTAGAGAGAGATGTGAGTATGCATAATGATGATCATCCCTCTGCTGGCTTCGGCGTGCGCCTAAGACCTATGTACAGTAAAGGTACTGCAGCACGGGCGGGCCCACGTTACCACTTAGCGAGTGAATCACGAGAGGTCATGCTGTATGAGCGTACGAAGGGGTTTTGACCTGGAAGGTCGAATAAGTCTTCTCTGGACCAAGCAGATCGTGATACGAGTAACGGCGGCCACTGGTGGAAAAGCTGATAGCAACATCGAGTGACTACACACGCGACATCACTGGGGATGTAGATAATGGCAATGAAAGAGATACTGTTATTACTCAAGCAAGGCCGTAGACTTGATGATGGAACTGACCTGCGAGACACATTACCTGTTGGAAAAGAAGAACAGACAGAGAAGAAGGGCAAGGGGTGAAAAAGTTTTGAAAGGGCTGTGGGGCTTGTAGTAGACCACCTCGTAAGAAGATCCATGGCCAAGTGGCCATTTGCGAAAAGTGGGCTAACTCTGTGCTGGTTTATGACCCCTAGCATCAGGCAGAGCCATGCGGCAGAATCCGCCTCGCTATCTTATCAAAACCCTGAGCTGTTGCGGACATAAAAACAGGCCGCGACGTATATATCGGTCTTAAGCACGCGGCAAACGCCGCCACAACTAAAAGCCACGTGCCGCCACACCCAGTCCATGAATGCATTCTCCGCGCTCACTCGTCGCGCACTTGGGTCATTTCATCGCCTATACGTGGTGTTTCCTTAACCCTCAAAAGCATCTAAAGTAAGCCTCCGCACCCGACCCCATCCCACAAGTCGCCCCCGACAAACGCCCTGCCGCTCGCCCAAATTTCCGCCGCCCGCTGACAAGTTCTCTTTCCAGATGCCTACCCGATTCTCCAACACCCGAAAGCACCGAGGTCACGTCTCTGCCGGTCACGGTCGTATCGGTAAACACAGGAAGCATCCGGGAGGTCGTGGTCTTGCCGGTGGTCAGCACCACCACCGAACCAATTTTGACAGTGTGTTTTCTCCCTACTATTCTCCGTCGACAAGAACGAAAACGGCTTGGAAGAAAAATTGGAGAGACGTCGGCCAGGAGGGAGGCCAGATATGAGGGATGGAAAGATATGTGGTTGGCGGGGCTGTAAAACGCCCTGTCACGTCGCAATGTCTTGCGGCGACGTGCGTGCGAGACGGGGTGTTGGCGTCGTGGTGTTCGGGGTCGGGGGAATATCCTAGAGTGTGTATATGGGCTAGTACTGACTATATCACAGAGTACCACCCTGGTTACTTCGGTAAGGTCGGTATGCGTCACTACCACCTCCTCAAGAACCACTACTACCGCCCCACCATCAACATCGACAAGGTGTGTTTCAAAATCGGCTGAAGGAAGGATCAGGCGCTGATGTTTTGGTACAGCTCATCACTCTCCCCGAGTCTAAGGTCGATGCCCCCGCCGGTACCGTCCCCGTGATTGACCTCACCCACCTCGGCAAGTTCAAGCTTGTACGTCTCTCGCCTTGTTTGTCCATGATCAGAATGCTTATCATCCGTGCAGTTGGGTAAGGGCCGAATCAACACCCCCTTCATTGTCAAGACCCGATTCGTCTCCAAGCTCGCCGAGGAGAAGATTAAGGAGGCTGGTGGTGTCATCAAGCTCGTCGCCTAAGCGTGATGGAGACTTGTAGAGGAGTTCGTGTTGCGGCTACGGCATGCAATGTGTAACATGATATCCGGCTTTTATTATGGATCTCGTGGCTATGGGAAATCAGAGGGCATGGCTGGGAGGGCGAAAAGCATGTTGATTTTGCTCATCACACGCAAGTTGACGGCAATCCCTTTTCGCATGGGATCAGGGCCGGGGGCAAAAAATTGCAAAAGCTGATCCTCAACACGCTAATCTCCAACACTCCCCAATCTCAAACACTCAAACGGCGGTCGTGCGTCAAGGACTGGGTCTTATTAATGATCAAAAGCCGCCATTTGGCCGCCCGGATGGCTCTCGGTCAACCTGAACTGTTTACGGTAATCCAGCAAATCCCTTATACAATCGACCCTTTCGCCGTACGCTATCTTGCCACCTATGTACCGCCGACAACGCCTGGGCAGAGTGGAGGTGATACATGCTGACCATCAACAAAAATACAAAATACGACTACTTGCCCACTTCACCAACCGAAAACTTGATTCGTCCCTTCATACACGCCACAGCTTCATACAATCCATATTCCACCATCTTCATCATTGTCCCGTATGTCTTGCCTTCCTTCTTTGTAAACCTCCCTACCCACAAAAACGCCCAAGTGGTCTTTTCTCTCTTTTCCCGGTCCTTTGCCGGCATATCTCTGACCACTTCATTGTCTGGGCCAAACACCTCTGGATGGGCGTACCGCAAGATCGACAGGAGGTAGTCTACCGTTTCGCTCACAGACCACGCGGGGTGGGACCATAGTTGACTGTACGATACCACATTGAGAGTGCCGTAACAGACACTGGGAATGCAGGGGACTTTGTACGGTACGTGGATGACCTTTGTGGGCACATGCCCCGCCGCAAACTCGAGCGCCTTGTACTCGCCCGGCTTTCCCTCCGTCTGCCCGTTTGCCCGTATAGCAGTCCCAGGCAACGGGGGCAGCTCGTCCAGCCCAAAGATGAATGGCCAGTACGCCACATCCCTCGGCTTTGACACCTTGGCGAGAGAAAAGGCGCAGGCGCGGTTGGGTGGGGTGATGGACGACCAGCCTGTACAATGCAGGTGCATCTCGGTGAGCGAGGGAAAGACGACGATAGACTGGGAGGCGAGATGCTGAAAGATGGAGGTGATTCGGAGGAGGGTCTTTTCATCGCTGCAAAGTGTCAGTGATTGCAGACGCGACGCGTGGTGGACTCACGAAGAAGACTCTCGGAAACAGATGTATGTGCCGAAAGAATGCTGCAAGACCTTGGTATTCGCCAGGAATGCCAGCTTCAACTGGCGTCCGAACGGCCTCTCTGCGAACGGCTCGGCATACTGCAACCCCTCGACCACCTTGGCGAGGGGAGGCGTGTAGCCATCAATCGAGTGACGATCTTCCTCGCCACTAGACAATGAGCTGTAGATGGATTGGCTGGCCATGTAGCAGGTTTGCTAGGAGGTCGTCAATACGTGGCTTTCAGTCATACTAGAACTCACCCTGCTGATAGTCAACAAGGCATGCCTCTTGTCTATGTGTTCGACGATCTGGTAGACCAACTCGGGAGGAAGATCTTGTAGTCCTGTACCCATAATGCGATATCTCTGGTGTGGAGGTGGGGTGTGTGGCGTGGCAAGACTGGTGATGTGGATGTTATCTGGGCATTGCACGAAGGCAGCGGAAGGGATGTGGGATGCAGGACGGGCCGGTCGAAATCGATAGCCACGAACGGCGGGAGAGTTGAGTGATTGCGGCGGCAATGTATTATGACCGGCCGAGGGGATAGTGGAGCTACGGAGTCTATTGGATAGCTATTGGCGATGCACGAGTCGATGGAAAGCTCCTGGTGACGGGTCCATGTCGGGTCCAGGGCCCACCTACAGTTTATCTGATAAGCTGAGGCTTCGGTCCGATATCTCCCTTTCGGCCGTCTCACCCGTCGCTCATCATTGTTATTGTTGGCTGATACACATGGTGCCTTTCAGGGTTGTCATGCCCCTCGGGGGGGGGACGAGGCAGACAGAAGAGGTGCTCTTGGATACATCGAAAATTGACAGCGACACGCATACAGTACTCGTACTCTACATTCTATGCAAATGAACGATTACGGCCAATCACCGGTCCCCCTGCCCAGTCCCTCTTTCGGCAATCCAACTCCTCACTCCAGTACTTCCCATCTTCATCTTTTTCAATTTCGCCTCGTCTACCTCCTGCTTCAGGTCTACCTCTTCCCTCTCCGCAATCACATCTACCACAAACAATTCAAGCTCCTCCAGCCCTGCACCCTTCCGCGAGCTGTTGACATACTCGCCCCCGGAAAGCGTTTCGCGAGAACAGACGAGAGCTTGAATATCTGGGTCGGTACGCGTGGGTCCCAAGGCGTCATCTATCCGTAGTACATCTAGCTGAAGAGTGTCGGAAGCGCCTGACCGCGCCAAAAACGCATTGGCATTGTCCAAACGCTCTGCTAGTGGTTGCACAAGCTCGGCGTGTGTCTTGGAGGCAAGTAGATTGTCGGCCATAATACCCACAATAAGCTTTTGGGTAGAGAGAAAGACGCCCAGGTGCAAGAGGAGTTTGTGGGCGGCATGCAGACGGTCGAATGTGCCTCCCAGGGCTACGACGGGGAAGCCTGACGAAGGTGGGAGGGAGAATTGTTCGGGAGAGATGCTGGCCAGAGAGGGGGATGTGATGGAAATCTCGGTGAACGGGGCGGGAACAACCTTGTCAATGGACGACACGACGTCTGTCTCTCGGACTGTGTATCGTCAGCCTATAATCTTGTCTGAGACTGGATATCTCACCTCCATCAATCTTGACAATGTGGTATTCCTCCGCCTCTGCAACGCCACGACAAAGCTTTGACTCTAGACTCCCGCCTTCACCTTCGAAATGCACTTCCACATCCAACAGCACTTTACCGCACTTCCACTGTGCAGTCCAAAGCGCCGTGTAGATCGCACCAAGGAACGATTGGAGTCCCGCGAATGACTCTTTCGGTGATCTCTGAAGCAGACTATACAGTTGCTCCTGGTCGGAACCCTTGCCAGGGATCAGAGACTGTGCATTGGCGAGGGCGCCCTTGGGGGTGGAGAAGAAGACGGTGAATGATTTGGAGGCGGACGGTGGGAGGATGTCGAGGATGAGGGCGACGAGGGGCTGGGGGGCTGTGAATAGGGCGGGGGTGAGGGGGAGACAGAGAATGATGTGGTCTGCAGTGTCTACCTGGGTCATCCTGAATGCATAGACACAGAGAACAGTGCAAGCAGAATGGCAGTCGAATCGCGTCCTAGGCTGAGTTGCGGAGGTCGCCGCCGCCACATTGTCGGCGTTTTTTTTCTGCCGCAATTTCGAGGGAGACCATTGCAAAGCGTTTACTCAGCTCGAGACCGCTTCTACAACCCACAAGAAATAGTGAGTCGCCCTCAGCACCACCAGCACAGCACGCCAGGAGAGAGCGGGAGGCAGGAGGGAAGAAAGGGGGACGGGGGTCGTGGCCAATTCGCGTGATTGATCAGCAGGGTGGAGGCGTGCTGGGCTCGAAACTACATAAAGCGACACCGCCGCAATCCTTTTACTAACGCATCTTGTCCTAGTCAATCAAAATGGGTCGCCGTCCCGCTCGTTGCTACCGTTACTGCAAGAACAAGCCGTGAGTGGGCTCGTCACAGCCCTGCAACTCCTGCTGACAAAGCACCAGTTACCCCAAGTCGAGGTACAACCGTGGTGTTCCCGACCCCAAGATCAGGATCTTCGATCTCGGTCGAAAGAAGGCTTCCGTCGACGACTTCCCCTTCTGTTGCCACCTTGTCTCCGACGAGTACGAGCAGCTCTCTTCTGAGGCTCTCGAAGCTGCCCGAATCTGTGCCAACAAGTACATCGTCAAGACCGCTGGTAAGGAGGCCTTCCACATGCGTGTGAGGGTCCACCCCTTCCACGTCGTCAGGATCAACAAGATGTTGTCCTGTGCCGGTGCCGATAGGTTGCAGCAGGGTATGCGAGGTGCCTGGGGTAAGCCTTACGGTTCCGTCGCCCGAGTCAACATGTACGTGATTTTACTCCTCATCAGTGGTCAATGCTTACTCTATCATCAGTGGTCAGGTCATCATGTCCATCCGATGCAAGGACTCCAACAGGGCCGTCATCATGGAGGCTCTCCGACGAGCTCGATACAAGTTCCCCGGACGACAAAAGATCATTGTCTCCAAGAAGTGGGGTTTCACTCCCCTCGCCCGAGCCGACTACGAGGCCCTCAAGGCCAACAAGCAGGTCATCAACGACGGTGCTTACGTCCAGGTGCGTACTTTGCTTAATGCGACAGGAACATTTCTGATTCCTTTACCAGTTCCTCAAGCCCAAGGGTTCTCTTCTCCAGAACCTCAGGACTGCCGAGCGTGCTTAAGCGTTTGTCGGTTTGCAGGCCAGTTCGTAGGCGCTGGATGTATCGTCTTTGAGCACTTCAGATTGTCCAGTAGAGTCGAGCCATTTGCCTTTGGCTGATGTGGGGTGCAGCGACAACGTCGATACAAGCAACAATGTGATATGGAAACAGCTGACAATCTCTATACCTCACAATCCCGTGTTCCACCTGCTGACGCGACAAGAGGCTCGTTTCTTGGATGAGTGGCCGTGCCAGAGTAGAGGCAGAATCGGTAGCTCCTTTTGATACACACTCGACAGGGAATATGGCCGTCACACTATGAGGCCGTGAGCGGGTCACTTGTCATGGCGGGATAACATACTTTGCGATGGTTTGCTCTGCAAGTGTCACAAACTTCCGTCGTTCTTGGTCCCCGCAGTGACTTCTTGCCCTTCTTACTCGACCCAGCCTCCGCCTTTTCTCTGGTCCTGTCCCTCGGCGCCGCTACCTGTGGAACGCCACCGTCAAACTGACGCCCAATAGTCACGGTCATCGGTTGGCTAAGAGTAGGCGTAGGCGTCTGCTCTCGTGCGCCCTCCGGCATGTCCCACATCCCAGGCGAGATGGCCCTCAGCGCCTGAGACTTGGCTGCCCTCACCACCTGAACTCTTTCCGGGAACTCCATCATCGAGCCGCTCTTTCTCACTACCTGGCCAGTCTTCTCCCTTCCCTCTAGGCCTCTGTCGATGAAGGGGCTGTCGAACGAGGCTGGGTGATTGCGCTTCTCGCGCTTCTCGATACGCCTGGTGGTAGGAGGGGGGGAAAGGAGCTGGAGGCGGAGCCTGATCTCGTCGTCAGGACGCGCTGGATGGTGCGCCGTCTCGGTCTCGGGAGTGAGGGGGAAGAAGAGAGAGGGCTGAGCGCGCCTGGTCGATATGGGTGTAGCTGCGATAGGAGGTGGCTTCTTTCCATTCGCATTCTTCAGCGCGACGTAGGGCACATCGCTGTAGGCTTCCCTGAGACGCGCCCGAGACTTTCGATGGACCATCTCCACCTCTGCGGGTGCACAGGCACTTTGTTGGTTGCTGGCATAGGCGTCACTCTTGACACGGGAGGGTATCGCATCCTGTGACGGCTTGAAAGGAGGGTAGAGTTGGTCCAGCCGGGGCATCAGCGGGTGCAGAGGCGGCATCGATGTCAAGGTGCAGGCAGCTATATGAGGTGTGGCAGGGGCAGGCCAGAGATCTACTCCGTTCTCTGGCTTGGATTGATTTGATGTCGTAGGCGCTGCGGCTACGAGGGAGGTTGGTGGCGACGATCCAAAGTCCGAGAGGGTCCGTCTATGGGCAGCCGGGTGACTGCTGGGAGGCGAAATCTTGTCAAGAGTACTCAGAATTGTCGGGGATGGTGAGCGGTGGAACTCTGTCTGCCATGGAGGAGAGCACGGTGTGAGAGAGAGTGGAGAAGCCGCCGGTCCGACTTGGTATGTGGTCGGTGGGAGGAGAGGGGGGCTATTGAGTGCTTCCAGGCGAGCAGTGGGGATATCTGGTGCTTCCAAGCGAATAGCGGGAGGAGCTGCGGTCCGCATCACAGAGGGCTTTTGAGGTACGCGTGTAGCGCCAAAGGCTTGAGGTTGGTGTGTAGGAAAGTCGACTGACTGTGAGCGAGTGATCACTCGGTGGCGAGGGGTAGAGAGAGGTGGCAGCAAGAGGGTCGAGTGTGATGGACGTTTAGCAAAGCGGCGACTGTGATGAACGGCGAGCAGAACTGCGATGAATGTCAGACGAGAGTGGGTGCGAGTGGAAAGAAGAGGGCATACCTGGGGAGTTGTTTCCGCTGGGAGGGCTGGCCTGTGCCCTGAGCTTAGGGGTGTCTGGCAGGCATGGGGCGCTGGTGACCGCCATCTCGGGGGGATGACGGATAGAGGAGGAGAGGTGCGGATACAGAAGAGAGTGGGGGTCTCTGCGTATAAACAAGCCAGCCCCGCTGGCTGACGTCAACTAAAGTGTCCGTTTTCTCACCATGCATCCAACACCGCTCACTGCCCCGTACACGGCGTATTCATTGCATGCACTGTAGGTGGAATAGTGAGAGGCAAACATGAGATCATGTACACCCAGTAACCGCTTGCGCTGGCCAAATCCTCGTCGAAAGTGGTCATCCAACAGAGCATGTGACTAGAATGTTCATTTCAATCATTATTATTCAGAAACCCCATGTCCAAGCGTTGATAAAGATATCAAGTAACGTTGAATCGTCGAATTAGCTACAAGATCTCAATGGATATGACACAACACAAAATAAGCTCCACCCCCTCTCAACATCCATTTCCCCTCTATCAATTACTATGAGCTCGAGCTCAAGTCCGTCCTCTTCTTCGCAGGACTGTAGATCATCTCCTCCCCCTCTTCCTCCCCCACATCATATCGACCGGGCGGGCTTGGGAAATCATCCACAAAGCTCACCGCCGCCGAGTCCCTGTACCAGCTCATCGCGGGCGACACGGCCAAGCCATCGCCCCTCGACCGCGACCTTCCTGATTGAAGGGGGGTGTGTAAACTTTGAGTAGATGGAAAGTTGTGAGGGTGGGCAAAGGGATGATGCGAGTGCGAGACGATAGGTTGTTTAGGAGCAAGTGAGAAGGTGACTGGGGAGGGCAACACAGTCGGGTTTTGGGGAGGCATGGTGCCCGATTCGGGACGGGAAGGGGATTGGTAATCTTGAGACTGATGTGGTAACCCTGTGATTCGGTCAGTCATGAACATGTTTGGCGATGCTCCGCTCACTCTCGAACGAATCGTCCTGCCTCACCGTCACACCGATAGGTCTCTCGATGGCGATAGGCGCAAGGAGTTTCCTCCTTGGCGGCGTCACCGGCCTCGGCCCAACATCCAAACCTTGCGTCAAGATTTCTTCAAGCATCGTATCCGGCGTGTTGATCTCCAACATCGTACCGTCACTCCCAGCTGAAGTCCGACGCAGCTGGCTGTCTGAGGTAGAGTGCGCAAGACCTTGACCGTTCCCTCGGGAGATGGTGTCGACTCCAAAGGACAGTCTGGAGCCACGCGATGACATTGGTGGTAGAGGCGGTAGAGGAGGGAACAGATTGCCGGATGGCAGGCTGGGGGTAGATTGAGCGTCGTGCGGTGTTCTGAAGAACAATCCCTATTCCATATAAGTATGCGCTCTGGTAAAAGGTCGTATGACTTACATGGAAATCCTCCTCATCCTGGACCGTCGATATCCCACTCGATCTCGTACGATGTTCGGCCGTACTAGGCCTCGATCCATGCTTGCTCTTCAGCTCCAAATCTGATCCCGACCACGGTCTCTCAGCCGTCAGCGCTTGTGGGTCTTTGCCCTGCCCTTCGATCACCCCGACACTCGTAGACCGGCTGTGGCCCCTCTCTTCTATCGTCGGCTGGCGGATCTGAATCTTTGCAGAAGAAGCGGGAGAAGGCGCACTGGGCAAAAGGCCAGAAGAGTCGTTTGCTGCCCTGGACGAGTCACCATTCGAGGTTGTCGAAGCATACAGCGGACTGAGCACGTGAGGGCTGATGGGCCCCGGTCTTCGATAGCCTGCTGGGCTTTGCACGGGAGCTTTGAAAGCCTTGCGCATCCGAGCAAGTTTTTGTTGCTTGGCGAGAAAGTCGCGGGCTTTGGATGAGCCATCTGAAAAGCGTAGGTCTTCTGGCCGCTGTGACCGCTCCACCTCTGCTTCCGGATCATGACACAGACCGGGGGAGACAGCCACACCGATCTCCTGTTGTCCTCGCTGCCACTCATCTTGAGCTGCCTCGAACTCGCCAGAGCCCCGGAAAGCCGGAGACATGCCAAACATCAACGAGTCTACCGTAGGCGATACAGGCATATCACTCGGGGCACTGGATAGTCGCTGCTCAGTGGGCAGGCTGGGTAGCGGTTTCTCCGTTTCCAAAAAAGGTACAGATCTGTTTGCTCTGGATGACGCCCAGCGTGAGGAAGCGTTCCGACTGATGACTACAACACCTCCTCTGTCAGCCACTGAAGGCTGCTTAAAGTGCAGCGTCCGGCCTATGGGTACAGAAGCAGCAGGATTGCGAGGTTCGTGATAAGAATGTAGAGTGTTGTAGAGATCTGGATGGCTTTGTGTATAGCCTCGGGAGTGGGCGAGGCTGGGGGTAGGGTTGTTTCTCTGGTAGCTCCCAATGAGGTTAGGATCTGATACGCCAAGTCTCCTGGGAGGCATCCCACCTCTCCTGAAGGTATTATTCGACCTCGTAAAGTCAAAGCTTTTGGGTATGGCCGGACTTCCATCTTCCTTTCCGAAATTGTTGACGTTGTCGCCCCTCTCGCCTTTGTCAGAAACAGAAGAGTTCTTGGAATGCCTTCCCCAACGGCTACCCAGAGACGCTGATCGCTTTCGCCCTTGCACACCCCCAAGCGAGATATTCAACATCGATCCGTTCCTTCCTCTCTCCCGACTCCGACTCCGACTCCTCTCCCTCTCCCGGGCTTTGGCGTTGCCAACAATCGGAGCGTCCGGTGGGGGCTCGGCGCGTCCGCCCAAGCTCAGACTTCTCCCTCTCCGCTGCACTAGCGTAGCCCAGTCGTTACGCTCCTTTGCCCGAGCTTGCGTCTTTTCCAGGACGCGGGCACCGTTATCGGAGGACGTGGTGGAGAAGCTCTCGATACTGTTTCGTCGAACTCTAGTTTGAGCGCGCTGACTAGGTCTGGGATAGAGATGAGGCCGAGGGAAGAGGAATAGCTCGCGAGCTGAGGGAACCAGCCATTGTCTTGGTTCATCTTTCTGTTGGTAAGTATCAAGATTGTGATGGGACCGATTCGGCAGGGAGACTGTGCGCCTCCGGATATCGGCACTAGACTCTTCGAGTGTAGGCTGGTCTCGTAGAGGGACGCTTTCTCCCGATGATTCCGCCTTGGCTCGCAGCTCCCTGTTCAAGGGCGAGAAGAGGATGTTTGGCTCTTCCAAGCCAGTGGGGACGGAGGTGTATGACGGGAAGCGCGTAACCGGCGCAGGGTTGTGGTTCAGCGACTCCTGGGATGAAGGAAAAGAGAAGGATGGCGACGAGCCCTTATGGCTCCGAGATAAGAACCTCTGGGCACTAGCAGCAGCAGGATTATACCGCACATCTCTTCGATCGTGACCATCGTCCTCCATCTCTGCGCCGCACATTGCGCTCCTTAGATTCCCCCCGAGCGATGATGTTTTGCGGTGGTGCGTCGCCTTCTTTTGCGGCCGCTGGGGGTCTTGTTGAGGGAGTGTGGGGTTGCCAGTATACGGGATATACCACTCATCGGCGGAGGGCTGGGGCAGGGTGTCGGCGGAGGAGTAGGTGCGAGTCCGCAAGTTGGTGAAGGCGTTTTGAAGGCGGTCCATTCTGTGGTAGTCGGCGGTCATGTTGGATAGGGGTCGGGAATGGACGATTGCAAGATCAGAATGATGAAGATTGTCAACATCTACCCCACGTCGCGTCCAGAAAGGTGACGTCTGGAACCTTGACTCACCTGGAGAGGGGGTCTCGCGTGAAGCACGACGGGGAGAGTGGAGTAGCAAGGTATGACCGCCAGGCCGAATGAGGGGGATGTTGACAAGCAGAGAGATGGTCGGCGGGGACAGACGCGTCGTGAAGTGAGAGGGGGCCTCGAAGGATGGTGCACAGACTGGAGTCCCGGCGTGCTCCCTACTGAGACCAGGTCGCTGAAGGGTCGGGGCGAGAGGCGAGGGCCATGCTGCGAGGAGATGTGGGTCGTTGTTGACAAGATCTGAGATCAGGTGAAAAGCCAAGTGCAGTTGAAGTGCAGGCGCCGTAGAGATCGGTAATGTTCTCGTCCCGTCGGGTCCCGCCCAGCGCTCCTTCGGCTTTGCCCTTCAGTGTCTCTTGCGGTTCTGTACAGCGCGCTCTTGTCCAGCAACTCGTGCATGGTATCTCGGAGGCGACGGGCAATGAACCAGTAGCTCCAGGCTGCATATGTCAAAGGCTGAAATCGCCCAAGAGTACGGTGTGATCTACGTCATACGGCAGCACCGTACGAACTGCTGCACCCGTGCGTCTTCAATGCTTATTGGGCGTATGGTCATACGTCGTCGCGATGAATCGACAAGCTCAAACTTTCAGTATATAACATTGGCAATGTCCAAGGCTTGCGCCTGTATTAAAATGTGATAAATATTCTAAACGATTCCACCTCTCTCAGCATCTCTCTAGTATACGCAAGACTGGCTACGGCAAAGTGGGGGCGATGAAAAGAAGCTAACAGAAGAAAGACAGGATTTAAAAGACGATTCCTGAATCCAGCGAGCCGTTCTCCTGTCCTCCAACAAAACCATGTCCAACATCCTCTTCTTCTCCGCAAACAGCATCCTTCTCTGCTTCTGCTCGGACAACTCTCTCTCCAAGGCTTGCCTAGTGGACTTCAAGCCATCCATCACCTGCTGGCATACCTGCTCCAGGTGCACGCTCGCGCCCTGCCCCTGGGTGATGTAGGGTTTGGTGGCCATTCTGGCCTCTTTGAGCTTGTCAAAGGACCTGAAGTGGACATGGGCAAAGCGGAAGTATCCAGCCTTGCTGTGAATGCCATGGAGGTCTTTGATGGCTTGGTGGACGGCCTGCTTGGCCTGGCGGGCGGTGCGGTAGATGCCCTTGCCCTCCTCGGTGGCGGACGCAAGAGCGTTCTTGGCCACAAGGTTGAGGATTCGTTGAATGACGAGGGCGTCGTGGCGATCTTTGTAGGATTGGTGAGAGGCACGAGGGGAGCAGACCTCGATGAAGATATCGGGAATGTCACCGTCCGCGCCATAGACGACAGAGGTGAGGATGAACCCGTCGGGTTTGGTTTCGTAGATGGTCTCGGCTTTGGCGAGAATGGGGTGGAGGGTGCGGGAACTCGTGGGTGTGACGCCGGATTCTGTTCAATCTTGTCAGTATATGCAGGCTGGCAGGAAGTAGCCGGATTACTAAGACTCTCTTTGCTAAGAGGAGAAAAGAAACCAGAGATGGTTTGGGGAACCATGGTGGGCAGTATGCGGGATGTTGGTTGTGGTGTGTGAGGGTCTTTGCCAGAGCTGGTGTTTGTTTGTGAATGACAGCAAGATGACTTTGTCAGTCTGGGATGGGGGATGGAAAGAAGAGAAATGCTCCGTGGATCCCTGCTTATATGTCCAGTGATGCATTTCCGCTGTCTGGCACTTCTCAGCAATCGCGTCAGCGGAGTTGAGGAAATTAAGTACGTCACGGGCGGAAATGCAATGTCGTTCGCAGGCAGAGAGACAGGCAGTCACCAGCAATCCAAAAAGAGCCTGAGACATCCTATGGACCGCTCTTGAGACTCAGATGCATGCTGGCGAACGCCGCAACTTGCTAGCGCCCGTAGGCAACTACGGGGGCGGCGGAGATCACTGCAGATCACCGGGTCAGCAATGGTCGGGCAAGGTAGACACAGTCATTTTCTACGACTTTTGTGTATGTCGTAAGAATGCGACGCTGTGTCCGAGATCACAGACCGAGAAACATAGCTGGTGGGGGAAAGGACAGACCGTCACCTACGCCGCTTCTTCGCTCGCTCACCCGAGAGTCATTCCACAGCGTTACGTAACCGTGCAGGGAAGCTCACGTGGATATCAGAAGACAAGCGCGTCGAGTGCGCCACGACGACAATTGGACGACAAACTCGCTCTCGACGATATCGCAGGAGCATTCTATACCCATTCAGGAATCAGGTCAGAGAATGTCCAACAGAGCTGTAAGTGGCCATCCCCACAGTCTCTATCTGGAACGACGCTCACCATACTTGTCCCACTTGGCGTTCAGATTGTAAAATGTAAGCTGGCAGATCCCGGACGATGCTGAACAATGGGCTGACGCATGCATAGACGTCCTCTCCGGAGACACGGTAGCCGTGCGCTCTAAAGAGGCTCCCGAAAAGGGCAAAGTGCCCAAAGAACGGTCGGTTTCGACGCTGGCGATTTGTCTCACTGTTGACGTCTTGTAGAATCCTGCACATTGCGGGTGTGCAAACTCCTCGTTTGGGTAGCATGTCACGCGAAGACGAGGTGAGTCCATGATGAAGCAACCGGGCGGGTGGTGTATTGACTATCTGAACTAGCCCCATGCCTTCCAGGCTCGAGAATATCTCTGCCAATTACTCCTAGGTAAAGAAGTCGCTTTCAACATTACGCACACTCTCGAGTCCAATCATGCTGGTCCTGTAAGTCCTCCTCGATCCATCAATCCCATTTCTAATCCTGGTAGGGCCGAGAATTTGTATCCCTCTTCATCGCCCCAGCTGCCCCCGGCCAGCCTCCCCAAGATGTCGCGGCACTTATCCTCGCTGAAGGTTGGGCCAGAATGAGGGATGGCGTTGGAGAAGGCGACGAAGCTATCAGGCGTCTTGGTGCCGAGGAAGCTAAGAAGAGGGACGCCCTTCGTGCCGTTGAAGCCCAAGCCAAGGCTGAAGGCAAAGGAATATGGGACGAGCAGCCGGAATCTCAGAGGACTGTCTCTTTCCAGATGCCTACCGATCCTCAAGCTTTCATTGCCGAACACAAGGGCGAAGAAATTGAAGCTATCGTTGAGCAAGTTCGGGATGGAACGCAGCTCCGCTGCCGACTTCTCCTCGAGGACGGTAACCACCAATTCGTCAATCTCGTTCTCGCTGGAGCCAAGTCACCCCGTGCTTCTACATCCAGAGACACCGAGGTCTCCAATGGAGAGCCTTGGGGAGACGAGGCCAAGTACTTTACCGAAGTGCGAGTACTTCAGCGACACATCAAAGTTCGCTTGTTGTCCGCCCCTGCCTCTCTTGGTGCGAACCCTCTTCAATCCCAAGCTCCCAACAAGCCTACTGGATCTGGACTCCCCGGCCCTAACGGTTTGCCAGCACCATCACAAGGATCCACTGTCATCATTGGTACTGCCATGCACCCGAAGGGCAACATCGCCGAGTTCCTCCTCGCTGCCGGTCTCGCCAAGGTCGTCGACTGGCACGTCGGTCTTCTCGCGCCCTACGGTGGTCTGGACAAGTTCCGAGCTGTTGAGAAGGCTTCCAGGGAGAAGAAGCTTGGTATCTGGGAGAATTTTGCACCTGTTCGTGCTACGGCTAACGGTGCTCCTGGTGCCGTCGCCGCGCAGGGACCCCCTTCGACCAAGGGAACCGACTTTGAGGCGACCGTGACTAGGATCTGGGGGTCTGATCAGCTGAGCATCGTGGAGAAGAGCGAGGACGGCAAGGAGAGGAGAGTCCAGTTGTCGTCAGTCCGTGGACCTAGAGGTGTTGACGCCAAGCAGACCTACTGGGCCAATGAAGCCAAGGAGTGTGTACTTTTCTCTGCAGATGGATGTCGCTAACAAGGAAGGGTCAAGGTTCCTGCGAAAGCGTTTGATTGGCAAGCATGTCCATGCCCACGTGGACTATGTCAAGCCCAAGGAGGGTGAATTCGAAGAGAGAGAATGCGTGACTATCCGATACGGCAACCAGAACCAGTGAGTCTACATCTTCATGGGCAACGCTGTGACTAATGCAAGCCGCAAAGCAACATTTCCGAGCAATTGATCGAAAAAGGTCTCGCCACTGTTTTGCGTCATAAGCGCGACGACGAAGACCGTTCTGTGGAACTTGACAAACTCATCCTCGCCGAGCAGACCGCGCAAACCGGTGAGAAGGGTCTCCACTCCACCAAGGAGGTGGTCATGCCCAGGATCGTCGATGCTTCTGAGAAGGGTAGTATGGCTTCTAGCTATCTGCCGCAATGGAAGAGGGCCGGCAAGCACGCCGCTGTCGTGAGTCTACACGTTGCGCAAAGCAAATCGTGCTGATGGCGAGGCAGGTGGATTTCGTCAGTGCTGGCTCCAGATTCAAGCTTTTCATGCCCAAAGAACACACCAAGATCACGCTGGTACTCGCTGGCATACGCGCCCCGCGCACAGCCCGAAATGCTTCCGAAAAGTCAGAGCCCTTTGGTGCTGAGGCTCTGAAGTTTGCGTCCAAGTACCTGCAGCGGGATGTCGAAGTTGGCAAGTCTAGCCCTGACTATGGTTCAGCAACAATGACTGACATTCCCTGTAGCCTTTGACTCCACTGACCGATCAGGAGGTTTCATTGGAATCCTGTATGCCGGAGGTGCCAATGTTGCCGTGGAGCTTGTTCAGGAAGGGTGAGCTCCTACTCGGATGTATGCGCTCTATGCTGAAACTCTGCAGTCTTGCATCCGTCCACGAACGTGCTGCCGAGACGTTGCCATTCGGACGTGAGCTTGTTGCTGCCGAGGAGAAAGCCAAGAAGGAGAAGAAGGGTGTAGGTAGACCGCTCGATTATGGCGTAACAGAGCTCACCTTCTCTCACAGATCTGGTCCACATACTCTGAGGAGGAAGCTTCCGCCAAGGTCGTGTCCGATCCTACCTCTGCTCTCCCCACCGAGTACAAAGATGTGTACATTACCGCCGTCAAGGATACCGAGCCTTTCACTTTCTCTGTCCAAGTCCTCGAGCCGGCCAGCGTCGCTTCCCTCACCAAGCTCATGTCGGATTTCGGTCTTCACCACAAGCAGAGCAGCTCTGCCTCTCCTGCTGGATTCTCTCCCAAGGCTGGTGAACTCATCTCTGCCAAGTTTAGCGAGGACAACCAGTGGTACCGAGCTAGGGTCAAGAGGGCTAGTGCGATCAAGAAGGAAGCTCAAGTGGTCTTGATTGATTATGGAAACGAGGAGACACTTCCATTCTCACAGCTGAGGCCTTTGGACTCCAAGTTCAAGAACCTGCCCGGCCAGGCTCAGGAGGCTCGTCTGAGGTAAGCCTCAATTGCCGTCCATGTTTCGATATTGACGCATTAATAGTTTTGTCAAACTTGCTGCTAAATCCGGCGAGTATGGGCCTGAGGCTCGTCGACGCTTTGAAGACCTCACCGGCGGTCTCAAGCTCATTGCCAACATTGACCAACGCGAAGGCAACCTCTTGCACCTCCGTCTAATTGACCCCGCCGACCCTCAGATCAAGGAAGACCCATTGGCCTGTGTCAACGCAGACTTGATTAGGGACGGATTGGCGACCATTGACAAGAGCTGCCCTTACCTTGCTAGCTATCCTCAGGTTGTCAAGAAGCTGCAGCAGTCTACAGAGGATGCGAAGGCGGACCGATACGGTATCTTTGAGTATGTGATTAATTCGTCCCAGAGGATGCGATTGCTGATAATCTTTCCAGGTTTGGAGATGTCAGTGAAGACTAGGCGTCAGTGTCTGCAGCAAGATCAAAAAATAATAAACAAAGTCTCGATTACAAAGCATGAGCATTCTTTTCGCATCTTTTCCATTCAGCATAGCATTTGCATAGGTATGGGATGCATAGAATCAAATCACATCTGTTGAATCAGATATGAAAATGTGCTTGTATTATGTGCTGATGATCGTGTACGAGAAACCATATATCAAAGCCTTATCCTCCGGGGCCCATCCTGTTGCTTCATTTAGACATCATCGTCCCGTTTCTTGGGAGGCCTTCCCCTCTTCCTCTTGGGTGGCGCTGTCTCTTGCCGTTGCTCAGTCCCGGTGAACGTGCTGCTTCCGCTCTCAGGCAAAGGACAATTGCGGGTGTTATGCAAGCTGTGACTCGTGCCTTGCTCGGGCGAGGACCAATGCGTCTGCGAGGGAGAAGACGCGGGTCGTTCAAGATTGTTGAGGGGTACACTGGTGGTGAGGGGTCTGTCCCCTTCCTGGCAAGTGACCACGCAAGTAATCTTTCTGGTTTGGCAACGTTGACAGGGTGGACCGCCTTCACACTGTTCGAGGTGCGTGAGCCGAAAGTCGGAAAAAAAAGACTGATGGAGACTTACTCGGACATGTCGTCGCTGACAATTGGTACAAGCTACCGGGTTTCTGGTCCAACCGCCTTTGCCACCCTGACTCTTGGGTTCCAAATGCCCACCCCTGGAGCCTCTTCCGCCGCCACCTCGTCTTCCCCTTCCACCTCTGCTCCCTGGACCACCTCTAACTTTTGAGAGTGAACCAGGAGGGCGGCCTCGGCCTCGACCCCTTCCAGGACCACGACCACGGGTGGGAGAGCTCGATCCTCGACGTCCAAATTCGAAATCACTCCCTTGAGAATCATGCTCGTGCTTGTGTTCCTCTGGCATGATATCTCCATCAGTCATCTCCGCGTTCCGCTCATTCTGAAAGAAGCGATCATAGATATCCGAGGTGTAAGGCAGACTCTCGTCATCATCATAGACTGGACTGTCGTCGTCCCTTTCAGTGTGGTAGAGGGAAGTAAAGGCGGAAGAAGCGGAAGAAGATCCTGGCCCGAGGTCTCTTGCGTCTTGCAAAGCTGGATCGATCTGGACACTTCCTCGCCGGAGATCGGAGGTGGGTCCTCTCATATCAGACATGGGAGCCGCCCATGCACCATGCAAAGCCGTGGGAGATACGGTGTAATTTCCAGCATAGCCGTAAGAGTGCTGCAAGGCGGCAGCAGCGACAGGATCAAGCATGCTGGTGGTGTTGATGGTGAGGCCGTGGGTCATGCTGGTAGTACTGAAGGAAGTGGAGGCAAAGGGGGTGGGTACGGAGGAGATTGGATGGGTGGGGAAGGAGGGGAGGGGGCCGGGCATGGCTGCGTTTTCCGCCGGGACAGAAGAAGGACCGTCGAAATTCAAGGTGTTTCTATCTGAGCGTGATGGCTCCGGCTGGCTGGGTCCGGGTGGTGCATAGTGGCCTGTTCTAGGGCTGGGGACGAACCTGTAAGGGGAATCGGAAGGGATATCTGGAAAGGAAGGGGGTGACTCTTCTTTCGACATGTTGGGCCACCAGGTTGTTCCGTCACCGCCAAACAGATGCGGAATGGGCGAAAAGGGAGGACAATGAATGATGGGGTAGTGTTGGGATAGATAAAGACCAGACTGTTTTCTAGAAACCTTGAGCTGGTGGAGATGGCAAGAAGAAAAGGAAAAGCATCAAGCCGCAGATAAAAAGTAGGCGGGATCCTATCATTAATTAGAATTGTGGTCACACCAGGGAGTCGTATTCTTATGACGTTAGATGAGGAAAGACCGAAGGGCTAACCTTCCGTGAGAGCAACATCTCTGGCCGTGATATGGCTAATCTTGATCTAATCATTCGAGCCATGGGCGACAGGGACGGCCGGCGGGGCGGCAAGAAGACCATATGTCGGACTTTGCTTCTGAGGTCGAGTGCAGTAACTTGACCATACGTGGATTCCGAGTGCCAGCACTGGTGCATTGAGGCGTTTCCGGCTACATACATGGAATATTCATCCATGTCGACTACCAGTCGACTCCATGGTGCTGATGACGTTGACGGCGCGGAAACGTAGTTTTCCTCTGCCCTACCCGCAAGTCAGGTAATAGACCGCATAGAAGTGCATACCTGTCTATGATCCACTACAAGACAATGCACGACGACACCACAATCCGCAAAGAAGGCATACACTTAGCTCACCCCCCGTCAGTCAACGCTGTGGTGCCACTCGGCGGAGATGGCCGTGAAACGCGTGTGCCTGTCAGGGACTGTTGTTGTTGTTGTTGTTTCGTTATTGTTCTGGGAAGGGGTCCGAGCACTTTTCAAGATGGCGGCAGGCACCGCTGTTGCCACCTTGTCGACGGGGGATGTGCGCCGTCCTTTCGCATCTCTTTCTCTGTCCACGTCAACCACCCGCCATGTCCAGTGCGTATCACCCAACCTCCCTCCTCCCTCCTCCCGCTGACCCCCCCAGTCCCCCCGCAGCCCACCCTCTTCCTCTCCCCCGCCAACGCCAACGCCCTCATCTCAGACCACAGGCCCACCACCCTCTCCTCCCCCGCCCTCACATCCCTCAACTCCCTCCTCGATGAAGTCCTCGTCCACCTCATCTCGGCTGCCCAGTCCATCAACCCCCTGGATCTGAGGAAGGAAGCCATCCCATCGCTGTTCCATGCCGAAAAAGGTGCAGGGGACAGCACAGCTATACAGTCGCTAGGACGAAGCGCAGTATCCGAGGCAGAGGTCGAGCTGAGGAGCTGGATGGAAGACCGTGGACCGACTAGAGGATTTCCTCCAGGTGGCAAAGGTTCCGGGACAAGGAGCGAACGGGCGTTCCCAGTGCTACAGGCAGTGGAGTTGATGCGCATCAAATGCGTAACATTCAGCGTGAGTGATTTCTAGTGGAGCGATAAAGATGATCGTTCTCATATTTGGACAGACGCTCGCGCCACCAGAAGCTGCAGACGCAAGTAAAGAGGAGCAGGCCATCGACGAGTGGAAGACCGTCGGGGGAGACGCAACAGACGACACTGTCGAGCCGGCTGCACTTTGGCTAACAGCGGTCATTGAGTGCGTCTTTCTGTCATCGTTGTAACCACCTGCTCATGATATTCAGACACATATGCGAACATATCCTCGCGCAACTAGCAAGAGTGGTTGCACGTGACTCTGGCAGCTCTGTTGCGTCGCCTCAAGACCTCTATACTGCTCTCTGCGAAGACGAGTCCATCTGGGGCGTCTTTAAGCGTATGAAGGGTACGCTATCCTATCCACCTCTTGCCATATACTGATCCCGCTCGTAGCCAAGGAACAAATCGAATTCACTATTCGCGCCTCGACCCGCTCCAAGCGATCCAACACCAGCCGGTCGTCTCCAGACAACCGTTCCATCGGACGCGCCTCGCCCGCCCTCTCCTCCGCTTCTCCCGGCCGAGATGTATCCATCGACACCACCCGCAGCGTCAGAATGACATCGCCTGGTAGCGCTACAGAGACAAATGCGATGGGAGGTATATCGGGTGGGCTCATACGCAAGGGGTCTACACTCAACCGTCGAGGACACACCGGGTCACCTGTCAGTAAGGTACTCCATTACGGGCAGCACCATGAGCGCAACGGCAGTGTTCTCAGCATAAACACTAGGTCAATGTTGAGTCAGTTCCAAGATTCGTTTGAGGACGACCAGACTGCAGAAGATATACAGGAAGCGCAACAAGAGTTCGACAAGCTTGTCAAGAGTGGCGATACGATGAAAGTCAGTCTGACACCGCATCGCTTGAAGCATTTCGAGGCAAGTCACCTTGTGTATGAAAAGGTGACGTTTCTGACATTCCCTGTAGCTCGCAAATGGGAAAGGCAAGAGGCCACAGACATCCCCATCCCCTGGCACGCCCAGCACACCCCCTGTACCTCCTCTCGCCCATATCGACAAGTCTCGTCGTTCTCATTCCATCAATCGCGTACCTCCTCCGATAGATCCCAGTCCACTGCCTACAGATCAACTCCCCGCGACACGACCCTTCGACGCTTCCTCGCCTCCCAGACCACCTCTCTCCTCCAAGCGGTCCCAATCTGACAAGAGGCTCGTTGCGAGGACAGCAAAGGTCATCGACGAGGAAGAGGAAGAAGAGGAAGATCCTGCCGGTGTCCCGGACTTCCTCAAGTCCAAATCCAAAAAGGAGAGCTTGATGGATATCCTCGCTGGCGATCCCCTCCCAGAGTCCAGCCACCCTCCAGCGAAGAGGACTGTCCCCGCTGTGGTACTCGGAACGCCTCCACCGGCTGCTCCGGAGAGCAAGCGGAAAGCCGCTCCTTCCCCTATCGTAGTCGCACCCCATGTGCAAAGACCGGGGCGAGTCAAGGAAGTCACACAAGTCGTGCCCGAAAAGGCTGTTGAGAAGGCCCAGCCTCCCAAGCCTGCCGAGCCCGCCGGAAGGCCGCGACGAAAGACGGACGCCCAAGAGTTAGCCGACTTTTTCAATCTCGGGCCTCCCTCCGGTACAAGCAGCGCTGCGCCCACTCTCAGGACCGTATCTTCATTCCAACGGAATGGTGGAAAGAAGCGTACAGAAGCTCAAGACCTAGCAGACTTTTTCAACTTTGAACCTCCCCCTGCTGCTCCTTCCCCGACGTCGGGCGAACAACCGCCTTTGACTGCAAAGTCAAACAGGTTCAGGGGATTCATGTCGAAAGTGACTGGTAGCGGAAAGAAGCGCGATGCTGCCGAGGCAGAAAGGCACTTTAGGCAGGGTTCCACCGCAAAACCAGCCGCGCATGGTCCCCTAGCATCCTTGAGCCTGTCGAGACTCAACTCGGAGACTCCTTCTGCGCCTCCTGCGGTCAGTTCAAGCACTTTGCCTCCACACGAAATGAGGCGACAGAAGAGTCTGGGGAATATGGACTCGGCGCCATCGTCATACAAGGATGATGCGCCTGCTCTCCCGGCCGCCCACACGCAAACGCAGACTGGTGTTCCCAGAATACCTACTCCTCCAAAGGTCGAGTCTATACCAATCCCTGAGCCCATCGATGTGCCCCAACCTGTTGTCGCTCCATCTCCTCCCCAGAAAGACTCCGCGAGGGGAAAAAAGGCTCTCCGCAAACCTTCTCTCAGCAATCTTCGCAAAATCAACCCCAATCAGTCGTCTGCAGGCACGCCTATAAGCGGACAAAGTGACGCCCCCCCCAGTGCCGTCAGCGCTGGTGCGAGTTCACATGTGACGGTAGACCAAGTGGCTGCTGCTACAGCTGCGCTGGCCGGACTGGGGCTGGGTGTGGATGACGAGAGGCGGGGTGAAGATCCAGAAGTACCTGTGAGTAGCGTGACGACCTCTGTGACGAGCACGCCGAATGGGAGAGAGAAGACCTCTAGGGGTAAAAGTAGGAGTCGAGCGGGGACCGTCAGCCAAACGAGGCCGATCATCATACAGAAGACTACATCTACAACTGCCATCACCACAGCTGCTTCACCAAGCGATCCTGCTAGTAATGTTGGTACCTCGAGAGAACCAAAAATGTCCACAGGGGCGTCCATTGACAAGGCGGCAAGCACCTCACCAGTGAACGAGAAGGTAGACGAGGCGGCTGAGCCAGTAGCGGCAAAAGATGCTTCACCGGATCTGGTTTTGTCTGTAAAAGTGCCAACCATAAAGGAGCCCTCTATACCCCTTACCGACCTCCTCCCTCTCCGCTTGCTCCTCGCCCATGCCACATCAGCCACCGAATGCCGTCTTCTACTGAACGCTATTCTTACTCAATTCGGTGTGCCCCAAGCTGCGCCGGCGTCTGCAAACCAAGACGCGAGTGACGAAGGAGCGGAAGAACGAGTCATGGCGTGGCTCTTGGCGGGACGCGAGGGGCCTGTCGGGGATTACGGCTATCGTCAACCCCTTCCTGCTTCCTCCTGTGTCTCTGAACAAGGGGGGGGCGAAGAAAAAGAAGGCCATGAGAAGGCAGAGTCTTGCGAGTCGACAAAGGAGGATAGGATTGTGACTCCGGTCCTCGGGTCGGAAGAGTTTTCCTATGGAAGGAAGATCGAGAGTGGGCAAAAGGGTTTTGATGAGGAGGATGTCGAGTACTTGGATGCGGAAGATAACCACAGGGTGGAAATTATAGTGTGAATAGTCTGAGTCTTACTGTAGATATATAATGGCTTCTAGAGGGGCTTCGTTCGGATATACTAGTGCTTTTTGGATACCTTCTTGATTCTGCTTTTTGGGTTTATGCATTTTGTGATCAATATTTCTGAGCCGACAGAGGCATGCATAAAGTTGTATAGTATGGGATGCAATAGAATATGTGTATGCGCAAGTAAATGATGAAGATAATGTACAATAATGTAAGAGTCAAGCGTTTTGGTTCTAAGCTGCAGCCGCAATCTCATTCCTAGCCGCATCGCTCGCAAACCCGAGACCGAACCCTCTCCTGATGGCAAAATCGCGTGATCTAGCGAGAGCGGCTGGGTCTTGTGGTGGGACCCAGTACTCATCGATGATTGGTATTTGGAGAAGGTTCATCTGCCACTCATAAGCATTATTCCTTCATGACAGTGCGACTTACCTTGGGTGTAATGACGACCATGGTGTTCGTCTTGACCTCCATCCAATCACTCCTCTCAAACGTTAACGGCTCACTCGCAATCATGATAATGTTTTCCCTCTTATCTGCCTTTGTCATTCGATATAATCCACGGCCTGAGCCCTGGTACTCGTCGAACGAGGTGCCGGAAGAGAAGAAGAGAGAGGAGGCTTCGGAGGTACGGGATGAGATGTAGCGGGTAGCTACTACTGTGGAGCCGTCGGTGACTACAAAGTTCATCAAAGAAGGGCCGGTCTGGGCGAGCATCAGCAAGGCGTTCAGAGGTGTGAAGGTAGACTCACGCAACCAGCTTCTTTGGAGAGCTTGTTGATAAAGTGAACAGTCTCCATCATGGCGTCTCTGAGTTCCACATGGGAGAACGAGCGCGCATGAGGGTCTTTCAGCTACAAACAATCAGCTTGATTTCCTCTGAATAGTCAGACTCACCTTGCTCAAAAACACCATAAACGCCCACTCCGAGTCCGTATATCCTGAAGGATACAAGAACAGCTCCTCGGGCAAGCTCGCCTGTAACGCCCGCTTGATCTTGGGAAACTCGTTGATTTCGCCATTGTGCATCCACATGAGCTTGTCAAACATCCACGGATGGCAATTGTCCTCGCTGGGTGCGCCGGCCATGGTAGATGCTCGGACGTGGGCAAATACTAGCGAGGAGCGGATCTTTTCGGCGAGTCGAGTGAGGTTGGCATTACTCCAGGCCTACGTACGTGAGCATCGCACGTCAAGAGCTGAGGGGAACGTACAGGCGAAATGGACTTGAATAGACACGGCTTTTCGTTCTCTAGCTCCCTCTCCCTCTCGCGCTCCTTCATGACCTCTACAGCCTTCTCATCGATCTGGCCGTCCGCCCCGACGGGATAGTTGTTCCCCTGGACATCATACGCCTGGGAGTGGGAAGCTTGGGCGGTGACGATGTTGGGGCAGGTGCAGGAGGTGGGGGCCGCATCGAGAGAGTCGACGGGGGCGGGGGTGGTAGCAGCGCGAGGGACGGCGTTGGCAGGGAGGGCGGGGAGAGAGTCGTACCAGCCGAGACCAAAACCGTCCGCCTATCGCGTGTCAGCTGGGCCAGAGAGGGAGGCGCAGGACTTACATTGAGGGGACGGCTACTGGGCATACGGAGCCTGGACTCGAAGGCCTGGTTGATGATACTGTGTCTTGGACGGGTAACGAGATGGGAGATCTGGATGGGCTCTGTGCCCTTATACACGAGCTGGACGGGTCAGTGGAGAAGACAGGATACGACGCATACTCACAAGACGACACATTTCGGGCTGAGGTCGAAAAAGTCGATGGGATGCGGTCGGTATTTATGCAAACTGTCGTGGTAAAAGGACGTCCGGATCCTTTGGGCTTCCTGATGGCGTGCGGTATTCGGGCAGTAGATGTGCGATGTCGTGCTGGTCGGCGGCTGAAAAAAGCGGGTTTTGCGCAGAAGATCACTGGGAATCCACACCTCGTTTGTTTGCCACCCAACAACAAATGAAAGAGCTCATGAGCGGATACGTAATCATCCATCACGCTCTTTATTTGGTTCTGCATAGATACACAAGACAGAAAGCAGCACGAGATCCCAAACGAGTCTCCAGACCCAGCAACCTTTGAGTGATGCCTGGCAGCATTCCCCACCGTAAACCCAGAATTCCTCATATGATTCTTTCTCCATTTCTCGTTCACAAAGTCGAGAGCGTGTTGGGCGATGATCTCAGCTTGATCGTCGTTGCCATAGATCTCGCATGATGGGGATTCTAGAGAGTAGGAGATTATGTCGCTGCAGATCGTTGGAAGGGCAGGTGGGAAAGAGATGGTGGCGCGTACAAGGGATCCGAATAATCCATTTTCGCCGGAACATGAGTGATATTAGGAAGAGATCAGCATGTTATGTCATATCATCAGCTGCAGCATACCCGATGCGCTCAAAATAGCGATCATACACATCTCATATCCTTTCGGCTATAGCGGGTCAGCACACATCATGAGAAATGGTCTCCTCTCGATCCCCTTGGGAAGATCGAGGTGAATGTGCGACTTGAAAAAGGGTTGAAGAAATGTGTTTAAGATACTGCCGATGGAACTGAACTCTCCTTTGTACTTCGGGAAACGACTTAGTGCTCAACGTGGTATGTTCAATTACTTAGCGATTGCTTTTGCCTCCTGTTATCAATATAAGTACTTCTTTAGAGCCAGGATGCGGCTGTGGTGGTGAGAGGCCCTGGGGAGTATCTATGCGGGAAGGATATTCCCGCTCTGATTAGTCAATTCCGCCTATCTTTCACGACCAGTTCACGTACTACGATTACAATCCGCTTGAGGTAGCGGATCGTTGTTACCGTTGTTTTCTTGACCTTTGCCATCTACCGCTACTAATCTGACCGAACATAGAACCAGTACCTCACACCTTTTTGATCCTCTTGCAAATAGGTTCGGAAACACGCAGACATTGCACCAAGCCGGTTATTCAGCTCCAAGCTCCAGTATTGGATATGGCTGGCTTTTGCTAGTGAAGTTTGTGACCAGAGAGACTCAAGAATGTTTCCGATTTGGAATCGAATGTTTGAAGACTGCGCAAGCGAGCTCAATGCGCGGGAGGCCAAAGAGAAAAATGGCCTTCGAGTTTTGATGTCTGCCATATGAGTACGCATGCACTGTATAGTCATTCACATATACCACACACATGAACCATAAATACTTGTCTTGTTCTGCGATGAAACGATACATGTAGAAAGCACCACGGAATCCCAAAAGAGTATCCAGACTACATCAACCCTGGAATGAAGCCTCTTCTCTGTTGTCTGACAGCATTCTCCACCATTCGAGCACAAGCAAGAACCCAAAACTCCTCATATCTTCCTCTCTCCATTTCTCATTCACAAAGTCGAGAGCGTGTTGGGCGATGACTTTGGCTTGATCGTCGTTACCATAGATATCGCCTGATGGGGATCCTTCAAAGTACGAGATGATGTCGCTGCAGCTCGTTAGAAGGGCAGGCGGGAGAGAGATGGCGGCACGTACAAGAAATCGGAATAGTCCATTTTCACCGGAACGTAGTGATACCATGGGATCAGCAGCGTCTGTCACATTATCAATATACCCAGTGCGCGAAATGACCGATCATACGCACATCAAACCATTCCGGCTATATCGGATCAGCACACATTAATAGGGATGGTAGATCAACTCACGCAGAGCGTGCTCTTGAACACGACGTTGTTGCCCTGCAGCAACCTCCTAAACCTGGAACTCCAACCGTTCCCATCAACATCCACCACATACCTGTACTTTGCCCCATCCTCCTTTTTCACCCGCCCCTTGAACTCGATCTCACGCGCCATGTCGGCGCAGCTCCCATCTTCCTCGCTGCACTGCACCGGCCCGCCGCTGAGCCCCACATCAAACCACGCGTCGAGAACATCCTGCCGAGGCACGGAGCGGGACGCGAGGTTTGGGAGGAGGAGATCGACCGAGCCAGAAGTGTTGGTGGAGAAGAAATGGAGACGCTCGCGCTGAGAAGAACGCCAGGGGTCGCGTTTGGAGTGGAAAGAGCCGGTCGCGGTACCGCGCCAGAATACCTTGTGGTTGGGTTTATCGTCCCAAGAGATGTATGGCACAGTTTCTGTACATGATCAGCTTGAGACCAATGGTATATGTCCGACTTACCGCGGACACCGTCGAGAGGGACGCCGAGAATGTCAGAGTTCCACATGGTCCGACATGTTGCGATGGCAGGTTGCAGTTCAACCGCTGCTCGATGTTCTTCTCCAAGGAGAAAGTGGTGCTGTATTGCATTAGCATATGCTGAAGACTGAAGGTGCGACTCACAAGACCCATCAGATGGGGATTTTGGCAGTAATCCATATAGCTCATCGGGTCGGCCACAAACGCCTTGCCTCCTGTTCTCTGTCGGCTTATTTTAATGAAAGCAAAGTGGATCTTACCATGTTGGGCAGCTTCAAGCTCCTCGATATCATTGAGCACCATATCCGACCCCATCGTCTTGAGCGGCGTGTCCTCGGGACACGACCAACTCCAACCATACGTCCATCGCATGGACTGCTCGGCCTGATGTAATTGACCATCCGGCCATACTTTCGCGGTCTTAGTGGTAGTCTCCAATGGCTCGCAAAAACTCACCCCGCCCCGCTCTAGCAAGCGCCTCGCTCTTCTCACGGAAAGAGTTGTGGACCATCCCGCGGGGACCGTCATCCGTAGAGAATGCAATCTCCAATGGAGGATTCAGGGTCAGTATGTCTGGGGGCAGAAGGGGCAGGATCGGGAGGATGTATGAGAGTGTATTGCTACGCACTGTCAGCAGAGATACGAGATGGACGCAGTAATGACGTACTTGCACCTCCAAGACCACGCCATCTCACCCCTCACAACCACTCTTCCTCTGCTCCTCACATCCCAGTCTTCGGGATCCCACTCTTCATCACTCTCGCAAGCTGTACCTTCATCACCTTCCCCGTCCGGCACAAACGTCAGAGTAAAGATAGACTTGTCTTTATTGCGCAGGTTGGTGACTCTGTCACGGAGGAGGAAAGCAGGGTGGGAGAGGAAGGCGTCGAAGGGTTTGTGGACGAAGGGTATCAAGGAGGGGAGTGCAGGGATGTGAGGTAGAGGAACAGACTGGGTGTATGCGTACCTGCTTTTCGTTAATACGGACCCCGATCTTCAAGAGGATACTTGCCAGTGTTCGAACCCTTTGGGCGGTCTCATGCCGAATGCCTCGGTATAGTCTCGAGCGGCATCCTTGACACTCTTTACATTGGCAATCTTGGCTTCCATAGCCTTTGCCTTTTGCTCTGCTTGCTCGATAAGGAGTGCAATAGGGTGCTTCTTGCCCGCACTCCAATGGAAGAGGCCCTTGTTGTCATACGTTGCCTCACCTTCTGGCACTCTTTCCAGCCCTGTATGCTTCTGCGGTGACGTTCTGAAAGGCTTTGAACGAGTCGGCTTCAGCTCGGTATATCGTGGACTGCGCTGCTCTAGATCGGGCTTGGGGAGAGCGAATGGCTGGAGGTAGTAGTGGATGGCAAAGAGGATGGCGAGGACGAGGAAGAGGGCGTAGGCGCGGGAATGGCGAACCATTGTGTGGAGTGGCTGCCGTGGTCCAGCAGGGGCAGCCTCTGGGACAAGGGTGCAGTTTTCAAAGCGTCGATGAAAGAACGAATAGAGGCCGTAGAGGGTTGTAACCCAAGGGCGTAGGGGGTGCCTGGAGATCACGTGTGGGCGAATCTTGGGTGTGTTCTTTCGGTCAACAGCAGGTCAACAGTGAAGCCAGAATCTGTGTATGCATAGGGGAAAGGAGAGGCAGCTGAGGGCAGTCACCGATCGCTGAGTCAAGCACCCAGGGTGGGGGAGTGAGGGCCGGGGCCGCCTGGTGCAGGGCTGCAGCGCATGGATCGCCCTACCTCCTGGTCGTGTTTCGGTCTAAAAGCCATTGCAGATCCGAATCCCAACGCCTCTGCCACGCCTCTGCCACACCGAGACACTCTGGAACGGCCGGGAGTAAGTTCTGCCTGAATGGCAAGTCCAGTCACCCATCCTCATCCTCCCTATATATACCCCCCCCCCCCTCTTCCTCTTCCCCTTCCTCTTCCTCTCCCCCCCTCGCCCGCCATGCACATCCCCTTCCCCTCTATCAAAGACCGCCCGCCCTCTCCCCAGCTGCCACACCCCCCAGCTGGCCCGAGACCGCATCCCTTTCTCGTAAGTCTCCAGCTCACAGTATCCTCGCTGACTTCTGCAGCTCGAGCCCACAGTCTACGTCAACTCGTACCCCGCAGACCTCCCCGACAGCGTCATCTTTGAATGCCTTGGCAGATGTCCAGTCAAAATCGATCTCCCTCCCGCCGTGCCCCTCACCCACAGGCTCATGCCGGACGCCTACTATGACTGGATGACCCGCTCCGGAACGCTGCAGTTTGAAACTCTTGCAGATGGTACGCCAACTATCAGAGACAACTCGAGCTGATAGGGCTTAGCCGAGAAAGCGCTTGCGATATTACATCTTCACCCATTTCTCGTCCACCGCGGCGTCTGGGTATCACCTCTCCCTCCCGCTCAACGCCTTCCGATCTCGCCCACTCCTGCAGCACGCATCTTCAGGCCATCCCAGCGCATGACCGATGCACTTTCCGATGACACCATCCCAACCCTTGCCGACATCTACGACGCTCTCCGCCCATGGGGCTCGCTCAAAGCCGTATCCATCTGGATTACAGATACGGAGTCGTCTGATGCCGCAAGCTGGTTCGCCAAGGCGGAATTCTGGTATTACAACGAGGCAGAAGTCTTTGAGCGCGATTTCGGTCGAAAGGGATGGCAGATCAAGGGCTGGCAAATGTATGTCGATGACGAGAGACACGCGCACACAAGCTGATCAGTTTGCAGTCAGATATTTACCCCCGGCGAGCCTTATCAAGAACCCAGCTCTTTCCCCTCCATGCTGCCCTCGCCCCCCACAGAGCTCTTGTCCTCCTTCCCTCTATCACCCCAGTCTTACCATCCCGGCCCGCTGCCTCCAGCGTCGTCTCATCATTCATCTGTGGCCCCAGTCCAAGTCCCGCCCCCGCTCCCGGCTTACTTCATGCCCCCAACTCCACCAGGCGGCCCGGCTCACCTGCCCGATCCCACACCGCCTTGGGCATCCCACAACCCTTACGCCTACAGACCTTCTCCGCCAATCACGCCAAACAGCAAATCATCTGCCATGTCGAGGAGTGCAAGTCTCGGTAGCCCGAGTGGTCCGAAATCGAGGCGGTGGAGTTTGACGGTGGGAGAGACGGCGGATGGAAGTGTCCAGCCCACCGGGTTGATTTCGGATGACGGGACGTTCATTCAACATGGCAAGTATTATTCTTGTGCGCTGAATTGTGCTTATGGTATACAGGTCCCGGCCAGCATATACGCCCAGCGCCGGCCTTTGGACCCGGATCGCAGAGTGCATCGGGCTTGGTCGATTATAGCAACGTGTTTATCAAAAATATCGATGCTGACGTCAACTCGTACTTTTTGAATAAAGTCTTTAGCGAGGTGAGTGTCTCTGATCTTTCCAAGGCGGGGTGCTGATAGAGGTACAGTTTGGGGTGGTGGTCAGTGCCAAGATCATGAGGGACGAGGCTCAGAGAAGCAGGGGGTATGGATTCGTGAGCTTTGAAAGCCCCGAGCAAGGCAAGTCTCTATCCAATCCCTCGCTGCTACCGCTAACACTCGTCAAGCTTCACGAGCCATCAGCGCGATGAACAACAAACCTTTCGGCAGGCAGACGCTTTGCGTGACACTACACGAGCCAAGGAAATTACGACCCGACAAAATTGCCGAGCGAGCAGCTCTCGGGCAGTCAACTCGGTCATTCTCAAACCCTACTACAGCTCCCTCTAGCGTCTCGCCCACCCGTGCAGGCGAACGCCGATCAAGTTTCACTTCCCACCTCATCCAATCTACGTCTTCCCCTCCCCCGGGTGCATACCCAGAACCGACAGATGACATCCGCCTGCTCTCCCCTGCCGACCGCGCGACGGCCCTTCACCGCCGTCTCTCTGCCCGCATCCGGCAATACACCAAGAAATGTCAAGTCGAAAGCAAGTGGGTGGAAAGCGTGGTGGAGAGGTTGATGCCGATGGATTTGGCGCTGGTGCCGTTGTTGTATAACCGGTGGGAGATGGATGAAAAGATTAAAGAGGCGCTTGCCGCTGTGCAGGAGGAAGCGGGCAGCGAACGGGACGAGGGAGAACGCCCGACGGAGAAGGATGTGGTCAAGCTCAGAGAAGAGCTTGGCATGATTGATCCGGAGCATGCAGAGGAGCTGGCCAAGATCATCTTGGAGAAGGAGATGGTAACAAAGGACGAATGGGAGAAGGGGTGGGTGGAGAGCAAGGCGGGGGTGGCCATCAAGTATGGAGAGGCAAAACGGTTTTTGGTGACAGAGCGGGAAACAGAGATTCTTGAGGAGCATGTAGAGGAAGATGGGGAGAAGAAAGTGGAACCCGAGCCTATGCCGCTTGAACAGCTCACCATTGACGAGCTCGCCCGCCTCCCTTGCTCCCAAATATCGGCCTACCTCGCATCTCCTCCACACCTCGCACATCTCTCCCTCTCCCCTCCTTCATCCGAACAAGAAACCTCCCTCCGCGCTTGGTATGCCAAGGTAGCCCAGCGCGGCAGATTCGCAGCGCGGGGTGAAGTGGTAGGATACTTGAGCAGGCAGTGCGTCTACGGGCAGGTGCCGGGACTTGTGGGGAGCAAGAGCCAGAAGCTGAAGATGCTGGGAGAGCTTGCGAATGCAGAGGCGGATGATGAGGGGCTGGTCAAGCTGTGAGTCATACAACATCCGAATAGTAGGCTGACGATAACACAGGACATTGTACCCCGCCGTACTTTTCGCCAAACTCGGGACCTTTATCAAGGCTCGGTCTGCCGTGGCCTCTCCGACATTAATGACCATACACGACGATTGAGACGATCACGGCAACGAAGAATTACGTAGATACACACCCACAAGGACAATTTTTCTCGTTTACTATACCAAAAACGCGTGCAAGGTGCACGCTTATCTGGCTTTTGACCAGCTTTATATTCGCGCGGTTTCTTTTTATCGATGGGACTTTTGTTGCTTTCAGAGTAGCGGTGCTGCTGTATATAGACGCATATCTGCACAACACGCACAGGAAACGCTCTTATAGAGAGATTGATCAATGCAATGCTCATGGCTGCAAGACACTTGGATGAAGGGTATTTACATGACTTGTCGGGGAGTATTGGTTGCTACTTTACAACATAGATTACAATGGCTGTGACAGTCACGGAACAGCGTGACACCCAAGAGAAACTCTTCTTCTCAAGCCCCCTACATTTCTTCTATCGCATCCCCCGTCTCCGTGCTCCATACAGTCTTGGCCTCTTCTAGCAACACCAGACTGCTCTTCTCATTCGCTTCTACCCCAATCTCTTGGCCAGCCACCGCGTCAAAGTCCGCTATAAGCTTCTTGTCGTGCGGAGCCAGGTTGTCTCGCACTTCCCACGAACAATCATTCAACTCGTAGCCGTCCCAAAAGACGAGCCATTCGGTCTCGACAGAGGAGTTTGCGTGGGAAAAGGCAGAGAATTTGCGGACAGTCCGTCTGCCAATGAGGCGTTGAACGACAAACACTTCTTCTTGGTACGCCTCTTCCGGGATATCGTCCCTATACGACTCATCAGCCACAGCCGAGACGACTATCCGGTAAACTCACAGAAGAATACAGTTGAACCTGATACAACGTTCTTCCTGAGACCTATCTACATATTCTTTTCTGGTCACACCTTTGACCTTTTGCAAATGTTTGCAGTCTGCACAGAACCAATCGCGTTTAGACATGTCGACGTGTTCGGAAAGACCGGCGCAAGCCCAGTGGCAGCGTCCATGACACCAATCGCAAACAATCTCTTGCTAACCCAGGGCGTGTCAGCATTGGAAAGTAAAGTGAGAAGCGACAACTCACCATCGTACCGACAATGCTGAACGGCTTCTTGTTCGGCCACTTTCCCTTTGACCTCTTCGAGCCATCGCTGGCCGGTAGAGTAACTCCCGGAGGCAGCTCGGGCGGCTCAGACAACACGTCTGCCTTGAATTTGACCTCTTTCTTGATACTGGTTTTTGGAAGTTTGGACGTCTTTTTCTTTTTACCGCCCGGCGAGTATGCAGAGTCATAGGAAGAAGCATCGTCGAAAGAGTCTTGCAGGCCATGGCTCTCGTCGAATTCTTCCCCGGAAAAGAATAAACGGCTTTCGTGGCTTCCAGGAAGAGTAGTATCTGATGGAGTATTGTTGAGCGTTGTGATGGTACCAGCTGGTTCAAAGTCGGTCCGCGAGGCCACCCGAGAGACTGCACTCATATCCCGAGAATTGTCCCATGTCCCTCGCACCCTATCCTTCTCCTTCGGCTTCTTGACCGGACTTGTCTTGGTTTTGACCTTTGACTGTGGTCTGTTGTGCTTTCCAGGTGACTCGTCGAATAACGAGTCCAAGGAGCTCATTGCATGGGGTGCAGCCTTGTGATTGAGTGATCTCGGAGGAAAAGGGTTTCGCGGGGGTGGCCGTGGTGGAGGGGATTCTTCGAACAATGACTCGGCGGGCTCGATCTCATATTCGCCATCTTGATCCGAGTCATCGATTTGTTCAAGACCGTCGTGACTATAGCGACCGAACGTGGACAGATGGGCGCCAGTCATGGGTTGCGAAAGATCTTGGGCGTATGGGGGTTGATTGGGGTCGATTTCGCGAGGGGAGATGGCCGGGACGTGGGTTGGTTGGGTGAGATGTCTATGTCTATGGTAAGTCAAAGAATCAAAGAACACACACACAACAAAAACGTACTTTAGGAAAGATGCAGAGGGATGCCCCTGGTCGATCTGAACTAGACCAGCTGCCATGGAATGCGCAACCACCTCCTTCTCTTCATCTCTCGCCGGTTCGACTGGTAGATCAGCAAGATCCAACATGGCATCTTCCCTTGTCCAATCGACAGACAAGGTCTGTTCCAGATTCCCCACCATTGCGGATTGTTCTTCGACCCGCGTAGTCCATGCCGCATTCATACCAACTGATCTGATCATCGCCGTAACGCCCGAGTGTTGTGACTCGTGCTGTCTTTGCAGCTCTTGATAATGCCGCTGTTGCTCTTGACTATGCCGTTGCTGTTCTTGACTCTGCTTCATCAACACTGCCACTGCCCCTTCCAGCCTTCCCAGTTTTTCCTTCATTTCCCCCGCAGCCTCCCTTGCCTTGACCTTCTCTCGCTCCACCTCCAGCTGAGCAAGGACAAGCTTTCCAGCCCATTCAGACTCAAGCTTTCCCAGACGCGACTGCCATTGATCGTCTAGCGCCGAGAGCTGAGATTGAAAGGACGTTTCGACATCGGCTATTGATTTTTGAAGATCGTGAACTGAAGAAGGTTGGTTCAATCTGGAGGGAAGGATCCCACCCAACAGGTCTGACCCCATGATTCCGAGGTCATAATGGTTGGACCATTGCGATATCGGTGTGGATTGGGAGGGATTGGGAGGTGCGGGAGGGTTTGCAAGCCTGCGAGGACTGGCAACGCTACCTGAAATATTGATGGCGGTTGAAGGACTTGTGCCGGCATCGTCCTGGGACGACACTGCGTTGCCAGAAAGCCGCCCCACCGTCACCACACTCGTTTCATCGACCGCCGCCATTTCCTCAGCGGGTCGATTCCGCTTCGTCTTTGTCGTTCTCTGTCTTTTATGCGGAGTGTCCTCCAAGACAACAGAAGTAGGAGATGCGATAGCTACACGGCGCTTGTGTGACTCTTTGCTGGCTGAAGCGGTGTTGACGGGTTTGCTCGCACTGGAATGTGGTTTGGAAGCCGTCCTCGGCTTCTGTTTTGGGACGGAGGGCACCTCTTGGGATGCCTCGCTGAGGGATATTCCGGAATCGGGGGATGTGTGTGACTGGGGCATGGAGGCATGGTTGTAAGGGACGAATGGAAGGCTAGAGGAAGACGACGAGCCCGGCAAGGGCCATGGTCGGGAAGGGCCCGGAATGTCACCGAGAGGGCGGCGCTTTACTTTGGCATTGACGACTGGGCGGGGATAGTTGGCGGCAAAGGGAGCAAAGTAGTCGAAGGGGTCCATGGTCGTCGGAGGTAGGGGCTACTGGCACGCTCTCACCTCCATCGCCCTGGGTCACAGACGGCAGGCAGGGAGAATAATTGAGGGACAAAGTGCAGATGCAGGTCACAACAGTCACAATTACCGGCGCGGTGGAGGCTTCTCCAGGAACGTGCCCTCACGTTCACTCTGCTTCTGCTCTGCTTCATTGTCCGCCGTACATTGGACGATCACAAGAGGTACAACAAGAACGGGTATACTCGCATGCTGCTACAAGGTACTCATAAGGGTATACAAATCAAGGGTATATTTCTTCTGTCGTAATCATATTCAATGTCGTTATCATGCCCCTCTACTTCGTCTTTTTGCTCCCGCCAAGTCCCAACCTGCTTCGAAAGTTCTTGATTCGCCTGCGAGCCGGGGAGATGGCCGCTACAGGAGGCAATCCAGCACCATCGATCCCGCCACTGACACCCAGTATGTGTCGGACATCGGCGTCTTCTCTTCCGAACCAACTCTGCTCTACCATGGGCTCGTCGTGCGTCAACGATGTCGATCCAACCCTGCTCTTCTTGGTAGGACTCTCAGGTCTCCACTCGGTCGCGGCATCGTCGTTCCCCACGAGGACAGCGGATTTGCGCTTCGACAATCCGGGCAATCGAAGGGTAGTGTCAAGCTGGGGCTGCATGATGGGAGGAGGCAAGTAGGTCATCGGAGGAGTGGGCGCGACATCAGGCATAGTGTCATGTTCCGGATCGACCGTCTGCTGGTACTCGTCGAGCTCCATAGACTCGTACTCCATATCCGAGAGGCGGGGATAGGCAACCTCATCGGATGTCCCAGGGGGTGCAGGCTCTGGGACACGAGGGAAAGCTGGCGCAACAGTGAGGTCCGTCAAAGTAGGTGGTGCCGAGGTGTATGTGAAGATTCGGATGACAGATGTCTCTTTCTCGTCATCAGAGTCGTCTTGGGTAGATGACACGTCAGACTTGGTAGCCACCCTCGCAGCAGAAGGGACTGCAGCCATGGTCACTTGGGAAGTATGCCTGAAAGACCTCCTGGGAGAGTCTGGAGTAGACTCGGAGACGGATTGGTGCTCGTCAAAGGGGTCGGCCTCTCGGGTGAAGTAGAGGCTAGGCCTGGAAGAGACCTTCCGAGCAAAGGTGGGAGTGCCGATGGAGCTCTGGGAGGCACGACTCATATCTCGTAGAGCCGTACTGAGGGAATCGTTCTTGAAAGACCTTTTCGATGCTTTGGAGCGAGCAGCACTACAGTCGTGATGAGCTCTAAAGCGGGACAGACCTGAAGAGATACTTACAGAGCTGAGCCCCGTGTACCATCTTCCAAGCTCAGCCCCGTCATGCTGAGCCAAGTCAAGCTCGCCCTCTTCATCGTCTCTCCCAGCTTGCGAATATTCTTCCCAGTCGCCGGAGCGGCGTTCTCGGAAGGAGACTTTTGAGTCAAGAAGCATTGAACGACACTGTCGACATTGTTGATCATTTCCAAGACGTCTTCGACGGTGAAGGCGTTGGCAGTCTCGTCGTCGCTGGGGGGAGTGGTAGGGCGGCCAAACGGGCGAGGAGGAGAGCGACTGGAGAGGGAAGCCCATGCAGCGAGCTCGGCGTCATTGTCGTTGTCCAACATATCTCGCTGTTGTTCCTGGATAGCCTCGATAGTCATTCGCACATCCATCAGCTGCGCGAGCAGCTTCTTCTCCGACTTTTGAATCCTCCTGTAGATGTGCTCGCTGTCGATAAAGTTTCCTTCCATGTGATCATTGACCAGATACCTGACCTGTCCGATCCTCTCTCCTAGAGCAGTCTCCAAGTCACTCAACCTTCGGGATTGTTGATCAGAGGCACGCAGTTCGTCGGTGAGACATGCCTGGCCGAAGCGCACTTCTTGGAGCTGGTGGTTGATGTCGCGAAGGAGCTCGGCTACTTCAAGGTCGCCCATACTGTAAGAGTCACCGCATGCCCCGTTGCCCTCTGCGGAGCTGGGATGGGGCGGCGGAGGAGGTGGCGGGGAGGGCGAAAGGGTGGTGGTCTTGGCGGGATCAGGGGGAGGGAACTCGGGCTCGATGAGGATGTGTGTGGTCTGACCAGGAGAAGAGCTGGGCGAGGTGTGGACGGACGAGTTTGGCGAGGATGGCGGGGAGAATGGAAGAGGGATGGAGGGATAGACTTGTTGGAGCTTGGGGTGTGAACGTACCCGGCGTGAGAGATTGCTGCGGGAGGGGCGGTGGTAGGAGTGGCCGGGGCAGAAGGAGTCAGGGAATGTCATGGCAGGGGAGAGGTAGGCGGTGCGCGGTGGAGAGAAGGATGAGAGGAGAAAGAGAAAGAGATGCAACAATCCACACCGTCTTTGCACCGTCTTCGGTGTTCCGTCCTGGTTCCGTCTGTGCGGGGCGCGCCGCTACTCTAGTGCGCTACGCGTTTTCCTCTTGGTATGGTGTACTCATACACCAGTATCCTTGTACAGCATATTCTTGTTGGTCATGTACTACTACACGTCTACACCTGGTTCTCGTAAGCCTGTTTACTAGAGAGATTCTTATACATCGTATCTTGCCCATCCTGATTCATTTGCATCGATGTTCCAGGGGTGGATGGTCGGAGATTCTTGAAACGGCCAAATGTAGTAACCCCTCCCGAGCGTGAAATGGCCATCGACCCAATCTCCAGGACAGAAGTCGAGAAGCGGGCTTGAAGGCGAGTTGTCGCCATTCTCATGTCATCCAACGTTGGATGGATCGATGGCGGCTGGTCCCGCTCGGGTAGACGGTTGCCGATGAAAGCCGCCGAACGCGTTCTCTCTGCATCAGTCTTCCTCATCATCTCTTCCACAGCAGCATGTCCGCCTTCCTCTCTGGCGCTGGCGCAGAGTGTGGGCCCACCCCCGTCCTCAAGAATGTCTCCCAGAGGGTCGACGTGGACCGCTCACTGCACCAGGTGCGCCATCGCCGTCGAATGCGTGTGCCCCAGCTGATCTTTCCATTAGGACCGGTTCGCAGCTGGCCCCAGTAGTGCTCCCTCCAAGGTGAGATACCAAGCTTTTGCTCAATCACTAGCTAACATGTTCGGTAGGTTTTTGGGGGCTATACGCCATCTACCGCAGGCGCGGAACAGCTTGGTGGCCCATCGCGCCCATCACCGTTCGACCTCTCTTCCCTTCGACAACACATCTTGCCGCCTGTCCCAAACAGCCAAGCTTTCCAAAGCCAACCGTCCAATTGGGCGATGGACTTTGTGCCCAAGCAACAAACAGGTCCCTCGCCACAGCGCGTACAGAGTCCCCCGGTAAGCTCTCCGTGGCAGACTGAATTTTCATCTTCCCCTTCCCTCTATCAGAGACAAGGTCACACACTGCCTTCTATCAATGCAGGTCCTGCACCCTGGGAGATACCTCCTCAGCAGTATTGCTCAATCGCTGTGACACATGGGCATGTCCTCCCACGATATTTCAGTCCCGGAGAAGCTCCGCATGAGCAATTCTCTCCCGCCTACCAGTATCAGCCACCAATAGAAGGGCACGCGGCGCAATCTTCTGTCTCGCAAGAGAAAACAGCATACCAAGATCCGCTCAGTAAAGAGCAAGGCCTCTTGGCTGAGACAGCCCGCAACTTTGTCGACTCTTCCTCTTCGACAATGTCTCAAAACCCAAAGTTGGCGCAAAGCAACTTTATGGCACTGGTCCGCAGCATTGCCGACGAGTCGACCGTCGTGAAAGAAGATGAAAACTCGAGCCAGACGCTAAGGGAAGACATGGTAGGGGAAGGCGCAAAGTTTGTCCAGCGGGGTGAAAATAATTGGGCGTCGAGTTTTGTGCAGGACAAGGGCAAAGCGAGGGAAGCCTCTATGGAGGATGATGCCCAAAGACGTTCACCTTACCCAGAGGGCGACAAGTCGTACCCCGCACTTGGGTCTTGGCTCCCAGCGCTCCCGGGTCATGCCCAAGCTCCCGTCATGTCCATCCCGCCTCCCCCAAACTGTCAAATGCCTGCCGCACCCCCGGCTTTTGCAAATATCGGGGCTCAAGCCAGTCATTCAAGCAATGAACAAGACGGTGCATGGGAACAGCAATTCCGAGATCAAGAAGCCCTACTCCAATCCACCGAAACCCGCCGCAAAAGCGTACATTTCGACTCTGAAACCAGCCTAGCCCCAGAATCCAGCGGTGTACCAAACACCCTCGAGGAAGCCTTAGCCTCTAGAGTGGGCAACATCCCCGGGTCGGGCTGGGGGTGGCACGAGTCGGGGCTCACTACGCCAGAGGGATTCGATGAAGAGACCTTTAATCATTTTGCTGGGGCTTTACGTTGGCAAAAGGAGGCTGCACCGGGGCAATCGATAAGCGAGCAAGAGGGATGGAATAGCTTGGCAGACGAGTGGGACGGCCTCGTTGAAAAGGAGAATATGAGGGAGAAGGTGGTGCAAGGTATGGGCGTTGGCGATAGGGAGGAGAGATATCTCTTTATGAGAAAGAATCCCTATGCCGAAGGCGTACTCGAGGAGCATGACTACGGAATGGACGCCGAACAAGCCCGAAATTCACCTACAATCAAGGTACGTCAATACCATCTACTATCAACATGCAAGCTGACATATAATAGAATATACTGGAACTGGAAGCCGCCGTCCAATCCAACCCAACCTCTGCCAACGCATGGTTCGCCCTGGGCCTCAAACAACAAGAAAATGAGCACGAGGCACAAGCTATCCTCGCCCTTTCCAAGACGATCCAGCTCGACCCTTCTCTCCGAGACGCGTACCTCGCTTTGGCTGTGAGCTATACGAATGAGAGCGAAAGTGAAGCTGGGTGTACGATGCTGGAGAGATGGGTGGCGATGGGGGAGGAGGCGATGGGGTTGGCGGCAAAACCAGCCAGTGGGGGACGGGGAGTTCTGATCGAGCGGTTGATCGATATGGCGAGGAGCAGTCCGGAAGAAGTTGATCCGGATGTCCAAGTCGCGCTGGGTGTAATGTTCAACATGGTGGGAGGGGAAGATTACCTCAAGGCTGAGGACTGTTTCCTGGCTGCACTGGCGGCCCGTCCAAATGTAAGTTGCCATCGCCACTGTGCTCGTTGCTGACAGGGAGAACAGGACTGGCTACTATATAACAGACTGGGAGCAACTCTGGCAAACAGCGGAAGGTCCAACGAAGCTATCAGCTATTATCACAAAGCTCTACTCATCCACCCCAGCTTTGTTCGGGCTCTGTATGTCTGCTTCCCTCCTAAACTCTTCGATGCTGATAACGTGCAGGTTCAATCTTGGTATAGCATACTTGAACTTGGGCCAATACAAACCCGCCGCCCAATCAATAGTGGACGCTCTGAGGTTGCAGCACGCCGACGCGAGCGAGGGGTATAGTTTTGCGCAGAGGGAAGGGGGTATGGGCGGTGGGAGTAAGGGCGTGGGGAGTGATGCTTTGTGGATTAATCTGAGGGGAGCCTGTATACAGTAAGTTCTTTTTGGTGATATGTGTGGTTGATGCTGATGATTATGCAGTATGAATCGACATGATCTGATGGAGATCATAGAACGCAAAGATCTGGCTGGTAGGTGCTGACCATAATGGAAGGCTCAAAACTGACATGATCTGTAGCTTTGCCCATGGATTTTGTAGATCAAAACTAGGATGTTATACATATTGTATCCTTTACTATGCATGCGTTTTGAGCGTCGCTACTACTTTACAACATGAAACAACCAGCCCTTCATACCACAGTGCACGCCATCTAGAAGTCATAGACATCCTGGCCCTGTTCCCTGGCCTGGCCTCCGACCACCACATTCCCTTCTCTCCCAAAGCCATCGCCATACGGGTCGTATGCCTGCCCGCCAGCCCCAGCAGCGCCTCCAGCCACGGGAGCCTGCTCTGGACCCATACCCATCTCGATATTCTTCGCCTGCTGCTGGAACTGCGTCTTGACCTGCATCGTTTGGCGGATGAGCAGGTGGCAGGCGCGTTTCAGAGCATCGGCGGGATTGGAGCGCTCGTCGGTTTGGATTTTAAGGGTAATGTCGTTCTCGAGGGGATGAGGGACTTTGTAGCCGGCGAAGAGGACAGTGGGGTCTAGGAGTAGTTGGCTGCAAAGTCTGTCAGAACGCCATAGAAGAGCACGGTGATACACGAACGCTCGAATCATGTTGCCCAGAGTGTGATCCTGTCTCCGCAGCGTCACAGTAGAAGCGTTCGGCAGTTTTGGGTCTTCTGTGATGGTCAACCTAGTCGTGACATGTTAGCATATTGAACAGTGCGGCAATTGTATGGCGATGGCTAGAGACGGAGAGCAACTCACGGCTTCTCATCGTCTTGCAACAACCAAGAGTCTATTCTATTGGGCTGATTCATGCTGGATGGTTGGGGGATTCTCTATGAAACTATTGACTGTCGAGAGTATAGGTGTTGAGGATGTGAAGGGACGATGCTGTAGCGGCGTTAGCCTCGTACACGAGAGATCCATGAAGTTTCAAGAGAAAGATGGATAAGAAGATCATAGAAGGTCAAACGTTGTCGGCAGAGGCTGTCGACCCTCCGAGGAGGGAAGCGTCTTTTCCGTGGATTGACAGATTATTATTTGTTTGGATATTAATCATTTCGAGAGGAGAGATGACTTGCGAAAGAGACAAACACTCACGTATAGTTTGGGGATGCTGGATGACTTTGATAGAGAAGATGGAAAAAGCAATTGACAATCGTTCTGAGTGAGATGGCCAAAGTGGGGGGAAAGGTTTAAGACTGGACGGCTTATGTAAAAGAGCCAGAAGCGCACTACTGCAACTCTGAAAAAGGTGAGACCCTCCATGCATGGGCTTTCTGCAGACAGCGATAGACTGGGTCCTACCTGGAGTGCCCTAGCGGCTCCCATGGACTTTCATGAATTGAACGACCATGAATGACGGCGAACACGAACATTAGCTGCCCAACGCGACAGAACGCGTCGCGAGGCGCCGAAAGATTGGCTTCCCGCTTCCAACTCGATTCTCAACCCTCTCCGATGGAGTCCCTCATAGCCCTCGGCGACATGGCCTACAGTCAATCCACCCCGACATCCCCTACCACCTCCGTTTTTTTCTCCTCTTCTTCCGCTCTCGGCGGGGAGGACCTCGACGACCAGGGCGACGTGACTATGACACAGGAGCTGTCTTCAGCCCCTACGTTGGAAAGCCCCATCTTCTCCAAAACCGGCCGCAATTCTTCATCTCTGGAAGAGGGTGACGGAGAGAATGACCAACATGTCTCTTCACAAGGTCGTCTAGGAAAGAGGGCTCGAGCACTCCCCAATAGCGACTCAACCGCCAAACGACCACGAGCTCCGACCCCGCACTTGGCGCCTCCATGCGATGACAACCTCGACAATGTATCGGAGCAATCAGCTATTCTAGCGGCTTTTGCTGCCCTCCAGGGAACCTTGAAATTTCACCAAGACATCTCCGAACAATCTTTGCGGAGTTTCACCAAGCGGCTCGATCGTCTCCAAATCGGGTTCGAGAGAGAGATGCGCGAGGTGAAGCACGAGCTGCACAATAACAATGAGGAGCTGCGTCAGGTAAGGGGGATCTTGAAAAGTCTGGGTTTGACTTCCCTTGTGACAGTGCCCGAGACGATCGCCCCTGTGCCGACGACACCTCTTACGCACCATGTCACAGACTCTGCCGCTCGCCAGGTCACCCCCGCAGAGTCAGCCTTCTCGGGGGACAAGTATATTGGTAATGCTATGCGTGAAGCTGGTATACATACTCTGGTAGTAGGCGGTCAGGGGCGGACCGTCAACTTTCCCTTCCTGTCAAGGCCTCGGACAAAGAAGGACAGAGGAATAAACTTTTCGGACACAGAGGAAGACACAATGACAGAGTGGGTCCACATGGAATGCTTGTGATGACGTTATGCTGACCAGCTTCCAGTCATCCCTCCACTCACGGTGACACCAACTTTGGCAGTGAAAACGACGAGTCGGATCTGTCGAGCAGCAGCCAACCGTCCCCCTCACAGGCTTCTGACGTCTCGGACGCAACCTGCCGCCCAGCTGAACGTCCAACGATGATAAGGATGCGCTCGCCTGATATTGCCCCGGATTCTCCGACTCCCACCGCCAACCAAGTCTCCTCGCCCCTCGTGGTTGAACGGGAGGAGGAAGGTGAAAGCGAGATCGGGTCGGATGATCCGCTGGACAGTGTGTCTAATTCCGTAGGGATGAGCAGACATGGCGAACTGGAAGCGACAAAGGCGAATCGCTCAGTGAGGGGTCCCTCTTTGATTTCAGAGCAGAGCCTTCTGCCCAGTGATACGGCGCAAAGGAAAGACTGGGTTTGGAAGTGTCAAGGTGATAATACCGCCAAAGGCAGAAACGTGAGTCTACTCTCACTTGGTTGGACCACATTGCTGAGATGTTTAAAGTGGATCTTGGAATGCCGCGGTGTATGTCAAAGATTGCCCAGGTGAAATGATGATGCTAACACCAATCACTGTCATTTCAGTGCACTGGTCGGTGAGTTTCGAGACCCTGCAGAGACGCAAGGAGGGTGCTGACAAGTTTCAAGGGTTCATTGGGCCTGCGCGGGTTTCGAGACCATGACTAAATGGACCAAAAGAGACATATATTACTGTCCCGGCTGCTGGCCTTTGCTTGGAAAAGCCATCAAACAACAGTATTCCAAACAACAAGCTACCGTCGAGAAGGCTCAGCAAGAGACGTGTCTACGGGCAGATTGTATCCTTCAGTGAGCAGATCTCGCGCGACGGGAGCGATTGACTGATGGCGGGTCTGTAGCCATGATCCAGTGGAAGATGATGATGATCAATTTGCTTTTGAGTCGGTAGTGGGGAGAAGATATAGGAAGAAGGGAGATCCTGAAACAGTCGAGTTTCTCATCAAGTGGGAACAATGGGCACTCTGGGATAGTACTTGGTGAGTCGGCGGAACGTCTATCGGTGTTTTTCCCGAGATCCCCTTGCCGGCTGCTCTTTGCTGATTGACGATTCAGGGAACCACCAAGTGCACTTGCCGACTTCCCATATGCCAAAAAGAGATTTGAAAAGCAGGCCAGGGCTGAGGGTAACAGCGTTGGTGCGGGAGCCTTTGGAGAGCGTGTCATACTGTTGAAAGAGGTCCAAGAGTATTTCCTGCCGAAAACGGGCAAGTACAACATTAGTTTCCTGAAGGAGAAGAAACTGGCGCACAGAGAATGGTGGGATGTGGAGGAGAAGCGGGCAATGAGCTGAACGAGTGTGTGGCAAGCAGTTGCCTATCTTGTTGTATTCGTAGGGTATTGGGATGTTGTATTGTCGTGCAGAGATACATGTTCTTGCTGGCTACTCCTGAGACAGGCATGATGGAGTGCATACATACATTCACAGGTGGAGGAAGAGCGCAGTCACCTTAAAATAGACTAGGGCGGATGACGTCGAGCAGTCGATGGAAAACCGGTGAATGAAGGATTCTGGAATGGGTGAATGCATCTCCCCCTCTCTTCCCGTGTCCCCCGTGTCCCTGCCGCCCATACCCACCCGCCATCCTCCACCCGCATCTATCCTTTCTCTGGCATACCCCAACGACGCTCTTGCCCACTTTGGACTTTTGTATATAAACCAGTTCAACAGCCGCGGCAAGCTTCAGCCGCCATCGCTTTCGACTTGTCCGCTGCGCACCGGACACGCAGTCAATCGCACTGCAGGTACCTAAGAGTAGTGCTTGCGTCTTGGACGATCTTGTGCGCGGAGCCAGAGGAGAATTCTGTAGTCCGGCTATCAAGGTGAGTCGACGATCTGATCAAGTGGGCCAGTATCCCCCTGAGCGGCGTCATCTCAGAGCGTAGAAGGGGTTTCTGTGATTCTGTGACCCCCCAACAATTGTAGACACTGACTTCAATATCTAGGCCATACACCCTTATCGCGCTACACAATATGCCCTTGTTCTCTAGAAATCGCCCGGCCTCTGATGCCCCACCCCACCTCTCCGACGTCCACACTAGCCCCCGTAAACGTCTCTCGGTAGATTCACCCACTGCTCCCTCAAATGGCGACCCTCCCACCACTCCATCGAGACTGAAAGCTCTTTTACAAAAGGGACGGAGTACTGTCAATCTCGGCAACACCGATGAGCCGGTGCCGAAACGAAAGACTTCTGGGCCAAACTTCTTCAGACGGCGTAGCTCTAATGCATCGTCCGACCCATCCAGGCGTGGGCCTGCTCAATCAACCGAGCCTGTAACGCCCCCACGGACACCTCACACAGGATCATCGGGCGCTGCCATGGCTCGCTATGCTGATTCCGCTCCCCGTCACTCGTCCCAATTCACCTCCCCCACTCTCTTTCCCGAAAACTTCACCCTTTCCAGCACCATCTCCCCTGAAGCCCAGCATGTCGACTCAATTGATTCTTCTCCGGGGCTAGGCGCCTCGTCGCCGCCCAACAGGAGCGCCAGACAGAGCTGGCAACCATCGTATCCTCTCGTCGTTCCCGATGACAGCTATGCGGATGTCCCACCTGATGGTCATGGAACGCCTGCGGCCGAGTCCAGTGTGATCGCAAGCGCTGCGGGAAATGAGAATGCAAAGAGGAGGTCGATGGATGCGCAAAAGTTGGAGGGGTGGAGACCGCTGGAGCCGGAAAAGAAAGAGTCTGCCCCTCAGGCGGAAAGCGCTCCGTCCATTGGGCAGAACGAGGTCCCGCCATATGCCCCTTCCAGCGAGCTCGTTACTCCACCATCGTCAGAGCCTCAACTGTCGGGGTCTACCCCGGCACCTTTGAAAAGCCTGGCGTCCACCGGTGAGCCGCAAGGGTCTCGTCCTTCAACAGCGAGTACACAAAAAACAGCCACCAGCCTGGCGACAATCCATGCAGACGGACAATACCAATTTGTGCCTTCTGCAACCTCATCACCTCGGATAAGCACACAAAACATCTATCCTTCGCCTGCCGCGACACCCTCTGCTCCATCATCACCATCTTCAACTTTTAGAGCGAGACCCGGTCCACCACCTCGCAAAATCACCATCCACTCTCCCCCCATGCCCCAGCCCATCAAGAATCTGCCTACCCTCACAAACCTCTCCTCGGTCGCAAACGGGTCTGCCGCCCCAGAGATGACCGTGCCGACCCCTGTGCAAACGCCTGGGTGGGGTGAACTGGCAAAGGAGGGAGGTCCCAAGACCCCTGGAAGTGGATTGAGGTCACCAGGGTGGACGGGTGCGTGGAATATGCCAAAGACTCCGGGGCTTGGTGCGTTCAGTTTGAACCTCCCGCCTCCTGGCAAGGATAAAAGGTCAGAGAGACAAGAGTTGTCCGAGCAAGAGCTCAGAAAGGCCAGGAGAGCGATGGTAAGTTTCATCATTCGTCAACCATTCACTCGCTCATTTCGCTGCAGCCGGTCATGTTGAGACAGCCATCAAGCGCTCCTTCGGCTGAGGATGACGAAGGTGGTGAGGCGGGAGACGACGATGAAGAGGAAGATGACGGCTCGGACGAGGAAGCGGACGAGGAAGCGGACGCGGATGAAGGTGATTCGGACAACGACAGTGACTACGAGACGGATCGACCTTCCGGCTCGGCTATGGGCCTCGGACGGCTCGTTGGGAAGGGCAAGGGCAAGGAGAAAGGAAAAGCCAGTAGGAAAATATCGCATACCCAGGTCGGGGATGTTGCCAAAAGTGTAACGAGGGAGGAAGACGGTTAGTGATTGTCCGGTTCATTAGTCGATTACTGACGCTTTTTAGATCGCGGTGCAGCCAATGTTCCTCTGGCCGATCGTCGACAAGTCAATTTCCCTCACCTCTCATCCATTCCAACATCTCCCTCTATCGTGCCCAAGCCAAATGGCAAATCAGTATGGTCTTTAGCGACGCCTGCAAAAGAAAAGGATCAGTCCACAGCATGGGCTTCGTTCGGCGGAGAAACACCCAAAGGAGCGCCTGCCACCCCCGGATGGGGCTGGAAACCGAGTAGCGCTCAATCGCCTGTCATCGCAAAGCAAGCTCCTACCCCTGTCCTCTCTGAGCCTCGCCCGTCTGCACCCGAGCTGACTCCAGCGCCTGCCCCGACAGAGCCCCATACTCCCGAAGGGCGCTCGTTAGCCGAACTCGAGGAGGGCTCTCCAATCACACGTACCGGTAGCGCGCAGCCTACAGCGACAGCGACAGCTGCTGCTCGTGCTGCTCTCACACGCGACGTCTCTTCGTATGCCACCAGCTTCTCTACATCCGTCACTTCGAGTGGCTATTTCGATTCGCAACCTTCATCGAGTGGCCCTAGTCAAATGCCATCGCCAAGTCCCGCGGAGCGGCAGCAGGAGCCATTACCCATTCTTGACAAGGGAAAGGGCAAGGCATTACTTCCCAGCGATTCGGGCCTTGCACCGGGGCTGCCAATCGGTCTCGGAGTCCCTGTTGGCACTACCGCGACCGTTGATGACCCTCCTGTGGTCAACCGGGAATCATCTGCTGATGATGAAGACGATGAAGTCATAAGTGTCATCGAGGAAGAGAGCGACGAGGAAGATGGAAGAGGTACAACAAGTGAAGGAACGAATGAGGTCGACACACCTTCTGTCGAGGCGGTGGAGCCATCCTCGACAGGTCTGGCGGCTCGACCATCCATCCCATCAAGACCCTCTCTCTACACCCAGGGTTCCATCTCCATGATTGATCTCCCTTCAAGGCCGAAGGACACTGCGAATACAAGTGCACCACAGGTGTCTGTAAAGCCCAGCCTTCGTACTGTACAGTCGGGTGAAGCTGTTCCCCTGCATATCGACCTGCCTCCTCCCAATGCTGGACCGAGTGGGTTGATGAGCCCAGCCGAATGGGCGAAACCCCCTCCCACACCCGCGCTTGGAATTGACCGCTTTAATCTCGGGGTCAAGCCCAGCAAACCCCTCGCTGCCAAGCGGCGTAGGTCTGCGGACGACCTTTCAGCACCTCCGCCAAAGTACGAGCCGCCCTTCCCTGGGACTTTCATCCCCAAACCGAGGGACGAAGAAGGTCAGGAACTTTTGCCCAAATACTGGTGCTCGGTGCATATTGAGGGTATGCTGCAACGCAAGATGGAGTTTGTGGGTGAGCGCGACCTAAGCACTGAAGGAACAGACGGCAAGCGTAAAGTGGAAAAGATTCAAGCTCGAGACCGAAGCTGGAAGAAGCTCTACTTTATTCTCCATGGTACAGCGCTTCTCGTCTACAAGTTTGATCCTCATCGCTTCCCACTCAGGGCGAATGACCAGTCGCCGGTACCCACTATCGACGATGAAGAAATGGACGAGCACTTGCATGTGCATCCTACGCCCGAGAGAAGGAGGCGAGCGTCGAGCGTTGGTGGTTCTTCGGTGGGAGGCCGGCGGTCGTCGAATGCGACCATTGGCGGAGATAGTGGACGACGAGGATCTGCCGACAGCACCAATGGGTCCATCATCCCCAGACGTGGTTCGGGCGAATCCAATTCGGCTTCTTCCATTGGACTTCCTATCCCAGGCCGACGTGGGTCTGAATCCAATAACCTGGGATCAGGGAGCTACCGTCGAAGCTCGCTCAGTATCGTCACGAATGCCAACGGCTCGAGCAGCAATGTGAGCGAGGAAAAGGATGCCAACATGTTTACTGGTAGCACTCGACGAGGTTCAATGTCGCAAGGCAATGCGCCGAATCTGTCTAGCAGCCAGTCTTCTATCGGCACTGGCAATCCGCTGTCTAGCCATTTCCAGCACAATGCCCTTGTCAAGCAGTACTCGCTCAACAAGACGGAGAGTGGTTTGGCGGCCGACTATCACAAGAGGAAGAATGTGGTCAGAGTGAGGGCGGACGGAGAACAATTCTTGCTGCAGACAGAAAGCGCGAGGGATATGGTTGATTGGGTCGAGGTGAGTTAATCATAAGCGTATCAAGTTTGTGCTGATAATCAAGACAGGCATTCCAAGCGGCCACAAACGTAGCCAAGGACTTGGATCAGCGTCCAATGCCAAAGATCATTACCCTGCCCCGTCGTCGAAGAAGACGCAACCAGCAAGCCCAAGCTGCTGCTGCTGCCGCTGCGGCCGCCGTCCAGGCCAACGGTCCGCAGGGTGAGGGTCAGGCTGTAGACGCAGCGTTGAGAGTGAGCCGACAGGTGGCAGCGTCGGACTTGGCGGATAGAGAGCGAGAGAGAATGTTGATGGAAGACCAGGAAGCTGCGGTGTCTTGATAGTTTTCAGTTTCGAGTCCCCAGAGCGGACTGTGGAAAAAGTGTCGGCCCTGTAAAAGTCAATTGTATCACGTTCAACACTAACATACGGATTTCTTTAACGAATGATAGAGTTTGTAGCATTTTGATTTTGGTCGCAGTCTTGTTGGATTTAATCTAACGAACAATGCATACAAAATCGAAGCAGTCATCACAACTTTTTCAGTCTCTTTGGGGTCTTGTGCTTCTGCCCTCGCATCATTTCCGACCTGCCCCCTCCAAATAGAAGCACCCACCACCCCCAGAGCGCTACGAACCAATTCCCGCCACCCAAGAGCGTTCCCAGTGCGCCCAGTCCTCGTGCATTCCATAGCACCCACCCAAGTATTGTCATCAGCCCCGTGAGAATACCTACCAGCACGCCTCTACCGGGCGTGACGACTTCGGGGTCATACGTAGGCACGAGGAGGAACACGGAGATGAGAGCGACCGCGAGAAGGCCGAAAGACAGCGTGAGGCACAGGGTAGATTCAAGAGATGTGAGGGTGTCGTAATGGTTCTCCCGAGCTGCTGCGGTAGCAGCGTGGTTTGCCACAGACGATGACGAGAATGGTGTATTGGGAGGTGCTACCTGGGAGAAGAACAGGAGGATGCGAGGGAACAAGAGAAGAGGGATGGCCAGAATGGCAAACCTGCGAATCCTCAGCAATACTCTACTTTGGCTGAGCAGTTCACTCACCAAGCCGCAATGACCAGCCCCCAGACAGAGATGGCGTCCATGCCGCCCTCCTGGAGATGTATCATGGCTTTGGCCTTGTCCTCGGCGGATTTGTAGGCAGCATGGAGAGAGCCTTCTGCTGCCGGGTGGCGCGGAGGTGGCTGGGGCTTGGATGCGCCGAGGGGCTCGAGTTCAATGTCGTCCTTCATCGCGACAAGAGGGGCAAGCGAAGACTCAAGAACTTACAGTTAGTTATAGCGGAGAGAGGGCTGCGCGTTACGTCATCACCACGGCCTCCACTCTCGGCGACCACCTACGTCCTACGCAGACCCTACGTTGAGTGATCCCACAGCCATTCTCACATCTCTATCCTGCACACCGCCATGTCGTATGTCCCTCAGGATCTCGACCTCTCTGAATCCAGATACACTCCCGTCGACCTTTCCCTCCCTCAGCCGTCTCTCTCCCCTCCTCCGGCCGCACCATCTACAAGCTTCACCACCAACCCACAAACTCACACCGACGCTAAACCCGGACGACGCCGTGTATCTCCCTTCTCCCCGTGGTACACATCTTCCGAGGGATCATGCGAGCCTCCATCGGAGCACTTGAGCCACTGTACAGGCGCAAAACCGGTATTCAACTGGCAAGGGGGCAAGTTGGTGGCATTGCCTCTGTCGCCTTCCCCCCCGCCTCCGTCCTTATCAGGCTTTGGGTCTCTCGCCCCTAAGAGTCGTGGAGAATACCAAGATACTTTTGCTTCCAACTCTCGCTTTACACGCAGCCAGGTGAACAAAAAGCGCTCTTCTGCGCATATCGGCAAGACAACATCCTCGCCCACCAAGCCCAAATCCAAGCCCAAATCCAACCCAAAGCTGAGACCCAAGGCTAGCGGTGGGGGATGGAGAAACGTCGGAATGGCGTGTGATAAGTGCAAGAGCAGAAAATCTCGGGTATGTCTGCTGTTTGTTTCCGCTTTGAAGTATGGCTGATTGGCGTGCAGTGTCTAGGAGGAAAGCCAGTGTGTGAGAGGTGCCAAAAGAGTGGCTTGGTATGTGAATGGACAGTCAACCCTCGGTCTCGCAATAGCCGCAGTGCACTCAATTCTCAAGCTGAGGCTGCAGCTGCAGCACACACATCACAGCAAGAGTCCACGGGCGTCGGGTACAAGAGTGATAAGTCGGAGATGGAAGTGGATGATGATGACATGTATGGTTGAAATGGGTGTTGGCTACTGTTCTGCGTGTGGTGTCTCCTTCACGAATAGTTAATGCATATGATATATTATGACAAGACATGTTTTCCCTTCTCGGCACCGACGGTACGCACCCAGAGACGTCCGTCCAGCCCTCAAGACTCAAAGATACAACGCTGCGCCCTACTTTCCCCACGACCCTTTATGCTTATAGCTCAATCTCTTCGCCATCCCCCGCTCAACATGGGCCCCTGCGCTCCTTGTCCACCACCCCCCAGCCCCGGCATCCCACTCAGCCCCGGCATTCCCGACATACTCGGCGGTAACCGTCCTTGTGCTTGTAGCGCTTGAGCGGCTTGCATCCCCTGCATAGCCCCCATGTTATTCAGGCCAAGGAAAGAAGGTACGCCTTGTGCAGATCCTGGAGTGGCAGGTGGATTGGAAGGATTATGCGGGGCGCCGCCGGTATGTGGGAGAGAGCCCATCCCCCGCATCGCGAGACCATTCACTCCCTGCGAATAGCCATCTGGTCTTGCACCCATCTGTGAAGGATTCATACCCGCCATCAGAGACGGGTTCATGCCTCCCGAAGGCGCAGTGTGTCCGCTGAAACCAGGAGGCAAGGATAGCGAGTTGGATCTCGCCGAGCTGGGTTGGCCGGGATGGGACCCTGGGGTGGTACCACGCTGTAGGGGGGTGTAGGAGGATGTGGGAGTAGCGGAAGGGTGACGGCCAGAGCCCTGCATGTGGTTTGATGCAGACCCGGGAGTATCGGAAGCGCCCCCCTCGTTTGATAGACTGCGTTCGATGCTCGTACCGTTGGGTAGAGCGCGTTCGGCGTCTGTGGAAGAGAGTTTGCGCTTTTTGTGAAGAGGCGTAGGAGGGGGGCTGAGGCCTTGTGTATAGTAGTCTTGAGAGTGCCGTTCGAAATGCTGCTGTTGGGTGGAATAGTCCCATTGTGGAATGCGCTGCCGCCGAGCTTGCATCAAGAGATTATTCCTGCACAACAAGTCAGCAAGGATTATGTGCCAGCTGAAGGGTACCTGCCAGTAGCTCGCACTATCCCGTATAGCCTCCTTCTCTGTATTTGTCAAGAGCTTCTCCTTGGTTCGCGTTTTCGGCTGGGGCACGCCGTCCTCTGTAAAGATGCTCATCTCGGTGATCTGCCCCCTGGCCAGCAGCTCTTGCTCGCGTGCAATGTGTGCCAGCCGTTTCTGCCGTTGCTTCCAATGGAGATGCGAGAGATCCGGCACCTTGAATGGTTTGCGTGCCGCCGGGGCAGGGGATGCTGTGGCTGACGCTGGATCTGTCGGTGCCGGCGTGTCTGTGGCCGTTGCCTCATGCCCATCCACGTGCTCTGCCTCCTTGCCATTCTCCGCTTTCTCTTCCTTTTCTATTTCCTCGTGTTCTTCGTCTTCCTCGTCCTCGTCTCTGTCCCTGCCCGGCAAACCTATGCTTGCCCTGTAGTCTTCGCGTTGGGCGGGGGACATGAGGGCCTGGATGTCGAGTATGTGGCCGCGGCTGCGGGCTATGCGCTGAGCCTCGAGGAGGACGGGGAGGGGAGTGAGGTGTGGGGCGGGGTTCTGGCGTGGGAGGAGGATGGTGGTGGGCATGGCGGCTGGTGCATGGATGAGATGAGATGAAAGAGAGGATGTTGTTGTTGAGCATTATTGGCCCAGTTTCACGAATCGGGCCACCGCTCGGAAAGAGATGCCCCCCTTGTCCTGGGCATGTCGGCCCATCCCGATACTGGCGACTCCTCCCGCGCAACTCACTCAGCACATCCACTACATATAGCCTGCACCATGCTCTTTCTTCTTCCCTTTCTGCTGCTGCTGCTTCCAGTCGCATCAGCCCAGCATCCCTCGCCAGCCCTCAGCCACCCCCCGTCCGTGGCCTTCTCTTCCCTCCCCACTTCACTATCCCTGCCCCCGCTCAACTCTTCAAGCCCTGGCCTGCGCCTCAATTTCACAGATGTCCAGTCCCTTTACCTCACACTATCCATATGCTCCCTCACATCAAACACCTCCCTCCTGCCCAGAGCCCTGATATCGACCGCCATGCCGCTCTCTTTTGACCTGGGGTCGAAAGCGGTTCGCGACCAATCATCCGGAGGCCTCTCGGCTAGCGTAGGAGGAAAAGGCGTGAATAAAAGGAGTTCCAAAGACGGGACTACGTGGGAAATGGAGTGGAGCTATGGTTTTGGAAACTGGAGCTGGTCAAGCAACGGAGGAGGCTACGAGGACGTCGGCGTATTGTTCGGGCTCGGGTTGGACAAGGATGGGCAGACGTTGAACACGTCCATGATAGGAAGCGGGAATGTCGTTATGCAGCTCGATGCGTCTACGAGATGTGAGTCTGGTCTATTCAAGAGCGACGTGACTGACGTTCATCTCAGCGCAACAATCGGGTTTGACAGCGGCATACCCCAAGCTTGGTGATACCACTGCGACTCAAGTACTATTGTTCTCTCCGCTACTATACTCTTCTATCCAAGAACAACCTACCTATCCAAACTATACTCTGCCAGGCCCACAACTTGCCTTTCCCGACGTTGCAGAGTTGACAGCCGCCCCTGTCAATTCGTCGCTCTCAAAGAACATGACGCTCATGGTCGTTCCTACCACATCGTCCCCCTCAGAGATAGGTCTCGACTTCTCCCAATGCGCTGTCAATGCGGCTTTCGCCAATGCCAGCGTGTCGGGAGACAACAATACGGTTGTGAAAAGCGCTCGCCCAGAATGGATGGCGATTGGAAACCAGGAAGGTTTCCGGACGTACTGGGTTTTGGGAGGCCTTCAGGCCGGTACCAACTATACAGCGTGGATTAACGATGATAAAGATGTTATGAGTAGACCCGCGTGGTTTGGCACGAAGAATGGTACGCTGCCCGAACGCTCTACTGTTTCCACTAACGACTGTCTACGCAGCGTCGTTCCCGTGCCAACTGACCATGCCAAACGATATCTGCCCCAACATTGGCTACTCTGCGCCTCTTTCTCCCAACGCCACCACAATCAATTCACCATCCGGGGAGCTGATATCCAACACGACCCCAATCACATCCTTTCCCGATGAGATTGCCGACGTCCTGACAGACAACCTGCAAGCCTTTTCCACCAGCCTTCTGACTCGGGCGTGCGGGCGAGATCTGTTTAGCCACGTTTCGACGTGTACAGATTGTTACTCGTCCTACCGTGATTGGCTTTGCCGCATGGTCGTCCCCCAATGCGGGCCCGACTATGTCAATACGACAAGCACGTCGACGTCGACGTCTTCTGCCTCGTCCACCATATTCCCCCTCCCTTCTACCACCCCTCGCACCCTCGATACCCCGCGTAACGAGGACCTTCCCGACGTGCCGTATGATTACAACGAGCTCCTGCCTTGTTTGAGTGTGTGTAACAAGGCAGATAGGCAGTGTCCCGTCTGGCTGGGGATAAGATGCCCAAAGAGAAAAGTGAATGCGGCAAAGAGTTATGCGTTTGTGGGTGATCATAGCTCTTTTGGGGACGGAAGTGCAGAGCTGGGAATGGCCAGCGAGGATAGGTGGGGAAACAAGTGGTGCAATGGGTAGTCCAGACGTCATGAGCATAACGACAGTTTTGAGAAACGACATAGAGATGTAGCTACCGGAATGTTCTTGGGTATTTCTGGGTTGTATTAGTTTTCTTCATGCGCATATATTCATGCATCAATCGCTCGCTTCCTTGATCGCCTCAAGTGGATCTGATCAAGACCATGCTATCACCCTTCACTCGCACCTCCTCCCTATCTTCCCCGTCCCCATCCCAAATTATTATGTTTGGCACCTTCACCCATCCGCTACCTCCTAATGCTACACATTCCAGCTTCACCTCTGTCTCTCTCCCTGGGGCAATCTCAGTCAACCTGATCTGTCTGTTGCCTACCCAAGCAAAGCTATCGGAAGTCTCGGCCACGATGCTGACTTCAGACGCCGCGTGTGTAGGGTGTGTATTCAGAATTGAAACAGAGAGAGGGAAAGCGGTGTGCGGAGAGACAATTGCCGGCGCAGGTAAGTGAAGTGTCGGTATCAAGAATGAGTCTGTTGGGGGCGGTATCAAGAGAGGGGGCAATGGGTGTGTCGTCTTGACCAGCGGGCCCTCCGAGTCACTACAAACGTTTCATGAGCTTGTCTTGATCGAACTCTGAAGCAGAACGGACCTTTTCCAAGATATAACCAGCTCAGCAGGGATAAGTATGGGATTGCCGACGGCTCCACGGTGGCCTTGAGCAAGGGCGAATACTGCCCATACGGCATAGGACGTCTGTTCATCCCATTCTATAGGGTGGTCAGTCGCGTCTGCTTGATGACGAAGAAAGCTCTCACCTTCAGAAAGGGTCACTCCGTCGAGCGATGTAGATCTCATTTTCACTTCTCTATCATTTTTGTTTGCTACCAGCTCCAATCCTTCAACTATCACCCGCCGCGGCCCTCCGACACGGATGTTCAACCCCACCGCCCCTTCACCCCCTTTCTTGCCTTGATGCGTGAGCTTTACGCTTGTCTCGATGGCGAACGCTTTGAGGACGGGAACAACGACCGTGCGGTTGACTTCCTCCGGGCGCTCCTCGGTCATATGCGTCTCTGCTGAAGCCGATAGTGATTCGGCTGAACCATTGACGGTGGTATGGAGAGCGAAATCGATTATTTTAGTGGACTCTGCCGGTACCCAAAGGTGGACCGGTAGTGATATCGAGGCTCCAGGGGCAAGAGTACCCAAGGCGATGTCCCTCAACAAGGTCGTGGTCTCTTGTGCAGATACGCTGATCCTGGAGCCTAGACAAAAGTCAATCATGTTTCAAAGCTGGACTAGACCGACTCACCGTCCTCTTCACCGTCCTCCGCAGGCTGCATGAAAATCGACAACGTCGCCTCCATGGTCCTTTCGTCGTTGTTGATCACTTTGACCTGAATGGGCAGATCTTCACCCACAAATGCGAATGGTTGATGGGTGATCTCGACATCCACTTTATGGGGTTCAGGGGAGAAGCTGCGGAGCATCCATCAGCGGCAGATAACATCTATTGAGCAAGGTCCAGCTTACAACACGGATGATGACAGAGTTGCCCCGTGGTTGACGATGCCCTTTTTCGTCATCCAGCCAGTAATCTCGCCAGGAACAAATGCCAGTTCGAACACCCAGGAGCCTTGCTTCAACCTCAGTTTGACATTGGCAAGCTGCACTTCGTTCGCGTGGGTGCTGGTGAGAGTTCCATTGAGGACAAGAACCTGGTTTGGTGCCCATTTCAACGGTGCCACTGTCGTGGTATTTAGGTCCACTACTGAAACATGTCCCCCTGAAGTTGACGGCTCGTTCAATATCTTGATGGGGAGACGATCATCGGTAAAGTTGAGTTCCATTTCTGAAAACTCAAGGTTTCCGATGATGACATTGGAGGGGCATCGGAGGGTGACTTGGTAGGGAACTTCTTGGGAAGCCGCGGCATCGGGTTGCCAAAATCCAGCTCTCACGTCCACTACGACTGGTCAGTGTTGTAAAGACATGGGTCTCACACGTACACAGCTCCTTCTCAGGGGGACCATCCATTTCTATCAAGATCTTGTCGGAACTAGTTGAAGGCGCTGTGGTCTATACCCGTGTGAGAAACAGAGGCCAGAAACTCGTCAAAGCTTACCTTTAGCAGAGAAACGAGCTCCTCCTGCAAGTCCTCCCTCTCTTCCTGCCCTATACTGTTCCCCGCACACATCATTTCCAGAATGAGCCTACCCACGCCTTCTACCCCACCAGTGGCCTTTGCACAGTCGTACCAGACCTTTCGAATATCCCTGACAATCTCATCCCACCTCTCCTTCTTGAAGCTACTGGCAATTCTGTCAAAGAAACGTATCGCCATCTCGTACTGTCCCGTCTTGTGATAGGTGTCGGCGATTCGATATGCAATGTATAGCGCCGTGCGGTTCGAAGGGGCGGGGAGGTCTTTGAGAAGAGAGTAGGCTTTGGAGAAGAGTTCGATTACCAGAGCGGAATGGTCGACCTTCTTTTCGTTGGCGAAGCCCGGAGCAGCCGAAACATAGCCTGAAGCTATGCCGGCTTCCGAGCTGAGAGCGTCGTTCTACACGGACATCAGCGTCACTTCCGAGTCTGAACGTAAAAGCTAACCTCAATTTCCAATATCTCCTTGAACCTTTCTTGCCTTTTCAGTGTACAGCAAGCGGCAGTGTAATAGTAGATTGCAGGATGTTGTATAGTTTGACTGGGGTTACCTTGAGAGATGGGGGTGGCATAGTACATGACATTTTGAGGAGTGCTTGCGGCCCCCGGCGGCGGGAATGTCGGCAAGGGAGTCGTGATTCTGAGTCCATGTTGTTGAGCCATTTCCAAAAGCTCTGCAAATATCCGATACCTAAGCAACATCAGCTCTTATTCAAAGAGTCATTTCCCGAAGTACGCACTGCCTCGCAATCCAGCTCCAGAATTCGAATGTTTCCTCTCCAATGCCCCAGCCTCGCGAGAGATCGCCAAATCGTTTCAGGTGGACCGAGAACGAGCCCAATGATCTTGGCCCTTCAGCATCGTACAGAGAGAGCTTGCAAATCTGTCATTCGGTTAGTGAGCGCCTTACTAACATGGTCACGACTCACTCTTGTCGCCACACAGTCGGCCAAGACTTTGGCCTCGGCCCACCTCTTGGTCCTAGGCGGCAGAGTCGTGGTTGAGGCAAACATCTTTGCCAACTCATTCCAACAATCCTCATAGTGTCTCCGCGCCATCTCTACCTCTCCACGTATCTCTGCAAACCATCCGAGCTTCCAGTCGTACCTCACAGCCCACCCTTGTGGACTTAGTATCTTTTGACCAGATGATGTCGTAACAGGCGAATTTATTGGAGGGTTGGAAGGCAGGCGGCTGCGCTTTCGACGGACGCGTTTGGTGTGGAGCGAGTAATATTCGAAAGCCGATTCGTACAGCGCTTCTTGAAGAGATGCGACGAATTCAGGCAGCTGGTCGGCCGGTACTGGGGAAAGCACAAATAGAGACGCTTTGGACGAAATCTGAGACTGCCGGCGGATGTGGGATAGTCGAGGATCAAGATCCGGCGAGTCCAAAGTCTGTGAGCTCGCCATGAGAACGACAGTGAGTTTGATGCCCCTCTCTACGAGCCGTCTCCTTCTATCACTAATCTCTTTGATCAACAGCTCATCCATCTCCTTCTCCCTCTGCCCATCTTCCGACTCTCTGCTTTGAGTCTCTTCAATCGTTTCCAGCCCAGTCGGGGGTGGTGGTGACTCGTACAACCTCAAAAAGAGGACAAAGACGGAAGGGACGAGCTCTGAATGTTTGCGCACCCATACCGGGGCTATGAGGCCATCAGGATAGAGGGGCGATGAGGGGATCAACGGCGAAAGCGGCGAATGGGGGTTGGTAGGAGCATCAGAGTTGGAAGCGCCGACAGCTGGCGGAACCTTTCGCATAGGTAATTTCACGCCCTTGTCGACGATGACTACCCGAAAGTCTCTCCTGGCTTTGGGGTCGACCCATATGCGGCCCTTGCCGGTTGATCTCTGAAATGCACCATGCAAATTAACCAAAAGTTCCTCAAAGACTTGGTCTCGCTCGTTGAGAGGTGGGTTGGCGGGCTCTGTTGGTTCGAGGGGCTCGGGTGATTTGGGCAGCGTCTCTTGGCCGGCAGGGGATGGCGGAGCATGTTCTGGGCTTGTCAGGGGTAGTTGCGAAGCTCCGGTAGACTCTAGAAAAGATCCTCCAGAGGGCCTTCTGGTGGTCCCTGTGGTAACAATCGATACGACAGATTCGCTGCGGGTCCTTGTGGCAGGAGTGGGATTGACGGCGAGGCCAGCCACAAACATGAGTGGCTGGGGACTTGTAAGGAACTGGGGAATGTTAGTTGAGTTCCGGGACAGCGTGGCTTACCTCCAGGGGATACGAGTTCATGGCGGCTGTGCTGTGGAGGGCAGGCTCAATCCGAATCCATATATCACTGCTGCTGCTGCTCTCGTTGTCTGATAGCTATTACGTAATCTATACCATCACGCAAGGAACAAGGCACGCAACAACAACTCGAGATATCATTCTGCACAACTCGAAATATACAGACGGAAGACACCGGGAGTACAGCAATGCCTGGGCTACTTGTCCTGCTCATAGCCCTCACGAGTCTGCCCATCCTCTTTGCCCTCCGAGTCTATCGCCTCCTCCCTTCACGCGCTACAAAGGCCCAATCTAGAGCCGGTGACTCGAAATGCTCTCTGGCAGTATTTCTCGGATCTGGCACGTATTCCTTCTTGTTCAACTACATAGATAGGGCTTACAATGAGGGCTAGGCGGTCACACGAGCGAGATGAAAGCTCTTCTCTCGTCCCTGGATTTTGAGCGCTACCAACCTCGGACATACATCTACTGCCATGGTGACAACATGTCCTTGAACGCTGTCGCAGAGATAGAGTCTCAAAAGGGCAGCTTGACACACGCAAAGGTGCGAACACAAAGCGTTTCTATCACGACTGACATTTGACAGGCGTACGACCTCTTGCCCCTTCCCCGAGCCCGCCGCGTTGGCCAGCCTGCTCTTTCGACGTCGATATCCGTCATCAAGACGCTTATAGTCACAGTCCACCATTTGCTCGTTGTCCCACTCTTTACGCGCCCTACCGAGCCGTTTGCAGACTTGCTCATCGTGAATGGTCCGGGAACGTGTGTGGTACTGGTCGTTGTTGCATGGATCAGAAGAGTACGTTTCTCTCGTCAACGAGAACCCTCACTGACCGACTATAGATCCTGGGACTCTCCTATACCAAAATCATCTACGTTGAATCATTCGCGCGTGTCAAATCACTTTCCATGAGCGGCAAGCTCGTGCGCCCCTTTGTCGACCGCTTCCTCGTTCAGTGGCCGCAAGCTTCAGACCACAAAGCAGAGTGCAAAGGCTGGCTTGTCTGATTATATAGTATGCATTTTTGGGTTATTTGTACAACACGTATCTGACTAGACTATATCGTCCTAATGATCTCATTCAGTATATCATCTATGCTCCCACCAGGAGCTGATCTCCGTCCCCCATGCGCCGGGCCTTTGACCAACCACATCACCTCCTCCCGCTCTCTCCTCTTTTTCACTCTATGCGCCATCAACACATTCCACACCCCTTGCACATTTGCAGGCATCACATGCCACCCATCGAAATCCTCTTCATTCCCCTCTTGCCTCAGACCATTCACATCAGGCTCTTCCCCTGCAATGATGTTCCAACTATCCACCCCGCCTGTGCCCCCGCCCAAACCCTTCTTGTTTTGTGATCCTACTCCTTCAGAGTCTTGTTGGTGCAGTTTGACTTCAAACAGATGGGGGAGGGTGAAATCGCCAACGAGCAGGCGGTGGGCGCGAACGTAGATGGGAAAAGCGCGCACGGCGCGGGATGTGATGGCAGAGTGCAGGCTGGGGTGGGTGGTGATGGCGGAGAGGAGGTTGGAGATGTGCATCGAGATGGATGCGTGTATGTGGGTGTAGGGGAGTAGAAGAGATAGTGTCTTTAGATACTGCGTTGCTTGTCAACCCCGGGACATTGATGTGAAGAGACGACTGACGGGCTGGGGAATGATGGCTCCTGGACGGAGACCGCGAGGCGGCTTGTCCATGGCAAAAGGGTCGACAGTCGTCCCGCACATGAAATGATCCGTCTAACACCCAAGTCAGAATGTTCCGAGAAGCAATAGACCACTCACCACCCACCAGGGCACTTCTGCCCCCTCCCTCCTCACCCAGACCACAACAGGCTCAAACTCCCATACCCTATCCTCATTCTCTACACGGGCTTCGACGCGCTTCTTTGTCAGATAGTCGCACATTTTCATCTGTACCGGCCCGCTTGCATTCTCAAGGCCCGTCACGATGAGGACTTCTGGTAGATCCAGGTGGTCTTTGTCGAGGTTGTGGTGTAGGTGGCCGTTCACTTCAAGATTGGTGCTTTTGCGACTGCCAATTCTCGGCCGTACGTCTGACAATTGAGATTCTTGCGAGGGTACATGGCGAGGCGTGTGGTTTCTGAACAAGGACCATGGCAGTTCGTCTGTCCGAGTCACCGCGCTCAGAGACAATGTGCGCACAGTCATGCTAAAGATGGATTCCATCATCTACTCTATAAGTATTCTGCCTATACATTCAACGAAACTGCTCACAGCATAGACAATACTGACCAGCTTGTCCCTGCCGTCATCTTCCACATCGACGACGAGCCCGCCCTGGCGGACTATAAGGACGAGCAAGAGGATGGAGAGGAGTGGCGGGGAGAGGGCCCATGAGCGGAGGGCTGGGTGGGCTGCGATGTAGTGGAGGAGGCGGCGGGGGAATTGTTGTTCACCGGGGACGGGGAGGGAGGGGATGGTGGACATGGCAGCTCATCCCGGTCATGCAGTGTAAAAGAGAGTAAACTAGGACTGGATTACGGTAGATGGAAGGCGCCGAGGTCGCGGGGGACTTGAGTTCCCCACGCACAAGTCCGGCCATGACCGTCGGCGAGTTCCGTAACTCAACCCTGCCACATCTCCGAATCATAGCCTCATGGGACCTCTCTATGCTCTGGTGTACAAAAGCAGGGGCACTCTCGCCTCTTGTACCCAGCAACACATCTATTCCAGAGATCCATCTTGACCTCTAGCCATACACCATTATGTGTAAGTCGCTCTGTTGCTGCCTACAACCCAAGCTCACATCCTCCTCTAGCTTGCTGCAGCAATCTCCCCCCCGTCCAGGCCGATTACACCCCGAAAGGTACCTACACCACCTCGATTGGTCTCAAGTCGTACGTCACTGGTCCTGAAGACGCAAAGGCTGCCGTCCTCTACATCTACGACATCTTTGGCTTCTCTCCCCAGATTCTCCAGGGTACGCCCGATGGTCCACCTCCACCATGAATTCAGCTGACAGTGCACAGGCGCCGACCTTATCGCCTCCCAAGGCTATCGCGTCGTCATGCCCGACTTTCTCGTCGGCAAATACGCTACCCCCGCTTTCTTTGGCCCCGGCACAGAGGAAAAGAGGAAGGAATACTTTTCCCAGTTCCCCGCTGCGTTCGCCACGCAGTCTAAGCCTCTGGCCGACTCTATCGCTGCTCTAAGAGCTGCGGGCTACAGCAGGGTCGCCGTCCTTGGTGCTTGCTGGGGTTACAAGGCTGCTTTGACGACCGAGGGTCTCCCTAATGTCGACGTGTTCCTTGCTACCAGCCCCGTGTGAGTGATGGTTGCGACAGCAGCGAGCGGCGTTGACATTCAACATAGATTCCCTGTCCCCGAAGACGCCGAAAAGATTAATGTCCCCGCCCTCGTCCTCTCGACTTCTGGCGAGGACAAGTCTATTGTAAGTAGAGTTATGTACTCGTCTCATACCCTTACGCGTGTCATTCAGATCGATGCTATTGAGAAGGGCGTTGAGGCCAAGTACCCCGGAAAGAACGTCTTTAAGCGGTACGATGACCAGGTACACGGTTTCACCGCTGCCCGTGCCGATGTGAGTGCTCTACTTGTCCCCTCTGGAGCGACTACTAATGCACTGCACCCAGCTGTCTGGTGGTGCTACCCTTGCGGCTTACGCCGAGGCTTACCAGCTCATTGTCAAGTTCTTGAAGGAGCATCTCTAGGAGGATGGTGACTTGTCTGGAACATTAGACGGTGTCATACATGTACTGCCATAGAGTTTTCTGTCCATTTGGCTATATGCGCATTCCACGAATGGTGATCGGTTGAATCACACCCGGCGGAATCTGGATACGTTGCCCACTTTGCGACGCGTCTTGGCCTGAACGACTGTCAGATATCCTTATGCAGCATAGAAGGGAAGAGGAGCAAGAATAGACCCTGCCTGACACTGCGGTGGCCCAATGAGACGATGCACTGGAAGCGATGACGAGAACACCCGAACATCCTCCCGGCCGCCGAGAGTCCGCCTACTGACTTTCGGACGAGTCGAGCGTTTCTTCTTGTCAACAACGCTCGTTCAGGTTATTTCGAGGATGCGTATCCTCGCCCCATCCCGCCGCCGTCTCCCTCGCCACATCCTGCCCGCCTCCTGTGCACTCAGCTACACCCCCGCAGCGCGTACCCAGGCCACCACAGACAGGAACGAGTGGCTCGATTTCCTCAAGACCGAAACACCCCATACCCCAGAATCATCCGGCAAAGCCCTCTTGTTTGCTGGTCTCGTAAGCCACTTGCTATATACAGAGTACAGGGCTGATATCAACAAGGGATCATACCCCCATACTCCTCACGCGCCGACGCCGTCGTCATTGCACCTCTGGGAAGAAGCATCCGAAGCCTTATTGAGCCCGGATGCTACTATCGGCTACCAGCCTATACGGTCTGCCGACCAGGTCAAGGGGGGGCTGCGTAGCTGGGTCGAAGGGAGAAGCCTCGTACGACTCTCTCCCGCCTCCCATTTGTCGAGCTGACCGGTGCGCAGGACGACTTGATGAAACGCCCAGATATCACCACTTCCTTCATCCTCGCGTCGTCCCTTGCCATCCTCAAGAGTGAACAAGAGAGGAATGGGTACGATACGCTCTTGCCGCCCGAGATCACGCACCTGGCCGGGCACGGGTTTATAGGAATGTTGACGGCGCTGGTGGCTGCTGGCAAGCTCGACCTCGCTACCGGCGTCCGACTCGCTGTGCGTACTTTCCGAGTTGCTTTGTATGGTACTGACAAGTTTACAGCGGATCTACGCGACCCTCCCTCCTTCGCCTCCAGGCCGCAACAGACCCCACCTCACCACCGTTCTCTCTGCCCGACACTTCCACTCCCTCTCCTCGCCCTCCTTTTCCGTCCCTCCCCCGACGCACTATGCTACCTCGGACGACGACCCGCTCCCGCCCCTCGCTGCTAAAGATCCTGCTTCCGGGGAAGTCGAAGTCGGCGAGAGACAGGGCAGACGGCGGGCGATGCAGTTGATTTTGGACGAGATCCATGGGCTGGAACCCCAGTGGGCAGAGCATTCACAGGAGGGGCATGAAGAGTGGGCCGAAGCTGGCATTATCAACAGCAGCAAAGTGGTCGTCGTATCTGTACGCCCCTTCCATATTGAAGAAGCATGAAGGCTGACGGAGATAGGGCACGCACGATGCGGTACTGCAAGTGATTGAAAGACTGCAGCAACTCAACCTCGCCAACCCCGTGATGGATATCCACATGCCATGCCCGTACCACACCAAACTCATGTCGCACGCCGTGCCCAACTTTAGAGACGTGCTCGACCGGTGCTACTTTACCAAAAAGCCGGACGGGCCTGTCATCCTGGATACCGTCACTACCAAACCTGTACGTTCTCTGTCGGACTAACGGACTGGAGCTGATGAGGGTAGATTGGCAATTCTGCCTCTGCACTCTTGCCGCACCTGACTGATCAGCTGCGCTGGCACAAGACGCTCGTTCGGCTCTACTCAACCCCCACGCCCGAGGTAGGCACATTCTACACGGTCGGCCGGGGCGCAAAAGGTCTCGGCATCATGCTCCGGGGAGAGCTCAAGAGGCGGTTGAACGGCAGTGCGCCGATCCATATCGAAGAGATGGGCGTGGGACCGAGGGATGAGAGATTGGTGCGGGCTTTGAGGGGCTGAGATGTTTGAATTTGGGTTTCATTGTAGATATACTTCATCATGGCGTTGTACTTGCTAGTTTACCCACGACCGAAATGGTAAAAGTTGTACAAAACCATGACCACCACCTTTCCAACAAGTAGAATAGCGATGATAAAATGCATTCTTCTATACTACTTGTCCAGCCATCGATCAAGACCAATTCCGTAAAACGTTATCAAAGGAAATCTATGTACAGTAACATAATCAGGCATCTACAACGAGGATATAGTAACAAGCGATATAGATCAAGCAGTCTTGTTCTGGACGGTACCGCTGGCCTTGTCGGCTTTTTCGGCAGTCTTTTGCGCACCGCTCTGCACCTTGTCGTTGGTCTTACTGCTGGCCTCCTTGGCAGCGCCATTGGCCTTCTTGCTCGCATCCTCCTTGGCGACCTCGGCCTTCTTGGTGGTCTCGTCAGCCTTCTTGCTAGCATCCTCCTTGGCTCCGTCAACCTTGGTGTTGACATCCTCCGCGACACTTTGCGCCTCGGCGGCGAGGTGGTCGCCCTCTTCGCCAGCCTTCACTTTGGCGGCGTGGAGGAGGGTGTAGATTTCATCGATGAGGGGCTTGGCTTGGTCCTGCTCTTGGTCAGCTTGACCCCTGCAAGGCTTGATGGACTTACAATAGCATAGGCAGTAAACTTCTGACCCTTATCCTGCACCGTCCCCTCCTTGGCAAAGATGATATCCCTGACCTCTCCCGAAACCTTGACCGCCCTCTCACTCAACGCATGCGGCAACGCGGCCCCACTCTCCGCCAACCCCCTCAACTGCTCAAACAACCCCTGCGCCAAATCCTGGGAGCCAGCCACAGTCCCGTGTACCCGGGCGCCAAGGGCAGAGTTGACCTCGGCAGTCTTCTTGAACAGGTCGGTGAGCTTCTGGACACCGGGGAGGTCGGAGGTGGGGGTGGTGAAGGGGTAGGGGAAGGTGGATGCGGCGCGGTCGAATGTGGCGACTGCGAGGCCGTCGACGGATTCGAGGAGGGGTTTGGTGCGGGAGAGAACGGGAGTGGCGGCGTCGTAGCCCTCTGCAAGGCGTGTTGGTTGTGTCAGTGAAAGATGAAAGGGGCGTACTGGAAGCGACTCCGACGGCGGTCTGGTAGAGGCTGGCACCGAGGGGGTGAGAGTTGATCAAGCCGTGGGCATAGGTGACAGAGTCGTGCACGACGGGGATGGTGTCTATTTTGTTGAGGATTTTGAACTCTGCAGCGGGTTAGTGGGCGAGATGCGGGCGGGGGGACGTACGGGGGGCGGTGGTTGCGGCCATGTTGTCGTGTTCGTGGTAGGCAGTGCACTGAGATTGTAGATTGTAGAAAGGCAACGTTGGAAGAGATGCAGTTCACAGGTGCGTCATCAGTGGCAAATGTGCCTGGACATCATCTCTTCTCCCTGACAACCCTCTGCCCGTCTCTACTTACACTGCACAAACAAACAGGCCCCAATCCCAAGAGGCAATACCGGCTGCACTGTGTACGCTTCATACGTTGCCTTTGCATCGTTACAGACGAAAAGAGATAAACAGTTGAATGAGACGCCCCGGGAATTGGATCCGGCAGTAAACCGACCATTTCCGACAGTGCGGCAGTGAGGTCACGTGCGCGGCCCTGCTCCGCTCTTTCTATGCTCTCCCATTGGGCTGTGCGCCATTCTCCTCTTTCTTTTCTTTCCTTTCTACAACAACACCATGCTCAGGACACTCCCCAGAAACCTCCGCCTGCCGTCAAGGGCCACCCTCCGCCCCAAACACTTCTCCCCGGCCCAAGCCGCGAGAAAACACTACGCCACAGAGGCCGTCGCGCCCAGCAAGAATGACTTGTTTGCCAACGGCGGCAATGCCTACTACACTGAAGAGTGAGTCTATGCCCTGCTCAAAGTCTTCGCGCCTTCCTTTCAACACCCCCGGAACCTTCCAATATCACCAAGGATGCAGCCTGACCATGCACAGGATGTACCGTCTCTGGAAACAAGACCCCAAGTCGGTCCACGTATCCTGGCAAACATATTTCGCCGGTCTCGACAAGGGTCTCCCTTCCTCCCAGGCCTTCAACCCTCCCCCCGGCATGCTCGGTGCTGTCCCCACACCTGCTGGCGGCAGCCCCAAGCTGTCAGTAGAGGGCAGCGGTGATGTCACCGACTATCTCAAAGTACGCCCCCCTCCCTTCACCACAAACGCAAACGCGCCGCTGACGATCTGAAACAGGTGCAACTCCTCATCAGGGCCTACCAAGTCCGAGGCCACCACATTGCCAACCTCGATCCCCTCCGTATTTCCGATGCCGACCTGTCGTCCCGCGTACCTCCCGAGCTGAAACTCGAGTACTATGGTTGGACAGAGGACAGCCTGAGTAAAGAGTTCAAGCTTGGTGACGGTATCTTGCCCAGATTTTCTGGACACGTCAAGAGCGACACGATGACTTTGGGACAGATCGTTGATGAGCTCAAACGGATGTACTGTAAGCCGCCCATCAGTCCCTCCGAATCAAGCTGATGTCACCCAGGCACCCACATCGGAAGTCAGTACGTCCACATTGTCGACCGTGGACAGTGCGACTGGATCCGTGAACGTGTCGAGATCCCCACCCAATGGCAATACTCTACCGAAGAAAAACGCATGATCCTCGACCGACTCATGTGGTCCGAGCTCTTTGAAAAGTTTATCGCCTCCAAATATCCCAACGAGAAGCGATTCGGTCTCGAGGGTTGTGAATCCCTCATTCCCGGTATGAAGGCCCTCATCGACCGATCCGTCGATGCCGGCGTCAAGTCGATCGTCATGGGTATGCCCCACCGAGGACGTCTCAACGTCTTGGGCAATGTCATCCGAAAGCCCATCGAGGCCATCCTGAACGAGTTCAAGGGTAACGATGATGCCGACGACACCGGTGGTGGTGATGTCAAGTACCACCTCGGTGCCAACTATGTCCGTCCCACCCCCAGCGGAAAGAAGGTCTCTCTGTCCCTCGTTGCCAACCCCTCGCACCTTGAAGCCGAGGACCCCGTGGTGCTTGGTAAGACGCGTGCTATCCAGCACTTTGAGGGCGATGAAGGGGATGGATCGTCCGCGATGGGTGTCTTGCTGCATGGTGATGCCGCGTTTGCCGGTCAGGGTGTCGTCTACGAGACCATGGGTATGGCCAACTTGCCCAACTATGGTACCGGCGGTACCATCCACTTGATTGTCAACAACCAGATCGGTTTCACCACCGACCCCCGATTCGCGCGATCCACCCCTTACCCCTCTGATATCGCCAAGTCTATCGACGCTCCCATCTTCCACGTGAACGGTGACGATGTCGAGGCTGTCAACTATGTCTGTACCCTTGCTGCCGACTGGCGAGCGACATTCAAGAAGGATGTCGTCATTGACATTGTGTGCTACCGACGATACGGCCACAACGAGACTGACCAGCCGTCCTTTACCCAGCCCAAGATGTACAAGGCTATCCAGAAGCAGCCTACCGTCTTGTCCATCTACACCGACAAGTTGATCCAGGAGGGCACGTTCACCGAGAAGGAGATTGATGAGCACAGGCAGTGGGTCTGGGGAATGCTTGAAAAGGCGTTTGACGGGTCAAAAGAGTACAAGCCTTCGCCCAGGGAATGGCTTTCGTCCTCTTGGGAGGGTTTCCCCTCGCCCAAGGAGCTTGCCGAGGAGGTCCTCCCCCACCACCCCACCGGTATTTCCCAGGACACCCTCGAGCACATTGGAGAGGTCATCTCTTCCTTCCCCGACGGTTTCACCCCTCACAAGAACCTTGCTCGAATCATCGGCAACAGGGGCAAGACTGTCAAGGAGGGCAAGAACATTGACTGGCCTACTGCCGAGGCGCTTGCTTTCGGTGCCTTGTGTCTCGAAGGCACCCACGTCCGAGTTTCCGGTCAGGATGTCGAGCGAGGTACCTTCTCCCAGCGACACGCCGTCGTGCATGACCAGGAGACTGAGCAGGCCTACATTCCCCTCAAGCACCTCGGTGCCGACCAGGGTTCCTTCACCGTGACCAACTCGCACTTGTCTGAATTCGGTACCCTTGGTTTCGAGCTTGGTTACTCGCTCGTCTCGCCCAACAGTTTGACCATGTGGGAAGCGCAGTTTGGTGATTTCGCCAACAATGCGCAATGTATCATTGACCAGTTCCTCGCTGCTGGTGAGCGAAAGTGGCTCCAGCGAACCGGTTTGGTACTCTCCCTCCCCCACGGTTACGATGGACAGGGTCCTGAACACTCTTCTGGTCGAATCGAGCGATTCCTCCAGTTGTGTGATGACGACCCCCGAGTCTACCCTTCCCCTGAAAAGTTGGACAGGCAACATCAGGACTGCAACATGCAGGTCGTTTACGCCACCACCCCTGCCAACTACTTCCACGTCCTCCGACGACAGAACAAGAGGGACTTCAGAAAACCTGTATGTGTTCTTCTACTATGATTGATTGGGTACTGACTATTTGCAGTTGATCGTCTTCTTCTCGAAGGCCCTCCTCCGACACCCCGCTGCCCGATCTACCATCGAAGATATCTCTGGCGAAACAATGTTCCAGCGATACATTCCCGACTCCCACCCCGAAAGCCTCGTTGCGCCCGAAAAGATCCGCAGACATATCCTCTGTACTGGTCAGGTCTACTACCAGCTTTTGAAGGAGCGTGAAGAGCGAGGTGTGAACGACGTGGCGATTTCGAGGATTGAGCAGTTGAGCCCGTTGCCTTATGACCTTTTGACCCCTCATCTGGATACGTATCCTAATGCCGAGATCACCTGGGCCCAGGAGGAGGTGAGTCTTTCGTATCATTGTAAAGATTGGGGCTGACGATAAGTAGCCTTTGAACAACGGCCCTTGGACATATGTCCAGCCCCGATTGATTACTGCCCTCAAGCAGACCGAGCACCACAAGGACAAGGTCCCCACCTACGTCGGCAGGAAGCCCAGTAGTTCCGTCGCCACCGGTTCCAAGGGTGCGCACAAGAAGGAGATTGAGGCCATCAACGAGGGTGCTTTTGGCACCGAGTCTCAAGAGTAGACAGCATATAATGGAGGGAAGGAGAGAGAGCGAGGACAGTTCAGCATGTGGATGGAGGAATGATTACTTTTTTTGCTTGACATATCTGTACAATTTTTTCTCATGCACTTCATCATGGTTCACTATACACAATGCAGGCATGCAGAGTTCTAGTACAACAAGTTTGAGACGACAAAACCTTCTACGTACTTTCTTCTCCCTTTTTCAGCAGCGCATACAGCCGTCTCTTTGCCTTGTCTCCCGCAGGGTCCATGTGCATTACCTGCATAGACTCTTCTGCTTGTCCCAGAGCAAGATCACGCAGAGGATCGTCCGGGTACTGCATAGACTCTTCCTCCCAGGCAGGGCGTGAGAGAGGTGAGGGGTTTGCACCCGCGGCGCTGTTGGAAGCCGGTGAGTTGACAGCTGGAGACCTGGATGCGGTCGTCTTCATTCTCGTCAGTCGATATACATCATGCCCAAACGGGTTACTAACCTTTAACCTTGCAGAAGGACGCGCTCTTCTGGGAGGATTCTTTGTGGCGGACCCACTAGGGCGCTCTGCTAAACGTCTCATGACCTCCGTCATGCTCTCCTTCTGGCCCAGCACTCGGTTCTCGCCAACGACATCTGCGATATCCAGTTCGGACGGCTTGACTGGAGATTTACTCGCGGCTCGGGAGGATGCAGACTTGGCTGGGGAGGGATTGTGGATGGATATTGAGGGTGAAGCGGCGGTGGAAACTATGGGAGAGGACTTGGCGGCTTTGAGGGGTGAAGATTCGGCTCTCGAAAGCGTCGACTGCTTCTCGGGAGATAGTGAATAAATGCCCGTTGGCAATTTGCGAGCAGAGCCACCGGCTGAAGGGACAGGATGGGCGGGGGCCTCCATCTTGTCCTTCTTTTCGGGTGACGCTCTATCGATGTGCGTCGAGTGCGGACGAAGAGCTCGAGCGGTCTCAGCACCGGAAGATGAAGCACCATTTGATGGTCCAGCAGCGGACGCCGCTTGTTCGCGAGCAGTCTTGGAGACAATCTTTAGACGGTCCAGATCACCATTAGAGGCGATCGACATGCTTGAAGTCACGTCCGCATTGTTGCTCATTCGCGGCTCTGCTCATATCATCAGCGCCATTCCATAGTCGTCGGAAAGCCGGCTCACTCAAGGCATTCGGAAGCGTCAACTGGTAGTCTTCCCAGGGTTCCAATTTCCCCGTCTCTGCCATTTTCTGGATCCATTCTATCGACACAATTTTGGCGCCTATTCGACTAGCTCTTCGCATCTTTTGTGTGTTTGATTGGTTGGTGACGAGATGGGTCATTTCTTGTGAAGCAGCGGATTCTGACAGACTGAATCCGAGCGCTCGGGCGAGGCGGCGGGCCCATTGGCCATAGCCGTTGCCTATAGAGCCGGAGATGTGCAGACGCATAGTCTCGGGTCCTTTGAACCAGTCAGTGGACTCCGATTGAAAGAGGGGGAAAGGCTTACCAGGAATACCAGGAAGGGGGGTGGGGAAAGTCAGCGGGCGATAGAATATATCGCTGTTCGGATCAACGATAGCTTCTTCGGTCACACAGCACTCCACCCAGTTCTCCGTGACCCATCTAGTCTGGCCTGATTGTTGCTGTTCCGGCACTCCCTTGAAATCCCTGTCCAAATCACCATCAGCTTGATCGACCGCACAGTCAGGACACTTACATCCTGACAATGACATAGTCCACTTCTAGCCCTGCATTGAACTCTGACCAACTGACCAAGATGGCGCCTCTCATACCAAGATGTGAATTTACTTGGTCAAAGATGCCATCTGCGCGATTGACCATCTTGAGCCCTTCAAACACCTGGACTAGACTAGGGTCTGCACTGGTGTCCAGCAAGGGATCAGGCTTGACATCTGGTTTGATATCAGGCTTGACGTCCGGCTCGACCTTGGGTTTCACATCGTCGACTACGTCCTCAATCACGGGTGATGAAAACTTTGATCGAGCTGGCGGTTTGCGTTCAGCTTCGGCAGCAAACGAAGTAGTCCGCGACAGATGCGCCATTGAGGACTTGACAGTCTTTGGCCTTTTAGCCAGTGGCTCCTCTTCAACATCGGGAGAAGCTCTTTTAGGAGTGCTTCTGCCACTTCCCCCTCTATTGCTGATCCCCGGTATGATTTGTCCCACAAGAGAATCGAGACCTTTCTCTTTGCGACGTTTGATGGCAGCGGGCTCGGAGGCGTCAAAGTTGTCGGGAAGGTTGACAGCGGTTTCAAGTACGACCCGACGTTCGGGTTCAGATAGGTTGACCGTGTCGTTAATCACATCCGCTATGACAGTTTAGCATTGCCTCGTACAACGATGACATGCACCTACTTGGATTTACCCTTCCCCCTCTTCTTGGCTTCCTCGCGTCGTACATTGTCTCCTTCCATCTTCCCTTGTACGCCACACAATCCCAAATCCACTCCTCGTAGACGATTTTGATGTCTGCGTCCTCACTAATCTTGTTGCCTCTTCTTCTGGCGGCTTCGTTGTCGGCAATGTTGCGGAGAGCCCATTTGATCTTTTCGGATGGACGCTTCTCCATGGCGGGTTTCGACGAGACGAGGTGGGTGCACTCCTTGTCGAGATCTTTAGAGTATATCCCGCCGTTGTAATTGATCAGGTCGACAATCTGGCGCCGCCTATCGACTGGGACATACGTCAGCATGCTGCCACCAGTACTCCCTGATACTCACGGTGCTCGATGCCCGACATGGCTATCCGCAACCCTTCAAACGGTAAAAGCCTGTGCGCCTCCTGCATCTCCCAAAAGTCAAAGTCGTTGCCCTCCAGCCATACAGCATGAGCATCTTCTATCCACACGGGGGTCATCACTGGGATCCTATGCTCGACGGCATACTGCGATTGATCATCAGATTGGAGGACTCTCGGGAGTTGGCGCGACTGACATGGTATTTGGCGGATTGACAGGCAACAGCCACAACATGGGTCACGGATTTAGTTAGTGCTGATTCTGTAATGGCTCCCAGCTCTCTTGCAAGACCCATCAAGTGTGCCTGTGATTTGGTATCAGTACAAGCAAGTCACAGGCTAGGCCATTGCGCACCTTGTTCTCGACACCGGTGAAGGTGAGGTGTACGCCTTTCCAAGGTTTAGCATTCCTTCTAGACTGACGTTGCAGTTGATCCTCTGCATTCATGAGTCGGTCAGTGTATGCTTGGTATGGGCGCTTGATGTGACTCACCTTGAGCAATATCAATCTCCTCCCGCTCTTCATCCCATCCACGCTCGGGTGACGCCTGGCGGTTATCTCCCGAGCGTGCTGGGGCAGGCCGAATCTTGACCTGTGGGATCTTCTTGGACAGGTGCCCCCTTCTGTTCATGGCGAGAAATGGGGGTGAGATGGAGATGGAAGAGGGAAGAGGGAGATGGATGAGATGGACGCGTTCTGTCGGTTGACGCGACTTGCTGATTTTCGTGTTTATAACGTAAGTACGCGTAGTTACACATTCTTACTTCGACGAGGCCGAAGGGGACAAAAGTCATCTGTTGTTCGACCGTCAAGGCATCTCTCGTCCACATCCCACAATGTCCCTCTATCGCACCTCCATCGCCTGTGCTCGTACCCCCAGAGTCGCCCCCCGCTGGCTCCACACCTCCACCTCTCGTCTCCAGCAGAAACAGGCCCAGCCGCAGACCCCGGCTACTGACAATATCGAGCTCACAGCTGTTCGTTATCAGACGCTTTGGCTGAGGGACATGACTGACCAACATTGAAGCCAGCAACATACATTTCGGAAAGTCACGATCCTTGGTTCAATCTGTCATACGAAGACTGGCAAGTCGATATGTTCGGCTCGCACTCATGCTGATGGCGACACGCAGGCTATTGAGAAATACTCCAGTCGACCAACCAGTGCTATTCCTGTATCGCAACTTTCCTTGCGTCGTCATAGGGCGCAACCAAGTGAGTACATCTGCTTCTACTACTTTGCTATTGCTGACCCGTCTCAGAACCCATGGAAAGAATCAACACCACGAAAGCTACGGGATGAAGGTCTACCACTGGTCCGACGTCGGTCTGGAGGAGGTACTGTCTATCATGTAAGTGCAACCGAGGCAGGTTCAATACTTCTTGACTGACAAAGGACCCACAGGACATGGGAAACACAAACTTCTCCATCATGCTACCACGACTAATGTTTACCCGATCACACGGCGCTCTCCTCGTGTCGCGAGCTATCAGGGAGAGACTGGGGATTGAGGAATGCGGGGTGAACGAGAGGAATGATGTGATTATCAAAGATGGAGAAAGAGAATTAAAGATGAGTCGTTACCAGAGGTACGGGACTTGCACCTACTGACATGTCCCAGCACGTTTCTGGATCTGCATACAAGATCATCCAACATCGAGCCTATCATCACGGTACAATGCTCATATCATCGTCCCTCGCTGAATTGGGAAAGTCTCTGAAATCCAGCTCTGTATGTACTGCCTCCTGAACTCCCGAGACGACTTCTGATCGAGATATAGCCCAATATGGAGACCAAAGGGATCGCCTCACATCGCTCGCCCGTCACCACCCTCAATCACTTTATCCGCGATGTGACAAAACCCATTCACCACGACTCCTTCACTTCCGCTCTCACCTCCGAATTCGCTCAGGTGTATGCCACTCCATCGAAACCCATGTCGACACATCTGGTGCACAAGAGTGGGGTGAAGGAGGAGAAGGTATGGAAGGGGTATGAAGAATTGAAGAGCTGGGGGTGGCAGTATGGCCAGACGCCGGAGTTCACCAATAAGCTAGAAGAAAGCTTTTCTTGGGGTGATCTGGTGCGTCATTCTTAGCTCATTAGATCGCTTTGCTGATATCGCCCAGTCGGTATCTTTGACATCCCGTCACGCACTAATCACTTCCCTCACCTTCCACCTCTCACCACCTGCCTCTCATCCCTCAAGCCCTTCAGCTCCAGAAGTCGCCAAGATACAAGCATTCCTCGATGCTCTCGCCCTCGATCTGATTGGCAAGAGGTATGAAAGTCTTGAAGGTGCTGAGGGCGCAATGGGGCACGAATGGGAAGGAGAGGCGTGGCGGAATTTGGGTTGGGAAGTCATGAACTGGCTTCGCCGGACCATGTAATCTTCTGTATACTTGGACTTGAGTACTGGCATCTGCTTCCATGATCAGAACCTTTATATGCATTCCCTATGTCTGTCACAAAATCTTGAACATTGCATCGGCAATGCGAGTATGGGCATGTCATGTCGTGCGATCCCAAAAGTCATGATCAGGCCAAATACATATCAAAGGATCATGTAAGCCCCGTATCTGTCACAGCGACCACGGATCTTCGGTACGCAGTGTCAACATAGGGCTATCATATCGTTATAGGTCTGGTAGACAGCTAGACACCAGTATCCAGCCCAAAGGCGGTTACGGTTGTGTCATAGCGGAAGAGCAGGAGCCAGTGGGGATAGCTGAAAGCTGTGGCTACTGCAATTGTCTTTGACCGAAAGATGGCGGGTCTAGGGTGGGGTGCTGCATGTTGACTTGCAGGTACTGATATCACACATGCATGGTATACGATTACAACAGTGTAGCCTACAAGTCCATATCAGCGCATGATCCAGGACATGTTTCTTCCGGTCACTTACAAAGATCTCTCAGCCTAGCGGCCTCCACTCAGCAATTCTCCAATAGCCTTGATCCCATCATTAAACCTTTTGCTATCCCTGAACCACTCTGCTTTGATGTCCTCCGGGCTGGTAGCAAACATATTTGACGCTGGTATTTGCGGGTTGATGATACTTTCTGAGGATGGGGGTTTGGTATCTGTTTCAGCGGGAATGGCAGGTTTGGCGTGGAAAGTAGGAGGCAGGGAGAGGAAGGGGTTGTTGGTGGTTGATAGAACGAGCTGGTGGACGGCTCGGAAGATCTGTTTTTACAGTTGTCAGCATGAGGCAAGGGCGAATGGATGTCCGGACGCACAGCGACAATATCGGCGTCTTTGATCATGGCGTCTACCAGAGCTACAGACAGGACCATCCTGAGTTTCGTTGGTGTTTGGAATCCATAGCTGGAGCAAGGCTCAGTTGATGAGGGCATGATAGCAGGGTGAGACGTACAAGGCCATATCTTCCATACAGAAGAGTAATCCGAGATACGAATCAGCTGGTTTAGTGGGTGTTGAGGTCATTACAACTAAGTTCTATAAGTCACTCGGTATTAATCTCGTGGAGACTGTACGCACTGCGTTCCTCGATAACGTCTACAGCGGCATGTCCGAGATGGTAATGCGAGAGCTGGTCCTGTTCACCAGTGAAGGAGTGGACATAGAGGGGCGCATTGTTGGGCGAGAGGATGGTCAAGGAGGTGAGGTGGAGGGGGACCTGTTGTATTGAGCTGCGAGAGTCCATCGTGAGCAAAATGTCTAAAATTAAGAGAGTTGGTGATTGCGGTCATGGCGCTTGCGGGCGGGACCAAATCGCCACCAAAAGTAGCAGTGACGAACTGACTTGTGACCTGACATGAACTCTACATTTCCACTCTTGACATACTGAAAGCCCTCACCCAGCATCACCTACTCACACATTCCCCACCCCACTGCGAATCCCCACCATGACATCACTCGACCCCTCCCACAACCCCCTCAGCCACAAAGCCCAAGCAGTCTATGATCCTGCCCACTCCTCGCCATTCCCCGACAACCTCCCCCAGCCATCAAGACATGGCCACGATAAGGCCAAGAGAGAGGGAAAGAGAAGAGTGACCAGACAGATGCCGCCTTTGCCGGATCTGAGGTTTGAGCAGGTCCGTTTACAACGTGCCCATCGGCCGATGGGGATATCGCTGATGCCTTCTTGTACAGTCATACTTGCTCTCGATCAGGCCTTTCCTCAAACCTTCCCCTAGGACAGAATCAGGGAGAGAAGACAAGAAGTCTGAGAAGCCTTCGGGGGCTGCGGTAGCTCAGAGTACGGATCGTGATGAGGTCTTCCACTGGGGCAGGGAGGTGGACGTGGATTGGCAGAAGGTTGCTTGGGTCACCATTCGAGACCAGGTAAGATCTTTTTTGTTCAACTGCTAAAAGTCTGCATATTGACATACGCGATAGCTCTTCGCACCTCTGATCCAGGGCGCCGTCTGGGGCTGGGCCTCGGTACTCCTTGCCGCCACAGGAGTTGCTCTGCGCGCTTCTCTATACCCTGCAAGTCATGTTCGACAAGGAAGAGTCGCCGGTGGGCCAGGAGGGCCTATAAAAAGTGCTGGTGGAGGGGAGGCTGTCGCTGGTGGCTGGTGGAAGAATTGGGTAGGCAGTTTCTTTGGTGGAGCCGAGACGAATGCTGTCATCTAGATGGATGATGTAAAGATATCATTGCGACTCTAGAAGGCTATCGTTACAGGATTGAAGAGCAATAAGTGTATACGAAAAAATCATTTGTGGCATCTCCAGTCATGATCTGATCAGTAGAAGACACTGTCAGCTGGGCGTTGGAGATGGCATGTTCGCTCACCAGTCAATGTTCGCTCACCAGTCAAGATATCAGCAATCAATTCGGCGTTGTACCGATGATAAGAGTAGTCTGCATGAGGCATGCCTTTGAGCTGCTGAGGGATCGTATAGGTTTGTCATTCTCGAGTAAGGGAGAGGTGTGCGATGCCTGAACATGGTGTGGAATTGAGGCCGCTCGTATGCTCACTGATGCAGACGCGATGCAGATGTCTATAGCGCTCGGTTACATTCTAGATGGACATCTCCTGCAGTGTATGAATAACATGCTGCAGACAAGACGACTTTGCAGTCTGACTTGTGGGGTTTGCGTGATAGGCTGAGGCTCGGCTAATTAATGCACCGGAGATGCCCGGCCCGGTGTGCACCACATCTATCCGTCCTATCTACTCGTACTTTATAAATGGTCGTCGACTTTCAACAATACCTGCTACTCTCAAGATACCCCGTCTCAGCAGCATGGCTCCATTGATATCCTTCAGCGCGCTACTCAGAGCAACTCGCCCAAGAGCGGGAATATTCAGCCGCCGGGGAGTGTCCACTTTCCGACAGCACCCTGCTATTCGCACTCTGTCTCCGGGGCTTGTCGTCGGTGCTGGTGTGGCCCTTATTGTCCCAGTGAGCACACAGGTTTCCGTGGTGATACGTCAAGCTGATAACATAAATAGACGTATATCTATTACAACACCGCTCTTCTTGAGTCCCACACACACGTCGTTGACGCCGCGGTGCCAGACAAGCCGCATGGTCTTGAGGCAGAACAGGGAAAAGTAAAGAAGATCAGCATCAAGGATGTGCTGGAGCATAAGGAGGGCGAGAGAATATGGGTAGTGATCCGTGGAGAGGTCTACGAGTACGTCCTTTGATCGTGATGTGCACGCAAGAAGCTGAGACTACGTAGCATGACAGAGTTCCTGGAAGATCATCCGGGTGGAGACGAAATCATAACCTCAAATCGCTCCAGAGACGTCACCCCATTGTTCAACCCCCGCCACCCCACAAACCAACTGGAACCGGAGAACCTTCCTCCAACCGTCCAACATCTCGGCACTCTGGATACCGCTTCCGCCTCGGATGAGGAGAAGGAAGAGCTGAGGCTGAAGGTGTCGAAGGATGAAGAAGATGAGAAAGAGAGGATAAAGAGACTGAGAGAGGAGATTGAAGAAAATGGGCTTGGAAAGATTGTCAACATGAGAGACTTTGAGAAGCTGGCAGAGCAGATGGTGTCCAAGGTTGGATGGGCCTACTATTCTTCAGGCAGTGAGGACGAACTCAGTACGTCGACCTAGTTTCCAGATGAAACTGCGCTGATCTCTGGCAGCTATGCGCAATAACAACAATGTCTACAAGAACATCTGTTTCCGACCCAGAGTCCTCAGGAATATCGCAGAGTGTGATGCGTCCACAACCATCTTGGGCTACGACAGTACTCTGCCTATCATGATCTCCCCTGCGTAAGCTCCTATCCATTAGAACTCAGCATGTGATTGCAAGCTGATATGGCATAGCGCAATGGCGAAGCTCGGACACCCGTTGGGTGAAGTCAACCTGACCAGGGGCGCTGGTAATACCGGCCTCATTCAATGTGTACGTCTGATCTTCTTCATCCAACATATGTCCATATTGATACTTTCCAGATCTCATCATTCGCCTCTTGCTCTATCGAAGAGGTCACGGATGCTCGTAAACAGGGCCAGCCACTCTTCTTCCAGCTCTACGTCAACGCCAAACGCGACCTAGCTGAGGCAGTCATTGAAAAAGTCAACCGCCTCGGGCTCAATGCTATCCTCCTGACTGTCGATGCTCCCGTGGGTGGGAAGCGAGAAAGAGATATCCGGTTGAAGGGCGCATTCGAGCCGCCCAAGACTGGTGCCTATGAAGAGCACAAGGATACGAAGGGCGTCAGTGAGGCAATGTTTGCGGGAGTGGATCCGAGGTTGAATTGGGACGATATCAAGTGGATTCGGTCGCAGACAAAACTGCCATTGTTGATCAAGGGTATCCAAACTGTCGAGGTTGGTACTGTCTCCTTCAAAGGGGATGATACTGATATCTGATAGGACGCGGTGCTTGCTTACAACCATGGGTGTGACGGGGTCGTCTTGTCCAACCATGGTGGTCGCCAACTCGACACGACCTCAACAGGCCTCGAAACCCTCCTTGAAATCCGCAAATACGCCCCCCAACTTCTCCGCCCGCAATTCCGAGGTCCCACTGGTGTTCAACAAGCCGCCCTGGAACATCCCGAATACTTGACGCCCCCCGATCCCAAAGAGAAGGAAGAGCGCAAATTCGAGATTTGGGTGGACGGTGGTATATGGAGAGGGAGTGATGCTGTGAAGGCGCTCTGTTTGGGGGCGAATGCGGTGGGTTCGGGTAGAGGGTTCTTGTATGCCAATGCCGTTGGCGGACAGCAGGGTGTCGAACATGCTGTGAACAGTGAGCTCGTCTTTCTCTTCTTTTCGGCGTCGCTAATAGTCACTAGTCTTCTCTGCCGAAATCTTGTTGACTATGAGGCTTCTGGGAGCAACAAAAGTGTCCGATCTGGTACCCAGTATGGTAAACATCAAAGAATAGATAGCTCAGACATACATATATATTCTTTAAATATCCTCACAAGTTTCATACCCATGGCTTTCTCTACAGAATGAATATCAACCGAGAGCACAAAAGGAGGGGATTTGAGAGTCAATACTTTTGGACCTGGGGTTCGTTTTGAGACCCAGTAATGTTCAATACAGCTGTGGATCATACAGTAGCAGTAGCAACACAGTGACAACGCCTTTCGACATCGACAGTCAGTCATTCAACATTTGAGCGCGTCGACGCGTCACTAAATGGGGGGCCACCACGAAAATGCCTCCACCGTTCCTGCCTCAAGATTTCAGAATCGAAGTCGGTTCTTGAGCGTTTTGCGAAAGCTTTGTTTATTCAAAAGCAACAAATCTCAAAAATGGCCCCCAAACCTGCCTCCAACAAGAAGCGAGCCGCCCCAGATGCTGGCGCCGCCCCCAAAAAGGCCAAGGTCACCAACGACAAGCCCGCCAAGAAGCAGTCAAAGCCTCGATCCGCCCCCCGAGAGCGTGAGGAGGAGATCAAGAAGCGCAAGAAGCCAATCACTCAAGGCGGCGGCGACGAAGATGATGATGCCAGTATGGGAGAAGAGTCGTTCTCGGACGAGGAGGAGGATTTCGCTGAGGGCGAAGATGTCGAGATGGGAGAGGACGGTGCTGCCGAGGGTGCCGAAGGCACTCAGGAGAAGAAGCCCCGTATGACCAAGGCTGAGAAGCTGGCTCTCCACGCTGCTCAACCCCACCGAACCTCCCTTCTGCCCTCCCACCCTCTTTTGCAAGATACCCTCTTGCCTTTGTGGGAGACTGCTAGAAGAGCGGACCTCAGTAAGGAGGACAGGAAGAAGGCCATTGTCGAGCTTTGGGAGGCTGTCAAGGGACGTGTTGGTGAGGTATCGAGGGGTCACAAGGGTGGTCGAGTGTTGCAGACTGTGCGTACATCTGGATCATCTTGGACGAGACTAATACAGCTGTAGATTGTCAAATATGGTGGGAAGGAGGAACGTTTAGGTGTGGCTATGGAGTTGGAACCTCAGTGGAAAGCTATGATGGAGTCCAAGTACTCCAAGGTGAGTCGCACCTGTGAATGCTCACTGCACTTCTGACATCTTTCCAGTTCTTGATGTCCAAACTCATCCGTTACTGCCCCTCAATAAGACCCCTTCTCATCCCTCACATCGCTCCTCAACTCCTCACTCTTTTGAACCACGCCCATGCCGTGGCTCCCCTTTCCGACTTTTACGACCTTTACGCTTCCGCAAAGGAGCGAAGATTGCTCGTCAGGGGATTCTACCCTCGTGAAGTCAAGGTCTTTGACGGCGCCAAGCAGGGTGCGGAGGTAAAGGGATTGGAAGCGAGTCTGGAGGACATGGGAGATGGTAAGGGCAGGGAGCGAGTGTTGGATGCTATTGAGAAGACTGTGACCGATGTGTAAGCATATCTTCGTCACAAATCGATTCATAGCTGACTGGCCATTTAGCTTCAACGCCACCCAAAAGAATGCCCTCACACAATCCATCTTCCACCGTCTTGTCCTCGAATACGTCCAGTGTATCTTTAAATTCCTCGACGCCGAGACTGCGGCCACAAAATACCGCGAGCTTCTTGCTGTCGGTGCTGAGAGCTTGCCCGAGATTGTCCACTCCAAGGATGGATCAGCCGCGGTCCGTGAGTTGATCGTGCGGGGTAACGCCAAGGACCGAAAGACTATTTTGCAACCCATGAGAAAGCACGTCGAGGCTTTGTGCAAGGACGGAGACGCCCAAATGGTCCTCTTTACCGCTTTTGACTGTGTCGAGTATGTTGCATCTTTTACTATCGATATCTCGTGCTGATGACTCTCAGTGACACCAAGTTGATGGGTAAAGCCTTTGTCGGCGACATCGTCGCTCTCGGCCCCTCGCTTGCTTTCGACAAGCAAGGCCGTCGTGCCCTTCTTTACCTCCTTGCCCCCACATCAACTCGACACTTCATGCCTACCACCATCTCTTCCCTCGCGGCCAACCAAAAGCTGGCCAAGGAGCTCGGTACCAGCAAGAAGGACGCCGATGCCAGGAGGAAGGAGCTCATGTCGCAAGCCAACGAAGGCTTGCTGAAACTCGTCGAAGAGAAGGGTGACGAGATGGTTCGCGACCCTGGAGCGGGTCTTCTCGTGCAGGAGATCCTCCTCAACACCACTGGTGACAAGACTGCTGCCATCCAGACTCTTGCTTCCGGTCTCGATGCCCCCTACCCCGACCCCGCGCCACTCGATGCCAACCCTGACCCTGCCACCTCTCACCCTCTCGACCTTTCCCACGCCATCAGGACTTACAAGATTCTGCTGTCTGGTGGTCACTTTGACACCAAGGCGCAGACGCTTGTGGTCCCCGATGCCACTCTCTCACCAGCCTTCTCTCGTGCTGTGTGGGATGTTCTGTCGAGCGAGCATGCGGGTGGTGAAGCGAACCTTGTCAGGGTCTGCAAGGGCAATGCGCCGTTCGTCGTCGTTGAGCTTATTGAGGCGCTGAGGAAGGCTGGTTACGCCGCGGAAGTCAAGAAGGTTTTGGGCGGAAAGGAGTTGAGGCAGGAGGTTGGGCAGAGTGTGAGGAAGGGTGCTTCTCTCTTGGCTGAAAAATTGGCTGAACTTTGAGAACCTGTGTAATACATCTAGGGCCTATATGCATTGTTTTCGTATGGACATATTCTCCCATGCGATTATAGGATAAATTTGTAGGGATTCATGATGCCCTTCGGATCGAATGTCTTTTTGAGCCTCTTCATCAACTCGATCGAGGCGGGTGACTGGGAGTATGAAATGTAAGGAGCCTTCATCGCTCCCAGCCCATGCTCAGCCGAGATGGACCCGTTGTATTCCGCTACTTTGGGGTCAGATATGAGGGTTCGCTATGCACAGGAGCACTTACCAGTCAACTGGTAGACAAAAGGTTCTATTGCACTTTGCACCTCCTCGCTGAACTCGGTGGCTACAACATTCAGATGCAAGTTGCCTGATACATGATCAGCATGGTTGATCCTTTGACATAGAGACTCACCATCTCCCATATGGCCAAACCCGGCAACATCCCTGACCTTTCCTCCTACCCATGCCAGCGATTCCATCCTTTCTTTCATGCGCTCAACGACTTCATACATCTTCTCGACGGGCACGGACAAGTCGTACTTGTACGCTTTGCCCGCTGCACTCAACGCGGATGGGCACTCTTCGCGTATCTGCCAGAGGTTGTGGGCTTGTGAGGCGTCTTGAGCTAGAACGCCGTCGAGTATCAGGGAGTCTGATAGGAGAGTTTCGAATAGGGAAGATAATTTCTGAGCTAATTATGAGTGAACATCGCATGACGAATTATCATGCACACCTCGGAATCGTGCTCGGCGTTGCTACCTCCTGTCTCCACAAGGCAGTAGAACGGCCCCTCGCTTTCATCTCCAAACACTTTTCTCCCTGTCCCACCCCCTCCATGCTTTTTCACCGCTTCATACGAAGTGGCATCAAACATTTCGAAAGCAGAGAGGATCTCCCCCAAGTGCGCTTTAGTTTGTGAAAAGACCTTGAGGCAAGCGGCGTAGGAGGGGACTGAGAATAATGCCACATTCGTAGACGTAGGTCGTCGAGGGCATAATATGGAGATGGCGGTGATGATACCTATTGATCCCTCTGAGCCAATGAATAGCTGTTTGAGATCATACCCTGCTCTGCCTCAGTACGAAGCCTTCCCGGAATCAACAGAACCTACCAGTATTGTCTTTCCGTAGACCGCTAAGTCCGTTCCATATTCTCCCATCTGGAAGAACCACCTCTAACCCAAGCACGCTTCCCCTCAGACTTCCATATCTCAACAGCCTCAATCCTCCTGCATTGGTGGCCACGTTGCCTCCTATCTGACAAGACCCTTTTGCGCCCAAGTCGAGAGGAAAGATGAAACCTTTAGAGGCAAGGAAAGAGTCGGCTTGTTCGAGTATGATGCCGGCTTCTGCTGTAAGGATTCCACTGACGGGGTCGAAGGAGCGAACAGCGTTCAGGTTGGAGAGACAGAGTATCAGCTCGTCATGTATCGGAGTCGACCCGCCTACGTCGCACGAATTAGCTGTCCAGAGCGTTATATGGCGATGCGGGCTCACCAACAAGACCAGTGTTTCCTCCCTGGGGTACTATGGCAACGTTCCGGTCGTGACACCATGTGACGACTGTACTCAGCTCTTTCGTGGTCTTTGGCTTTACCAATACCTGGCTTTTCCCCGCGTACTTTCCCATCCAGTCGACATTGAAGGCTGTGAGGTCACGGACCCGTCTAGTGGAGACAACAAGGACGTCGGCGAAGAGAGGAGAGATCGCAAGTGCGACACGTGGCCCGCTGTAAGGCTTGTGAATGCAGGAGAGCGAGGAGGAAGCCGTAGTATTCCCATCGAGCGGGGTCAAAACAAGCCTTTTTGACGTATAAGGAGATCTGATCAGGAAGGTCACCGGTGACCGGGGTCAATCCAAGCAAGGCAGCGGTAAGCGACGGCAATCGAAACCGGCCCGGGATGCTGCACTCTGCAGCTCCTCCAACTCCCTATCCTTCTTTAATTCACGATCCATCTTGAACCCCATAATCCATTCTGAGTCTCCATACTGAATCAGTCACGTCACATCTATCACCTTTCATCCTTGATTTCTCCACATTCACACCACAATAATGCCTGCTCAGCGCGTCATCCTAGTAACCGGTGCCTCCGGTGGTATTGGTAGAGCCTCTTCCATCGCCTTGTCAAACGCCTTCCCTTCACCATCTCATCCTGAAGAGCTTGTCCTAGTTCTTGTAGGGCGTAGGCACGCAGAGCTCGAAGCGACAGCCAAACAGGTCAGAGAAGGCACGACAACGGAGATTGCGGTTGGTGATGCGAGTAACGAAGAGGACGTCAAGAGGATTCTCGAGACAGTCAGTGAGAAATATGGGAGACTCGACCTCTTATTCAACGTAAGCCATGGGCCATCCATCCTGCTGTGTTGTAATATTGGCTAAACTTCCTTGGCAGAACGCGGGCATCAACGAGAAATCTGACGGGGGCTTCGAAGATCAGGACATGGAAGTCTCTGTAAGGGTAGGATAGGTGAGGCGTAACCTAAGGGCGGTTACGTGGTGGATCTGACTAGGGGCGCCAGATGTCGACCTTGAATAGACTGGAGGGATGAAGGATGGATATAGGTGAGGAGGTTCTTACGAGAATACATCGATAAGGAAAAGGATACGGAGACGCGGCACGATGTATATATGGGAACCTCATCTCGCAATCCAGCCTACGCATCCCTGAGACCATAGCGGTAACCCTAGTCACCGAACCCTGCGTCCAAAGTACACGTCACAACATCTGTACCAATCCCTTACAGTCTTCAGGAAGGTGCTGGATATCAACATCATGTCTGCAGTCCTCGCGAGTAGCCACCAGCTTCTTGTCCGCATACATTTACCCTGCGTTAGTTTACAAAATACGCTTTCCATGTCATGAAGGCCCAAGAGCCGCAAGGAGGACGCATCATCAATAATGGAAGCATCTCAGCCTCCGCTCCCCGACCAAGTCAGTACACTTTTCTATGTTATCAAGGAATGATAGACATATGCTGACCTTCGCTTACGTAGACAACACTGCCTACACTCTCTCGAAACACGCCATCCACGGTCTCACCCGCTCAACATCTCTCGACGGACGCAAGTACCACATCACCTGTACTGAGCTTGACATCGGTAATGCTGCCACCTCTCTTGGGTCGCATGTGACGGCGGGGTCTCTTCAGGCCGATGGCAGCAAGAAAGTCGAGCCCACAATGCATGTTGACAACGTGGCCAACACGGTCGCATTCATCGCTGGACTGCCCCGAGAGGCTGATATCCTGAGCCTTGAGATCATGCAAGCCTCCTAAGCTAACAAGGCAAAATGAGTCAGCTGACAATGAACCCAGTGCTTCCGGTATGCCCTACGTTGGGCGAGGATAGCTGGTGAAGCGCATACCTGGGTTTCAATTATCTGTTCGCGGTATCAGGGATCGGTCTAGCCTTCGAATCCCTCAAGTCATTCTTGTTTGTGAAGTACTAGATTTAACCTCTATGTATACTATCCATAAGCTCCCTGCTCAGTAGCATTTCCTATCAATCCAGTACTCGTACTGTATAAATGTGGCAGTTGTGCTCGGTCATCGCCATTTCTGAGGTCTCAGGTACGCGGACCTAGCCCCTTACCTTCTTACGTCACCCGAGCTCGGACCACCGTTTCAACAACAATACCAGAAAACCCTCGGGCCTTACTGTTTGTTGCCCCGCATATGGGAGAACAATAGAAACGTGGCGAAACACCGACAGATCAAGTATCATCTCGTGAGCCTTCCCTGTGGCGTGTCTTGAGTCCAGCACGGGCCCACTAACGTACTCTCTCTTCTCCAGACTCTTCGTATGCCGCCCTTATGCAGATTGGCACGGTCCATTCAGGGAGTCCCATATCCAGCAGAACAATAGCCTTGTCATTGAGCCCGGCGGTCCAAGCGTATTGAGATGCCGGGATCAAGGGTGGTCTGCTTTCACTTCCGCCAGCATCGGGCAGGTTACTTATACCGGTCAGAGAGTCCAGCACCTTCCAGATCCACATCCCCACAGCAATTGCCACCGCCCGTCGTGGCTCAGTATAAAGCTACCAGGAGATAGCCAGCACAAATACCCTTGCCACACACCATGATTACTCTACTCACCGTCGTCGCCTTGATGGTAACGATGACCGTCAGCCTTCTCGGTACTGCTTTGTTGTCAGGCTTTGACCTCGCCGACACATCGTTCTTGCTCGACACCTCGACAACTCACAGCTCGAATTGCGTATCTATCTTGCCTTGTCTTGCGATGGTAATATTGTAAGTAGTTTTTGGCGTCCCTCTTGGAGCTGTTGGTGGGAAACTGACGTGCTGAGTAGCCTTGCTTTCATCCTCTCCTATCACTTCAATAGATGCGATCGCGCGCCGGCCATGGTACGTACCGCGCTTCATCAGTCCGTGTATCACGATGACTTACCAAGCGTCTCGTCAGTCATTTATCCCAAGTAATGGAAACATTGTGTCACACTTGGGCGAGCAGAGCTCTCCTGACTCCTTGGTATGTTGCTCGCACATCGTAACGCAGCATGTGCTGACTTCATCGTCAAGGTATCAATCCGTCCTGAGGGCGCTCCAACCAAGTTATCCTCCCCGCCTTCTACTGCCCTTCTACAAGCCATATCACCATCTGCCAGAAGACACATGGCGCAATCCTCCAGAAGCCCGGCGATGTTCCCAAGGGTTTATGGGTGCCCGGAAGGATGCAGAGAAGTCGGGCAGGCTCCGGAGAAGAGACCCGCCCCCCGCCGCCTCTGTCGTCCTCTGGAATATTGCGCCCTCCCAGACTTCTTCGTCACGCTAGACAAACTCCTTCACCGAGGCCCCTGTGTATTCACCACCGTGAGCCACCATCCTGACAAACGACATCCCGTCAATTGCCCCTGTCAACACTGCTGGCAATATACGCAAGCTCACGGACTAGTCACGGTTACCGCCTTCCCCGTGCATTGGGACGGCGGGAGGGGACTCTGGGAAAGACAGGCTTATGATCCCCTGGCAAGTCCGCAACAGTGGCCAAGAAGGGTTGGGCCCTCTGCGGCTGCAATGGATCTACCGGGAGTCCGTGCAGCTTGGGGTTTACCGGTGGATGGTGTACCTACCTCTGCAAGTGCCGACTCAAGGCATCTAGCCTCCTCCAGCTCTCTCGAAAGAGGCGTACGACCGGCCGCGCCCGAGATGATGGCTGAAACCCAAAGGAGGGCAAGAAGGCTTGCAAATGATGTGTTCGTTGGTACCAGGGGCAATGATCTGTCGAGGGATCTCAACGCCGCTGTGGATACTTCCCACTACCCTATAGAAGCTGGTCACCCAAGTGTCGAAGCGCAGGGGTATGACGGGGACGACGACGAAGAGGTGGTCGGTGCCGACGACTCTGGATACGCCGAACGAGACTCGACAGGATCTGGGTCTCAGGAAGACTCAACAGAGAGGGACAGTGAAGCCTCGCCAGAGTCAAAGCCAAGGCGAAAGACAGCAAGGGGCTGTAGGTCCGGGAAGAAGGTGAAAGAGAAGCGAGAACAGCGTCGGCAAGAAAAGGATCGTCCAAGGCTTTTGGCGAGGAGAGCTTTACTCGAGCGTCAATTTGTTGGTATTTACGATCATGCTGCTGTCGGAGGTGTGATGCCTTATCCAGGTGCTGGACATGGTCTACCCCAGCGCCCCCCTCCATTGTATCCTTTCCCACGTCAGATTTCACCTCACCGGCCAGATGCCTGGCATCAACCGTCTCAGCAGGCCCATCAGTCACCCCAGCAAAGATAAAAAGCGCGATCGTTATATCTACCCGTGTTTGTATTCGGTACCAATCAGCGTTAATTTGTACGACTATACATATATGCAGTAATCGGTGCACTTCTATACTTGTTGACCCGATCGCAGCTGTTCAAATATCTCGTCGATGTCTTCCTTGCTGACGCTCCTTCCGTCGGCTGCTCGCTCCGCGAGCATCTCAGAGAGCCTGTTCCTGTAAGGGTATAAGCAGTGTGCAAGTGTCCATTGAAAGCACTTACTTCAGTCTTTGATATCCGTGTAAAGCCTCGATGGTTTGTACCCTGGGTAGATTCGACAGTGCTTGAGTCATGACTTCCTCTGTGGTTTGATCTGCAGAAATGGGTGTCAACAATGCCCCTCTTCACCTTAATTCCACGCACCTTCCTGCTCGTCTCTGGCAGGTTCGTAGATATCGCCGTCTTCCAAAGGGAATGGCAGACTGGCAATAGTAGACTCCTATGTCGATCAGATATGCACAGCGTCGCAAGTAAGAGGAGCTCACATCGAGTTGGGTTTTCAGCTTCTCGCGGATACCATGAGACAGAAAGACGTCGCCTTTGCCCTGCCACTTCCAATCTGAAATCTCCTCTCCCGAACTAGCTTTTACCGTTGCGTCGTCCAGCTTGATTTTCTTGGCGTGAGCATCCGCTTCATCCTCTTGAAGAGCCCGTTTGCCATTCTTCATCTCATCCACTATTTGGCTATCGCTCCCAGTAACGCTCTTCCCGATGACCTCCCATGACCCGCTTGACGACGGCTCGATCATCATCCACCCGCCCTTGCCTGCTTGGCTCTTCATGAAGGGGTTCGATCGTACGCAGGCCGAGCAGATGAGGGAGTCATATGTGTCGGAAGGGATAAGGACTCTTTCGTCGTCGTCGTCTTCCTCCTCGGCAGCTTGCGCATCAACAGAGGGCGCGGAAGATGCAGGGACGGGCTCCCCTAAAGGTTGAGAGGATGCAGTCACAGGAGTGGGTAGCTGTTCTGTAATCGCCTCAGATTTTATGGAAGCAGGAAGCAGGAGATTCAGACAGCTTTCATGGAACCAATCCTTCCAGTACGATCAGCACAAGGCGAGCATCCGTTCGACATCCGTACTTACCTCACAACCAAGACAAGACAGCATCGCCTCTTCTTCAGTTTCTGCATTATAATCCCTCCCGCACCTGCAGAACTCTCCTTCGAAGTTATGGGTATACTTATTCTTGTGATTGGGAGACTGGGGTTGTATCTCAGGAGGATAAAGAGCGCATCGACGCCTCTTGACCTGGTTGCCGGCTGGCGGCTCAGGCTGCATGCTCGTCGTCGGACAATCGCATCTAAAAGAGCGCTTCGTCCAAAGCTCCACAAGTTTGTGCTCTTCCTCATAGATCAGCGCGTCGTCCCATACGCACATCAAGTGTACTCACCGCCGTGGCACGAGATAGAACAGCCATAACATACACCCTTCCCGCCACAGTCTACCGCGTATATCAGCTACCGACTCTCATGACCTGACAGATATTCTTACCTATACACGACCACACAGACTGCCTGAGGTGCCCCTTACCATATGAACACTCGTCGAATTTGAAGGGAAGGGTTTCTCTGGCATCGTCTTGGATGCGGTCCGAGACATCGATGAGACTCTGGAGGGTGACGGTTGATGTGGGGTCCCTCGATGGAAGATAGGTAGAAGGAAGAAGAATGAAGCGGTCTGAGGAAGCTGGGGGCATGGTGCACTCTCTGACTTTTTGATGAGAAAAAGGGCAGGTATAGAGATAGAGCGTGTCATCGTTATGTTTGGCCCCGCCGGCGCGTAATTGGGCCTGTAACTACGGATAGTCTGATGCCGTGCGTAATTACAGAGATAAGACTCAGGCACGCAGCAAACATACGCAAAACTCCCACACCACCGTCTCCTGTACTCTATCCTGTTTATATCCCGAACAATTCGCCTCTCTCTTTGTGTATAGTCTCGTGGGCCCCCAAAAAGACACCATGTCCGCTCCCCTCCTCCCTTCTTACATGCCCCAATCCCCCGGCAATCCTCGCGTTGGTTCGCCTTCCTCTCCATCGCGCTCCTCCCCTAGTCCAAGGTCCCCTGCTCGACCCAAGGGTGGGCGAGCTCGCTCTTCTTCCCCATCCAGAAGCGGTTCGTATCCCCAAAGGCCTGGATGGCGGGAAGCTGGCGATGAAGAAAGACAATTCGTGAGTGTACTGCGCTCCACGCTCGTGTGACGGATTTGCTGACATGCTACCATCGCAGTTGGCCAATGCCAGCAAGAATGTTGAGATATCTGCCAACGTACCGGAGAATAAGAAGGCAGGCATTACATCCAACCCGGTCGTGATCAGTTAGTGCCCGTGTGGACCTGTTGTTGATCACTAACTCAAAACCAGTTCCTATATGGATCGCCCTTTCGTCCACTGTGATCTTGTACAACAGTAGGTTGCCCCTAAGATATACAGGATCCACTCTGATGATTTTCAGAATACTTGTACTCTAATTTGCATTATCCATACGTGAGTCATTGCAAAGCTTGTTTGTCAAAATCTGACCTTGTGACGGATAGCCTGTATTCATGTGAGCTCCTGAAGTGAATGAGGAACCTATTCTAACCGCGTACATGCAATCGACAGTACTTCATACCACCTTGGATGTGCCGTGAGTGGGATCTGAGTCTTACCTGCACCCCCGACTGACGCGATATCAGGCTATCGGTACCAGGATTTTGAAAGCGACCACACATCTTCTCGATGGATTGGACAATATTGAGATGACAGTGGGTCTCACCATGCACGTGTACAGGTAAATGCTGACTCTATTTAAGAGGGATCTGTATCTCAAGTCAATCCTGCCTATCGGAGTGCTCTTCTCGGGCTCTCTCATCCTCAGTAACACGGCATATCTATCGTGCGTATATCCTGGGTAAAGTTCATTTGAAGTTTGTTGACCTGCCCATAGTCTCAGCGTGTCGTTCATTCAGATGCTGAAGGTATGCCTCTATCGATACGGATCGGAATAGATCATACTTACATTCTATCGTAGGCCTTTACGCCCGTGGCCATCCTCCTTATATCGGCCGTTTTCAGATTGCAGACCCTCAACTCAAGACTAGTCGGCATCGTGTTCCTAATCTCTGTCGGGTGTGCGCTTGGTATGTAATCTTGGTCATGATACGAATCAAGCTGACTGCTTGCACAAGCCGCCTATGGAGAGTTGCACTTTGAGATGTTCGGTTTCTTATGCCAGGCGAGCGCAGTCGCTTTTGAATCATCGTGAGCACCTTGCCAATGGAATCAATAACTCGGCTGACCTAGCATAGCCGCTTGGTGATGATTCAAATCCTACTGCAAGGCCTCAAAATGGATCCCCTCTGCTCCCTCTACTACTACGCACCAGTCTGCGCGACTATCAACGCCCTCTTCCTACCTTTCACCGAAGGTCTCGCCCCACTCCAGGAGTTTTGGCGAGTGGGCTCGCTGATTATGCTGTCCAATGCGGGAGTTGCTTTCGGCTTGAACGTAGCAGCGGTGTTCTTGATTGGTGCTGCGGGAGGGTTGGTGCTCACACTGGCCGGAGTTTTCAAGGTGCGCGGCTTGAGTGCTTGACAACCGCAGACTTACGGGTGCTGATTATTCCGCTAGGATATCTTGTTGATCTCGTCGAGTGTCATCTTCTTTGGCAGTACCATCACGCCGGTTCAGGTCTTTGGTGAGTGTCTATCCAGTCTTTGTATCATCGGATCATCCTGATGAGCAATAGGCTACGTGTTGGCGTTGGCGGGTTTGATGGCCTACAAGTCTGCTAGCAAGTAAAGAATGAAAGATCTGCGTATGACACTCTCTGGCAACCGCGGTTCACATTTCACCCACAGGCTTCTCCCTCACCCGGCCCCGATCAATACGCCAAAGGCATCGCATAACGATACGAATTAGGTAACGGCCGAAGAGGTCCCTTTCAAGGAGGCACCTCTTCATCTCCTTTGCGCTCCTTTTACGTCCCCTCCCCACCTTTCGAACACTCAATTTCTGTAGGTTGTCAAGCTCTGGACGAAGCGAGCGGCAAAACGCGATCCGCCAAGTAGCCGGTCTGAGCACCGCAGCTTTCAATCTGCGGCAATCTTCCTTTGACCATGGGAAGTTTGCCTTCCGTTCCCTGAGCTGCATACTTTGACCCAAGGACAAAGAGAGCACCATATTTTCGAGTATGATCTGCATGTCTTCTTTCTCTCTACCATCCACCTACAATCTCAAAACCCGTTTTCATCCTTCTTACAGCAGCAGAAGGTCGGCTTCTACCCGTTCCTGTTGAGGACCCGAGGCGCAGTCATGGCTTGTCAACAAACGGCGGAGGCGACTCTCTACTCTACCTCCACGTACGTTCCACATCTCATAACCATCACGATCGTCTTCAATCATTGACAGTGGCTCTGAGCAGATCCCTCATCCTACAGACCGCCACTTCCTCGTCCGCAGTGATATACACACCGTCTACTTCCACTTCCACATGGGTGAACACAGCTTGTCCGACCGCCTCAGCCGCTCGGGGGAATGACTTGGGCAACATGGTCGTATCCGCCAGCTCTCAAAGGGACGGCACGTCGACGTCCAAAAGAGATGTCACTCTGAAAATGACCGACAGTAGCCCCTTCGATTCGGCACGGTCCACTTCTATGACTGCCCAGAGCAGTGTGATCGGCTCACAGACTGAGGCTACTACTCAGGCATCCCCGGTGGATTCGGTCAGTAGTGCCAGTCGACAACTGGACCCTACCCAAAGCTCGGAAAGTTTCGGACAAGCGCCCATATCCTCAGAGGTCTCGTCCGCCTCGCAGATCCGCAGCCAATCTTCTATGACCACGACCCCCTTATCCTCCCCCACAACTTCCACGTTCTCTACAACGGCTTCCGCATCCTCGGCTGCCACGCCATCTACGGCCCCGTCCCTTTCTCTGAGAGCTCACTCACGCCGACAGTGGCGGGACGGTGATGGCAGTGGTCCTGGGGAGACACAACAGACTTGCCAGACCACCACTGCATCCACGATAATCACTTATAGCTCTTCTACATCCTGGTCTACAACATATATCACCTCCATTAGCACAAAGACTGTGGTGGTACCAACTCAGACGATCTGGGGAGGATGTGAGAGTACCTCGAGTACTGAATGGGCTGAACCAACATCATCAAGCTGGGCGGACGGGAGTGCTTGGACATACTCGAGCTCGGAAGAGGGCTACTGGGTGGAATCCTCCAGCTCTTCGGAATCAGATGAGTGGTGGAGCAGCTCGTCATCTTGGACAGAGGCATGGTCTGGTGAGTAGGGTTCGATCTGGAGGCTCCGATGCTGACTCTGAATTAGATAGCGCTTCATCCATACCCTCTACCACAGACGACAACTCGTTTATCGCTGCTATCAGCTCGACTACGAGTACCACAGCAACGTTGACTTCCCATGGGCCTACAACAATTTCCCTGTCTACTCAGTCGCCTACCTCTACGTCCAGCACCACACCTACGTCTACCATTTCCTCTTCCGCGGCAGCGGTAGCAGCAGCCAGCGATGCTGCAACCTCGTCCACCACCACAGCTTCCGCATCCACCGCAGAGGACAACTCTCCTCATATCAACAAATCTGTCTCGATCGGCGCGGCGGTAGGCGGAGTCTTTGGGCTCTTCGCCTTCTTTGCAATGTGTCTCTACGCGGTGCGCTGGTGGAAGAGGCGAGGACGTGTGCAGAGGACAGCGGAACTCAGGAGCAGCTGGTTCTATGGTGGAGATGTTCGAGAGTCGAAGATGTATGGGACCAACGAAAAGGGATTCGAACATGGCGACGCCGAATCTCAGCTTGAGCCAGAAGCACAGTTGCCCCAGTCTCGCTTCTCGGCGCCTTCCCTCATCTCGCATTCTGCTATACCCGCACTCTTGCGACAGCCGATATCTCACATACGTCAGGGATCCGGCCGTTTCCCACCCATTCTTTCGCTCAAGCACCTCCGCCTGGGCTGGAACCCGGACCAGACTGCTCGGAAAGAGAATGGTAATGGGACAGGGACCTGGGTGGACAAGTATACCACTCCACCTACAGTCAACAGTACGAGAAGCAGGAGTGGGCTGAGCAGGAATGTCAGTCCGCCTCGAGCTATGGAAATGGACTCGCCTCTGGAATCTACCCCCACGAGACCGAGACGGCCAGATGGGACGGTCTCAGACCATGCTCCAGATACGGGTGTCACGTGGGGAGCGTCCTATACTTCGCCCACTGTTGCTCAACCGCACCATCAGCAATGGGAACATGGCCAAGGACTCGAAGCTGAATTCGACCACGCTGCGCTCAGCGAGGCTTCCCATTCCGTCTACTCTCGCACATCCACTTATACGCAGCACGGCAATGCTCTCAGCAGAGGCAGCACGCTCAAGTCGATGCAGGCTGGAGGTGCAGGCGGGGCCAATGAGGCTGCGGCAACCTTCCCGATGCCTCCTGTCGACCATCCCTTCCTCCATAGTCGATCTTCGAGCAATATCCAGACTGAGAGATCTCTGCCCCCTCCTCCCCTGCCAGAGATTCCCGCCATCACCTTCTCGCCCAACTTTTCTCATCCTGTCTCTCAAGATTACTCTATCACACGTTCTACCCAGCACTCTTCCGGGGTCTGGGAGTACTCTGGATATGACGACTCTAGCAGACATACTCCATTATCGGGGACTTTGCAGCTTTCTCGTGAAGCTCCCCTGATCCAGGGAGGTGTTGATGACGAGTACAGAGCCACGCGAGACTGGTACGAGAAATCCATATGGGATGGAGGCATCACGGAATCTAGTACTGTACCACATCGTCCGGAGGCTCTAGGTCACTCAAGTCGGAAGAGTGTCAAGAGTGTGAGATGGGGAGACGAGGAGAGGGACCTGCAGGACGGTGTTCCTCGAGCAATTTAGATGGAGAGTACGGCGGGGCAAACTCATGACATATATACGTTCTCTATGGTTATACTACAAGGTCAATATGAATTTGGACACTCGGGTTCTATGCAGTGGCAGTGCAAATGACAGTGGATGCAAATGGACGTTGATATCACAATTGAATGATTCGCCTCGGTGCTCCGGTTATGAGTGGCGGTGTTTGCCGGGCTGGCCTTTGCTTGCATGTTTGTGCATGTATTTGGTCCCGCCCTGTACATCTCCATCCACCACCACTCCCCGCAAGCAAGGACTCCACAGGCAGGGCACAGGACAGACCCGCAGCGTCTAGCTACAGCTCAACGACCAAGCTACCTATTATGCTGTCGCTTTGAATCGCCACCTATAGTCACACCAAAGAATGATAGACCAAATCCTCGGCCGCCCATCCCCCACCCTGCGGCGGAGTCAGATATGGCTCATCCTCTTCTTCTGGGTATGGCGCCTGTACAAGGGCGATGGCGCTCCACGCCCTTTGGGAAGGAACCCTGCCTCGGCATTCATACCAGGGTCCAGTAGAGTCAGTGGAGGGATAGGAGAAAGAGTCAGAGATAGAGCTGCCAAGTCGTGGTTATGGAAGCTCTGGGTCGAGTTGCTCGGACGGCGCTTGGTGACATGGATGGGAAAAGTCAATGACAGGCTCAGTAAGTTTCATGATACCTGGAGGGGAGTACTGTATGCTGACAGACTTTGACAGGGATATTTACGCCATATCAGCTGATCCTGGCCACTCTGACAGTAGTCTATGCTGTGCGGCATGTGGACGACCTTCTTGGCATCAGTGGTAAGTCTCGTCTAAAGAAAGCCTACATCCAACTGACGATGTGAATGAAGCACCGGAACCTCTCGCAAAGCTGGTGTGTCCACTGTCTGATTGAGTTCACCACAAACTCACACACTTGCAGTATTCAAGGTCGTACTATCGCGCAACATACGTCAACACAGCACTAGATGCAGGATTCTCAATGGCTATGAATATCAAGCCCCAGTGGCTCAAGGATATCTCCAGCATGGTGTTCTCGGGATACTATCTGTTGTATGCCAGAGAAGGTGATGAAGTGGTATGTTCTTGTCGCCCTTTACCGCGTACCGTGCTGATTGGGGCGCAGTTGCGACGCTTCAGGGCTGTCTGCTCTGTTGAGATGCTGAGAACGACATGGGACAAGACCAACAACCCATATGTGAGTGAGAATGTACACTCTACGCAAGGGGTAGCTAAGTAGAGGTTAGATCCGTCTTTTGACAGCTCGCCATCGCCCCAAACTCCCTATAGTCCGCACCATCTTCATTCCCAGGCCCTCGCAATCATCCCGTGCCTCTCTCCCACCGGTGAAGACTATGCTCTTCTTTTCCGGATCTGAAGCAGAGCTCGCTCAAGCGACCGAACTTATCGTTGATTTCCCAGGCGGCGGGTTCATTGCTATGAGCCCCGAATGCCACGAGGAGCGACTTCGAACATGGGCGCGGCGCACAGGGAAGCCTGTGCTAGGTGTCAACTATGGAAAAGCACCAGAATGTAGGTCCAAGTATCATCTTTGTGTCACTGCTAAATAACTTTTAGATCCGTATCCCTGGTCAATTGAAGAAGGTTTCGACGCGTACCGCACGTTGATAGAGACCAAGGGCAACGTGATTGGTATAGCAAGCGGTCGTCTGGATATCGTCCTCAGTGGTGACTCTGCGTAAGTCAGCGTTTGCGGAAGGTTCTTCAAGTGCTGACGAGTGACGTAGAGGTGGCAACATATGTGCCACCATCATGCTCCGCATCATCGAATATCCCACCCACATTCCTCGCCCAATCTCCCTCGTTCTTGCTTATCCGGCTCTGGACTTCAACTTTACATCTTGGATGTCTCCACAGAATCTCAGTGTATTGCGCACGGAGCAAAGCGAAACTCAAATCCCTGGCATGATCCATGGGAAAGACCACATGCGCCATAAAGCACCTCTGAGTGTAGTTGACGATGTGGAGAAGAAGAGTAGGAGGCAGAAGACCTGGGCGGCGACGATCTCGAATAAGATACCCATGATGAGCCCAAGGACGGAAGGATGGAGGAGCAACCCCCAAAGTCCCAAGAGCCCCAGTAAAAGGCTCGCAGACTTGCCTAGGAGCGTGTCGGCAAAGGTCATGGCTTGGGCTACTGCGGATGCGGAGGAGGACGTGAGATACTCGACAGAGGAAGAGGATGAAGGGGATGAAGGGGATGAGAAGACTGACAGCAAGGTCGTTGGGGGAGCTGATAAGAGGAAGGACACCGAAAAGTCACTCGCAGACAGGGTGAAGACCCCTAGGGAGGAGAACAGATTCGAGTTGACGAGAACAGAGTCTCCTGCGCCCATGGTGGAAGCAGAGAAAGACAAGGAAGCTTTTGATGCCAAGGTCGAGAAGAAGAGGAAGAAGAAGGGGGCGATTGGTACGAGGTTGACTATGACGAGTCGGGTCGGCTACTTTCAAGATAGGATCATTTCGCCTACTATGGTGTGTTTCAACTCCTCTGTCTGGCGGCCTGATCACTGACGAGTTCATAGATGCGAGCCATGGCCATATTGTATATCGGCCCACAGCGAAATCCCGACTTTGAAACCGACTACTACATCTCCCCTATCCTTGCCCCTCCCCATCTACTCACCCACTTTCCACCCGTCTATCTGATCTGCGGCGAGCGAGACCCCTTCGTCGACGACACAGTGATCTTCTCCGGCAAGATTCGTTCCGCCAAGCGAGCAAGAAAGGCTGAAGCAGAGACCGCTGCGCTGGGCAAGTCTACCAAACATGGCGAAGGACTTAGGATGTCAACAAGCAAGTCAAAAGCTCGCAGAGAGGATACTGTGGATCCGATCTTGCAAGAGACAGATGAGGACTGGGTTCAGACAAGAATCATCGAAGGTTGGGGTCACGGCTTCATGCAGATGTCCAGTCTGATGAAGGAAGTGGACCCTGTCCTGCTCGAAATGGCAGATTGGATCGACGAGTCTTTTTTGCGAGAGAAGGAAAGGAAACGTGAGGCGGAGGAGCTTTCTGCTGCTGCTCGTCTTTCTGCATCGACGTATCCAACGGTCGAGGCAGGGGTCACTGCTCATGCTAGCACCTCTCTGCATCTAAAACCCACTCAAGACTATCCGAGGGTGCCCAAAAAGACTGGCACGGCCGACCTAGGCTCGGCATACTTTGGTGCCGTTGAAGCTCCCGAGGACGCCAACGACAATCTGGTCACATTCACGCCAAAGAACAAGAAGAGGACCCCTCCTCCGTCTGGCTTTCTCCCCGTTCCTCGTCGTGCCTCCAAAGAGTCTTTGGCATCTCTGAGAAGGTCACCATCTGCTCCCAAATTTGATGCAGACGAAACAGGGTCCTCTGGCGAAGCCATGAGCATTGTCACTCCTCCTCTCAGTCTAAAGAGTCTCCCCTTCAGAGAAGGGGCTACGAGGGGTAAAGCCACATTTGGGCTTTTCGGTGGAACAACTACACCTGCCAAGCCGCAGGAGAGGTCGGGGAGGGTATCACCCACCCTTTTTGGGCGCCCACGTGAGAGACCTGGGAGCAGTAATGCTTCTAAGCCTATCCCCAGCCCATCAGCAGGAGCCAGGACATCATCTGTGCCGCCTCATTCAAGCCTCAACTCGAGCACGCCGACTTCGCCGCCGGAGAAACCCAAAGGCGGTCTGGTGGCTGCTGCCTTGTCTTCTGCTCGTGCAGCAAGTCCTGCATTGGCAGCAGCAGCTGGGTTTGTCCCCCAGAGCGTAGGTCATGTCAGTGAAGCAGAGCTCATGAGGCGAAGGAGGATGGAGGCTGTCTACGGGATTGGAGCAACTGCCAGTGGCGCTAGTAGCGAGGGGGAGGATGAGTAGGGCTTCAATGCCAATAGCAAAGAAGAGAAGTGCACCTTTGTATTTTTGTAGCATTTGTGCTTGTACATGTCTTTTGTTAATTTTCATACCTGTTTTCGTACATTTCCCATGCAAGGTCGTCATTGACGTTACGCTACTATAAACAATTCTAACTTCTAGCACTCTTTACTCTATCAATTCGTCCAAGGGACGCTTCATACATATACCGCGCCAGCAAATATAGCCGGACGGTGGTCTGATCTTCCTTCCAGTAAGCGCATCCTGTGCAATTTGTCAGTACACGTAGTAAAGAAGCGGTTGACTCACCCAGAATCATCAATGGTCCCATAATGTAGACACCTGACCTCGCCCTTCTGCCACCTCTTTTCCTGTTCAACGATCGGATGCAACATCTCCTTATCCTCGACAGGTTTGTCTTTAGTCACATGCAGCCACCCCGGGAACTCTTTCATCCACCGTCTCAGCGAGCCAAACTCTTCTTTTCTAGTATTGGCGCTTGATTTGAGGTTGGGCACAGGGGCGGTGGGTGCATGGGTGACGGGCGACATTCCAATGGGTTCTTTTGTTAGAGGAGCGTAAGATTTGAAATGATGCGGGGCGTCCGGAGGGCCCCATGCCACAGATTGCGGAGGACGGTCAGTGTTGACTGTCGGGTCCGCATTCGGAGCCACAAAGTAGTCGCCAGTCGCGGGCGCTGTGCTAGCCCTGATTGGAGAGGCAGCAACCGGACTGCCGCTGCGGGAGGCCGCCCCGCTCACTTTCCGCCTCAGCGCAACGGCGCTCTTGGTAGGAGTTGCCAGAACTCCCACAATGCCATCACTCGCTCGTCCCTTCTTCTTCTCCTTCTCCGGTTTGTCCGACGCCGCGTTATGGGAGTGCGAACGGGGGCGTGCCCCAAAGGCAGACTTGATACGTTCAACCTGGGGAGATTGAGACCGAACGGGGGTCTCGGCAGTGGGCGTGGATTGCTTTGGTGTGGAGATGCCTTTGGGCAAACTGTCAAATGAGAGCATGTGTCGAGTGGGGTTGGGCGTAGACTGGTTGGCCTGAGGCGTCGCAGAGCCAGAGCCACCTTTGACTGGGCTGATACGGGGTGTGATAGTAGGAGTAGGGATAGATTGGCTCGAGGGAAAGAATCTGCCGTCTTTTGCTTGTGATCGTGCAGGGCTACTTCTTTTTGGTGCAGGAATAAGTCCCGACTCATTCACACAGGAAGGTCCAGCATTGAGATCGGGCGTCTCGGGTGGAGACTCGACCACCGTATCACCAAGGTTTCTCTCCGCATCATATGCTAAAGCCCGACTGATATTGCGCTCCAACTCGTAATCATCTCCACTACTTTCGACCGCTTGCTTCATGCGCAGAGCAGTGTCGGTGTTGGCAGAGGCTGCAAGAGGAGAAGGATCTTTGGTGGCTGTTCGGCGGAAATGGCCACCAAAACTGGTAAAGACCGTGGATAGGCGTGAAAAGCTCCGATCTTGTGGGAGAGACTCGTCATCTGCTTCAACAGCTTCCACAATAGGTGAGGGAGGATCAGGTGACACATGGGCCTTCCAGAGTACGCGGTCACACTTTCGTGCATTAGCATGGATAAAAGACAGACGATGGCATTACTCACCCAGCTGGGCACTCGTTGCTTCTTTGAGGTGTCATATATCCCCTCCCGCCTGTCCAAGCCCATTTCAAACTCGTCATCTTCCTCCTCCTCAAAATCTTTGAAAGACTTTCCACTCGGGTTCCTTTTCATGACAGACATTTTCCTAGCAAAAGGTGGTTTGCCAAGCCCTTGGTCGAATTTGGGTGGAGAGAAAGACGAGTGCGAGTTATCTGAGCGATTTGAAGTTCCTGGAACGTTCAGATGACCCTCATAAGATGATGGGCCTGCTCGCACACTTCGATAGGACGAGGCAGATGTGCGTCGATTGTCGTCCTCGATAGCATTGGAGACAAAGCTCGACATTGAAGTCCGGCGAGACTCGTTGCCCCATCGGTCCCGCAACTCTTCCTCCTCTCTTTCCAACTCTCTTTCCCTTTCTTCTCTTCTATCTTGTCCCGCAGAGCTGAAACCACGGCGCCGGTTGCTCATTTGACGCTTCCGCTCCTTTTTGGCCGGACTTGTGGTCAGAATACCATCCATCTTGACCAGTTCCAAGAGGTGCCGCGTCTTCTCTTTGAAAACGTGCTCGAATTGTTTCAGCTGTTGAGCTGACGCCTGAGGCTCCTCATCGTCGTCCGAATCATCAAAATCTGTACCAGCAGTGGTAGATGCCATACCCGAGTACCGGCTGGATTCAAATGACCGTCGACGATCGTAGTCATCATCACTCCTGTAAGGAGAGTTTTCTCTCTGGCTCAGAAACTCGTAAGGCGTTTCGAGATCATTGCTCGCCCTACTGGGATTTTTTACGCTGGGCTCTTCTTCACCCATTTCTTCCATGGCACCCGCTTCGGGTACACCACTGAGAGTCTTCTGATGCCCTCCTGCTTTCCTGGCAGGTGGCACAGCAAGATCTGACGGCTCTGGATCACCGGTAGAGATAGCCGACGTAGTGGACTTTCGTCGCTTGAGAGTTCTACGAAGCTCGCGATTGGTAGCTCTGACCGACTTCCAGACCTGTCTCACTGTCAGGCGCGAGACTGCTTCTTTCCACTCGGACTTACATCGTACTTGAAGGTACATGGAAAGTTTATGGGGCCTTCTTCAAACCCGGGGAAGGGGTTGTTCTCTTCGCTTGACATGGCCATGCGAAGTTGGTCCCACTTAAGGGCGTCTTCGTACTCTGCAAAACATCAGCTTCAATCAGAGAAACCAGACCCGAGCTCACTCTTTTGCTCGATAAGCCAGTCTGCATGTAACCTGGAAAGCTCAAGCCGAAAGTTCAGATCACCGCACCAGAAGACAGTATCGAACCTCTCGGTAATGTCCTCTTCTTGAGATCTCGGGTCGTCTTTCGGCAAAAAACAGTCCAGTCGAAGCTCAGATTTGATCTTGTTGATGTTGGCTATTCGGGCTGCCTTGCGATCTGTATGGGCTGCAAGGTGGGAGTTCACAAAGAGGAAGCGGTGTCCCGCTAGCTTGAGACTGATACCGCTAAAGATTGATGTCAGAGACTGAAGGCTTGGTCAACAAGAGACTTACATCCCGCCCTTGTTGCCCACCCGGCCACCAGCAAGACCTGCTGTCACAAAGTCCTTGTCCAGACCTGTGATACATGTCAGCACTGGACAAGTCTATCACGAGCAACATACCTTGTATCAAGTGCTCGGCGCCCTTGTAGACGTAGACAGAAAAGTACATTCCCATCAGTCTTTCTTTTGCCACGTGAACGTAGCTTCCATCGCCCTCGTCCTCATCGGCGCCATCGCCTGTAGGTATGACAATCTCCGGGCGCATCATGCTTGGCTTTACAGGAGATGACGAGGATTTCGGCCTGTTTGGCTTTCTTGTGTTCTTGTATTCATCGGACGTGGTAGCTGTATTGGAGTAGTCCTCTTCGTTTCCAGACTCGGAGGATGACTCCACTCCCGTTGATTCTAAAGAAGACCGCGAATTCCCCGGGGGGCTTACGATGGGATGAGACCGGCTGTGCGTGCGCAAAATACCTGTCGGGGTTTGGGTGCCAGAATTTGAACCTTTACTAAATGGAATAAGTATTGGAGTTGCAGGTGTGGCAGGCACTGATGCTGATCTGAAGATAGGAGGCTTTGGAGAAGGGATAGGAGACGATGCTCCTGTGGGAAACTTTTGAGGCATCGGGGAGTCTCGCGAGGTAGGATTGGATAGTTGATCACTCAAGGGCAAGGAAGGCGGTGCTTTGTATTTGTAGTTGGGCCCACATAGAAAGTCGTCGAGCATGGTACTCCAGCCTTTGCTTGTTGTGGGCAGTCGATGGAAGAAGGGGGAATGAGAAGTCATTGGACTCGACACTCTTCCCTTGAAGTCGTCGTCCTCTGCAATGTCGGGGGATTTGAGGCCGGCTCCTTCCTCCAGGTCGCCTTCAATAACCTCGCCTCTGCTCTCAGCATCGTCCTTCTCCATTCTTTCCTTCTCCTTGCTTTCCCTCTTGTTCCTCAGAGTCATACCCTTGATGAGACCACCTCCAATACCACGTGGGGCACCACTGGGGGTCGGACACTCTTGTCCGGCAACAACAACGATGTGGTAGGGATGGGCGTTTTCAACGGGCAATTGAGGAATCTCAGATGTAGCCGGTTGTGGCTTGTAGGGCGGGACCTGTCCAAGGAGCACAGAAAGATCACCTTTTGGCTACAAATGATCAGATGTGCGCATCACAGTAATTTGTAGAACATACCAAAGCGTCTCCCATGTTCCATGTGACCACCATTACTTTGATAGCCTCCCTCTGTGGTTTCGGAGGACTCAGTGTCAAAGCCACTCTAGGATCACCGTTCGGCGTCTCTGATCGCTTCCCTTCATCCGCTCCCTCCGCAACACCCGCTCCAGCCAATTCGCCCGCATCTCTATCGGTCTGTTCTGAAGCTCTACTCTCGCCGCCCCAGGGATCATGATGAGGTTGTGGGTGCTGCTCGTCTTTGGCGTGAAAGAGGGCATGTAATCTTGACCGCACTCGGCTCGAGTCCTGGGCTGGGGCACAGCCATTGTTCGGGGGTTCCGAGGGGGCAGAGTCTGGCTGATGATGGGCGGAGTGCTTGTTGGCCAAGGAGAGTAATAGATTTCGGGCCATTTTCTACCCTCGGCGGCCTGGGTCGTTGTTTGTTTTGATCGTGATGGAGAGGACAGGACTATGTATCGAGAGATGAGCACTGGGCGGCGTGAAAAGGCTGTAGTCAGTGGTGCACAGCAGTTGTGGTAGAGTATAGGACACTTACAGAGTATCGCCCTGGACGGCGCGAGAGGATGGAGCAGGTAGCTGGGTACAGCAGATCTGAGCTGCCCGTTGCCCGTTGCCCTTGGGTTGGGCAGGGCTGCACCTTTGAGAGTGATCCTTTGGGTATGCGATCCTGTGCTGACTGCTCAGGTGTGGTGAGGCATGGCGGTGGGGCTGTATAGGGGAGTAGAGAGACAGAGTATCAATGCAAGAGCAGATACAATCGCGCTGTGAATTGATGATTTGTTTACATCCGCGCCAGAAATCAATCTCGATCTATAAATCTCAATCTGGCTATCCCTTTGTCAACTGCTTCACCCCATTCACCACCTCCCGGAGCTCCCCCATCTCTGCCCCATGTCGCCTCCCTCCACCTTCCAGCCGCCCCCTCTCCGGCCTCACTCGGCGCTCGAGCTGTACCTAGCCTCCGCGCTCATGTTCCTCATCTCTGCGCTAGCTGCCCTCTTAGCCGCTTCCTATGTGTACTGCCCCGCCCATGTAAGCTGCTCCGCTACTCTTACTGTCATCTATGTGCTGATTGGCATAGATCTGGTGGATACAGCCCCTATGCGAGGACACGCACTACAAATATCTGGCGCCGCTGCTGATACCCGTGACTGTGTGGTTTGCATTCGCCAACTGGTTTGGTTGGGAGTACTTCCGTTATGCGTAGATGGGGTCACTTGATTGGGGTTCTACTGGTATTGATCAAGGGGCCGTATGATTCTGTCTTGGACAAAGGACAACTCCTCAGCTGAGGTCTAGCTGATGGTCACTACGGCATGATCTGGAAGGCTGCTGATGGAGGCTCGAGTGCGAGCTTGACACGAACCGCCGTTATATGTACACCTTGCGAGGAGACGTTTGGGCGTATTCCCAAGGATGGGACTTAAGGGTGGTATGCGGCTACATATATTAGTAGATTAGTAGATTTTGGGATGACGGGTGCGCGAGCCTCATATATGTGTCTTGGAAGCCAGACCATACTATACATGCCCTCATGGAGGTATAGGTATCTATGCACAGCGATCGTCCCAGTCATCTAAGCACAATCAAAACTTGAACCACTAAGAGAATATCGTATGAGATGCAAGAAAGTAAGATCCAAGAACAAGAACCCAAGACAACGAAACAGTCGTCACAACACAAATCACTTCAAGTTCCTCAGAGACCCTATCGCCGGGCTTTTCGCTCCATCTCTCCTATCTCTATGCCCCATCGCGCTCTTTGACCTCTCTCTCTCCCTCCTCTTCCCCGTAGAGAAGATGCTCTCGGCATCGCTCATAGCAGTAGGCGGACGTTGGGAGCGGATTGACCAACCTCGAAGAGACGGGGTCTCTGGACGGCTAGGTGTATGGGGGACATTGGGGTGGTTGTGGTGGTGATGCGGTTGCCCCACTAGGTGTTTACCATCACAACATGCTATTCCAGAGTCAGCTTTGATTCAGAACCATAAGAAATTACTTACCCCGAACGTTTTCCAGCCCTTCAAATGAGGTATCCAAATCATCCCCGTCTCCTCTTGAGATCACATCAAACTCGTCATCTATTATAGGTGCCCCCCTGTACGTCCCCTTGTATCTGTGTCCGCCGTGCAGAGTGTGTGGAACGTCGTTTCTCCGCATGTACTCGTGTGCAGCGGTCCCCTGCCTCTTGCCCATCGTTGATGATGTGCGAGGGTGAACACCCAACGAAGTCTGAGCCCGGTGGGCTTTAGGAGTGATGTCGAGTGAATTGCGAACGGAGCCGAAAGATCGAAGAGACATTGGCGACTTGGGCATGGGGAGACGTCCCTGCTCGTCGACTATTGTGCTCAAAGCAGATCGAGAGGTGGCGTTCCGGATAGCTGTCGTGTCGGCCAAAGCGGTGTCGGCATTGGCATCTTGTTTCTGCAGGAGGAATCCGAGTGCCTGCATCATGTCAATACATTTCGCAGCCAGAAGCCAAAAAAGACTCACAGACATCCAGATATCATGTCTCTCTTTTGTAGGCGCAGTGAATTGAATCTCTCGGTTAGGTGTAGCAATGATGATGCTCTTGTTGAACAAGCCAGGAGGCTGGATGTTGGCGTCTTCGATCACCTTGATGTTAGAGATGAAAACTGAGTGCAAGTTAGCATATACAAATTGTCTAGCCCGTTATGCGACGTACCACTCTTGGCTGAGCTTTCTGTCGCCCTGCTGCTTCCAGGATCTTCCGAGCTCCAGTACAGAGTCTTGGTGTACGGATGCACCCAGAAGAACCTCCTGTGTCGGTTGCTACTCTGTCCCTTGCCGACAGTTCTCCTAGTGTACTTGTACAGGTACTCTCCAATCATTGTCTGCGTAATGGCATGGATCGTCTGAGGATCAGTCGACCCGTGAGCAGGCTCTTGAGCCTGGCCGTTGGGAACTGTACCAGCAAAGCTACCGAACGACGAAATGGAGGGGTTTCGGTCAAACTCGGCAAACTGATCGTGCCCAGTGACACTCGAGTTGTTCGACGCGTAGACGTTGGTAGCAATAGTGTTTCCAGTACGTCTTCTCACGCTTCGCGCCTTGTCATCCTTAACGGGGGTAGGCACAGCCGAAGAGGTAGGCTTGAAGCTGCTCCTAGAAGGCTGACGAGTGGTAGAAGCAGGTGGAGGCATGTCATTGTGGGCAGCTCGGATAGCAGCAGCAGATGATGAAGGGGCGTTGCGAGAAGCTCGTCTGCCAGTAGGCTGGAAGGTGGGGCTAGTAGCTCGAGCAAGGAAGTCCTCGGGGGGAGGGGAGGTGGGCCGTGGAGGTGGGCCCATTGACATCTTCTTTCCGACACCGGCGGGAGGAGGTCCGCTTGGTGGGGGAGGAAGGTTCATTGTGGGAGGCCGCGACCTATCGGGAGGAAGAGACCCAGCAGGCGAGGGAGGAGGCATGTCGTCGCTGGTGTCTGTGCCCTTGGGCGTACCCTTGGATCCATCGGCCACCGCTGAGAGGTTCTCACTAGAGACGCGGCGGCTGTTTCGCAATGATCCGGGAGCGGGAGGAGCTTTGAGGAAGTCATAGTTGGTACCGGCAGCGACTCGGAAAAGACCAATGTCGGGGTTTGGAGAGTGGGGCGAAGAAAGGGCAGAGGCGAGGGGATCGGTCTGGGAGGCAGAATCGATAGAGCGGTTCGCGGCGGCGGGCACCTCGACAATCTTTTCGACAATCTTTTCCACGGTGATGTATCTCTCCACCGGTACTTCGACCCGCTTCTCGACAATCTTTTCCACCGGGACTTCGACGATCTTCTCGACGATTCGTTCCACGGGGACCTCCCTGTCGACAATGACCTCGACGGGCACCTCGACCCTCTTCTCCACTTCCACAATCTTCTCCACAATCCTTTCGACTTCGATAGGGACCTGAACGATCTTTTCGACCTCGACTGGAACCTCGACGATCCTTTCAACCTCCACTGGCACCTCCACAATCTTTTCGACGATCTTTTCGACCTCGACAGGTACTTCCACAATCTTTTCGACGATCCTTTCGACTTCGAAGGGAACCTCTACCCTCTTTTCCACCTCCACAATCTTCTCCACAATCCTCTCAACTTCCACAATCTTTTCCACCTCGATAGGAATCTCCACCCTCTTTTCCATGACGACCTCCACAATCTTCTCCACGATCCTGTCGACGGGGACTTCTTTGATGACCTCCACAATCTTTTCAACAGGAACTTCCTTGACGACTTCGACAATCTTTTCGACAGGAACTTCCTTGATGACTTCAACAGGCACCTCGACAATTCTGTCAACGGGAACCTCCTTGACGACTTCGACAATCTTCTCCACCACCTTTTCGACGATTTTCTCGACTTCAACGATGGTGGGGACTTCGACGATTCGTTCGACAGGCTTTTCGATCTCGACGACCTTTTCGACATCGACGTTGACGGGTTTTTCGACGATTCTTTCGACAATCTTCTCCACCTCAACTTCCTTGATGACCTCCTTGACGACTTCCACAATCTTCTCCACTTCCACTGGCACCTCCACAATCTTCTCTACGATCTTCTCCACCTCTACGGGCACTTCAACCCGCTTCTCAACGATCTTCTCAACTTCAACAATCTTCTCAACTTCTCGGTCGACAGGTTTTTCGATCTCGACGATCTTTTCAACCTCGACAGTCTTGATGACTTCGACAGGTAATTCGACAATCTTCTCGACAATCTTTTCGACCTCAACGATCTTTTCGACGGGAACTTCGATTATCTTTTCCACAATCTTCTCGACCTGGACTTCGACAATCTTCTCGACCTCGACTGGGATCTCGACGCGCTTTTCGATTTCGACAATCTTCTCGACTGGGACCTCGATGATCTTTTCGACAATCTTTTCGACTTCGAAAGGTACCTCGACAATCTTTTCGACCTCGACGGGCACTTCGATGCGCTTTTCGACCTCTACAATCTTTTCCACGGGTACCTCCACAATCTTCTCCACGATCCTGTCAACGGGGACCTCGACTATCTTTTCAACCTCGACGATTCTATCGACGGGCACTTCGACAATCTTTTCGACGATCCGGTCAACAGGAACCTCCACCCGCTTTTCCACTTCGACAATCTTCTCCACCTCCACGATTCTCTCTACAATCTTCTCCACTGGTACCTCCACGATTCTCTCCACAATCTTCTCCACTGGCACTTCCACCCTCTCCACAATCTTGTCCCTGCTGGCCAGCTTGTGAGCTTGCTTGGCTGCAGTCCATCCACCCGCAAGGCCAAGACCAAGAGACGTGGAAGACAGCTTGTGGCCGCGCATAGTATGCTCTGGCTCTGGCTGGTCGTCGTCCGCATCACTGTCCTCGGCGTCGTTCCACTCGCGGCCAGTTTGGTAAGCCTCGGTGTCGGTAGGAAGTTCAGAATGGGATCGGTTGGGGGTGGTAGCGCCGACCGTTTCAGCAGCAGACTCGTATGCGTCGGCATCGGTATCGGTGGCAGTAGACATGCCATCGTCAACAGAGGTGGATTGAGGGAAGACTTGTTGGAGCCTACTAGGCATAGGGAGGGCCACAGTGTTCTTTGTGGGCGTCGTCTCGCCAGCAGAAGCAGCGTCCGAGTTGGCGGGGGCAGGAGGGAGACCTCGGAGTGTAGAGTCGTTGAAGGCAGACCGAGTAGGAGTCTGCAATTCTTTGGGAGTACCGGGAGGAGGGGTGGTGGCAGCAGGACTGGTCATGGTTGGCTTTTCTGGAGTCCAGTCGTCGACGTCGTCGGATACTTCTGCATGGCCGCTTCCAGGACCAAATTCATCAGAAAGTGCGATCTGGCCAAAGTCACCACCGCCGAGGTTTTCGGAAGACGCGACGGAGGGTGACATTGAACGGAGCCTGTCGCGGGAGTTGGTTCCGAGCACGTTGCCCAAAGACTCGCCTCCCAGCACAGATGGGGCGGGACTAGCAGACAAGCCACGGTTGCGCAAAAGGTCGGGAGTACCAGAGCTGGTGGAATCAAAGCTCTTGTCGCCAGCGCCAGGGGTGGTCATGCCGGAAGGAGCGCGGTTAAAGCCAAACTTGCGGCCAATAGTAGCAGCAAAGCCCTTGCCTCGTCCTCCGCGCCTACCTCGAGAGCCACGGCCACGAGTGCTGGCAGCCCCGATCGTTTGCTCATCTTCATCCCATTCACCGCCAGCGGGACGAGCGCCAAACTCGTCAACGTTGTCTTTGTGCGAGCTGTTCTGGCGGTTTGTTGCGTTCTCGCTTCGGAGTGCTTCAATCTCCTTCTCGGCCTCTCGAAGTTTTTCACGCAGCTCGTCGTTCTCATTGACAAACATTTCGCCGAGGGGAGAGCGAGGGAAAGGTTTTGAGGGCGTGGGGTTGGGAGAGTCAAAGTCAGAGTCGTAGAGCTGAGAGGGGGAAAGAGCATTGTCGTTGGCATCAAAGCCAGGGCGTTTGGTGGGACTGCCGTTGCCCTTGCTTCCAGCAGCAAAGACGTCATCTTCCTCACTGTCGGCGCCGGGGCTAAGCATACCAGGGCTGTCGGTGGTTCCGCGAGAAAGTCTTCCTCGAGCACCGCTGACTCGTCTCTGTCGTTCCACATTGAGCTCGCCAAGCAAGTCACTCTTGTCTCGCTGAAGACCAGCGGCAGACCTCCTGGCTTGCGCCATTTCAGTCTCATGCTTGACCTTGATTTCTTCAATGGCTTGGGCGTGTTTTTCAGCTTCAGTCTTGTACGATTCAGATGATTCTCGCGCAGAGACCAAAGACCGTTGCAAACGAGCCTGCTCAGCAGTCACCTTGGTGATCTGCTCCTGCATGTCGGCCGTCGAAGAGCGAAGCTCTTGAAGATTGACTTCGAGGTTCCAATTCTCTTCTTTGTATCGATCTGTAAGACATCAGAATAGTCCATGGGCAAGCGAACCCTACTCACCAACGCTAGTTTCCGCTGTTCTCACAGCTACCAGTAGACTCTGGTTCTCCTGTTCCCATGTCTCCTTTTCTTCCGCAAACTTTTCCAGGGCTCGATCCCTTTCGTTCAACAGAGCTTGAAGTCTTCGCACTTCGACCAAAAGATTTTGCCCGATTTCCGTGGCAAACTCCATGTCGAGCTGGCGGTGCTGGGCATTACGCTGCCGACGAGTGAGATTGCTGGGCTGAGCTGTCGCTTTGGTAGGAGAGGACTGGCCCAAGGACGGGCCTTGCAGGCTGTCTGGCATCTGGGAAAAGTCAGCATCTATAGAAACTGAAGGATGCAAAGCTTACCTTCCCACCAAGCTCCCTCATCATATCTTCGTTCTGATTTTCCCATTTGCTCATAGCCTCATCAAGCTCTCTAAGCCTATCCTTCGTCTCTTCCTGAATCTCATCGCCGTCCAAGCCTTCATCCTCAAATCCTCGAATCTTTTCCTCCAACTCTTGCTGCTGTCTCAAGATCTCCTGCCCCATCGTACCGAGCATCTGAAGCTGAGACGACTTTTGCTCAAGCATGGTTGAGAGGTGTGTGCGGATAGTTTCGGCGGTGAGCTCGGGTCGTCGCTGGGGTGTCGGAGAGGCCACAGGGCTGGTGTTGCCCCCTGCCATTGCAGCGAGTGAGCGGGTAGATGGAGGAGCTGGAATAGGGTGCTTTAAATTTGCCCGAGAGCGTTGGCGTGGTATGGGAGACCCCATTGTTGATGACCCCGCGAATGGGTCGTCCATGACGCCCGGTGTTATCGTTGTAGATGTTTCGACAGGTGTCGCTGACAGCCAGTGGTCAGTGTAGCCCCTGGGTACAGTCCAGATACTCACAGTGGCCCAGATTAGCGAACGTTGACTATAGAGAATCTACCTGCAGGACAGAACTATGCTCTGTCAGCATGTGAACAGTGATGGAGATGAACACAAATGGACGCTATGGCGGCCACGTGCCCATGTACTCACTTCCAGCTCTGTGTCGCTTACCGGTTGGGGGGTTGTGGCGGCGGGGTGCGCTCCTGGTCGCTGCTTGCGTGTACAGTTGCAGTTGCAGTTGCAGTTGCAGGGAGTGAATGCGTCCACTTCTCACGCGTCCGTGTTTGTCTTCTTTGTTTGTTTGCTCCCGCTTACAGCATGCCTAGTGTGCATGCCTATTTCTTTCCCTCTAGGCACGCGGACTGTCAGCCTCCACTTTCGCGCTCTGGTTGACGCGACTTTCTTCTTCGTTCTATCACTCGGGAGAGCCCAATTGCGCCCGTCACAGCACCCATACGTCGTCGCACGGATGCTGGGGCTTCCTCCTTCAACTCCTGTTGACCGGCCCTATACAAATCTAGTCAGCTCGACCCAGGTGAGAGCTCCAGTGAGTGTCCAGTAGCAGAACATTGACGTCTCGACAGTATGCCAAGAACAATTTCAGGCCGACCAAGCGAGAATGGAAGCGGACCATGTCTCCCCAGGAGTCGCCTTCAGCCCTCTTGAGGAATTTGAAAATATGTGCGTTCAATAAGCCACTACGCCTTCAATCCGCTCATGCGTGATGCAGTCTGGGGATATGAGTCGTTTCGCCACCCTCAACTCGAAATCTGCTCGGATGCCCTCAGAGGGTGCGATCTCATTGTAGTTGCTCCTACCGGATTGGGCAAATCGTGAGTATTGTCGATCAACGCTTTTAAGCTGACCACCTTTGCAGTCTATGTTTCCAGCTGCCTGCGATAACGATCGACCACGGCGTGACCATCGTGGTCTCCCCTCTTAAAGCCCTGATGGCTGATCAAGTCGAAGACCTCACTCAAAGAGGCATCAAAGCCGTGCAACTCAGCGAGTACACCACTTGGGAACAACACAACGAAGTTCGTAAGCAGATGAAGATGGGCCACCCAGAGATACGATTGCTATATGTGACGCCAGAGATGTTGCTGAGCGACAAGCACAAGTCGACGTTTGATATCGCCTATCGTCAAAGACAAATAGCGAGGCTGGTGGTTGACGAGGCGCATGTCATTACGGAATGGGGCAAAAGCTTTCGAAGCGTACGCATACCCTCTTTGCAAGAACGCAGTGGGCTCACCTGGTTGCAGAAATACCGAGAACTCGGCCAATTCCGTCAAAAGTACCCAGGAATCCCTATCACTGTGAGTACGCATTGTCCTCATCTCTTCCAACAACTTACAAGTTTCTGGACAGGCTCTCACTGCTTCTGCTACGCTTGAAGTCAGGAAGGATATCATCCAAACTCTGCGCATAGGCAAAGGTCATGGACAGTGGGTCTTGCCATTCAACAGGCGGAATCTGTTTTACGAGGTGCGTGGATCCCTCTCGCATAGGATTGACTGATGAGGTAGCAGGTGCGGTATCAAGGCAGAGGATACTACGACGATGAAGACAGAGAGCCCCAAAAGAGTACGACTGACGACATGGCCGAGTTTCTGCTCAAGTACCGCCCCCAAGCAATGAAAAGAAACGAAGCGAAGGGGATTAATCGGCCTTGCGTCACCGGTATCGTCTACTGTCGCACGACTGCTGCCGTAAGTATGATCGCTTGATTTGGTGGACAGCGCTCATATCCAGTAGTGCGAAGAAGTTGCAGATAATCTGCGGCAGAGAGGGTTCACCGCGAGGCCGTACTATAAGAATCTGTCTCAAAATGTCAAAGACCAGGCGTTGGCAGGCTGGAAGGATGGCTCGATCGAGTGCATTGTCGCCACAATTGCTTTTGGTATGGTGAGTCTGCTTCAATGATTCGATCATGCGTCCGAACTGAAACTCGCCCAGGGCATTGATCAGGCTAATGTTAGATATGTTATCCACTACCAGATGCCGAAAACCTTTGAAGGTATGTACTACTCATCCATGCCCTGCTCCATGCTAAGACCTCCCCCAGGCTACTACCAAGAGACCGGTCGAGCAGGACGCGACGGGCACATCTCGCACTGCCTCATGTACTACTCGCGAGAAGACGCAAAATATCTACGCGGCCTGGTGGAACAAGAAGATGCAAAGAATAAGAGAAACGCCAAGTTCAAGGACGGCAACATCGATACCTCAAAAACACCTTCACAAGGACTGTTCAGTTTCAAATCAGTGAGTTACCTCGCATCATGCACGCGATGTCTGTCTGACACACGTCTCACAGCTCCAAAATCACGTCGAGAAAGCCGGACAATGCCGACATATTGGGATCTGCTCCTACTTTGGCGAAAAGATTGACCACACTAACGCCGAGGTAAAAGCTGCCTACTGTGAAAACATGTGTGATGTGAGCGTATCACGACTTTTTTCGTTTGCGACAAGCTGACTCTGGTGAAGGTCTGCAAAAACAGCGCTGCTGTTCGCAAGGCTTCGATGCGGCTTACCGAGGGCGTTCCGGTTGCCTCGCCTCAGAGGATCGACGAAGTCGCTGTCGTCACGCAATCGGTCGACAAGCCTTTCAATGGCTACAGTAGTGCAATTGAAGACGACAGAACCGTTCCCGAGAATGATCTTCGAGATCTTCACGGCACCCATCCATCCATCTTTGACTTTAACGATGAGGATGACGATGAGCTCGAGGCTCTTGGGCCTTCCGCTCCAAGTAGGCCCCACGCCCTACAGTTTCGCACTCAAGCGGTATTGAACAGCGGACGCTCAGCTCCTTTGAGTGGATCCGATTCGACAGAAAAGCCCCTTGTTCCCGGTTCAAGCAACCCGCTAGCATCCTCGCGCTCAACCAACTCTTCCGTACATCACAATCAATCATCCCACACGCCTGTGCTCGAGCGCGATCTTTCGGGTGAAGAACGTCACCATCAGCCTATCCGGATCCGAGAGATTATCCACATAGCCAGCGGCGGCTCGCCTACTCCTCCACCATCAGCTAGCTTGCCTAAACGCCGAAAGGTAGGCTTGAGCCGGCAGGCATCTGGTCTATCCAACTCTCTCACGTCTAGTGTGGAACTGGAGAACCTCGAAAAGGGAAGAGAGGTAGAAATGCAGAAAATTAGATCAAGAAAAGAAAGAGAAAGAGAGGTTGCTCTGTCAAGAATACAACAAAGGCCAGAGATGATGTCGCCTCATGTGAGGTATCTGGAGGACTCGGAGGAGGGTACCGATTCGCGCTTGAAATTGACGAGAGATCAGCGAATAAAGGCGGAAAAGATGCTGGGCAGTGTCAAGCCTGTGAGGGATGCCGTGGGCCCCTATGCTTGCTATAATGGTGATTGACGGCTGCCTCACTAGTGATACTCATCACTGACACCCCCGCCAGCTGCAGCAGGCCCCTCAGTGCCGAGACGGAGAGTATCAGCTCCCGACAAAGCTTTCAAACCGCCTATTCTCAGGTCTCCCAACAAAGTCAGATCTGAACTCCTTACTGTCAGTCAGATCATTCAATTCCGAATTCGATAGCTTATATTAGTGACTAGAAATCGGCAAGAGACAAGTCAGTGACAAACATTGGATCTGCTCTTCAGGATTCTTTAGGTCATGGGGAGTTGGCGTGGAAGTTGCTGATATTCTGCGGAAAGAATGAGAGGGGGACCAAAAGGTGCAGTTTGGGTCTCTGCAGCTGCAAGGTCTGTCTCGCTGACATGGCTTGTAGGGCAAACATGTTGATCGACATTGCCAGGTTGATTGAAAGGGATCTGGCTGACGCTTGCAGAGAAGATCCTGGTGCATATAGTGAGTTCATGGTTCTATGGAAGAGTGACCGTGCTCATATACGTGCCAGATAACCAAGTGACGGAATTTCGTAAAGCTGTCAAGGCGCTGCGGAGCGAGGAGGTTGTTGAGGCCATCATAGACGGAGAGATAGACGCGTTTGAGGATGGCGGGCCCGGGGTTGGTTATCTTAAAGCTCTAATCCGGCTGGTGAAGGGATATACATCTGATCGGTGAATCAAGTTGTATTACAATATTCATAATTTCTTCCAGTATTTTGGATGTATGTTGCATATTCATGTATAGCCTGATATCCCCTATCCAGTAGCTTCTTACGTCCTCCATCTTATTGGCCCCGTTCAAACTGAGATCAGCAAGTCTCTCTTATGTAGCCTCTGCTGAGCATAGGCGAGACAGCACACAAATGTTGGACGCTGTGTGTGATGCAGAATGTGACCCATAGAGATGCATAATAACGAGAAGATTCCCAGAATTCAGACTCGGGGCGGTGACTAGTCATGTCTCCAGCCATCAAGATCAGCCAAATCCTTTGGAGGCGGCCCTCCTCGACCAGTCCCGTTAGGGTCACCTGCATTGGGTCTCCATCTCCAGATATGTCTCTTCTCTTCCGAAAGCTAAAGTATCAGTCAGTAGAGAGCATAAGACTTATAGAGACATCCCTCACCTTGCCTTCAATGAGATCCGCAACTTGACCGCCCACAATCGGCAACATCTTGAAAGTATGTCCGCTATCGCCTGTGGCGAGAACCAGTCCCTTCCACTTTGGATGCTCACACAAAAGCCAATTGGCATCTGCCGTGTCAGTGCACCAGCACATGGCCTGGTTGATCAACTCTCGCTCAGCAAGGTGGGGAAGAGCGATTCGCACGAGCCTCTTTATCTCATCCAGAGCTTCAGTCGGCATAGTGTCTGAGGGAAAATCGGCGTGGGACCGGGGGACCGATATCCTCTTGGGCTCGTCGGCGTCGAACGGCTGATGCTGAACATAGTGGGTGTATCCAGGAAACTCGTTGCAGAGTTTCAGGAGGTTGTTTTCGACCCGGGGCTCAAAGAAAAAGCCGTACTTGTCATTGTAGACAGTGGGAATTCCCTTTAGAGCTGCGGCTTCCTCGGGGGTGAGCTGAATGTGGGCATAAACCCAGCACTGCACCAGTGTAAGCTTGCGGATCACGTGGAAGCAGACATCCACTCACCTTGGATACACACTGCCCCTGAAGGTCCACGAGAGCTGGAGACCAAGCCCCAGCTGCGAGCACAACAAGGTCCGCCTCTGTCACCGACCCATCCTTGCCCTTGACACCTTTGACAGTCTTGCCATCATTGTCAAATACAAGCGAATTGAAATTACCCGAGGGACCAAAGACGGTCTTAACCCCAGCCTTTTGAAGCTCCCGGCCAACAGAGTCGATGGCATCGCGAGCGGCTAACCAGCCGCCTGTGGCGCAGTACAGACCTTTCCACCCCTTTCATTGTTGGTCAGCAGTCTTTCAGGAAAAATTGTTGTGACTCGCTTTGATATCAGCATCTTTGAGATGAGGAGCCCACTTTTTGATGTCGTTCTCGTTCTCGAGCCATTCGAAGTCTTTGCGTCCCAGGGCGACGAATTTCTCGTACTTGGCTCTGAGTCTTGAAGCCCGGCCCTCATTCTCTGTGAGGTCAAGCTAGCCAGCTATCAGCACTGAGTTCGAGTTCTGCATAGGTCCAGGGAGTAACACACCTTGCCGACCGAGTGGGCGTAAGGACTAAAGACGGGATCTTTGACCCAGGTATCCCACGCAGAGTCACTGGTACCGCCGAAAGAATCAATGTTGTCGGCGCCAGCAATCTATTCAAATTCAGTCCAGTCCTGACGGCAAAAGCAGACAAACCTTGTTCATATCGTTCCCTGCGGAGTTATCCGAAGGGATAGGGTAGACGTCCATGATGGTGATGTCGGTGAAGCCCCTTCGTACGAGATGAAGGGCGGTGGAGGAACCCATGGTGCCGCCCCCTCCGACGATGACAATCCGGGAGGTCTTGGACGCGAGCGCGAGGTCAGAAGAGGTTTGGGTCATGATGATGCGATGGATGCGATGGGACTGGAGAAGAGAGAGGAGATGTGCGGCCTCTTGTTATATAGATAGGCCGCTTGGGCCGATCCGGTGAGGTGATGATTGCCGATAACAACATCGCTAAAAATCTGGACACCGCGCTCGCGGCTGATGTCAAATTGATTCCGGATGGACGCCTTTTGCCAGTCCAAGTCATAGCTTGGCATAAATCAAGGGTCGATGTAGAGCCAGGGGCTGTTACACGTGACTGTTCACTGTATTCTTGCATCGTATCGATATAATTGGTCTGCACTGCACATTTTGCACCCAAAGGGCTGTACTTTTGCTCAAGCTCGCACAACCTCCCACACTCCTCTGGTCATCTTCTCAGCCCTCGATTCCGCCGACCCATCGTCTGCCCTGGTCAACGTAGCAAAGTTAGCAGAGTCGATAGTCTCGGCAAGGGGGAGAAGATGGCTTTGATACTACAAAGACAGTCAGCCGTGGAACTACAACCTATGAGAGGGCGACCAACCTTCCTGACAAACTCCCTGTACCATCCCCACTTGGCCCTGACTCCCCAAAGACCTTCCTCATCGCTGTCAAGCAGCGTCAAGACCCCCTTGAGGCCCTCGTTGACATTTCCAGCTGCCCCTTCGTCTTGGTCCGCAGCAGTCCAGGGAAGGAGAGCAGCGATAAAGTGCTTGAAAGTCTTGTTGAGGAGCTTCTCAAGGCGGCTGGTCTGGACATCGAGAGATGTTTGGGCATCTCGGGCTTCCTTGGAAGTCTCGGGTCGAGCGTCTCATCATCATGTTAGCACTATGTCACCAACAGGTATATTATACTCACCCTCGGCCATCTCGTCCGCTTCAACGTCTTCATCTTGTTCGAGCTTATCAGCCGCTCTCCTAGCCCTCGCAGACTCATCTTCCCTTTCGACAGCCCTCAGCTTTCTCCTGATAGCCTTCGCCCGCCCAACCTGCTTGTCCAGAGTCATTGCCAATACCTCCCAATTGTCTCCATCCGTCCATCCAGCACCTTCCTCACCCTCAGCATCGTCATCGGTAAAGATCCACTCGACGACATCCGCTCCTTCCAAGATACCGTACTGAAGATACTTGTCGATAGTGACAAGTCGCATCTCGCTAGATCGGCGCCAGTACGACTTGACAGCATTCAGCAAAATTCGGCGACTCTCAAAATCGGGCGTCAAGAACCGGAGGACGTCGCTGTATCGCTCGGTGGCATTCAAAAAGTGGGAGAATGATCGAGAACCGAGTTGAAGGATGGTCTCGAAAGCCATGGTGCGGGTGGCGGGGAAGAGGGGCTCAGTGGGGCCGGAAGAGGCGTCAGGCAGCTCGTTGATGTACTTGATGATACCGGCGCTGGGCAACTTTTGTCGCATCTGAGAAAGGAGTCCAGTAGCTTCGGTATGCAAAGGGTGGTCTGAGCAGTGTCAGCCTCAACCGTGACTGTAATCGTATACTCACCGTCCTTTTCGTAGGCCCAGAAGGGATCAGGAGCCTCGGAGGCAATCACACCGGCATTCTCGGCGGTCATGGGCTCGGGAAGAGTGTCCAGTATACGGTCATAGTAGGCCAATCTGATTTCAAGCTCGACGACCCGCCGCATGAACGCTCTCTTGGGGTGGGTCAGAGGAAGGTCAAGGTCGGCAACCCTGCAGGACAGTCAGTACATTCGGCAGCGGGATGAAAAGCACTTACCACTCCTTCCACATCCACTGGAAACCAAAGTTACTCAAATGGAGAGCGAACCAGTCTGCAATCCTCCTCACAATCTCCACATCAAGCCCCTCAGAGCCCAACAGCGAGTAGATTTTCCTCATCGCCCTTCCAACAGGGGGTGCGACAGTGTTGGGGCTCGCCTTACAAAGCTCCGCAATGACAGACCCGTAGTAAACCAGCTTGTGCTGAGATTTGGGGAGCAAGAGCATAGCATTGAGGAGGCAAGAGATGATGAGCGACTCGAGAGACCATGTGGATACAGGGGGAGGGGCATCGGCGGGCTGGGCTGCGGGTTTGAAAGTGTCTCGGGGGAGGAACTTGCGAAGATCGAGGAGAATATGAGAGGCCTCTTTGCGGTTGACCTCGAAAAGGTTGATGATGTCAAGAACAAGACTCCGGAGGGACCATCCGTCGACAGAGCCAGGAGAGGGGACAATCTTTGTACTGTCAGCAGACCGCGCTTCCAAAAAAATGGTACTCACATCGTCAGCAAAGAAGTTGAGTACGCCAATGTGCCCTTCACCAGCCTCCGCATTATCGGCATCCTCCTCATACAGCTCAGGGGGCATAGAGACGTCTTGCAGCTCGTAAGCGGCAGGAGCAGCTCCAGGCAAAAGGACAATCTCTCGCATGTACGAGGGCACAATCTTGGGGGAAGCCCAATTGGAGGCTTGGAAAGCGTGAAGAGCCGCCAAGAGGTTGTCAAGAACCTACAGAAAGTGAGTACATTCCCGTAGAATTTTGGGAATACACGCACGTCTGAATACTGGGGCTGTTCTTGGCCTGCAGCAACGATGGGAGCCACAGGACTGCGGAGGGGCTTGCTTTCGTTTCGCCTACCGAGGATGAAACCCTCGATCCGACTGACAAGAGCGTCCACTTGAGTAGCATCTCCTTCTGCCAAGGCAGAACCAGACTGTGGTTTCTGTCAGCCTCACACCAGAGAGCTCATAACCAACATACGCGAATGATGCCCTCACCAACAGCTCTTACAGCACGCTCAGACCGGTCACCGCCACCTCCTACTTCGTCGATGACATTCAATAAAGTGCTGTAGACAGAGTAGAGAGACGCGGGAGTGACAAGCTGAGCTGGGAGGAGCAGCGAGAAAAATTGCAACTGTGCGATATCAGAACACAACAGATCAATCTCGAGAGGTGACTCACACATAATCTGACATTCTGCCACTCTCTAGCCTCTACCCATCCCCTGAAGGCTCTGTTGAGATCATCCAAGATCTCTTTGCCATACGCAGGCTCAGCAGGCGTCTTGTCCTCATCAATAGACTTGTCTTCCTCCGTTGTGGCTGTGTGAGTGGATTCACTCGGGCGGGCAAGAGCGCTCAAAAGTCCCACGTAGTAGCCATGCTTGTGAGGTTGCTGCGTGACACTGACACGGAACCCTTCGAGGACGCCTACTGTACCTTCTTGCCAGCCACGCTTGAGTACTTTTGATAGTCTGGCGGGATCTTCAATAGGATCAAAGTCCTACACAATATTATAAGCACCAAAGACGTCCATAGCATGCTTAGACACACCTCATCGTCTCCGAGCTTGATGACCATTTTTCTCAATCGGTTGTCGGATGTTTCGGGTACAGGTGGTCTGCCACCTCCGTGCCCTCCACCACCTCGACCACGGCCACCTCCTCTGTTGTTATCTAGGACAGAGGTCAACGTCTACACATTTCGACTGAGAGATAGCTTACCTCTCCTTCCTCGTCCCCTACCTCCTGGGCTTCCAAAGTTCCCGCCGTAGCCGCCGCCAAACCCTCCGCCACCAAAGTTTCCTCCATTGCCTCCGAAGCCCATTCCGGGCATCTGACCGTATCCGTTATTGAAACTCATAGCGATGGGATTCGAGAAAACACTAGGATTGTGTCACTTTCACACTTTTGTTGGTCGCATCAACAAGGATTAACGGAAGCAAAATCATGGCGGATTTTTTAGTGCACCTATAACCTCTATCCAACCTCTATCTTCTTCGTGTATCACTTCGTTTCACCATTTCCAGCATGGCCACGCCCACTGTCAAGTCAACCAAACGCTCGAGGGAATCCGATATAGGCTCAGTGGAGCTAGAGGAGCCCAATGTTGCTTCCGCATCGGCGTCTCAACTGCCATCAGACGAGCAAGAGACGGGTCCTCTGACAACAAAACCCAAGAAGAAGAAGAAGAAGGATGTCACTTCTGGAATTGTATATATCTCCCGACTACCTCCAGGAATGACACCTCAGAAGATCAGGCATTTGATGGCTCGGTGGGGAGATCTGGGAAAGCTGTATGCGCAACCAAAAGATGGCATGTGTGATACCGGAATGTTCGTGCTGCCGAGCTCATCTTTCCACAGCTGTGACCAGCTACAATTCCAATGGTCAACATAAGAAGAAGCAAAAGCACCAAAGCGCCAATTACTCTGAGGCCTGGGTGGAGTTTTTGGACAAATCTGTAGCCAAAACTGTGGCTTCCATGTTGAACGCCCAAGTGATTGGTGGGAAGAAGGGTGACAAGTGAGCGACATTGCATACTTTACTCAGGTCAAACTAATCTCCCCGTAGATGGAGAGACGACATATGGACCATGAAGTATCTGAGCGGTTTCAAGTGGGAGATGCTCGGTGAACAGATGGGTGAGAGCCAACAATCCTCCCTTTGATTGCAATAGCTGACTTGGCTCAGCATACGAGAGACAGGCTCATCAAGCTCGTCTACGTGCTGAGATTTCGCGCTCCAAGACAGAGCAAGGAGAGTACCTGAAGAATGTTGACCTCGCTCGGCAGCTGGAAAAGCGCAATGCCAAGAAGGCTGCTGCTGGCGAGTCTGGGAATGCTGCTCCCTCAACTGGGGATGACACCAAGGCTTCACGGGGGTACAAGCAAAGGCAAGTCGTCGAGAAGAGCAAAACTCTGGAAGGGCAGGGTATGGATGGGGTACTCGGCAATATCTTTGGATAATCTGTTGTTTTTGTATGTATATGTGTGGTCATCAGAAATAGGATGTAGACCAGATAGTGCAGGTCGTAACAGTGCATAATAAGCGGCTATCAATGCGCAATATGGAAAACAGACGCATCCGTAATATGACCATACGGATGAGAAATGAAAACAAGAAAACGTAATATAAAAGTAAGACGGTGATGTGTATGAAACATGAGATAAGACCCCGAGTTATGACAAAATATGAGAAAGATACGAGCCATCAGGAAAGAAAATCAATGATGATGATGATAGAGACAGAAAGACTAGATGAGACAAAATTTTTGGAACGAAGATTCCACAAAGGCGCTCAACACAAGATACGCCCTCAGACGACCAACTCGCCATTCCCACTATTGTTGTTGTTGTTATTGTTGTTATTGTTATTGTGGTTGTTGTTACCACTGCCGTCGTCTTCATCCAGCGCCGCAAGATAGAGACCAAAGTCAAAGTCTTGGTTCATGCCGGCAAAGGCATCCAAGTCGCTGCCGACATCGCCCCCCAGAGGAGTCTGCTGGCCGTTGTTAACAGCACCGAGAGAGTTGTCATTTATGCCCCCGAGCGCACCAAGTCCCATCCCCATGGCAAATTCCATCCCCATACCTCCCAAGCCCATGTTTCCTAGTCCCATATTGCCAAAGTCCATGTTGGCCATTGACAAGTCGGCGGGTAAGGACATCTGGTTACTTGCAGGTGTAGAGGACAGCGGCATCGCGCCATTAGCAGGCGTGGCAGTAGATGCAGATGGAGGCGAAGGGGTGAATCCGTGCGTTGACGTCGAGTGGGGGTTCCCATCGGTGACAGCGATGATATTGCCGTTTGGTGACGGATTGAGAGATTTTGGAGTTGGTGCCTCGCGCTTGGTCGAGGATTAGCCTTGTCAATGTCCATATGACCGTGGCACGTACCTGGATATCTTCCTTTGGCAATTTGGGCGTTCTTCCCGCCTTGCCAACCTTGCTCTCCTTCTTGCCCTCTTTGCCTGTACCATCCTTTTGGCCATCTTCAGGTATTCCAGAGCCGGACGGTTTGGGCGTCGCCGTCCGCGGTGGAAGCATCTCTCCTTGCCCCTGTGCTTGATTCCGCCGTTCACGTTTGGTCGTGTGCCGCGGCGAAGCAGTAGGATGTTGGGGCGGTGCCGTTCCCGGGACAGAGCGCAGCATCTGCGATGCGTCAGGACATGTCATTGCAATGCTGTGGATAACTTACCGGATCGGTAGTAATGGCGAAGCCAGGCGTGAGAGGAGTGGCTCCAGGGGTAGCGCCTTGCTGAGACCCAGGCCCATATGTCATACCAAATGGACTTGGTGCCGCACCCTCAGAGATCTTCCGCTTCCTCTTCCGTTCCGGCGGTGTGGGCTGCCTCATACCGGAAGGAGTCATACTTGGCTGAACTGGTGTGGGAGCACGTTGGCCGGGACCAGTCGGCGTAGGCGCAGAATTGTCATCGGGCGGCTGGGGAGCTTCATAGGGATGATTGCGAGCTTGCCTACAATAGACTTAGTAATGCACGTAGTTTTGCAGGAAAAGCTTACCGAGGGCCGGCCTGTCCCTGCTGATACATCTGCTGCTGCTGATGTTGCTGCATGAGATAAGCCTGTTGCTGCTGTTGCTGTTGCTGCAAATGCTGCTGAGACTGAGGCTGTTGTTGCGGTGGGATTTGCTGATGCTGAGCATTGAGCATCGCCTGGTGTTGCTGATGCTGCATCGTCATGCGATACGTCTGAATCAAGCGACCCTATTGTACGTTAGTCATTGATGGTGACCCTAGAGAGCATACTCACCTTTTCGTCCTCACTCATGCTTTTGACATCCTTCGAGCTCAGCCCCAGATTTTGCGCGCTATGCGACATCACGCCATGATTGACGTTGGGCACACCCAAACCTTCCCACAGCTGGTTCGAAGCATTCTGCAAGTGCTGCTGCTGCATTTGCAAAGCCTGCTCCCTCTGTTGTTGGGCTTGTTGGCTCTGCATTTGCTGCTGCTGTTGTTGCTGAGTTCGCGCCTGTGTTTGAGCCTGCACTTGGGAGTGGGCTTGCATTTGTATCTGAGTCAATGACTCCTGGGCATGCTGCTGGGCAACGTGCGCTTGCTGCCCTTTCATCGCAAGATGCTGGCTTTGAGGCGTCATATGCGGAGGTTGATGCTGTGGTAATGGTGTATGCTGATGCGGGAGATGGCTTTGTTGTAGCTGACCCTGATTTGGTGGGTGCTGGTGCATGGGTGTAGAGACCTGGGGGTGCGTGAACTGGTTCTGTTCATCACTTTGCCCCGGCCCTTGCCCTGGCCGCCCTGGGTGCGGGTTTGAGGCCATCCTCAACTGCCCATTCATCGCCATTCCATTCATCGGGTTCCTTGCCGGCTGCTGCACAGGGCTAGGAGTAGGCATGCCCCCCGGGTGAGGTTGTTGGGAGATATGCGGGGAGGGGTTGACAGGAGAATGGCTCGACGTTCTTGCGCCGGGCGGTATACCAAGGTGCTGTTGTGGCTGGGGATGGTACATGATCTGCTGGCCCTGGAGCGGTTGGCCTTGCTGAGAACTCGGTCTAGCTCCGGGGACTGGCGACCCAATGGCACCTGGATGACCCATCCGCTGCTGCAACATGGCGGCTTGCTGATTCATAGCCTGCTGGTTCTGCTGCTGTTGCAATTGGCTCTGATACTCTTGTATCCGCTGTTGGATGAACTGGGTAGCCTGGCGATTGTCAAACCCTTGACTCTGCGCTTCCTGCTTGAGTGATTCTAGTTGCTGTGGGGTAAAGACAGCTTGGATCGATTGGAGAATTGGCGTTTGAGTCGGCTGATTGATGTAGACCGCAGGAGCGAGACCGGACTGTTGCTGACGTACGGTTCGCAATTCTCCCATGGACTGTTGTCGTCAGCAAAGATCATTTGACAACCCATGAAACTCACCTCGTTGTAGATGCTCTGATTCAGTACGCCTTGCACGCCTTTCCCGTTGGTGAAAGCATCCAGGAAGAGAGTCCACCATCTTGTATATAGTCAGCATTGGTCTCTCAGGACTGAACGTCATGCGAGCTTACTCTGACAGAACGCCACCTTCCCGCGAGTCGACTGGCACCCCAGTGTCCCCCAGCCCCGACTCTGCCGCAAGTTGCGACGCCGTCGCCATCAGATTATGCTTCACCAGATAGTCGTGGATATACAGCTTCAACCTGTCACTATCGTCAGCTTTGTACCACAATCGCCGCATTTCACGTACGCTCTATCCGCATCCCATCGTTCCGGCGCGTTCTGATTATGGGCACTAGCACCCCTCGACATTGACGGGGTTAGACCCATTCCCCCAATTCCCAACCGGTAATCTGGATGCCCTCCTATTTGCTGCATCGGCTGCTGCCCCGGCCCTTGTTGTGGAGGCATCGGCTGCTGTCCTTGTTGTGAAGGATGTGGTTGCACGGCCATTTGTGGGGTGGACTGCAGTTGTGATTGCGGTGTGGGGGCAGATTGTGGTAGATGCTGATGTTGTCGCTGATGCGGGCCGGCGCCTTGGACGTGTTGTGGATGCTGCTGTGGCGGCGGGCCCTGTTGTGTTTGGGGCGGCTGGGAAGGGCCGGCCATAGCATTCTGCATCCACGCAGGCGGGCGATTCATGCCCTTCGCCTGAGTCTGGTTGATAGCCGTTCCCTGGGGCGCGTTTGGCATACCCCTTGCTGCTGCTGAGCGCGGAGACATTTGCCCCATGGGCATGCCCGCCATCTGTTGTCCGGGCTGATGCGCGTAATGAGATGCCGGAGGGAATTGGTTGCTGAGATGGGGTGAAGGGGTGGGATGGTGAGGGGATTGGGGTATCGGGCGTTGCTGATTAGGCAACGGGCCTGCTTGATGTTGGGCCTGAGCCTGAGCCTGAAGCTGTTGCTGCTGCTGTCTCAACTGCATTTGCTGCATCTGCTGGGCCTGTTGGGCCGCTTGCAGAGCCTGCTGTTGTTGTTGCTGCTGCTGGTTCATGCCCATGCCGCCCATCGTCATCTGTTGCGGTGGTCTCGCCAGGCCATACTGCTGTTGCTGAAATTGGAGTTGTTGCTGGTTTTGGAGTGGTGCTTGGCTCTGCTGGGGATGTGGCGATTGATGGAGATGGGGGGCGGTCGGAGGTTGTTGATTGTGAAAAGGCGCTTGCATCTGCCCGTGAAAGTTCATCTGTGGTTGGGGATGAGGCAGGGCCAGGTGGATGCCTAGTCTGGACATAAGCCGGGAAGGAGCCACCTAGCATACACCAACTCACCGTACGGCCTTACTCGGCAGCCCTCTTCCGTCGCCTGCGTCTGAAAATGGTGGCGCCGAGTGGTTACACAGTGATACTTGCGTATTCACTGGCGTGGGTCGATGCGATATAGGATGGGAGTGATAGGGTGGAATGAAAGCAAAGGATCGATAGTTTGAAAAGGACCAGTGCGAAAGCAAAGGAGTTGACTTCCCTACTGGGCTGGACGGATCAGATGAGATACACAGTAGTGCCTTCTGCCCCTCTTTCTCGTGACGTGGCTCGCTGCCTGGATATGTGTCGGTAGGGGAGGTGGGGGTGTATCAGTGGCGGCGGCGAGGGGGCGGCGGGTGGGAGCAGCGGGGTAGAGGACGGTGGGCACACGGTCGGGTGGAAAGAACACGAGAGCCAGATCGGCACAACGAAGCGAAGGATGGGTGAAGGGAGCGGAAAAGAGCCGTCAGCCACGCTTCCCCTCGACGCACGCCTGGATACGCACCTTGCGCCTGTCGCTGCCTCGTAGGACTCGACTGTCTGCAGCTCTCTCTCGCCTCCGAGCAGTTGGGCGTCGAGGGTACGCGCGGACTCGCCGGTCACTGGAGGGCCTAAGCGTGCTACTTGGCACGTAGTTGACCGGTGAAGTATGGGTGGCCTGCGGGCGGCCGCGTGGAGGCAGAGGCGGACGGCAGACGGGGGGCTGGGGTGGATGAAGAGGCGGATGGTTCAGGACGGGGGTTATCGCAGATGATAATGAAATCGGCCGGGGCTTTTTCTTCTGGCCGCGCCAATGCCAATGATGGAAGCACGCGGGGTACTTTTTACTGCAGCGGTCTGGGGCTGGCCTCTGTGCTCTGTCGGTCTCTTGCTGGGGTGTGCAAGTAGAGAGTCAAACGATTACGCGAGAAATGGGGTAGATATCGCCAAAGATTAAGTATTTTGTTGCGGCTTTTCCCTCGTTGAACGGAGGACCTCGTTATTACATCTATCTATGGTATCTGTATTCGTCTAGCTCCTCTTTAGCTCGCCAATGGAACGCGTACAGATACACATGGCATCAGCGCCGGAAAATAGTCAGCCACAGCCCCCAGTCAATCCCATACTCCACATCCCTCTTGCTCCACCAAGGCTCCAAGCATCTGTTGTTTCGCAACGCCATCAGTCCTTCGCACGATCATATATCTCGCCTACAAGACGCGTCTGGATTCTACAGACCTCACTTTCTATCCCCCCCTGGCAAGTTCCAGCCTCGGTTCATCTACCTGTCATCTGGAACGAGCGGGAAGATCCAAGGTTGCGTCAAAGGCCTTCCGGAGCGCCGGAGGCGCCATCATATCATCTTTATTTAACGCGTCTCTCGTTCTCTTCTGTCCTGCCCAGAGCCCATTGGGGGTGACAAGAGCTCGACTTAGCACACAAACTCCCCATGCCCCAAGGTCCATGCTTGCGTCCCTCACAAGCAAGTGATACATGTCGCATATCGCATACGCTCGGCTAAATGAGAGGGGCGGCTTTGACGGCCAATGGGGATTCCTGGTCCTGATCTTCTGAAACGTAAAGCATGAAGCATGAAAGCATGTTGGCCGATCCTCCCTGAGCTTTCGAGGTTAATCACTCTATTCAATTTGTCGTAATCTAATCCCTCGAATGGCGGGAAATGAACATGTCATAGTGAGTCGTTTCGGTGCTCGGTGTCTCTCTCCTTCTGCAGCTGGGACACTTTGGATACATATACAACAGTGCGCGAATCCATGGCAAAGGCAAGCATGGGGGGCGAAGGTTGCAGGACGAGAAAGAGAACACAAAGTCGGCCCCTCTAGCGGCTCAGATCAAGGGTCCAGATCCGAGTCCATGCCAATTATTTACCCGAGAGTCCGACTGCGAGCTTGCGACTTGCGAGACCTTTTTCGGCGTGCGTTGCGTGCAGGCAGGCAATTCTATGTACGGCCGCAGGTCGACCTGATTATTGCAGGGGCATAGATGGCTCTGGGCGGATACTACAGTCCTGCATTGATCTCCTACAGGCTACTGATGTATCCTGCAAACACACAAACCAATTCTACGCGACATGGGGGCCATAACGAAGTGTTCCATCATGTTGTCGCAAATGTTCCGACATGGCAAGTACCCCATGCGCAAGGCCCGCAAGGCCTCTCCTCAGGCCTCATAATTCATATCGCAGGCCTCATATAGATACTCACCCACGCTAGCAGTTGCTATAGGAGAGCTATTCTTACGTAGCCCATGCAGGCTGATCTGACGAGATGCGCGAGAATAGAGACGTCCTTCAACTTGTGCTCATGTGAGGAGTAAGAGTATAATCTCCGACAGAGTCCAAACAAAGGTTCGTTCTTTCGCCATGGATGCATAGAGGCATGGGGCATGGGAACCGCTTTGTATTCTTATATTCCCTCATACAACCCCGAGGTACTGTAGTTCTGTGTGGCCAGGCCTTTCTCGCCATCAGACAGTACCACCCGACCACCACCACTTACCTGCAGCCATGAGTAACGAGACAAGACATCTTTGGGAAGTCATCACCGATGGACCAAGCTCACGCCCACGAGCCGCCGTGAGCATCTATGAAAGCACGCATGATAACCAGATGGAAGACTACTCTATTCTTCAAAGTGCTCTTGAACATCTAGGGATCACGCATTCCACACAGTCTTCACCGGTCGAGCTTTCTATCGTCCCCTAATTTCTTCTCGAAGAGTCCTCCTTCGCCCTCCCAAACATCAACTCCTTATCAGTCAGTGGAGAAGAACGCTCAGGTCGACAACGGGCGACATTCGTCACTCATGTTCCGGATGGGGTAAGGTGGGTTATGCAGGCTGGAAGACGAAAAGAGAGGCGGAACAAGCGTATCGAACTATTCTCTCCACGCCTGACATCCAGCTTCAACCTTCGTCCACGGTGAGTACTAAATATTGTTTCAAGTTAAGGCTGATAGCCTGCAGCTTCCGGGTGTCTGCTCCAGACGGTGTTCTGAGGCTGCTTTGCCCATTGTCAAACCTGAAACCTCGCATAGACTGCGCTCATATGTCACTCTTTCTGAGCCCAGCGGGTCCATGCTGATTGGTGAATAACAGGCGGTGGTAGACCCCAGTACGACAGGTCTGCAAGAGGCATCAATCCTTTCGACCTTATTCAATTGTCGCCCCCACCTTCCTAAAGCGTCCTCAACCTGGAAAGGAGACACGACCAGGCGATTGCTTATCCATCAAGAGGGATGCGAAGAGCCACTTTTCACGGGCGTCACAAATCAGGCGAGAGCAAGAACAGATACAGTAGCGCCGACAAAGACTGCTTCTGGGGAAAATAGGTGCCGGACAAATCTGTGGTGGCAGTTTCACCCGGAAAGACCCATGTATCGAGTGCTCTCGGATGAAGAAAGGTCTGATCTGGAAGACATTGCTCTAATGCACAAGTTGGAATTGGACCGACGTTGACTCGACAGAAGCAAGAGAGGAGGCAGAGAAGAAGGGAGCAAAAATGAGGTTTGGACTATTTGCCGTGTGCCAACACAGAGCGTAGCTCATCCGCCGAGAACTGTTCATGGAGGCAAGGTTCCGAAGGGAAATCGTTCATGAGTATATGCAATATGTTACACAGTAAAACAGTATGATTAGAACAGTCTTCGTACAGGTTCGATGATCGCGCCAGGCTACAAAAAGTCAGTATTGCACCATATTGACACTCGAATGATACGACCCACCTTCTTGACAACCCTGGGCAAGGTGCCCTTCTGGAACCCACTCCTGCTGTTCCACTCGCTACCCACAGGAACCTCAAAGCTCTTCTCGTACTGCTCCTTGCTCGTGTAAGGGTAAGGAAGATCCTTGAGCTGGAACTGCGAAGCCTTCTTGTCCTTCTTCTCGGTGATGATGACGTTGGAGTTGTTAAAGTCCTTTCGGGCTGTAGGCTCGATACCGGCAGTCTTGACCAAGAACTTGGGGTTGGTCTTGCGCTTCTTGGCGCCCTTGCCTCCCCATGCGCCCTAACAGATGTCAGTCACAATCTCAACAAAACTGTACAATGAACATACCCATCCAGCCAGCGAAGTGTCCTCCACCGTGGGCGCATCAGCCTCCACCTGCCTGGCCTTCTCCGCAGCGAAATCTTCCACCACATTGTCCCCAGCGAACGCTTCCGCCACAAGATCCCTCTGTTGGAAAGCCTTGACACCACTGGGAAGAAGGTCTGCAATCTCCCTGTCTTCTTCCTCCTCCTCGACAGCCGCAGCAGGCGCCTTGCCCTTGCCCTTCTTCTTTGGCTCAGGCTTGGCCAATGGCGCCTCTACGTCAATGTCGACTCTCTCATCATCCTCTTCATCTTCTCTTCGCTTGCCAGCCTTCTTCAGAGCCTTTACTGTCTTGGCTTCTCCGCTCAGCTGAGCGCCGACCTGGACATTGCGCTTGCGCGAAGGACCCGAGGAGGCAGAAGAAGCAAGCCAGGGGTTGGCAGCTTCTGGTGATGGGGAACGAAGACGAGTGGCGACTGGTTGAGGGGCCACGGGGGCTGGCTGGGGAGCAGAGGGTTGTTCGTTGACCACCTGCTGAGATTAGCGCTGGGACGAGTGAAATGAAGCCCACTTACAGGCACTGGCCCAGTAAACCTCATCCTGCCTTCGTTGCCATCCACGTTGACCATCGCCGGCTCCTCATCCTCGCTCTCACTCCCATCCGCGCTCTCCTTTTCCCCACCAAACAGCTCGATCTGTCTCTGCGCATCCCTCTCCTCTTCCGCGACCGCCTTCATACGCCTCTCCTGCGCCTTTTGCATAAACTTCATCGACATGAGACCCTTGTTGGTGGCATCAGCACCGGGGTCGGACGAGAGCTGAGCAAGCTGATCGAAAGCCTTGGCCTTGATAGCCTCTTCGTCTTCGTCCTCATCCTCACTATCCTCGTCCGAGGACGAACCCTCGTCCTTGCCTTGGATCTTGCGCATCAACTTTTCCTTCATGTCGAGCATATCCTCCTTGGCTCGGCGTCTATCTTCGACCTCGCCTGCATCTCCACCGACGTCTTTCGCCCATCGATTCTTGGCGCCGTGTCGGAGTGTCGCTCGCTCCAAAGCACGCTCCCTCTCGAGTTTCTCCCTCTGCTCAAGAGCAGCCTCGGGATCGAGCCTCTCCAAATCTTCAAGAGAGACTTCGTTATCCCCAGCTTCCTTGGCAGCCTTCTTTCTCGCGAGCTTTCGGAAAGTTTTAGACTTGATCTTGGCCACTCGCTTCGCCTTTGCCTCGGCACGGAACAGCAGCTCTCGCTGATATCTCAACTGTGAACGGCGTTCCTTGATCTCCTCCTCCGTCATATCCTTCGCTTCCATCTGCAGATCCTCTTGCTTTTTGAGCGTGTCCTCGGTGAGGTTGGCCTTTTTCAAGAGCGCATCCACAGCAGACTCCATCTCATTCTGGGGCTTCCACCCCGCAAGCACCTCATTTGCCGACTTGACGCCACCTCGCTCCTTGGCCTGGAGGGGAAAAGACAAGTGCTCGGCTTCTTTGACTCGCTTCATCAAGGTCGACCATTTCTGACCTTCTATCTTTGTCTGAGCATAGGCGGCTTCTCGGTCGAGACGTTCTTGCTGAGTAGTGGGCAGAGGGGCCTGCAGGACGCCAGATTTAAGGATGGATGTTCCAGCATTCTTAGCCGGCTTCATGAGAGCGGAAGCACCAGCAAGAGATGGGTGTGAGGTGATGAGGGATGAGAGGTCGAGCTTTTGGCCTATCGCTGTGTGAGCTGGATCGTATTGACAGGGGGACACGTACTGCTCTTCAGAGTGGCATCTTCCTTGATATCTTGAGTAGACTTGACCGGAAGCACTCTGCGCTTCTTTTGCTCTGACGCCGCTTCAGACTCGGGGGCCTTGCGCTTCTTGTCTGCAGCAGCGAGCTGGTCCACAAAGCTGTCGAGGTCGGCGAGGGTGTCGGGGTCGTCATCTCCGTCCGAGATAGATATGTCAGAGTCGTCGTCCTCTTCGTCCTCGTCAGACTCTTCCTCTCCTTCCGACATCTCGGCGTCCTCTTCCTCTTCATCATCGGAAGCTTCAGGGGTAGCAGCCTTCTTCGATTTGGCCTTGGGCGCCTCATCGTCGCTTTCGTCGAGGTTTACAGTCATGGGCTTGGCCGGCTGCACGCGGTCAGAATATATTGCACTTCGTCCAGCACTAGACTCACCTTCAGCACCACATCTTTCGCCTTCTTCTTGCCCTTTCCCTTTTGCACCGCACGAACGACATCTCCCCATCTCTCCTCGTCACTCCCGTCACTCTCCCACGCAGCATCACTGTCGATATCGCTTTCTTCGCTGTCGACCTCTTGCGCTTCTTCGCCGGCAATCATCATGGCGATCTTCTTGACGCGCGACTGCATAGACTCTTCATTGTCCTCGTCATTGTGCCTGCCTTTGTTCTGCGCTCTAGACTCTTCGAGCTCTTCGTGCGAGAGCGAGTTTTGGAATGCTGACGTTCGGTGTCGCTTTGGAAGATCCGGGATATAGGTGTATGCGTTGGCGGTGTTGAGCTTCCTCTTGGGGACGGCCTTTGCCTTTTTGGGTTTGGACTCTGTGGAGGCGGTGAAGGGGCGTGACTGGCGGGCCATGCTGGATGTATAGAGTGCAGCAGCATGGTCCAAAAAGTTGAGCCTCCACCTGTATGCTGGAAGTGGAGGGCGCCGCCACTGGATGAAACGCCGCAAAAGACCGTTCACCTCGGATGCGTGGATGATTTGGGTGTAGAGAGAAGAAGAAGGCCATACTCCGCTCAGTGCGCCTCCCCTCCGCCCCGCCCACAGCTCACCCCAGACATGTTCGCCGCCAGACTCGCCCCCGCCCTCAGGGCCCTCCCCCGACAAGCCTCGGCCGTAAGAATCGCCCGCCGTGGCTATGCTGAGGCTGCCGCCGACGGCAAGCTCTCCTTGAGCTTGGTCCTCCCCCACCAGGTGCGTCGCCCGACACTAGAAGGCTTGGGCAGTTGAATATCGAGGCTGATTGCGCAAATGTCGTCTTTTCCTCATTTCGGGTTTCATCGGGTCACGTCTTTTGGTGCTACAACCTACATCTACCTCTTCCATCAACAGTCCCTTTACTCTGCTACTGGTGTCACCCAGGTCAACATCCCTGCCGCTACCGGTGACATGGGTATCCTCGCCAACCACGTCCCCTCCGTCGAGGCTCTCCGGGCCGGTGTCATTGAGGTCATTGAGGAGAACGGCCAGCCCAGCAAGAAGTGGTATGGTGAGTTGCGTTGTGTCGTTTGAGGGGCGTTTGATCAGAGTTTGTGCCAATGGGGCCCGTGAGCAGGGTAGAGAGGAAAAGGATCGTTGGGGTATCCCCGCTCGGTCGGGGTGTATACGCAGATGAGTAGGCTGGGGAACGGACGATGCTGCCAATCATAGCTATCCAAGGCAGACGCGCGAAGTGCAAACATACGTCGAATTTTGCAAAGAGCTCGAGGCAGGACTTTTGACCAAACACCCCTCATGCCGTGATTCGAGGGCTTTGCTGAACGTATCTCAGTCTCTGCTGGTTTCGCCACTGTCCACGCCAATAACACCCTCTCCGTCAACGCCGTTGAGGCTTACTCCCTCGACAAGTTCTCCCCTGAGGTACGCTCTTCCGAAGTCGACCGCAAAAGCTTGCGCTAACTTGTAACTCAGAACATCAAGGCTGCCCTCACCGACGCCAACCGAGTCCTTGGCTCCAACGCCCCCGAATCCGAGAAGGCTGAGGCTAGGATCGAGGTCGAGGTCTTTGAGGGTCTCCAGGCTGCTCTCGCCAAGTAAGGGTGAAGTATGCTGAGAGAAGAGGAGAGGAAGTAGACACACAAAAATGAATCCGCAATCGATGCCCACACCAAACGCCCGCGCCAGCGTCAATGCTCAATGTTACTGATGTCTACAGATGCAGGGATCAACAGGGATACATGGACAACGGTATCGACTCTAACATGCAGAATCAGGATCTTGGTCTCCGATTTGGGGTACCGGTTCCAGATACGCCGTCGCTGAAGTCCTTATCCGTCTCCGTTCATTCTTCCTCTTCAAACTCTTCCGGCTCTTCAGGTGCCTCGGGTTCAGGCTCTTCAGGCTCCTCGACCTGCTCAGGCTGCTCAAGATGAACAGGCTCCCCAGGCTCAGCGTCAAGTTGGAAAGCCTCGTCATAGAGAACCAGTCTTGAATGTCGATGAGCCACTCCATCTTCTGGCTCAAATATGTACCACACATCGGGTCGGCACTTGTCCCCTAGATACTCAGGTTCCACCAGTTCATTCCGGGCTTCCTCCTCCGTACGCGAGCCCGCGCAGAACTCGGTGCCACAGATTTCATGATGGATTCTCGTCATCTTTTCCTCTTCCACCACACCGATACCCGTGGACAGGTCGGATTTGGCATTGAACGTGGCGACTTTGATTGATACCTCTTTCAGTGGAGCATCAGGTGGTAGGCCCGTGTCGACCTCTGCGAACGTATCTCTCCGGCACAACATGTCGAAAACATCCTCAATAAGTTCTGGGGTAAATTCGTGATAGGGCTTGCAGGCACCTTCGCTTCGTTCCTCGAAACCGGACACAATGTGTGTATCATACGGGTATCCCTCGCAGATCGAGCCCCCACACCCATAAGGATTATGTTCACCCTCCAGATGATCCCAGATGAATATCTTGGACACACTCGTCCTCTCGTCGTCCCCACCTTCCGCCTCTGGCGGGCACGGAACTGGCAGGGTGATTTCCTGGATGAGATTGTACGAGATAGGCTCCTCCCTCCTCACGGTCAGTCCCAACTTTTGAAAAGCCGTTCTCCTGTCTTGGTCGATTTCAGAACCATCCACGGGCTCTTCTTTAATGACCATCATGCTACGAATGCAATCGGAGTCGCTTTGGAGCTTGATCCAGTCGACTTGTTCTGCTCTCTCCTCGTCTTTGGGTCGATGAGGCCAGGTATGATTGTCATTGTAGGTCCAGCGTTCGAGATTGTGATACGGCTCAAGAATGGGATTGGCTTGAGAATCACCATCATCTTGATCTAGGAGACAAGCGATTGTGAGTGTCTTCTCGCGTGTGGCGACACTAAAACTTACCCAGCGTATAAGGTGTATCTGCACCCGACATCCGCATTCCTTCTTCTCCCCGTCCGGGAGATCGACCTCGGGATCGTGATCGAGACAATGGCGAGTCGGGTGAATAATACCGACTGGCTTGACTAACTGGAATGCCTAGAGATTAGCCATTCCGTCGTCTCGAGCCCACGCAGCAGCTCAAGGAACCCTTACGTTGTTCAAGATATGGAGCCATCTGACGCTGAGGAAACCGGGTCTGGCCATGTTCAGAGCGCGATCGGGATCGTGCATTCCTAGGGATTGAACGTGACCGCGAACGCGAACGATGGATGTTTGTGGTGTGGAAATAGTCATCTGGTACATCTGTGTAATTGTCAACAGTCAGTGACTAGTCGGTTATGCCCGAGCGTGTACCCAATCCGTGGCTTATATGAGAAGGTATACTGGCTTACTCAAGATGTACACTTCGCCACTTGACTCGGATGGTGAAGGCGAACCCTCGCGACTGTAGTGATGGTAGTACGGGGCTCGTTCAATTGGCGGCTCGGCCTGTCGCTCGCTTCTTGCCGGACCTGCAAGCACGGGTCAGTGAAGGCGCATACAACATATCCACAGTACTCTGGTGTCGCCCTTTCAAGATTGCCACCATGAATCCAGATGAGAACCTTACCTGGCTCGACAAATGCGTACTCACTTTGCTCATCTTCGCCAGAATACGAAAAGGGAGATGCCGAGCCCGACAGTTGACCCTGGCCCCAAGAAGGTGATATAGACCCCGACATGATTGTTGAGTTGTGTATCGGTTCGCAAACAAATGTCAATCGTGGAAAATGTTGGAATTCGAATAAAAGTCTCTCTGCTTGTCGTTCGTTCGTCCCTTCATCAGCCTCAGGCCGCGGCAGCAAAAAAGCGCGAAGGCGCCAACCTGGGGTATCTCTTCTCCTGCTGAGTTGCTACAGGATCATGTGCAGTCGGTGACCTTGCTTCTCTCCCTTCGAATGCAGTCAAAGGAATCCTGAAAAGCTATACGCAGCCCCGCTTGCCTCAAAGTCCGCCACAAAAGATTGAGGTCGAAAGGGCGAAGAGGGAGGCAGTCGTTGGTGCGATGGGACTGTGGCGGTATGATCATAACAATAGACAAATGTCAATGTTTTACATCTCAGCCGTAATTGCGCTCAAGCTCCGACACGACAGACTCCTACATCTAATTTTTGATCATTATACAGACCTCTATTGCCACGATGAGACAGCCAACTGCCATTGTGATCAACACCGCGAGGGTATTCCACCTCATAAACTGAGTGACGGTCACATGTATACCCTTCTGACGTAGGATCCCTCTCCACAGAAGTCCTGCTAGAGAAGCAGAGAAGCTAAGAATGAACGTCATCAGCTTTGAAGGCCAATACTATCATGAACAAAGGGAACAGCAGCTTACACGATGGAGTAGGCGCCAAAGTTGCTTCCGACGGCAAGTGTCAAGATTGCAGCGTATATGGAACGTTCAGAAACAGCGCTATGCGTCAAGCTCCAGGACTGAATCACTCGAGCCAGCAATATGGTGGCGCCAATGTTGGTGCCGAAGACCTTGAACGAGTCAGTCAATGAAAGGGACATCTTCTAGAACGAGAAGGCTCACATTGCACCCGATGACACTCAGCATGCCCATCAGCCAGACGCTTCCTGCGATACCGCCAACCTCTTCCCAAGCACCCCACCACCCACCAAATACCGATATCCACCCCGTATGTTGCAGCCCCTCGACGAGGATGAAGAAGGAGAATGCAAAAGGGAGCAGCGCAAGAGGCAGTTTCGAGACGACCGAGGATACGCGCGAGAGTCCCAGGAATGGTGGGTGAGAAGGCGCCGCGGTTGACGCAGCAGCGATTTCTTCTGTTGGAAGAGTACTCTGAGCGGGGTCGAGGGGTTTGGAATTGCCTTTAGGCTTCTCGCGACGCTCAGATAAATCTTTTGCTAGATCTCTGAGAAAGACAAGTCCAGCAGCAGGAACAGTGACTGTCCAAACGCCGACCTTGCCTTCCAGAATACCACCGGCGCTCAGCCCGACCAGAAGCAGGACCGTAATCACAAACACTGTAGCACCAAATACAGCCCCGACAGGATCCAGCAGGGCATCCCGTGGGTTGATGGCGGGTGGATGTATGGTTGTCGGGATGAGACCTTTCCGAGAAAAGGTGATGTAGCGTGATACAAAGTAGAGCACGATGGCCGAGGCGATGGTGGGAATGGCCATCCACGCCGAGTATACGAGAAAGTTGATAGCGAATGCTGAGGTGAGGACAAGGTTGGTTGGGTTTGAGGATACAAGAAAGGCAGAGACGAGGTTGGACACTTGGAAATGTGAAAATATGAAGGGCGTGGGATCGGATATGGCAGCGTGATCTGTAAAGTACGCCAGGAATGGGGTTCCCGAGAGTACGAGAGGATCGTTGCCAAAGACGAGACCAATGCCCGCAAACAAAAAGTAAAATGTCGTGAACAAGCGTTGTCCCCGAGACGCTCGCGATGCCACCAAGAAGGCGAGGTAACGTAGAAATCCAGTGGTATCAAGCGAGATCGAGATGTATGCCTACTGGAGGCGTCAGCGGTCTGTTCGCCTCGGAAGATAGAACCCACAAAGCATATGAACAACGTCATGATGTCGTACGGACGGACTCCTCCGCTCCCCACGATGCCGCGGCGTACCACAGAGCCTGGTATGCTGAAAGCCAGTAGGATGAGCACACCGATAACGGGGGCAGTCCGAAGGTCAATCGGTATGTATACCCTTTTGCTGGGTACGCGGGACTCTGCAGGACTGTGTTGGGAGTTGATAGTAGCCGACGCTTCTGGAGTGGTGTTCTCTTGGCCTCTCTCCGTTGCTGGTGCCGGTGTGGACATGTCGCGCTTTGGGTCGCATTTTTCTTCAGCTTTGTCCTTGTGACTCCGTTTGACAAATCTGCCAAATAGTCTGGATACAAATAGCGGGACTGGTATCCTCACTGGCCATATGACTAGTGCATCTAAGACATTTGTCAGTCGCGAGTATAGCAAAAGAGCGTTCTTCGTTGCTTACTGATGGCAAAGAAGAAGATCAGCGTGACGATGGAGCGAGCGTCAATGCTTCTGTCTTGGCCATCTACGAGCGGCGTGATAGTGACCATGCTGTTTTTCGTGTACCGGTTCCTTTATTGTCAGGAAAAGTAGAGGTGATCTAAATGCTCGACTTCGTTTCCGAAGGGCCAGTCGTTGGGCTTGTCGAAGACGTTTCAGCTGAAGCTTCTTCTCCCATGGATCTTCCGAGAAAAAAGAGGATGATGGTGAGAAGGCGTATAATTGTGGACGATGAAAAGATGTCGTGAATCATGATGGTTCTGACTTATGAAACTTGTATGAAACGTTCATCGACATAAATGCTCGCTGCTGCGGTAGCAGGTCTGTAATTACGAAATGCGTAAATATTCCGAGCCCACCAAGTAACAAAAGCAGCGGTGAAGATGCCGTACTTTGGTGTAATGACAGCACTCCACAACAAATGCATGGGTCGTCTGTGAATGACTGACTATAGAGGTGCTGATGCTATCGCAGCAATGAGTTGGATGACTGCTTGAACGGTTGGTACAGCTGCTGGCTCGCCCCACAAGGAACGCAGCTCGGAAGGCCGTCCAGAGATCTCAGCAGGGTAGTTTTTTGCCCTCTGATCTCGTGGACCCCCCGTGGCAGCAACAGATACCTAGCAAGCGGACTGTATACGAGGGTAGGGGGAAGACAGCACAAGGCAGACCGGGGGCGTTCTGGGTAAAGGTCACCCACTGCACAACGGCGAGCCCGCATCAGTTTTCACCGGCCGCGATTGGCTGGCTGCCACGAACGTGCGACCCATGGGCTTAAGGCATACTGACAAAGACTACAAAGAAGATGCCCCTGTCTCATGAACGAAAGAGACAGCTCCCAGGTCCAGCTGTGCCCTGGGCAGGCCCTGCTACAATCATGCATGAGCGAGCCGGAAGCGTTCGAGATGGACCCTACGAGCGGCAGCGCGTAAAACTGCCTGATCGAGTAATAATCGAGGGCGGGCATCGACACCGGCATTCTCACTTGCTTCCGCGAGCTATATCGTTATCCCAATGCATATCCACCTAATTCCGACAGCCAACTTTCTGTGAATACCCAGGTCATCCCACTCACCCCAGGGCATCCCTCAATCCTGCACAAAAATCAGCATCGCCCGGGAGTCACAACAGCAGCACCTCCACCCGCCACCGCCAGAGTCATCTCCCACGTTCGTTCTCCACGCCCAGCAGCGTTCTGTCATCGGCCAATTTGCCGGCTCCCCGTGGTGCCAGGTTGTCTGAGCTTTCCGGAACAGCTCGACTTTTTCGCTTTGTTGCAACGACCGCATACACCAAGTCCTTTGACTGGGCTGACGCCCTGGCACTACCCCAAAATCAGCACTCGCCGTCTCCGACCAGAGGACCCAGTGCGCCATGTCCACACCGCACGGCGCTTCTCCTTCCGCCTCATATCTCCATCAAGATGCTGAACTGTACTCGCTCGACTTTCTGGGCTTGTCAGAGCTCGACGCGCCCATGTCGGATGTCGACTCTCCCAAACCAGCAGCAGGTCTCGCTGATTCGGCCCGGCGGAATCAGGGGCATGCTGTGGATGCTGGACAACATGTCCATGGAAAGTCGGACGTGGGCGAAACTTTCCAAGGTGGGATCCACCAGAATGGAGGGCATACGATGGAGGTAGATGAAGGGGTGATGGACGGCAAGAAGCAGGAGTTCATGTTCAATGGTCACGAGTATGATGCTCTGCAAGCTGCCATGCTGCAACAGCAGGTAGGTAGACTATGACATTATAAAGGCATCAGGTAGCTGACTCCATCCAAACAGCTGTCTTCTTTCCATATGCAATCACCTCTCGGCTTCGACATCAACAATCCACCCTTCCATCTATCACAGATGCTCTCATCACCCGCTCGCCAGGCGCTCCAATTGCATAATAGCCATTCTCAACAGTGCCACGCCTCGCGCGAGAACGAACACGGCAATGGTAGCCATCAGCATGGCTCAAGTGGGACACCCGCACCTGGTAAATACAGATGATGCCTCTGACCGAGCAAGTCACTGACATGGAACAGGATCTGCAGAACTGATAAGCCGGATGCACCTGGAGATGCTCTCCTGGCAACACATGGACGGTAAAGATGCAAGTATACGAAATCAAAGTGATGGCAGATGGGCTGACATGCACTGGTCAGTCAAACCATGCTCCCGCCATATCTCCAACTCTCTCACATAGAACATCCCACTCCGCCTACGATTCCTCCGTGTCTCATGCGCCTTACAATACCCACAGCCATCGAAACTCGTTTTCCGCACTTCCCACAAAGACTCCTTTGGAGCAACTCCAAGATCAGCAGGCACAGTTCCAGGAGCAATTGGCCTTGCTTCAGCAGCAACAGCTAGAGATGCAGGCGACAGCGGCGGCTGTTATGGCGGCCCAGTCTTCGCCCTATATGCTGGGCCATGGACCATCGCCTTCTTCGTCCCGACCATCGACTACCCCGGGTGTCACACAATCACCAGGTGGCATTTTCTCTCCTCTCACGTCCCCTGCGCTGGAGGCGACCAACCGTCCTCATCGGTCCCATTCTGGCCACCACAACCACCAATTTTCCCCTGCTTTCAATGCCCAGCAACAACGCACTCCCCACCCGCTCAGTACCATGTCATCCCCTGCTCTAAATCCTGTCGGGTCTAGTGGTGGCGCGAACCAGACCCTGTCTCCTGCGCTCACTGCTCAAAACTCGGCTGATATGGATCCAGAGTATGTACGGGCGCTAGTTGGTATGTTGGACAGTGGGCACACGCCCCCTTCGGGTGAACCCTTGCAACCGCCTTACCAATCGCCCTCCATGGCTAGCACCTCTACTGCCGGCCATACGACTGTAATATCCTCGCCCGCTCTCCATGCCACGGGTTCTGGCACAGGTCCGCATCGCCAATCTTTGCCGTCCAAGACAAGACCCTCGCCCATGCTGAAACCTACGAATCACCGGTCCAACCATCGCAATTCTGTGTCTGGTCACTATTCTGTACCGAGCAGTCCTGCTGTGACGAAATACCAACCCGACGCTTCTATGCCTCCTGCTGCTATGAGCTCTGGACTACCACCTTCAGCTCTCGAGCACCACAGACAGGTACATTCCTCTACATCCACAACCTCTACCCCTTCGCCTGTCGATCTCAGCCAGATCATGCCGCCTCCCCCTGTGCCTGCTGGGTCGAGCAAGAGTAGGAAGGGTGTCATGCCGATGACTCCTGCGAGCTTGATGAACCTTGGTTCCGGCAATGAGTCGACAGACGGAGGACAGAGTGTGCCCCTGCCACCTCCCCCCAAGAGAGTGGGCAACTCTAGCACTGGAGCGGACGGCGGGCAGATTGCAGCGGAGGGGTCTGGGGGTGGACAAACGGCCATCACGGAAAAAGGGGCAAAGAAGCAAGGTGGGAAGAAGGGGAATGCGGGCAAGCCGGTGCCGGTCGGTGGAAAAAGGGCTCTCGCTGCTAGGCCTCAAGCTGTCGGTGTGCGAGTCGGTGAGTGCATCTCGTCAATCATTCTAGGCCCTAGCTGATATCTTACTCAGCGACCAAAGCAGCTGCAGCAGCGGCCGCGGCGGCTCTGTCGCTGGAGCCGGAGAATCGCAAGATCTCACATAAGGCTGCCGAGCAGAAACGACGGGATTCCCTCAAAGCAGGTTTCGATGAACTACGTCTCCTCCTTCCTCCCATCAACACCGAAGCCCTTGATCCTCTTTCGGGCGAACCCATTCCAGGATCTTCTGCTCCTCGGCTTTTACCCAAATCGTCTCTCGTACCGGACGATAACCCCAACAGGGGTATCAGTAAGGTAGCCTTGTTGAGGTTTGGGAATGAGTACATCGAGAAGCTGCAGGAGAGGGTGGATAGGAGGGACGTCTTTATCGAGAAGCTCAGGGAAGAGGTAGAGCGGTTAAGACAAGGGGGGCAGGAAGAGGTTCGCGGGGAGGATGGGGAGGATCTGTTGGACTATGACTGGAGAGAGGGAGAGGACGACGAGTTTGGAGAAGATAAAGACAGTGATGAAGAAGGCGAAGAAGGCGAAGAGGAGGAGGATGTAATGGACGAGGGTATGGAGGTGGAAGACGATGGCAGTGGACTGTCCAAAAGACCCACGCGCACAAAGTCGTTATCAGCGAGGAGCCCAGGCATAAAAGCCACTGGTCTGAGCTTGTCAAGGGCTAGTGGTTCTGATGCGACCACCACCAGAGGAAAGAAGGGCGAATAAATGCAAGTAAACAAGCAAGTAATAGATAGAGGCTCGATAAAAGGACATTCAACGTCATTGGGGCGAGCTGCGTGTTGAAAAGCGTAAACATCATGCGTAGACATCATAGCTGTATGTATAGCATTAGAGAACCTGAGGGCAATCCATGTATAATTTTGCATGCAGTGGTGAAAAGTATGCCACCGTTACATCCATAAGACCTGTCCTCACTCCTCATCAACCTCCATACCCTCTTCGCTTCTACCCTCGTCCCCTTCTTCATCATCCGCGTTGAACACCTCCTGTGCCAATCTCGAGGATTTGGGGGAACCCTTATCGCCCATCTGACGGCGGCCTCTGGGAGAAGCCGCCGAAGACCGTTGGGCGTGGGACGGAGTCGAAGGGGCCTGGGTTTGGGCCTGAGTCTGAAACTTGGATGGTTGGGTGGGGGTGGCTAAGAGTGGCTGGTTCGGATCAGGGGGCAGGCGAGAGAGGGGAGAGGGGTTGAGGTGGTTGCATCCTGTTGATGTTAGCTTAGAAGAGGGAACGCCAGGATCAGACATACGGGGACAGAGCCATTCTGCGAGCGGGATCAGCCATCAATCGTTCGTGTGTCAGATTGTACTTACGCATCCTCTCCCATTCATACTTGCTACCGACCAGTCCATTGTGTCGGAAGCATTCTTCACAGACAAGAGCATACTTGTGCTGGTTACCTTGAGCTAATCGCTACCTGTCAGATATATCTCACTCATGCTGAACAATGGGTACACACAAGGGTCATCACCGAGGATAGAATCCACCACGCGGTCATACCACTTCTTCTCGGGGGTGGGCAAGATTGGTTGGATAGCGCCAGCTTGCAAGTGGAAGGCAGTGGCTTGTTCGAGGGACAATCCTTGGGGGACAGGAAGAGGTGTCTGGGGCTGTGCGGCTGGTGTGCATGATTAGCTCATTGACACATTCACGAAACGCTTGCGACTCACGTCCAGGAGTTCCACCTGCCCCTACAAGATGGCCTGGAGCTCTGGGAGTACCACTAGGACCTTTCGAGCTTGGAGTGACGTGCTGAGGAGTTACTTGGCCAGGTCTCTGGGGCGTTTTGGGACCAATGGGAGAGCCGAGTCCGTTCGCTTCATCGTACCGTTCGATCAGTTTGCGAGTGGAGTCGTAATTTGTAGCTTTCTTGATTTCGTCTACTTGTTTGCGCTGCTGGTTGAGGAGCTTTCTGAGGTGTGTTTCTGGAGACAGGGAGTCAGATATGGGTATGTCTTCCGATCTGAGAACGCACCCTCGTGAACTCTCTGTCGAGAAAAGTATGCGTGAACCACAAAGTTGAGGACCCAGATACTAGACAAACCCCCTCTGTTAGTAAAGTAGTACCGTGAGAGAATGATACAGATACACTTACAGGAATGGTGTCCCCACGATGCCAGCCAAACCGACTATCCGCCCGAGCAGCTCCTCGTAATTTGTCTTGATGAGTCCCAGCGGCAAGCTGCGGACCCACCAAAGGCCTGCCCATATGGCCCAGAACGAGACACCATACAGATTCACAAGCAAAGCTGTTCTGCGCTCTCTGAGTCTTATTGCGGAAAGATTTGTCTTTGCCTCTGTGACGTCGGAGGCGAGCTTTGAAAGGACAGTCTCGTAGTCGGGCGGAGATGACTGTAGTAGGGGTCAGCGGGGGCAGGGGAGGGTGCATAAGCACTCACTTTGCTGAAGAAGGAGAAGAAGCCCATCTTGAGTAGTTCTAGCTGAACGGGCCAATTGTTGAAGAATTTGTTGTTGATGCCAGGTTGATAGCCGACTCTGAGCCGACTGCATCATGTTCAAGAGCGGCGAGGGCCGCCGACATTTCAAGCCGTCGGCGAGAGATTCATATCGTAAGCTGATTCCAAGTCTCATCTTGCACCTCAGCGTACAAAGCATGCTCGCAGCTCGAACCCTGGAGGTCTGTAGGCTTCCGCGACCTGATCGCCTCAGGGTATTAGCTCGGTGGACATCGTCCGCCAGGTCATTGGGCAGTTCCCCTTCTTCGAGCAACGCCATCAGCGCCCAAGACCCGTCATTTGGCCCCAAAAAAGCAGAGCTCGACGACTATAGAGTCGCTCTCGAAGAAGATGTGAAACCAAGGAGAAGTGAGCCAATGGTGTTGAGAGCATAGACATGGAGCTGATTCACATCCAGTACGAAGAGCTCGGCCCGCCCTGCCTTCCCTGTATCGGCTCGACTCGTTTGACGGGTCTGGGAGCGCATTGCCTTCATCAGGCCATCAGAGCCGGAAAGGGAAAGAGAAGGAATTACCTGTGCTTGAAGTCGCAGAGACGAAAGAGACGCAAGCACCCCAGTCCGCCGTCACTGTCGACATGCCTAAGGGTGAGCATCTGTGGATGTCTTGTAAGGTTTTGCCACTAACGACCATATTTAGGAAGTCGACGGAATCCTGTCGGTGTTCAGATGCTATCTTCTTCCTTGCACTCACAGCTATTTCCTGGCGCAACATTGCCAAAACCTCCCGAATCTCTTCTTGCGATTTCGAAGCGACACCTGCAAGACAATGGTCTGTCGCCGGAAGGCGCAGCTGTGTCACCCGATATATCTTTCGAGATGCCTGCTCTGCGCGGAAAAGATATTCGCGAGCACTTTGCGGCCCTTGGTAAGCATGTTGCTGAACCGTATGCCTCGATGGCCAATGACTTGGTCAATGTACGGATACCCGAAAAGCCTGCTGCGTGGGAAGTGAACAAAGCCGGCTGGACAAAGTACTATTCAGATGGAAGGACGGAAGCCGTCGACGACCTCGGAGACGAGACTCTGGTCTCATTCGACGTGGAAACGCTGTACAAGCTGTCAAAATTCCCAGTCATGGCTACGGCCGCTTCACCGGATCACTGGTATTCCTGGCTGTCGTCCACGATCTTTGAGGACCTGCCAGATACACTACCGGAGAAATCTGCCCCTTACGATATCTCGACCCCAAGTTGCCATCCCAACGAACTCATCCCTCTCTTTCCAGAATCTTCTCCGACTCCCCGTCTGGTCGTAGGTCATAATGTGGGCTATGATCGCGCGAGAATTCAAGAAGAGTACTCTCTTGAGCGCACGGGCACACGTTATCTCGACACTCTTGCTTTCCATGTTGCGACCCGAGGAATCACTTCTGTCCAACGCCCGGCTTGGATGGCATACAGGAAAAACAAGAAGGCCAAGACTCAGCGAGATCAGGATAACCTTGATGTCTTGCAAGAGTACGCTCAGGAGTCTGGGGATGTCAACATGCTAGCTAGCCTCCAAGACTTTGGCGGTACCAGCGAGACGGAGGCAGACACGTCCAACAGAAGATGGGAGGAAGTCACCTCGATGAACTCTCTAGCAGAGGTCGCCTCTCTGCATTGCAACTACCCCGTCGACAAATCCGTGCGCGATCGTTTTGGCGACGATGCGATCAAGCATGCTTCCCAGCTCCGTTCGGAATTACAGGACCTCTTGACATATTGTGCAAATGACGTCCGTATCACACACGATGTCTACAAAAAAGTGTATCCTCTCTTTTTGGAATCGTGCCCCCATCCTGCTACCCTCGCCGGTGTTTTGACCATGGGCAAGTCTTTCCTCCCCGTGGACCAGAGCTGGAAAGAGTATTTGAAGAACGCGGAGACGACTTATAGAGAGATGGACGATGCTGTCAAAAAAGCCTTGAGACTGCTAGCGGAAAAGGTCAAGGCGGACGGACCAAAGGAAGATGACCCGTGGATATCGCAGTTGGATTGGACACCAAAAAATGCTCGATGGGCTGACGGGAATGTCGATGCCAACGAGAGCGCTGTCACAGAGGCGTCTCTGGACGCCGTCAATGACACTGCTGTCGCAACAGTACCCCCTTCCGCCACAGTAGAGGCCGACACAAACTCTCCACCTGCATCACGGGGGGCTACAGTGGCCCCAGCATGGCTGAGCGACATTGTCAAGGATGATTCGAACCTGAGCTCCAACGTCTCCCAGCGTTATCTTTTCCCGCTCATCCTTCGCCTGTCCTACAAAGACCATCCGGTCGTTTACCTCTCTGAACACGGCTGGTGCTTCATGGTACCACAAGAGCGGCTCACAGAGTATATTGCGGTGCATGGTGATCCTGTTGCTTCAGGCGACAAAGATAGGCTGCCCGGTGTATGTGAGCATGATAACGCCCTGTTCCGGATAGGTGGATATGGGAGCTCCAAAAAGGTCAAGCTCAGCGGTCCTTCAAGCAAGAAGCTTGTCACCAGTGGCGAGCTGACCAGTCCCTACCCAGAGGTGTTGAATGGCTTGGTGAGGTCGGAAGATGTCAGTCTGCATCTGGAAGACTTGCGGCGGTGCGTGGAGGACTTGAAGGGGATGAAGGAAAGCGTGTGGGGGCAGCAGCTCGATTGGTCATTGAAGGATGTCGGTATGTCTTACCGGAGCTTCATTACGAAGAAACGCTCATGTCTTGCAGTCTTATCGTCAACACCTGAAGCTAAATCCCCCAAAAGAGCTAAATCACCCAAGACAGCAGAGCATATCAATGGATCTTGGCCGAAATGGTACTGGGACCTCACCGGCCCAGCCCACCGCATTCCTCCCGGTCAACTCGACCTCACTTGCAAGAAGTCGGTCGCCCCACTGCTCCTCCGCCTACAATGGCAAGGTTTCCCGCTTTTCGCGAGCAAAGAGCATAAATGGCTATACCGCATGTCCAAGAGTGCTCTTCAGAAAGATCCTCTCGCAAAAGCTAGAGGCGAGCCTGTGGTATTCGGCGAGAAAGATGCCGATTTCGTGCACTTCCACGACCCCAATTATGTCTTTTTCCGGCTTCCGCATAAAGATGGCGAAGGCAATAACGTCGGCAACCCTCTCTCCAAGAATTTTGTAAAGCCCATCGAGTCTGGTGAGCTTGCTTCAGCAGCTGCAGGAAGTGAGGACGATGTTGCTGCGAGAGCCGCTACGGACGCGACCAACATGAACGCGTTCTGCAGCTATTGGATCAGTTCGAGGGAACGGATCATGGATCAGATGGTCATATACAGAGACGGGAAATTCGGCATGATCCTCCCTCAGGTCATTACGATGGGTACAGTCACTCGACGAGCTGTTGAAGCAACTTGGTTAACGGCCTCGAACGCCAAAAAGAACCGCGTTGGGTCAGAGCTCAAAGCCATGATCCGCGCTCCACCTGGCTACTCGATTGTCGGAGCCGATGTGGACTCGGAGGAGCTTTGGATCTCCAGTGTCATGGGCGACTCACAATTTGGAGTGCATGGTGCTACTGCCATAGGCTGGATGACCTTGGAAGGGACAAAGTCTGCTGGAACCGATCTCCATTCCAAGACTGCCAATATCCTGGGTATCTCCAGAGATGCTGCCAAAGTCTTCAACTACTCGCGTATCTATGGTGCTGGAAAGAAGCATGCTGTCCAACTGTTGCTGCAAGGCGACTCCAACCTCACCAAAGAGTCGGCTGGTCAACTGGCCGACAACCTGTACAAATCTACCAAAGGTGCCAAGGCGATGAGGTCAAAGCAGAAACTCCCGGCCGCCGTCCCATCTCTATGGCACGGGGGCTCCGAAAGCTACCTGTTCAACATTCTTGAAGCCATTGCTCTGAGTGAGAGGCCAGTGACACCTGCCCTCGGCTGCGGTGTCACTCGAGCTCTCCGAAAGTCATATCTGGAGGAAGGGTCTTCCTATCTTCCATCAAGAGTCAATTGGGTCGTACAATCATCAGGTGTCGATTATTTACATCTACTGATTGTTTCAATGGAGTATCTCCTCCACAAGTACGACATCAAAGCACGGTATCTCATTTCGGTGCATGACGAGGTTCGCTACCTTGCAAAGGAAGAAGATCGGTACCGTACCGCAATGGCTTTACAGATTGCCAACGCGTGGACTCGGGCCCTTTTCTGTTACAACTTGGGTATCGATGATATGCCGCAAGGGATCGCATTCTTTTCGGCAGTGGACGTAGACCATATCCTCCGGAAAGAGGTCTTCCTCACTTGCGAGACCCCGAGCCACAAGGAGAAGATTGCGCCCGGAGAATCTTTGGATATCAACCAGCTGCTTGAGAAGGTTGCTGGTGGTAGTCTCGGACCGGCAAAAGAGGATGATTTGGCCGTATCGGGCAATGCAAAGTCGCCAATCGCACTTTTTCCCAATATTCAATCCGACAATCATAGAAAGTTCCTCGAAGCTCAAGCAAACAGACGAGGGCATCTTGCAAGGGGCTGGCTGGACAGCCTCACTCCTATAGTACAGGCGACGGAAGGGGTAGCGAAGCGGCCCTGGAAGTGGGGTACGAAGAAACCTGTGTCAGTGAAGGGAGGGGCATCAGCCTAGGTCTTACCATCGTTACTGTTGTACTTGTACTGAAGGGATGTATCAGCACCGTTCTTCTCTTGCTCCCTAATGCCCATAAAGATTCATGCTTCTCAGGATGTGCTGCGACCGATTGGTGTCTTTGATGCAACTACATGCAATGTTGTGAACCTACTTCCTGCTGCTATACCGGGGCGTGCCTTGCCCAACCTTTCCGAAGATGTAGTCCAATCTGGGCACCGAGAGGACAATCTCCTGACCTTCAGCTTTGAAGTCGTCCTTCAGCTTGCGGAAATCAAGACTATAGGCGTAGCGATCGAGTGTCCACCTATAGGGAAGACCGTTGGGTTGAAGAACACGTAGTCTAACTGTCGTGGCGTTTTCTGTCACCGTGTTGAGTACCTATTTCCGAGCACAAACATGAAGTCACGTACCGTGATCCAGGAAATAGACACTGCAGTCCTTCGTTTCTACTTTTCTAGGTTTCATAGCAAACATAGTACCATCCAAGACCTGGTGCCCAACAGTGGTTATGCGCAGGGAGATGGGGCCATTGGGAGCGGATTGGACCTGAGTGAGGCGTGTGATGATTCTCCTGGCAAAAAGATGCGCCACGATGAGCGTGGCCGCAAAGCCGGTACCCAAAACCGCGTTCGCTGAAGGAAAGATGTATGAGCCAATTTTGACGCCATACTGGAAGAAAATGTTGCTACAAATCATCAGACCAGTCCGGATAGAGTGCTGGTTTGCTTACCTCTCGGCTGCTTTCGCTTCGAGTTCTGCTATCTCTTCGGGGGTAGGATCTCTCTTTTTCTTTGGGGGCATGATCACAAAGCTCATAATGATCAAGCCCATCACACAAGTGATCAAAGACAACATCCTTGGATTCATGTCGGGCGGCCGAGCAAACAGCGTCCGTTCCAGCTCAAATCCGTGTGGTGTATCGGCTTTGACCTGACGCCATGGCCAATTTGATACAGTCGGTTTGGAAGAGTCCTTGAAGACTGGACGCCGGGGGACAGGTCCTCTAGTGACCGCTCGGGGAGTGGGTTTTGCGGTGGTAGAGGAAGCTCGGGGTGCCAACTGTGGAAAGTGCCGCAGTGACAGAGAGCGACGAGGGAGGGAAAGTCCGAGGGATGCTAGAGCAGGCATATTGGCGACCAAGGACCAAGAGATCACAGCTTTTGTTGAATGCGAGCCGAGTGTGTAAAGCTGCTGGTATCTGCCCAACGCGATCTGCTTCAGGATCAAGATTTGGCAGAAACGAAACAAGTTAGGAACTGGTTAGAAACCCAAATTTCTACGTAATTACGCAGGCGGGGACCATCTGCTTCCGTGCCGAACCCAAGAGATGGAAAAGTCAAAGTGAAGCAAAAGTGAAGTGATGCATGCCGATTCAAGAAACATCGTAACGACCGCCATCCCCAGCAAAATGAGCAGAAGACACTCCCAATTTCGCCCCTGCATCGATCTTCACCAGGGCGTTGTCAAGCAGATCGTTGGCGGCACTCTTGATCTCACTTCTATATCAGGGGCTGGCCCTACAGAGAACTTTGTGGCTACGTGGGTTTTTTGACATAGAGTAGCTCATGTATGGCTGACAATTCGCACCAGTAAACCTACTTCCCATTTTGCCAATCTCTACCAGTCAAACAATCTGACTGGTGGACATATCATCAAGCTGGGACCGGGAAATGACGCCGCTGCTCAAGAAGCTTGCGAAACATGGCGAGGCGGTATGCAGGTCGGAGGCGGCATAAACGAAGACAATGCTCAAGAATGGCTAGACAAGGGTGCCTCTAAAGTAATTTTGATTTCGAGAAAATGGGTTCAAGCTGACACATTACGGCCAGGTCATTGTGACGAGCTACCTCTTCCCCAACGCCAAGTTCGATGAAGACCGTTTAAGTCGTCTTGCAAAGCAGGTCGGGAAAGACAATTTAGTCGTGGACATCAGGTATGTTTGAGAATCTCTGTCCAGTAGCTGTGCTGATCGCTCGCACTAGTTGTCGAAAACGAGGGGATGGTTGGGTGGTTGCCATGAACGGATGGAAGACGTTGACGGACATGTCTGTGACAAAAGGTGACTCGGTCTCTCTGGTGGTCGATCATGTGACTTTGCTGACCAGACTTACCTACCCAGAGAGTATCAAGATGGTTGAAAAATATTGCTCTGAACTTCTTATACACGCCGCAGACGTTGAGGGGCTTTGTCAGGGTATCGATGAAGAGCTTGTCAAGAGTAAGTGACTTGGTCCGGAGTTTTTGTACTTTGCTGACCCTGATAGGCCTTGGCGAGTGGGTCAACATACCATGTACTTACGCAGGCGGCGCAAAGGACATTTCTGATCTGGCGCTGGTTGACTCGTTGTCTAACGGTAAAGTCGACTTGACTTTCGGTTCCTCACTTGATATCTTTGGGGGAACAGGGGTCAAGTTCGATGAGCTTGTACAAGAAGACAAAAAAGCAAAGGACGCTTCTCTGTAAAGGTCAACATATGTATGAATGTAACCTAGAGCGTTCGGTCATGCAGATGCAGATGCACAATGCTATCAAAATTATGCTGATGTTTCTATGTGATTTTACTCCTGCGGCGCCTTTCTCTTCTTCGCCTTCTTCTTTCCCGAGCCTGTCGTACTCGAGGGCGTCCCCATGTCAGAGTCCATGTCCTTACTAGCACTCGCCAACAACGATCCCCGGGGACCGTGACCGTTCGCTTTCTTGGGAACGGGAGTCGACACGGAGCGGGATGGGGTGTTCTGGGCGCTCGAGATGTGTGATGGGAGGCCATTGCGTACAGGGTGAGGTTTGCGGAGAGCGGGTGTATTGGGCGCTCGGGGTGCTAGATAGAATGTCAGTATATCGAAGGGCAACAGTGGCGATGGAAACATACTGGAAGACAAGAGGTCTCGGAAAAACACTTCCAGCTCCTTCACATCCTCGTCCGCAACATCCTTCGCTTTCAAAATCTTAGTCTCATCTCTCTCCTCACGACTTTCGTCAACCTCAACCTCGTACACGATAGCATCTCCTTGCTCGACATTCTTCTCCTGTTTCTCTTCTCTAGGCGCCTGGTTACCACTCAAAAGCTCGTCCATAAAGGCGTCAAACAGCATGCTAGTAGGCGGCATAGTGTGGCTTGGTCCTTCAAATACGTCCGCAGGTCGCCCAAGATTATTGGCAACGCGTTGCTGAAGAGCAGTAGCGGTCGCCGTAGCAGGCTCTTCGAGCTCGGAATCTTGGAGGAAAGCGCCCTTGCCAAACATCTCCTGCCAGATGGAGAGACCGGTGAAGGTCTTGGCTTGGGAGACGTTCTTGATCGCAGTACGCGATGATGATGACACGAGGTCACCGAGACGGTAAATCTCGCCCGAAGGAGAGACGGACACAAGGTGCAGAGAGCTGACGGCTTCGGAGCCAGTAGCAGAAGGCAAGGCAAGGAGACGAGAGGATTGGTGGGAGATGTTGACTGTCCTGAGAGGGACGGCAGAAGTGGGGTCGAACACCCTGAACGACGTGCCGGCAGCGGAAGAAGCAGCAACGGTGAAGAAAGTGGAGGCGGTGGAAGGCACCAAGCTGGACACTGGCAAGCTGGGCAAGCTCCAAGAGACCTCGCAAGACAATAAGTCCCAAGAGACAAGTCCTTCTGTGGATCCAGCGCCAACCAACCACCTCCCTTCCTTTCCGACAAACTCGACTGTCCTCGCATCGACGCCCGCAGGGACGTCGAGCACCTTCAACAAGATATTGGACGCAATGTCCCACAGAGTGACAACCGAGCTGTGACACAGAGCAAGGATTGACGCATCGGCGGAGGAAGCAGATGAGATGATGGACAAGTTGCGGTAGTTAAATGTTGAACGACAAGACCAGTGCACTGAAATTGACGTTAGCGTTTGCAGCAGCACATCGTCAAAAGATCGCCGCGCATTGAGTCCTCAGAGATAAAGAAGAAGAGGGGTATCCTCAGTAATATTAGGACTGTTGAGCTTGTAAAGATTGCTCATCATAGGACGACGCGCGGCGTAACAAGAAGAAGACAACACTCACGTTCGAGAACTGGAGCCTTTTTAGTGGAGACCTTGCCTGTGACATACGAGTCAGCAACCGCACTTCAACGTCATCAAAACAATGTGAGAGGAAGAAGTGGTTTCAGTATTGCAGAATGTAGTCGCCATTATGTCCCGAAGAAAAGGGGTACGAATAAGGATGATGTAATGTATAAAGAGTCTCATCCGAATTTTTCACAGATAGGAAGAAAGTTATAGAAAATTGACTTACCTTGTTCACTTTTCTTGCTCTGCTTGACTTGCCAAATCTTGGCAACACCGTCGCCTGAAGTGGTGATCAAGTAGGGATGAGGACCTGAGACGGACTTGGAGGCGGTAGCCATAGCAGGTATAGAGGTGAAAGACATCGAAGTGATATCGGCCGTGCTGTGGGGCCTAGGGAACTGCGTGTTCACCATGTACCTCTCATCAACCCACTTCCAGATCTTCATAGTCTTGACCAAGCCACCGCCCTCTCCCTCATCACCCTTCCTGCCCTCCATCGTAGCCATCCACGTAGACTTGCCATCTTGCTCCTCAGTGAAAGTGACCTTTTCGACTCGGACAGGTTCGAGCTCTTTTTCGTCTCGCCTGCTGACGCGGTTTGAGGGTACGACTTCCAGGTCGAAGATGACAGTGGAAGCAATGGGGTCGATGAACTGGAGAGTAGATGGGTGGGAGGAAGGGACCACGAGAGCACGGGTGGCGGGGTGGACGGAGATAGGGTAAGAGACGTCGGGGGAGGAGGGGCGAAGGGGGTCAAGACGGATGCCTTGGCCGACGTTGGCGATAGAGCTCGTAGAGCCCCCGACACGGATGACAGAGCCATCGGCCAAAGACATCCACCACTCCTCCTCAGAAGTGCCAGTAGCACGTCGCACAGCAAGACTGATGATGGGGCGACCACCGAGACGAGGAATATACTCGCGTCTGCCAGAAGCGAGATGCCACTGGACGAGCACGGACTCCTCGCCGACGGACAGCAGCTGAGAGCCGGATGGAGTGAAGGCAATGGCAGCCACCGCGTGGGCATGCCAATGAAGGGAGGTCGTGGGGAGACGCTTCTCGGTCTCGGGCAACACGGCTTTGGAGGTATCGCCGATGCCGCCCAATGCAACGCGGGTGGCTGCGTCAACTTGAAGGAAAGCCTGAGTCAGACCATGCCACAATCGAATGACACCCTGCTGATCACCAGTGGCGAACCACTCCTCTTCCTTGGCAGAAGCGAGAGCCTTTTCGGGGCAGAAAGCACCACAAGTGAAAGGTTGGTCAGAGACAAACTTGACGCAAGTAGGGCGGTCTTGCCAGGGGTCAAAGGCTTTAGAGGAGACAGGCATGCGGTACGTGTATGCTTTGGTAGATGCCAGAGCGACAAGGTAGGTGTTTCGGGGGGACATCATGAGCGCGACGGGAGGGTTGGAGAGTTTCCCGAGGAGCACAGGACTAGTCTTGCCAGAAAGAGGCATTCGCAGAACCTTGTAGGCCAATTTGGATCCGCCTAGGAATGGTCAACGCTGTCGCTGACTCTGGTAGCACTATACTCACTGGAACTTGGCTTGGAGTGAGTCACTGCAGCGAATAGCCACCACTTGCCGGCGACCTGTCCGAAAGTGACATGCTCGACCTTGGAACTAGGCTCCTGGATCTCGATTGTCCTCACAAGACGGCCTGTTATCCAATCCCAAACCTTTACAGTACCATCCAAAGAAGATGAAATTGCTTGGAAGGGATTTATAGGAGACAGATGAAGGGATGTGATGGCCTTGGTATGACCTTTGGCATGAGTTGAGGAGAGCGTTGACAGACGTGTAAAGTCTGGCGCTACTGATGAGTGCACGTGAATGGACGTGTGGACCACAGACAAGTAAAATCTGTTCAAGTCAGTCACTGAAAAGCGTGAATACAAAGTCGACTCACCTGCCATCGGTGGACCAGACTAGAGGCACACGAGACACCTCATTTTGGGCGACAGGTATAGGGTCCCATGTCTCCTCATCCCCTGTCCGTCTCAAAGCAGAAGCAGAAGACTCGGCATGTTGCTGAGCAGAAGCACCCTCATGAATGGGACCTCCATTGGGCACCTGCCTCTTTCTCCTCTTCTTACCGGCCTTGCCGTCTGCACCAGGTGTTGTCGCTGTAGGGACTTCGACGGCCCTCTCCTTGCCTTTTGCGCTGGGTGTCGCCAGCCCCGCCTCGGCCAGCTCCTTCCTATGCTTGTGCCTATGCCTCTCCGCCCGAGGCTTAGGGGTAGTTTGGGTATTTTGCGCCATAGTAGACGGCGATGATGAGATGTAAGAGGAGAGAGGCGCCGAAAGATTTTTGGCTGAGCGAAAAAAACTCCCAGCGAAATCTAAAGTGGGGGGTGAATGCCATTTCACTGGATGGCTGAGTTGAGCTGATGCTTGCCTTTTGGGTTTGGACGGCTCATTCAGGCATGGAGCTGTGGCTTCTGGACGTAGTGCACGGAGGTGTATATACAATCAAGTGCAGTCCACATGCAGCATAACAGATAGAAAAGTGAGCGGTAGAGCATGCCCAGGGCAAGGAAAAGGAAAGCAGACGTTCAAGTATACATATCTCCAAAGCCCAGTGTACAAAATGACAGTTCGAATATAATGTCCCCACTTTCTCATCACTATGACTCGTCCATCCTGTCATCATCCTCCACAGCAAATCCTCTTTCTCGCAGCGTCTCGTCCACGACGGCCTTGACATCGACATCCTCTTCCTTGACATAGTTGTCGTTGCTGCGGTCTCACGTCAGAAAGAGTTGGGTAGCATGGACAGATTGATGCTCACCGCAGACTTGAGCTGTAAGAGTCGTTGACAGTGTTCAACAGATCTCTCAAATTGGCGAGCGCTCTCCGTAAACAGTCGACGGCTGATTGACCGTCTGTGTATTCCGTCAGTTATCAATAAGTATTGGCAGCCTAGAATATCTAACTCACCGTACATCTGGATACGAAGGTGGATTTTGGGTTCTGAGGGGTGGGGAGCGGTGTAACCACAGAACTCGACCTCAGGGCTACAATGCAAGTCAGACCTCTCCGGCATGACAAAGATACCACATACTCTTTCATGATGATCCATCGCAGAGAGTTGCCCAAGGTGTGGTCCTCTTGCCAAAGAGCAAAAGTACAGGCGGAATAGTCGGGTTCATGTCCTGGTAACTGAACCAAAGCGGTCAGTATATTAGACCCGTCCACATCGAGCAGAGTCTCACTATAGTGATCTTCTCGTGGACGGCGTTGGTAGAGACGGATTGAAGGAGGGTGCTGGGGTTGTCGAGCTTGGAGGTGGATTGTGTGTCGGCCATTGCGAGGGATAGTAGCGAATTGGTTGTGCAAGGTACTCGATATGTGGTTCGAGCCAATTCTTCCCAAAATCTCGGCGGAAGCAAAAGTGTAGGTCTGCAAAATTCACACGGTGCACGCGTGCCTGAGCTGATCGGCCGCCGAAAGGCGGTTCCGGTATTCAAAAGTCTATTGTTCTCTGCCTTTTGTTATTTCGCGATCAGCTCTCAGGGGCAGGGGCAGCTTGCGGCATGAACCTGAATTGCCCCGCCCAGAAGACAATGGCCCCCTTCACCAGCTCGTCACATCCCTTTGCTCGTCCTTGAGCATCCACGCAAGAACAATTGGAAGGTGCGCTGGCCTCCACATTACGAAACAGGTGCCCCTGTCCACTCTCTCCTCTGATGCCTTATTCCACGAACAATAAAGAATACGACCAGTTGATGAGACGAATAGTCTGTGCGTATACATTCTCTTTCATTGTCCAAGAAGGGGCAATACGTGATTCCTATTGTGCAGAGAGCATGCGGTTTGAAGCACAGCACTCTTATTGTTCATTGTTCAGCGCACATATAATGAGTCTTCCCGCTGGGGCCAATCTATCTCCATCCCACACTTGCTTGCACCCCTGTACGGTATCTTCACTACACTGTCCCTATACGCTATTAGATAGACGTTCGCCCATTTTATACCACCCTGCAAAATGTCCCCCGCCAAAAGGTCACTCCACTCCAACCACCTTGCCACGCCTCCTCGTGACATTTCGCCCACCCCCTCTCTCGACTCGGCAAAGAGCGACGTTATCCTCACTCCTGCTCAAAATGCCTCTGGCGGCTCTCCTTTGGTACGATCGCCCTCTGCCGATACGGTGGTCAGTGGCGACCTGCATGCCGACTCTCGTCAGATCGAGGAGCCCCTCAAAGCTCACAAGAAGCCCCACTTCTGGCGCTTGACGCCTTCGCCTTCGCCTTCTAGAACACTCGTCAGCCTTGCTGAGAGGCTCGAAGGGCAAGACATAGACATGGAAGATGCCCAGGTGAGTCACCCATCCTTTTTTACAACATGGCACTGACTTTTTATCTAGCCTCCATCTCCTGAGCAGACTCCTCCCCCTCTTCCCAAGCCTGTTGAGCTGGAGGATTCGTCAAAGCCTTCTGTCGAGTCCCGAGCATCTCTGTAAGTCACCGCTTCTGTTGTCCATGCGCACGTCGCAACTAACACAACGACCAGACCCACTGTCGACCCCCGCTTAAAGCTCTATCCGTTTGTCCTTCCCCCTGGACTCTGGGTCACCAAGTCCCAGCCCGACGCCAGCGGTGTTGAGCATGAGACGCGTCCTCTGCTCCCTCTCAAGCCTGTCGCCTCTTCCTCCCCTGTCGACCCCTGCACCCCCGCCTCCCCATCTTCCCGTGTCCTCCAAGACCCCTCCCTGTCGACCAATCACTCCACCTTCCACATCCCCTCCCCGCTTCTCAAACACTCCCCCACTGCCTCCTTACACCTCTCTTCCACTGCACCCTATCCAGGAGAGTCGGAAAAGCAAGGCCAACTCGTTTGGCTCGATCTCAAAACTGCCTACCATCTTCGCCGTGGCGGCTGTATCACAGTGCGCAACTTTGAGGGAAGGGCGAAAACCGTTTTCGGGCCGGTCTTGGCCAAAAAGGCGCTGGGGAGAAGAGTGATTGTGAAACGAGAGGCCATCGGATTGGGACATCTTGGAGCTATGCAGGCTAGGCGCAGGTCGGCGAGCGGGAGGGAAGCGGCGCAGAGGGAAGCCGTCTTCCGGGCTTTGATGCCTGCCAATCCAAAAGGGCAACGAGGACCGAGGGGACCTAGGAAAAGGGCGTCCGTCAAGGTCTGAATTCAGTGACGACTTTTTCTTTCTTTCGCTTGTGGCTTTTCTGCTTTCGTTCACTCTGGCTTTCTGGCGTTCGACTTTGTATATATGTCATAATGAAGATCCATAAACACAAGATACCCTCACCATATACCACAGGTACAGTAGTATACCCCCTTCACGTAGCTGATGACAGCACGGCATGTAACGCCCTTCTAACCACTTCTAGTGCTGAGCAGGTCCGCGTCTCTTAGTCTTGGGGAACTTGACAGGCGCAACCATGACCGCTCGACGCATTTGCCCCGCTTCAGCAAGGGTGATGCCTTGAGCTTGACGCTCGGCTGGTGTAGCGAGCTTGACGTTGCAACCGAGCTGCTTGTAGTACGTCGCAACCCTATATTGCCACATCAGCGCTGGCCAAACTGAAGGACGTAAAGCTCACTTAGCGGGCTCCATCTTCAAATCCTTCGCAATCCTCCCAACCTCCACCGAGTACCCATCCAATGTGAGATAGAGCAGACAGATCCAAGACAACAGCTTGGCTTTGGTCTTTTCTGTGACGGCGTGCTTCCTGCCAGATTGTTCGGAGAAGCGGGTGATGAGGCCGTCGAGGATTTGTTGCGGCACGCCAGGGAACTTGGAGGTGAGCTCGGCAGCAGCGGTTTTGGAGAGACGAGGGGCAAAGTCGAGGAACTGAAGAAGGCAGGAAAGGTAGTAGAGGTATTTCCTGATAGATGTCAGCAGTAACCAGGACGGATACGATCTGTACATACATTTGCGTCTTCTTGGTGGCCTTGTCTTTGATGTTGTACACCAACCGACACTTGTTCTGCACCCAGAAACTTCTCCTCGAGGGCAAGTACCCAATCCTCTCCTTGTCGTCCTCAGTATGCAACATCTGAGAGACATCAATAGATGACCACTCTTGGTTGGGAATGACGGCCTCCCTCGGGTACACCTCTGAAGGATCATTCGTTTCAAGATTGGGCGTAGGGATAATGTCACTCGGCGCAGTGACCTCCTCCTCTTTCTGCAGCTCTCCAATCGTCTCCATCAGATGCCCCTTGGCATCCTGCATAGCATCGGCGTTGACCTTGTTTCTCTCCTCGCTCTTGATCTGTGCCTTGGCCTTTCGGGTACCGAATGCTTCACCAAGGTCGTTGCGTTCCTGTCGCCATTGAGCCTTGGCAGCTTGGGCGGGCGGGGCAGAGACGGGGGCGGTACGGAGGCGCTTGACTCGGTGGGCGAAGAGGTAGAGAGGGGTAGAGGGGTGGACGTGGAGAGTTTTGGTGGAGGGGTCGTAGACGGCGGGAAGATATCTGCACCACATCAGTAGGATTATCCCCTTCATAAGTCTCATACTCACTGGCAGTCTGAACCCTCAGTGTTGGTCTGCCTGTCTCGGTTGGTACTGAAGAATTCGACATCCTCCGTCTCACCGGCTACGAGAGTATGCTGTTGAGAAAAGTCGGCCCTGGATCCTGGATCTCTGGTGTAGACACCGAATGCAGTGTTCTTTGAGGGCCTGACAGAGGGAAAGTTGGCTGCAGGGCGTCAGGTATTGTCGGGCTGTTGGAGGAAGCGCTCACCGAAGGACGGGGCGACGCCGGTGGTGCCCTCTGCGACGTCGACGGTGATCTCGCGGTGGGCGGCGGTGGACTTGCGCTTGGCGGCCTTCTTGTGTTGGGAGGAGGCCATGCTGTGTGGTGCAGAATGCCTCTTCGACAAGATCAGATGTTATGACACCTCGCAAAATTCTGAGGCGGCACCCGCCGAAAGTCAACACTTGACCGGACTTGTCAACAAACGAACGTCAATAATCACCTCCATCTCTGGTATTCTCGCCTTCACATCACATCTTGGTTTGTCTTGGACTCGTGATACCTCCCGATACATCTTGATTCGCAATGGGGGTGCACGGCCTATGGGATGTAAGTAGTGCCGTCACAGACAACGACGCCGCTGACTTGTTGTGGTACAGCTCTTGAGGCCAGCAGCAGCAGCAACATCGTTATCAACACTCTCAAGAGATGCTTTCCTCTCAAACAAGAATGGTCTCAGAGCACTTACTGTTGGTATAGACGCTTCGTGAGTGTGTTACAGCATCCATTCTAGCATGTCTTACCCAATGCCGATCGCAGTATCTGGATCTTTCACGCCCAAGTGGTGCTGCAAGGAGAGAATCCATTCTTGAGGACGATATTCATGAAGATCACAGCCCTTCTCCGGCATCCCGTGATTCCAGTCTTTGTCTTTGGTAAGTCTACAAGTCGGGCTGCACGATCGCTAACATCGATCAGATGGCCCAAACAAGCCCAATGTCAAGAGAAATCAGAGAGTGACAGGAAACTTTGGTACCCATGACAATCGAAGTCGGCAGTTCAAAGCTCTCCTTGATTCATGTGGGCTGGAATGGTGGAATGTGAGTGCTGTTGTAGGATTATCTCAACAAGTGCTGACCAGAGTAGGCACCGGGCGAGGCAGAGGCAGAACTGGCTGTTATGAATCGACAGGGCAAGATCGACGCCATCTTGTCTGATGACGCCGATGCTCTTCTTTTCGGCGCGACTTGTCTCTTAAGAAAGTGGGTCCTTTGACGGTCTATTGGGGCGTATGACTGATGAGCACCTAGTCCTTCTGCTACTCTGTCAGGCGCTCAAGCTTCAAAGACCAACCAGGGCAATGCCTCTTCCAGCCATCAACGTCAATATGAAGTATACACATCGTCTGCCATCAAACACATGTGGTCTGCCAAAGAAGGGACGCAGTTGAAAACGGAAGAAGATTGTCGGTTGGCTATGGTGTTGGTCGCATTGCTCAGCGGGGGTGATTATACACCAGAAGGAACTTTTAGTATCGGTAAGTCTTGTGTAGGCTGAATTACCTCCTATCTGACAACACCAGGACCTACAATCTCCCACGGTCTCGCTAGCGCTGGTATATCATCCAAGCTCAACGACTATATCCACAACAAATCCTCCTTCCAAGACGCCCTCCCCGACATCCAGCTCGAAATCATCCAAGAGCTCCGCACAAATGCCACCAAGCAAGTCGGCCGTCGCTATCCCGACCGTGCCAACAAGATCTCCGCCATCACTCCTGAAGAGCTCTTCCCACCTGCAACGCTGGAAGCCTATCTGAATCCATGTACCAGCCCACGTGATGATAAGTCTAAAGGTTGGCCCGGCTTTGGCCAGGGATCGGCTTCGGGCATACGAGGCAAGGGAAGGAATGAAGGCAGAGGCGATATGGAAGGCTTTGCTTCTGCCTGTGAAAATTATTTCGAATGGGGTACCAAGGACCTCGTTTGTAAGAAATTCGGCGGAGAGAGTCTGGGCGTATTTGGGTCGCAGATCATGAACTCGGCTCGGGAGGCTGTTCGAGCGAGGGATGCTTTCAAGCGGGCCAATGGCTCCAATGAGACACCGACGAGACTTACTTCGTACTTTCAACAATCCGTCCCCGGTTCTTCCTCTCGGAGCAAAGGCGGCGAGACATCTCAGTCTGTACCTCCATCCCAACCACCATCCCGAAACCCTCCTCCCCACATCCTTGCTATCCACTCCGCCCACCCCGATCCCACCAACAAAAACCTCTTTGAATATCGCATATCTTTCCACCATGCTGCTTTGGCCGAGCGGTGTACAGAGGCCATGATAGGTACCAGGATGGACCCAGGACAGCTACCGGAGGAAGAGAGGGAGAGACTGGGTCTTGTGGGGAGGAAGGAGCAGGATGAGGAGGGGCTCCCTGCTACCCAAGGAGCGGCTGCGGCAAAGACGGAGACAAGGGTGTGGGTACCAGAGTATCTGGTGAAGGAAGCATGGCCGGGGATGGTGCAAGAGTATGAAGACAAGCTCGCGGCCAAGAACAAGCCAAAGAAGAAGGGCAAAGCCGTGCCCCCAAAGAAGGTAGTGGAGAAGGAGAAGCCAAAGCCAAAGAGTAAGAAGGTGGTGTTGGAAGCCAATGAGGAAGATACGGGCGCATTCACGTCATTCTTCAGCAGTCAGCCCATACCGCCGTCGGATCCGGTGCAAGAGGATGAGGATTGGGACGCGCTTTTCAGGATGAGTGATGAAGAGCCCGTGGTGAACCGGCCTGCTGTGGTACCCAAGCGTGCCCAGGTCGTTGGGGAGGTGATAAATCTCTGTCTCTCTCCCTCGCCGCCTCCAGTTCCCACTGCGGAAAGTAAGAAGCGGCTCGCGCGATCCCCGCTCGCCTCTTCTCAATCCAGTGCGCTGTCTGGAGGTGAAAAGAGTGAATCCTCCGTCCGCACAGTCAGGCGTGCTCGAAAGAAGAGGTCTCCTGTACCAGCCTCACCGAGCCGGAGCTCGCCCGTCCCTACCTCAGCCGACCAGACTCTCCCCACGGCCTCCAACGCACCTCGCTTCTCTGCTCGCCAATGGGGCCAAAAGGCCGTATCTTCCCCAGCAGTCTTCACTGCCCGGCCGGCGGCGTCTCTCGGGGTGATCGACCTTTGTAATACATCATCGGATGAGGATGAGGTGGTGCCACCTCCAAGGCGACGGGCTGTGCGAGCTTCAAAAGGTCTCGCCGCCGAGTCGGGGGTCCTGACCAGCTCTCAACGCCCCAACGCTCCCTCTCCGAGAATGACGCGCTCTTCCTCTGTATCCCTTCCCGCAGCGGAAAAGAGCACTACCAGGCCCCCAAAGATGGCCAAAGGAGGTTCCATCTTGAACCACCCTCTCTTCTCTGCCGTCAGCGTCATGTCACCTCCACCGCCGAGTCCTGCGGGCAAGGGGCAGACACAAGCTTCATCAGAGTCTACGTCCGGGCTGGGGTCTCCCAAGGCGAAGGGGAAAGAAAGGAGCGGCTCCCCCACTTTGCACCCGAGACGGCCAATGTACAGGATGATCAGCGAGACGGAAGAAGGCGAGGTGATTGATTGTACGAGGAGGAGAAGGTCGTAGGGCGGCGTTGTGCATTGTCATTGTATCCTGAGCGACGCATCTTTTTACGAAACCCTTAATGATTGTCCTCTCCATAAAGTCATGTATGCTTGTCGAGCGGTATGCAGTGGCATATCACAGTCTGGCAGGAGTGAAGCTATCCAAGGGCAGAGGGACATGTTGGCAGAGGCCGCCTACCTGGGCACTGCCTGTATACGCTCGGGCTGTGAGTCCCTCAGATTGCACTGTCCTGTATGTGAACCGCTCACTGTGACCAGCTAATAGGGGACATGCTATGACAGTACATCATGGGCCCTACTTGTGTATATGTCCATGTTTCAAGGCATCGCACAGTCACGGGTAGCCACATGGCTCGCCTTCAAATCTCCTCGGTATATATCAAAGGCCGGAGTTGAGCTTAAGGCCGGCTTTGACGTAAGTGGCCAAAAAGCAGACTACGAAATCGTTCAGCCTCCTTCTGATTATGGCTTCTGATCCAGACACCTACAGTTGCAGCCCCAATACACGACTGACCGGAAGTATGACTTCTTCTGCTCGGTGACGTTGAGATACAGCCAGACTGTGGAGTGATCAATTTGGCTTCTCCGAGCCAGGCAGGTTACCTACTGTACAAGCATCGAAGGCTAAAGTAGGTGATGGACATGGCGTTCATCCATGTGGTGGACAAGCCAACCGTGTTACCAGCAACCTACCAGCATCAGCTACTGCATTCCCACCGAAACGCGGACTAGACCTACGACAGCGCCGATAAAAGAACCCATGTTCTCGAAACAGTTCTCGTGAGCTGCCTGCCTGCGCTTGAGCTTGGCTATGGTGTGGGGCTTGACCTTGCCAGACTTTTCCATCTCGCTGATGACCTCGCGCGGGGCGACATTGTTGGGGAAGCCGAGGCGGATGGTAGCACCTCTGAGGGAGGCGAAGAGAGTCTGGAGGTGGACGAGGGGGATGGCGTAGTAGGAGAGATTGACCGTCATTGTGGTTGCAGCTGAAAAGTGTCGCGTGCACCCACAAGCAGCCAACAAGAGACCCAAAGAAGAGCGGGACCTTTTTGGTTGATGGTGACGCACGATCGACAGCAGTCGGAGGGTTGTCACCAGACACGTGGATCTGGGCCCAGAGTGGAGGTTAAACATTTATCTATTGGGGTCTCGAAGTTCCTATCATCATAATACAGCTGACGGCGAAATGCACCATCAATAGCCCGCCACAGGCCACATTCTCCCCAACATCCATTCACTGTCAGTCACTACTCATATCAGCAGATTCCTACAGGTCATGGTGACATTCAGCCTCTTTTGATGGCTGACCATATCCTTCATTCCTCCTAGTGTCGGAAATGTCATGATTCAACCGGCGAAATCATGACTGTTGGTATATAGGCATGATTCTCTAACTACTGGTGTCTTCAATTGTACACTTCCATCACTAAAATACAATGTCAGACGGCCAATCTCAACCAGACCAAGATTACTCTTGGGTCGAAGATGTAAGTACCACCGCCATCCCTTCCTCTGCCCGTCAAGGCCAATTCCTTCTATGAGTACACACTCTAGACGCGTTTCTTGACCAGATCCATTTAGGCTACAATTTGCTGACCCTGTCCTCGAGATCGATGACCTCACCGCTGCCCCGGCTACCGAATACCTAGGATCCCAGCCGGGTGAAGCAGCTTCCAAGCCCAGCACTACCGTCCCGCAATCTCTTCCAGAGGATGAAAGTGTCAAAGGTGACTTGCAATCTATTGTAGATGACGAGGGGGAAGGAAATTAGATGACCTGGTGCCTACTGGGGCGAGGAAAAGAGTATGTCCTCCCGGCTTTTGCAGATCCCATGCATGGTAATCAGCTGTCCCAAGGTTTGGATCAACAACCTGAGATGCAAGTATCAGGTATCGGGACGTTGCAGAGCCCTGTTGCAGAAGTCACAGAGGTATACAAATGCTTATGTTCATGTGTAAAACGATTATGTAGTGATGTATGACAGCTGCGAATAAAACTCTATGATGACAGCATGATTGTGTAGTTCTATGTATACCACAGAAAAAAGGATCCGAAAGAAAGCTGAAAGTTCAATACACATCCCAAGAAGACACCGCCATAATATGTGTACAACCTTCCCCTCGGACACGCGCTCCCTACTCCTTCTTTCCCACATCCTTCGCCAGTCCGACTCCCCTCAACGTCACAATCGCCAAGATCGCACTCAACCAGCAAAAACCGCTCATCAACCAGAACGAGTCTTGCAACCCCTTGAGCAAGCCGTGCTTCTCGGCAATCTCGGATTGGGTGAGCGAGGCGACGGTGATGCCGACTGTACTGGCGATTTGGAGGGATGTTTGGAAGAGAGCACCGGCGAGGGACTGTTCGTCTTCGTCGACAAGGTTGGACATGAGGACACTTCCGATGCCGACGGTAAGGTCTGCTCCTGCAAGTGGGTCAGCATAGGCACCAGGGAAAGATGGAGATAACATACCGGGAGGGTCAAAGACGGTAGACAAGAATGGGGTAGACCACCAAATAGTCGAGTCCTGCGTGACCGCAAAAAGCACAGTGGCGATACCCGTCGAGATACTACCCATCATAAGAAGCACCGGTGCTCTCACCCTTGGCGCCAGCAACGGCACTAGCACACACGCTCCCACTCCAAAGATCGGGGCGGGAATAATATGCACGGCATTCATGATAGGCGTGTCGTGCTTGAAGTTTTGGAACCAGATGGTGGTAAGGTAAAGCCAGCCAGAGATGGGAATGTAGGCGAAGAAGGCGACGACGAGGATGGCCGTTACTTTCCAGTTCTGGCGGGTGAAGATAGAGAGGTGGGTGAGAGGTGGGGTGGTGGAGTTATTGGCGAGCCAGTGCTCCCAGAAGCCATAGACGACAATAAGGAGGAGGCCAATGACGAACACCACGGGGATGTCTGAAAGACGTCAGCTGATGCTTGAGTGGTGTACGATAGGAGCTTACAGGGATCAGACCAGCCCTTGACAGCGACACCACTCTGGGTCAAAGCGAAACTGAATAGGCTCAAACCGGCAGTCACAAGGAAGGCGCCGACCCAGTCGATCTTGCGATTGGTGACACTGCTTCTCCTGGCAGGTTCGGCGGGGATGAGGAAGACACCACCGATCAATGACGGAAGCGCAAGTCCGGCGTCAACGAAAAAGACGTATTGCCATCCTCGGCTGCTGACCCCAGAGATGGCTGAGCAGCATGTCAGCGGATGTCGTGTCTAGCCGGAGTATGACTCACCACCTCCAATGACGAGGCCGACGGCAGCAGCCACAGGGTAGCCAAGAGCGAGAGCAGCAAAGCCAATCGTCCTCCTGGGTTCGGTAGTAAAGTTGACACCCAGGATACCGAAAGCAGCCGGAAGGGAAATGGAGATGGAAAGACCAGCAAGAGCGCGGAGAACACAAACACCGATGTAGCTCTGTGACGTGATCAATATATGGTACAAAGCTGAACGATGCAGCACTCACTCTGACCACGCCAGAGATGACATTTATGACCAGGAAGGCGGCCATGCCCACAAGAAAAAGCATCTTTCTTCCATAGATGTCGGCAAAACGGCCGCTCACCAGGAGACCTACACCGTTTGCAAGAGAGTATGCCGAACTAGGAGCTGTCAGCGGAATAGGCGAGGTGAAACAAGATGATGAAAACTTACGACACCCATTGAGCTTCAAGCTCAGTGACGCCGAGATCAGCAGCTGTGCTGGGGATACAGAGAAGAGAGGAAGACAAGGTAGCAGACTATGCGTCTCATCAGCGGCTGCTGCCATGAAGCGGTTGAAATTGACTCACAGCAACGAACGTGGTAGACATCATGACGGCTCCGAGCAAAACTGCCTTGCGCGTCGACATCTCGACCTTCTCAGGGACGACATAGTCTACGCTGGGAAGGTACTGCTCTGCAGGGGTCTGTTGGACAGACTCGATGTCCTTCTCCTCCTTCATCTCCTTCTCATCGTCGACAGTTCTCTCAGAGAGCCTGCTGGTGTGACGCGAGAGAGCCGAGGGAAAGACGAAGGGGCGGTCTTCGGTCGCGGCTGGGGTATTTGCAGCGGTGCTCGAAGCCGATGGGAGGTTAGCGTACTTGTCGCTGAGGGGGACGTGGCCCGTCATGGTGAAAGGGCTGTGAAGTGGAGAAAGAGGCAGTGGGGGCTTGCGTTATATAGGCTCTCCCCGCCCTTATAACGTGCAAAAAGCTGCCTTGGTGGTTAAATTTTGGCAGCATGCCGATAAGAAACTGGAGTGGCAAATATGCGGAGGATTTGACGACATCTATGGCAGTCTCGACTCTCGGGTAGTGGCCGCTCAAAGGCCGCTGCGGGTGGGCTATGGATGCGATGGACTGTGTGCGCATCCCACCACGCGCTCCTGATGCTCCTGAATTGTCCATTGCGCTCCGGAAAGCTTGAACCACTCTGGGCGGTGGATGAGCAGAATACGCCCAGGTTTATCGGTTCAACAGAACGAAAAGTTGACCAGGTCCCTCCGATCCGGACACGTGCACGTCATCACTTCTGGAACCAGCTCCACCCATCGATAACGCATCAGCCTATACTCCAGCACGATCGACCGTATGCACAGACAGGTCAGCGGGGCACTCGGCATGTTCTCCACGTGCCGCCCCCATCTGCACTCCAGAGCAGTCTCGTGGGCCACGTTGAGTCAGGATGTCTCTTGGCGACGTGACAGAATCGTCGTACTTCTGGCTGTACTAGAGCCGGCGAGCACACTCACGCACATGTTTGATGGATCCATTCGTATCGTATCTGCATACTCTACAACATGTGGCGGCTCTCAATCTTCGCCGTTCAGAGCGGCTTCTGCCTCTTCTTCCGATATCTTGCTTACACTCTGGCCGGCCTTTTCAAACTCTGAACCACCCGTCAGCAGGTTCTGTCGTGATATGCGACGACACTTACCTTGCCAAAAGTTTGGATGCTTGAACCCTGCCCCCTTGACGACCTTTTCCAGAGACTCGACATATCTGAACAACCCGTCAGTCAAGACCGACCCGCAAAAGGCATAGCTTACTCATTATACGTCTCCACCTCCTCATATCCCAGCGCCGTCTCCCTCATCAACGCCAAACACTCGATCGCCACGGGAAAAGCCTGTCTCGAGAAACTCGCTGCCACATTCTCCCGGACCACCTCGCCCATGTCCTGGATCGCCTTCCGAAACACATCACCTTCCTTGATCACGCGCCTGAAATCGGCTATTGGCGATCCATTGCTGATGATCCTTCCCGGCTTTGATTTGCCTTGAAGAGTCGGCTCGGAAGTCGGCACTGTAGGTTTTGGCTGAGAAGCAGTTTGCGCCCCAGGTTGGGAATCAGCCTTGGGCTGAGAGATCGGTTCAGGCTTGGTAGTCGCTCCAGCTTGCTCGCCATTCTCCAGAAGGGCGTCGTCGTCAATGCTAGACAATGTTAGCGGGCACGCCGTTTGGCCTGCAACATTGACTCACTATCCCTCACCCTCGCCCAGCTCCTGCTTCTGGTTCTTCTTCTTCTTCATCTTTGGCGGCACCTTTCGAATAGCCAATAGCTCTTTCAACCTTTCCGTCACGTCTTCCACCTTCTTTCCCACTTCGGCTGGGGTATTAAAGTACTTGACGATTTCGGGATGAGGTGCGCCCAGGGGGTCTTGGTCGAGGTCGGCGGTCAGAGAGGCGTGAAAGATGGCTTCATTGACACGGTGGATGCTCGGGTTGACCGCTTCCTCTGGGTTGAACCAAGTGGGCGCCCTTTGTATCGTCAGCGACTCCTCATCCCATTCAAAGATTATGCTCACTTCTTTTCAACATCCCCCATGTCTTCATCTTCATCTCCCCCACGCTGCCGCAAAGCCAAAGCATGCTGATCCTTTGCATACTCATCAAGGTCCATTCCCTTCACCAACTCGTCCATCAAATCACACTGCTCTTCTGTGGGTAAGAGCGGGTGCTTTTCAATCACTTTGCCCTGACTCGTCTTGTAGGTGGTGAGGGACGGAAAGCCGAAGATATGCACGTCCTCTGCGAAAGGCAGCTGCGCGGCGATGAGCAAACATTTCCCCAGAGTATATGCCGACTCACTCTCGCCCAGTACATGTAATCCAAAACCCTCTCTCCATCCAGATGCTCAACCTTAGGCCACGCCGCCCCAATCATCGGCTCACTCTTGTCTCCATTCACCCACCTCACAATCGCACAGCTCTTCCTTTCAACCAACGCTTCGACCAGGGCGGAGAATTGGATTTGCGCTTTGGGCTTGGTGATCTCTGGCCAGATGTATTTGACTTCATTCATGAGGTCTTGTTGTTTGATCTTTGCAAGGTCAGTTGGATGTCACAAGAGTTTGGTAAGACGTACGTTGGCAGTGGGGACGAAACCGAGGACATATATGCCCTTTTTGACGGCAAGAGGCATAATGTCTCCTTTCGAAGTCGGGATCCATGTCGACCCGAATTTCCACGCCTGACTAATCTCCTCCTCCGGCACGTACTCTTCCTCTTCTTCCTCTTCCTCCTCCTCCTGATCAACATCCAACGTTTGAGTCTGATTGGGGTCTTTCTCCTCCTTTTTGAGGAGATAAGTAGTATGTCGACTGATGGTAGAAGAGACCATACCCGACATCTCTTCAAAGCTCGGCGGCTGCCTCCCCTCCTCCTCAGCTTTCGCAATGATCCCCGCAAACAGCCTATTATTGGACAATTTCGGCGTATCCTTTGCCCGCAGAGGAGCTTGCAAATCCATCGCTGGCTTCCACGCTTTCGAAAATTTCGGGGCAGTCGCCTTGGCGGTCGCTTTCGTCGTCTTGACGGGAATGATGATGGCTTGCGCAGGGTCGATATCTTGGTCGCCAATGTATATGTCCAGACCGAGTGCTGAACCTGCAGTCAATTGGGGATGAGGGCGGCGTGCGTCGTCGAGAGCGTCGTCGAGTGAGTGGATAGAGGGGTAGAGGTCGGTGATACCCTTCTTGGAGTGGGTTTCTTGTAGGCTATCGACAAACATGCGCCAGACCTTTTCGGACAGTCTCTGCAGACGCATTTAGCAAGGAGCAAGAAGCATTAAAGAAGCGACGCACCTTGTTCCGGGACTTGGATTTGTCCACCTTTGCGGGGGGCACGTCAAAGTCGACACCGCTGTAGACCGTGTGAGCCCGGCATACGACGTAGAAAAGTTCAGAGACGTACACGATGGTCAATTTGATGTCCAGGAGCTTGGCATTTTCAACAGCCGAGTCGTACAGATCATGGTCAAAGCTGGATTCGCCTGGGGGGCAGTTGTATTAGAAAGGGTCAGAAGGGGTCTCGGAGAGAACTTGCCGTCAGTAACGATAGTGATTTCGTGTTGCCACGCCGCAGTCAGCTTCTCTGACGATCTAACCATGTCCATGGCCACATGCACAGCCGCCAGCGCTGGAAAATTCTACATCAGTCCCATACTCGCCGGGAGGGTCAGGGGAGACTTACGATTGCCCTCATGATCACCAACGTCAAGGTTCATCAACACCTCCAGACATTTTGGCTTGGCGGTCTGACAGGCCACTTCACAGGCAACACCTTCGAAGGCGTTCTTCTCGTTATATGTACCTGCACGTTGTAAGCGCATGTGCGCAATCCCGCTCGAGAAGGAACTCACGTCCGCCACAAGTTACAAGTCCAACAAGCTCCGTCTTTCTTTTGCTCAAAACCTGTTGCCAGGTTAGCAAATGTTCGACAACAGCTCACAGCCTACTCACCTTTTCTTGCCATCTCCGAGCGATATACTCTTTGGCAAGAGTCAGTTTGGGGACCTTGCCGCTCCCGATAGGATCAGCCTTGAGCTCGCCCATAGACGGGGAGACGTCGAGGACGAAGAATGTGCCGCTGTATCCGGACCTCGCTGCCATTTTGAATTGACTCTCCGAGGTGTTGGGCAGTGTCAAGGCTGGACGGGCTGCCCTTGACTGTGCGAAAGTGCTTTCCACCCGCCTCTGCCGCCGTCAAGCGCGTCGCCGACGGTTGACGTGTGTTTTGTTAATTTGACGCGTTAATTTCTAGGCACACATTAAATAAAAGTTCGGAAGCCAGAGCCATATGCAACTCAGATCTCTTTTGGCTCTCTTTTGGCTCTCTTTTGGCTCTCTTTTGGCTCTTGCCGGTCCTATACTCCCCTGCCATGTCTTTCGTCGTCCTCTTCGCCTCTAGCTCGAGAGCGTCTCTTGCTTCGGGCCTCAGACCAGCTCACGGCGTGCAGCCCCGCGCATTCCAGCACGCTTTCCATGCTTGTTCGAGACGGGCAGCAGCTAAGCGTGAGCCAATCTCGGATCGCTATTGCGAGAATGGCGCTGATATATAATCAAACAGCTGCAGCCGCACCCCTACCTTCATCCCCCTCCGTGCCCCTGGCATCTCCCTGGCCATGGCGCCCAGTTTCCCCGTCTACAAAGAAGGCCAACCCCCATACCATCATCGAAGAGCGCGTGATCTATGCTAGGCCTATGTCCTTCTCTCCTCGAAAGTACCTCGCCATGGGCTTTTCTCTAGGAGCGCTTGGTATGGTGTTTGCTTCTATCCCAGACAAACCGATATTCCCCGACTGGTGGACCGTTGAGGAGGACATTGGCATCATCGGGTACGTCTACAAGCAGCAATCCTGGTAGTAAACTGACAAGAAACACCAGCCGTGCGTTTGGAACATTCAACAACTATCTTATTATGGATGCCCCACCGTATCTCTGTCTGCTCGGAACGGCAGTCGTGGCATGGCGAGTCTTTGTACAGTCCGGCCGCCGTGTCACTCGTCTGTCACAGATCCGCGTTCGCAGTGATGGAACCGGCAGTCAGCCAAGCAAAACATATCTGCAGCTCTATACCGGACGGCAAGCCTTTTGGGGAAGGCTGGCCAAGCCTCGGGAGTTGGATCTGGAGCAGGTCAACGTTGAGACCGTACCAGGCAGTGAGTCGTCGTCTCGCCCGCTGTCACACTGTACTGACTATGCGTCAGAGCATGGTAAAGGCTTCCTCTCCATGACTTTGGATCCCAAAGCTAGGAAGCTTGTCATCATAGAAAGAAGGCCCTACTTTCTCGATTTCCGCAATTCCAGTTTCTTGGCCGGCACAAATCAGGAGGTGGTCGTTTCTGTCAATCGGATAGAACATCTCTTTGGGAAGCTGCCCACTCCGTCATCCTCCGCATGAGCATGTATCGCATGTACAATTGCCTCCACTTGGTCAGTACCAGATCATGCAGGGAATGAAAATCGATATCAACAAATGGCCAAGGGCCTTTCAATACATTTACAAGAACGTCTGGAAGCCCGAAGAGAAGAATCATAGATTATGATAGGATCTACCCTTCGTCAGTAAGGTGCATATAGGCAAGACAACCACACTCACAGCAAGAAGGATGAAAGTAGCTACAATGAGAAGGATGATTAAGAGACACGCCATCCGTCGGCCCGCTTTGCGCTGGTAGTCGTGGGCGGTGGTGAGCTCCTCAGCGGCGGAGGATGTGTCGCGGGCGACAGAAGTGACGTTGTTTTCAATATTGTCTAGGTCCGTATTTAGCTTGGAAACTACCGCCACCAGAGATGCACTCACCGACAAGGGAGCCTTGTTCCACGACCATGGTACCGAGATCACGGAAGATGTCGTTCAGCTCGTGGATACCAGACTCAATCTCTTGTATTTCGGCCTCTCGTTCAGCGATAAGAGTCTCCTGGAATTCGACCTCTTGTGATGAGACTCTGTGTAACTAGTCAGGAGTGCCCGCATGCGAACTGATTGAACGTACTGTTGCTGCTGCTGCTGCACCTGCTGTTGCACCTGGACTCTCTCAAGCTCGACACTTCCTCTCGGTTCGTCGTGCCTTCACCCTGTATTAGCTGGCTGCTGGCACGCCATGATTTGGGACTCACGCATCACCATCCTCCACCATCCTATCCATCCTCCTCTTCTGATTTTCCACGTACAACCGCTGCTTCTCGGCCGACAGTCTCTGCACCTTCTGGAAGCCTGTGATGGCATTGGTGAACTCTTTGGACAGCTTGCTTTGTATAGGTTTGCGGCTGGCCTGTGAATGTAGTGTAGGCGTCAGCGTTCAGTCATAAGACATTGCGAGCACCACTGACGAATTCTCCACCAGCTGGGTACGAGGCCAGCTTCTTGATGTCCCCCGTAGACTTCTTGACCATATCTCGGGTAGCCTCAGTCAGGTTGTGACTGTCACATGCGTCAGCTTCAACGATGCAGTCTTTAATATATATAACGCACAGACTAGCCCTAAGCTGCTCGCCATCCGAACTCCCACCCAGCTTATCTACCAGTCTCTGGATTCCCTGCACGTTCGACTGGATCTTGAAGACCTGTATGGATACCGAGTCCTTGATGGCGGTGAATGTGGCATCCTGGTCTGCGGGGGCGAGTGACGTGCGAGCGATGGATCGGACATGGGCGGCAACGAAGAGGGCGGAGTCAGAGCTCGTCAGCTGGATTCTCATGCACCACTTCACAAGCAACATACCGGGAGCGTTGCCTCGCAGTAATGGCTCGGTGTGTCCTCGTTCGAGATCGTTGAAGCTCATGGCGGATAGATGGCAGAGTATAGGTGATTTGTGGAGGAAGATAGAGATGATGATTGAAACGCGCGAGATGATGGCGTCAAATGTCTTCTCCTTCGTTTCCACCAACAAAGGTTCGTCTCGGGAACGTCTAAATCTGATCGTCAGGTCTGAAGCCATGTCTCGAGCACCGTAAGCTTCTACTCGGGTATCAGAAAGCATGCTGACACCTTGACCCATTTAGATCTTCCATCACGGCGCATTCGACCTCCATCGTCTGCCTCGACACCGACCTCCGTGGTACTATTACCGTTGGTGCCGGCGTCATCGTTCACCCCAAGGCTACGATATTCGCTGCCGCCGGTCCTATTGTGATAGGGGACAACTGTGTCATTGAAGAAGATAGTATCATCATTAATAGGTAGGTAAGACCTCTGGGACACCTTGCTACGGCCGTTCTGACTATGAGCAAAGACATAAGGAGATCATGCGTATAGGGGAGCAGAACCATTTCATGGTAGGGTGTCGTAAGTCATACATGCTTTACTTGGGCTCAGACTGAACATGGCGGCAGGGGTGGAAGCACCCTCAATAGGCGACTACAACACCTTCCAACCTCGGTGTACCGTCTCGTCCCAAGTCGCCATAAGCGACCATTGCATTCTTAGTAAGCTCTCACCCAGAATGTTCATTTTCATGCTGATTCAATCCAGGCGCTGGCACGATCGCCCTTCTTGCGCCTGGTTCGGATACCGCCCGCGAGGTGTTACCGCCGTATACCGTCATCTACGGCGCAGACTCCTCGAGGAGGATATGGGATGGGAGTGGAGAAGCCTCGGAGCTGGCGCTGAGGGCTAGACATTCCGAGTATCTGAGAGAGATCTTGCCCAAGTACGTGATATCAGGACGTGTTCTCAGGTTTGCCTCTGACGTATGCTAATGAGGTATAGGTTCAACCGTCTACGGCCCACTGGATCTGCCACCCCCACATGAACAAACTACGAAACGCAACAGCTATACGACCATCATACGACTATAATTAAGACATGCATATATATGAGATGCTGGCTGATGGCTTGTGCTAAAGAGTAGTGTTTGTGAAGTAGGATCACTTCAATGCCGCGGCATCAGGTCCGATATCTTGTGTAATATCCGCCAATTCAGCCCAGAACGCTTCCGACAGCTCGCCCTCGACTTCATTCTCGATCTGGTCAAACATGAGCCTCATCATCAAGATGTCTTTGGAATGCAAGCTCACCTCTGAATAGACAACACCCCTCCCCAACCCTTCCTCTACTTCCACGCTCTTCACCACCACTCCTTCCTTCTTCCACCTCGTCTCTCTCACCGTCTCATCCCATGCCAGGTCAAATCTTTCCCCTTCCACATCCACGGAAGAGGGAGGAGTGGCACCGTTGGCGGCCGAAAACTGTGTTGAAGAGAAGAAGGATGTGATCTCGTCGGGTATGGAGAGAAGTGGTCGCAAAGAGGTGGAGGTGAGTTTCACATCGACTGGTCTGTAGGGAAATCAGTGCTTGTTTTCCCATATAAGACAAAAAATCCTCACCTATCCGGGAGGAAGACGTTGTTCTCCTTAATTGTACCATACTCGGCTGTCAGGACGTTGCTCGTAGTGGCCTTCGTTTCCAGCTCCTCCGCCTCGACATTATCCACCACATCCACCGCTTGTTCACTTTCCACATGCTCTTCTGGGCTCACTTGTGCCTCTCGCTTGAAAAGAGGCCCCTCGCCTTCCGCTACACCAAGTTCCCGGATCACATCCTCAACAGCAGACTCTTGCTCAGTCACGGCTGGCTCAACCTCTTCCGCAGACCCTGCAGACTTTTCCAGCTCGTCCACAAGCTTTGCAAACTTCTCTTGCCACCTCACTTTGCCCGCACCATGCTCTTCCGTGTTCGTAAAGACAACCACTTTACTAGGCTCTGACGCGGAATGGTATCTCAACCGACGAGAAAGAGTCGGTTGACCGGGAAGAGGGTATTGGGTGATCACAGGTGATAGACTATGCTTCATTAGCCTGCAAAGGAACGATGTAAAAAATAAGGCTTACCTGGGCGTAAAGATGAACTCGTTTACCTTCCCCCGTGCCTCTGATGACCACTTGGTGAGCATCTCCAGAGGCCACTGCCCGGGTAAGGGCGAATCCCAAGTCCCCGTCCTGCCATCCGCCGGCTCTACTGGCAACACCAGATGCCCCACCCTCGCGCTCACCTTCCCATCCCGTCCCCACTCCCTCACACTCTCTCCAAAGACTCTCTCTCCTTCTCCCGCGATCAGACTCGGCCTCAGCTCCATATTCTCCTTTCGATGCGCGACAGAGCGAGCGCTGGGCTTGTCTTGCCACTTTTTGACCTGACCCAGCCGGAAGAATGTCTTGTCGGCAGTGGAGAATGCAATGTCCCACGGAAGTTGTTCGGTCGTACAAGGAAGGAAGGGGTAGAGAGCGTAGCGCTGTTCAGAGGTGGGGCGAGGGGTCTCAAGGAGGGTAGGGTCTGCTTGAGGTGGGGGAGAGAGGGCGTATGAGGTGGGCTGGCTTTGGTTCATTTGACCAGTCTACAGAGATGTTAGTTGCGGTATGATGTCTTAGACGCAAAGATTCACCCTAAAGATCGTCATATGCAACAGTTGCTTGGCCTTTTGAGCACTTGCACTCGTCAGAGCTGTGATTCGATACTCGAGTTCCTTGTCAGCTCTCAGCGCGATCGAGTTGGTTCCACTCACTTGATCACCGACAACCTCGACATAGGCCCCGGCAACATTTGAAACAGCTCGAAGAAGAATGACGGGAGCTTTCACTCCAAAGACCTCTTGTTGCTTGAACGTGATATCGATGATGGACTGGACATGTTAGAGACACCTCAGTCAACATGAAAACGACTCACTTCTCGCCTCTTTTCCAATGCCTGCTTCACAAGCGCCAAGTCGTCATCTATACCCCTCGCCACTAGCACCATCCGGTCGCCATCCCCTTCTTTCAAGGGGTGAAAATGCGACGAGGGCGCCTGGGAGGCGCGCACGACAGAGAGGTGAAGTCCAGCATCTGTGGCAAGTTGCTCTACCAGAGCCTGGTCTTGAAGGAACAGGAAGAGCTCAGCGGGTGGAAGATCAAATACTGCTAACGTCAGCTTCACCCTGGAAATGTAAGAAAGACGACTGACCTTCATTGTAAGTCGTGGGCGGCTTGGGCGCCTCTCTGGGTTCAACCCATCCCCAACTATCCATAATCTTCAATATAAGTTGACTTTTACTGATGCTCTTGGAGATGTAGCCTATTTTGAGCTCGGGTGCCAGCATTCTGAGCTGCTTTACGACGAATGCCGAGTCGATAGAATTGTACAGGCGTTTGTAAAGCAAAGGGTAGCGTGTACGCCAAGGTGCGGGAGGGTCGCGTTCGGGGCGCTTCGAGAGGAGGTCTTCCAGGGTAGGTTTCTCGCCTGTTGACTTGGGGAATTCAGAGGAGGGGGAAGGGTTCAACAATCCACCCCAGAAGCCAGACTCGGCATCAGCCTCGCTCGCCTTTGCAGGCTTCTCTTCTTGCTGCTGTTCTGGCTTGATGGTAGCAGCTGAATCTTCCGCTTTGAGAGCAGCGGCCAGCTTTCGAGCATTTTCTATCAGCTGGTTCTTTCCTCCCCTTCTTCGCTTCGGCCCTTGGGCTATAGGAGAGGGCTGGGGTTGGTTTTGAGGGGCGGTAATGGAGAACTGGCGTCGTGAAGGGGCCGAGCTAGATTCTGCGTGGGGGAGGTCTTGCTCGAGGGCGAGAATACGGGGGGCATTGAGGGCGATGCGCATGGCTGAGCGCCGTGAGTAGCGGAGGGCGAGCATGCCAGGCGTCCAAGTAGATTGTAGAACTATGTACATGACATCTCTGAAATTTCGGACAGCCGGGGGGCTGCTTATGTAATGCACACCTTGAGCGATGAGGATAATAATGCACGGAAGATGTGGTGATGGGCGAGTGTATGTCTCACCAAGAACTTTCTCATGGCATAGACCACCCGAGCATGTCGCTGGTACACCGAGTAGTCAGGAGCATCAAAGATCGTACATCTTTGAGGGATCAGTAGGACGTGAGTGAGACAGCGACTCGCGTAACACCGAGGCATTGCGGATTGCACTCGATCTAGGAATTGAAAGGTGTCAGACTCCTCTTGCTACACATCGCTCAGAAGATCACCTCTGCGCATGCATGAACAACGAATTGACGGGACAGAGTCGTCCAACGTTGGATATTAATAACACGTCAGGCTGATAATTTGGTTCCGTTTCGAACAAACCTCATTGTCCTTTCTATGCACCAAAAGATCAAAAAAACCTCAAAAAGCACCACAAACGCAATGCCAGACTTCTTCCTCCCCCAGATCCACGACAACCCAGACAGCTCATGGGGTCCCAGCTCCAGCGCCCTCCCTTCGCAGTTCAAGGAGTGAGTAGCCTCGCGAACGAACCCCGCTGACAAGCTGCAGCATCCCCTACGCGCCCTTCTCAAAATCCGACAAGATTACCCGTATCGCAGACTGGCACGACAGCCAAACTGAGGCCGCTGGACCCCGTGCTGGCAGGACAGGCCAGTCTGGCCGACGAACCGCTTACGGCGCTGCTGAGGGCACCGTCTTTGGTTTCGTCCACGATGAGGATGACAAGAGTTTCTCTCTCGTCGACAGTGGTGTTCGTGCGGGTGCGAGGGGCAAGGCTCCTATCAGGGGCAGGAGCACGAGGGGTGTTGCGTCAGCGAGGGGTGCCAGGGGACGAGGTGGCCAGAGGGGCGGGTTCGGTACCCGAGGTGGACGGGGTGGTGGACGAGGTGGCTACAGCGACTGGAACAAGGTGTGTCTGTTTGAGGTGTGCAAGTGGCTTGGTTGACGTTAGCAGCCTCAACGTACAAGAGACTCTTCTGTCACTATCGGTACCGAGTGGGATGTGCTCGAGGAGGTCGACTTTACCCGACTCGCCAAGCTCAACCTCTCTGTTGACGCTCCCGAGGATCTGTATGTCCCACCGCATATCCTTCAAAGCACTGCTAACCCCTTTGCAGTGGATCCTACGGTACTCTCCATGCTTATGACAAGACTTTCGACCGAATCAACACTAGGAATGACAAGCCTCTCGAGATTGTCAACCGTGTGAGATATAACTCTACCACCAGCGACGACCCCATCATCGCCGAGGCAAGTCTTCATATACTCGTGTGACTACAACTCTAACATGCGTTGCAGCTCTCTGAAAAAAAGGCCGCCCAAGTCTTTGCCACCGACTCTATCCTCGCCGTCCTCATGTCTGCCGGCCGATCCGTCAACTCTTGGGATATCATCATTGAGCACCGTAATGGCCAAGTCTTCTTTGACAAGCGAGAGTCTGGTCCCCTCGACTACCTCACCGTCAACGAGAACGCCGCGGACCCCCCTATCGACTCCGACGACCCCAACAACATCAACTCTGCCGGCTCCCTCTCCCTCGAAGCCACCTACATTTCCCACAACTTTGCTTCCCAAGTCTCCGCCTCCTCCAAAACCAAGCCCTACTCTCCCAACCCCAACCCCTTCTACTCTTCCGATGTCGAGACCGAGCCCCCCGCGAGCACCTTGTACAAGTACCGCAAGTTTGATCTCTCGGTCGAGGAGGAGGAGCAGTTCGACGTTGTGGTCAGGGCCGAGGCGGACGCTTACTTGGGCAAGAAGGATGTTCTCGTCACTGTCAAGGCTTTGAACGAGTACGACCCCCGTGTGCAGGGTGGTTCCGGCAAGCCTTTGGACTGGAGGAAGAACCTCGACACCCAGAAGGGTGCCATTGTCGCTTCCGAGATGAAGAACAACTCTGCCAAGTTTGCCCGATGGGCTATCCAGTCCATCCTCGTCGGTGCCGAGCAGATGAAGATGGGTTACATCTCCCGAGCGAACGCCAAGGATGCGCAGAGGCATGTGGTGGTCGGTGTGCAGAGCTTCAAGCCGGCCGACTTTGCCAGGCAGATGAACGTGTCGTTGACGAATGGGTGGGGAATTGTGAGGACTATTGCCGACTTGGTGCTCAAGCAGCCCGAGGGCAAGTTTGTGCTTGTCAAGGACCCCAACAACGTGAGTCATTTCTATAATATTTTGTGCAAAACTGACGGTGTCATAGCCCCTGGTGAGGTTGTACAGAGTCCCCGACGACGCTTTCGAGGCCGAGGCCGACGAGGAGGACGAAGAGGACGAAGAGTAGATTTCTTGTTGATCCCGTGTATAGTGTATAGAATGCATATTCTGAGGCCAAATGTCATATGGATACACGAGAGAACAGGCTACTAATGCGGGGTATTGAATGTCAGTAATTGTAACCTGACAGTTATGTACAACAATATATGAAACTCTAGGCTTGGATTTTTGGGACACTCTCTTCGGTCACCGTGGGCAGCAGCTTCTCTGTCGAGCCCATCCCCTCACTCCTCTTCGTTTTAACAGAAGCATACTGTCCGCGCTCTACATCACCCCCTGCCGCACCCACCGCCGCCTTTGCCTCCACCTCTTCCTCCTCTTCCTTACTCACCATCCTCTCATCCTTCATCCAAATAGCACCCACCAGCGCAAAGACGGCAATCGGTATCGTAATCAAAAACACCTGACTGATTGTCTTTGCGTACGCCTTCAACACCATAGGTCGCTCATCGTCCGGGACCTGGGTCCAGACGGCGCTGGCGTCATTCATGATGAGCTGGATAGTGGCGTAGGGGATGCCAGGTATTTCGTGGCGGAGATTGCGCTGGATCATGTTTTCGAAAACGGATTGGGCAGTGTTGAGGCCGATGATACGGCCAGCGAACCCCACTGCAGCTCTGTCAGCAACTTTCGAATTGTATAAGAAGGGGACGTACTGAAAACAGTCATGCCCGTACCAAGCGACACCAACAACGGCTCCTCTCTCAGCTCATTCTGCACCGCCAACATGATATTCTGCATACAGCACCCCAGTCCCGCGCCGAGGAGGACCTGGAACCCATACAACCTCATCTTCGGTGTCTCGTACGTGATCGTTGAAAAGCATGCAGAGGCAATGATGAGAAAGACCGGTCCGATGGAGATGATGGCTTTGGAGCGACCGAGTTTGGAGATGGCGATATTGGAGAGGATGAGGAAGAGGACGAGGGAGAGGACGAGCGGCAGGAGGCGGGTGCCGGCACCGGTGGCGGAGACGTGATAGACGGATTGGTAGGTGAGGCTGAAAGAGTCAGCTTGGGACGGGTGAAGCGGGGAAAGGGCTTACGAGAGGTAGTAGACCAATATCATGTAGCAGCCAAAGATGAAGAATCCGACAATACCAGCACCACTATATGTTGTCAGCTTGATGCTTCAACCTCAAAGACGAAACGCACCCGATCGTCCTCCTGCTAAACATCCTGATGCGGAAGAACCCCCGATCCTTCATGTACCACTCGTAATAACAAAACACCGGGGTCAAAACGGCAGTAAACGCCCAAACGGTAATCACTCTCCAATCGTCCCAATCCTTGCTGACGCCTCCCCACTCTGCGCCCAAGATGAGGCATGTACCCCAGGCGGTGGAGAGACAGACACCGGCCCAGTCGCATCTGAGCACTTGGGTGATCATGGATCTGGAGTAGCCGGTATAAGTGTGTTTCATGCCGAGGGGAGGGTAGGCAGGTTGAATGATGATAATGAGGATGACGGCGACGGCGCCGAGGGGAAGGTTGATGTAGAAGCACCATCTAGAGAATGTCAGCTTGGCCGCTGTATGGTATACGGTACGCACCTCCAAGACAAGTGGTCTGCAAAAGTACCACCAAGCAGGGGTCCGACAACGCAAGCGACGGCAAAGCTGAGAAACGTCAGCCGCTCCTTGACTTGTATGGTAAGACGCACCAGATACCAAAGCCCGACAAGTACTTTCCTCTCGTACTCAGCGGCGTGAGCTCTGCAATGATGACCATTCCACTTCCAAAGACTCCCGCAGCTCCGACACCACTCAATACTCGCCCAAAGATGAGGAGCTCGATGTTGGTCGCGATACCGCTGATGAGAGAGCCGGCCTCAAAGAGGGTAATGGCAATGACCATGACATGTTTCGAGGGGAAAATGTTCATGAACTGGGCGTAGAGGAGGTTGAATGAGAGTAGGGTGAGGCTACGAGGCGATCAGTTGGGACATTCAAAGTTGTGGGTAGCGACTTGCAAGTAGCCAGAGGCGATCCAGGACATCTGTGAGAGAGCATCGAACTCGGCAGTGATTTTCGGCAGAGCAGTGGCTGGCTCGTGTCAGCATGGGATCGGCTTGAGTACTTGATCTACTCACCAACGATGAGCTGATCAAGAGCAAACAGAAACACGACTATACACAGACTTCCAAAGACTGCCCAAAATCTCCACAGGGAGAGCACGATGGGCGCCTCGATGCCCGAGGATGGTACTGGGGTGGCCGGCGGCTTCTCTACGTAAGGAGCAGGTGCGTCGAGACCAAAGTCGTAAGGATCCAGTTTGTTGTAGGCATCGAGTTGGTCGTAAGGGCTGCTATACCTCTCCGAGACCAGAGTGGAAGCCAGCGAGTCTATCGTCGAGTGGGAAGCAAAAAGCGATCTCGGGGTGTGGAGGGTGGTCTCCGAGGCGGAAAATGCTGCTGTAGACGCTGCCGAGTGGGGTGGGAAGAGGGGCTCGAATGAGTCTGCCGAGGCATGGCGGGGGAGACGAGGGAAGTCGGCGGGGAGGGGCGAGGCGGGGTCCATGGCGGGGGGATGCATGAGAGGACTTTGAAGCGGGCTGGGATATATATACTGGTGCGAGATTCCAAAGGACAGTCTGTCTCGAGCGGGGCTGCCATTGCCGACCGCACCGCCCGTCCTTCCCCCGGCGCCGAGGGCCTCCCAGCTCGCCGACACGGAGGGCAGGCGGTGCAGCGGACGGGCGGATGGATCCAGGACTGTTTGCAGAGGCACTGGTCGTGTGCTGTCCTCAGGTGTCCTCAGGGAGCCAAACACCGCCGGAAGTTGCCAGCGTCCGTCTCGATAGAGCGTGAGGATGCCATGCATCGCTGCGTGTGGCCATATCGATGCTCGGCCGGGGGACTACCCACTGCCTCTATCGCCTGCTCCAGGCCATGCGTGCTCCTGACTTCCGTCTTCGATACGCATGCGATGCACCCCGGCAGAAGACTCAGGCAGGGCAGCGTGCCTCGCTACAAGGAGCTATACATGTAACATGAGTGTCGAGCTTGCTGCCGCTGCAAGCTGAACTTTGTGCAATCAACCCATGACTCTCTCGGCACAACTCACTCTCGCGAAACCAGTGGTGGTCGAGACCAAGAGAAGACTTCTGGAGCATGGTGCACGGTATGTACAGAAAACAAGCCCGGCGCGTAAGTAGACGCGTAAATACGCCAATGTAGCTCTGTGCTGTATGCGCTGCATGGTGGAGCAACTAACATGTTATACCGCCACTTGGGCATCCACACACAGAACCGTTCGAATGATAAGTGAATGTCCTTCTGTATAAAACCTACTCTGCTTGGTTCTTCAGACCGCTCACGAGGATACCCCTCGGTCCATCCACAACGACGACCGGCTTGTCCGAGCTCGCCCATGTGCCCACCTCCCAGTCATGGTTCGCCTTGCTGATCGTGCTCTCCGCATACTTTACACTTCCACTCCCGTTTCCACCTCCGCCCCCGAGCCCGTACCCGACGTGCTTCTCCTCTTCCTCCTCCTCCTTTGTCGCCATCCTCGAATTTTTCATCCAAAGTCCTCCCACAAGCGCCAAGACTGCCAGTGGGATGCAAATCATAAAGACCTGGCTAGCAGTCTTGCACCATGCTTTCAGCACATCGGGCCTCAGCTGGTCGGGCACAACGGTCCACACGGATCCGGCGTCATTCATGATGGATGCGATGAGTTCTGAAGAGATGGTCGGAATTTGGGAGCGGAGGTTGCGTTGGAGCATGTTTTCAAAGACGGACTGGGCGACGTTCAGGCCGAGGATACGGCCCGCAAAGCCGACTATGATTTGGTCAGCTCACTCTACATACATGCAGTAGACTTACCAAAGACGGCCAGGCCGGTACCCATCGACAGCACTGCCGGCTCGTGCCTCAGCTCATTCTGCACCGCCAGCATGATGTTCTGCATACAGCAGCCCAATCCGGCCCCGAGGATCACTTGATATCCATACAGCTTCGCCAGGGACGTATCCGAGTCAATAGTGGAGAAGAGGACCGACGCGACAATGAGCAAAACCGGCCCGGCGCAGATAACGGCCTTGTATCGGCTAAAGCGGGAGATGAGGAGCGCAGAGATGACCAGGAAGACTACGAGGGCGCCGATAAGGGGGAGCAGGCGGATGCCCGCGCCGGTAGCAGAGATTCGGTGAACGGATTGGAATGTGAGGCTATAAAGGTCAGCTCTGAGGCATTAACGATGCGCAGGCGTACGACAGGTAGAAGACGAGAATCATGTAGAGGCCAAAGGTGAAGAATCCCAAAATAGCAGCTCCACTTCACACCGTCAGCAGTGCGCAATCACAAGCACCGCAACTCACCCAATGGTCCTTCTACTCAGCAACCTGATTCTAAAGTAGCCCTTGTCCTTCATGAACCACTCATACAAGCAAAACACAAAGGGGAGTACCCCGGTGCCCACCCAGCAGATGATGACGCTGTAGTTGTTCCAATGCTTGCTCACTCCAGCCCACTGGGCGGCCAAGATAAAGCACGTTCCCCATGCTGTTGAAAGACAGACACCGACCCAGTCGCACAGGAGCACCTGCTTGAGCATGTTCCAGGAGTAGCCGGTGTACGTATCGGTGAGGCCGAGAGGGGGAGTGGAGGGTTGGAAGAGGAGGATGGAGACGATGGTGACGGCGCCGAGGGGAAGGTTGATGTAAAAGCACCATCTGAGAACTGTCAGTATACTCCTTGATGAGCTCGATGCTACTGACCTCCAAGTGACGTGGTCAGAGAACGTCCCGCCAAGCAAAGGCCCGACGACACTGGCGATGGCAAAGCTGTGTTTGACGTCAGCCAGAGCTCTTTGCCACCTGGACAACGTACCAGATACCAAAGCCCGAAAAGTACTGCCCCCTCGAGTGAAGAGGAGTAAGCTCGGCAATGATGACCATCCCACTTCCAAACAGTCCCGCCGCACCCGCTCCGCTGATGACCCTTCCGATGATGAGGACAGTCATATTGGGCGCCAGGCCGCAGACGAGAGAGCCGGCGTTGAAGCCGAGGATGGCAAAGATCATGACGTGCTTGGAGGGAAAGATGTTCATGAATTGCGAGTAAAGGAGGTTGAATGAGAGAAGGGTGAGGCTGAAAAGGTGGTCAGCCGAGCCTGTGGGGTCTGGGGCGGACGTACAAGTAGCCGGAAGAGATCCAAGACATCTGAGAGAGGGCGTCAAACTCGGCAGTGATCTTGGGCAATGCAGTAGCTGAGAAGGTCAGCAGCGAAAGTCACGACAGACGCGAGAGACTCACCGACAATAAGTTGGTCGAGGGCGAACAAGAAGACGACGATGCACAAGCTTCCAAAGACGGCCCAGAATCTCCACCGTGATATCTCGACGGGCCCTGCTGCTGGGGGCTCAGCCCTGTCCTGAAAGTAGTCATGTCTGCCGTCGACGAGGGTGGAGGCGGATGGGGTAGAGAGGTCGTAGGGGGTGGCGGGGGTGGTGGGGAGGGAGGTGGCGGAGGGAGAGTTGACGAGGGGCTGGAACTTGGCGAAGGGGGCGGCGGGGAGATTCATGGCAATGAGCGACTTGGCTGGAAGGAGCGTGATAGATGCAGACGAGGAAGCGAGATAGAAGTGGCCGTGTTTTATATTCCTCACAACAGCAGCGGAGGCCACTAACCACCTCTCCCGCACCAGTACCTGTCGCCCCCTGCCCATGCTTCTCGCCCAAAGGACACCCACCCTCTTTGCCGACCTCCGCTGCCCCGTCCACCAGCATGTAGAGTAGGCAGAGGCTACCCTGGTCTCTATCACGGCAGAATCACACTCGGAGGGGAAAGAGTTGAGTGACGAGAGGCGGTTCAGGTGCAGTGCGAGCTCACGCGGGAAATATTGACTTCTTCCCCGGAGGGCCGAGACAGAGCGCGTTCTTGTTGGTAGCCCTCAGGCTGGGCCCCATTTCTGTATGGCTCGTCACAGCATGGCTTGCAGGAGCCATTCCATAGCGTGCTGTTGTTGGACGAGTATGGACGATCCGGAGTGGAAAGGCGCACCAGGCAGGCCTTCTGGTCAAGAGAACTCAGGTACTTACTCCAAATTACGCGTTTTCTTACGCGACGAATCTTCGTCCATCGACAGTCTTGCTTCGTGTCCCCAGTTGGCACTGCACCGTAAGCGCGCCACGCAGAATAAGAACATCCATGCATATGCAACTGTTTTACAATTTGCTTTTTGTGTTTTATGACTATCCAGAATTTATCATTCCCTTCCTACAGTTCGTCCACGATGCGCCCATCAGACTCGACAAGTTCCGCCTCGACACTAGAATCGGCGTTGGCTTCAGATGCCAACTCGTCTACACTAGCCGCCAGAGCGCCGCTCTCATCCCCGTCACCCGACACGCGCGCCGCAAACGCCGCGATCTCTCTGTCGTAGACATCCCACTCGGGTATTTGCCGAGCTCGAACGAGCTTGGGTTCTTTCTGTATGATTGTCAGCAGTGCACATTGGACAAAATCATAATCAACTCACCGTCAGAGGGTTTTGACAAAGGTCGACTGTAGAAGTGATAAGTATTGCTCCTGAAAGATGGCTACAGACACTCACTCGTCTTGGCGGTGGATAAACTCTCATCACTACACCATGTTTGACACCATAACCAGTCCTGACTCAAAGTCCAGATAGGAATGTGATCTTGCATCGAGTTGGGGAGATCCTGGTCAAGGTTGGCAAGCGAGTTGGGATCGGCCGAGAGCGCGTGGTATTGGCCTCGGAGTCGGTCCTACAGAGCAGTAAGTAACGCACAACATGTGAATCAGGAAGACTTACACCGGTGGCAAGCTGCCTGAACCTCTTGAGGTCCACGACGTACAAAGCACTTTCAGGTTGTCAGCAGAGCTCTCAATATGCGCAGGAAGACTGACCTGATGTGATAAGGGCGACCTCTCAGAGCCTCCTTCCAGTACCCAGACTTCCAGAACCTGAATCCTTCCATCTCCGTCCTGCTGTTGCCCATAGGAGCATAACCATACACCCTTCCATGCAGATCAACATCCACCAACTCCTTCATATCCGTCCTGACAATCTGATCCGCATCGACAAAGATGACCTTGTCGAGGGACATGGGGAAGAGCACGTCGAGGAAGAGGATCTTGTAGGCCCAGATGATACGTTGCTTCTCAGTTTGAGCGCGGAGCCAGTGGGGCCACTTGTAGGTGACGAATTCGTATTGGAAGCCGTACTCTTCAGCGAGTTTGGGAATAAAGTCCTGTACACGACGTGAGCAAATGATGTTTCGACCACCCGGTGGACTCACAATGAAGCTGGGCGAAAGGAAGTTTTCCTATGACTATTTCAGTACAGAACTTTTCGACTTCAAACGATACTCACGATGAACCAGAACTTGACAGTGCTGTCTGTATGCTTCATGACGCTCAAAATCATGATGGACGCGAAGCGCTCGTACAGTAAGCCAGAAGCGACTGTGAAGATGTTGATATCGGCATGTTCCTTTTGCGCAAGCGCCGGAGAGGGTGCGAGGCCAATCATAGACTTCATCCTGCCAAATGTCAGCTCCGCACAACGCTCAAGCGTTGTACGACATACCTGTTCAAGACAAGGCCCGTGGCAGTCTTGGGCGGTTCCTGCGGTTCCTGCAACACATCCGCATTCTCCATCCCTTCCCTTCGCTTGAACCTCGGGTAGATAGTCTCTCCCTCAAAGCTCGCCAACGCCACTCCATTTCCAACTTCCTCTACTGTCGAGCTATCCCATCCTTGACTGCCAACACTTTCAAGTTCATACACCTCTTGCCCTCGACCAGGTCGGATGGAGAAGGAGTAAAGTCCAGGTACGGCGCGGAATTGGAGGTATCCAAGGTTGGCCATGACCTGAGTGTCGGCGGCGACGTCTCCTTGGGGACCGGCAACTTGGAGCTGAAGACCCCTGGGTGGGGTTGTCGGTCCTTCTCGGGCATGACCCACGATCGAAAGATGTTTAAGCGAGAATAACACAGAGACAGGAGAAGAGATGGACGAAAGGAGCAAGTTGTCGAGGTCGTAAGGCGAAGCTCGGGGGGATACGATCCAGGAAGGAGGCGTATCGAGAGCAACAGTGTAGATTGGAGTGGGAGGAAGCGAGTTGAAGCTCACACCAGGAGCAATCACGTCACTAGAGTCTGTGAGCTCACGTCCGCAATGTGTAACACGACTTGCCCGTCAACATCAAAAGAGAGCTTGGAGGGGAGCTCCGCTCGGTAGAACCTCTTGAGATTGATCTCTTCCATGTTGGCTTTGGGCTCCAGATATACGGTCACAGACACATGGTCGATTTCGGACAATGCCTACCAAAAGTTAGCTTTAGATCCACGGCAGGACTGCGAGCGAACCTTGATAAGAGGCGACCACTTTTGAGCTCGCTCGGACAAAGGGTCGACTACGACAGCGACCTTAAGCAGTGCATTATCTTGGTTTCCCAAATTGAACGACCTATGTAATGTCAGCAAGAAGATGCGATAGGTAAAGAGCCGCTTACAAATCGCCGTTTTCAAGTCGTTCATAGATCCTTGTCCTGGGAAGCTGGGCCGCTGTGTAAACACCCTCGGCATCTTGCGGTCTGTAGGCCGAGGCGATGACCGATGAAGTCTTTGAAATCAAGTTTGCCAAGGTCGGGCTGTCTCAAGTTAGCGTTCCGTCCTGATCAAGCTACAAAATCATGCGTACCGATCGAAGACGGTGATATCGTCAAACAGAGTCTGAAGCACGTCGATGACTGGCGTCACCCTCTTCCTGTGCTCATACAACTCCAAAGCGTCAAAGTCTTCGGCAGGGAAGGCAGCGGGGACGATAGGTCCAACCAACTACGCCACATCAGCTCATTCCTGCTTGGATCAGGCCATGACTTACTCGTCCATTGACAAGAATGTGGACACCCTCCGTCACTCCGAGTTTACTCTTGAGCTTCTCACCAGCCTTCCAGAATTCGCCTGCCGCAGCAGTGTCCGCTACACTCCATCCACCGAACGTAGCTGCGTGGAGCGGCTTTCCTTCGAAGGTTGTTTTCTGCTCTCCTGCGGCATCCACGATTTCGCCCTGTCTGACATTGCTTTGGGAAACTTCAATCTCTGAGACAAGACTCAAGAGTTCGGCAGGGTTCACGATGGAAAGCGCATTTTGAGCGTGGAGCTGATAGAGAACAGTCGAAAGGCAATAACCGTCTGAGCATTCGGAAGAGCTGGCGCTAGGAATATGGATAAAGCCCAATCGAGAAGAGCATTCGGGAGTCTGTATCTGTGAGCTTTAATGGCACCGAGGGTATTTGGACTTACTTGAAGATGCAACAAGCCATTCTTGACAGTCTCGATGCCGTCGGCAGAATCAAGGTCCCCAATGATCCACATGGTCAATGGCGCCCCCCTCGTACCTTCTGCTTTGACATCAGTACTTTGACCCTACGATTTCTGCCAATACTCACCAGCATACACAAAGTCTGCCCCAATCTTCGGCTCCACCTCACCCTCGAACAGATCCAACAAGCTGAATAACCTCAAGCTGTGGGTACTGCTCGGGATGATGTACGCACTTCTCCTAGGGGAAGTGGTGGGAAGGTCGTAGAAGAGGGTGGAGATGTCGTCTGGGATGGTACTGGCGCTGCGCATGATCTCTTCTTGCAAGAAGGAGAGTTGGGATGCCATTTCTTGGGTCACGATGCTTGGCCATTGCTTTTCATAAGGTCAGTTCTGTCCGCAAGGGAAAGGTGGTGATACTCACAACTCCCAGAGGTGTCCACTTTCCGTTCAAGAACATCCCACCAAGCTCCTCATCGCTCTTTCTCACAAGCAGCCTCTTCAGATACCCCTCAGTCTTCTCCAATTGCTCATCCACTGACCCGAAAACCTCATCCAAAGTCAAAGCCGGCTGCTCCAACTCGGAAGTCGAGAGGAGGGCATCGTAGGCAGCGCGGAGGATCGAGAGGTCGATAGGTTGGTGGACAGTGTTGCGAGGGTTGGCATGAATGATGGAGGTGAAAAAATCGCGGCCGGATTCTTTGCTGAATGTCTTGACAACATATCTGAAAACCTTGGCCATCTTCAAAGCTGTACTCTGTCATCAGCATTGTCCCATGTATCGCGTTCGTGACACTTGCAAAGATCGTCCGTCCCAGGCTCAAAGATGGGTACAATTCCAAACCTGATTGGAATTCCTCTCTGGATCATTGGAGCCAATGATCCGGCGATGATCTCGAGAGAAGAGATCTGAGAGATGTCGAGAGTGAAGATGAGGTTGAACGTGTTTCGTCGAACAGTGTGGAACTGCCCCGGGTACAGGGGACGCATATACTGCAATGTCGTCAGCAGAGTTGTGGTACATAGATCCGACTTACCCCTTGAAGATGTGAAGGCCAGTTCCTATACTGGTGGTCCTTCTCAATGTCATTCCACCAAACAACGACATCACCACCTTCCGTCCTGTCACTGGCATCAACGAATCCTTCTCCGACATCTTCGCCGACCTGAGCGGAACCAATGTTTGGGTCAGAGATGAGCGTGACGGCTTGGGCGGGAGTGAGGCCGAGGGACGTGAGGGCAAGTGTGAGCTGGCGTTCCTCGCGGAGAGTCTTGAGAAGGCTGCTTGTACGTTAGCGAAGCAAGACACATGAGAGTAGACTCACGAATAAGCGTTCAGATCGGTACCAAACGGCTTGCCGTTAATGTAGATGGCTTGCGTCCCCTGGCCTCGAACAGCGATGTTGCGCCCCTTGGCCAGGATATTCTCGGGAACCTCAACCTTTCGCGCAAGAGCAGCCGAATACTTTGGAAAGTCTTGAGAGAGATGGGTAAGAGCTCTCAATGAATCGTTTGAAGACATGATCAAAGAAGCTGCCTGGAGGCCAATGTCTGAAGAACACCATGAGCTTTGTTATGACGAGAGAGACATCCGGCTCACTTCGAATTTCTCTTGGGTTGAGAGGTGTGGCTAGTTCACTCCAGGGGTCGTCGCCAAAGACATCACTAAAGATGTCGTCGACGTCACTCTTTACCACAGTGTTCTCCTTGACAACACCTTTCTTTCCAGTCGCCCTGTCATCCACTACAAGGTAGTCCATGTTTTTGAGTGCCATTTCGACACCCCAACCGGCCAAAGGCAATGGCTTGGCTTCTTCCTGAGATGTAGGCTGGTATCGAACAATGTAGGAAAAGTCGGGATACTCAGATTCGTGATGAGAAAGATACTCTAGCAACTCCACAGAAGAAGAAGATGAGGGTGTGTAGTAGATGACGGCTTGAGGAGAATCTTGGCTTGCTGGAGTGGACGAAACGTGGTCGAAAGGAAGTGAAACCGGTCGAGGGACAGCCTTGTGGCTTCCATCCTCTAGAGAAAGCTCCATATCTCTCTGGAGCTCCTCAACCCCACAGAATCCTTTCCCACGCCAGTCTACCCATCCTTGACATCCCTCGACCCCGAGAGTCTTCTCTTGTCCTCGGACAGCACTCTCATACCAATTGTACTCTGCTTCGATTCTCGGGGCGGTAGAGTGGAGGGAGAGGGCAAGGTTGAATGTGGCGAGAGAGGAGGGTGGAAGAAGAGAGTACGCTTGTATCAGATCGACTGTCGATGAGAGTAAGGTCTCTGGCGTGGTGTCTGAGGGCAGGGAAGAAAGGAGGTGGAGGAGGGTAAAGTAGGAGTTGGGTGACTCGTCGTATAAAGTTTCTCTGGGGACTAGTCAGCGATGCGCCTCTTGTAGTGGGCAGCATACAATATCTCGAGTGCCAGAGGCGGGGCTGCCCAGCCTGTCTCGAGACTGAAGTGGACGGGGGGCGAGGAGGCGGCTGCGAGGGAGGCAGCTGCAAGAGCCAGAGCTACTGGAGGGGCTCTCATCTGGAGCTGTACGCCGGCGCTGTGGTTCTTGTCTGGGTATTTGTGGAAAGTGCAAGAATGACTCTGGAATGACTCCCGTTGTCCCCGCCGGCCTCCACCGCGAGACTATCCTGCAGCTATTCCGACTTGATTCTGACTTGTGCAGCAATCTATATACGATCCGCCTGGAGTATCAGTGGCCAGCACTGGAAGAACAAGTCACAAGGAGCACCACAAAATGCCCGGTGAGCGGCACCGCGACCTTGCCGCCGACGACTCGTGCTGACAGCTCTGGCCAGGCTTACAACATGCGGGCGTCACAAAGGGTATATTCAAACAAAGCACTGTGATGGACACTGCTGATATATGCTACTCACAGGCCTTATGATGCTCCTTGGTATCACCACAATAACAACATCGTTACTAGGCATCAAGCCCTACTTACATCTGCAATTCGTCCCGCACATGTCACAATACCACCAAGTGAGTCAGGTCGCACGAACAGAAGTGCAAGTTGCTCGCTCATATGCATCACAGTATTGGCGCATTCTTACCCACCCATTCGCATTCGTAAATTCAGCAGAGCTGCTCATGGGCGAACTGCTGCTGTACAAAGCCAGTACGCATGTTGAAAGGTATGATCGCCAGGCATTCATCACGAAAGTCAGAGCTGACAAGAGCAGAGCATATGGTCCCCGGAAGTTTGCTGCAAGTACCATATCAGTGAAAGATTCCCAGAACTGACCTATGGACTTAGTCCTTCATCCTGGTCTCTTCGGTTCTCTCCACGTTACTCGCCTGTGCCACCATCATCATTCTCCATCCCTTCGGCATACGGTCTGTACCAGGGGGGCCGTATGGTATCATTTTCAGTCTGTAAGCCGCACGAATCAAGACACTGGGTTGTGCTCAGTCGCGATCAGACTATGGCAGTACTACCGCATTGTGCCCTCTCTATACCAATTCAATCTATTTGGCATAATCATGTCCCAAAAGATATTCACCGCCATTTTTGCTCTCCAGGCAAGTCTTTGAGTCTCCCGTATGTTTCCGGCTGATCTATCCCCAGCTCGTTCTCTCCAAACCACCCTCTTCTACTCTCATGTCTCTCCTCGGCCTCCTCACAGGTTACATCTACCGCACCTCCACCCTCTTCCCTCTTCCTTCCTTCTCCCTCCGCAGCCGCCGCCTCCTCGTACGCTCCTCTCTCAAAGACTACCGTATCTCTCAACCGCTCTTTGACCTCTTGGCCCGGTTCTTTGGACCTCTAGTTGGAGAGTCGGCTGGGCCCAGGAATGCAGAGAGGGTATTACCAGGGCAGGTGAATGAGAGGGTACCGGGGATTGAAGACCTCGCTGCTCGGGCGAATACTGCTACAGCAAGAGGTGCTGATCGCCGTTCCCTGCGCGCCATGCTCGCCAGCCGGCTCCAAGCGGAGCAACCTGCCGCCCCAGGCGACAATTCCTCTTCCCCAGCTGTGCGTACCGCTACAGTAGCTGAGGAAGATACGAATAGAGAACCGGCAAGTACCACAGCAGCTATGGGCGAGTGGGTTAGTGAGATGACTGGCAGGAGCGGGGCGAGGGCGCCAACGGAAGAGGAGATTGAGACCTTGAGAGGAATGTTCCCGAATAGTGGGAGGGACGCGATTGTCAGGGCACTTCAGAGAAAGTGAGTCGGTGATGGAGTGATGGAGTCAGTCGAGAATGAGCTGATACGTGGTAGCGACAACAATACTGCCCAAGCGGTGGAGGCTTTGTTGGAACAGGCAGACTAAAGGGACAGTAGGGAACTTCTTGAGCATTGTGTTTGTGTATGTATCGCATGTCGCATGTACTGGAAGGTCATCACAGTCATTGTCGTTGTAGTTACAGTACAGTCTTTCAGAATTGATCAGCATCATCAATGAGCGTCAAGGACATAAACTCACATAAACACCACCGAACTTTATCCTTCCACTCAGTCTTGCTTTTTTCCTTCGATCTTTGTCTCGGTTGCCGCCCCTTTCTCCTCGCCCTCAGTCTTCGGTAACGACTCTCCTTCTTGCAGTTCAGCCTTCCCCTCCACAATCTCCTCCTCAACACCGCCGAGCATCTCCAACAGCCTATCCAGCTTTCCTTCCAAATCATCCGCCACCCCATCCGCCGCTTCCAGCTGTCCCAAAATAGCACCGATCTCTCCCTCGTCAAGATTGTCGAGATCTTCTGGGGAGAGAGATAGGGATGCAAGGAGGGGATGGAGAGATGCGAGGTCGGCGGGGAGGAGAGAGGAGGGGTCCACGTTTGGCAGTGAGGAAAGTTCTATACCGGCTTGGGCGCCGTTTGTTGCTTGAGCTGTGCCATTGGAGGCTGGGGGCTGCTCTGAGCCGGACATGGCTTGCGCTACGAGCTCGAGGTCTGAGAGCTGGCTCATTGGCGTGCGAAGGATTTGTGTCTGAGGTGATTTGATTGTTGTAGATGTAGAGTGATATGGAAATACTTTATGGTTACCGGAGAAGCTGACTCTTGGATTTCTGTTTAAAGAAGTGCACAAAGGCCATTGAAAGGCCATCTTAGTGCTCCCTGCTGAAGCTGTCGTTGCCAACGGAACCAAATCTACAAAGGTGTCTTCTCATTGTTTGGTTCGTACCAGTCACTCATAAAGAATATTCGGGGCCCAGGCTCAATCAGTCCTTGGTTCATATCATAGGCAGCAATCACAGTTGCAGTTGCTCGCATCTCATATCGTACGGCGTTTATATGTAGAAATCACGTCTCGTCTTCAATCTTCGTTCTCGTTCAGCTCATCACACCTGCCAAAACCGTTATCCAGACCTTTCATCTAATAACCTCCAGGAGGACCCTGGTGACCAGGGTACTGCCCCCACTGCTGCTGGGGCTGACCTCCAAACCCTCCCTGCTGCTGACCATACTGGGGAGGCCCACCAAATCCACCCTGCCCATGCTGAGGAGGCCCACCTTGGAACCCACCCCCTTGGAACCCTCCAGGTGCACCGTACTGCTGGGGAGGAGGCCCGCCGAAGCCACCGCCACCGCCGTAAGAGCCGGAGTTGTAGTGTCCGTGGTGTTGCCCAGGGTATCCTTCATTCCCACCACCACCGTAAGCAGGTTGGGAACCAAAGTTCTGCTGCGTGGGAGATTGATAAGATGGCTGAGCACCGTATGATGGTTGCTGATGGTGAGATTGGTGGGACTGGTAGGTTTGTTGGGGAGCGGCATTGCCGTAGGAAGAGTCAGCGCCGCCATAGTTGTTGGTAGAGGTCTGGTGGTAAGCAGAGGTGGCACCGCCGACAACGGCAGCGGTGGCGACTCCAGCAGTAGCGGCGTTTCCAGAGTTGCCCGCGGTATCTCGCCAGGTGTTCTGTCCACCGCTTCCGAAACCTTGCTGCCAAGGCTACGTATTCGATTAGCCGTCGCCCGTAGCACGTTCAGACACTACTCACCATCTTTCCCGATGCCAAATCCTGCGCGTCATTCAGGTACTGCGCGCCGGGCACATGGATGTTCTGCTGAGCGATGACCTGCTGCAGACCGCCCTCGGGCAAAAGCTGGTTGTGGACATGACCAGTGTCGGTGGAGGTGTCTCCGATTCGCTTGTTCTTGCCTTCCTTGACGTTGGCAGAGGAAAGACGACGAAGAATTTCGTTCTTGTCGTTGCCAGTGCTCTCGAACCACTCGCGCATCTTGTCAATCATCTTTCGCTGGATCTCGGCTTTGAAGAGTCAGTGCAAGAAACGGCAGCATTCATAACACTTACAGTTTCCAGTAGCAAAAGCAGGGTGATGGAAAGCTTCGAGCGCGCTCTCGGTGACCTGGTTGGTGTTCATACTGGTGTCATCCCAAGCCTTCACGACAAGGTTGACAGTGTGTTCCACCACGATCTTTGCAATTTCACCAGCAGGCTGGTTGAGAATCAAAGCAAAGTGGTCCTTGGAAAGGTAAGAGTGGGTGGGGTCCGAGGCGTTGGGGTTGGTCCAGACTTCGTACTGGTCGTGCGAGTCGATGATGGATTGAGAGGACTCACCGAGAGCCTGGGTTGCTGTGCCGAGGAGGGGCTTGACAAAGGGCTCAAGGGTGGTGATGATGAAGACGGAGACGGAGTTGGAGATCTTTTCCACAATGCCAGCGAGACCAGGAATTCGGTCGATGGTGTTCTAAAGAACCGTCAGGGGTGGTGTCAACATGGCTGGAATATGCTTACCTCGATCTTCTTCATGACACTGTCCCTGAAACTCAAGATCTGCCAGATGACGTTGTGCAACTCCTGGGGACTCATGTTGCTGGGGTCAACACCTCCCGGTTGTCCCGCACGCATGTTTTGAATACCATCCAGGTCTCTGGTCATACTGTCGCCATTGCCCCGTGGAAGGCTGAAGAACAGCTGACGAAGAGTATCCGCAGAATTGGTCTGGCCTTCCGAGATGGACCTCGCGTTGGTCATCTGCTTGGAAAGGTCTGAGACGGAAGATTGACTGAGGTGGTCCGTGGCTTCACCCATCAAAGAATGAATAAAGTCGGCACCACCAAATGTACCAGTGACGAGGGGGTAGACATCTCGGCCGTTGGGAGCACGGACCTTGGTGTTTTGGCCGACATGAGGGAAGACATCCTGGTGGCCAAAGTGGATGAGGGCCAGTTCACAAAAGTTGGAGTGAGCAGTAAAGTCCTCACTGTGGGGAGTCAGTGGCGCTCGGAGACTCGTGTAACACATGTAGAAGCAAAGACGACTCACAGGGTGTGCAAGGCACGACCAAGAAGCTGGAAGGCCTGGTAGATGTCGGCTTTGTTGCCGTTTGCCCTATACAGACGACCGTAGTGGATACACTCTTGGAGTCTTTGCCTGACAAGAGCCTTGGAAGTATCCCAATGACCATTCTCTGTGGAGAGTTCAGCATTGCTCTGGAGCCTAGACAGGGAGGCGTACCGTTGGCAATGTAGTTCTTCATACCAGTCTGAGGATCGATGGCAAGCTCAATATCATCAACCGGTCCTCGGAGTCGGTCGTCATATTGCCTGGCGTCTTCGCCATCGGCATAGCCTTTAGGGTTGTCGATGTGCTCAGTGGTAAGGTAGCAGCCAAGGGCCTCTTTGGTGACTTCAAATTCGCCAGTAGCGTAGCCGTGGGCCATAAAGCCGAGCACCATGACAATGTTGAGGATGGTCTGGAGGTTGGTCTTTTTGAGGGCTCCAACATCGACAGCCTGGCTGTAGTCTCTGAGCCAGTTGCCACTAGAGGGTGAATCAGCAAGTGCTCAATAGAATGACTTCTTGCTATCGTCGTACTAGGTCCTTGAACTCACAAGTACACCCTTTTTACGTCGAGGGGGGTAAACTTGGTACCTCTGGAGAGAAGGCCACCTCCAGCTGCTTTGAAAAGGTTGGCAATGACATCCTCAATGTCACCGTGACGGAAAGCCTTGTCTTCGAGGTATGAGAATGAAGGGATGTTGCCGGCACCGAACGCGGCGACTTGGGGGGTGAAGGAGAGCGCCACAAGGGCAACGAGCAGGAACAGGAGAGCAGTCTTCGCCATGGTCGTTGAATTATTGTTGGTTCGTGAGAGGCAAAAGAAATACTTGACCGAAAAGGGCACAGCAGTTGCACAGCAGCAACGAGGATGTAATCCTGGCAGGCTTGGCGGTCACCACGTCACCACTTGTTGCGCGTTCGGATCTTGGAAGGCGTCGTGTTGGACACAAGGCAGGGATATGCAGCCCATGTATACTCCCTGTTGACTTCCGAGAGCTATAGGCAAGTCCGTGTGATTCATGCATTGGAAGTGTAAAGCTGTGACCCGAGCTGTGTAGTAATGAAGCGCCGCGTCTACTAAGCCAACTTTCCACACATGGTTTCCTGATCGCAAGGCAGGGGACGTTGTCTCAGGTAAGTGTGGAAGGAGAACTGCGCTGACGTTTCTAGTTCGGGGTCCACTATCACATACCAGAAGAGAACGGAGATTATGGTAGGCTTGAACAGGTTAAGAAGTGGCACCTGGGATTGAGAGACCCTTGAATGTGGGCTTCTGTAGGCTGGGGCTGCAGACACATACCACAAGGCTATGAAGGGAACACACTGTTGCAAAACTCGAGACAGCAAAAGACACCAAAGCTGCACCAAAGACACCTAGTACATGACAGTAGTACTCGTACTTTTGATTCCAGCCTGCGTAGCTCGGCGATGACCGCTTGTCAGCCTCCACCTCCACCTTTTCCACGACGTCCAAACGACGTCAGTCGGTAGGCAGTCAGTAGGCGATCGTCATCATCTCCCATAGCAGTTCGGCTCTCGAGATATCGGGTTGGAGACTCGCCTGGCTTGTATGCATCTTGACTTGAGAGCATAGTCGCTGACTCATGCTGTAACCACGAAGAGGCTGCACAGACGACTGCAACAGAACAGAAGCCTCCACTTTCGCTACCGAAGAGATTATGCTTACACCGATCTTCATAAGCCAACCGGATTTTGTGAGTAAGCGCACGTTATGAAATCATGGAAGTCGTATAAATGAAGTGACTATTCTTTCCTGTTCTTTCAACTTCTTTATCACCGTTCATCTGCACACCTACATATTTCGTAAGTCGTTGCCATTCCTTCCCCCCAAGCAGCCTCTCACAAGTCACAGCATAACAGTAGTACAAATACAAATAAAATGTCCGCCATTCCTCAGACCATGAAAGCTTGGGTGCAGAACGAGGTGAGCTGCCTGCAGTCACTCCCATTGCAACAGAGACGCTGATATATCTACCCCAGTCCAGCGCCTTGTCCATCCAAGAGGTCTCTGTACCGGAGCTGAAGGCCAACCAAGTGCTTGTGAAAGTGCAGTACGCCGCCCAGGTTAGCTCCACCTTCTTCTCTCGCATTCAAGTTGCTCAACAAAACGCTTTAGAACCCCACCGACTGGAAGCACGCTGCTGCTCTCTCTGTGCCCGGTGTCATCAACGGCTGTGACTATGCTGGTACCGTCGTCAAGGTCGGCTCTGGTCTCACTGCCTCCCGCAAGGTTGGTGACCGAGTCGCGGGTACCGTTCATGGTGGCTACTTCAAGGACGAGGGTTCTTATGCCCAGTACGCTGCTGTGGAGAGTGACTTGACCTGGGTCGTGCCCGAGTCTATCAAGCTTGAGGATGCTGCTACCTTTGGTGTTGGATGGGTGACTTCTCTCCAGGTGAGATCATAACGGTGGAAGTAGCTGTACAGTGTCGCTGACTCTACTACAGACCATCATCCAGCGCCAGAAGCATGCGTTCCCTGACGTCGAGCAGGTCTCTGGAAACCCTTGGGTACGTCGTGCTCATACATCCAAGGCGACAGAGGCTGACCGTCACCAAAGTACATTGTCTACGGCGGTTCCACTTCTGTCGGTCTCTTTGCTGTCCAGCTCGCCAAGGCCCTCGGCTACAAGGTCCTTGCCTTTGCATCTCCCCACTCTTACAACCTTGTCAAGTCTTACGGCGCCGACGCTACTGTCGACTACCACAACCAAGAGGAGGGTATTGCCGAGGCTTTGAAGATCACCGACGGTGGTGCTGAGTATGGACTCGATACCATCTCTGAAGGTGACAGCTTCAAGATCATTGTTGCGGCTTTGGGCAAGAAGGGCAAGCAGCTCAATGCTATCCTTCCCCCTCCCAAGGACATCAAGGATCTCAACCCCAACCTCTTTAGCGAGTGGACCCTTATGTACACGCTCTTTGGTCAGGTGAGTTTCTGTCCTCTTTTGCGACGCTTCAAAGCACTGACATGATCGGCAGGAATTCGACTGGACCCCTCGATCTCCTGGCAAGAACATCTGGCCCGCCAGCCAAGAAGACCGAAAGTTCGGTACCGAGGCTTTCAAGCACACCTCCACTATCATCGAAAAGTTTGGCATCAAGCCCAACCCTGTCCAGGTCACTGGCGGCTTTGAGGATGTTACCAAGGGTCTTGAGCTTTTGAAGGTGCGTCATTCAGTTCAGTTGGGGCAGTTCTTGCTGACTTCTCGCACAGAACAACAAGCTCTCCGGTACCAAGTCTGTCATCAAGATCGATGCTTGAGGATGTAGAGAGAGGAGAGCTATGAATCAGTCAGAAGTATAGTAACATGAATAAATGTCTCAATACAACTTTGCAGGGCGTACGGCACTCCGCCAGCACTTCTGCTATGTCATCTTCCAAGTCCTTTCGTAGATATACTCCTTTACGCTCTCATTGTGGGCAATGGGCACAATTCTCCTGAATAGCACAAGTCTTTTGAATAACACCGACACCTACCAGGGGCATAGTCTACCAGGACGCGGATCGATGATCGCTGGTGGGAGGTTTCGTCGAGAAGCTTCATCCGAGATATCAACCTGGCGCCGCCACTGACATATTCAAAGACCAGATGTGTAGATTCTGGTCGACGTTGTGAAGTTATTTGATGCAGAATGAAGTGCGACAAGTACAACTATCACAAGATGGCGAAGATGCCATGAAAACAGCCGACGGAGCGGAACCAAATTCTCAATCTTTGACCAGCGCTTTCAGAAATTTGCTCACACCTGGAGGCCATCCTATACCTCAATAACAAAACACTCGTCGACCTCGTCCTCGATACTCCGCCACCATGGACGCCCTCATCGCCTCTGCCGGTCCCTTGCAGTCCAACAAAAAAGGAAAATCTTCCAACCACCACCACAGAACACCCCATCCCACAGCCCACAACACCGTCGCCAGAGGGGAAGGCAAGAAGGCCATCGATCCCTCCACCCAATCCATTTTGGGAAGTACCCGCATACCCCACTCTTTCCACCAATCCAACCTCGCCACCGGCTCCTCGTCGGCACCGCTAAAGCCAGAGTCGTCCGTGGGAAGAATAGGAGACAAGAAGCTGAGGGCAAAGGTCGCGAGGCAGGATGTGGGAAACAAGAGAGCAAAGATTGATAGGGACGAGGTGAACGAGTGGCTGAACAAAGCCGTTGGTGGAGAAAGCGGGGGGATCGAGGTTGATGAAGACCTTGGAGAAAAGACATGGAGAGTCAAGCAGGACGAGATTGTCAAGGAAGTTGGCATGAATGTCAGGGGCAAGAAATTTGATCTCAAGATGGAAGACATGGGGAGTTATAAAGTGGACTACACCAGAAACGGAAGGTGAGTACAAGGTGTCTGCGAAGAAGCCTGCTGACATAACGAAAGACACCTTGCAATCGCTTCATCTCGAGGCCATATCGCGACATTCGACTGGCAAGCTGGCAGACTTCACTCGGAGATCCACCTCAAAGAAACTGTCAGAGATATCAAATTCCTTCACTCTGAAGCATTCTTCGCTGTGGCTCAGAAGAAATATGTGTTCATCTATGATCAGAACGGTGTCGAGCTGCAGTAAGTTCGTTTTGACTTAACGATGTGAAGGCTCACGTTTTTATTAGCAAACTGAAACAACACATTGACCCCATACATATGGAGTTCCTGCCATACCACTATCTCTTGGCCACCGTTGTGCGTACACAGTGCTCAAGCATGCGTGAAGTCGACTGACCACCGTTCAGGGAAACGCCGGCCACCTCAAATACCACGACACCTCGACAGGTGTCATGCTCACCCAAATCCCTACCCACCTCGGCTCTCCAGCATCCATGGCTCAAAACCCCCACTCCGCTATTATCCACCTCGGGCACGCCAATGGTACCATGACCCTCTGGTCCCCCAACATGACTACTCCCCACGTCAAACTTCTCGCCCACCGTGGTCCCGTCAACGGTATCGCAGTGGACCCGAGTGAGCAGAGTGCCGGGCGATATGTGGCCACAAGTGGTATGGATGGAACGGTAAAGCTCTGGGATGCTAGGAACTGGGGCAAGGAAGTGAGACAATGGAAGGTCCGAAACCAGGTCACAGACTTGGCTTTCTCTGGCCAGGGCATGCTGAGTGTTGGAGGGAAGAGTGGTGTCTCTGTCTTCCAAGACCTCCACAAGGATACTTACAAACCCCCTTCTCCATACCTCACCCTACCCCTCCCAAGCCTGACGGCATCATCCGTCAAATTCTGTCCTTTCGACGATCTTCTCTGTGTCGGACACGAGAGAGGAATATCATCTCTGATCGTTCCCGGTTCCGGTGAAGCCAACTTTGACAGTGGCGAAGCCGACTTGTACGAGACCCGTACTCGACGACGCGAGCGAGAGGTCCGAGGTGTGCTCGAGAAGATTCGCCCGGAACTTATCACTCTTGACACCGAGTTCTTGGGCAAGATCAGTGAAGGAAGAGGGGGTGAGACGCACGAGGAACGGGAGGGGAGGAGCTTCAGGCAGCTGGGCCGACTGGAGAGGCTGCGGGTTTCCGGCAAGGCTGATGAGGTTGATGCGGAGGGTGCCCCTGAGGACGAGGAAGAAGGTGGGGATGCCAATGCTGGTGAAAGGGCGGTGAGGGAGAAGAAGGAAAAGAGAAAGATGAAGGGCAAGGGCAGCGCTACCAAAAAGTACATGAGGAAGAAGGCCAAGAAGAACATTGTGGACAATTCTTTGGTATGTCGTTCGCTCTTCCAGAGGTTCCAAGACTAACAACAATCAGCTGCAAATGAAGGCCAAGGTCGCTGCTCAGCGGTCTGCGGAGGATACGAGGAAGAAGATCGAGCGTGGGGAGATTGTCAAAGAGACTGGCGCTTTGGCTCGATTCGGTTAGATTATATTTCTGTTGCACCCTGGCTAGACCTAGTGTTGCATTTGTATTTTGCATGGACCTTTTGCATATAACAAATTCATAAAGGCCCAAATATAGTGTACTAACTCTACCATCCGAACGCGTCTCCAAGGTAATGCCCAATATTCCCGACGTTCTCCTCCATGATCCTCTCCACCTTTTCCTCAATGCTCTCGAACGCCGCCTTTGCCCTCTCCCTCTCCTCATCGCTCATGTTCATTTCTTTGCCAGCAGCGCCCTGATTCGCTTCTTCCTGCTCCTTCTCCTCTTCCTTAATGACCGACTCGGGTATCGGCAAACCATAACGCTCTTCAAGAAGGTGCTTCTTCTTCGCTTGAACCTCGTCCTCGGTGGGAACATCTTCGGGGAGAGCAAGAGTGATCTCTGTCCGAAGCGTCCGCGCGAGATTACGGACAGTCAAAGCAGCCAGTAAAGGTGTGCCGACCGGGCGCCTGTTTGCATCCGTCGCCGTCTTTCTTCCGGCAAACGACATTCTCGATATCGTCGGTGGTGGTAATCTCGCTGTCACAACCTGCCTGCTGAACCAATCCGGAGAAGTTCCAGCATAGCAGCTGAGATAGTCTGGGACTTGTGTTATCGGCTTGCCGAGGGGAATGTGAGTAAGGAAGTGAGAGAGTGTACAAGGTGCGTGGGTGCAGGAGCCCCATTGGCAGGGGGTGTAGGTGCTAGGAGGGACGTGGAAGCTTTGTATGTGCTCGATGAGTTGGGCTGGGTTGGTTGCCCCCTCTCGGTGGGCACAGTCTCGCCAGAAGCAGCCAAATCTTTCGGAGTCATCTGGAAACGATTAGCCAAAGTTCAGCGGTCACCAAGTTCTCACTCACCTGATCCTTTTCTAAACCCAACACCGGCGATGACAAACTTTTGGTTGCCCATCGCGTCATTCCACACCTTGGCCGCAGCAGTAGGGAACGCCGCTGTAACATTCTTGATAACTTCGGACGCGCTCAATAGCGGCTCGTGGGAGCCGGGTCCGCTGAAGAAATCACGATAGGCATGCCAGAAAGTGACCTGCAGGACTTGGGCTGTCGAAGAGTACACAAAGATTTCGTGCATCCTAGCAGATGTGTCAGTTACAACTGAGAGTCATGGCAAAGTACTCACCATGCGATGGACCTTTGAGGTTCTTTCATGGCAAACAGTCTCTTTTTGGCCGCATCACTTAAGACGGGCGGTTCAGTTCCAACTTCCATGGCCAAGCCTCTCCCTGACAAAGGGTCGATCGTCTTTTGCGCCCATTCTCTCTCCAGAGTTCTTCTTTTGCTCGACTCGTCTGCCTTGTAGGCACCTCCGGCTGGATTGAGGACAGCCTTGGCCCTCATATACGGGACACCATCGTACAAGATCGACAGATTCTGGCCATTGTGGTCCAGCAAGACAGCGAGCGACTTGAGGTGTTGCATAAAGTTCGGGTCACAGAGGATTTGGCGGGCGTAGACTGGGTTCAGGGTGAATGCTGTGATGAGGTCGAGTACGAGATCGAGTGTAGCGCCCGGTGGGCGCAAGGCGAGCAGACGTAGGAGGTAGGGGACGAGTTCGGGAGGATAAGTGATGTTGGGGATGGTTTGGCCCATGATCAAGATAGGGAGGACATCGTTCGCGACCGCGATATCGGAAGACTCGATCAGGAGACGAGGAAAGACCTCGCCGAATATCCTTCTGATGCCAGGGATTTCGGTGTTCATGGCAGGGAATATTGATTGGATGGTAGCAAAGATGTGATGCACCGGTTCGGGAGACCGCAGCAACAGATGTTGGAGGAAAGGTATCGGCAGGCTGAAAAAGTCGTTCAAAAAGGCCAAGAAGGGCTCTTTGCAGATGGTCTTTGCGTTTGGTCCGCTAAACGACGCGTTTCGCAAGATGAGCAGCGAGTTGGTGGCTCTTTTCTCGACCGCGGGATCACTGAGCCATTCTGGCATTGTGGATAGGACCAGGTCCCTCTTTAACCGCTTGGCAGACCTGTCTTCGCCTTTGACATCCGCAAAGTCCAATCGGCCCTGTCTCAGCTCGAAAGCCGCAGCTTCCTTCTCCAGACCCTCCAGCCATTTCGTCGGCCACTCTTTGAGTGCCCCTACGCTGTCGACCCACGAGTCGAGCTTGAAGGAATCCGGGGCATCAAAGCTGGCAACTACAAGTCTTGGAAGGGCCCAGTCGACCTCGGATGGGATGGATGAGCGGAGGGCGAGGAAGAGCCTGTTGCGGGGGCCGGCATAGAGCTCGCGGTTGTCTGGGGTGTATGGTGTGACGCGTGAGGCGGGGGGCTGTGGGCGCTGGTGTTGGTGGGGGAGGTTTGCGATGGGGCGGCGCTGTTGAGCCCCTGGGAGATGGGCCATCCTGAAATGCTGGCGAGAGATGTAAGAAGCGAAGATAAAGTCGCGCACAGGAGGTGTTTGAAGGAGAGAAATACAATTACGTAATCAATGTCTGAGGTGACAACAACACCGCCATCTTAACTTCGAAATCAGTCACTTTGTCCATCTCATTCATTCCACTGGGCATCTCATTGGCCTTCCACGACGCGCAATCCCTCGGGAGTAACGGCAACGACCTGTACGACTCCAACCACTGTCCAACGAACGAATTTCAATCATCACAGCCGCAATGGCGCAACCACCAGAACCTCGCCGGTCGCAGTCCTCGACATCCCTATACAAGATGTACCACGGGCCGAACGGGGGTATGAATGGCCAACAGGTGGGAGAAGAAGAGCTCCAGAACCCCCGGCTGTTCTTTTGTAACTCATTTTGGGGACCTGGCGAGCGGGGATACGATGTAATCATGGCGAGATTGCGAGGAGCAGGGAGGACGGTTGAAGAATTGCGTGCTTTTTGGAAGGAAAGGTGAGAATTAGCCATGCATGTAAGGGGATAGGCTTGCTAACCAGGACATAGATCTGCTATCGAAGAAGACTATGCCAAAAGGCTCAACAAACTATCGCGTACATCACTTGGTCGCGATGAAGTGGGCGACCTCGCCGACTCCCTCAAGCATCTTCTCGCAGAAACAGCCCAACAAGCTTCATACCACTCGTCTCTTGGTAACGAGATCAAACAGACGGTGGAACACCCGACCTCGGAGCTGAGCGTGAGGATGAACAACTTGAAAAAGGGGCTGCAGGCGGCAATCGAAAAGTCGTACAGGAGTAAAGGCTTGCAGGAAGGACACGTGCAAAAGGTGTGTTCAGATTCGGCACATGTCGATCCACAGCTTACAAAAATGGCAGGCTCGTGAGAGGTACGAACAAGACTGCCTAAAGATCAACTCTTACACCGCCCAATCTTCCCTCACTCAAGGCAAAGAACTCGACAAACTTCTCTACAAGCTCGAAAGAGTCAAAGGCACAATCGGCGCCAATGAACACGACTTTTTGCAATTTGTCAAGGTGCTTGAGGGCACTAGCAGCAAGTGGGAACAAGAGTGGAAGAACTTTTGTGATCATGTGCAGGACATTGAAGAGGATCGATTGTCGGTATCGAAGGATCTCATGTGGGTTTATGCCAACGCAGTGTCGCAAGTGTGCGTTGAGGATGACAGTGTAAGTCTCTTATTGCTTGTAGGTCGCGAATCTGACGGTGTGTAGTCGTGTGAGAGGATTCGAGAAAAGCTCGAGCAGTTTGAGCCTGCCAACGACATCATCAACTTTGTCAAGGGTTGGGGCACTGGAGACCTGATTCCTGACACCCCTCGTTTCATCAACTACTCTGCTGGCGAGTCGTACCCTATCCAGCCGGCCTACCATGTCGCCAACTTTATGCGCATCTCGGCCAAACCGCCCATGACTCTTACACCTGGGGAAGAAATCCAGGAGCCAGCTGCGGAGCCAGAGCCAGAGCCTGAAGCTATACCAGAACCCGAAGCAGAGCCCGAAACAGCCTTCAATGCCAACGGTCTCTCCGATGGGATGAAGAGGACCACGTTGAGGGATGAGCCTGTGAAAACTCCCGTTGCTGAGCCCGGGAAGCCAGCTACAAAGCCTCCCTTCGGCGGCGTCGCTCTTCCCGGTATGTCCTCGGCTACATCGCCTGCTCAAGAGAAGGGACCTTCGTATGGGTCCATGCCTCCTCCTCCTGTGCCCTCGACTTTGTCTATGCCCGAACCTCGCGTACCTTCCCGTCAAAGCCAGGGTCCTCCTTCTCCTCGACGAGATATCAATGATGAGCAAGATCCTATGGCCAAGGCTCTGGCTGAGCTGCGCCGAGACCCGCCGCCTCCTAGCAGCGTCAGGAGAGCGCCCAGTCACAAAAGGGCAGATAGTGTCGTGTCTGCTGCTGGATCGGCTAGGGGTAGTGCATATGGAGGGGGCATCAAGTCCCCAGCTTCGCCCGGACCAGGCAGGCACTCGTACCACCAAGGTTCCGTACCCGCGCAGTCGCGATCGCCTCCTATCGACTCTTCATTATCGCCTCCTCCTGGTGGTCATACTGCTGCTGCCTTGGCCAGATCCATGGACGAGTTCAAGCACCACTCCGCCCAGAGTAACCGCAACAGCGTCAACTACTCCAACTTTGCGGACGACATTGTCGGTTCTCATCCCACTTCCCGACCTACCACACCTGTCATGTCACCTATCACTGGCCGCGGTCCTTCACCTGCCATGATGCAGGCTCCCAAACAACCTGCAACTCACATCGCAGATGAGGTACTTTCTCAGTACCACCAAGCGTTCCCTGGCGAACGCGAGCAGTCTAGGTCTAGGGCTGGATCTGTCATGTCCAACAGGTCTAGAAGTTCCTTCATTGAGCCTCCTCAGCAGGCGCCCCCATCCCCGAGTGCCCAGCCGAGACAAGGATTCGTGGGTATTGGCGCTGGAGGTGCCGCGCGCAGTCCCAGTCCTCAGCCATCTTCGTTCCGCTCGCCCTCGCCGAGCCCTGCCATCTCTCCCGGTGCACTTGGACCCCAGAATTTGGGCATCTCGCTGAACGCAAAGGGTGGAGTGGCGCAGGATACTATGGCGGAGCAATACAGGCGGCAATACCAGCAGCAGCAGCAGCAGCAGAATCAGCCTCCACCTTCTGCTCCTGGTCCGCAGATGGGCAGTTATCTCGGGCAGGGGAGCTCCCAGTACGGTGCTTCCGCCGGCCGTGGTCCATCGCCAGCGCCATCCTCGCAGCCTGGGTATGGCCAAAGAGGTTCCGTCTATAGCGCGCCCAAATCGCCTGTGGCTGCTTCGCCCATTGTGGGGCCGCCTGCTGTCTCTAATCGCCCCATTTCCAACTATGGCCAATCTCAGCAGCAGCAATACGATCAGAACGCTGTACCGAGCCCTCACTCACCGTATGCTCCAGCCTCTCAGCCGGCTTATGGACAATACGCCTCTTCCACTCAGGCGCCTTACACCCAGCAGGCTCCCGCTCCCGAGCCCAACTACTCCCAAAGACCCAACTCTGGCTATAACCAAGGTGCTGCTTATGGTCGAGGGCCTTCGCCTCAGCCTCAGCAGCAACCAATGTACGCGCAGAATCAGGGATACCAAGGCCAGCAGTACGCGAGAGGAGTCAGTCCTGCTCCCGGGGCACAGTCCCAGCAGTATCAGAGAGGCGTCAGCCCTGCTCCTGGTGCCCAAGCTCAGCAATATCAGAGAGGAGTCAGCCCCGCTCCTGCCCAGGCCCAACAATACGCTCGTGGTGTGAGCCCTGCTCCTGGGGCTCAGCAGTACGGTAGAGGTGTTAGCCCGGTGCCCGGAGTTCAGTCATACGGCTACGACCAGCATCAGCAAGGTTACGGTCAACCTAGAAGGTCGCCCAGTCCGGTACCGAACCAGCCTCCCGCTAATGCTACGCCCACCGGACAATGGTCCACCACCGGTCTTCCTGTCTTGTTCTGTAAGTCCATATACACTTGAAACATCCGCATAACTAACGAATATCGTGTGTCCAGACGTCAAGGCGTTGTACACCTACGAAGCCAAATCTTCTGCAGAGTTTGACTTCCAGGAAGGCGATATCATCGCCGTGACCAGTACGCCCGAGGATGGGTGGTGGTCCGGAGAGCTGTTGGATGAAGCGAGGAGGATCGCTGGAAGGACCGATTTCCCAAGCAATTTGTACGTCTTCTTCAATCCCTTCTGTACAGACTACTGACGCTTGTCTCTGCAGCGTTACGTTGTTCTAAAGATACCATGATATTATACGAAGCCTTTCTTGTGCTAATGTCCGATTATTATTTTGAAGTTTATGATGAGATGATGTGAATTGAGGGTATTCGTCTCAACGAATACTAGAACCACCTTTATACCTGGGTACTTGCCTATAGTACAATAGATGCATGGGATTACTATGACGAAACCAGAGCCCAAGATGCAATACACTACGCCCGACTTCAAACAACCTGATGACCCCTCCGATGGTAGAGACTCTACTTTCTGAACTTGTGGGGCTTTCGGGCGTTCTTCTCCTTTCTCTGTTCAAGTTGTCAGCGCCACGCCCCATCAAAATGATGATTTGACATACCTTGGCCATTGTAGCTCTGTGTTTTCTGATATCTTCGGCAGATCTGATACCAGAAGACTGCTTGACCCCACCCTTCTTGCCCGGCTTCCCGGGCCTGTCGCCGTCCCTGCCGCCCTTGCCCCTGGGACCGCTCTCCTCTCCGTCGCCCTCTTCCCTGTCCTTCCTCTTGACACCCACTGGTCCATGCTTGCCCTTCCTCCCCTGTCCCCCGACCGCGCCGCTGAGCGGGTCAACAGGCCCGTCCACCACATTCTTCCTCTTCTTCTGCCACTCCTTGTACTTGCCGCTGCTATACGTCGCCGGCAGCAGCGCTCCACTCTCACTCTTGATCATCTTTACTCCTTCGGCACTACCGCTCTTTTGGATAAACTTGTGCTTCTTACGATCCCAAGAGAGTTGAGAAGCCTTTTGAGCTCTGGGCCCCGCACCTTCGTCGGCGGTAAAGTCTGTGACGGCATTGTTGAGGTTTGTGGGCACGTCTGCACCGGTTTTCAGAGAGTAACCCTTCTCTTCATCGGCGCCTGAGCGGGTATGGTCAAGGAAGAAGGAAGGGTCTTTCCAATCTTTCTCGGGCAACTGAGGGAGCACAGCCGCTCTCCTTCTCTCCTTGGCCTTCACCGCCCTCTCTATGCCGCTCGCAGCTGCCTGGTCGGCCTCGGCCTTTGAAGCACGCTTCTTTTTCTCGTCAACCGTCTTCCTCCGCTTCTGCATGATAATAGCACTCTCACTCTCCCGCTTTCCAACTTCAAACACCGTCCAATCTGGCGTAAACTCGGCCACTTGCTTGAGCAATCGTGCTTTTTCCTCATTCACTTCGTCCTCCATGGCATTTTCAAACATACCATCCAACCTCGCTCCGCCCCGGGCAGAGAGCGCAGTGGAGAGCGCTTTGGAGGCGCGGTAAGAAATGGGGTTGGCCTTTGTACGTGAACGTTCAAACATTCCTTGACCCTTCTTCATGACGCCCCTCAAAGCGGAGAGATGCGGCGCAATTTCTTCTAGGGACGAAAAGACGTACTCGACATTTTCGCTCAAGAGCTCGGTGGGCATACTGCGGAGAGTATATTGGGCCTCGCCAAGACGCTCGGCGCCGATAAAAGCATGGAGGTCGCAGAAGTAAGGGTAGTCCTCTTTGACAACCAAGGAATAGGCGGTACCCTTTCTTCCGGCACGGGCTGTACGACCGACTCGGTGAATAAAAATACGCGCGCCGGCAGGGAAATCGTAGTTGATCACATGGTCCATGATGGGGATATCAAGACCACGAGCAGCAACATCAGTGACGACCAACACATCAGACTTGTGCGACCTGAAGCCTGCCAACTGTTGTTGACGGGCAACTTGGTCGAGAGACGAGTAAATCAGGGAAGTGCGGTAGCCGGTGATGCGGAGGAGCTCGGCGACATAGTCGACGTGATGCTTGGTAGCGACAAAGACGATAGCTTGAGGGGAGGCGTTGGTTTCCGACATTTGGGGCTGGTTGGGTTTACCGAGAACCTCCCGAAGAAGGACGAGCAAGGCCGCTTCCTTCTCGGTGGGCTTAACGGCAAAGAACTTGAGCGACAAATCTTCGGAGATCTTTCGCTCCGAGTCCAATCGAACGAGCAAAGGGTTTACGAGACCGGCTTTCGCGAATTCGGCCACGGACGTGGGGAGGGTGGCGGAGAAGAGAAGGTTTTGGCGGGTGGAGGGGAGACGGTGCAAGATTTCCCGCAACTGAACGTCGAAACCCATTTCGAAAAGACGGTCGGCTTCGTCGTAGATGACGGTTTGGAGGTGACGAAGGTCCATCTTCATTTCAACAATAAGATGCAGGAATCGACCAGGGGTGGCAATGATACTACAGCGAATCAGCTGATTCAGATGTAGAACCTCTCGACTTACATGTCTGGCTCTGAAGACATTTTGCTGAACTGAGCATCCATTCCTTCACCACCAATAATGACTGCCCATCGTAGAGCTTGTTTTGCTTCATCGTCCTCCGCCATCTCTTCGTCCTCGTCGACCTTCTTCTTGCCCTTTCCCTTCTTGCTCATCCCTCGCACAAGGTCCTTTCCGACAGTGTAGATCTGCATGGCCAACTCTCGACTCGGACACAAAATCAAAGCTCGAGGTCCTTGGCTTCGGTGTGCCGCTCCTGTTCGCTGGAGAAGAGGAATCATGTAGGCGAGCGTCTTACCCGAACCAGTCCTGGCCATACCAAGGATATCCCTGGGAGGTGTAGACAGTGCGGTCGGGATACTCGCTCGCTGAATGGGGGTGGGGGACTTGAACTTTCGAACGAGCAAAGACCTGATGAGGTCTGGGCCGACATCTGCAACATGGTCAGAGGTTGTTCCGAGATTCGTGGCAGGACGTACTGAGGGCACGCCATTGTGCGCCGGGGCCTGCGGACTTGTCTTTGGGGTCTGCGGTCTGGTTGTCTGCGAGAGCCCAGGAGGGGGTGGGCGCTGCCATCGCTGCTGGTTTTTGGCGTTCGTCGTTGAAAGTGATGGATCAGGAATTCACAACTTTTCCAAAACAACCTCCACCTCCCGTTTTACGTAAGCCCTGCCAGTTCTTCTTTTGAAGTTTTGCCACCATTACTCATGAATTCCAACGACTTTCTAATACTTCAACTCCGTTACGAGAACATCTATACAGTCCACGACCATGTTCACCTGTATCTCCTGCAGGGTCGCATTCGAGACTGCCGACGAGCAGCGCGGCCACTTCTTGACCGACTGGCATCGGTACAACATGAAGAGGAGAGTCGCAACCTTGCCTCCAGTCCCCGCCTCGGCCTTCAACGAAAAGGTCATCGAGAGGAGAGAGCAGAATGCTGTCAGGACGGACCCCAGGAGCATGGCTTGTGCCGCTTGCAGGTGAGCCGATTGAATTCTTGTGGCGGCAGTCACTGACAATACACAGAAAGACATTCTCTTCCGAGAACGCCTACCGAACCCACGTCCAGTCGAGAAAGCACCGAGATATGGAAGCTAGCTATGCTCGATCCGGCGAGCAGCCCGAGCCTGTTGCTTCTACCTCTCAAGCCCAGGACGAAGAGTCTGACAGCGAGGAAGAGAAGGAAGAGACCGGTATGGAAGTTAATGGCGAGGAAGGCGAGGAAGAGGAAGAAGTCGATTTCGAGACTCGTATGGCCAACATTCGACGCCGTATAAAGCCCACCGACTGTCTCTTCTGTACCCGACATCTCGAATCCCTCGAGGAGAACGTCTCCCACATGGCTAGCGCCCACTCCTTCTTCATCCCCGACCAAGATATTCTTGTCGACCTCTCTGGTTTGCTTGGGTACTTGAGTGAAAAGATTGCTGGTGCCAACATGTGTCTCTACTGCCCCAACGGTGGAAGAGAGTTCGGTAGCATGGAGGCTGTGAGGAAACACATGATCGACAAGAACCACTGCAAGTTGGCGTACGAGACGGTGGAGGACCGTACAGAGTTGGCAGACTTTTACGCGTATGAGAGTGGGAGTGAAGATGAGCAATGGGAGGATGAGGATGGAGACGATGAAGAGCTCGGCTCCGACGAGGAGATTATTGACGTTGGTGAGAAGCCCGTCAAAAGCAAGAAGCGCTCTGTCGCCCTTGCCTCTGACGGTCTTTCCCTCGTCCTCCCCTCTGGCCGTACTCTCGGTCACCGATCCCTCAAGGTCTACTACGACCAACGCTACCGACCCGCCACCGAGTCTGGCGTCGACCCCTCCTCTCTCAAAGTGGCTCAGGTCCGCAAGCGCCTTGCAGACCCCACTCTTGCGTTGGTGCCGACCGCTGGTGGTCACGGTGCATTCGGCAAGGGCCAGCAGTTGATGAAGGCGAGGAACGCCGGTGAGGCCAAGTGGGCCAAGAAGCAGGGCAGGAGTTTTGCGGACCAAAAGTTCAGGGAGCTGCACAAGACCAGGGTTGGGTACATTCACAACAGTCAAGCCCATTTCCGAGACCCTCTTTGTGAGTCTTTTGTTCATCTGAATCGGATTGAGCTGACATACAAAAGTGCAATAGTCATCTTTGTACAATCTTGGAGATGGTGCGGGCGGCACATATCTCAGCATCGCAATTAGAAAAAGGCATAAGGCATTGAAACATTGTGTATGATGATACGTATACATGTACAATAGTCATTAGTATAGTACAAGTACACGTTCCCTTCTTCGTGAGACAATGTCTATCTACTTTCCCGGTCTTCTCATGACCTCTTCGACATCTCTTTGAGCGAGACCAGTAGGTGCTTGCCTCTTAAGTTGTCTGCACAAGTATCAGCGGCACGTCCACCCGGTACTGCTCATGACTCACTCTAACCTCCCCTTGTCTCCCTTCTCTCTCGCCAACTCTGCCGCCCTCCCCCATTCTCCACATTCCACATACAAATCCACCCTAGCCTTCGCATCACACCTCGCGACATAACTCGCCGCCTTCTGCGGCTCTCCCACCTTCAACAGATGCCTAACAAACGGCTCATAACCAATCGGGCTCTTCTTTGCCTTTGCAAACACTTCCAGCGCATCCCAATCCTTCACCTCGGCCAGCGCTTTTAGCTTGACCCACCAGAACCTCTTGTCTGGGACTCTATAGTCTGATCGCACCTTTTCCGCGCGTTTGCTGAACCCGCCTATGAGCAGGGCGTGGATGAAGGCGTTGACGGAGAGGGAAGCAAAGTAGTATTGGTGTGTGGGTGTGGAGAGCTCGTTTTGGTACGAGTCTTGGAGGGTGAGAAGACGTTGGGCGTCTTCGGCCATCTTGGATTCGAATGCTCGCTCTTTGCTTTCCCCGAAATGCCTTGCCGCTTCGCCAAGCCTCTCTTTGCGCTTTTCCACGCTCGCACTCTCGCCGGCTTCTTCCATGTCCAGACACCCATTCTCTGTTCGTCTGTCATCTTGGTAATAAAAGTTGCGTAGCAGCTGTCGGTCGGCTTGGCGGGCGTAGACCTGGAGGAGGTTGACGGCGGGGGAGAGGTTGGGGGAGAGAGAGTCGTCGAGGAGATGGAAAAAGTCGCCTGGCGTGAGAGAGGAGTGAAGGTTGAGAAGGACCTGATACACTATCATGTCATCAGTCATGATCTTTCATCTCTACAAAGCGTCGCTTACCCAGATCAGTATCCCCTGAGTCAACAGCCTTCCCCAGAGCAAGCTTGTCCTGCTTCATCTCCAACAACAACGGCACCTGCTCCGCAGCCCTCGGCTCGTGATCCAACAACATTGTCGCCAACCTCGTCCTCCCAGCCTCCCACGCCTTCTTGGCAATCTCGGCATAAGACACGCTGCGTTTACCTTCTTTCTGGAATTTGGCGACGATGGCGGAGCATATGGTGTGGTCGTCTGCGATGCCCCGGTCAGAGGGGTCGATGCTTTGGGAAGACGCGTGGGTGATTTTGGCGATGGCCCAGTGTTTCAGCACCGCGTCCGGGCGTAGATGCAGGTGTTGAGAGATACGGAGAGCGAGGAGGTGGAGGTTTCGTGATACCAAGTGGGAGATGAGGAAGGTCGGGGACGCAGAAGTGTACTGTTCGTAGGTGATGGGTATGCCTACTTGGTAGTATCTGACCGCATTGAGGACTTTGAGGGTTTGCGCCATTTCTACAAAGTCGGAGGGGTTGTACAGGTCTATGAATGCCCGGCCGAATTGAGCAGCCTATAGAGAGTCAGCCTTGTCACTTTCGACAAACGCCTACTCACCCTCAGCAGCCTCTTTTGCCAATACGAATCAATCTCCCTTCCGGCCGCCTCTATGCACGTATCCACCGCATCTGCCAACTCTGCCCTGATATACCGCACACTCTCATCTGCCTTCGGTGACTTTCTCTCGAAATGATCCAGAGCATCAAGGAGGATGGCAGCAGGATGTGTAGAGCCTGGTTTGAACACTGCGAGTGAATAGTCTGGGACCTTTTGGATAAAGTCGCAGACGTGGGAGGATATCACTCTCAGGCCGTCGATTTCGCCGACCAAATGGGCTGATGGAGAGTAGTCGTATATCAGGCAATCTCCTCCGGGGCCAGCAACTGCCACCTTACCGCCCCAGGCAATCACCACCGCGTTGTCGCCGCACCACTCCACCCTATCCGGCTGTCCATCGCCCCACTGCGAAACGTCCACTTCGGACAGGTTCCGGCTCAGATCAGAGGAAACGACCCATAAGGTGTTGAACACTGTGGGGAGAGCAAGGAATCGTCCGTTGGGCGAGATCCTGATCTGGGAGAAGGGACCGCGAGAGACGTGCTGGTCGATGCGCTCAAGAGCGTCGAGAGTGATGATGGTGTCGTTGATGGAGAAGAGTACTTGTACGTGTCCGGAGGGTGATTTGTCGGGAGACAATAGAGTCCAAGATGCCGGTAGCTCTTTCAGCTCTGCGAACGCGTCAATATCGCATCTCATGGAGAATGGTTGAGCTCACCACTCGGGCACAGGGGCACCGCCCGGCCACCACCCCATCGCCGTACTTCCAAGAATTGCAGATCTCCCGTCAACACCACCAGCCCATCCTCCCATGCTTGAGCTTCTATGATCCCCACGCTCGACACTTCGCTCCCGAGCGTATATTGCTTGTACTCTGTCGGATTCGACAAGTCGTAGACCCGGTAGAGACCTTCGTCGGAAAGGACAATCAAGTTTTGTGAGGTGAAGTGAAGCAGCACTGGTGGGGTCAAGTCCCATGTAAGAGTGCTGAGGAGTATACCTGAGGATGTATAGACGTAGATCTTGGGCTTTCCTGCAGCATGTCTGCCGAGTAGCATGATCTTGCGCTCATCCCTGATCATGGCTTGATACACGTCAGTACATTACTACAGACGCAGACTTGGCGAGCTCACCAACAGGGCCTCCGTTCTTCGCTGTGGCCACGATATAGTCTGACAGGTCTGGTATGGACCAGGACATGTCATAGACGGTGTCCTTGCGGTAGAAGACATCCTGGATGGTGTCCCAGCTGCTACGGGGTAAGCCTTGTAGGGGCTCGAGATACTCGTACGTACGTGGCGACGGGGGAGGACATTTCGATTTGTTGTGACTGGAACAACCACCACCGCCGTCATCATTGTGAACCGTCGGGCACGGGCGGGACCAATTTTGGCTGCGGTCAATTAGCAGCGGCCATATCACCAGAAAATGCCCCGCACCCAACTGCCCAGGAACGTCGCTATCCTCCGCTATCTGTGACAAGCAGCGGGCAATTCAAAGACTATCTCGCCACTATCTCACCCACTTGCTGACATGTATCAGTCACTCTCAGTAAGCTAACGCCGCATGGCTCACGTAAGGGCACGGTACCCAAGAGATGCGAGATAAATATATAAAGTATAACGTCTGGCCGGCTCCGTACTGACCCCCACTACCCACCTCGCCATGACTTACCCCCTCAGCGATCGCGAGGCAGCAATCACTCCTACCACTATCCAATCAATAGCCTCGTCATGGTCTACAATGGAAATAGCTCAATCCGACAAGCCGATAGCTAAAACCAACAAGCCTATCAAGGGTATCTTTTCCGAGCCCGGCAGTCTTCCCTTGCCAGATGCTGGTCACCACTCATTAGGCGTCGTCTGGGAGAATGTCACGGTGGAAGGATCTGGTGGCAGTAAAAAACTTACTGTGCAATCGTTCGACATGTCTGCTCTGAGAGTGAGTTCCTTTTGAATGCGAAAGAGCACCGTTGACACCCCTCAGGTGTTCTATGTCTGGGGCTTTGTCAAGAAGATATTCCAGATAACAACCGGACCGACTCGGCCGCTCATCCAGAACTTTTCCGGTGTGGTTGAAGAGGGAGAGGTCCTCCTCGTCCTCGGTCGCCCGGGCTCCGGCTGCTCTACTCTTATGCGAGCCTTGTCCAATGTCACCGAACCTTTCGTGGCGGTCAACGGTGACATTGCGTACTCTGATATCCCTGCTCATGAAGCCAAAAGTAAGCCTCGTTACGCTACCCAATTGGGATCGACTAATGATCTCCAGGTATTATGACGGCGAGATCATCTTCAACGCCGAAGACGACGAAAATATTCCCCTTCTCACTGTCGAAGAGACTCTGAAGACTGCTATCCGCCTGAAAGAACCCCGGAAGAAGGCCAACAAAGAGAGAAGAGGGGAGTACGTCGAAGGCATCTTCAGCCATCTCTTGCATACGTTCGGTATGCCTCACATAAGAAGACCAAAGGTGAGTGTGACGAGCTTCATCGTGATCATTCCTTACACTCTTCTAGTTGGCGACCAGTTCATCCGCGGTGTCTGAGCGCTGGTTTGTGGGACTTTGATTAACCTCTCTCAGGTGTCGAGCTCGCTGCAGACCCGGAGTTCCTGCTCTTCCTCGACGAGCCCACCTCAGGCCTCGACTCCCAAGCTTCCTACGAGATCGTCCGTTTCCTCAAACGTATCGCGGCCTCCGGTTTCGCTGTGCTCCGTACGATCCACCAACCGTCGGGCGACTTGTTTGAGATGTTTGACTCGGTCGTGCTTCTGGCGCCAGGTGGGCACACTGTCTACGTGGGAGAGACTGGAGAACACGCCAGTGCTGTCGTCAACTACTTTGCGTCTAGAGGTGCCGACTGTCCGCCCGAGGCGAACCCTGCTGAGGTGCTTTTGAACACGTGAGTCTCCCCTTCAACTTGTTGTCACCGACTGACGTTCCGAAGCGTTGCGCCAGTTGGAGGCACTGCAGTCGACTGGCCTGGGCTCTGGAAAGAGTCCCCTGAAGCCGCAAACGTTCAAGCCAAGATCAGCGAATACACTTCTCGCCACAACCACAAGTCTGCCGACCTGGAAAAGCAAAGCGATGCAGAACCCGAGGAGGGACATGATGCATATGCGTCTTCCTTCATGGTCCAGACCAAAGAACTGGCTGTCAGAAACTTCAGGGCTCAATGGCGAGGTAAGTCCCCTGTCCTATACCAATCGATGCAGCTGACGTCTGGTAGATGGCTCCTTCTAGATTACGCAAATGGTCCTCACCATCTTCTTCGGCCTTTTCGTCGGCTTCTACTTCTTCCACATCGAACACACTCAGGGCAACATGGCCGCTGCCTCCCTCTGCCTCTTGTTCACCGTCCAAGCCATGCCGGGAATAGTAATGGACGTGGGTATCAACTACCTCGCCAAACTCGACATGTACCTCGCCCGAGAAAGGCTGGGTATCTACTCATGGCAGGCACTGATCACCTCGCTGCTCGTGGTCGCGATGCCAGTGCTTTTGCTCGGCTGGAATATCATGTTCTTCTGTTTCTACTGGACGGCGGGATTCGTTGGGGGGACGCCTGGGGATGGAGTGTTGATCTGGCTTTGTTTCGTCTTGTGCGCGTTCTTGACTGCAGGCTTTGGTATTCTTTTGGGTGCTGTCTCGCCGAAAGAATGTCTCTGCCTTACATCCTGTCGCTCGTTTGGAACTGTGAGTCTACCTATCATCGCATCTGGAGTACTGGCTGATATCGCTGCAGTACTCAATACTCTATCATGGGCTCTGGTGTTCTACGACGCCCTTCCTGCACCTTTCCACTACTTTTTCAGTGTAAGTCTCGCCTGTATCTACCCTTACAGTCTCTAACATTGTTCACAGTGGCTATCTCCTCTTCGATACCTCTACGGCGCCCTCATGACCCCTCGCTCGTCCACCTCCCACTCACCTGCACCGCCAAAGACCTCTTCACCTTCGACCCCCCCGTCCGGCCAGACCTGCATCGACTATACTGCTTCATACCTGTCCACCACATCAGGATTTCTAGTAAACCCAGATGCCACGTCTGCCTGCCAGTACTGCTCAAATAGCACCGGAAGCGACTATGTGAGGCAGATGGGCTTTTCGGAAGGTGCAATGTGGCGAGACTGGGCTTTGACTATCGTCTGGTGTATCTCGAATGTCGCCTTCTGCTTCCTGTTCACTTGGGGAGTACTTTGTCACCAGCCTTATCATGGACTAACGAACTGCACAGGCTGATAAAGATCCAACCCCTGTACAAGAAGAGCTAGATAGACAGCCCGGCGTTTGGCTGTCATCAGAAGTCTATAGAATATAATGTTCGTTTGGATATTTATGCATTGTTATTGTTTACATTTATCGGTGTCTCGGATGCAGCAACTCTCACCGTACCCCACGCAGCATGACGAGAGAAAGCTGTCGCTATCAGCTATCGCTAGTTCTGCCGGGATCTGCCTGAACTACGCGACATCTTCCCCGGATTCTACTTTGCTACGCCACAATTCGCATCTCATCTCTCTTTTCTTCTTATTCCTTCTTTAATTCTATCCCACCAACCACCGCATACATACATACACCATGGCTCCCACTCCCAGACTCAGGCTCGAGAACAAGGTAAGCTGCCTGCCTCTGCGATATTTACGCAGCTGACACCCTCTGCAGGTCGCCATCATCACTGGCGCCGGATCGTGCGTATAGAGACGAGGCCAGCCTTTTTCTGATACTAATATCGACACTACAGCGGCATCGGTCTTGAAACCGCCCTCCAATTCGCCTCTGAAGGCGCGTCCCTGGTCATCTCCGACATCAATCTTCCTGGTGTCCAAGCCGCCGCCGAACTCATCAACAAGCACTACCCCACCTCTGGCACTGTCGCCGTCAAGTGTGACGTGAGCAAGGAGCCCGAGGTCAAGGCGATGATTGACAAGGCTGTGGAAGTGTTTGGGCGATTGGACGTACTTGTGAGTCTTATCCGGCCACGGGAGGGGACGGGATGGAGGGCGCGTGCGGCGGCTGATAAGGACACAGTTCAACAACGCTGGTATCATGCACCCTGCCGACGACGACGCTATCGCCACCGAGGAGAAGATCTGGGACCTTACCCAGGCTATCAATGTCAAGGGTGTGTGGTATGGCTGCAAGTATGCCATCCAGGCCATGCGAAACGTACGTCCTTTGCCTTGTCTATGCCCTCCCCCACGCTAAAGGTATGCACAGAACAAGGAAGAGCCGGAGAAGGGTCTTTCCACCGGTGGTTCCATCATCAACGTTGCCTCTTTCGTCGCCATTCTCGGTGCTGCCACCCCCCAGCTCGCCTACACTGCTTCCAAGGGTGCCGTCCTCGCCATGACCCGTGAACTCGCCATGGTCCACGCCCGTGAGAACATTCGTTTGAACGCTCTGTGTCCCGGCCCTATCCGCACACCGCTCTTGATGGACTTTTTGAATACACCAGAGAGGCTGAACAGGAGGATGGTGCATGTGCCTATGGGGAGATTTGGAGAGGCCGTCGAGCAGGCCAAGGCTGTTGTCTTCTGTGAGTCCTTTCGTGTATGTCCCATGATCAAAGCTGATGGAGGTGCAGTGGCTTCGGATGACTCTTCTTACATTAACGGTACCGACTTTATGGTTGACGGTGGTCTTCACAAGTGCTACGTTGTGAGTAGATCGAGTGATTGTGGTATATCCATGACTGATGATCGCGCAGACTCCCGACGGCGAGCCTTCCCAAGCTGGTCCTACTGGCCTCCTCGCCACTTTGGCGAAGGCTTAGAGGGTGTTCGGTGGCGTTACGGTGTTTGTAGATGGTTAGACGAAAGAAGCTTATATGTATACGAAATGCAATGTCATACTGTGCTCGCTACATGAAAGCACCATATGGGTGGCATGCTGATGAAGTGTGAATGAATTATACTATATGACGTGTCTACTTTCTATACCCAGGTAATGACTCCCTTCTTGCCCTTCTCTCCCAGCTCATCCCCGCCAACATAGAACCTCTTCAATACCTCTGGCAATCTCAGCCCGGTATACACCACATCTTCTCCCTTCTTCTCATACGTCAATCCATTCTCGAGCAGCGCCACGAGCAGTCTCGGGATGGCTGCCGCTGTACCGTTGAGAGTATGCGCGAATGGCAGAGGACCAGAGGACGGTTCTATCGACGCTGTAGGCGAGCTGGGGGCGGGGCGGTAAGTAATGGCGAGACGGCGGGCTTGATAGTCTGTGCAATTCGATGTGGAAGTAATCTGCTGTCATGTTAGGTGGTAGATTCAGAGGATACGAAATGGGACTTGCCTCTCCCCAGTTACCACGCCCGGGCATCCACGCTTCCATATCGTACTTTCTCTGTGCGCTCGCGCCGAGTTCCTCTGTCGGCATGTCCAACACTCTGGTCTCTTGTCAGCTGTCGTTCATCACGCAGCGAATACACTCACCGGACACTCAATCCCAAACCCTGTGCAATCTCTTTCTGTATTTCCTTGAGCTCTTCCATGCACTTTTCACTTCCCTCCTGGTCTGAAACTACAAACAGCTCAACCTTGGTGAACTGATGCACCCTATAGAGACCCCTCGTGTCCGCCCCCCTGGCACCAGCTTCAGCCCTGAATGCCTTTCCCACGCCGACCACCTTTTGCGGCAGATCTGGCGCTGGGAAAATTGTCTCTGCAAACATGCCTGCCAGCGGAATCTCGGACGTGCCAGTGAGGCAGAGAGGCTCGGCCTTTTTAGAGGCAGACGTGGGGAGGAGGTGGTATGTCTGGGAAGAAGATCCAGAGGGGTCTCGGGGTTGGAAACCACATCGCCAGGCAATGTCGCTCTTGATCACATCAGGCGGGGCCACTGGACGGTAACCCTTCTTCACAGCGATACTGAGAGCATAGTTGATCAAGGCCTGTTCCAAGAGAGCGAGAGGCCCGATGAGGTATGGCCATGAAGCGCCGGTGGTGGTGGCAGAGGACGAAGGGGAGAGAATTCCAAAGTATGCGGCGAATGCGGTGTGATCCCTTGCTTGGTCGGCAGGAGTAGGTGGGGGTCCGAAGGTCTCGAGGGTCACAGCCTTCTCCTCTGGACCTATAGGTGTCGAGGGATGCGAGAAGTTGGGTAAAGCCAGGGCCATATCCAGCAAGTTCTCTTCGGCAGCCAAGAGCGCAGATTCGTACTCTTTGACCTGGGTTTTGAGATCTTTGGCTTGCTGCTTGATATCCTCGGCCGGCGAGCCTTTACCCTGCTTCATGAGGTTGCCCACCTCTCTCTGCTTGGCCCGCGAAGCGTTCAACAGTCTCATAAGTTCACGCTGAGAAGTCCGCAGATCTGAGAGTCTTGACAGGTGATCTGAAGGGAGAGGAAACGCGCGGAGTTTTGCATTTTGAGCTGTCAGGGCTGGGTCGGACAGTAGGCGTTGGTAGTCGAGGCGTGGCTTGGGTATGCTCCGCCGCGCTGACGACGAGAAGAGACGGGCTGCGTGTGACATGTCAGCCATGCATGGGGCGGGTCTGGGCGACGCACCTGGGGTATACGATTTCATGGCGGTGACGAGAAAAGTCAACAAATGATAGAGAAGATAGATCTCGGTGATCTGAGGCACGGCCGGCAATGTCCGCAACGGGGATCGTCTTCTCCATCAGATGGTGTGAGCAGTTCTTTCCAGATCACCGCAAAACATTCACAACATCGCCCTCCAGGGGTTCCAAGACCCCCCTCTTGCACATCCATACCATGTGGCGGTACCCAGCCTCGCCCAACCACATCTCCGCCCCCACAACACGCTCCTCCACTCCCGACCTCGCTCCGACAACATCCCGAGACGACTCAGGCCGCCCTTTGCGCCTTGCACCACAAGTGAATTCTTATTCCTCACCCAAGAGCAGTGAGGCCGAAATGGTAAGGTTTGAGAGTAACGTCTCGCGGCAGACTTCGAGTCTTGCTGAGAAGAGAAAGCGCTCGCCTGGACGGGGAATGATGCCCAAAACAGGATCCCCTTGGTTGGCTTCGGATCATCAGACCTTGAGTGGGAATCGGACAGTTACACCAGTGGCGGGCTCTTTAAATGGGTGGGATGCTATACCGGCTGGAGAGGAGTACTATGGAAATGGCTATGAAGTGCCACGCCCAGACTATGGACAACTACCCGCTGCTGGGTTTACTAGTGTCGAGCAAGAGGTGAACCAAGTGAGTCTTGCTCCTGCCTAGGAAGATCGATGCTGACGTTTCCAGTTGCGGACGAACCTGAATGAAATCATTTCGTTACTGCAATCATTTGGTGAGTTCTGCCTTGCACTTGGCATCAGATCTGACCACTCGTAGCCCCGTCAGCTCAACAACCGCGACCACCTCCTCCTCCACTGTATCTGACGACCCGTTTTACGCGTCTCTCCTCATCTGTTCACCAATCCCTCTCCTCTCTGGCACCACACCTCCATACAAACCTTGCTCCTGGATTCATTCCTTCCTTTATCCCTCCTGCCACTCTCCTTGCTCCCGCTCCCATCTCCCCAACCGCCTCTACCGCCAAAAAAACAGATCCCGAGTCTAGTACCGAAGCCCAAACTCGAAGGAAGAAGGTGGAAGTACAAGCAGAAGAACATAATTTGGATCAAACCAGGCTGGAAGAAGAGATGAGCCAGGCGGAGAGAGAGATGGAGGTTATCAGGAAACGACGTGATATCCTCATCGCGCGTGCCCAAGCAGCCGCTGCTGCAGGCCATAATAGCGTCGGAGGTCGACCCAACTCGAAACTGCGTCCTCCTGCCACTTCATCTTACTCGGGTCGCAACGGCATCAACGGTTCCCCTGGCCTTGGCAACTTCTCGGCCCTCTCGGAGGCCAGCGAGATTGCCTCGTCGCGGCTGCTACAACATAGGGGCTTGGGGGAGGACGTCCCTATCACGGCTAAAAGTTTGTCGTGGGTTGGAAGATGTCATGGGTGTGGCATTGGGGTGAGAGACGGGTGGAGGGAGGGGCCGGATGGCCCGGATACACTCTGTGAATCTTGCGGGGTGCGTACCTTTACTTCGCACATCTTATCCGACCGCTGACAACCTCTACAGGGCCACTATGAAAGGCTGACGAGGAAGAAAGTGGTAGAGCCATACAGGGACAGTGATACAGAGTCCTCAGCATGATCTCCTAGAGTACTCAACCGCTTAGAGATTGCGCGTCGCAGGCCGACCGGGCATACGCGCAGCGGCCTCCAGTACGAGTACAGTACGCCGTCTTCTCGAAGAGCTCGAGAAGGAGGAGTCATATAATGGTAATCTCAATCAAGGTTGTATATCGTACCTTAGTTCAGACCTACAAATTTGTCTTCATCGTAATAGTAACTCGGTTGTCGAGTTATGCCACTGCTATGCCCAAGCAATTGATGCGTCAACGAGCTCGTGTTCCAAGATACTGCGTAGGGCGGCTGCAGGCGGGCGGATTTGCACTCTCACTCATCCCTGGTAGATCAACGTCGCCCATCAAGGTCTATATTAAGAGTAAAGCGACGGAACGAAGTCACTTCAGATGACAGAGGAGATGAGCGCACTCTATCGGCCTTCTCCGAGAAAACACCGACATCTCGGCTATCAACCAGTTGCGAATTTGGTTCCCCGCTGAATATCGACCCCGTACCCCATATACACATTCTTACAGTGTGCGATATGACCTCCCAAAGAATCGCAAACAGTGTCCCAGGCTACGCCAAATTCCCTTTCTTGTGTAAGTCCCTATCGGACCTCTGAGCTCCCAGCTGACTCTCATCTTAACAGCCGCAGCGGTGGTGTCCAACGGCTTTGTATACTGCTCCGGCCAGATAGGTGCTACCCCCGATGGCAAACTTGTTGAGGGTCCCATCACCAAGCGGGTCGTGCGTCCTCAGTCGCATCCTCGACGACCTTCTTTCTCAGGTCGTCTACTGACGCGCTCGAACGAATAGAAGCAGATCATGGATAATCTGGAAGCCGTGTTGAAAGCCCATGGGAGCGGGCTCGAGCATACTGTCAAATTCAACATCTTTGTAGGCGTACCGCTGTATATGTTGGGTCGCGCTCATCCCGTTCTTCCTAGATCACCTCCTACGACATCTTTGACGAGCTCAACGCCGCATACACCAAGCGTGTTCCATCACCCCCGCCTGCCAGGAGCTGCATAGGGGTGGCGACCCTTCCCAGGGGAACGGATGTAGAGATTGAGTGCGTGGCTGTGCTGCCTACCAAGGCCAAGTTGTAGGAGGGCAACAACATCATAGGTGCTGTGGCTCGGCGTCTTGGGTCGTCAGATCTGAGTTGGAGCGCGCCGGTAGTGAGATAGCTGTCGAGCTCGGCGCTGAGCCACGAGGGAGCTGCAGCCTATGCATCCTTCTATATGCGAAAGCTCAGTCGAGACCAAAGAGCAAAGGTACCCATCTACCGTATGTTCAGATACTTAGTGATATGATCTTAGTTGGCGACGCTTGCTCGTCGCATGGTCAGCTCATTGTCCTTGTTCAGCTAGCGACATTCAGCGCAACCTGAATCTACGCCTCTCTTTCGGGTAAGCTACCTGATCTGCCTCCCTCTCCATGTTCGGAATCAGCCATTAACGGGACGACGTGGTGGTGGTTATTAGGACAGCAGCCTCCTTGGCACGGCATATGGACATGTTGCAGTGTGGGTTGTTTCGGGTATGCCATACATGTCACCTGACATGATCTTTGCCTCGCCATCATCTGCGTTGCTCCTATGCCATCTCACTATCATTATGCTAATGCAATTGCCAGGTCATGTCCGCATCTTGCTCTGTCCTTCTTGCTCTTACTTCTTCAGCGCCGTTCAATCATGTCAGATTGAACTTCGGGATCTATGCCTCCCGCCTGTCTAATGAGCGGGGATGATGCCGTTGAATGATAATTTTGTCGAGGGATAGACCATACCCTCTCGAGTTATCGAGAGCACACCTCCCTTTCGTGATTTCATGTGGCGCCGCGCTTCTTCTTCCTCATCCATTTTCTTCTTCCCTTCCTTCTTCAACGTCGGGTCAGCGGCATGAGGCCGCCTGTCAATGTATTGAGCTAAAAAGGAGGCGTGTCTCAATGAGACCGATGGCGAGTATGAGAGGGCAGTGGCTAACTAAAACACCGTTTCATGCTATCTATCACAGTCATCCATTTCGTCTGACAATATCCCGTGTCGATACGTAGAACTAATTTGTAGTCTTCTCCCAATCGATCTCATTTACTATCGCCTCCCAATCGATCTCCTGGGACAGGGCCTCCTCCTGCTCGGCTTGGGTCTTGAGGAGTTGAAGCTCTTCTATCATAGCCTTCAACTCTTCGTTCTCATTTTGTGTTGACTCGGTTGTCGATTGAAGTCGCGTGACCGTCTCTTCAAGCTCCGCCTCTCTATTCCTTGCAGCGGCGTGTGACCGGTGTGCACTTTGTAGGTCTTACCGAAGATCAGAACCAAGACATCAGCAAAGCTTTCGCCGAGTAACTACTGGTATGGTAATGACGAGGACGACATTAAAGGAAGGAGGACGTACTACTTTGACGTCGTTTTGATAGCCGATCAGGTTCGGCTGCAATGGGAGATATCAGTAGTGCCTAGGATGGAATAGAAGACCCATCACAGCACGATGGGCGACTCGATGACCCACATTGCAGCATGGAAGCCCCCCGACCTCTCTTCTTGGCGGATGAAGAGGACGAGGTGTTTGCCGCCGAGCTGCTAGTCGGAGCCGTATTCTCCTATGCGGCAAGTCAGCATCGTCAACTCTTGACGCTATCAGAGTACACAGGCATCGGATGAAGGATGCCTACGGTGTTGTTCTGGGAAGCATCATCGTTGGTCTTCTGTTGATAGTCACTCATGTTGAAGCACGGATGTGGAGTGTTGTCGTGATTGGTAAAGCGTCTCTCCTTCCCATTCCCCTTCAGCCTTTTTGTATTCTGGTGGCATAATCGTCTGAGATCGAACGCAGAAACCACAACGTCAACCTTGCGTCCCCGACACATAAACCCCGCAAAAGAAGCAAGTCGACCTTCCGTTGATAGGGTTGTTCGCTCAATCCATTCTGCTACCCCTACCCTTGTGTGCTCTTCATTATTACTCCAGTTCTTCCTTGCAGGCCCTCATTGTAGATGCTCTTGCCACAATGTAGTAGTCCGTCCCGATCATGGCCGAGTCAGGCGAGAAAGACTCCACGACGGCCATCCTTTTACAAGCTAATGTTCAATTCAAGACATTCATAGCTTTCATCACTGTCCGCTACAAAGCAGTGCCCATGTTCGCAAGTGCCGACACCTGTCCCACGCCAATGAACGACGAAGAGGGCGGAGAGGAATTCCCAGAGGCAGGCGCTCAACGCTGTTGAACCCACATTATTACCAGCAATACGCTGTGACCTTGTATCATCAGTCACCCCAGCCATAAGAACGCGACACTCCCATTGTCTGTTGACCCAAATCCTGGCCGCCTCGCATACCCCGACGCCCGGTGCATCCTCCGTCCAATCCAGACAGTCTGTCAAGAAATAAGGGTTCTTGCCGTACGATCCACTCTTCTGTATGCGTTATAGCCTCGTATCACTTCAAGACTTCAGAAGGGCGGGGGTAGTACTCACCTCTTGCCAACTGCTGATCCCCTCCATGGCGCCCGACGAGTACGCGTCCAGCTAGACCGCACAGCCTGACAACTGGCCTGAGCGCCCCTCCATCGTCCATCTCAATCCCCGAGGCATCCTGACGCTGACATGGTCTGTCCAAGCATAGTATCCGGTAAAGACAGGCCCAGAGACGATATGAAGGCTGTTGGAAGCCAATCCTTGGTGGCAAAAGGACGACGTGTCGGTGGTCTTGGTTGTCTGTGCGGGCGACCGTGAAAGATTCAGCGGGACGGGTGCCAGCAGCATCTCTATAACATTATCAGACACGCGTAGATGCTTCTTGAGGCAGAGGGACATGGCGGGGAGTGAGGTGGGTGGCGAGGCCTGCTAGGGGCACACAGGGTAGGTGGTGGCCAAGGTCCATGGAGGTTGCATACGACGCGTGATGACTGCAGAGGTGTCAGCGCGTCTGCCCATGTACAACCAGCCCCAGCTTGAGCAGTCACTCACCTATGCTATGCAGGAGGCAATTACTCGGGTCGAAAGCATGCTGCAGCGAGCCAGCAACCCGTTGTGGGGACAAAAGAGTACTATGGGAAACGACTCACCCCCGCCCGCCACAAGGCCGACCGCCACCGCGAGAACCCGCCGACAACTCGCCAAACAACGCGTCAAGTCGGCGCAAACAGGCCCCCAGAGGGGTGCAGCGGGCAATGCAACAGACAGGAATGCAGCAACAGTGTGCGATAACAGTGCTGCATGGTAGGCAGAGTCAAATAGAGCTAGCGAAAACGAAGTATAAAAGAGGGCGAGATAAAACTACAAAAAGACCACAACCTTAAACCTCCTGAGAAGCCTTGGCCTTTCCCTTGGTCTTGACGGGCAAAAGCTCGGCCATGATGTGGGGAAGGACACCACCCTGGGAGATGACAACAGAGCCGAGGAGCTTGTTGAGCTCTTCGTCGTTTCGGACGGCGAGCTGCAAGTGACGGGGCACGATACGGGACTTCTTGTTGTCTCGGGCAGCGTTACCAGCCAACTCGAGGATCTCGGCAGCGAGGTCTAAAGACAAGTCAGCAAGAGTAGATGACTGTGGGAAAGGCGCGACTCACACTCAAGGACGGCAGCAAGGTAGACGGGGGCACCGGAACCAATTCGCTGGGCGTAGTTGCCCTTCTTCAAGAGACGGTGGATACGACCGACAGGGACTGGAAGACGGGTCAGTGGATGACCAAGTACAAGACAAGAGGCTACTCACACTGAAGACCGGCCTTGGAAGATCGGGAAGAAGACTTGGTCTCGGAAGAGGCCTTTCCTTTACCACCGGAGGACATTGTTGATAAGTAGTTTGAGTTGAGGGGTAGTGGGTAGAGTGTGGAGAGAGTTGGGAACTTGTGGATGGAGAGAAAGAAGAGGAGGAGATGCGATTTATATAGGGGGTGCGTGGGGATTTGTTCCCGCGGACGCGCAGAAACGGTGGCGTCACGGTTTTCAAAAATGATTTCTCGGTGCCTGTGCCTTGAATAATCATTTTTCGCGAGATCCTTCCACGTCGCCTTTTTCAGGAAAACCCATTTACGTAACCCACCCGCGAGAAACCACCCACTACAAATACCGCGCGTCTGCATTCTCATCTGTCTTTCTCATCCACATCTTTTCAACTTTACTCTCCACACCACCACCCACCCACACAACAAACTTATTCACAATGGCTCCCAAGTCCGTCGCTTCCAAGGCCCCCGCTTCCCAGGCTTCCAAGGCCCCCGCCGCCGCCTCCAAGGCTCCCGCTAAGGTGAGACGCGTCCCCGCTTGTGATTGAACTCGACTGACATCAACTCAGGCCGCCAAGACCTCCGCTGCCCCCAAGGACGGTGCTAAGAAGAGGTCCAAGAAGAGGGTCGAGTCTTACGCCTCTTACATCTACAAGGTCCTCAAGCAGGTCCACCCCGACACTGGTATCTCGTATGTTTTTCCTTCGTCACATGACTTGGATATTCACTGACTTGTCTCCAGTAACAAGGCCATGAACATCCTCAACTCTTTCGTCTCTGACATCTTCGAGCGAATTGCCACCGAGGCCTCCAAGCTTGCTTCTTACAACCACCGATCTACCATCTCTTCCCGAGAGATCCAGACCTCTGTCCGACTTATCCTTCCGTGAGTCTCTTCTTGTCTTGTCTTCTTTCATCGCTGACGTCTCATCAGCGGAGAGCTTTCCAAGCACGCCATCTCTGAGGGTACCAAGGCCGTCACCAAGTACTCTTCTTCCAAGTAAACGGTGGTCGCGTCGCGGTTGTAGTAGCTTTCTTGTACATGTGCGCTAGATGCTAGTGTCACACCCTTTTATACTTCGTCTTCGCTAGCTCTATTTGACATGAATTGTCCAGTTATTCGTCCACCTCTTTTCTTCTGTGTTTTCCTTGTCCGTTTGCAGTGCTGTCTTGCGTTGTGTGAATTGACTTGTTGATGCGTTGTGTTTGGTGGCGGGAATTTGATACCGTACTCGTACAGCCGCGACTTGCATTGTCGACTCGGCCGACCTCTCACCTCTTTCATACTTTGGTTTCTGTACCATGCTTTCCGATCTGCTGATGCATGCCCCTCCAGTAATCGACTGGTACAGGTGTATGGAGCATTGAGGTAATCGAGGGCGCAAAGTACAGCTCCCACGAGGCTCAAAATCCGTGTAGAGACGATCGACCTCCTCGGGCGACTCTTCTTCTGGCGCCTTCTCCACACCCGAATGGATGCCTATCTCTCCTTCTGTCCTCTATGCCAGCTCACTCTCGCTAGGCCCCTTAGAAGATTGGCATCGAGTTCCACAGAGAAGGCATCTCAAAAGCGTCTATTAGTACAGTACGAGTACTCCGTCGTCGGTGTATGTCTTGCGCTTATGGCAGACGGCTTTGACGCTATGTGAGTATATTGTGGCTTGCTATGCCCCCTATATCATTCCGGAGTACTATTGCTACGTATCCTTCCACTCCTGACTTGACGTCAAGACGATACCAATGCTTGGCGAGTGTGATTAGCCGGAATAGCCCTTAACCCCGCTAACTTTGCTCTGCTTTGGTAATCCGACATACAGCAAGTTCTAGCGCCTAACTTCGCCATGCGCTTGTCAGTCTGCCTATCTTGATTGAACATGTCCATGTCAGTAGCGCTTGGTCACTTCGGTCAACGTGAACCATGGGGGCAAGGCTGGTCATACGACGTCAAAGACAATGTTGACCAACTTGTTGTTGTCAGGACGGATTTAAACCAGGTCCTCATCTGACTGCCGCCCGGCTTGGTTCAGTGGCCACTTCTCTCACCGCTCGATGTGTTTTGATATACTTGATCAACATCCCTGTGGTTGACGAGCCGACAAAGGTGGCGGCGAGGTTGATACGATCGTTCATCTGTTGAACCGGTGTGCAGACTAGGAAGAGCCCATGAGACAGGCGTTAGCTGCTGGGCTGCATATCACTTGGCATTGTCTATTGACGTCGGACGAGAGAGGGGATGGGCCGAAGTGGACGAGGGACAAGCATGACGCCCTCGTCGTCGACGTTGATTGAATCTCTTCGCTCTGGGACTATGTCAATCAATCCAACCGGTGAACACTCCTCTCCATCCCACTTCAAATCGGTGACCTACTAGAGAGATGGAGACTGTAGACGGTGGGTGTCCCTGGAACCAACCCACTGCGGAAACTGACAAAGGGAACGAGGTCGTCGCAAAGATGAATGACATACACCGAGCGTGGTAGGGGGTGTTGGCTATGCGTCTTGTCCTCTACTAGCAATGCACTTGAGCTGGCACCATACAGATCGGTCGACACCAACTGTTTACAGCACGTATCTTCTGTTGGCTCATGCCACCCCGTGTCCATTGCGTCTATCACCCACCACACCATTTTCAGTATCCTTCTTCTTCTCTCCTTGTTGCCGACGCGACGCCCCTGCTGTCGACCCCTATAGATATCCTTACCTTCGTACACGACGACAGCCATGTCTGCCTTAACGGTGGACACAGTCTATGACAGCTACTACTATTAATGGAGCATCTAAACCAGTTTGTCCCCGATTTGACACGCACGCGTTGTTGAACGAAGAAGCGACAAGGCTCGTATACGGACAAGACAAGCTCCCCTTCCGCCCTCCATGATGTTGTATGTATAGACTGTACTCTACCCGACGCGTCGTCTATGGGTCTACATGTCATGAGCCCGAGGACGACACATCGTACACGACAACGTTGACATGATCATCGCGTTTGAACAGCGCCGGCTACATGACACATCGACCGTTCAAGTAGTATTTCATGACTAGCTGTGCAGCAACCCCTGACCAACAAACCTCGCGCCAACGAGCAGCTCGCAAAGCCCAAGCTTTCCTCCCTCTCAGCGCAATCATCTCACAGACGACCTACTAGGTACTCTTCACTCGTCCAGGTATGCCAAGGATCCCTCACTCTCCTGTCGTCGTACACATATGCAAGCAGCGCCCTGTCACCCAACTGTACCGCAACAGATCCGACTCTTGTCCCCGCTCTTGCACCGTCAAGTTCTCTCTTAGAGTGCTCGTACTATACGGGCACATCCGACGTAGCGACCATCGCTCCCCAGACCAGCCATTAACCTTGGATTCTACGTGGTATCCGTCCACCTGCCACCTGTCTCCCCTCCGTCCATGATGTCTACGCGTATGGAGTACGCGTTTCCTGATCATCAATGGCGGTACTCTTCGGGTTGTGTTTGGTCAATGGTCACTGAGCCATGGTCGAGGGCGATTGATACTATGTGGAGAAGATCAGCGTACAGCGAGCCTAGCCAGTGCGTGATGGTCGACATGGACGTGGGACGCTGAAGAGAGGGCAGAGACAGAGGGTGCATGAAGGCTGTTGGGATCAGTAGGTGATGTGCATGGGATGGATGGACAAACGGAGGGTGAATTGCATCTCTGTGCATTGCGTGGCATTTCGCGGGGACTGGAGGATCTCTGCCACACGCATTTAAATGCAAGTGATTTTTGTAATCCCGCGGTGCCTAGATTAATTCGCTGTGATTGTATCACGTGACAGCGATAATTCAATAATCTGTGATCGTGCCTGGCTCAAACACGCCCTCCACCGCCGCGGGCCAGCGCCGCCCTATATAATCCCCATCTCGCAATCTTCTTTCTCTCCATCAACAACCACTTCTCTCTCACTTCTCTCTCACTTCTCTCCACCACACCAACCAACACACACATTCACAATGGCCCGAACCAAGCAGACCGCCCGAAAGTCCACCGGTGGCAAGGCCCCCAGGAAGCAGCGTGAGTACCCTCCAGCCCAGCCTCCGCTTCATCACTGACTCTTTTCCCAGTCGCTACCAAGGCCGCCAGGAAGCAGACCACCGCCGCCGCCGCTGGTGGTGTCAAGAAGCCCCACAGGTACAGGCCCGGTACCGTCGCTCTCCGAGAGATCCGACGATACCAGAAGTCTACCGAGCTCCTCATCAGGAAGCTTCCCTTCCAGCGACTTGTTAGGGAAATCGCCCAGGACTTCAAGGTGAGCCTTTTGCCTCTTTTTCTTCCTACTCTCGCTGACTCTCTTTCCAGACCGACCTCCGATTCCAGTCCAACGCTGTCATGGCTCTCCAGGAGGCTTCCGAGGCCTACCTCGTCTCTCTCTTCGAGGACACCAACTTGGCTGCCATCCACGCCAAGCGTGTCACCATCCAGCCCAAGGACCTCCAGCTTGCTCGACGACTCCGAGGCGAGCGATCTTAAGCTGTGTCTTTTTGTACTCTAGGGGTGTTGGTGCTTTTACAACTTCGTTTTTATCTTCTCTATTTTTATACGCCGGCTCTCTTATGATATGCAGCCTTGGCCATTCTCTACATCACTAAACCTGCTCTTGACTGCTGCACTTGGATTCCTGTTGCAGTCAATTCACTGAATTGTTTGTGCTCTGGCTGCATATGAAGCAAAGTGAGCATTGTGTTTTGTACGCGCCCATACCCCCAGCTCCAAACTTGCTCGTGTAAGGTCATGGGCGGAATTGGACGCGTTGTTGACTCTCACCATCACCTCAGGGCTACTGGCCACCCCACTGCACCCTCTCAACAGCTGCCAACGCGTCCACACGCGTAGGTATCCCCCCAGATCTATCAGCCGTCTTGCCTTCTCTTGGCCGTCTCCTCAAGTCAATCACTGGCTTGTCGAATATGGCAAAACCCCATGCCCACTAGCGCGGACTTTTAAAGAAGCTTGTATTCAATGCAACCCCATTAACTCTGAAGTCCATCAGCATGCAAGACCTTATCCATGCTGATTCATAACCCCAACACTGCACATGCCATTACGCATTCCTAGCCTTCAGCACCTCCCCAAACTCTGCCCTGCTCTTCAACCTCTCTTCAATCACCCCCTCCATCGCGCGCATCACTTCTGGCTTTGTCCACAAGCTCGTGATGAGATAGACGACATTACCGAGGGGGCGAGAGTGGATCTGGAAGGGGGAGAAGGGCGTGATGGACTCGGTTTCGGAGGAAGAGGGAGAGACGGCAATCTTGCGGAGGTCGTTGAGGAACTCGAGGGCGACGTGGGAAGAGTAATCTACTTGGAGTCAGCACCGTCAGTAGAAGAATTAACACGTACCACTCTCATCATCCTGCAGCTCGATGGCGACCACAGTACCCATAGCCATCGCCCCCTTGACGCCCTCAATCTGACTGATCCCCTCCACAAACTCCTTCTTCCAGAAACTCCATCTACCACCATCCTCCACCCCCCACATCTTCTTCTCCCCCTGCCACCCGCCCTTGTTCTCGTATTCCTGAGTCAACTTTATCGCTTCCAGTGCTACCGAGCACCCAATAGGGTTGGCGGTGTACGAATGCCCATGCAGAAGCGCGTCAACCTTGTGTTCAGAGAGGAAGGCTTTGAAGATGGAGGGGGAAGCGAGGGTGGTTGAGAGTGGTAATAGACCACCGGTGAGGATCTTGGCGTAGGCAGAGATGTCGGGGGTGTGGCCAAGGACAGAGGCGGCAGAGTTGTAGCCGAATCGGTTGAGACCGGAGAAGACTGGGTTGTAAGCGTCATTCAACAAGAGGTCGACTCACCTTCATCGTACAGGACGGGCAGTCCCTGCCATTCACCTCCATCTCGGGTCTTGAGCCCCTCGAGTTCTTGCTCATACGATCCTCCGTCCCACTCCTTGGCGAAAAGGTCACCACTCGCCCGAACGACCTCCACCATACAGCTTTGGAACAAGGGGTCCACAAACACCATACCGCCCGCGCCGAGACACGTCGGTTCCATCACCAGCGCGCCAAACTTCTTTCCCTCCTTGGTCAACCTCTCCAGAGTCTCACGGATGTGTGCGCGGTAGTATGTAGCGAGGGGAGAAGAAGAACGGGATGAGATGTCGTATATAGCTTCGTAGGAAGGGAAGGCGACTTGCCAGCCATCTGGGGTGGGGGTGCTAGAGAGGGAGGAGGGGAGGGTGGGCCAAGAGTCGGGGGCGGTAGAGAGGACGGAAGGTTTGCCGTCGACGAATTGGACCATGGGAGGTGAGAACCAGTGGCCTCTGCCTCTGTACCAGTCGACAGCCTTGTTGAACGTCGAAGCTTGTGTAGCGTCCATTGACCCGATCTACCCTCGTCAGCTCGACCTCATGGCTCATCCCCAATTACTCACCGTATCTCCATGATAACTGCCTCTCAACCCGATAACGCCCACATCTCCTCCCAGCTCTCCGTCCCACCCATACCGCCGACCTGCAGCTCTCAGCGCCATCTTCAGTCCGACCTCCATAGCTGTACTGCCATTATCCGAGTAAAAGACTCGGCTAGCCCAATCTTGACCGACGGTTGAAAGCAATTTCTCAGCGAGATCGAGGGCAGGGGCGTTGGTGCCAGAAGGGAAGAGGACGTGGCCGTATCGGCCGGCAGCGGAGGCGGCTGCGAGGGTGAGGTGCTCGTTGGCGTGTCCGTGAGATTGTCTGTGGCAAGTTAAGTTAGCGAGTGAGTGAGGGTTGGATGATACGTACGTGAACCAACTAGCAGAGCCATCAAAGTAGGACTTGAGCAGACTTTCATTCTTGGAGATCTCTTTACCCCCGGGCTTGGTATAGAAGGCGTCAAAGTTGTCCCCGTATGCAGAGTCGACCACCATAACATCTTCCCTCTTGTTGATCTGCATTGTCAGCCCAGCCGGCATTGAATGAACGTACAAGTTGATGTTGGGTGAACGGCCACCATACGCTATCAAGAGTCCTCTGCGGCATAGTCCCAAGCTCTCCAATCCTCTTCTTGTGGCCATCTTCCAACCATCTCGCTGCATCGCCTACACCACCTCCCAGTTCTCCCTCCACGCTCCTCTCAACATCCTTGTACCACTCTTCAAGCCTCACACCGTCTTCTTCCACCGTCCCATACTTTTCTGGCGGGGTCTTGATAGTCCAGTAGCCGATACCACGGTCCTTGAAGTAATCTTCAAGGAAGGTGTGGTTGCGGTAATACGGGTCGTGAAGACAGAGGACAGCTGAAAGAGAGTAACCCCGCACGAGAAGGGACTCGTATGCCGAGATTGTCGTCGAGATGCCGCCCAGATGAGGCGAGGCGACGAGCACAGAAGGTAGTCTGAGCGAACGGAGGAAGGTGGATTGGGTATGGGGAGGATGGAGAGCGGGCGAGTGTACACCGCCGGCAGTCTCGACAAAGAGAGCGCCCTCCTCGCCATTCAGTTCCTTGAGGCACTGCTCGGTGTATGACTCTATCCCGCGGACAAGCTCTTCGTTGGTTTGCGGGAATGGCTAGAAGAGTCAGCTCGAGTGACACAGGGATGGGGCGACCTACGAGGTCTGGGGCGAGCTTCGCCGCGAGATGAGGGGACATGGGCTCGCGATATTGATACAAGTTGCGGGTCGAGATGTAGTCTGACCATGGCTTGGTGTTTCGGTTTACATAGCTGTACGATGTCAGTCTTGTATAGCCCCGGCAGGTATACATACCTGGTATCGGACTCTGAATCCGGCCCGGTGCTGACAGGTTTGAGATAGAATACTCTTTTCTTCGCCTCTGCTGATGTCTCTGCAAAGCGAGTTGCTGATGCTCTGAGGAGGGCTGTTGTGAGGAGGGTCTTGCCCACCTCCGTGTTGGCTGCATACCATCAGCTGCCATCGAGATTGAGTTGTGGGGACGCACCTCCAAAGACCTGGTGTGCCCGCAGGTTTGGGAAGAGGGGCATGGCTATGTACTTTTTTTTGGAGATGGCAGCGAGATGTAACAACCCCACCAGAAAAGTCCCCGACGGGCGGCCGGGCCGGTGGAGGCAATCGAGTCGGCTCTTACATCTTGGTCGACTGTGCCACACGAGATAGCACGATTGGGTAAAGATTGGACTGAGGGCCCCGGGCAGATAAAAGTTCCAAGACAATATGCATTTTGATACCATGAAAATCCAAGACCACTACTCATCTTCCTCGTCCACATCCATCCCGCCATTCTTCTCTGGGCTTGCAGACCCTTCCTGTGTTGGTTCGTTGGCCTCCGCAGCGTCGGACTCGTCTTCCGAATCTGATATATAAGCTTTTGATTTGCTACACGATGTTAGCCAAGTCCGTCACACATAGAAGCGTACTCACAATTGCTTGCCCTTCTTGGACTGCCCCTGGTTGATCTCATCCTCGTCATCATCCTCATCCGGGTCTGTTCGCTTAGACTTTCTCTTCGCCTTGAGCATAGCCAGAGTGTTCTTGGCCTTCTTTGCTATCGACTCCTCAGTCTCCTCCTCCTCCTCTCCCGATGCACTTGCTTCCTCCTCATCAGAAGATACTTCGCTCTTGCTCCTCTGCTTTCTCTTCTTTTCCTTTGCAGGCTTCTTCTTGCGCTGCCTCTTCTCCTTCTTGGTCCCTTCCTCGTCCCCGCTGTCAATGACACCGGTATCCTTCTTTCTCTTCCTCTTCTCCGCATTCGACAACCGCTTGGCTTCTTCCTCGGCGTGTCTCGCGGCGAGCTCTTCTTGCCATGCCATAGCCTCTTCCCTCGCCTTCTTTCTCTGCTCCGCCAACTCTTCCGCCTTGGCGCGAAGCTCCTCCTGGCGAGCCTCTTCGGCAGCTTGGATCTTGGCATGCTCTTCCGCACGCGTCTTTCGCGCCTCCTCCACCCGAGCGAGTGCCTCCCCTTCAAACGTCTCTTGCTTGGTCATTTCTCCAGGCGCTCGTCTCAAAAGACCTTCACCATACCTCGCACGTTGATCCGCGAGATCAACATCGTAAGGTAACGGCCTCGTCTTGTCGTCCGCCAGTCCCCTAAAGCTTTTGGCCGCATGCTCCGCTTGCCTCAACCCCAATTGCAGCTCTTCCAGCGTTCTCTTTTCGCATGGGAGCGAGAACAACATCTCGGCAGCCTTCTGCTGGATCATCGCAATGTTGTAAAGGATGGCGCGATCAGAAGGGAGGAGGTGGAAGGCGGTTTGAGAGTAGGCGAGGGCTTTGGACATGGCAGAAAAGTTGGATGTGCGAGTAGCGAGGGCGTACCAAGCTCGAGCAAGGTAGAGGAGAGTAGAGACGTCCTTGCCGCCGTATGCGTTGGATGCGGTACCATACTACTCCAGTCAGCTTTGTCTCTGTATAAATGACAGACTCACAGATTGGATCGCCTTTTCTTCTTCTCCCCTGATAAAGTAGCAATGTCCAATGTTGACACTGACCGGCCCCTCCGCCAACGAGTCTTGGATCCTCGAGAATACACCCAATGCCTTGCCCGCAATCCTCGCCCGTACCTTGCCTTCCTCAGCACCATAGTTGGTACCGCGAGGGGCCAGGGTGTCTTCGACCAGAGCAATGGCAAGACCTTGGGCGGCAAAGGCGCATTTGTGGTCTATGAGCAAAGCTCGCTCGTATGCCTCGGCAGAACGAAGGTACTGTTTACTCCTCTCTGCAAGCTCCTGGGATGACTTGGCTTCTCTACCAAGAGTAAAGTGCAGCCAACCCAAGGCGCAGAATGTCCAAACGTCATTGCGATCGACCTTGAGGGTGGAGGAGGTGAAGGCGAAGGCTTCTTTGTGGGAGCCGATTGAGATCAGGAAATTGGTGTAGACGGATCGGACGGTGAGGTTGTTTTCGTCAGACAAGAGACACTCTTTGAGAAGAGTGTGCGCATCGACAACACGTCCAGCGGCAGAAGCGATGAGTGCAAGGCGAACCTTGGATTCGACATGCTCCGGGTGTTGTCTGAGTACGTCCCTGTACCACCCCGCGGCCTTGAAGCTATCACCGCCCTCTTCATACGCTCGTCCAAGGTTGTACGCCAACACAGTCTTCAACACTTCTGCCTCCTTGCCGCTTTCACCCTGAATCTTTTGCAGAGCCTCCTGGTACATCCTCTCTGCCGTCTCCACGTTGCCCTGGAGATGATACAGGGCACCGAGGTTGTCGGACAGACGGAGGGCTGTGAGATTGGGAGGCTGAAGTTCGGTGGAGGTGGTTTGAAGATCATTGTCCGATATGATGGACAAGGCAGTCTGGTAGGCGCCGATAGCCTTGTCGACGTCTTCTCCTTGCCACAGCTTGGCAAGGTCGACAAACACGTCGGCATCGGTACCCACACCCCTCAGCTTTGCCCAGTCTTCCTCCGATTCAGCGCTCGCCACCAAGTTGTGCACCTCTTCCAGCATTCCTCGCGCCTGAGCCCTGTTCTTCAAGACTTCATCTTGAGGCATACCCGGATGGGGGTAGGCCAAGAGACAAGCGTGGAGGACGGTGTATTCGAGAGGCCCTCGGCCGTTCAGTTTCTTGGCTGTCTGTTCGATATAGTTGAGAGCTTCACGGAGATTGTCGTTTTGGATCGCAATCTGTCCAAGAGTGAGCTCCGCGACGACATTGACCGCCGCGGGATCTTCAGCTTTGAGGGCTGCGATATAGTGTCCCGCGTCCACCACATCTCCCGCAACGAATCCAAGCCTGCCTCGCTCGGCGTTGGCGGCAACTGCATGTCGCTTGTTGTCGGCATATTGGATGGCGCGTTCGGCGAGTTTGGAGGCCAAGGGGATCTGTCCTCCGTGTCCAGAAACGGTGGCAAGAGCGTGGGCGGCAGCAGAAGACTTGTTGTTAAGTTTGAAGGCTTTTTGGACGTATCCTACACCTTGCGTCTCGTATTGCAGCCTGTCCGTCCTCGAGACGGATGGCTCTCTCGCCTGGTTCAAAGACGCCAGACCAAGCAACAAGAGACAGACCCAGCTCCCGGTGTCACGCTCCAAAGCCCTTTCCCACGCCGTCCTAGCCTTCTCCTTGTCCCCAAGCTGCCAAAAGCAGAGCCCCAGTCCAATTCTAGGATCAGGCGTCATTTCTGGCGCGAGACGGAGCAACTGTTGATAAGTCGCCAAAGCCTGTTCGTGCGAGCGGCGAGCGAATTGTAGACGAGCATGTGCGAGGAGAGCAGGAATGTTGTTGGGTTGACGGGAGAGGAGGCTTTCGACAAGAGGGTGGGCGAGGGATGGTTGGCCAGTTGCGAGGTGATGGATGACTGGAAATGTCAGTGGGCGTACTTGAGGAATGAGTCTGCTCACTTCGTCCCATAGTCAAGCTGACCGGTTCATCATCCACAGTTGCTCCGGCATTCCTCAAGGCTTCGCTTGACGCGTTCAGATTGGCAGCAGCTTCCCGGAAATAAAACTCTTTCGTCTTTGTAGAAGGATCGATCTTGTCATATTCTGCACATGTCAGCTTTGCCTATTCACAGTTGTTCACGTACTTGAGTTTTGGAGGATGTGTTTTGGCGCATCCCGAGCAAGATTCAGATAAATATGGGCAAGCATGGCATGGATATTCACCAGCGCATCCGGCCGCCTCATATGCGGTCTCGTAAAGACTACAACAATGAGCCTACTTCACGAATCCACGCTATACTCACAATGTACACCTCGATTCAGTAAATCCAAGGCTCTCTGGTACCTCTTCTTTTCCAGATGCTCTCCCGCGATGATTGTCCACTCGCGACATTCGACAGCATAGTCGGTGAGCATGTCAGGGATGATATCAGCGATCTGATCCTGGTCGAGAGAGTCGAGGTCGAGGTCGGTCTGGACGCCTCCCTGCCCGTAGATGAGGATAGTTCGGGATGGCTGCTCCATGGTGGGCGGGTGGAGGGATGTTTCAAATGTTGCCAGTCGTATAGCGCCGTGAATTCAATTCCGAGATGTTTCAAAGGTGCTCCGACAAGATTGCGGCCATCGCCGCTGCCACGTCATGCCTTTTCGCTCTCTCTCTCTTTCGTGGGCACAGCGATCATGTCGTGTCTTCCCTATCCTGGTGTTTCCATTGACGGACTGCCCTGGTGAACTCTGCCTCCTCATAATTTTCTCGCCTCCCTTCATAGGCTAACAAATACAGCGGGGTCTCATGGACCCTTTACCCGCCGTAGCTAAGCGAAATCGACAGGACAAAGTCGCCATGCTGGCCGCTCTCGCGAGTCTAGTCATATCCCTTACTACTTGACACACAATACTCCGTACTACCAGCATACAACACTTGCATCCTGACCATATGATTTGGTTAGTATTGCTGTTCGCTGCATGCTGGTGTCGTGTGCTGATCAGCACGTTGAGCGACCTTCAGCCAAGCCTGCCCTGTCGCCGCCTTCTTCTCCTCTCATGCCGAGGACGACACGCTGTTTGATCTTTCACGTCAAGTGTAATCGTGGATACAGATGTTCCTGTGAGTCTCAAGGGTCAACTCGCCGGTCGACCAACAGCGAAGTGAGCCTAGTAGTATGATCATGGCTGACCATATGCCAGTCTTGCAAGTATGAGTGCACTGTCCTACGGCACATCTCAGGATGGCACCCAGCCTACCCCCTCCACGCCCCGACGCCTCGTATCGACGATTGCGCCAATGAGGATGCGCAGCCGCGGGTGATCTTCATGGTCACTGGGGCTACGTACGCCGGTCACTGGGCTGTGCTTCCATCAAACGAAATGGGGGATAGTCCGAGGGATTGTTGCTGCAAATCCTCTAATTGAACCTCTTCTACACCCATGGTGTAATCGGTTCCTCAATGACTTGAAGGACGTTGTCAAGGAGAAGGCCACGAAGGCCACTGCCCAGCAGCTCCTTCGACTACAATCCTCAAGGACGCCGCCTTGGATGTGGCCAGAAGTCCGTGAACAGTCTAGTGCTATCAGGATATTGATCGCTTACCCATGCCATATGCTTAGTCAATGGGCCGCATCCAGTTCAAGCAGGACAAGCATCTCGGTTCACGGCACTACTTCTTCCTCTACCCGACTACAGCCCTCTTCCCGTGCCCGAGCGTATACCCCAGCGGCGATACTCTTCCTGGAAACGCTGAGTGGACTGCGAGTTCGGTGTCGGTGAGAAGTTGTTGGTGAAAAGGCGGGAGTCGACAGGGAAGACGTGGCTGAGGATTACACAATAACGTCAGGTCAGCACAGATAAGCAAGCTACAACAAGCAGCATGCTCACCAAAATTAATAGCCTGGATGGAAGTGCTGTATACGGGCAGCACGCAGTATTGTGTATTGCGTGTCAAGTAGTGAGGAGCTGGCTCAACTCAAGGAAGCGGCCGGTGATGTGTGTATAGGGATGGATTGATCGCGTGCCGTGGTGCAGTATAAATGGGCCGAGGACTTGCTTTGCTACGTACGATCGTGAACAAACCCAACACTCGATTCAAATTTGCAGCAAAATGAATTAAGACGTTGCGGCGTGCTGGTAGGCTTGGCCTGTTATGGAAAAGGCGAAATCCCAAAGGTCCATGGCAGGTGCAAGAAGGCGGAACGCATGCATACACCATCCATCTGAAGTCAGGATGATGAGATTCAGGCTCTCAGGATAGGCACGCGGGCTAGCAACATGGTAGGCGCGCGCGCTATCTTGCTCTGCGAGTCACAGAAAAATCCAAACGGCGTGAATCTGTGCACAGCGAGCCATTCGTATGCTTCGGCGCTCTCTCTTTCGCCTCTCTACACGATCTATACCCCTCTACAGAACCACCCCGCTCCTCGCAAGAATGTCTACCGAAGCCCACCCCGTCTCCTCCACCTCAAAACCGGCGCCCCCAGCCGAGGGCATCAACCCCGTCACCAAGAACGCCTCTGCCGAAGCCAAGGCGGCAAAGAAGGAGGCCAAAAAGAGCAAGGGTGGATCCTCGTCCGGTCCTCTTGTGCTGAGCCCAGAGCCCGCATTCTTTGACGAGAGGTTGAAGATCTATGACGAGTACAAGGCCAAGTACGAGAAGTTTGTTGCTGGTAAGTCGTCTTGAATGACCTGGACTCGGCTGACGTTGTGCAGAGCAACCTCGTGAACCCATCACCATCACTTTCCCCGATGGAAAGACCGCCGAGGCCACTTCCTGGGAGACCACCCCCCTCCAGCTCGCCAAAAACATCTCTTCCTCTCTCGCCGAGCGAGTCATCATCGCGAAAGTCAACAACCAGCAATTGTGGGACCTCACCCGCCCTCTCGAGGCTTCCTGTTCTCTTGCTCTTCTTGATTTCGACTCTTCCGACAACAACTACGAGGCGAGACAGGTGTTCTGGCATTCTTCCGCGCACGTCCTCGGTGAGGCTTGCGAACGTCGATACGACGGATGCTGTCTCGGTTACGGTCCCCCTATCGAGGAAGGTGGTTTCTTCTACGACATGAGCCTTGCTGAAGGCAGGACCATCTCCCAAGAAGACTACAAGCCTATTGAGGACGTCTGCAAGATGGCTGTGAAGGAGAAACAACCTTTCGAGAGGCTCGAGCTTCCCAAGGAGGTGCTCTTGAAGATGTTTGCATACAACAAGTACAAGCAGCACTATATCCAGGACAAGGTTCCCGATGGAACATCATCCACTGTCTACCGATGTGGTCCCTTGATCGACTTGTGTCTCGGTCCCCACGTTCCTCACACTGGTCGTATCAAGTCTCTTGCTGTCACCAAGGTGCGTACACATACAACTGGAGAAGCGGGGCTGACATCTTGCAGAACTCTTCTTCCTACTTCCTCGGTGACGCCAAGAACGACACCTTCCAGCGAGTCTACGGAATGTCCTTCCCCGACAACGCCCAGATGAAAGAGTACAAAAAATACCTCGAAGAGGCCGCCAAGCGTGACCACCGAAAGATCGGCAAGGAGCAAGAGCTCTTCTTCTTCAACGATCTCTCTCCTGGGTCCGCCTTCTTCTTGCCCATGGGTATGCGTATCTACAACACCCTCATGGACTTCATCAAGGGCGAATACTTTAAGCGTGGCTTCACCGAAGTCGGCACTCCCAACATGTTCAACTCCAAGCTCTGGGAGACGTCTGGTCACTGGCAAAACTATGCCGAAGACATGTTCCAGCTCAAGGTTGACGAAGACACCTTTGCTTTGAAGCCCATGAACTGCCCTGGACACTCTGTGATGTTTGGCTCGAGGGAGAGGAGTTACAAGGAATTACCGTTGAGGTTTGCCGAGTTTGGTGTGTTGCACCGAAACGAGGCGAGCGGAGCCCTCTCAGGATTGACCCGAGTCAGGAGATTCGTTCAGGACGATGGTGAGTCGCTTGGTACGATACTTGTACGGAGCTGACATTATATAGCGCACATCTTCTGTACCCCCGAGCAAGTAGAGTCTGAACTCTACGCTGCCTTCGACTTCCTTGACGCTGTCTACAAACCCTTCGGCTTTACCTACAAAGTCGGTCTCTCCACCCGTAACCCCAAGAAGTGGATGGGTGACCTCGGCATCTGGGACAACGCGGAGAAGACTCTGAGAGAGGTTTTGGAGCAGAGGGTGCCCGGAAACTGGCACGTGAATGAGGAAGATGCGGCTTTCTACGGTCCCAAGCTGGACTTCCAGTTGACCGATGCCTTGAAGAGGAACTGGCAATGTGGTACCATTCAGGTGAGTCGCTCTTACCTCTTCTAGCTAAAGCTAACGTGCATCAGCTCGATTTCAACCTTCCCGAGCGCTTTGACCTCAAATACCACTCTGCTACTCAGTCTGCTGAAGGCGCCCAGTTCGCCCGCCCTGTTATGATCCACCGTGCCATTCTCGGTTCTCTCGAGCGATTCATCGCCATCATCACCGAGTCTTCCGGTGGCAAGTGGCCTTTGTGGCTTTCGCCCAGGCAGGTCGTTGTCATCCCAGTGGCGAAGCCCTATGTGGAGTATGCGCAGAAGGTTGCCAAGACTTTTGGCGACGCGGGTTTGTTTGCGGAGGTCGATATGACCGACAACACCCTCAACAAAAAGATCAGGAATGGTCAGACTGCCCAATGGAACTTTATCATCGGTACGCTTTGCATTCTTCTGCGCTGAATTTGGCTGATATCATGTCAGTCGTTGGAGAAGAGGAGCTTAAAGCCAACGCCGTCAACATCCGTAACCGTGATGACGAAGTGCAGGGCCGAGAAGAGACTGTCGACCTTGGCGTCGCTGTGCAGAAGATCTTGAAGTTGAAGGAGAGCAGGGCGGCTGTCAGCAAGTTGGATTGAATGGGGATAGTTTTGGAGACCAGCGGTGATTTTGGGAGTCTATATTGGTGATTATAGATGTATTCATAGGTCATCTGCGCCTCATACAGTACAACAAATACGATACAGAATCGTACACTACTAATTCATGACGCTCGAAGGGAATAGATGTTTCCTGATGATGTGTCAGTCATCCATTGCCACCTTTTAGTCGACTCACCAAAGATCATCATCAGTCTCCGGGAAAAGATCCATATAGTCTCCGTTGATGGGCAACGCCCCATACATCCCAGTCCCATTCATAGTCATCGCCTGCCCCTCTGTCACAGGGGGCACTTGCTGAGACACTTGCTGTTGGTTCACGCTCGGACCGGCAATATTGTTTCCAGCATGAGAGTTCTGGAGCGGGAGCTGAGGTGTGGACCAGAGATACTCTTGGATGAGCTCTTGAGCAGAAGAAGGGGCCCAGACGAAGGGTTGATCGACAGGGAAGGAGGGCTGTTCGACACCCGGCAACGAGGAGGGCATGGCGAGGGGTGGAGCATACTGGGGTTGCTGATTATTTGACAGCTGGGGCAGATGGACAGAACGTCCATTGGGCACTTGTTGATGGGGCGGAGGAGGGAGTTGGTCAAACGAAGACCGATGACCCGCTCTTTGAAAGCGGTCTGACCTATCATGACCCTCGTAGGACGGAGGCGACGGCTGGGTCATGAACGAGGCCAATTGCCATTCAGGGGAGATCCCGTTCAAGAGATGTTTCAAGAAACGGTGAGTGTAAGCTGCCATATCATCACCGGAAGTGGAGGCTTCTCCCATGGAGAATTGAAGGTCGGCCAGTAAGCGAATCACACGAGCACGGTCGGTACCAGACATAGGCTCCAAATTCTGCAGTACATGTCAGCTCTGGATAGCGCCGCTGACCATTAACACACCCTCACGAGCCAGATGACAGTGATAGCCAGCATCGACCACGTAGTACTGAAGCAATACGTCAAGTACCCATGCGGAACAAACTCTCTCTGTACAATTTCTGCTAAGCCTAGAGCCGCGTCGGAGCATTCAGTGAAGGCCATAGAAAGAGGCGACGGCTCGCTGACTTTCAAGGGCTTCCCTTTAGTTTCGAAACGAGCGATGAAGAGAAGACGGTATTCGCCGAGGTGGAAACGGAAGATGGCGTCGCTGACTTTGAGGGCGGCGATTTGGAAGTGGGAGAAGTTATGCCGATCTGAAATAGATCAGTACTGAGCTTGGCCGAGGGCGACTACTCACCGTTCTTCAGTAGCCACCGCTCTCTCCATCTCTTCCATTCTATCTCCATCCAATTCAACATCCTCATGTTTGAAGGGTCTCCATTCATAGACTCAAGACTGTCCGTGTAGAGCTTGCACAATCTGTTAAATGTGATAATGGGGCTGAAAGATGATTCGCCAGGAGTTGGAAGGTGAGGATGATCCGCTACCCAGTCTGCTGGGTCCTCAACGTCGTCTTTGAGCATCTTGGGGAGACCGTGGGCAATGGAAAGACTGCAAATGGTTTAGCTAATGATCCAAGAAATTTCCGGATACTTACTGGTAGTCGGCCATGATCAAGTCTATCTCTGTCAGCTTCGTACTGGATGCCAAAGGGACACTCACTGAGCCATACCCGCTCTCGATTCAATACCTCCCGAGCCCTCATTTCGTCTCGAGGCAGAGGTCTGGGACTGGTCTTGTCAAGTCCCAACATCTGAGCCATACGTATAGCCATACCTACTCGAACCCAAGATGTATCATCATCGGCTTTCTTCCAGTGGGTCAACAAGCAGAGTGCTTGGATGACTTCCAAGGTGCATACTCCAAATTCGACAGCCTGGCCGACCATCCTGTTTGCCAGGAGAAGACTCTGAGAATAGAGTTTTGGGCGGATGACTCGAGAACTGATCGCAAGGACAGCGGTAAATAGGAGGGGTGATCGATTCCGACACCTGTCTGGGGTATGGAGGACGGAATCTAGCAATGCTACGGTAGCATTGAGATGGCGGAAGTAGCTAGATGCTTTCATGAGAGGGTTCATGAGTGATTGGATTACACGTACAACTCGAAGAGCTCCGCACACACCTCCTCCGTCATGATGCCTGCCATCAGGGGGTCGGGACACTCTGATCTGAGGCGCTGTATCAGCTTCTCCTGAGCCAGTCCATGTGCACTTTTGATGGGCGAATCGGCCGCTGAGGTGGACATCAATTTCCGATACTTTTGCCACACACAACAACCCACAAGGAGAGATGGCCTCGTCGGGCATGAAATGTGAATAGCGAATGTCGGATGCGCCCTTGGCGCCATCTCCAGACTTTCCCCAGGGTCTTCCATTGCTAGGATGATTGGGAAATCCCGGCAGAGGTGATTCTGCTTCATTCTCATCATCGGAGACCAAGACACTGGTGTTGTGCGAGGGCGCGATGGGGTATCTGATGACGAAAGGAGACCTATAGCTGATAGGCCCGGCATCACTGCTACTGCTCCTCGCGACTCCAGAGCTATTGGGACGCTCGACGAAGGGTGCAGAATCTGGACTTTTCTTTGCAGATGGTGCCATACTATCTCCCTCCTCATTCTTTCCTGGGGATACTTTTCGCTTTCTCCCTCGACGAGCAGGAGCTGGATATTCGCAATCGATACCATGGCCTTGACACCGACGGCATGGCCTGTGGTCTCCAGAATGGAGGCATTTCCGCTTTGAGTGGAATCAGTATCAGCTGGCGACCACAATCGATCAAACTACACCTACTTTGGTAGATCTGCATTGTAAGCAGCTACCCTGCGTACTTTACGAACATCAGCTTCCAGCCACATCTGGGACATCTGAGCTGATCGACTTACGCCGTCACAACAGCGGGCCCTTTCGGCGGGATTTGTGAATTTATCTGGGCGTCGTGTTCCATGGTGAGGCTAGCAAATGTGTGTCTTCAAGGATGCAAGGACTAAGAATAAAGAATAGCTTGTCTTATATCTTGACGTCAATTATTGCCGCAAACATTGCCGGGCGGGGCGGTTGCCGGCGGCGACGATGCTCTTTATTTGGTTCCGTTGAGAATGCTTTGTAAGTTTGGTCCCTTTTACGTACTGTGTGTGGCTGTAGAGAGAAGGCGCCGGCTAATTGAGATATACTGGGATAAAGCGAGTACAGTCACTTGACTGCATGGACTTTTGTATAGCATGTGAATGATACATATACTTGAAAAATGACGCGGGAAGCATCACTGAACGCTATCGTTGCCGAACCTGGCCAACATAGCGACAGCGATGTATGTACTCGTACTGTACACCACACTAGTCACATCGAACGACGTGTAACGCCAGCTCAATACTGCTCAACGAAAGATAGCCTGCACTCTCCTCTCAATTTCATCCGGGGTACCCCGCAGATCTGCCCATTGTCAGCCGTACACTACATCCCTTTCGCGCTTGTGGAGACTCACACTTCTCAGCACTCTTGCTCTGGCATCTCCCCACGAACGCTTCATACCCCCGCCTGACTACCGCTTCCGCCTCCCTCGCCACCGAGTCTCGCATCTCGGGATCTTGCCTGTTGAGCGGGTCTTGCATCAGGATACTTTCGAGTTCCTGGAAGCGGTCGAAGAATGCCATGGCAGCTTCTTTGAGGACGTGTCGCTCAGAGGTGGGAACTTTGGGGACGCCGAAGCGCTGATTCTTATCGTGCGGCGGGTTGGTCAGGAGAGCTGTCAATGATTGGAATTCGGCGATGAATTGGCTACAAGCTTCGTGAGCTCTTGTTGGCTTTGAAGACGGTATTGGACGTACCCTCGAGCGTCTCGGACAGCCTTATTGAGCATAGCCTCGGCTCCTGGCCCGGTGATATCAGAGTTGGATTGTATGATGAGCATGTTTCTGATATGCGAGGCTAGTGGACTCTATGAGCAGGTGCGATCATGCCGGGAATCAAACACTCACAGTTGTTGAGCAAGAACGCTTGTCCCACGGGATGTCGCATACCCCTCGACTTGGCCTCCAAATGCCCCAGCAGCGTTCCCAGAACATCCGCCACAAAGAACTTGACGATGCCACCCTCCTCATCCGCACTCCGTACATTGCTCGGCGCATCTTTCAGACCCATCAACCAGCTTCTCTCTGATATACTCTTCCCCAGCAGACCCTCCACTACATCTTCGTACCGTATGAGGTTCTCGAGGTATGTGATGGTAGAGTAAGAGATATCGATAATGGCGCTTGTGGAAGGACCGTCGGCCCGAGCAGACCGGATGTCGACGAGCGCTTCAGGGAACGATCGCAGAGACAAGGAGCGCAGCGTAGAGATTGGTTGATGAAGAGTCGATATGAGGTCTTTGGTAGCGGGAGAAGAGGGAGTGCCAAGGCGGGAGAGACATTGGGTCATGGTGTGGTCCCATTGAGGCTGAAGGCGAAGGAGGGAGGCGTACAGATCCAGGGCTGTGAAGGTATGTTGGGCAAGGCTGCGCTTGAGCATAGCGAGCGTAGGAGCAAGGGTTTGTTCTGCGAGAGCGATGGGGCGGGCGAGGGTCTGGGCAAGCAGAGTGGGTGGAGGATGGTTGGGGAAGAGGGTGGTGATGAGCATTGTCTCGGCCTGCATGCCATCAGCTGGGCTCGTACAGTCATATGAAGGCAACTCACTTCTGCAACATGTATGATCACTTCCCATAGTCTCAATATGCTCTCTACCTTCTCCCTTCCACCGTGGCCTTCCCAGATGCCTCCTTCATCCGCTTCTTCCACCTTGCTCACCAAACTGCTCATACTTCGGCATATCCATTCACCCCTGATACCAGCCAGCTTGGAGATGGCATCTTCGTAGGACGGGTTGAGGACTGTAGCTGTTTTCGGTGTCTCGGCGGCAGGGTAGAGGAGTGATGTGATCCTTGTAGTAAGAGGGAGGACGGTATTGAGCGGAGGAAAGTAATTGGGAGGTGTCGGAGGGCCTATGGGATATCAGAATGGCATTTTGAAGGTCGATCATGCGTACCATTGTTCAGAAGGCTTTCGACATCCAAGGCGCGACCTGAACCCTCTTTGGACAAGCGCAAAAAGAGCTGCACGGCTCCCTCAAACCCGACCTCTACGAGCTGGCTCTGCACATTGTGTCAGGAGACGCTCCCTAAGCCAACGACTTGTACGAACCAAGTCTTTCACGCCAGCCTCCCGCGCACCCCCTCTTCCCTCCGTCAGCCCCTTCCACATTCTCTCCAAGTCTTCCACCACGCCATTCAAAGCTGTAAAGTACTCTCCCAACGCCATGATATCCGGCCCTCTCATCAGGAGCGCGCTATCGTCTGCAGGCGTCGCAGAGCGCGATGGTGCGGCTGAAGCGATTGGGGACAAGGGAGGAGCTGTGAGTTTGACCGTGGGAGGCTCGAGGGAGTAGCCTTTGGCAGATGACGCTGATGCCTGCCTGGATGTAGGTGGACGCGGTGGGGCAGACGCAGGAGCAGATGGCGCCAATGCTTTGCCTTCTAGGTAGTTCAATAGAGACTCTATGTCTATCAGAGTGTCAGTAACGCCCGTATATCCTATCAGAGCAGGACTCGCTGGCTTCTTTCCTCGTGAGAGGCTGTATACCTAGCGGCACAATGGCCTTGTCTAACCGATACAGTCTGTTGTCCAGTTGCCCAAGGATGCCTGAGCGGTATGGTCAGCAAAGCTATTACATACGAGCAGGTATAGGCGCACTAGTCATGCGTTGACCAAGCTGGTTGGTCTTGAGCAGGTGCTGGTCCTATAGCATGCCGGGGATCAGCTCACGGACGCGTCTGGATTCCCTTCACGTACAAGCAGCGCAAGATCGGCTTCTTCGTCCATGGTGTCGGGGGTGACCTGAGGCCGAGCTGGGGTATACAAGTTGGTGCAAGTGCTGAGCCAAGATGGTCGTTGGACGGCTTCGAGATCACAACAACACGCAAAGCGATGACGTGGGGAGATGTCACCCAGTGTCTGGTACCCATCATAGGACCACATTCAGGCTATATAATATCGACGGCCATAGCCTCCTCAAAGTACCGCGTCCCGTCTGATCCGCGAAGTCAACTAGGAGAGCGCTCGGTTAGTACCAGGGTGGGGGACCACCTGGGAATCCCGGGTGCCGTCGTTTTTGCTTTTTGCTTTTTGCTTTTTGCTTTTTGCTTCTTGCTTCTTGCCTTTTGCTTTTTGGGAGCCTGATGTACATATGTGGATGCACCTGGGGCTCAGCTGGCATTCATTACGAGGGAATACATTCAGACCCAGACCCATAGGATCAGAGGAAGCCTACGACGAGTCTTGACCAAAGTCAAAAGTGTCCGATGAACAACATTACGCGACGCGTCAGCGGCTCCCGCCGTCTCTTTCAATCCAGACAAGGTATTTTGATTTTGCTTTCACTCTATTGAACCTCCCGATCAGCTTTCGCCATGACCGAGCCTCGCAAAATTCACGATCTCGCCTACATTGACATACAAGTGCGCAAATAATCTGAAAGGGCGAACAAGCAGCTGCTGACATCCGTCCCTAGCACGATACCACAGCCGTCTTTGATGATATCGAGCAGGGTTCAGTGGTGAAGGAGGACTTCTGGGTATCCGGAGTGAGCCCTGCCCGAATCTTGGGGCTTGACATATGCTGACTTGCTTTTAGTATCAGACTGGTTCGACTTCGGTGCATGGAAGAGTCAAAGTCGAATACGAAGACGGGGGCCGGATCAGCGTCACCCCAAGAGATGGTGTACAAGTGGACAGGATAACACAAGTCAGTGTACTGCACTTCTATAGGCTGATTGCTGACGAACGACGATAGTCTGATTTCATTGTGGATATTCCGTCTCTCTCCATCTCCCGCCGAGCAGTCCAATTTCCCAAACAGGCCATTCATCCTCCCTACAAGAAGAAGTCGGATCTAGATGTACGTTCTCGACATGTCATACTGCAGCGCACTAACACATGCAGTATAGCCCCCTCTGCAAATCAATGACTTGTCTATCAATCCTAAAACACCACATATAGTTGTGGGAGGCCCAGACGGATACTGCGCTATCCTTCCGACGAGTATCAGCGCCAACGTGAACAAGGAGGCTGTCAAGCTCGAGGGTCATGTTGGAGATGTCCGTTCTGTCCAATGGTTCCCTAGTGGCGAAGTATGTCAAGTTTCCAAGGCAAATTGCGATTCTAACACCATTGCAGGTCATTCTCACAGCATCCTCAGACCTCTCCCTCCGCATCTTTGGTCTCACCGGCGTCAACCCCCGCACATTCCGAGGCCACACTCGCGCCATCACTTCTTCTCTCATCATTGGTGTCGGAAAGAATGTGCTCTCTGGTAGTAAGGATGGGACGGTCAGACTTTGGGACGTTGCTCAAGGCAAGGAGGTGAGGCAGTGGGCGGTCGGGGGGAACAAGTTGTATCCGGCGGAAGGATTGACGTTGCTGGAAGATCACAAAAGCCTGAAGGCTGTGGGGTTGGAAGGGCAAGAACGGGTGTTGCTGGTTCAGACGCAGGAAGGGGTTTGGGTGCAACCTGAAGAAGGCGAGGGATGGCTGGTCGAGCTCGAAGGGCAGCTGAGTGCGTTGGCACTCGACAAGGAGAGCGGGGCATTAGCATTAGGTTACAAGAGCGGGGTGATTGAGGTCGTGGAAATTGCGAGATTGGCGAAGGAGGCGTATACCGGCAAGAGAAGTACGATTCGCCGAAACGAAAGCCCCATCTACTCCCTCGCCCTCGTCGCTGATTCCCAGACTTCCGAGTCGAATCTCTTTGTGGGCACCGCTGCTGGCCTCCCCTGTCGTCTGAGGATCAAGCCAGTCGCGGATGGTTTCGAGGTGACTGTCACGAATGAATTGGCCGGGTGGGATGCTGTGGGGGTCGAGTGTATCCAGGTAGGTAGTGATGGGAGTGTTTGGTGCGGCGGCGGGGAGGGCGGGGTGAGGAGATATGTGGTCGCTTGATGTACAGGTGATTGATTGGATAGTCGTTTCCAATGATATACATGTAATACAGCCTAGAAACCGGAAGTAGGGGAGGGAAGATGACTATCTTTCTCTTGCGAGAGCTGAGAATAAAGTCAGCGCTATGGCTCAGTCATCTGAAAGATACTTACGGTTGTACATCAACAGCTTCTCAATGAGGTCGACTATCATAATGGGATTAGCTTACGTATCGCATAGACTGGTTGAGACATACCATGAGTGAGGACCATTCGTCGACAACAATATCGTTTCCTATATTTCGATGCCCATCAGTGTCCTGCCACTTATCTATCCATGACCATTATTCTTACAGCTGAAGCTTGTCCATAGCCTCACTATATCATCAAAGTGTCAGCTTCTCATTCTCGAAAAGTCAGATGCTGACTCACCCCTCGTCAACGCCAGCAGCGAGCAACTCGAGGTAACTGTCCCAGAGGTTACCGATAACCTTACCGCACGAGAAGCATCGAACGGGAATGATCTGATATACACAATGAGTTTCTCTCGTAAGCACTCAGTGATTTGCACATACCATTTTGATTTACTTTGGATTATACAGCAAGTTGCAAGAGGCCATAAGCGCTCGAAGAAAGTGGTCCGCGGAAAATGTGATTCTTTTTTGCGGCCCCCACTTTTGCCAAAGTCAACAACATCATCAACGTGTTTCGACGCGTCTGTTTTCTTTATTCAACCACACAGCCGCACCCAAAGATGCCCCCGAGAACGGCAGATGCGGCCACCAGAGCACCCCCGAAGGCGCCAGTACGTAGGCCAGCTCGAGCAAACCCCGGGAAGACCCCGGACGAGCTCGCAGACGACATTGGAAAGCTGGCCATCACCAAGCCAGAGCCCAAGGCACGAGCAACAGGTTCCAAAGCTGCTTCCCCCAAGCCTACTATACCGCCTGCGAGGAAAACCCCAGCGCCTGCAGCGGCAAAAGGCAAGGGTAAAGCAAAAGAGCCTCTAGCAGAGACCATCCCCTGGGCATGTGCGGCCGCGGCAGACAACTTCAAGCCAGTGGAACGTGCCTCCCAGGCTATGCAGGCTGTCAACACGAGCCTCAAGTCTATATCACAAGCTGAGGCTATGGGATACAGATATGGGCAGGGAAAGGTCGTCGAGAGGGGAGGAGGAGATTGGACAGATGAAACAGCGGACACGACGGCAGAGCTCAGTATGGTGGGCTTTGCGGTTCTGAGAGAGCTTGATAAGGAGGGGGCGATTGGCAAAAAGGGTATAGAAGTGGAGAGAGTGTGTCAGGTGATTGTGCACAAGATGCTGGTCATTGGAATGGTACGTTGGTTCTCTGCTTGAGGTGGGAGCTAATGTGGTGTCTAGACGAAGCAAGCCATAGAGATCTTGTGCAAGACCAAATCGGCCTTACTCCGGCTGTACTCTCCCATCGAATCTGAACCTTCTTCTTCCAAGCCGAAGACTCCTACGACCTCGGCAAGCTCGTCACGTACGACAGCACGCCCAGCTTCCAAGGCCCCCGCTCGCCCCACGCCTGCCAGCTCTTCCAAGGCCCCCGCTTCTGTGGAAGGCGATGTCGCTGTGCCTGCGTCGTGGCTAGATACAGCCTCTTATCCATCTCCACGTGATGGCTCGGAGATACCCGATCTTGTGCGATCACTACTATTCTCGGCGGTGCTGTCCTCTTGGACCGGCTTAGTCTCTTACTCGCATGGGTCGGAAGAGGTCATAGGCGCTCTTTGGAAGTCCCATTCCGACCACTCGTCGTTCATCAGCCCTCTTACTCTCGCACGATCACTATCTCGCCCCTCCATCACCCCTGCGCTATACGCATTCTACCGAGCTGTCAGCAGCCTCGCACCTCCTGCAACTTCCCCTATCTTCCTACCCCTACGACGTATAGCCCTCTTTGCTCTGTCACTCACCATCACAGCTACTGCCGAGTCTAAAAACTCTCCTACACAGCTATGGGAGACCACACACAGGATCGTAGCGGCAGTGGTGAACGCGAGAAAGGATGAGGCGCGGTTGAGCGAAGCCACCGAGGCTGTCTTGAGCGTTGTCGAATGGGTCGAAAAGATATTGGAGGCCAGGGGGGAGGATGGTTCTGGGTGGTTCAGTGGAAAGGGGTGGTCAGGGCTGGCTGATATGTGGATTGCTCTCGGGCGAAAGGTGAGTCGTCTGAGTTGTCCGTGCCAAGGTCTTGGTCTGACTCTTCACAGCTGGGTGATTCGAATGTAATCGACAAAGCCTTGTCTCTCATGGCCTCTTCAGCTTCCATCTCAACACCTGTGTCCACTCCCAAGAAGAGTGGGATGTCACCCGCCCCGTCGACTCCTCAAGCTGCGCCGTTAGCCAGGTTCGAAGGTCAACCGGACGCCGAAGTGACACGGATTCGAGGTGTGCTCGCTAAAGCTAGTCTATCGATAGACAAGATATTGTTGGAAGCCTCCCCGCCCTCGTTACCTTTGGAGGGCCTATCGCGTCAAGAGTTGTCCATCTTGGGCCAAGCTTTGGGTGTGCTTTCGGAGGATGAAGATGCCAAGGTGTTGGTGGAAAGAACTGTCCGAGCATGGGAGCGGACAAGAAGGGGCTGTGTCAAGTTGTTTGACAAATTTGGTAGTCAAGAAGAATGGAAGAATGTCCTGAAGGATATAGAAAGTTGGTCTGTGGCGGCTGTTGGGCTCGCCGAAGGGGTCAGCGGGCGTGTCAAACTCGTGAGTGACCGCAATGTCTTGACGTGCCGAGACTGACAGAGCCCAGGATCCTTCATTAGCACTGCATATCGTTTCAGGATCGATAGACACCATCGTCGTTCTCTCACAACGCAATGCTTCCAACTCCTATCCTCTACTCTGCCGCGGCTATGGTCTCTACAAGCAAAACAGACCCTGGACGTCACCGTCAGACCACATCAATTGGCTTCGCTGCCTGTCTACCTCTGCGTATAATATCGGCGGCAAACTCTTTACAGAGGGCCCAGCATCTGACGCAACACCTCTCATACAGGCTAGCTGCGAATGGGGAGCGGAGGCTGTAGAAATCGGGAAGAGTGTGGGCGACACAGACAAGGGGTTGCAGCATTTGCAGGAAGGGCTATCGAAGAGGTGGGAATGGCTGGCTGGATGTCAACAGAAAGCGGGGGATAAGAAGGCGCTGTTTGCTTCTTATGCCGAGTGCTTTGCTTCTCAGCCCCCGTCCCTCTTGACCTCCTTGTCTTCTGCGTCCTCTCAGCCTATCTCCGTGATTCTCAAACCCTTCCCCGATCTCCACAGAACTCTCCAGCGGGTGTCCACCTTCATATTCTATGATCCATCTCAGGCTGTCTCTTTCGGCACAGATGTTGTCGAGGCCATGGGCAAGAGGCTCCAACCTTCTGAGGCAGGGGCGATCGGTGAGAAGCTCATGGAGACAATTGAAGAGGGCGCTTGGAAAGGGGAAGTCGCGGGAATAGCATTGGATATTGGGGAAGGGCTTCTGGGGCTGTATGATGGACGGTATCCTCTGAGAAGGCTTCGGTGCGTGCCTTTCTTTTCAAGTTTACCGACGTACACGAAGCTCATCTGATGATCGCAGCGTCATTGCTCGTATGTTGAAGATTACTGTGGCCTCGGGCCAACGAGCAGCACAATTCCTAGACCTAGTGGAAGAGGCGGATCGCCTTTACGCTCAATCTGCTCTCAAAGAGGACGTCCCTTTGGAAGTCTACAAGAAAGAGTACTACGCGTACATCTTGATTCTTCGAGCTTTACAAGCGTACCACTCCACCTCTGATCCGTCTGCCTCTGTACTCCAGCATCAACAACAGGTCCACCAGCTTCTACGGGAGCTGATCCTTCCTCCCACACCTGTTGTCGTGCAAGATGAAGGTGTCAAGAAACGACAGCCTCTGGGGCGGGCGACTACCACCAGGGCCGCGCCCACCAGGTCAACGAGGAGCGCGCAGCGGACAGTCTCTGAGCCACAGAAGAAGCCTGTGGCGACAACCAGGGGAGTACCGGCGAAGAAGGGGAAGAGCGCCGCGGAGGTGGGGACCAAAGCCGTTGCTTATGACGACTTGAAGCGTCTTACATTCCTGCTTTGTGAGTAACTTTAAGTCATTGTGGAATGTACTGATCCGGCCTAGCATCGTTGGCAACCCTCCTCGGGCTTATGGGCATGTCTCTTGCGCAAGTGGAGGTGCTGAAACTGTTGAGAGCTTTGCAAAGAAATCGAGACCCCTTGTTCAGCGGTGAGTGGCAGCCCACATCATCTTGCGGTTCTACTGACACATACAAAGGCTACATTGACGCTTCTGCTCAACTTGCCACAGAATACCACAAGCTGGGAAAGATCTCGCGAGCAGGAAGCGTCTTCACCCAAGCACATAACGCTTTGCAAGATAGCAAAGTGCTCGTGGACGATAGCGTGCAAGTCGAGCTATTGCTGAGGTGGTGTTGCTATCTGGCCGGCACTGGAGATGTCGCCAAGGCGTGAGTGACCTGTATCAGTTTCCAGTCACCACTAACGTCTGAATAGCCGAGAGATGTATGCCAAAGCACAGAATATCGATCGCCACATTGAAGACTCCAAGGATAAATCGCGCTCTCTCCATCTGCAGATCATTACTCGTTGTGTCACGTTGGAAAGAGCTGCTTGGGCCCGTACTGCCACTGCAGCTATCAATGCTGCTGAGGTAAGCTATTTCATTGAGTGAACCTTCACGTGCTAACTTGTGCGCAGGACAATGCCTCCGCTGCCATTATGCAGCTTTCCGCAGCATTTCGTCTTTGGACTCGCGCTTCCGACAATATATGCCGGATAGCCGAAGAAGAGGTCTCCGTCATTGTCAATCACACAACTCCTGATGATCCTTTCCTTGACGCACCCAACTCAAACCGCCCCACTGGAGCAGATGAACCCGCCAAAGACGACCGACCACCGCCCCCACCACAAGCGTCCAGCTTCTCCCTGAAACATCTGGACAGCCTCCAGTGGCACGTCGCTGTCGGGCTTTTGAACACCACGTTTGACCTGGCTTCGGCTTTTGCTGCGAGAGGCTCGGTCAAGGACGTGGAGTACTTTTTGAAAGTCGCTGGTCAAGTCAGCGCCGTAGTGAAGAGTGGGGGCATGGGTGCGAAAACGGGTGCTAGTGAAGCTGAGATTCTGTTCAGGCTGAGAAAGTATGATGAGGTGGAAAGTCGGTTGGAGGGGGCAGCCGCATTACTAGGCACGGTGAGTCGTTCCCTGGTCTGTCCACTCGAGAACAATGCTCAATCTAGCCCATAGGACACCGGACCGGGAATGGTAGACATTCTGCGAGTTCAAGGAGACTTGTATACCAGACAGGATCTGGTTGAGGAAGCAAATCAAGTATTCGAGTGTACCTCGAACGAGATAGCTGGACTAGACGCAACATTTGCAGCTGCAGAAGCTCTTCTGCCCACGTGAGTTTCCCGCTCCTTTTCGGACACTCTTTGCTGACAGTTCCACAGCCCCAAGAAAGCTTCTGCTCTTGGAACCTCGAATATCAGCACCAAAAGCCTTCCAACGCCTAGAAAGAGCACCAGCGGGAAGGAGCCACTTCTGACCGTGCCTTTGGCGCATGTGCTCGTTCAACACGGTACGTTTTCACTTTGAGGGATTCCGGTCGCTGATCTATTCATTCCAGCATGGTTGTTGCGAGAGGCTGGAACCAAAGACGAATGCGAGAGACTTCTTGCCCGTATCAAAGGACTGCCGCATTCGAGATACATCAAGGTGAGTAAGATTCGACGATCTCGAGGCTGGAGGCTGATCAACCTTGGACTAGTCCCAAGAGCTTCTTCTACATGGCCGTATCGCCCTTCATGAAGCCTTCGTCCAATTCAAGACCGATCTTTTCATGAGTTCCTTGACTGAGTCTGGTGCGTGGGCGGGAGATCATATTTTTTTCTTGAGGCTGACAAAATCCTAGCGATTGCGATGCCCATGGGTAATTCCACCAGAAAGGCAAATGATCGACAATCTTCAAGACTCAAGATACAGTCTGTGTTGACCCGCGCCGAAAGCTCATTTATGTCTACACTGGACTTGGTGGCCGGCAGTGGAAGAGTAGAAGATATACGCCAGGCTTGCTTGGCATTGGCGCTACTGAGAGCTTTCCAGACTGCACTAGGCCTCGGATCATCGGCTGTCACATCGGCGGCTGCAGACATACTTGGTGAGCCGCCCGAGCAGTTAGTAACGGTATGAGCTGACAATATCAGCCTCGAGCTCTTCCATTACTCTTCAGCGAGAGCTTCTGCAGGCTATTGATTGCAAATTCATTGATGTCGGTGCGAACGACATTCAGTGGTCATCGTTGGACGCGTCAAAGGCCTCAAAGCCAAAGCCAGAGGATGAAGACTCTGAGCCTGAGTGCCTCGATGACCACGATGGTAAACTTCGCTCTTATTGGGACATGATCAGAGAAAAGTATAGCTCAAACCCTCTACTCACAACGGAGAGCGTTTCTCTTGAGAGTCTCCCATCCAATTGGGCGGTCGTCAGCGTCAATGTCTCGGACGATCGGAATACCATCTTTGTCTCACGACACCAAAAGGACCATGAGCCAATCGTCTTCTTTCTTCCTCTCGATAGACAAGGACGAAGGGAGGGTGACGACGAGACCTGGACATTTGATGCTGCCGTCGAGGAACTCCAGACGATCATACAAGCAAGCAATGAAGGTGCAAGGAGAGCTAGATTAATCACCACAGCAGAAGGCAAAGTTGAATGGTGGGCGGAAAGGCGAGCGTTGGACAAGAGGATGGAGGAGCTTTGTGTCAATCTTGAATTTGTGTGGCTGGGCGCGTTCAAGGTCAGTGTGTGCTCTATATGTGTTTGTTCCTAAGCTGACCAGACTGCAGACGATCTTTGGCCCCCGTAACCGCTTCAGCAAAGAAGATCTGGCCGAATTCCGCACCAATCTTGAAAAGGTCTTGCAAGCTGCACTTTCTGGAGGTCGAAATGCCAAAGGCAAAAAGGTTCCACCTAAACTACATCTCAACGATGCTTTACTCGAGTGCTTTGCCGGTCTGTCCAGCAAGTGCCAAGGCGAAGAAGCGGAAGATTTGATCTACTTTATGCTCGACACCTACCAGTTCCATGGGCTGGAAGTGGCTCTGTCGGAGTTGGACATGGACGAAGTGCGTAAACTGTATCCATTTTCTGACGACAACTTATCTGTCCTGTAGATTGCTCTTGATATCAAAAGTGTGTTGGAAAAAATTGAAGCAAAGCAGGTCAAGAGTACCAACCTGACCGAAGAGCACGTCTTTTTGGCATTAGACAAGAACATCCAGTCCTTCCCATGGGAGTCGATACCAATCTTGCGAGGGCGCCCTGTCAGTCGTATCCCGTCATTGTCATTCCTTCTTGACCAGGTCGCCATGGGCAACCACCTCCGACCTTCTTTGACTAGAAGCTTGGTTGAGCCCGGTGACCAACCCACCACTCAACGCACCGTCAACTCCAGAAGGACGTTCTATATCTTGAACCCTAGCGGTGATCTTGCAAGAACCGAATCACACTTCAAACCTTGGATAGATGAGATGGTGAAGACCTCTGGGTGGAAGGGTATTGTGGGCCGCGCGCCCACAGAGCTGGAAATGAAGACCGCGCTGAGAGACTATGATCTGGTATTGTGAGTGACTCGATCTGCGGGCGACTGGGGACAAGAGCTGATGAGACCAAGGTACTTTGGACACGGTGGTGCCGAGCAATATATCAGCTCCCACAAGATCAGATGCCTGCCCCAGTGTGCCACGACCATGTTATGGGGTTGTTCTTCCGGTCACTTGAAAGACCAAGGGGACTTTGACCGAACGGGCACGGCTTGGCACTACATGGTTGCCGGATGGTGAGTTGTCTGTATCACATGGTGGCTCAAGCTGACATCGGGCAGTCCGTCTCTGGTGGGTAACCTTTGGGACGTCACGGACCGCGACATCGATCGCTTGTCCGAGCACGTACTGAAGCAAGGACTGCATCTCGATTCCGCCCACCAACCCCACTCCAAAAATCGGCTCAACACTTTGCTGCCGCTCTCGGAACTCTCGACTGTTCAGGCAGTCAACAGGGCTCGAGATGAGTGCAAGCTCAAGTACCTCAACGGGGCAGCTCCGGTGGTCTACGGACTACCTGTGTATTTACATTAGAGTCTTGAGCCACGTTGTTTATCCCATATATGTACAGTGCAAGTACATAAATCATAATCTTGTGTAGGCTAGGACCGATTTGAGTAAATTATAAGTGTCAAGCATGATGCGTAATAGATATTACATAGCATAGACTAATGCAGAAGAGATCTCATGACTGTGCGCAGCTCCTAACTCTGACTCTGCGTCCTTCCCTGACTTTCCGGCACATTACCGGCAGTCTGCCCTGCCCATTGCGGTACTTCAAACTCGAGTGTCTTGCACTCGCCAGTTTCAAGGCAGACGAGTGCAAGGGTGCCCGTTTTGGCAAAGGATGGGAGGAGAATGATCCGAGTTGGGTCGTCGTCTGTAGCCACCCGTCAGTGAGTACAACCATGAACCCGAAAGCGCGACGGGAACGCACCTCCAACAACAGTAGTCTCAAACTCTGGTTGATTCCCAATGACATAGAAGTCTGGTCGATGTTTCAGGATGAAAGGGTCGGCATCTGGGAAGGGGTAGATCCATAGGGTATCAGGCGCTGTGGGTGCGATATGCCGCCATTCCAGAGTCCGCTTGGCCATCGCCAGACGAGAATCACCAGGAAGGTATTTGAAGATATCATCTATCGTTTGACCACCAAGTGCTAGTATACTGACAAGAAGGTCAGCGGGATCGTTGACGGATTTTGAAGCAGGAGAAAGTTACCTCTTCCCACCCACTTCCATCCAGGTCGGGTTGGTCTCGCACTCCAAGCCTTCCGTCTTGGCCTTGCCGCCGAAGAGGATTCTGGGAAGAGGCTGTTGTGGTAATGTGGCACCTGCAGGATCGGAGGGTCCCGGGATGAGGTTGATTGGAAGAGAAGTAGAGAGAAGGTCATGCAGGAGGGCGGAGAGGGATTTGGTAGGGTGATTGGGGAATTGGGGTTTGCTGGAGGTTGAGAATTTGGTCTGAAACGGCCTTGAGCATGGCATCCGTAATATCTTAAGAGACACTTACGACTTTCTTGTCGTCTTCGCCCTTCACAGGAGTTGTCAAGGAGTTGCCGACGAGCACTAAACGCGCTATTCGAGAACCAGCTAGGCGATCCTGGAGAACAAGTCAGAATACACAATGATGTGCTCGGATGAGACTTACATCTTCCCCTCCAGCTTCTCCCATAAGCCATTCCACCAACAACTCTGCTTTCAGGTCTGATGGGCTATCTTGCGAACCGACAGATAAGCCAGACGCCAGAGCGACCCATGTCTTTTCGGATTTGGGAATGTCATCTGGATTTTCTGGCACTCAATCAGCTAAGTTGAGGCGAGGCTATAAAGGAATGCGCACCTGCCATGTCCGCATCCTCGTCCTTGGCTTTCCCCTTACTCTTACCTTCCTTCTTCACCGCCAACTTGTCAGGCAGCCCCGAGAAACAGACATCCACCACCTCGAAATCTCCTTGCGAATTCTCCATTCCCAAAACACCCATGATCACACCCGTGACAATCCCTCCCCCTTCTCTATCGCGTTCTCTCTGGATGACATCGCCTATCAGGCGCACGCGGCCAGATTCGTCTTCGAGGTGGATGGCGTCTTGGGCCGAGAAGAACTTTTTGCGTGCTATAGGCGGGGCGAGCCAGTGCTGAGAGAGCCATAAGCGAGCAGTACGACAAAGTCCTGGGGTATGCTTACGTCTCTGGCCATGTCTTCGAGAATATTTGGTTTGAGGGGCATTTCCATATAGACCGTGCCGACAATGTAGCACAGTTGTGACCGCGTCAGATTGAGGATACGCGGCAAGAGCGGTGGATTGCCTGTAGTATGGTAAGCCATCGTCTGAGCGATAATGAAACAACATACCCTTGACCTTCTTCCACTTTTCCATCGCCCTCTTCTCTACTGTGGGCCGCTGCTCGACGAGCCTGACAAAGTAGATGTTGGCATACTGGTGCTTGTATGACCTGTTTGCTGGGAGGACTGTGAATTCTTTGGACACGTCGAGGAGGGGGTCATAGGAAGCGGACGGGCGGGCCATGGGGGATAGATGGAGATAATCGTCGTATCGCACAAATTCAATAGGACATGACCCAAAACGCGTCGCGCTCGTGCTTACGTAATGAACGCGTGTATTAAAACACCGTCATGTCAGAACGCGTTCAAGGCAACATCGATCTCTTTCAACATCTTCTTGCCACCGGGCTGTCCATGAGCATCTCCACAAAACTCCTCGAGGAGTACATGGAAAAGAAACAGCAAGGCGTCCCCGACCGCTCATACTCAAACTCTGTCCTCGAGGGCCGCGTCAACAACCGCAACCAGGAATTCTCAATCGCCAGTCGGAGACCGCTCAGGATGGACCACGGGGGCAACTCTATGGGCGACCGATCTTTCAATGGGGGTTACTCAGGAGTACAGGGTGGAGGGAACCAGAGTTTAGCAGACTCGAGCCACGGCAATGGGAGCTTTGGCTTTGGGAATGGTACCTTTACCTCAACGCAGAGGGGGTGTGCGAGCCAGTGGTCTGAAGACAGAGTGGAGCAGATCCAGGCGAGGCTGAAGAGGAAGCTTGGGCCAGAGTATGTGACTCAACGTCCCGGGCCTGGTGGAGTGCAGAAATTGAGGTGAGCCGAGCGGTTGTCCTGGAACTTGGCCTGAGCTGACGTGTATCGCCCAGCTATATCGAAGGATGGAAAGGTATGCCGCTGCTCCATGCAATCAACTCATGGGCTCTTTCTAACTGTCGGTAGTCATCAACCTCGCCAACGATGTGTTTGGCTACAACGGCTGGTCGACTACCATCGTGTCGCTGAAACCAGACTTTATTGACCAGACAAAAGAAGGCCGGATCTTTGTCAATGCCACTGCTATCATCCGGATCACTCTTCTCGACGGGACATTCCATGAAGACGTTGGGTGTGGACAAGCGGAGAATGTCAAGAGCAAAGGCGCTGCTATCGACAAGGTGCGTCATGAACTACTCTACTCGTGCACCAGGCTGACTCCTAAGTAGGCGCAAAAAGAGGCGGTGACAGATGCTACCAAGCGTGCGCTTCGAACGTTTGGCAATGTGCTCGGTAACTGCCTCTACGATAAAGAGTACACCAAAGAGGTTGTAAAGATGAAGGTCCCTCCGGTGCGTATGCCTGCTGATCTCTTGCTACCGAGCTGACGAAGCGAAAGGCCAAATTCCAATCAGATGGGCTTGAAAGACGTGCAGAGTTTGCTCCGCCCGGGTATAGCCATGATGCTGCTCCAGGCCCATCTCGCTCCAACTCCATCCCACCGCATATGAACACGGACAATCGACCTCCTCTGAACAACAATATTCTTCCTCCTCGCAACATTCCTCAAGCCGATCCACAACCACCACCACCACCCATGCGCCCGCCACCCAATATCGTCCAAGCCACGCCGCTAAAATCAGTCCACAGTGGGGATGGTCAGGAGGACGAGTACTTCTTCGACGAAAACTTTGATGCGGAGTTTGCACAGTTTGACGATGCTTCCATGATGGCGGGAGTGGATGGGGCTGGACCGAGCTCTGGCGCGTGAGTGATCTACTACTGGGCTTGTTATGCGGTACTGATGGGCTATAGTAATACAAGCGTACACTCTGAACCTTCCAAGCCTGAACGACCGGCGTACCAACATCGTGCCCGCCCAGACTTATCCAAGTCTGTATCTGAGGGTCCCGCCAAAGAAGCATCGTTTCAGAAACCTGCTCCTCCTCAAGCACCCCAATTTGGGCGCCCGGCCCAGCATGCTCCTCAAGCTCCGGTTGCGAATGGGGTTAATGTTCACCATGCGCCAGGGTTGGAAGGGCAAAAGACGATACCGTCCAACAGCAGCCCTGTTGACAGGGGTGTGTTTGGAAAGACGGTGTCTGCGCCAGTCGCTGTAGGAAAGCAGCCGCCGAAAGTTGTTGGTGGATTCAACTTTCCAGGACCTGTACGTCAATTTTCTTCCTCAGACCACTCGCTGATCCGGTGCTAGGCAAATAAACCTGCATCTTCCAGAGCTCAAGCCATTCTCAAAGGCCTAAACGGCAATACACACCCTTCGCCTCATCTCAAAGGTCCCGAGTCCCCACGGATTCCCTCGGGTGGTGTAGACCACGCCGCTCTGCGGGCCACCTCCAGGCTCGCTACAGAAGGCGCGAGGTTGGGCTTTGATGAGAATGACGAGGCGGTGGCGGCGGACTTGGCATTGGGAGGGTTTGCGAGTGCTAAAGGGTTGAAACGGGCGCCACCTGGAGCAGAACGGATAAGTCATAGTCCGTCGCCTACGAAGATGAGTGGAGGAGTGCAAGGTAGAACAGCATTGGGGGAGTTGGATCCTGCAGATTGGGCTGCCAAGAGGTCTAGGTTGGGTTAGCATCTAGCCAGTTCGGTATTGTTGTAGTATAACCCTTTGTATTCCCTGATCATTAACATCATAGATACCTTGAGAGATACGTGTATCGCCCTTTTGTAAAGTTATCGATGGGAATCTGGTATAACCTGTGCATCAGAGCAAGAAAAAAAGACGAAAAATGGTGGAGACCTAAGTCTCAGAGCAAACAGCCCATGCCCTCCCCTGCGCACCCCTCATACACCCCGACAAACAACCCGCTCACACCTAAGCGTGCCACACCCTTCTGAGGAGTTCTGTCAAACCGACATCGTTCGTGTTGAACTCGTACACGCCCCAAACTGTCAGACCGGTCGCCGCTCTCAAAACCCACGCCGCAATAGGACCAAGAATGGGGAACTTTCGGGGGTGGACATAGTCGACGACACACGCGTCGAAACCGATATGGGTGTGGATGATGAGGGAGATGGCGAGGATACCGTCCATTATAGGCTACCCCACGATTAGCGGCAGCTCATCACTCAATGGAGCCGATAATGGCGGCTACTACTTACGTAGGCAGAGCCGGAGGAGACGGCGGCACCGACGGTGACAGGGATCAAGGCGGCAGAGAGGATGCGCTCAAAGGCCCAGTGGTAGGAGCCGTGAGACTTGGAGGGAGAGGGGAAAGTGGTGGCATCGTTCACGGTACCCTTGAGGATGGCTATAGACGGATTAGCGGGAGCTCTGTTGGTGACTATTGGCGTGGGTCGATGGTGGTGATAGGGGCGTTTCCCCTTCTCCCTCTCCAATCTGACCATCCCTCTTCGCTCCCAGTCCATCCTGATGCCTCCTGTCTCCCTTCCCTTGATCCTTATACACCTGTTGTCCATCCCGGGTAACCCGCCACCACCAGAACCACACGCAACCTCAATCATCAAACAACTCACGTCCTCCAGGAATGTACTTGAAGCCTCCAGTCTCTTCTGCAGACACCATAGCATCCCGCTTAGCAGAAGTCGCCCGCAGAGCCATAGGTCGGGCTACATCGGCGTTCACATCAGCGTGAGCACAATATGGCCCAGGGGGCGTGGACGTACAAGTGCTCAGGGTCCGCCTGCCGAGGCCGAGGCCCAGGGCACGGAAGGTTGCTTGTGACTGTGCTGGGCGGAGGAAGGGCATGGGGGACGAGTGGATGATAGAGGAAATGAGCGCAACAGGCAAGACGCAAGTGGACAAGGCGGAGCAAACCGGCGTTTTGATAAATCGCCCTTCTCATTGGCCCACTTATTTGTTCCCGCAATCGACCCCTATGCATCCATCCGTATTTTCTTTGGCTTCAAGCTTACCACTTACAGCGGCAGCTTGTCATATACGTCTTGCATACCCATGACTATCGCAGTACGGAAGGCAAATACTCCTCCGGCACATCAAAGTCCTTCAACCCTTCTGCCTCAACATCCTTCTCATCTGCAGGGTAGTGCTCTTTGACGCCCAACACGATGAACTTGACTCTCCACCGGACCACCCCGATCGCCTCGTCTATCCTCTGCCTCAACACGCCCTTTGCCTCACTGCCGGACGATCCACCCGAGGTCGCTACCAACGCCCATCCCTTCATCTCCTCTCTCATCGCCTCCAGAATCTCTCGGACAAGATTCTCCTTCTCGCTGGCGTCCCGGCCGTGGAACGTCACCGTGATCGCTCTCGGTCCGCAAAGCCACTTGAAGAGACCCCATTTCTCATTGATGACAAGAGACGATGAGGCAGGGAATGATCGGCTATTGTGCCGGCTACGCAACAGCAGAGGCAGCAGGATCCCTCTGAGCCCTTTAAAGTCGTCAAGAGGCAGTATCTGAGGCTGAGTAGTGGTTGCGTTCTCAAGAGGAACCATACCTCCGAGATCTATGGTCTGGGCTACACCATACTTCGCATCATAGTCGAAATCCATGGCGGCGCCATCATCATCTGTATATTCCTTCGCGCCCTTAACTTTGAACTTCTGCTGTAAGTGATACTTGATCAGCCCGGTACTGCAGAGCATCAAGAGGATGTTGAACGTGGACTCGTCAATCATGTCCCCCAATTTCCCATCGCTCGACTTGTACCAATGGTACTGGCGCTTGTTGACGAATCTGACAAATACAGCGTTCATCGCTCGAAAGGTTCGTGCAAAACCCTCCGTTAGGCCTGTAGCTTTGTGCTGCTCATATTCCTCCGCCCTAGTCTGGGACGAAACAGGCATAATCTTCCAATCGCGTTTGGAGGGGGCATTTGGCGGTAAACGTGGGGTGCTTGCACCGCTTGTGGCCAGCTTGAGCGCCGCAGAGTTTACAGTGGCCCTCTCCAGACCAGGTCTGAAGGTGACCCTCGTGATATGGAAAGGATTATTCTCGCTGAACAATTTACGCCCGTCAGGCTGAGGATATACATCATCGTTCAGATGATCAGCCCATCGAAGAGCAAGATATTTGACTCTGAGAATCGGTGCCTCTGCGTTGGACTTTGCGAGCATCCGATTCAACTTCTTTCTCTTCTCTAGCTCGTCCGCCGTAGGCTCGGGAGTGAAAATGGTGAAGTCCATGGTGAATCCAACCACGGACCTTCTCGGGGATATGCTCACTCTGATATTCCCGTCACTCAGATCCGCTCCTATCGACGAAAACATCCTGGAGACCAGGAACGCCTTGCCGATATACCGAAACCAATCAATCAATTGCTTGGATAGAGAGTCAAGGTGCTCCTCCCATTTGGGGGGTACCCCCTTACCGATATGCGCCCTTTTGTAGGACACGGTCGCTCGGTAGTAGGGCAAAAAGAAGCTCGCCACGAGGGACATTCCTCGCCCTTTCTTGATCTGCTCGTCTACCCACGTCCGGACGAGCTCTCTGATTTGATCCGAGGTCATTTCTTTCCATTTATACAACTTGATGCCTTCGCGCAGCTCGTCCACGTTGTATCCGGCATTGATCAGGAAACCGGCAAATTCATTGAGCTGCGCATTCGCCTTGCCGACTTTGGCGCCGTCCTCACTTGTCTTTGGGTTGACACATGATCGTTCTTCCAGGCACTTGGTCACATCCATGTGTTTCTCCAGCATCAACTGCCGAATCGTCTCACCGATGATCTCGGGTATCGGACCCGCCCCATCGAGCCATTGGTCCTTCAACGCCATGGCTTTAATATCGCTCCCCAACTTTTGGTTTAGAAGCAGATCTTGAGATGCTAGGTACTCTGCCTTCTCCATAAAGCTAAGCAGCTTTTTACTCAGCTTGCCTGTCTCTTTTAGCCCTTTCAACGGTGACTCTGAGCCATCGAGCTTGCCGTAAAGTATATCATCATCTCCGCCTTTTGCGCGGGACTCATGATTTCTGGCATGCTCTAGACCGTCTTGATTATACATCGTGACCGGTGTATCATAGATACTATACACGTTGTAGTTCTTGTTCTCCTTGCCTCTCTTGCCGCCGTCGTCAAACTTGACACCGTCTTTGGGGGTAGGCGGGCGCTTCCAAGTCCCATCGGCATTGCGCTCCAGAAGGACGGGAGTGGTGGCACGGCTGCTTGCCGCAGATGATGGTGGGGCCGGGCTCTTCCAGAGCTCGCCTTCTGGTTTAGGTCGATCAGGCATGGAAGGAAGCTGAGGAGAGTCGTCGTCATTAGGTATGGTCTTGGCTTTTTTGTCCTTCTTTGCCTTCTCCTCTTCTTTCTTCTTCTTCTCTTCCTTCTCCTTCCTCCTCTTTTCCTCCTCTTCCTTCTCCTTCCTCCTCTTTTCCTTCTCTTCCTCCTTTTGCCTCTTTCGCTCGCGCTCCTTTTTGGCATTTTCGGCCTCTGCATTGTCAACGTCGTCTGTAGAGGTGGGAGTCGTAGCAGCTGATGTGTTTGTGTCGGAAGTACCCGCCTCATCTCTTCTCGACGCCTTCTCCGCCTTCTTTTGCTTCCTTCTGTCTTCTTCTTCCTTGTCTCTTTTTCTCTCGCGTTCACGCCTGGCATAAGATGCAGCATCATTGCCATCATCCCGACTGTCAACATCAGAATTGGTCGCGTCACCGGCTGACCCCTCAGCTCCGGTTTTGGACGACGTCTTCTTCTTCGAACGTCTTCTTCCCGTGAGCAGCATGTACAGTGCTACTATGAGGAAGATGACGACGAGGATAGCCTCGGGTCGAGTCTGGCGGGTGACTATAGCTGCCATGGAGTGCAATTGAAGCTGATAGTCCTATCAATCGATGAGCGGGAAGCACTCTCGATTTGGTGGAGGTGCTTACTCAACGGTGTTGATGGAGAAAAGATAGGTGGGCACTCAACGTCACAGAGTGCTACCTGGCGGTGACGTTGTATCTTGAAGCACGGTACGACTGCTGTCACAGTTGACAATGCATTGCAAAAGCCGGTCTACTTTGCAGGCCGAGGGACAACAAAGGGAGTGCTCCAGCCAGTGGCTGACGTTAATCGGGTTGCTCCTTTATCTCTCCAGCCTCTTTTGGGACCATTCTCGGGAAATCCATGGTTGAGCGCAGCGCTATAAATGCATACAATGGTCATAAGATTCGTATATGGACACATAAGACAACGACCACATAAGTTTATACAACATAAGGCCAGGACTTCTACTTGTACTTGTCACCCAACTCGCGTCTTGCAGAGGGATCAAGACTGTTTCGCATACCCAGAAGGGTCTTTGAGACGGCCTCGGTGGTACCGATCATGGGTTTCAAAACGGCGATAGGAACGGCTCTGACCACAGCCTTGAGAGGGCCCTGTACGATATGTCAGCAGATGTCCAGGACTGGGACGTCAAAACTCACATCATCTCCGGATCGCTCGTAAACCTCCATGGGAACCGCCAAAATAGTTTGAGCTGCCGCGTTGACATTCTTGGACAAGCTCGCATAGGCCGCCTGAACGCCTTCTCTCGCATTCTCAGGTTGGCTCGCGTAGCGGCTGACCATCTCACTCTCATCCTCGCTACTCGAGCCCGTCCCTAACAGTCCGCTATCGATCCCAAACTCATCATCCACAGGCAAACTCTGCGCAATGACCTCTTCGCCTGCCTGGCCTCCCAGCATGCCTTCGGCACGTTCGAGGACGACCTGAGTACCAGTGGCCAGTCGAGCACCAAGCTTCATCATCTCCAAGGCTGTGGACTTGACAAAGCTGTTGGTGCCCCTCTGAACGCCTTTAGCGATACGACCATCTTTGCGGTACTGCTCAATGGGCAGCAAGATCAGGTCTGCCACGCCAGAGCCGACGTTGACCATGGAGCGGATGGGAGACACCCCAGATATGACATCGGCCAGTTGGTTGGCTTTGACGTCTGGTGTCCAAAGATCTTGCAATGTCATCCCCAAGCGCTCCAGACCACTGATACCCGAAAGAGTAACATGGCGAAGGGTCATCTCGGCACCCTCAAAGTGGAAAAAGTTCATCAATTCGATGGTCTTTCCCTCTCGAAGAGCTTTGTAATCGACACGCTTTGGCTTGTAGTCCAGCTTGAGTTGAATGGGATATATCTCGACATGCTGAAAGTATGGGCCAGAAGAGGGGTGGGGAGAGGGATTCGTAGGTGAGGCCAGGGAGGGATTGGGCGGCTGTTGAGAAGCAAGGGAGGGCGCTTTGAAGCTGAAAAATCGCTTGAGGAAATCAAGCGCATCTTGATCAACGTGTAAACGCAAAGGAAGGATCTTGAGCTGAGGGACAGTAAGCAGATGCGGACGTTATGGTATAATAAGACGCACCCTGAGACGCAATTCCTCCTCTCCTTCCTGAAGCCTCACGCCGACTAGCTCAAGTCGAATCATGTCGGCATCCGTTTCTCGGATGTTGCCTCGATTGTCTGATTTGAGCTCGGTCAAGAACTTTTTCCAAGTCGACGTCTTGATATGATCGAGGATTTCCAGTTCTTTGGCTGTAAAGTGGACGCGAGAAGATGTCGCCTCTCCGGGTCCATAGAGGTCGATGTCAGCCTTGATATCCGAGACCGTGATCTCGATTTGAGGCTTTTTGGACCTCGTGAGCCTTTTCCCTTTCAGTTTGACCTTTTTGGCATGATGCACGGCTCCCGCGCCAGCACCAACTCCAGCTGGTAAGGTCTGCCAAGAGCTTTGACTTTCAGTCTCCATGTCACCCAACTCTTCATCGATGGCAGCCAGGAGAGCTTTATCGTCCATCTTGCCCATCCCCATCCCAGAAAGGTTCATATCTGCTTTTTGAGGATCCAGGCCGACGTAGACAGAGTTGAATAGAACGCTGCTGGCAGTGCGCTCGATAGATTCGTCGGCCTTCTGGCCAGATGCGAGAAGCTGTCGGATGCGCTCTAGACGGCGACGAACGGCTCGAACTTCATCTTCAATGACCTTTCTGGTGCGAGACCAGTCATAGCCGTCGTAAAGCATGAGCTTGAGACTGGCCCGATGGACTCGCACGCGAGTCTTGCCGGGAAGTTCGCTTCAGTGGTATCAGCTCTCTGATACCTCTTTGGAATGTGAGACTCACTCGGCAGAGAATCCATTGTTGAGCACTGGAAGCCCTTCCCAATACCCCTGCTCCTCTTGCACCTTTCCCGCAAAGACTCTCACAGTTTCGGCCTCTTCTCCATGGCCCCAGTGATCATCTTCTCCGTGTGCACCAGTGCTCTCCCAAGTCCGCAAGCTTTCTCCAGTGGAGCTATCCAGGCTTGGTTTGTGTTTCGGCACGCGGGTGGCGTGATCCAGGTAATCGAGGTTTTGAGGCAAATCATCGTCGATCATGTCGGCATCGGCGTGCGACACAATTTCGGGCACAACGTTGAAAGCATCCTCATCCAGGGACCCTGTCAGAGAGGCGTTAGAACACAGATGCAGCTTGTCAAAAAAGGTCAGCTCACCAAATACGTTGATCGATTCTTTGAGCGCTGGAGATTTGATGGGTACCAACCTTTGTAAAGTCAAATATCAGCATCGCATGTCATCAAAAGTCGTCACAAAGTCGTCGACTTCAATTAAAAACTCTAGTAATTTCTAATACGAACTTTTCATTAGGGAAGAGCTTGCCAAAGTCGGTTGCGAGCTCGCCAAATGAGGCCAAGGAGTCTGCACAAGCAGTGACCTTGAATTGCGCATCGGTGATATCAAGCTATCCGGGTTTGTCAGAACATTTCGAGACGAGGCCTTGCCAACTTACTGATGTCTCACCAAGCTCCGCCATTCGTCGTAGCAACTGCAGCTCCAAAACCGTCACTTCAATCAGCTGAGCATAACCTGCTTTCTACTCGGCATGTCAGCACTGTGATCGCGCCAGCTCGCGAAGACAACGCACCTTCCATATGTCACTCAAGCTTCCGGCGACCTCTAGAGGTCCGCTGTCCCCTTCGATAGCCAAAGCACCCATCCCTCCGATCCCGACGTGTATCGGGTTCTCCTCGGCACCCCTCCGCATCTCTGTCCAACCCTCAACTTCCCTAGCGATGATGACGATTGATCCCGGCACGTTTGGCGGTACAAGTAAGACGGACGCCGACGACAAGCTGACACTGAGCTTGGTCACATCTGTCGGGGAGAGGTTCTCAAAGACTCCCTCGGGAGGCTTGATGAACGCCAGCAATTCGTGCAGCCAGATGATCTCTTTGTGAGTCGCAAACGTAAAGTGCGAGAGAGTAAGTGAGATGTTGCTCTCCTTCATTGTCGTCAGCCGATCGGTAGAGGACACGAATCGGATATAAACGATTGGTGCTTGGTGGGAAGTCAGAGTGAATGGCGTAGTACGACCAAGAATACGCCTCGACGTCTCGGATGACACATCGGAGAAGTCCAAATCCATCACCGAGACGGTCAGCGCCGTCTCGTTCTTGACCGGGTTTGTCTCCATTCGCACATCCAGATCGCTTGCTTTGAGGCTAAACATTCTCTCTCCTCCGCTATCTTCCAGCCGAGGAACAAACAGCCCCACGTCAACTTCGTTGATTTCCACCGCTACTCGCAGACCCGCACCCTTCCCCTCTTCTTCCTCTTCCACCTCACTACTCGCCTCGCTCCCTTTCGAACCGCCGAAAAAGCGGCTCCCAATCATCTTGAGCTCGTCCCGCGGCTTGGCAGACCCATCGGAGAATGTGCCGTCCAGCCAACGGGTAGTGTCATCCGCAAAGTACTGCAGACCGACGACGAGAGAGCGATGCAGGGACGAATGTATGGCCGGGATCTTGCAAGTGACAAGTGTTGTTTTTGGCGAGGAAGCGTCGGTGAGAGGGGAAGACGCGACGGTTGAGACAGAGACCGACGGGAGAAGCGGCACATCGTCTTCGTCCGGATCGGGCGTGAGAGGCGAGAGCGCGAGGAATGCACAGGCATTACGCTGTCCTGCAGGAGCAAAGAAGAACAAGGTACTTTCAAACTCCACCTTTGCTACCTCTTTTCCTTGATGTCCGGCGTCGGGGCCATGCAGAAGCTTGACCCCCAACCCATGCACATCCACGCTGAAGATTCCAGACCTCAATCCAGACCCTTCACTCCATGCCTCTCTCTCCACCCCCTCGGGCGGCGGTTCTGGGCACCGCACATCCAGCCGAAGCATACTGCACCGAATTTCTGCCTTGGTGTTTGACGACTTTGAGGGAGAGGGGGCGGACAGGGAGGAAATGATAGACTCGGGGGTCACTTCCTGATTGAAAGAGGGGTATGATGGCGGAGCAGGCTCAGTCTTGTGGATGAGCGGTGTGGTAGCGCGCAGTAAAGGCAGAAGGCGTTCCACCAGAGACAAGTCGAGGAAAACATGTACGGGTAGCAGAGTGACCACCGGCGCTAGCACCAAGTCAGCATTGCTCAACAATATCTCTGGATGCTTACCTCCAGAGTCCTTCTTGAGGACCACCACCGGTCCTTCTTCCACCTTCTTGGCATCTTTCAATATCCCTCTTCCTCTCTGCCTCACTTTCCACTGCCTCTCCACCCCAGACCTTCTCGGCGCGCGCCAGTCCATGCTCTCAAATTCAGGCATGGCCGATTGTTTGGCGCGCGAAGTGGGCAAGTCGTACTGCCTTGCCAAACCCGGGTCAAAGAGGACTATCGGGAGAGCCACGTCTTCTTCACTATCTCTAGGGATGAAATGCTCGAGCAGCGACATGTCTTGGACAGTCACGGAAAGTGAAGTGGGCACCGGCCCAAACCTGGCGTGTGCCGAAGAGCGCCTCCTGAGACCAGCCGCAGGAGCCGAGCTCATAGCGCGCACTGGACGAGGTCCCGCCTGGCCTTGACTTTGGTATATTGCCTCCAGTTGCTCCAATTTGAAACGAAGGTGATTGAAAGGCAAGGACGAGGCCGGTCTCGCAAAGTGAGTTTCGAGAGCTTTGAGGAGCTGGGGGGACTGGGCGGCAGAGAGATCGTACACTGCGACAAGCTGGAAAGACTTGATACGGTTGATGACCGTCATGCGAGGTTGGCTTTTGGTGGTAGGGAGCGGTTCTTCAGTACTGGACTCGGTTTGCGACAGGTTCTGCAAAGCACATATCAAGAGACGTAGTTGAGAAGGCAAGATGACAGCTGCGACAGTCCCCACAAGGACCTCTACATCAACCTTTGGTAAAGTTGACTGAGGTGCGGCCTCGTTCAAGAGAGGCGAGGGGCGAGTGGTACGCATGCGAAGCACGATATCCTCTTGGCCAAAGCTGAGGATGGGTGTTGCTGGTAAAGGAGATCTGGGCTGAGACTTTGCCTCGGGCGTGGGAGTAGCGGACCGGGAACCCTCGTCCTCCGTATCAGAGCTCGAGCTACCCGCTGGTGGCATATTTGGGATCCCCGACAGCCCGGGCTGCTCTTCGATAACACTATGGAAGAGCGCGCTTTCGTACACACTCGGCTCGTCTTCCGATGACGAGGACGACTGCATGGGGGAGAGTCTGACGTCCGCCAGACTTTCCCTCAAGTCCGCGACGGCTTGAGACATGTACATGTCTGCCGACTCTTCATCCGATGAAGAAGCTTTCGACGAGCCAGAAGAGACTGAGGACGTGCGCGGCTGCTGCCGAGAAACGGGGGGAGAGGAGGGAGGAGGGAATGAAGGGACCGAGACAATGTCGACGCCAGAAATGCGTATTGATCGTGTGGTACTCGCCTCCGCTAATTGCGTCTCGCTTTCATCCGCATACTGAACTTTGCGAATGCGCAGCTCAACTATGCCTTCCTCTTCGCCTTCAGTCTTGACACGTATCACGACATTCTCCACCTTGAGGTCGAGCCTCGCCAGTATCCGCTCAACCATCCCCGCGAGGACAGTCGTGCTTTCGATATCTGCTGGTAACGGTTGCCCGGGGCTGATATGGCCGGTCGGTAAACTCGAAGGGAATCCTCCTGGCAGATCGCTCTCGAATGGATCCGTCTGCGACAAAATCAAGCTCTGTCTGATCGACCCTTCCAGCTCCTTCTCTTCATACGCATCCAGCTCGAGGTGCAAGAAATCATCGGCAGCGGAGGTGACCGATTCGGCAAGGTCGTGGTGGTGGTCGGCGGGGTGTGATGCCTTTCCGTGCGATACAGGAGAAGGGGAGGCGAGGGTAAAGTCGAGTGTGAGTGTATCCAGAGATACGCTCAGGGGGTCTGACCAGAGATTGGGGAAGGGGAGGCGGGCTGTAAGGCGCCCGAGCGAGCCACTCGTAAGAGTGAGTGGTACATTGGGCGGAATGTAGCTGTTAATCTCCTGTACATTGATCAGCATTGGCCACCCGCTACTTGCAGCACTCACCGCCGAATCAACCTGCAGCTCCTCGAGTTCTACCCGGCCCGCGCTGACCTGCGCTTGGATCCGTTCCGCATCCAACGCCTTATGGAGGACAAACCTGCCGAGCGTACGCTTGAGGATATAGGAAAGGAAGCGGCGCTGTATGTTGGCAGGGAGCGAGATGGAGGGGAGGGAGGGAAGGGCGAAGGGGAGGGAGGTTATGAATGAGGGTAGGGAGAACATGGCATGGCGGTGGCGGATGATGGAGTCGACGGGGTGGCGGTATGGCTGATGTCGTTACGATGGGCAAGATGGCCGACTGGTGTGGTTGTGGGCTGTCGTGGTATCGAGGAATGTCGAGAGGCAGAATCAGAATAGTTGTAATTGAATGGCGATGGACTTGATCATACATCATACATACACAAATGGTGCGTGCCTCAATTATGTAATCACCTCGATTGCTTGTCTTGCGTCGTGAAGATGTTGTTGTTATCGATGTATAACCCCTTTTCTGCATTGAGACTGTCGACTTTGCGGCCTGAATGAGTTCCAAGGGCTCATCTGGATAGGCAGTGTTACCCAGCTTATATGACCCTGGCATCCCCACCAAGAAGGCTTCTTCACGGCGTGTCTCATGAGTACGAGTACACTGCATTTCACAGTAATCAATGCATATCACCTGATCATATCCTTCGTACGGACGCTAAAATCATAGCATCGTGAGCATAGATCACACACTCGATTGGAACCATCGAGGAAATAATCAACCCCAGTCGCCCCAAGAGACCTGCCGCCTGCAGCTACCTGGGGCTGGGTGCCACTGGGGTATCGCCGTGTATCGCCGGGATACGTAATGGGTGGCGCTCATGTGACGTGGTGCTGGGTCGGAGGATACGCTGTGCCCTGGCCATGCATGCATTCTCTGTAGCGCACGGATCCCTCATCCCATCTCCCACCGCGCAGAAGAGACCCCATCAGCATCCTTTGTTGACGAACGAACAATCCTTCCCTCATCCGCCTTTATCACAACACAACACACTTTGTCTCTCCCCTACTACCCACCAGAGACCATCCCCTGGCCTGAAACGATTCCCCATCCGACGCGTCACTCCGCTTGTTTAACTCAATCACTGCTTAGATAGGTAAGTCGTGTCTCTAGTTCTACCTCGTGGCTGTGGATGCTTGGTGTGAGGATGAGGGCAAGGACGAGTCTTGACTGGGACTGGAAGGCGCTGCTGTCCCTGCAGCTTTCGGGACCGACTCGATGTTTGCGCCATCCGCTATACATCGCGTCCGAGGAGAGGATCGGGACTGTGAAAGGAGACATTCCCACTCAGATGTCTTGTACGACCGTCCCATGCTGCATGCAGTACGCAGAGCAGATCGATTCGTCTCGCGTATCGAGAGCCTCTTTGGGCTCCGCGTCGCCGGCTTTGGCTCTCCGGGCGGAGCTCCAAGTCTCCTGGTTCTTGAGCTCTAACGCTCAAACCTTCTCCCTCTTTTCATCCCTCTAGCCTTCTTTTCCCTTCCTTGCTCTTGCATTGTTCTGTCTTGCAGGCATCGGCCATCCTGGCCTTTCACCTCCTGGCGGGTGGCGGAATGGCGCGTTTCACCAGGCATGTGATTGGCGGAGACGGAAGCGGGGTCTGGGCAAGAAGATGCCAAGATTTCGTCCACCGACGAGTCTTGATATCCCGCCATCGCATGACCGAGGTCGGCCATGGTCATGAAGCGTGCTTGCTGGATATTGGACCTTCTCACCTACAGATTCGAGATATGCAGTGAGCTGACCTTGAATATTTGTTAATCTTGGTCCTTCTATATCAACTTGCCTCCGCTGCCTTCACAAACGTTCTTCCCCTCCATCGCAATGCCCCACTTTCCGAACTATCTGTCATGTTTCCCAATCCCAAATCATATCGATATCCTCGCCAACCTACCTGCACTTATCGACCCCTGACCAATCTCCCACTTCCTCGACGGTATCACTCGTTTGGCAAATCAGACATCATGGCTGGAGTTGTGAATGGTGTCCGGGTCGCAAGTGAGTACCTCTTCTGACATCTGTCAGACTCTAGGACTGACTTGACCGTAGCCGACGACCCCAACCGTGTCATCACCGTCAGCGCCCAATGGGGCAAAACTGGCTCTGACACCACTATCAGCTACACCAACTGCAAGGCTGTTGGAAATGGAAGTTTTGGTGTCGTCTTTGCCGCCAAGATGTCTCCGGTGAAACACGATGACGGAGAGGAGGAGCCAGAATCGGACATTGCTATCAAGAAGGTTTTACAAGACAAGCGGTTTAAGGTATGCAAGCTTCCCGCTCGCTGTATCCCAAGCTGACATTCTCCAGAACCGAGAACTGCAGATCATGCGTCTTGTTCACCACCCCAACATTGTCGACCTGAAAGCCTTCTTTTACTCCAACGGTGACAAAAAGGACGAAGTCTACCTGAATCTCGTGCTCGAATTAGTCCCCGAGACTGTCTACCGGGCTTCCCGCCACTACGCCAAGCTCAAGCAAGCTATGCCCATGCTGCAGGTCAAGCTGTACATGTACCAACTCCTCCGCTCCCTCGCGTACATCCACGCCGTCGGTATCTGCCACCGAGACATCAAGCCCCAAAACTTGCTTCTCAACCCCGCCACTGGTGTGCTCAAGTTGTGTGATTTCGGTTCCGCCAAGATCCTCATTGCGGGTGAGCCAAACGTGTCATACATTTGCTCCAGGTACTACCGAGCTCCCGAGCTCATCTTTGGTGCCACAAACTACACCACCAACATTGATATCTGGTCAACCGGATGTGTGATGGCCGAATTGATGTTGGGACAGCCTCTGTTCCCTGGAGAGTCGGGTATCGACCAGTTGGTGGAGATCATCAAGGTTCTGGGTACTCCTACAAGGGAGCAAATCAAGACGATGAACCCCAACTACATGGAACACAAGTTCCCCCAGATCAAGCCCCACCCCTTCACCAAAGTCTTCCGCCCCCGCACTCCCGCCGATGCCATCTCTCTCATCAGCACTTTGCTCGAGTACACGCCGTCGGCGAGGTACACGGCGCCAGAAGCGTTGGTACACCCCTTCTTTGATGAGCTGAGGGTCGAAGGGTCGAGGTTGCCGAACGGAAAGGACATGCCAGTGCTGTTCAACTTTACCAAGGAGGGTGAGTGGCGTGTTTGTATCGTGAAATTGTATGTGCTGATGTGTCTTTAGAATTGTCGTCTCGACCTGACCTCATCCGCCAACTGATCCCTCCTCACACCGAGGAGACTCTTCGCGCAAACGGCATCGATGTCAACGACTTTAAGCCCATTCCTCCCGAGCAGCTGCGTGTCCACCTGGACGTGAGTACTTGCTTCAAGGTCGGTGATCTCCCGCTGATGACCCGCGCAGTAATTGTAGGAGCGCTGTATAAAGAAATGAAATTACATACCCCACATCTACTCCATCCGACTTCTTTCGTTCTGTCACCTATCGATCTCCCATTCTGCCCGTCTTCTCCGGTCGCGCCTTCTTTTTCTTATCATCTCTCATAGCATACGTGGTCAGTAGTCGGTCAATCCTGCTAACTGTCTTCCTCTATTTCTATCTCTTCCAAACTTGTTCTTACTTGTCTCCTTTGAACCAGCATACGTCCTCGTAGATCACTTTGGGGAACCTCGAGTAGATTACTCTATTATATGTAGCCTCAACCAACAAACCTGAGATGATACGGTGGGGATTTGGAGGCGGAATTTCTAGTCGGCGAGGGAGATGGAAGCTTTGGATGATTGGTTTTTCTCTTAGATTCAGACTTTTGGGGACCGGAGAAAAAGGAGTGGAAAGGTTGGTACTCTGGACAAGAAGCGGGACTTGTTTGATTCGGAATTTGCGCATGGATTGTGTCCTCAGACGTGTCTTGCGATTGCCCAATGTCGCCAAAGAGTCAGACCATGTGAGAGGTGCATTGATGATGACTAGGGTACAATTATAATGCTGGGTATTCGTACAATCTGACAATCCGATACAGCGCATAGGGCTCTGCCTTGCGGCCCTTTTGCAGGGTCGACTACACCCTCTTCTCCGCCTCTACCTGGCCAGTCAACCTATCCGCCAACAACTTTTGATCTTCATACTCTCTCCTTCTGCCTTCTCTCTCCTTGGCCCTGGACTCGGCCGATTGCGCCTCGAGCAGCTGAGGCGGTGGGGAGACGACGCAGGTGGTGCACTCGGGGTCGATCGTGGGGGCTGGTTGTGTCACGGGCGAAGATGAAGCTTGAAGTTTCAAGGCAGCTTTGGCGGCAAGACGAGCCTCGTCTTTGATGATACCTTGGCCCATGTTCTATAGAATATTTGTCAATCTCCTCTCCCGATATGGTAGAAAGAGGAAAGAGATACGTACATCGTACTCCCATTTTTGCAGGTAGTGGACGCCCCAGACTGTACCGGCTGAAGCGGCTACGGCGGCTCCGAAGAATGTTTTGGCTGCTACAGACATTGCGCAGGGTGTTGGAGGATAGCAAAGCGAGTTTGGGAATGTAAGAGGAGAGTGGCGCAGAAAGCAATCAAAGTGCAGAAATCAACATGAATTTACGTAAGAGACACGTGAAGCTGCACGGCTCGCGTCGAGCTGGCTGTGGTCTTGAATGGCCTCGCGGTTGCCATTTGTATCCATCTTTCGACTTTTATCTCGTCAGCACCTGGGCCATATCGCATAGAGCCTATAGACCGTCCTAGAGACCAGAGGGATCAAGTATACACCCACACGAGCTGCTTCACAGACCACCCTCCCAGGCCCTGCTCGCCCGCCCCCTTCGCCACCATGTCGGGCAATAATATCAAGGTAAGCTACTTGACCTGCTCCCCTGATCTCACTTGCTCACGTCTATACCCAGGTTGTCTGCCGGTAAGCCACTCTACATGGACCTCTACCGCCCGAGGCTCTTCTGACCCGACTACCAATTGACAGATTTCGGCCCATGAACCGCATGGAGACCGAGGCCAAGTCAGACAGATGCGTGGAAATCAGTGATGATAGAACTGTCAGCCTGAAAAATTCGGCGTCCCTAGGTGGGTGCTGGTCGAAGTCGAGTGAAATCTTGAGCTAATGCCAGTATAGCGGGGCCGGAGAAGGATGGTGTGTCCTTTTGCTCCCAGCGGTTTACGGATCACTGACGGCGTATCAGGCTTCACGTTTGACAGGGTGTTTGATACTGATAGCCACCAGCGTGACATCTTTGGCTGGAGTGTCAAGGGAATTGTGGATGGTAAGTGGCCCCGCTCTGAGGGTTTCGCTTTGCTGATGAGATGAGGCAGATGTGATGTCTGGTTTCAACGGAACGTTGTTCTGCTATGGTCAAACTGGTTCTGGTAAAACATACAGTGAGCCTTTTCGACTCTTCCGACATGGGATCTATACTGATAGTCCGCAGCCATGATGGTCCGTCATTTCACGCACGAAATGGGCCATATTATCTAACTATGATCTAGGGAGCCGATATCAAGAACGAGAACACGAAGGGTCTCATACCTCGTATCGTCGAGCAAATCTTTGCTTCTATCATCGACGCAGACTCTATTGTCGAGTATACTGTCAAGGTCAGCTACATGGAGATCTACATGGAGAAGATTAAGGATTTACTCGCTCGTAAGAAGCTTTCATCTGGAAGTATGATCAGCGGCTGATAGGGCCGCAGCTCAAAACGACAATCTCTCCATTCACGAGGACAAGGTCAGAGGTGTCTATGTCAAGAGTCTCACAGATGTCTACGTCAGCTCCGAGGATGATGTTTATAGGGTCATGCAAGCTGGCTCCGCTAATCGTGTTGTGTCTGCCACAAGTGAGCTCCTCTGACCCAATTGTTGTGACGATGCTGATGAACCCAGACATGAACGCCGAGTCTTCGCGCTCCCACTCCATCTTTGTGATCGGTATCCATCAGCGGAATACTGAAACTGGTAGTCAGAAAACTGGAAACCTCTACCTCGTTGATTTGGCGGGTTCTGAAAAGGTATGCTGCTCGCTACCCTGGAAACCGTGACTAACTTGTGATGTGAAGATTGGCAAGACTGGTGCTACCGGGCAGACTTTGGAGGAGGCCAAGAAAATCAACAAATCCTTGTCGGCTTTGGGTATGGTCATCAATTCGTTGACGGACGGAAAAGTAAGTGCGACGTACGCGAGGGTAAATGGACCTCAATCTTATGACACTGCAGTCCCAACACGTCCCTTATCGAGATTCTAAACTTACACGTATCCTGCAAGGTTGGTGGACCCACACGACCCTCTTTCCTCACTGACACCTATGCAGAATCACTGGGTGGTAACTCACGCACGACCTTAATCATCAATTGTTCCCCAGCCACCTTCAACGAGCCCGAAACTCTCGGTACCTTGCGCTTCGGTATGCGCGCCAAATCTATCAAGAACAAGGCACGAGTCAACGTCGAGATGTCGCCCGCCGAGCTTCGCGCCAAGCTCAAGAGGACGACTGCCGAACTTGCCGCTGTGCGCGGGTTTGCGAGTGAATTGGAGGAGGAGGTCAAGGTATGGAGAAGCGGAGGACAGGTCGAGCAGAGCAAGTGGACGGGGCCATTGGCGGCTGCTAGTGATGCTGCGTCAGGTGCAGCTGCCAAGCGGGGCGCGACTCCGCCTCCACCTCCTACACCCGGCAGCTCGAGTGCAGCCAGTGGTGGTCGGGCTGGGACGCCTGGTGGGGGCTTGCTGGCTGTGGACGGAAGTAGGCCTGATACGCCTACTTCGTTCGGAGCAAGCTTGGATAAGGACGAGAGGGAGGAGTTCTTGAAACGCGAGAACGAATTGAGCGATCAGTTGGCAGAGAAAGTGAGTACATGATCATACGGACAGCGATGCTAACGTCGTATAGGAATCGGCGTTGGCCGCACAAGAGAGGCTTTTGGCCGATCTGAAGGACGAGATTGCGTTCTTGAAGGAGGCCGAGTCTGGCATGTCTGAGGTCAGTCACCTTTTTACGTCGTGTGGTAGCCGTACCAATATATGCGCAGGAAAACAAAAACATGTCTGGCGAGCTCAACGAGCTCCGCATATCTTCCGCTCGCCTCGAGTCCGAGTCAAAGGACGCCACCATCACTCTCGACTCTTACAAGGAAAAGATTGCCGAGCTCCAGAAAGATATCGAGGACCAGAAAGCCCAGATCGAAGATCTCAAGCACGCGCAGACAAGAGAGAAGGAGGAAGAGAAGGAGAAGCGCAAGCATGAGATGTTGAGTGATATGATGAGCAAGATCGATATGGGTGGAGCGGTGCTGGATTCTTCAAGCGAGAAGCTTCGAGGTGTTCTCAGGGATTTAGAAGAAGCTCCCGAGGGAGAGATGAGAGAAAAGCTCTCTGCTCAGACTAGGGAACTCATCAGATCAACGCTGGCAGAGAACCATGACGCTGTAAGGGGCCTGCAAGAAAGACTGAGATTGTCCCATGAGGAGGGAGAACTGCAAGGGAAGCGCAGATCGGAACTCGAGAAGATGTTGAACAAGAGAGACGCTGCTTACGAGGAGTTGCTCGGTGAGTCCGGCCTAATGTCTCGAGGGAGAAGCTGATGATCATCGTAGACAAGACCGCTTCGGGGCAAGGTATCTCTCTTGGAGAGCTCAAGTCTCAGCTCGAATCCAAGTACACTTCGTCGGAAGAGCTTCTTCGTTCCGAGATTACGTCTCTCACCGAGCACGCCGAGTCTCGAGCAAGCGATGTCAAGCGGTTGCAGAGCACTGTTGAGAGCTACAAGCTTTCGAACGAAGAACTGAATGTGAGTGTCTGGCTGCGTACATTCTCATCTATACTGACAATCAATATAGCGAGCCCTTTCTGCTGCCACTGCTGGTACCGACGGCGAGAACTTTGCCAACTCTGCAAAGGAGCTCGAACGCGCTAGGAAGGCTCATGAGATCCAATACGCCGAGTTTGACATTGTGAAGAAGAGCTTGATGAAGGATCTCCAGAACCGTTGCGAGAAAGTGAGTCCCGTGTATTCTGTTGTAGAGACTCGTACTAATCACTTAAAAAAAGGTGGTCGAGCTGGAGATGCAACTTGACGAAGTCAGGGAGCAGTACAAGATCATTGCGCGATCGGCCAATTCTCGAGCGCAACAGAAGAAGCTCGAGTTTTTGGAGCACAACCTCGACGCACTCAGCGGTGTCCAGAAGCAGGTATGTATACTCCCGCGTCTTTCAACCTCATTGACCTTTTTGCAGCTGGTTGAGCAAAACACGATTCTCAAGAAGGAGGTCGCCGAAGCCCAGCGCAAGCTCATGTCCCGAAATGACCGCATCCAAAACCTTGAGGCCGCTCTCAGCAATGCCGACCAGCGTCTCACGCAGAAGAATCAAAAGTACGAGCAGCAGCTCCAGCTCTTCAGAGAGAAGCTGGCCGAGGCGCAGTCGAAGCAGAACGCCACATATGCGCACGGCAGGATTGCGAAGCCTTTACGGGGTGGAGGTGGTGCGGGTGCGGGTGGTGCTTTGCAAAGCATCATGGGAGGCGGAAAACAGGAAGAGAGTCCTGGTGGAAAGAGACGTGAGTCGTGATACCTTATTTGCGGGATGCTGCTTATTTGCATCCTTCAGAATCTTGGTTCTTCTCGCCTCAGCAACGCTGAACAGGTGTCGGTCCTACTGTGGAGGGTTCAGATCGGTGTGGCAGCATTAGGCGTTCTCTGTGATAATCACGACTTTTGACGAGCGAGCATGTAATGAAGTTGGACACATTCAGCAAAGGCAAAGCTCATGCGCAGTGTCTCTGGCAGATAGTGGACACCGTGACTACAGAGAGAGGGCGTTGTCTTTTCTAAGGGCGGGTGGTCGATGTTACTCGGCGCCAAAGCATGAAGCGACAGCCGGAGCTGGAAGATCTGGCCATACTCTTGGATCTGTAACAAGCGGGGTCTAAGTACTTCATAAGAGACTAGTGGCGTAGGCTCTCATTACGAGGTATATGGGGCTGGATGGCTGATGATACTCGTGCGTCAGGCTGAAAGTCCTATGTTACATATCTCTTCTCTCTATCGGTACTACGTCTCCTAGTCTTAGTTGGAGCTGTAGGGACTGGCCCCTCTCATATTCAGACTTTAAGGCCTCTCAGATATCAATAAATCATGTTCACAAGCCTTCGACAAAAGTCATCCCCATGTGATCTTTTCGGCCGCCGGCGTAGACGTCATCATATATCTTGTTTTCTGTCTGCTTTCTGTTCATTTCCGGATTCTCCTTTTCGATGATTCAGGCGCACAAGTATCGTCTCTGCGACTCGACTGCCAGTGTTCCGCGTAAGATCCCTCAGGACACCAATGACGGGTGCGCCACCGAGCCACAAGAGCGTGGGTCCACTTGTCACTGGCCACCGCTTGGACACTCTTCCCGACGACGTCCTGATTATCATCCTGAGAGACCTTGGATTGGCCGAACTAGTCAACCTGAGACGTGTCAATAGAGTCATCTTGAATAGAGTAAGCATCTACAATACGGTGCGACATTATAGGCAGCTGATGCACTGATTTAGATAGACCATCTCGGTATACCTCTGTACCTTGCGTCCCATCGCCTCTCTCATCTCACCCTATCCCCTTTTCCAACACAATGGCTGCCGTATAATCTAGCAAAATACAACCACCAGATCTCTACCCGCCTTATCTCTCGACAATGGCATGCTTTACAGATAGGCAGAACCTGGTCGCAGAGCGTCATACCGACCCTATACCTCGACGCAGAGCAGAGTCGGCTTGTTTTGGGTGTAGGGGGAGATGTCGTCATTCACCCGTTGTATCGTCCACACCATAGGATGGGTGGAAAGGTGGTTGGGCAGGGCAGGGGTTATCCTATACGGTCAGCCGAGGCTGGGAGCAAGTCTGATGTGGTCTCCATCGTCGACCTCAAAGACGGTCAGGGGTCTTTGGCTATAGCCCAATTCGACGGCACTATCCGTCGCTTTTCGTTCCCAGACGACCCTCATTCTCCCCCCAAGGTAACTGCCCACTACCCTCACTCTAGCACTCGGTCCACCAGAGTCAGAAAAGTGGTTGGCTCTGAAAAAGGCGACATGATGATGAGCACTTCTTGGGACGGGCAGGTATCCTTCTTGCACACGCGGTCCCCGTGGGTGCAGCCAACGACGATGAATGTGGAAGGCAAGGTCGCTTGGTCCAGTCTTCTTACAACCTCTCATCCATCGCTGCCACCGACAGCAATGTTGGGCACAAAGACGGCCGTATCTTGTCACGATATCCTCCCCTCTGGCCCGGTAGAGACCCCAGCAAGGCTCTTGAGAGGCCCAGATCTTCCTCACACAACATCTCCTTACGATATCCAGCTTCCTCCCCCTTCCTCCTCTCATAATCCCAACATCCTTTTGTCCGCATGGTACGACTCTCATCTCCGCCTACACGATCTTCGCTCCTCCTCTGCCTCTCCTATCATGACCTTCCAAGACCCCTTCACGTGGGCAGACAGCTCGGCGTTCTACTCGTGCTGCTTTACGGGAGAGAATTGGCTGGCAGGTGGAGGTGCGAGGCATGGCACGGTGGCATTCTTTGATATCAGAAACAGCACCAGAGGGTGGAGCTGTTTCTCGCCTGGGGGCAAGGGCTCGCCGGCATACAGTTTACAAGGCGAAGGTGGCAAGGTTTGGGGTGTGACGGAGAAGAGAGCGTTCGTGCTTGCCTACGACGGCTCCGGTGACATTCACGAGGGTTTGGTAGCGAATGAAGCGAGGGCGGCCCCACAGAATCAGAGGGATAGAGGGAGGCATGCGCCCAATGGATACAGAGGGAGAGGAGGGAAATGGAACTGGACGGTCCGGTATGATGCGGATGAAGGCAACAAGGCAGTGGGATATGAGCATACGGACAGGGAAATCAAAATGTTTGATTCACTTGTTGCAAGATGATTGATGATATAGACTTGCTGTCATGAATAATATCCCGGAAAAGAGTCACATGCCGCACAGAAAGAAGTGATATTCTTTTGGTAATACAAAAAAGAAACGAAGCATTTTCAGATAGGTTGAAATTTGAAGCTACTACTCTCCATCGCCCTTCACTACGATACTCTTAATTCAATGGCGCCTGGGGTGGTCGCGATCCGGACGCATAGTTGTCACCTTCATCTTCAAGACCCTGTAGCCGATTGTCAGTTGATTTCTCCCAAACGATGAAAAGACTCACGTCTAATAATTGGTTTACCAGCCCATCCAACTCGTTGGCTGATACTCCCCCAAGGCCTATAGATATCAACCGCTTGTACTTTGCAATCTGCTCGCTCGTGCCGGCCTATCGCAGTGTCAGCTTGAAACCTAGAAATAGAAAGAAATACACACCTCCGTCTGGGCTTTTACAAACCTCTCCACCAGCGTTGCCCTCCTCTTTCTCTTTTCCTCAATCTCCCACCTGAGCTTTTCTTCTTCAGCTTGCACCACTTCCTCCCCTCCTGCTGGTATATCCCTCAGACTCTCCACCTCCTTCCGCTCTTCCTCTTCACTCCCGCTATTCAGTTCCCCATCCTCCCACCTCTTTTCTCTTATCAACTCGCCTTCCAGCCATCCAACGTAACCCTTCTTCAAGGCAGCCTTGACCTTGTCTTTGACTTGGAATTGGAGTGATTCGAGCTCGCGTCGCTTCTCGTCCAGAGGCGCAGCTTGGGTAGAGATGGTGCTGATCAGACGGGTAGACTCGTTCACTTCCGTGTGAATGTTGGTGAGCAAAGCCTTGGCCTGGAGTATATCTCTCTCCTTGCCCTGCAGCTCGGCGTCAAACGACCGCGAAAGAGAAGACATGTGACTAGAGATGTCTGCCAAACCTGACCCGCCACAGATCCGAGCCGCTTCGGAAAAGTAGAGCTGGGGGGCAAAGAGGGGCTTTTCGTCACCATCGGCGGCACCGGGCTTGGCGGAACCACCATTGGCGGCGGGGACGGGAGAAGATCGGAACCGTTCGTCCTCGAGAATGTAATCCTCGGCAGAACGCATATCACGGTTCTTGATTTTGGGATTGGCCCCGTGGTCGAGCAACGCCTTGACGAGCCGCCTGCTTCGGGCACGGGCAGCAATCGTCAGCGCCGTCTCACCCTCTTCATCCTGAAAGTTGATGACATCCGCCAGCTCTTGCGGGTAATCCGAAAGACGGGCCAGGATGGTCTCCATGTAATACTTGGCGGCGTGCGTCTTGCCCTTGGTCAAAGCAAGATTGGCGATGTGGTGGAACACGGTGCGGTTCTGTTTATCAATGTTGAGCGTTGAGCGATGTAAAAGCTCGTACAGCTCGGGAAACTTGCGCATGTCATAGTTGTTGGAAAACATGACGCTACGCATGAGCGGTGTTTGCTCGGCATTGTTTCCGGCAAAGATGGACGCGCCTGCCGTCAAGAGCAACTTGACTACACGTACACGGCCCATGGCGCAAGCCCAATGGAGGGCAGTGTGCCCGTCATCGTCGATGGGCGCGTTGGGGTCAAAGTCGGTAGGCGGGCTGATGAGGATCTGGGGTATTTGGGAAGTCTCTGATACAAAGTAGTTGAGGATGATGTCGGTATACTGTTCAGGGCCGAGAGGTTCCTCTGGCATACCCATACCGATATGTCTTGGTGTTCCTTGAGGCGTGTGCACCGCGCTGCTCCCTCGGATCTCGCGCAGACGCGCATAGTGATCCTCGTCCTCCATCATCATCGCCGCCGACCGCTTCCTGGAGCCCACATCGTCCATGGTGGACGACATGGTGACATTCGGCAGCATCCCCGGCTTCGGTTGGTCTACATCCATATCATCATCGCTCAATTCCGTCGCCACAGGACTCGGCGTATCGCTCGACGAGTCGTCCTCTGGCGTCAGGCTCGTCCTCGTCTCGTAGGATCGGAAGCTCGCGTCCGCATCGGGGGTGGATTCATGCTTTGCCTGACGGCTCAGCTGGGCCTGCGCCTGGAGGGCAGCAGCACTTTGGGGTCCGGTACGGAGGGGAGTGGATTTGGTGGGACGTTCTTTGGGGGCGCGGGCTTTCGAAGGGGGTGCGACGGTATGCTTGGGAGCCGGGGGCGGTGAGACGGAGGTGGGGACATAGTCGATGATGGGGCGGAGCAGGTCCTCGACGCCATACTGCTTGGCGAGGGCGAGACCGCGTTCGATAGGGATCCATGTACCTGCGCGCAATGTCAACGACGCGTTCCGCGCGCGCAAAATGAGGTAAAAAAGGCAAAACACGGGTAACGCGCCTCGCCCACCGGCCATCGACCATGGCCTGGATGCGGAATGGCACTCACCCTGGTACTTTCCGTAGCCACCCTGCACCTTTTCGTGCTCACCCTTCTGCACTTCTCGTTCCAGCACGCGCGTACGCTGGGGTTTGTCGAATCCCGCGACTTTGAGGATCTGAGTCGCGTTGAGGTAGGAATCGGATCGTCGGCGCATGACGGCGACATCGCGGCAGACCATTTCATAGACGGGTCTATCACAACGCGTCAGCGAATGGCCCTCAATGCAAGGAGAGGATGCTTACACTCCACTGCGATACAAGGAAGGGGTGGATGTGGTCAGTAGAGGGAAAAACAACGCGGGCAAAAGAGATGGCGCGTTTCCGCGTCGAAACGTGTGGCCCGGGAATGTCCAAACTTACCTATACGTCGCCTGCACACATCCATGGTCAGCTTTCTGTCTGCTACGCGTCGAGCAGGCTGCGGGATGGACACGGACGCACCTTGTAGATTGTATTCGGGCCCTGGTCGCCGCCTGAGGCGATGACTTTCTTGCCCATGGTGTGGTGGCTGTCGAGGGGGGAGGGGGGGGCAAGAGGGGAGAAGGGAGAAGGCAAGAAGGCAAGAGGAAGAGGAAGAGAAGAGAAGAGGATGTTCACGTTCACGTCGAGGACGTTGAGGACGAAAAGAGGCGACGCGCGCGTGGTGGAGGGAGAATTCATTGGCCACGGGACCAATTTTTATTTCCAAGCCCCCTTTTCCTTGTTTTTATCCAGCCCGTGGCAGTGGAGGTATCACCGCTGACATTTTCGGCCTGCCACCACATGCACTATGAAGATCTCAAGCACCCTCCCGCAGCATCTATCCTACAGAGAAGTGCTCGACCACTTTATCTCCCTCAAACAGGAGACAGATGTCCTCGGAGAGGCTATCGCGCTCAAGAAGGCGAGGAATAAGGCGCAGATGAAGGAGCGCTTCCCGCTCGAGAGGGATGACCCGGAGAAGCGGGACGATCCGGCTCTGCTAGAGGAGATAGCGGAGGAAGAGGAGGAGCAGCTGCAAATCGCTGCTCGGAGAGGGGCGAGCGACGAGTTGGTTTGGATAACGGACGAGGTGAGTCCCTAGTTTACAAGGGGGTGTATGCTGACGGTATGTTGCAGGTGATTGGGTATCTCTGTTCAGATCTTGTACCGACATCACTGCAGACACTCGAGGGGATATCACAACTAGCCGACGAATTACAAGATCATCAGCTCACGAAAGCCGAGGTGCTGCAGATGTGCAATCTGGCGCCCAGCGAGCCTGTGACTCTCTACTCTGTGAGTGTTTGCTATAACTCTCTCGGGATGGTCTGACATTCTCTGTAGATAATAGAAGAAGCAGATACCCGATTCTACCCCGATCCTGCAGCAAAGCTCGACGAAATCGGAAACCAGATCTACGCCACACTCCTCCCCACCCCTCCTGAAGAACTCCTCCCCTACATGCCCGCGCTCGCTGAAGAGCAAGCCGGGGAAGGGTTTGAGCCAGGGTATGTGGAGGGTGATGCGGACGCAGATATGGAGATGGCAATGATGGCGGAAGAGTATGTGACGGAGACGGGGAGAGAAGGGGGTGTTGATGATGATGCGGATGAAGCGATGGATTAGGGAGAGAGTGGGAGTGTGGGAGTGGAGGCGAATATACCCAGCATATGTATACCCCTGTATGTCTTTTTTTCCTGATCAGAGCGTGCGCGCCTCGTGGGATTTGTGACCTGCTGGGCCAAAAAGGGGATGAGGCCAGCTGACCTCGTGCATTGTGCGAGCTGGCACCCATTCGCGTTGTCAGCCCTCTCATCAAGTGCTCAGTCGTACTTGGTACCATGCAAAGTACTCGACATCAGTCCCAGGCATCAATATATCATGGGACAATGCGCCTCAAACGTCACTTGGGAGGAACCCCTTCAACATGGTGGCCCCTTTAAACTCTTTGTGGGTGCTCGTCTGCAGCCTGCCTGAAGTGGCTGACATTGGACCAGTCAATGTTTTACGATATCCACGAACTGCCTCCCTGGGAACCTTCAGTACTCGAACAAAAGATCACTAACCATCCCAGATTCCACAAAGGTACGCCTTTTACCACGCACCAACTCTGCCCTCCGGCAGTCCCTGACCCCTTCCCCCCGCAGTTGGCCCCGTCAAAGTCCTCGTCGTGCGCAAGCCCTCGGGAGTGCACGAAGTCGAGTTTCGGAAAGACAAACCATGGCAAGAGTCGGATGTGGCGGCGTTGGACAAGTCGTTAGACGACCTGCCTGGCAAATGTACGTCCTCCCTCTGCCTTATGCTGCCCCTTGACTGAATACTCTTCGGCAGACCACTGGTGGGGTCTCGTCATCATCCGGCCTCATCTAAAGCGCACAAACGAGGTCAAGAAGAAGACAGAAGGTGTTGTATGAATCAAAGGATGTCTTACGTCATGTCCATCAACCGCCTCGTGCCCTGGAACACTGCAACTTTCTAGCATTATCGATCTTTTACATCTACAATCCTTGCGGGCGGTTATCAACGTGTTGGCTGACGTTCTCATCACTCACCCCTGACAATGCTCACCCTCAGACCCTTCCAGGACTTTTCAAAGTCCATGCAGGCAAGTAACACTACAACATGTATCGGCAGTAGAGGAATACTGACTTTTATTCAGTGGCAAAACTATATCTATAATGGACCTCTTACGCCAGAGCTGGAGCAGGCGTTCAAGAAGGAGGCCTCTCGCGCGTTATCCAGATGTATGTCCCGCTTCAACTTGAGTGCGCGTCACTGACAAGTTTTGTAGCCTCGGGAACACCTTTAGGGTTCTCAGTGTCCACCTCGGTGACTACTGTCAATGGCGTGACTCGGGGTTCTACAGAGTTCCAAGTGGGCAAGGGCACTGCATGGACGAGCGAGGAGAGGCGGATTTTGGATGAAAAGTTTGGACGGTTGGCGCCTGATGGGCGCATGATTGGGTACGTCGCCCTCTGCAAAGAGATGAATGGGGCTGATGCTATGGGGATAGACCAGATGGAAGACCTCTCTACCCTACGAACGGCACTCAAATCAAGACTCTTGAAGATACCCCACACCAGCCCAGAACCATCCTCCCTCCCCCAAGCGCCGCCCACACCCATGCAGCGCACAATGCACACCAGCCCCAAGCCGCTGTCCCACCCCACACCTACGCCCCAAATGCACACACTGTCGGAAGTAGCGCAGGAGGGACGGTCCATCGGCAGGATTATGCTTATGCCTATCCGTCGCCGGTCAGTCCGAAGGGGGCGGGGCATCAGGATGCTCGGACGGGACCTCAGTCTGTAGTCTCCACGATATCCGGGAAGAAGAGCAGTCGGCACAAGACTAGCGATGGCCAGCAGCCAGGCTCAGTCACATCGGGTCATGGGCATCAGGAAAGACGTGGCCTTGCGGCGGCAGATGCGGCTGGCAGAGGGCGCGTTCAGCCATCATCGCATGGCCAAGGATATGCCTCTACTCAAGGCTCTTCCAGGGTTTCTCAAACCGATCGCTATCATCACAGCCCTGCCCCTCACCGCCCTGCGCCAGCACTTGCCCCCATCAATACCAATCCTGTCCACCCCGTATACCCTAACCATCACCACTCAAACCACGATCACGCGCACTTTACACCCACGACTTTAGACAAGAAGCATGGGCATCTCGGTGGGATTTCTTCGTATCCCGCTCAGCCTACTGTCGTTGGAGTAGGGGTCGGGGGCACCGAGAAGCCACTACCCCCAACCCCCGAGGCGCATGGGCGTCGCAATCTCAGTCGGTCGGAAGGTGGGGGTGGAAGCCTCAGAGGATGGACCTCGAGGTTCAAGACGAAGCGGGAGGGTGCTGTATGATGCTGTATGTGGTCTTTTGTCTTGCTGCCGTTTGGCTCTTCTTCTTCTCCTCGACGTTTGCGGCACGTTCATCATGCCTCATTCTTTACCACACTGTTTGCATCGAACAATCAGTGTAGGTGCTTGTACTCGAACTGGCTACGAAGCTTGCTGCTTTTTGTCTCAACTTGTGCTATTGGCTATGCATATATAACGAACGTTCGTCCTCGTTGGCCGTCTCGCCACTTCGACCCGAACCTCTGCTACAAACATCTCCTGCCAACATCGAACCTTACAAACTACTTTACTGCACTACTTGCAACACACACACAGACACACCACTAGACAATCTCATGTTCAGATCCAAAAAGAACCAGCGCAGTCCGTCGGAAGAGCAGAGTTACCTAGACGCCGTCTTTGCAAAGTTGGGCAAAGGGCGGATATTGGGGTAAGACGTTTCCTTGCTTCTTGATGGCTTGGTCCTCGATCCTACAATACAGACTGCTGATGGTTGTCACAGCGAGGACAGCATCCGACCCACCACCACCGCCACCGCGCCCGCACCTACCCCCGCCTCGCCCACCACCCAACGTCATCCAACCCCGACCAGACCTGCAACCGCTCGTGGCAACCACACCCCCCAAGCCACCGACCAGTCCCAACCCCGCCACCGACTATTCTCAACTCTGCCTCCCTGGGCACAGCACCCTGTACAGACTAGCTTCCACTATCCCAACAGGGCGCACCCGACTGCTGTACCTGTATCCTCGCCTGCTCCTCGCCAAAAGGGGCCCGGGTCGCGTCATGCGCATGTTAGTTTCACGCCGTCTACACGACCTGAGCCGCCTTCTGTAGCTACCCCGGCCAAAGAGAGCTCGGGCACCGGCACGAAGGAGGGTGAAAGGGAGGGTAGACGCCACAGGTCTGCTACGATACCCGGAACGACGAGGCCCGCGGGGGTGCCAGCCCCCGGCGAGGTAAGAACCCACCATCGTGCTACTAGCCGTGATAGGGGTGACAAGGTGAAGAAAGCTGGGTGATTGGAAGAAGATACGATACCGGGAGACTATGCGAAGAAATGATAGGAAGTAGTTTAGCCACATATGTCAAGATGCACTCAGAGTCATCATGTTGTGTGATACAAATCTCGTCTTTTTGGGAAGGTTGCTGGATCATTCCCTGAACATCAGCAACTCTCATTACCGTGTCGCAAGTGTCTTACTCGAGTGTATACATGCATATAGTGGCAAAAGCAAGTCAGGGTGACAAGCCATACTATTCGTCCTAGTGCAGCTACTACTACCACCGCCACCACTGCACAACATGATCATGCCTGACATCTTATGCATGAATGAAACCTGACCCACCCTGCCTTATGCCAAGCACACTGCAAGTATACCCCTTCTGTCAGCACGGTAACAACATTGGCCGATGGCAGTAGGAGGCTGGCTTTTTCAACGTTCAATTACCAGTAGAGAGGCTGCGTATGTTGTGGGTGATGGCGGACTTGACATCTCGTGTTTGGTTCTCTTGTACCACTGTTGTGTTGATGACTTCATCTTGCCTCGTGTTTCGCCACTTCTTATTAGCACGTTCATGTGTGTTGGGGACTAGTTCACTCGTCCTTGGGGTTTGCATCAGCAATACATATAAGCGGTCCTGGAAGGCCTCGGACGACACAGTACTCGCCACTGCACTTTCAATCCACCAGTCTTCAAAATGGCGACTCGCACTATCCAAGCTCCAACTAGGACGCGAACCAGGCAACACAACCAGACCGACCAGTTGACGGCAACCAAAGAGGAGTCGGAGGTTGCTGCCCCGCCTGGACGAAAGATTCAAGACTCTTTCACGGGTGGGTCTCCAATTTGGCCCTCTTCTTCTCTGGAAAAGCCGTTGACTCAGGATCTCTCCAGGTATCACTTTGTGGTCCCCGTCCGAGGAGGACGTGAGCATCCCAATTGACACCTGTTCCAAGCTGATCTGCACAGTCCCACGTCTTTGACTACCATGGGATCCTTGCACCAGAGCTGCTCGAGCGGCTGCAGGACAAAGCTATGTGGAAATTACGTCTTGGTAAGTACATTGCCCGCTTCTTTCCCTCACCTGATTTACTTCCTCCTTCCTCTCGATTGCTACTGTAGCTGACACTATATTCCCCCCAGGCACTAGCCTCTCGTTCAGAACTGCCGCGATTGCCCCGGATGGCTATGTCGTCAGCGGAAAGCCAAACATCATCACCAAGATTGAGGTTTGTCGAAAGGGCCGCTGGCGGGAAGGAGAGACACGTCTATTGGATGAGATCTTCAGAAAGCTGGGTGGAAGGCGAATGTTTGGGTAAGCGCTGCTCGCTCTTACCTGATTCAAGAATATAATGACTGAATATCCCGCAGTGAGGGAGGTCGAGTTCTTCCTAAGAGCTCGTCTACTCGGTCTGGTCCCGTATCCCCTGTATTCACCGATCCCACGAGAAACTCTAGTTCGGAGACCGTAGTCGCTCGTGAAGGACCGAGCCCTAACCGCCCGAGGGGAATGTTGGCGAGAGAAAGGCAGATGTCTAACACGGAGAGGCCTGGAGTGCTCTGGACAGGGCAGCTAAACGCTCAACCTTTCCAAGCTACTCCTCTCAATCAACAGCAGCGGCCCCGCGCGATCTCGGGCCCTTCGTACAACGCCCCCCCGACCGCTTTTCCCACACGCCCATCTCAACAAAACACTCCCCAAGGCCCTGTCCCCATGCCGACATACGCCGCCCCTACCAACCCCAGGGAACATGATATCATGGCCCAGCTTGGAGAGAGGGCCCAGCGGATGAAGGCTGCTGATGCTCAACAGAAGCTGTCTCCGCCGTCTGGCCCTCCTCGTCCTCTCGAAGGACAAGGTTCTCCGGGTCGACCACATATGCGTGCCCCGCCGGCGGCGAGTACTGGTGCGCGAAACCTTCAACAGTTTCCACCTCCAGCAGGTGAAGTGACGGAGATGCGTCGCCAGCCCGTATACAACAGCGAGGCTCCCTCGAACGCTCCTCCGTATCAGCCTGCAGCTCTTCCTGCCCAGCCCACCCCTGTTGTTTATGGCCTCCAGCCTTTACATCAGGGCCCCGGCACCTCTCACTACACCTATACCTTGACACCTCATGAAGGGCCGATACCTCCTCCTGGACAGCCCCAGCCCCAGCCCCAACCTCGAGTGAGGCAGGAGGTGCCTCCTCCTCCAGCCGGCCAAGTCCCACCACCTGCCTGGGATTATGTCAGGAGACGTGGCATGTAGTGGAATGAGGGAGTGAGCGTGGCATCATTGTCGTGTGAGATGAGACGAAGTTGAATGATTTGCGAACGGTGGGCGGGAGTCATGCTGGTCGTTGAAGAGGAGCAACGACGCAGTAGTGACTTGGCTCAATGTTAAGAGAGATATGAGAAAAAGTATATACGAGAATCAAACGATAGCAAAATATGAAAATTGTATCAGTTGTACTTGTACGTAGCGAAACGGTCACTCAACTCCCAAGCGCAATAGCTTGTCAACGCAATCACTTCGCCGGCCTTTACCATCACCATTGATGCTATACTATCTCTGCTAAACAGGAAGAATCCAGCTTTCGCTGGTGCACATCAGGGCTGGCCGCCACGTTTTTCTCTATGTGTAGCAGGAGGCCTCCCTCGCTTCAGAACGCACGTCAGACGGACGCTTCGGTGACATGTCTATCTTCTTCGGCACTTTTACGCGTACGTTCATCGATATAAGAGTATTCTCGGAGTCTCTATTCCCACAACAGATCTACAACGCAATAATAGCAACTCGAAGAGGACCGCTGCTACTATACATATCTTCTTGCTACTGATCTGAAAGACGCAACAACACAGTCTCTCCTTGCGGATCGACATGAGTGCGTCTTCCTTTCCCCGATCTTACTTGCGGATCCTCTGGAGTCTTTTCCCAAGCCTTTGCCCTTATCTAATGATGCTGACAAACATCCCACATAGCTTCTTCTTTATCATACTCCCGTAGATATCTGCACGTAAGCTTGTGTGGTATTTGCCACCGAAGATGCCTGACGTATCGTCTTCATGACTGATAATGGACATAGTCACGCATCTACGACCACGACGGTCATATCACACCTCAAACATCAGCTACTCTCCAAGAAGCGGCATCCAAAGCTATTCTCCAGGGTGCGTAACGCTCCTGTATACACGTCTCGTATTCCAACATCGAGCTGACGTTAGATGTTCTCCAACAGCTACCGGCGCTCGAATCGCATTCACAATCACACAGCTCATCCACCCCCATGTCATCGCGCAAGGCTTCCCACTGGCAGTGACAAGGTTTGAAGTTGGCAAGTTCAGCCCGTGGACGGCGCAAGAGATTGGGGTGGTAGATGAGGTTTTTAGGGTGGTTGGAAGAGGCCGGGTTGTTGGGTGAGTCAAGGCTTCAATCTATGATCGTTGCTGCCTCCTCTGCTCGACAGTGATTTAAAAAATCCCTGGCTGATGTTCGTTATGGTAGGGAAGGAGGGGTACGCCTTCAACTCGTCAACGCTCAATCATCAGCCACCACAAGAGCGCGAAACCTGTCGACTTCGTACCACCACACCACCCAAGCAGTCGATAGTCGCCCGCCGAGAAGGAGTCTTCGTCACAGGGTTCAATTTCTGGCGGGACGGGGTGCTGCTGCTATGGAGCCTTCAGAACCCATGAGGCCTGGGACTCCTCATCCTGATGCTAAGGGAAAGAGATGAAGACACAACGGGAGCAGAGAAGCCGAAGATGTACGTGAGTTGAGGGGGTCAAGGATACAGCAGCAGTAGAGAGGGTCTGTCTTGTATTGTGTATACTGGAGATGGTAGTGAGACGAGTTGTATCTGATTATGTATGTTTCTGTTTGACGAGACCGGGGGCAGCAAGAGCAGGCCCTCCAGTCTGAAGCAAAGGCATGGCGTCTCGATCTGCCACAGCTCCTTTCAGCCATGTGAAGGCAGCACCCTCTGCTGCGATCCGCGGGGCATGAGGGTCCGGTTCATGGATCATGCCCCCGGCATCATGCTCTCATCGTGTCCGACTATGCATGCATGACGCGTCCCATGCGTCTTCTACACTCCGACATGCTCAAAAGCAGACTAGGCCCTACTCGTATGATATCTCAAGGCTCAACTTTGACCGTCGAAAACGTCCTCCTTCCCTCCTCGACCCACATTCTCTCACTTCCACCTTCATCGCTCACCAACTATATTCAAGACCGCCATGAACACATACCTGGCATTGTTTGAAGAGTATCGGGGAGTGAATTGTGTGAGCCATCGACGAAACGAGTAGCAGCGGTCCGCATGATGATGGTGAACTCACAAATATTCGTAGTGCTACACGTATACTTATGAAGGTCATCTTACTTCTGAGCTGGCAAAGGCTATCCATCGAGCAGCTTTCGAAACATTTGGTGTGTCTCTCTCTCCTCCAAAGCAACGCAGTGGCTCACGAGTTGTATCTGTCTCAACATTACCTCGCACAACTCGCTAGATGCTCCCCTGTACTTTGGCACCGTCTCATACCCCGAAAGTAGCACAGGTATATTCCAAATTCGCAAAGACGTCCCATGGACTTTGGAAGAACGGAAAGAGTTTGAAGATCGTTTGACAGGGCTGGTATCCATGGAACGCGTGTTTGGGTGAGTCTGGGGTCCTGGGGCAATTATGCTGGAGCTCGAATGAATGATTGCTGATGAGAGAACGCGTATAATATCAGGCCTGGTGGAAAGCGCATTCACAGTAGCAGAGCCACGGAAAAGCCGGACTTTGGAGAGCAAGCCTCCCCTTGGCAGAGGCTGTGGGGTAAGAGTGTGTGACCAAATAGCCGGATATACTATGTCAGGGTTACTCTACAAGGACAATACTACATGTATGATGAGAATGGGGAGATGATATGGCGTCTATGCATGGTTGCAGCAGGGGAGGAGAGTGGCGGGATGTTACATAACTGAATGGGCGCGTCCTTGCCATCCGAGCGTGGTGGCTTGACGACGTCTTTGTCTCGTTCTCCTCCAGCAATCCTCCAGGATCTCCCTCGACGCTCCTTACGCCATGCAACAGCCATACTCCAACAACACTCAACAGAAAGGGTAAGCCACTCCTCCCCCCACTCCCCTCTCCCCGCTAACTGCTTTCCCAGCGCCCCCTACTACCAGTCCCACGTCTCTCCTTCAACAGCCGCTGCCCACCACCTCAGCCTTCCTTACCTCCACTCCCCCGCCAATGGCTCTTCCACCAGCTTGCTCGACGCCGTCGTCGGCCACCAGGCCCATACCCCCAATACCGGTATCCAGTCTTCTACCAATTATCCCTCCCACCCTGCTTCTGTCCGGCCGAACCCGCCTTCGTCCTACTCGCAGGCCTTCAACAACGTATCCAGGGATCCTTCTTCGGGCGCGTCGAGCCAGTCCCACGGGGGCAGCTCTTTGGGCAAGGTCAGCGAACGGGGCGAGAGTGACTGGGACGTGGTGAGCGCGAGTGAGGGTGGCGCGCGAGGGCAGGGAGTTGATGAGGAGGAGGATGAGGAGGCGGTCAAGGATCTTCAAGAGAAGGTCGCCAAGCGGTGAGTCCCCCGGGCAGAAAGTGGTCATTGAGGAACTGAATTGTTTCCCACAGACGATCTCAGCTCCCTCGTCTCGAGTCTCAGCTCGCCGACCTCGAAGCCCAGATCAAAGCTGCCGAAGACCGTCTCGCCCAGGCGCAGACCAATCCCAAGGGTGGTGCTCCCGTCCGCCAGTAGACATCTTGCCGCAGAGAGTTGCCCCATTTGGGGCTGCTTTCTGGCGACGATTCACGATTAACGAATATCCATCCCTTTCTCATCATCTCTTGTCCCGACTGTATCATACGGAATCCTTAACAAGCTCTTACCACTTCCTTCATACCGTACTGTATCCATCATTGGCGAACCGATGCACAGGACAGATTCTATCCTCGCGCGTCTGGCCACTGTCAAGTTTGCGCGTCCTTTGTGGTTGCTCCTGGCAAGATTGCTTATCCTTTCAACCCAGGCTTTTGTCCTACCAGGTCAGTAACATATATACGATCGCTCACCTCCCTCACTTCTACAAACGCTTCCAACTCTGAGCTCTGTGAGCGAAACACTCTTTTCAAACCTCCAAGGATGCGTCTCTACAACCTCACTCCCCTCTTGCTGGCCAGTCTAGCATCATCGGCTGGCCTTTTCGGCGGCGACAGCTCTACCGCGGAAGCAGCCTCGTCGACATCAACCGCCTCTGCCTCTTCATCCTCCGACACTACCTCGTCCGAAGTCGCCTTCCTCCAAACCCTCCAATACGCCCAAGTAGCCTCCATGTCCTGCCTCATCACCCTCGTCAACCTCACCACCACACCCCTTGGTACATGCCTCGGCCTCACAGACCTCGCTGATCTGGTGTCGAACCCGGACCAGAACAGTTCATTCAGTGATCAGTTGAATACTTATTTGGGTACTGTGTGTCAACAGACTTGCAGTGATTCGGACTTGCAAGAGGGGAAAGCCATGTTGGATGACAAGTGCGATACGAGTAATGCCCTAGTCGGGGCTTTGGATAGTATCATCGACAACTACTCCTCCAGTTACCGGACCTTGGCTTGTCAAGTGCACTAGCAAGTTTCATTCTCTAAAGCGCGCGAAGCAAGCTGATGAAAATGTAGTAACGGCACATCCGATCTCTGTCTACCAGCTACACTCAATGGCTCTACCACTGCCAATTCGAATACGTTCTTTGATGCCCTTGTAGCGGGAAATTCCACGACGCTGGAGGGATATCAAGATTCTGTCTTTACGCAAGCAGAGTGTACGGGGTGTATGTACGAGATGTTCAAAGCTGCGTCAGTCACTTTTTTCGGTTGTTTCCGACTCTGATTGACCATGCGCAGACAATACACCATATCGAGTATCCGCGGACAAACAGTCACCGAAGCATTCGGCAACCACCTCAAAAACGACTGTCCTTCCTCCTCCTCCTCAGACTCCACCACCACCTCTACCAACGGTACAGCAGATACAAGCACGATCAACTGGAGCGATGTGGATGATCAGCAGATCCCAGATGCTTTGCAGGTTAGTCAGAGTACGGCGAGTAGTACGAGTGGTAATGGGAGGGTGGTGGATAGCTGGGTTGGGGGTGTGTTGATGGGCTTGATGGCCGGTGCGCTGGGATGGTGCGATATGTTGTAGAGCGGGATCCCATAGCAGAGTGTTTACGGATGTATGCATATAATGTCTGGGCCACAAGACGGTATTGAGTAATAAGCTACCAGGTGACCCTGTCCTCCTCATCCTCTTCCGGCACCCAATCAGAGGAAGCAAGCTTGACCTTCCTCTCCGTCAAGGCAAGCCTGGCCTTGAGCTCATCAATAGTCTTCTGCAACGAATGTCGTTCACTCTGCTTGGTCAAGCTTTTGAACTTGTTCTCCTCTCTTGCGAGCTGATGCTCGAGTTCAAAAGCTTGCGAACGAAGATCTTCAACGCTCTCTTTCGAGATCTTGTTGCCAAAAGTCTCGGTACCAGAGTTGCGCTGGACGACGGAGGGTCGGGTGTGCCCCGAGTGTTGTGAAGAGAAGGAGGTGTTGGTGTTTTTGCGAGAGATCCCTGGGTGGGAGGAGTAGGTGCTGGCGTCTTGGGATATGTGGGTGTTGGTGTTTTGACTAGACATGTGGTGTATCTGGATGCTTGATTTTCGATACGTGAAAGTGAGATGGAGTTGTAGAATGACAGGAGCAGGGAGTCGTACATATAAGCGGGAGGCTTGCCTTCTTATCAGTTCTTCGCCCATCTCGCAATCGCCGCTTGAGCGAAATGGCGGTCGGCACTCTGGAAGACATCCATCTCGCGCCATTGATCGTCCTCACCAGGTAAGAATTGGCGATCAGCAGTTTCTGCGCTGCGATGGAAGACCTCCATGACCTCCCAGCTGAGCACGCAACCTTTGATCACTCAATCCCACCGAAAGGAGAATCGCTTGAGGAAACGAATTGCCGTTCATGGTTGGAAAGGAAAAGGCGTGGAGTCTTCGTGTTTCCCGCCGGTGGCATAACCTTGACTGTAGAGCCGATATGAGATGAGATAGCAAGCAATGACAAAGACCGTCGTATGTGATTGTTTCTCCGAGGAGAGGAGGCGGGAGGCCGCTCAAGTCGATGAGAGCGCAAGCGAGCCGGATGATAGAGCCAACTCAATGTCAGTCAGGTCGTAAAGTCTCTTTCCTATGGCGGCTATGTCACGGTCAGCAGTGCGCGCAACGGCTACATGTATGATCATTGCAAATGTGTCATGTGGATAGAGAGAAAAGGAAAAATCAAACGTAAACTTCTACAAGAGAAAACGCAAAAGCTGAGCAAAGGCCCTCGTGACCGACGTGCTCACAGCATCCCTTCCCATCCTCTTGCCAGGCCGGTCCACCCCCACCCCGCCCCTCTTCGCTCCTCTTCGACAAGCCTGCCATCTCTACAGGCGCTGCTTCGACATCCGCTTAAACACTTAGCAGCAACCGCCGGCAGTCTTCTGCTCTACGCCTTGACCAAGACCCTTGATGGTAGACTTGGTGTTGGGGCCGGCACCCATGGTAGATGATCCCATTCTGCATCATCCGTCAGCCCTCTATCCACACCCTAGATATGGTACCCACCGGTCCTTGATCTGCTTGGACATAGTCAAGAAAGCTTGCTCGACGTTGGTAGCATTCTTGGCAGAAGTCTCGAGGAAGGGGATGCCGAGCTCGTCGGCGAAAGCCTTGGCCTCGGCGTATTCGACAACCTTCTTCGTGGCAAGATCAGACTTGTTACCGACGAGGAGCTTGTTGACGCCCTCAACAGCGTATCGGTCGATTTCTTGGAGCCATTGCTTGACGTTGGTGTAGGTGTCTAGAAAAAAGTCAGCTTGGCTCATACACCGAAAGAAGGACATACCCCGGTCGGTGACATCGTAGACTACTATAATACCGTGGGCTCCTCGGTAGTAAGAAGAGGTGATGGTCCTGAAACGCTCTTGTCCAGCAGTATCCCACTGTGCATATACACAGATGAAAGAACATCGAATATTCACAGACGAAATGGCATCGAAAGTGGCCAAGTCGTAATATATGCCAACGTCCATCATTCATTATGAATGGTCCGGATTACGGCGATGAATGGATATTCGTACAGGACCAAATATGGTCGCGAGTGATACCGAAACGGCAGAGACACGGCCGAGACGCGAAAGAGCAGAGGAAAATCAAGCCGAGAGAGAAAAAGCCGCAAGAGAGAAAAGCGAGGATGGCCATTCGGGAGAGATTGTATCCGATACAGACACAGAGGCCAAATGTGACGTGCCATGCGTCAATGCCGATGCCAACAACATGATTGGGACAAGTCGGGAAAGTGCCAGTAGTCGCGGAGTACAATTGTCCATGGAATGGACGAAGAACGCAGAGCAAGCGGAAGAGTAGCCGGACACGAAAGAACGAAAGCGAGCGGCAAGAGGCAAGGGCGTTGTTGAGAGAGGTCGAGAAAAGAAAGAAGGAAATCGTCAGCAAAAGCATAGATTGATTGTCTGCTGGTGCGCCCAAGAAACGGAACGCACGATTTGAAGCTTGACGGTCTTTCCTTCGAGCTCAATGGTTCTAATCTTGAAGTCGACCTGAGTGGAGTGTCAGTCACATTTCAGAATAGACTGCGAGTGGGCGTGGAGATGAGATGCAAAGGTGCGCCCCTTTCATAAGTATGGTGCCATTGGCATGCGGTTTCCGCAAGGCTGGGCACCTCGTGTCAAGATCAACCTGAGCAACCGGCACGGCGCGCATCTCTCCACAATGAACACAGCTTCAGGCCCTCAACTCCAACTCTGGCGTTCTTCCCGCCATTCCCACATCCAAGCACCGCCACGCCTTCGGGGATCAATCGGGATGACTCACGCCGATGGTAGAAATGTAAGACTCGGTGTAGGTGTCGTCGGCGAAACGGAGAAGGAGACAAGACTTTCCGACACCAGAGTCACCGATGAGGAGGAGCTACAAGTCGCGGTCATGCCCGTAAGCATTGTCACAACAGCATTTCGAGTTTCTGAGAGTACTCACCTTGAAGAGATAGTCGTATTCGGGAGCGCCGGACATGCTGTCTGCTTATCTGTTGAATGATATTACTATAGTCGCAAAGATACACGATCGGCGGAAGGCGGCGAGCACACAAGGGGAGGTCGATTGTTGTTGTTGACGGATTGATGGCCGATTTAGGGGCGGTACAATATTAAGTCATGTTGCAGGTCGAGATGGCGTCGAGTACAGGAATATAGGGTGAAAGAGACAAGCAAGGTCAGTATTGTGCCATCGTTCCCAGTTGCTGTGTACAGGCCGCGGACCATCAGACCGCTGCACGCGCCTCCTTATCTCCTGCCGTCCTGGCCCCCTTCATCTCTCCCTCTCCGCTCCGTGCCGCCGTCCGGGGTCCAGGGGGTGCACTTACGATGGGTAGGTAGGGCCGAGAGGGGGGTTGGTAGAACAGAAGGGGATGAAAGAGGAGATGGGCGGCGAATACAACTGCTGAGCCACCGTGACGTGCGGCCGCGGCCATCCTCAAGTGGGGGGCTCTATTACACAACCGCATTTCGCGGTGTTTATGCGTGTGGCACTGTGCAAGGGGTGCTGCAGCCTTGGAATCGTACACTGTGGTCTGTAGCACTCTACTGGTGGACTTGGACTATGTGAGACTGTCAAGATGTAGCAGCAGGAGTCCCGGGATAAACTTCGATCGCCCATCTACTCGCGCACGATGCCACCAATGTCCCCTTTTACATGTCTATATCCAAATACATCTCGCCAGAAGATAAACTAGAAAGGCTTGTCGCTGTCGGGGACGGTCTGTGAAGGGGAGGTTAGTTGATACGTTAAGCAGAGCCTGATTGCGACCTACGTCAACCCAATATTGACCGACCTATATCAAAAGTCAGCATTTGTAGACAGACTGAAGCGATGGGACTTACAACGGGGACCTTTCGGAGAATGTCCTTCTGGAAAAGAGGAACTTCGGAGAGGAGCAAGCTGACGAACGAGCCGGCACCGACACCCCAGAAGACAAGGCTGGGACCCCACTTGCTCAGACGCCTGAAAGTTCAATCGATTGGGTGAAGACAAGAGCAAATAGGCGAAGCGATCGTACAGCGGTCAGCGATTATTCCTCCACAAGCTATGCTTCCCCCATTTCATACACTCTTCCCTCCTGTCTCCACCGTTCTCCAAAAAGACCATGATGTTCAGACGTACTCGGCAGAAAGACCGGCGAAAGCCTATGAATGTCCAATCAGCATGATGCCCCTATTTCGCGCGTTGCGGCGAACAGGACTAGACTTACAATTTGAGACCTTCGGGCGAAAGCGGGCATTGCGATGGTTGATGAGGGTGGCGGAGATGCGTGAAAGAGAACAAGAGATGGCGAGAAAACACGGACCAAACCGTCGAACTCTCGTTGGTCCTTTCCAGCTTACGTAACTTGTTTTGAGGGCAACAGTTAGGCACAGCTGGTATTAGGCGTGCAGCTATCTCAATGCTGGACTTTGTTTGGCTCGCTTCTTGAACAGCTTCTTGAAAATCTTGATTTTGCAACATAAACGGCTCAAACCCCCTTCCACATGACCCTAATACTACGCCCTGCGCCACAAAACTATGTTCTGCCCCGCCTTTCATCTTGACGAGTTCCTTCGGCTGAGGGCTCCTTTGTTCCTCTCAATCAGCCGACACGATGGACTGCTTCAATCACTCCTGTATCGGTTGCAGAAGGAAATAGAAGGGGCTAGTCCAAATGATTGCTGCTCAGCGCTCAAAGGCATAGCTCGGGTTCAGAAAACATATATGTAACAAAGAGTCCCAACCTCTCGTCCCAGCAAACCCCACCCCCACCGACGATGTCCGCAATGCCTTTCGCCTTGCTCATCTACTTGTTCACACTAACGTTCGCCACTCGCGCTCAAATGACTTTCAAATTGACAAAACACAGCACGGGCACCACATCTGGTATTTTACGCAAGATCGAGTCGCTGGGGAATGGCAATAACAGGCGTAGGGATGTGGAGCTTGATGGGTCTTCCAGTGGTGGAATAGGGTATACGATCGATGTGAGCTTGAATGGAGGTTCGAGCATACCTATACTTGTGAGCTCCTCTGCACCATTACTTGCTATATACTGACCATCAGCTTGACACTGGATCGAACCAATTTTGGGCGGCGTCAACAGCATGCGACTCGTGCACCAGCGCAGGGATGCAAAGCAGTGGACTAGAGGCGGAGTCAGGCTGTGAAGTGTATGGATTAACATACGGTGAGCTCAGCGTACACTTTGTCTGGATGGTCGCTGATGGCATCAAGGTATCGGGAGCGTGAAGGGGTGTATCGTGGAGAGTACCATGACGGTTGGGGAATGGACTGTCGACAATCTTCATGCCTTGGTTGTCAGCGATGTCGATGATGATATGCTTTGGGAAGGATCATTCATGAGGCACGTTATTAGCTCTTCAGTCCGACCACTGGCTGACACCGGACTACAGCGGGATTTGGGGTATGGCTCGAGACGTAAGCCGGCTTTGACTCGATGTGTTCATTGCTGACTCAATTTCAGGGTGCAACGGTCGATGGAGCGCCAACTGCAATCAGTCTTATGTATTCTCAAGGCTTGATAGAGGCGCCGGTCGTTGGTTTCCACCTCGGGCGAGAGGGTGATGGCACCGAGAGTAAGTTCATAGATCACATTCAGCTTTGTTGCTGAACCCGACTTTCAAGGCAAAATGACCATCGGAGACGTCTCTTCTATGTATGTCATGTCTATGCTCACAGGGCACAAACTGATTTTCATCGTAGTAGCTACGCTCAAACAAGCAAGAAGGTGACCGTCCCATCTCGAAACAACACCTACGACTTGTATCAAGTGTCTATGAATTCGATATCGGTCAATGGCAAGACATTGGAAAGCGATATAATCGCCTACATTGACACAGGGTAAGTCCAATCCTCCTCGACTCCCAGACAAGTGACCTGATGCCCATCCAGATCTACGGCCATATCCACCCCCGAAATGCTCGCCGGAGATATATACAACGCTCTCTTTGACGGTGTAGCCTACAAATACGGAACATCGTACATTGTACCATGTGAACCTCTGACCAACGCCTCAATCGCTTTCACCTTTGGTGGAGTAGCGTTCGACATGGCGTCCGAGGATCTTGTGTGAGTTGATCGATTATTTGTCTGACGTTCATGGCCTCTGACTGTGCTTAGTGGGGATGATATTGCCGATAATTCTGGTTGGTGTTATGGCCGCTTTGTTTCCCTCTACGAAGGTGAGACTTTCAAGCTAAGATAACATGACCATTCACTGATTGTCATAATAGGCGTTGATTATATGGTGATAGGCGATGCCTTTCTCCACAACGTTAGTCGTCACCATTCTGCCAGCCACATTCAATTATCATGCGCTTACGTTTATGTTACAGGTTTATCATACCGTCAATGTCCAGAATGGGGACGTCACATTCTACGCTCTTTCGTAAATCACCGCTCCATTCGGGACCGTTTCTTGATGTCAGTATGCACTCGTTCTATTTCGAGACCACCCCGTGAGTTTGGAAAATCTGGATCCCATCCTTTGTGACCACAGCTTTCCTTTTGCGCCTTTGACTGTGCCCAGTATGTCGCGGATATCCTTTCACTCTCACTCCGGGCTCATTCTGAGTCCCATAAGGGATCGACTCTGACAATGACCCCTGTGGGAGCTCCAACGCCCCGAGCCTATTATTGGCTTGGTAGACTACCTCTCATCTCCACGTCAAAAACTCTACTCTGATCTCACCTTTGGTCGATAATCGCTCTCCCCGCAGATTCCTCCAGACCGCTCCACTCGCCGAGCAGGTGTACCGTAAAAGTGGCCTACATCTCCAACAGTCTCTCTCTTCGACACCAACGCTCTTTCAAACATCGATCAATAGCTTTTGCTCTTTTGCAAAGTGCCCCTCAAGTAGACGGACGGATCGCCTTATCGACACCCTAATCAACTCACAGATCATGCGGCTGGTACCCTCACTGCTCAACCTCGTGGTTCTCCTCACCTTATCGACTTACACCACCGGATCTTCGGCAGCATCCGTGCAATTGACCCGCAGAAGGACCGGAGAAGACCATAGCCATGTTGTCAAACGGCTCCTCGCAGACTCTTCGGTTCCCATCTCGCCAAAAGTCAAGACTCGAAGTACTGGGATAGGGCGAAGAGGGATTGTGAAGGGGACATATGGCCCTGCGCGAAAGCCTGTGCGCCGACAGGAAGATTCGTCTACTGGGATGGGCGCTTCGTCGGCTGAGCCGAGCTCAACAGCAGGAGGCGAGGGTAGTGGGGCACCTACGTCGGCAGACTTAAGTGCCACTTTGGCGTCTACTACCAGCTCCGGTGCATCGACGAGTAGCACGGCTCTTGCTTCGAGTGGAGAGGCCTCGGAGTCAGCGGATACCTCGTCAACTAGCGTCTCTTCCCTCGAACATCTTTTGGGAGAATCGTCAAGCGAGGCTTCAGCACCTTCCTCTACCTCCACCGAGCCTTCGACTTCAGAAACTACATCGACTGCAGCAAAAGCGGAGTCTTCTACATCGTTGGGCGACACTACCTCAGATGGCGCATCCCAAGAGGCATCAAACACGGCGTCGTTTCAAGAGAGTACCAGCGTCGAGAGCAGTGCAACAATAGCGGCCGAGTCTGGCGCCAAGAGCGCTGTTGGCCCTGAAGCCAGTACGGCAGAATCGTCGACTTCAGGTTCCACATCAGCGACGGCAAGCAGCGTTTCATCTTCCGGAACGGCCAATGCAACAACCACAAGCGATGCAGCGGCGACTTCTACCACATCCGGTGCTTCTGGATCCGGCACGCAATCGGGAGGATCTGCGACTGTCAGTCAGACGAAATGGGCCCAGCCTTCGGATACCGATGGATCTTTGACAGGCGTGGTGAGCCAAGGAGATGCGATAGTGTATACGATCGACGTGACCGTTGGGGATGGAAGTGTTACGCTGCCCATTCTGGTTGACTCTGGGTAAGTGCAAGCGTGAAGGCCATCTTGGAGTGTCTCAGAGACTGACGCCTTCGTAGGAGTGCCGATATATGGGTTGCGGGGAGCAATTGTGACAATTGTACATCATCTGGTATGGCCGACAGCGGTCTTACGGCGACAGATAACTGCCAGGAGCAGGAGAAGGGCTATGGTAAGACTCTCTAATCCCAATCGTGAGGTCGCACTGACGTACGTGCATAGGGAGTGGCTCTGTGAAGGGCTGTCTTGTCCCTACAGATGTGAAATTCGGTGATGGATATGAGCTAGAGGCATTTCCAGTATTGGTGGCTTCTGACTCGGAAGGGTTCGACCGGTCTTATATGAGGTAAGTTTCATTTCCCCTCTCCGAGTTCAGGAGTCGCTGACAGAGACTTTCAGCGGTATCTTTGGGCTCGCCATGAATGTAAGCTGTAATTCTAGGTGCTGAATGAGGGAGGCTGACCGTATCCAGAAATCATCAATCAACAATCAGGCCACGCCGCTGAATATGATGTCTCAACTGGGCATGATTTCGACCCCCGAAGTAGGATTTTACCTCGATCGCGCTGAAACTGGGAGTGAGATCATCTTTGGCTCTCCACATGACGAGTGATTTATTCTCTCCCAGACTCCAATACCAATGTACTGATATCCGATAGCAATCACGCCGACCAGAGCAAGAAGGTCACTCTGCCGAAGGTCACTGAGGATGATGGATTGTATCGCGTGACCATGGACGGCTTCGTGTCCCACGGCTATATGGTTTCGAGTACCGAGTCGAACGTCAGCATGGAGAATATCGAGGTCATCCTGGATACTGGGTGAGTCTGGTCCTTTTCTGTACCGTGTACTTGACTAATCGACCCGCCAGAACTTCCGATATTCGAGTCCCGGATACGGTGCGTATTGACCTCCGTCATAAGAAACATGCTAACAGCCCCTCAGATGATGTTGCCGATATATGCTGCTCTCGGCAACGGCACCTTCTTCACAGACACCACTACTGGAGACCTCGTCGTTCCATGTGAAGGTCCGGACAATAAGGATGAGGCATTGGCGCTACAATTTGGCGGACAGCAGTTCTATTTCAAGTGGGAAGACCTCGTGTAAGCAATGAACAGCTCGAGAGCTCCGAGTCGGGAAAGCTAACACTCGACAGTGCCAACCCAAGCTCCACGGATGCCAACTATTGCTATTGCAGAGTTCAAGCCTCACGTACGCTTATAATGTTGAATGACCTCATAAGGCACTGCTGACGTTTCTGGTGTTCCTTAGCCTCTTCCATCAGCGACTACCTCATCGTAGGCTCAGCGTTCTTCCACAATGTATACCACGTAATCAACATCGACTCTGGATACACAACACTGTATGGGCTGGCGGACGTCTTCTGAAATTTTGAGTTCGGGAAAAGAAAGGCAAGATCCTAGACGGAAGATAGAGAAACAGAATCTCGAGAGACTGCATATCATTGTTATATTTCGCGCATGTACAAGCTAGTTCATTTTGAAGCGCGTTGTTTGTTGAGATGAAAGGTGAAACTTACGACATCTTCTATGATATGACCGTTTGAGTCGACCGCCAGTGTAAATCCCACAACATCGCCCATGATTTCCTTCCCATTCTTGGAGCTGGGACGGTTCGCTTCATACCCTCCATGGATGTCGGATGTAGCTCGATTTAGAAGGAGGGTGGAGTTGAATGGAGATGGAAAGTTGGCGCTGTCGTCCACACCAGCGGAGGACCGGATAAATCGTAACTGGGCCGTGGTTCAACGTAGTACGCCTTGAGACGCTTGACGCAATGGGGACTCAAATCCGTGGATCGGTAGTCATACATTGCATACATACGACTTACATGGGCAATCTCCAACCCACACCTCATACCTGGTCAAGCGGTCTCTCCCAAGAAGCGACGCTGCGAACAGGTTGGCCTTCTACCGCGCTCCGTCCGCTCAGTACGCTTGTGAGTATAGACCTGACGACGTTGCCGCTGCGGCAACTCATCCTTTCACGCCCCACCCCATTTCTGCTTCCACCGCCCTTTCATCCGGCCCAACAGATCTTCAAGGGGGGCCATAAAGAACAAAGACCCCATTCGAGACGCCCTCCCACACTTCCCTGCATTATAACTCATTTTCACGGTACGACATCCTTTCACCTCGTCAACCAGCCAATAGGAAGATACGTTGGTGGAGTTGTCGGAGCTGGGGGAGAGAAGAAAAGGTGACTTATCGCGCCATTGCTCCATAATAGCTTATCATATGGCGAGCTCGTGTAGTTTTGCGAGTCGAAAGAGATAAGGTGTACTCGAGTGAAGTGTAAAGAAGGCCATTTTATTGTCCATACGCAAAGCTATTGAAAGACAATTGTCGTCGTCTTTTGTTTTTGTATTTGCCTTGTCATTTGTCTTGTTACTTTGACTTTTTAAAGGCGGATTGAATTGTGAGTGATTGAACGATAGCCTGGCTGAGAAGCAACAACTTACCTGATGTCTGTAGACGATTCCAATAAACCTCTGCTCGCTTGTAGAAACGCATACCGGCCCACTTGCCACCATACTGTAACCCAATCAACCAACGACCACACTCACTCACTATATCTCCACCACCATAACCTCACTGTACCATGGCCATCGATGCCGACGCCTACATGGAGGGCAACATCCCCTCCCTCTCCCGAGGCGGATCCTGGCTCCCAGCCTCGCGCCAAATGAACAACGGCAGCAGCTCGCCACTATCCCCTCTCCACCCCGGCTCTGTCCATGGCTCGTCCCCTCTTACAGCCACATTCCCCAGAACACCACCAGGACCTTATGGAGGGTCGATCGCCCCCGGGTCTTTGATCAGGTCGCCCGGCATGCCCAGGAGTCCCGGATCGATGGGGGGGTCGATGTACAGTGGGAAACCGATGTTGAGGCATTTGCATGGTGGTATGGCGGCGTCGACCGCTATACATGGGCTCAAGAGGGACCATGCGGTCAGTCCGAAGAGCCACACAGGCTGGCTGAGGGCGGGGTCAGAGGCAGATGATCGGTCGATGCCTGGTTCTGTGTATGGCGGAGGATCCTTTGATGGACGCTCGCTCGTCTCTGGGGCGCACCCTGTTTCTTCATCGTCTTCATACCATACCAGGCAGTATATCCACCATCATTTCGATGAACATCTTCCGGCTGAGAAAGGCAGGAGTTGGGAGAAGAATGTGGGGGCGCCGAAATTGATATCGAGGGAGAAGGATTATGGGTTGAGGAAGGATCCGCCTGTCAAGGTGGATGGGAGGCTGAGGAGAAGCTCAGAGGTGGGGCAAGTTACGACGCCGTACAGAAAGCTAGAGGGACATCAGGTCCAGCAAGGCGCAGAAGATTACTTTTCGAGGAGTCACACACCTTTGCAAGGGGTATTGTCGCCAAAGCCGAGTAGGAGAAAGGCTAGTGATCCTGATCTGCATCGGTCAGCTCAGCTCAATTCCAGGCTGGCGAGGATGAGCTTACAAGGCAGAGAATGCCGGACGCCTGATCCTGAGCCTTCTGTTGGGAAGCGGCCTACGATGACTAGGAGGCATACGAGTCATCCTCACTCGAGCGGCGAGTCGTCTCGAGCGCCGTCTTCTCTGCCGCTCTCTCCTCCCGTGCACAAACAACTCCATCAGATCAAACGCACGCGACACAACTCTACGCCACCACCCCCAAGCTCCATCACAACATCTTTCCAAGACAAGGAGAGCGACATCGACTTTACACTGCAGCCAGCACCGGCGCCTCGCTCACGAGCGTTTTCTCGATCTGGAAGTGTGGCTCCTACATCCGTCAGTAGGCAATTTCCCAGACCTCACGTGGGCACGCCATATAGGCCACCGGTATCTGCAAAAGGTTCAATGGGTTACATTCCTCCTCTAGCAGACGACCCCTATGACCGCTATGCCTCGCACCCGTCCACGCCGACCCCGGACTTTGTCGAAAAGCACCTTGCCTCCAGCGCCTTATCGCCATCTACTTCCTCTGCCTCCCGCCTGCGCCCGCCCCAGCCAAAAGCCGAGAAGGCAGGCGAATACACTCCTCCAGGGTTTCCCAAGGCGACCAAGGATTTTCCGTGGAACCGAGACGGGCCGGCGATGAAGACGTATGGGATTGCGTGGTGCAGGGATGGGGAGGCGGATCAGCTGCCGCTTGGACCCGAGGGACCGAGGTGGACGCAGGCGAGGCCGCCGAGAGTTGATCACATCATGGGCGGGGGCTGGTGGGAGAGTGGGGGCGAGGACAGTGTGGTGTGATATGTGTACTAGATCAGTTGTAGGGAGTCGGAACGCCAGTTGGGTGAGATCATGCAGGCAGTGGCAACGTCATCCGGAGTCTAGCATGCTTACGCCACGGCCAGTGCCCTCGGAATGTTGAGTGAATTCGGAGTGTGTGCGGCGAGTATTTATTCGGAGTGCCACGTGGGAAATTTCTGGAATTGTTCCTCGCACGCAATTGTTGATTTCGAGATTATTATGCGGCGAATCATTTTCCAGCTATCTCGACATTTTCAGAATCTTGCATCTGCATCTCTCCCATCTCCCACACGCTGCAGCAGCAACCCGGCACAGCACAGTAAGCCCCCCCCCTTGCTCTCTCCCCATCGCTCACCCCCGCAGATGTCTGTTCTTGCCGCTCTCAGCAGCATCCCCTCCACCTCCTACTCCCACCCCATCGAGGCGCCCCCTGCCAACGCCCAGAAGCTCAACCCCTACCTCCCCCTCCCCCCGTCCACCTCCCCCACCGTCCTCTTCACCAACGCCACCTTCCTCCACTCGATCCCCACCTCATCACTCAACAGGACCGTCGTCCATGTCTTTGACGCAGAGGAGATCGTCTCTCCCAAGGGAGCCAATGCTGTCTCTTTGATCTCGAGATCAGCCCAGGGCGCGTACGACCACGCTTTGCTTGCTCTTCGATTGGCGCAGGATGAGGACGCTGTGGTGTACCACTTTATCCCCTCAGGACTCGAGGGAGAAATTCAGGAGGCGGAGGATGTGTCTGCTTGGCTCGCCGGCTCTTTGGGCACTCCCAGGATCGCCCAGGGCGAGGAGGCCGAGGTCTCTTCCGAAGTCAGGCTCGCTACCGCCTTTGACGCCATCAGCTTGTCCCTTCTCAAGTTCACCCGACGACCCCAACGGCCCTTCATCCACAACAAGGCCGAGTCTTCTCGACTCGTCGTCAACTTCCTCCCCTCAGCTGTCGAGGCTGAGAACGTGGTCGAGGTCGTCCTCGCCATCCCCGCTCCCAAGGAGAAGCTGATCTCTTCTTTGGCTGGTGTCAAGGAGGTCGTCGTTGTCGAGGCCGGTAGCGGCAAGTACGGCCCCGCTTGGGCTTCTGTTGTCGATGCGTTCGAAGAGTCGGACGTTTCCATTCGATCGGTCTTGGTTGGAGCTTCTGCTTCTTCCTCCGAAATCACCTCTGCCATCTCTGGCGAGGCTCCCATCACCCGAGTCGGCAAGCCCCTCTCCTACTCTATCCCCTCCAAATCAGTCGCCATCCCTTCACCCGAGGCTACCTACACCGAGCTCCTCGCGGCTTCCCCTTCCCCCCTCGAGATTCTGAACGACCCTCGACACCTCGCTACCAACGAGTCCACTTCTCCCCTTTACGCTTTCGGTAAGGCCGTTGCCATCCGCCGAGACCGAGCTCGACTCGTCCAGCTCGCGAAAAAGGTGCTCAAGGGCGCCAACACCAAGCCCGCCGTGCACGAGGCTCTCTCTGCTTGGCTCTTGGTCCGTGATGAGAAGAAGGGCGCTGCCGAGGCTGGACAAAAGGTCGAGGCTGCTATCGGTTCCGCCGAGGGTGAGGAGAAGGAGATTGTCGAGTTGGGCAAGAAGGGTCTTTGGGAGAAGCGAGCGCTTTGGATCGTCATCTCCAACTCTTGGGCTGCCGACCTCGCCTCTTCTGGTTTGCACCACGCCCTCGCCTCTGGTCTCGACATCAACCTCCTCGTTTACGAGACTGCCGCCTCCCCCTTCTCCCCCAACGCCCCTGCTCAGCCTCCCAAGGAACGCAAGAAGGATCTCGCCCTCTACGCTCTCAACATGGGCGACGTCTACGTCGCTTCCGTCGCTGTCTACGCCGACTACGCTGGTGTTTTGAACGCCATGCGTGAGGCCGAGACCTACTCTGGTCCCGGTCTCGTCCTCGCCTACTTGCCTTGGGGTGAGAAGGAGGATGGTCAGGCCGTCTCTGCTACCGAGAAGGCTGGTGCCCTCGAGCGTCTCAGGGAGACCAAGCGAGCCGTTTCTGGTGGTTGGTGGCCCATGTTCAGGTGGAACCCTTCCGCCGCCGACGACAAGAGGTTCTCCCTCGACTCTTCTTATGTCAAGGCTGCTCTTTCCGAGTTCCTCGACCGACAGTCTCACCTCTCCCAGCTCACCCTCGCCACCCCTGCCATCGACTCGAGCGTCACCGCCTCTGCTGGTACCGACCTTGTCGCTGCCCGAAAGGAAAAGGCCAGGAAGGCTTACGATGCCCTCCTCAACTCTCTCGATGGCCCTGGTCTTTTGGTTCTTGTCGCTTCTGACGGTGGTAACGCCGAGAAGCTCGCCAAGAGGCTCGTTGGCCGCGCCAAGATGAGGGGTGTCGGTGCCTCTCTCCGTGTCCTCGACGAGGTTGCCGAGAACGTCGTCGAGACTCTCAGCCAGGAGGCCAACGTCCTCTTCATCACCTCCACCGCTGGTCAGGGTGAGTCTCCTCTCAACGGTCGAGAGTTCACCAAGGCTCTCGGCAAGATCTCTTCTTCCGAGGAGCTCAAGGAGACCAAGGTCGCCGTCTTTGGTATGGGTGACTCTCACTACTGGCCTCGTCCCGAGGACGCCGGCTACTACAACAAGCCCGCCCGAGACCTTTTCCCCAAACTCATGTCTGTCGGCTGCCAGGAGCTCCTTCCCCTCGGCCTCGGTGACGACTCTGACCCCGACGGTGTTCAGACCGCTTACAAGCCTTTCGAGGCTGCTCTTTGGCGAGCGCTTGGTGTCGACAGTGTCGAGGTTGTGGAGGAGAAGGAAGAGGTGGTCGCGAACGAGCACATCAAGATTGCTTCCGACTACTTGCGAGGTACTATTCTCGAGGGTCTTGAGGACAAGTCTACGGGTGCTATCTCTGCTTCCGACGCTCAGTTGACCAAGTTCCACGGTACCTACATGCAGGTGAGTATCTTGTCACGTCTATCTTACCAGTGCTGACATTATCTTAGGACGACCGAGACATCCGAGAGTCTCTCAAGGCCCAAGGTCTCGAGCCCGCCTACTCTTTCATGATCCGAGTCCGTATGCCCGCTGGTGTCTGTAACGCCCAGCAGTGGCTCGACATGGACGCCATCGCCGACGAGCACGGTAACAGCACCTTCAAGTTGACTACCCGACAAACTTTCCAGTTCCACGGTATCATCAAGAGTCACTTGAAGAAGGCCATGCAGGCCATCAATAAGAGTTTGTTGGACACCATTGCCGCTTGTGGTGATGTCAGTGAGTACTATTTTGCTTCTGGAGGTGGGTGGGACTGACGAGCATTAGACCGAAACATCCAGTGTACCGTCAACCCTGCTCTTTCCAAGACCCACGAGACCGTCTACAACTTTGCCAAGGACGTCTCTGAGCACTTGCTTCCTTCCACCAATGCCTACCACGAGATCTGGCTCGACAAGAAGAAGGTCTCTGGTGACGCTGTCCAGCACCTCTCTGCCGACCACGAGCCCCTCTACGGTCCTTACTACCTCCCCCGTAAATTCAAGATCGCCGTCGCTGTCCCTCCCGACAACGCCGTCGACGTCTTCACCAACGATGTCGGTTTCATCGCCATTGTTGAGAACGGCGAGGTCGTTGGTTACAACGTCTCTGCTGGTGGTGGTATGGGTGTTACCCACGGTAACAAGAAGACCTACCCCCGATTGGGTACTGTCCTTGGTTTCATCACTCCTGAGGAGGGTAAGAAGGTCTCTGAGAGCATTATGTTGGTGCAGAGGGACAACGGTAACCGACAGGACCGAAAGAACGCTGTACGTAATCTCATTGCTTTCAACATGCGTTTACTGACCTCTTTGTAGCGTCTGAAGTACACTGTCGACCGTCTCGGTTTCCCCAAGTTCAAGTCTCTCGTCGAAGAGCGATGGGGCCAGAAGTTTGCGCCTGCCCGCGACTACCACTTTGACTCCAACCTTGATCACTACGGCTGGCAACAGGGTCACGACGGCAAGTGGCACTTCACCATGTTCATCGAGAACGGTCGTGTCGAGGACAACGCCAAGCACCAGTTCAAGTCTGGTTTGAAGGACATTGCCAAGGTTCACAAGGGTACTTTCAGGTTGACTGCCAACCAGCACTTGATCTTGTCCGACATTGCTCCCGAGGACCTCGACGAGATGAAGAGGTTGCTCAACAAGTGGGGCTTGGACCACATCGACCACTCTGGTGTCCGATTGTCATCCTCCGCCTGTGTCGCTTTCCCCACCTGTGGTCTTGCTATGGCTGAGAGTGAGAGGTACTTGCCGGTGTTGATCGACAAGGTCGAGAAGATCTGTGAGGAGGCTGGTATCAGGAATGATGCCCTTGTGATGAGGATGACTGGTTGTCCCAACGGGTAAGTGGTATTCTCATGTTGCGTACGGCATTGTCTGACTCTTTTACAGTTGTGCTCGACCTTGGGCTGCCGAGATTGCGTTTGTCGGTAAGGCTCCTGGAGCTTACATGGTATGTCTTCTCATATTTGTCCGTCCGGGCCCTCGCTGACGACTCTTCAGGTCATGCTTGGTGGAAGTCACCTCGGTACGAGGTTGAATAAGCCCTTCCTCGAATCTGCCACCGAACCTGAGATCCTCGCCGTCCTGAAACCCATGATCAAGCGCTGGGCTCTCGAGCGTCACGAAGGTGAACGATTCGGTGACTGGACCATCCGTGCGGGCTACATCAAGCCTACAACGGAGGGCATGAACTTCTGGGACGACTCTTTCCCGTCTCAGCAAGTTCAGGCGCCGGCTATCGCTGCTTAGATGGGCTTTCGGTGTCTGGTGATGGTGTAGAGGGGTGTCAGCGTAGAGTTGTATTGTTAGCAAGAAGAACAATCTCGGTCTTTTTCCCTCGGTTTCCCAGTTTTCTCTCTCATGCTTTTGTTTTATTCTCTGGTTCTCACGACAATCATCATATATCCCATTCATATGCATATGTCTCGGCAAAACACTTATTCGGTCTTGAAGTTCTCCCTCACGCGCAAACCTCTGTCTCGTTTACCCATATGCGAACAAGAGAGTGTTACGCTGGTGAACATTCAATTTCTTTACTCGTTCTCTGATCCTGCAAAGAATGAAAACGTCGCTTTGCCTCTGGAAGTGCTTGAGAAGGGCAGGGGACATTTGAGAGAGCGGGTGCAATGGTGTATGAAGGTGTAGGGAGAGGAAAAGAGAAAGAGCTAGAGGAGAGGGAAGAGCGTTCATGAATGATAGGGAGAGAGAGAGATGCCGTCTAGGACGGATGGAGAGAGTGCCGAGGAGAGTGATCTGGATAGTGATTATCAGCTGAGCCTCGGTCGGTACGTCTCTCATTCCAAGCATGGTTCCCTACTGACCAGAACTATAGCGAACGGTACCTCGAGTCGATACACGTTGCCCCATCACCCGAATCTTCCTCGAGCACCACGCCATCCTTCCTCTCCTGCCCCTGTGATTCAATTCCATTACAACTCCATACTCCAACCTGTCCCTACCCAGATTTCCAAAACCCTTTGGCTATGAACGCGTCAAGACTCGAAACCAGTACCCCAACTCGTCAACAAGCCTCGCGCGCAAGGCCTCTCAACGAGCCGGTCGTGTCACCTTTGGCTTACGAGATGTCCATGATCGGAGAGAAGGGGGTCCACCTCGATACCGATGATGGTGGGGGAGGGGAGCATACCCCCCACGAATATCAGGAGGACGGGGCCGAGGTTGTTTCTGCAGCCTAAAGCGGAGGTCGAGAAGGGGAATGATGAGAAGGGTATGTATACCGAAAAGACGCGCGGCTTCACTCGTCATAATGCCATATCTGTCGATATGCATCGCTCGTATCATGACAGGACAAGTCCTACATACAGTCAATTCATAGCATCGCCTCGTATGCGAGGCCAAGCTGAATAGAGTCTGCGCGTCCTTTGGGAAGATGAGGGCGGAGATGAGATCGCCGGTTGACTAATCTGCGCTTGGACCATGTCTCACCTTCTCACCTCTCCCACCTTCTCCCCACGGATTCTGGTCTTTCTCTCTTTCTCTCTTATCCCATCTCCTAACAACCACCGTTAACAAGCATGCCCGGCAAAGCGCGAAAAGGCGTACGTACCGAAGGCTCCGTCCTCTCACATACCGTCATCCACCTTCCCATCCCTCTCACCCCATCCAGAGCCGTCTTCGCATCATGGAAAACGCTGACTGACTGACTGCATTAGAAGTCCTCACACAACAACGATCCAAACCAGACCAGCGTCAGTCTCTCAGTCTCATTCCAGGGTCGTGCTGACTGGAACCCATTAGCTCAAAGGTTGGGTCATCCCCAAACCCTCTTCTGCGGCTTCTCAGCCATCCTCTTCGAATCTCACCCATCAACCCGCCCAAAAGAACCCCAAGAGAGTGGCCACTTCCTCCTTGGAAGTGCAGGACGTACGTTTCGGTAGTCCCTTCACCCCAGACATCGCTGACAAGCCAAAAGTTCACCACCAAGAGGTCGAAATCGAGAGGGGATGAAGCGAGTATCGTAGGTCCTTTCGCCTCGTCAATGAAACATAAGCTGACCCGCCTCCATCAGAATCCTCCCACGCACAAAACCGCCCCACGTCATCCCACCACCTCGACCCAGGACGACCTTCACTCCAACTCCAACTCCGACGACATCTCGTCAGACGAGGATGAGGATGACTGCGGCTCCGACGACGACGGCCGATCAGACGAGCTGGACGATGGTTTTGCGAGGTGCATAGAGGCAGAGAAGATGCCATCTACGAGCCTGCCGGTCACCGGCGACGACTTCTGGATGAGTTACCTCATCACCCCTCTAGAGCAGCACGCTTCTCGCCTGGGGTTAAAGCCAACCCCGCTACCCGAAACCACATACAAGCGCCTCTCAGAGGTCCTGGACTTCGTGTTGGCCAACAAAAGCGTGTACTTTGTCTGGACAATCAACTCAATGTCCAAAAACGTTCGGAAGCGGCTGCTCGGGCTGTTGGGGCTCTTCATGCCTACCAACTTCCAAGAGCTCTTAGCAGGCCCCAACCCCCCATCCGCCACCCAAATTTACTCCCTCATTGATGCCAATGGTGTTTGGTTCAATGAGTACGGGGTCCGAGTGGACAAGCTGGAGGGCCGCAGCGAGGTCCAGAGTCGCTCTGTTGGTGCCTACTGGAAGGTAGCATTACCAAAAGGTAGCGTTCACCACCACCCGCCCCTGCGTATACTCATATATACGGGGCAAACGGCGAAGGTGAGCCCCTCCGACAACACGATGGGGTTTCGACTGCGGTGGAGACAACATGTAAACGACGCGTACGGGCATGACGAGGCGAATAAGAAGGACAGGTGAGTTCAATGACGCTCTAGCCTTGATATGAACAAACTAACAGGCGTACAGTCTTTTTACAAAAGCATTCATCAAATCACGAGAAGAATATCGAATGGCTTTCACCCCCATCGTGACAGTCCCGGTACCTGTCGGTACCAAGCTCGACATACCCTTCCGCAACGCGGTCAAATTCTTCGCTCGGCTGAGCGAAGCGGTTTGCCACGAGGCATGTTCGACGATATACCGGGTTGACCCTGGGTGTGCACATACACCCAAGACGTTCTGGGAAAATTCTCCACGAGAATACACTGGGATGAACGCCCGAGATCCCCTCAGGGAGTCGTTTGGCTTCTGGGAGCTGGGCAAGCCCCAGCGCCCCAGTCCCAATTGTTCTACCTGTGGCAAGCTCTTTGGGACGAAGACTCAACGGGATCAACACGTACGTCCGGGTTGGTGAACTGCTCATCAAAACGCTAAAGGAAAATCATAGGAGGTTGAGGTCCATGGACCCAATACGTTTGTGTGTAAGCACGATGGTTGTGTTTACAGGTGCTCGAGTGAAAAGAGGTTGGAGACGCATGTACGTATCGGCCGGTGAATAGCTCGTAGAAACGCTAATGGAAAGCACAGAGGAAGTCGGTCCATGGAAAAAAAGAATTCGCATGTAAGATAGAGGGGTGCGAAAGAAAGTATGGGACCAAAAAATTATTGAACATGCATGTACGTATCGGCCGGTGGATTGCCCATCAAAAAGCTAACGGAAAGCACAGAGGAAGGAGGTCCACGGAGAGAAAGTGCATGCGTGTGATGAGTGCGAAAGAGAGTATGGGACCGAAGGAAGGTTAAACATGCATGTACGTATCGGCCGGTGGATTGGCCATCAAAAAGCTAATGGAAAGCACAGAGGAAGGAGGTCCACGGAGAGAAAGTGCATGCGTGTGATGAGTGTGAGAAAAAATTTAGGACCAATTCATTATTGAACGCACATGTACGTATCGGCTAGTGGATTACCTATCAGAACGCTAATGGAAAGCACAGAATAAGAAGGTCCACCAAGAAAAGACAGTGTCGTGTAAGGAGATCGGGTGTAGGACGATGTTTAGGTATGAGTCACAGGCGAGAACTCACGTAAGTATCGCCTGTTGGATAGCTCGTCAAAACGCTAATGGAAAGCACAGATGAAGAGATGTCACCCAGAGAGGAAGTTTGTGGTGTGATTATGTTTTTCTGTTACTCGAGGTCATGTGTTTGTCGGCCGCTCCACTTCGTCGGACAGTTTCACCTATGTCATGTATCATCTTTATCGTTACATATATCGACAATGGCCGATTTGATCTCTTCAGCACTTGAGCATCACAGCACGCACCCCGATCAGGGCATAAAGTCGGTGGCGAGAGAGTTCGATGGCCCAGTGTAAGGGATTGGTACAGACTGGTCAGTAAGAGGAGACGTGGTGACGTGGAAGTTGGAACGCAGAGTCTGGTATTAGGCTGCCGCTATGTTCTCGGGGACAAATAGGCGCGGGGCGCGAGGGGAGGTTCCCATCCATACATCGCGTACCATCTTATACCTTTTCCCTTACCGATGTATTCTCGTATTAACCTCCTCCTCTCTATCCATCCATCATCTACCTGCCTGTCCCAGGTCGACATCTAGCGCCCTCAGCTGGATCCACCGCGTAACCGCCCATAGGTTACGCCTCACCAATACCACCCTTTACACCCTTCCTCCTCCCTCCCGGGCGCCTACATGCGCCGCAAAACACCCCTCCAACGCGGATAGCCACCATTGGAAGCTCTTTAAGATCCAGGAGGCGGAGCTGGTGGTGCAAAGCAATGCTTATGCCGAGGGGGTACCAGCCTTTGTGTCTTACACATTCAAGGGCAACCATGCTACCAAGTCTGTCCACAAAGCTCTTGATGAGGAGCAAGAGGAGGCCCTGCTGCACTGGATTCGATTTATGGACAAGTGCAGGCTTTATCCGACTAGGGCCACTGTCGAAGACTCGGCCAACGAGCTCTTAGCCATAGACGGGAACGGCGAGGCGGAGGACGCGCCCACTGTGGGTGCCCAATGGATTGAGAGCTTTTGCCAACGGACTCAAATCCTCGCACGAAGGTTGATGATGGAGCGGACGCTGTTCCAGGGCCGAGGACAGTAGGGTCATATTTCAGGAAGTTTATGGCAGTGAGAGACAAATTTGACATCCAAGTAAGTGTCACAATTACGTCCCATGATGTCGGTATACTGACGGGTGAGTCTTCAGCCCTCTGACATATGGACCATGAACGAAGTCATTTTCAGAGTCGACGGCAAAAACAAGCAAAAGGCTGCTTCAGCACCTACGACCGGCAATGGCCCGTCCGTCACCGTCATCGAAGCCATCAGCGCGAACGGCGATACCATTTCTCCCCAGATCGTTCTACCTGACAAGAGAATCATGTGTGCTTGGTTTGACAACGATTTACCCGACGACGCCCTCATATCTTGTTCTGATACCGGCCATACCGATGATATCCAGGCCTTGGTCTGGATAGAGCACTTCGCCAAGCACACGGAGGAGACAAGGGCTGGGACCTACAGTATGTTGATTTATGATGGCAACGACACGATTCATACACGACCCGCGAATTTGTGGTGTTCTGTGAAGAACACAACATCATCCCTTTCAGCATGCCTCAGAATGCTGTCACATCCTCCAACCCCTCGAATTCGCCGTCCTCCAGTCATACAGGCATTGGCACAGAATGGCCGTCAGCGAAGCAGCTTCCCAAGGCTGTAATCGTTTCGACAAGAGCGAGTTCATGGCTGCCCTCAACGGCGTCAGAAAGAAGGCCTTCAAGAAGGATGACATCAAGTATGGCTTCGAAGTTGCCGGGCTCGTGCCATACAACCCCAAGATGGTTGTAGAACGTTTCGAAGGCTACAAACCTGGCGATGAACTCTTGAGCAGCGATGATGAGGATGAAATTTCGGAACCTATGACTCCACCCACCCGTCTCCGCGTCTTTACCCCTACGCCTCCCTCCGACCTTCCCAGTTCCCCTATCCCATCTTCCCCTAGCTATATCCCGCCCACTCCCAGATCTTCGCGCTCCCTGGCCAAGTTGGGTCGAAAGCTGGAAGCCGATCCGCCTGTCCTTACGCCAGCCCAGAGAGAGAATTACTTCAGGAGCTTAAGCAAGGGTGCTATGATACTATCATATTATGCTCACCTGGCTCAAAATCACCTGAAACGGGAGGAGGAGAAGGCTGCTGCTGAAGCCGAAAAGAGTTGAAGAAATACAAGCGCTCTGAGCTTATCGTAAAGCTCGATGCTGGCTTTGCCCCTAAGGAGATCACTTCGAAACGGAGAACGCCGGATGAAGGTGGCCTTTGTGAATAATCAAGGAAATACGCAAATGAGGAACCTGAGGGGTACTGGTAGTGATGGAGGAAGAGGGAGCACGATCAAGAAGCCGGAAGGTCGTATCAGGGTCGCCTCTTCCGGTGCGTCGCTAGGTCAATGCCCGTCTTCCGGTTCGGATCCTACCCTAATCACTTCTGCAGCTGTTCTAGTGAATACGGCTTCACTCGCTTCACTCTGCTATGCATGTCTCAAACATCGCGACGTCCCATCGCCGAGGCGTCATCCGTCAATCTCGCGGATTCTTCTTTTTCTGGCTGGGTACTGGATGTTTGAGAGAAACCTGGGTCGGGGAGCAAGTACAGGGCTAGCGTCAAAGATATCACAAGAAGGACGCAGAAGACCCCGAGGGCTAGTGTGGCTAGGTGACGTATTGGAGTTAGTACGAGCGCAGCACGCATGAGGAAAGAAGAAGGGTATCTATCAACTTACCGCTGACACTCATGGATGGCCGCGTACCAGGTAAAGTCAGTTGAGTAGAGGTAACGAGATCTGCTTTTCAATGTACCCTTGCGCATCATGTATTTGTCAGTAAGGCTGGGTATAAAGGATTTCCAAGAGAAAGGAAAGCGAATCATCACAAGAGCAGCAGCAGCGGTGATAGCTGAGTAGTGCAAGCGTCAGCGCCGCCGTCCGGGGTCGTTCGGATGTCCAGTCTCTTTTAGAAGGGAAGCACACAGTCTGGTATTCAGATCAAAAATGACATACTTTGGTGGCCTGTTGGTAAATGGCACGCACGACAAAGACCCATGTAGCTGCGTTAGGACCTACCGCCACACTGACGTTGAACGTCTCCTCGTCCCGCCGATCATTGCCCTATTGTAGAACTTGTACATTTGATTCTCTGATTACATATTGAAGAACATAATTCAGCTGAGTCACAACATTAGATAGCCAACAGTATGCAAGAGGAGATGCATGGAGCCAAAGAAAGAGAAGATAGATACCCCAGTAGGCGCGCGAGGCACGCTTTCAACGGGGTCCGACGCGACTCTTCTCTTGCACGTCTCACTTTCACACACTCTCAGCCATCCAAATCAGAATTCGCCATGGCAGAACTCGCTCCCCCAGAACCAGAACCCCGCCTCTCCACCTCCTCAACATCATCCGCCCACTCCCTCGACCTCCCCTCCCTCCAGCCCCTCTCACATACCCACCCCCTCCTCTCTGCCCCGGACTTTGACCCCGACGCTTTCCTTCTCTCTCGCATCCACATCCCACTGGAAGAACTCAGAGGAGAGCTGAGAGAGTATCTGGGACAACTGCGAGAAGAGCTGGTGCAATTGATTAATGAGGACTATGAAGAGTTCTTGAGTCTAGGGACGGGGTTGCGAGGCGAGGAGGAGAGGCTGCGGATGTTGTCTGGTCCGCTTCTGAGTGTGAGGAGTGAAGTAGAGGTATGTAGACTCTCCTACCAACCATGTCAGAGAGCTGATCACCCCCCAGTCTGTCCGAGATGTGCTGGCAGAGCACCAGCAGAAAGTCCAGAGCAAGCTCGATGAGCGTGCCAGCTTGAGATCGGAGAAAGCCCTGCTTGACCTGTTACAACGGCTATTCGATACTCTGTCTCGAGCAGAAGCACTGCTGGATCAACCACACCATGACGAGGAAGGGAAGGGCAAGCTCGTTGGTAGGGTAGCCAGCGAGTATACGCAAGTCGTATACCTCCTGAACAAGGCCAAGGCGGAGGGCTGTGCAATCGTGGATGTCGTGCAGGAGGTGCGCATGATCACGGGATATGAAAATCGCAACTGACCATTCCTTGCAGAGAATCAGCAAGATCAAGAAGAGAATATCAGACGACCTCTCCACTGTGCTCGTCACTGAGCTACAAAATCAAGATAAAGCTGGCCTGAAGCATTGTCTGCGCATCTATGAACTGATAGAGGGGTGGGAAGAGGCAGAGGAAGTCATCAGGAAGGACTTTCAGGTGTACTGCCGCGACGTGAGTGCTGCTCCATACAGCTCTGGGCTAGCTGACGATTGTGTAGGCGATATCAACCCAAGCCCTCAATCCTCCAACAACTCCAACAGTTCCCCTCACTCCCCATCCACTACAAAACTCCCTCACCTCCCTTCGCCTGCCTCCCAAATTCTCATCTCCCCTTGCTCTGCTATACAACCAGCTCCTTACGCGCGTGGCGATCTATCAGCCGTTGATGGACGTCGGGGAGGAGGTGTCGAGCAAGTTTGACTTTTTCGCCAGGGTGATCTGGCCAGAGATTGGAGAGAGAATTATGGAGAAGCTGGGAGGCGTCATCTTTGCTGCTGGGAGGCCAGATGAACTGCATCGAGTGAGTCTCGCTTCAATGGTAAAGACCATGACTCACTGACTATGGCAGCATCTGACAACAACCTACAAATTCCTCGAGCTCCTCGAGTCTATCGCCCCTTCTCTACGCTCTGTGAAGACTATGCGCCAATCCCAAACATACCTCACATTCGAGCGCCGCTGGCAATTGCCCGTCTATTTTCAACTACGGTGGAAGGAGATCGTATCTGGCGTCGAGCAAGCGCTGACCGGGCAGCCTTCATACACCAGCAAAGAGAAGGAGTCTGAGTGGGCTTTGGGACAGAGTGAAAAGGTCTGGAAGGGGGTGGAGAGCTGTTGGAGGGAGGATATCTATGTGGCGGAGCTGGCGCCTAGATTTTGGCGGCTGACTTTGCAGGTGTGTTGTTCTTCGTCACTGATCTGTGGATTTGACTGACCAGATGACAGATTGTGAGCCGTTATGGCACCTACTTGAAGTCGACACTTGATTCGTATGTAATCACAGAAGAGAACACGAGTCAGGAAGATACGGCGCTGCGGTTCGCCGCCGCAGCCATCATCGACCTCGAGCAGATCGGAGCCAGAGTCAGAGAACTGCAAGTCGTCAAAGAGCTCGACCTCGCTGGTAAGTAATTCTGTTCATCACACTTGCCCGTGACTGACAGCATGACTAGACCATCTCAAACCCTCGACATCTCTCTACATCTCCAAAATTGAGAGCATCCTCATCCGCAGATGCCTCGACCCCCTCAAATTGATCCGCTCCATCGCCTCTCAATTCCGCGCCTCCACTCCCAACCCAACCGCCCCGAGCCAAGCTTCATACTATGTACCATCAGTAATGAAGCCTCTCCGGGCAGTTTATGGGCAAAGGCCAGAGTTGAAGGAGAGGCACAGCGAGGAGCTTGGGGGCAGGGTAGTCGATGAGGTCTTGAAGAACTTTGCTTCCACGCTGGCGAGTGTGAAGAAGACGGAAGATTTGCTCAGGAAACATCGCAAGTCGAAAAAGACGACAGGCTTTTCGTCGTTTTTTGGGGGTGGTGCTGCGGCTGAAGAAGGGAAAGGAGAAGAAGGCGAGAAGGAGGAAGAGAGATTTGCGGCGCAGATGAAGGTTGATATCAAGGCTTTGAGGGAGGATGCGGAAAGTCTAGGGGTGGAGGTGGAGGGTATGGAAAGCTGGAAGGAGCTGGTTGGGGTCTGTGAGGGGACAGTGACTTAGATCACTGTATGATACATGTACACCCGTGATTCATACACAGGATATATGACGATTGCACTCAGAACGCCAGGTGCTGAATGGAAACCAAAGAAAGAGGAGATGAGCGGCGATGACCGGCCGCCGGTACCTGAACCACGTGGCTATTTTGCGCTCATTGACTCTTTCAATCTTAGTGGAACAACAATTCTTTCTGCTTCTCCATCTCTTACACTTTCTTCACGAAAACACAATGGGTAAAGCCGAAGCAGGAAGTGCCAAAGCGATCGGTAACGCGATCAAGGCCAAGGGTAAGTTGCGTTGAGGATGGGTGGCAAATGAAATGCTGACCGGAACAGGGCTTGGGCGGCTTAGGTGGTACTGTCAGGTGTGTGAGAAGCAATGTAGGGATGAGAACGGTTTTCAGGTGAGAATGCTCTGTCTCCAGTGAACTACGCTGACACTTGATTTCTCAACTGCCAGGCGCACTGCCGCTCCGAACCCCACATGCGCAAAATCATGAACATCGGTCCCAAAGCCGGCTCTGCCATCGCCGACTTTTCCCGCCAGTTCCAATCCGATTTCATGACCCTACTCCGCTCTCGCCATCTCACCAACCGTGTTCAAGCCAACAAAGTCTACAACGAGTACATTCAGGACAAGCACCATACGCATATGAATGCGACGAGATGGGTCACGCTGAATGGGTTCATCATGACGATAGGAAAGGCGGGACTGGTCAAGGTGGATGAGGATGAGAAGGGGCTGTGGATCCAGTGGATCGATAACAGACCAGAGACGCTCTCCAAACAGGTGTGTCTATTTTCTAACATATAGAACTTGGACTGATTCATATTCTACAGGCCAACTCTCTCAAGTTTGAACGGGCTCAGATGGACGGTGAAGAGCGCGAACGCAAGATGCTTGAGGAGCAAATTGCACGCGCGAAAGCTGCTGCCCAGAAAGACGACCAACCCACAATTGAGCCCGGGCTTCAGCGCGAAGAAGGCGAAAAGGTCAAGCTTACCTTGTTCCCTTCAGCTCCCTCCGAGTCCAAGACCGAGGAAGGAGCAGAGCCTGGGGAGCAGAAGGAGGGCGAAGCTGCGCCGGTGAAGAGCGGCTTCAAGATGTTTGGTGTCTCTGCTGCTGCAAAACCAAACCCTCTCAAGCGCCCCGCCGCGTCCAACGTCTTCAAATCGGCAAAGTCTACCAAGACCGAGTCGTCCAACTCATCTAGTAATGGGGCTGGTGGGCCGCCAAAGTACAAGAGCGAGGCGGAGAGGTTGATGATGGAAGATCGGGCCATGAAGGCAAGTCGGCCACAAGGCTATAGGGGGATGGGACCCTCCAGAGGGGCTAGATGAGGGAGGGGGTGTAGAGGTGATCTTTGTCGTATCGTTGTAATAGTATGAAGTGCATGGTCCCGCATCGCTCCAAATTATCCCTCGGCGCTCTGCCTCGTCATTCGATCCACTACCCTAATGTGCTTGAACTGCCTTCCACAATGGACACAACTAGATTACAGCCCAAGTCCCTTCCCCCATACATGTACGTTATTCATGCATACACACGGAAGGAAACCTAAACTGCATATAGGACAAGGCACGTGGATGACGTCCTGACTTTCGGCGCACACCATACATCTCCTTCTTCATTTCTCTTGCATTTCTCCATCTTTGCAGTCCACAGACCGACAACAGCCCACCACCGCCAGCGCTCAAAAGGATCACTTCCTATCCCCCCATGCCAACCTCCCTTGCCTTCTCCAGCGTCACCACCAGCTCTCTCATCGGCGTCGCTATAGCCTGTGGAGGCAATGTCCTCATTTCTCTGGCCTTGTAAGCTCCTCGCACTTCTTCTTAGTCTTGCCGTGCTTCACGGAGATCTGGTACTCGATCAAGGCTTGGCTGCAAATACTAACACAAGAGTAGGACGATCCAAAAGCTCGCTCATCGTCGCAATGAAGAAGCTCTTCATGCGTCCGAGTATGATTCCAGCGATGAGGATGAAGGTGAAGAGGAGGATGAAAACGGTGTGCAACGAACGAGTCCTTCGAGAGGACCATCACCTATACCTGAAGAAGACGAACCGCCCCCCACTCCTCGGCCTGACGGCGATGTCTCCTTCACTCCACCTTCGGCAGGGACCTTCGGGGCTCAAGACCTAGTTATGGAGCAAGGCACGATGGAAACAGAAGGCTTCGGAGGACAGGCGTTAGCGGAAGATCTCAGAGACGATGGGCTGGTGAGAATGCCCATCATGATAGTGCCCGAGCGGTCGCTATCGGATAGTGTGGCTTTACAGGTCCCCGGGAATGGGCAAGGGGACGAGAGTGCTCTCAAAAGCCAGTCCACCTCTGGCTCTTCTTCACGAGTCACGTCGCCTACACACAAACCGATACTGACGCAAAACCATTCCAACTCACACGTGAAACTTGAGTCTCCGCCTCAACATCTCCGGTCCAAAAGAATGGCTTCAGAGCGACATGTTACTGACCAGGAGGTTGATGAAGGACAAGATGGCCACGAAGCGACATCGACGCAGACGAGTGGGCAGAGGGTGGGGGAGGTGCAGGAAGGGCAGTACCTGAAGAGCAGGTTGTGGTGGGCTGGAATGGTGTTGATAGCTGTTGGTGAAGGAGGCAACTTTCTGAGCTATGGCTTTGCACCTGCCAGTGTAGTGGCGCCTCTCGGTACTGTCGTAAGTCTCAACCTCCCCGCATATTGTATGTTTAGTTGTGCTAACTTTGAGATAGGCACTGATAGCGAACTGTGTCTTTGCGCCGCTGATACTGGGAGAGAGATTCTACAAAAGAGAAATATTTGGAATGGCCTTGGCTATCATTGGTGCTGTCACAGTAGTATGGAGCTCGAGCACCACCAACCCACGCGCAAGTCCTCCTCGCATTATAATTCCACCATCTGACATTTACTCTAGCTCGACCCCGACCAGCTCCTCCACGCCCTCACCCGTACCCCCTTCCTCATCTACACCTCTCTCAACCTGCTCCTACTCCTCCCTCTCCTCTGCCTCTCTCGCTTTCCCATTGCGACCCGTATCCTGCCCATAGACGTCGCCATCTGCGCCCTTTTTGGCGGCTACACTGTCCTAGCTACCAAAGCCCTCTCGTCCCTCTTATCACAAGACTTTTTCGGCGCTTGGGAGAATGGGATTACATGGGGATGTGTGGCAGTCGTAGGAGGGACGAGTCTGGGGCAAGTCAGGTGGCTAAACAGGGCGTTGATGAGGTTTCAGAGTAAAGAAGTTATACCGACACAGTTTGTATTCTTTACACTTGCTGGTGAGTCCCTTGAATGTGTCTGGGATGGAACTGATGGAGAGTAGCGATCATAGGATCGGGAGTGTTGTATCAAGAGTTTGAAGGGTTGACCTTTTCGAGCTTTGTCAATTTCGCTTTTGGCGTACGTCTCTTTCCTTCTCCCGCAGTGACCTCACTGACTATGGCTCAGATCGCAACCACCTTTTTCGGCGTATACCTCCTCACCACCACACCCTCCGAACCTGCTTTTGACCTGTCCGAATCTGGCTCTGAAACCGAAGAACAAGTCGTTGACGGCGCGATCCAACTAAACGACCCCGACGACCCAGAACTCGTCCGAGCCACATCCTCCTCTTCCCTCGGCTTTCTCCTGCCCACATCATCCACAACCAACGAACAAGCTCCTCTCCTCGTCTCTTCCCCCTCCCTCTACACCAGCTCTACCACAGCTTCCCTAGCGCCGGGTATACCCAGACGGCATAGTGATGCGCCCATCCTCCACTCCCGCGGGCCCGGCGCCGACGGCCGATCGCTCACTGCTATCCCGGCTACACCGAGAAAAGCCCGGTTGACCAAAAGGACGTCCACGAGCGAGTTCATATCGGCTCCAAAGCTGGTGGGATCGCAAGCTGGTGTCTTGCTCCTCGCTACCACCCCTCCGCCCAATGGCCCGGCCTATCTAGCGACTTCTGCGGGGTACGTGCCCAATACCGGGAGTCTTCGAGGCCGGGGCTGGACCCTTGGTTTAGGAGGCGGCAGGCAGGGAGATGAAGAGAGTGGGGTTGAAGGGATGGGGTATGGGAGTTTGAGTCGCGCGAGGGGAAGGAGTAGGAGTGGGAGTGTGATGTTTGCAGAGCAGAGAGGGGAGAGCGGGTCGAGGCAGGGATCGCATTCGCGTTCGGGGTCGAAAGCTAGTGAGAGGGGAGATGATCAGAACCAAAGAGCATAGAGTGTGATCATCTGTCTCGTAGATCCTTGTCGGGTTGAGCATCTGTTGTAATTGATCCTAGATCTGCATTAATTCGACCGAGTATTGTACATATGCATAGTGCTACAGGAAATATGAGAGGGGCTGGGACGACCGAGCGCGAAATATTGAAGGTGAACATGAAATTGCCGGAATAAATGAATATAGACCCATCTAGATGTAAACTATGCGATATATGGAAAGGTGCACGCCTTTTCTTCTGATAATGTCCTTTGATTCCCTCTCAGAGGGCCTGCTTTACGTCGCTAAACCACGGCATCTTGCTCCTGTTGGAAGTCGATACGCAGCTAGAAGTGGAGGGAGCGTCGGGGTAGGGGTCGTATTCGAGCTGATACCCCGATCTGCAAGAGTCTGTGTCTCTCGTCAGCATGTGTGGATTGAAGAAAGGTTCAAAGACGTACCGACTTGACATGTACCTGCGTGACATTGAACTTCCGAGACGCCTGAGAGGGATGTGCAGTCTGAGAGATGATCAGCTAGGGCGAGGAACGAGAGGGAGAAGTGACTTACCGACGGTGCCTTGCTCCCCGGGGCATCCACCACAAGATGAAAGACCGTTCATCACACTATTTTCGTCAGCCATCGTCCCTGTAAAGAATGCAGGTGTACTCACTCGAGACAGCTGTAACCGCCTCCGACCTTGCAAAGCTTCTCCCCAAAGTCGCACACCGTTTTGCCAGCCATCTCTCGCACATCCTCGTCCATCTCCTCGGCTCCACCTTCCACCCTCCACCCCGACGTCTCGCGCATAGACCCTCGTCCGCCACCGCGGGTACCGCCAAAGAGTCTGCCTTTGCCCACGACTGCTCCAGCAACGGGCCGTTTGAGGACAGGAGACGGTGTGGGGGCGTCGTGTTGGGGGATGGCGAGGTTTTGGTCTTCCACCGGGCTGCTCTCAAAGACGAGCGCGGCCTCGGGCGCCTGGGAGTCGTCCAGCAGGGGTGGCTGGTGGGCGGAGCATTGGAGCTCGTTGGAGAGCGAGTAGGAGGGGGTGAATGGTTCGGCGCAGTGGCATTGACGCGTGAAAGAGTTGTAGACTGGAAGCCCAATGTCAGCCTTGACGACGCGTCGCGTATGGAAATCGGGTGAATGACGCGACGTACATTGATACTGGCCGGGACAGAAGCACTCTCTCTTCAGCCCCCAGCGCTCAATCTTGTAGAAGGTCTGGGTGTTGCTCGAGTCCGGGCAGGCGAACCAGCTGTTGTCGAAAATGTCTCTCTCACGGCCGTCGCGTCGGTCCGGTCGGGAGGCGGGGCGGGGCGGGGTGGGCCTGCCGAGGGAGGCGGGGAGGAGAAGGACGGAGAGGACGAGGAGGAGGTGTGTGGTGAGCATGTTGTAGATGGACGGGGGGAAGAGGGGAAGAGGAGAAGGGTGCTGGATATATATACTCTGGGCGGGGGTCCTTTGGAGGCTAGCATGTTTACAGCTGCTCGATGCGAACATAGATATTTATTGACATTCCACCCGGGATGTAGTACGAAACCTCCTCCTCCCGCTGCCATATTTTCCATTTACCGCTCAAGGCACAAGAGAATCATCCGTAGATAAAAGATGCACGTCGTTATCTCCCCGCCACAAATTCCAGGACCCACCCGCGCGACTGCCTCTAGCGCAGGTTTCGTAATTGCGCGGGATGCTCACCTCACCTCTCTTGCTGGAATGAGGAATCCGTCCACCGTCGTCGCTTCTTGCTTCTTCCGGCCGTCTTATTCGCTGCCGGGGCGTAGGCTGCCCGAGTATTCATCCGAGAGGCCGAGTTGTAATACGTATTAGGAATGGACAAACCACACAACTACCCGCTGGCCCGTCGCCGTCTCCGGTTGTTTTACAAAAATAGTGCATCAATTGGAAGGTGTGTTTTTTCGAGTCGTTCGACTGGGCCCCATGTCTTACTTGCACTTCATGGTTCATGGACATGTTCGACTTGTTTGGATCATCAGTCCTGTCTGTTGTTGATATGTATCTCTGGTGCTCAGATTATCCGGATTCCGGACAGATGTTCTTCTCAGCTTGGCAGGGCCAGAAGACTTCGCTTCTGATCTTCTCTCTCGCATGTCTTCTCCCGCCGCCCCACAGGTTTGGATGGCCCAGATATCCTGATGCGATCACAAGATGCACAAGGCTTTGCCATTCCCTGTCATGAACACCAGTCACCAAGCCACCGGCCACCCGCAAGTTGAAGCCTGGGCTTTGCAGGAAAGAGAAGCATTTCGTTTTCCCTGCAGGCTGCAGGGCGTACATGTACTCTCCGCCACTTTCGTCACGCGCAATGATCCAACTACTTTACTTTTACAACGTCACTGATTCCAGCCGATGGGACCGCTTTGTGGAATCTCAGATCGAGCGGTCTGTTCGAGTACATAGGGGGAATGGCAAGACATAGACTGTTGAGAGGATCCAAGGGTACATCAAAAAGAGCAGACTTTCCAAGATGGACGTCGACGTCCTAGCGTCGTCGCACGCGTCGTACGCCTAGTATGTAACAACCACTTGTTCGGAGCGAACGCGAGCTCGCCAGACCTCCCGCACCGGCGAGTTCTGTGAGTTGGAGTGTCACTTCTTTCTCCAACATTTTCGAGACCGGCAGGGCCCTTCATTTTGTGATGCAAACAACACGACGACCTGAATGAAGTAAGTCGCGTCGCGTTCCAGGCTGCTAGGTCTTGTTGCTGTTGGCGTTCAGGAAGTACTGCAACGCGACGCGGCGCGATGCTAGACGATCACGAAAGCAGCTGTATAACAACGCCACACCAGCACCTCCAACGTATCATCGTAATTCATGCCTCCAGGTCGTGTCGAGTCTTCACTTGATAGGAAGCCAGGGAGCTAATGTTGGGACATCAATGGGAAGTTGCAATGCAAGTACGTAGTGCTCCTAAGAAAGTACTCTATACTCTGCCAGCTACCAGATGTGTGGCAGATCATCAAGAGACTCATTAGTGCGTCGAGTGCATGTCACAAACTCGCTTTTCCGAGGGGCTTTCTCATTCAACGTTCTTGGCGGCGGACGCGGGCGGCGGATGTCTCCGTCAAGTGTGACAGTGCAATGTGTGGTAGTGCCATAATAGTGCGATGCGGTAGTCACACCGGTGGGCTGTGGGCTGTGGGCTGTGGGCTGTGAACTGAATGAGTTTTATGAAGGCTGTGACCTGTGACCCACCGGTCCCGAAATCAATTACAATCAACAACGCACGACGCTAAACAGCGGCGCCAATATTGTAAACGACGACCGTTGATGTTGTTGAGAATGATATATGATGATTTGAGTCTGACACAACGACTTAGGACCTTCGAGAAGCATGGCAGCAGATGATCCTCGCCTCCACTTGGCCGTGAACTTGATGATCTTCGATCTTCGACTCGCCGGCTGATTTTGTAACTTCTTCGGGATCGGATGCGAATAGCTATTCAAACGGAAGAAGACGTTTTACACCAGTACAGTATAGTTCTAGGTCTCTTGAAGATCGGAGGAGGTCCACACTACTGCGCCGCTAGTCTAATAACTAACAGTGAGGCTGATCCGGGTACTGATGATGCCCGTTCCACTCGAGCACTGTTCGTAAACTTCTTCACAGATCCTGGCGAGTAGTATAACTGACGAGAAGGGATGGTATGTAGGAGATACGGTATAGATTAGGATCCGCAGCATTACTCGTTATGATAGTAGTGTACCTGCCACGCGTGACGCTGGGGGGAGTTGGAGGGTCATGTCTTATGCTTCCAACACTGCTCGGGAGATCAGGCCTACCAAATGGAGCAGGCTCTGCAGCTGCGATAGGTCAGAATGTGCCCTGCAGAGGGTGTCCTCAGCCATGTGAGTTAAGATATTTGCTTTGGTGGGGACGGATAGTCAACATGGCAACGGGCTGACAATTCTCTCCTCCAGCGCCCATCACATCATCCAGCAGCTGAACAAGGACGCCGAGAAGGAAGCCCAGACACAATGCCCAACAGCATAACACCCAAAGCTGATGCATCACATGTCAATCCGGGGTATCCAGGCGATCCAGAAATGGAAAAGTAGAAAACCGAAAAAGAGAAAAAGAAAAAAAGCCCTTCATCCCTATGCCTACATATGCTCTCAAAAGAAAGCCAAGCGACAAAAGAGGCTTGACGCCTATGTACGACTGAGCCCTTTCTCCGCCTTGTCCCTCCTCAACGTTCTGCAACTATTCGTCTAATTCGTCAATGACAGGGGGTTTCAGTCAACAGAAAATTATTGACGGTAGAGGTGTCGCTGGAGGACCTTGGCGATGAGGTTGGTGTCGGGGAAAGCCATGGGCTCGAGGGATTCAGAGTAGGGGGTGGGGACGTCGGCACCGGTGATTCGCTCGGGGGGAGCGTCGAGGAAGTCGAAGGCGGTGGACTCGACGACCTGGGCAATGATCTCGGAACCGACACCGAAGGCTATATGATATCAGTATCACGAAATATAGAGAATGAACCAAACGTACCAGGGAAACCACCCTCGACGGTCACAAGGTGCTTGGTCTTCTTCACACTCGCGATAATAGTCTCAATGTCCAACGGCCTGATGCTCCTGAGGTTGATGACCTCCACCTTGATACCCTGCTCCTTCTCCAAGATCTCGGCAGCCTCAAGAGAGTGGGTGACCATCTTGGAGTGGGCGACGACGGTGACGTCGGTACCGGCCTTTTCGATCTTGGCCTTGCCGATGGGGAGGACAAAGTCGGCGTCGAGCTCGGCTTTTGTGACGGGGAACTGGACACCGTAAAGCATCTCGTTCTCAAGGAAACAAACCTATAACACAGATTAGTCACGCCAATACAAGAGGACAGGGACGTACGGGGTTGGGGTCCCGAATGGCAGCCTTCAACAAACCCCTACAGTCGGCGGCACTCCAAGGAGAGATGACCTTCAATCCAGGGATAGATCCGTACCACGCGCAGAAATCTTGAGAGTGCTGGGCACCGACACCGGCAGCGGCACCGTTGGGGCCACGGAAGACGACAGGGCAGGGGACGTTACCACCAGACATGTAGTAGGTCTTACCACCAGAGTTGACGATCTGGTCGATAGACTGCATGGCAAAGTTCCAGGTCACTGCGCGGGTCAGTTGATACTCGCCTAGGGTGGGAGTGCACTCACTAAACTCGCAGATAGGCCTGAGACCGGCAAGGGCGGCACCGACAGCCATACCAGTGAAACCACTCTCAGTGATGGGAGTGTCAATCACTCGGTCCTCTCCAAACTTGTCCAACAAGCCCTTGGTGATCTTGTAAGCACCCTGGTACCTGGCGACCTCCTCGCCAATGATAAAGACGGATTCGTCCTTGAGCATCTCCTCCTCCATGGCAGAGTTGAGCGCATCTCGGACAGTCTGTTGTCGCAGATAGCGGGTTGATTAGCGATTCGTTCGGTCACAAGTGCACGCCCCTCTGCAGGAGCAGTCCACAACGCACCATCATGGTAACACCCTCATCACTGCTAGCAGCCCGCCTCTGGCCGTCGACCAAGAGCCTGCTTGGGCCCCTGCTGACGAGGGGAGCAGCGGTGGACACGAGGGCGTTCCTGGCGCCGAGCTTGGTGGCGGCGTTGGTGGCGAGGGCCCTGGTTGCGTGGCGGGCGGTGGGGAGGGCGCGGAGGGCGAGACGGGGTGCCATTTTGGGTATCTGTGGATGGTAAAAAGAGTCGTTGATGATTTCCCCAGTGCACTTCCGAGCCGCCCTCACCCGCGCCGTCCGTTGCTTCCGCCATTAAATCACCCCCATTTCTCGTATATCTCCCGGCGGACCCCGCCGCATCTACTCTTCTCCATCTTCTGAATTTCTGTTGATCATCTGCCCCGGCTTGTTGCGACGTATGCAGCTATGCGACCGCTATCGATACCCCTCGTAGTACCGCGTGCATGCAGGCGCTATGCCACAGCACCCAAGGCCATTGAGAGCACAGAAGACTTTGAAGATGTCGTCGAAGAGCTCAAGCGCAGACGGCGCAAGGCAGACTCGAAACGTCGTCAATATGCAAGTATTTCCCATATCTACTTCAATTGTAGCTGACCACCAGCAGGGCGCGACATTCGTAGACCATGCGCTTGTGACGGTACGAGGCGGTAAGGGGGGTTCGGGCGCTTCAGCCTTGGAAGCATCCCTCCGCGGTCCTGCAGCTCCTTCAGGCGGTAACGGTGCCCAAGGCGGCTCTGTCTGGCTCACAACCTCCCCCGACCTCTCATCCCTCGCCACCCTGAAAAAACGCCTGATCGGCGGACAAGGCGGCACAGGCTCGGGCGCTTTTCGCCACGGCCGTAAAGGAGAAGACTTGATCGTCCAAGTACCCCTCGGGACGATTGTCCGCGAGCTCAAGAGAGAGGGAGAAGAAGAAAAGATGGAGAGGGATGAAGAAGATTTGGGGCTGAGTGATGAGGAGAAGAGGAAGAGCCGGTGGCAGCGGTGGTTCCTCACCCACCCTTCTGCCGGCGGCCAAGTCTCGACGGAAGAGTATGAAGAAGGCGAAGCACTCCTCAAGAAAGAGCGCCGATGGCTCACCCACACCCCTTCTTTCGAAGAATCCCCTCCTCTCTACCTTGACATAACTAAAACCCTCGCCGAACCTGTTCTTCTCGCAGCAGGCGGCTCAGGCGGCCTAGGCAATCCCTTCTTCCCCTCCCCCCGAATCGCCTCCAGAGGCATCCTGCCCCCAACCCACACATTCGAATTCGAGCTCAAACTCCTCGCCGACGTCGGGCTCGTCGGCTTCCCGAATACTGGCAAATCCACCATCCTCCGCGCTTTGACGGGGCGCAAAGCCGAAGTCGCCGACTATTCTTTTACGACGCTCAACCCCCAGATCGGGGTCGTACGCGTGTTTGAAGATGGGTCGTGGGGCGATCGCGGAGAGGAAGTTGTAGAGACTCAGATTGAACGTGAGCGGGAAGATAGAGCGAGGACAGAAGGGACAGGCTGGACGCACCCTACGCCTGTTCCCCGGTCGGATAAGAGACAACTCCCCGAACGGCTCCGGTTCACCCTCTCCGACAACCCTGGTCTTCTGCCGCTCGCTTCCCAGAACGTCGGTTTGGGCCATTCGTTCTTGCGTTCCATCGAGCGGTCGCCTGTCCTGGCGTATGTGCTGGATCTGACAAAGCCAGCGCCGGAGGAAGACCTCGAGGTGTTGAAAGAGGAACTCGAGGCTTACCGTGAAGGGTTGAGTGAGCGTGCTCGAGTAGTCGTTCTCAACAAGGGCGATAAAGTGTCAGAAGAACAAGGAAAGGAAAGGATTGAAAAGGTCAGAGAAGTATTAGCGGGGTGGGATGGAGAATTCGAGACTATCGTCCTGAGTGGGCGGTATGGACTCGGTATGGACGGCCTGGTCGATGCCCTCGCCGGAAGGGTAGAGAGGGCGAGGGAGGAAAAGGCGATACTGGACAAAGAGAGGGAAGAGAGGGGGGAAGAGGAGATGGAGGATAGGGGTGTGCAGAGAATACCGAGGACAGGCTTTGGGGTCAAGGGGTAGAGAGAGGTATCATGTTGTACGCATTCATCATTCATTTTGCATCATGTAACTGCATTAGCCTTGGATTTGGGGCGCTCACATGGTAGTCCATGCAGACACAACAGGAGTTGAATTCCACGGAGCAGATTATTCCCTGTGTCTGTGCGCGCATGGCATCATACGCTTTCTTTGACAACTTTGAATACTCTGATCACCACATGTAACCTCCCATCCTGGCCATCCTCGCCACCCACCATGGCCTACTACCTCGCCCGTCCGTGCCACAATTTAACATGTACCACTCTCTCCCTTGGAACACTATACGAGTGCTCGCCTTGTCGCGCTTGCTGGTGTCAGGAGCACTATTTTACTGATCCTCAGCATGTCTGTGCGGTTTTGAGGGTAAGCGGATTTCAACATGCACAGATCAGCACCCTCTTGGAAAACCTGCGACAACTCCCTCCAACCCTGCGAGCTGCACATGATCTCGCTCTTTGAGAGCCGAGGCCGGAATAATTTGGCGAATTGTATACGCCACGGGCGCGTGTATTTGCGTTTGAGTCAGGCGCTTTTGCTGGACAATAGTTGTTCTCTGTTCTACCTCAGAATGACGGGGTATATCAACGGTCTCAAAGCGGCGTTTCGAGAGCTGGACCAGAAAGGGGTGGGAGGGCATGTGGGAAGGATTGAAGAATGGGAGCGGGAAGGGTTTCAAAGGTATAAAGACGATCAGGTGTTGTTGAATATGCGGCAGAAGGTTGGGGAGTGGGATGTGATGAAGGAAAGAGGGGTTGGTATGAGTGAGAGCGAATTGGAGGAGGTGTATGTTTGAGAGCTGGCGAGAGAGAAAGCAGAAAAGAGATACAGGGATTGTCCTTGTTGACATGCAGATATATGGAAGGGATGAGATGTTTTGCGAGGTGGAAAGTAATGATGGCTAGACATGTGGTGTATGATGCTGCTCCTTCAGATTCTTATTTTCACTATCAAGACGTTAGCCCTGCGATTCCACTGTTGTCCCAGCTTGCGTTTCAAAAGGGAACAACCAAGGAACCAGCGACGTACTCGGCATTCAATATGCTGAGATACACAGTCCAAGCTATCCCGCAGGTGCTCTGGAACGGGACGCGGTATTGAAGGGGCATATATTTGAAATTAATCGTCTGAGCTATAGGCCAGTATGCCCAATCTGCAATAAGAGCGACTGTTGTACAAGGTCAGGAAAAGTATCAAAGAAGAAGGAGAGACTTACCCAAAAAGATCTGTGTGCGCGCAAAAAGTGTCAGTTTTCTGATGGGAGCACCAGCAAGCAGTGGAAGCAGAGGGGGTTTAGAAGGAGACGTACATCTTGGAATTTCTCAATGATGGAAGCCTGAGACAGTCCTTCCATGATCCCCATTGATCCCACGAACAGACATAGATCTATCGGTCCCCTGTGTAACAATCATGAGCCTTTCACCCTTGCCGACAACCCCAGGCAAACTACTCACATGATCACCTGATCCGCCAAAACTCTCTTTGCCAGCTGTGCATTATCTCCTCCCCTCTGCTTCACGACCCTCCCCGGCAGCACCACCCTCCCACTCCTCACGATGTTACCCATGGGTATCCTTGTCTCCAGAAAAGACATCCAGCGGCCTACAAAGGGACCCATGGCCATGCCAAAGATGGTGAAGCGCAGTGTCCGGGCATAGTCGTATTTCGGGGCTAGGGGTGATTGGGGGGTGGGTTTGTGTAGCTGAGAAGGGGATGTTAGTGGTGGGTATGGGGGGTGGCCTTGGGGAGCTTACTAATATGCTGGACGCTTGGGCCTGGATAGCATGGCGTGAATTTCGCGAGTGATACGAGTGTCAAAGGGGACAGAATTCAAAACATTGGTTAGTGTGTGGTTTCCTAGCATTTCAACGTGAATTCAAGCACTTACCAAGGCATCAGCGATACCATTCAAAGCGCCGTTTGTGACGATTAGCGTCGTATCAGGCCGACGCTGAAAATTGTTGTTGTATAACCGGACGGCAGAGTTTAAAAGCCGTTTGGGCATCGGATGGAGGGTAATAGTAGGTCCGCAGAGGATTTTCTGGGGGCAAGGATTTTGAGGTGCACGCACAGGGGAGACCAGGCGGGTTTGACGAGTATATGAATAACGAAAGACATGAAAAATGCGCGTCGTCGGCGTTTGAGGTCTTCGGTCTTCCGGGACGCCGCGCGTACAGGGGCGGCTTCAGTCTTCCCGCGAGGTTGGAGGTGTCTCGGCAAGACGATGGTAACAAAGGAATGGCTATTGCAAGCAACGCTTACAAGTGGGCTTATGGAGGGTGCTTTGGTGCTGAAATAGAGGAAGCGGTGAAAGTGGAATGATCAACGTCTTTTCGCTCCACAAGTCAGTCCAAACTCAACAGTCGAGGCCTGCTTCTTTTGTTCATACATCCACAGTACTACCTTTGAATTGGTCGCAAAAGGCGGACAGGTGTGACACACAGGTGCAAGAAAGATAGAGGGAGATGAATAGTTGATGTGGCAAGGTCTTGGTGATACAAATACATGAAGGGCATTGCGCCTTAGGAACTCCTATCTCGGGGCCTGTCAAAGACGTCTGGTATCGCCCTCTATCGCAGCATTACCACGTTCCGGAAACCATCTAAACTCAAACTTGTTTGACATGATGCTCCTGCTCAAGGACCTTGTTATCCCTGATTCAGTCATCAGCCTCATTGCCTTCATTGTCCTCCTCCTTGGCCTCGTTCCGAATTTCCCGTAGGAGGAGTGACCTACTTGGCATTGAGCAGACTGAGATAGAGCGTCCAAGCGATACCGCATGTGCTTTGGAAGGGCACACGGTATTGGATGGGCATGAGTTTAAAGTTGATCGTTTGGATGAGGGGCCAGATCTTCCAGTTGGCGAACAGGGCGGCTGTAGAGTTGAGTCAGTCTGGCGCGGGAAGAGGAACGAATGGGAAAAGTTACCCCAGTAGATCTATACGTTCGTCAGCTTGCAATAAGAGGCAAGAGGATGAAAAGACGCACGTCTCGGAATTTCTCACTTATCTCCAGCTGGGAATGACCTTCCATGATACCCATCGACCCGACAAAGAGACACAAACCGATCGGCGCCCTGCACGGCAACCCGTCAGCACCTTACCCAGCACACCCATGTCGATCAAAGAAAGGAGCCCACTTACATGACAACCTGATCCGCCAACACCCTCTTTGCAAGCTGTATCCCCTCCCCACCCTTCTTCCTCACCACCCCTCCCGGCAGCGTCAGCCCCCCTCCCCGGCTCACATTCGGCATCGGGATCCGCTTTTCTAGGAGCCGCATCCAACGACCGATGACGGGGCCCATGGCCATGCCGAATACGGCGAAGCGCAGGGTACGGGTGGGGTCGTATGTCGGGGGAAGGGGGTTTTGGACGGTGGGTTTGTGGAGCTGTGGAGTATTAGGTGACGGGGGAAGGGGAAGGGGGATGGGGGCTTACGAGGATACTGGATGATTGGGCCTTGATATGTTCAGCGCGTGGAGTATACATAGTGAAGAGGGCTCACGAGGATATCGGCGACACTGTTCAGGACGCCGTTAGTGACGATAAGAGTCGCGGTGGGCCGGCGCTCAAAGTTTGAGTTGTAGAACTGGGCGAACGAGTAGAGCAGTTTCCTCGGCATTGTGCTGGAACAGGGGGTAGAAGTGTAAGAAGAATGAGATGAAAGAGATAATGGGCGGCTGGCGTTGTAGATCAAAATGCGTCATGGCCTGCCTCCACCCACGCGCCTCTCCTATCTCCTGTAACCTGTTTCCTAACGCCCTGCCGTGGCCTATGCAAAGGAAAAGTCTGCAAACATGTCTATCAATCAAGATCATAGGCTCACGCCCATCATGCACCCGAGTCGAGCGCTACAAAAGGCACAAGGTAGATAATTCATCACAAGGCATTATCGGAGTACAATTACAGTACAAGAAGTCTCCAAGACATAGCAAGACAAGTTCTAACATTCTATAATTCAATTCGATTCTATAGTCCGGTCTCGACAGCGCGGGCCTTTTCCTCATTCGCAACGACAAGATCAGGCCTCAACACCCCCACAACACCATCCAACAACATCCCGATCAAATGCGCATTACACCCCGCATCACTGATCGGGTCCAGAAGCCTACTTATATCGTCTTTACAAGGGAGGAGGAGAACTTGTATTGTCCCTAGCAGCACTGTCAGCATGGACGATAAGGAAAGAGGGTGGAGAGGGACGCACGAGGGATCAGCTCTTGAAGCCTCTTTTCCAACTTGTTTCTTAGATCTGCTGCTTCTGCAGGAGAAGGATCTATAGGTGATGGACCGGGGTAACCGTCGAGTGGGAAGAGAAGCCGTTCGGTGAGGTCGAGCAGGCGGAGAGCGAGCTCGGGCGTGAGGCGGGTTTGGATCAAGTGTGGTATGATTCTGCCCACTCGTCAGTCTTTATACAAAATAAGGAGAAGGAGGAGGCTCACCGATCGAGTAATGGCGCTGCAAACCCCACCCCCATCTCCACCCCTCCCCAAACCAACCTCTTTCCCCACTTCTTCCCTCCCCCCTCAAACCCATCTATACCTAAAAGCTCCCGCCCGATCACGAGAAAAGAGTCGGAGCAGTGATGGAACTGTGGAGTAGGAGGAGGAGGGGAGGTGGTGTATAGTGTGAAGAGGGAGAGGATGAGGGTGTAGAGGGCGGTGAGGGAGGAGAGGAGGGAGTGGATGTGGGAGAGGATGATTTGGTCGAGCGTTTTGGGCTTTGGGTCTGTGGGAGGCTCGGACAAAGTCCATGTTAGGGGATCCCCAGGTTCACCGACAAACCGCAAGATGAGCGCGTACCAGAACCAACCATAGCTCAGCCTCCTCAGTCCTCCGCCGAGTACGGCGCGCGCGAGCACTTCGCGCACCATGAGCTGTTGTACATCCGGCTGGTTTTGGGGGATGATGGCGTTTGCGAGGGCTGATAGGTAGGTGGGGTTGAGCGTGTATGATGGTGCACCGGGGGAAGAGGGAGAGGGAGAGACGGAGGGAAGAGGTAATCGCGCATGGTACGCGTCCCCGACGTTGCCCCCAAATACGGCAACCGCCCCCCTCGCTTCATTCCACACCCTCACATGCACCCCCACCACCGTCCCCAGATCCAACACCACCCACTCCCCCAGCCACTCCGGTTCATCATACGCCCTCTGAAGGACAGGGTGGAGGAGGGGGTGGAGGATGGTAGAGTGGATGGAGGGGAGGAGGGTGCGGTCTTTGGTGAAGCGGGTGTACCATGAGAGGATGTATGCGCGTAGAGATAGGGCTATGAGGTTGTATAGCCTGGGTTGTTAGCTTGGGACGTGGTGGGGGAGACTTACTTTTCGTTGATCTCGTCGATGGCTTTGCCCTCGCCGTCTATAAGCCTCGGCACCTGCTTTGGGGCACAAGTCGGGAACAGGAGTCTATGATAGAAGGGGAGGTGGGCAGGGGGCTTGGAGTTTGGGCGGGACATTAGGACATGGTTGATTGCATGAGGGGAGATGGAAAGGTGCGTGCGGTGGTCATCGATGGTGGTTGCGATTCCAATGAACGAGCGATGCTGTACAGAACAGGCAGGATGGTGTGGAGAAGTATCATTCAGTCAATCCACATGCATAGACCATCGAGGACATCTTGGAGCATCCCATCGCTCATAGTCAGTCATAGTGATACATTTGCATCCCACTGCCACACGTATTCCCAGCGTTGTATTTACGGTAACCCCGAATCACCGAATAAAGCATTATCCATTACCCCGGTCACGTGACGGATGTTATTCCCTCCACCACGCGCCGTATAAATACCCTCTTCCCATCTCATTTCTCTTCTCTCCATCACACATCTTTCCCACCTCTTCTCCCTCTCTCTCCCACCCCACCCCCCAACAACACACTTATATACAATGTCTGGTCGAGGAAAAGGCGGCAAGGGTCTCGGTAAGGGTGGTGCCAAGCGACACAGGAAGGTCCTTCGTGACAACATCCAGTGAGCATCCTCCTGCTTCTTGCCTCTTTCATCACTGACATGCTCCAGGGGTATCACCAAGCCCGCTATCAGGCGATTGGCGCGAAGGGGTGGTGTCAAGCGAATCTCCGGTCTTATCTACGAGGAGACCCGAGGTGTCCTCAAGATCTTCCTTGAGAACGTCATCCGAGACTCTGTCACCTACACCGAGCACGCCAAGAGAAAGACTGGCAAGTCGAATCATCCCCCAACCATTCACACGCACTGACATTTTCCCAGTCACCTCTCTCGATGTCGTCTACGCTCTCAAGAGGCAGGGCCGAACCCTCTACGGTTTCGGTGCTTAAACACATTCTCTTGTAGCTTTATTCTTATCAGCCTGGTGCGGCGAGTCTTTGGGGATGCTTTCGTTTTCGATATCTTTTATTTTATTTCCGCCTTTGGGCGATGCATCGCTTATATCTACACTATGCGGCTGGGTACAGTTTCTCGCGGGCAGGGGGTGGTTTTTCAGTGGCGACGGGGCTGGCAGTAGTGGCAACACCCTCGAGCCATTACGTAAACATCCCAGACACAAACAACAAGAAGAGCGAGACTGATTTTGCACTTTGTCGTCCACCTTTCCACAAACAAACATGTCCATCTCCCTCATCATCACCCACCCCGCCTCCGCCTCCATATCCTCCCTCCCCAAACCCATCTCCCCCTCTCCCCTCCCAACCCAAACACCCCTCCCAATCCCCTCCCGCTTCCCTCCCTCCTCCCGACCCCACCTCACCCCCTCCCCCTCCGGCCGGCTATTCCTCCACTCCCAAGAATCCCATTTCATCTGGGAATATGACCACAAAGGCCGACGGGTGGGAGAAATGGTATTCGGAAAGCAGGATAGGGTGAACCAGGTTGTTTGTGGGGATGCATTTGTGGGGGTTTTGCTCGATGGGAGAGAGGGGGTGGAGGTCATGGAGAAGGAGAGTGAGAGGTTGGGAAAGTGGAAGAAGATGAAGAGTGTGGAAGGGCCTGGAGGGGTTGTGACGGCGCTTGCGTCGGATGGGAAACATCTTTTGGCGATTGGGACGGATGAAGGTGGGCTTGTGGTTTGTAACGTCCAGGATGGGACGAGAACGGACGTATCGCTGGAAGGCCATTCAGGGGCAAGTCATACAGTGTGTTCAAGAGTAAAGCTGACAAGCGGCAAGTCTATATCACCCCTACTGTCATTCGCCCCCTCCCTCCCAAACACCCTCATCCTCCCCTCCCAAACGTCCCCAACCCTCCTCCGCATAGCCCTAACCCCCCAAACAATAACCTCCCTCTCCCCCTTCCCCTCCCCCGCCTATGAGCCTATATCAAGCATCTCCTTCTCCCCTGTGACTGAATCTCCGGACGGTACTCGAAAAGGCGGGCTCTGTGCCCTCGCAGCTGGGGGCCAAGTCGTGCTCGTCGGCCTTGATCGGGCTGTCGAAGGGTCGTTGGGGAAGAGGGTGGGATTCGGGCAAGAAGTGGGAGACGTTGTTTTCTTGGACGGCGCTACTTTGGGAGGTAAAGTGAAGGGTGGAAAGGGGTTGCTTGTAAAGGACTTGAGGGCTTTGGATAAATCGCCTTTGGAGTTTGCTTTTGGGGAGGAGGTTGTAAAGGCGCAGGTTGTTCCGCAAATCGCAAGTCCACCTCCAGCAAATTGTTCAAGGAGAGAAAGCTGATTGTGGTACGTATAGGCAAAGTCGAGTCAATCGTCAAAACCGACCACACGCCGAGTATCGAATACGTCCACCACCTCGGCTTTGGGTGAAATCAACACCAACCTCCCTCCCACCTCTCGTCCTGCCACCCACGCTCCCGGAAACAAAACCAAAGCCCCAGCCCCTTCCCGCCCTTCCTCCTCCTCTTTGGCGTCAACAAAACCGCGCGCGTCGTCGACTATCGTGCCTTCCCAGACAGACAGAGTTGGCAGGGAGAAGGAAGAGCGACGGTCGACTTCGGGGCCCGTGGTCCGGGATAGGGCGAGGAAGCCGTTGGGGATGAGTACGAGGACGATTGAGGTTATTGAAGAGGAAGAGGCGGAGCAAGAGTCCCCGGGGCCGTCGAGGATTACTTGTTTGGTTGATGGGGCTTTGACGCGCCAAGTACCAGAGCCGGTGGAAGAAGAAGAAGACGAAGAGGAAGAAGAGGAGTGGCAAGAACCAGGTGTAGACCTCACTTGGGCTCTCCACCCTCCTCGTCCTTCTTCGAGGACCCAAAGCCAAACAGGAGCCACACATACAAGAGCAGTGGTTGAAGAAGGAGGAATGTCTGAGAAGGAACAGATTGCCCATCTAAGGAGAGAGATGGCGTTCATGCATATGGACATGTTGAGGATGGGCCGGGATCTTAGGGTATGTCCTCTTCTTCTTTGAATGTTCCTTGGAAAGAAGAATTGATGAGATGATAGAACGAAATGAAAGCAGCGGTAGATCCTCTGAAAGAGGAAATACAGACAAGTCGGGTAGTTATTGAAAAGCAGAGGAGGGAGATTGAGAGGTTGAGGCGGGGTTATTGAATGTACTGTAAGGACAGTTTTGTGTTATAGGGATAATGGGACAGTTGGACATTCGGGATGTAAAATGAAATAACGAGTCATTGCGTGCACATGCGATGGAGTCATCAGCTTGACTTGCGCGTCAGCCTGGATCGAATCGAGGCCGAGACAATTCACACTCATGGCAATACTATGAGAGGACCACTTGGAAGTAGGAGTACAAGTTTACATGTTTATGGGCCGCATTCATTATACTTGTGGTAGTTTCAGCTACTGTCTCTAGCATGATCGTAAAGAACTCACATATCGTGAAATCGTCGTTTCTATAAGGCTCGGAAGGCAAAGCCTCACAGCCCAATCCTCTCATGCCTCTCCCTCCGCTCCTGCTCCCTACTCTTCCCACTCTCCCTCCTCTCCCCCTCCCCCCGTTCTCCTTCGCGCGTTCTGTGGGGGTTGGCAGCAGCCTCTTGTTCCTCGCGCTCGGCTTTACGTTTGTCGATTTCGACTTGGAGGATTTTGAGGTCGGATGCTCTGAGGGGGATGGCGGTGGGGTTGGATCGGATCATCCTTGGTTTTGTGTGGGATACAGGGATGTTGGTTGAGATTGAGGAGCAACAAGAAGCTTATAAGAAGTCAACAACAATCGCAGACTTACGTAATTTATCAGTTGGTGGTGGTGGAGCGCGTTGCTCGCTCTGTTACTTTCGCTTAACACCCACCAGAGACCCAGCGATGGCAGAAATATACCAGAAGAAGGAGCTCCTCGCCCTCATGAAAGAGGGAGCCAACAACAGTGAGCCCCATCCCCCCAAGCTAGCGCTGCAGACTGACAATCATGTAAAGAGTGTATCGACTGCGACGCTCCCTCGCCCCAGTGGGCTTCTGTATCCTATGGCACATTCATCTGCCTCGAGTGCTCTGGCGTGCATAGAGGGTTTGGTGTGCATATCAGTTTTGTGAGGAGTATCACTATGGATAAGTGGTCTGAGGCGCAGGTCAAGAAGATGAAGGTATGTTCCTGTCTGTGATACGAAGGGTCGTCAAGGGTCTGATATGTGGTTTTGACAGTTGGGCGGGAATCAAAAGTTTAAGGATTTCTTGGAGAGCTATGGACCTGAGGGAGGGTATACGAAGGGTGTGGGAATGTCGGAAAAATACAACTCTTGGGCTGCTGCCCAGTATCGCGACAAGGTGCGTCTCTTGCCCCTTATCCAGGACATGACTGACTCTGTGTCAGCTCGCTGCTGAATGTGCCGACCCTCCCCAAGAATGGTCTCCCTCCGCTCCTCCACCCTCTGCCCCCGTCCGACCCGAATCGGCCCAAGCTACCCGAAAATCCAGAGCCGGCGGCTCCCTGGGCCCCTCACGTACCAACAGCCCCTCCGTCCCCCAAGGCTACTCTGACTACAACCAGCCCGCCAACAACAGCCGTAACGACGCTCAGCGCGCGCAGAATGAAGCCTTCTTTGAGCGTATGGGCAACGCCAACGCCTCGCGACCGGATGACCTTCCTCCGTCTCAAGGCGGGCGATATGCAGGGTTCGGATCGACCCCTGCCCCGGACCCGTCGTCAGCCCACGCTTCGTACGGCACGAGCTCGCACTCTGCTCCCACGCTTGATGAATTCCAACGTAACCCTATAGGCGCCCTGAGCAAAGGCTGGGGCCTCTTCTCTTCGGCCGTAGCGCTTGCGGGCAGGGAAGTCAAGACGTCTGTCGTTGACCCCGGGCTTGCCCGAGCTCAGGCGCTGGCGGCTGGAGAAGGGTCGGAAGAGTGGAAGCGTTACTTTAATGATGCTTCCGTACGAGCTCGGGAAGCTGGGGGTTGGATTGGGACGCAGGCGCAGACGGGGTGGGAGGGGTTCAATGATGTTGCCAAGGCTCGGGGCGGGGTCGACTTTAACGAGCAGTTCAACAAGCTCGGCATCAACAAACATGACCAGGGTAATCAGGGGTATGAAGGGTACGGCCAAGTTGGGGAGGAGCCGCTGTCGGCCAAGGGCGGAGCGAGCGGTGGGTATGGGCAGAAGAATGGGGGCAAGGTGCAGGAGGAGGAAGACTTTTTCGACTCGTGGGGTGTTGGCGAAAGCACCGGGGGTAAGGGGAAGGGCAAGAACGATTAGTTGGGGTGTTTCTGTGTTGTGATTGCTTGTGATGTTATGGACTCTTGGGATTTTGGACGTCTTGGATGATTGGTCTGTGGCAGTAGGAATAGACATATCACCTAGATGTATCCTATATGATTATACGCACATCTCTCACTTGTCAATAGAGGCACAAAGTGCGCCATGGTGGAAAGTGCCATGCCAAACGTAAAGTATACATCATTACTGCTCGTATAAGTTCTTCTTCAGCCACTTCAACCTTCCATCTTCCCTCCACCCTCTCCATCCCTCACTCCCCTGTTCTCCGAATTTCCCCTCCAACCTCTCCCACACCTGCCTCAGCATATCATCGTCCCCGCCTGTCACCCGCGCAAAGGCACGCATGATGGTCCATACAGCTTTCCGGCTAGGAGCATTGGCGTAATACGGTGTTTCCCTCGCAGCTTTGACAAGTGTACCGTATTCGGACGATGGTGGAGAAGGCGGGGAAGATGGGCGGAGTGTCATGAAAGATTCAAATATACCCTCAAGCGTTTCCAGGGACCAACCCTCGACTCGTTTCTCTTGTCGGGGTTGATTTTTTACTGCGCCAAACATTGCTCCCCGTTCCCAGATCCCACTCATTCGTTCTTCGAACGATCCCGTCACATCGCTTGCCTTGAATGAAGTCTCTGAAGAAACACCGAGCATTACTCCCGCTGGTCCGGCATCAATGACGCCAGACGGCGTCTCGCCGTATTGGGCAAAACCTTTGAAGAGCGCGTTGTAGTCGGCAACAGAGGGCGAGCGGTCATCTTCAAAGATGTGTTTCAGGATCGTCAGAGCCCCGGGCATGTTGCCTTGGGTTGCGAGGGCGGCGAGTAGAGGAGAGTATGATCGGTGTCCGAGAGTGATTCCCGACTTGGGCAATGGGATATCCGAAGCAAAAGTTGATGATGAAGGGGAGGTAGCCGATTCGATGGTGACCAAATCGCCTTCTTCCGTCTCTGGTCGAAGTACCCGGTAGACGTCGGTTACGAGATCCCATCGGCCCATCCTGCCAAACCCTGCCAAAGCATAATTGACCAGCACGGAATGGTCTTCCGTCGCCATGTTGGAAGACTGGAAGGCATGTTCCAGGATGTCGAAGAGCTCTTCGCCTCTTCCCATTTTCTCTGCTAGTATCATACGAGCCAACCAGGTGTAGCCGTCAGGCTCGAGACCTTCCTTCTCCAAGACGTCCCACCAATCCCCAAATCGCGCCTCCTTCCCGGACAGGGCGAGGAGGTACATCGCATAGTTGATCCCAGCCTTGAAGCGTCTCCTTGCAGGTCCATCTTCCACATTAGGCGGCCGAGGGAACAATGATTTGAGAGTCTTTTCGACTTCAAACACGTCCTTGTCTCTCACCTGCCTGTGCTGCATCGTCTTGGAGCTCAGCACGAGCAGTTCCAGACCTCTGAACCCCTTTTTATCGCCAACCAAATATTTTATTTCTTCCACCAAGGCTTCTATCTGTTCCTCCGCCCGTTCCTTGTCTGCACCTTCTCGGAGTTGGAGCATCCTGAGAGCTTTTAGGACTTCGGAGACTTCTCCCACGGAGAACAGCTGAGTGTGAGGGGAGGTCATGTACAAGTCAGTGTATGCTTGAAGAAGGCGAGTGGAGGACGAGCACGAGGTCGAGGAGAGGGATGAGAGGCGGAACAGATGGGAGAGGGAAGAAGATCGGTCTATGGGAGAAAGAGTGTGTTGGGCGATAGGGTTTATCTCGGGATTTGGTTCAGATTTTGGCGGTGTCAGACTGGGCGCTGACAGATGAGAGATGTGACGGAGGATGGGGTCAATTGACTCGGAAAGTGCGTCCTTGTCTTTGGTGTCGGGTTGAGAGGAAGAAGAGAAGGGCTGAAACGCGCTGTGGGAACGCTCAAATCCCCAGCCACCCATCGGCAACGGAGGCTGAGGATAACTTGCCAGACCCAAGGCCAGACCAACAGTAGTCCTAGCTGAAGTAGCAAAGCCTCTCGGCCGCGAGGACAGCACCTTGTAGTATGCTGACTGGGGGATCTCGATATTGCCGGCGAGCTTCTTGAGCTTCTTTTTGCCCTCCTTTTGTTTGTTGAGATGCTTAAGTTTTCGATCATAGTGGCCTATTCACGCGTTAGCCATGTCCTAGAAGCTGGGGTGGGACACATACCTCCGTAGAGGCCGGCAGTGACATCTTTTCTAAACGCCGACACATTCTCTCGAGCGATGACCTTTGCGCCTATAGCCGCCTGGATGGACAACTCGAACTGCTGTCTCGGCACGACCTCCTCTACGACTCCAATCAGCTCTTGTCAACTGATGATGGAGTGTGTACGTACTGAGCTTCTTCACCCACGCCTTTCCTATGGCTTGAGCAGCATACTTGTGCACGATCATCGACAGCGCATCCACTGGTTTGCCGTTGATCAAAATGTTCATCTTTCCAAATAGATCAGCTTCGCCTCACTTCTCAAGGACAACCGGCTCACCTTGACCAGGGGCGACTGCTCATACCCCGCTTCTTCATAATCAAACGACGCAAATCCCGAGCTTTGACTCTTCAGCTCCGAGAAGAACTCTGTCACAATCTCAGACAAGGGGAGGGTGTATCTGAGGACAGCCCGTTCGCTATTTTCCAGTATCCGGTACTCTAATTGGATACCCCGATAACGAGCACAGAGATCCATCATAGAGCCGATATACTCTACAACATCCAGTTAGTAGCCATAGCAAGGGGCAGTGAGCCACTCACCATTGGGAACGAAGATGGTGGCATTGATCATAGGCTCCTCGACATGCGCAACGCGGGCTTTAGGGTCGCCTGGTTCGGGAAACTCGACGGGATTGGATATGAACTGCTCTGTGCCATTTGTAAATACCACTGCATCAGGTGCATTAGCTTCGGGGCAGATGGTGTTCGAACGGCTTCTCACCTTTGTAGGGGACAGTAGGGGCAGTGACAATGACTTCTGAAGAGTACTCGTCTTCCAATCTTTGTCGGCTGCAGTAATTGTCAATCATACAGCGATTCATGGTCAGAGCGGACTCACAAGACATCCATATGCAGCGTGCCCAAAAAACCGAGTCGGAAACCTTGACTCAAAGCCGCCGATGACTCTCTTTGCACAGACACTGAGATAGCATTAACGGCCGTTCACCAAATTCTTCGCTGCACGTACCACTCCGGTCATTTAGTGTCAGCTAAGAGTTCATGTCAGCATGCGGTCAATGTCGGTACAAAAAAGTTGCCTCACCCTCTCAATAGATTCTTCGAGCTTGGGAAAGTCCCCGCTGTCCATGGGAAAGACACCCGCATAGACCATGGCTTTCATAGGCTGGAATCCCGGTAGGGGATCCACGACCTTGTCCGCCCAACAGATGGTGTCTCCAATGAAAGCCTCTCCTGAATCTTTCATATTGCACACGATGTACCTGCCCAACATCAATTCCTGTCATTTAACAAGAGAAAAGAGAGTACTCACCCGACCTGGCCAACGGTCAGTCGCTCGACAGGGACTTCATCGGGATTGTTGAGCCCGACTTCGAGGATTTCGTATTTGCGATCAGCTTGGAGGAAACGGACTTTGTCGCCCTTCTTAAGAGAGCCAGCAAAGATGCGCACAAGAGATACAACTCCTCTGAATTGGTCATAGCTAGGGAGAGTCAGCGTGTACTCTGACAATGACATGAAGACTGACAAGGTGTCGAAAATCAGTCCTCGCAACTTCCCATCTTCTCCCCCCTCGTATGGACTCGGCGAGGGCAGTCCCTCGATGATGCTACCCAGTACAGTGTCCACCCCAAGCCCACTCTTTGCGCTAATCCTGAGATGTCTGTCTTTTTCCAAGCCAAGGGAGGAGGCTATCTCTTCAGAAGTTTCGTCGGGATATGCGTGGGGGAGGTCGACCTTGTTGATGACAGCGAGCATGGAGAGATCGGCCTCTAGAGCGTGATGAAATACGGACAATGTTTGAGCTTGGATGCCCTCTTCCTCATATATCAGCAGAGTTTTATGTGGACACATATCACTCACGCGAACAGTCCACCAGCAGAAGTGCTCCTTCACAAGCTCCCAGACTCCGCGAAACCTCATAACTAAAATCGACGTGCCCCGGTGTGTCGATCAGATTGATGAGATACTTGTGACCGTCGGTGTGGGTGTGGATGATTGAGACGGTCTGCGCTTTCACGGTGATCCCTCTTTCCTTTTCTACCTTCAACTTGTCTAAGAATTGGGGGGAGGATTCGGGGGGAACGGTTCCAGTCATCTGTCATACATTCAGTTCGATCCCTAAAACGAGGCTTCGCGTGACTCACTTGAAGCAGGCGATCTGCTAGGGTAGATTTCCCGTGGTCGATATGTGCAATGATTGATAGATTTCTGAGAGATATGGATCAGCTACGAGCTGCCAAATAGTTCAAGTGCTTACCGTATTCTTTCTGGTGGAAATTGACTCATATCGACCGTCCGCTTCGCTGCTTGTGCCGCTGCCGATACTTTCGGTCCAAGAGCTGCGGGGCTCTTTGAAAAGCTCCTCCCATTTGGTCTGCCCCATGACCGTTTTCCCAATTCTCTTGCCTTCCTGGTACACTCATTGCTCGTATATGTCGATATGCGCGCAGAAAGAAATGGCTTGGACGGCGAGATGCGAAGCCGAACCAAACATTGCGGGCATACCCTTGATGGCCGCGCAGCAAGGCTCATCGGCAGGTCTAGTTGGGCTCTTTGTGGATTTCGGAAATGTGAGCGTGACAGGTATTCTGATCTCGAATTGTTTTTTCAGTTGTCAGCGAGTTGTCAGTGCAAGAGGACGGAGAAATTGAAATTGGTCCCGCTCTCTTCGGCGGCCGCGACGGCTTTCCGAAATCATCCTCCTTGATGACGAGCAAGCTGCGAGTAAGCAGAGCTGAAGAGAGACTGGAAGCCGGATCAGGTAGCTGTGAATCCGGGAGCACAGTCACATGGATGAGACACCGGAACGGAGTGATACAATTCGGTCTGTCCAGCATCAGCTCTGCAGGTCCGCCAAGGAGCAGACCGGAACTCGGTAACTCCTGCCCGAGCTCCAGCGAGCCCTCCTCTCCTTGTGGGCGTGCAAGGTCCTCAAGGAGCAGGTATGTGGGACAGCCGGGCTTCGAGAAGCTCTTTTTGACCCATTATCCATAAGAAAGTCATATCTGAGCCAGCTGCTCCCTGCCTACCTCGAACAACGACATAGTCTGCGCGTCGCCACCTTCTCCCTGGACGACTTCTATCATCTCTCACACTACGCCCTGCTATCCTCGCTCTTAATTCCAAACCCCTGAACCCTCTTTTGGCCGGAAGAGGACCAGCAGGTACCCATGTCTTCCTCTCCTAATTCGCACTCTGGATGGGTGGAAAAACATTAACGAAAAGTCTGCTGCTACCTCCTCCGAGCCAGAGCGTACCGTCACGCTTCCCATGTACGACAAATCACTCTTCCACGGCCAAGGCGATCGCTCAGCCAAAGGCGTCACAGTGAGAGGCCCAGTCGATGTGGTCATCTTTGAGGGCTGGATGAACGGTTTCGGAGCTTTGCCGGATGAAGAGCTAGCTGCTCGATATGCAGCGGCCAGCTCTCCCTCCGCCGAAGACACTCCTTCGACCCTCGTCAAATATTCCAAGGCGACACTTGACGATATCAACGAGAGGTTGCGAGACTATGAAGATGTTTGGAACGCGATCGATTGCTTTGTGCAGATCCGACCGCTAGACATGTTATTTGTGTGGGAGTGGAGTCTTCAGGTGAGTGTTGTTCACTACTTCCTCTCAGTCAGAGAAGATGTGCCGCTAATCAAGGGTCTAGCAAGAGCACCACATGAAGGCAGGTAATGGAGGTGTGGGAATGTCTGATTGAAGAGGTACGGCAATTCATCGATCGGTGTGTTCTTCCTTTCAAAAACTAATGCTATCTGTCGGGCTGATAGTCAAAAAGCTATATGCCCAGCTATGAGCTGTTTCAAGACGGTATTGATAAGGAGTCTACAACGTGGCATGGCAAGGGTCTTCGGTTCAGGGTCGACAGTCATCGTAACATTGTCAAGGTCGAAAAGTTCTGATGTCCCAGTATGCATGCGTTATACATGAGACTTGTCGAGTATGGTTCAGCCATCATAGCATAGCGCCGATATCCGCTGCTGCAGCCTCGGCTCCTTCGAACGTTCCCAGCCCCATTGGCAGGGGAGCACCCATATTGAGGTCGAAGCCAAGCATATCGAGAGTATATCAGACGGCTTTCGCGACAAATTCGGCTATGGCAGCGATCGCCATCTGCTTCTGCTTCATCCTTCGAGATGCATTGACGTGAGAAAATGCTAGGATGGATCCTGAAGACGCGGAGATTGAAACTAGGAATGAGAGTGTGCCGGATCGTGTGAGATATGTCACATGAGGGATGACCTTATGCGCGGGGTTTTCACTTGTACGAGTACTTTGATGTCGTGTCTTCTTCGGACGATCGGAATTGAGGGGTATGCAGAATCAATACTCAGTCTGTACAATGGTTATTCTAGCTCATGCGCATCTTGGCAACTATACAAGCTTTACTTGTCTTCCAAAAGCAAAGATAAGTCACGCTTCGCCCCTTCGGCCGCCGCGACATCGCGTGGTTCTAGGAACGACATTGAACCACCGCGCTCGTTCTTTCTTTTGCAGAAAGTTGTTTTCTCCTTTGCAACTCCGTTTGACTTTCCATATTTACAACCCCCCTGGAGACAACGTCCCAGCTCTCATTATGCTGGACTCCATATCCTCCCTCCCGGACGCTTTCCAGCCCTTCCTCAGCTGGCTCTCTACCCTTACCCTCGGCCAGATCTGGCTCGCCCTCTACAACCCGCCTAACCGCGTCACCCTCACCATCGTACTCATCGCCATCTCCTTCAAAGCTCCCATATGGATAAAAAAGTGGTCAGAGTCGAGAGCAGAGAAAAAGGCGGTTCGCTTTTTGTATATCGAGCCCAAGGTGCGTTCGGGTCGGTTAGCCGATGACACGCTTTCAGCGTACTGACATGCGATGACAGGAAGGCGACAGGAAATGGGAGGGAAAAGTCATCAACAAGCCGAGCCTTTCATCTCATCTCCAAGACTCAAACCTGCTGCCTCCAGAGACGGGTCATTCGGGTGTCAAGCGAGACCACATCACTTGCTACGATCCTTCCACCGGTGTACGCCTATCTTTACTTACATTCCACACCAAGCTCATCTTTGGATAGTACCACCTCACCACCTTGCCTCTTCTGAGCGCTGAAGAGGTCGCGCAACAAATCTCTTCCGCCCACAACGCCTCCCCTGCTCTGCGCGCGACGCCGTTCTCCACCCGCCGACGTTTCCTCCGTGGCATCCGCGACTGGGTCCTCCGGGATATGGATGCCATCGTCCGCGTAGCTTGTCGGGATACTGGCAAGACTGACGTCGACGCCGTATTCGGTGAAATCCTCACAACCTTGAGCAAGATCGACTGGTTGGTGACTTACGGAGAGAAGACTCTGAACCCCCAAAAGAGGGCTGGAAACTTGCTTCTGGCGCACAAAGTGTCGAAAGTGCACTACCAGCCTCTTGGTACGGTGCTCGCGCTTGTATCGTGGAACTATTCTTTCCACAATTTGCTCTCCCCCATCCTTGCTGCCATCTTCTCAGGCAATACTATCGTCGTCAAATGTTCCGAGCAGGTGGCTTGGAGTTCAATGTGGTATATTGGTGGTGTCAAAGCTTGTCTGAGAGCTTGCGGATTGGATGAAGATATGGTACAGCTAGTCATCTGTCTCCCAGATGTCGCAGAGACAGTCACTCGAAACCCTTTAATCAAGCATATCACTTGTAAGTACACCACTATCGACGCGAGCTTCAGCTGATGCCGCATAGTCATCGGCAGTGAGCCCGTCGGCAAGAAAGTCGCTCAAGCCGCCGCCGAGATCATGGTCCCCACTTGCATCGAACTCGGCGGTAAAGATCCCGCTTTCATCCTCCCCGGTACAGACCTTGATTTCTTCGCTAGCACCTGGATGCGTGGCGCCTTGTACGTTTCATCTCTCTCCGTGCTTCTAATCTCAGACCAACGATTCGCAGCCAATCCTCGGGCCAAAACTGTATCGGTATCGAACTCTTCTTCGTCCACCGTTCGCAATACCCCAAATTCCTCGACATTCTCGCCCCCCGCGTTCGCGCGCTCCGACCAGGTAAAGACGTCGGCTCCCTCATCTCCCACGCCCCCATCCCCAAACTCGAATCTCTCCTCTCCTCCGCCACATCTTCCGGTGCTCGCATCCTCGCCGGCGGCAAACAGTTTGTCCTCCCGCGTCATCCCGAGGGAGCCTACTTTGAGCCGACGTTGGTGGTGGATGTCAAGATGGATATGGAAATCGCAAAGGAAGAGCTTTTCGCCCCTGTGATGACTGTGGTACCCTACGACGACGTCGACGAGGCTGTTTCGTGGCTTAGCAAGTCGCGTTTCGGACTCGGTGGTGGTGTTTATGGCAAAGACCGTGCCCAATGCCGTTCCGTTGCCGAGCGCCTCGAGTGCGGTATGGTAGCCATCAACGACTTTGGCGTATTCTACCTGAATCAAGCTATGCCTTTTGGCGGAGTCAAAGCTTCTGGCCATGGACGTTTCGGTGGAGAAGAAGGTCTGAGGGGATTGTGCTCTGTCAAGTCGATTACGGAGGACAGATGGTTTAGCTGGATTCGAACGACGATACCGGGGCCGGTGGATTTTCCGTTACCGGAGAATGGCAGGCCTTGGGCGTTTTTGACAGGGTTGGTGCAGATGGCGTATGGCGTTGAGTTGTGGACGAGGGCAAAGGGGTTGGCGGGATTGATTGGTGCGGCTTTGTGATAGAGCATGGATAGAGATTCTGTCAAGTCAATATGATGGGTACATGCGTGTCGTAAAAAGTGCAACTAGGCCAAGACAATGTACTTTTGGAGGTGTTCGGGGATATGGGAGATGAGGCCCTTGGATTCAAGCCACACTCGGGAGAAGAGACGAGCCTGGTACCTGCCGCGTTGTCAGCCATGCACAATCAGCAAATCCAGCCGACTCACCTGTAAGCACCATCACAAAGAACGGTAACAACAGTGCTTCCCTTTCCTTTACGCTTGGCAAGCTCCGTGGCCGCCCAGACATTCAAAGCACTGGAAGCACCGACGTAAAGACCCTCCTCATCCAGCAAACGGTAGATCATGTTGATGGAAGCCGAGTCCGGGACGTGGATAGCTCCAGACAAGAGCTTGAGGTCGGGGGCCAAGTTGTTGGTCACTCGGCCCTGTCCGATACCCTCAGTGATGGATCCGTTTCCTTCCCTCTTGATCTCTCCAGTCTCGACGAGGTTGTAAAGCACACTTCCAGGAGGGTCCGCCAACCAGCTCTCCACCTTTCCTTCGCTCTTCTCTGTCAAGTACCGCGTGATACCAGCGAGGGTTCCACCAGTACCGGTGGAGCAGATGAAAGCGTCGAGCTTGCCGCCGGTTTGTTCCCAAATTTCGGGGCCAGTGGTTACGATGTGGGCGTTACGGTTGGCAATGTTGTCGAACTGGTTGGTCCAGACGGCATTGTCGAGCGAGTCGGCGTAACGCTTGGCCTGGTGGTTGTAGTTTTGAGGATTGTCGAAGGCGACAGCTAGATCCTTTGTCAGCGGGATTCTAATATGAGGGTGGGCAAGTACGTACCAGGGACAGGCCTGACGTCGGCGCCGAGCATCCTCAGCAGGTCGATCTTCTCCTGACTCTGGGTATCAGGCATGTAGATGACACACTTGTATCCCTTGCTCCTGCAGACGTGGGCAAGACCAATACCAGTGTTACCGGCAGTACCCTCCACGACTGTTCCTCCGGGGCTGATCAAGCCCTTCTCTTCAGCGTCCTGGACAAGGTAAAGCGCAGCTCTGTCCTTGATGGAACCACCGGGAGACATGAACTCGGCCTTGGCGAGAATGTTGGCGCCGACTTCTTCGGAAAGCCTGTTCAAACGGATCTGCATGTGTGTGTCAGCTGGGCCACGCTTCGATTATAAAGACGGACAAGGGGAGTGTTGCCGACGGCGCCAGTGAAGCCGCCGACGGGCTTGCCAAAGTGGGGGATGGCGGTGGCATATGTCCGGGCGCAGGAGGACGCTGGGCGGAGGGCGGAGCGGAGGACGGAGGCTGATTTCTGTGGGAGCATGCTGTTTGAGAAGACCGAGAATGGAAAAGTCGGCCAACTCGACGTCGTCGACGGCAATTTCGGAATCGCGTGACGTGCTAGGCACCATCTGGAATCGAAGGCGGCGAGCGCCGAAGTGGATCTCTCCGCTCTCGTTATCATCAGCTGGATCAGCTGAGTGCCCCCCTTGCGACTAGTCCGCTTTAGTCCCGGCATCTGACGGTATAGAGGCGGCGATAAGCCATCCAATATAGACTGGCTGCTCAGCTGTTTGCATCGAAATCCCTTGTTCCTGCTAACCTGTTATTAACTCATCGAGTGATGTCTTACCGTACGCACCGCAAAGTGGATACCCTGCTGACATGGAGGATACTCGGGAAACAGCCAGCCGCATGTATATTATCCCCCCCTCCCCACATTTCGTTATCTCTCTACGCACTCATAGCGCAAGAAGATGACTTCACTCCGCCAGCTGTCCTGGCCCATGGACGAAAAAAATCCAGAGATCGACCATGTCGAACACAAAGCCGAACCCGTCGAGCATGTCGAAGACCTCAAGAAGCCAGTCGATACCACGGTTGATGGTGCTGTTTCCCACGAGATTGAAGTGCTGAGGTCGATGTCTGATGAGGAGCTGGCCGCGGAGGAGAAGAAGCTGGTCCGAAAAGTAGGTTTCTTTTTCAGTCGGGAATAGACAACAGCTCACGTTGGCAGATCGACATCGCCCTCATGCCAACACTCTTCGTCCTACTGATCCTCAACTATCTCGACAGAAACGCCCTCTCCTCGGCTCGAGTGCAGGGTATCGAGAAAAGTCTCGGTATGGTGGGCAACCAATTCAACACTGCAATCAGTCTCTTGTTTGTCGGCTATATTCTTGGTCAAATCCCGTCCAACATGATTCTATCCAAGACGCGTCCTTCCATCTATCTCGGTACTTGCGTCATGATTTGGTAAGTTGATATCGCCGCTGTGTAAAGGCGAAGGCTGATGCTGTTGGAAGGTCACTGGTCTCGCTGTCTACTGGTTTCGTCAAGAACTACAACCAGCTCCTCGCCGTCCGAATCCTTCTCGGTTTTACCGAATCACCTTACTTTCCGGGCGCTCTCTTCCTCCTTTCGACTTGGTACACGAAACAAGAGCTCGCATTCCGAACCGCCTTCGTACGTATCACCTCTACTTCAAAATGTATCCCGAGCTGATATAGAGCCAGCTGTACTGCGGGTCGTTGCTGGCTGGTGCTTTCTCAGGACTGATCGCAGCCGGCGTCGAAAATGGTCTGGACGGCGCAAGAGGCATGGAATCCTGGCGATGGCTGTTCATCGTTGATGTACGTCGTCCCTCCCTCCTTCCTCTCCTCTTATAGAGACACTTACCTATTGAAACAGGGATCCGTCTCGGGCTTCTTTGCCATAGTCTCCATATTCATCCTCCCCGACTATCCTGCCACCACCCTCTGGCTCAGCACGCGTGAAAAGGCCATCGCAGTATGGCGAATGGAGCGAGACGGTGGGCAGAGGGATGAAGATGATGAGGGGATGTTCAAGGGATTGATGATGGCCTTGACTGATTATCGAGTGGGTTTATTTCATCATTTGTTCATGGTTTGTTAGGAAAAGCGGAAGGTTGACCATAGAATGATAGCTGTACCTTCTTGCGATCATCGTCATCACCAAGACGACTGCTGCGGCTGTCACCCAGTTCATCCCTACCGTCATCCAGACTTTCGAGTTTAACAAGGTCATCACGTACGTCTCTCCCCACATCCCTGAGCTTTTCTGGAAAGCTAACGAACGGCAACAGTCTCTTACTTTCTGCCCCGCCATACCTTGTGGCTTCCGTCATCTCGCTTCTCATCTCAAGGCTATCCGACCGTCGACCAGAGAGGTGCTGGCATATCGCTATCCCTGTCGCGGTCGGCATGATTGGGTTCGTCTCCTCCTTCTCATCTCTTACACTCGTACTTAATCAAGCTGACTGACGCGCGAAGTAACATTATCGCAGTTTCATCACTCAACACGGGCGCACGATACTTTTCCATTTTCCTCATGTTGGGAGGTCTTTATGGGTGTTACACTGTATCCCTTTCTGTCAGTATTCCGCTTCATCTTGGAGGTTCAGAGAGAGATTTTGCTGATGAAAGTGTATTGTAGTGGATCTCAACTACGTTCCCTAGACCTCGTACGAAGCGTGCATCCGCATATGCCGTCATCAACGCCCTAGGGTACGTCCACCTCCCTCCAGTGCCCGTATATGCAATGAAGCTGACACCTCCCCAGAAACATCGCCCAAGTCTACTCCCCATACCTCTACCCCTCCACCGACTCGCCACGCTACACTACTGCATTCACTACCAACTCTGCCATGACGGCTTTGGCTGTCGTGTTTTGTTTCGTATTGAGGGCGATTTTGAAGAGGGACAATAAGAGGATGGATAGGGAGGAAATGGAGGCGGAGGAGAGGGGGGAAGAGGGGGTGTGGAAGGCGAGGTATGTTTTGTAGACTTGTCTTGCTGGAGTGATTGTTGCTTTTGTAGTATTGTATGCCGCTGTATGTTGTGGATCTTTTTGTATTGCCTTTAGACTTTATTCTGATGATGGGTGAATGGATTAGATCCAGAAAAGCATAGTGAATGTTTGTCACCGCCTCTGGCCTGGCATTGTACTGTCAAAACGTCTGCCATTCATGGAACACAGCTGTGCTCTGAATTTCAAGAAGATAAAATAATACGATAGCTCTTTGCCCAAGATTAGTTATATTACTCACTTTATTTGCGCTTATGGGCTGAATCTGTGCACAATGGGCCGCGTATCTGGGGTAGTAACCCAATCCTTTGTTGACAACTCTCCGTTCCTCGGGTCACCGCTTTTGGATATGTACGCTAGGGAAAGTTAGTGCGGGAGAGTGCTGTCTAATGCCGATCAAAAAGTTATTCGCGGTGCCAGGAGAGGATAAAAACACATGCATCTTGATTTCATTCTTCTCTTGCATTCATATCATTACTCACTGAGCGTGTCTCATACCCAAGGTGAGTGCCCCTTCCCGGGAGCAGCGATGTGAGACATGCCTCCCGCGCGCTGGCTAGAACAATAGAAAGCCGAGTGACTGACGACTACCACAGAGAAACCACATATTTTCACTCCAGTCACTCTTTCACTCCACGCCAAATCACTCTCTCCCATCTACATCCCTCGCCACCTCTCAAGGACCTACAGCCATGATCGTCCTGGCTTCGTTGGTGTTCGCCGTCGCCTTCTCCGCCCTCCCCTCCACGGAGCCATCAGAAGATGAGGAATACGCCCAATACCAGGCTTACATGGAGAGGCGCCGGGCCAAAGCCGCCAAAGCGAAGAAGGCGGAAACCAGCTCCGACTCCAAGCGCAAGGTCGTGCTCGAGGACAAGGAGGGCTTGGACGCGAAGAGGAGCTGGAAAGGCGGTGGAATGCGTGGGTGTGACTTTGGTATCCAAGTGAGTCTTCTATTCTTGGGTCTGTCTTTGGGGTTGCGGGCGGGATGTGCTGCGGTGGGGCGGGAGTCTGTGCATGCGCATGAGATTGAGAGCTGACAGAACGACCAGGTCCCCAGCACAGACTCCATCGACCCTCTTGCCCCTTCTCCTAAAATCACCTCCGCTTCTCGAACATCCCGGGCACTGTCGCATTCATTCTCTTTCCCCTCTTTCGCGCCTTCAACTTCACCCTTCCCCTCGAGCCCCGTCTTTGAGGGGGAGGACAAGTGCGGTTTCAGGCATTTGAGGCGAGTGTCGTCGGTGCCGAGTTTGAGCATGTCTGCTACGAGCTCTAGGCAGGGATCCATCATCAGCTCGCCAGAGACGACTACTGTCACTCTTCATTGAGACCTAGATGGTCTTTATTCTTCTTGTGTATCCTTATTGAAACTTGTACCTCATAGACAATTCTTCACCAGGCGCAGGCCGTCATTGTGTATCTTTCTCGACGACCTACCTTAGACATCATAATTCTTCTCCATTAACGTACCAATTCCTGTCAGTACCATGTTATACACCCTAGAGCAATCACGTCATGTAGCACGTCCTTTCATAATTATCTACACATGATGTGGACTCGCGCTCTTCCAGCTAGCAAGGAAGACAAAGAGATCACTTGAGGAAGGCCTGCAATTTGCTCTTGTCCAGGATCTCATCTTTCACCAACCTTGCCGTTTCCTTGCCCTGCCATCATATGTCAGCTGGGTGCTCAGTGGAAAGGTGACACTGACGTTGTCGAACCGGACGATAGTAGGAATAGTGTTGACATTCCAGTCGACAAGAGCTTTGTTGTTCGCTGTCCTCCACCTATCGTATGTAATCAGTCATAACTACTGAAGAACAGTGGAGGAGCCGCTTACTCTTGGATCTTGCCGACCCAGTACACGGCGGCGTCTGAATAGCCAGTCAGTACGAATGACTCAAGTTGTGCAAGGTTGGCGACTTACTAGGCTTCTCAGGCCCGTCGAAAGCATCTTTGACGGTAGACTCTACAGCTACGCAGTCCTACAAACGAGCAATGCGTATCAGCCGATTGCCCTTACAATCACGCCTCATTGCAGAACCCAACAACGGCTCGAGTGTCCCAAAGGAACAAAGGCCAAGATGATTAGATTATACTGACAGGACACCACATCCGACCGTTCACGACATCGGAATAGAAGACAAGGTAGTGCGTGGGAGGGGCAGTGGGACCGTTGAGAGCGCCCAGGACGTGAGGCAGGCTTCGAGTAGTTTGATGAGTCATCAGTGATTGTAGCAAAGTGGCAAGACATATTGTCAGTATTGGAAACGAGTGAGATGCCCATATGAATGCTGGGCTTACGGAGAGGTCTGGAGAGGCATTTCCATAGATGTAGTTGAGCGATAGGAAGATCGAGGAAAAAACAAATATGGGACTGACTTTTTGGCCGAATGCCGCTCCGAACTCAACTCGCGGTCTCGTGATTTTTCGGCGAGCGGCTTCTTGCCCTTTGTTTTGACACCTTCCCTCCCAAAAACCTCCATTCACCGCGTCTCCCCATACCCCCCATCAACCCCACCCACTCTGGCCAATGTCCCCCCAGAAACCCGCCCATCCTGCCCCCTCCACACAAGCCCCATCCGCCCACCCCCGACGCGCTCCGACGCCAGACAGTGTCCGCCGAGGAACCGTGATCCTGCCTGTCTCTGCGAGGCTTGGGCTGGTGGAAAATGTAGGGAGCAGTCCGGATCCGTTGGCCGGGAGTGGGAGTGATTTGGATGATTGGAAAGGGGTGGATGGGGGTAAGAGGGGAGGGAGAGGGGAGACGCGTTTGGCGCGTGAGCTGGGGAAGGGCGATGGTGTTTCGAAGGGATTGGGAGGGTTTCAACAAGAGGTGTTGACAGATACAACGACTGGGGATGAGCTTGGAACGGAACCTTCATCTCAAGATACATTTGGCATATCTCTAAACGGGGTGGCATCACCACAAAAACAACAACCTCAATCCAACAACCTTCAAACCCCTTCCACGCCTTTGGCCACTGTGCCATCAGCTCTTGACGGTACTCCCACCCGCCAGTCACAACAGCCAAGAGGCCGGGGTGGAAAGTTTTTGAAGAAACCGCCAGGAGAGAAGAAGGCCAAGAATAGGACACCGAAAGTCAAAGTACAGGCTGCTCCCAAGCCTGTGGCTGTCCCTGCCACCGCAACTGGTGTGGGTGCAGGACAAGCGATCACGCCAGGTCCTTCCCGTCCTACTAGAGCTACTGCCGCTACCCAAACACCCAAAGGGACGCCAAGCGCGTCCGCGTCAAAGCCGCCACAAACCCCAACCACCCCCAGTACGCCTCTCGACCCGAAAGGCAAAGGCAAAGCCGTCGAGCGCCGGGTGCTCCCAGCACGTATCAGACGTGCGACAGGAGGGGGCGCGGAGGGTATGCGGGATGTGGAGGAGATGATTATTGATTGGGTACAGCGGTGGGGTGGGTCAACGAAGATGATGTGGGGTGAGAAGGGAAGAAGGCTGATGGGATTGTAGGCGAACCTGTGACGACACCGCCGGATGATATGCCTATACTGGTAACTACGATATCACTAGACCTACTCCAACCACCAGTCACGACCCTCTTCCCGTCAAACCCCAATGCGCCGACTATAACCCTCACCCCTTCACGCCCTTCCATCTCGAACCACCCCTTTCCCCCTGCCGACACTGCTTCCACAACAACAGGCATTGTCGACCATGGTGGTGAGCAGAGGTTAAAAAAGGAAGAGATGATCGAGACGCCGGAGTGGGTGATGGTCAAACCAGGCGACGATGATATGGAAGAAGCGCGCGAGGAGCTGGGAGGCGGTATCGGGAAAGCCAAGGTGCACACGAGCCCTGTCAAGAGGCTGAGAAAGGTGCATGATGAGCCGGAAGAAGATACTTCCGATGCGCATTATGCGGGGCTGCATCGCAAGTTTGAAGCTTTTGAGCGGCGGCAACGGTTGAGGGAGAAGGAGAAATTGCAGTTTGAACGGTACAAGATGGGTAACAGGATTGAGCTGCTGAAGCAGGTGGCGAAACCGTCTTGGGCTTCTATTGTCTCGACGATCTTGGCTAGAGGGACGTCAGAGTGGGATGCGGGGAGGAAGAAGGTGGAGAAGGAAGGGGAAGAGTGGTTGAGGGAGAGGTTAGTGAAGGAGGGGCGGGAGGTTATGAAGCGGTACGACGAACTTTTACCAGCCGAGTCGCGCAAGTAAGTGCAACCATTCCCAGGAAGGCCTTGTACTGATGAGAATTAGACAAAAAGGCGACCGCCACTCCTCACCCTCCCAAACGCCCGAACCATCCGTCCTGCCCGCACGCGTAGCCGCCCTCCGCGACCCCGCCTTTACATCATCCAAATCATCCAAGCGCAAACGCTCCTCTATTAGCCTATCCGCCGAAACAGCCAAAGAAGAAGAGACGCCCAAAAAGGCAGCAAAAGCTTCAAACGGACAGAGAAGGAGCCAGGTTTTTGAATCGGGGGAATACGAGGAGGTGACGCCGAGTCGACGGAAGAACTCGATTAAAACGCACCAACCACCCAATATCTCTGAACCCCCCGCCCTTTCTGTTCTTCCGACTGCCGAGCCGCTTTTTGTGCCCCCGCTTACGGCCTCTGGGATGCCTGTCCTAGTAGAAGCTGCCTCGCGTCGCGAGCTCGCTATCAAAGAGCAAGAGGAGAGCAAGTCTAGGTCCGGGGCACCGAGAGAGGGCAGGCTGATCAAGTATGAAAAGACGAGGATCAGTCGACGGTTGGACCTTGTCAGCCCGTTTGGGATGCCTGTTCCGGGGGTTGTAGAGTATAAATCGGAGGTACGTTTGATCGCGAACTGTGAGATGAGCTAGGCTGACTTGGATGCAGTTTACGTTGACGGACGAAGAGGACTTTTGGCCGATAATAGCAGAGAGAGAAGAAAAGGCCAATCAGCATCGGCGGCAAAGCCTTTTGAATACGCCTGGGACACCAGGTCCAGGGTTGGGTCTCATGGCAAGCTCGTCTGATACTACTGAGAGTGGAAGCAGTGGCGCAGGTGGGGGAAGCGCGCAATTGCAGATGAGTGGGATGGTTGGCCTTGTAGGAGTGGCAGACGCCAAGGTTGGAGATGCTGTTGTACTTTAGGGTTTGCGTCGTGTAACGGGATGTCGAACCATGTATGTTGGGATAGCTGCAACGAAAAGGAAAGAGGGTCAGATGATGTCATGCAGTGGATGGCGGTAGAAGTTGAGTGACGGGAGGGAGTGTTTCGTTACGTGTCCTCAAGTATGAAACTTTGCTTCCCTACCATCCTAGCGGCTGATATCAATCGCTCATTTAAACGATGGAGTCGCCATCTCCATTCGAGAGCCTCGTCTTGTTCGTCCGATCTATATCGTCGAAGAGTAGTTCAAGTTCAACCAGGAGTCTTTCAAGACCTGTCTACCGATACTCTACCATTCATATGCATTCATATTTGATATAAGTACTACCACGTTTATCCCACAGATATTCAATCCAGTTAGCATTGCATGCATAGCCACAAGCAGAAGATATCCACAGTTGAGGCAGTATTGTATGGGACAAACGCGATTGGACCGCGCGGGTGCCACGAATAAAACGCCGAGTATTGAGTTACGTAATTGCAATAATGGCTTCTTTCTGGTTGGTGGATGATTGAGGATAAGCACTCTTCCTCATCCACATCTCACCATGCGTTCGTTATCCCTCCTCAGACCAGGCTTCGCCCCCCTCCTCGCCCGCCCCATCGCCCCCCTCGCAGTCCGCCACATCTCCTCATCCCCCATCGCCCGCCTGGCCACCCCCTCCAACTACACCGGTCCGACCCACGTTCCCGCAGGACAGCCCAAATCCCCCAACCCCCTCGAGACCGGCACCGCCGATGCCGTCTCTGCCTCCCCCTACCCCGACTACTCGAAAGGACCATCAGCGCTCGACAAGGCGAGTCAGCTGTTGTTCTTGACCGAGATTGTCAGGGGTATGTGGATCGTGTTGGAGCAGTTCTTTAGACCGCCGTACACTATCATGTACCCGTTCGAGAAGGGGCCTTTGAGTGCACGATTCAGGGGTGAACACGCGCTGAGACGGTACCCTAATGGTGAAGAGAGGTGTATTGGTGAGTTCACCTCTTTGCTGTAGAGTGTAGGGCTAATGAGGATCAAGCGTGCAAGCTGTGTGAAGCCATTTGCCCGGCTCAGGCTATCACTATCGAATCTGAGGCTCGTGAGGATGGATCTAGGAGGACTACCCGATACGGTGAGCATGCTTCGATACACTGCGAGCCTCCACTGACAGTGATTCAGACATCGACATGACAAAGTGCATCTACTGTGGTTTCTGCCAAGAAGCTTGCCCTGTCGACGCCATCGTCGAGACTCAGAACCAAGAGTTCTCTACCGAGACCCGAGAAGAATTGTTGTACAATAAGGAGAAACTTTTGATGAACGGTGACCGAGCTGAGCCTGAGATCCAGGCCAACTTGCAATCTGAACACGTACGTTTATCAGATTTCCATGGGCTCTCCTACGGGTCCATCCCATCTGAGATCTGTGCTGACCCCTCTGCAGTTCTACCGATAGATTAATCAAACATACCCTGCATCAGCAGAATGTTTATGTAGCCCGTCACGGCCCGATGGAGCACGCCAGAAAGGAAACGATGCGCATGTGGAGGAGATGTGTACATGCAGATACCATGGATTTCACACCCAACCCGCTCGCTACTCATGACGTATCTCTACAGAATCATTACAACAATACATTTCAACAACTCTCAGAGATCACTCATCACCGACTTTCTCCCTATCAACATGCTGGACGATATCGGAGACGGGTGGACATGGGAAAACCGCCACCCCGCGGAGGGCCTGCGGAGGGCCTGCGGAGGCCCTTGGAGTCTCCTGACGGGGCAAATTTATGTGCAAACGCGGCAAGTGATCCTATAGGCTGGTGTCAACGGCGCCCAATGATATGACTTGTTTTCTCTCATTGGTGGACGGTCGACGCGACGCTTTCGAAAGTCCGGCACTCACCAATCCAGGAAAGACGGTTGGGGAGGTCGATTGTTCTGCGATACAGAGTTGCTGCCTGGATGATCATCAGAAACGTTTCTACTGCTTTGTGACCTGCTTACTTCTAACACTCTCAGCGTACACTCTTGTCTCCTTCATGACCGGTCGTCCCCTTCCTCCCTCAGTCAGATCCTTCCTCACCACCATTTCCCCCGGTATACCTACCTGAGGCAACCTGATCCAACCCGGAAACGCCTTCTTCAACTTGTTCCCACCCTCTTGCCTACCCGGCATCACGCGCGGATCGGCTTCAGAATAAGACGGCGGCGCGCCAGGAAATTTACCGACATTGGGACGACCTGTATTGGCTACTTGCCCGAGTCTTTGGGGCGATTCTGGAGGGCTGGAGTAGGCGGGGAGGGAGGGGAGGTTGGAGGAGATGGAGGAGCCGAGGGATTCGGCTTGTTTTTGGAGTTCGCCGAGGGAGGGGATGTTGGATAGGGCTCGGGGCGCTGCCCCGAGGGAGGAGGTCATGGAGAGGGTGGTTGGGATGTTGGGCATGGTGTCGTTTGCTGGGGTCAGTCGTGAGACGGAAGTGCCTTTCTACAAGTTGAAGAGTCTGGTGGGTGTTGAGATGAGATGGTTGCTGATCTCGACTTTACCTTGCGAGAGTCTCACGGCTTCCATTCGCTCTGTGAAACTATCGCAGCTCGAGCGAGGGTACTGACGAGAAAGGGTTGCAAGGGTTGATTTGGCTGTCACATGCTGGGAGCTCGATTCTTGAAAGGACGGAGATGTCAAAGGATGCAGCTATAGGGCAGCCGGCGTGCCGCGTTTCCTTCCTCGAGGGGCAGTCGATATTTATATTTGCTTTGGCGAGGGTACAATAATATATTTCCCTTGTGAGAAAAGCATTTCTGTAATGGTCTTCATGCATACGATGAACGGGACCAAAACAAAAGGATGGCGTTATCGATAACGACAATTTCAGGTCCCATCCAGTCGCTTTCAGCCGAAATCCGACTTGCGCAATCCATCATTCTCTGTCATTTTTGCATTTATAAAGCCTCACTCATCCCCACCCTCAGCCAAGGACCCAGTTCATCTTTCCGACAAATACCAAAAGAAACAACATGCCCCTTACAGAGACTACATATCCTCCACCCGACTCGGCCATCGACTCTTCTTCGTCGCCGGTCTTTCTCATCTTTTACTCGAACGTGGAGGGCGGGAGTATGTGGTGTCCCGTGAGTGTCTGAGATCCATACATGGTATAGAAGTGCTTCACGTGGAGCTGCCAAAGCTGATATGACCATCTATAGCATTGTAGAGACGTGCAGGGTGTTGTCAAAGCCGCATTCACTGGTGGCTCGAAACCTCGTATGTTTCTCCTGCTGCAATCTTCAATCTCTGAGCTGACGAGCATGCTTTGTAGGAGGAGTAGTCACATACGTGGGAAACTACACGCAGTACGTCCAACAGGCTAAAAGCAGTCCGATGTGCGGCTTACTAATATGACCTTGTCTGATCGCAGATGGAAGACCCCTTCGCACCCCGCTCGAGGCAAGTATGGCGTCAAGAGCGTACCTACGATCATCAAATTCCAGAACGTAAGCAACCTTGCATCACATGCTTCCCAACGCTTTGCTGATGAATGGACAGGGGAAAGAGACTGGTCGGGCGACAAAGGCAGATATCCTCGATTCTGGAAAGTTTGAAGCCTTCTTGGGCGTATAAGACATGTCAATATGATATCCATAATACTTCAAGAACCGATGTCCCAGACGCTAGCGACTATACAAGAATACAAGTCGACGATACGAAGACTAGTTGTCAATGGTGACGAGCCCATCCCCGCCCAAAGCGATCGCTACGTCAACACCAATGTTCTGGTATGGGGTGGTGCTGTAGTAGAGGTAGATCTGTGGGGAGACATCAGCTTGTTTCAAGGTAAGATTGGAGACACGTACACAGCTGACAGTGGCAATGTCTTGTGAGAGTGGGTGAATCAGCACACGCCATGCGCGAGGGGATGCGATCAGCGTGCGACTCACCATCAGGGTCAATGTCCCTCTTCTTCTCTGCGGCATCATCGCTCAAGCTGTCCGCCTCGAATGACTGGGAGATGAAGATAGGCTGGTCGGTCTGTCCGTGGTCGTGGGGAGCGTAGTACCTGGGGCAGAAGTCTTCAAAGCTATGCTTCTTGGTCAGCAGCCGGGCACGGGGATGGATAGAGGAGGGGGCATACTCTGCCTTGAACTGCTCCATGGTGGAGTTTGCGGGCTTGATGACCTTTGCGGTAGGGGGGAGGTCGGTGGCGTCTTGCCTGGTGCCGACGGAGGTGGGCAAGGCGGCGGCGGCGCCGAGGAGAGAGAGCAGGGTGAGGATGTTGACGAGCATTGCGTGAGGGTTGATCTGGTATGAGAGGAATGCGAGGTCCAGCTTTGTCCTTTATGTAGATGTTCGGGCAAAGCTTGGAGCCAGCTGACAAAGCAGCGTCAACGGGCAGAAGCAATATCGAGAGCGAAGGCAATGCAAAGGATGTCCCTGAAGAGGTATGCCCGATCATGCGAGTACATCATCTATGCGATGTTTGCTTGGCAAAGATGGACAGCATGGTCGCATATATTGTGGCGGTGAGATGGGCTGGAGAAGAGGCAAGATCACGATGCAAGTCACACGCTGTGCTGTACGGGCTGTCCTCTCGGATCAGATCGAAGTCAAACGCATGCGCGTCGGAAGCAACATCGTTCAAATTGGCGCGTCCATCGTCGCACATGTGTCACTGGGTCCCCGGCGCCTATAACACAATTCATGAAGGTCTACCACTCTTACCACACACCAACACTATCTCGTAATCTTCTGTCCATGCAAAGACGCACTCTTCACAATTTCGCCTTTCCCGCCACACCCTCACAAAGCTCCCTCATATCCCTCAACGCCTGTACAATATTGTGCTTGAACCTCTGCGTCGACGTCTTGTCACACGAAAACTTGGACTCGATCCCGAACTTGATCAGGTGTGGGCCCGCGAGGTCTTACACACAATCGTCAGCTGACACTCAGTCGCCAAAGGGCGCAGACGGAACTTACAGTTGATACCATACCCATCCGGCCAAGCCGCCCCAAACCCAGTCCCCATAAACTTTTTCCCAGCACTCAACCCCGACGTCGACAGCTTCCACTCCTGACTCTTCGCATACAGCTCATCTTCAAAGATCTGATGCGTCTCCCCAGCTCTCAGCTGCACTTTCAGCCCCATCAGATGCCGGTCATACCCTTTTCCGAAGGAGGCGTTCTTGGTGAGCGTGTTGTGGGTGGTGCATGCTTTGGAGAGGAGGGCGTAGCGCTCTTGGGGGGAGGAGGTGGGGGATGTCATGGAGAGGACGAAAGCGCGAGAGTCGGAGGAGAGGGAGCGGATGACGTCGGTGCGGCCGTGTAGCATTGTACGGGTCGAGGCGGTTTCGTAAGTAGCGGTGGGGTAGCCTTGGTCGAGGAACCAAGCGAGCTGGAGGGCTTGTTGGATGAATGCGTCGGGGGATTGCTTGGCTAGCAGAGAGGTGAGCTGGGGAATGGGAAGTTGGATGGGAGGAAGACGTACCAGACTTTTTGATCCATTCGGCAGCATATTCACCCCACCAGAGCTGGCTCGAATCAGAATTTTCGATCAGCTTGTTCGTCTTGCCTCTAACATCCTCAATCTGGCACAGCGTCTCATTATCAATCACCCAGTCATGCCTCTGCCAGCCCTCGGCCCCGGCCGTCGCGGGCGCATGCCCAAACTGCGACTCATCCACATCCTCCGCCAACGCATACTCCGCCGCAATACTCGGTATAAGCGCATCCACCGGCGAATGTTCCCCCATAATCCCTGCCCTACCATTCGTCTCCACCGCCACGCTCACGGCTTTGTCGAACCACCTATTGCTCCCGCCCCTGATGCCTGTAGCGTTATTGCGCATTTGGGCGTCGACGGAGGGTAGGCGAAGAGGATCGCTGGAAGGGGGTGGGACGGAGGGGAGGGTGTAGGGGTCGAGGGAGAGAGAGAGGAGGGAGGAGGAGAGGGAGTTGAATGTGGAGCGGTTGGAGGGAGAGAGGAGGATGAGGCGTTCGCGCGTCTAGGTTGATGTTAGCTTGCTCCGGGTATCATGTGAGAGACGCACCTTGGCCCAGTTGTCTCTTTCATCCCCAGTCAGAATCCCAACTTCTGGGGCAGCTTCTCCAGCATCTTTGCGTTTCTTGGCATCAGCTACAGCAGCTTTGAACCGGCTTTCAATCTCTGCCACAGGTAACGGTTCCGGAACACCGTCCGTGGAAGGGGCAAAGATGTCTACAGAGTAGTATTGGTTGTCAATGAGTAGGGAGACGTGGGTAGCCTTGGGTTGGGGGGTGGAGAAAGCGTCGCACTGCGGGAGTGGTACACGTGCCAAGTTGAACATGCTACGTTTCGTCAGCTCGACCCCTTTACAGAAAGTGAGACTGACTTGAGATACTGGCTCATGCAGAACGGTGTCCCATTCCTCGCAGCATCAGGCACCACCTCCTCTTTATGAAGTTTCGCCCTAAACTCTGCGAATCGCCGGGCCAGCCAAGCTGCTCGGCGGATCTGATGCGGGGTGATCCATTCTTCGCTCGTCACTTGATCGAATGCCACGGGAGGGTCGATAGAGTTGGATTGAATCCATTCAGCACCTCCGCCTTGACTGCCTTTCGCTGCATCTCCCAGAGGGTTCGGTTCGGGCAGACTGACAGTTGAGGAGTCGAGGGACTTGCCCCCAAGCGAGGTGACGGGCGGAACAGTGTCGGTAGGGTCTGGCGCAAAGCAGAGCCACCAATTAGAGTTGACTGGGAGGGGCGCTCGCCAGGTGTGGTACGCCAGAGCGAGCCAGAGTGTGTCGTTAAGCCAGTTATTTGGCGAGACATGATCCAGGTCTACGTCGACCCCAAGTTAGTCAAGAAGTCATGTGACAGCGGGATATACTCGCCTTTTAGACGCTCCTGGAGAGCTCTTCCCAGACCGTCTTTGCAAGCAAAGTCTTTGATATAGAGTTTGCGCTTCTCGAGCTCGTTAGGCAGAGCTGCTTTGCCATACTGGTCGGTATATGAGCGTGAAGTCGCGTCATCAGATCCACCACGCACCTTGTCTTCGAGCAGCGGCAATAAACTAGTGAGGTAGCCATCTAAGCTCTCTTGAAGATCTGGCACTGGCAGTCTGGGGAGCTTGTGCTGGTTTGCAAGTGTCTTTGCCTGGGCGTTCTGATGGGCTTGAGCAGCGAACATCCTGGTGCTGAGTCGGGGATTGCAGGTGGAGAGTCTGTTGATGGAGGTGAGTGGGCGATTCTTGAGTACGGATTTGAGGTACATGGCCGTCATAAGTAAGCGGGCATCTGTATAGCTGAGTTGTGATGGGAATTGAAAAGATAGTTGAGATATATAGATGTTGGTGGTGGATGCTTGACTTGTCGCTTATTGCGCATCCGGGGGCGGGGGGGGCCGCTATGTGGGGGGAGCGTTATTCCGCCGGCGGCCAGGGTTCCCTTGTTTCAACGTGCACCGTAATCTATAGTCCATCGCAATCCTATATCCAGTTCAAAGTGCCCCTGCTTGCCCTCAAGAACTACCCCCGGACGAATCATTAGTCTTACTTCTAGACCAAGGCTGCAACAACAACGACCATGTCGGACGCCGCCCTCGTGCAGCTCCTCGACATGGGCATTCCCCTCGGAAGGGCGAGGGCCGCGCTCAAACGCACCAAGGGCGATAGCATGAGTGCTGCTGTGCGTCAAGCCATCTATGAAGTATATGATAGAATGCTAACAATGCATAGGAACGAGTGTTCGCAGGAGAGTTTGACGAGATACCATCTGACGACGAGGGAGATGCGGAAGCGAATGCCTCGGGTTCCGCTCAGAAGGTATGATCAAGTCCAAGTCAAGTCTGTCTTCTCTGACTGTATGCAGATCACTGAGCAAGTCAAACAGGTCGTCACAATAAGCGACTCGGACGAGGACATGGTGGAAGACGATGAAGATGCCGAGATCTCTTATGGCGAGGAAGATGACGACGGCTATGATGATATGGACGATGGGTTTGGATATGATGGTGAGCTTCATCTACCCATCCCTTATCTGTTAGACTGACAACATCCAGGTATGTCGGACGACGAGCCGCATGCTTCGGACCCTTATGCCGGCATCTTCTTCTCAAAGGACCGAGTAGAAGAGGTTATCGAACCGATTGACGACGACGAGTTCAAGACTGTCCCTACGCCGAGCGGAAACACCAAGATCAAGATTCTGGGGCGAGGAGCGTGGATGAGTGGCTGTCCTGAAGGAGGTGAGCTTTGGGAGACGCTAGTTCTGTCTTGGGACTGACGCGAAGATGTATAGGCGAACAGAGCTTCCTCTTTCAGCTGTATAACACTCTAGAAGAAGGCCAAATGGCATGTTCCAACAATTGTGGCCATTCCTTCACCCGGAAGAATCAAGACTTTTTCGGTCTCTTCGTATGTCACTCTCCCCTCGACATACCGTGCTGACTCTCCATAGCCAACTTTCCCAAAATACACCGAATACCTCGCCAACATCATCCGTCCCAAATGCCCCAAATGTGCCCAAATCACCTGCCTCGCATGCGCCGAGCGAGTCAACCGTCCATCTGCCCTTCGATCCCACTCTCTCGACTCTGTCAAAGGCAAAGGCCGATCTTCCGCCACCCCTTCTACTACCGCTGAGAGCTTTGCCCCGGCCGAGTCTCTTTTCCACTGTGCCAACCTGCAAGGTGCCGTCCTCGGCATCGGCCTGCACATGATTGACCAAAACTTTACAACTGGAAAAGACCAAACTCGGAAAGCCGCTCTAGCCGGTGGGAAGGTGACTCCGCCTACCAAGAAGAGAAAGACTGGTAGCGCAGGGGAAGATGCCGATGCTGCGGACACGACTTTTCAGCTTCTTGGGAAGGGCAAGTCGGCTGTGAAAGGGACTGGATATGCTGGAGAACTTGCAGAAGACAGGACGGGGCAGATTGCAGCTGAAAAGGCTCAAGCCGCCGCCGACGCTCTTGTCGCTTCTCTCCTGCAACAAGTATCCGTCTTTCTTCCGAACCCTAATCGAGCAGGTGGCGGTCTTACATCAGACCATCACGTCCACCCAACTGTACTCGCCCACCTCCGACGCCGGAGCACGTTTGTGAACGACCTGCTTCGTAATGACTCTCTCCTCGATATGAGCAAGCGCGGCGATCTTTACCGCGCCCTCTTCGACTGGCTCGAGATTGTCAGCGATAACGAAAGTCTGTCGAGTATGCTCGGTATGCCCTCCATGCGGCCCGCTCGATCAGTCCAAACGCCCAATGACCCCACTTCTTCAACAATCACCTACGAAGGCGCGCCTTCACCTCGGGAACTGCTAGAGAATGTTGTGATTCAGGCGCAAGCGGCTTTGAGGGGTTTGCAGGGTGTTCAGTCGGCGGATGAAGAGGAGAAGGATAGGAAGTTGACGGAGGAAGAGTTGAGGGCGAGTAAGGCGGAGGTGGATAGGTTGGCGCAGAAGAAGGTGGAGCAGGAGAAGAATGATGAGAACAGTGTGCTCAAGGCTTTCTGGTGCGTGATCACTCGTAGCCGTGACGCAGTGAAGTTGACATGGTGATAGTTTGCGGATCGTCAAGAGCGCGGAAACGATCGACAAGCGGCTGGTTGATACCAAGGGCAAAGCGTTTGTAGAACGGATGAAGGCGCAATTGCCGAGGATCGAAGAAGGCGGCAACGTCGAGGAAGCTGTCGCAGCGGAGGATGAAACGGACGAAAACATCATCAAGATCTGTGAGTCCATCCTGCGTATATCGGAGTTTATGGCTCATGAGTGTACAGACGAGGAATGGGCCACAAAAGCAAGATTCCAGTACATCGACCTCAGCACCGGCAGCACTACCGTCGGGGCACCGGCTTTCAAACATGCGTATAGCGCATCCGCCTCCGGCATTGAAAACAACGTACGTACTGCAGCGTGACTCGTTATCAACCTGCTGACGGGCTTCTGCAGAGCGCCCCCAAACGGTCTCTTGCTATCGCCAAAGAGCTGGCCATCCTCACGACCAACCTTCCCGTCGCTTACCATTCCACCATCTTTCTGCGCGTGGACGAAACCCGGGTCGATGTGCTCAAAGCCATGATCACTGGTCCCGAGGGGACACCATACGAAAACGGGTGTTATCTCTTTGACATCTTCTTGCCACTAGAGTACAACGTGAAAAGTCCGATGGTCAAGTATATGACGACGAATGGAGGTAGATTTAGGTATAACCCGAATTTGTACTCGGATGGCGTAAGTGGCACCCTTCTTATTCCTTCATGTATGCTGACGGGAGCGAGTAGAAAGTCTGTCTGAGTTTACTCGGTACTTGGGCGGGTCCAGGATGGATTGCCGGTCAATCGACCCTTCTTCAAGTTCTCATCTCGATACAAAGTCTGATTCTCTGCGACGAACCGTATTGCAACGAGCCTGGCTGGGCGAATGATGGTGGTGTACGTTTATCGTTTGTGTCGGGTCTTCTTGATTAGCTGATACCCGAGACAGAGTCCGCAAAGCAAAGCTTACAATGCAAATGTGAGACGGATGGTCCTTCTTGATGCCATGGCCAACAATATGAAAAAACCTCCTCATCCTTGTACGTATATCTTGGAATACTTTGTAGAACTGTACTGACTTTGTTGCCAGTCGAGAATGAAATCAAGACTCATTTCAGACTGAAAGCCAAGACTATCCGTCAACAAATTGGAAAGTACGTTGTATTACAGCTTCTTCAATGCCGGGACCTCCGCTGACGATTGACCCAGATGGAGAGCGCTGGACGACAAGCAAGAAATCCTCGGCGACAACTGGCGCGACAAGAACGACCCTGAAAACACCAACCCCGAATCCAAACGAGGCTTTGCGCACTGTGCTAGGGAAGTCTTGAGGCTGTTGGATGAGCTTGAAGGGAAGCCCCCCGGAGAATACGCGGTCGAACCTAGTGGGGAAGGGAGTGGTGGGAAGGCGGGCGGGGCGAAAGAGAAGAAGGAGAAGAAGACGGTGTCAAAGCTGAAAGCTGCTATAGGGAAGAGCAAATAGAGGTGCTCGGGGGGTGCTGCTATCTGAGGTGATCTCATGTATTAATTATATGCACATCGTTTGTTGACGCCAGCGCCGTTGACAGCATTCGATGAAGAGCGTGCTGATAAGGCCAGTGGTCCTGATTGTCAAGAATTTGACCAGTACTCGCAACAAGGTATATATGCTGGGTGTATAATATATCTATGTCTACATCCCTCAAGGAAAGAACTGTTACCAATTCTAAACATCCGGCATCTCTCTCAACACCAATCTCTCAAAGTCCTTCTCCCTCCACCCGTCCTCTTCAAGCGCGGCAAACAGCTGCCCCTCATTCAACCCAAACGACGTCAATGTCCCATCCACGCCTTCACTCCATACCTCGCCTCTCAGCCTCGCCCTTTCCTTCTCCCGCCGCATAATCGCCAATGAAGCAGGATTATGCCCCTCCAAAACCGAGAGCACCTCCCCTTTATCAGGGTAATACAATCTCGGCTCCAAAAACCCAAAGATCGCCAACGCCGCTCTAAAGACATATCCTTCTCCATCCAGAAAGACTTGATCCCAGACCCTACAGCTCGCTTCGAACCCGAGCTGCTCCACGAGCAAACTCTGGAACCAACTTTGCGGTACACCGACGCCGAGGGACTTGCAGTTTGCGTAGATCTTCGGATATCGATCGGCTTGGAGGTTTTCGAGGACGCGGTAGTAGGCTGCGATCTCGGAAGGGAGGGGGGTGAAGAAGGCGCGGAGGACGGGGCCTGCAAGGATGTTGAGTAGGGTATGGAAAGCTGTGGCGGGTGGAGAAACGAGGAGGAGGATACCAGCAATGAGGGTGATGTATGGTGCCTATGTATCGTCAGCGATGTCTCAGCTTGAGTATTGCAGACTTACATATCCCAGACCCTCGTCGCTTCTGTATACCAGCCAGGCGCAGACCAACTCTTTCAAATCATCTCTCAAAGGACTGCCTCGGTAAAAGACGTTGAGAGTGACGAGTGTGTTGTCGAGATCTCTTTCTATTGTTTCCAGCAGGTCCGCGGGGAAGCGCGCGTTGGCCAGACCCTTCCGAGCTCGGCTCACGTAGGGTTTGTACACGTCTGGAATGCGGTCAGCCGGGCACGATCCGTAGCGATGATACTTACCCTTGGACAGTGCAAGAGGATTTCCAACCGCCAAACTCCACGCTCTACCCCTCAGATGACTCGGTATTCCTTCAAACCACAATCTTCTCATTTCTGGGTCATTTCTAACCCTCTGCGCCGAAAAGTCTTTCTCATCCAGCAGTTTCTCCCATTTCGGCGCTTCCGCCGCCAACCTCTTTTCCTTCTCTAGCTTCTGCTTCTCATGCTGCTTCGCTACAATCTTCTCGTGCTCCCTCGCATGTTTCATCATATCCTCCCATTGATGCAGATGCCCCACATCTTCCGTCTTGTCTTTTGGTGGTAGCCACGCGGGCCTGGTATGCGAGATGACCTTCTCAAATGTGCTTGAGCCTTTGACACCCAGAGCGGGCATCGCTTGTGGCTGTGATGTGGAGGTAGATGCCTGGGAGACGTGGGTCGCGTTTGAAGCGGTAGACATGGCTGATAATCGCTTCGGGTTTGGAGGGGGAGGAGAGGTAGGGATCGGCCATGGGAAGGGATGGGGAGGTGGAGCAGCTCGACGAGGGGCAGGGGTAGGGGTAGAGGCAGACGTTTTTGCGCTGTCTGGAGGTTCATCCCCGTCTTCTTGGGGAACATCCCCCGCACTCTTCGCCCTTTGGACTTCTAATGGAGGAGGGGGTAAAGGCGGATGTTCTGGTAGTTGACCATGTGCCACTCTCTCTCCGTTTGATATCCCAAATCCACCCCATGACCGCCGCTTATCTGGGGTGTTTTGCGGAGATAGTTTGTCGCGGGGCGAGGAGGGCAGAGGCGCAGCAGGCGCGGTAGGAGCGGGAGGGGTCGTGCTCAGGGGTATAGATTCGAAAGGTGCCGAAAGATCCCCATCTCCCTCCTCGAGCTGGTCCGGATGTGACTGGAAAGGTGTCTGGTCTTCCAGTGATGCAGAAGACGAATATTCTCTAAAAGCGAGAGTATGCGAGGGTGCCGAGCGGGGTGGAGACAGGGCCAAGCTCAAACTCGACGTGGATCCTGGAAGAGGAACTCTTGTTGGGGATGCTGGTAGCTCCAAGTCCTCTCTGCTATCTTCTCCGCCGTGCCCATTTGAAAGGTTAAATGACCGATAGCTTGGCGAAGGTGAACGCGTCAGGACGCGACTGAGCCGAGGATCGCTGTTGTGATGCGTAGAGCTGAGCGATAGAGGGGAGAGGGGATGAGGACCTTTGGGTTTTGGAGGTGTTTCGGGTGGTACTGAAGGGAGGCCACCGCCGATGTCTCCATCTTCATCCGCCAGTTCAGGACGATACTGGGCGGGGTGCGGGTGCTCTAGTGATGTGCTGGACGCGTCTTTCGCCAGCGAGAGTGCGTCGGGTTTTTCTGTGGGTGGTGGAGAGAGGGTGAAGCTGAGATCCGAGTTTGAGCTCGAGATGGGGATCTTTGTTGGGGAGACTGGCAGCTCGGCGCCGATGTCCCGTGCGTCGTCCGGTGGGGGTGTGGGAGACACAGGAGGGGACTCGAGTGAGAGATCCTCGAAGGTCTCTTGTGGAGTAGCTGGGGACATGGGGACTTGAGGACAGCGCAGTGGACAGACAACTGCAAGAGGTAACGAGAGGGCGGCCATCACCGCTTTGCTCAATTGAATGAACAGTCTCACAATGCTATGCTGCTGCATCGCTAAGGAAAGAGTGCGATGACAGACAACCACCTAGTGCAGCTTTAGAGATGTCAGTAATGGAATACAGGGTAAGATATGGCTCAAGACTACGGGTCTTTGTCAAAGCAATGGGCGAACTAGGCTGTTGGCGAAATGTCGACTGACATCATCATCATGGTCTTCACTTCTTGACTGCTTACTGGATATATTTGGACTGACTATTGGATCTCAGAAGCCATTACCCACCATAGAGCTGCATGTATCACTCATCCTCACTACTTTCTGAATCTGTACTGTCAACAAAATAGTCGTAGTGCGGAGCTAGCGCAAGATTACGGAACGTCTGCAGCTCCTTCGTGACCTTGTTCACGACCTCATCTCGCAGAGCTTCAGCGGCATTGGGGAAAGCACTTTCTACAGCATCACCTAGATCTGGGTACTTTTCGGTCTCGTTCTTCATCACACTTGAGCGCGCCAACTCGAGCCACTGGGCTTCAGTAACTCCGTCATGTCCTCGCCCAACCATCAAGTCTAAAGTTTGCTGTTTGTCACCGGCTTCGGTGGGGATCTCAATGTTCCAGGTGGCATCGTCATCACACCTGTAGCGCGAGGTTAAGCCATCGGCGGCAGTAGCGATGTTTTGCCATCCGTCTTCTCCACCGGCTAGATGGGCTTTGTAGGGCTTGTTGGATGGCGGCGGTTCAAAACAAGAGCCATCCAAAGTGGGATTCGGGACACTTATAAAGGCAGGTGGTTGTTCATCCTCGTCGGACGAGGAGTCATCTGAGGAGGAGACGGTAGCCCAGCTTCTTACGCTTGCTGTCATGTTTGATGTTGATGTACTGTCGGCACCGAGATAGTCTGACGAGAATTGTACGTATCACTCATCCAAGGAAAGCTCAGAGAGGCGAAATTGTGTCTGGTATATATTAGTCAACTCTCACCAACGACCTGGCTAAGATAAGCGCGGTATTGGCAGGAATAAAAGGATAGATACATCTGGTGTCTATGGACGGGGGGTGATGGGTCATGAAGGGAGTATATCAAGGGAGCTGAACACGCAAATGAGACGGCGACCGTGATAGGTTCCGGCTGACAATCAAATGTCCCAAAAGAACCATCGTTTGGGGCAGTCAAGTCCCCTTGTGGTACCATATTAGGAAAGTATCTCTCAACATCTAGGGGAACAATGAGCGAGATGCTGATGTCTTCTCAGTCAACAAGGGAGTAAGAAGCTCTGTATCTGGTCCAAATGGAGCTGATGGCACTCTGAGCGATGTCGCGCCACAGTAGCAGCATAGAAAAATCATCCAGAAGGAGGCAGAGCCAAAATAGTTATGAAGTTTTGCATAGAAGACCTCAAGCACAAAACAAGAAGACGGATTGTCTGCGGAGACTCTAAAAGAAACTACTTGATCATATTCGCTGTCTACAAAGTTTCAAAATTATGCTATATACAAAAGTGCACTATGTAGACACGACAGACAACTTTCCCTGCCCCCCTTCGTCCCACTACAGCCTCTCGGCACCCTTCATTCTCTTGACTCTCCCTTCTTCGCCTCCATCACGATCCCTCTTCATCCCCGCCCCAGCGCCAAACAGCAAACCTCTCCTCACAGGCAGTTCCTCCTCCTCCTCCCCTCGTTTCCCAAGTTCTGCCAGCTTCGCCCCTGCCGACTTTAGCGGCTTGAACGGCTCATCATCATCACTCTCCTCCTCTTCCCCCTCTGCATCCTGCTCGAGCTCCTCGTCCGTGAATGCCGAGCTTCCACCACCAAAATTTGGGCTATCCCTGGTCACGTTGCCGAATCGCCTGGCTGTGGAGGTAGTCGGTGTCAAGAGAGAGGCGGATGTGGAATATGAGAGTAGGCGCTTAGAAGGCCCTGGTGAGGGTGTACGAGCCCCACGCCGGCGAATCTCCTGCACATTGATCCTCTTACCCGATTCTTTCGGCCCCTCTGGCCAAAGGAGCCGCGGCTTCGGCAGAGGATGGGGCTCAAACTCTTCATCTTCTGGCTGCAGATCCGCCTGAGGGAACGGTGCTGAAGAGTGGTAGAGAGGGTTGGCAAACACGCGTTTGGCGCCGCGAAAGATGTAGGTGATCGTGGCTTGGTCTTCGTCGACGCTCGGGCCTGGACGGCGGCGGGCGGGCTCGGACGGGCCTTCGAGGAAAGGGTTGTGTTCGGGGTCGAGCATGTCGAGAGGGATAGATTGGCGGGCATGTTTGGATGATGAGGCCTGCTCGGCACGGGTGCGGACAGTCTGGGAAGAGGGGTCGGATATGCGTGGAGCATGTTTGGTGGGTGGGGGAGAGAGAAGACCGGTGGCTGGAGATTGTAGAGAGAGGCGGGAAGGTGCAGGTGCATCATCCGCATCCGAATGTGAATCCTCGTCGTCGCTTCGGCGTTGTATCGCACCAGGCGATGCCAAACCCATCGCCGCTCCCATTGAGGCACGTTTGGCGGGTGGCGCATCCGACGAGACCAAAAACGGATTCTCCTCCTCCTTTACCGCCTTCAGCGCCCCTTTCGCATGTCCCAATCTATGCCCACCCATCCCTACACCGACTCCTCTTGAATCGACCAACCCCATCTGCTGCGCAAACATCAGACCCGGCCGGCGCCGTGACGTCTTTTCAGGGCGGGTGGCTGTTTGGTAGGTTGAAGGATCGGATGTGGCTTGATTCGAGGGAGAGGTATGGTGCGAATCGGCAGCCAAATTTGGGGATGGCGCGCGGCGAATATGGCGCTGCGTCTGAGGTGTAGGGGGGTGGGCGGGTTGGGATGCAAGTTTTGACTTGTGCGGCCTGCGTACAGTCTCTGGTGTGGGAAGCGGGTTGTAATACGCAGGTCTATACCGAGTAAGCATGCATCCCTTCCGCGCCGACACTGCCACATACGATGCGATCACATCGACGTTTCTTCCTCTTCTCCTCTTTGCGCGATGCTCATCGCCAGAGTGTCTGAAACCGGTCCTGCCGGGGTTGCCCATCCAGGGGGGAGACTCCATGGTGTCTGTTGATGCTGAATTCGAGGCTGGAGGAGGGGGATCGAAGGGGCACCAGTACCCGGGTGTGCGATGGGGGAGAATGCAGAAATGTGGGAAAGAAAGAGGGGAAAGAAAGAGAGGAATGGCGCATCCGATGGGACAAGTCACACGCGGACGCTTACGTAAATAAATGACAGACACAGAAAGTGGTTTCCTTTTGTTTGGCTCTGCGCCTATCACCTCTGACTTTTTTGGAATCGTGTCAAAACACCTTGGCTATTATGCGCAAGTAGCATATATATACTTCCATCAATACGACTTCACATCATCTTCGCTATGGGCAACATATCGTCTGCTTTGGATCCGTCTGGCAGCAAGGGTGTACGTATCCGTTCTTCTGCGCAAAGACAGCGCTCATAAAAATCAGGTTATATCTGTCCCGGACGGATACACTGCGCCGCAATGGCCATCGCTTTACATTCCAACACTAGACTCCACAACTGATCAGCGCGGTATCTTTCTCTATGAGGCTGAGGGCAAGTCGTCTATCGCTTGCAGCAGGCATTACACTGACTCCGTCCGCAGCCATCTGGAGGTTTACACTGTACTGGACACTTTCTCTCCTGTGTTCACTGTTTCTACTTTGCTCAACCCTCGCATCCTTCACACTCCTCCTCTCCCTCACAGTCTTTCGCCCATCCTCTTCAAAATCGCTGAATCCTCCCCCGAGCGACAACCCCGCCCAGCCAGCCGAAGCCAAACTACCTTCCTCTTCCTCGACAACGTCTGACAATCCGGTATCAGATTCCAACAGCGCTACGCCACTACGCTCAAGCGACTCTGCCCATCCTGCACCGCCCAGACCCAAGATACTTGAAAGGGCAAAGGGAAAGAGGCCTCCTCTATGGCCAGTCCTGATTCTGCCACTGGTAGCCACTGCCTTGGCAGCGGGGGTGGCGCTTGTCACGGGGACGGTAGTAGGCTTTGCATTGGCGGCGGTATACTCGGCCGCGGGATTCAGCATGTCGACGTGAGTGGAGTCTTACTGTCAATTGTCAATGCGCTAATGCGAACCGACAGCTGGGTACCATTCTTGTGGGCCCTGGTCATAGCTCTGGTTATCATCATATCGTACGTCAACATCAGTATCATGCTGTACAGCGCAAGACGTGACTGACCTTGACAACAGGAGCTACTCGACCCTCACCTCCATCCTCTAGACGCGAAGCGACAAATCAGTCTCGAATCTCCTTCTGTTGTACAGTACGATCTATGCATGTTCTATTAGTATGTCACTACCGAGCGGCTCTCGAGATACTAAGCACCGTAGCTCTTTCTCGAATCGACAACCCTCCCAGACATATAAAGTACGTCAACCTGTCGTCAACGACGGTCGCCACGCCCCCTCCATCACCGAACGCGTCGCATAGCCGACCAAATGACATAGCTCCTCATCCACAACGACCGCTCTTCACAGCTCGCGCGTCCCCCCAGCTTCTCCCTATGCTGTCACCCATAGCACGGCTGTGCCCGATGGTCAAGCTAGACGACAAATTTAATATACCGTCGCTTGACCACCACGACGTTCCTTCCCCGCCTCTCCGAAAATCCTCATAAGGTGTTTTAGCAAGGGTCCGCAACTCTTCTTGTCTTTCCCATTTCTTTCGATTTCGCTCTTTTTGATTCACTCCCCTCATTCCCTTAATCCACCCTTCCTCCCTGCTGCTGGTCAGTCTCCCCCCGGCCTGGCGCCTTATTCAAATAGAAGAAACTGGTTTTCGACACCTTCAACTTCCACAGGACAATTAATCACAACCAACCGAGCAGGCTCTCGGTCCTTCACACCACCTTATATTACCGTCACTACCGGTGCAGCGCACCTATTACCACTCGCAAGAACAAGGACCATCAGAAGGAGGGCAGATATGGGAGCTTTGATCTGGCATGTTTGGGGAAGGTTGTTGGGCTTGACTGCGGGAGTCTATATCGTCTGGGGTCCGTCTTCTCCCTCTGCCCATGCTATCGCCTACTGACACTCAGTCAGCTTCCTTCTGGGCATTCTTGTTTCGAAAATTCTTCTGGGATATGATGTATGTGCCTCTTCGTACCTACCATGGCCTCTCCCGGAAAGTTCCGAACGCTGACGGTCGTTCGGGTCGTAGTGGTGGCACGTTGGGTCATGCTGGTATCATGTACGTCCCCTCATAGTGTATGTAAAGCTCAACGCTGACTCTTGCGACAGTCCGGGCAAGAATACCGAGCCCCTGGTCAACCTCGTGGTCAACATTCCTCTTCTTCAATCGTTCTCGCTCGTCTTGGGCATCTTTGCTTTGGTTCTGGAGTATCCGCTGCCCTTAGTATGTCCTCCCATGAGGTCTGTATATTTGCAGCTGACATTGTCGATAGATCGAGGGCACAGCAATCCACCGATCATTCATCCTCCGCGCCGTACTCTACTTTCTCACCGGATTTGTAGGCATCATGGTCTACCAGGTACGCGCACCTCACATGATACAAGTCTTGAGCTGACCGCTGGTCGCAGTGTGTGGATCCAGCAGTGTATTTTGTAATAGTCTCGGGCGTATACGTGATGGCCATGTCCAAGGGCGAGCAAATCGGCTCCGGGCCTGGCGGTGATGATAGAGGCAAAGTATGATGGCCTGCCTACCTCATTCGGTCGTTTCCATCTGGCCTCTTATGTACTTCCGGCGCGGTCGTACGGGTCACTGGTATCGCATACATGACTGTACAATTGACAAGAAGTAAACCTTTGTGACATCATGCATGACGTCGAGATGAAGATCATTAGACTAGAAGATACATGTCTCCATTGGCTATGATGTACACAGTCACGCCGCCGCTTCGCCAGAGCCCCCAGCGCCATCCTTCGTCTCATCTTTGACAGCCTCCTTACTCTTTGCAGCTTCCTCCTTCCTCTTCTTGATCTTTGTCACTGCACATCTGTCAACTCTGGCCTCGAACCGTAGCACGATCACAACTCACTTTCTCTCGAAACGACATTATTGTTACTGTACCCTTCCGGGAAACAATCTACAACCTTCTTATACAACCTCAACCTGATCGACTGCTCGGTCCATTCCTTGCCCTGTTTGTGGTTGGCGATATTCCAATCCGCTCTGTCACCCAATCAGCCTTCTGCTCTTACCCTTCTCATAACGTAAAAAGGGGGAGAGAGGAGACGTACCCGATCTTGACCATATCAGCCATGTCCATCACATTCTCAATCAACTGCCAATAAACCTCCCTCATCTCCCCCGTCCACAAGAAACGCTTCGCAGGCTCAGCCGGGCGCACGTCGTGTTTCTCCTTGTTCTCAACGGATGAAGAAGGGGCGTTTGTAGGGGTTGCGGTGGATGACAGGGCGGGGGATTCTTGGGGTGATGAGGGAGGGGGCGGTGACTACGTTGAGCCATGTCAACGACCATCTCTACAAATCCTCACGATAGGTACTCACAAGTGCGCTCCCTTCCTTAGCCTGCGTCGCATGCTGATGCTTGGCATCCCACCCCGCCATCTCCTGCTCCCACTCCGCCCTGCTCGCCTCATACTTTTCGATCCACTCATTCGCATCTTTATCCACGATACTTCTAAACTGCCGGAGCCCTTCGTCTTCGCAGTCTTGCATCCATTGGAGGTAGTCGTGATATGTCAGTTTGACTGCTAGTTTCTGTATACAGGGGTTAGTTACAAGTCTCGGTGATATGGGAGAGACGTACTGTCAGAGTGAAGAGGTTGTAAGGGAAAACACTGGTCAAGCTTATGAAGAAGCTCTGGTCGCCTCTTCTTGCAGGATTGTTTGTCGTGCTGATCCCGGTGAAAACGTCATTCTGGTACGCGATCTGGCACGCCTTTTGCAGCTCAGGTTTCAGGTGGTCTGGGAATTTGCCACGATTGGTGTGATCCCAGTCGTCTACAAGTCGTTCATCAGACGGGGTTCAAAAGGGGAGAAGAGGATGACTGACGTTGGAGGGATTTGAGGCGGAGGGCCATTAAGACTTGAGCAACTGGCTCGGGGAGAGAGGTATATGGCGGGAGATACTGCGCTCTGATCAGCCCCCCTCCCTTCCATCTGACCCGGATCACTCACTTGATCTTCGCGCGAGGCATTCCTGAACATGACACGATCAACAGGCGGTTGATCCTCCGCTCTGACAACAGGCGTCGACTCCAATTGGCCATTTTGCGACTCTTTCCTCTGCGCAGCCAGCGCGCTCGACAACGACGGCCTCGCTTCCGACCCACCCCCAAGCCCGGGTGTAGTCTTTGCTTTCGCCTGCGTAGACTTGTGCTGCGCCGACTTGGGCTTCCCATTAGCCTGGCGCTTCTTCCCCGGGGATTCCTCCATGAGCTCGAGTTGGCCGGCATGGACGAAAAAGCCTTCCTTTTTGGGCCGCTGGTAGTGGGTGGGGGCGTCGATGAGAATGTCGGCATCGTCGATGAAGGGGTCTTCGAGGTCATAGTCTGTTGGTCTCTTCTGCAGAGTATGTTAGTGCCAGAGGCATGATGAAGATGGGGCACGCACCTTCTTCTTGGTCTTCTTCTTCTCGCCATACTTTTCTTCCAGCCTACGCGCAATTTCCTCAGGATCATCATCCCCCCCACCAAAGATCGCCACCGGCGCCGGCGCCGCCGACAAAGGCCCCGCTACCCCCTCTCCCTGCCCATCCACATCCATCCCATCTCCTAGTGGTACATCCCCCGTCACCTCCACCGCAGGAATCTTCACCCCCGCCGGTAGGTCTTCCAACACCCCTACGCCCCAGGCGATACAGAGCCCCTTCTCCCGCGCTTCATCGAGGATATTCCATTCGAGCGTCTCCCCGGGGGGAAGCATAGTCCTCTCCAAGCGGATGGTCTTCATAGGAGGCGGGGGCGGGGCGAAATCATCATCATCATCCGGCGTGCGCAGGCGAGCGCGTTTCTTCTTTTTGGGTACGAGTACGTTGGCTTCGCCTTCTACAGCAGTGGCAATGGGAACGTCGGTGTCGGCGGGGTTAGTGGTTGTCGTAGGGGGCGCTTCGAAAGTAGGCTGGGCGCCTGGGGATTGGGGTTCGGCTTTGATAGCCGGGGGGAGTGATAATGGACGGGGTGGTCCGTTGGGACCATCTATGGCGATAATTTCCTGTCACAACGTAAGCGCATGTACGAAAGATTAGTCTGAAGACATACCGGAGACTCTTCCAAATCCTCACTCTCGTCCCCATCACTCTCCTCATCTTCCTCGTCTTCGTCCTCTTCCTCTTCAGAGTCTTCTCCATCCTCCCCGTCCTCGCCCTCGACATCAATCTCTCCTTCATCATTTTCATTTTCTTCTTCCTCGTGGTCTCCACCGTCGTCATCGGCTTCTCCAGCTGGGATCTCGGGTGTCTGATCCACGTCTTCGGCCGGAGTCATATCGATATCTGCCGACGAATTCGGCGCGACTTGAACAGGGGTCACAGTCGGCTGAGGCGGGGGAGTATTTGGTTTGGCATTGGTAGGCGTCTTGTCTCCAGCCTCATCGTTCACGCCGGGTCCGGCATCTATATCAATGATGGTCTGATCGGTGGTCACTGGAGCGACTACCTCGAGCGGCGTTGACGGTGTCTTGTCCGGCGTCGCGAGCAGTGTCTGTGGTGGCTGCACCGGGGATTGTTGGGGCTGTGGCTGCGGTGGTGGCGATGACTGACTCATTTCACCGCTGTCCCAAGAAAAAGAAACGAACTGAAAGAGAGGAATAGGAATCCCCCCCGTTCATAATAACAATCCCTGTTACGTAACCACTTTTAGGCTGTGCTTGTCCCGCCCTATTTCCTCAAATGAATGTCTTTCTTCTCTTGTTCTTCTCTGTTTCTCTTCTCCCCATCCCCATGTCCCGCCTCGCCCTCCTCGCCCTCGCCTCCCTCGCCGCCGTCGCATCCGCAGCCAAGTCCGGCTGGGGAGAAGCCTGCTCGTCAGTCTCACTGGCACCCGCACTAGACCCTTCGCACTAACGCGTACCAAACAGTCAAGCCAACACCCATCTCGACCAGGCCAACTACCAGCTCGTCACCGACTGTGACGCCAACACCTACTGCAACAGCAACAACACTTGCGCGTGGAGAGGATGCAGGAGGAATACCGTTGGTTTTTGGCCATGCTGGGCAGGGTGTGAACGAGCTGATGTGCGTAATGGTAGTATCCTTATGGCTACAACGACTATTCTTTCGACCAACTACCGCCTTTGTGTCCTACTGGAGAATTGTATGCGGTTTTGTGTCGGTGTAGAGGACAAAACTGATTTTACGGCAGCTGCCCTGACGAGTCTGACCATTGTTTGACCCAAGTCCCTGTTGGAAGCAGTTGTCAGAAGGACCGAGATGGTGGGGATGGTCATTATCAAGTGGATTGCGCTGACTGGTTGCAGACGAGTGTGCCCAACCAGACAACTGGAACGACCTTGCCGGCGACCTCAACACCAACGGTAGCATCTGCCTCCAATATACCTGCTAGTGAGCATTTTCCATTCCATGACGCGCCTGAGCTCATTATCGACCAGCTACGCCAACATGACTGTCGGCCAAACATGTGTCAACGACAACACTGCCTATACCGCTTACAGGGACGATGGTTCGGCCTACGCTTTCATCGTTTCGCGAGACAAGTGCGCCCCTTGAACCTTGAGCCAAAAGATATAGACTGACTTTTCTTACAGCTGTGCCAATGGCCACTACTGTGATGCTTCCGACTCGTTGTGCTACAGGGGAAAGGCACAGGGTGACACTTGCAGCGGCAACAAAGAGTGAGGTTCCTCGCAAAGTCAATTGAACGCTTGTTAACAGAGGTCAGGTGCCTGTCTTACAATTGCGCGGACGATGGAAGATGCGGTAAAGCGGCCGACGATGTTATCCACCCCCCTGTCTGGCAATATGTCCTTATTGGTCTCGGTATCTTCATCCGTAAGCCCACCTTCTTCGTTCTCTCCACCTACTGACACACTTTCCAGTGATCGGTGCCGTCATGACCACCCTCTGGTTCGTCCACCGCCGTGTCCGAAACCGCAACCAAGCCATGCTCGAACAATACTACAACGAGCAAATCGCCTACCGACAATCCATCATGTCCATGACCCAGGCCAAACAAACCCTCGCCAACCTGCCCCCTGGCCACTCTATGAACGACGCCCGGGCGTCCTTGTACGGCGACATGCCCCCTGTCGGCTGGACGTCTGGTGCCGAAATCCCCTTGCCTCCCAACATGAGGCGCGATAGCGCGAGTATCTATAGGGAGGGCCAAGGGCAAGGACTGAGTGAGGTGCAGTTGATGCCTCATCAGACGTACCAGGACGCGTCCGAGTCTTCTTCCCGCTTTAGGGGCGGCCCGTTGTAAGGTGAGATGTGGCTCAGGACGATGTTTTACGACTCTTTATTCATTCGCGTTTTACCATATATACGCACGTAACCTATGGACACTTACCCCCTCCTCCCTGATTATATATCCTCTCTACATACATAGCTTGATGGCTTTCTTTTTCACAACGCCATTCTTTTTTTCTGTTATCCTTCTATTCTTCCAGTCAAACCACGCTCTGAAGAGCGTAGACTGAGCGTGTTGTTATTTCTCCCATGATTAGTATTATACATGAGCATGAACCTATCCTTCATATACGAATCTGGCCTAGATGTCGCAGTGAACCATCGGCTATCCTTCAGCGCTACACTCCCGTACGAGTACTCTATGGATAGCCGCGGTCTAATCCTAGTTATGCATGTATGACCGTATCATCTATGACCAACGTGAGGAGTGAAGAATCGGGTCATGTGCCAGGACGAGCGATATCAAGACTAGGCAAGCACGCTCAACATCTCCTCCACCCTCCTAAACTTTTCCCTCTCCTTCCCACTCCCCGCCAACTTTGCCCTCTCCCTCTCAGCCTGGTCTATCCGTCCCCAACCATCCAAGTCTACTACCACCTTCCCTTCGTTTGCGGCGCTTATGATACGCTCTGGGAGACCTGGGAGCGGGGAGGTGTTTAGAGGGGTGTATGGGGGTTTGGTAGATGAAGGGGATGTCGAAGGAGAGGAGGAGGCAGAGGCAGAGGGGGAGAGGTGGTCGTCGAGGATGACGCTGGAGAGAGAGTAGGCGTCGTGCATTGTCGATGCGATAACGCCAACTGGGCCTCTAGCCGCCCAACCTGCAGCATACACCCCATTCACCTGCTCCACATCAACTTCACTTCTTCACTTCTTGATTGTAAAAAGAACTCACAGGAACACCTTCATGATCCACAACCCTCCCACCAACATTCTGAACTCTTCCCTTGACGACATCAAAAGGCAAATCCCACTCGTGCCCAGGGCCCGTGAGGGGTTCAGAGCGGTACCCGACCGATTCGACTACCATGTCTGCTGGCGTCTTGCTAGTTTGGCCGGTAGCTTTAGCGACGAGGGATGGGGCGGCGGGAGAGTCGCCGGGGGAGTTTGGGGCAAGGGGTGGAGTTGATAGAAGGGCGTTGATGTTCCATTCCACCTCGCCGACTCTGCCTCCTTGAGGATTAGGCAAGAATGCTTTCGGACCCTTCATGAAGTCCAGCTCTAAGACTTTCTTGCCGTCTTGTTGCTTATCCATAAGCTGCAATAGCCTCTTCCTCATACGCTCTCCGTTACCAGGCGGGACGTTTTCTTTGGCCTCGTCCATCAAGTCAGGGTCGATCCCGGGGTAGCCTACACCAGGGATAGCGAGGATTTCACGGAACTCTTTGGTGGTGAAGGCGACTTGTCCTGGACCTCGGCGGCCCACCACACGCACCTTCTCCACACTCGACTTGGAGAGCACATCGAGCACGTCGTCCGACAAGTCGGTCTTGGCCAGATCCTCAACAGGTTTGAGCAGCAACCTCGCCACATCCAGCGCAACATTCCCCTGCCCCACCACGCTCACATCCTTCACCCCCCTCAAGTCCACCGGCAGATCGGCATACGCCGGATGCGAGTTGTACCAGCTCACAAGCGCCAACGCCGGATAAATCCCTTCCAGCGGGTTATCGCTCGAAGACGAGCCGGGGACAGAGTTGAGAGGGTTGGATAGGGAGGCGCCGTAGGTGAGGACGAGGGTGGTGTAGTAGGGTATTATATCTTGGAAAGAGAGGCGGAGGGCATGGGGGTATGTGTAGGAGGAGAGGGCGGTGGAGGGGGATGGGGCGGATGGGGAGGAGGAGGATTGGGAGGATATTAGGACGTTGCCAAAGTATTTGAAGCGAGGGTCGGGGGCAAGCTCGTCGAATTTGTGCTGGCAATTCTAGAGGAGATATCAGTGAGTATCCATTATAGAAAAGCTTCTCCTTCTTCAGAGCAGAGTGACTTTGAGCTGGGAGTTGCGAAATGGCCGGTCAAAATCAAAAGACTGTTCTACGTACCTTGACCTCGGGATGATCCGGTGCTACACCATACCTGGCCAGTCCATACGGCGTGGGCAGCCTCTCATACATGTGCACTTCCACACCATTTCCCTCTGGCGAATTGGCCGGGAGCAGAGAGAGGATACGCGAGGCAGTATAGAACCCTGATGGTCCAGCACCGATGATGGCGACCTTGAGGGGTGCGCGAGAGGATGTAGAGAGGCATCGAGAGAGGCGGGAGGAGAGATGGGGGCGGAGGAGAGAGCGGGGGAGGAGCATGGCGGAACGAAAGGCGAACCAAACAACAGGAAGACGGGTTTTTGTGAGGAGATGGACTCGTCGCACCAAGACACGGAAGGCAGTCGGCGGCCGGGGTATAGTCGGCGAGTTCCGCACATGCAGTCGAGAGTTTGTTCATCGTGCTCTGATGGTCTGTCCAGACTCTGCATCAGCATTTGTTTCTTTTGTCATGGTCTACTGATGTGGCATGGTGACTCATGGTCGATAATCGATGTGCCCCAGGAAGCCGCATTACGCCTGCTAGCTCGTGCTCCTCATTGTCTCCTGATCCGGCCTTTAAGATACTGCCAGCTTAAGATAGCTCTTTTCAGACTTTGATAGTTAGGGCAGCATTGAGCTATGGGTTCCACGGTGTACAGGACTATGCGTAAGTTGCATTATACACATCAAGCGCCGTTGGCTTTCCCCTTGCCCTTTGCATTCGCCCTCGCTTCTCTCTTCTTCTTCATCAGCTCCATCCTCTGTTTTAAAGCTGTAACTCTCGAGTCCGCGTCCTCTCTGGGCGCAAAGTCAGCTCGACTCTCCCCAAAAGTCTGATCACTCACTGAGCCCGCTCCTCATCCTCTAACCGTTGCACAATCTCCTCCCTCTCCTCCCTTTCCAGCCTCTCCTTCCTCTCTCCTTCCGTCTCTTCCTCCTCTGGTTCCTGCGCCGCCTCTTCCTCCTTCGGAACATTCCTCACCGGCGCCGCCTCATAGCTCGCCTGGCCGGGAATGAGATCTTCCTGATACGTCTTCCTTCTAGCCGCTTGTGTAGCCGCTGTAGGCGGCGCAGCAGTAGAAGATACAGGGGCGGGGGTATCATCCGCTAGGGAAGCGAAAAAGTCGTCCAGATCTGCGTCTCCTGTCTTTGGAGGCGGTACCACCGGCGCTGACATTTCGACTTCGGGTTCAGGTTCTGGCTCTTGCGGCGGGGGAGCGTTGCCAGCTGAGAAGAATCCCGCTGGTAGATTCGATGGCCCTGTAGAAGGTTGTGGCTGGACTTTCGGTCGCTTGGAGGAAGGCTCAGCTTCATCCCCTCTCGGCCGCTTGACCCTCTCAGCCTTCTCCTTCTCGGCCTTTTCGCGAGCTACCGATGTTCGGTGTTGTTTCGTCAACAGATGCGCGTCCCATTGCTTCACTGCTCATTATCAGTATGTTGGGCTGTAGGAAGGATGAGGAAGGGGGACGGACCTGGTACGGCACAGATGGAACAGCGCAAGACACCGGAAGCGTTGTATGTCGCGTAGGGGTGGGTAATGCGGGCCTCGGCCTTTTTGGCTCGCAAGAGGGATTTGGCGTCCATGGCTATGGTGATCAGAGGGTTGCTTGGAGAGTTGAAGCTGAAATGCCTGTTGAGGGGAGCAAGAGTGATTGACAGGGGAAAACAAAAACAACCAAGATGATCAAGTGCAATGGTCGATTAGGACTTGTTTGATTCCGCTAAGCAGTCTTTGAACGATTTGATCCCGGTTGTAATCAGCTGTCATCAGTCGGGGACGCCGAGCACGACGAAGCTGCGACCGACGAACGAACGAACTGGGGGGTGTTGCATCTCCACCGTCTACCTCCTTTTCCCATCTTGCCATTGATATCAATCAAACCGCCATTGCAAGATGCTCTCGACTTCCAATATCGGTAAGACCTTTCCCGAGCCACCATGATCAGGCTAACAGACCCCAAGGTCCTATATCACAGCAATACTCGGCAGCTGCTACTGTACCTCTCATCAAATCGCCCTCCCTGTGGCTCCCCAAACCTGTACATCTCTTTCCTCGTACTTGTATCTTGTTGATACTGACCCTTGATACTAGGTGGAGTTGCCGACTGATGTTCACCCTCTGCCTGAAGACATCACCGCCTATGTAAGCCCCCCGTGCCTCATTCGCCCCGCCGATCTCAGCAAATAGCTGACTGGGTATGGTAGTTTGTGTACCCGTTCACACTGGAGGAGCATGTCCGGCAGCAACATCCTTCGCCGCACGAAGCTATCGCCCAAAGACGTGCGCGCTTGGCAGAAGTGTTGCATCAGAGAGAAGAAGAGGAAGAGCGTAAAGAGTAAGCTTTCGCTTTTGTCCATCATTATGGGCGCAGAGCGAATGGCAGAGGGTGGAGCTGATGATTAATGTAGGAAAGATGAACTGAGAAGAATAGCCCCAGGGTACAACCCTTCTTCCCTGCTCGTACCGACTTCTACAAACCATACGCCCAGCACATCTATATCCCAATCTCACGGCGGCCAGCCAGCACTATCATCCTTATCCAGGGATGTAACTGGATCCGAAGGGGGAGAGGCGAGGGAAGGGGCAGGAGGGGATCCGATGGATGATCTGGTTGCGCGGTTGGAAGAGATGGAGGCGAAGAGATGATCCTTCGTCATGACGCGTGGAGGTCTGGCAGGCAGGTTGCCAGCAGTCTGTAGCTATGAAGGTTGTACAGTATGGTGTATGCATATGTGAGTTAATCTTCGGAGAATGGGAGGGCACAAGCTGATGATACCTCAGTCTTTCCATTGTGGCTCTTCACACTGCTCGACATTGTCAGCCTGGCCCTTTCGACAGATATTGTCAGAGGTATGACCAAATCTCCACCAGACACACACAAGATCCCAGCAAAAAAACGGATCATCAATCTACGGCCCACGGCACCGAATGCTCCACGCTCGTCCGACTGTCCGAGACGACCGAGACTATGTGCCGAATTGCCATGGTATGTGTACCTTAGCTTTGCGTTGACGAGACGGAGACGAGGAAGCCGAGTCAGAAGTCGTAACTGGATACACCCAAATTATGGCGTCTTGACGCGCTTGACGCTGAACGCTGACAAGGCTGAGAAAAGAAGGGAGCAATTGCAACATGGACTGGAGATCGCCGATTCCGCCAATCCGGCGTATGGCGTATGGCGTCTGCGGCTTGTGGCGTATGATTGCAGATCAGAGGGATCAGAGGATCGTGCTTCATACTGGCGGTGGCTGGCGTATCCGTTGAAAGCGGAGGGGGATTGATGAAGCGTGTTCAGTGTTGCGGGTCGTTGGACTGGAGTCTGTGGCTTGCCGCTTGGGGTCGTATACGTGCGTTCCTCGGTGATCAATCACTTGAAAAGAGGATACTGATACCCGGAGAGAGAAATCGAGTTGAGGAAAGGAGGTGGAGTGGGGGATACTAATACAGGAACATGTACATAGCAACCGCCGAATTGGGCGGGTGAGATTGATTTGATGAGATGTTGGACCAGGGCCGGTCGACGCAAATACCGAGAGAGGCCAATGTTCCACATGGGCAAGTACGATTAGATTGGAGAGATACCGAAGATACATTGTTCGCTTCAGATAGGACAATAAGATACAGACGGAGAATATCATTGTCAACATGCCCAGCGCCACACAGCACACAACACGCATCAGCCTACGCTCTGTGTCCACTGTTCTAGACACGCCTAGACTCGAGCCCGGGTTATGGATACAAGGACAAGGACAGCCCCAAAGCAAGAGCCTCAATAAACCCCGTACAGTCCTTTTGTCAATAGTACGTCGTCGAGCTTGTCGCTTGACGACAATAGGGTCAAACCTTGTGCTTGATCAATGATAGATGAGAAGCATGCTGTGTATGTGCCCTCGGATGAGCAAACATGCCAGCCGGTGCTTGAGTGATCTGGCAAGGTACATATTGGGTAAGGCTCTGCATCCGGCCTGTGGAATGCTGATCGAATAAGTGGCCAATCGGTGCCATGGTCCTCTAGGTCCCAGGTGTGTCTGCGCAAATTGTAGGTAGGGAGAAAGACGAGAGGGAGCGGGAGACTCGTGGTTTGAGGAAGCCCTTTCATCAGCCGACATGTCACTGAGACTGAATACCGGAATCATATTGTGATCGCGGAGGATAACGCGAGCATCCATCAACGACTTGTGGCCTGGGGGGAGGAGCCAGATTGATCCTCAGGAGGATAGAAGTGCACCTTGAACTATATCCTCCGCCATCATCCCGCCGTCTCTGGCATGTAGCATGCAGGGTTGCTCCCTGTGGGCGACATGGCAAGTTCCGGGTGGCACCTGATGAGCGAGATGAGGGGTGTTTGTTTACGGTGTGCCCTGGGAGTACGGTGATGGTGGGCATGCACCGACGGCGTTCTGTACCTGGGGGGAAAGGAGTCACCCACAGCCTCGCCAATCGCTTTCCACAGCGTTCTTTATATCCAGTAAGCAGAAAGTATGCGTTACATCATCCACTCCCAACATGTCCTACCACCCAGCCCTCCCACAGATATCCTCCTCGTCCACCACCCGCTTCGTGCCCCCCCGCATCCCGGCTACCGACTCCCGCCAGCAGTCCTGGGACCCAGCAGAGTCCAGCCAGAGCTGGGGCGGATACGACTGGTGCGACCCCCCGCAACCGCATCTCGAGCCTCAGCTCAGCAACCTCCCCGCATTCAATCCCCCGCCGCCGCCACCCGTCTCTTCTGCCCAGACCTACCAGTACCCCGGTATGCTCCAGCCGACGACGACCATGGCCAGTACAGCGTTCCAAGACACGGGCTCGTTCTACGGCATACCATATCCGATCCAAGATATTGACCCCCACCAACCCATCCCCTCTCTCGTCGACTCGCGTTCATCCTCTGGCTCGTCGGTCTCTCTCCCCAACATGCCCCGATACCCCCAAGTCATCATACCCCACCCCCACGCTCCTCTCAATGGTACACCTCTCATCAGCCCCTCTCCCATTCCGCTGTTGAACCTCAACGCCACCCTACCGTACTTGATACACAAAACACCTCCCGTCATCCCGTCGCCGCTGCCGCCAGCGCCGGTGTTGTACGATACGGTTCCCCACTTGCAGAGGCCAGTGCCGCCGAGGGATGGGCAGGACGGGTATGCCGGAGGGATGCCCGAGGGGACGTTTTCGGTGGGGGGCGGGGGCGAGGGGATGTGGCGGGGGATGATGCCAGAGTCGGGGATGGGGATGGTATCGCCTGTGGAGGATCGTCGTTTCAGCGCGGGCTCGCAGGCTCAAGTGCCGACGCCTTCCTCAGATCCCATTCAACACTTTGGAGGTATCTACTTTACCGACCCTTTCCCACCATCCTCTGCCCCTGCTCCAGCCCCTCCTTTCTCCTCGGCCCCAGGCCCTGTCCCTGCACCGCCAACGCAGATAGTCTCGAATCCAAGCCCCATTTCACCCTCATCTTTCCTTCCCCCGCCTCCCAAGCACAGCTACAGACCCCGAGACTACACCCCTCCTACCCCGCCCCCCGGCAGACTCTCAAGCCCCCGTCCTCGGCCTCTTCCAGCGCCCTTCAGGACATTCAACTCGTATCAAGAGATGTTGCATGACAGGGTGGACGAGTATGGCGCTCGGGCGATGAGTATGCCTCTGACCCACGGTCTGATGCTGGAGACCCAGAGGAAGAAACGCCTGGGACTGGTGGTGGCAGTCGGCGGCGGCATGCGTGAGGACGAGGGGGCAAGGTTGTTGAGGACGGGTTTGGAGAAGGAAGAAGCGTGGGATAAGAACGAGGAGGAGAGGTTGCTGAGGAAGGAGGGGATGCTTTCGCCCCTTCCCCTGGCTGAAGAAGATGAGGATGAGAATGAGGAGATGCCGCTTTTGACCACAGAAGCTATGTGGAGCCCGAGGGAAGACGACGACTTGGATGACGGTTTCAACGGACGGCCTTCTGGCGGGGGTCGACGGGCAAAGAGGGCGAAAAAGGTCAAAAAGGCGCTCAATGCGGCTGCTAGAAAAGTCGTAAGCCTCCCCTTTCCTTGTGTACTGAGGAAATGCTGATGGGAGGCCACAGAAAAAGTTTCTTTGTACTGAATGTAATGAGGGGTTCACTCGGAAGAATGACGTTGACGTGAGTTCCTTCTTCGTCTCCTTCTTGGCCCCTCAGGCGTTTACGTAGAGGAAGATGCTAATGGGATATCGTCAGCGCCATATGCAATGTAAACACTGTCAGTATCGTCTTTTGCCAACAACCCCCGGCCCCTTGTCCCTATTCGACCGAGCTGACGATGTTCCCAGCACAAGAGCTCCCCTGGGCTTGCCCCTCATGTTCCCGCCGATTCGTGAGTCTATCCCACCCTCTTACCCTTCCTCTTCTACATACAAGAGCAGGGCTGACAAAGAAACTGCAGGGACGGAAAGACAAAATGGAACTGCATATCGAAAAAGACGCAACGTGCAGACAACGCGCGCCACCAAAAGAAGGTCAGTCCCGTCCCACCTCTTTCAATCAACTTTCTGCTTGCTGGTGTCTGCCTCTCGCTCTCTTCCTCTTTCTCGCCCCCCCACGTCTCTCATCAATCTAATACAACCTCACTCCCCGTCTCAAGATGTGCGTCAGTATGACAGGAATCAAGACTGATGAGAATACGCAGATCGAGCTATCCGAAGACGCAGGTCGTCTGCCAACAAGGAGAATGCTGTCCCTGGATCAAGTGCTATTCGTCTTGACTAGACTATATCCTACACCGGTCACCCACTCGAGCTTCCTATCACCAACACTACATCATCACCCTCGCCGCTTGGGAGGAGTACTTTTCATTTTACAAGGACACTTCTTCGTCTTCTATACACGCGAAGAGCTGATTCTCGCTTCCACTCTATCATCGAACTAGTCTATACCATATCGTACAAGCCGTTTTGCTTTGTTCTCGTTTCAAACACGCTTTTGCCAGAATTACTCGTAGTCCTTACCCGCGTGCGTTGTATCTAGACGGTCATCATTCTTCATCTTGGGCGTCTTTGCTGTATCGTTTTTGCATCTATGCGAGAGTGTTCTATCGCTTTGCTTCCCGTATCTCATATGAGCCGTTTGTGTCCATCATGAATCGTTGCTTATCGGTGACATGGGGGGCTCTGGACAGCGTTCATGGTGTATGCACACACATCTCATCTCTTATCACAACGACTTTCACCCCTCACTTCATCCCCACCCCCTCCCACCCCTCCGGCCCCTCCACCTCCTTCAAAATCCCCCTCAACTCCCTCTCCACAATCCCACCCAACCTCTCCCCATCCCTACAGCTCACCCAAACGCCCTCCCAGACACCCTCTTCTTCTTCTTCCACGGACGCTGGTTGGAATTCAAATCGATTAGGACCGGAGAGGGGGGAGGAGAGCCAGATTTGGAGGTTGGGGGGTTGTTTGTTCAGGACGTAGGTGCCGTATGGGGGGAGGGTGAGGTTGAGGACGCCGGACTGAGGACATTAGTCAGCTTTGCCACTTTTTGAGAAAGGGGTAAGGCAAGGGGAAGAGGCGTACGCTATATTCGACCTCCCAGTCGTCTTTGCCGTACTGTTCGCAAAAGATCTCGAGGTTCTCATGAAGAGTCTCCATGTCGCGATCGGCGACTTCGTCGTAAAGATCCTGAGAGATGGTGGGTGTGGATTGGCTGGGGATGTGATTGGTGAGCTTCGTTTCTCTGTGAGGCGCGAGCGCGCAGAGGGGCTTACGGAGCGTGAGGCTGCTGTCTACACAAGGGAGTCGAAGAGAACGACCTTGGAAGCGAAGAAGGATGGGAGAAGGGAGCAGGTGTACGCAGAGCCTGGGCCGAGCTCGTAGGGTGGAGCGCAGCGGGGGGGCGAGAGAGCGCTCTCGGGAGGGAGCGGAGAGGTCCGAGGGCGTGGGATGTTCTTGAAAGCATGGCTGTTGGTAATGAGTGCCAGGGACGTATGAATGAGAAAAAGACGTAAAAGTCAGCGATGAGCAGCAAAGATGTCATAGCGCCGAATCTTCCAGCGTCATCACTTGTTTTGTTGAGTCACGAGTGGCAGCTGTCTACGGGGTATGTTTTGGGGTGTTGGGTTTGCAGAGCGAGTATATAAGTATGGCTCAGAGGCGCCTAAGAAGCGATGTGTGTATGCGATTGGGTGGAGATCCGGATTGAGAACTTTAGAAGACATATGAGGCACCTTCTGCGGCCCGTCTTTTTAACGCGCCAACAGTCGCAGAAACCTTCTCCTCATCCATCGCGATCTACCGAAAGTCATAGACGATACCAGTAGAGGGAAAAAAGCTTGCACTTAGCACCAACCTTCTACTCGACCACCTCGGGCTACACAACATTCCCTGCCGTTTTGGTGACATGTTCAGTGTCAGTTCGAAACTTGACACCTGCTCTCAAAGCTTGTGCTGACGGAATTGATGATGGACGAATGTCGGCTTCCCACCTCCCACCTGGCTGCGCACCCCCATCGCTCCTCAAGTCCTTCCAAAGCTGATTCACCGTTTCTACCAAGTCCTCTTCCACCCAATCTCACTCTGGGTTGTGATGGATGAACGAAGCCCGGCTGCGCTGGAAGGCAGTATCTATCGAGCGTTGTATGATGAGCCAGAGCTCTCTAGGTATATCATGACTGAAAAGCTACCCCCGGGTGTTTTGGGGTATTTTGAAGAGTTTGAGAGCTTTTTGTTGGAGCAAGATACGGATGATGGCGATTATTGATGGCTGGTGGGATTTGAGGCAATGCTGCTGTTTAGGTATACGTACGGTGATGCTTCAATATACATTTAGAACCAATCGTACTTCAAGGCGAGATTGTTCAACACTCCAAGACGCCTCCTCTGTGAACAAGCTAAACAGGTCGTAAGATCGTAGTATACATGATTCACATTAAAACCAATATAAAACACAGAATGCCGCATGGGTATATCTATATTAGTCATCGACCTGATACAAGTCGACGACGACAACGTGTGGAGTTTGAGGCAATTTGAGATAATCAAAAAGTCGTGATCATCACACGACCATCTGTCCCAAACCCCAGAAACCCGGCCTAGTGGGAGTCGGGTTGATCTAAGCATTGTCTTGTCCAAACATGAGGGGGCGATGAGACAAGTCGCTGCTATCCCTGTGCCCAACATTCTCGCGGTTGATGACAGAGTCGAACTGAACCTTGTCCATCGGCCTTTCCGTCCTACCCATATCATCAGCACCCGGAAAGGAAAGAAAGAGGAGAGGACGCACCTAAGCAGCCAAAAGAACCACTCCTCCAAAGGCCTCAAATTCAACGTCAACCTATTCATCCTATGCGCCAAAACCGTCACAAAGAACCCGCCCACCGCATCGAGCAAGTAGTGGTTGGCGGTTGCCATGATGACGAGCAGGATGAGCACGGGGTAGCCGAGTGCGACGGCGCGGATGGGGCGGTGGGGAGAGTAGAGGAAGAGGGAGAGGCCGATGACGAAAGAGTAGCCAAAGTGGAGGGAGGGGAAGGCGGCGAGTTGGTTTTGGAACTTGTTTGTGGTCCAGACTGAAAAAAAAGAAACAACAAGATGGTAAGGTTGGGTGAAAGGGAGGAAGGTAGAGGGGACGTACTACTGGCGGCTTTACCAGTGTGCAAAGTGTCGACATAGCCGAATTCTTCATAAGGCAATAGTCTTGGGGGCATGCATGGCCAGCTGGAGAAGACGACAAAGGCGATGCAGTTACACAGGACCAGGGTTCGTCGGGTGGATTGGAAGACGAGGGGGGAGAAGTAGCGGTAAGAGTAGGCCATGAAGGCGATAGTGGCGGGAATGTGGACCATCGCGTAGGTCCTATGTATGGTGTTAGTCGATATTCTTACAGAATCGTCGCTCGGCGTTCATTCAAAAGCCCAAGACATGACTTTACATCACGATCCCGCGTCGCGTCGATATCGCGCCGACCGCCATCACTCGGTGACCCGGGGACGGACCCACCCCGGAGACTTTCGCCGCCACCCTCAGACTCTACGCCAAGAAGAAGCACACACTCACTTGTTGAAAAACACCAGCAGCCACTCCCTCTCCATGACAAACTTTTGCAGCGCGAGCTCACAGTCGATCGCCAACCACCGCTGAATAGCAATGATCTGTCGCGCGTGCTGCTCTGCCAACGCCCTAAAGTCGGCCCCCATCGTGAGCGCTTGCATAGCTCGGGCGATCTGGTATATCCAGTACCTATGCGCAACATCAGTACGGGCTACAAACGGGGTCTAAAACACTCACGTCAAGAGCCAGTACCAGACCTCCATCAAGAACGGAAACATGCCCAGCAGCCCGCTGGACCACCTCGACCTGAATCGCTCATTACCAGGGACCCTGACGGTCCACCTGAAGGAGCGCATGTTCTTCCAGTTCCAGGCGTTGTCGCCGGGGGGCGGGGGCACGTCGTTGACTGCGTTGTGGGCCTGGAGGATGAGGGGCGGGGGGCGGCGGTTGAAGAGGCATCCTGCTGTGAGGAGGGAGACGACGATGGCGGGCTCGAGGATGAAGGAGAGGGCTGGGATCTCGTCTGGCTTGGACATGGCGGTGATGGAGAAAAAGAAAAGCTGCGTGAAAACAAACAAGTGCTGCGTGCGGGCCTCGTGTCCGCCGTGTCCGTTCATTGTCCGTCCCTGTCCGGATCCGTTGCGCCTATTCCCTCTTGCATGCACCTGCCCCGTCCCCTGGGGACAGCTAGGGCCCCCAGGGGTGTCCACATCGTCCCCGAGTTCGCCACAACGATGCCACGGAGCTTATTCCAGGTTTCGGCAAGGGTTGTTCTGCTCGAGTGCCGTCCTCGGGCAGCCTATACTCGCCGTGTTCAATACTCCGAGTGCTCTCCCCTACTCCCACCTACCCACACCTCCCTCCATCGCCCCCCGCGTAGTCTCCCCATCGGCCGTACTCGCCCCTTCCAAAATTTGGACTGCGAAATTGAACCTTCGGTGCCGGGGGCCGATGACCGCTTGACATTTGTTTACGTTGAATTAAACCTCCTCCACTCGCCAACAACCTCCCGTATGACAGGTTTCTCTTCACTATCTTCACCTCCATACGAAATGTATTCTTCTTTTTTACATGCCAATTAGCCGTCGGAGGTTTGATAAGCATGCACCGGGAATAGGTACGGCCGGAATACCCTTCTATGCCGTGTTCCGTGGGAATCACCAGCTTTATTTTCTTTTTCGCGACATGCCTGGCTAGCAATCACGATCAGAGGTCAAAGGCGGGCTCGCAAATTTCCTTGAGATACCAACTGGCAAAAAGCTGCTGGGAAGCATAACGATCGATTACCGAAAGAGCCAGCCCGAGTTTAATTACGGGATCCGCCGCCATTATCAGATATCTATTTGGTTCCCATCGAATTCGTTCTTCCATCCGCTGGCCCTGGGCTTCCACACATCACATGGTACATCACACCAGCAAGTAGAGCACAAAGAGCAACGCAAAAACGGCATACGATTACACAAATTGTAATTGTCGAAATAGTCTCAAGATCATCATTTGAAAATCTCACCCCCCGCCGCACCACCCAACCCTTTCACAAACTCCAAAATCTTCCCCAAATTGCTCTCTTCAAATATCGCATTGATGTCCCTCATCTCCAGCGTGCGCGTGCCCCCCTGTTCGGGAACTGGGGAGCTGGTGGTGGGGTCGGGCACGCGGACAAGAGTGTCAAGGTGGAGGAGGATTTCGATAGATTTATTGGCCGTCTGCAACGCATGTTAGTCCATATCCTTTCCAGAGGCCGAAAAAAGAGGCAAAATAGCCAACTTACCCTGACATACGACTCGGGCACTTGCATCATCCTCTCCTCCCCCTGCCCCTGCCCCTGCCCCTGCCCCTGCTCTCTTTCAATCTCCCCTTTCCTCACCCCCTCCACCGGGTCCTCCCTATCGATAGCAGCAACCTCCGCCGCATGTTCCGCCCTCATCCCATCTGCCAACCCCCCCACCACACTCCTCAACCGCATAATCTCTTCCCTCAGATCCGTAATCTCTTCCCTCACATTCGGGACGCCGAGCGACCCTCGTCCTCGAGTAACCTGACGCTGGGTCCGGTGCAAGGGCATGGAGGAGGAGAAGGAGCGCGAAGGACCGGTGGGAGGCGGCGTTTGGAGGTTGAGAGAGGAAGAGGTGGTGGCTGATGCGGAGGTCGTAAAGCTCGTCTCTTCGGCTTGATCCTCTTCCCCCTCTCCATCCTCTTCTCCTTCTCCTTCCACCTCGTCATCCACCTCCCTCACACGCACACTACCAACACTCTTATCCCCCTCTCCCTCCTCTTCTCCATCATTCTCTTCCTCCTGAAAGCGCCCAGCCATATCCTCCCCCAACCCAGCAAGATCCCCCAAATCCCCCGGCTCCGCCGCAAAAAAGTCCGGAAAGAGGGTATTCAACTGTTCCCGGACATGCGCCATCCAGAGCTCGTCTTGTTCTTGGGCGGTGGATACTTGGTATCGTATGTTTTCTGCTTCGTCTTCTCCCAAGTCTTCGTCTTCGTCTTCCTCCCTCTCGTTGAGGATGGGAGAGTCGGCAGACGCTGTGGCGAGGTCGAATTGGTGTTGGGAGAGGTCGAATTCCTGGGCTGACGTCGTCGAGACAATCCGACCCCCTCCTCCTCCGCCCACTCTAGGCTCTCTGGATTCGCCCGATTGGAGCGCATACTTCATGGCCCCACTCACTCTCCTCCCTTCCACCCCGCCAAAAGCGACGCTTGAGACTCTCACTTCCACCCCCTTCCCCTGGCTATGGCCGTGGCCGTGGCTTTGGGAGATACCCGACGTTGCGCGCTGCTTCGAGCTAGGGATGGCGTTGTCGGACATACCCCTAGACCCTGCCCCAGCGAGAGACGATATCCACCCCACAGGTCTGCGGGAAGTGAGACCATCGTACCTCGGCGTCTGCTGCTTCTGTGCCGGAAGAGGACGTTGGGGCGTAGAATGAGAGAAACGAGAAGATACTGGCGTCGAAGGCGTCGACGGGGGAGACACTTGCTCCTGCTCCTGCCCCTGCTCGGGCGCTGGTCCGTGGGGCACAGGGGCGAGACGGGGAGAAGAGAGGGGTGTGGTAGGCGCGGTGGAGATGGTAAGACGGGTACTGGTGGTAGGCGGGGATGAAGGGGCTGTGGGGGTTTCGTCTTGCTCTTGGGGATCGTCGGGGGCGGTGGAGAGGAGGTTTTCGACGTCTTGTTCGTCGGTATGCTCGTGCTCGACGTCTGCTGCGTTGGGGGTGGGAAGGCGTGGGGAGGGTGTACCGGGGACGGTCTGGATGAGAGGCATGGTGATAAGGTGAAGAAGAGATAGAAGAGAAATGAAAATGAAAGAGGAGAATGGAATTGTTTACATCAAACGCTCGGACACTGGATTTGTATGCACACAGTTATACACAGGACGCGTCGTGCTTTTGTGGCGCGACACCGCTCATCTCCTCTGACTTTTCATAAACATGCTCTTGGACATTGTGCATAGCAGACGAAGAGCTTCTGAATGCAATGCGATCGATATGGAGAAAAATAGCACAAATTAAACCGGCATGGTCGTGGCACTTTCATACTAAACAGGAAGAGCCACTGGAGGATCAGACATGTTGTATTACACTATGCCTCAATCTGCCGCTCCTCCCCCTCAAGCTCCTAGATACCGCTCCTGCGCCCCAGCCAGCCCGATACCATCAAAACTTGTAAATTCGCGGCCTCTTCCCACCATCCCTTCCGCGGTCCCGACGAGATAGGCGGACGTCTTCTCCACAAGAAGAACGGCGGAAGCGGAGGCCCCACCCGGAGAGAGCAAGGATGTATGCAAGACGTTGTAAAGTTTGACCGTGTACATGGAATGTCCAAAAGCGTCCTTGCTCCGGGGTGCAGAGTCGCACAGGCTGCTGGTCCTGTCGAACGTCACACCTCGTTCCTCAAGCTTGTCGAAGATCCGGATGCTACTGGCCAGGCGTTGAAGCCCGTAGCCTCTCCAGATCCAGGCCGAGAGAAAAGACGTAAGAGTGGACCTGTGGAATTAGCGCATCAGTGAGCGTGTGGCAGTAGGTGTGAGAGGATGGAGGCTTACGGCACAGCTGTATCAGGGGGCGATATCTTTTTGGTGTACTGTCCTTGCCGCCGCGCATGATCAGTACCTAGTATGCGCAGCAACGATAGTCCATTCATAGCGCCTTTTCAGACAAGTCTATATATACAATCTTGCGATGCTCTTGGCCATCTAGACTTGAACAGCGTGGTCATGGCCCCCAGTGGGCGTCTGCCAGCCCGAAGCTGTCGGAGTCGGGACCTTGCCATTATCGACTTCATGCGTAAACATGACGAGGTCGAGCAAACGACAGGCATAGCCATACTCATTATCTACAGATTACATCAGCTCGACGAATCACTCGCATCCGGGATATCTCGACTGACCATACCAAGCAATGATCTTGAACACCCTCTCATTCAACATCACCGTCGCAGCCGAATCCACAATACAACTATACTGCCACCCCAAAAAATCATGCGACACCAGCTCATCATCATTCACGCACAACACATTCGCCAGCGGGCCCAGCGTCGAGAGCCCTGTGGAAGCTTCACGGATGGGCAGGAGGAGGTCGTGTACGGATTGGACCGGGGTGGAGAGGTGTACGGTGAGGTCAACCATGGAGACGTTGTTGACGGGGACGCGGACGGAGACGCCGGTGAATTTGCCGGCGAGTTCGGGGAGGACGAGTTGGACGGCGGTGGCGGCGCCGGTGGTGGTGGGGATGATGTTCGAGCTGACTCCACGGCCTGGAATAATGGTTAGCAGAGGCGGGGGTCAGTGGAGGGTACGTACCGAGTCGACGATTCTTCTTGCTATAGCCATCGAGGATAGGCTGCGAGGACGTTGACGCGTGAACCTGGGCAAGATCAGTACTCTTTCCTCTAGAAGAGGAGTTAACTTGCGGTGGTCATCATTCCATAGTCTATACCAAACGATCTATTGAGTACCTTTGCAAGAGGCGCAAGACAATTCGTCTAGTGGTGGATCAGCAAAGGCAATCACGAGTCACGAACGTCACGTACAGTGCAGCTAGCGTTCGAGAGCACGTTCATGGACGGATTGTACTCTTTCCTGTTGACCCCAACCACAATAGTCTTTGCGTCTCTACCTCAATATCAGCGCCCATGCCAGGCATATATTGCAGAAGACTCACTTGGAAGGCGCCGAAATCACAACCTTCTTCGCCCCACTCTTCAAATGCGCGCCGGCAGTCTCCACAGTAGTCATCTTTCCCGTCGACTCGACCACATACTCTGCCCCCGCCGCTTTCCAATACAACCTCAACGGGTCTCTCTGGCTGAACAGCTCGATACGCCTGTCTTTGAAGTAGAGGGCGTCGTCTTTGATGGAGAGGTCGGCAGCGTGGCGGGAGGTGCCGTGGGTGGAGTCGTATTTGATGGCGTGGAGGAGGTAGTCGATGGAGGGTGCGGTGTGGTTGATGGCGACCACTGGAGAGGGGTTAGTAGGGAATCGGGATTAAGTTGAAGACGGCGACTTACCGATGAGGTCTGTCCTTTCGAGCGAGGCTCGGAAGGCCGCTCGGCCGATACGGCCAAAGCCATTGATGCCTACACGACATTGAGGGAAGAGTGAGCCTTGCAGATGTGCCAGGAGGGGGTCGGTCATGTTGAACAGTGTGGTCTATCTCCAATGGATGGGGAAAAGTAGCACGATGAGGGCTGTATATATAGCAGTGGCCTCGCCATCGTCATTGCAAAGAGACGGCTATGGGAGCGGAAGAGCACTTTCCCGATAGTTGTTTGAACTGGACTGGCGTCCCCGTATTGTGATCGTCGGAGATGGAGGTGTAAATGTGGGGCCCGGAGAGAGGACGGAGCAGGAGCGGAGGGATGAGGGGCAGAGATGGACCCCGCAGAGTGCCTTCGGCTTTCGGCGGATCTACAGGTGCATTCTGGTAGTACGGTCTATTCTTTTTGCTTTTGCTTTTTGGCACGCATTCCGCAACTTGAACCTTGGTGGGATTGTCAATCGTCATCCAAGAGGGTAAGAATGTTGTGGGAAATTTGTGCTCCACTCTACCCTACCTCTGCTTGCGGTGGAATGCCCCAGGCCCGTTCGGCCGCGCAGATACTCTCTGTTTGGCGAGGCGACGTCTCCTTCTCTTGGCCCGCCAGCATCGGTCGGTCGAATCTGGTAGAGGGTGCGGACCATTGTGCAGAGCTATCTTGTATATCGCATCGCAAACATGCATGGGACTCTGGGACTCTGGGATGAAAGATGAAGCAGCAAGGCAGCGCGGAGATAAGAGGGACTCCAGGAACGGCGGAACGTGGTTCGATAAGATGGCGAGTTGAAAACAAACGTTGTTTTGCTCCATTTCTTCCCTGGACCACGCCGCTCGCTCGATTTTCAGCATGGCACACGGCATACACCACCAGCGTAGACATTAGAGTGGCAGTACATATATAGAGACACGGCCCAGCACTCAGCGGCAGAACAACGAAGGGAACCCAGCGATCGGAATCCCATCGATGCTCGAGACACGCCAGACCTCCCTCCCCTCGCTCGTCCTCGCCTCCCCCTCCGCCCCCTCTGCCTCCCTCCTGGTACCAGAGACCAACAGAACATACGGCTCCATCCCCCATATCCCCTCGCTCCTCCAAACCCAATCCCCTCGCTCCTCTTCAGATCCTCGTGGCGAGCGACCGCCTTTACCCCGCATCAACTCTGCCACACCTCTCATCCCGCGTTCCTCTGGCTTGTATAGAGATCTGAGAAGGGGACATTGGCATTTCCCGTGGCAAGGGCATCGGAATTGTAGGAAACAGCGATCGTGCCGTGCTAGCGGATTGACAGGGAGTATTGTGATTATGACTGGTATGCTCTTGGGATTGGTGCTGGGGGTGATGTTGTGGGTGTATGGGTGGATGGGCCGGGAGGAGCGATTGAGCGTGGTAGGTCTTGCGAGTACCGTTCAAATGAAGCGGTGCTGACTGGGCTATATAGCTTCCACCTCTGGGAAAAGACATTGCGAGTAAGCCTCCCCTCTACCAACAAAGTTTGATCTAATGTCATTCATAGATGGCAACTTTTCGACCAAGGGCATCAAAAAGATGTGGGCATGCAGCCATAACGACGAAATGCAAGGACAGAATGCCCTGGTCCGTCTCCCTCACCTCCATCTACACCCCCGTCCCTGACACTCGCATAGTCCCTCGCATTGAGCCTAGGATACGGCTGGATCGAAGTCGATACCCACCTCGCTGCCACGCCCCCCAAACACCACCCGGACCATGTTACATGGACGTTACTGACGGGGCATGATCTTGCGGATCTCGATCCCAGGAAGAGTCTCAAGATGCTCTATCTCGATCCGCTCTTGGCTATTTTGGATATGAACAATGAGGGGTGGGGGAAGGACGGTGGGGAGGAATGGAATGGGGTGTATGAAGATGATCCGAGGGAGGAGGTAGTGCTCATGATAGACATGGTGAGTCCAACATCACTCGAGTGATCCAAACTGACATGGGCCAGAAATCGGACGGCGACGAGACCTGGCCCCACCTCCAAAAAGCTCTCGAACCATTCCTCGCAAAAGGCTATCTCACAACCTACAACACCACCTCCCAAACCCTCTCCCCCGGCCCTCTCACAATCGTCGGCACCGGCAACACCCCACTGCATCAAGTCTTCTACGCCCCCCTCCGCTACATCTTCTTCGACGCCCCCCTCGTTGACCTGCACAAGCCCCACCACCTCCCCGCCACCCCTTCCGGCCCTGCAGTTACAATCGAATGGTCCCCCTCCCTCTCCCCCATCGCTTCCTCCAAATTCCCCCTCCAATACTACCTCGCAGCGCCGCCCACGCCTTTTCCAGCGTACAATCCGTTCTTGTGCAACCTCCAGCTCACGGCGGCGGTAGCGCATGAGAAGGGGATACAATCGAGGTGGTGGGGGGTGCTGCATAAGCCGGGGTGGGCGAGGAGGAGGATGTGGGAGGTGGTTTGGCAGAGTGGGGTGGGGGTCGTTAATGCGGATGAGCTGGGGGGGTTGGAGAGCTGGTTGGAGGGGAAGAAGGGGGTGGAGAGGGAGGGGTTCTGTTGAATTTTCCTTGTTGCATTGCATTGTATCCATTCTTGATTATAATAGCTTCTTGTTGTTCCCATAATTTGTCATGTATGAAGTGAGCCATTCTATCAAGGTGGGGGACGCAGTATCAGATATATGACAAGACTGCATATGATGATCTATCATCGTCTAGAGCTCGACATCCTCGTCATCGTACGCCTCCTTCATCAACCGGTAGATGTAAGACGGCGGGTGGTCACCCCTATTCCAATATTAGCTTGACCCCACCTCGATACTCGCAACTCACTCATTGGTAACAAACAAGTTGATCAGCTCCGGCCTGATATAATCATAATAAGGATTGACAACCTCCACACCCTCCGTACCACCACCACCCCCCTTCCCAAGCTCCCCAATCACAGCCCCCGGCCCCTGGAAATCTACAGCCCCATACTCGTGGTACAAATTCCAAGCCGGCGCGAATTTGAACTGCCCCGTGGGTACCACCACCGGCTTTGCATGTTCCTTTGCCGCCAGCGCACATCCAAGAGAACCAGAGAGCGCAAACAGCCCGCCATTGGCGAGGACAGAGTGCGCACCGAGGATGACTTTGGTGACACGAGGGAGGAGGGCGTGGATGGAAGAATCCGGGATGAGGAGGGTGGGGATACCAGAGGAAGAGAGGGAGGAGGCGAGAGAGTGGCCGAGGTAGGAGGGGGCGGATTCGGCGACGACGACGGTGAATTTGCGGTCTTTGTAGGCTTGTTTGAGGAAGAATTCGACTGTTCTTGAGTGACCCATGGTCAAGATAATCTCACTGTATCAGGTTAGACATGAGGGCTGGGAATGGAGATGGGGACGTACGAAGAGTGAATGTGCTCCCTGGCGCCTTTGGCAACGTCTTCATGGGTCGTCTCCAGTTCCCCGACAACTTCGTCGATAGCCTGCACAAGTAACGGCTTGAGCTTGGCACTGTGCTTCATAAACTCGTCACTGTCCACCCTTGACGGCTGCGCCGGTGTCCCAGATCCAGAAGACGACCTCACAGGACCCCCAGGGCTCGCAAACAGGTTCACAGTATTCGCCGAATACCCCTCCGCCCCGCTTTTCTCCATCTGCGCTCTCGAATGGCGCATGGCGACAAAGTTGGATAGAGACGTTTGGCGGGAGGCTTGGGTGCTGGGAAAGTATTGCCCGCCATTGGAAGCGTTGAGGTAGTGGTCGAGGGGAGCGTTGAGACCCGGGGTGGAAGGGCCCATGAAAGGGGTGGAGGGGACAGAGTTGGGGGCAGAGTCGATTTGGCGGGCGGCGGCGGCACGGTACTCTTCGCGGATGAGACGAAGGATACGGCGGATGATATTCGCAGCGGCGAGTTCTTAAGTCATCGTCAGTATACACCCTCATCCAGATGGTATAAGGCGCACCTTTCGGGTTGGCTTCAATGAGCTTTCTACCGACCGACTTGATCAACGCCAAAAGCTCGTCAATGGTGCTGTATTTCGCGCTTCGCACGATGCTCTGGACGAGAGCAGCGGTGGCAAGCGCGACATTGAGAGATCCCACAATCTGCCTGGAATCACTGTGAGCATACAATAGACGTGCGTCCATAAGACTCACCGCCGGCGCAGACTGGTACAGAGAGTGTCAGTAAGGCGCGTGTTGGGGTCAGCCTGTGTCTGTCTTCTGTCAGCCTCGCTCCCTTCTCTGGGGTACTCCTACGCACTGTTGTAACGTCTGCGGCCATGTTGAATGATATGGACTGATTTGTGGTATCCTCGCCAGACAATGCACGAAATCGCCAACTCCTGCCTTTTCGAACACTCGGCCAGTTACGTAAACGGGGCAAGAGTGGAGGTCGGTCGCCTTTCCGATAGGTATCCAATAGGTATCACGTCTCTCTTCTGCACATTCTGTTGATTGCATACAAGATTGGGAGCTCGACAAGAGTGAACGCAGCGTTTGGCACGATGTTTAAGTTTCTGTATCTGGTCCTACTTGCCTCGCTAGCTGCAATCGTTGCTCGCGCTGATACCGAAATCGTCAACTTCCATCTACCCTTGTCGAAGGATACGACCGTCTATCCTCCTCTAGATACTGTCATTCATACGTAAGTACCATCTTCTACCGATCTTATGTAGGCATTCAAAATCTCATCTGGATCTCAGGATATCACCTTTCGAGACAGTAAATCTCAATCTCACAGACATCTCTCCCGAACAATGGTTTTCGCTCGATTGGAAAGATCAGCAAGACAAGTACAGAAGCTGGACTCTGCGTGCCTCTTGGCCTGCATCTGTAAGCCCTCCTCCTTTTGTTCAAACGGGAGCTTATATATGACAGTCCCCAACCCGCATCCAAATCCTCCCACCCCACTCCCCCGGCTTTCTCCTCATCCACGCCTCTCCCCTCTCCCCCCGCTTTCCTTACCACCCTCCTCTCTCTCAATACCTCCCCTCATTCCTCCGACCCCTCTTCACCTTCCTCACCTGGGCCACCCAGCCGGTGCCTGCGGAGAGAAAGCTCGATACTGAATTCGAAACACCCCTTCACCTGACGCTGGAACCGCTCCTCTTGGGTGTTCTGCCGTATACGGCATTGCCGGCGGTGGGGTTGATATTGGTGGTCGTGGTGGTGGCTGGTTTGGGGGTTCCTTATGTGATTAAAGGGTTAGAGGGGGTTGGGAATCGGGTAGATGGGAGACAGCGGAAAGAGGGCGTCAAGGAAGAGTAGAATACATTAGAGAGAGTTGTACAATACCACATGTTAATATCTACTGAAATACTGTAGAGTACTCTACCGGATGAGCCTTCAAGTTTCTTTACGCCGTCTGCCTGAAGTGGCTCGTTCTGGATGGCCTTCTTAGTAGTTGAAAATCAGTGCAAAAGTCAGTTCGCATTGGAGATGTATGTTCAGTTGGTTGGAAAGGAGGTGCGCAGGGATGCCAAAATGTAAAGTTTTATTCATCATATCAAGATAGAGAGCGAAAAGAAACTACGAAAGATCACACTACGTGTGTATACATTTACTTGACAGAAGCTAAAAAGACAAGAACATTCGCAAACTCGAAAACCACCCACCTCCACGTCTCCCATCATCACTCAAGAGCCAAAGATGAAAGTTGATGTTGAAGCACAAAACTTGCGTGTATACATCCGAAACTCCAAAACAAAGCATTGGCATGAGGTCGGTTCGATCAAAGAAATCTCCTCGGATACCTGTTTGAATGTAATCGCTGAGTTTCAGTTGGATAAAAGGTAGACAAAAAGAAATCTTCCTGACGGGGAATCGAACCCCGATCTCCCGCGGAGTCAATTTTCAATGACAAGCGAGCATACTAAACCGTTATACGATCAAGAATTGTTATGGTAGGGGGGCAAAATGTGAATTTATGACCTCACTCCATAACAAGGGTCACGTTGGTACTGACATCCTTTCAAAGACGTCCTTTCATTCCAGCCTTATGCAATCCTCTGAGCTTGTCTCTGAGCCCATCCATGTCTCCAAGATCAGGCCTTATCATCTTTTTCGACTGGACGGCGAGGAAACTACGTGTGTGCAATGGTATTCTCGGATGCTGTGAAGATCACAAGTACGTTCCATGGTCAGCGATGACACTCTCTTATATACTTACACGATTGAATAGTCGTTGTTGTAGCACCAGTATTGTTCTTTACTGTTCTTTTCGCAGCAGCGTACCTCTACCGCCGGTATCATTCGCCCTACCGGCACGGCACTTTCCGAGTTGAAGACGGTATCTGGGATCCCTCAAAGCCGGAGGGGCTCCTCCCACATTGTCACATGTGCTACCAAAACCACAGCCATGGACAAGATATAGACGTTTCTGTAGAAGACGGTCCATCATATGAGAGTAAAGCAGAGGGAGCCAACAACATATCCGAGCTGCATTACGTGGAGAAGAGTATAGATGTCCGGCGGTTGAATCATAATCCTTACGCCCCCGACCTCATCACCCGAGTCAACTCCATCTCTTCCACCCTCGCATCAAAAGAACCTGCCAATACTTCTTCAGACGTCTTGCCTTTCGGAGGCGGGCGTCGAGCATCGCACGCTTCTGCTGTGGATCCCAACAGGCTCGGGTATCAAGGTGTTGAGGCAAATGCTCTAAGCCACGGAGTCATTGCCGTTGGGGATCGACGACCGTCTGTCTTGTCTGGAGGGCTATCGGACAGGAGGGAGAGTGACACGCTTTCTGTGAGAAAAGTCAGCTTCGGGGGAGGTGAGGAGATGGTGAACGTACAAGCCGCCGGTATCGATCAGTCAAAATTGCCGGTTAGAAGATCATCCAATCCATCGCGATCTTTCTCAAGACGACCTTCTATAAAGGATGGGGAGCTACAACACGATGAGCAGTTGGAGCCAGTCCCATTCTCTCACCCCTTCAGCGCCACTTCTCTCAGCAGTAGCACTTCGCTCACTCGAGGCGGAGTAGGCTCAGCATCCATCGTCCCTCCAGTACCAGCTCTGCAACAACCCCCTCCTCCGCGCAAAAACATCCAGAACCGACCCGGTTCCCTCAAACTCACCTCAACGTCTACCCGCCAGTCCAGCCACCCGCCTCCCAGTATCCTCGCATCCGCATACGATCCAGTGACCGGTGTATCCACCAAAGCTCTCAAATCTGCTCTCATTACCAGCCCAGAAATGGATGAGATGAGTACGGGGAGTGATATCAGTGAAGACTTTGTTGAACCTACGCCGGGGGTGTTTGAAGCCTGGAAAGGCTTCCCTCAGCAGGGGTCGCCTGCGAGGGCGGTGTTGATACAGCCTCTTGAGCTTACCCATGCCAGCGGACAAGAGCCTCCGGCTGAACCTTCGCTGGGTCCGACCTCGCCCAAGACGCTGCCGCCTACTCCGGCACCTCGTCCTTCGCAGCTAATCCCAGCATCGCCAAAGCCTTCTGCTCCCCCCATTGGCTTGGCGCTACCTTCATCAGGTGTAGAGAGGCGCTCGAGTAGCAGCAGTAATCGGTCGATAACGTACTTGGCGGACGTGGTGAGAGATAAAGCGCAGAGGAAGGGTGCAATGTCTGCGGGTTTGCCTGGTAAGGAAAGGAAGAATAGTCTGCATGTTCGGGCAGAAGAAGATGGGATGGAAGAAGTCACCATAAACTCACCGCCACCTGTGCCAGCACTGGTTGCCATACATCAAGCCCAAAGTCTCTCCTCGCCAACAACTCCACTGAAAGCGCTTGTGTCCGCAAGCCTATCGGTACCCTCTCCTAATGTCGCTATAGGAAGAAAAGCAAGTACCCACAGTGCAAAGTCCAATACACATCTTGTCGTCGAAATGGTGAGGGAGAACTCGGTACGAAGGAAGAGCGCGACAGTCGTACCGGCCTCGCCCGCCGAAACGAGGCCTCAGAGCGTCCACGTCGAGATTGTCTCGCCAAACGTATATGGCGAGCAGGATGCGCCCATGTTGTCGCCTTCAAAGTTCCAGGAGAACCTTGTAGAGTATGAGAATGATAGCTCACGAGGCCAAGCGATTTAAATGCAGTGTAGATGTAACATCTCTATGGTCTATTAGCTCTACAACAACGCATGTCTACGCCGATCTAGTGAGATCTAGAAATCTAAGATGTATTAGTGATACGCATACAATGGCCACCCTCATGACCACCCCATCCTGGTCCCAACACCGAGCGCCCCACCCTCCTTCTTCATCTTGTCCTTCTTCTCCTGCGCCTTTCTCACAGCCTCTCGCGCTTCCTCCACATCCCTCTCGGCCTCCTCCACTTCTCCCTCCTTATGCGTCTTCTCACCCTCCACCTCCGCTGCGTGTACTCGTGCCTCGACGAGGTGGGCGGTAGCCTGCGCGAGGATCTTGTTGTTTTTGTTGTTTTGCCATGAGAGGAAGGTGTTCCAGCACATGCCGACGGATTGGACGGCGAGGAGACGGTGTTGTGGGGGGATGAGGGTGAAATTGAGAATCTGGGTGGGGCCAAAGACGCAGACTGCTTTTTGCCATGTTGGGAACCAGCCCTGCAGATCGAGTCAGCTTGGGTTTGAGTGGACGAGGAACGGACATACCATGGCGACTTTTTGTCTGACCTCTTCTATACTTTTGCCCTCTAATAGACCGAGAGACGTCGGGAACATGAACGTGACACATGGTGACCAAACGAGGCAATCCAGAGTGACCTTGGTAGCAAGAGCTGGGGGCTACGTCAGCTGTGTATGGGACTCGAAGCTCAACGACTCACTGGTCACCTTGTTCGAGAGATTGACCTTCTCCAGCTGGCTCAGCCATGTATGGGCGAGGGGAGCAAATATGATAGACCCATCTAAGCATGGTCAGTACTGACTCAACCAAGACCTTGTCGGGCGAGCTCACAAGTAGTGATCCTAGCTGTTCTTAAAGGCTACAACCCGTCAGCTATGCACACGTCCCTCGCTATGCCACTCACATCGTAAATCTCCTCCCCCTCCTCCCCCATGATGGCCTTCCTCATACTTCTCCCCTCAATACCAATCTGAGCTACCAAGTCCGCCGTGATGAAGAGCACACCGCTCTGGATCATCTTTGTCCTCAAGGGGCGCTCGCGCAGGGCGGTAGTGTAGCTTGACCACAGGCGGGCGAAGAAGGGGCGGGCGGTGGTGGACATGCTGAGAGGTCGGAGGGGAGGGTGGTCTCTATAGGCGACCTTTTGTAATTTTGAGCTGAATGTAACAACAAAGCAAGAGAAACGAAGGGGTCGGCTTTCAGCGGCCAACGTCCGAGCAGTCACCAAAATATTCGTAATCCCATTTTACAAACATCCGTGATCCGATTGCATGTCCGACTCCATATCGTTTCTGTCTCATATCTTCAGTCTCATAAGCTCTTGATAGATGTGATGTTGGGTGACCTCCAAGCATACGGTGTCCTTGATAGGATTTGCATTGTGATCTACTTTACATAGGAGAACGGGCTACAACAAAACTCAATAGATAACGTGTATATGAAGTGACACCCGAGACACGCACTAAAAAGGACAGTGAGAACCCCCCCCCCCCGTCTGCAGATTGGTATACGTAAGTCGACAAAAAGTAGCATCAAGCAGTGACAGAAGCAGAGCCCCTCATACCGAAGGAAGCTTGACGATGGCTTTGAGGAATATCATGTCGGAAAGAGTGTTGACGGAAGAAAGGTTTCCTATCCATGTGAGGGCGGGAAGAAGATGAGCGGTGGTGGTGGCGATGGTCGATGCCCTCCATGTGTCCGAAAGAGCGCCCCATAACACCGTTGCTGCCGGCTTCAGACTCGAACCATCATATCGCCATGGGGACCGAAGGGAGGAGGGGTGGCATACCGCCTTGGTGTTCCATGTGATGGTCGAAAGACATGCGGGGAGGAGGGGGAGGACCAGACATACCCCTCATGTGATGGGGCATACCACGGCCGTGTTCTTGACCAAGAGGGTGGGCTTGACAAGGGAAGGAGTGGTGCTTGTGGTACTTGAGAGTAGCGATGGAGAGGTCGGAGTCAGACCCAGCCTCGGAGACGTCGTCTTCCTCGTCTTTTTTAGACTTGCAGAATCGGGGGCCATGACCACGAGGACCGTGAGAGGCATGCCCCATACGACCGAATCCTCGAGGGTGGTGTCGCCCCTCAAATCCAGAACCAGCTTTGATCTCCTCAAGGCGGGGAGGAGAATAAGCACGCTCATGGCGATGCTTGCGCTCAGGACGAGCACCCGGACCAAAGCTGTGAGAAGGGCGCTCGCCCCTCTTGCCGTGCTCGGGTCGGCCGTGGGGCTTGACTCTGTTGGAGTGTTCGAAGCCGTGGCTGGGAGGAGGGAGCATATGAAGATGAGGGGGGTGAGGGGGCATCATGTCGTCGAAGGGGGAAGGAGGGAAGCCAGGGGGAGGCATACCGCGAGGGCCGTGGTGATGGTGACGCGCGTGGGCATGGGTGAGAGGGGGAGAGTCTCGAGCGGGGATCTCTTCGATGTCGTCGTCTTCGGCAGGCTCGGGAGTGGCAAGGCGGAGCATCATGGTTTGCTGGACTATAGAGGAGAAGTCAGCGTCGTGTTCAGAAGCTGAAGAGGGGTTCGACTTACTGATGGCGTCGGTTGTAGGAGTACCTTTCTTCTCGTAGTCGACCTCGGTGATGGCAGTGGAGACATTCTCGTCGTCCTGAGGAGCGGCCTCGAAGTTGGCAAGGTAGGCGGAAGAAGCAGCGTTGTCGGTGGTGTAAGACATGATATGAATGTTGCTGATGAGGTAGATGTTGGCGAGTCAAGGGGAGATGAGATTGTCGATATGACTTTGAGAAAAGAGATGGTAATTCGACCAGAAAGCCTCCCATATATACCCTTCAACCATGCGCGCAGCATCCCAGCCGGAAAATATCTATCGCCATGCCGAGGTCAAGATATCCTCGCTGTTTGCAGTCCGCAGCGGTGTGCAGAGCATTTGTCACCGAGACAAGGCGAAAAGAACGAAAAGAATGCAAAAGAACCAGAAAAGACAGAAAAGACCTCGGCATCGCTCGGCACGTGGCACAGAGTGGGTTCCTGGTGCCTGGCTGACGATCAATTGCCCGTTAGTCACCCGAGGTTACTCCGATATCTCGCAGTCAACAATTACCCGGGATATGCTGCCACTGCAGTCGTCACTATGGGACTGTACATATTTGCATGTGTTATTTGGATTTATCTACGTTATTCACAAGGACGCGTGACAGTCGCTAATAAGGCTATACCACATACTCGGAGAGAGGCTTTACCGGCACCGCTGCTCTGCTTCGCGTGAGCTTCGCTTTGAACTCTTTGATATCGCCTATGTATACGTTCTCGGGGCGGACCGAATACTTCGAAACCATATCGGCTTCACTTCTGATTTGCGACTGGATATGAATCGACAATTTGGATCGAGTGGGAGAGGTAGGATGGATATGCGTCATGAAGCATGGAGCACGTCTTCTTTCGACGTCTTTCTGAGAGTCGCCACATCAATTTCGCCTACATACCGTCAGCTCAAGGATCAGCGAGTACCTTACAAAATCACTTACGTCTGGCAAAGTCGTAAGCTCCTCGCCTAATTGTCTCCCAAAACCTTTCATTCTCTTCCGAAAGTCTCTTCGGCTTCTCCTCCCGCCAATCAATCAAACTCTGCTTGTGCTTCTCAAACTCATCGTCACTGATATCCTGGACATACACTCCCATGCTTTCGAGAAAAGCCTCCATTCGGAGCTCCAGGTAGACAGGGTCTCTCTCGCCCTGCACAAAGACAGTATAACTGATGATCCCTTCAATTATATCGGGGCGTGAGATGACTATGTACCCTAACTGCTCTTGTGTTCGGAGAGTGTTGAAGCAAGCCTCATTGGCCATTTGAGCGAAGAGATATAAACTGTTTCGGAGGACAATGTCTGCGGGATCCCCGATCTGGCAGTGATAGTAGACGGCGCTGTTTGGATCTTGCTCGTTGTCCATGAACATATGCCAGATATGCTCAGAGGCTATAAAGGTGATCAGCGCGCTGACAAAGAGCTTCTGAGTGCACTTACATGGAGGAAGTTTGAGGGACATTGAGTGACGTTCAAGCTCGGTATTTGATAACTGCCCAGGCTGGAGTGCGCTCTCGATCATCACTTGTATGTTTTTGGCCTCGTCGGGCGTCGAATTGCCATGAATGAGGGTCTCGATGTGCAATCGACCGAATAGATCCTCCCCAAATACTGTCACATTATCTGCAGTGATGCTCTCCAGCTCCCTCAGCTGCTCCTCGTGTGTCCAATTGGTCACGAGAGTGGCATACAGAGCCCAATAGTGAGCGGATTCGAAGGGATCAGATCGCAGTTGCTTGTTTTGCGTTGACCTTGTCTTGTGATCGGTCATCAGTTGGAACCTCTTTTTATCAACTTTGAAGCTAGCAAGCCTTTCAATCATGCTCTGAGTCAAGAGAGCAAGGTTATCACTGAAGCCAGAGATTGATATTTCAAGCCCCTTGTTATCATCGGTGATCGAGAATTTGAGCCCAGCGAGTGTGGCGTCATACGTATCTTCCGTGATACTGTCTGGGAAGAGTTCGCAGAAGAGACTTGACAAGACAGAGTTCCGAGCTGTGTTGTTAATGATGGGACTGTGAAGAGTCACGTTCAAGATCGTTCTGGGGAAGCCGAAGGTGTCGTCCTGTTTGTACCACAATCGAGAAATGGGTGTTTCGCGCAGAATCACAGGGTATCTTGTGAGCTTGGCATCATCCGATTTTCGGATTTCAAGCTTCTCAGGTATGAAACGATTGGGTGGAGGAAGCGCGAGAGCCTCTGTTGGAGGACCATGCAGCACCTGCATGAGAACGTCAACAACAGCTGTGTATATGAGGAAAGGAAGCTCACATCTCTCAAGAACAAGTGGTCAAATGCGACCGTCTTGAATTGAATCCCATAAATGGGCTCGACCATTTCGAACTGTCCCTCCACATCGTCCGGTAGCTCCCTACAACTCACGACAATATGTGAGGACCTAGGGTCCAACAGCACCAAAGCAGAGTCCACTTCGTCCGCCCGGAACTCCTCCAGGAGCCACTTGCTACTGATCACCTTCTCCCGCGGTATGGGAAGCTGCAGCCGGGCGGACAGGTTTCGGCAATAAGAACACGTGTTGCCTTGCTCGGCAAACCGGAAGGAGATGTCGTTGATGCGCTTAAGCTCGTCAAAGACGTAGGTGGGAAGGGGTTGGGAGCAAAGGAGTTTGATGTATTTGAAGGTCGCCACCACCACTTCTTTGTGGTGAAGCAAACCCTCAGGGGTCAAATCGACGCTGATTCGAAAGAAGGAAAAACCGGCAGCAGGTGTGGTACCAGCGTCTACCTTGTTCGCCCAACCTCGGGCCTTGAGGTACGACATGATAGAGCCACGGCCTTCGTGCCCGATGAGGTGACTTAGAAGGTTCGCTGGCTGCTATGATCAGCTGATAAACGACACCATGCGCATAATGGACTCACCTTGGTCTGGTACAGGTGCTGGATATCGGGGAATGGGAACAGAATCTCCATCTTGCGCAGATCCATCACAGGTCGGACGTAGGTGAAACGCTGAACTTGTTCCGGGCCGTAGGGGCTGTTTTCAAAGACGACTCTTTCTCCATCTACTCCGACCCTTGGCTTCCCCGAAGTCCGCACTGGAATGTTAGCGAACTTGTCTTGCACCCATTTGGCGAGGGTGTCCACATCATTTTTACCCGCAATGACCAGCTTCATTCTCCTAGCACAGTACTCGTTCTCCCACCATGCTATCAATTCTTTCCTCGGGTTTCTTCCGGCAGCCTTCGGGGTGACCCAGAGGGTCTCGAAGTTGCCGGTACCAAACTTTCCATAGGGGTGACCAGCTTTTGACAAGGATCTTTCGAGTTGGATGGATCGCCACTCATCATCCTGGCAGTTCTTCTTGTGTTCCGAATCAACAGCTCTGATCTCTCGCTCAGTACTGTCTTCGTTGAAAAGCGGTTCAATGAAAAACCCTGCAAAGTGATCGAGAGCACCTTCGAGAGCATTGGGGCTGACGTCAAAAAAGTAGTTGGTCGAAGCAAGGGCAGTATAGGCATTGGCGCTCCCATTATGGGAAGACAAGTATTGTTTGTAGCCGTTCTCTTGGGGGTGAGTCTTGGTCCCATGAAAAAGGAGATGCTCGCAGAAATGCGCGCAGCCGGGGAGATCGTCGGGATCGCTCATATGACCTATGCCAACGTTCATACTGGCGGCGGCCTTGTCGGCTTTGGGGTCGCTGATGATGATAACTTCAAGTCCATTGGCGAGAGTAAATTACTTGTGGATGCGCTTCTCAAGAGGAGGTAGGATGAGGTCAACGGGACCGGTCGCTCTGGGGATGGGAGGACATGGAGTCAAGGGTGGTATCACCGTGATGGGAGCGTCTGCGGGGGTTTCCATGTTGATAGGAGGGACTTCTGCTCACGGTCACTCAACTTCAGTTGAGAGCTCTGGGTACAAACATGTTTATGGGAAACTTACCTATCATGGAGCACTGGAAGAAGTTGCAGTTCGGCGACGATGAGGCCAGCAGGCTGTTGTAGCCTTGTGAAATATAAATAGCTGTATGCTATCTTGATCGTGGTGCGCGTTCCTGTGGGATTGGCATTCTACTATACAGATGTTCTACAGTGCCGCATGCTGACATACGGCTGGCGATCAAGATCTTCGCCCAATTTGGATGACGTTCGCAGAGTTCCCATCATCATGCGCAGAGTATCTTGATGACATCTTGATGTGTGCATCCTGCCCGGAAACCCCACATATGATATGCGCGCATTGACGATCGTGTCAATAGTATCCCGTTTTCTCCTCTGATCGTCGAGTCGTCCATTGTGATGCTCAACTCCTGAAGCTGCATGCAATTTGATTTGCGTGCATATAACAGACGCCTGCCTGCTGCTAGCCTGGGTGACATATGGGTATTTTAGATCGTCAGATTCGGACTTTGACATGAACGTAGTCGCAATTAATGACTCGTGGGCTAGTCTGAGCTCAGTGAGTCTTGTCAGCCCCGTTGCGCACCATACACCAGATCCTCGCTGCCATCCCGCAACTGTAAGTCCGCACGCGCGTTTGACCTTCTTTTGTATCATTCGGTCACTTTTGAATACGCTTCTACATAGCGTGCTTTGCCGGCGGTGTCGATCTTGGCGCTTGGTCAGTGATGCACAGCCGATAGAACAATGGTGGTTTCAAAAGAACAAGATGGACTCGCTACGTCAGCGGCGGTCACCGCCCCTGGCTTACCTTTTGTTTTCGCCATTGTTCTCGGGTTTCTATTGTTCCAGAAAGGATCGCTTTCTTTCTCTTTCCTCATATCTATGCTTAGACAGATCAGCAAACTCAAGGGTCCAGCTAGACTCATCCCAAGAACACGCATACAGCAGACAGCACTTCGCATCCCCAGCATCGCTACCCAGCCCTCCTTCCGCCTTTCCAATCAACCAGTTACCATCAGAGCATACGCTACACCTGCCAGGTGAGTACTGTTCATTTCATCATCAACATTTGCTGATTATATCAGGCAACCGATTAGACTCCCAGAAACTCCTATCATGGCCTCCCCCTTCCCTCCTTGTCCTCCTATCCCCAAGGCCAGTGGCCCTGTCAGCCTTATCGTCCCTCCCACAGAAGACCGCGCCCACAAATACTTGACGCTAGACAATGGACTTGAAGTCATCGTTGTCAGCGATCCCAAAGCCGACAAGGCTGCGGCTAGTATGGATGTCGGGGTTGGCCATTTGAGCGACCCCGAGGACCTGCCGGGTTGTGCGCACTTTTGCGAACATCTTCTTTTCATGGGCACCAAGACCCACCCTCAAGAAAACGCCTACTCTCAATACCTTTCCTCCAACAACGGTAGCTCCAACGCTTGGACCGCCATGACCTCTACCAACTACTTCTTCGATGTCAGCCCCGATGCTCTGGAAGGCGCCCTGGAACGATTCGCCGGTTTCTTCGTGGAACCCCTTTTCAACGAAGATTGTACCGAGAGAGAAATCAAGGCGGTCGACTCTGAGCACAAGAAGAACTTGCAGAACGATGTTTGGCGGTTCTACCAGCTCGAAAAGTCGCTTGCTAAGCCTGGCCACCCCTACGGCAAGTTCGGTACCGGCAACTACGAGTCACTGTGGTCAATCCCCAAGGAGGCCGGCAGAGATCCCCGGCGTCAGTTGATCGAGTGGTGGGAGAAAGAGTACTGTGCCAGGAGAATGAAGTTCGTGGTGGCGGGCAAGGAGGACGTCGAGACGCTGGCCAAGTGGGTGAAAGAGAAGTTTGCGGGTATCCCCGTTAGAACGGAGGGCAAGCCTGAGGTTGGACGAGATGGTCAGCGAGTTGTCTTCGAGGACAGCCCCTTTGGTCCCGAGCAGCTCCAGAACTTTACCTTTGCCAAGCCTGTGCGAGACATCCGAGGCTTGGAGATGGTGTTCCCCTTCCCCGACACTGAGCATTTGTATGAGTCTAGAGTGGGCCTTTCCCATCCATATGGTTTATTGAGACTGATCAAAGTAGCCCACACATTTCCTCGCCCACTTCCTCGGTCACGAAGGCCGCGGTTCCGTCCTCTCCTACTTGAAGAAGCAAGGATGGGTCAACACCCTCCGAGCTGGTGACTACCACGACGCCTCCGGTTTCTCCCTTTTCAAGGTCGCCGTCGACCTCACTCCCGAGGGTCTCCAGCACTACGACGATGTCGCCAAGGCGATCTTCAAATACATCTCTCTCCTTCGCTCTCAGCCTCCCTCCCGACTCGCCTTCGACGAGATCAAGGCTATCGCCGACATCTCTTTCCGCTTCGCCGAACAAGGCAAGACATCGCACTACTGCACCAACCTCTCCTCTTGGCTTCAGTCTCCTGTGCCGAGAGAGAAGATTGTGAGCAGCAAGTGGCTGGTTGAGGAGTACAAGGAGGACGAGTTGTCTTCAGCTTTGCAGCTCTTGGACCCTAGGCGAGCAAACATTGGTGTTACTTGCAAGGAATTGCCCAAGAGTGTTCAAGGTTCATTCGATCAGAAGGAGGAGATCTACGGTACAGAGTACAAGAGGGTCAAGTTCAGCGAGGAATTCCTGAGAGAAGTGAGTACCCTGATATCAACATGGGACAGTGCTGATTGAGTAGACTACCGCTGGTGCTCCCATCCCCGAGCTCGCCCTCCCTGGTCCCAACCTCTTCATCCCCAAGAAGTTTGACGTTGAGAAATTCGAAGTCGCCGAACCCGCCAAGCGACCTGCCATCCTGCGGGACACTCCCCTTTCCCGACTGTGGTACAAACGCGACGACCGATTCTGGCTTCCCAAAGCCAATCTCGAGATCATGCTCCACAGCCCCATCCTTAACGTCACTCCCCGTAATGCCGTCCTCTCTCGACTCTTCTGTGACTTGTTCTCAGACGCCATCACTGAAGACGTCTACGACGCCGACCTTGCCGAGCTCAGTTTCGGCCTTTGGAACACGAGCCAGTGGATCTCCATCTCTGCCGGCGGTTTCAGCGACAAGCTCGCCGTCTTGACCGAGACCATGCTGGACAAGTTTGTCAACTTCCAGGTCGACCCTAAGAGGTTCGAGGAAATTCAGGAAGCTACCAGGTTGTACTGGAAGAACTTTGCTTTGAGCGACCCGTACAAGATCGGCAGGTTCTGGGACTCTTATGCTACGCATGAGGTCATGTGGACGCAGGAGGAGAAGCTGAGAGAGTTGGAGTACATTACTGTGGCGGATGTCCAGGCGTTCGGTAAAGAGATGTCGGCTCGACTGCATATCGAGACCCTTGTCCATGGCAACACTTCGCCAGAAGGTGCCAAAGAGATTCAAGATATGCTCGAGCGAGTGCTCAGCCCGCGACAGCTTACTGCTACCGAGTTGAAGGCTACCAGGTCTCTTGTCCTTCCTGCTTGTGAGTCCCTTGTGTTTGATTATGATGAGTGCTGATCGGCGTAGCTACGGAGCACGTCTGGGAGATCCCGGTGCCCAACAAGTCGGAAGTCAACGGCGCCGTCATCTACCAATGTCACGTCGGCGATCCCTCCGACGTCACTCTCCGCAACCACCTCTCCCTGTTCTCGCAGATCGCCTCCGAGCCCTGTTTCGACACTCTGCGAACCAAGCAGCAGCTCGGTTACATTGTGTCTGGACATGCCTCGCAGTCGAGCGGTGCCATGGGTTACTCTGTCCTCGTTCAGAGTGAGAGGGACCCGATCTTTGTGGAGACGAGGATCGAGGCGTTCCTGGATGGCTTGAAGGAGACTTTGGAGGGAATGAGCGACGAGGAGTTTGAGAAGCACAGGCAGAGTTTGATCGCAAAGAAGGAAGAGAGGCCCAAGAACCTCAATGAAGAGAGCACGAGGTTCTGGGGCAGGATTTCTGACAGGTACTACGAGTTTGCCAGGCGTGAGTTTTATATGCTTGTCTCTATTGCTTTTGCTAATTCGTTGTAGGCGAGAACGATGTGGCTGTCCTCAAGAAGGCGACCAAGCAAGACGTACTGAACGTCCTTTTGAACTACATCCACACTTCATCCTCCACCCGAGCCAAGCTCTCCATCCACCTCCGATCCCAATACAAGGGCGTCAAATTCGACATTGCCGCCGCCGCCCCTCTTGTCGAGGCTTTCACCAAGGCCGGTATCGCCGTCGACCCCGCTGCGATCCAGACTCTTCTCACCAACAACCCAACATTGCAACAAGTCAAGGACTTTGGTGTGGCTGCGATTGAAGGCGCGGCGAATGTTGCGGAGGAGGTCAAGGGGCAGCTGAAGAGTGTTGTAGATGCGCTCAAGGGCAGCGAGGAGGCTACCGAGGAGCAAACGGAGGAGGTGAAGCTGAGACCCGGAAACGTGTATATCGAGAACATTGAAGAGTTCAAGGCGAGGCTTGTGCCGAGTAAGGCTGCTGTACCGGTGGAGCCTTTGCGTCAGTTGGTGGCGAAGTTGTAGTGAGGTCTTTGAAATCATCAAGTATAGCATTGTGTAGTGGAAACAAAATGCATCACTCTAGTCATTCATTAGTGTGTCATCCCTTTCTACTTGTGATCGGGTGGGTACACATAGCGATACATCTCGTCCGCGATTTTGCTACGTGCTTGTACCAGTTCCACTAATCCGACAAAGATCAGGGGGGAAATCTGTCAGATGTCATGACCCAAGGGGTCCGTTTGGCAGGTCGCTGTGTTGACGACTCGGAATCCATGCGCGCGCGCGGCTTAATATACAACAGGGGTGTTGGCATGTTGGACGATTGTGATGCCGCTCATGAGCGTAGAGCGCGTACATAGCGTAAAGAATGGTCCAGATGGAACAGCATTCGAAGGCAGTATAGGCCTGGCTTGGTACAGTAGAGTACAGGCTCAGCTGAAAGAAAATGTACTCAAGAGGAGCCGTCTCGGCCGCGGGTGCAACGGACGTCAGCGAGGACTTTGCAGTTAAAGGAGTCGATTCTTTTCGACGAATACCCGGGTTGCGGGGGGGAGTTATGATTGGTCAGGCCGAATGCAACGGTTATGGCTTACCCGCCAGCGAGCGTAAAAGGCTTATAAGCCGATCGGCAACCGCCGACGGCGTCAGATAAACGTAAGCTCTTTTATTTTGGTGCGATGCTATAAAAGAGCGGGGTTGCCCCACACTACCCCATAATTCGCTTCACTTCGCATCTTTCGTTCTCTTTCATCTCTATATAATCCTTTACCATGCTTAGATCCGCTATCCCTTCCTCTGCCCGAGCCCTCGCCCGGTCGAGAGCCCCCAGAGCTGCTGCCAACGTTGCCCGACCAACAGCCGCCTCTTTTGCTCGACACCTCAACACCAAGCCTGTCAGCTCCCCCGCCGCATCCTCCCTCACAGACAAAAACCACTCTGGCACCCACAGCTCTTCCCGCATAACCCCCAGCAACAAGAGCAAAGTCTGGTCTGACGCCAAATCTGCCATTGTTGATATCAAGAACGGTGACACTGTCCTCTCTGCTGGTTTCGGTCTTTGTGGCACGGCCGAAACAATCATCAAGGCGATCAGGGAGAGCGACCTGCAAGACTTGACCGTTGTCTCCAACAATGCTGGTAACGCTGGTACTTTTGGTCTTTGTGAGTGCTATTCTCACCCTTGTCGTAATCTCGCAAATCTCGGCAGGCATGATCGTGACGCGTGGGTCGTCATGCAGCTCATGGGATCCACCATCCTTCAGCTGGCATCTTATTTCAGTGCTCGGGCGCCCAATTGTGTTGACGCGTCTTTTCCCCATCGCGTCTGTTCCGTTCTTTGCATCCGCTCCGAAAAGTCCCCCGCGGCTCTCCTGTCGTGATTGCTTTTTAGCGAGATCTGCAGATCAATCGGCCGGGACGGAAGCTGATTTGTTTTGACAGCCCCCCTGATCACATCGAAGCAGATCAAGAAGATGATCTTGTCGTACCTCGGTACCAACAAGGGTCTTCAGGCTGCGTACTTGGCGGGAGAGATCGAGGTCGAGCTTTGTCCTCAGGGCACTATTGCTGAGCGACTCAGGGCTGCTGGTGCTGGTATGCCTGGGTTCTACACCCGAACTGGTACTGGTACGTCGACGTCGTTTCTCTTCCGTGTAGCTCGAGCTAATCGTGCATAGGAACTTTCGTCGAGACTGGTGGTATCCCCCAAAAATTCTCTCCCGACGGAAAGGAGGTTGTCATTCCCGGTGTGAAGAAGGAGACTCGAGAGTTTGACGGCAAGAAGTTCCTTTTCGAGCCCGCTATCCACGGTGATGCCGCCATCTTCCGAGCTTGGAAGGTCGACAAGGCCGGTAACTGCGTCTTCCGGTAAGTCTCTATTATCGTTACTGGTACATTTAGCTAACTCTGCGCAGATACACTACCCGAACCTTCGGCCCCCTCGTCGCTCGTGCCGCCAAGCTTTCCATCGTCGAAGCCGAAAACATTGTCGAAATCGGCGAGCTCGACCCCATGGAGATTGATCTCCCCGGTATCTACGTCGACCGTATCGTCCCCGCTACCGAGAACAAGGAGATTGAGATCGTCACCACCCGAGAGGACTCTGACAACGTCTCTCCTTCTTCAGGAGAAGAGGTTGAGAAGAAGGAGAAGCCCAAGAGCCAGTTGCAGAGGGAGAAGATTGCTCAGAGGGCGAGCAAGGAGTTGTTCGATGGCGCGTATGTCAACCTTGGTGTTGGTATCCCCGTCTTGGCTGCCAATTACTGCCCCGACGGTATGAAGGTGTGGGTGCAGTCCGAGAACGGTATCTTGGGTATGGGTCCCTACCCCGCCAAGAACGAGGTCGACGCGTGAGTCTACTCTTACTTCAATACTACAAAGCTTATCCCATCTAGCGACATCATCAACGCCGGTAAGGAGACCGTCACCCTCGTCGACGGTGCTTCCGTCTTTGACTCTTCCGAGTCCTTCGGTATGATCCGAGGTGGTCACGTCGACGTTTCCATTCTTGGTGCTATGGAAGTCTCCGCCAACGGTGACCTCGCCAACTACATGATCCCCGGTTCTCTCGTCAAGGGTATGGGTGGTGCCATGGACTTGGTGTCCAACCCCGACGAGACCAAGATCGTCGTCGTTACTGTCCACACCGACAAGCACGGCAGGCCCAAGATTGTGCAAGACTGCAAGCTGCCTTTGACCGGTGCTGGTGTTGTTGGCAGGATCATCACCGACCTTGCCGTCTTTGACGTCGACAGGACTGGCGAGCACGGTGGTGGTTTGGAGTTGATCGAGATTGCTGAGGGCCACACCCTCGAGGAGATCAAGGAGAAGACTGGCGCCACTTTCCGAGTCAAGGAGCCTCTCGGCAAGTTCTAAGTGCAAATAGAAGGAAAGAAGTTTTGTTTATCCTGTTTGAATCTGGTTACTTTGTTAGACATGTGTATATAGAGGTTCGTTTAGATGGACCTTAGAGCTAGATCTCTTGCATGTTGGGACGCTATCTTGATGCATTGCATTGCTGTTCGATCTTGTCATTCTCTACGATTTCCTCGGACGTTGTGGTGATCTGATGTTTGCCTTCGGCTGTCCATGGCAATGTGTCTGTCTACTCGCAATGTCTTGATCGACCTTCAAGCACCCCTACGCTGCAGCTGATATTGGTCGTACCTCCCTTTGCACCGTCTCCATGATCGGCATCGGCAGTAGTGATGGTATGCATAGCGCTATAGCGCCCGTAATGAGTATGCTCCCCCCGTTCTCCTCAGATCTCCAAGACCGCCTCCGGCTCTTCCAAACTCCCTACCGTCTCTCGCCAATCGCCCACTCCTCACGCCTACTCCATCTTCTCCATTCGCCGTCTCTCCTCCGCCTGCCTCCAAGCCATACGCCAATGTTGGCCAGTCGCCGAGTTGGTGGCGTTCTCCATTGGGGGGAGGAGGTAGTTGTGTTGGGATTCTGTTCGAATGACCTGCGGATATTTTTAGCTTGAGTTCTTGACGAGTTTTAGGACAGGGGACGCACGGAACCGATGGACATGAAGAAACCGAAAGTGGCTGCTGAAGAGAGCATATATTGTGACAATGTCGCTACGAGACCTCTAGGTCCAGGCCCGGCTCTACGCAAGCGTCAGTTGAGTCTTCAAGAGATTACTGAGATAAGGACACACCGCATGACGGCGAAGGAACCAAAGATGAAACCGATAGTCAAGCCGACGCAACCTATAACGCTTGATCAATTCCCTGTTCAAGTATAAAAGACAGTTGACATACTTCCCATGACAGCACCCATCTTCACTACAGATTCACCACATTAGCACACCTTATCGGACTCTAGAAGTGGAGGGTGACGCACTTTTATCGAAGGTGGATCCGCCGGCATGTGTTTGAGGAGGAGGAGGCATATTGGTGATGTGATTATTTGCTTTTGTTGAATGTGGGTAGCGAGTGTTCCGTTAGTGTGAAGTCGGAGGCGGGCAGGAAGATATAGAAGCCAAGGGATAAACGAAAGAACAAAAAAAACGGCCGATAGAAGGACAAGACCGGAGGGCATCTAATTTATTTGTGGGTCGTCTTAATAATGAGTCTGGCAGTGGTACTGGGCCATGGTGCGGCTGTGAGGGATGCGCTTTGGCCATTAACATCTGGGAGCCTTAGCTCAGTGGTAGAGTAGCAGATTCCAATTCTTCGGAATAATCTGTTGGTCAGCAGTTCAATCCTGTTAGGCTTCATTTTTGCAATCTTTTTTCCACAAGTAACTGTTTTTGATTCTTCACCGTCCCATGAAAAGACAGACACTCACAACCACAAGTGTCCTTCCATATGATGCATAGCTCTACCCGGTATTCTACATGTCATATACGCTGTTTCACTTTCTACTGCCTGCCATCATGGAGCTCAATCTACCCACTTGCTGTCGATCATGGCAGGCTCGATAGAGGACTGTAACAGACCAGTCTTTCCGCAGACCCATCTAGGACTTGTATACATCGAGACATTGATAGAAATTCTACCCACAAAACCCATATCTCTCTCCGACCCATCCCCCAAGCCTCTCCTTCGCCCAAACCATCTCGTCCCCTTGTTTCCCATCATGGTCCTCCTTCATGAATTCGACCTCTTCCGCCGTTGATCCTCGATACCTCTCCGCTCTGATCGCCTGCACCGAGCCGTACCTCCTTCCGAAATGCTTTAGGGCATGGACAACGACTTCCACTTCCGACTCGATTACAGCGATTTGCTGGGGGGAGGGAGGGGATAGAGATTGAAGACGCTTGAGCTCTCGGATGAGGATTTTGGATATGAAGGCAAGCCTACAGTCGTCAGTTGTGCTCGAGAAATTGATGTTGAGAATGATGGCTCACATTGTGACGACGAAAACGTCGAGATCAGTGTTGACCATCTGATTTGATAGATACTTGACAGTGACCGTCAACCGCTTCGCCACATTCACCGCAGCCGTATTCTCCACATTGAATGCAAAGACATCCTCTAAAAACATCCACGAGCAGCCAAGTAACAGATGCTGATATGATCAGCCCAATTCCCGAAAAGCTAGACTCACCAGAGAGATAAGATCCTTCCGAGCGCCTTGAAAGTGCCATGTATGCACCTTGCCATCCCATTCCAGCCAATTTGTCCGCCACATCTCGGGAAGATCATCTTCTATCTTCAACAACGCCCGCTTCACACTATCATAAGCCTTTGGCGTGCGGATTCTGGCCGTCTTGGTCCAGCTCCGCGAGCCAAGCGCACTTTTCGCAGAGGGACTGTCGGAAGAACGATAAGGCGACCCATGCTCAGGCGTACTCAGGTACTCCATACTCTCGTTGAAGAGCGCCGAGGCGTTCGAGTCATGCCGCGGCAGATGCTTGTCCCAGCCTGCTTCCGGAGTGAGGTACATGAGTTTTGATGAACGCTCGAGGATGGTGATGGCGCGGATCCGCAAGTTGACGAGGTCGACATAGTCGTATCTCATTGGTCTGGGTACAGAGCCAGTAGGGGAGAATATTGAGGCTATTGATACGTCGTCCGCATCCGACACCAAACCCTAGTCACATCAGCAGTAATCATAAAAAGGTGATGGTACTCACGAGTTCGTATTCGTGGATGGGCCGGGGGAAGGGGGTGGTGACCATGTCGTCCGTCAAACTCGGATACCACTGGGTTGCTATTGACCCGCATCGGTCCGTTACAAATATTGACCAGCTAATTGTCAGCTCAATCATCTTGATTCATCACTTACAAAGCCCATATTCTTTCCCCATGCTCTACAGCATCCTTCGGCGGTGCTAGATTATACGAACGGTGCCTCATCAACCCGGCCAGATCCGCCCTCATCGGCGGCACTTTCGTTGCTCTCCATACCGACCCTTTGATATGATGCAGCCCGCATGATATCGCCAGCCTCGCCGCCTGCCCCGTCAGCAACCACCCTTCATGGTACTTTGCTTTCGAGTAGGTGTACGCTGCGAGGATGGTACCAGCGCGGGTAGCGTCCATGAGGCGGTCAGCTTGAGCTGTAGCTGTGGCGAGATGGGTGGTAGCGAGAGAGTAGAAATGTGATTCGAGTTGGCGGATGGATGGGGAGGAGGTCAGGCGGGACGCCATGGTGTACATGGCGTAGAGGAGGCAGGGATGAGGACGTTTTGTCGGAGGGAGTGATAAACTGTAGAGCGTTGGCGGGATCGTCTGTCAATGGATTGAACATACCTGGCCATGAACCTTGGGACATGAAATTCTTGCCCAAACAGTCGCATACCAGAAAAGAACACATCCAACCTGCTTATCAGCACAGTCGACTCTCAGCTACGACTCACAAATGATCTCTCGCAATCTTTGGCAGGTCTCCAGCGTCAAACCATCCTCCTACGAGCCCTTGCTCTGGCTCCGGTGTCCCTACACCAGTCCCTCCGACTGTACTCGTGATTCCCAAATTCCACTGCTCCGGCTTTGTCTGAGCAGCAGCTTCGAGGAGCGCGGCCATATTCTCATTGATGTCGGTGCCGGCTTGGGCCATGTCGGCCAGCGAATTGGGATTAGGGGTGTACTGAGGGGCATAGCTTGCCTGAGGTTGGGAGGGTTGATTGATCGAGTAGGTACGAGGAGGGGGCTCGTAAGGCGTGGGTATGGGTTGCGGGAAAGATTCAGCAAGGTCTGTCGAATTCTGAAACGAATTGACGAGCCCCATGAACGTTGGATCCAGCGTGCTAAAATCGAACGCCTTCTCCGCCTGACTTGGTCCCTGGATGGGCACGCCCTCCATACCCCCGAATACAGCTCCCCCGCCAAAGTTGGGAAACATGCCGGGCATGCCGTCACTCAAGCCCGTAGGAGCCGCGGGATAATTGCCGCCATAGAGATTGACGTCGACTGTTTCGTGATTTGACATCGAGTAGGTCGTAGATGGGAGAGAAGACGGTCCTGCAATAGGCATAGCCGGCAGACTAGAGCTCGACGGCAGGGAACTGGGCACGGCTTCACTCGCGCTTCCCCTGTGCTCTTGCCCATCGAGTGTCTCTGTGCCTTTGAGCAGCGATTCCAGCTGGGCGACCTTGTCTTCAAGCTGCTGCACTCTGCTGGTAGGTTTTTTGATATCGTATATGCACTCTCGGCCGGACTTGAGGCAGTGCTGACATGAGGGCTTGTCGGCTGAACATCGTATTCTGCGTTTGCGGCAGTACTGACATGCGTCGCCCCGTCTGAGAGGGACGCGTTGTGCCGGATCATCTTTGGGCATGTTGGAGGATGGCGGAAAAGGAGGTGAGGTGGGTATTGGTAAAGAAGATGAAGAGACTAGAGACAGGCGGCGGGGAAACCAAACAAAAAGCAGTACTGGATGGCCGCCGATGCCGATGATCGGGCGGAGGGCTCCGTCAGCGCGTTGGTCGTGGTCCCGTTGGGCACGTCCAACATGGCAAGCCGGATTAGGCGATGTTCATGCACAGCTTGTTTGTTAGGGGTATGCCCACCGCTGTCCTAGTCTACGCAAGGGAATACCCAGTCTACCAGTTGAAGAAAAGTATTGCGAAGTGCGGTCATTTCGGCAACCGAGCACCACAACACGAGCCGCATTTGTCCGCGGCAAATTTGGTTCCCTCTCTGATGATCACAATCCAATACGGCGTTTTGGTCATAGGCAACGTCTGAAGTCTGAACGAACTGTCTCCGGTGGGTGTATCTGCTTGGGCCTACGATAAAAGCTTTGCCAAGAACATTGTGCATGACAACAACGGTCGGAGTCATCAGCTTCCGGATGTAGACGATGATCGTGAGTGGTACTTCGGACATGCCGAAGTGTCAGGTTGCCGATCCCTGGGAGCTGGGACATAGAGTAGATGTAGGAGTTCTGCGTGTGTACTATCTAGATGACAGCACAAACAGGAGGACCGAGTGCCGACCCGCACAAGGCAGCTTAGCGTTAGGGCACCGCTGACTCGGCTCAACGGGCGACCAGACTTCCATCAGCCCTAAGTACGTTCTGGTGATTCGACCTCAGAAACACCTGGTAATAATCATGCAGCCACATGCCTGCCAAAAGAGATCAAAAGCGCTAGGCTAGTTCTCACTGGTCATCTAAGACCACCCCCCAGATGATGATGCACGCCTTGGGCAACACTTGCCATATGCATCCAACGCTTAAGCCTGCTCACATTGCCGGTCGCCATATGTGCCCATGCACAATAAGCCGTGCAGCGTGTGATATGGCGAAGACAAAGGACCCTGCACTCGCATCTAACCAAGTTCGGGTTGTGTGTTTGGTTCCTCTGGCCCTGCTGCTCATCTGGCCCGCAAGGTCTGCTCTCGTTGTGACTTTCGAGCTTCTGACCATCAGCCCTGCGAGCTATACCGGCCCATACCGGCGGCAAGATAGCACGCTCTCGCGACTGATGCATCCTATGCCACTTGCCAAGCATGTACAGGCGGGAAGCGTCAAAGATATGCCAGACTCGGCCGGGAAGCACTGTGTACTCATCAGGAAACAAGCCACAAGCCACGAGGATCAAGACACTGGCCACACTGTCAAGATTTATCCTGGAAGGCCTAGCCCCTGGGGACCTACAGGGGACTCCTGCTGTGCTCCTGGACTCTGGAAGCCTCTTCCCGAGCCGATAGAGGCCGGTACCAGGCCTTAACTTGATGGTTGAAGGGTTGGCGCAGGGCGGGGTTCTGAAGGACGCACACAGGGATAACGTTGGGTGGGGTGATATAGCCTAGGGCTCTATGTACTGGGTGCAGGGGTATATAGCACTCACAGCGATGGTCGCCTGAATCTGATTAGAGGAGCGCTTGGCTGGGTGGCGAGACAATAAGATTGCACGAATCGGGAGCAGGCTGGTGATTACGCACGTCACCAATCGCCATCTAACGACTCTGCATAAGCACTGCAGCACCCGCCTCCCGATACATTGCAACCACCAGAGTATCCCATACTCACTCACTCAGAGGGGACCCGCCGGCACCGCCAACGCGCACGCCACCGCATCCAGCATCTCCATTTATCATCCTCATCTCCATCCCTCCCACGCGCAGACGCCGCCCTCACCCGGCACCCCTTCCGATCCCTCCCTCCGCCCCCTCCGCCCCACCACCCCCCTTCGCCTTCCATTGATCCTCGCGAGTCACCAGGTCACGCCTACACGCGTCTTGCGCGAGCTCCCTTTATGCCTCTGGCCGAGGGAGGCCCCGCAACCCGAGTCTTCTTGTAGGAGGCAGCACAGTTGACTCAACTACCGTCGACTCCAACCCCAACACCGTCAACCACCATCAACCACCGTCAGCTACCACTAAGGTACACCGCATCGCGCCTCACTTTCACCTCCACCGTCCGCATCCCCATTTCTCCTCTACATCACCACCCGCTTCCGCCTATTATTCCCCCTTCCCGCATTCGTCCACGACACATTCCTCGCCATGCCCGACTCGAACGCCCAATCAGGGCGGGATGGCCATAGTCAGAGGAAGGAGCGCTTAGGAAACTATGTCGTGGGGACCGAGATCGGCCGGGGGAGCTTTGCTACAGTGTTCAAGGGGTACCGCTCGGTAAGTGCTGGTTCTTCTATGATCTAGGTCATACGATAGTTCTGTGTCTGTATGGCGTGATGCTTGAAAAGGTCTCCTCAATGGTTGGGGTTGGTAGTGCTCCGCCTGCAGCACGACGCTTGCGGCTCGTGATGGTAACCGCGGAGAGGACGTTCCGCCTGACTGCCGGTGTACTAGTCAATGATCATCGACTGACGTTACTACAGAAGACAAAGACCCCTATAGCCATCAAGGCTGTCTCCCGACAGAAGCTCAGCGGAAAGCTGCTAGACAGCCTGGAGAGCGAGATCAATATCCTCAAGGTGATACACCATAGGAACATTGTCGCCCTGACAGATTGCTTTGTAAGTGCTTGTATATCTTTCTCTACCATACGCTAACCCATGTGTAGAAAAACGACACCCACATTTACCTCGTCATGGAGCTGTGCACCGGTTCCGACCTCTCCTTCTACATCAGACATCGCGGCAAGCTTCCGACCCTCGACTTTGTGCCCAAACCCGGATCCGGCATGGAGCTGCTACCCCGGAACGAGGAAGGGAAAGTGTATTGGCCACACCCAGAGAGCGGAGGCTTGGATGAACGGGTGACGAGGTGCTTCCTAGGACAGCTTGGTACGTTCCCGCCGGACTCTATTCTGGGCGAGGCTGACTCCATGTGTAGCGCAAGCTCTTCGTGCATTGCGGGATCGGGATCTCATCCATCGCGATATCAAGCCCCAGAATCTGCTTATGCAGCCTGCTACAGACGAGGAAGTCGCTGAAGGTCATCCGTATGGTATTCCGGTGCTGAAGGTGGCCGATTTTGGGTTTGCAAGAGTACTGGAAGAGACGGCTATGGCAGAGACGCTTTGTGGTTCACCGTACGTCACCTTCGTCTCCCACGATCCATTGCTAACACAAAGCAGACTATATATGGCGCCTGAAATCCTCCGCCACAAACAATACAACCGCTCAGCCGACATGTGGTCCGTCGGCGCCGTCCTCTACGAAATGTCTGTTGGCAGACCGCCCTTCCGCGCCCAAAGCCACGTCGAGCTGCTACAGCGGATACAGAAAGGCCGCGACAGGATCGTCTTCCCCGACGAAAAGCCGCCTGCTGCTGATGGCCGGTCAACACCCACGCCTCAGCCCGTGTCGCCCGATATCAAAGCCCTCATCCGTGCTCTGCTCAAATACGAACCAAAGCAGAGGATGGACATTGACACTTTCTTTGAGTGCGGTGTTTGGGATGATCATATGACGGAGAGTACGGATGAGAGCACGACTTTGGAGGCTTCTTCCGATAACTCGGAGCTGGACTTGAGCGAGAAGATCAGGCAGATGGTGGCTAGCACGATATCGGAAGAAAGGGCGCACCAGCCGAAATCTGATCCGGATTGCAACCCGCAGCCGATCTCAAGGTCGGCCGAGGCGACTCCTTTGCCTGTGACTGCCCGTCCTGCTCCAGTACGACGCTCGACACCAAAGTACTATGTCGGAGACTCTCCTTCCACCGAGCCTATCGTACGACAACCTTCACCGCCTTCATCTACTCCTCGCGCCAATCCTCGACCTATCATGACGACAGCCCAGCGTCGACTATCGGGCAGAGAACCCGCCAGCGTGGAAGAAGCTGGTCCGATGACGCCACCGTATACTGGCCCATCACCTACTGTGCGCCCGTCTAGGAATGTGGGCGAGGGATCGCCTTTGGCAGCTGCCCCACCCATCACCATGAGACCCGATGGGAAGCTCGAGAGAGCGAACCCGCTCGACGGGTCGGGTGTCGGTACCGATTACGTGGTGGTAGAAAAGCAAACGGTAGAGATCAACTCTCTCGCCGATGAGCTTGACCAAGCTTCCAAGCGCCCCATCATCAGGCGCAGTTCTCGCGGAAGCGTCGTCTCCCGCCCAGTATCTTCTTTTAAGCCTACCAGCCCCATTACTGGGAGGAACGAGTCTGCTGTCGCTCCGATATCATACTCGCCGCCGTACCAGATGTCGTCCACGCCTCCTTTCGCGATGCAGGCTCAGAGACACTCTCCGAGTAACGCTTCCTTCCCCCGGAACGCTTCCATTCCCAAGAATCTGAATTACTTTCCGCCTGCCGCCTTGTCAGGTTCACCTGGCTATGGACAAGATGCCATTGCTCGCTTCGGTGTCTCTCCCCAGACCGGCGCCTTGGCACGCGCCCTCACGAACACTGCCATCCGGTTGATCGGCACCGGCGCCAACTCTGCTGCTACCGCCATCGCCAAAGCTACCGCCAAGCACCGCCCCACCATCGTGCGCGTAAGCGATATCGACGCTGCTGAAGAGGAACTTTTGCGAGTCATAGAGGACCTTGCGCGCAAAGCATTTGTTCTGTTTGAACTCGCCGATGAGCGTCTTCTTGCTCAGACGCAGCTTGCGCAAGCGGCTCGCGCGTCTACGCCGACCAATATTGGTTTGACGGGTACGACTCCGCCTTTCAGTATGCAAGCTGCTGCGCAGGGGCCCAACAGACGGAAGAGCAGCTCGGGCTCGTTCAGTAATGAGGTGTGGCTCCTCAGACAGCAAGAGGCGGCCGCGAATGAGGCGGTGGTGCTGTACATGAAGTCGCTGGCGTTCATCGTCAAGGCAATGGAGAGGGTAAAGAGATATTGGAAGGGGAGAACTGAAAGTTATGAGGGGTATGTTGCTAGCCAGGAGCTCAACGAGAGTAAGTCATTCAACAAGCCTGTTTTCAGAGTACTGACGATGAGTAGTGGGTCAATGGCTTCGCGCAAGGTTCAACGACGTCTACGAGAATGCCGAATGGGCCAAGCTCCATGCAGGCGACAACCTCCTCTTCCCCGACTGGCTCATTCACGATAAAGCTCGAGACACTTCTCGCCAGGCTGCGGTAGCCGAGCTTCAGGGTGAGCTGGTAGTGGCCGAGCAGGGGTACGAGACGTCGCTGTGGTTGCTTCAAGTGCTTCTGGATGAGAGTATCTATGATGGCGGGGACATTCCGGAAGATGATCGGATTTCTTACGAGAATTGTGAGTTCAAGGGGTATGGAAAAGATTGTGACACTGAGTGTCGCAGTGATGATCCCTGTCAAGACCCGTCTGGATGCTCTCCGAAAGAAGCTCGCAGAGTCGGGTACGAATGCTCGTTGAGACTCGGCACCCAGCCGACCCCTTCATGTGGATACCCCAGGCTTGGAGCCCTCTTCTGGACACACGCAGCCCCGGATCGGGGCCAGACGAGGCGCGTTTGCCGTGGCTTTCTCGAGTGATATGTTTAGGATCCGGCTCTTTCGCTTTTCCTTTCGGCGCGGTCTTATCTCTTTCCACCTATTCCACTCAGCCCCCAGTGTCGTCTACACGACTCTCCCCTGTACACAAGCCACCCTCCAATTCACCCTCTTCACTATCACCCACCCACTCACTATCACCCCTTCAAATTCACCCTCCTCAACTTGATCTTCATCCTCCCGTTTCAGCATTTTCGGCTTCAAGGTCGCTATACATTCCCCTAGATGGTTCCCTGCGTGTTTTCATCACATCTCATGGCATTTCAACGAATAAACAAAAACATACATACAGTTTTATTGTACATAACACAACTCTTTTATCCTTGTTGTTGGTGGATATATTTATCACGTCTACTTTTCTTTGTCCCTTCTTTCTGCCTCTGTTTCTCATACCAGATCGATTTGGACGAACTCGTGGAGAGCTGTAAGGGGAGGAAAGAAAGTAAAACCCAAGAAACAAAACAAATATCGGTGGTTCATCCATATCGTTGTATTATTGTAGTATTGCCTCTCCAGAAACTTTTGCTGGCTTAGATGACTCTCGAAGATGAATTGAGTGTTCTATTGTGTTTACATGGCTACAATATGCTCTACCATTCTGATCCCCGGACTTCGCCTTCGCCGACCAGCCTCCATCCCCACTTCTCCTCTCCAACCTTCATCGGGTTTTCTTTGCTGACTTCTTCCTCGTCTGTAGTCTCGACACCAAAGAATGGGACGATAGAGTGCTTGATAACGCCTTTGAACATGTCGAGGAGTTGGGGACGTAGACGGTCGCCGGATTGGTGGAAATCGGGTGAGGCGTTGAATTCGAGGAGGGTGACGACGGGGATGGGAAGAGCGTTTGCGGGAGAGACAGGAGGGAAAGAGAGAATCAAGTCGACGCCAAAGATCTTTCAGAACGTCAGCAATGGAATACGAGCCAAGGAAAAGGGCGTACCTCAAAGGCGTTCGGCATGAACTGCAACCCAAAGCTACCACACTCGGCTCCAGCCTTGACAGTCTCGCTTACGACCTCGCCAACCTTTGCAAAGGTGCTCTTTAGCCATTCTTTCGTCACACTTCCATGGGAGTCGTAGGCGTAAGAGCCGGAAGGGGATGGGGAGGTGGAAGAAGAGAGGGCGGTAAGGCCTTCGAGCTCCCAGAAGAGCTTGACGAGGTCTGCTGGAGGTGCGGGGGCACCATAAGCGTCGGTCTACTTTGTTATCAGCTATGCGACTAGTATCGCGGCGATATGTGGCTCACCTGGAGACAGGTGTTGGTTAGATGGGGCCTCAGATCCAGGCCACCATCCTCTGTAGTTTTAGGAGGACCGTAAGGTTCACCAGAGAAAAGAGCGAGCATGGTATTGGCCAAGTAGACTTTGTAAGCACCAGTGACCAAGACGTAGGCTCGGAGATGAAATTTGTTGCCTTCCAGAGGGGCGGGAGGTTCTCCGGGGATTTGGGCGATGTCGAAGAGTAGTGGTCTTGGGAGGTATTCCTGTGCAATGGTCAGATAAGCAATGCGTAGGCGGAATGAAGACATACTTGGATGACAAAATGCCTCAGCTGAGAGGTCATGACTCCAGTACCCTCGTCTCCATCGCCATCTTCCTCATCGTCTTCATCTTCGCCGTTGAAACCTAGTTCGACAGCCTTCCTGGCCAGCATGTCGATCATGCCGTCCATGCCTCCAGGGGGCACCTCTTCCCCGTCTTCTGACTCATCATCACCATCTTCATCCTCGTCGTCTTCTTCATCTGAGGATGGAGGTTCAAACTCGGCAAAAATGAATCTCCTGCGTACTGTATGAGCACGACCCTTCTCCGCCGCGATTGACTTACAGCTCCTCTTCACTCGAAAACATCCTGATACCTTGCGCTCTGTCGGCAAACCCAGGCTTCAAGATCCACCATCTCTTTTCCCCCTCCGCCTTCTCCTCATTCGCCCTCATCCCCTCATCCAACTCGTACAGATCATCCATCAAGAGCTCATCAAGCTCATCCGCAAACTGGATATCCACAATCCACCCCTTCGGCGCGCCTCCTCCTAAAGGCGTCTCACCCTCATAAGTCTCGGGTAAAGGGGAGAGGATGGAAGGAATTTGGCGGTGAGAGCATTTGGCGAGATAGGCAGTGATAGTGTTGTGAAGCTGATGTTTTCGGATGAGGGCTTTGCGGTAGATGTATGAGGAGATGAGGTATTTCGAAGGGTTCTTGTGAGGAATGTCGAAAGACATCAGATCATAGTCGGCCCTGAGACTCAATGTCAGTTTTGATTTGGTACATGGGTGATCATCGCACCATTGCAAAGCCGGGGGTTGGTCCTCGGGAGGCTGGACCAGCGACAAAGTGAGCGAGGGAAGAGTGGAGACGAGCGCTTGGACGAGGAGGGATTGGGTGTAGGGCGAAGGGAAGGAGACGAATGCACTGAGTGGCTCTGATTCTGGGGAGGACATGGTGGCCATGGATAAGAAAGAGCAGATGTAGATGCAAGAGGACACATGTAGATGGCAGCTTGGACTTGTCGGGCCGTGGAAAAGTTGGACAGGCACAAGGCACCGCTGTTGATCTCTCCAACGACGCGGACAATGATTGCTCAGAGTTCTATGAATTCGGGCTGAAGTAGAGCGGTGCCATTCATCTCTACCCAAAGGCTCTGTATAAAAGCTGCATATCGCAACTACAAATGAGAAAGAAATCAATCAAAGCTGCTCAACAACCTCCTTGATACTCTTGACCAGCAGCCTGACAATCTCAGAAGCTTGCTCCTTGGTAATCGTGTATGCCTATAGCCAGTTCAGTCATCCGGTGGATCTTATCTTTCCAAGACAACTCACCGGACCGAGCACGATAGACTCCCCTTCGGAACCATCGATCGTACCACTCAGTCCCATCACGATAAGGCCGTTCTTGAAGGCTTGGTCTTTGACGCGGGATGCAAGGCGGGGTTTGAGGGTCATGGGACCATCTAGCTCGACGCCAATGAACTAACATAATGAGTAGATGCTTCAAAAAGTGTGATACTCACAAGTCCCTTTCCTCGCACATCGATGATGGCCGGGATGTTCTTCGCTGCGACCTCCAGCTCCTCCACAATCTGCTGCCCTCTCTCTCTGACATTCTCCAGCAGTCCCTCCCTCTCCACAATCTCCATCACCTTACCCGCCACCGCGCAGTTGACCGGATGGTTCTGGTAAGTGTGCGAATTCTTCCACTGCCCGCCTTCCCTCACTTTACTCGCCACTCGCTCATTGACGAGCACTGCCGAGATCGAGACATAGCCCCCACCAAGACCCTTCGCCATGCCCATAATATCCGGCTTGACTCCCTCCCCGACGGCTTGATGTGCAAAGAGTTGACCGACACGACCGGAACCGCACATGACTTCGTCCATGACGAGCAAGAGGTCGTGTTTCTTGATGACCTTGTCGATGGCGGGAAAGTAGCCTTTGGGAGGAGGCATGACGCCGAGAGCGGCACCGACGACGGGTTCGGCGACGAACCCTATGACGTTCTCGGGGCCCAACTCGAAAATCTTGGTTTCGAGTTCATCGGCAAGGCGGGCGGAGTAGGCTTCCTCGGTCTCTCCCTTCTCGGTGTAGCGTTTGTAAATGGGAGAAGAAACGTGGTGGAAGGCCGAAGAAGAGAAGAGGGGTGTGTAGATGTCTCGTCGTCCAGGGACGTTACCCACCTGGAAACGGTTAGCTAGGTCACAGTACATCAAGGGTAGACGTACGGCGAGCACCCCAAGGGTGTTGCCGTGGTAAGAGGGGAAGCGAGCGATGATGTACTTGCGTTCGGGTTGACCAGCTTCAACCCAATACTGCCTAGCGGTCTTGATGGCAGCCTCCATCGCCTCGGAACCTACTCAAATCAGCTCAGATCTCCTCTATTCAAAGTAAAACCCACCAGAATTCAAGAAAGCAGCCGCCACAAGCGCCCCCTCGCTCCTGTCACACAACCATTTTGACAGCTTCTCCCCCTCCTCAGTGCCCAAACTCTGATGGTACGCATAAGCCATCTTCTCCGCCTGCTTCGTCATTGCCCCAACGACCTCCATGTTACCATTGCCCAAACAGGCGACGGCGGCTCCACCAGAACAGGCATCGAGAACTGTCTGGCCAGAGGAGAGGGTAAAGTAGATGCCAGAGGCGGAAGCGGCAATGGGCTGGGGCTGGGCGTGGTGGAATTGGGAGGAGACGGGGGCGGATTTGATGGGGGAGGGGACGACGGTGGTGGATTCGGATACTGCGATGGGAGCCATGGTGATACTGCTGAATGGGATGAGAGTTGGGAATGAGATGCGACTGCTTTATATACTTGACCTTATCTCCGCCAGGTGACTTGCGATGTCACACGATAAGAGGATCGGCTCACCACGAGGCCACGTCCACCTTCACGTCCACCTTCTCATGACCATTTCCACTTGAGTCTGATATGTTGGCATATGATTTGACCCCCATCTCAGGATTGGACCTAATCTCATCCGATATTCCAATACCCGACGTAAGAATTGGACCTCGGCAAATGTACTCGGCAAATAAAAGGTAACGGGAGATAAGGGGGTCAACAATCGGACATGGCCGAAGTTGGCTACTCGCTGCTTGCAGTTGTAGATGTGCTCAGAGTCCCGCATCGTATGGAAAGACAGGCAGTTGTATGCAAAAATGAAAGTACATGATGGTACCATTACTTGGCATACCGGTCGCTATGGGCGGTCAGTTGGAGATTCTCATATGGGGGTCTTACTCACCTCTTCTGAGCCGCTCTTCTATCCAACATAGCTTCAGCATATCGCCCTTCTTTCACATTCCTTTGCACGTCGTCCCTGTCTTTGGCAGAAAGACGTCCCTTGACATCATGCCTGCTCAATCTCTCCCTAGCACCAAAAGTCAGCTGCCACTCCCGAGAAGCGCGATGAGGACCCACTGTCTTCTCAGTTCATCTGTATCCCTCCCGACCTCGATCCCCTTCCTCTCTCCTCTCAACTTGTCATCCCCTGCTCTAGCCTTCCACACGAATTCTCTTTGGCACTTGATCCTCAGTCCTTCATTCGCTCCAGACTCGTCGGCGTCGGCTCGGAGCTCCACTTTGGCGCCGGAAGAGGGGGCGGAGAAGAATTTGGAGCCGTGCTGCGTCTGGAAGGAGAATGCTGGGAAGAGGTCGGAGGATGTAGGGGAAGAGAGGGGAATGAAAGCTTCGAGAGGACCGCGGGAAGGGGTGGTGGCTGTGAAACTCCCAGACGGCTCTGCCGTCAAGAATGTTCCTCTAGAAGCACATCAGTAGATGCTTCCCTCGCACAGATGCTACCTACGTGCTCGTCCGCAGACTGATTACATCTTCACTCCCGCTCAACCTCGATACCACCCAGACATGGTTCACATCCGTCGGCTCGATCGTCTGTAGTATTTCAGCTTCGGAAAGGTCGTTGGCGCCTTCAGGTGCTTGTGGTATTTCGACCGGGACGGCATGGACTCTTTGCCTATGCGGGTCCCACTACGAACGGGTTAGCATACTTGAGTGACGTTGTTGATGAAACTTACGGCCAGACATGTTAGAGGCTCAGTGGGGAGCAGGATGTAAGCGGGTCCATTGATTTCGTTTGGTCCTGAGGGAAACATCCATCCTACGCATTATCAGCACTGCAGAGTCAACTCTTCACGGGTGGAAGATACCTGTGGGATCGGCAGCAGCGAGCGCTTCGAGCTCATCGCGCCCACTTTGAGTTCCGCTGGAGTGGTTGTGGGACCTCTTCTTCTTCTTGCTCTTGTCGCCCTTGAACTTGAGTTTCTTGCTCACCACGCCGGAAGAAGACATATTGAATTGTATATAGAGAAAACAAAAACACTGTCAAAAGATCGAGGTCATGAGCGCAAAGGGTGACGAAGGGAAGCGGCGATGACCGCCCCGTAATCTATCTCGGCCCGAGTCGCCTTTCTGTGTATTCGTTATTTTCTCGCTTGATTTTCTTGATCTTGCTTCTCTTTCATCTTTCTTGCCTCCAAAAAACTCTCGCAATGTCGTCCTCTTCGAACGCAGAGTCTATCGCGGTTGCAGCTCGCAGAGCATTTGAAGCGTCCCAGCTCGTTGATCCCTCAGAGCGCAATGTCGCGCTCTACGCTATCCGTGAAGTGCTCGAGGTGCACAAGGATGAGGTCGTCGCTGCCAACAAGAAGGACATGGAGGATAGTTTACCATAATCCGAAAATAACAGTGCTGATATCATATCTAGGCTGCCCAACCCCTTGTCGAAGCTGGCAAGCTTTCCGCCTCCCTCGTCTCTCGACTCGACCTTTCTCGACCTGGAAAATTCGAAGCCATGCTTCAAGGTATCTCCGACGTAGGGTCCCTCCCCGTCCCCACTGGCATTGTCAACTTTGCCAAGGAGCTTGGGCCAGAGCTTGAGCTTCATCGGGTGACATGCCCTGTGGGCGTGCTGTTGGTAATCTTTGAGGCCAGGCCGGAAGTCGTGGTCAACATCGCTGCGCTGGCTATCAAGAGTGGTGCGTATCGATCGATTTGCGGAGGAAATGTGGACTGATGTGATTCAGGTAACGCGGCAATCCTCAAAGGAGGCAAAGAATCCATCCACACCGCCACCCTCCTCTCCTCCCTCATCTCTCAAGCCCTCTCCAAAACATCCATCCCAGCCACATTCGTCCAATCCGTATCTACCCGTTCCGAAATATCCTCTCTCCTGGCTCAAGACCGGTATATTGACCTGGTGATGCCGAGGGGCGGCAACGAGCTGGTGAAAAGTATTCAAAACAATACGCGGATCCCGGTGATGGGGCATGCGGATGGGATTTGCGCAGTGTATTTGGATGAGAGTGCTGTGGAGGAGAAGGCTGTTCGGATCGTCGTCGAGTCGAAGGTTTGTTCGCTTCATATTCCTATGAGCTGATACTGACTAGGAGATAGATTGACTACCCCGCCGCCTGCAATGCCGCTGAAACACTGCTCGTCCACTCCTCCCTCCTGAACACCATCTGGCCCAAAGTCGCCTCCGCCCTCTTCTCCAATGATGTCCGTCTCCGATGCGATGCCGCCTCCCTCGGCGCCTTGCACGAGAACGCCATCACCCAAGCCGCTCAATTCGCTACCGCCTCCTCCCCAGAGGACTACCGCGAAGAGTTCCTCGGGCCCACATTGGCGGTCAAGGTCGTGGAGAACGTTCAAGAAGCGATCCAGCATGTCAACTCGCACTCTTCGCACCACACCGATTCCATCATCACCGAGGACGAGCAAGCCATGTCTGCCTGGTGCCGAGGCCTTGATAGTGCAAATTGCTATGTCAATGCTTCCACCCGATTCGCCGATGGGACACGATATGGGCTCGGGACGGAGGTGGGTATCTCTACAGGCAAGACGCATGCGAGAGGACCCGTGGGACTGGATGGGCTGGTCATTTACAAGTACATGATGAGGAGTAGGAAGAAGGATGGAAGTGTTGTTGGGGATCATGAGAAGGGGGGCGCGGGGTACACACACAGGGATTTGGAGAAGGGCGATGCTCCGTTCTAGAGAGTCTGTGGAACTCCAAAGTAGCAGATGGGGGACGATGGTCTGCCGTTGATTGCTTCTTCATGCCGTATATGTTGGCATCTTGTTGCCCTGTCTACATAATATCCATATCATACACTAGCATGCCAAGTGTGCTCATCCGAGATGCATTTCCAACAGGATAACAGGATCACTCACGTACAGGGACGCTGGAGGGCCAGATGACGCTGCTGACCCAGCAAGAAAGTGGAGGCAACCCACCACAGAAGACAGGTGAGTCAACGAAGTCACATGACCACGGAAACACCCTCGGAGCTCTGGCCGTGAGTTTGACTGGGCAATTGTCTTCTTCCAGTAATTTGACCTCTGGCAGGCGGGCAACATCCCGGGTCGACGAGACATCTACACACCCCTTTTCTATCCTTCGGCGGCAGCTCGTGTCAAACCCCAGGCCTTCGAGAACGGTCTTCTTGTTTTAGGGCTGAGCGGCACGGTCGATGGGAATGAAGGCGAATCTATTATGCTGGCTCCGGTGAGTCTGCATATATCGACTGTTTACGGCCTATACTATTGAGCTGACAGCCATTAGGCCTACACCAACACCGAAGGGCAGGCGTCTGATATTGTTCGTCTGCTTGTGAAGAGTATCAGTGAGGTGTCTGAACGATTTTGAGGATACATACGATTCATTGCCTCTCGAGAAGACGCCGGCATACGAGATGCTGCAGATCGGGTGTTCCACAGTATAGCTAGGGGATAGTCTCAGCTATTATTAATGTATCTATGGACCGCAGGACCTTGCGGAAGGAACGATGCACGCATGCAGTGGGAGGTTGACTGAGAAAGTATGAAAGGAAGCAAGAAAGGAAGCAAAGTGCCACACTCGGCAAATTGTGCGGAAAGCTCCGCCTCTCTTACGCGTTCCCCTTCGTGGCGTCAACCCGCAAAGGTACTCATTTATCAACAACAACAAATCGCGCAACCGCATCTCTACAATCCTCAACGCATATCAACATGGACATCGACAGAGAACTGCGTGGCGGCGACGAACCCTATGGCGCGGAGGGCGGAGATAGATGTGGGTGTCTTTCGGATTAAGAATACTGGACTGGGGCGGGTAGCGTATCGGGGCTGGCGCAATGGGTGGGGGTGGAGAAAGGAAAGGAAGGGTCCCGAAGGGCCTTGCCTTGGATAGTAGGATAGACGGCTGGCTTGGATGCTGCAGCCGTCTGGAGTTTGAGGCGAAGCGGGGGTGGATTATGCGAGGCAGGAAGCGGAGTATGCGGATACCGCCAATCACTCAGCAACCGCCATCCAACCTACCTTACCCCCTTTCCCCACGCCCCTTTCCCTTTTCCTTTCAGGCGTCAGGATGAGAGGATTGGATTTAGAATGGAACGGAGGAGCTGATAGATGGATTCTCTGTTGGAAATGATAGATTCTAGAAGGGACGACCGGGATAGGAGCAGAAGTCGAGACCGCTACAGGCGCGACGACGATCACTACCGTGCCGTGAGTCATTTTCCTGCTGGCGGTGGTGTAGAGGGGGTGGAGCTAGAGCAGGTGTTTTCAAACCCATAAAGGAACAGGACCTGACCGAAGACGGTGATGGGGGTATGGTTGTGGACGAACAGCGACGTAGATCATACTCTCGCTCCCGTTCGAGATCCCGAACCCGCTCTCCCCACCGACACCACCGACATCACCGCGCCCCTTCGCATGACCGTGAGCGCGAACCCGAGAGGGAAGGACGCCATCGTGAGGGTGGTGAGCGCCGAAGGGATGATTTCCGAGGTGGTCGCGGACGAGGTGGTGGTAAGTTTGGTGCCCCGCGAGCTGAATGGGAGAAGAGTGTTGGCGGTCCTATGAATGCTCCTGCCAGCGAGGCCGAGGCGCACGCCAAGGTCAGCAAGAGGGAGAACAGGTTGTACGTCGGCAACTTGGCGTATGACTGCAACTATAAGGATCTTGCGGCGTTTATGGAGCGAGGTGAGTACTTTTCAGTCTGCTTGAGGCTCAACTGACCTCTACTTCTAGGCGGTGGCAAGGTTATCTTCTCCGAGGTTCTTACTACTCCTGCCGGTCAATCAAAGGGTTGCGGGTAAGTTTCGCTGACATCATCCCTGGCCCGTATGCTGACTAGTATGCAGTATCGTCGAGTACGCCACCTCTGAAGAGGCTCAGCGAGGCAAGGCCGAGCTTTCCGACAAGCCTTTCTTTGGTCGATCCGTGTTCATCCGTGAAGACCGTGAAGAGAATGCTCGATTCGGCGCCCCTTCCATCCCCGGGAAGATTGGTATCGCTATGGGCGAGGCCAGGAACTTTTTGGGTGCTCAGCAAGGCTTCGGAGGGCCTGGGTTCGGCGGTGGCTTCAACAATCCCAATATTCCCAACAGGAATCTGTTTGTCGGCAACGTGAGTGTTTCGCATAATCATAACCGACTGTACTGATTCATTTCAGCTTCCTCTCCAAGCTTCTTGGCAAGACCTCAAGGACCTCATGCGCCAGGCTGGCGAGGTGATTCGAGCGGACATCAAGTTTGGGCCTGACGGCAGCCCCAAGGGCATCGGAACAGTCGTCTTTGTGAACGCGGATGACGCCAAGGCGGCCATCGGTAAGCATTCCTGTCGTATCTAGAGACAAAGCTGACAGGTTGATAGAAATGTTTAACGGCTTTGACTGGTTCGGCAACGTTCTCGAAGTACGCGAAGACCGCTTTGTCCAGAATGGCGGCTTCCGAGGTGGTCGAGGTGGTGCCTTTGGCTTCCGAGGTGGCTTTATGCCTCGGGGTGGCTTTGGCTTCCGTGGTGGCTTCCGAGGCGGTTTCCGAGGAGGATTCGTGGGTGGTGGTATGGGTGGCGGCCATATGGGCGGCATGGGCATGGGTCATATGAACGCTGCTCAGAATGCTGCTCAAGGTGGCGCCGGCGCCGCAGCTGGCGGAAGGGCTTTCAACGACAATATCTACGCCGACTACAACGGTCCTGAAGCCGGCAACATCCCTGTCGATGCTGCCCCTAGTGGTTTGGAGCCCATCCCTGCTGAGCCCAACCAGCAGATCTTTGTTCGAAACGTGAGTCCTCTCTCTACTCGTTTTGTGTCTGGGCTGACATGAATTAGCTCCCTTGGTCAACATCCAACGAGGACCTTGTCGACCTCTTTGAGACCATCGGCACTGTCACTGACGCCGAGATCCTCTTCTCCAACGGTCAGAGCAAGGGAGAGGGTATCGTGCAGTTTGCGGAGACCACAGATGCTGCTAGCGCGAGTGAGAAGTTTATGGGATGGCCTTACGGTGGACGACAGCTTGGTACGTCTCTCCTATATGTACCGGCGCTATATGCTGATAAGAGTCTGTAGATGTCCAGTTCAACCCCCAATGGCACGAGTTCTCTGCTTCCGCCATCAAAGTCCCCGCTGCCGCCTAATCACCCTCCCTCCTCCCCCTCGCTCAGGCCGACTCCTTACACCACTCTCTTAAAAAAAGAAATACGCTGTTGTTAGCTGCTATCAAGCAAGTCATGGAGAAAAAGAACTGTAGGATAGGAAATGATGGAAATGAAAACATTTCAATCCGACTCGGAGAGATGGGAATGAGGATCGACATCTCGTATATCTGCTAATGCATTCCTCTGTATGATTCACTCGTCTTCCTACATGGTAATCTTTATTTATTCGATTTGATACTGGATCTGGGTAAACCAGGGTAGCCACGCTAATGTTGAGTGGTGATACCAGTCAACGCTCAAACCACTGCACCTGGTGTCGAAGACTGTGGTATAGGGCCGTACGGTCGACTTCGTCAGGGGCGAGTCGATTTTGCCTTTGTCGAGACATGGAGTGTGCTGAGGGGACGCATGGAGGGATACGGCCTTCCAAGGGAGGGGATGATGCGTGGCGAAGGATGAGAGGCGATTGCGAGATTTAACAGAGATACATCACACGCAGAGGCCCGAGCGTATGCGGCTGACGCCGCCGAGGTGTCTGGTACACAAACATCTGCCACGCCCTGGGGGCGGCCGGGGGGTCTAAGGCTGATGATTGCATAGACTACGGCTTTCTGCCTGATATCTGTCTCCTGTCGCATCACTCATGCTGGATGTACTCTCTGTGGATTCTTCATATACCGCTGGGCAGTTCAACAGAGAAACCAAACGCCCAAATTGCCATGTTGAAGGATGCGCGATGTCAACTGTGCGCCCCAAGTGATGGGACCTGTGCCCTTCCGACGCCCTCTGTCGTCCTTTTCCGCTCCACTTTCTCAATCGGCTGTTACTATTCATCTCTATTATCTCTCATCCCTCAATCATCTCTCCCCCCAAGATTGACCCAACAGCTCTCCAGTACCAGTACATACAGCAACATCACAAAGGCATAGTCATGGCCTCTCTCGAGGAGCTTGGCAAAGCGTCCATCGATGCCAATCCCGTCCGAGCTCTCATGCCCCTCTTCTTCGCGTACGCTTCCTTCTCCTGCTCAGTTCGTGCTCTAAGCTGACGATGGACTGATAGAATGGGTGTCGACTCTTTGCTCATGGGCGGTATAGCGCAACAGCTATTCACTTATTGTATGTCGTCAAGGGGACAGGATAAGCCTCATATACAGGGAATTGTCGTGCGTACCTAGTCTTCTTCCTTTGGATCGTGCATGCGTGGCTGATACCATAGGCGCAGTACTTTTCATCCTTCTCTGCCGCTGTCGTCACCTTCTAGTACGCGTTTCTCCCCTGCAGATCTACAAAGTTTGACGGCTGACGCGAGAGCATGCTTTCGAAAATTCTCCACTCCTTCAACATCCAACCGAAATGACACTCTAAATGGTACAGCACCTGGGCCTGGATGATGGACATGTTTACCTACAAGTACGGATCCTACGCGCAATTTATCGACCAACGTTGGTGGGCTTGGTATCCCATAATCTGCAGCTGCTGCAAGATACCCGTCCAGGTGAGCGCAACTCCCGCCCCGGGCTTGTATCGAGAAGGAAGATCTGACGCAGGTGAAGGTGTTCTATGGAGAGAGAGCATGGAGGATCAATAATTGCAATGCGTTCATCCTGATCTCTATCGGTATCTGCCTGTACTTCTCTTCGTCCCCCTTTCCCGAGTGAGCCGCTGAAGGATAGCAGGCTGTTATCGACCGTCGGCTCTTTCGTCTGGTCTGTCATGACTCATACGCTGCAGACGCAGGACTACACTTCCGTACGCCCTGCCTTCCATGCCCCGGTCCCAGCTGACTTCTATCTTAGTTGTCGTTGATGTTCTTCCACCTCTGGGTACGCTCTCTCCCCTTCTGCCCCTCTACTTTTGACCCTCAAGACTGACTCCATGTCCGACCACATGAACAGCCAACAGCGTGCGTAGTCGCTGACTTTATAACCACCTCCTCCCTCCTCTACGGTCTCCACAAATCCCGGAACGGCTGGCAAGGTACTGATCGGTTGATCTTTCGTCTTATGCGGTACGTTCACCCTTACTTTGGTGGTATGATGACCGCTTGGGCTGAGGTGGAGGTCGGGAGATGGGGGTGGGCTGAGCTGATGGCTGGACTGTAGGATTGCGATGGAAGCGCAGGTACCTGCTACTATCGCGTAAGTCTCTACCCTCCCTCCTAGCTATGCGTGAACCCTGGCGCTGATACAAGGGCATTTACAGCGCTTTGGTCGTACTCACCGCTTGGTCTGACAACACAGCCCGTATCGCCGTCGTCTTCGTGCAAGTCCTTCCCCCTCTTTCCCTCTTTCCCTTCTTCACCTCTTCACGGGAATGAAAAGTGCTGACGAATGGAATGAATTTCAGCATAACCCTCCCAAAATGGTACCTCACCGGCGCTCTCAGCGTCCTCAACTCACGAGAGACCGTCCACCTCCGCCGGGCTGGATTTGATAATGATACCACCGTCAGTTCCCATCCTCCTCTTTACCGGTGTGCAATCTGACGATGATGGCTGGTGATAGGGCTTCACGTCTTCAAGCGGTTATACGAACAGTGGGGCGAGAGGGAGTAAGAGGTACACGAAAGATCTTGGGGCGGTCACCGTCTCTACCGAAACTTATACCGAGGCGAGTCGTCTTCTTCCCCTTCCTTCCTCACCTTCCACACCTTCTCCTCCAATCCACTCCTCCCCAGCCTACCATCCCTTAGGCCTGAACCCCCCCCCCCCCGAACAGCCGCTGACGATCAACACACCACAGTCCCACATATCCACCCACATCCCCCGCCTCGGCCCCGGCCTCAACAGGCTCCTCGCAGCACACGGTTCTCACCCTTCTTTGAATCTGAGCCAGGCAATGAGCTCGGTTGAGAATATGGAGATGGTGCTTGAGGTACCGAAAGGGGAACAACTTGAAGGGGGTTCGGTGAATACGAGTAGTCAGAGTTTGATTAAGGAGAAGCCTTTCGTTTGAAGCAGTACGACACAAGGGTTATACAGCAACGGTCATTTACTTCCTTTCTAGTGTGATATATAATTATAGGTCGTTTTCGTATATAAAACATCAACATCAACATCAATCGATATCGCTTTAAGATTTGGCAAGTAATGTATGTATCTGCACACGATGATATATATGGTCAGATACGGAGACGACTTCTTTCCAGACCTCGGTCTGAAAGAGCAAGTACACTACCATACAAATGCATCTTTTGTCTAGCTTCTCCCTGATAATTTACAAGGCTAGACTGAATTTTGTTTTCTCCTCGAGTACGAGTACGGTCGACTCGTTTAAGGGCAGTCGACGACATACCAGTCAGTCACCAAAGTCTCGTTCAACGGCTCGAGCTACACATTTCAGAATCAGCGCCAGAACCCAAAGAAACAGAGAGAGAAAAGATGACATGCCTCTCCCATTTCCTTCTCGGAGAGCTCCCAGTCGAAGAGCTTGGAGTTGGAAATGATACGCTTTTGGGAGACAGACTTGGGGATGAGGACATAGCCCTGAAACACCATCAGCATCTTCTCTAAAAGATCAAGAGAAGGGGAAAAAAGACGTACCTTCTGCAAGCCCCACCTCAACATAACCTGCGCCACATCCTTTCCCTTCTCCTCCGCAATACTCACAAGCACAGGATGATCAAACCTCATCGCCCTCGCCAGCGGTCCCCACGCTTCGAGGATGATATTGTTTTCCTCGCAGATCTTGACGATGGAGGGGTGGCGCATAAAGGGGTGGAGGTCGACTTGGTTGACGACGGGGAGGGGCACGTTTTGGTCGATGAATTCTTGGATATGTTGGGCGCCAAAGTTGGATACCTACCATCCTCTCATCAGACGCATATTCTTGCAAAGACAAAGAAGGAGTGGGGTACGCACACCGATAGACTTGACGAGACCTTCCTTCTGCGCATCTACGATAGCCCGCCAGACATTCTTCCTAACCTCGGGTCCACCGATCGCAGAGTGCATCAAGTACAGGTCAAAGTACTCGACTTGGGCGGTCTTGAGAGATTTTTTGAGGTCGGCGTAGGCGCGGTCGTAGGTAGAGTTGTTTTTGAGCTTGGTGGTGAGGAAGATATCGCTTCGGGGGACACCGCTTGACTCTGGGAAAAAAGTGAGTTACGCTCGTGGGACAAGGAGATGAAAGGGGAAGGGACGTACTGACAAAGTCGTTGACGGCTTTACCGCAGGGCGCTTCGTTCTCATACCTGCAATTCCAAGTCAGCTTCGTTATGACCTTGAGCTCCAGCACCACACTTACCACTCGGCAGTGTCAATGTGACGATACCCAGCCTCAAGAGCCCACTTGACACATTGATAAGTCTCATCATCATCAATCTCGTAGACTCTAAAATCCTACATCAGTACCAAAGCGTATACTGCTCCACAACCATGTCCAAACTCACCCAAAGCCGAACTGGGGGATAGTATAGCCATCGTGCATCTACATACCCAAGTCAGTATCCCACTGACGTACGGTACCTCGCAATAAGCTTATCTAGAGCGACTGACCTTGAGACGGCCGTCCAGGGAAGTGACGGGGGCAGGGGCGGGCATTCTGGGGAGGTATCTGGGTGTTGTGGTGGTGAATAGGCGGGCTGAGAGGGTTCTGAGCATGCACTTGGAGATAAAAAGAAAGAAAAGAAAGAAAGAAAGAGAGCTAATAGTAGAGATCAGAGAGATGGGGCACCAATGTCGTTACGTAAGCGCTTTTTACCGACCTTTCCACGATCAGCTGGACGGATGTTGTTGCTCTACATCACAACAAAATGCCCCAGGAGCTCGTGTCGTCGGAGGAGGTAAGTGAGAATCAATTGAATCGGGAGATTGTGTGCTGATGATGCGGACAGTTCCTCACAAGACTCGGTCAATGTTTCTCGGACCCGTCATCTTCCAGCTCTGTCGGACTCACCCACAAGAGATGTAAGTATCCTTCGAAATATGGTGCTAGGGCCGGAAGCTGACCTGTGACCACAGTAACACACACCGATGCCGATGTGGAGATGAAGAGTGAAGAAGAAAGCGGGGACGGGCCGGAATATGAAGTGCTCATAAGATGTACCCAAGGAGACAACAAGTTTTCTGCCAGAGTAAGCCCTCTTCCCTCAACAATATCTTTATCTGACCCATGGTCATAGATCCCCGCCTCCTCTTTACCAACATTCCACGCCGCCTACGGCACCCTCCTCAAAACATCCATGGCGCCCCTCATGCGCAAACGAGACAAGAAGAAGGAAAAGGCCCGCGCCGAAGTGCTGGCCAATAAGAGGAAGGAGCTTTATGTGGATGTGGATATTGGTGCGGAGGGGAAGAGAGGGAAGGGGAGGAGGCAGAGGCAGAGGAAGATTATGGCGCAGAGGAAGAAGGTGGAAGAGCGGGAGAGGGTGGAGGCTAGGGAGGCGGAGAGGAAGGCGGAGCTGTAGACGGTGAGTCTTTCATGTTTATGATCAGGAAGAGTTGTGCTCATATAGCTACAGGATATAGAGAATACCATGTATAAACATCAGACCAATCATTGAAAGGAAGGCGCGCAGGAACATAAGGAGCATGCGAGGAATCGGTGATCGGGACTGCAAGTGTCGTCTATATAAGTATTCCCATTCGTCTTACTGCCTTCACCTCATGTCTTGGCCACCTTCCGAATTGTCTTTCATCTACGATTCTGCCAGCTCAGACCCACTCATACCGCTTGACTTCAAACACCACACCACATGCTCTACTACCCTTGCAGCATCCAAGACTGCCCTCGGCTGTCCATCCCCATGGATGGAGAGTGCATCACTTGCGAACACGTCCTCTGTCAGGTCCACTTCAACAAGTCGGTCCATCTGTGTGAAGCTCTGAAAGTGCGTAAGATGATACTTACAGCAGCAGGTCGAGGTCATCGGTGGCCACCTGGATAGTTCGCTTTCATACCCCCTGGGGACGATGACAATGCCCGTGAGCAGTACGATGCTCTGTACATACGACATTAGCGAAGGCAAGCGAGGGCATGGCTTCTGTCTCTATCCGTAGATACCGCTATCTGACACGCCCCCAGTTTGGAAACAACCTACTGCTGCTCAAGTCCCTCAACCTAGAACAATTGGCGTCCTCTTTGCGACCGGGTCACAGCTGCCAAGCCATCCTCCCCTTGGATCAAGACAGCATGATGAGGGGGCAGAACAATGTTGTATGCCCCATACACTTTGGCGACGCCATCCAATGGATGGCCAAAGTCGGACAGGGCTCGCGCAATTCCCTCCAGCTCGACAATGCATTCGTCGAGAGTGAGCTGGCTACTATCGAGGTGCTCGCGGGTCTGCAAGGCAATGTGCCTCACGCTCGTATATGTCAAGCCGCGGAGGGCCGATCAGGTACTGTCATGTCTTTCGGTCCATGACCATATCACAGAGTGTTACTGATTGGTAGAGCAGTCTTATTCCTCGACATGATGTCCGGTCCTCGATTGGACCTTCGAATCTACCATCCTGATCGCCATCCATCCCTCCCCGCACCGGCACAAACGTTCATCCACGGCCTTGCCGATCTACTCATCTCCCTCACATCCCAATCCTTCGACAAGATCGGCTCTTTTCCACCCAACCTCATCCGACCAGCCAGTGATCGGCCCAGTCTCATCATTCTTCATCGTCAATCCTTACGACCCTGAACCTTTCCTTGGCCCATTCGACACTTGTAAGCAGAGATGGCTCGCTTCCGTGGAACACATCATGGATGAGATTAGGAAGGGACGAGCGTTCCAGTCTGACCCTTTGGGCAACTATTTGCCTCGATTGGAGCTTAAGGAGATGATTAGGAGTGTCGGGAGTTGAAAGATGAGCCCGAGAGGTATTATATCACCCATACGGACACTGTGGCCCAAGACTTTCTAATCGATGACGAGGGGCATATCACAGCGCTTCTGGATTGGGAATGGTACGTTCGCCTCAATACTTGCAGAGACCGGAAAGTACTCATGAGACGTTTCATCAAGGGCGCTGACGTCAACCAAAGAAGAGATGGTAGCCCAGATGACCATGGTCTTCCCCGGCTACTTTAACAGCAACAGTCTCGACGCCTTTGAACTGTACCTCGTCGACGTCTTGTCTGCCCGTGGTAGGCATGATCTGGCAGATTGTGTTAAAGGCGCCAGGTTGTACCATAATCTGCTTCTAGTGGAGAATAACGACTTGGACCTCCCAAGGATGGAGCTATTGCGAGAGATTATGGGCAGGCCCAGAATGGAACGGGAAGAATGGATGGAATGGGCGTTGGAACGGTTCAAGGAGGATGTCGGGCTGGATAAGGTTCGAGAGCTTGCAGCTGAGACCGTTGTATGATATAAGACAGTGTTTGCAAATGTACATTTGAGATTATGAATTACAATATGATCCTATTCCGCGGCGTTTGTAGACGTGGGCGCACATATATCCGGACAGATACCAGACTGATGAAGGTGAGTAGACTCATTATACTACTCTTTTGCTTTCAGGGGGCCCGAGATAGCTGTAGCCCCTATCCCTAATGCCACCCAGATCGACCCATATCCTCTCCACCACAATGCCCGCCGTCATCCCCCATATGGTCATCGTATGCTCTCCGCTCTCCCATCCTTCATCCCTCTCCACCTTCATCGTAACGTTCCTGATCTCTTGACTGACCGATTCCATCCAGTCAGCCGGCACCGATCCGACTTTACTCTGATCAGACTCTCCGAGGTGTTTGGTGGGTATGGGATGGATCTCTCGGGGTGGGAAGTCGTCGAGCTGAAGACCGAAAGCAAGCTCACGCCCTTGGAGAAAGTTAAGTGTTGGGCCGAGCTGAACGGTAATCTCCACATCCTCGCCGTCTTTCACCCCACCCTCATGCGTCCAGAAATCATACTCCAGCTTGGGCCCTTTATCCAAGGAAAAGTTGTGAGTGGTGGCAGGGAACACCTCCATCCCTCCTAGCGTTCGTCCATACCCCTCGAGCACTTCGAAAGCGTAGCCCGAGGAAGAAGAGTTGCGCGAGAAGTGAGGCGCTTCGATGACAACGTATCCGTCGCCTTCGACGTGGCCCGAGAATGAGGATGGAATGTCGGACGGGATGAAGATGGGGATGGTGACAGTCACGTTGGTGTAGTCGTTTCCCTTGATCTCGACACGGCTTTCGAGTCTGACAGATTTTCCTTCCAAGTTTCGAGGGACGTTATCCCAGTCGATTGAGATCCAGACTCTCTCGTCCGCCGAGCCATCCCTCTTCGTCTTTCCGCGCTTCGGATGGACGATAACCCACTCATCACTCCCCTCTGCAGTCCATTCGACATCCCTCGGCCCACCCGCTCCTATATCGACCCACCGCTTCTCCTCTCCCCACGGATCAAGCGTCTTCAAAGTCGGATCCGCGCAATGAAGCATCTGTGGGCAATTGAGGAAGGTATTGCCCGGCCAGGCGCCGAACGAGTTTTCCACAGTGACGCGCATATGTGCTACTTGGCCTGGGAAATCTTGTGGCCTGAGGGGAATGCCAGGGAAGACGGGTTGGTTGGGGTTCACAAAGTGGATGGGAGGGAGAGAGTCACGGACTGGTTCCAGAGCTTCGTAGTAGTTGATGTGAGATTGGTCCCACATGCTGTCGACGGTCAGAATCGTGCTTCTGTGGCAGGATAGGAGACTCACTGGTCCCATTTACGATCCAGCAAAGCATGGAATGTCTCGGTGATGTTTGCATCCTGATGGAAAGCATCGATAGCCTCTCGGGCAAAGACATTCGCAGCTGTCCTAGCTTGATAGGCGTACAATTTTGATCTTGCCACTGCATATTGTGTCAGTAGTAGCCCAATCTGACATAGTGAACGATCAAGACTCACCAGCAATATGCAGCTTGTTCAAGTTGGCTTGAGCAGCACACAACATGAGGACAAGCTCGAAGAATGCCGCTCGCCTCTCCTCGGGAAGGTGGTCGTAGACTTTTGTGGCGCGTTCGGTGAGGCTGGTCCATTCAGCGAGCACGATCTCGGCCCTTTCATGGATTCAGCACAATGCAGAGAGCAAAGCTATGTCTGACGTACTCGTTATAGTTGATGATAGACCACGTCTCCGCGTCAACGAGCTCTGCTTTTCTTCTCGACGCCAGCAACTACTTCCATCAGCTCTTCCCTTCCAACGCCCTATTTCCATAGTTAACATACCTCATATCGGCCCAGGATATCGCCCACTTCTCTACCCACCTCCTCCCCGACCCCGAACTCTCTCTTCGCCCACTGTTCCCTCCACTCTCTCCAGCTCCCCCTAGGCCATCTCTCAGAGTCCCAAGCCAAGTCGAGGAACCATTCTGTAGGCTGCTCCAGCGGCTTGAGAGTACCGATGTTGACAATCCAGATTTGGGTAGTGTTGAATGCGCGGGCAATGTTCATTTGGTCCCATGCTATAGTGGCATTAGCCCGGTTACATGGATAAAGAAAGGGAAGACGTGCTCTTGGCGAGGTTGTTGGTGTGGATCCATTTGTAGTTTCTCGGCCAACCGACGTCTTTAATAACGGGCGTGAGTGATGGACAGATAGGTGGTGGCTGAAAGGCTTACAATCAAGATGATAGTAGATACCAGCACCGGCCTTGTGTCCTTCTCGTTCGGGAGGAAGGACAGATACGATGTTACCATAGTTGTCATCAGCGAAGAGTGCGGTGACTAGAAGCAAGAGTCAGCAGCATGATCATCGAGAAGACGGGAGGAAGAACGCACCATCATCAGGGACTTCAAGCTGAGTATTCGTGTCAGCCGACGTTTCTCGAACAGCGGAAGAAGACTCACCCCGCTCTGATAGTACCCCGCCACTTCCTTGTACATGCACCATACTTGACCCACTCCCTTGGACTCGAGATCGTCAGTCTTGTAGACGTCCTTGAGTATCTCTTGCTGGACGCTTGTGATATCTTTTCCAGCATCAGCACCGCCCCTCAACTGGGAGAAGGAAGAGATAATGTACTCACTTTGCACCAAAGCATTGCTTGCCCCCTGCAAAGGTTCGTCACCGTCTCCTCTCATACCCATCGTATAGACAATATCTGCACCCGCCTCCGCGCCCCTCTCCGCTCCTGCCCTCCAAAACTCCTCCATCTCTTGTTTGTTCTCCGTCCAATCCCATGCACCGTGGTGAGAAGCATCCCATTCGGGCTTGTTACGGCCCATGGGTTCGTGGTGGGATGTACCGGGGACGAGGCCGAAGGAGGCGGCAAGGAGGAGGTTTGGGCCAGGGGTACTGGCGGAGGAGTTGGGTGGAAGGCCGTCAGAGTAGAACTGGGATGCCCACACTGTATCCCCTATCAGCTTCTAGCATCGGTGAAGGCGAAAAGGAAACTCACTAGCTGGCCAAAAGTAGTTTGCATTCAGCCTCAGCATCATCTCGAACCACTTCTCGTAGAACTCCACCACCAAAGCCGGCTCCCATCGCTCCTTGCTCCAGTGCTCCATCGCCCAGCCCCAAAGCGCCGGGTGCTCATCATTAATGAACAGCCCTCTATACTTGACCGTTGGCTCGCCATGAGACAGGACCTGGGACTTGTCGAACGCGATGATGGAGTGTTGGGGGTAGGGCACGTCGGAAAAGAAGTGGAAGGGAGATATACCGAACTGGGCGGAGAGGGCGTAGAGAGCGTATATCGTACCTCTCTTGTCTGACCCGGTCAAGACGAGGGACTCTTCCAACCCCTGAAGAGGAGATAAGAGACACCGAATATCATAGCTTTCCCACTTTCCATCCAGCTCCGCCCTCACCCCTTCTTGCGCCCGAAGCTCCCGCACAATAATAGGGCTCTTGAGACTGCCCACAATGATAGCCCTTTCGACATTGCTGGGTAGTGTGTCGTTGTAAATATCGGGTCGATGACCGGTGACTTTAAAAACGTCATCGACAAAGGTCCGGGCAGCGCGATGAATTGCCTGGTCTTCTTTGGAGGAGAGTAGGAGTGGGGCCGTGTACCGATGGTGCGCCGCAGCAAGGATGAAGCCATCTTCCGCCTTGTCAGAGCTGGGATAGTCGAATGCCGCCTGTTGGGAGTGGTGAGAAGGGAGATATGAATACTCTCTCGCTGAGAGCTGGTCTGTTGTTGGGAAATAGACTACTTGTGGGTCGCCCAAAGCCAGCGCCTGCTTGAGGCCGAGGGAACCCAACGAGAGGAGGGTGATCAGACGCATGGCCGTCTGTAGTTGGGATTGTAATGTAAGAGTGAGGAGGGAGAGAGAACGACATGGCGTCGTCTGCAGGCCGGAGAATGATACACCGCTGTCGAAGAGGGCAAAAGTGAAATCGGTGTTACGGGCCGGGCAGCCCCCGGAGCACCGAGGTACAGTCCTGACACAGATGGACGAATGCTATACTGTAACTCCTGAAGAGATTGTTAGAGGAGAACGCACAGCGCTAGGGGCACCCAGGACTCCCGCAAGAATGGGAGACCGTAGAGGTTCCCGCAGAGCAAGTACAACTGCATACTACAACTTCCGCATAAACAGGATTCCCGCAGAAGCCAGAGCTGGTGCCAGAACTTTGTGGGGGACGTTTCTCTACTCCCTGTATGCAGCTCCCTGAGAGTGTAGGGAACCTCTCGCTGCTGCTACTCCCAGAAGTTGCCCGCCTTCACAACATCTGATCGTCTGGCACATGGTCAAAGCAGGGTGAGGATGTTCTAGGGGTGAGAACGCACAGCGATCGGGACACCCTGGATCATTTCCGCGCGTGACTGCTGTAGGCGGGTATCTTCTCAAGTACATCTTCCCTTCTAGAGAGCAGATCTCCGGGGGGCGTGGCTTTTTAGCTACTATCCGTGACCTTCTGACAGATACCCAGGCAATGTAATGCACAGAGAACTTGTGCTGTACAAGGAAACCAACAGGGCTCGGGAAACGACTTGCATGGGACGGTTCAGCTTCTTCCGCGTCGGCCCAGCATGCAGAGCAAGTTTGGTGACTGGGTGGGCTACCTAGAGGAGGTCTAAGAGTCAACAACCATCAACACGGTCAAATCAAGGAATTTCCTTACAGCAGCCTAGCACAACCAAGCGAATAAGCAAGCAGACGGGCGAGGATACCAGAGGACCCAAGTTGATTGACATCCTGCGGAACCCTGGCTCGACACAAGCCCTTCCCGCCACTCAAAGCATCGGGAGTGAGCATTGAGCAAACACCAAAGAACGGGGCCAGGTGACGCTGCCCCGAAACCAAACCGAGGTGTTCGATCGTCAAGCACAGCCGATTTGACTCAAACCCTTCAACGCCCAGTGCTCATCGTTCAAAACGTCAGCAGACCGTCGCGCCAACGCCACTCTTTGCCACCTGCGTCGATCAGTCTCAGCCCCACAAACAAAGGATCGTTGATCAATTGAATACGATGCCGTGTAATACCCTGTAAAGGCGTGGAGCATAGTCAAGAGATCAGATGATGCGCGTCTCTCCATTGTTGACATTATTACCGGCGGTACCGCTGTTGGCCGTCTCCAGGCCGAGTGCGAAGCAAGCACCGCGCTGCAGACGGCTGTAAAAATACTCCGGAAGCCACAGAGGAGTCCAAAATGCAAGGACGGATCTCCCACATCTTTCCTTGCGTCATCCAACATCACCCAGTCAGATGGATACCCTCCAAAAGATCACAGAAGATTGCAAAAGCCACCCAACCCCGAGCATTCCCGACCCTTCATCAAGCCGTCACTCTTGCCCGGTTGCCTTTCACAGCCCTTTCCCGGGTTCACCCGAATCGGCCCTCTCCACCTCACTTATCAGCAGACGTTTAAACGACATCGGCTTATCGGCCTTTATCGTTCTCGGTAAACCACTTCGGCTCGATGTTTGTACCATGTGCCTGGAGAATATTTGGGTTCAATATGGATGACCTGGGCTCGAGGGCCCAAACGCCCCGTGCGTTGGGTGGCGGAAGAAAGGAGCTCCAACGGGAAAACAGGATTGGGTGGCGCAAAATCCAGAACACAAAGTGGCAAAACGACTGCGCACCCCACACAACGCAAAGCATGGCGCTTTTTCCGGAGTGCCTTGTGGCCAATTAGACTCGATGATCATGTTTGTAACTGAATGTAACTGATTGTAACCACCTTGCATTGAAAAGTGTAATGGGATTAGGAATTGTGCTACAGATGTGTGAGCCATTCTTCTGGGTCTGCAGGAGGGACATGGACGTCTTGCCTGGGAAACAGCTGGTAGAGGTATATGCTGAGCTTGCCGGGAAGACACTCAGACGTCAAACATCAGAGTACGCCTCTGTTGTCAACAGAGCCCGACGGCTTCGACAATCTTTTCGGAGTGCAAAGAGTCATAATTGTGACGGCAATCTACCGTACGTTTCACAACTTTGCCCACATGTTACTCGGTAGATATTCGGTGCAGGTGGTGCGGGTGGAAGCACATCAAATCAGCCGTGATGATATATAACATACATGGAAAGAGGAAGAAGAGACTAGAAGCACAGTGGAGAGAGAATGGACGTAAGAAGACATATGTACGAGTCAATCAACGTTGAACTGCCGTGGCCACATTGACGCGCTCTGCTCTGCACACTGCGCCGACGCTTCCCCTGTGCCCTTCCTGCAGTGCATGATGCCATCCATAGCTGCATTTGGGCATACAACTCCACAAAGCATAGCCGCCGAATGCGGCGGGGATTGAGAGAACATGTCGCACTCCATCGGGAGGTCGGGAGCGGTGGGCCGACCAGCCGGATTCGGCATCGTCGCAAAAAAAATGGCAAGAGGAACTGAGGAAGAGGGAGTGCAGATTTGGTACATCCCGCCGCGAACCGACGATCTTGCATGGGGCCTGGGGGGCGAGTCATATGCAGATGAAAACAGATCAATGTATGGATGGATTTCTCTTCCGCCTCTGTACATTCAGTTCAGCTTGAAGTGAACAACAACAACCCTCCACGCCACCGCCCTTTACCCCGCCATCGACCCTCGAGGGGACCCCGGGCCCAGACCTCATCGACCCGGCGGCATCGCTTCCTCTGCGCAAAATCGATCACACGTCTTTTTCCGTTCGACAATTCACGGCCGTGAAAAAAGGAGGGAAAAATTACAGCCATCGTGGGGGCATGGGTGCACGCTCGACATCTATCCCATCGTGCGTTCACATCCCTCTACCAGGAAAACAAAAATAACTGACAGTCCAAAGACTGGTTCCCCACAGTCACCCTCCCGCTGGCTCTTTCCCCTTCTGGGCCCTCTCCGCCCATCAGCCCCCCATCCACACTCTCCCGCCGTCTGCAGAGGACATCCCCCCTTCCTCTTTTCACACACTTGCATTGGGGCCTGGTTCCGGTGTACCCTCCGCTCCTTTCAACCTCCTTGCCCCCTTGTCACCCACTTGCCCCTTTGGGTGGGCTGGGCTAGCGCTTTCGACGCGTTTGGGTGTGTCCAGTGAAGAAGGAGCTATAACGGACCGACTATTCGGCAAACAACGATCTGTAGAAGGGGTATCCTTATAATACAACGTGCTCGACAAAGCAACGCCTTGACGACCCCCATCGCATTAGCATAACAACCTCTAAAGAGCGACTACCCCCCTCGCCTTTCACCCGTCACTCTCTTTCATCGACAAGGCGACCGGCGACTTGTCTCTGGGAGCACTGGGTACGCGTGGCTATTCTTTAATCGGCATTTGAGATCTTGTGAGTCGACAAGCTCTTTTTTTTCTCTAGTGTGGGGCGTGGTGTTTGGGGTATCTTTGGTCTTTTCGGTGGACTTGACGATCAAACCTGTTAAACGGGTTTTGCGGCTATGCTCTGTTGCTTTCCCGGTTGAGCCCCGGTCAAGTGGGGGTCAGCCTCGTGGGTTGATGTATCCGTGGCCATCAGTTCTTTTTTCTGATTATTCGGCGCCAGTGCCGCAGATCCGTATCAGCCGAGCTGTGATTGGTCTGTACGCGACGAATCCAGCAGAGAGGAGAAGGGGGGATACGAAGGCAGTGAACGGTCTGGATCGTCGAATGAGGGTTTCATTTGGATAGCCTCGAGTTGTTTTTTTTTTTTTTTTTGCCGCTCCCTCGTTCCTTCTTATACGCATCCCCTTCCACATCTGTGTCTTCTACCAAGAGGCGAAAAAGCTGACAATGTGAACCCCCAGCTCTCACATTCAATCTATTATCATACATCCCATCTACTTTAATCCACATCACCAGCACTGCTATATAAACAACCACCATGAGCATGATGTTGGACCCACTTATGATCGCCCACCCTCCGTCTGGGATCTCATTCGACCCCGCGCCAGAGGATGAGCCGCCCTTTGACACTTATTGTATCGTCTGCGACAAACGTATCCCGCCTCTGTCTTCTGGCAAGAACGGGGAGAAGAAGAAGAAGAAGGTCAAGGCTGGTGGTACCATCCGCGTAAGTCTCTTCTGCCGAGTTGGAAAAGACTAGGGCTGACAGGAGAATAGGTGAAAAATGCGGATGGTACAACGACGACGCGCAATGCGAAAGGCAAAGTCACCCGACCGCCTTTACGCAACAGCAACTCTTCCTCTCAATCCACCACCATCACCAACACCACGACAGCCCTCCCTCCTCTCGCTCGACCGAAAACGACCGACGGCACCATCCCCACGTCTGCCAACGTCTCTTCCCCCGAAGCCGCCCTCCCCTCAACTTCCTTGGCAAGCACACTCGCCAGCACCCCCGGTTCCGTGCACTCTGCCTCGTCCCACCCTGCGTCGGGCCAAGTCCCGTTCCACAGCCCGATCTACTGCTCTCGTGAATGTCAAGAACACGAAGCCGGTCGGTCGGACGAGACGTATAAAGAGCTGGCGAGGACGATGAGTTTCGACTTTTCCCATGCTTTCCATTCGCCCGAACATGAGCTCGAGCTCGTGCCCCTTTCTACTAGAGAGAGGGAGAGGGAGAAGGGTGTGAGGTCGCCGTTTGCGCCACCGAGTCCGGTGGGGACGAGTGATACCGAGAGTTCCAACTCTGCTGGGTTGCAGGGTTCGTCCGGGTCTGGTGAAGAGGGTGAACTCCCGCGGCCGTCGACTTCGACATCTACCAGAGGAGCAGCGCGAGGAGTGTATGGGGAGGAAGAAGCAGCCTCCGCGCCCAAGATTATGGACTATTTCCGATTCTCCAAAGGCGGGCCCGACCAGGCCTGGAACGAAGTCTCCCTCTCCCGCCAACGACGGTCGTCCATGCAGCCATCAGCGTATGGCGCTTACGGCCATATCACCCCCGGAGGCGAGTCGTCGAGCGAGATGGACTTTGCCCGGTCGATGAGCGGTGGCGGCAGGCTGCGAGGAATGACGCCAGTCAAGGAGAGGCGGGTGTCTGCTGCCGGCCCAGGGGCGGAGAGGGCTGTACCGATCCCGGTGAGACCTATGGCGAGGTCGAACCTGAGTCAAACTTCGCTGGGAGGCGCGTCAGTCTCGAGCCAGCATTCTGTGCTCCCGCCCGAGTTCGGATCGGCCCCGACCCATACGCTTGGTTTATTGCAGTCTTATGCGTCGGCGTTCCCTGTGCGATCGTCGTGCAATACTCCGAATTCGTTCTCGCAGCGCGGGTCGACGCCGCAGAGAGGGTTCATCTTTCCCGAGACGACCGTACCGTTGTCTACCTCGACGAGATCGCCTTCCCCACCGGATTATGAGGTTTTGAGGCGGGACAGCGCGTCGTCGATCTCGCGTTCCCAAGGCGGCACGATCAAGGCAAAGAAGAGTGAACCCACTTGGGACTCTTTCGGCCGGAAAGAAGTGCAAGCTCAGTCTGCGCGCCAGAACCGACGTTCAGGCGGAGGAGCCGATTCGACGCCTGTTGCAGTCCCCCGCCGAGGGTCCCGCGCAAGGGAACAGAGTGTAGGACGGGAGAACACGCCGAGGCAGAAGATGGAGAAGGACGGGCAGGGGTGGCGATATGTGCCTTCCAGCTCTCCGCCTGCTTCCTCTGGGATGGGCGTTGGAAGGTCTGGTACAGTGAGGAGGAAGAGCGCAGAAGAACAGTCTCGCGCTGTCTCTATCGGCCATGGCCGACCACTGCAGCTCTCCACGTCGGCTACATCGCACTCGGGGTCGCATACCCCTTCATCGCGATACCTGCCGACTGCAGCGGGCGAACCGGATATGGCGGGCTTGACGCTTGGGGAAGCTGGGGAGAAGCTTGGGATGGGGCAGAGTGTGCCGAGGAGGATTGGGTTTAATTGGGATGAGACGATGGGGGTCAAGACGTACGAGTTGCCGGGGAAGATGAATAAGAATCAGAAGGGGTTGTTTTACTTTCAATAGACGTCTTTTCAAAGAGTGAGTGCGCCTTCTACTCGGCAGTGGGGATGATGCTGACGATGTGGGCAGCTTTAACTATTTTCGACAATCACTGCATCAGTTGTATATAATCTCGCATCAGCTTTTCGTCTCTTTTTGTATATAGCATTTCTCCGCCACATTCACGCATAAGGATCACGAGTTTCTCAAAGTAATAATCTGGTTATATAGGACAACCGGCGGGTTGGGCAACAACAAGTAGTATAGGCATCGATTGTACTTTTTCTCCACCTTTCGACAAAGCATTTATCGTTTCAAGGGTTGTATCAGCGAGAGGTTTCCATGCATAACGTTTGAAGACAAAAAAAGAAAGAGGACGATGGCCGAAGAGTAAGCGATGTGAGGTAAGCAGACTTGCCGCTTTGGGGAAGTCGTCCGCTGTTTGGCGCGGGGGCCGTGAGCGAGTGTGGAAGGTTTGCCAGTAGGGATGGATGGAGAGATGGAGAGATGGAGTGTCTGTCTTCTCTCTCCATCTATACCCCTATACACGCTATACTCCATCACCTGTAAATACCCCCGCCCACGTCGCCCCCTCGCCCCCTCGCCCGCAGCATACGCATTCCGCCACCGAGCCACCACAGACGCAGGCCGACGACCGACCCCCTCGCAGCCGTCCCCGCTTTGATATATACTCAGCATGCCGTCCACCAAAGCCAAGAGGCCCCCCGAGCCTGTATCCGTCCAGCCGTCAGTCTTTTCTCCTGTCGCGTGCGATGACCGCCTTCCTCGCTCTCCGCTGCCCGCTCTCCTCGCCTTCGGCCTTGTCCTTTGTGGCATGCGGGCTGATCCCTGCCTCGCTGCACTCAACTTGTGTACCGTGTCGACGGCCGATCCTTTGTGCAACCCTTGTGTCTCCACTCGGCACTTCTGTATCCCCTATATATCCATCGCTGACTCCCATCTAGCCCATCCCCAACCATCCGCGCCCCAGACTCCCCCACCCCGCCCGCCCCCGCCTCGCCGTCGCTGACGCCACCAGCATCCTCCTCATCCGCCACCTTCCCCCGGCCTAACAGGCTGCGATCGCGCACATCGACCATGACAAACATCTACGTGCCCCCTTTGCCGCCTGTCATGTCGAGAGAAAATTCGGCAGAGGATGTGCATGAGCACCATCCCTACAGCACGGCGCCGAGTATGCTGCAGGTGCCGGTGCCTTCGGCCGGACAAGGCATCGGGCGGCGAGCGAGTAAATCAGTATCGGGCGCTCAGCCAGAGATCGTCTTGACGCCGTCGAAACCCCAATACTGGACACCGCAGACCCACCAAACGCCCGCATTCACGCCCACCTCTCCCGAGACGGATATGCGCAACATCGTCAAGCGGCGTACGTCCACCCCGAGCTTGCACAACCAATTCTCACGAGGCGAGGAGCAAGAAGACGATAACGGGCTTCGGGCGCAGTTTTTGTCGCAGGACAAACCGGTGCAGCAGAGGGAAGTGGCGTCGAGAGCGAGGAGCACGAGTACGAGTGTGGTGGTGCCGCAGACGCAGGATTTGACGGAAAACTCGGTCATTGCTGGGAAACCCATCAGGCCGTTATTACAGAGTAGCGCCACGCAACAGCCGCCGCCACCGCCTGTTTGGTCCCCTGCGCCGTACCCCATCGCCGGGCCATCACGCTACGACGAAGCTCCTTCGCCAGGGTACCTCGCCTCGGCATACAACTATACATCCCACCTCGTCAACTATGTCCGCCCTACCACGTTCGCGCACCACTCGTACCACCACCCCGAATCGTCCGAGGCGGATGATTCAGAAAAGGGCCAGATTGGATCAGAGGACGAGACGCTAGAGATCGAAACGAGGATGAGCGAGGAAAGTGCTCGGCGGGGACGGTACTGGGTCTACGGTTCAGAAGACAGTAATTCAAACTATTTCGACTTGCCGCCCACACCGCCCGAGAGCTCGGATTTCCAGACCTTCCCCGCTGCTTTGCCGAATTCAGATTACCTCCCTACCCCGGCACTGTCGACGCGCTCCCTAGCGAGGGACGATTCGAAACGCAACAAGCTGCGAAAAGCTTTCCGCCGTGCGAGGCAGTCGTCGGGCTCGTCCGAGGGAGGGGAGAATGGGTGGTGGAGTACCGTCTTGTCAAAAGTCGGGGGAGGATCCGAAGGGAGGGGTAAGATGGGGGAGGTGTTGAAGGAGTTGGGGTGGACGGTGGGGGCGTTGGTAGGGATTTTCGTGGTCAGTTTGGGGATTGTTGTGTGGTTGGTCAAGAGTATTCCTATGTGAGTTGTCTCTGCCTCGGGATGTGGGCCAAGCTGACAGGGAGCAGAACGACGATGAGGCATCTGCCATCATCGACGACGGATGTGCAGCTCTTGTCGGCAGAAATTCGCACGTATATGGCTTCCAGTGCTTATGGGTGGTGGCATACCGTTGGGGTTTTGACGTTTGTGGGGTGTTGGAAACATTCTTGGAGTGTCCCCGGTGCTGTCGTCCTTGTACGTATCCCATCCCCTTCAAGCCAGGGTGTGAGCTGACGCGAGCAGAATATCCTCGTGGGCTCGTTATTGGAACCCATTCCAGCCCTCATACTCTTAACAATCATCACCGCCTCCGGCTCTCTCGGCGCATACATGCTCTCAAGACCCCTCGCCCCGCTCATCTCCGTCCTCTTCCCCAAACCACTCGCCCTCGTCCGCGCCGCCCTCACCCCCGAAAGCATCCCTTCCCCCGTCTCCTACCCCGGCGAGAAAATCACACCCATCGCCGTCTCGTCCGACCCGTCCGAGAAGCCTATCGGCGATGCGGCTGATTCAGAGCCCACGGCGATCTGGAGGAAGTTGCTGGTCATGCGCGCTATGGGTTTCGTGCCGTGGAGCGGTATGAATGTCGCCTGCGGTGTCGTTGGGGTGGATTGGAAAGTCTTTTGGTTGACTACCGCTGCTGGCAGTATCTCTTGGAGTTATGTCACGGCTAGCGTGGGCAACATCTTGTCCCGCTTGCAGGTGCATGCCGCTGCTGTGGGCCAAGTAGGGGAGGCGATGGAGGGCGAGATGGCGGGGGAGAGCTTGACGAGTTTGTTGAGGGATCCAGTGTTGATTACCAAGTTGGTGCTCCTTTCGGGGCTGACCTTGATACCGGTGATTCTGAAGAAGAGGTCGCCTCAGGCTTCTGCTTCTGCTTCTCCCTCCCCGTCGCCAAGGCCCAACTCTTTCGACTTGTCTCCCATCCCAACACCATCCACTGCCCACCCCATCTCTTCTCCCAGACCGATCAATCCCAAAATCAACACCCTCCGCCTCTCCTCCTCTTCCTCCTCCCTCGAGAATGCCCCCATGTCACCTTTGTCGACGTCGCTGGCAAAGTTTACACCGACACCGAGGATCTTTGATCTGCTGAGCTTTGGAAGGCTGGTAGTGAGGCAAGGTGGTAGGGGCGCGGTTAGTGGGGTGAGGGCAGTGGGGAGTGGGGTGAAAGCGGTGGGGCGGAGTTTGGGGTTGAGCTGAGTGTTCCGCTTGGCTATTCGTCGTCGAAGGAAGGGGGAAGGGAGGGGAGTGTGCTTTATTGTGCTCGGTACTCAAACTCAACACAACGCTGGGCGTTTTCTTTCTCTCCGCATATCATATATCATTTTAATGACCTTTTTACCCCATCATTTTCATGTCTCTTATCACGACCCACAATACTTCTATATATATAAAGGGCCTTTTCAAACCATTTTCTTCCATAACTGTAGATTATATATAAACACAGCATTCAGTAGGCGATTCTTCTGGGATGGAGTGCACGTATAGGTGTGAAATGTATAACAACACTCTGACTACTATGTGGGGTGGTATAGTAGAGACACTTGGATTGCTTGACATTGATGAATGGGACGGACAAAGGGTGACGCGAGAGGGGAGCGAGAAGATGCGCGGGTTGCGGGTTGCGGGATGGGTGGCAAACGCCGCAAGAGGGGTGTATCATGTCGTTCAACATGCGCACATTGTTCATGTCCCCCGGCATCTGCTTCAGCTGAGCCTACCGCCTGGGATGCACATGCATGACATCAAAGAAAGATCGACTTGAGCGGATATGGAAGGGAAGCACTAAGCATCCCTGCACAGCATTCTCGCTCGCACCCTTGTTCCGCTACCTGTTCCGGGAGCGTTCGAGGGCATATATGCCCATCTGAATCTCATCTTCATCTCTCATTCACCGATACATTACCCATTCCTAAACCCCACATTGCTTGTCCAGAGCGATACCCCAAACAACCACACCTCTACCCGACATACTCGTCGACATACCTTGCCTCTTGAGACGACGCGTTCTGCGGGATCAACCAACAAAAAACCGTAAGTGGGCGAAATCGTTTTTCGAGGGGGTCTCAGCACTGACGGGGGTTCTAGATACCACCATGTCTACACAGGCCATCACCACCACCCCTCCCACCCTCCCCAGCCCCACCAACGCCTCTGACGGTGCTTTCCGCATCCTCGAAGAGGTCGAACCCACCATCTTCCAGCACCTCGCCGCTCTCGCGCCCACCACCGCCATGCTCATCTGCAAGGCTTACCACAACTCTACCAAAAACGAGGTGTACAGAGAGTTCAAGATGGGTACTGCCATGCTCGAGGGCTTCCACAAGGCGAACCCCGGACTTGACGATAGCGCTCCCCGCCGCCTCGCCCTGGCTCTCCAAAACACCCGCGTCATCCATGTTGACGACAAGGACGGGGCGGAGGCGTATGAGAATCTGCTCAGGGTGGGCATGACCTTCCGAGAGAGTTCTCCTCAGTTAGCCTTTTTGCCGATGTTGAAGAAGGTGGAGGTTGCGAGTGAAGTGACGGCTTCAAAGGCCTTCAACACCAAGTCCTTCGATTTCCCGCGCGTCCAGCAGCCTGTCTCTGTCCCCACCTCCCACGACAATGCTTGCGACATCTCTTCTGGCGGTGACGCTCTCGAGTACGTTGCCCACCTGCGCTGCGACAAGCAAGGCCATGTCTGGTCTCCCACCCTACTCCCCACCAACTCCCAGCCCTCGCACGTCACCGAAATCTACCACCTCACCGCGAACGACGCAAAGAGCGGCAGTCTCCCCATCTTCCGCTACGGCGATGACACTTCTTGCCCATTTCTCTCTCGACAACTCATCCTCTCCATAGAGCCTCCCAAAGATGGCGAGACATGCAGCCCCGTGCTTCCTGCAATCAGGAACTGGCTTTGGAGGACTATGGTCACTTCCCAGGAGGACGCTCGGGCTTCCGAGAGGTTGTTGGCTTTGAGGAGGAAGCAGAAGGCGCAGCAGCCGATGGTTACCGTCCACGTCCCATGCTTTTCCTCTATGGAGAAGTCATTCTACGAGGGATGTGACAAGGTGCAGGTGAAGCAGCTTGATGCGAGCACTTGTGAGGCGTACGGCCTGTCGGCAGAGTATGCCTGGTAGAGATGAGAACGATTAGTAGAAGAGTGAGTCGACTTTTGTTTGATGGGCTTGAGTCTCTGCTGACAGGTTTCATCAGCCAATGGACATTTATCAGCTCTTGTTAGACATATTCCCCTTATAATTATACATTAATATAGCGCATACAGCTAGAAACATACATTCTGAGACCTATAAACACATGCAGAGCTCTTCGGTTTCCCCAGGCACAAGAGCTTTCGGTATGAACCGCACGAACGATATGACAATCAAGGCAATCTTATTGAGCCTTGACAAGGACAAGCTGCAATGCATGAAAGATAAGTTTGTGGCCAAGCGACTTCGGAAGTCTATTGCCCCGAATGGCAACTCCTACGAGATCCCTATTGGCGTGAAGGAATTTGTGGCGGTGTCCGGAGACAGAGCACAAGCTATGGTCTAATAAGTCTGGGGTAGAGTCCGGAGCGTCCTGTATCTCTTTGGGGTCGGCTGGGGCGAGTGCGGCGAGCGGTGTGCGAGCTGTACGAGGAGTAGCCGAGGAAGTAGAAGAATAAGATAAGGATAGCCAGGAGGTTCTTCTATAGGGATAAAGAAGAGGAATATCCTGGGTCTCCGGCATGCATCAGTTTCTATGGATGGAAGCGGAGGAGAAGGTATCGCCGTAGCGCCAAGAGTGTGGCGGTGGTGGATGCCATGTGGCGGTAACGCTACATCACCCCCTCCCCGGGAGAAAGACTCGTCCCGAGGCTTCAATAGAACAAAGAAAACAGACCAAGAGACCAAAAGAAAAATGGGAAAACTAACGTCGCGGACCTAAGCGAGAACACAGAAGAGAACTAAGAACAGAGGCGAGAACGGAACGAGGGAAATCGCGGGGACCTGAGAAGGAGATGCAAGGCATCTGAGAAGGGAGACTCTATACGTCTAATGTGGGAGATGCGCAGCATCTTGTCAATTTCGTCGGCTGTTGGGGTGGGGTCGACCACCTCGGATGTGGCGGGCGCCTTGGGGGCGACCAGGGCCAAAGACGATGTATGGTTGGTCCAAGTGGTTCTGGTGGGCACCGTTGGAAGAGGGGCCGCAGGTAGTGTGGCGGAGGGCGGCGAGTGCCTCGGTGGCGGCGAACGACCAAAGGGGGGGCGGGGTCTGCCAGAAGTCCGACGCAAGTGCCCGTTCTGCAGGGAAAAGGTTGTTTTCGGACTTCCGGTACGCCGCGCGAGTGGGGTCGTTAACGTACAGGAATTTGTATGCCCAGCAGCAAATCTTGGAATCCCAAAAGACGTCGGCTAGCGCAATGGACCACTGGTAGACGAGGCGACCGTCAGAGCGATAGAAATCTGGACCCAACGCACTGTCGTCCGACTGTGTAGGCGGCTCGTACCTTATGTAAACGGGGGGGGGGGGGGGGCGGGGATGGTCCCTCGTATTGAACTTGTAGGAAAGAGCATGGCAAGCGAGTTGCAAGTCTGCGAGGGTCGGCGATGCGCACTGCCTGGAGAGTAGGCTCGCGGCATAGCCAAGTCCGGTCGTACGGAACCTGCTGACCAGAGGATACACCCAAAAATGGGTTGATACAGGCTTCTCTCAGCTGGAGGATTGACAAGAGGAGTAGGCGCGTTGGCTGGTAGGGGTATATTAGGGAGATGGCGCATATTCTGTATATCGGGGAGATTGGCGAAGCGCTCATGAATGTGATCGATATAAGCTGGTTGAGACAGCTTTATTGTTTTTCTGCTTCGATCTCTCTCGATTTTCATCCCTAAAATATGCCGCGCTTCTCCCGTACGCGTGGTTGTCCACTTCCAGCGAGGTGATCGAGTATCTTGTTCGCGACTTCGATATCAGGCGCAGCGACAAGTATATCGTCGACATAGTATATCTGGCGGATATTGACACCCCTGGTGAGTGTGTTCAATACCTCCTCTTTCTTGTTGCTCGCCCCTGACGAACCACTTCGGGACACCCCAAGATCTGCAGCACTCTCATCAGGAAAGTGAGAGTGTGATAACCGAGGCCTGGCGTGCCGCCGACGGTACTCTAAGGTCACCGTCAGCATTGGCGACGATGGCTAAACAAACTCAGATGAAAGGTCCACTTACACCGGTGTCGGGGTTCCAGAGGGACCCGGACATGGCGGTGTTGAAGCCGTGTCCCGTCTTCTGACCCCAAATCCACATCACGTCACTGTAGGCTTGCCGTCAGTCGAAAACTAGAAGATAAATCGTCACCGGTGCTCACGTTTCGCCGGTGATATTGCCACCGTTGATCCTGAGATTGATATCGCTGGTGGGGACGTTCTCCACCCAGAGGTACGCGGCGGCGGCCATCTTAGCCACCATCTCGCTCTTGGTAAAGGTCGGGAGAAGCCCGACAACCCTCCTCACGTCGCAGAACGGACCGGCCACCTCGCCGGCGAGGTCCCAAGAAGCGACGGGTGTAATGGAAGCATTGGGCGACACCGCCGGCGAGCTGGGGACAGCGTTATGAGCTTTCCTTTTTCCTCTCAGGTTCGCCCAAGCCCCTCATCTTGTAAGACTCCGATAGCGCACCATCTGCGAACGACTGTTAGCCCGTAATCAGATCATATAAGCTAGATCATTACTCACTGAAAGAGTCGAGCATTGCTTGGTTGAAATTCTTTCTCTTCTGTTGTAATCGGGATGCAGCTAGACGATATGAGATGGTGTTCCTATCTGGGAAACCCCCGCTCACGGTTCTGGGCGCCAACTTGGTCAAGCCGATTATGAGCCTTGGCCGATTTCGATGTGGATCCAATATGGATTGGCTGCGACTTCGGGTCGCGGGGCGGCGAGGAGAGTACGAGCGTCGGGGTGACGCCGAGCGGCGAGGAAAAAGGCCGGAATTGGAATAACGGCGTCGGGATGAGCGATGACGAACGTGGTAGGGAGGGTTGGTGAGGTAGTCCGGGGACATCGCCGCGAGATCTTGGTCGTTGGGGACCTCGGCCGCCAAGATATCAATGATCATACCAGTCTTGCCCAACCCTTCGATAGCGTTCACAGCATTGACAGTCCCTCTCCAGCTGTCGGGATCTCTACCGGCCTCTGAGGTATCTGTCAACACCAGGCTATATGGCAAGGCAATCAGCGAACAATGCAAGCTGCGGAAAACCATCACCAGATTTCGACTCACTCTCATGATCTTCCTCAACATCTCGAGCACCTGATACTCGCAATCAGATATGGTGAAGTCACGATACATCTGGCGTTTGGGCCCGGCCTTGGGAACGTCACGAGCCTCGTCTGCGGTGCTGGTGAAGTGGTCTATGGCCTGGCAAGATGCAACAAAATCAGCTATCGTCCATGGAGATATGGAGGCGACTTACAGGTCTGATCACTAGCAGAACCTTTGATGAACTTGCGATAGTAACCAACCATCCCAAGCCAGCGGGAGAGAGCGGCGGCAGAAGTGGGGACAGGGAACTTTGCGATAGGTTCGACGTGAGTCTCGATGGTCCCAATACTGAGGTTGCTGACGGAATGGCCCAGGGCGGTAATCGAGTTAAACGCGACGTGACTCTTCGACATGGAAAGGGTGATGCCCGACTTTTCGACAAGGGACAAGATGGTATCGACGTCACGTAGGTGCTAGTCAAACGAACGGCTGTAGACGATAATATCGTCTATATAGACCAGCGCGATCTGCCATTTCCACCTCCCGAGGACCTTGTCCATAAATCGCTGGAAATACCGCGGGGCCGTTACGGAGTCCAAAAGGCATGGTGCGGTATTGATGGAGACCACGGTGGGTTCGAAACGCGGACTTCTCTTGAGCAGCCGCGTCAAGAGGGATCTGGTGAAACCCTTTGTTCGCGTCAAAGGTGCTGAATCATCCCATGCCATGGAACTGACTCAGCAGGTCGTCGATGTTGGGGAGAGGGTATTGGTCGGGCTTGGTGATGGCGTTTGCCGCTTGCGGTAATCTACACAGAAGCGTTCCTTCCCTTTTTGACGGACGAGGATGGCGGGAGATGCCCAGGGTGAGTTGCTCTCCTCGATGATGCCGTACTCTAGGAGCTCGTTTACCGTCTCGTCAATGGTTTTACGACCTTGGGGAGACGCTCGGTAGGGTGGAGTGGAGACAGGGTGGTTGTCGCCGGTGTCGACCGACATAGAGGCTAACGTGGTATAGCCAATTTTTCGCGAACCATACCCGAAAGCACGGCGATTCTTCCCAGTCCGGGCGCCATAGACGCTGTCCATCTGGACCGTCGAGGAAGGGTGCGCCATCGTCGTTGGGCTCGGGCCACTTGTCAACACCAAGACTGCTTTTCGCCTTGGCGTCTCCCAGACCATCGAGTTTCCGAACAGCCTGTCGTGCCGAATTCTACCGTCGAGGTCAGCAAAAGCAAATGAGGTAGAGGAGATGAAACTGACCGTCACTGACTATCGCTCTTGTAGGCTTAGATCCTCATACTTCGCATACGCCACGATACGTGGCACCCAGATCCCGCCAGGACCCCACCCTCCCCCCCCCGCACCTTTCTCAGAATGCCGCCGAGAACCGTGGAGACACCCGCTTTTCCTTTGGTCCCTCCGTTAAGCGGCTCGCTATCCAAGTTTGGCTCCAGCCTGGCCAGCATAGTCTGTTCCTTCGCATAAAACCCGTCTCAGTCGCCATCTCAAGCTTCGCAACCGCCTAATACTCTTCGTATATATCGGCGACCTTCATATCCCTCCAGCAGCATTGGCGACTTCCTCCCAATCAGTGTTTCGCAATGGATGCTCTTATCCCGTTCACCACCTCCGGATCACTCGTCGACCTGGTTGACAGTGAGTAGACATCGGCCCTGAGAATGGGGCTCTCTACCCATGCTTCATTTGCTGACACTTGGCTCCTCAGAGAAGGTCCTGGTCATTCTGAGAGATGGAAGAAAGTTGACTGGTGTTTTCCGAAGTTATGATCAGTTCGGTAAGTCGTCACTGATCTCCCGAACCATTGGCCAAGCTGACTGATCCTTCCCCTCGATTGTCACATCCATCTATACATTTCTACTCGTCCCAAATAGCCAACTTCCTCCTTGAATCATGCGTGGAAAGGTTACACTATAAATTGGAATACGCCGACAGAGACATTGGTATACTGTTGATTAGAGGAGAGAACGTGGTAGCGTTGGGAGAGATCGTGAGTCTTCTCTCATCAACCGTGCTCTTCATTGCGGTATAGGGGCGTGTTCGCCGGGGCGAAGCTGACTTGCAATAGGACCTGATACAAGAAGACTTGGTACCGTTACGGGAGGTCCCACTCGAGGAGATCGAGCAGAAGATCTCTGCCGAGTCTGTACGTACACTCTCTTCGCTATCTCCACCCCCTTGGATGCTGACGCGTGATACCAGAAACGACGAGAGCGAGACCAACTTGTAAAGGACAAGGTATTGTCCAAGATGGGCTTCGTGTCGGAAGGCAAGGAGGGCGATGCGTACTGAGTGTGTCCGGGGGCATATGCGGCAGCTAAGTGCTGGAGTGTGATGGTCGAATTGTTGGGCTCTGGTCGTTATTATTGAGTCTATGGATCGTTGTCGACTGTACGGTGCGGCGGCGGTCGCCTGAAGGTACGATCAAAAGTCCAGTCACCTCACCTCCACTCGCATCCTCCATCTCTCTTTTCCTTTCAACTTCTACATCTCGGATCTCTCGTCTCTGTATTCTTACCCATATAGCCGCCATCGCCCGCTCCGCCCTCGTCTCGCCTGTCCACCAGCAGCTGTGTCGCTCAACTAGCCATGTCCTCGCGCCTTCCTCCACCATCCAGCCACATCCCTTTCGGCAATATTAACTCCACCCCGTCATCCAAACAGTCCACGTCGGGGCAAGAGAAGCATGATGGAGGTGATCTGGAGTGGTTGGACTATGCTGAGTGCGCTTTGTGGTGAGTGAGAGTTGTGATCAACGGAGGGGTAGTGGTGACTATGATGAATCAAGCCATGATGCGTTGACGGAAGGAGCGCTGAGGGGTAGACATTTTTGGATGACTTCTTGTGGACATATACTCTGCTCGGCTGAGGAACATGATCGTGAGTTGGTCAGACTAGATGGCAGGCTGATACACCTCGATCAGATCAAGCTGGGATCTGCACGTTCTGCAACAAGAAGATGGAGAACTTTCTCATTCAACAAGGATCTGCAAGCTGATTCATGTCAGACGCGATGCGGTGCTGACCTTGTTTAGCTTCCGCCAGAACACGAGATGTGGTTCCAGAACGGCATGTCCCTCCTGTCGAATGCCATCGACGACATGAAGAGATCTATGAAGAATAGCGCCACAGCTCAACGAGTGGTCGGAGTAAGTGATCCACGGTGATGCTACTGTCACAAGCTGACGCAGATATAGTTTCAATACAGAAATATGAAACGATCGATACTTCACTACAAAACTGTCTTGAAGGAGAAGGAAGAGCGTATTGGCGTGATCGAGCGGGAGCAAGAGGCCCTTTTGTCGTGAGCTCACTAACGAATCGCTCTGGATCTACTGACATCTATCCAGCGAAAACTACGAACTGCATGAACGCCTCGCCAAAGCTCAATCAGAAATCCATACTCTTCAACGTTCCCAATCTCAGCATCCATCTCAAGTCACACCTCAATCCAACCCTCAGCACTATCCTGTGTCAGATCAATCACAGATACAGCCAGAGATGCACCGGTATTCGCCTCAGGGAGCTTTCCACGGACCTCACTCAATGGCGCCGTTGCCTACAGTGCAAGAGGAGGACTTTGGTGTTTCGTGGAATGCGGGCGAAGATGGATATCATAAGAAGCGTAGGGTGGATTCTCTGGATCAGCAGCCTCGAAGGTAAGTTCTTTTCTCGATGTAAGAGATTATTGCTCATAGAGCAAGATTCGTTCCGCCCACTCCGACCTCTGGCTCTTCCGATATTCATCTCAACAGTCACTTCGTTCCGCACCTACAACCGCACCATACGGCCTCGGCCAGGCCGCCTTCGCGAGCTTTCGTCCCTCCAGCTCCGATGCGTCCTACACCAATGCTTACTGCCGCCAACAGACCGCAGAGCACCATGGACATGCGACCGACACAAGGGAATCTGGGTGGGGATACTAGGCAGAAGCTCGAGTGAGTCGTGCTTAATCTGCTTAGAGTGCATCGCTAACATTGGGATAGTGCGTACAGATACGATCCCACGAACCCTTCGCCTCCTCGCAGAATGAATTCACCCGAGAGACCATCGACAGCATTGCCAAGCTTGAGCTCAGCCAGCTCCAGACTGGACATGAGACAGCCGACGAGTTTCGTGGAAAGGTTGAAGCAGAGCAACTCTTCTTTCCGTACGTCTAAATCATCTTGATGTTGCTCATACTGACGTCCAGCAGTCCAGCGTCCAGCATCGACTCGGCCTACTCCTCTTTCGCGCCAAAATCTCAACCTCGACGGGATGGACGCTGGAGATAAGCCCAGTATTGCCAGGATGAGGTCGGAGGTGCCGCAGGCGAGACCGATGAGTGCCATGATGGGGAGGCAGGCGGGGCAGACGAGAAGGTTGGGGAATCGATTCTGAGCAAGCAGGTTGAGGATGGTGATGTGGTGGCTGCGACTGCTTTCATACTGTACTTATTGTATGCCCCTCTAGTATGCTTCGATAACATCGCTGATACATGCGTTCTAGCTATAGCTATAGTCGAATGGAAATACACCTCTATGGATACCATCATTGCATCTGCCCGAACATCTCATACTTCCCCTTCCCCATTCACTTTGACTTCCTTCGTCTCCACCTTCAACGCCCTCTTCGCTCTCGTTCGTACCCGGTTGCCACGGAGGAAAAAGTAGAACGGCATGGGCGCGATGACGACTGCGATACCCGCGAGGAGGACGCACCCGAATTGGAATTTCAGATTGTGCTGAACGCTGACTTTTAGCCGCCTTGTATTGCAACTCCAACTCGCGAGGGGGATGGATGGATGACGTACGAGAAGCTGGTTGATCCAGAGAGGGACGGACGCTGCTATGAGACATCTGATCAAATTCTTGGATGATATTGCTGATGCCGCTACGTGAGAGTACGAGTCGACGATATACTGACCGCCGCATCGGCTTCACCCTTCCCGAATAGATAAGGAGAGCTCACGCTGTTACCAGCCACATAAATGGTGACCATCGAAAAACCAAAGACGACTCCTGCTGCCGCGGGCCCGACCCAGGTTATACCAGGATATGAGGTGAAAGCGAGGATGAGCAGTGCTATGGGCAGAGTTCTGACCACTCTTTCAGTGGAGGACGGGGAAAGATGGAGCATGGTACTCACATGGCGCCTATCATCATAGGGTACAAGCGACCTTCGGGGACTGGTCCATGCTTGACGGCGTGTCTCGCGTATAGGGTTTCTTGCCACCAGTTGACGAGGTTTGCGAGAAAGATCCCAATCTGGTGGTTTGTCATTAGTACGTCAAGTCAAAGTCGCAAAGACAGACAGACTCACGCATATGGATAGAAAGGCGACTCCAGTCATACCCGCGCTCCACCCTCTCTTCTCTTCGAACGCAATCGGGAACGCAAAGAAAGTCGCGTACAACAACGCGTATATGAAGCTCAAGTAGAACGAAAACAGCACAATGATACTCTCCGACATCAATATAAAAGGCCTCAAAAGCGCAATCTTCATCGTCTCCCTGGACGGTACCCTGTTCAAATCGGCTTTGGCAATGTACATGTCGGTTTTGTGTTGTTTGTTGAGACGGTGGGCTTTATTGCGGAGGAGCACGATTTCGAGGGTTTCGGGGGTGAAGAAGGCGAGGATGAAGGCGGCGAAGCAGAAACAGAAGAGGACCCAGTAGATCCAACGCCAATGACCGGTTTTCTGGCCGATCCAGCCTCCGAAGAGAGGGCCGAAGCATGGTCCGAGGCTATCCCAGCAGCTGTCAGTCCCCCACCTGTTTCCAAGAGAGAGCTTACAAAAGCGTAGAACTATAAGCGGCCATAGGTATCCCTCTCTCATGCGTCGCCCAAAGATCCGCCACAGTACCGCCGACATTACAGAACGGTGCGCTCGCTGCCAAGCCGGCAATCATGCGACCGGCAAGGATGGTAGCGATGTTGGGGGCGAGTGCGCAAGGGAGGGTGAAGATGGAGAAGATGAACATGGAGACGATGTAGACCGGACGGCGGCCGTATACCTCGGACACTGAGAGCGGTTGAGAATCAGCTTGAGGGGAAGGTAGGTGCTATGAGCGGAGGGGGTGTACTTGGAGCGCATAATAGCTGATACAGTGTAAGCATTCTGGCTTCCAGGCCACGACCCTCGAAACTTACAGGACCTATCCCAAACCCAGCCACGTACAAAGACACGGTCAAGTTGATGACCTCATTCGACACATGCAGAGTTTCAGCAGTCCCCGGAAGATCACCTGTCGGCATTGAGGAGCCTAAAGATACTACCAGGGCAAGACTGGTAGCCGTGAAGGTGCAGTACCTGTTGCGAAATCAGTTCATGGTCGATGACGTTGTGTGCTCACCATCTGTAAGGATTCTTCCACTGTTTTGGTCCCTCCCCAGGTTCAAACTCGACGATACTCTTATCACCCTTTGATGTCTTTGTTACGCCTCTATGTTCCATACCATGCGTCACAACAGTCTCCTGATTCAAGGTTGTTGTTGAAGATGCCCTTCGGTCAGAGCTTGCCACTGGGTCAAGCGCTCTTTGCTCGTGCTCTTCCCTTACTTCTTCTTGAACGGTGGGAACGTGGTCGAGTGTCTTCGATTCCTTGGAGTTGAGATCGCTATGAGGGGTAGGAGTAGCTGGTGTAGGGGGGAAGGACATCGCTCGAGGGTTGAGGCTTGTAGAAAGAACCGTCGCGTTCGCAGGCAGCAGAAGATGGGGCGTCCGACGACGACTTTCGGTCAACTTATATTGCATTCTCGGTGATTATCGATGGCAAGTCATGGGGCCCCTGTTATATGAAATTCACATATGCTCACCACGATAGTCATAAGATCCGACCAAATTTGGTGCAGATATAGCAATGCCGAAACATCTTGGGTGATCTGACGAGGTGGGTTATTTGAGAGGATCCACCTCTCTGGCGGTACCGCTTTTGCCCGATGGGATAAGCGCTGCGCTGCAAGGCCTACTGATACATGCTGTTATAGTACAGGTCAACGTGATTTGTTGAAACCTTGCAATGGTCAAGAGCCTAGACCTGGAGCTCGTCCAACAACAATAATCATCCACCCTGCCGCCGCGGCCGAGCGTTTTGAACGATAGATTCTCTATATGAGCTCTCGTGACTGATGACCTGTAATACGGCATGGGATCTGACACTTCCATATCGCGCGCTTGAACACCTGCCCATGAAGTGGCTGGCCAACGTTGAGCGACGTGCCAACTGCCCTCCAAAATGGCTGCCACTCGGCGGCGGGTGCCTGACGGACAGACACCTCTTGACTTGCGTGATGGACTCATGATCTCAATCATTTCCAGTGTATTTTGATTTCTCGCATACTATATTCCGCCAGCCATCTTGGGAGGAATGCGCCTCCTCCACATCCTCCTGCTGGCATACCCAGCGTACTCGATCGCATCTCCGGCCCCGCCGCCCACAGCCGCAGAATACCCTCTTCAAGAGCCCTCTCATCTCGCGACATCGCCTGGATCTCAACTCGACGCACCCCAGAATGCCCCAGAGGTATTCGAGGGCAACTCAGAGTACAAAGCAGTCTTCTATGCCCAGCAGCCAGCCGCTTTTGCGAATGGTATCAAAGACGGCGAAGGATGGCTCAGCCGATGGTTGGCGATGGGCGGAGAAGGCGAGGTAGTTGTACACGTGAGCCATACACCAATTACATGCTTTTCCTCTCTCTGACACTCTTACAGCTTCAAGATGCTGAGAACCTCACCCTCCCCCACCGACCCGCCGCTTTCCCAACCCACGTAGATCGCCCTCTCTTGCCCATCTCGGGTACCCTCGTCCCCTTCAGCTCTTTCCCAAGCCCGCGCGGCCAGCCCAACACTCCCCTCGCGTGTCTGCCTCCCCTGTCTCCCGTGGACCGCCCCAAACCTTCCCATCCGCCTGGAGAAGAGCCGCCCAAGGAAGAGGAACGATATATCGCGCTGATTGAGCGTGGTGGCTGCGATTTTGCCACCAAAGTGCGCGTGGCGCAGGATCGGGGAGCGATAGCTGTCATCGTTGGGGATAGTGTCTTGAGGCTCTCCGAGACGGATGAGGAAGGCAGAAAGAGGGAAGGGCTCATCACAATGTTTTCGCCCGAAGATACGGCGGGAATCCATATTCCGTCAGTGTTCGTTTCGCGGGCGAGCTATCTGGATTTGAGGGATATGCTGTGGAAGCATGTAGACTCGGGGATTGGGAAGGGCTTGTGGATTGATATTGGTGAGGGAACTGATGAGGGAGGGTAAGTTTGTCAATTTATGCGAGAATCATCCCTAATACCATTCACAGGACCCTTTCAAACCTGCTCTCCTTCGCCTTGCTCATGCCCACCCTCTTCCTTCTCGCCACCATCGCCGTCCACCGTATTCGGCTCGCCCGTCAACGTGAAAAAGATCGTGCCCCCGCACTCGTCGTCCTGTCTCTACCAGAGAGGATATGGGCGCCAGACATAGTCTGGGAGAAAGAAGATGAGAGTTCTGACGGTTCTCTGACGCAAGAGTGTAGCTCGACGCCCGGAGTGGGGTGCGGGAAGAGACTCAACTTGGATAGGAGGGAAAGTGGGATGGGAGAGGATATCGAGGAAGAAGATGAAGGCGCTGATGGAGATGAGGAGAGCGAAGATCCAGTGGCCGAGCATCCGCCTCCACCAATCCATCCATCTTCGATCGATACTCCGCCCATCCCTCATACACTGAACGACCCCTCCCACCCTCCAATCCCGCTTCCTCCCCATTCCTCTTCACCTCCAGAGTCTCCTTCAGATCACCCTGGTCCGTCCCAACATCATCACCACAAGAAGACACACAAGCCGAAACGCCAGTACTTTTCCAAGGACGAGTGTGCTATTTGCATGGATGCTTTTGAGAAGGGCGATGTGGTTAGGATATTACCTTGCGGGCATGTGTTTCATAAAGAGGAGTGTGATGAGTGGTTGATGAAGTGGAGAAAGCTTGTACGTCTTTTCATCATTCACTCTGTAAGGTGTAAGAGCTAATGCGGTTCTAGTGCCCCACCTGCCGAGCAGACGTCACCTTACCTCAAGGAAAGATCAGAGGATCCACCGTAACCCCCGTCACCGCCGCCGGCCAACCCCCGGTCTCAGCGTCTAACCTCACCCCGTCCGATCTGGAAAATGGGATAGGCGAGGACGTTACTTTGGAGGGAGTGTATATGAGGATAGGGGAGAGGGTGGAGAATGGCTGGACGGCCTTGGCAGGATGGGCTGGGAGGACAAGGAGGGCGCTGTTTGGGAGGGGTGGAGAACGGGGAAGGGAGGAGGAGAGGGTGAGACTTGTGGATGACGATCATGTCTGACGACCCAATAATCTCTCCATCCCAGTCACAGCTTTGTATCCACATCTAATGACTTCTCCTACGTATACATTCACCGTCTCCCCTTTCTGCTGTATGACGACCTAGTTTACCCATGACGATTGATCTAATCTTTATACTTTTCATATCTCTGTGTGTTGTTTAGGAGACTGTTGCCGTTGTAGTTTATAGTTGTCGCATATATCCATGAAATACATGACGCTTGACTATAGTTTTGTGTTCCACAGATCGTATTCAAGAGCGATCTTCTCGTCCAGTTCGATAAACTTTATCGGCCACTCGAATCCCTCCAACTCGACCGGCGGTGATGTCGAGTACAAGGGCTTTGGAGGCGAAAAATTGGCTCTCGCAAGATCCTCCACAAGACTTGCATCTACGCATACCACCTCGAGCTGTTCAGGGGGATAGACGAATCCCGCCTCTTTCGCTGCGTCTTCCTCTTCCTCAGGACGGTTCCCATGTTCCCGCCTTTGATCCATGACATGGTCCATGACGTAGATAATGAACTCCGCAAAGTCCTCGAGAACATAGGGTGATGCAGCGGGAATACACGACGCTGTGCTGCCTGTTTCCTCGTTTGCCTCGGGCGCAAGCCAGAGCACGAATCTGAGTATCCTCTCCGGTTGAAGGGGAAGATGATTACACCATGGGGAGTAATCTAAACCGCATTTGTCGGTGTGCAAGACGACAGTTGTCGCGACGTTGACGGGGTTTTGAGAGAATAAGAAACCAATCTCTACCAGCGCGTCATCTGTGCACCTTGCCCGTTCATCACTGCAGTCGACGTGCACAAGAGCCTCACGCAGTTGGCCTCCGCGCTGAACTTCATTGTACAGCGTGCGCTCCTCGGGGTTGACGTTGCCCATACGGTGTTGAAATTTGAAGAAGTACTCGTCCCGCACGACCGCCCAGAAGAACTCTACCCGTTTGACAAGCGGTATGATGGGACGCTCGAGAAGCCGTATGATGGGAAAAGTTAACCTCCCATTAACTTTCAAGCGGTAGTTCTCAAATAGTATCGCAGAATGAACGTCTACCACCTGGAGCACCTTCGCGTATTTAACAGAGTGCGGTCTCAGCGCGCCATCGCCAGGCACGTCGAACGCCCAGATGGACTTTTGGGTAACGGGGAGGGTATGATACAGGTCTGGGAGGACGCGCCGGCGGTAGTACTTGTTGAGCTGGAGGATGGTGTACGGGGAGGATTGGGCGAGAAAGTTGAGGATCATGTGGTGGACAGGGTGGAGGCGGGCCAAGGTCTCGGGGGTGAGGGAAGACATGGTCGGCAGTTGAATTGCTGAGATGTCTGGTGGATGTCTACATAACATGGTCAGCTTATGGACCAACGACACGAGAACGGAACGGAACAAGAGATAAGCTCACGAAGTATGCGATCTTCTTCACGTCGCAGTCAATAAAGAACACCCTCTCGTCCGGCTCGAGCCTTTGATCAGAGGTGTCCGATAGTGCCGGCGGCTTCCTCGAGCTAGATTGGATCTACGGGAGCCAGGTCAGGATACAGCTACATCGACGATCGCGCTCACGTGCTTAGCGGACAGTTGCAGATAATAACGACTGATGATCTCGGCGACCTGACTGCTTGATGGAATCGATTTTTGAATGATGATGTATAGCGTCCGTATTCCAGTGATTGATATTTGAGAAGGCAGCGGCAGAATTGAAGAAGAAAGCAGGATCGAACAGCAAGTTTCAGTAGGAAAAAAATGGCAGGCGCATCGACGAGCACCAGTCGCGTCGTACGTATGTCTTTGAGGCACGGGATTTCTCAAGTGATTGTTTGGTCCGGACGTCATTCGCTTCACCCTGAAGCCACAGCACTTTGCTGGCTCACCTTTCTGGTACCTTGCCCCTCATATTTGGATCAGTCGACCGGTATTGCATTCAACCTCTCCCGTCCTCATTTGTGAGCCGACTCTGTTCCTCAACGTCAGTCTCGGTCACTCTCGCGCCTTGCCAAGATTCCTGTACTGTAGGACTGTTGGTTGTGGCATACAGTATATACAGTATATCAATGAAACACATGTCGTCTCTGAGCTACATTTTTGTGCTCCACAAATCGTAATTATCGACTAGCTCCCTGTCCAGCTTTCGGAATCGCGGCGCCCAGTCGAAACCTTTTGCCTTGCGTTGATCGGGTCGGTAAAAAGTCCTGGCAAGCTCTTCCACATAGATCGGGCTCGGGCACACTACCTCAATAGCAAGTGGGTACACAAATCCTTCTTCGAGCACTTCACCTGGATATAACGATGCCTCGACCCAATCTTGCTCCAAAGCTGCAGTGCTGAGAGCAATGAACCGCGCGAAATCTTCCAAGACGCCTGGAGGGGGAATAGGGATGGGCCGCGGGTCTCCCGGATGTATCTGCTCCTTCTTCTCGGGCGTAGACCAGAGCACAAATCGGAGTGTCGACGGAGAAGGTAGAGGAAGCCTCTCGCCTAGCGGGAAGTATATTCGGCCATGAGTGGGGGCGTGCAAGACAATGGTGGTATTGATATCCACGGAGCGATCGTGGAACATCCAAGGGATACATCCCAGCTCGTTGCTATCGTGTGATGCCCATTCATCGCCACAGTCGACGTGAACGAGAGCTTCTGCGAGATGATCGCTGCGCGCGACTTCTTCCAGGATTGTGTACTTGCCTACGTCACCCAAGCGGCCTTGGATTCTCAAGAAGTAGCCGTCCCGGATGACTGCCCACGAGAACTCCACCCGCACAACTTTGAGTTCAGAGGGGAACACCCCTCTTTCATCGTCACGTAGACGGAGAGGGAACACCCCTCTTTCATCGTCACGTAGATGGAGAGGGAACACCCATCTTTCATCGTCACGTAGACGGAGATGCTCAAAGAGAATCGCAGATTCGGTATTTACTACCCTGAGCACCTTTACCTGATTGATAGCGAGCGGTAGCAGCGGATCCTCGCCCGTCAAACCGCAGTCAAATGCCCCCAGGGACTTGGTAGTGATGGTGAAGGTGTGATACAAGTTGGGAATGATGCGTCGGCGGTGGTACTTGTTGAGCCGGAGAACGAGGTATGGGGAGGATTGGGAGAGGTAGTCGAAGATCATGTGGTGGACAGGGTGAAGGCGGGCAAAGCGCTCAGGGGTGAGAGAAGACATGGTCGGCAGTTGAATTTCTGGGATATCTGGGGAATGTCTATATAGCATGGTCAGCTTTTGGTATAGGGGCGGCGAGGACAGGGCGGGGCAAGAGATGAGCTCACGTGGCACGAGATCTTCTTCACGTCGCAGTCTTAAACGATCCACCTTCTGTCTGTCTCGGGGCGCTCGTCTAGATCTCTTTGGTGGTCTCCTCGAGTTAGGCTGAGTCTGTGGGACTGTCAGGCTACAGTTGCAGAGACGTTCGCGCTCCCGTACCGGTCGCGGATGTTTAGAGCCAGTCGGCGACGTGACGGTTTGATCGAATCGCTTGTCCACTGATGATGCAGAGCTCTTGTATTTCAGTAGCTCCTTTTCGAAAAGGCTGGGAAAGAAGTGTAGCAAGGGATGGATTGAAGAGCAAGTTCCAGGAGACGCAATGGCAAGCGGGAACGCGACTGTCAGCAGTCATTCTAGGCACGCGAGCTTATCAATTGATTGTTTGGTTCCGAGTCCAAATTTTGTTCGCCCAACTCTGAACCCTAGTACTCAGGTATGACGCTTTCACCATCAAACATTAATGGCCCCCTGAAGCCGGTGTCCAACCCCATATCCTTTCTCTCTCTTTCTCTCCTGCATAACGACTCTGTTCATGAACGGCAATCAACCGGCTTGCATTGATCATTGATCGTTATCACTGTACAAGCGTTGGGTACACAGTCAAGCATTGCTAGATGTAGACGGAGGATCAGAAGCTATGGTATGGCAAAGGCGACATGCCCCGTGCAATTGTAGTTCAGAGCGGTAGCATGTAGAATGATCGTGCGATGCATTATTACAACGCTTATGGCGCTCTCTTCCATAAATCATACTCATCAACTGTCCCCTCGTCCAGCTCCAAAAACTGCACAGGCCATTCAAGGTTTGCTGCCCTAGTATGCCTCGACTTGAAGTGGCTCCTGGCAAGCTGCTCTACGTGACCTGCATTCGGACAGCATACCTCGTAGGTGGAAGCGTTATCGGCGAGCTCTCTCATCACATCCACCTCATTCATCGCCTCAATATCACCCTCGAGAGCATCTAACAGGATCTGGAGGCCCAAATCGCCAATGAGAGCCGCGAAAGCATCAATGACGTTGCGCGAGGGAACAGGGACGACGCCATTCGTACTTTTACTTTCCGCAGCGCCTTCCTCTTTAGTCACGGCTTTCGACTAAAGCAAGAGTCGGAGTGTATAGAAGGGTTGAGGTAAGCTATCGGCAGGCGGGAGAACCATCTGGCCCGTCTCTGGGACATGCAAAACGAGGGTCAACGTTTTGGCATGTTTGAGCGCACCGCTCAGATATCGAGGGATCCCTTTCAGCTCGTAACTGCTGATCTCTGCTTGTTTGTTGCTGCAATCGATGTGCAAGAGACACTCTTGGAGCTGGCTTTCGGGTTTAAGCTCATGCTGGAGTGTTCTCCCTTGGCTGCCTCCATCACCCATGCGGCCGCTGAACCTCTTGAAGAACCGTTCCTCAAAGACCGCCCACGAGAACTCTACCCGCTTGACACGCGGTATGATGGGAGAGCTGTACGCATCGATGTCTTCCCCAGCATACTGCAAGCGATAGCTGGCAAACAGCAAAGCAGATTCGAGGTTGACCACCCTGAGCACTTCTGTATAAGTGGCAGGGTACGGTAGCAGCGAAGGATTGCTAGTCGAGTGGTTATCAAACACCACTATGGACTTGCGGTTGACGGGGACAATGCGGTACAGCCTCGGGAGCGCCTCGCGGCGATAGGACTTGTTGAGCTGGGCGATAAGGTGCGGGGAGGATTGGGAGAGGCAGTCAAAGGTCATGTGGTGGACAGGGTGAAGGCGGGCAAAGAGCTCGGGGGTGATGGAACACATCACTGGCCGATAGATTGTTTATGGTACATCAAAAGTGTCTATTGCACAGCGTCAGCTCATAGCGTCGACATGGCGAGAGCAGGTCATGCACCTACCGGACTGCAATGCGAGACTCTTCTCTCGTTCGATACCAGCTCTTCAATATGATTAGGCATCACCGGGCAATCAAGTACCTGTACGAGGACTGCCACGTCACGAGTTTTCGAATGTCCTGGCCATGCATACTGGCGTAGACCTATATGGTTCAATCACCCATCGTGTCAAGACTTGGTGCATAGCCATGGTCAGCTATGAGGGCAGTAAACGAATATTGAAGCATTATACAGAGAGCATACCAGACAAACAGAAAGAATACAACAAAACGCGTCCAAGATGCGCGAACGCGCGCGACATTTTGATCTCTTTCCAAACTTCACCCGGCCGTCAGCGAATTTCCTTCTGCCCTTCACCATCCCAAACCCCCCACCATGTCCCCAAACCTAAAACCAATGATCCCCTCCCTCCTCCCCCTCCTCCTCTCCACAACCCCCCGCATCATCGCCCTCGCTGCCCAACCAGGCGGTCCTCTAGAAAGAGAAGAATACACGATGGGCATTGCGAGGGGCCAGATTGAGGATGCTATGGGGTTGATCAGGGGGGAGCTGGGGAAGAAGGAGTGGAAGAGGGTTGTTAAGAGGGTGGTGCAGGAGGAGATTGTGAGTTTCTTTCGTTTCGGTCAGGCCTGCTTTTGCTGAGGTTTGGGACTGATGGGGGTCTTTCGGGTGACCAGTCTGAGCAAGAGGATGGAGGTGTTGGCTCTGATCAAGACGGCCAGAAAGAAGAGCAGGTGCCAATGGCGCCGACCCCTTCACCTTCACCTTCACCATCACCTTCACCTTTACCTTCACCTTCACCATCGCCACCACCGCCCAAACACAAACCCGTAAGACCACTCCCTCCCCCAAATCCAACTCCTCAACGCTGACCCGGCTCCCGCTCTTCTCTTTCTCTCGATATTTAGACGACGAACAAGCCAAAACCCCCAGCTTCATCCCCCCCCGACATATCTCCAATCTCTCCCAAAAGACCGCCCGCCTCTAACTCCAAGAGACAACCACCATCCCCAATCGGTCGGAAACAAGAACCTACAGTTATCGAGATCCTCTCTTCCCAACCTTCACATCCTTTCTCTCCTCCCCCTCCACCTAGATATGGCAAGAAGCATGTCGTCATCGTAGACGATGAAGACGACGGATCAGAAGTAGAAGTAATAGAAGTAGAAGAGGAAGAAGAAGAAGAAGAAGAAGAAGAAGAAGAAGAAGAAGAAGAAGAAGAAGAAGAAGAGGAAGAAGAGGAAGAAGAAGAAGGACGAGGAGGAGGAGGAGGCGAAGCAGAGCAAGATGCGCCAAGCCAGATGTCTTCCGTCTACGACACAACCTCCCAAGCCCGACGGGCTGCGAAATCGAAAGCTGGCGTCACCCCGAGTCCGAGTCCGTCGCCTGTCAAGAAGAAGAAGAAGAAGAAGAGGGCTAATCGCGGGGACGGTGATGAGAAGAAGAGTATGGGGAGTGATTTGGAAGAGAGGAAGGAGAAGAAGGAGGGGAAGGGGAGGAAGAGGAAGAGGACAGTCGAGGAAGATGAAACGCCAAAAAAGAAGCCTGCTCCCAGGTCGAGGGCGAAGAAAGACCCTCACGAAGGCGTAAGCTCCATCCTCCATCTCCACCTCCTCATTCTCATCCACAATACCAACAAGTGAGGTAAAAGGCTGATGTAAGCAAATGACACACGCCAGCTCTCTGCGCAAGAGATCAAAGTGGTAGAATTGAAAAAGATCATCGTTGCTTGCGGTTTGCGTAAACGATGGTACGTTCCCCTCCCTCCCTCCCCGCCCTTCCGCCCTTCCCTTCCGTCCCCGCACAATACGTACGTACGCTGAACAGCAGCCCATCCAAACCGTAAACAGGTCCAAAGAGCTAGCCAACTACCCCACCCCTTCCTCCCAGATCACCCACCTCCAAAGCATGCTCCGGGACGACCTCGGTATGCGCGGGACACCGACGTTGGGGAAGGCGAGGTCTATCAGGGTGAGGCGGGAGTTGGCGCAGGAACTTGGTGCGTTCCCCTTTCTTACGTTTTCGAGTTGCCCGGGTTGCCCGGGTTGCCGGGTTGCCCGGGCTGCCCGGGGCGGGGCGGGGTGGGGTGGTGTGGGGTGGTGGCTGATGAGAATTGGATTGGGTTAGATGATGTGAAGGCGTATGAAAAAGAGAGGGGCCGTTCTGCCGACCAGAGAGGGAACAAGTCTCGTTCAACCTCCGACGACGAAAGTACTGCCACCGAAAAGGCGAGTCTCCATGACAAGTTGACGAAAGAGGGGGTTTGTGCTGATGCGATTTTCGGGTACAGGGTGCTATGGAGGCCGTGATGGACTTTTTGGGCAATGATGATGATGATTGTGATGACGATTAACGTTTTGATGGGTTTTATAATTTATGTTTATACGACGATATGTGCTCTTTAGAGCCTACTATATGTAATTGCACTGAGAGAACGATATGGGAGGAGCTCTTTGCTTGTGAGTTTGGGTGGCTTGGATGGAGTTTGAGAGAGAAGCTGTGGGACAAGTTTTCGATTGTTCTTGGAAATCAGACACGGACCTTCAAGCTGCAGTCTGCGTCTCTCCACAATACCTCGCTATGGTTGAATCGCCCACCCAGCTCTCCCACTCACCATCTCACGACTCATCTCAATCCCATCATGATACTGCTGCCAACACCCAAAGAACCTTTCCACGACCGACTCTGCTCGAGAATAGAAAGAAAGGTGCATCCCCCCAGCTAAAAGCCAGACTACCAGAACAGATATAATTGTCGAGTAGATTACTTCTTGCCGGCAAGAGCTCGGCCAACACGTCGACCGCTGTGAATTGGGTCAGTAAAGTTGACACTATCACTCCGATCTCATGCCCTGGCCCGTCATAGCCCGGCCGTGCGCCCAAAAGAAACTCGACTCACGTGGTCTTGGTGTGCTGACCCCTAACCTTCAAACCCCAGTGGTGCCTCAAACCTCGGTGGGTCCTAATCTTCTTAAGCCTCTCAAGGTCCTCACGGAGCCTCTGGTCGATAACGTTGGAAAGAACGTGGTGGTTCTTGCCGTCGTTGATGTCGCGCTGCCTGTTGAGGAACCAAGCGGGGATCTTGAACTGGGCGGGGTTTTGCATGATGGTGACGATTCGCTCGAGCTCATCAGAGTTGAGCTCACCGGCCCTGTAATCATGTCAGTGACGGACGGGGCAGGGGTGGTAAGACGGACCTCTTGTTGAGGTCGACATCAGCCTTCTTGCAGACCAAGTTGGCGTATCGGCGACCGACACCCTTGATCTCGGTAAGGGCGTACATGATCTTACCGCCACCCTTAACGTTGGTGTTAAGGAGACGCAAGATGTGCTGTGGGGGATGTCAGTAACGTCTCCCGATCGTCCATAGGTCCCTCCGCCGCCGTCCTTGTGCTCCATCTCGCGATCCCCCGATTCGTCTTTTCCCGTTTTTCTTTCTCTCGGACGGCGGCGGTGGTGGGTGGTCGGTTGTACGGACCTGGAACTGCTGGTGAGCCTCGAGGGGAGCGAAAGACATGATGGCTGTTTTGCTTGAAGGGTAAGAGGTCGCTGTCTGCAATGCCAAAATCAGAGAGCAGGAAACTTCGGGGTTATGCGGCAATTTCGCTGTGGCACCCGGACGAAACTCCCCCCTGGTGCGTGCCTGGCATCTGATCCCGTCGCATCCACAACCCATCGCATGTGTTGCACCTTTCTGTTTCTCACCCATCAACGCTAACTCTTTAGACAAAATGTGAGTGCCGTGCTGGGGGCAGGGGCAGCGCTGACCATCCCTGCTTCTCTTCCTCAACAGGGTCAACATGTGAGTACATCCCTTCTGACTCCATAGACACAACTGACAAATTTACAGCCCCAAGTGCGTACCAAAACCACCACCCACTATACATGCAAGGAAAAAAATGAACGAGCGCTAACCATCCCCTCCCCCTCTCCAACAGGACCCGACGAACCTGTGCGTTAATCCCATGCAAGAAGGAAGGAAGGAGAAGGCTGACGGAGGAATTGTAGACTGCAAGGGTAAGGCTTGCAAGAAGCACACCCCCCACAAGGTGACCCAGTACAAGAAGGGCAAGGACTCTCTTTCCGCCCAGGGAAAGCGACGATATGACCGTGAGTATTTGACATCAAGACGGCGAGCGATGAGCGATTCGATGGGAGCAGAGGATGAACAGAGCGGCATGGAGCAAGCGGCAGACGGGGCGACGGATGGACGGGCAGACTGGCAGTCGGGGCGTTGAGGGCATGGGAGTCGTTGGTGGGAGAGTCATGGGGAGAAGGATCCATTCGCTCGCCGTCCAACCAATACCCAACCTATACTCGTACTAACTTTTCACCCAGGAAAGCAGTCCGGTTACGGTGGTCAGACCAAGCCCGTCTTCCACAAGAAGGCCAAGACCGTGCGTCCCCGTCCCCCTTCCTCCCCCAAAACACAACTGACACTCTGTACAGACCAAGAAGGTCGTCCTCCGTCTCGAGTGCACTTCCTGCAAGACCAAGCACCAGCTCTCTCTCAAGCGATGCAAGCACTTTGAGCTCGGTGGTGACAAGAAGCAGAGGGGTGCCGCCATCTCTTTCTAAGCGCATTTCTTTCTTTTGCCACTTGTGTGTGGTGGGAAGGAGAGCTTTCGGTGTGCTGGGAAATCTGGGAGGAATTGGCGCTTTGAAAAGGTCGATGAATTGCTGGGTTTCTTTTTGGACGCTGGGGTTTTGCGAGGAATGGGAGGTTTGTGGGGATGTATGATTATGCCCAAATATACTGTTCTGCAGGCTGTGGTTCCAATCGACTTGCAATACTGACACGTCTTACTTGCGTTTGTGAGAAGGAGAGCGCGGGCGAGCGCATGGGCTTGAGGGGTGATTGATACGCGAGGTCGGTACCTGCATGTCTGAACCCATCTTCCTATACACCAATCACACCGTTCTGGCTGACGAGCAAACCCCTATTCACTTTCCTCACTCTCTTCCGTACTCGTAAAGTGTCTTGTCTTGCACTCGCCACTTGTCTGTTTCAGACATGTCGTTACGAAAAGTCTGATCTTTTATTGAATGAAGCTCTTCTACCGTGCCACTGTTTTCACAGTCGGATCTATGGATCATCGGCATACCGACGGGTGACACAGCGGCCTTCGTGTCAGCGCAGCAGATGTTACTGTCGGGATGAGGGGATACCAAACGGACGATATGCAAGCTTACACACCTTTCAAACCATAGACACAAGCAAATGCAACAGATCTCTTGATACATTTCTATACGACAAAGATTTTACGTTCTGTATAACTGAAAAAAGTCCATGGTGAAGATACAAGTCGACACGGTTCTTTTCTTTCCATACCCTACCTAATCCTTCTTCCCCACCTTGTGCATTAGCTGCAAGACATCGAGGATGGTACTCGCGCTCCAGGCTTGAGTGTTGCAAGAGTCATAGCAGTATTGACCGTCTAATCTCAAGTCAGCCCCCCTGTGCAATGAATACGTTGCAGAACGGATACTCTCTCACCTTGGTTTGTAAGCTCGGGCAGACCTCTCCAAGGGTCATTTTCGATATGGTGCGACAACTTTCTCAGGATGCTCGAGATGTAATGAAGCGTCTTGGTAGAATCCTCCTTGCCTTCCCCGACGCGCTGGTCAAACGCGAGGTAAGCCATGAGGAACCAACCGAGAGGGAAACCCCATTCGGGCCCTTGGTGGTACTTGTAGCATAGCACATCAGCCTTTGATACAAAGGGTATAGAAAAGACCCACGTTCCAGCCCTTGGCGATAGCCTTGTCGTCCGAGTCGTTTGAATTGTCATAGTCGCCTCGGTATTGCTGGTCGGCGGGGTCCAGAGTCTTCATACCCAAGGGGCCGCGGAGAACAGCATCGGCAACGCGAAGAGCGTCGAGAGCCTTGGAGGGAGTGAAGAGCTCGGGTGCGACGACCATTGGAAGGGTAAAGTTGCTTCGGAACTGACAACGTGTCAGTAATAAACCTTCATCCCGAATGATGGTTTGCTCACTTGATAATCACTCCACTCTCTATCACCAGGGGTGCCATAGACGTCCTTGTAGATACCTCGGCGGTTGACGAGGCTCTTGTTGATGACATACTTGTCGTCCTCGGAAGCGTCGCTGGGAACGTAATAGTGCTTTTCAAAGTTGGCTTGGACAAGGTCGGCCCATTCCTTGTAGGTGACAAGTCGCTTCTCGCCCTCGACTATTCACACCATCAACGACGTCCCATCATCAAGGGAGACACTTACCAGTCGTATTGACACCCTGGGCCGGCCACTTGCCCTCCTCGCTGAGCTTGCCAACCCAAGTCAAAGTACTCTTTAACAGACCCGTGATCTCTATTGGAGAACCGTCTCGAGGAGTAGCCGGGAGCCCCTTGTTGCCAGCTTTGGCGGAAGAACCATTCTTGTCCATCCAAGTACCGCAGTTGTATCGGTTACCGCCAAAGATGAAACCGTTGCTCCAGTCGACCCAAATCTTCTGGTCAAAGCCTCGGTCGTCCATGTCCATATCGAGGTTGGGACCGGCCTTGAGAAAGTGTCAGTTGGCTCCTGCGAGGGTGACAATACTCACGTTGTACTCTCGAAACTCGATCCCTTCGGCATGCCTCTGCAGAATCTCCTGTACCAGCTCCGCCACAGTGCTCTCCCATTCGTACGCCCTCGGGCTGTCCCATGCCACCCACGTATCGTCCGCGGGGAACCGCCTCTTGACCTTTTCCTCCAGAATGGAAAGACCGTTCGGCGCGAGGTCGGTATAGTCTTGGATATTTTGGATAAACCACCAAGGACCGTCTCGGCAGTTGTATCGCGGGTTACGGGTAGAGTCGAGGAGGTTGGGGATGAGACCGTGCTTGAGGGTGCTTCCGAAAGACTTGATGTGCGCCTTGGCAGCTTCAAAGTTGCCAGTCGTAAGGAACAAGCCTCGGAGCGAGATAAACTGAAAAGAGTGAGCGTAGTTTCAATACAGAAGAGTTGACTTACGACATCTCGACCCCAGCATCTAGCCCAACCAGCAGTAAAGTGAGGCAATCCAGCGGCCAAACTCGGCACCGCCCTTCCAGGATCTATACTCGCGCTCTTCACAAGCCCATACATTTGCACCGACACCATCGCCAAATCATGCGTCAACGAATGCCCCGAAGCCACAAACTCGGACGACTGTTCAATAACGGCCTTTCGAGCGGCCTTGTACGCTTCGAGAATGACGAGGGAAAAGTATTTCGGGCGCATAAAGGAAGGGGCGGTGGCCTTGATCTGATCAAAGCGAGAGGCCAACCACGCTGCGGGAGCAGAGAGGTGGGGGAGGTCGTCGGTTTGGTTTTGGAGTCGGTTGACGACATAGTCGAAAGCCCAAGTGCCTTCGCGAAGATGCTGGCAGAGAGGGTGGCCGAGGTCGTTGGTCTTGGTAATGGTGCGCAGAGGGTGCATCCAGCCTTCGAGGCCGCAGAACGTGAGAGCGCCGTAATCGGGGATAGTGTATACACCGTCGCCGCCTGATCCATCAGTATCCATCCCGAGCCAGCGATAAAGACTTACCAGTGGCATCCTTCTCTTCTCCGTCTGCTCGGTGCAAAACCACATTCAAATCAACCAAGTCCAATCCCTTCATAGCCTCCTCTGCCCCTTCCTTACAGAACGCGTCCAAGTCTGCCGAAATCTCGCTCATCCGAGTGCCAAACACCAAGATGCTTCCCGGCGCAAAGTTTTCCGGCACGACGACTTCCTGATACGCCTCGCCATTCTCTTCCCCATGCTTGATCTCGGGCTCGGCAATATCCACAAGCTTGGAGGGTATACCTCTATGCGTGGAAGGGTCGTCAGACCACTGGTCAATCTTTGTCTCGATCCCAGCACCAAACAGGTACGAGATCGAAGTCCGACCAAGACGGATCGGCTTGACCCAACCACGCCCCTCAAAGCCCTTGTACGCAGTGTGCGCAACGAGCATGTATCCCTTGTGCGTGATGGGGTGGACGCGGTGGATCATGAGGTACTGTCCTTCTTCATGGACGTGTCCCTCCGTAAAACCACCTTCCATCATCTCCACATGCAGCGCATTCAACACCCGCTTCACACCGCCGATACCGGATTCCCTCTCTTGCTCCTTGCTGACGACTTCGTACTTGCGGTTATCTGTGACCAAGTCGAGGAGTTTGGGATAGAGGTCGTCAAAGCCCTTGTTGGACCCGAGAGCGGAGGCGCAGAAAGTGACGAGCGCGCCGGTGGAGAGGGCGTCGGCGGCGGTACGTTTGTCGGCGGGGGATTGGTTGTCGTGGGTGAGGTCGTAGAAGACTGCGTGGGGGGCGGAGCCCTGGAGAGGGGTGACGAGAGCAGCGCGGGGGGTGGTGGAAGAGCTGGAAGGGAGGGACGGGTTGATCTCGCCAGAAGAGGTGAGGCATGCGACGTCCATAGAACCCACCGGCTTGCCGAGGCCAAACCTCCAAAGGCTGAAAAAGAGTCAGCTCCGCCAACTCGACAACAGGTGACACTTACAGATCGGCAAAGTTCTTGACGCTATCCCCGTTATACGCCTCCCTCACCAAACTATTAATCCCTAACTCTCTCACAAACTTCAAATCCATCTCCTGACTCCCCGTAAACAGCTCCGCCATCACATACAGATTCGGATTCACCCTCCTCCCCGCATCAATCACCGCTTTCCCCACCTCAATCGGCGTCGAATGACAGTTATCCAGCCTAAACCCATCAAAGATGCCCGCCAACAACTCTGCATACTTGATCATGTGTTCCCAAAGCCAGGGGTTATCGGAAGGCTGGGTGCCGTATCGCAATTTGACACAGTCGTCCCAGACAATGACTTGGCGGCGGAGGTAGGCTTTGGAGGGGTACTCTGCAAAGTTCTTGAGCGGGTCGGCGGCCCACATCCAGCCGTTGTTGGCAATGTAGCGCGCGGATTCGGGGTGTTTGGAGGTGGTCTTGTTGTCGGGGAGGTGGGTAAAGTAGCGCTCAAGGAGGGGTTTGCTGGATGGTTGTCAGCTTGATGCATATGGAGAGGATGGACGCACTCTTGAGTAATCTCGCCAAGCTTGGGACCACCCTCTTCCAACCTCGTAAACCTCAAGCGACCCACAACACCCTCAATAGCAGCCTCAACATCTTCATTGCTCTCATTATACAAGTCCACATTCATCACATCCAACACTTTACCCCACTTGCTCGCTTGGTTCTCCGGAGAAGCCTCGGGGTAGGCAGCTTGGATAAAGCCAGCAGCGGTAGCAGGCTTGACAGAGGTGATGAACCGGCCCGAGTAAGCACGGTAGTTGTCGATAATGTTGGAAGACTTGACGACCTCGGCAAGCTCTTCATATCCCTTGCCTTGCACCTCTGCACCGTCCCACTTGTTGCTCTTGTCGTTCAAGAGCGCCTCTGCTACAGCCCGCACTTCCGCCTGCACGTCAAAGACGTAGAACTCCCAGATCTTGGCGCTGTCGATAGCAGCTTTGATATGGGGAATGAGCGCTTGGAGGTCGGATTCAGAGTGGAGGGTAGATGGAGCGGAGAGGGAGGGGAGGCGGGCAGAGAGGTCGAGGAGGGCGTTTTCGAGCTCAACGGCGGGGGCGAGATGGGGAGTATTGTAAGGAGAGTAGGCTGCGAAAGTTTAGCTCATACCGATATGAGAGGTTTATACGTACCAGCCTCGGGATGCTGCTCGAGCCAAGGCGAGTCGTACGCCATGTGGTTCAGCACCACATCCGTAACACCTCCCAGCCCATACTGCTCTTTCGCAAACGCCAGGACCTTTTCAATCTCCTCCAATCCTCCGTCTTTGGCGTCCGGGTTCTTCAAGATTTCGGGGTCGAATGTCAACTGGTCTTTGATAGAGTATGGACTTCCGGAGATACCTCGCTGCTGGAGAGGCGCCCAGTGAAGCACATTGTACCCTCGTCGACTCGCCTCGGCAAAGAACGGTTCCCACTCGTCCGTCTTGCCCATCCACTTGGCAAGCACAGAGATAATGATCAAGCTGTCGAGTTTGAGCGTGGCATTCTTCGGAAGGATCGCCCCGGAGGATTCATCCTTGAGGGGGTTTGTGGTAGTGACAGAGTCGTCGGGGAAGAAGGGCGTGCGGGCGGGGAGGTTGATGATAGGGTCGACGTTAAAGTACCCTCGGCGGCCTTGGATGCGTCCTTGACCGGAAGGAGAGTCGTACTCGAGAAAGTAGCAGAAAGCACCAGGGGCAGCGATGGGGAGGTCGATCTCGATAGGCCTGAGATAGTCAGAAACCGTCTCACAAGAGATCCAGCCCACTTACTTGCTCAGATTCGAAGGCAACTTGCGTTCCTTGAAGTCGTCGCGCTTGAAATCACCTCCATCGATCGGGAAATCAGTCCTCAGCACACCATTCCTGGTCACGTCGGTCCCAGGCTCGAGCGAGAAGCGCAGGATGTATGGCCGCGTGGGCGGGGGAAGACGGATGTACTGCCCACCCCATCAGCTTCTTTTCCCCACACGTGTCCTGAATGGGACTCACAACCTTCCCTGGGCCGGGCCCACCGTCGTCCTCCAGAGCGAGCTGCCAGACCTGGACGGGCTCGCCGTCCTGCTCGCCAGAGAAGAAGGCGATGGCCTCGTCCTGGGGCGTCTTGGGGGTGCGTTTGCCTGTGGCGGTGGGGTCCACCTTGGGGAGGTGGATGTTGAGGGGCATGGGAGCAAGAAGAGATGCGGATGAAGAAGGAGATGGCTTTCTCCTGTCCTTTGTGGGATGACTGGACTGGTCGTCGTTCTGGCTGATCCGGAGATCGGGAGGCCCTGACAGAATGACGTAACGGTCCCTGGCCCCGGAAGCCCCGTCATGGCCCCGGGTGGGGGCGCCATGCGTGCAATGTTGACCGATGCATGCGAGCCATGGCAGCTGGATGGATGATACCATTGCATATGCTATGCCAACATACATAACAATGATGGATGCAGCTCTACGTACGGTTCGTGCGGTGAGTTCGTCATCATAACCTATACACAAGCTGCCCGCCCTCACTCGTCCCCAGGATCCCCAACCACCTTATCAACCATCCCCCAAACCGTCCTCATATATGAATGCCGAATGGACATACCAAGCATACTCTGCAAGATGCGCGATAGGTATCCGATGCCTTGCCTTCAGCTCCAACCTCTCCTCTAGCGACTCGTGTTCATCAGAAGGAGTGACACACATGAGAAAGCTGGCCGGTCCACCCTGCAACCAGCTCTATGACAGTCTTGCCCAAGCTGTCCAGGAGACATACTACGCCTCAGATAAAGATCGAAAATCTCATCGGAAGTCCGTTAGGAGAGAATTGGCCACCATCTACAAGACGTTTGTCGAACCCAACCTTCGGTTAAATATGCCATCCATAGCCTACTCTCCTATCAGATAAGTTGCCGACAGTCCCAACTCTCCTACTCATCGCTGTCCAGATACGACAGGCGAAAACAAACAACACTTCGGCCGTCCGAGATCGGTGTTTTGTCTACGTCTCCGAGAGGGCCGCGAGCGGAAGAGAGTTTCTCGGTTCGGCATGCACCGTGAAGCTAGAGGTCTTGTGGCCTCCGTACATGCATGCATCTCTCACATGACCGTTGCCTTGAATTACATGCGATTGGCACGCGGAGAGCGTGGAGTGCGCATGGTCTCGCGGGCGGCGCGGCGACTCCTTTACGTATCTCTGAGCCTCGCGGCCTCGGCGCTCAGAACGGTAAGCAAAGTTTATTTTCGCGCATCTCCTATCACTCAACACTTCTGTTCCATGGCCCCGTTCTATGAACTGTCCCGCCCTACCCCGGCAGAATCCTTCTGCATATTGCCGTGACCGGACACCCGCTGCCTCACACCGTACACGGAACTCACAACGGTCCCGCCTTGCCACACACTGAACCCGCCTTGAAGATATATAAGAAGCCAGACCCTTCCGCTTTTGAATAACCCAGCTTGTCTATCACCACACTTCCATATCAATGTCCAAAGCTGCTTCCGTCACCACCCTCGACGCCTCCGAGCCCATCGAGCGCATCTTTGAAGTCATGGCCCGCGACGGTGCCGTCATCATCGCCAACTTTCTCCCCAAAGAGCTCCTCGACGAATACCTCACCGGCATCGAGCCCTACTTTGAGGGCCGTGACATCTACGTCTCCGACTCTGCTGCCGAGGAGCTTGGTGCCGACTTCTTCCCCAACATGTCCAAGCGTGTCTATGGTCTTCTCGGCAAGGTTCCCAAAGCTATCAGCGGTACTATGAAGCTTCCTCTCTGGCAGGCCATCATGGACAAGTTCCTCAGGTGGGTCTCATCTCCTTATCTATCTGTGAATATCCGCTGACTATGTAATAGCGACGAGTTCTCTTCCTACACTGGCCACAACCTCCTTCCCCAAAAATCCAGCTACATGCTCGGTTCCACCGCTGCTATGCGACTCGTCCCAGGCGCCAACGCCCAGCCCCTGCACCGAGTACGTCCCCCTCCTCCCTCCAATACACCCCATCCACTGACACCATCACAGGACCAGATGCCCTACCTCGTCCGCCAAGACCCCTCCAACCCCTTCTTCACCCCCTTGCTCGGCTGCCTCATCGCCGGCTCAAAATGCACCGCCAAGAACGGCGCCACCATGTGCATCGCCGGCTCCCACCTCTGGCCCGCAGACCGCGCGCCCAATGTCGAGGAAGCCGCGCCCGCCGAGATGGAGCCTGGATCCGCGCTCTTCACCTTCGGTAGCACTTACCACGGTGGGGGTAAGAACCAGTGCGAGCAGTCCGACCCGGATGCGCTCAGGACCGTCTTTGCTTGTTTCGGTCAGAGGGACTATTTCCGACAGGACCAGGAAGAGATTCTGTCGACTCCTTTGGAGGTTGTAAAGACTTTCGACGAGAAGACTCTTCGATTGGCTGGCTTCTGTAAGTTTCTCCCTGTCTGTTGTTTGCAACAAAGCGCTGACGATACATTACAGTCAAGTCCAAGGGCGGTGTCGGATACGTCGAGAACCACGAAGACCCCATCCAGTACCTCGGTACCGACCACCTTCTCGGTCAATACACCACCCTCGCCGGCTCCACCATGGCTTAATATCCTCCTCCTTCTCTCCTTCTCTCCCTCTCCCTACCTCTTCCTCTCTTTTTCTCATATAGATGCGCTTTCTGGACGTTGTCATTCATACTAGTGATACGAAGTTGTAGCGCATCTATCCTTTCTTTTGTCGTTTTTTTCCCGGGCCTTGTCGATTAGTTGTAGAACGTTAGCAAACGAAGAGCATGAATGAAATCATAACACAACATTGTTCTCAGGTCGATTCATGGAGACAATCAACAACTTGATAGGTAGAAGGCCACTGCCGCAAGTAATATCTGGATGCGACCTGTCTGTCTGACGAGAGATGCCCAGGCGGCAACAGAAGTAATGCATGAACTTCATATGATAGATGTTTATGGAAATGCTACAAGACAGTTCTGCTCTGACAAACACAAGTACGAAAAAGAAGACAACCAATACAGAAACAAAGATTTGACACGGCGGCTTTGACAATCATCCATCCAACAAACGTCATCGTCCTACGTCCCACATTAGTCTCAACGCGCTGACGCCTAAGGCTTATTGTGGTGTTGCTATGCAATGCTAGGTGTGTATAAGCATCGGGCACGAGTTGAGGACGATGGAAGACTCACATTTGAACAGCTGGATTGGCTCGACGCCCTCTTTCATGGCCAGATCTTCACTTTGTTCTGACTCCATCTAGCCCCCTTGGCACGTGGCACAGACGGCGAGATCGGATGAATCGGTGGATCGACGACATTGCATGGTCTTTCATGACGCTATAGATGAGATTAGCAGATACTCCATATCACATGCAGCTTGCTCACGAGTCAACCCTGCGATCCCGCGTATCCCTGCACCCTGCCTCTATCGTCCATCCACATCTCCAACTCTAAGCAATATCAGCACCTCCCCAAAATCAACCAAGAAATACTCACCACCCACCCCTCCCACACGCCTCACAAGCCCCCACCTCCTGCACATCCCTAAACTTGACAATCCTCTCCCACGTCTCTGTAAACTCCACCACCTCCTCCGTCCTATCCTCCCTCCCTTCCCACTTCCATATCCTCCTCACCTCCTCCGCTTGCGGCAACACCAACTCGATCTCACACGACTCGCACTCTTCCTCCCCCGGCAGCCTGTCGTCCGAGATGATGTCGGTGAAATTGAGGATTTCCTCAATCATGCGGTCGACGGCGAGGGCGAGTTCGCGCGCGGCTTGGAGGGGGGTGAAGGAGGTGAAGATGGAGTGGGCGAGGGCGATTTCGGGGTCTGTGATTTCCTCGTTGGGAGGGGGGGAGGTGTGGAAGATGATGGTGATGGGGGTGGACATTGCGATTTCACCAAACAGCGGGCGCTGTTCCTCCGCCGAGTAAAAGAACCAATGTATCACCACCCGCCCCTTCGGGCGATGCAGCCCTATAGCATCCGTGACCCTTGAGCCCGACATGGAATTGCCATCACACTCCACATACTGCATATCAAAGCAGATCACCTCGGGGTCCACCATCCGGAAAAGCAAATCCTCAAACTCGCCCGCGGTCACAAACCAGTTTCCGAAATGCTCGACCCACTTGTCTTTCTGCGTGGCGCCGTCTTGGAAGCGGAGGACGTGGTTGGTTTCCCAGCGCTTTTGCTCGGCGATGCTGACGTCGCGGGCGCAGTCGGGGAGGGAGCGGAGGAGGGCTTTGCCGAGGAGGAGATGGGTGGTGTGTGGGAAGAGGAGGGGGTAGGAGTTTTCGGTGGCCATGAAGCCGAATTCGTGGGTGGGGAATTCGCGGGCGGCGAGGACGAGGGCTTCTGCAGCCCAGATATCTTTGAACACGACCTTTTTGGTGTACTCGAATGCTTTGGCTTTGCGTTTGCCAAACAACAGGCCGCCGTATGGGTAGGGCAGCTCGGCGGTCTGCTCGAGACACATACCGTACAGGACGCGCGATGCGTTGGCTTTGCGGATGATGACGGTCTTGTAGATATGGGGCACAAGCTTGTTGTAGCATGCTTTGGAGAGGACGGCGAGGGTGAGGGGGATGAGCTCGATGAGATGGTCAAAGATGATGTCTGTAATGTCGGTCGGGAGCGGGTCGAGCGTGGTCATGTCGCGCAGTGGGGCGGGTGAGTAGAGGCGGGGCATGGGCGGGGCGGAGAAAGTGTCGAGAAAGTGTCGGAGGAAGAGAAGGATGGAGATCTCGGCCGTCCGTGGCAGCGGCGGGGGCCGTCTTCGGTTCGCCGCCGTAGAGATGGTGTCGAGAGGGGTCCGAGGAGGGCCATGGGGAGGGAGGGAGAGATGTAGATGAGAAAGTACGCATCATGCAAACCACGGCCAGACAACCCTGACCGGACTGTATACATACAACACCGCCTTCCCTTTGCGTACATACATCTACTGGTAATACGCCAAATACTCCGCCCACAGCTGGGGCAGCGTCCGCCCCGTCATCTCCTGCCACCACCCCTCATCCCATCGCTCATACACCAACCTCGAGTCTAGCAGCCGCACAAAGTCCGGGTACGGCCCAGACCTCTCTTTCCTTGGATTCGGACGTCCAAGCGGCTTTTGTTCCGCCACAGAGGGCGGTTCAGCATACCTCGTCGCCTGAGCACCCTCCGGCCCCGTGGGCGTGGGCCCCGGAACAGTCCCCGCCACCACCTCAGGCTCCCAAACAAGCTTCCCCTCCCCCCTCTCCACCTGCTCCCTCTCCGCCTCATCATACCCCACCAACCACCCCAAGAACCGCGCGCCCGTATCGTAGCTCGCCTCCCAGCCCTTGTCCGGTTTGCCTTGGCCATATTTCCGCCAGTGGGCTGGTTCGAGGTGGGCGAAGAGGCGGAGGAGGTCGGCGATGGATTCGATCAACCAGGTGGGGGTTGATCCTCCCCCGTCGTGCTGGATCGTATGCACCATCTCGTGCAGTACTACCTCCATCAGCCTCTCCACCTCTACCAATTAAGGATGAAGCAGAACTCACAGACACCTTTAAACTCTCTCAAAGCCTGCTCCACATGCTTCTTCCCACCCATCACTTCCTGCCTCGACCTCTCTACCCAATCCAAGCTCACCCCGATTTTGCCCCCGCTAGTAGCCGCCAGCCCTTCCTTCTCCTCCAGCTCTAGCGTGATGAGCTGGTGTCTCCACCCCCCTTCCGCTTGCCCATCCCCGTCGCCCCCAGGGCCAAGGGCCAACCTCGGCCTGATAAACAAAGCGGCATAATGCAAAAACATGATCGGGTCCGGCAGACACTGCAAGAAAAACGCTGTCGCTGGCGAAGTATCCAAGCGGGGATGTTTCAGGCAGAAGATGAGGGAGGAAGGGGGCAGTTGGTGCGGAGGAGGTCGGGCTTGGAGGGCTTGGATAGACGGGGAGGGGAGGGAGGTGGAGAGGTAGTAGGTTGTTTGTTTGGAAGAGCCGAAAGAGGAGGGGAGGGAGGGGGCGTGGGGGTTGGTGAGTTTGCTGAGGATGGAGAAGGGCGACATTGTGGTTATCGAAAGATGGTAGAGAAGAGAAAAGAGAGGAGATGGAGATGTAGCGATGACGATTTTGGTGCTTCGGCGGACCGAGCCGCCGCCCGGAATCACGAGGGCAGATGTGAACGTAGAGAATGTTTTGGACTGCATCACCCTCTGAAAACGCCATGGCTGAGGCTCCTATATTGACATCCTGGGGTGACGAGGGCTCAACCATCCCCAGCCTCGAGCTTATCTCCAGTAGAGTACGTGTTCCACCACCACCCCGGCGACGAAATGTACGCTGACACATCCTCGCTCACAGGGTTCCCGATGGGCTCACCGCGTTCTCCTCGCCCTCGAGGAGGCTCAACTTCCCTACAAACTCACCGAAGTCGATCTCAACAACAAACCAGACTGGTATTTCCCCCCCTCTCTCACTTTCCCGTGTCTCCGCTGACAGCTTTCCCAGGCTATTCAAAGCCAACCCTCGAGGGCTCGTGCCCATCCTCGGCGTGGGCACGCCTGCGGTCTACCTCACCGAATCCGCCAATATCGTCTCCTACATCACCGACCACACCCCATCTATCCAGCCTTCCACTGACCTCGAACGCGCTCGAGCGGCCCGCATAGCGGAGGTTGCAGTGGACCTCCTCGCCGGCGAGATATCTCCAGATCTGATTCCTGTCATCATCGCACCGCTCTCCGAGGACGAGCGCGAGTCGTACTGGAATAGGTCATTGGGGGTTGTAGATGCAGTGCAGGGACTGCTAGACTCCGAAGGGCCATTTGCGCTGGGGCAGCGGTTCACCGAGACGGATATCTTGATCGCTCCCTTGGTTGGGCGGCTTTGGGCTTATGGCAATCACGCCCTCATCCCGGCGGGGAATCTTCTCACAAGACAGATTGAGGAGGATGCAAAGTATGCGAGGTTTGTGAAGTATGTGAAAGCTATCAGCGAGAGAGAGAGTTGGAAGAAGACGTGGGATGAAGTGAGTTGTATCTGCTGCCGAGTGACCTTAGCTGACTCTTGGCATAGGAGTTCTCTATCAGCCGATTGGAGAAGAAGATCGCTCAGTACAAAGCCAGTCAGGACAAGTCATAGGTCAAGAAGAACCCAATGAATTTACTGCGCCCTCTGCCGACCTCATGATTCTTCTCATATGAGACTCTGTGATGCTCTGCATCGTACAGTATGACTTGACTGACCATGCTTGAGACGGTATGACAGCTTTCAGCTTCGTGTAATGCACCGCGTCGTCTATGGATGAGACAAGGCAGCATGCGGTCCTGACACATGTCGGCGGGGGCGCAACACCTGGAGACGATCAATCGATCACCTTCTGCCTTTCTAAAGTTTTCACCGTTCGTTTCTCTTTTATCTTTCTATTCAGTATTCCTAACCAATCTATAGCGCGTCCTCAACCTGCCCACCTCCTCACTCGCTACCGCACAAAACTCAGCAAAGCCTATACCTTCCCACTCCTCGCAACGTCGACAGCTCTACAGTACTTTATGTGCTCTGTCTGTTTTTCGAGCAACAACAGGCCACCGTGCCGAATTGAGCCAATCAGCTCATGGATTTACTACGTTGTGAAGTAGGGGTGAGAATGGTTGTCACCACTTGGAGAGGAGGTACTGCGGAAGAAGAGCTGGAGTCGAGGGGCGGCTTGATCTCGTGGCTGAGTCCGGAGGAGGCTGGGGAAGGGATCAGCTTCGGTGTTGAGTGACGTCGCTTGCGTGGATGATCTGCTGGATGAGGGGAAGAGGAAGGGGATGGGCAGAGGTTAATCGAATGAAAAGGATAGGTAACTACATGAATCACTTGCGCAATGTGTTGAGCTGCATATACTTCCCATAGTTCATACGGGACACCCGTCTGCTCGCTGAAGCGGCTCGCGTCATAGTTTCTTCTAAAGTAACCCATTTTTCGGCGGCAAAACGTTGAAATAAATTCCCACAAATCCAGGAGCCTCATAGCTATCCAGTGATGCATACCATGCCCAAAAAGATATGCACAATGAAGAAACAAAAAAGAATGATCCCGGGCGGGATCGAACCGCCGACCTCCTGTGAAGAGCAAGGTAAACTTGTTAGACAGGTATGGTGACCAACTCCATCACGTGACCATTAGTATGAACATTGGGGTTCTGGGTAAGCTACACCTACAATTGGTGGTCTGGGCACCTTGATCAAATGATAGATGCCTCATGCCTCTACGTCTGCGCTGTGCACCTCTGCGAGTACATACAATTTGTTCCTTAGCTCAAGGCCATCTTCACCTGTCTTTCCTTCATGTGAACACTGGCGCCTGGCTTGAACACCAAGCCGATGCATGCCGTTTACGTACATACGCAGGACGCCAGTAACAGATTTGACTCCGCTAATGCAAGCAGGGATTGACCGAGAGCGGCCAGGACTGACGGGGAGAGCATCTCGTCTGTCTTACCAGTCTGTCCCTCTATTCTTCTTCATGTCCACCATCACCCCCTCCCAATTTGCCACCCTCCACCCCGTCCACCACCTCATCCTCGACGAGCTCATCGCCTCTGCCCCTCTCTCCGTCCTCACTCTCTGTTCTTCTGTGCACCGACGAACGCTCCCCGTGCTATATGCCGATATCTGCGCCTCGCCTGCCGTATTCAGCGGCCTGCGACTGAAGGAAGGGTACGAGAGAACAGTCGAAGCTCTCAAAAGCACCAAGACGATCAGAGTCCGGGACTTTACCAGTATCGAGGCCCTTTATTCTCTCGCTGGTGCAGAGCGCGAACAAGCATCTGTAACATCTCCTTCATCCCCTGCCAACAATTCTCATCCATACCCCCGCCGATACACCAATCTCTTCCTCAGCCTCGATAGTCTCGAGCTTGAGCTCCCTGCGCTGGAGACATCAAAAGGCCCTTTCGTACCAGCGACATATCATGGGTACCTCGAGCAGCGCGAAATCCTTGCGCGCCCTCCAGAAGAAAGTATGGAACCACTCTCGCACTTTTCGGTGCGACGGCTCTCCGAACAGCTACCGAATGGTGTCCAGAAGATTGTCTTTCATCTGGACGAAGGTGGATCCGATTATTGGCACGAGGTCCGCCAACATCTACTCTACCAACGCCCGCGCGAAGCCGTCATCATCGTCAAAGGGACCATCTCGGCAGATGGTGCACTGCTACGGAGGTTATTTTGGAAAATGGGTTTGTACCTGCCTACCGAGTCGCTCAACGCCGAGCGTCTGACAGTTTTCGTCGACACCGATAAACCCTTGGACCAGAACGATCGAGATCAAGTGCAACGTTACGTGATCCCTGTGAGCGAGGCGCTGGCAGAGTATGCCCAACGTCTTGCCTGGCGCATCAGACAAGAGAATCGGGCGTTAGCAGACGGATATGTGGAGATGAGATTGGTCGATCATGTCGAAATCCACATGCCCCTTTTTGGGCGAGTGCTCGAGGAGATGTCTGAAGAAGGGCGAAAGCAGTTGTATCAGCTCGTGAGCGATGGGAGATTGGTAGTGAGAGATCGTGAAGAGTCGCTGGCGGATGGTGTGTAGTTGATGAATTGATATTACAGGTGTGTCGGTCTCGTAAACTTTAAAAGGACGTATCGGCTGAGGACCGACGCAGGATGATATGCTATTGTCATATCTTTTTGAGCGACCAACCGCATTTTGATTTGCCAGTATCCAGGACTTGATCGCCTACACCCCACAGATCCATCTATCCCTTCATGGTGTGCCGTCTTCTACAATTTTGTCCCTTACAATCGACCGCATCTCCTTCGGCAGATTTATGGAAGTCATGATTGCTGTGGTGTATGATAAAGAATACACTTCGAGTGAGCTGGGCTTGGTCTGGATATAAAGTGCGTGGCAGGGCGGTAAAGACGAACTTAGAACGATCGCACATAACCTCATACCTAAACCATGGTACATATAGCAGGTAGTCTAATCATCCCTCACAACCCTCCAAACCCTTACACTCCCATCATCCGCCGCACTACTCAACATCCCCAACCCAGCCCCCTTCTTATCCTCCCTAACACACCACGAGACAGAGTTGATATCCGCTACCCCATGTGCATTCTTCTTGGCCGCTATCGGCTTCACATCCACTCCCACCTCCTTACCCTCTTCTCCAGCGAGCTTGGTCACTTGCCAGATAATGATTTTGCCATCCCCTCCGCCGGACGCAATGAGCCCGAGGTCGGAGGGGGAGGTGGTGAGAGGAGGTGACCAGGCGAGGGAGAAGATGGAGCGGGTGTGGGCGGGGAGGTGGAGGACTTCTTTGAAGGGAGAGTCGGATTGAGAGCCACTGGAGGAAAAGTGTCAGTACTGTAGTTTCCAAAGCGCAGATGTTATTAAGACTCACGTCCGTCTCCATACCCTCAGCCCTCCAGTGTCACCTCCACTAACCATCCATCCCCCATCCGCACTCCAAGCAACACACCAAACCGTCTCATCCTCTTCCAACTCTGGTACCTGCAACGCAGCATCGGCTTCTTGCTCCTCCTGCGTTGGGAGAAGCGCTTCTATAAGATGTTGAGGAGCTGATGAGGAAGAGGGTGTTGAAGAGGGGTAAGAGGTTTTGAAGAGGGCGGGGAGAGTAGGTGGGGAGAGTGGGAGGGAAGGGTGGAGTTTTTGGAAGATGTACCAGTCGGAATCGGGGTCGTCGTAGGCGAGGTGGATGTTTGAGTCGTATGATGCCGATGCGAGAATCTGCGAGACTATCAGAACTGAAAGACGTTCAAGCAGGACCGTTACTCACCTCCTCATGAGGGTGCCAGGCGATGCCCTTGACGTCCTGCGAGTGTTCCATCATGACCGCTATACACTCAAAGTCCGCATCCGGTTGAACTAAATACGAGATTTATCAGCTCCGTCCAATCATGTGCAGCACATACTCACCTTCCCATACCCAGACACTCTTGTCTCTCGAACAACTGGCCAAAAGCGCACCGTCCGACGAAAAGCCAACGCTCTTACATTCACTCTCATGCCCTTCCAGCGTCGTCACGCACTCCCACTCCTTCTCCTTATTCCCTCCCACATCGTCATCATCACTCCCCTCAGGCTTATACACTCCCTCATCCCCATCATCCTCATCATCCGACGTCGGAACAACCTCCTCCCAAACCCCGACTGTCGAATCGAAACTCCCAGAAGCAAGCGTCCGTCCATCCGGGGACCACGCAATACTCCTCACAGTCCTCTTATGCTCCGTCTCTATCACCTTCATCAAACTAAAAACCGGCTGGGGGTCGTCCTTGCCCGGGAGGCCCTCGGAGGGAGAGGAGGAGGGGAGGATGTAAGAGAAGAGCCGGATGGTGCGGTCTGTGGAGCATGATGCGAGGAGGGGGCGGGTGGGGTTGAATGCGACTGTCCAGGCGGGGTCGGCGTGGGCGGGGAGTGAGGCGAGCTCTTGTAGCTCTGGCATTTTTGAGAGGGGTTTTGAGGGATGAAAGAGGAGATGAGCGGGTCGCCGAATTTCAAGTTATCGATAAGCAGAACGGAACCTTTTTCTGCTTGGCAGTTCGTGGAAGAGTGCTCTCGATCTCTCGTTGAGGGTGGAAAGTAGGAAGACTGCAGTACTCTTGGGCTCTAATCTCGACAGCGAACCCAATAATGACTGAGTGGAAGTTACAAGTTGTCATATAAATTGAGGCGCTCGTTGAAGTGCTACGCTATGTCACAGGAGGTTCACCATCCATTCGAAGTCAAAGCGCAATGGTCGACAATCTCGACATAGTACATGCGAATACAAGTGTTGGCAGAAACAGACGTCGTATAAGTCGCACAAATGATTCAGAAAAGTAGGATCGATAACTAACATGTCGTAACAAGATTGAAGCCCAAAAATTCTATGATTGGATCGTCAGCAGGGCGCTGGAAGAGATGAACGACATAACTTACAGATACTTCTCACGAATTCAAGCTATAGAGGCACTTCTATCACTACAGCGGAGCAACCTCTTCATGTCCATCGCACCTAGGTATTACGGCCCCTTGATATGCTGAGGGGTTTCGCGTATGCGAGTTCAAAGGCGCAGTGACATTTGCTGATCATCGCCTGCAAGTCTTTTAGTCAGACTCGTAGCACAAATGACTCAACGTACCACCACATCTCAATCATATTCCGGCGCTTCCCATTCCTCCTCCTCTTCCCCCTTCTCCTTCAGCTCAAAGCTCCTCCAAAAGTAATCCCAAGTCGCCGTACTCCTCCTCATACCCAAATCCTCTATCAGCTGCTCCAGCTCCCTCCTCACTCGGACTTCATCAATCACCTCAAATACCGCGGGCACGCTATCCCGGCTGGCATGTATCCGGAAGAGGTTGTATATGGCGAAAGCGGTGATTTTGGGGTCGACGGCTATATGCCGCGCGGGGTCGGCGTGAGGGCAGAAACGGATGATGAACGGTGCTGGTGTCTTGTTGGGCAGATACACGGGCGCTTGTTGAGGTTGGAGATGTACCCGTATCAACAGCGTGAAATCAAACACTCTCGATCCCGACCTTCTCCCCTGCGTCTTGAGCCACGCGCTCCTGCCTCTATACGCCACCGTCCTAAACACCTGCTCCACCGCAATACCATCATACTCGTCCCCACTCTCCACATCGACACATAAACGTTCCAGCTTTGGGACCTGATCTTCGAGCATCCGCGAAAAGCTCATGGCGTAGATCATCATCGCCGACATGCCTTGTGTCGGCACGGGGCTTTCGCGCGGGTCGTCGGGGAAGGAAACGATGTCGTGAGGCGGGGTGAGGAAGAAGCGGAGGACAGGCCAGCCTATTTGGAGGTGCGTGGCATTGGGCAGAATGGGATATGTCACTTCGGGCAGCGGGCGCCAGAATGGGTCGGACGAGCGTGATTTGGGCGGTTGGTACACCTGGCGCATGACGCCCTCCATTGCTTCCGGATCTGAAAAGACTATCGTCCTCACCATCTCCAGCGACTTTGCTTTCCGCCCGTCTTTACCGTCCGTCACGCCGTAGAAAAAGGCAGCCGCGTTGTCGGCATTGAGGACAACACGTGTATAGAGCATTGGCAGGATCTTGGCGTGGAATTCGGGGGAGACGCGGAGGAGCAGAGCGGGGGAGGATTCTTCGAGGAAGGCGAGGATGATGTCGTGGACGGAGCAGAGGGGCTCGAGGGTGGTGAGGTGAAAGTCCGGGAGGAGAGGCTCGGACGTCTTGGGAGGGGCCGGCGGGGGCTGGGTGTTGGGGCGGAAGGCGGCGAGCATCATAGCGTCGTGGAAGGAGGACATGGCGGGGGGTGGGGAGTAGAGGGAGATTATAGGGGGAGTAGGGAAGACAAGAAGGCGAGAGCATAGAATTGATGCGAAGTGATCTGCAGCAACAACGGGGTCAAATTCAGCGCGAGCATTTAATAGGTCGGCCGAAGGATTCATTACAAAAGGCCTTCCGAGCCATTAGCGGGAGTATTTCACCATTACGCGCTATTGAACTAGACTGAGAAGGGCAGGCTGATTCCTGAATGATGGAGAAATAGACGCCCAAGAAGAAGATTAGCAGCACACCATTTTTGTTTATGCAGGTAGCTGGAAAACCTCATCAGCATTGGCTGGTGACAGGATCATCTGACTGTGGGCGAGCTCTACCACATGGACGGATGCTTCAACATGAAACTCGTTCCTCATCTAAGGTGATGTGTATGAGTATGAATGAATAGCGTGGTACCAAAGGCCAGGACAGTAGAGTACCATATGTCGTATGAGTCAATGATATTCGGTTCAGGGTGCTCAATGGCCCGAAAGACCTTGAGAGTCGCGAAGAAGATGATTGGTGAGATGTCCACAAATGGTGATAGCAGCACGACAACAGCAGCCTGCATCGATAAACCTTTTGACTGCAACAACATACAGACTGGATTGCGGTATTTGTGCCAGTTGCTCATCAGTTGGGTATGCGAAAGCACAGAAGACTCTAGCCATGAAACCAAACAAAGCTTGCGGGCTTCGGTCAACAATGGTGATCGCGATAAGTGATAGAGTTAGTGCAAATCAGCCGCGTCCGTCAAGCATTTTGTGGCACTCCGGAGTAGTCGTGGCAGTTTATCACACAGCCTTATCATTGTTCAATCCATAGTCTTCATTATTCTTCATTGTAACGACCATGGCCACTAGAAGACACGCCCGACCTTTCAATGGTGTGGATTCAGGCCAGTTTCGTTTTCGAGTCGCTATGAACTAAACCTCTGATGGGAGTTGCTCATGAAAGACGGCAGTCAGCTCCCGAGATACATATTGGCACCAGGTCCTACATATGTCCTTTTCATCAGCCACGATCATGTTTGCGCGAACTGCATACCCTCAGAATGCGCTCTTGTTGAATCCCCTATCGGGATCCACTACAAGTGAGATGATATCGCAAGGCAGTTGATGACCGTGATATGGGATTGCGTGTGTGGCACGCGCGTTTCTTGCAGAATGGCTGCAGATCGTCGAAAAGATAGAGACGGTAAGGATGGGCGATCGATGGCCCCGGTGGAAGCAGACTTACGTATGTAGACATCCAGACTCCACTTCCGCAGACTCCAGAGTATTCCAGACTGCATCTTGTCAGATGTCTAAATATAACAGCATTCACCGGGCAGAGGCCATATAGGACGTCGCGGGGGTTTGGGTGTGTAGGCCACAGACCGCAGATCGCAGAGGGCTGAGGGCAACAAAGCTGCAGCAAGCCATGAAGCAAATCTCTTGAAGCTTCTGACGATCAGCCACCATTACGTTACCCTAATTGAACTCTTTCTCCTCGCTGTTGTGTCAACCTCGCTGACTTCATTGACATGGATGGCTCTTCAATGGCAGGGGCACTTCCTGGTCTTTACTATCCACAATACTTTCTCCCTCCACACGTTTTTCTGGCCAACTGTCCATACCACAAGGAGACCTTTCCAGTACATTCCAGGTGATTCCTATGAGCTCATAGCCAGACGACTTGTACCAGGGTTTGTCACCGATGCCAGCAGCAGGATCTAGCTGGGTTAGCGAGATCCAGGCATACGGACAGTGGACGGGGGTAACCCGACGCTTATCTCTCGTGCGTAAGCTGATAGCGACCTTCAAAAACATGCCTTATGTGGGGGTGACCTTAATTTCTTACGCTCGCCGCCGACAACGCCGATACCCGGGCCCAAGATTAATAACGCTGTTATTAAGATTCATCCTCCCTCAGGGTCTGTTCGGATAGGATTTCTGGATGGGATGGAGGCTCCATCCAGGGTCAAAATCGGCCTGCCCTGAGAGGCACGGGATGGGATGGTGGTCGACCGCCATCCCGTTCCTGGCCGGGTTACCATCCCGTTCGGCCAATTTCGACGCGTTTGCTCGTCAGCTCGGCCATCCCATCCATTGCCCCTTTGGGTAATTTTCCGCGCCATCCCAGCTTTTTGCGACCCACGGCGCCTCTCGCGGATGGCGGTCGCGGGATGACGGTCGCTCGGCGGCCATCGCCGACAATACCCCTCCATCCCGCCACCGCCATCCCATGCGGATTGCGCCGCCATCCCATCCCGACGAAAATCGTAGCCGAACAGACCCTGAATCAGAATCACCCTCCCGGGTTATTAATCTTGGGCCCGGGTAGTGGATGTCCAGCAGGAGTCAATATATCTATTTTCAGTTTTGTTTTGTTTTTCCCCTCCTGCATACAAACGGCCATCGAACAACCCGCAAGCTGTGTCCCCACATGCGTTTCCATACATAGACACTCGTCGTTTATCGTGGCTCCATACATGCCCAACTCCTCCCGCCCTCCCGCTTCAAGCGCGTACCCACCTCTATCCCACGACGCCCCTCAAATCCCACCCTTCCCTCAGCTTTTGTATATCAAAAACGAGTCGCACTCTACGCCTGAACCTCTTACTGCGATGACGGACAGCCACGACCATATGGTGATGTCTCCGGATGAGGATGACGACGGGCACGATTCCAGGGGCGGCTCCCCGCCACCTCTCGAGAAGAAACGAAAAACTACCAATACTCGTCGAAGAGTTGTGCAGTCGTGTAGCGAGTGCAGGTACGTTGGAAAAAGCAGCATTGTTGGATGGCATAGCTGACGCTCGAGCAGACGTCGAAAGATTCGATGTGACAAGAAGTAAGCCTGTCCTGTATTTTTAGGTTTCCAGCAATATGATCTAACAAAAGTTGCGTCTCAGATTCCCTTGTGGTAAGCGACCAAAGCCATGCACGTGCGGGCTGTGCTCACCTTCCTATTAGGACCTTGTATATTGCGCAATGAGCAGTCTCGATGTCATGAAGTTGGATTGGTGAGTCGTTGCCACTGCGCGAGATATATCAGGAACCTAACTTTAGCGACAGGCCGACAAGACACCAACTCTTCCTCCCAAGTACGCATATCATCCTCTCTCTGTCAGTATCCCATCTAACGGCGATTTAGTGGAGGCAGTTGGGCTTCTTCAGCCGATATCGGCCATGTAAACGATCGTCTCGACGCCCTCGAAGCCAGTCTCCTCAAAAGCGGAGCGCTGCGCCGGGAAGACCTCAACTATTTCCTCACAACCATCTCTGAAACCGACGCCCTCACAGGCCGAAAGAAGACCAAAATCGAAGATCTCATCGACGACACTGAAGGCGCGGCCCTTACGCTCGAACACCTCGCTTTTGGGCGGTCCAGGGCGGATGGGAGTCATGCGATCCCGCATTTCGCTGCCCGTTTATCGTCCGTGTCCAAACCGGCGCCGAACAATGATTATCATCTTGCCAAGTCGAATATTGTGCATCCCTCACCGACGAGTGGGTATGATCCTGCAAGCATTTCGTCCGGTCAGAAAACAGGGATGCAGACGTTCAACACGCCAGACTCTGGAAGAAAAGAGCTGTCGGCAGAGGAGCGCAAGCAAAAGCTGGACAAGATTATGGATATCATGGGTCCTCTGGAGGTGTTTGACATGTTTTTCCAAAAGACGGATTTGGCGATGGCGGCTCTGTCAAAGCTGTTGCCGCCGAGACACAGAGGAGAGTTGTTAGTCAAGGTTGTAAGTAACTTTAATCCTACGTGACGCAAGTCTGACTGACTTGTGTCTAGTATCTCGAAAAGGTGGACTGGCTCCATCGCTGTGTACATGTCCCAACATTCCTACGACAATGTAACGACCTCCACAACCTTCCGCCTGAAAAGGTCACTCAAGAGATCGCACTTCCCTTCCTTGGTCTCTACTTTACAGTCTGCACTGTATGTCCCGCCTGCCGTCTCTTGAATCCACCGTTAACTGTTCATAGCTTGGTCTGCAATTCATGTCAAAAGCCGAGATCAGCCTCCACTTTACCGAAGAAGAAGCGCATACCCTGCCTGATACGTGGTTCCATGCCGCTCGAAGTGCTTTGTGGGCCTCCGACTTTTTCACAAACCACACGATGGAGAGTCTGCAGACCATCTTGCTTTTGGGCGTCTTTATGGTGAGCATGTCTCGGGTTGGGTCGGAAAATCTTGGGCTGATGAGCGCTGTAGAACAATAGAGATCGCGCGGATGCTGCTTGGGCTTTGCTCGGTGCGGCCATCAAGGTGAGCCTTTTCCATCACATCAAGACCGTTACTGATATTCGATAGATGGCGCAAGGATTGGGTCTCTCCCGTCTAGGTGCTGAACAACAAATCATCGATGGCAAACCCCTCCCTATGTGGACTGGCCGATGGGAGAGTGTCATCCAGCGAGAGGTCGGCAGGAGGATCTGGTGGAATTTGGTATTCCTGGATTGGTCTTTGGCACCGAGCTACAACTACTCTTGTAGTATCCAGCCTGATCAGAGTGCGTATTTTCACCTCCCTTTGTCCACTATGGCTAATGACTTGTACAGTCAAAACCGCTCTTCCGGCGAATATAGAAGACGAAGATATCATCGACGGGATGCCTTTGAGACCGCAACCCCTCAGCGTCAGAACGGGCATGTCGTTCCAGCTTGCTAGACTCAGATTTGCCGAAATCTCGCAAAGGCAGATCTGGCAGGCAAACAACAACAACCACCCGCCCTACTCTTTCGTGTGCGTACTCTCATCCAATTGTTGACATTCACTGACCCCTGGCGTAGGTTGAGTGTCGACGGCGAGCTTCGTAAAGCCATGATGGAACTCCCCACCTTCTTCCAACCCGACCCCACCAACAAATCCCCTCCTCCCAAAGAACCCAAAGCCCTCGTGCAATACTACGAAAAGATCATTCTCAATCTCGCCATCCACTCGCGTATGCTTCGTCTCCATCGCCCTTGGCTTTCAAGAGGATACGAGGATGATAGGTTTGCGTACTCGAAAGAGCAGTGTATCAGGGCGGCCAGGGCGAGTTTGAGGATGATGAGTGATTCGGAGGGGACGGCGGCGTTTTTGGAAAAGTGGTGGTTGCCGTTGTTTTATGTGTCGGTGTCGGGGTTGGTGGTCATTATCGATCTTCTCGTACGTTGCGCTCCCGTCTTGCTTGGGTGATCACTGATCAGGGATGTAGAGGACAAGCAGGAAGGATATGTTTACGAGCGAGTTCCAGGCAAAGGTTGATGAAGTCAAGGGCGCTTTGGGTCAGATGAGGTGGGTCTGATCTACGCAATGCCCGGTCTAGTGCTGATCTGTGAAAGGGAAATTGCCGATGTGTCACATCCCTCTCGTGCTGCAGTCAAGGTCATGGCTTTGTTGCTTGGTGAGCTAGCTCTAACTGTAGTGATACGTGTACTGACTTCCATATAGCCGAAATCGAAGAACGTCGTAAACCCCCAGGGTCAGCTCTCGGCAAACGCAGGAGCTCTCCCGATGGCGACGACGAAGAGTCGGGCCTTCAGCGCGCTGTCAAGAAACTCATACTGCAAGCTCAGCTCGAAGCCGAGTCTCCCAGCGCCTCGATGGGCGGTTTGACTCCTCAAGAAATCAACATCGGCCAGGTCTCGCCCGCGACCCGTGCTATGAACGAGCAGCGAGAGCGAGAAGGGGAGCGTCCAGTGTTTGACGCCTACCCTATGCCATTCGTCCCCGTACCTCCCACCATCAACAACGCTACAGACCCTGCTCCCCAGCAACAACCTCATCCCAACCAGTACATTGGTGTGAGCAACGCCAGCCCCTTCACCTTCCCTGTCGACACCACCAACGCTACCACCTTCCCTGCATTCGATACCGCCACCACCCGAGGTTATCCCAACAACCAGCTCGACCCCACGGTGCAGAGCATGCTTGCCAACTACTTTCCTCCTCAGGCGAATACAAGCAATTCCATCGGGTCTGCGACGGCGCCTCAGGCGCCAGATGACTTTTTGAGTAGAGTGTTTGGGTTTGGGTGGGATGGAGTGGGGACGACGGGTCCGCCTGCGACGTTGGGCGAAGCGGGATTGGATGTCTTGGGTGGACCACCACGGATGTCGGGTCAAGGGCAAGGACAGGGACAGAACGGACAGGCGGGGCAGCAGGGCCAACAGCGAAGACAGCCTGGCGAGTTGCATCCACCTACTCCTCTTAATGCCCAACCACCCCAGCAGTCTCAGCAGCTGCAAGGGGCAAATAACCCTTACGCATTCGGGAATTGGGCGAATCAGGGGTGGATGGCGTGAGCGAGAAGTGTCCCGAGGGATGTTCCATTTTGGGCTTTTGTTGGTTGATTCGTATCGCTTTATAATATTCGTTGGCAGGCAGGTTCAATAGATCACCATTAGATTGGGCAAACATGGTCCGGTATGCAAAGTTCATTTATACTGTAGAAGAGCTGCTTGTCTATCTCATAAACCCTTCCTCAGTGATAGAAGTATCGAGTAGATTCTAGATCCCATAAAGTACAAGTAGGTGTGCGACGAGTGGAAAGGGACGAGTGATGAAAAAGATTGCGACACGGATCCCCTTTGACGAGCACATATGGTCATATCTCTCCGCTGATTGTAGCCCTTCCAAACAGTGAAGAGGCGTCCTCACTGTCCCGCCCCTCAACTTCCCCGGAGATCATGCCCAGCTCTCCCAGGCCGTCTTCTTTGTGTGCGCGGTAGCGGCCATGTCTTTCAGACATTTGCCGAGGGTGGCGAGTCGATCGTGTGAGACATAATTTGAGAAGAAGGCATGTCATAAAAGAGTCATTGGTTCATGGGCGATAGCCTCAGAGGTGACGAGTTTGGGAGTGACGGCAAGGGAAGTTGTAATAGGTCGCTCATAGAGAAGAAATACCGTCCTGCAACAGTCGTCAGTTCATACACCCGATCAACCTATATGAGACCAACACACCTGACGTCTTTCCATCACATGCAGATCATCCACCATCCACCCTTCATACTCTCCCAACACCAATCTCCCATTCATCACGAGCTGATCCACCTGCTTTCGCCCTTCTTCACTCATTTCCTCTAGCACTTTTCCAACAAGGGGGATGTGGATCTGGATATGATCGACCAACTTCCTGTCCAAATCTCCTTCGTCTCCCAACGCCCACTCCCATCGCCAAGAAGAAACGATCATTGCGAACCTTTGAGCGAATTTTGAAAGCGCCTTACCCATGGGGATTGCGTAACGTCGCACTTGTTCGTGATCGCTCCAATCCAAAGCTTCATTGGTATCAACGAAGACCGTGAGACGTTTGGCGTTGGACCACAGTGAAGGCAGCTGTTCACCTAGTCTCGCAAAACTCTCTCCTGACTCGGCGACCTGAGCTGCCGTCTTGACCGTCTCTCTGATGAAAACGACAGCTTTATGCGGACGTTGGAACATGATATGCTGCTCGACCTCGAACCAATGGTTTCTGCTGTCGTTGTCCAGGACAAAAATCATCTCCCTCACATCATTTGGCAGCTGGAAGCAGAGCCGCTGCCACAAAAGTGGCTCATGGTCATGTCCCTCTGGGCCGTCGAGTCTGTTGAGATACGCAATGTATCCTGACTCTACCGCAAAAGACGTGAACTCGAGGCGGTCGAGGTTCGGGAATAGACCGAAGTAGCGGCGAGGGTAGCATGGACAGGCGGCAACAGGAGACGAGGGAGGAGACGAGGGAGGACTCGAGGGAGGACTCGAGGAAGAACTCGAGCAAGAACTCGAGCAAGGACTCAAGGATGGGTCGGGAGGTTTCTCCGGCCGTGGACCGGCGAGAGCATAGAGGGTATCGATGCTGTCGAAGCCGCCGACTATGATAGTCTTGGTGTGCGCCAAAGCCTTCACTGTTCTCTCATACCCCGCTTGCAGCTGCAGGCCTCTGAAGACAGCAGGCGAGGAGTAGATTTCCCGATAGAGCACAGGAATAGCGCGCGTGTAGACTGCTGAGCAGAGACGGAGGGCGGAGTGAGGGGCGGACGCGATGAGTTGGTCGAGAATGAGATGGTGGACGAGGTGGAGGGCGGCAAAGTCGGCGGGGGTGATGGAGGACATGGCGTGGGATAGAAAAATTATAGAGAGATGTAGAATGGTACATAGGAGATGTCGCCGCCGCGAGTCTCCCGTTTTGTCCCCGGCAACACTTTGCCGGCTTTGCCTCCATGAAAGTCAGTCATGCATGCGAGTTTTGTGGTGGTCCCTTCACGCGCAGATAGAGACAAGCCCGGGCGACGACCCTTCAAACCAGGTATACCCCTCTTGACGCATTGGATACGTTGATGATTTTGATTTAGCAGTGCGGCGGACAATAGGAATGGTGATTTTATTTAGAATGGCCGCGGTTCGAAAGTGTCTGATGTCTTTACCTGATTCTTCAACTTTCACCGCTGGCACGCACTCAGGCCGGCAACCTGCTGGTTATCGATGCATTTGTCGCTTGTTTCCTCGTATTGATAGGTGTCATTGAATAGCCATGGTTGATGCTTGTTATCCTCCCATGGTTTACATGTCTTCTGCATTTGTAAAACGACGTATGGCACAGCACTACATACCACTCGCCTACTCCCAGTCTCCCCAGTCGGTGTCGTCCCTCGGCACCTCCGGCTCCTCACCGGCCGCCATTCCATAGTACTTGCACTTCTTCGACCTCGCCTTGTGACGCGCCCCCCCCCCTCACACAACCCGCGCTGGTAACGGCGCTTACCAGTAGCCGGCTATTCATCCTCCTCCAACGGCGCCAACGTCCCGTCCGGCTGCTTCCATTTCTTGGTGCTTGTCTTCGGCCTCCCCCTCTTCTTCGCCACACCCGGTTGGCTCACCCCCCCCCCCTCCACTCTCAGCTGAGAGTTTTGGGTGGGGCCGACTCCGCTTTGCCCCCCCTTCTTGGATCGACGCCCCTATTTCGTCGGGGAGGTTGGTCTCCTCCAAGTTGTTAGTCAACAGCGGGATGAATTGTAGAGGGTATGTCTCGCGGAACGCAAGGGAGGAGTGGTAGTTTGGGATGTATCTGTGTTCATAAGTCAGCGCGTGCTCAGATAGCGCAGATAGGTGCTTACATCAAGGGATTCAACCTCTTCTCGAACCTCTTGGAAGAATAGTCGTTGAGGAGCACCGCCTAGACGTGTCTGCAAGGCAATTCCATTGCTTGGGCTCCCCGCAGCTGCAGGACATAGCCAACGACCCCATCATTTGCTCGGCGTTTGCGAGATTTCAGTCTCACAATTCTTCCATCCGCGATCCCATCCATCCCATTCTGGCGCACATGGCCGAACAAGAACCTCTGCTCGTCGTCGTCCCCCGATACTCCTCACTGCGTGGTCGGTCACCAGCGCTCTGTAATCCTTCGCCTTGCGCTTCTCCGCCGCCACCTTGCGGAAGACGTGTTGGATAAGATCACGTTCGACGAGCCGGTGCTTGACCACAAGCAGATCATGCCTGTCCCGGAAACTCGCCCTGAGGTGATCGTAGATGGTGGAAAAGGGAGTGATGATGTCGCCTCCTCGGTCACCAGCGCTCTGTAATCCTTCGCCTGGCGTTTCTCTGCCGCGACCTTGCGGAAGACGTGTTGGATAAGATCACGTTCGACGAGCCCGGCTGGTTGCTGGTTGCCCGAGGAGGCGACATCATCACTCTATTCTCCACCATCTACGATCACCTCAGGGCGAGTTTCCGGGACAGGCATGATCTGCTTGTGGTCAAGCCCCGTCGGTCACCAGCGCTCATGTAGACCATCTTTTGTTCATACTTGTAGATGCGATCACGTCTTGCAGCTGATGATCTTAACGCGCAAAGGCGATGGCCGACCAATGATGTAGGGAGTGATGGCGCCAGAGGTGATGGCTTCGTGGGTACAGGCAAACCGAAAGACGATTATTGGTCGTTCATCGAGAACTAATATCGTCCTGCAGCGGTCGTCACTCGTCAGACGATACGCCCCGTCAAAGTACACGAAACCGACATACCTGTCATCATTTCATCAAATCCAAACCATCCACCATCGACTCTTCATACTCTCCCACCACCAGTCTTCCATCTCTGACGAGTCCATCAACCTGATTTCGCCCGTCTTCAGTCATTTGCTCGAGCACTCTTCCAACAAGGGGCATGTAGATCTGAACATGGTCGACCAATCTCATCTCCACATCGTCTTCGTCTCCCAACATCCGTTTCTCTTGCCCGAGATTAATACGCCACGCGATACCTTGAGCATACTTTGCCAGCGCCTTGCTCATGGGAACCACGTAACACTGCACTTGTTCAGAATCGCTCCGGTCCAAAGGTTCATCGGTATCGACAAAGACGGTCAGACGCTCGGCGTTGGGCCACTCGGTAGGTAGTTCTTCACCCAGTCTCCCGAAAGTCGCATTTGACTGAGCGACTTCATCCGCCGTCTTGACCGTCCCTTTGAGAAGGATGACGGCTTCCCGCGGACGCTGAAAAAGAAGGTGCTGGTCGATCTCGTACCAATAATCGACTCTATCGTTGTCCAGATGAAATGCAATCTCCTTGACACCATTCGGAAGCTGTTTCGAAAGCCGCCGAGCAAGAAAGTTCAGAGGTCGGGTCTCATCTTCTTCCGCAGCGGGGTTTGAAGATTCGAGCACCTCGAGGTACTCGTGATATGTCGTTTGAAGCGCAGGGAAACCGAGCTCGAGACGCTCAAGACTGGGGAAGAGGTTGACATATCGGCGAGGGTAAGGATGGGTATTGTTGCCAGGGGATGAAGGAGATGGTGCAGGCGGTTGTTCACGCTCTGGACCTGACAGGGAATAGAGAGTATCGATACTGGTGAAGTCGCGAACCCGTATCGTTTTGGTGCTTTTGAGGGCCTCGACTGTTCTCTCGTACCCCTCGTTCGATTGCAAGCCCTTGAATACAGCAGGTGAGGAGTAGATGTCGGCATAGATGATGGGGAGAGCGCGTTTGTGCACAGAAGAGCAGAGACGTAGGGCCGAATGAGGGGCGGAGGCGATGAGTTGGTCGAGGATGAGGTGGTGGACGGGGTGGAGGGAGGCAAATTGGGAGGGGGTGATGGTGGGCATGGCGAAGATGGAGAGAGAGAAGCGACAACGAATCCCAAAATTTCAGATGTCGACGGACTCAAGACGGACTTCAAACGGACTTCCGCGATCTCGATTATCGGAATCAAATCGAAAACTGACCAGCCTGCTGTTTGGTTTGTGTTTGGTTCGAGCAAGCACAACGTATGCGTGCTGCTTGATCGCGTCTTCTTCAAGTTCAAAGGCAAGCAGAATGCCACTACTAGTCCCTGAAGAGCCCATGTACACAACTACTCGTACACTAAGACCTAGTTCAGTAGGAGTAATATGGCGATCTTGAAGCAATGACCGGTATGGACTGGGGCGCCCTCCTTTTCGTTGAGTTCTAGCGAGAGAGACTGCTCATCACATCGTTCGGCAGATGGCCAGGTTGGATTGATATATGCATGGAACCAACAGCCAGAGGATATGGCATGTCCTGCGCGCGCGTCTCAAACCATACTGGTCTTATCCGGCGATTATGATGCTCCCTCCTTGCCCTTCCCCTCCATCCCTTCCCTAAGTTTCGTTAACCATTCCCATCTACTATATCTCAAACCGCCTCTTGCCTCCTCTCTCTCCATCCTCTTGGCTCTATGGCCTGCAAACCGAACAAATGTGTGCTTCTAGAGCGTGTTGTATAGGCATGAGTGTCGTTAATGTCAGACATAACGCCCATCGGAAGAGGTTGAGAGGGAATACAGGAAGAGACGAGGATAAGGTGCCGAGGAAGGGATGACAAATGGGAGGGAAAGTCAAAAGGGAGCAAGACATCCTATTATAACAGCCGTCAGCCGCCTGCTCTCGACCGGCTCACAAGGTCAAACTCACCTCCAGCTCTCTCCCCATCTACCAACGCAACCTCAAGTCACCCAGCTTCTCTACCTCCTTCACATCATACTCCCGCAACACCAGTCTTCCCTCTCCCACCATCGCGTCCACCAGTATTCGATGATTGGCTGGCATCTGCGCCAGCACTTGGTGTAAAAGGGGAAGGAAGATCTCGATTTGAAAGACCTGTTCTTCCTCGTCCACTTCATTCACAGCGCCATCCCGTTCATCGCCAGCACCATTCTCTCTACCGTGATCATTGCCCGCCCTATCGTTGGCTCCTCCAGCATTGGCGTCTCCATGTTCTTGGACATCTTGGCTCTGAATAGCTTGAGCAAAGTGGAGTCCTACTTGGCCCTTTTCATCTTCGGAATCGTCGGAATTACCGGAATCGCTTGACTCATCCGAGCCGTCTGAGCCGTCCGAGTCCTCCGAGTCCTCCGAGTCCTCTGAGTGGGATGAGTGGGATAAGTGGGCTGGTTCCTCGAAGTCATCTGAATCGCCAGCAACGTCCGAATCGTCCGAGTCGTCTGATTCAGTATCCGAATCCGAATCGCTCGACCAGTCCAGATCATATGAGCCCACAGGATGGCCCACCTGCACACCGCTTCCATCCCAATACCACCGGCCTCTTTGATGGCTGTCAAGTAAGACATATCGGACCAGTGCCATCCCCATCGAGATGATGTACCCCCGAAGCTCTCGGGCATTGAGCGACTCCCAAGGTTCTCTCGTCTCCACAAAAACGCGCAGACGGACGCCATTGTCCCATTCAAGCGGCAGCCGCTCCCCAAGCCGACCAAAAGTCGTCCTCTTCGCCTCCGACTCGGGGCACAGCGGACGATTGTCGTCCCGCTCTTGACCTTTGACTGTCCCTTTGAGGAAGATGATAGCTTCTCGAGGCCGTTGGTTACAGAGGTGGCTGTCGACCTCATACCAATAATCCGCTTCGTCCTCATCCAGATGAAAGACAATTTCCTTCAGATTGTAAGGCATGAGCCTTGCAACCTGGCGCACAATACTGTCCCGGCTACCTCCTGCAAAAAGTGGGTCTTCTTCTGATGGGACAGAGTCGAAGCAATCGTAGTGATACGCCGAGGCCTTGAGCGAACCAAAACCGAGCTCGAGGCGCTCAAGGTTCGGGAAGAGGTTGTTGTATACGCGGGAGTAGGGTGAAGACATATTGCTGGGGTTGGTGGGAACAATCCGAAATGGGGCACACATAGGGCAGCAATGCCCCCTGGGCTCGGGACCAGCGAGCTCATAGAGCGTTTCAAAACTCTCAGAGCCACCGACGCTCAGAGTCTTGGTATGCCTCAAAGCCTCGATCGTTCTACCATATGCCTTCTCCTCCTGTAGACCTCTGAAGACGCCTGGCGAAGAGTGTATATCGGTATACAGCACGGGGGCAGCCCGTTCGTAGGCTGAAGAGCAGAGGGCGATGACAGAGGATGGGGCAGAGGCGAGGAGTTCGGTGAAGATGAGATTGTGGACTGGGAGGAGTGGGGCGAAATTAGAGGGGGTGATAGAGGACATGGTGGCGGTTGGGAGATGAGAGCAATTGTTGAAAAGTCCAAATTTCTGTCGTGTCGCTATGGCTTGTGTATGGTGGCTGGTGCGGTGGAGGCACTTGCGAGTGTGGCACTTCCTTTCGATCGAAGTTGAACGATGGTCAAGATAGTCCCTAGCGTGGGTAGACGGCATTGGTGTGCTATATGACACATTAGACCTATTCATTGGTGGGAGCATTGTAGACTTACCAGGTCAAGGTATCGAAGTCTCTCTACTGGCGTCTCCGCTGTCTCCGATGGACGCCCTTGTTCTCTTCGTACGACGCAGCAATAACCATACACATCTCCTCCACCCTCTTCAATTCTTCTGCCCCTGATCCTTTGATTCCCCGTTTCCTTTTTTCACCCCTTCTACGCCCTCGCCATCCACGTTTTATAGTCTGGGGATAGAGCGGCAGCGTGCTCTCAAAATGGATATAGTCGGCAAATTCGGCGTCGAGAGCCGCGCCTGCTGTGGGGGAGGATGGGAAGATGGTGCCGATGCGCCTCGGGTTGCAGAAAGGACGTCGAAGAAAGTCAGAGTGGCGGAGAGCAGAGAGAGGGAGACAAAGATAGGCCGCGTCGGGGCGCACATACACGATCGGGATGAAAGCTAAGGGAGTGATGAGGGCACAGAAGCCGTTCGGTATACTATTCGCCCATAATAGTCCAGGAGACATGCGCGCCGAGGTATCATTCTACAGTAACAGTCAGCCAACTCGTCCTCCAAAGCCCACAAGACCAGGACTCACCTCCAACTGCCTTCTCACCAACGCCACTTCAGCTCACCCAGCGCTTCCACTTCCTTGAAATCATACTCCTTCAACACCAATCGCCCCTGCCTCACGAGCGCGTCCACATCCGTTTTTCCTTCCCCGTCCATCTGAGCCAGCACCTGCTTTAAAGAAGGCAAGTGAAACTCGACTTCGGCGACTAAAGGCGACTCTTCCTGTTCAGCCTCAAACCACTCTTCGCCTTCGATGTGGGCCCCGAAGAGACCCTGAGCGTATTCGACCAGTGCCAGGCTCATGGAGACAGCGTAGTCTTCCCGCTCTTCGCCATTGAGTGAGTCCCAGGGCTTTTGAGTCCCGACAAAAACGCGAAGAAGCTGGCCGTTGGTCCATAAAGTCGGCAGCTTCTCCCCTATCCGCCCAAAAGTCATTCTCTTCTGCCCGCCATCAGGAGTCTTGACGAGTTGTCCTTTTCGTGCCTCTCCTTTGACAAAGACGACAGCTTCCTCCGGGCCTATGGACATGAGGTGGCCGTTAAGCTCCTTCCAAGCTCCCACCGTACCCTCGTCCAGATGGAAGACAATCTCCCGAAGATCGTTCGGCATTTGGTCAGCGATGCGCGTGGCAGCACCCTGCCCGCGAGGACCAGTTCTGACCACCGGCGGCTGTAGCGCGGAAAAGCTGAGCTCGAGGCGTTCAAGATAGGGTAACATAATGTAGTATGGGCGAGGGTAGAGTGGACGGGTATTTTGAGGCTTTTCAGGAATAGAGAATGGATCTGGTCCGGACGAGAGGGCGCTGATGGCATGGAGACTCGTAGAGCCGTCGACGCTCAGAGACTTTGTGTTGCAAAGAGCGTATTCTGTCCTCTCGTATTCTGTTTTTCGCTGTAGACCCTTGAAGAGAGCTGGCGTAGAGTGGACATGGGCGTAGAGTATGGGGATGACGCGTTTGTATACTGACCGACAGAGGAGGAGAGCCAAGTGGGGGGCAGAGGCAATGAGTTCGTCGAGGATGAGGTGGTGGACCGGGTGTAGGGCGGCGAAATTGGAAGGCGTGATGGAGAACATGGTGGAAGGGGAAATAGAGATAGAGGTGGGGAAATAGAAAGAGAGAGAGCAATAAAGATAGAAATCAAAAGAGACGACCCAAGACGACCTGGCGGGAGACGACTGCCTCCACATCATCATTTATTGGGGGCATTAGCGGAGTCAAATCGATCGGTCTATCTAATCAGTTGATTCATATTTGGTCCCTGTTTACGTACTTGTACATAGTCCCAACGCTTCCTTTAGACCTCTTGGCACAATTGGGAGTGAATGTCTAGAACGTATGTAGAGATACAAGACTCGAAAGGTCCATATTCATCCAACAGTGTCCTTCCAAACCCGGCTTATCTCCATGTTCCCTATGGAGGCCCTCCATCTCGTAACCCACATATCAAGATCCATACCATCTGGCTCCAATATCCTCACCCGATCTTCCCTAGTCATCCCTGCAGGTCTAGGCAACATCTTTTCGTCCTCGCTCGATTCCCCCAAGCCGCCCCTGCTCGCCAATCCAGCCACCACGCGCTCGACCTCATCTTCTTCCCAGCTCGTCCCGCTCTCAGAACTCGCTTCGTCCAACAGGGGTGGGGTGTTGGATTCTGGAGTTCAGTACGCAGGACGCTGCGAGTATAGACGTATACGGTAGACAAGTAGTTACGTAACGTAGCGGGACCAAATGCCCAATGTGGCACGGGAAGGTTCAGGGACGCGCAGCGGGGTGTGTTGTGGAGCCTGTTGTGCTTTCTCATGCTCTTTCATCTTACCAGGTGATAGGTG